TTAAATAACAATATCATGTCTAATGATTCTGTTTTAACAAATGAAAATACTAACTTAAAAATTGAAGAAGATTATAAAAATGAGAAATTGAAGAAAAGATGTGAACAGTTGGAAGCTTGGAGATTGAAAAAGCAACAAGTTGAACCTCTATTAGAACAAAAGCCATCAATAAAAATTAAAGATACAATTGAAGAAAGACGAAAATCAAAGAAAAAGAAGAGTAAAAAGAAGCAACAAGAACAACAACTGTCAAAATCTTCACCAAAAACACAACAAAATACAATAACTAATCATCAATTTTCAAAAAATAAAACCGCAATGTCAATTTCTAAAAAAGCATCAACTGTTAAACCACCTCTACGAAAAAGAATAGAATTTGAAGGAGAAGAAGATCATTCAAATCTGAGAAAGAAACCAAAATTTGAAATACCCAAAACTGAGAATAATGCATTGATAGAAGATGATTCAGAATCTGTGGATGAATTGGATGTTTTCATAAATCAACTAAATAGTAATAACTCAAAACCAACGTTAATTGAAGAAGAAGTTCAAATTTATTCAGATTCAGAAGAAGATGAAAAAGAAGAAGATTTACAAAATAGAATAGATTCAAAATTAGCCAAATTGGGAAATACCAAAATACTTAAAGAAATAGATCAGTCTAAAATTATTTATAAACCATTTGAAAAAATTTTTTATCAAGTCCCATTTGAAATGTCATTAATGTCACATGAAGAAATAGAGCTTTTAAGATATTGGAAGTAGATAATATAAGAGTCAAAAGTGATGATATTCCTATTCCTTCTACAAAATGGTCTCAACTAATACTACCTTCAAATATGATAAATGTTATAAATGAGTTAAATTTTACAAAACCATCACCAATTCAATCTCAATTCATTCCTATTGCTTTATCAGGTCGTGATCTAATTGCAGTTGCAAAAACAGGTTCTGGTAAAACGTCCAAGTGCATTAGTTTTATGTCCAACAAGAGAAGTAGCATTACAAATTGAACAAGAAGTTTTAAATTTTTCCAAAAAAATGGATAAAAAAATTGTTTGTTGTTATGGTGGTTCAAATTAGTGAATTGAAAGAGGAGTTGATATTATTGTTGCCACTCCTGGTAGAATGATTGATTTATTAGCAGCAAACAATGGAAGAGTTTTATCTTTACAAAACATAACTTTTCTTGTATTGGATGAGGCAGATAGAATGTTTGATTTAGGTTTTGAACCACAAATAAATAAAATCTTATCTCAAATTAGACCTGATAGACAAACAGTATTGTTTTCAGCTACTTTTCCTAAAAAATTAGAGGCATTGGCTAAACATATACTAAAGGATTCCATCGAAGTAGTTGTTTGTGGTATTGGTGTTGTTGCTAAAGTAGATCAAAGTATTATATTGTTAATGATGGTGAAGATGGAAGATATTATATGATATGTTATCCGCCATTAATGAGAATGATAAAGTTTCAAAACAATCAGATGTTGATAAAATGGTCTCAAATCTTTTGCTTCACAAATTTCCATGTGTTTCAATACGTGGTGGTAAAGATCAATTAGATCGAAAATATGCTATAAAAGAATTTTCATCACCAAATAGTGGAGTAAATATATTAATTGCAACTTTAATTGCTGCAAGAGGATTAGATGTTAAAAATTTATCTTTGGTAGTAAATTTTGATCCACCAAGTCATTTAGATAATTACGTACATCGTGTTGGTAGAACTGGTAGAGCAGGAGCAAAAGGTGAAGCAATTACGTTTGTGTTTAGACTGCAAGAAAAAGAAATCAATATTTTGGTGAAAGCTTTAAAATCTAGTTCAAAAGATATACCTCCAGAATTATTAAAAATATCTGAAAATTTCTTGGGTAAAGTTAAATCTGGTGATGTTAAAACAAGTTCTGGATTGGTGGTAAAGGTTTAGATAAATTACAAGATGTTAGAGATAAAAAATTAAAAATGGAAAAGAAAATGTACGGCGAAACAATTGAAGAAGAAAAAGAAGAAGTTCCAGCCAAACAACAATCACCATCACCAATTGGATTCATGTTACCTACATTTGAAATGATTAAAGGAAATTCACCAGAAACTTCAGGTCCAGATAAATGTAAATTTCATAGTAGAATTACAATCTGTTGAGTTGATTCTCCTGATGAAGTTGTAGTTGTAGTTGATTGAGCAATTGGATTTCTAGTTTGATTGTTTGAGTTATTTGTAGTATCAGACATTATAAATATAAATCTAAATATATGTTTATTATCGTGATTAAACATATTAATTCTTCTATATAAAATATCTATCTTTAAGGAAAATCTATCTCTATTTATAATCAATCAAGTCTACTAAACTATCTTAGACTTTTAACTAATATTCAATTTACTCCATACTATCTATTGGAGTTAACTAATATTCTTTTCTCTTCTCAACTATCTTTAGAAGCTCTAAGAAATTCTATTATTCTATTTTAATCTCCTGATCTATCTAAAGGAGTCATCCAATTTAATATTTCATTCTATCTTATTCTAATTTAATCTTTTGTATGACCATTAAATATTACCTTATATTAAAACCCCTTTATTATATTAACACCCCTTAACTTATTACACAAATCCATTTAAAACAAACTTAATTAATACAGTTCTAGAACCTACCAGATAAGTCTTTAATTATACCTTACAACACAATCAATGATTTACCTCAATCAGTTCGATGGAAAATAGTTCAAAGAGAAAGTTTAACAAGGATTATAGATGAAAGTAGAACTTCAATCACAACTAGAGGTAAATTTTATTAATCAGGACAACAACCAAAACCTAATGAAGAACCTAAGTTATATTTACTAGTTGAAGGATTAACGGAACAATCAGTTGAAGAAGCAAATACAATTATTAAGCAATTAATGATAGAAGGTATTGAATCACTTAGTACTAATAATAATAATAAAAATGGTACAACTGGTAAATATTCTGTCCTATAAGAGAATTGCGAATATAATTTAGTATGTTGGGACTTATAGATTTTAATCTTAAATAGTAGCACATATACAATATCAAATACCCAACACCAGTTTCTTTTTAAATTTAATATATTAATTTCATCGACTCAAATAATTTGTCTGAAATCTCACAAATAGTTTTTGTCTTTGTTTTGTTCATTAAATTTTCTTTCATATAAAAACTATAAATTTTAACATTATTATTAAATGATTACTTGAAAAATTTGTCTTATAATCTACCGCTCAACCGCAATACTTAAAGAAAAAGTTTTTTGAGAACTTTTTAATAGCAAAATAATATCACTGAATAATGAATTATACTTTAATTATATATCAATTTGTAAATCTTCACTCAAGAATCTAATGTAGCCCATTATTACTATTTTACTAACTAAAACTTTCTACAAAAATAATCTTGAGACAATTTTATTAATACTAAATGATTTTGAGTAGATTAAATTACCCCCTATTTTTATACAAAATTTAATGAAATAAACTAATATCAAAAATATATACAAATCTAATAGTAATAGAAAAACAACAACTACGTCTTCGATTAAATTGAATATAAGTCAAAGTTATTTATATGTATCAAAGTTTAACAAATTTCATAGACAAGATATTTATTTAAATTACAATATTACTTCTTCAAAAGTATATCTATTAGTACAGATACTAGTAATTAGAAGCATTATCAAATTTTCAATTAATAAACTGTCTTTTAACTTTCAATATTACTTAACTTTATAATAATTTTTAATTGTAATATTGAATAAGTTCAATATAATTAACATTTTTGCATTACTTAGTATATAAATTTTCTCTAACTATGTAAACTATTTTGACTTGTTTTTAGTGAACCATTTTTTGACAGTTTTTTTAATATAAATAATATCAGTTAACCAATTGAAAAAGGGAAGGAAAGAAAATCAATAATCAATACAAATTGATGAAAATGAAAAATTATAGTTAATATACAACAAGTTTATCAACACTAAAACTTATCAATTATAAAAAGAAATGAAAATAGAAATGAAAACAGAAATGTAAATAGAAAATTTAATTTACAAATAAAAACTAGATATTTTTATATATTTATATTATTAAAATCAACTTCTATAAAATTTACTAATTCATAAAAAACACTTCATCATTAATTTGATTTCCATTTATATTATTACTACTTGTAAAATTTATTCTATCAGCAGAATCAGTACTTAATAAATTAGACCAAAATTCATCATTTAAAACCATATAAGAATTTTCTAATTGATCTTGATTTGCTAAATTTGAATCAAATTTTGAATTTGTATTTGAAATCAGTGGTAATCTAAAATCTCTATATTGTAAAGGAGTTAAACCAGTTGAAACTTCGTATGGATTTAATAAATTTTTTGGTCCTGGTGATCCATAATTTCCATTTCTATTTGGGGGTTGTTGTTGTTGAAATTGTTGTTGATTTTGTTGCTGAAATTGTTGTTGTTGTTGTTGTTGCTGTTGTTGTTGTTGATTATGCATTTGATGTTGATACGATGGTTCTTGTTGAGGTTGTTGTTGTATTGTAAATTGTTGATTTGAAAGTTGAGGTTGAGGTAAAGGATGAGGAGCGAAATGCATTGGATTAAATGGTATTGATTGTGGTTGTTGATGTTGTTGTTGTGGTGAAGTTGTAGGATTTATTGGTGTATTACCAGCTGATGTAAAAGGTAAAAATTGTGGAGTATACTTTGTAGATTTATCATTTGTTTCAGATGATGTACGTTGTGGAGGTTCTTGAGGTTGAGGTTGATCCATAGGTCCTTCTCGTCTATAAGATGCCGCATAAGATAATATATCTAATGGTACTGGTTGTGGAGTACCTCCTTCAGTCTCATTACTCATACTTTCATCCAATTTATTAGTAGCAATTGGTACGTTTGTTGTTGGTGGTTTAAAATTTTGAGGAGTTTCACCATTTTTACGTAATAAATCATGAATTTGAGTTGCATAAGTTTGAATAAATAATTGTAAAACTAATTTTGTCTTTTTTAATAGATAATTTGATGGATGTTGAATATGAGCTTGTTCAACAAGATTACTTACTCTTTGAATACTTGTAACTGCATCTCTTGGTACTAAATCTTTTTCAATATGAGAAGGTAATGATAATATTAAATATCTTAATCTTAATAACATACCACCAGTGTACATAACTCTTGAACCAAATGTTAAAGGCATTTGAGCAACTTGATCAGAAGTTAATTTTGAATATTCATTTAAAGCAGCAAGACAAGATTTTGTGCAATTAGATATTGCTTTAGCATCATTTGTACTTAATCCACTTTCTTCATCTCTTTCAAATATACTACTTAAATTTGGTTCATGTAAATAAGCTTCAACTGAATATAAATAAGATAAAAATACATGATCATCATCTTTAATTTTGTTTTTTAGTTGAGTTAAATGTTTTTGTAATTCTTGTATTATATATTGTGAACTTGAAACTTTCCTATCTCCATTTTCTGGTGAATGAATTATATAATGAATTTTTTCCAAAGCTGCGTTAATTCTTGCAAATAAAGCTAATTTTTGATATTTTTTCTCAGTTGAATTTTCCAAAATTTTACAACAATCTTCAACATATGGTGTCCATTTAATATATATAGATCTTCTTAATATTAAACAAATACTAACAGTATTAAAATATATTATAAGAGCTAAAGCTCTATATTCTTCACCAGTTTTAGGTTCTGTAGATTTTTTAACTGCTCCTTGTTTATTATCAAATGAATAATAAGGTCGTGCAACTATACCTAAATCATGTAAAAGTGATACACAAATTGTATTTAATAAATGATAACGACGTTGTCTAAATAATTCAGGTGAATTATAATATAAACTTAAAATTAATAATGATTTAACTAATTCAACTGATTTTTTACCAACAACCATAACTTCATCACAAACAGATCTTATAGCTTCATTATCAATTGATAAATATTTTTCTAAATCAACTGGATCATTTGAAGTATAAACAACATTACTTGCTGCCATTATTGAATTAAATAAAAAAGGTTGTTGAATTCTAAATTCTTCTGCATTTAATCCATCTGGTACATCAATAAATGGTAAAAAAGATAATATTCTTGTTTTATATAAATTTAATCTAATTTCTGCTTCTTCCATTGTTATTAAGCCTTTTGAAACAATATCAGGTGCCATTGATTTTCTTAGTAGAATTGTTCTTTTTTCAGCTAAAGAATTTAATTCATTTGTTAATTCACTTAATTTTGAAGATGATTCTACTAATATAGTAATTTCTTGTTCTAAATCAGATTTTGATATAAAAGGTGGAGAAATAATATCAATAATTTCATGTTGATAATTTGTATCAGAATTTGATGATTTATGAATACGATTTTTGTGATTTAATTGAGTTTCTAAACTTTTAATTCTTTGTTTTAAATTAAGAATTTCTTGATCCTTAGTTAATGGGGGAGTATTATTTTGTGTTTCTAATTTTGTTGGCGATAAATAATTTGTATAAAGTGAAGGAGGACTATTACCCATTGGATTTAAGTTACTTGAAATTGGAGGAATTGTTGATTGTTGTGAACGTAATTGAATAGATATTGGGGATGAGACTGATGAAATAGAACTTGGATGATGTTGATGTTGATGTTGATGTTGATGTTGTGGTAGTTGTTGTTGTTGTTGTTGTTGTTGTTGTTGTTGTTGTTGTTGTTGTTGTTGTTGTTGTTGTTGTTGTTGTTGTTGTTGAAGTTGTGGTGGTTGTTGAGGTTGAGATTGAGATTGAAATTGAGGTTGAGATTGAGATTGAGATTGAGATTGATGTTGTGGTGGTAGTTGTTGAGGTTGAGGTTGAGGTTGAGGTTGAGGTTGAGGTTGAGTCTGCGGTTGAGGTTGTTGTTGTTGTTGTTGTTGTTGTTGTTGTTGCTGTTGCAGTTGTGGTGGTGGTGGTGGTGGTATTACCTGTCTATTATCTAGTTTATTATTTTGATGATTAATACTATTAGTTTTGTTCTTATTATTTTTATTATTAGTGTCGGATTTTGTTACATTATTATTACATTTTTCATTATCATCATATAAAACATTTGAACTTGAAATTTCTTTCTCTGATTTATTCTCATTATCATTATTATCATTATTATTATCGTTATTATTATTATTATTCTTATTTTCAATAATTTTCCTTTTAGCTTCTAATATTTCAGCTTTTTTCCTCCTTTTTCTTGTTTGATTTAAATCTATATCACATTTTCTATTTGCATTAAGACATCTTATACATGGTGCACCAGGTTCTTGAGGATTTGATGGAGTACATTTTACTTTTAATGCATGACATGCTTTACATGCAACTGATCTTCTTGAATTTTTTGGTTTCTTTGTTTTATTATTATCATTATCTGTTAAATTATTATTATCTTGATCGTAATCAGAATCTAAATTAGAATTATTTGATTCAAAAGTTCTTTTATTATTATTTATTGATTTATTATTATTCATATTATTAAATAATTGTGGAGTTGAAGCTTCAGTTGTTGTTGTTGTATTTGTTGTTGTATTTGTAGTATTAGTTGTTGCTGTTGTAAATTCATTTGATATATTATTATCATTATTTTCAGTTTTTATTGACATTTTTTAATATGTATCAAATATTGTGTTTTATTGTTATTATTATTATTATTATCATATAATATATTAATATACGATCTTTGATTATTAAATTATCAACGTTTGTTTAAATATCCTTAATTAACATATATGATATATTAATATAATTGTTGTTAAATTGTTGAGAATTGATAAATTTATATAATGTGTATGGAATATGTAATTAATATATATAAATTATATGTACTTTAATATTAAATTTAATTGATATTTTGAACGTGGTGGAGTTAATCGGAATAATCCTTGATAATATAAATAAATATAAATGAAATTATTGATGATGATTTTCTTTTTTTTTTTCTGTTCAATTTTTAGATCTCAAAATTTTTAATTTCATTCTTTTTTAATTAAAGATTTGTAGTTCAATTTTAGTATTAAGAATATAATCAAGTATACATTATATTGGATATATATATATGAAGTATTAATGAAATGTAGTTATAATGATATTGATAATATAAATAAGGATAGGGATATTAGGTTATCGATATATGATTTAAAAATAATTTTCAATAATAAACATTGTATAATAACAGTTAAAGCTAAAACAAAGCATTTTGTTTTGTTTATAGTTCAATATATTATATACAATTTATGTTACATTTGAAAAATATTATTTTATACATTTAGTTTTATGGCCTAACAAATTTAATTAATTCGTTGATTATAGATAGTATAGTATAGTATTAAATGAAAGATAAATAATATATCAATCTGAATATTAATTAACTATGAAGTATTATATATTAATAAATTGGTCTAGCTAATAATTACAGAATCAAAGAAATTTAAGTTAATGATCAAACATAAATCATGATATAGTTTTGATGTTAAATAATATACTAATTGAAATGATAATAAATAAATCTATAATTCTATACTTTTTTTAAAGAGATTATTTGAATTTAAAATTCTAAATTTTGCTTAATACTTTTGCTGAAAACTTTATAAAAAAGTAAAACTCAAGTAATAAATTTGAAACAAAAAATTAGTTCAAAATATGAAACAAATTTTGTGAAAAACAAAAAAAGTTAAAAATAAGTTGCAAAATTATCTTAAAACACACAAATAAATTTTGTAACCAATTCAACAACAACTAAAGATTGTTTCTTTAAAGTTGTTTAGTATATGATATCTATTATCATCATTTTTATATTTGCAATATGGTATATTGAAAGGTTAATAAAATTTTTAAATACAACATAAAAACCTATTTTATCTTATATTACAATAAATTTTTAAAATCAACTTTAATTCAACATTCAATCTTGTTGTACTTCTAAAAATTAAATTCTAAAGATCATCATTTGTGTATCATGAATTTTTTTTAAAATACTAAAAAACCCGCTTAGTAATTGTACCAACAACCAGATTTACATACATAATCATTTAAATAATTCCATAATGATTTACTGTCATCAACTATTTTGTTTTGATTAATAATTCTATATTTCACTTGCTGTTTTATTTGAATTTTATTTAATTCTTTTTCAATTAATGATTTATCAATAGTTTTAAATATTTTTTCAATTTTTTCACAGATTTGTTAAATCCAATTTTATTATTGAAAATGCTAATTCTTTATCTTGTTCACCATTTAAATATGAACCAACATAACCATTTCTAACAATAAAATCATATAAAACGATTGCATCTAAATATTGTTTATTAGCTAACGCTTGTTGTAATAAATTATAAATTTTAATTAATAATTCACCATTATCTAACAGAATCATATCAATTACTAATGAAATATTTTCATCTTTATATTCCCAATCTATTGTTAAATTTGTTGATGGTTGTTCTTCATATACATTTAACTTTCCTTCAATTAATTGATCAACTAAATTTGAGTATGAATCATTTAAACCTAAACAAAATTTTAAGATAAATACCAAAGTGATTAATAACTGAAAAATTAGAGACATTATAAATTTTTGAGTCCAAAATACCTTGGAATAAGCTGCTAAAAAAAAAAAAGAAGAAGTTTCAAAATTAAGTTATTATAAAATATAAATCAAATTGTTGAACAAATTTATTCCTTTTTAAAATTAGAATTTATAATAAATTAAATTGAACAACTAATAATGGTTAATTACGTTCTAAAATTCTAATCTTAATTGTATAATTTAAGCCGTACATATGTATTTTTCAATATTAGTTTTGAGCCCCCAAATAATCCATTCTGTTAAAATAAAAAATATTATTAATTTTCATAATTAATTAGTATCATAATTCATTTTTAAAATTTAATTAGTTAGAAATTGTAATATACTTCTCTTTTTTTAAAAATTGATAATTCTATTCTTTCTACTAATAAGAAGAATCTGTTATATATTAATTAAATATAAATCTGTGACGTATTAATAATCTAATATTAATAATGTTTAATAAATTATGTTTTTCCCTTAATATTTTATACTTAATAAATCTTACTCGTAAATATTTAATTATATAGAAAATTTGGACTTAAAAAAAAACAAAAGTAAACAGATTTAAATAAATATTAAATTAAGAGATCAAAGAATTATTGACGTTTCTAGAACTTAACTCATCAATTGAAAAGAATATAAAACATAAATCATTTACATATTAGTATTCACATAATTATAAATTTCAAGTTTGACTTTAAAAAATTAAAGATTTTTTTCACATAATATATGTCTTTTAATTTTGGAATTGATAAAATAAGTCAAGGTAATAAAAAACCATCTTTTAAAGATAAATTTGCAAATTCATCATCATCATCATCATCATTACCATTATATTATAAAGATAAATCACCTTTTCATCCAAAATATTCAAATTATAAAAGAAATAAAAAACTATATATGTTATTAAAAGGATTTCTATATTCATTAGGATTATATTTAATTTATTATATAACTTCAAATGATTTTAATATCCTTAATAATATAAATCCAATTTTTAATATTTTTTCTCAAGAACCATCTTGGTTAAAAATTCAAAATGAAGTTAAACAAGCAATGTTAGATTCTTGGCATTCTTATGAAAAATATGGTTGGGGTTATGATGAATATCATCCAATAAAACAACAAGGTGAAAATATGGGTCCAAATCCTTTAGGTTGGATGATTATTGATTCAATTGATACATTAATGATTATGGATTGTAAAGAAGAAGTTGAAAGAGCCAAAAAATGGATTAAAGAAGATTTAGATTATAAATTTGATTATAATGTAAACAATTTTGAAACAACTATTAGAATGTTGGGAGGATTATTATCAGCTTATCATTTAAGTGAAGGTGATGATTTATATTTAGATAAAGCCGTTGGGTTAGCTAATTCATTACATGGAGCTTATAAATCACCTACTGGTATACCATATTCTTCAGTTAATTTGAAAACAGGTATTGGTATAAAAAATCATGTTGATAATGGAGCATCATCTACAGCAGAAGCAGCAACAGTTCAATTAGAATTAAGATATTTAGCAAAATTAACAGGAGAAATTGAATGGTGGGAAATATCTGAAAAAATTATGGAAGTATTAGAATCAAATAAACCAAAAGATGGATTAGTACCAATATATATAAATCCTGATACTGGGAAATATCAAGGTAATTTAATAAGATTAGGTAGTAGAGGTGATTCTTATTATGAATATTTATTAAAACAATTTTTGCAAACAAAAGGAGACGAACAGATTTATTATGATTTATATAAAGAATCAGTTGAAGGAGTTAAAAAACATTTAAAAGGAAAATCATACCCTAATGAATTAACTTTTATTGGAGAATTAGAAAGAGGTATTAATGGACCATTATCAAATAAAATGGATCATTTAGTTTGTTTTTATGGTGGATTATTAGCACTTGGAGCAACAAATGGTTTAACATTAAAAGAAGCAAAAGAACAAAAATGGTGGAATGAAAATCGAGAATCAGATTTTAAATTTGGTGAAGAATTAACTTATACATGTTATAAAATGTATAATGATGTTTTACCAACAAAATTATCACCAGAAATTGTTGTTTTCAATACTGATGAATCAAAAGAAGATAAAGATTTTATAATAAAACCATTTGATAGACATAATTTACAACGACCAGAAACAGTTGAATCATTATTTTATCTTTATAGATTAACTGGTGATAATAAATATAGAAAATATGGTTATGAAATATTTCAATCATTTATAAAATATACAAAAATTATAAATAAACAAGGTGAAATATCTTTTAGTTCATTAGAAGATGTAACACAATTAAATAAAGATGGTTCATCAAAATTTAAAGATAATACAGAAAGTTTTTGGTTTGCAGAAACTTTAAAATATTTATATTTATTATTTGATGATTCAAATAAATTATCATTGAGAGATTATGTTTTTAATACTGAAGCTCATCCTTTCCCTAAATTCAATACAAATAATTATTTAAAAACAAATTGGAGAAGAAAAATTAATGAAAATGAAAAACCAAAAATGAGAGAACAAAATGAAATTGAAAAACAACAAATTAATAATAATAATAATAATAATAAAATTATACCAGAAGCTCAACCAGTTGATAAAAAATTAAATGATTTAGTTAAAGAAATTGAATAAAATCAATCAAATTGTTGACATCTATATAATAATTAATATCTATAAGTTCGAACTGAATTGTATTGAATTGAAACTGAATTGGTATATTTATATTTATCTACAATAAAAATGGAAATTTCTTACGTCATTAAATTTCGTAAATTATACAGCTGGTAGCTTTATCGATTATTTTTTCATTTCGAGGAATTCCTTTTTTATATTTTTGTTTTCTATTTATTTATTATTGATTTTTTCAATATTTTATTAGTAGCCTAAAGGAATTCGTTCTTATTGTATTGATTTTAGTAGTAGTTAAGTAAGTGAGTAAATGTTAACTAAATGTTTTGATCGTTTTTTCAGATAACTTAAATATCAATATCAATATTTTAATTTTTTAACTTACATCATTATATTTTTTTTTCACTCTCACAAATTTTTTTTTATTATTTATTTTTTTCTCTTAATTCAAAATTAAACACACAACAAATTGATAAATCTAACTTATTAATAAGATAAATACAATATTAAATCAATTTATATATTTCATAATTTATCAAGATCTATCAAAAAAATTATATCATAATTCTATTTTCAAATAGATAAAATAATTATTTTTAGAGAAAAAATATATAAAATAGAACTTTGTCATGTCCAGTGACGTATGTATTATAATTTAATCAAAAGTTTATTCTTATTGAACTTTGATCATATATACTAACATCAATTTAGCTGAGATCAAAGTTTGAATTAGAACCAAATCCATTTGAAAGATCATTTGCAACAAAAGATTCATCATTATCATTAAGTACTACTGGTCAACAATCAAGAAATGAATCAGCTTCAGAAATTGAAACTATTGGTAATAGTTCAAATCATTCAAATAATCATCATATAAATAATAATCAAATCAATAATAATAATAATAATAATAATAATACTAATGGTATAAGTAATAAAAATAATTCATCATATGTAAATTTACAACAAGATCATCTTCATAATAATCAACAACAACTTCAGCCACATGTTCAATCATTAATCCCATCAAATAATAATAATAATAATAATAATACGCAACAAAAATTACCTGGAATAACACCTCCTCTATTTACACCAGGTGGAAGAAGATTACCTCCAATTGATCAAACTTCAAATCCTGGAACTCCTACAACAAATTTATGGAATAGTTTAATTAATGTATCAAATAATCAACAACAAAATCAATTACCTCATAATGGCAATAACATTAATAATCAGCAACAACAACAACAACAAAATTATAATCAATTTATATCATCAATAAGAAAAACAGGTTTAACTCCAAATGAATCAAATTTAAGATCTGGTTTAACTCCTGGAGGTTTTAATTTTAATGTACCAGGTTTATCAACTCCTAGTGCTTTATTAAATGGTCCAATAACTCCAGGTTTATCAAGTTTATTGGGATTGACAACTGGAAGTAATCCATTAATGATGAATTTAAATAATACAGGTGTAAGTAATCAACAACTTCCTATACACCCACAACCACCAACACTACCACAACAACATTCTCAACCACAACCACAATCACAATCACAAGTACAACCACAAGTACCACAACAAATGCAATTTCAACAAATTCCTCCTCAATCTCATCATCAACTGGTTTCGTCATCTAATCATTCAATAAATTCTAATCAACAAATACCATCAATACAACAACCTGCAATATCAAAAGATCAATCTCCACTAGAACAATCTAAACCAAATACACAATCACCAAATCAAACTGAACTACAGCCATCCGATAAAAGTAAAACATCAAATACAGATGAAAATAAACCGAATGGAAAAACCACCAAGAAAAGAAAAACTTCTAATAATAAAACACCAACCACCACCAAAAAACCAAGAGTAAATAAATCCAAAAAATCTAAAACAAATACAGAGCAAGTGGAGAAAGAACAACTAGATAAAGATATTAAAGACGAAGACGTTACTGCAACTCACACCACTACCCCTACAACCAATAATATCACCAATAATGAGGTTAACGACGACGATGATGATAATGAAGAATCAAAAGAAAATAAACCTAAAATGAATAAAAGAAAATCATCAAATGATGAAGAAAAACGAAAAAACTTTTTAGAAAGAAATAGAGTAGCAGCTTCAAAATGTAGACAAAGGAAAAAACAATTAATACAAAAAATGGAAGATGAATTAAATTTTTATTCAAATGGTTATAGAGAATCAAGTGCACAAGTTGCTCAATTAAGATCTCAATTAATAAATATAAAAAATATATTAATTGCTCATAAGAGTTGTCCAACTTTAGCTCAATATTGTGGAGGATTTGATAATTTATCTAATATTATACAAGAAGCAAATTTTGCAACTGAAGTAACTGAGAATGCACAACAAAATATAAGTTCAATTCCATCAACAATTCCAACAACTTTAAATCAATTATAATGATCTGAAATTTACTAGTATTTAAATTTTATCTTATTTATACATTAATAGTTAGATTTATTATTGTAAATATACATAAGACTCATTTGGTTTTGTTAAGTTTCAATGATAATGAAATGTAATAGTCTATAATTGATCTTAAAATTGTAACAAGCTCTATTCCTGTATACAAGACCAAGTTTCATTTTTAATTTTTAATTATTTTTTTCTAGGAACGGTTTTTTTTTTTTTTTATTTTTTTGTTTACAAAGTTACATTTTTAGATCAAACAACTTATAAAATAATAGAATATAGTATAATCATTAACCTTTTTAAACATTTGTATTAAATGATAATCGATTAAGAATACTTCAAAAAAGATGGTGAATATATCAGATCATGACGATCTACAACTACCTTCATTACCAAAAATAAATCATGATAATAATTTACATGATTCAGGTATTCTAAAATTAGATCAATTTGGTAGAAAAAATTTAAAAAACATTTTACATATAATTACTCAAGAATTAAAGAAAAAAGGTACTAAAACACCTCATATTTTATTACCATTTAGATCAAAAATAAAAGATTCAAATTTAAATCAATTTTTAAATTCAATTGCACCAAATGGAGAAATTATAAAAGATTTAAAATTAATTCAAAAATTATGTTTAGAAACTGATGAATTTACTTTAATTTGTTGTTTAAAATATTTTTGGTCAAGATTACCAAATAATGAAATTATTGGTTATAATGTTTATTTAGAATTTAAAAGAAAAGAAAAAGAACAAAATTATCCTAAAAATGCATTTTTAACAATTATGCCAAAATGTTTATCATCACCAGCTCATGCATCAATAGTTTATGATTTTTTAGATTTAATTTTAAATATTATATCAAATTCACAATATAATTATTTAAGTGGTAGGAAAATTAGTAAAATGGCAAGTCTTTGGGCTTTTAGAAACACCAATAATAAAGATGAAATAGATTTTATTGAAGGTATTGAAAATTGGAATAAAATAACAATAGCATTATTTCATTTAGTTTTATCATTTTTAAGATCAATGTTACCAGAATCTGATTCAGAAACTCTAAAATTACCAAAAACTTTACAAAGTTTATTAATAACAAATCAATATCCTCCAGAAATTGAAAAAGAAAATATGAGATCACTGATTACTATACCTTGTGTTTATGTAACATCATCAAAACCTTCAAAAAATGTTTATGATTTAATAAGTAAAGTAAGGCATAGTTTATCATTTGATCAAAAGGATAATTTTTCAAAAGAAAATTATACAATCTTAAAAAATGTATTTGCTAAAAAGAGTACAAGTGAAATTGTTGATACATTTACAGAAGAATCTAAAAGAATTATTGATAGATTAACAGTACAACCAGATGAAAATAAATTTAATTTAAGACCTGGTTGGGCAAGTTCAATACAAAAAGAGGATGTACCGTTGGTTTCAAATATTGTTATTAAAGATATATCCATACAAGATTATTTCATATGGACTTGGCTATCTTCGCTAGCTAGTGATCAACCTTTTCAAATTAAAAAAGCATTCGGTAGATCAATTGTAGTAGAAGCTGATGTTTTAGGATTTCAAAAATGGATTGTCATCACTGAAAAATTAATGGATCCTAAATTAGTAAAGAAGGAATTGAAAGAGTTGAACAAGTCTAAAAGAAGTGCACCTTTACCTCCATTACCAGTTGAAAATAAAAAGAACAAGGAATTTTTACCACCTATACCAACAGATGATGACCCAGATGTTTTACCACCTGACTTAGTGGAAGTTTATGAAAATTTTGAAAGACTGTTTGGTGATGAAACTAGTTATATATATCCAACTTCAGTTCATACTGATGAATTAAAAGAAGAAATACCTGCAGAAATTACATCCAGATTTACAAAAGTTACAGTTGGTGATATGTATGCAACCAACAATAAAGGTTTACCTAATAGGAAAGCACCTCCTGAAATTCAATCAATTCCAGTTGAGGAACAAAGTACACCACAACAAGATCAACCATATTTTGAAGTATTTGATCCAAATTTTGATTCACCAATGACAATAAATCAAGATGATTTGGGTAAACAAGAAGAAGACACTCATTTAGATAAAAAGAATAAAAAGAAGGAACTAAAATTGAGAAAGCAAGCAGAAGCTGCTCAATTGGCCGCTGCACAAGCTGCAGGGTTTGCTACTATACCTTCAAATTTACCACCACTAAATTTTAATGACAATCTACCTCCAATACAACAAACTGTTAAATCAATGTTATTACCTGAAGAACAAATACAGAGTTCAAACCCATCAGAATCAAAATGTCAAAATTCTTCAAGGAAAACTTCACCTCAAAAATATAGAAGAACTCCTATTGATGAATCAAAACCTTTACCCAACCCAAATGACACAAATTCTGAAATTGATGTTGTCCCTACAGTAGCTACATTAAAACCTCCTAAATTAGAACCTCCACCACTAACAAATTCACCGTCAATAGGTTTTATTAGTTCACCAAACCCACAGACACATATTCATAATACTGCATCTCCTCAATTATTATCACAATACGGTGCAAAATATGATGACTTTGTTTCACATGATTATACTCCTTCAAAATCAACAAGTCCAGTAAAAGATCATGTATTTCATCTGCAACTGCCATCAGCTATTGACTCATCTACTACACTTAAAGATTCTTCTGGTCAAAAATCATATACATCTTCATTAACATCAAACGGAGGGTCAGAAAGTAACAAATTCACAAGTCGTAACAATCACCTCGAAAAGCATAAAATACAAGAATCTCAGCAATATGGACATCAGAATTTGCAATCTCATAGCGTATCACCACCACAACAAGGTACAAACATTCATCAAATTCCACATCCACAAAGACTTTCTCCCGATCAAACATTAAATCATCAACCTATTCCACAAACATCTACTCAGTCCTATGTACAACAACCACAACAATTTACACATCAACAAACAAAAAGTCAACAAACACTACCTAATCAAATTATAGATAATCACCAAAAAACAAACTTACAAAGACTTTCTCCAAATCAACAAATACCAACTCAAATTATACCTCCACAACATACTATTACTCAACCTACTTTACCTATACCACAACAACCAATGTATCAACAACATGTACCTTATATGTATCAACCACAAATGTACCCACAACCACCTCAACAAATGTATAATCAACCACCTCAACCACAAATGTATCCTCCACAAATGTATCAAATTCCACCCCAAATGTATCAACCACCACCAAATCAACCTTATCCTCCTCAAATGTATCAGCACCCTCATCCACATCCACAAATGTATCCTCATCCTCAACTTCATCACCAACCTCCACCACAAAATTCAACACTAATTTCAAAACCTCAGAACATTTCAAATAATGCAATGATTGGAATGATACCAATGGGAGCAAAACATAATAAAAATAAAGCAACCAATAAAGTCAATTTAAGACATGATTTACTTCAAGGTGATTTTGGTATATAAAATAATAAACAAAAAGAGCATATACGAGCATATACAATTTACGAATTTTACGAACACAATTAGCATTACAATAAATAAATAAATAATTATATTCAATAATTAATATATAACATATAAGAATATTAAGAAATATAAACTTTAATTTAGTATTCACTTAATCTTAATTTTTTACCAATATCACGTAAAGTATAAGTAGAATTACCTCTACTACTTAAAAATGGAGGTTCAGGTGATTGACCTCTACTTTTAATATCTTCATCACCCATATCAAAATAACCATACCCACCTAATAAAGTAGTTAAATTTCTATTAATTTTTGGTGGAGATTGTTCAATTTTTAATTTTTTAGAAGTTTCAACAATTTTCCAAATTTTTTGAATTTCTTGTAAATAAGAGTTTAAAGTAACTAAAAATCTTTGAGTTTGTCTATATTTCGAACCAACACAAAATGAAATAGAATCATCTTTTATAATATAACCAATACCAAATCCATTAGCAGTAACTGGTCCAAAACCAAATAATCTTAAAGCTGGATTACCACAATTTGAAGTAGAAATAATAGTATTATTTAATTTATCCCAACCTGAATCTTCAAAAATTGAAGGTAAATTTGTTATAAATTGTGGTATATCATCATTTCCTAAAAGTCTTTTCCATAAACAAAAAATTGCATATAAATGACGATCTACACCTTCACCATTTGAACATAATCTTGTTTGATTAGAATGAGCTTTACAAGCTTGATTTAAATATTCTAATTTTTCTTTATTTGAAACATTTATATCAAAAAATTTACGTACAAATAAATTTGATTCATTTGAAACAGTTCTAATAGCTTCAGTTCTACCATGGAAAAAATGTTTCGTCATTGCAGGTTCATAAGTACATTCAACTTTACCATATAATGCATAATAAGTTGCTTGAAAAGCCATTTGAACAAATGCATCAGGACTAAATTTCATTTTTTTAATTTCATCTGATCCATAAAATTTAAATTCTAAATGACGAAATTCATTTTGATTTATTAAATCTGATAATCTTGTTTCACCAAATCTTAAAGCTAATGATAATTCAGGTGTTAAATCCCATTCTAATTTTCTTGGTACTGTTATATATTCTTCTTCTGTTTTGGTGGTGTTGGTCTTGGTGGTGGTGTTTGGTTTCCATAATGATGGAGCATTACGATTTATAGATTGAGCAAATGATAATATAGAATCAGTATAAATATCAGAAACAAATCTTAAAACTGTATGACCATCAACACCTGTATGTTCAAAATTTATCCCAGCTTTACCATTTTTTGTAATAATAATTTGTAATTTATCATACCATCTACTAGTACAAGTACCAATTTGTATACCTTTATCTAAAATAGATAAACCACATAACATATTTTTAGATAATTCAGATAAATCATTAATAATAATATCATCAAAACATAAAATAAATAAAGCAGAATCAATTATTGATAAAACTTCTTTATTAATTTTATTATTATTAATTTCATTTCTTGCATTTGCCCAAATTCTTCTATTTTCAGTAGTTAAAACTCCAAAAGAAGATTTTGCAATATCATTATTTGAAGTTTTTAAAGAATCAAAAACAATTGAATTAAAATTTATATTTAATTCTGATTCATTTAATAAAATATTATTATTTAAATCTAATACATCAAACCAATAAAATTGAGATTTTGATATAATAACAATATGATTTGAATTTGAATCACTTTGCATCATACAACCATCATCAGTTGGAATTCTTGAAGAACCAAATAATTTTGTAAATTGATACATACATAAAGGTTTACCATTTTTTAAAGTATCAATTGATAAAGTTTTATTTTTTAAAGCTTGAATAAATTTTAATGAAGATAAAGTTAATGAAGTAGCTCTTTTAATTTGAGGATCTATTGATATTGATTCATTTGAAGTAAATGGATCATCTTCTAATAAAAAAAATGGATTTAAATTCAAAACAACTGGAGAATCATAATTTAAATAAGCATCGTACCAAAATTGTTCAATATAACTTGGTTTATCTTCAGCATATTTTCTTAATTTATTATCTAAATAACAACCAACACTTTCTTTATTAGGATCATTTTCATCACCATTAAGAAATTTATAAACAGCCTTTTCGGTATTTAAATATTCAATTTCAGTTTGTAAAGGTTTTAATACTTTTAAATAATTTTCACATGTTTGTTTTAAATCAGGTATTGGTAATTTTTTTAATTGATCTTGAAATTGAAAAGTTGAAGTTGTGGTAGTAGTTGATGCTGACATTGTTGAACTAGTACAATATTATTAATTTGAATAGGTACCTGCCCACTGACTTTTATAATAAATAATGAAATAAATTAAATTTTGAATTGAAAATGAAAAAAAAGTGCAAGATTAATAAATTATATATTCAAATTGACTGAAAAAAAAAAAAAGGATATATAATAATTAAATTAATCCAAAATAATAAATAATTATAATTCTAATAAAAAAATGAAATTGTGGTGATGAATTAAAATTTTTGTTCACTTGAATACTAAAATAAATAATAATTGTTGATGAATTGAATAAATATAATAATAAATTTCGGAGTTTTTTGTTTTGTACTATCAAATTAAAATAAGGTTATAATTTTTCTGGGGTAATAAAAAATGCTACCAAATATAATCTAAGAAATTTATCGGTATTATAAATTAATAATTTATATAATAATTGAAATAATAATAATCATTCATTCATTGGATAAGAGAAATTTATATAATATTACAATCAAATTGAAAATTCATTATTTGTAAATTAAGTAGCAGTTTAATGATGACATCCAACTAATGAGATTTGCATACTAAATCTGGGGATGATATTTCTTGTTCAGATTGGGTCATAAATAAATTGTTTTTTTTTCTCGTCATAAATTCAAATTTCTCGTTCATGATTGCAAATTGTTTTAGTCGATGTATTTTCAATATTTTGTACAAAGTAGTCATAAATTTACGATCTGATTGTATTGATTTAATATTTAATATGTTTAATTTATTATTGGTTAAGTAATAACTTATGCAATTTTACAATATCTATCTATCTTTTATTTAATAATACAAACTAATTACATATATAGTATAATATAATTACAATAAATATAATATACAAATAATCCCTTAAATTCCAAATTTTATTTCTTAAATCTAATAAATCATAATAAATTTAATAAGTCTTGTTAATATCCATCTGCTTCACCTCTTTTTCTCCAGTAATCACTAACACCTTGTAATTTACCATTTTTTAATCTTTTTATACCATTCATTGCTGTTAATGAACCAGTTTCTATAAAAGTATGATTTTTTAATTTTAATTCTTTTAAAATATTTTCATTTTTAAATTCTTCTTCAAAACTTGTTATATTTTCACACATTATATCTTGTGGTATTAATTGATGATGTAATCTTGGAAATGATATAGTATTTAATAATGAATAATTTTTATAATAAATTCTTATTATTGCTTGTAATATTGTATTTGTAATTCTACTTCCACCTGCTGCTCCTATAATAAAATCAACTTTATTATTATATGTTATAATAGTTGGTGAAGTTGAACTTAATGGTCTTTTACCAGGATAAATAAAATTATAAATTGATGGAGTTAAATTGAAAGCATTACTTATATTTGGTTGGGAAAAATCATCCATTTCATTATTTAATATTATTCCTGTATTTTTATCATAAATCATTGAACCAAATAATAAATTTATAGTTGTTGTCATTGATATTGAATTATCATTTTCATCAATTATTGCAAAATGTGAAGTACCTTGATGTTCAATTAAATTATATTTTGGATTATAATTTTGCCATGGGAAAGTATGATTATTTGAATAATCTATTGTTTTTAACCAATTTAATTCACTATATTTTTTTATAATTTTTTCTTTTTCAGGTTGAGTATCACCTAATCTTGTTCTTATTGAACTTGACCATTTAAAACTTTCAATTAATTTATGATTAAATAATGATTCAGAATCATTTTGGTTATATATTGAATTAAAAAAATTTAATCCTCCAATTAATGATAAACCTGATGATATACCATTACTTGTATATACTTTGAAATTATTTATAGTTGTTGTTAATGGTTTTTCTATAATTGTTTTATAATTTTTAAAATCTTGTGGACTTATTATTCCACCCCATTTTGTAATAGTATTAATTAATGATGAAACAATTGGTCCATTTGGATCATAAAATATATCACTACTACCATTATTTGCTATCAATTCTAAAGTTTTTGCATAATTTGGTCTTTTTATATAATCACCTTCTTTTATTAAATCTCCATTTGGATTGAAAATAAAATCCCACATTTGTTTTAAATTTGGAATTTTTGATAATACTAATTCATTTTCTATTGAAACTACTTTTTCAAAAATTTTTGAACATTTCCATCCATTATAATTTAATTCAATAACTGGTTCAAATAATTGTTCCCATGTTAAATTTCCACTACCATGTAATTTATATAAATCATATAAACCTTTTAATTCTCCAGGTATTGCAATTGCTAATCCACCAATTTTACTCAAAATTTCTGAATTTCCATACATTTCTTTATATGCTAAACTTGGTGCGATTTCTCTTGCATCAATACTTATAATATTATTTCCTTTTTTACTTAATATAAATCCACCTCCACCAATTCCTGAACTATGAGAATTTATTGATCCAATACATAAAGCAACTGTTACTGCTGAATCAGCTGCATTACCACCTTTTAATAGAATATTTTTACCCATTGTTGAACATAATGGTACATCACTTGCTACCATTGCTTTTGAACCATTATGTAAATGCTCAGTTGAAGGATTTAAATCTGGTTGACCAATCTTATCAAGTAATGGATCATTTGTTGCTAATTGATAAGTAAGATATGGATCTGCTCTATTCAAATTAATTGGAATAATTGAAGATATTTTTAAATCTGAAAAATTTATATTATAAAGTGTGAATAATATTAATAAAATACATGGTAAAAATATATAACATATTCTTTTAAATTTTGTAGTATTAGTTGTCTGCAGTAGTTGTTCCTTCTCTAGCATATTCTTTTTTACGAAGGTATATAATCTATAATATTGAATCTATGGTTTATTTCTTATCTAATCAGATGGAAACATATGAAGAAGTGGCGCATAGAATATATTCATATTTTTTTTAATTCCGTTCATTTCAACTTTATTTGAATTAAAATTCCGTTTGCTTAATTAAATTTCTAAATAATCCATTCAGTTTTAAAAGAAATCATTCATTCCATTTATTCAATCATTAAGTGTTAATCATTACATATCATTCATTAATAAGTTAAGCTAAATAAAGTAGTCACACTATAACTTCATTAATATCTTTATAATTATCTAATTATTTTGTCTATTTTGTTCCTCAATTCTTTCAATTTCTTGACTTTCTAATTCTTCAGGTATTGATTCATATTCATATTTTGGTTTAATATATTCATAATATATACATAACAACAAAAGAATACCTTGTAAACATGCAGCAACTAAATAACTTACCCATGAACTCCAATGTGAACCTTTTGTAAAAATTAAAGTTGAAGCAAATACAAATCCACCTGGAGTTTGTATACACATCATTCCTATAGATAAAGTACCTGGATGTTTTAAAGTATAAGTAGTATGAATTTGTGGTACATATTTTATTATAGTTAATGCTGCTGATAATAAACCATTTACATTTGCAATTGAATATAGATATTGAATATTTGTATAACCAAATATTATTTGAATAATTGATATTACACCATGAAATAAAACAATTTTACCAACTATAACAATTTTTTTATATTCTTCTTTATCTTGTTTTATTGAATTTTTAGTTATTATTAATACAAATACTAGAATTAGAATTGCACAAACACATTGTATACTAATTTGAAATAAATTTAATTGAGAATTTATACAATTAAAAGTATTTAATGCTCCAATATAACAACATTTTCTTGCTCTTGAACTAATTAATATTATATTTGTTATTGTAAAAATTGATGAACATGATCCCAATAATAAAAAATTAGTTGATAAACCTTCTGATGTTTTTTTATCATAAATTCTTTTATATTGTGGTAAATAACTTATAATTATACCAAATGATATTAAAATCAGTAATATAAAATTAAATGTTGATGCTCCTTCATAAATTGAACAATTTAATGGTAATTCATCTCTTAATTGTTGATTAAAATACTTCATCATACTAAACCCTTTGAGAATATGATGTTGGTATTGAATAGATGTCTTTTAATAAAATAGTTGGGGTAACTTGTGTGTTTGAATACTCAAAATCTAGAGTTTCTCATTTTTTAAACAGATAAAAATTATATTTACCGTAAAAAAATAAATTATATATAAACAACGTAATTATTATCAATAACAATCATAATTTATAAAACCATATGATATGTCTATTTGGGCTTTAAATGCCTCAAGAAAAAAAGGGAATGAGTTAGTACCTGGATCATCAAAATATATATCAAATGAATTAAGTACACAATTTTCAATTGCATCTTCAAATATTGAAAATCATTTTACAATTATAAATAATCAAGTTAATAATTTATCACAATTTATGAGTAAAGTATACAATGAAGAAGATATTGATTTTAATAATTTAATTTCATCCACTGAAAATTCTAGAAATGCATCACCTATAAAAACAATTGATTCTAAGATTAAATCATCGCTTATTAAAGATCTAGAGATTCGAAAACTAAAAGATCTAGATGAAAAATCAGAAGTAGAACCAAAGATTGTTGCTGGTCAACAAATCAAAACATTAGAAAAGCTTAATCATTTAATAGAAAATACAAAATCATCAATTAATACCCTGGATAAATTATCAAATAGTACACAAGAAGATAAGTCATCAAATAATAAACACGAACCCATGGTGGATAATTCTATACCTGATAATAGTTTCCAACAAAATCAACCACTGAATACTTCGTTTGAGCAAAATGCAAAATCATCAACCAATACCCTAGATAAATCGTTGAATAGTACACAAAAAAATAAGTCATCAAATAATAAACACGAACCCATGGTGGATGATTTTTTATCTAATAATAGTTTTCAACAAGATCAACCACAAAATACTTCATTTGAGCTGGTCTCAGACGAATCATTTCAAGCAATCAGTACAGCAATTAGGAAAAGTATTGCTGGCAAGATTAAAGAAGAAAATAATCACCAGAAAAATGTACCCAAAACTCCTAGAGCAAGAAGTTCAATATTTGTATCACTACCCGCAAGAGATCCAATTCTATTAAAATCAGCAAGTAAACCCAAGTCAACTACTAAAAAGCAAATCGAAAATAATTTCAAGCTATCTCCTGTCAAAATAATACCAACAACAATTATACCAAAACCACAAGATGATACATTGAAAACAGAAGATGTACAATCAAGTCCTGAAAAATTAGATTTATTTACAAGTAATGAACCAACAAGAAATATAACTGAAGAAGTTCAACCGACAATAACTTTATGGGATAAAATTGGTCAATATAGAGCATTATCTCCCAAAAAGTTTCTGTTAAGTCCCATAAAATTTGATAAAAATTCTAATTTGAAAAAATCACCTTTGAAAAAATTATCTTCAAAATCACCCTCAAAGTCACCAATAAAGTCATCAATAAAATTGAGAAAGTCATTAATCAAATCACCAATTAAATTATCTACAAAATCATCTATAAAATCACCAGTGAAACCTCAATTGAAAATAGATGTGAAGTCTCCTACAAAAACAAACCTTAAAAAAAACACAACTCCAATAAGAAGTCCAACTATATCTCGCCTTTTTGCTCAAACTGCTTCAAGTGCTGCAAAGAAAGTTCAACCAAAAAGAAATGAACTAAAAACAAATCGTCTACCTTCAAAAATTACTAGAAAGCCATTAAAATTAAATGATATACCACCAATAGAATTTACAAACTTACCAAAATTAACCAAAAAATCAATGATGGAACAAAGAAGTGAAGCAGCAGCATTAAAACCAAGACAAAAAATTAGAGTAAATTTAAGAAAATCAGAAGTTAATAAGTCGAATATATTACCTCCACCAATAACTCCTGCAAAAAATTATACTCCTGATAATTTACCAGAAATTTTATCAGATGATAATCATAAACCATTAAAATCATGGGGTAAAACTCCAGAAATATATAAAATTACAAAATCAAAGAGAAATATTGATCCTTCAAAAATTTTTAGTAAAAAGCATTCAGTTGATTTATTGGAAGTGTTTAATAAGCAAGTTAGTTCATCACCTGTTCCGACTCCAGACAAAAATGATAGAGATCAATATTATAAAAGTTTGTTTGAATAATATATTATTATTGTACACGAGTTTGTAATGCAGTGGATTTATTCCATTGAGATATCCATTCAGCTTCTTTTGATTTTGGTATAACAAATAATTTCAAAGAATTATCGAATAATGGAACTTTTGGTGAATCTTTCATTAATGCTTCATTAATAGGTATTTTTTTACCAATTTTAACAAGTCCACCAGATGTTGTCTCCATATAACAATTTAATGTTTTAACATTAAAATCTTTATGTTTTGGGTCATCAAACCATTCTTTTGGTCTATTTAGTATCATTTCTAGTATTTCTAATGGAGTTGTTAATTCACTTATTTCAGATATGAAATCAAATTCATCTATAGTTGGATAAAGTATTAATGCAGGGAAAATAAGCTGTGATTGATAATCAGTTGAATCTTCTAATTTAATTTTGGCATCTTTTAACATTTCAGGAGGGTTTTTTGTATTTATTGTTTCAATATGACGTAGTTTTATTGAATTGTCTAGTATACTTTGTTTCATTTGTTTCTCTTGTTTCTCTTTTTCCTTTTTGGCTGTTAATTGAGCTAAATCTTTTTCTTTTTGTTCAATTTGTTTCAACAATAGTTGTAACTCTTTATTATTCTCATCAATCATAAGACCATATTGAACAATTAGTTTACCTTCTTCAAATTTATTAATAGCTGAAAAAGCTTTACCTGCTCTAAAACATGCTTTTATATTTTTTTCATCTAATTGTAAAACTTGTTTACAATCAGATATACAACTACGATAATTTTTCAGTTCCAAATTACAAGCAGCTCGATTTAAATATAATGTTTTATTAATTTGATCATCCGCACAATCAACTTCAAGTCCCTTTGTATAAAATATTATAGCATCTTGATATTTTTTTGCTTTATAACATTCGTTTCCTTGATTTTTAAAATTTGTTGCAATTTCATCTGGATTTCCATCATAAGCTAATGATTTCAATGCTTCTAATTCCGCATTTTCACCTCCTTGTCCATCTGTTTCATCTAATTTTGTCATAAAAAATGGTAATCTATTCATTTCTTTTAAGACTTCATCAGTTGTTTTATTTGAGAAATCAGCCAATTGGGGCGGCAACTCTGGTTGACCAGGTGCTGGGTTGTATTTGCTCCCTTCCCATGATAATTTCGATTCAGACATTGAACTTGGTTCTTAATTAAAAATGTGAATTTGATACTGGGAGGTAGCGCGATTTTCATCTAGAAATTTATTCGAGAAGAGAGAGTTTTAGATCTTTTAGATTAACTTGTATTTATTTTATTACGTCATAAAATCATTATTATACATTATTCTATAATTCTATTAAAAATTCATATATATCATGATTATGTCAAGATCAAGTCTTTTGAAGTACAATTGGAACCCTTAAAGATATTTTTTCAGCAGTGTGTAATCTTATATCAATTTTTAAATAATATAATCTTCCAATCAAACAACTTTGAAAATCTGGAACTAAACAAAAATCAGATAAAGTTGGTCTTAATTGAAGTGATCCAAAATCAACGTTAAGATCAAATTTTTTAACGTATTTAATATCTTCAAATTTTTCATTACCATTACTACTTTGTTCAATTTTTTTATCCCATGGAATTTGATTAATTGACTGAAATTTGTTAAATGTTAAATTTTTAACTTTTAAATGAACGTATTTCGTCAGTAAATTTGCTAAGCATTTTATATCTTGAACCATTTCTCTTTCAACATTTAATTCAGGTCCCAATTCCTTTAGTAGTTTTGATAATTCAAATGCATATTTTTGAAATCTTTTAATAGTTATAACATCGAAATTATCTTGTGATGAACTTGTTCCTTTGTTTTTATTTTCAAATAACATTTCAGGATGTATAACCACAGGAATTGGATGCTTTTTAGATTTGATTGTTAATGACACAAGTTCCACAGAAACAGATTTAAATTCTGGTGGACTATGTTTATCGTCTATATACACTATGTCAAATGGGATTGATAAAATTGTTGGTGTTCTTGTTCCAAATTGAGGTAATGACATATAATTAACATTATAATCCTTTTTAGGAGTTGAAAATACCATTATACCTGTAACTTTTGAAGATCCAAACATTGATTTCTTTTTTATTGGATAAAATACTTCATAAGCTTCAGGGTTCTTCACAGATCTTATCGTTTGATTGGTTTTGGAGTAGTAAGATTGTTGCATTTTGGCTAATTCAGTTGTACTTGAACTTGGATGTAATGTATTTGGATCTTCCATTACTGTTTGTATTGAATTAATTGGCTCATCTCTTAAAGTAGCTAGAGATCCTGTACTTGTCATTGGTCTTAAGGCGTCGGCATGTTGTGATAAATCCCTTCCTTGATTTATTTTATCTTTTATGTTATCGATCATTGCTGAATAAAGTAATCTAGCTTCTTGATGAATCATTGATCTATTTAATGAAAAGATCTCCTGAGTTATTGGTATGACTCTAATATATTTATAATCTTCATTTGCGACAACATATTCATCTGCATCTTTGTCATGATTATGATTTGTGTTACCAGCTCCAAGTAAATTTGAATAACCATGAACTCTACCAATTATTCTTGCACTTATGGCATAACTTATAGACGTGTCAACGAATGAAAAATCATTAGTCAATGATGCATATTTATATTTTTTATTTATCAAATCTTCAACTTGAATATCTTGATCTTTCCACTTATGTCGTAAAGAGCTTATGACTTCATTTTTGCTAATTCCCAAGGTCGGTGGTATTTGTAAATGTTTAATTAGTGATTGTTCACAATTATTGTCTAGCAATTTTTCGGGAATCTTGAAAGTAAAGAACTTTTTGTAGGTAATACCTGGTTCAAATATCTTTTTAGCATTCAAATGATAATATGTGTTATCTATTGGATCAAAAGTTGACATAGGATTTGAAGAATGTGGGTTGTTATGATCCGAAATTAATCTATCTAGAAATGCGTCATTCCAAGAAGCATTGAAATCAAACATTGTTAGAAATCTTGATATATGAGCTGGTTGATCCACTAATGTACTATTTGTTTTTCCGAAAGTTGCTGTTCCTTCTAGTTGTACTGAAAACATATCAAACGGTATATCAACTTTTGTTCTATTTGTAATCAAAACAAATCCGTATATGAAATCTCCTTGTTTGAACTCATAACTCAAAGGATCTATAATAGTATACTTTTCTCCAACTTTACCAATTGATTTAGTTAAATACAATTTTACCTCTAATGATTTTGATATATCTTTATTTGTCGAACTTAAACGCTTTAATTTATGAGCATTTTCCAAAATAGTCTCTTCATCTTCTTCATCTGCCATTTCAGGTTCTGGAGACCCGGGCACTGATGCAAAATAGTCCGGGTCCGAATTTGAAGTGTTTGGAGTATACATTGGTGGGGCCAATCTTAAATCTTCAACAGTTGGTGTTAAATTTTTTGTAACTGTATTTCTATACATCTGATAAGATGGCAATATATTAATGAGTTCTTCATTTTCATTATTAGTTGAATCAGGTAGTGGTAGTTTTAAATTGAACTTGTTCGTCATCTATTAAGTTCAATTGAAACTTAACGAATTAGATCTTGCCTTGATGATAAGATAAAAACTGGCTGCGAAATAATTCATTAAAAAATATTTAATATATAAATTATTACAATTGAAATTTTGTACCATTAAATCACCTAAATGATCCATACAATCAATAAGATCTATCATTACTATATTAATTCTACTAAAATTCTATTTAACTATTTCTATAGGAACATGTAATATTAATAAAGCACCATTAGTTTTTAAATTAATTTTTAAATAGTATAATCTAGCCATATAACAAGTTTGAAAATTTGGTACTAAGGTAATTTTATTTAATCCTCTTATTGGATGATCAATTCCTTTTAAACCACAATTATTTAAATTCATTTTGATGAAAAATTTCTTTTTAAACCATTGATCGTCTTTTTCCCACGGTATTGATTTTATCAGAGCATTTGAGCCAAATCCATCTTTTGATTGTGTTAAAAATAGTAAATCGGATATTGGCAAGTTAATATATTTTGTCTTCAAGGATGCTAATGCTTTTACATCTCTATATTGTTTAGTTTCTATTTTTAATGTTTCATTCCCACATTCTTTGATCAATCTATTTAATTCATGAAGATAATTTTGAAATTTATGTATTATTATCAGATCGAAATTATTTGCAATTGGTTTTGAAGTTATTTCTTGATCATTAAATAACATTTCTGATGTAAATTCAATCGGTATTGAATGCTTTTTAGACTGAACTGTTAGCGTTACTAACTCAACATCAATTGATTTAACTTCAGGGGCCTCTTTACCCGTATATTTAAGTTCAATTGGAATTATTACTTCTGTGTCTTTGATTTCAGTCCCAAATTTTGTTGGTGGAGTATATTGTATGACATAAGTCTTTTTATCAGTAGATAATGATACAATTCCTAAATTTTTTGAAGAACCAAATGATTTTTTCTTAAATGGTTGAACTGCTTCATATTGGAAACTTTTAGTATCACATCTTGTTTCATTGTAAAGTTGTTTAATTTTCATTGTATCTTGACTTACCGACGGACTAAGTAATGGATGAGAATTATATAACAAGCTATTACCAAATTCTATTTTTTCAACAACTGATTGAACAAATGCATGATAATGAACACTTGCATCATAATCAAATTCAATATGATTAGGAATCACTCTTATAGGACAAGAAACTTGTTTCGCTAGTATAAATTGATCTTTTTCATTTCCAAGCTTATAATTATATTTCGATGCTCTTCCTATAACTCTTGCATCAACACTATAAGTTATATTACTATCAATAAATGATAAATCTTTAATTTGATTCGTTTTATTCGCTAGTATCACTGATGGAGGAATATTTTGTTTATCAATTCCAAAAGTTGGTATTATTTGAGTATGCATTGGTAAACTATGATCACATTCATCATCTAATAATTTTTCTGGTATTTTAAAAGTGAAAAATCTTTTATATTTAACATGAGGTTCAAAAATTCTCTTTACGTCTATGGCTAATAAAGTATTATCATAAGGATCAATTTCTCCATCACACCAATCATGAGGATCCCCATTATCTGTAACTAATCTATCAATATTTGCATAAGACCAAGAAGCAAATAAATCCATCATATTTAAAAATTTGAATTTTATAATTGAAGTTAAATTTGTTTCTAATACAGTTAATGTACCTTCGAATACAACATAAACCATATCAAATGAAATAGGTTCATTTGAAGTATTTTCCATTGTAATATATCCATGAATATAATCTCCTTGAGTAAATTCTTTATTTGAAGGATCTATAATTACTGGTTTAATACCCTTTTGACAAACATTTTCAGTAAATTTAATATTAACATTTAATTGGTTACTTGGTGAATTTTGTTCTAAAGTTAAATTTGCTAATTTATCAACATTTGTTAGAATTGTATTTTGCCATGAATTATCATTTTCTTGATTTGGATCAAAATAATCATCAACATATAAATTATTTGAATCTGAAGGTGGTTGTTCTTCTAGTGGTGATTGAGTTTGTGAAGAAACAGGAGTCATCTCATAATCGTCATAAGTTGGTGGATCAACTAGAAAATTCTCATTACTTGGCTCCAATTCTAATGAAATAGTACTTTTAAACATCTCATAACTGGGTAGTATATTATTCAATAAGGAATTTTCATTTGGTGGTCCATAATCTGATGACATGATTAAAGGATGTTGATAATTAAACAATCTTTTTGCAACATAAAACTGATTTAGCTTTAAAATATCTTTGGAACAATAATAAAAGAAAAAAAAAAAACCACTTAAAAAAAATGTCGATTCAAAAATATTGGTAGCATAATGTCTGACACATTTTTAGTGTCTCATTTTTACAATCTCATGTCATAAAACTCTTAACTACGAGAGACAATAAAACATTCTATTAACAAATTATATTTTTTTTTCTCTCTTATAATTTATTTGAAAAATTTTCAATATTTAATCAAATCAACTGTTACAAAATGTTTAAAAGATTTGCTAGATTAGCAATTTCACGTCCAGTATTATCTAGAGGATATGCTGCTTATAATCGTGCAAAACCTCATGTAAATGTTGGTACAATTGGTCATGTTGATCATGGAAAAACTACTTTAACTGCTGCAATTACAAAAGTTTTATCAGAAAAAGGTCAAGCAAATTTCTTAGATTATGGTTCAATTGATAGAGCACCAGAAGAAAGAGCAAGAGGTATTACTATTTCTGCTGCTCATGTTGAATATGAAACTGATAAAAGACATTATGCTCATTCAGATTTACCAGGTCATTCTGATTATATTAAAAATATGATTACTGGTGCTTCACAAATGGATGGTGCAATTATTGTTGTTGCTGCAACTGATGGTCAAATGCCTCAAACAAGAGAACATATGTTATTAGCAAGACAAGTTGGTATTCAAAATTTAGTTGTATTTGTTAATAAAGTTGATACTATAGATGATCCTGAAATGTTAGAATTAGTTGAAATGGAAATGAGAGAATTATTAAGTTCTTATGGATTTGATGGAGAAAATACTCCTGTTATTATGGGTTCTGCTTTATGTGCTTTAGAAAATAAACAACCAGAAATTGGTGTAAAAGCTATTGAAAAATTATTAGATGCTGTTGATGAATATATTCCAACTCCTGAAAGAGATTCTGATCAACCATTTTTAATGCCTGTTGAAGACGTTTTCTCAATTTCCGGTAGAGGTACTGTTGTTACTGGTAGAGTTGAAAGAGGTAGTTTGAAAAAAGGTGAAGAAGTTGAAATTGTTGGAGAAAATTCATTTAAAGCTACTTCTACTGGTGTTGAAATGTTTAAAAAAGAATTAGATGCTGCTATGGCTGGTGATAATTGTGGTATATTATTAAGAGGTGTTAAAAGAGATGAAGTTAAAAGAGGTATGGTTTTAGCAAAACCAGGTACAACTAAATCTCATCAAAAATTTTTAGCTTCAATTTATATTTTAACTAATGAAGAAGGTGGTAGATCAACTCCTTTCAGTGAAGGTTATAAACCACAATGTTTTTTTAGAACAAGTGACGTTACAACAACTTTTACATTCCCAGAAGGTGAAGGTGTTGATCATTCACAAATGGTTATGCCAGGTGATAATATAGAAATGGTTGGTACATTAATTAAAAAAGCTCCATTAGAATTAAATCAACGTTTTAATATTAGAGAAGGTGGTAAAACTGTTGGTACTGGTATGATTACTAGAATTATTGAATAAATTTGAACTTGTATAGATTATTGAGAAGAAGATGAAAAAGGGACTTGTAAATAAAGAACAAATATAAAGTATTAAAATATAATTGTTAAAAACACTGATATTTTGATTTAATATAATTATTTATTATATCTCTTAATCATGTAGTATCTTGTAGTATTGATGTTCTGTCAATATAATAATTTTTCACGTATTGTAAATGGTAGCATAATTGTTAAATAATTTTGACTCTTGCGTACATACGAATCATTTAATATTCAATTATCAACAAAATCATTACAAATATATAATTCAAATGCCCTCACAAGAAGTAGGTACCCCAATACCTAATATTCCACATGCAGTATCTGTGACATTACCAACATGGGAAGCAACTGTAGCATATGAAGAAGGAGAAGAATGGGTCACATCCAAAATGAATTCAGGCTATCCAAGATTTTTCATTCATCAATCAATTCAAAAATTATGCAAAAAATTAGAACATAAATATGGTAGACAAGGTGAAAAATGTTTAGTATTTCCTAGCTATAAAGTTGCTAAAAGGTGTAGAGAATTCATAAAAAATCATTCTGAAGAAAAAGTTAATATTAGAGTTTTACAATTAAGTACAAATGATCCAGTTACTGATTCTGAAAAATCAACAAAAATAGGAACGACGATTGGAGTTGTGTTTTTCCCACAACATCTGTATCCATTAGCCAAAAATTATTGGCAACATTCTGGTGAAGGAATTAGTTCTCGTATGGGTGAATATATTTTAAAAGAATTATTTGAAAAAGATAAAGATGTAATTGGATTAAGAGGTAATTTAAAACAAGAATTACAAGCTCAAAAAATTCAATTAAGATCACCATCAATTACAGCATCAAGAGCAAGTGGTTCAGGGGTTAATGAAGATGTTGAAAAAGAATTTAATACATTTATTGAACAAAAATATGGGAGAGTATTAGATTTTAAATTTGCAAAACAAGCCAAAAGAGCTATACGTAGACGAATAAGTGGAGAACTAGAACAAGGTTGTAATCATACTGGACTGAGATTATTAAATGAGTCTGATGTATATTTATTTCCATCTGGTATGGCATCTGTCTTTTATGCACATCATTCATTATTAAATGTGGTGGAAAATCCACAAAAATCTGTATGTTTTGGTTTCCCATATGTTGATACATTAAACATTTTGAAAAAATTTGGACCTGGTGTTATATTTTTGGGATTCGGTGACGATGAGTCGTTAATTCAATTGGAACAAGACTTAAAAGATGGTTTAAAAATAATGGCATTATTTTGTGAATGTCCCTCCAATCCATTATTAAAGACTCCAAATTTGAAAAAAATAAAAGAACTAAGTAATAAATATGATTTTGCAATAGTTGTTGATGAAACCGTTGGTAATTTTTTAAATATTCATGTATTACCATTTGCAGATTTGGTTGCATCTTCACTAACAAAAGTTTTTTCTGGTGATTCTAATGTTTTAGCTGGTTCACTTATATTGAACCCATCATCAAAATATTATACCAAACTAAAAAAATTCTTTGATGAAGAATATGAAGATTTATTTTGGGTGGAAGATGCATTATGGCTAGAACGTAATTCAAGAGATTTCGTACAACGTGTACATAAAATAGATGAAACGTCATCAAAAGTAGTAGATTTATTATCAACACATTCCAAAATATCAAAAGTTTATTATCCAAGTATTTCTACTACTAAAAAGTATTATGATGAAATTAAAAATCAAGATGGTGGTTATGGTGGTTTAATTTCGTTTTTATTTCATGAACCAGAAGAAGCTATTAAATTTTTCAATGCAGTTAATTTACATAAAGGACCATCATTAGGTACAAATTTTACATTAGCTTGTCCATATGCTATATTAGCTCATTATCAAGAATTAGATGAAATTGAAAAATGGGAAGTTGATAGAAATTTAATTAGAATAAGTATTGGTTTAGAAGATTGTGATGAATTGTTAGATGTCATAAAAAAGTCATTAGATTAAATAGAGTATTAAGTAATGTATGTAAGTTATCATTAATCAGTTTTGCATTCCTGGGAATTTCATATGCTCACAAGGTTCTGGGGGTTCTTTATTTTCAAAATCATCATATTGTAATTCAACATCTCCGACATACCAATACTTTTGATGATTATTAAAATACTCTTGCCATTTCTTTATATCAGATTCACATTCTTCTGGATCTAGCCCCCTTAAATCATAAGTATATTCATCAGGTTTCATAAAACAACCAGTTATAAAGACTCTTGATGCATCTTTTGCTACTAAATTATGATAAGTTCCCTTTGGACCATATACAGGCCAGTTGGATGAAACATCATAAACACTTCCATTTATAGACAATAAAATCTGATTATTTTTAACACCATCATAATTTGATAACTCATCCAATGTTAAATTAAATTTATTTTGCAATAATTTATATTTATAAAATCTCCAATTTATATATTTACCATGATAACCCCAAGTTGTATCTGATGTAAACCAATAAGAAAGTATAGCATTGAAGAATAATAAACCACCAATAACTCGTAGTATATCAAGTATGTTGAATCTGTCTCTTGACATGATATATGTTTGATAAATAGTTGGTTGAATCGTTTATTAAATGAAATTTTTCAATTTCACAAAATTAAGTAATGATACTTTTTAAATACAAAATTTTGTTTAGGGGGTTGGATATTTAAAATTAAGAGTTTCCTTTTCAGTAATTGATATTTATGCATAAATTAACAGAAGAAATAAGTTGGAAATTTACAATTGGAATATAGCGAAAGTATATTATATCATAAGCATTATAATGGGTCTTTATATATTAAATTATTTTACTTCTTTTTGTTTTTGAACATCTAATAAATCATCATACAATTGTTCACAAAAACTATATGATCTAGTTGTACCAACAAATAAACTAGCTAAATCTTCAGCTAAACTTTTAAAATTGATCTTTTTTGGTTTCTTTTCTGGTTGTACTGAAATAGCTTCCATAATACTTCTTATAATTTCATTTTTCATAAATTGATCTTCTGGTTCTGTAAAACTTTCAGTAATTTCTACAATAGCTCGATCTAACCAAGAATCTCGTCAACTGCTTCATTTGATTGTAATATTACTTTTTTAAAATAACCTTTTGCTTTATATGCTGATTTTTTCTTCGTGGTTCTTTTCTTTGGCTTTGTCTTTGTTACTTTAGAAGTTCCTGTCTTTGATGGCATATTTGAATTGTGAATTGATTAAGAAAATGATTTGATCAAATTAACAAAATAATTTATTTCTAAAATAAATAAAAATAAATAAAAATAAAAAACAATATAGATAAGACGCGTTTTAAAATATTTAAGCGGTATTATTAATATTAATCTTACTTTTATATGTTAAATATTTACAAATTTAATTTACATCAATTTATATTTAAAACATCTGACTCTATCTATTAGACCAATTAATTACTTTATAAATTATAAGTTCATATTCCCAATCTACCTTTATATTTAATTTTCTCTTCTTCTGGAGGATTTGCACACCACATAGGAAAAGCCCAACTTAACATTGATATTATACAACTTACAGTTGATAACCATAATATTGCAAACCAATTTGAACCTCTTTCAAAAGTTACACCAAAATCTCCTAATTTATTACTTATTTCTGCTTGTGTAACTTTTAATAAATTTGTTATAATTGCTGATCCAATAATCGAACTACAACATGACATAACTGATATTATTGAAATTATATGTAATATAAAATTTGGAATTTTACTTAAATCTTTTGCTGATTTTCTATTTGAATATATTACTAATATAGCACATATTAGTGCTAATTGAACACATTCTGCAAAAATTATAGCATTAAGAGCTAATTTAAAAGTATGATTTCTTTTAGCAATAGTTTTCTCATATTCAGTATCACCTTCAATTGCACCTTGATAAGCATAAGCCAAAATACTTTCTAATCCAATTTCTCGTAATTGAGTCACATAATCAAAAACATAATATTTATTTGATAAACATGTAACAACTTCATTAATTTTTTTTTGTATTTTTTCTCCTTGTCTTCCTGTTGTTTCATGAGTATCATAATTACCATAACACCAATGCCATAAAGATGTAAAACAATATTGTGGTGCACCTGCAACTTGAGCTTCAGCATAATCAGTTAATAATGAAATCTCACTATTTGTTAAAGTATCTCCCAGTAAAAACCCAGTATCATCTGATCCTAATATTGTTTGAGCCAGTGTAACTGAGTTTCTTAATGATTTATATAATCCATATGCTACATCTAAATGAGCACAATTTATCCTACTAATATTGAAAAAATTTGAAACGATTGAACCAATTAATAAAGTCAAGAAACAAGCTATTGCAAGGGTTGCACTTCCTAATCTTAAAAATAATAAAGCTCTTTCTTGAGTTGTCAAATTATGAAATGGTTGGTTTATTTTATAAATTAACCTTTTTAACATTGAATCAACATTTGGATCATTTAGTTGTAATGAAGTTGAAATGTAAATAGCTTGTGAAGGTTAATTGATGGAAAGTTTAGTCTTTTCTCCTTATATGTCAAATTTCAGTTCATAATTTATGGAATCTCAAGAAAAAAAAAATTTAAAAATGTTAAGTGTCTTAAATATGCTACTCCACAGATAAGTTCGTTCAATTTAATAATATCATTCAGTAGTCATCATTCACAATTTTTACATTGAAATTTTGAATATCTTGGTTACGTGAAAGATATAAGATCAGACTTATACTTTTTTTTATATCTACACAAACTACATCTAACTTTTTATACAAGTGACAGAACCTTCTTTTAACCTTTTAAGATCTGCTGCACCATTAACCTTACCATTACCATTACTATTAACATTTTGAGATGTGGTTGAAGCTGTAGCATTAGCTGTTGGAGCTGCTCTATTATGTTGCATATGTGATTGTACTAAATGACCAGCGGCTAATGCAGAACATAATGATAATTCAGCTGCTAATACTGCTGATGCTACAATTTTCGCCAATTGTCTAGCATTATCCCCAGGATTTTTTGGATGTGGACCACGAACTCCTAATAAATCTAACATTGCTCCTTGAGGTTCTAATATTGTTCCTCCACCAATAGTACCAACTTCAATAGAAGGCATACTTACTGATATTTGTAAATCTCCATTTAATTTATCTTTATTCATTAAAGTAATACAATTTGAACTCTCAACATTTTGTGCAGGATCTTGACCACAAGCTAAATAAACGGCAGTAACTAAATTAGCAGCATGAGCATTAAATCCACCAACTGAACCAGCCATAGCTGAACCAACTAAATTCTTACTAATATTTAATTCTACTAATGCATCCACATCTGATTTTAAAACTTTTTGAACAACTTCAGCTGGAATTCTTGCTTCTGCAACAATTGATTTACCTCTACCTTCTATCCAATTAATAGCTGCTGGTTTCTTATCAGTACAATAATTACCAGAAACTGAAATAATTTCCATATCTGCATAACCACATTCTTCAACCATATATTTTAATGAATATTCTACACCTTTTGAAATCATATTCATACCCATGGCGTCACCAGTGGTAGTTCTAAACCTAATAAAAAGTAATGTTCCTGCTAATGCAGTTTGAATATGTTGTAAACGAGCAAATCTTGAAGTTGAATTAAATGCTTTTTTAATAGTTTTTTGACCTTCTTCTGAATCAATCCATATTTTTGCAGAACCAGCTCTAGCAAGTGTTGGAAATCTTACACAAGGACCTCTAGTCATACCATCTCTGGTTAAAACAGTTTCAACACCACCACCAGCATTTATAGCTTTACAACCACGCATAGTAGAGGCAACTAAACAACCTTCAGTAGTCGCCATTGGAATATGATATGGTTTACCATCAATAATTAAAGGACCTGCAACACCAACTGGAATCGGCATGTACCCAATAACATTTTCACAACAAGCACCAAAAACTCTATCATAATCATAATGTGCATAAGGTAATCTATTTGATTCTAAAACTGGCGCTTTAGCTAATTTTGCAATTGCCTTACGACGTACAACAACTGCTCTTCTATTATCGGCCAATTGTTTTTCTAATGCATATAAAGGTAATTTACCATTAACAACTAATGAAGATACTTCATCATTATTTAAAGTTTTGACTTTTCCATCTTTTAGTATCTCAATACATTTCTCCAATGGCAATAATTTTTTAGGGACTTTAATTTCTAATTCATCATCTTCAGATGATGATGCATTATTATCTTCCAATTCATTTTTTCTAATGACAGGTTCTGATGAACTATTTTTAATTTGTGGACGTGATATTTCTTGTTCAAGTAATTTTTGAGTAGCAGTTACTTGATATCTTGAGGCATTAAGAAAATAAACATTTGTGAAAATTGAAACACCAAAACAAAATAAAAGAACTTTTGATAATATACTATCTCTAATAGCACTACTTATTTTGGTCAAAATGAAAAAAATTGAGTCTTCAACTTGGGCAATAACTCCTGATGGCATATAAAATCTGGTTGGTAAAATTGTTAATACTGTACCTTTACTACCTATAGGTATTTGTTTTGATATAGATTCTGTTATAAGTGGTGCTCCACCTAAAAGCAGAACTTTTACATTACCATCTGATGTACTATATAACCAAGAACTTCCTAACCAAAATACATGAAATGCTATGAATCCAACACTCATTATAACTTTAAATGATAATATTGAATAATCTTTTGATTCAAAAAAATTAATATCATTTGGATGTTCAATAGTTGATGATTGTTCTGCAACTCTAGCAGCTACTAATGAAGATATTCCATCTTCTTCTAATGCATCTTTTAAATCTTCAGTCCTTCTTGCTCTATTAATTTCAATTTTTAAGCCTAAAATTGCAGCAAAAAATGTATGAACTAAAATTAAATCAAATGTTAAAATTAAAGAACTTAATATACAAAAATTCCTTAAACCTGTTAAATGATTAGCATATAATGCACATGATAATAATGCTCCTATAACTACTATATGATCTCTAAATATACTTAAAGTATGTGATGATATCGATTGTCCAACAATATTTGGAACATCTTCAGGTGATGCAGTTGATGATTTCAGTACTGAAGTTGCAATTGAAACTTTATGTTTAAAACCAATAATTGCAACTAAAAATGGTATACCTTCTGATAAACTTACAAATGATACTTTACAATCTAAAATCTTATTTGATACAACTAAAGCAAATAAAAATGCAAAAGTTGAAGAAACTAAAGTTGAAAAAGCTAACCAAAATTTTGAACCAATTTGTTTCATATCAAAAAATACTTTAATTAATGTATACCACATTGCAATATAAGCAACAAATATTAATAAAATATCAAAATTATCAGCATTTTTAATAGATTCTTGAATTTTTAAAAATAAATATTTAAAATAATCATAATATCTACCAATTTTATAATCATTTCTAATTTTCCATTGAATACCATCTTGAGTAAATTTATTTAAATCTTGTAATGTATTATCAACTTTATTTGAATCAATTAAAAGAATTTGTTCATTACCATTTATTATAATAGAATTTGTTATTTTAGGAATTGAATTATGAAATTTTCTAAATCTTAAAGGTATTAATGTTATATGATTTGAATTTGAATATTTATTAATATCAATATCATCTATTGGTATCCATTGATCTGTCTTTTTAGGTGAATGATAATAATTTATTCCAATATTATCATTTGATAAAGATGATGATAAATTATCAGGTATATAATCATCACTTATAAATAAATAAGCAATTGATGCTAATAATGCAGGTATAACAATAAAATGAATAGGTCGATGAGCTGCAGTTTTAGCTATTGCACCAGTTGTATTAGGTACAAAACTGAGCATTACAAATGAAGATTAATGAAATGAAATGAAATGAGATGAATGAATGAATCAATATATAAATTAATATATATAATTCTGTTAATTGAAATCTACCTCTCTTTCAAATTTAAAATTACAAAAAATCTGGTTGTAAAAAAAAATTAATTCTCTTTAACTGCAAAAAAATAAATATTTTACGTATATTGATTTGAATCTTTTTAAACGAAAGATTATTTTTATTTTTATGGTTATTATTATTAGAGTCAAGACGTGTTTCCTTTCAATAATATTTAATGATGTAGTTAATTATCTATTACAAAGAGATTATGGTCTCGACGAAGTACAATATATATTCAATCTCGAATAGAATACATATACATCATCTGATTGATCTAGTGTATACGAATGATATGATATATATTAAATTTAATATAGGATTCATATTATTATTAGTATATCAATTATTTATACTTATACGAAACTATCAAAAACGTATCGAGAAAAAAAGTTTAAAAAAAAAAGTTGACATGAAAAATTTATATGTCGTAAAAGTACTAAATATGACATACAGTATTTTCATAATTATTATGATGATAATACTTTTATAAGTGTAATATAATTGAAGAAGTTTATTTAGTACATTTAAAGGTGATTCTTATTATCAAGAATTTTTACTTAGTCAAGAGTTCAAAAATTACAACTAATTTTAATCTTTTTTATTTTAATTAATCTCTATATTATTTTTATATAATGTATGTATTAATAACTATTTTATTTATTTTAATGAAACTAATTTTATATCAAAAGTTAATTCGGAATTAGCTGGAATACCTGGTAATGCTTGAGATCCATAACCCATTTTGGCTGGAATTATAACTCTTCTTTCACCTCCAACACTCATTCCTGTAACACCTAAATCAAAACCTTTAATACATTCACCTTTACCTAATTTAAAACTAAATGGCTTACCAGTTGTATTTTTATCAAATACTTTACCATTTTTTAATTTACCAATATATCTAATACCAACTTTATTATTTGATTTTGCAATTGGTCCAGAACCAATTTTTCTATCTTCTGTTATAACACCACCTAATAAAGTTTTTGTTGGGAATTTTTTATCTTTTGAACTTGAATCTTTTGAAGAATCTTTTGATTCTTTTGATGATTCTTTGGTAGATTTATCTTTCTTTTTATCATTAACTAAAGTTGAACCAGTTGGACCTTGTTCTAAATTTTTTGAAAATTGAACTGATTTTTTTTCATCATTTGAAATTGATGAATCATTTTTAGATTTTTTTGATTTTTTTGATTCTTTTGTTTCATCATTTGCTCTTTTTTTAGATGATGGTGATGGTTTTTCTTTTGGTTCTTCTTTTGATTCTCCTACTTCTTCTTCATCATCCTTTAATTCTTCAATTTTACCTGGTTCTGCTGATTCTTCTCTTTCGTCTTCATCATCTTCATCATCTTCATCATCGTATTCTTCATTAAAATCTATACCATGAATAAGTTCATCTTCATCAGGAGTTAAATCATATTCATCATCATATTCATCAACTTCATCATAATCTTCATCTTCTTCATCTGTTTCATCAGCTGGATGTTCAACATAATTACCAGTTAAATGAATTGGGTAAGAACCTGTAACAACAAAATAAACTTCTTCATCTGGGGTAATTGTTAAATCAAGAGTTTGTTGAAATTGATGTTTTGGTGATAATGTACAAACAATATATTCTGAAATTTCATCTTCTTCTTCATCTACTTCTTCGTCATCTTCATCATCTAAATCTAAATCATCATCTTGTTCTGCTTCATCAATTTCAATTTTATCTTTTGATCCATTGGCTTTAATTGTTTCATCTAATTCATCTTCTTCTTCATCTTCATCTTCTTCGTCTTCATCATCTTCGTCGTCTTCGTCATCATCTTCTTCATCATCATCAATAAATTCACTTTTTTTCAATATTCTTAAAGTTGATGGTTCAGCTTTATCATCATCTGCTTCGGGATCTAAAGAAGCTAAAGTTAATCTAATTGTAATTGGAAAATCATCAGTAATTGCAGGTACTGGTTGAAATGGTTTTAAAGCTAAATTATAAGTACTAATTGGTGTTGAATGTGACATTGTGAGAAATATACTTTATATTTAGATTGACTAGCTAACCTTTATCTAATAGATAATTTAATAGAAATTGTGTTGTAAATGTATATAATTCAAAAAATTAAATAAAAACCGTGCGATGGGGTCTTCTTATATATTATAAATTTAATTAAGAAAACAATAGAAGGAAAATCTGAAACAAGAGAGAGAGAGAAAAATAAATATATGAAAATAATAAGTAAAACGTGATACATATTTGAAACTAATGGTATCAATCAAATTGTATTCAAATTTGAAATTTATAACAACTTGTAATTTATAATAAAGCCAACATTAAATCTCTACTATTTAAAATTTTTTTGTATTAACGAAGATATGTAAAATTGTTTTGTTAATTAACACATATATAATAATAATACACTACCATTACTATATACTAATTTATACTTTGGTGATTTATTGATGATTTTGGGATGATTTTTAAATTTAATTATTCTAATAAATTAAATTTAAAATTTGATTAAATGTGGTTTGTCACCGTTTTTTAATGAAAATGAAGCAGCTAAATATTGTTTTAATAATGGAGTCTTTTTAATTTCTGATAATAAAGCAGCATCAACTGATTTTTGATCAGCAATTCTTTCACCTTTAATTTCTTTTTTAGCTGGGGTTTCATTAAAGAATTCAGCTTCTGATTTTTTTGATTTTGGTTTTTGTTCTCTTGCAAAATATTCAACATTGAATTTTGATACATCAACTCCATCAATATTTACTTTAGTTGAAGTAGCAATAACATATCTAGCATTTACTCTTCTTAATGGAACACCATTAACTTTGAATGGACCTGAGACTAATAAAGTATTATCTTCTAAATTTTTTAAGTATACAACTCTTTTACCTCTAAATCTACCTGCTAATAAAATTAAAACAGTACCTGGAACTAATGAGGCACGTAATTTTTGTGGACGTGAAGTTTTTCTAGCTTGTCTTGGGACGGCAGCGTCTTCAGTTGAATACCATTTAGCCTATAAGGATATAAAGTTAGTAATTAGTGTTCATTCATATTAGAAATTGAAAGACTTTAATTTGAATTTGACTGAAATGAATGTAATTAGATTTTAAGTCATTAGTGCTGGAAAAACTAATCTCTGGCGATACTTGACAAACATGATGTATTGAGAATGGTATAATTTCCTGATTTAAAATGACAATGTTCAATTTTATTGATTTTCTTACGATTCTCCAATATTCTAACATAATTTATTCCAATTTCATCTTAAACATATCTCCAATTATTATTTCTTCTTCATTTCAATCCAATATCAAACTCCGACTTTCTTATCAATCTTGTATTTAAACATACTGCTGGACTCATTGTATATATGTATAGTTCTATTTATGAATGTTATATAAAACTTATAAAATTTAAATTAAACCAAAATTTTTTTTTGTAAGTAATTTTTTTTCTCTATGTTAGTTAATTGATTATTGGAACTGAAAAATTATTAATTTTATTAGTGATGGAGAAAAAAGCAATTTAATTAGTACAAGATGGTTTCAAATTTCAGGCGAGAAATTCTTTTTCCTTCGAAGTTTTAGGTCGACAAATTCATTATTTTTCTGAGTGTTAGAAACTAATTTTGTGTAAGTACTAATAGGGCTTCAACCCTTTTAAAAATTTATGCTACCATATGTTAATAATTTGTATTAATGGGTTCGATCAATTTGAACTACAACTCGTAGAAGGTATGGAAAGCATAGTGGTGATGGTCGTCGGTATTTTGGAAGTAAAACTTAAAGGGTGTTTAAATTCTATATTTTGCGACTAATATGAATAGGTCTGCTTGAGATGTTGAGCGATCTTGAAACTGTGACCACGAAGACATTAAAGTAGTAAAGTAAGTCATTTTCAAGCTAAGAGACCCAATTATCTAATCTACATATAACAAATTATGAAGTTGTGTTCCTTTTCGTTCTTGGTATTTAAAAAAACTATCCATAGTAGGTATTAATTTGCAGCAATTATTGATGTGAACTTCACACAAAAATATTTGAAACAATTCGCACCAAAAACAAAACAAATATTTGAGAACATTACATAGTTGCTGATACTATTATTATTGTTTTTATTAAAATTGAATTGTTATTAAAATACAACCTATGAATTAACTAGTATACAAATATTAAATTAAGCTTAAAAACAATTTGGACCTCTTCCAAGAATACTAAGTGAAGTATTTCAAATTTATTACCAAATCACCTTTACCAGTTGGTAATACAATATTTTCAGATACATTAACATATTGACCTAAATCAAGCTCACATTCACCAACTGTAACACTTTTACCAAATGTATGATGTTCTTTTACAATGAGAATAATTTTACCAGTTGATGCTGCTCTAAATGGAACACTTTCATTCCATTTATATGATTCTGTATGTTTATCAAATTTTGCAACTCTTGTTTTAAGTAAACTTTTATCTTTTGTTGTAGTTTTCAATGAAGCTTTAACTTCTAATGGGCTACCTGATGAAAAACCACGAGCCTCAACAATTGTTAATCTACCTGGTATAGCGTCTTGTCCATTCAAACTTGCAGCAAAACTACTTACTTCAGTTGCATTACTTGCATTTCTATTATGACCTTGATTTATTATTGGTTTTTGAGGTGGAGGTAATGGATCTTCACGAATATTTGGTGCTGCAACAACTTCTGAAATTTCATTATTTTGAGTTTTTCTAAATTCTTTTTCTTCTTCTGGAATATCATCTTCACCTTCTTTATCACCATCTTGTTGCTTTTGTTGAGTTGATCTTGAACTCCTCATTTCACTATTATTAGTTTGACTTGGTGCAAATGATGAAGTTTCATCTTGATAACCATTTTCATTATGTTCACCATTTTCTTTATGTCCGTTATGATGTTTACCACTTTTACCATTTTTCTCTGATTTTCTTCTACTTTTCAAGCTTGAAAATAAACTATGAGTTTTAGTAAGTCCATCTGATGCTGCACCAAGACCAGTTCCAACTGCACTTGAAGCCAATTCTGTAACGTTACCAACTGCTTTCATAGGGGCATCTTTAACCATACCAAGATCGACTGGTATCATAGCGTTTGGAGTTAATGGTGGTCTAACATATTCTGGGAAGAAAGTGGCTCTTAAATCAAGTTTTCCTTGAGTATCAAGATCAACATTAAATGGAGTTGTTGTTAATGCAGGTATAGTTGAAAGATCAAGGTTTGCAATACCTAATAATTCATCATCATGAGTTAAATCCCAATCATATACTTCTAACAATAAAACTTGTCTTGATCTTGAAATCATTGGGAATTCAACTGCTTCATTCCAAAGTGGATCTAATGTCTTACGTTTCTTATCAGTTCTATAAACTTCAACACCATCTAATGAAACGACACATAATGGATCTGATTTACCATTTGAATCAACTGATTTCAAATTCTTAGCACCAATAATTTCCAATTTAACTTTACCAACATCTAATATAGTATCCAATGGAGCTAATTTAGCAATCGATGGGAAATATTCTACTTGGACATCGATAACATTACGACCACCAAGATGAAGTTTTATTGGATGTTTGAAAGATTGTTTATATATATCTATGGTCTGATAAGTCTTTTCAAGAATAACATCTTTTTGATCATTAACTTCAGCTTTTTTGGTGATTCTAAAAATCATATTTGAATTTGGTAAATCTCTAATAAAAGTTTCACCAACTGATGGCGTAACAATTTTTTTATTTTCAACGATTGGTGAGACACCTGATGGGTAAGCATGTTCATCAAAAAGTGTTTGAACATAAACATCATTTTTATCAAATCTTCCTCCTAATACATGTACAGCAATATCACCAGCTCTATATTTGATTGCATCTTGTAATTTAACCTCGATTTTAGGAGGTTCTGGCATTGCATCTTCTTCTGTTTCAACCCATTCATATTCATTGGGATTCTCCTTGTATAATTTTTCTTCTTTTTCGTATTGTTTTTGTTCTCTTTCTTTCTTCAATTTCGTTTCAGCTTCATATTCATCTTTATTACGTAACTCTGATAATGAGTAAGCTGGAATAGTTGGGAAAAATGAAACTGAATAAAATAATGTACCAACTGGTTCAGTTTCGAACAAGACTGGTTGTTCAATGATCTCTTGTGAACCATCATAACCTAACCAATAACCTGTATCGTTTTTTCTCAAAAAATCTGATGCATTGATTGCTGCTGTACCCAAAGATCTATCTTTACCTTCTGGTTCAGCATCCATAATTTGGAATAAATAATGTTGATGAGGATTGGTAACTGGTAAAAAATAAACAGAATTCCATTGTGGATTTACTGTTTCAGCGAAAGTTACTGTTTTAGCTCTTAACTTACCATTTACAATAACTCTTACATATGGATCAACATAACCAACTGATTCCAAGTTTTTCAATCCTTTTGCACCTCTTAAATGGATTCTAATTGCACCAATTGGAGCTGGTTTTATAATCTTAGATCCAGTTTCTTCGTCGACTGCTAATGGTTTCCAACTAGCACTAATACGTACTTGTGGTGGTGGAGCATTTTCTGTAATTGCAGGACAAGTAAGCCATTGTTGACCTCTTCCACTTTCAAAAACAATATCTTGTAAATTAGCTTCCAAATTAGCAACAATGTTATTATCAACAGTGTCCCTTACTAAAACTTGAATTGATGTAGCAGTTTGGTGTGTAATCAAACTTTCAAATGATTGTTCCCAAGATGGTTCATTGGTTTGTTTTAATTTACGGCATTTTTTGACTAGTTCGTTATTAACATAAATTTCAGCATATGGATTTAATAAACCAATTACTGAACGAGAAATATCTAAATCTCTTGCTTCATGTAACATTAATTTCATAATACCAACTTCAGAATCAGTAATGACTTCCTTTGAACCGTCTTCTAATGTAATCGGTTGTAATACTGGGAACCATTTGATATCTAATTCAAGCTTTCCAACTACTTTACCACCTTCCATAATATTTTTAGTGATTCCTGGGAAGTTTTCTTCTTGTAACAATTCACCCAATGGAAACTCACAATTACCAATTAATTGATCATCCATTTTATCTTGTAATAAATGGAAGACATTAAAATTAAGAAAATTTCCATCCAATTGATTGATTAAAATATATTTTGTTTCTAAAAATATAGGATCATTAACTTCTTTTTTCACTTTAGTTCTTTCATCAACATCTCCATTATTTGAAACTTTGATTTGAACATAAGGATTAATACTATTAGGTTTAGTAGTTTGACCAGTTTTCAAATTCTTACATGATTTTACGGTTACTGCAACAACACCGATCGAATCATTAGATTGACCCTCTAATAATTCTTCAACATTTATATCTAATGAATTTGGTGCATATAACATTGGTCTTAAAGTAGCATGTATAATACCATTAACAAATTTAGATAAACCTGGAATAAAAGACATAATATCAATACCAAAAGTATCACCACCAACTGGTTTTAAAGCATAATCAATAGTTGGAGGTTCCAAAAATTGAATAGAAACCATTTTAACATGTGGGAAATTTAATGATAATCTTAATTTAACTTTCATTCTACCAGTGAATGACATATCTTCAACTAAAATTGGTAATGATTTTTTAATAAAAGCTTTTCCAACTGTAACACCTAAAGCAACTTTTGGATCAATTTTCTTTTTAATCTCATTTTTTGTCATATCATCAGTATCATTTGGAGTAAATGAAAAAGCCCAATCCATTTCAATTATATCATGACCTTTTTGAGTATAAGATTTTATAGAATCAACACGAGGAGCTTTTGACCCTAAAGTAAATTCATCTAATGATAATGCTTCAATTCCAAAACCAGGAGCTTGATCTTTTAAAATTTCATTTGTTTGAAACATAACAGTTTCTGATAATGCTGGCATATAAATAACCCAAAATTTATCCAAGAATGAATTCATCCATTCCATAGTTTCTAATTCATTAACTAAACGATTATTTGCTTTAACTCTTGCCATATCATCTCTTATATTACGATTAAATCTTCTAAATTCACCACGATATACTGAATTTGTAAATAATAATACAAGTCCTAATGATAATATACCTCCACCTAATCTTGCTAATAACCATGCAAAAAAACATGTACCCAACATTAATGAAGTATTCCAAAACCAATCACCATAAAAATGATCAATTATATACCCTTCAACTGATTTTGCATTATTTAATAGTTTTTTCTTATCTTGTTGATCTTGAATATCCCACCCACCAACATTTTCCCATGAAAATGTTAATTGATCTCTTATATGTACTTTCTTTTTTGGTTGTTGTTGTTTCTGAATTTTTGGTGGTTCATTATTTGATGGTTTAGGTTGATTTGCTAAATTATTTGAAGTAGGATGTTGATTATTTAAATCTGATTGTACTTTTTTATTATAAGTATCAACATCGTCTTTATTATTTATATACCCTGTTGGTCCATGTTCATCAGGTTGATTCTTTTGTTGAAATTCAGACTAAATTAATTAAAGTTAGTATAATTATGTCATTAAAAAGAACATTAGATCTCAATTTGATAGATGATCTTGTTGATCGAGATCTAATATCTCAAATTGTAAAAACATACTTGACTAACCGTCATCTTTCTTAAATATTATACAAATAGAATCTATGTTATCAATTGAGTAAAATCAATTGATTTAGTTGATATCAATTGAGTCAATGCAAATAAAATAAATAATATGAAATAGATTAAAAGAATTGAAATATCAAATTTTTTTGGTTGTAAAACTAAATTGATTTTTGTTAAATTGAGAATTATGTATGTATTGTTTAAATATATTAATAGAATTTCATTTTAAATATTTTTTTTTTTTATTGCTACTTTAATTTAATTTTATTTTATTTTATTTTATTTCATATTATACGAGAAAAGATTTTTTAATCAGATAAGATAAATTGGATATTTTAATTGATGAAATGAATCAACATCATTCACCCAAGATTCGTATAATGACCTTGTATCATTAAAATATGAGATATTTCCATATCTAGATATGAATATTATAAAAGATATATTGATTAGACCAATAAAATAAAAACTAAATCAATTACCCCCTTTTTCAAAAAACTTTTTTGTTACTAAATAATAATAATTAAATTATGTTTCGAGAAATAGCAAAAAAATAAAATTTATAATATTCGAGTTTCAGGTTTAATGAAAAAAAAAGAATAAGCAAAGGCTTAATATATCACATGGTGATAATAGATAATATATATAAGTAATAATAATATCCAATAATAACATTGTATAATTGATTATTCTTACGCTCTTTCATATCAATATCTTTTGATCATATTCAATACTTTAAAAGCAACTTAAATATAATATGTCAATAAAATTATTATAATATTAATAACAGTAACATATTAATCTTATAATATTTAATCTTATTAAGATATTTAGTTATTTTTAGGAATAATGACTTTATGTCGTAAAACGTCAAAATTGTAAATGTCTTGAAATAAAAGCTAACGACACTAAATTTGAAGAGGCTTTAACTAGATATACTCAAATATAATACTACAACAGTAAGCTACAATACTTTTTACTAATCTTTTCGTATATATTGTGTGTTTATTATGATCGAATTTGATTGTTATATAGTTTACAGAATGATGATAAAAGAAATTAGATAATAAAATGCTATTTTTTTAAGAATTGTTTTCTTTTTAAAAAAAAATTAAATCCCCATTTTTTTATATTTTTGTATTTTGTTTATTTATTTAATTATTAATATTATTATTAATTAAATTAAATTAAATTAATTTTAAACAGATTCTAAAACAACATCTTTAAATCCACTTGAAACTTTTTTACCTTTTTCTTCAGATGAACCTTCACCATGTAAAGCTAATAATGAACCTAAATCGAATTTTGGTTGTTTTAATAATTTAACTTTTCTAATATGAACATTTTGTAATGGGAAAATTGTTTGAGTTGATTTTTCAATTTCACGTCCAATAACTTCTGGAATTAATTTTGATGTTAATTGAGCTAAAGTACAATTTGAAACTTCTCTTTGCATGATTTCAATCATTTTTTTTCTAACTTCTCTTAATTTTGATGATTGAGCATATGTAGTTTTTTTAATTTGATTTGGTTGTCTTTTAGTAAAAGCAATAGCAAAAACTCTTAAAACATAATCATCTGAAGTTTTAACAGTTACATTAGCTTCAACTAATGATTGCCATTTTCTAACTAATGATCTTAATTTATCTGATGTAAAATCTAAACCATGGAAATTTGTTAATAAATTTTTACCTTGTACTTCATCAACTCTTAATTTAATTTTTCTATAAGCATGATCTTCTGATCCTTGTAAATCAGCTAAACAAACTTCAAAAACTCTTCCTTTTAATCCATCTGCTGCATTTTTTAAACCAGTTGATCTATTAATTAAAGTTTTTCCAACATTTCTATTTTCAAAAGTAGTTGGAGCTTTGATATCAAACCAATCTTTTCTAGTGAATGGATCAACAACTTTCTTTTTTAATCCTTTTTTACCTTTGGATAATCTCTTATTTTTACCAACTGCCATGATTTTATTATATGTTGATTATTAATAAGTAACTATTAAAACAAAAATTATGAAAAAAAAAATTTTGTAATAAAAAGATAAATTTCCTTAATGAAAATTGAAAAATTAAAGAATTGTTAGTATTGAAAAAAATTTTGTTTAGTGTAAATTTTCTATGTAAAATATTTTAATGTATATAATCATACTAAATAAATATATTAAGTATGGATTATGTAATACTTATAGTTGTGGATTATGTAATATGTTATTTCTATTGAATTTGGCACTACTCTTTATACATACTAGCAAAAAATGTTGCTACCAAAATAAAGTAGCGTGATATTCACATGCTCAAATTTAGATAAGGGTTATTACCACTTTTGAAGTAGTGTTACTCAAATCAAAATGTAAACAATCAACAAATATACGAAATTACGATCTCAAAGATCAATTTCAGGGTGTATGATAAATTAACGTGTTTCATCTTTAAAATTATAATCAAATTAATAGACGTGACACACAATCAAACACCCAATTCAATTACAACATAGTTAAAACGTATATTACTCTCCATGTTCATCAAAATATAGTCATAATATATAGTATTATATATCTATAATGGATCAATCTCAACAACAACAACATCATCATCATAATCAACAACATAATCAACAATATAATCAACAACATAATCAACAACAACAAGACCAGAATAATCAGTATGTATTATAAATTGTATTTTCTTAAATTAATAAGTTCACCCACTAACCAATTATAGAGTTGCATTGAAAATTGGTTTGATAGGGGATTCTCAAATAGGTAAAACATCATTAATGGTAAAATATGTAGAAGGATCATTTGATGAAGATTATATACAAACATTAGGCGTTAATTTTATGGATAAACGTATAACTATTAGAAATACAACAATAATGTTTTCAATATGGGATTTAGGTGGACAAAAAGAATTTATAAATATGTTACCATTAGTTTCAAATGATGCAGTTGCAATTTTATTTATGTTTGATTTAACAAGAAAATCTACTTTAAATTCAATAAAGGAATGGTATAGACAGGTAAGAGGATTTAATAAAACTGCAATTCCATTTTTAGTAGGTACAAAATATGATCAATTTATAGATTTATCATTTCAAGATCAATTAGAAATTACTCAACAAGCAAAAAAATTTGGTACAGCAATGAAAGCTCCAGTTATTTTTTGTTCAACTAGTCATTCTATAAATGTTCAAAAGATTTTTAAAGTAATATTGTCAAAGGCTTTTGATTTAAAATTAAATTTAGATGAAATTGTTAATGTGGGTGAGCCAATACTAATATTTAAATAACTGGATAATTAAATAAGTTGATTAATGAATTATAATGAAAGAACAACATTAAAAGATATAATATAATCAGCTTAATTCTGAATACTTCTGAATACTTAATCTATCTCTTCAAATACTATTAGTTGTAACTTAATATATTTTGCAACCTATTTAATATTACGCGTTAAAGCATTCTCACTTAAAAAGAATTATAATTCCGTGCTAACTAATGAATTAAATATTTGGTTGCAAACTTAATCTATACAACAAATTACGTTTATATTGTAATGAGGGCAAATACTCAAGATAAATGGGAGGTAATACTAGAATCGGATCAAGAAGACAATTCACAGGATCAAAAACAATCCACAAGATCCCCATCAAGAAGATTAACTCGAAGAAACACCAAATCCAAATCTAGTGATCAAGTTAAATTACGACGAAGAACTGATCAATTAACAGTTCAAGTTGGTGATACCGTCAAATTACAATCAAATAATATAACAAATTATGCATTAATCAAAGAAATAAAATTAGATGTAAATGAAACATTTGAAGTAGTTGTTTTATGGTTTACTACAAAGGAAGAAATCAAAAATTGCCCAATCGAAATACTTCAAAATGAGGTATTATTAACTCCATATACCGATGAGATTAATATCAATGATGTACTAGAACGTGTTCAAATTTCACCACCAAAAGAGAATGAAAATCATGGAGAATTGTTTTGTCAAAGAGCCACTAATGAAGCTGATAAAATCTCAGAAATTTTTAATTATAATGATATGATAAAAATGCTATATGGCGGTTCAATAGTTGATTGTGTTAAAAAATTGCTTTTTAAACCAAACTTAGTGAAAGAGGAAACAAAACAGAAGAATGAACAAAAAAAAGTGAAAGAGAGGAAACAATCCGGAGTAAAATTAGAATCAAATAATAGAAATGAAGAATCATTCGATGATCTAGAAGACCTGGATGAACTGGCAAAAGATATAAGCTCTAATTCAGAAAGTGAAGAAGAAGAAGAAGAACTTAGTGAGGAAATAATTGCAACACCAAGAAAACGCAAACCAAGATCTACAAATTCATCACCATCTAAAAGACCAAATTCATCACCAACTAAAAGACCAAAATCATCGCCACATAAAAACTCAAATATAGAGAGCATTTATTCAACTTTAAGTCCAAATAGAAAAATACAAATTACTCAATCTAATAATAAAATGCCATTATTTACCTCACCATCTAAAAATAAAAAGGGACATGAACTACTAGATCCAACATCTGAAGCTTTTAAAGAAATTAAAGCTAGATTACATACATCTCAAAAATTAAATGCACTACCTGGTAGAGAAGACGAGTTTTCAATGATTTACGCAAGTTTAGAAAGTGCTGTAAATGAAGAAACTGGTTGTTGTATATATATTAGTGGTGTTCCAGGTATGGGTAAAACTGCCACTATAAAAGATGTTGTACATCAAATGAAAGAGTTGGTAACAGAAAACCAAGTAAAAGATTTCAATTTCATCGAGATAAATGGATTAAAATTGTTATCTCCTACTGTTGCTTATAGCATGTTATGGGAATTCATAAGTGGTGATAAAGTAGCAGATTCTAATGCAGTAGTATTACTAGAAGAATATTTCAAAATTGACGACCCACAGAGAAAACCATTAGTTATATTAATGGATGAATTAGATCAAATTGCTCAAAGAAAACAAAACGTAATGTATAATTTCTTCAATTGGCCAACTTATAATACCTCAAAATTAATTGTTATAGCAGTAGCTAATACTATGGATTTACCTGAAAGAATGTTATCCAATAAAATATCTTCTAGAATGGGATTAAGAAGAATTCAATTCAGAGGTTATACATATCAACAATTAGGAGTGATTATTCAACATAGATTAGATATGTTAACCAAAACAAGTAGAAATAAAGTAGAGATAAATGCTGATGCTATTGGATTTGCATCAAGAAAAGTCGCAAGTGTTTCAGGTGATGCAAGAAGAGCATTAACAATATGTAGAAGAGCTGTTGAAATTGCTGAAAATAATGGAGAATCACAAGTTTTAATATCACATATTTCACAAGCTATAAATGAAAGTATAAATTCTCCGTTAGCTCAATATATTGCAGGTTTATCATTTGCAGGAAAATTATTATTAAGTGCCATATTAAAAAGAATACGTAGAACTGGATTTTCAGAAAATTCAGTTGGTGATGTATCTGATGAAATGAAAAATTCATTGGCTATGTCTACAACATCAAATCCATTTCAAGATAATTCTTCTCAATTTGATTTGTTATATACAACTAATGGAAAAACTAGTATAAGGATCTTTAATTTTGAATTTATATTAAATTCTTTAGTTGAGGCTGGTATTTTAAGTTTACTGAATATATCGACAGATAGAAAGAGAATGATATCGTTAAATGTAAGTGAAGATGAAGTTGTTTCGGTATTAAAAAGAGATAAAGAAGTGACTCAACTTTTATAGATTTCTTAGGTACATTAGATGCACTTGTAACTGGAGCTACATGATGATCGAAATCAAAACCCACTGTTTGTAATTTGAATCTTTTTCATCTCATTCAATGTTTAATTGAGTGTATCTACAATTATCTGAATATAGATTGACATTAAATATATAAGCCTTGAAATGATTGATTACATAATTTATTACTATTTATAAATTATTATTTTTTTGCTGTCTTACTATAATTATAATTATAATAATATTAATAGATTGACATAAAATTAAGTAGATTTCAAAATCTATCTGAGACGTAACTCATTTTATATATTCAATCTAGATCTTAATAATGTCTAATAATTTGAATAGAACTAATTCATCAATTGTTAGAACTCAAAATAATACAAATCAAATAAATAAAGCATTAAATGCTATTCAACAAAAACGACCTGAATCAAATCCAAATCAAGATAGATCATTATTTACTACTGAAGATGGTGAAACTTATTCTACAAAAGATAGAGCAATTACTTCAATAGATCCTCCTGCAACTTTTAAACCTTCCAATGAACAAGTCTTTTTAAAAAATGGTTTACCAAATTGTGATTTTATAAAAGAACATTTTATTAAAGAAGGTAGATTACAAGAAGATCAAGCTATAAAAATTATAAAACAAGCCACTCAATTATTAACATCAGAACCTAATTTATTATCTGTACCTGCACCAGTGACTATATGTGGAGATGTTCATGGACAATATTATGATTTAATGAAATTATTTGAAGTTGGAGGAGATCCAAAATCAACAAAATATTTATTCTTAGGTGATTACGTTGATAGAGGTTCATTTTCAATAGAATGTTTAATTTATTTATATTCATTGAAAATTACTTATCCTAATTCATTTTGGATGCTTAGAGGTAATCATGAAAGTCGTCATTTAACTGAATATTTTACATTTAAAAATGAATGTCTACATAAATATTCTCAAAAATTATATGATGAATGTTTAACAAGTTTTAATGCATTACCATTAGCAGCAATTATGAATGAACAATTTTTTTGTGTTCATGGTGGATTAAGTCCTCAATTAACAGATTTAGATAGTATACGAAGATTAAATAGATTTAGAGAACCACCAACAAAGGGACTTATGTGTGATTTATTATGGGCAGATCCAATTGAAGAATATGATGAAGATAATATAGATACAGAATATTTAAACAATGCAGTAAGAGGTTGCTCTTATGCTTTTACATATAAAGCTGCTTGTAAATTTCTAGATAGAACAAAATTGTTATCAGTAATCAGAGCTCATGAAGCTCAAAATGCTGGTTATAGAATGTACAAAAGAACTAAAACAATGGGATTTCCAAGTTTATTAACAATGTTTAGTGCACCAAATTATTTAGATAGTTATAATAATAAAGCAGCAGTTTTGAAATATGAAAATAATGTTATGAATATTAGACAATTTAATGCATCACCGCATCCTTATTGGTTACCACATTTCATGGATGTATTCACATGGTCATTACCATTTGTTGGAGAAAAAGTAACGGATATGCTAGTTAGTATATTGAATGTTTGTACGGAAGAAGAATTGGATGAAGAATTACCATTTACAGAATCCCAAATTGGAGTTAATAATGTTGCTTCTCCACAAGCAATACCACCTTCTTCAGAGGATGCAGTCTTAACAATGGATGAAAAGAAATTAGCTTTAAGAAATAAAATAATAGCTATAGGTAAGATGTCAAGAATGTTTCAAGTATTGAGAGAAGAACAAGCAAGTGTTGCTCATTTAAAAGAATTAAATAGAGGTCAATTACCAAAAGGTTCATTATTACATGGTAGAGAAAGTTTACAAGATAAAATATATTCATTTGAAGAAGCAAAAGCTGCAGATAGAGTAAATGAAGCATTACCACCAAGTTATGAAGAGATGAAAAGAGCTGAAGAGCAAAGAGGTCAAAGATTGAAAAATAAAATGGAATATTCAGAAAGTAACTTTAAACATTATAGGTGATAAAGTATATTATCAAACGATTGATGGGGATATTTATTACTTCAGATTAAGTAGGGATTTTGTAATAAAGAAATAAAGTCATTCTTTCTGAACACTTTTGCGTTTTCCAGATTAATCTCAAATGTTTGTAATTATACCAAATTAAACCATGTGTTAAAATTAAATAATCTCTTATCTAATTAATCAATAGAAAAAATCTTTCAGTTTAAATTTTAAATTTTTACGAGAGAAGGTTAACAAAATAATAAATAAATAGAATAATTAAATAAATGTCAATAATATGCCACCACCTATAAAATATATTAATGAAGAACCAAATATAGAAAATACAATATTATATCAAACATATCAATCTTCAAGTCCTGAAAGATTTTCAGTTGATAATGATAAATTTATAATGTATGAAGGAGGTTCATATTCTTTGACTTTTAAAAATTCACAACAACATTTACCAAAACTAAATTCAAATCAAGTTTCAATATATGTACTATCTTCATGTTTTATTATATGGTCAAATGATGATAATATAGGTATAGAAATACCGTATCAATTAATTTATTTACACGCTTTAAATAAAAATTCATTATATTTACAAGTACAAAATATAAGTCTACTACCCGATGATATTCTAGAAATTCAATTATCTCCGAGGGAGTCAAGTCTGAATAATGAACTATTTCATAAAGTAAATGGCAGTCCTGAGTCTATTTATCAAGCAATGTCAAAATGTTCAGCAATGCATTATGATTCAGAAAATGAAGAACAAAATCATATAGATGAAGAAACAGCTGATGGTGAATTACCAACTTTAGAAATTCCTGAACATTGGTTACAAGAAGTTCATTTTAAAAATGAAGGTAACGCTGATGATTTGGATGAAGATATTGAACAAAATGAAAATAATAATGATGAAATTATAGCTGGAATGAATGTTGATATTGGTTATTCACAAATTGCAGGTAATAAAAGAAATGATAATGAATATGATATAGTTCATAATAAAAAGAATAAATTGTATTAAGTTAAATTAAATTAATCTATTGACTCTTGAAACACATAAATAGCAATCGATAATTCAATGAAACTGATTGATTAATTTATAAAATTATAAAAGCCGCTTAACTAATTCAGAAAAAATAATAAAATTAAAATTAAGTTAAGCGATTTTTCAATGAGGTAATAAATATTAGATTTTGATAAATTTGGTCTGATTTAAATTATTAATTATAATTGAAAAAGAATAATTCAATTTCTACTACTTTCGTTTTAAAACTATAAAGATCATCAGAAATTCAATCTTCTTATACTTAATGAAATCATCGGATGAGAAGTTGTATTATAAAAATCATTTTTTCAAATTAGGTCAAGGTCGTATTATTTCAAATGATGATTATCCATTTTGGTCAAAATTTTGGAGGTTACCAACTACAAGTGATGACATTTATGAAATTGTTAATGTAGAAGATTTAAAATTAATTCAAAAACAAAATTTACAAAATTATTATACTTTAGTTAAAGTTTTAAGTTTAAAAATTATACAATTTTCACAACAAAAAGAACTTAATAATTCAGATATATTGAAATTATTAAACTGTATACGGTTATTATGTAAAATTATACCACCGTTATTTGCATTAGATACTTATAAAGATATAGAAAATGAATTATTTTGGGACGAAAATAGCAATAAAAGTTTAGCATATAATTTAATGATGAGTTTAGTTGATTTATTATTTACAAAAGGGTTTACCATTTATTCAAAAGAAAAAGGTGGTATTGTTTTAAGTGTATGGGAACCAGGAATTGGGTACAGTGCAAAGTTTCAACAATCAAATTTAATTATAGATAGTAACAGAAATGAAGTACTAAAACTAATAATATCTTTGTGTTCAACAACTTTGTATTATAAAGCGTCGACAGCCATATCAACAGGATCAAAGTTCTTGACAATTTTAGTTCTGCTAACACCAAAAGTTAAGCTACTAACATTGGTTTCATCATTAACAAATTTAGTATGTAGATCATCTAGAAGTTCAATTGATGAAAATGTATTATATTATGATAACATAAATTACACAGAAACAAGGCATCTTTGTGCCACTTATGCATTTCAATTACTTACATTAATGGTTGTTTATCCACTTCCTGAAGACTCTGCTGATTTAAATGATGGCGTTAAACCTACAAATATGGCAAGAGCTTATATGGGAAAGATTCATAAAGAAAATGAAATATTATTTTTAGCATCATCACTAATCAACATTCTAAGATATCCAATGGTAAATACAGAAGATAGTACTTTTGGAATAATAAAAAATGTCAATCAACCTTCTTTATGGGCTGTTGAATCAGTGATTTTGATATGGGAAATGATCCAATGTAATAAACATTTTAAAGATGTAATTGCTAGAAAATATATTTCAGAATTTATGGTAATACTATTATATTACGTTTTTGCATTTCATAATCATTACCAACATAAAAACTTAGTTCGAGTTTGTTCTTATTTATTATTATTTTTATCATCAAATTGTCAAATGTTGGAAAATTTATATCTACCAATAAGTTCACAGCTTTATGAATCGATTCCAGCAAGCTTCAAATTAACTATTACTCCACTAACCACTCGAGACTTTTTAGTCTGTCAAATATGTTCAATTCTACTTAGCGCATACCCTTTACAACAATCATACATGACAAAACCGTTACCAAATCTACTATTAAATACATTGGCTGAAATTTTATTCAATCTAATACCCCCAGTTTCTTCAGAAGAATTAAAAGTTCATAATGATCCACAAAAGAAAATAAACAATCCAAACCCAAGAGGTGGATTATCTTATCAATCGTCGTCACTCATTATTCAATTAATTTCGAGATTTTCAAACAAAAGTTTTTTACTAGGTAAATCATATCATTTGAATGTACTTGCACTTATAATTAGAGCAGTATGTACAGCCATCATCAAATATCCACAACCTTCTAGAATGTTGTTATTTTGTATCCTAAAAAATGAGAAAATATTTGATGAATTATGGAATACAATTTTTAGTTTTAATGAAGTTTATGTCAAAGGAGAATCAATTGCAAGAATTGCTGAACAAGAGGAAGATTTTCAAGCTAACGTTAATGAAGAAGTAAAACCAATACCTATAAAACCAAGAAATCGAGATGATAACGAATCAATTATATCAGAAGCAGAAAGTATTGAAGCATCATTACGTCCCAAACCACCTTCTGGAATGTCGATAAAAGCAAAAGAGAAACAAAAGAAAGAAAGTCCAATTGGTAAAAGTTGGGAAGGAAAAGATCAATTAGCCTTGATCTTAACTATAATTATACCCTATCTCAAATCCATTTTAAATAGCATATGGTCAGAAACTCGTGGAAGTAGTGTTGATAGTTTTGAATTAGTTCGTAAAATTGAACTTGCTGATTATCATGGATTAATAGAGGAACATAAACATCAAATAAAATCAGATTTGTTACCGGAAACAGAATTGGAACAACTAAAATTTGTATGGAGTTATTTATCACTTGGTTGGTATATATCCTTATTATATGGGAAGATATATAATACAACAACTGAAGTTAAAATTTATATTGGTAACAATAACAAATTAATTAAAAATTTTTCTAGTTCTATTGCAACGGTTAGCAAATTAACTTCAAGTTGGACAAGTTTTTTAAAGCAAGATACTCAACCAGTAACAAATGATGCTACTCTTGAATGGATAAATAATAGTATTACAAATATCAATACATGGCAAGGTACAGATATAAAATTATTTCAAATTGAAGCAAATTCAAATGATAGCTTTTTCGCAAATTTAAACAAAATAAGTGGTAATTCAACTTATGCTGTACCAAGTACTCCTGGTAGTATAAATGATATGATGAAAAAATTTAATGATTTCAAAGTTAATGGTAAATCAGCATCACCAGTTACAACACCAGTCGAAGAACAAGATTCATATTTTGGTAAAAGAGTTGGAAGAAATTCAGTCACTAGTTTACATTCATTAAATACATTAAATAGAATTAGAAGTCATAATACTCCTAGAAATTCCATCAGTTAATAGAATAAGTTTATAATAGATCAAAAGTTTAATAAATTACATATTTATTTCTACCTTCTTCTACCTTTCTTCTGAACTAATTCAAACCCATCATCATCTACTATTGGTCCTTTTGGTTCATCTATAATTATATTGTCATTATTACTCATCTCTATATCTTGATCTTCCTCATCTTCTTCTTCATCATCACTTGAATCAGGATTATTTGGGTCTTCCTCTATATGTACTTTTCTATTTTCTGCCTGCGTGTTTTTCTTCTCATTCCATTTTTGATATAGTTGATCAATATCACTGTATTTCTCCAATTGTACATCTTTATAAAATTTCATAATTAAACCTCCAATTTCTAATGCAGAATCATTATCAACTTCTGTATCAAATTCATCAACCATTGCATATAACAAAGTTTCTTCAATTAATTGTATATCAACTGCTTTATTCTCCAAAAATAAATCTATTATAACTCCACTTATCCAATCTCTTTTTTCAGATGAATTAGATCCACCCCATGAATTTTCAACTGCTGTATTTAATTCTTCCCATTTATATATTGCCATGCATACACCTAATTCAAATTTTGCTTGTTGTTGTGCATTTGGAAATTGTAATGTTCCTTCATCTACTTCGACATATTCTGTTGGATCTATTGATATTGTAGTCATTATTGAATTTTATAAATTGTAAGTTGCAAAAAAAAGGTACAAAAAGTCTTAATTTAAAAATCCATCTCTTGTAATCAAAATCATCGCGATATTTTATAATTCTGCTACCAACATCTTTAATAATCTGAAACAAGGAAAAATTCATGAGATATACCACTTAAAATAGTAGAAAAAAGTAGATGAAAAGCGGCACAAAGTTCATTGTTATAATGAATTATCTAGTATAATTAACTCTTAAATTGTAATCTATTCTTAAAAGCTCGAGAAATTAGCTAAATCTGCCACCAATTTTGCAAAATCGCCTTCGAGTAAATATATGAAAGTGTTTTTTCAGTACGAAATAAAATGAAGCCCTTGTCTACCTCAAATTTTGTCATTAAAATGATTTAGCTACGAGAGAGTTTGTATATTGAAGCATATCACTTCTGACAAAATCATTTAATTACTCTTCAATTAAATTACATATTTAAAAAAAAAAACAAGTTACAAAATCGAGAAATAAATTTTCAATATCTCATTATAATTTCTTACAACCAAATCATTAGTCAGATCATCAACAAGAATACCAAAAGAAATTCAAATAGATTTCAATATCATCATAAATTTATCAAGTATTAATTAACAACCCTATCAAATCAAATCAATCATTATACTAAGAATCAATAACTCACAACTATATACATCATTATGGGTAAAGATATTGTAGTAGATATTGCCCCTAAATGTATTAGTGGGCTAGAATTCAGTGCCTTATCTGCAAAAGATATAGTTGCTCAATCAGAAGTTGAAATTCAAACTAGAGATTTATATGATTTAGAAAAAGGAAGAACACCTAAAGAAGGTGGAGCACTAGATACAAGAATGGGTATATCATCAAATGCATCTGAATGTCAAACTTGTCATGGAAATTTAGCATCATGTCATGGTCATTTTGGTCATATTAAACTAGCATTACCAGTTTTCCATGTTGGGTATTTTAAATCAATAATTTCAGTTTTACAATGTATTTGTAAAAATTGTGCATCAGTGCTATTGGACCATCAAAGTAAAAGGCAATTTTTAACAGAATTAAGACGTCCAAATATCGATAACTTGAAAAGAATGAAAATTTTAAAAAAGATCAGTGATCAATGTAAAAAACAAAGACGTTGTTTAAGATGTAATCATGTTAATGGTGTTGTTAAAAAAGCAGCAAGTGGTGCAGGTCCAGCTGCATTAAAGATAGTTCATGATACTTTCAGATGGATTGGTAAAAAGGATACTCCAGAAAAAGATAAATGGGATAAAGAATTGGAACAAGTGTTTCTTAGAAACCCTGAACTAGAAAAATATGCTAAAAGAGTTCAAGAAGATTTTAATCCTTTAAAAACTTTAAATTTATTCAAACAAATCACTCCATCTGATTGTGAATTATTTGGAATGGATTCATCAAAAGGTGGCAGACCAGAAATGTATATATGGAGATATCTACCCGCTCCTCCAGTTTGTATTAGACCTTCAGTTATGATGGATGCTCAATCAAATGAAGATGATTTAACTGTTAAATTGACTGAAATAGTTTGGACTTCGTCAATGATAAAAGCTGGTATACTAAAAGGTATCTCAATAAATAATTTGATGGAGCAATGGGATTATTTACAATTATCAGTTGCAATGTATATAAATTCAGATTCAGCAAATCCTGCATTAATGGCTGGGGCTGGAGGTGGATCTAAATCTGCAAAACCTATAAGAGGATTTTGTCAAAGATTAAAAGGTAAACAAGGTCGTTTTAGAGGTAATTTATCTGGTAAAAGAGTTGATTTTTCAGGTAGAACTGTTATTTCACCGGATCCAAATTTAAAAATTGATGAAGTTGCTGTACCAGATAGAGTAGCAAAAGTCTTAACATACCCCGAGAAATGTACCAGATATAATAAGAAAAAATTACAAGGTTTAATTATGAATGGTCCAGATATTCATCCTGGTGCAAATTATGTGATGAAACACAATGAAGCAAGTAAAAGAAATTTAAGATTTGGGGATCGTGTTAAATTAGCAAGATCTTTACAAATTGGTGATGTTGTTGAACGTCATATAGAAGATGGAGATGTTGTACTTTTCAATCGTCAACCTTCATTACATAGATTATCAATTTTATCACATTATGCCAAAATCCGTCCATGGAGAACATTCAGATTAAATGAGTGTGTTTGTACACCATATAATGCAGATTTTGATGGTGATGAAATGAATTTACATGTTCCACAAACAGAGGAAGCTAGAGCTGAAGCTATAAATTTAATGGGTGTTAAAAATAATTTATTAACTCCAAAATCAGGTGAGCCAATTATCGCTGCAACGCAAGATTTCATTACTGGTTCATATTTAATTTCACACAAAGATTCATTTTTTGATCGTGCACAATTAGTCCAACTATTAAGTATGATGTCAGATGCAGATGTTCAATTTGATATTCCACCACCATCTATTTTTAAACCGGTAATGTTATGGACTGGGAAACAAGTCTTTTCATTTCTTATAAGACCAAACAAACAAAGCAAAGTCATAATCAATTTAAATGCCAAAAATAAAACATTCCATCCACCTGCAAAAGGATTACCAAGTGAAATGTCACCGAATGATGGATTTGTTATAATAAGGGGTTCTCAAATACTATCGGGGTTGATGGATAAATCAACTTTAGGTGATGGTAAAAAGCATTCAGTATTTTATACCATACTAAGAGATTATGGCCCACAAGAAGCTGCAAATGCAATGAATAGAATGGCTAAATTATGTGCAAGATTTTTAGGTAATCGTGGTTTCTCAATTGGTATTAATGATGTTACACCTGCTTATGAATTAAAACAGAAAAAGGAATTAATGGTTGAACAAGCATATTTGAAATGTGATCAATTAATTGATTTATATAACAGAGGTAAATTAGAAACCCAACCAGGTTGTAATGAAGAACAAACCTTAGAAGCAAAAATTGGTGGTTTATTATCAAAAGTTAGAGAAGAAGTTGGTGATGTTTGTATTAGAGAATTAGACTCATTAAATGCTCCATTAATTATGGCTACTTGTGGGTCCAAAGGGTCCACATTGAATGTTTCTCAAATGGTGGCAGTTGTTGGTCAACAAATCATTTCTGGTCATCGTGTTCCTGACGGTTTTCAAGATAGATCATTACCTCATTTCACGAAAAATTCTAAAACTCCTCAATCTAAAGGTTTTGTTAGAAATTCTTTTTTTAGTGGGTTAACACCACCTGAATTTTTGTTCCATGCTATATCAGGTAGAGAAGGTTTAGTTGATACTGCAGTTAAAACAGCAGAAACTGGTTATATGTCACGTCGTCTAATGAAATCATTAGAAGATTTATCATCTCAATATGATAATACAGTTAGAAACTCATCAAATGGTATTGTTCAATTTACATATGGGGGTGATGGTTTAGATCCTTATGATATGGAAGGTGACGCTAGACCAGTTAATTTTATTAGACAATGGGATCATGCATATAATTTAACATACAATGTCGATGATAAACCTTTGTTACCGTATGAAATTAAAGAAGTGGTTGATTCTACATTAAAACCATTAGAAGATAAGTTCAATAAACCAGAGAATTCAGATGACGTAGATCAAAATGATGCAGAAATTGAATTTTATGATTCAGTTAGAGGATTTATGGAAAAGAAAGCAGAAACATTAGCAAGATTAAGAGAAGCAAGAGGATTAAAACTATATTTTACAAAACCAAAAGAAGATGATATTTTATTTGATGAAGATGAACTTACTGTAAACGCGATAAATCAATTAATGAAAATTTCTTTTAAATCTGTTAAAGAATTTATGAAACAATGTTTATATAAATATTTAAGAGCTAAAGTTGAACCAGGTACAGCTGTTGGTGCTATTGGTGCACAATCTATTGGTGAACCAGGTACTCAAATGACATTGAAAACTTTCCATTTTGCCGGTGTTGCTTCTATGAATGTTACATTGGGTGTCCCACGTATTAAAGAAATTATTAATGCATCAAAAACCATATCTACACCAATTATTAACGCTGTTTTGGTCAATGATGATGATGAAATTGCTGCTCGTGTAGCTAAAGGAAGAATTGAAAAAACTTTATTAAAAGATGTTGCATATTATATTGAAGATGTTTATAAAGATAATCAAGCTTATTTATCAATCAAGATAGATACAGAAACAATTGATAAATTACAATTGGAATTGAATATTCATAACATTGCACAAGCTATAGTTCAAGCTCCAAAATTGAAAATATCTCAAGGTGACGTTGTTGTAATTGGAAAAAACAAAATTAATGTTTTGTGTAGTATACCAGAAGTTAAAGGAGATAATTTAAAAACTGAAACTAATATTAATGCATTGTTTTTCAGAATGCAATCTTTGAAAAGAGTACTTCCAGATATTTGTATTAAAGGTTTACCTCAAATTTTTAGAGCTGTTATTAATATTAAAGATGATGGTAAAAAGGAATTATTAGTTGAAGGTTATGGATTAAAAGAAGTTATGAATACTGAAGGTATAGTTGGAACTAAAACCACCACCAATCACGTTTTGGAAGTCAATCAAATCTTAGGTATTGAAGCAGCAAGAGGATCAATTGTTAGAGAAATTGATTATACAATGAGTAATCACGGTATGAGTGTTGATCCTCGTCATATTCAATTATTAGGTGATGTTATGACATATAAAGGTGAAGTTTTAGGTATTACAAGGTTTGGTTTAAGTAAAATGAGAGATTCAGTATTACAATTGGCATCTTTTGAAAAAACAACTGATCATTTATTCGATGCTGCATTTTATATGAAAAAAGATGCTATTGAAGGTGTTTCGGAATGTATTATATTAGGTCAAACTATGAGTATAGGTACTGGTGCTTTCAAATTGGTTAAAACCTCAAATTATGATAATAAAGTACTTAAAAAGAAACCAACATTATTCGAGTCTTGTTGTGAGGTATCTAGTGTAGCTTAAGAAAGAATAAAAGATTTGATAATTCATATTAATTAACTATATATTCATTATTTATATATATTATTTCTAAACATATAAAATTTTAGTATCATTTTTAAATCCATTAAATTGAGTAGTTGCACAACTAGTATAAGCACCTAAATTTGGGAAATATAACCAATCACCAACTTCAACTTTATAATTTAAAAAACTTTTTGAAGAAACACAATCTAAACCATCACAAGTCGGTCCCCAAATTGAATAACTAATAGTTTTCAATTCTCTCTCCATGTAATGATAACCATCTTTATTTTTTAAAACAAAAGCTAATGGTTTTTGATGATCAAATAATATACAATTCATATTACCATAAACTCCATCATTTATATAAATCATTGAATTAATATTATCTTCATTTTTTGGTAATGATCTTTTAGCAATAATATGAGTAGCTAATGTAAAAGCATTAGCAACAAAAAATCTACCAGGTTCTGCAATTAATTTAACATCAGTGGATGCAAAAAATTCATCAATTGAATCATTAACCATTTTGGAAGATTCTAAAAAAGTTTCAAATTCAAATCCACCACCAATATCTAAAATATTCATATTAAAATCAAATTTTTTAGCAGCATCAAATAAAATTCTAGAATCTCTAATAGCTTTATAAATAGATTTAAAATCTTTTGCACCTGATCCAACATGAAATGCAACACCAACAACATTTAAACCTAAATTTTGAGCAATTGGTAAAATTTGTTCAATTGCAACATTTAAATCACAACCAAATTTAGTACTTAATCTACATTGAGCATCTTCATCATCAGTCATAATTCTAATTAAAATTTTACAATTTGAATGAAATTTTGCTAATTTATATAATTCATCAACATTATCAACAGTTGTTAAATTAACATTATTAATTTTTGCATGTCTTATAAATGAATTTGTTTTACAAGGATTTGCATAAACAATTTTTGATGACTCAAAACCTAAATTTAAAATTGTATCAATTTCATTTTTTGATGCACAATCGAAATTAACTCCTAATTTATAAAGTAAGTTAATAACTTCAATATTAGTATTACATTTAATAGCATAATGTGGTTGAATTCTTGGTAAATGATTTTTCCAAATTTCAACATTTTTTTTGATTTGATTTAAATCACAAACAAAAAATGAATCTTCATCACCTGCTTCACATTCTTCATGATCAATTAATGTAATATGATCAATTAATGCTTTACCTATGGCAAAATTTTCATTAATTTTTGGTATTTGATAATCTAAATTAATTAATTTATCATTTTCAATAATTTTTGTTGTAGTATTTTCAATAATTGTAGTCATAACCTTGTGAGGGGATCGTTCGGGAAGACACAAAAAGTTTTTTCTTTTAGTTGTTGTTATTCAATTTAAATATTTGGCTTGGTGACCTCCTCTTGTGAAAAATTATATAAACTTTTCTTTTATTGGACTTTATTCGGCAGCTCTCGTTGTGTGTTATAGTTGATTACACACTTTAATTTCAAACTTTTTGGGAAGGTTAGAATATAATAAAATATAATAAAATTAACCAAGTACTGTTAAAAAGAAGAAGAAGAAAAATAAGAAGAAGATAGCAAAAGTTGATGATTTATTTAAAAATAAATTTCAAAGGTTGTATTTCCTATCTAAAATTATAATAAATTTTTTTAAAAATTTTTCAAGTCTAAAAATTTAAAGTTTTTTTTTTTTTTTTTTTTTTTTTTCACAAAATTGCTGTGAGAAATTTAAAAAAAAAAATTGAAAATTAAACAAAGAATAAAGCCGCTTAATTGATAATCCCAAAAATGGAATAATTTACTTATTACTTATATTTGAATAATCTATAAATCGATAAGAGGCTCAGGCTCATACACTTTTTGCTTTTGTTGTTGATGTTGTTGTTCTTCATTAAAATGTGATAAATTATTAGGTAATGTAGGTAATTCATTAATATTTTTATTTTGTCTTTGAAATTCTTCCTCAACATTTTGTAAAATTGGATATTTTGTAGATGCATCTTCATAAGCATTTGGTGATAATGAACTTGTTGCATGACGTAAAAATGATTGAGTTGGTAATTCATTACTTATATCTTCAGGAGGAGGGTAATTTGGTAATGAAACTTCTACATATTCATTTTGTTGTTGTTGTTGTTGTTTTTCATTATCACTTTCTGATTCAGGTAAATTTTCTGTAGTTGGATAAATTGATTGATTATGTTGAGTTTTATTTTCTGTTTTCAATTCTGAAGGTTGGTCAAATTGAGGTTCTGAAGGTTGATTATATTGTTGTTGAGGTGAGAACTGTTGTTGTTGAGGAGAGTATTGAGGTTGTTGCTGTTGTGGAGGATATTGTTGTGGTTGTTGGTGTTGTTGTTGTTGTTGTTGTTGTTGAGGGTATTGCTCTGGTTCGTCAAATTGAGGTTCTGATGGTTGATTGTATTGACCAGTATGTTGTGGTTGTTGTTGATTATATTGACCAGTATGTTGTTGCGGTTGTTGTTGTTGACTATACGATCCTCTACTTTGAAGTTGTTGTCGTTGTTGTTGTTGCTGTTGTTGATCAAATTGGTTTTGATTATTAAATTGAGGATATCCAGTATTTTGTTGAATTATACTCATTGAATTTATACCATAATTTAATTTTTTTTCCCAAAATTGATCATATAATCTTGTTATTGTACTTAATTTATTATTCATCTCCAAGAATTGATTATATTTTTCAATTGATTCTCTTAATGATTTATTAACTTTTGGTTTTAATTTTAAAATTTGTGAATATAATTCACTTAAATTTTGATCATACATTATATTTTGTTGCTTTTTTGAATCATTACGTACATTATTCATTAATGTTATGAATAGATTAATTTGTTCTTCCTCTGATTGTGATAAATCTTGTTGTGGTGGTGGTTTGGGTGGATATTGCTGTTGTTGTTGTAGTTGTTGTTGTTGTTGTTGTTGTTGTGGAGCTTGATAAGATGGTTGACTATAAAATTGGGGTTGTGATTGTTGTGGTTGTTGATAATTAGATGAAGTGAAATCTATATTATATAAATCAGAATCTTCTTCTTCTTCTTCAAATGGATTTTGTGGAAGTTGTTCATGTTGTAACCTAGGTTTAGTAGCTTCATATTCTTTTAAACTTGCAGCTATAGCAGCTTTCATATCATCGTCTTCTTCTTCTGCCTCTTCTTGTGGTTGATGCGATATTACTGGTGGTGCTTCTGTGGGTGGTTTAATCGATATACCATTATCTTGTAAACTTAATTCAATTGCTTTTTTAATTTGTTCATCTTCATCATCATCATTACCACCACCACCAACAGAATTATCTTTATTCCCACCAGTATGTTTTGAAGATTTATGTTTATTCTTAGCATAGCAATTATCACAAACTCTTACTGGTTCCATTATACCTAAATTAACTAATTGAATATTATTACTTGAATGATTTTGACAATAAACTCCACCACAAGCTCTACAATGATGTTTTCTATTTAACATTGAAAAAGGAGTATAACAAATCATACAAGAATCAGAATCTATCCAATCTGGTGGTACTTCAGAATCAACATATTTTGAATCAACAACATTATCAATTTCAGGAAATTTAAACCCTTCATTTAATAATTCTTGATATTTTTTTTCAACATAATTTAATTGTAATTGATTTTGGAATGCTAATTCCCATGATTTAATTAATTTTAAAATTAATTGACTAACTTCTCTTTTAGCTTCATCTAAATGATCTTTTGAATTATAATGGATTTTAAAAATAAAATCTACTAGATAATCAATAAATTCTCTTGAACTAATTTCTACTAAAAAATGAAATCCACAATTTTTAATACATAAATCAATTAATTTTAAAGTACTTTTAATTAAATTTGGATTTGAATAAACTAAATTTAATCTTTTTTTCAATGATCTCATACATTGTTGAGCTGGTAATTTTTTTGATCTTATAAAATCTGTAATTTCTAATGATATTGATAAATCCAATTCTCCATTGGGAATTGTTTCTGAAGTTGCTTCTGATATTTTATTATCTAATTCTAATTGTAAAGCAGAAGTAGATGATCCAAACCAAGACATAGTGGTTGAATAAATATAAAAATGAAATATTGAAAATATAGAAAGTTGTTGTGGTTGTAAAAAATGATTTGAATTTTTACTTTGCCTTTAGATAATTTAAATATTGAGACTAATAAATATTAATTGATAAAGAAGGAAATTATTTATTACACAAAATGTATATGTTAATCAATTATAAGAATCTATATATAGCCCTTACCAGAATCAATATAATTTAATTTATGATAGAGTTATAAATGTAATATTTGGTTGATTATCAATAACAATCATATTCATGTAACCCAAAACTTAATTTTTAAATTCTCTTAATTCTTTAAAAAGACAAAACTTGAAATTAAACCTAAACATATAACTGACCCCCACCAATAATTATCAAATTTTGAATCTTCAAAATAATTCTTCTTTATAGCATTTGTTCTATAACTATTTTCCAAGGATCTTTTTAATTTATTTTTAATTGATCTTTTACTATTAGAATTTGAATTTCTTAAAGTTGAAGCAGTTTCACTTGCTGAATCAGTTGGATTCAATGCATAAGTTGGTAACATTAAAGGAGGTTGATAAGCTAAATATAATGGTTGCATTTTAGATCCATCAAATTGATAAATTTGTAAAGTCCATCTACCATGATAAGGATCAACAAATTTTTGATAAGTTTTAAAAAAAGTTGGTTGAACATATCTTGAATATTGAGATTCATTTGGATTATCTTGATTACATGGATCACTTAATAATTGTCTACCATCAACTGCTATTGGAGTTAATATAACTGATCCATTACTAACAATTTCATAAGTACCATGTTGATATGTAATAGAAGCAATTGGACAAGAATGATTTTTAGCATTTGATACAACTCTATATAATGCTTCTTCATAATGACCATCAGCTGTAAAACTATAACTTATACCTGGTAAATCTGGTTCAATTAATAATTCATCTATTGGATCATAAAATCCAGGTCCTGTAAATACAGTATTTGATTTTGAAGTCCATGTACCTTCTAATTCTTCCATGGATGGATCAGCTAAAATGGGTATTATAAATATTGATAATAATATATATATATATGAAATTATAAACATATTGATAGATTGTGATAAATAAAGTATATGTTAATTTAATTTAAATGCAAGTAGTTAGTCGATTGTAGTAGAAAATAATAATCTTTTTCGAAATGTCTATAAGAACGTGATTGATGATAAGTATTAATTGATTGTGAAGATAAATAAATATGAGAAGTAATAAATGTTATGATATGATGAAAATATAAAAGTAATTTATGGTCGATATGATTAAATAAGAATATAATGATGAGATAAACTTGGTTGTAAAAGATGAATTATAATAATAGTTGTATATATTCTTTTTCTGTTTAAGTTGTAGCAATATTTTTTTTCTGTTTTTTCTTCCTTCTATTTTCTTTTAAAAAGAAAAAATATTATTTATTTTATTTTATTATTATATTATGTAATATATTAAGTAATATTCGTATCAATTGTTTGTAATATATTATGTAATCATATAAATATGGCTATGCTACTAATATTCCCAAGGACTAAATCCAAACACCAATACAAAAGAATTAATTGAAAAGGTTACAATTTGATTTTTATTATTATCAAATCGTATTGAATTTTTAGTAAGTAATCGTCTAATAATCTTGATAGGTTCTAATTTCTCATTGAGGATAAAAAAATTTAAATACTAATCATTCTACATAAACGATTTGCAAAATTTCTCAAATTTAGAATAAAAACATCAATAAATCGACATGTATATACATTGTATATAATATATTTAACTAATGATGTAAAAAGATTAAAATATAAAGCTATAAAAGAATTGAATTGAAAAATGAAATGATTCATCATTAAAATCATTAAAATGCACCGTTTAAGAATTTTTTTCTCTATTTTTTATTTTTTAAGGAACCATATTTTTTTTTGCAGCCAAATTTTAATTAATTCAAGTACCAACATTTATAAAATTATTACTACTGCCAAATTTATTATTGACATTATTATTATCATCAAATAATAAGTTTAATTTTTTGTTAAGATTATAAAAAGGACTTTGATTTTCACTTAATGGAGTATTATTATTATTATTATCATCATTTTTATTAATTTGTTGATGGTTATTATTATTAATTGAATAAATTGATGATTGTGATGAAGATTTTGTTGATTTTATATCATATGGTGAATTATTTATTAATGATGATGTTGATAAATTATTAATTTGATTAATATAATTATTATTAAGTTGTGATTGTACAGAATTAAAATTTTGTGGAGTTTGTTGTTGTTGTTGAGGATGTAAAGATTTATAATTTGTATCAATTGATATTGGAAATTTTTTTAATTTTTTATTTTGTTGTGGTAGTTGTGATACTATAAATGGAGTTATTGTTGTTGTTGTTGATATAATATCCATATTTGTTAATGAAGTGGTTGTATAATTTGATGAAGATATTACTGATGAATAAGAAGATGATCTTGAAGAATAAATTGATTCAGTAGATGAAGTGGTTGATGTTGGAATATGGTCATTATTATTATTGTTATTATTGTCATCACTATTGATTGATGAAATTTCAATATGATATTGATATTTAATTTGTTTATAAATAAATTGAGGACCTTTTGAATCAAAAAATTTTAATATAAAATCAGAACTTTTTAAAATTGATTTTATTAAATTTTTTTTAATAAATTTATAATTTTTTAAATCCATTTTGATATTAATTTTTGAATTTATTTGATTAATTGAATTTGAATTATTATATAGTTCATTTATTAAATCAATTATAACTTGACTTAATTCAATTATATTTACATCAATTAATTCATTTGAATATAATGATATATAACTTAAATATTCTTTTATTTTAAATATTTCATATGTTGATATTAAATATTCATTATTATTAATATTATTATTATTATCATCATTATTATTATTATTATTAATAGTAGGAGTTGGTAAAATATTAAATTCTTCACTTTTAATTAAAAATTCTTCAATTGATGGATCATTTAAATTCCAATCTAAAGTATTTAAAATATGTAATTCCATTTGTTTAAACATATTAAAATCATAATTACATTTATTACCACATAATTTAATTAATTCAAATAATTTTGGTAATCTAAATCTTTCTGTTGGACCTAAATATTTACCACCTGATCCATAACCTAAATCATTTAATATTTTAAAATTTTTACCATTATTAGAATTACAGGTATTATTATTATTATTTAAATTTATAAAATGATTATTACCACCAATTAATTTTGATGATATCCATAAACAAGTAGTTATAATTAATTGAGATTGATCTAATAATATAATTCTTTTTGAACAATATCTATCAAATAATTTTATTGCTTTAAAATAAACAAATGGTAAAATTTTTAATCTTTGTGACATCTTCAAAATAAAATCAATTAATTTTAATCTTATGTTGTAAGTTAAATAAGGTTGTTGATTATATAATTTCATATTTGGTTTATTTAATTCCATTAAATTTATAATATTATTATATATTTCAAATTCATATTCATTTATTGTTTGTTGATGTATTGTCAATTCTGATTTATATAATTTTGATGAATATGGTAATTGTTTAAATTCTTTTTTTGATTGTGGTAGTGGGGGTTGTTGTTTTATGAAAGTTTTCAGTTGATGAATTTGTGATATTGATTGAGGACTTAACATTTTTTTTTGTTAGTATCAATTTAAAAAATGTTTTATGTTATGTGTATTTTATATGAATTAAATTTTAAAAAAAGTGCTATAGATATTGATGCAAATGTGAAAAGTTAAATATAAAAAGTGAATGGTTAATAGTTAAACAAAGTAATGAATTAAAAGTAGTTAATGAAATGAAGTATAAAATGAATTGAAACTTTTTAAGTAAATGAAATGACTGGAAAATGAATGAAAATTTGGAGATTATAATTTATTTTTAATTATAATTATTATATATAACTTTTTGATTTTTTAAAATAAATAAAGTTGACCTAATATCAATCAATTTTTAACCATTTATGGTAGATAAAAACTAAAAGCCTATACTTTAAAATTATAATTGAACTTTTAAATTTATGAAGTTTATTTGAAAAAATTACAAAATTATAAATCTGAAATAAATAAAAAATCTAAAACATTTAAAGATATATTTATAATAATTAATTATATATAATTAAACCAAAATTGAAAAATTTTAGGGACAATTAAAATATTAACAATAACAATACAATACAACTTAATATGCTGATAATAATACATAGTTATAAAATCAGTTTAGTCAATTAATATTACAAAAAAGATTTACAATATTAATATACATAAAATATTTTTTTGTTAACATTTAAATTTTAGACGATTTAATTTAAAAATAAAAATAATAAATTAATTAATTACACAATTACAAAAAAAAGGGTTTATAACACAAAATACATTTCATCACAAAATAATAATTTATTATTTTTATTACATGTATAACAAAGAAGAATGTAAATAATAATAATTTATTATTTATAAATTGGAAAATTAACGGTGAAATACTCTTGAATAATTAAAAATAATACTGGATGTAACATTTTTTTTTTAAATCTAAGAAATTTTTCAATTTGAATTTGAATTGCAATAATTGGGAAAGGTTAATTTAAATTAAAGTTTTTAATCACCTTATTGAGTAAACATTATCAAACCATTTTGAATTACAGAAAGTTAAATAAACAAACAAATAAACAAGTAAACAAATAATACGAAACTTTGATTTTCCATCTTTATTAATAGTCTATATCATCAATACTTTTTTTATTGCTTTTTTTATTCTGATCAAATATCGCTTGTTTCAGAAATTGAATCACCAATTGACAACCAGTTGAAAATTAAATTTAAATGACAGTTTGTTAAATTTTATCTTTATTTCGTCATTTGAATAGATATTAATCAATATATTGTGCAAAGTAAAATTAAAAAGAATACGAATGATAAAACTAAAAAACTAAAACATCAATATAATCTCTTTCACAAAACCCATTCGTATTTATAAATAATTCTAAAAAGTCAAACTACAATTTATAATGCCTTTTCCAATTTGTAATGAATTATAAATTCATAAGCGCGAACAAAACCTTTGATCTATTGCTCAATAAATATAAAGAAAGAAAAATATTAAAATTTTTTGAAAGTAATGTAACCTTTTGACTGGCTTTATATGCGGAAAAAAGCTTGTATAACTTAAAAAATAATATATCAATTATATAATATCATTTTCATTGAGCTATGGGGACTATAGCAAATATAATATATTATTTTTTAGAATAATAAACCAGACCAAGCTCAAAATAATAGAATATAAAAAATTATTATAATTTGATTTAAGTCATTTCACAATTCTGAAACATTGTTGTAAGTTAATGGAAATTAATTTAAACGCGAAGGATTTTACAAAAAGAAATAAATTTATTTTTTAATAAGATTTGGTAGGTACGTTTGAAATGATATAGTCTACTATTCGACAGTGCTCCAAATGTGTCAATCAATTTAGTTAGTAAAGTTAGTATAGTTGAGAACTTAATAATGACATGTTATGTATTTAAAAAATTTTTATAAAAGAAAATGCAGATAGTATTCTTCATATTGATCTCCAATTTATCAATGCGCAAAAAAAATTAAAAAATAATTTAGAGTCTTGATAAACAGCATCAACAGTAATAGACGAATAGTTGAACTGTGGATAGACTAACTTTTACTGGGATGGAGTATTACTAATAGGAATTGAAGCGCGTTGATATCAGTCGATTTAATGGTTCATGAATGCGATGTCTTTTTTTTTTGACTAAAATATATTTTTTAAGGTACCAGGGGAAAAATATTGATACTTAATATTGACTACATATTAAAATGTTCTCATAAAATGCCAGTAAAATAAAAAAAATTCAGGCGGATGAAATTTTACAAATTTTGCAAAACATGCTCACAGGTACTTAAGTACCTAAGGGTTTCCTTAAGGATGTTTACTCAATCTTGATCATTGACTTTAAATTTGGTACGGTCAAATTTATTTTTTTATAACCAAGATCTCGTCTAATTATAAATGATAACAATAACAAATTATAAAAGTATAAATGAACGAAATAAATTTTAGATGAACTATAAAAAAGTATAATTAAAACTACAGAGTGTCTATAGTTGAAAGTGTTCTAGAATGTAAAATATATCAAATTGAAAAGATTTACAATACTAATAATTATTTGAAGTAGGAGTTAAAAATTAAAAAGGTTTGTATACTTATGCAGGACTGCTAATTTAAAGGTACAAAACATTTTGATAGTTGAATAGTAATAATATTGACAATAAAACGTTTAAAATTGTGCTTAATAACTCGTCAAATATTTATTAATCAATTTTGTCAAGTTTGTTACCATATTTAATATTTCATGATATAATTTTTTTTGACGAAAGTAATGTTATGGTACCTTGATTCAATTTGTATTAAAATAATCTAGTTCGATTTTAATTAAAAATATTTGGTTTTGTCCAGACTAGATTTAATTTCTTGAAAGATTTAATTAAATTTTGTAACTAATGTTGATCAATAAAAGTTTAATGAAGTCACAAATTGCTGGTCAATTTTTTATACAGAATTCAGCTTCCATTAATTAAAAATCGTTAATCTGTTCAACAATTAAAAAGTATTAAATAATAAAATTGTAATTTTGTGTTATAGTTAGCATAACGCAAAATTGCATTAAATTGGCAAATAAGAGCATTAACTTAATTTAAACAAAACAATAAAACCTTTTTAGTATCTCGTCAAAATTTTAAAATTAACGATTAACTTTTTATTGTCTTTTTTAGAAACATATTGTATTAGTACATTTTAATTATATGAAAGATTTACTTTCTTGTCTATCAAAAAAGTTTAAATTTTGTAATTTCTAAAAGTAGTTAAATTCAAAACAATTTAATTAGTTGATTGAAATATTTTGGTGTCTCACTTCTTGATTGATTTGAAGTAACATGGCTTTGTTGACCATAGACCTTGTTTTACTATCTATTGTTGATTCTGGAACAATCGAAACGGCATTTTGGAAGTATAATTTAAAGATAAAATGATAACAAGACAAGCTATAGAGAAGCTGTCACATGAGTATAGACCACTAATCTTGTTGACAAAAAAAATACTTGATCGTGGTTTTGCTCAAATGCTCAGTAGAGTTATCGCGTATTTTTTCTGACTATTATTTTTTTAACGTCCCAATTTACTCGATGGACACAATCCTAGAAGTTGATGAGTTTATGCACATTATACATTTGTGTACTTCATCTTAGACATTTTTTACGAATTTGCAAAGATGTTGAATCTCATTTGAGATTGGATATAATTTTTCAATCAATCTTTCTACATCATTTCCAAGTGACACTAATTTTAACTGATTATACTCAATTATAATTGTATTGTCCTTAATCAATGATTTGCGATTCTTACTATGGTTCTATTTCCTTAATCTGGTTAAATATAAATAAATACAAAGAAATCAACTGATCAATACATTAACAAGGCATTCAAAATTAACAAAATAAGACTAATTACAAACAAGACCAAAGGTTGAAAAATCACATCATACATCATAAAGGAATATCGTCTAAATGTACTTTGATAAAAAAGCGGATAAATAAGTTAAATTTGGTTTTAGAATAAGGCACCAGAATGTGTTAAACGAAACATTAAGACGTAGAATTTAAGTTACCAATTTTTTTGAATTTTGAAAGACACAAATTAGTTAATTTATGCAATTCGTTTTAAAAATCTGTAGCTAGTAATTAGATTCTTAACTCCTGTTAAATTTTTACATAAAACAATAGTAAATCGTTTAAATCTGGTGCAATTTAAGACGTCATACGTTTTTATTTTTTTTATTTGTTTGTTTGTCTAATTATCCAAATTGTTTAAAGTACTAGACCAGTCGAGACAGTTTAAATTTTGTGACTGTCTTTCATTTTTTGAACAAGGTTCATTAATTCAACTGCTTTAATATGAGTCTTTTTAAGGAAGGGTCTAAAAACAAAATCATTTTACAGAAAAGCGTTTAAAAAGGTTTATACTTTATAATTTAACTCAAATTATCTTTTTAACTCAAATTATCTTTTAAAAATAGAATTGACACAACACAAGGGTCCTTATTCTATAATTGTCCGAAAATCTTGTTCAGCTCTCACAATATTGTGAGTTAATATCTTTGTCTTTCAATAATTTTCTTATTAATTCTTTTCTTCAATTTTTGAGATAAACACAAATACATTAAGTAAGCCGCAAAAAACTCACTTAGACGTGTTTGTGAGTTTTGATAAACTTTAATTTAGCCTAAAAAAGACAACATAATTTTAACTCAAATATGCTCAAATGATATGGGATTACCTAGGATTGAGTAAAGATATAACAATAACAAATGAACCAACAATAGATTACAATAGATTGTCAGATAACACAACAACAAGTATTCAAACTCAAAAACGATCGAATAATTCATCATCACCTAAAAAGAAAAGCTCCAGAATTAGAGAAAATTATAATAGAATCAACTCTTATTTGAGAAAGTATAACTTACAAGATGATAATACAAATCAAAGCATGATAAACGAACGAACGTCAGATACTATACCAGAACATCATTATCAAAATCCAAAATCAAACTCAGAAAAGGCATCAAAATACGAAAATAATGAGAGCAATGCAAATAATGGAACCAAAGACATACCTATTATAGACAAAATTAATAAACTAAATAGGAAGATTATTCTACAAAATGAATACTTATTAGAATTGAAAAAATGTATTGAATTGAATGAATAAATACAATTGTCAGATAAATAATTTAATGGAAATACTTTTTGCGACAAACAAGTGCGCTCGATTTGTTAGCGAATATTGTATCGAAATTATTCAATCGTCAGATTCAGATTTATCTCCAGTTTAAGATAATATTTGGAACAGTTTATTTCCTGCTTACCTAGTCTATGACAAATGCAAGAAATTTTGCTTTGATGGAAGGAGTTTGATGTGCGAGCGGTGTCGGTACTAGCTAGAATAGTTTGGTGAAAACATAAAAATTTTTTGTCCATTCGATGTAACATTTCTTAAATATTTTTCAAATAGATCTTTCAATTTAATTTAATTTATTTTTTTTTCTTATCTATTTGATAAATCATTAATTTTAGAGACAACATAAATTTAAAAGATGATTGCATTCACTTCATTAAATATCATAACTCATTCTTAAAATATATAACATTAGGACTTTTCAGAAGCCATAACATTTTGTCAAAATTTTAAGTTTATTCATATCAGATCATTAGTTGGTCTTAATCCAATTTCAACTCAAGTAATTCTAACCACGAGGCCATACTAAAAAAAAATTATTTTTTGCAACAATAATGAGGAATGAAACATCACCATTATTAAGCGCAACTTCATCCCACGATGAGAATGAAGTTATATCATATGTCAAATCAAGAAGACAATCAATTCAATCAATGGAAAATAATAAGATTCCAGATGAACAATTACTACACAGTCCAAGACACCTACCAAGTTTATACCCAGTTACATCAAATAATTCTATTTTTCATTATCCAATAAGTGAGATCTTATCAAATCATGAATTAGAATTGAATGAAGAAGAACCTAAAACATCAATTTATAATGAATCAAAAATATTAGTTTTAAATTCCATTCCTTTAATAATAACTTTTTTTTTACAATATTCATTAAATGTTACATCTATAATAAGTGTTGGAAAATTAGGTTCAAAACAATTAGCAGCTATAAGTTTATCAACAATGACTGCAAATATAAGTGGATTGGCTATCATACAAGGTATTAGTACTTGTTTAGATACTTTATGTGCTCAATCATATGGTAAAAAAGATTTCAATAGTGTTGGTGTACATTTCTTGAGATGTAATTATTTTATAATGTTATTGTTTATACCAATTTGGTTATTTTGGGTCTTTGGAGTCAAAGATTTATTAATTTTAATTATTGGAAACGATGAAAAAGAAATTTGTGAATTAGCTGGTGATTATTTAAAAGTTTTAAGTTTTGGATTACCTGGTTTCATATTATTTGAAAATGGTAAGCACTTTTTACAAGCTCAAGGAATATTTCATGCCTCTACATATATCTTGTTTATAAGTCTACCTTTAAATATTGCAATGAATTATGTGTTGGTATGGACTAAATTTGGATTTGGTTTCATTGGTGCTCCATTAGCAATTGTTTTAACAAATTGGTTAATGTTTATTTTATTGTACTGTTATATTTTTTTTATTAATGGTTATCAATGTTGGCCAAAACAGAATTTATTTAACAAAATTTATTTCCAAAATTGGACAAGAATGATTAATTTAGCTATACCTGGTGTTGTAATGGTTGAAGCTGAATGGCTAGCTTTTGAAATTATAACTTTTGAAGCTGCAAAATTTGGTGAAATTGTTTTAGCTGCACAATCAATTATAAGTACTATATTGGTGTTATTTTATCAAGTTAGTTTTGCGTTAGGTATTACCGCTTCAATCAGAACAGCACTATTGATTGGTGGTGTGTATAAAGAATCTGCTAAAAAGGCAACTTTTGCAGCTATTTATACTTCTTTAGTGTTTGGTTGTATCAATTGTTTTATGATTTATAAATTTAGATATCAATTAGCATCAATTTTTTCAAGTGACAAAAAAGTTATCGAATTAGCATCAACAGTATTAATTATTGGAGCTGTTTATCAAATAAATGATTTGCTTACTTGTAGTTTAGGAGGTGTTCTCAGAGGACAAGCAAGACAATCTATAAGTGGGTGGTTAAATATTATTGGGTATTATTTTATTGCTTTACCAATCGCATATTACTTAGCATTTATTAGAAATTGGCAATTAGTCGGACTTTGGACTTCATTAATTATTGCATTATCTTTTGTTAGTTTTACACAATTATATTTTGTATTAAGAAGTAATTGGGATGAAATTATTGATGAATGTATAAATGAAGCAATAACCGAAGAGGAACATAATTAATTAGAATTTAAAAGTCAGGATTTTGAGAAGAGACATAGAAATACTTGTATGATAATGTATATTTATAAATTGAGTAGACGTAATACCTTATAGAGATTTTTGATATAAAGCTATGAAAATTCAAGCTCTTTGTGTACTGTATATAAGTAATTAAAGAAAAATTAATTTGCCACAAGTCAAATTTTACGAGAGCCGCAAGAATATATTTTGAGATAAAATTAAGCTTGGACAACTAATAGAATTTGGTCTGTAAAAAGAAACTACACAAATGATAGCGAGACTGTAAAAAACAAGGATATATATAAAGAGTTTTTCCATGGACTATTAGATCAACTATTTTTGATTACATATCAGCTCATGTTAACCTTTTTAGTAACTTTTAATTGATCATTGCTTAGTAATATCACAAGTATAAGTTGCATTTAAATCTCTAATACTTGCATTAGTCGAAAGGAGAGCCAAAGTAGCTGTGGGAATGATTTTGTTACATCTGCCGAATATATGTTGGGCTTACTAATGGTTTTGCGGAAAAAACCAAATTACTAAATTCTTATAATTGACTAAAGACAAGATAAGTATATCACAATTTAAGTTATACTCTATATCTTCATTGAGTGTGGTATCATGAGAACGGAGATAAAAACCAGATCCACCACATATATGATATTAAATTTATTCCGATATTTTATACTTTTATCCCTAGAGTTCAAAATTAAGTTTTGTGGCTCAATTGATATAGCAAGTTTTAGATATTTAATCGGTAGCTCAAGTTCCATAGAATTCCAAATTCAGGATTTTAAAACTGAACAACTTGAAACTTACTCAAATCGAAGTAATTAAAAATTGATCTATTGTTGAGATTTTCACTTAATTAATTTAAAGTCTATAAATTAAAGTGTTTGGCCAGTAATTTAAATTTTTCACTGTTTATTAATAAAAATTCATTTTTAAGAATTAACTCAATTGATAAATAACATACAATAAATTCTTTGAAAAATGTCCCTTTTAAATAAAAGCTTCAAATTAGAGGATGCAAACACCATACCTGCTGTTGGTTTTGGCGTTGGAACAAAGCATTTCAAGCGTGGTGGTCCAGGTCAACTTGATAAGGAGACTGTTGGAGTTATACGTACAGCTATCAATGCTGGTATTAGACTTATTGACGGTGCAGAGGTTTACGGCACTAACCAAGAGATTGGGGTAGCAGTTAAAGAGTCGAAGGTGCCAAGAAAAGAACTTTTCATCACCAACAAATATAATACTGGAGGATTAACTCATCCACATTCTAAGCATGCAAATCCATATGAAGCATTGAAAGCTGATTTAAAAGATTTACAAACTGATTATGTTGATTTGTATCTTTTACATTATCCATATATCAAGAAGGAAACTCATGGGTTTGATTTAGTAGAAGGTTGGAGATATTTAGAAAAATTAAAAGATGAAGGATTAGCTAGAAATATTGGAGTTTCAAATTTTACAATTGAAGATTTACATCATATTTTTGCAGCCAATCCAAAACATTTCCCACAAGTTAATCAAATTGAATTTAGTGCTTATTTACAAGATCAAACTCCAGGTATCGTTGAGTATTCCCAAAAACAAGGTGTTTTAATAGAAGCTTATGGTCCATTGGGTCCAATTACTAAAGGTAAACCAGGTCCATTAGATCCAGTTTTAGAAAAATTATCTAAAAAGTATAACAAAACTGAAGATCAAATTTTATTAAGATGGGTTTTACAAAAAAACGTTTTACCAATCACAACTTCATCAAAAGAAAATCGTATTCAAGCCATTTTAGAAATTTTCAATTTTGAACTTGATAAAGAAGATGAAGAAGAAATTACTAAAGTTGGTAAAGAAAAAACTGTTAGACAATTTTCAAAAGAATATTCTAAATATGATTAGAAAGGAATGTGTATTGAAGTACAAAAATTGCTATTAATATGTTTGAACTGTAGATGAACTGAATGACCTTATCTCTTTGTTTTCTAAATACTGGTCAAATTTTGTTGATTAAATCTCCTATCTTGTCCATTGGACTGGCTTCAACTAAACGGAGTATATAAGGCAAAAGGTAGTATACCACTGGTGTACCTTGGTTATCGAGAACTGCTTTGTGGGATCTAATATTGAAAGATCTTATCAAACCATTATACGAATAATTAAAATAATTTCTTAATCTTATGCTCCTAATTCTTCTGCAATTATACTCTCTAATACTGATCCATCACTCTCTATAAACTCCTCAAATTTGACATCTCCGACGATTAAGTTTCTCAATATATCTTTAAACTCATTAGAATTGACATTCTCAACGTTTTCATTTAGACAATAATTTAATTTCACAAATTCATTTGCAATTTCAAGCTGATGATTATCCATTAGTTTATCATTCACTATAACTATTAAAGGTTTTTTGTACTTTAATGTATCTATAATTGAACCTGTCCCTGCATGAGATATCACTAAATCTGAGATTTTTATATATGAGTCTATATTTGATGAGAATGGAAATGCGATTATTTCAATGTTGAAATTGATTAGTTTATATGTGTTACTTTCAGTATCCTCGTTTACTTTGAAGTTTAATTGTTTAATTATTCCAGACTTTTCTAGTATAATTTCAAAAGCAGCTTTACTTATATGTTTGGATTTTTTTATTTCATTTCCATATTGTAGATATAATTTCGATACTCCAATATCAATCAAGTTATTTATAAAGCTTAAGCTTAGAACCTTTTCAATCAACGATGTGAATGTGACTGTGGCACCTGTAGTAATCAACAAGGTTGTCATGATTTGATTAGTCTATATTGAATGATATTTTCAACTGTTATACGATAAGAATCTGATACTCTCTCGTTTAGATTCAAATTCTTTTATTTACATTTTTTTTTTCACTTTTTGCATACATCAAATAACACCAGACCAACTCAAAATGAAGCTATTATACTTTGGTTTACTTCCAATCTCAATATATGTAATACTAAATTACTTATTCACAACATGGTTACCAACTAATTATAAATTTGATAAAGAGGTTTTACAGAGTTTAGTTCAAGAAACATTAAAAGAATTTCCAAATGGTAATGCAACTGAAATAATGATTGAATTAACACCAAAATTACAAGCTGAATACCCAGGTTTGATTAACAACTTAACATTTACCGAGTGGTTTTATAATAATGCAGGTGGAGCAATGGGGCAAATGACAATTTTACATGCATCAATATCTGAATATTTAATATTTTTTGGAACTTCAGTAGGAACTGAAGGTCATACTGGAGTACATTTTGCTGATGATTACTTTACGATATTGACAGGCGAACAAAGAGCTGCATATCCAGGTATATTAGAACCTGAAATTTATAAACCAGGTGACCAACATCATTTAAAAAAAGGTCATGTTAAACAATATGCTATGCCTGGAGGAGCTTTTGCTTTAGAATTAGCTCAGGGATGGATTCCTGCAATGTTACCGTTTGGATTTTTAGACACTTTAAGTTCCACGTTAGACTTTCATACATTTTATTTAACAAGTTACTATACTGCTAGAGATATGATAAAAAATCTTTTAAATGGTAAGTTTTAGTTGATCCTGAGTAGAAAATTGATTTTATTAAAAAGTATACATATTTAGATAATAGATGGATAAATAATTCATTAATTTTTGAACGATGTAAGCTCTGCCCAATAATATAAAGTCAGTGAAACACTGTAAATCAGCTCCATAAAACTAAATTAGTATTTGATTTCCGAGTATTTAGTCAAACGTGACTTCATGACAATCGAAAGATTAAGCTATTTAAAAGTATAACTTTTTGGAAAACTTACATGACATATGTTGCTTTTGCTTAAAACGAAGTAACCATTTGGTAATGAAAACACTTTTGAGATATTGGGTAAATACCTAATTTAGCAAATTATGCTTGTTTCTAGCTCTTTTTCACACCAAATTGTTATGTCCTAATTTTACAAGTTTGTACCGGAACAACTATGTAAAGTAAATGTGTCATGTGACAAAAGAGCAGTTGGTAGCTTGTTTAAATGATTTAGTGTCATACGCAGATAAAGTAAGTGCTACCAATTTGTTTACAAAATATATAGCTGCAAAAAAGTTTTTCAAAACTTACGCGAAAATCAAATTTAAATGTATTACAAAATGACTAGTATATTATTATTATTTATTATATAAACTAATGTATTAATACTATCTATTATAAGAGATTGAATTAAAATCGATAAATGTTCTGTTGGGATTATTACATTCTATGACCACCCAATTGTAGTAAAGATTTTGCAACGCTAAAACTATTTGGAGTCCCTAAATGATTATTAAAAGGTGATGAAGTCAATACAGTTTTAGTATTATGTTCCTCCTCCAGTTCATCTTCTTCTTCTTCATCTAATTGTAATTTCGTCTCATCATTATCTTTTGTGGTATTTTGATAGGTTGAGTTTTGTAATACCGTCATATCATTATCATCATCTATTGTATCATCAATAGTTGTTGGCATTCTTGATGCATTTGTGAATGATAAATTGGCTTGTTTTATTGGAGTTTTCAAGATTTTGTTAATGGATGGCAATTGAAGTTCGAAATTATTTTTTGGATAAGTTATTGAGGGAAGTGAGGTTGTTATTGACGGTTGATAAATTAAGTTGTTTATAAATGAATTCATTGATTTTTGAGTTTCAATCTGTTGCTTTTTGCGTATTAACGGTAATTTCTTGGTATTGCTGGAATAATAGATACTGTTTTTTTTAATTTGAAATAATTTAAGCTTCTTTTGCTTTTTGAATTTATCATTTGCAACTTTTGTTAAAGAGGTGTGTGAAGTCTCCAATTTATTATCATATTGTAAATTAACATTAATCGATTTTGTATAATATTTTGGTGGTTCTGGCGGAGTTGGTAATGATGACCATAAATTTGAATGATGATAATTCGAATCAAAATTTGGTGAAGAATTAGGTGTAGTTTTTCTTGAATTCAATGGACTTAATATGGAATTTGAATTTACTTTGTTGGTCTTGTTTTGTTTTAATTTATAAAGTGCAAATTGTAATTTTAATTTTAATTTTGTAGCTGCTAATCCTGCAAGATCATTTGATGAATTTGAATGCAAAGTTGGTAATTTTTCTGAAGAATTGAAACTAAAACTATTTGATTTTATAGCTGTTGGTGTTTCGTCATCATCTCTATAATTACTTCCATAATAAGTGCCGGATTGTTCAATGGAAAACGATTTAGCTATCAAGTCAGGATATCGCCTTTTCAAAAATTTATTTTTAATTGGGGTTGTTGAGTTTGATGAATTTAATTGACTATCTTTTATAGTTGATAATGCTACTCTATTTGTAATTATAGACATTGATCTTGTGGGTTGATGAATAGTTGTTATTATTGACGTGACTTTTTTTTGTTGTGATCGTGTTGTTTGTTCTTTCATTCAAATTCCGTCAAATTTAAGACTATACTTGACAACCTTAATCTTCAATTGAATGTGTTATTGAGTTTGAATCTGAATAACTAGAGTTAAAAGTTCAACAATTTGAAAAGTTAAACTATAATAACAAATATACTCAAAACTCGGTATTATTATTGAATTGTTAATGTTTATTCATAAATTACAAATTGCATATTAGAGTAATTAAGTAAGTAAATAAATAATATAATGTTTTGTGTATAAATGAAAAATTCTAAACTACTAAAAATGGATTGCATCAAAACAAAAAAGAAAAAAAATTATAAACAAAACAAAAGTTATTATATATAGAATACAAAAACGTACACAGAGTGAAAAATTGATGAAAAACCTATAGTATTATGAAGTAGTTTTTTGATCCATTTTTGGATTAGTTTTTAATTTATTTAACGATCATTTGGGTCATCTAAATTATACTATGATCTTAATTTGTAAATTGATTTTAAAACATTTTGATACTTTGCAATAAACGCGAACTTTGTTTCGTAATTGATCTTCATCTCTTTAATTTTTCAAATTACATAATTTTCATCAATACTGTTCAAAATCTATACAAGTAACTTAGTGAAGATTGACATATATTCTGATGATCTAATTATAGAACAACTTCATGTTATTTTTACTTCAAACTTGTAAAACTTTCAAAACTAAGATGTTACGCGTATAAAAATAAATATTACACAAAATTTTTTACTTGATGAATCAATATTCTTGTAAGTACTAATTTTTAAAACCTGAACCCTTTTTGTTGAATTTTAAATCGCCAAAACTTAATTACGAAGCAAGAGAAATTGTTAACACTTAAAAACTTTTGGAATTGCTTTAATCAAAGTCACATCAAATATTATTGGCACTAATCGTAAATGTAAAACTACAATTCATCGTGTATTTTGAAAATAAAATAGAAACAACTGTTGTTTTGTGATCTTAAATTCCAAGAAACTTTCGACATTAGATCTGACCTTGTTCTCTATTTATATTTTTAATAATTTTGGTTATTTTAGTTTTTGATTAGCATAGTTTATAATACGTAGAATAAACACGTAAATTCAAAATCAATTAATTCGAATATGCAAGTTAACGTATTGTTTTGAGTTTATTTTATTATATTTTAAACTTCTTATTGATCTTGTATTTTAAAAAAGGGTACTTTTACTAAAAAATTTATTAATTTACCACTGAATAATAATTTATTAAATTAAAGTTTTACGAGATTTTGATCGAATTGTAATTCTTTGTTGTTATTTAATTGTCTTATTTGAGTAAAGACCGTTTGACATGTCATATTTCAAGTCTAATTTCTTTTGTAATGGTCTTCATATAATGTCAAGCATATTTCACTGTGTATACAAAGTTTGTGCTAAACAAACTTTGTTCCTCCAGTAAAGGTTGATTTGTAAGCCCTTTGAAAAAGTGCTTTTGCAGTAGCTTGTTTCTTGATCAAACATTCGGTTCGTCTTAACTATTGAGGTACGGATGTTTCAAATCCTAATCGCTCAATTTATACTGTTTTAGTTTATAATTTGATGCAAATATCCACGATTAAGTCATTTGCTATTATGCATAATTATAGACAAAATTGTTAAATTTTATTGGAATAAGAATTTTTTGGTCTCGCTCATCCAGTAAACCATATTCAAACAAATATACCTATATCAAGTCTTAAATAGTAACTAGGACAAAATTATTTTTGGAACGAAGTTTGGTCCTTGCCAGCTATATATCTTCTAAAATTTACTAGCTGCCTTTTTGCCTTTTCTAGTTTAACTGATTTGTCATTTAAAACAAAAAAGCTTTAAGTACCTTTAGTGTATGGGCTTCAATGGGCTACTACAATAGAGTACTATTAAGTATCAACTATTTATAGATTATTTCCCATATATTCCGAATTAGTAAATTAAACTGCGGCTTCACTATTGATAACAAAATTCTAAATTTATTAGACTAAGATAAGAGAAAAAAATATAAGTCATACATTTAATAATTCTTTACAACCAAGAATTATAAATACAATGTTAAGATCAAAATTATCATCACTTAGAGAATATTTAACTCCTATAAATCATAATTCGAATTTTTTAACTACTGGAGAAATTAGTCCCGAAGAATTTGTAAAAGCTGGTGATTACTTAGTTTACAAATTTCCAACTTGGTCATGGTCTTCATGTCCTAAAAATTTACAAAAATCATTCTTACCGGAAGATAAACAAGTGCTAGTTACAAAACACGTACCAAGTCACGTTAGAGCTAATAAATATTATGATAATGGAGAGGAAGAAGAAGAAGAAGAAGAAGATGCTGATAAAGAAGAATTAAATGAAAATGATGAGGAATATGGATGGATTAAATCAAAAAAATCTAAAAAGATAAAGGAAATTGAAGAAGAAACAAAAGAAATAAATGATATTGATGAATTTATAGATGAAAACGCAGAAGATGATGAATTAGAAGAAGATTTTGATGATTTAGATATAAAAACAACCACGAATTCAAATTTGAGGAAATATGATTTATACATTACATATTCAACTTCTTATAGAGTTCCAAAATTATATCTTGTTGGATTTAATTCAAATGGTATACCATTGTTACCAAATCAAATGTATGAAGATATTAATTCAGATTATAAAGATAAAACCGTTACTATTGAAAATTTACCAGTAGCACATAATACAACTTCAATTTCAATACATCCTTGTAAACATTCATCCGTTATGAAAGTTTTAATGAATCATCAAATAAACAAGAAAGAAAAAACTTTGGAAAATTTATCGATAAATGATAAAGAAGAAGAAGAAGTGGATAAGGATGAAGAAAATACATTGAGACCTGATCATTATTTAGTGATATTTTTAAAATTTATTGCTAGTGTCACACCAGGAATTGAATATGATTATACAATGGATGCTTTATAATATAACGAATATTTAACAAACCTTATCTCAAAGTAAAAATTTATTTTATTTGTAGAACATTAAAATTTTTAGAGCCAGTATTACAGTTACCAAGCTAGTAATCAATTGGCTACTAATCCAAGCAACGATTTAATATACAACATTACCCATTTCAACAGCTACGATTAGAGTAATAGTCAATCTACCTATAGCATTTGCCAACACCAAGAAACAATTCTATTATCTGAGTAGTTTAATAGTTCATGCTCTTTCCATTTTGCGGGAACTGAATTAACACTGGGCCCCTCATCCCCAAACTTAATACAGAAGCCGGGTAAAATTGAGAAACTACTAAAAGGATTAAATGAGAGCAATAGCAAAGACTATGATAATTTCCATCATGAATATGCATTAGATTTGAATCATTCAAGTTTGATTAGGATCTAAACACTTACAAAAATCTATATAATGACTTATGCAAGACCACTTTTTTCATGAAAATATTTCAATTGACTAACGAATTTTCTTTTGAAAACAATACACCTCCAGATATGAGATTCAAATGGTTTCATCTTTTCAGAAGTAGAAAAGTTTAAAGCATATCTTGATTGTTCAAAAATATTATGCGCCTTTTCCAAAAAATTACTTTTCCACAGAATATGTGGCAAATTACACAATTCGTATCAAATACTCAAATTTTAATCTTGTCTTATTTATTCAAAATAACATACTATACTAAACAAGAATAATAAACAGAATTGAAATAATAAAGTCATTGCAAGCATTATTTGGTTTCTTCATCAACATATTCAATATGCTTTCTTTCATTAACAACATCTTTAATACCATCGTTTCCTAATCTCTCCATCATTTCTCCAACATCAAATGTATTAACTTCGGTAGATTTGAATTTTCTTGCTGGTACTTTTTCTTCAAATAATTTATCCAATTCAGCAATTGTTCTATTTCTGGTTTCCGGAACCTCAAAGAAAGCCCATGTCACTGCCATAAATGCAAGACCAGCCCACAAAAAAGCACTTTTAGCACCCCAATTCCAAGCAGTTGGATTTAACATATAACTGGATATAATTGATACCACAATTCCGGCAACATTGTAAGCAAATCTAGCCATCATAACTGTTTTTTGTCTTAATTTAGCTGAGGGAATCTCTGCAACAATACAATAGATAATAGGACCAATGGTAAGATCATAGACAAAAGTATAAACCAATAACATTGACCCAATTCCCCAAGACGCTGACTTTGAATGTGCACAGCCCAAACCACCAGTAATTAATAACAAAACAAGCATCACACATAAACCACTGAAGAAGATTGAAAAACGACCGAGCTTTCTACTAATCACCCATGAACCAACAGTTCCAATCATTCCCAAAACATATTGAATAATTGAAAAAGTGAAAGACATTGAAACATCCAAACCAGCTTGTTGATAAAAATAAGTAGAGTAACCCATAAGTGAAGCACCAGTAACATTTTGAATTACCCAAACTATGGCAGCAATTCTTGTACGTCTAAAATTAGCACCAGTGAAACATTCTTTGAATGTAGCACCTTTTCCGGTAATTTCTTCTTCTTTTATAACTAATTGAATTTTAGTAACCATACTATCAATAACTAACCTTTTATCAGGCAAATACTTGTTGTTTGATAATAACCCATTTAAAGAACGTTTTGCATCCTCCAATCTTCCTTTTCTTACCAAAAAATAAGGTGATTCTGGAGCAAAGAACACTCCAATCATAATAGGAACTGGCCAGAACCATTGAATAGCAAAAGCAATACGATAAGCATTAGGATCACTCATACTTTCAATACCTTTCAATACCAAACTACTAATTAATTGACCAATAACCCAAGCAATATTAATAAATGACGTAAGATACAACCTTAAGCAGGAAGGAGCAACATCAGTAGCATAACAAACAGCCAATACTTGAAGACTTCCATAAACTAAACCACAACATAAATAGCTTACTAACAAAATTTCTTTAGTTGGTGCAAAAAATTGAATAAAGATGAAACCCATTTCAACAGCTAAGACTGGAGTGATAGTCAATCTATAACCTATAGCATCTGCTAATACACCACCAAAAAACAATCCAATTAATTGAGTAGATTGATAACCCATGGAAATTGCACTTTGCCATTTAGCGGGAACTTGATAACCACTAGGTCCCTCAACCCCAAATTTTTTACAGAAGCCGGGTAAAGCCCAAAAACTACTAAGAAGATTGGTATCGAACCCCTCGAGTATTAAGCAACTTGACAATACCAACGAAAAGAAAACAGCTTTTGGAAATGTTCGTAGCCCTTCTTTCAAAGTCATATGTTTATCTTTTGAATCTTCGTTCTTTGCCGAATTTGAAAGCTGTATAAATTTTGAAACGTAGTCATCAACATCAGTATTAGTAGTCTTTATTGTACTTTTATCATCAATATCACTTGTAACAGAAGCAGTTGCAATAAGTTTGTCATCACCTTTAATTTCCTGAATATCATATTCTGACATTTTGAATTGTTTGAATGTTAGTTGTATGAATTTATACTAGAAACATAACCATCAAACAATGAAAATTTTACCTAGTATTTATATTTTAAACTTTTCATTTTGTTGCTAGACTCTAATTTGATGGTTTTGACTGCTCGAATGATAACAATTTTATTTTCATGTTAAAAATTAATTTAAGAATTTTCATTTCCCCATAAATTTTTAACTTGATTTTAAGAATAGATGCGTCAAAAATCAATGTTCCATACGTTTTGTATTTTCTTTAGTTAATTCAATTATATAATTTGAAATAAATATTTGAAACTTGAGTTCAGCCTTTTCAATTTTACACCAAGTCCGATCATAGGAAACTAAACTTTGGAGGGGAATTTCCAGTTTTGAAAATTTGAATAGAACGCAAGTCGGCAATAGCAATATTAAAAATATAAAAACGGATTTGTCAACAAACTTTCAACTCCAAGAATTGAATTAAATTGAATTTGTCTACCTCGTTGAATTACTCGGAAAATTTATTTTAGTTTAATTTGAATAAACGATTCAAAATTTGACAATGTTATTCTGATCTTCCCCCACAATTAAAAAATATTTACGAAAAAATCTAATTGTTTACTGCTTAACTTTTAATTATTGTATCACTATTTCATCAAAGAGCTGATACAACTTATACTTCAACATCATGTACAAATATCTTCAGGCATTTGAATATAGTTTTCCAATCGTACGGTTGTGGACTAAAACTCAATGTATCAACAAAAGAGTTGAGTATTCATTTGCTTTTCTCCAAAATTTTTATGCATGTTCTCTTAAACTTTTTTGGAATGAAACTTCAAAAGAAAAACCAATTAAACAACTAACGAACGTATGATCAATTTGAAATTTCAAAAGTATATTTTTCCTAAATTTTACATACACTTTGAGTAAAAATTATTCCGCTGCTGAAAATCAAGCTAGCTCTTGGCTATCATCAAAGAACAGATTTTGATTTAGTCAGTTTTGCAACTTCACCAAACATTCGGACAATATCGTTCTTATTGAGAGCAGCGATAATCTCCAAGGTATTTCAGGTTCAAATCTTTATTGTTTTAAAAACGAAGTACTTATTATAATAGTTTACGAAACTTTAATTTAAGTAATAGGTTTCGTTAAGATAGTAAATTAAACTTCAAAAATTTGTTGAGTTCTTGTAGTTTGCCATTTTAGCGCCTTGTAAACTTTTTGAATCGATACTTATTTTTCTTTAACAAGTCAAATTTAATAATAAAACAATTCTCCACAAATTGTATTACGTAATTTATTACATAATAAAATACTAGAAATTTAAAATTTTCCGAGATTTACTAAAAATTTAAATTATTGCGAGATATTGATTTAATTTTTGCGAGAAATAGAAATTAAAACAATAATTTTTAGTTACTTTTTTATTCAACTAAGACAGTTCAGAAATGGAACAATAGAATAGATAATTGAACAACCCCCACAAGATAATAATTAAGAAATAAAATGACATTCAATCTAAATTTCAAAAATACTTTTTAATCCAAATGAGAAGTATATAAAAAGATAATACTTAGAATAAAACTATCTTTTTATTAATTCTTAATAATTTTCGAAACAGATACAACTATAATTAACTAAAACTCCAATTTATTTGGTTTATAACACTGGAAGATCGTTGTCAAAGAAATCGTCACAAATAACAAAAACTATATAATCAATTAATAATTTACAAAATGACTAAAGACTATACATGGTGGAAGGATGCTACTGTTTATCAAATTTATCCATCAACTTTTATAAAAGGTAAAAAAGGTAAATTCGAAGGTCCAAAAGATGTTTTTGACGGAGAAACCGGTGATTTAAAAGGAATAATCAGTAAACTTGATTATTTAGCTGATATTACTGATGTTATTTGGTTAAGTCCTCATTATTTAAGTCCAAATAATGATATGGGATATGATATTGAACTGTATGAAAAAATCTTACCTAGATATGGTTCTGTTGAAGATATGCAAGTATGCTAATGTGATTTTGAATTTCAAAAATTTTTTACCAACTAAGTACTAACAATTCTCTAGACTTTAATTGATGAATGTCATAAACGTGGTATGAAAATCATTTGTGATTTAGTTATCAACCATACTTCAGACTTACATGATTGGTTCAAGGAATCTAGATCAAGTTTAGATAATCCAAAAAGAGATTGGTATATTTGGAAAAAACCAAAATATGATGATAAAGGTAATAGAAAACCACCGAATAATTGGGGTTCTTATTTCTCAGGAAGTGCTTGGGAATATGATTCCAAAACTGATGAATATTATTTAAGATTATTTGACAAGAGTCAACCAGATCTTAATTGGGAAAATGAAGAAACAAGAAAAGCTATATATGATTCAGCTATGAAATTTTGGCTTGACAGAGGTGTAGATGGTTTTAGAATTGATACTGCTGGTTTATATTCCAAAGTTCAAGATTTTCCAGATGCCCCTGTCCTTTTCCCGGAAGATGATTATCAACCAAGTGGTAATTTAACACTCAATGGTCCAAGAATTCATTTTTTCCATAAAGAAATGTATGATCAAGTTACTTCAAACTATGATGCCATGACTGTTGGTGAAGTTGGTCATTGTTCAAGAGAAGAAGCTTTGAAATATGTTAGTGCTTCAAGAGGTGAAATGAATATGATCTTTTTATTCGATACTGTTGATGTTGGCTCAGACAAAAATGATAGATTTAGATACAATGGATTTGATTTAAAGGACTTAAAAGAAGCAATTAAAACTCAATGCGAATTTACTGAAGGTACTGATGCTTGGTCAACTGTCTTTATTGAAAACCATGATCAACCAAGATGTATTACTAGGTTTGGTGATAAGAAATATCAAACTAAGAGTGGTAAATTATTAGCAATGTTTCAGACTACTTTAACAGGTACTTTGTTTATCTATCAAGGTCAAGAAATTGGTATGACTAATGTTCCAAGAGATTGGCCAATTGAAGAATACCAAGATGTTAATACGATCAATTATTATAATCAATTTAAAGACAAATATGGGAAAGATGCTGATTTTGCAGAAAAAGAACAAAAATTAATGGACATTATTAATTTATTAGCGAGAGACAACGCAAGAACTCCAATGCAATGGGATGATTCGGAAAATGCTGGGTTTTCAGATCATAGACCATGGTCAAAAGTCAATCCAAATTACAAAGAAATTAATGTTGCAAAACAATTAAATGATCCAAATTCATTATTAAATTTTTATAAGAAGTCATTAAAATTAAGAAAAAAATATAAAGATTTATCTATTTATGGATCTTTTGAAATTTTGGATTTTGACAATAAACAAACTTTTACTTATGTTAAAAGTTTGAAAGATGCCAAATCACCAAAGGCTTATGTAGTTTTGAATTTTTCAAAGGATAATGCTAAATTTGAAAGATTAATTGATGGTCAATATGAGTTGATTAGTACTAATGTTGATAAAGACGAATTTGATGAAGAAAAATTATCACCATTCGAAGGTCGTATTTATATTGTTAATTAAATAATTTTATAGAGTTGTTTAATAGATAGAGTTAATGTTTTTGGTTCTTAATTTGTAATAGTCGTTAATAAATGCAAAAACCTTTGTGTTTCAGATTTCATAATAAATGGCTTGGTAGCAATTTTAATGTCATGTCAACTTTCAATGTCACCAAATTGTATTGTGCTATCAAATCTCCAAAATAAATTTTCATTATTTTTTCACAACTACTTAGACATCTATCAATTAACAATCAATACCACAACAATGTTTCACAATACAATACGATCAAATGCAGTCAGATCACTAATGAACTTTACACAAATTAGAACCAAAATGAAATCACATAAAGCAATAACAAGTAGAATAATAAAAAGAACATCTGGTTTAAAAAGAAAACATGCAGGTATGAATCATGGATTAGGTAAATTCAGTACACCATCGTTAAAACATTTAAGAGGTTTCACAGAAGTTAAAAAAGAAGGAGGGTATTTAAAGAAAATGTATCCGTATGCTTGAGGAGAGAAGAAAATCTATAACTTGTATATACACCTAATCAATTCAATTTTTCTTGTTTAATTGTGTCCCATTTTCCTGTATTTTCATTTCTAATTAATTCAGTCGTTGGAAAATAATGATAATCAGTCTTTAAGGATATAGCAGCAGGAATATTATCAAATGAGACTAATCTTAATTTAACATATGATTTATCTGGAATTTCTTTTATAATTTCAACAAATTTCTCAAATTTAGTTACATCTTGATCATTTATATGGGTTATAAAACTTATTGGAACTATACCATATTGATGAGCTGGACCACATGAACTTTTATCAGTCACAAATACTTCTGATGGGATTTTAGTCATTAATTGTCTAACTCCTAGATGAGGCTTTTGTATTAATGCACCTGACCAATAAACAACATTTGAAGTTTCTAATGTCGTCACTGTTGGAACTTCAATATTCAATTCTTTCTTTTGACGTATAATTTTGAAATTTAACTTTTCATTATCGTACATAAAAGCAAAATCTCTCATACTTTTAACGGGTTTACCATTGATTGATAAAACTATATCACCAACTTTTAAAGGATTTGGAGGACCCGCAGCGACTCTATCAACTGATAAAAATTTGATTTGATCTTCTGCTTCTTCTTCAAATTTATCAATCCATTCTTGTGGGACACCACGAGTTCTACCTTGGAAAACAGTAACTGAAGCAAATTCAACATTTAACATTCTGATATTCTTCGGTATTATATTTTTTTGTAATGATTTTATGACATCTAAAACATCAGTCACGTCTAAACCCATTTTATAAGATTGTTCATTTGATTCACCTAAATATGAAAGCCAGAATGCTCTTAAGGTTCCATCATAATCTACCAACATACCAGTGTTACATTCATGAGTAATCTTGCTATCTAGTAAAACACATTCTAAATTTGTACCTCTATATCTCGGAGCTACTCCATTGGCAGTAACATTTAATGATGATATCGAACTGACTTTTACATTATCGGTGATCAATCTTAAATTATAATTATAACCAACAAAGAATAAATCATCTCCTCTTTTTAATGGTGTTGATGAAAATTTTGGTGCTTGAACATCTGCAAGAACATATTTTGGATCATATTTTATTATGGCATAATTTAATTGTGGATGTAGAAATACAACTTCTCCCGAAACATCTATAGATTCTGCAAATACAACAAATATATCACACATATAATGAGGAACAAATCTTCTTGAAGTTAAAACAAACCCGTTTTCAGCATCTATAACGACACCGTAACATATATCTTTTTTGAATGGGTGTGAGTCAACTCCGCTTGGACAAAGGGTTCGTATTTGAACAAATGATCTTACTAATTTTGAAAGTTCTTTTTTGTCTTGACCTGGTATATCTATGAATTTTGCTTTTTGGGCAACTTGTGGTGGTGGTGGTAATGGTTTTTCTTGTAATGATTTAAAATCCCATAATCCTGTTTCATCATTTCTAGTAGCCAATTTAAAAGATGTATACCAATGTCTATCAATATATATAGTTTGAACATATTCTGCATGCATATCTGAAACATGACGATAAGTGACTGGTACTCTTGAACAATCAGGTAATTGTTTCATTATCTCAACAAATTCATTTAAATTATTTACAGTTTTATCATCTATAGTTTCAATAATAAATCCTAAGGTATCTTGATTTGAAAATTCAAATGATCCTGCTCCATCACTTACATAGAGTCCTCTAACAGGTAAGCAAAAACATCTAGCAACTTGATAAGAAAGATCATTAAATGAACCACCCGCAACTTGAACAAATTTATTGGGCGTTATGTTATGTAAATCACCAATTCTTATAGTTTGCTTCAATTCAATTCCACTTCTTTGTACTACAAACTCTAATTCTTTACCAACATTTTCATCTAATATTTCATCCACTCTTACAAAAGTCGAGATACTTTCTCCATTTATTGAAATTAATGTATCACCTTCTTTGATTAACCCATCCGCTGGTCCTTCTGGTAATACTATTTCTGCCACTAACAACCCAATTTTATCTGGGAATAATTTTCTTGCGTTCTTTTCAGCTTCAGCAGTTAATCCAAGTCTTGAACATTCATTAAAAGGTTTTAATTCCCATTCCACTTGTATATCACCTCTTGTTATGGTTTTGTTTTGTTGTATACATTCTAAAGCTCTTTTTGGTCTATTTACAGGTAAGAAAAAATCAGTTGAAGCTTCAGTTGATCCACCAGCTTGTAATGCAACACATTTTCCATCTTCATTTACAACTGGAGATCCCGAGGATCCACCAGTAGCTGAAGCAGCTGCTTGAATATATTCTGTATTGAAATCATTATATGTTAAAGCACCATAATCTGGAGCATTTCTATCTATTCTTGATATAATACCTGCTAAAATTGAAAGTTTTTCTCCATTATCGTTACCAACAACTCTTATTTCTGTTCCAACTTTTGCAAGGGTAGGTTCCAAATCTAATTTTGTTAATTCTAAATATTTAACTTCTTTTATATCAAATTTTAAAAATCCAAAATCATGTACTGGATCACGATAAATTGGTTTAACATCAACAGATTCATGATTATCAAAAACAATATATCCAGTAAAAGGTCCTGGTCCAACAACATGTCTATTTGTTAAAATTAACCCATTCTCTGCATCCACTATAAACCCCGTGGCTTCACTAACTATAGCTGTTTCTGTATCAAATGGTGCAACATGTGAAAATTGAATCGAAACAACTGAATTTACAACTTTTTTAATAGTATCTTGCCATTTATTTGAATTTGAAATAGGTATATCAAATAATACTGACTCTTCATCTTCAGAAGAATCTGATTCATCTGTTTTTAACCTTTTAGAATTTCCATTTAAATATGGCTCTCCATTTCTCTTCATTAGTATGGTTGTAAAAAGTTTGATCTATATTTGTAACTACTACTATTATTAACAAAAAAGAGAGACTGAAAAAAAAAAAAAAAATTATTTATTAGTCTAGTACTTAGAATTGTGATGGTTAACTTTTTTTAGAATAAAGAGTGCGGCTTACAAAATCTGAAACATTTTATTATGGATGGACCAAATAATTAATATTAGTTTTTATAAGTGTTCATTATACATTATTACAAGCTCGTTCTGACCAAATTTCATAATATTGTTTTTGATTGTCTGATTGATATAATAATTCACCATGTATCATTGAGCCAAATTTTTCTAATAAATCCCAACCTTCTCCAACTCTACCTTTATATTCATTATCTAAAATTTTTTCTTCAATAGTTTCATTACCATAAACATATTGTTTTTCTATTTCTTGTATCCAAGATTCATCTTTAACCCAATCTTCTACTAAACTACACCATGTTTGTAATAAATTTTTCAGTAAACCTCCCTTTTGATATTGTAATAATAAATCCATAAATTCTGTTTTAGCACCCATTTTGGTTGATAGTATTATGTGGTTTATTCTTATATATGCAGCATAAACTATCCCACAAGCCAAAGACCAATCAGTTTTTTTAGCAAATTTATGTTTGTGTGAATAAAAAGTTGTTAACATTTGTTTAGTAAAATCAGATGGTATATAAAACGCGTTACAAAAAGTAATAAATTCTTCAATCAGTACAGTCTTGAAATCATATCTCAAAGGAGATTTTGATGCCGCCGGTGATGACGCAACAGCTTGTAATTTTTTCAAAGGTGATCCAGATTGTTTTGGAGTTGTGGTTATGGTAGAAGTTTTTGGCTTTTTTGGAGTTGATACAGGTGAACTTGCAGCTGACATTTGATTTACAATATCCCTAAAATCGTCTAGTAGTTTATTTGTAGTTTGTGGTTGTATCGGTATTCTTGAAATATCAGGATCAGGTAAGTCAAATAGACTTTTATATTTTTCAATTATAACAAATGTACATAAATGATAACGTCCAATTTCAGAATTGTTTGGTAAAACTCTTGAATGTCTTATACTTAGATGATACAATGAATCTATATAATTCGTCAATCTTGTCATATCTTCACCATCATATAAAGGTATTATATCTTTAATTGATTGTTTAATCTGGGCAATAGTCATAAAGTTATTGAGAAAGATGTGAAAATATAATAATAATAATAATACTAACTTTATCTAACTAATACCATCAAAAAACCAAATGTGTCAAAGTTTTAGTTTTTCTGACTCTCAAACTTTTCAGACAATGAATATTAAAGCAAAAAAATTAACCAACCAAAATTTCGCTTTTGTAAGAGTAAACCTCTGCCATTCCAATAGAAATACAAACAAAATGTTATCAAGATATATAATAAATTCTAATAAAGTAATATTAACGCGATCATTTGTATCAACATCAATTATAAGAAATTCAGAATTAGCAAAACCAATAGATACACAAGGTAAAGAAATAGTGTCAGGAGCACCAAGAGATCTTGTTACAAGTAGGGTTGTTAGAATATATCAAGAATCAAAACCAGCAACTCAATCAGGTCATCATAATGGTGATCATTGGAAATTAGATTGGGATGTATTAGGTAAAGGAAACAGATGGGAAAATGATTTAATGGGTTATCAAGGTTCATCAGATTATATGCAAGGTACACAAATGAAATTTGATACAAAAGATGCTGCTATAAGATTTGCAGAAAATCAAGGTTGGGATCATTATGTTCAAGAACCTAAAAAAAGACATTTTAGAAAGAAAGAATATGCAGCTAATTTTTATCATGTCCCAGGGCCATTGAAACATATTAGAACTAAATAATTTATATATATATATATGTTGGATGATAAGTAATACATATTGGAGATTAAATTATTTAATAAATTGTAAGTTTAAAGGATCACTACTTTTCTTAACTCTTTATTTGTATGTAAAAACAAAGTATACTAAATACTTCTTATTAAGTTTACTCGCGATAATGAAAAAATAAAAATAATAAAAATAATTAAAAATTAAAAATAAAAATAGAAATTTAAATAAAATTGATAAAAGAAATATTTATCATTAAATTTATATAAATTATTTATTACCATCAATATCATTTGAATCTTGTATTTTACAATCAAGTAAAAGATTATACTTGTTTATTAGTTTTATTCTTCATTATTTTATTAAGTTTGCATGAATTTACTCACGGTATATTAGTTTTTTTTTTTTGTATTTCATTTTTATTAAATAATCATGTCTTATAGAGATGGTTATGGCCATCATGGTTATCAAAATTCATATTCACGAGGTGGTTATAAACCTTATAGATCTGATCGACCACATACCAGCTACAAGGGTCTGAATTACAATCAATCTTATTATAACAACCATAATAATTACAAATACTACGACAACAATCATTACAAAAATCATTCAGGTAAAAGTACTCCAATTTCAGTATCTAGTGATACTCAATTTGAATTCCCAACTCAAGGTACTGATATGAGAACCGGAGTCAATGAAAAAGATTTAGATTTCACAAAATTAGCTCATCATATCGATTTTACAAAACAAATACAAATTTCAGAAAATAATAAAACATATAAAGTACTATATGATCCGGAATTAGATTCAAAATTAAGTAAACAAGAAAAGAAAACCAAACATAAGAAAATACGGTTTAATGGTGACGGTATAACACAAGTTACTGATCCCCGAATATCAAATCTAAATCAATATTTACTGAAACCTAATAAAAATTCTACTAAATTTCCTTTCAAACAACTACCTAGACCAAAATTCATTTTTGATGACGATTCTTTAGGTGAGGCACCTTTAATAAATTTAGTCATATGGGAGTTACCTTCAAGTACGAATGAAACATATTTACTGAATTTTTTAAACAGTTTTGAAGTATCAAAAGTTGAAAAAATTAAACTAATAAATGATCCAGAATTTGGGTTTCCTTTAGGTATTGCCACGTTCAAATTTCAAGGAAGTATAGAAAAATCCAATACATTTGCACAAAATTTTATAAAATTGGTGAATTCTGATTCAATACAAATTGATGGTAAACCATTAAAGATTGGATTAAATGATAATAATGATAAATTTTTAAACTCTAAAATTGATGCAGCAAGAGGCAAAGTTATAAATGTACAAAAAAAGAAAGAAGAAGAAGAAAAGAGAAGGCTAAAATTAATCGAAGAGCAAAAGAAAGAAGAAGAGGAACTTAACAAAAAGAAGAAATTAGAGGAAGAGAAAAAGAGAAAGGAGATAGAAGCAACCCAAAAACAATCAACAGAACCACCAGAATCCAAATTCAAACCTAATACAACAACACTATCATCTCGTCATAAAAATAAAGTAGTTCAAGGAGTAAATCTACCGAAAGATCTTTCCAAATATATCAAAAACCGACCTTATATTTTAATCCAAGACAAATATGTACCAACAAATAAAACTCCATCTCAAGATATCAAAAGAATACTAAAGAAATATGACTGGACTCGAGTTTTATCAGATAAATCGGGATTTTATGTAGTTTTTAATTCAGTGGTTGAATGTGAAAGATGTTTTTTAAAAGAAGATGGCAGGAATTTTTTTGAATATAAGATGGTGATGGAAATGGCTATCCCAGAAGGTTTTCAAAATGTTGAAAAAGATAATGATATAAGAAGTGGAGTGGTTGATGAAGCTACAAATATTTTAATTAAAGAGTTTGAAGCTTTTCTTGTTAAGGATATAAGAGAAAGAATTATTGCACCTCATATTTTAAGCCTTTTGGAGCATACAAGATATCCTAAGTTGATTGAAGAATTAAAAGCAAAAGAAAAGGAAAAAGAAGAAGCTGCCAAATTGAAAAATATATCATCAAATGTCCATTTAAAACAAAATGCAATGTCTATTTTGGAAAAACAAAGATTAGAATTACAAAACAAAATACCATACTTCAAAAAAGCTAATGAAAAACAACATAGAAGAAGACCAATTATACCCATGCTGCATGCCTTAAATTTTGATGATGATGATGACGATGAAGATAATGCTGAAAAAGATGAGGATGAAGAAGACGAAGATGATTATGAATCCACGAGTAGGTCAGCAACTCCAATACCTCAACCATTAAAACGTATACGTAGCTCAACAGAAACAAGTGTTGACGAAGAAATAGAAGGTGAACCATTTAGAAAAAAATCTACGACAATTGCATCAACTAGCGTTTATGAAGAAGAAGATGAAATGGAGGTTGATGATGAGCCTACATTACACAAGGAAGAACTTGAATCACCTATACCACTGGAAGTTGAATATGACATCGATCTGATTTATAGACCTACAGAAGATGGTCCATCTACAGTATACCCAGAATCATCCTTAAACAATATATTAGATTTAGAATCATTACAAGATCATATTAAAGATGATGAAGATTTGTTGCTAGCTAGAGAAATTTTATCAGATGTCAAAGAACCAAACATCCCAAATATTGAATATTGGGCATGGAAACAAATAAATAATAAAGAAGCCGCAGAAGAAATAATTGATGGTGAAGATTTAATAGAAGAATTACCATCAAGATTAGAATCTAAAGGTTGCTTCAAATCAGATGGTTACAAAAAGATATCAGATATTGATAAAATTGAATATTTACCACATCGTAAAAAAGCTCATAAACCGATTAAAACGGTTCAATATGAAGACGATGAAGATGAAAAACCAATGGAAAATATACAAAGCTCTCGTGTTAATAGAGCTAATAATAGAAGATTTGCTGCTGATATAACTGCACAAATTGGATCAGAATCAGATGTATTAAGTTTAAATGCTTTAACAAAACGTAAAAAACCAGTTACATTTGCAAGATCAGCAATTCATAATTGGGGACTTTATGCAATGGAACCAATAGCTGCAAAAGAAATGATTATTGAGTATGTTGGAGAAAGAATTAGACAACAAGTTGCTGAACATAGAGAAAAAAGTTATTTACGTACAGGTATTGGATCATCGTATTTATTCAGAATTGATGAAAATACAGTTATTGATGCAACTAAAAAAGGTGGTATTGCAAGATTTATAAATCATTGTTGTAGTCCAAGCTGTACTGCTAAGATCATTAAAGTTGAAGGTAAAAAAAGAATTGTTATTTATGCATTAAGAGATATTGAAGCTAATGAAGAGTTAACTTATGATTACAAATTTGAAAGAGAAACCAATGATGATGAAAGAATTAGATGTTTATGTGGTGCTCCAGGTTGTAAAGGTTATTTGAACTAGGTGGAATTAACTTTTTTTTAGTTGCAAAAAAAAAAATATAGATAAATTGCTAATAAATATCTGAAACAAGCAATAATATAAAGTAATTACCTAATTTGTATTCTTAATTGTGATGACAAAACAACAATAAAGTTAGTAATAATGAATTAACATCTTTAGTCGAATTTCTTTAATTAGTATATAATAATAATAATAAATCTAAGAAAATTCAGTCACGTGACAGAATCATTTTAGTTAATAAAAAAAACAAACAAAAAATCTTAATTTGGATAAAAAGTAAATAGAAAATATAATACATCCAAACTACAATAATTATTTAATGTATAAAACATATATAAAATTAAAAATATATAATTCAATAAATATCTTTTGAGTTTTTCACATTTACCAACTTTTTTTCAACTCTTTATATATCATTCTCAAGTCAGAAAAAAAACTATCAGTTCATCTGATACCAATAATTTTCATTTCATTAATCGTTTTAGTTTGTTTTCGTCAGTTCGTTTGTTTGTTTCCTCATTTCATTTATAATTTCAATTTTCAATTTGGATCAAAATCATCATCCCAATATCAAAAAAGTATCATCGGCATAGGGAAATTCATAAATTTAATATATAATTAATAATATAAAAATATAAATTTAATCAATGTCAGCAATTCGTTCACAACAACCTTTACAACCGTTAAATAATGGTCAATTGAATGCAAGAGGTACAAATATAACTCCAATTAAGTCAGTTAGACGTCATAAAGAAATACCAATACCATCAGCGGATCAAAACAAACAACAGAAAAAGAAAAAAGAAAAATTATCAGCATTATGTAAAACACCTCCCTCAATTGTTAGAACAAGAAATGGTAGAGATTATAGAAGAGGTAATTTTTTAGGTGAAGGAGGTTTTGCTCGTTGTTTTCAAATGAAAGATTCTTCAGGTCAAATATATGCTGCTAAAACAGTTGCAAAAGCATCAATAAAAAATGAAAAAACTAAAACAAAATTATTATCAGAAATAAAAATTCATAAATCTTTAAAACATCCAAATATTGTTAATTTTGTTGATTGTTTTGAAGATGATATCAATGTTTATATATTATTAGAAATTTGTCCAAATCAATCACTTATGGAATTATTGAAAAATAGAAAAAGAGTTTCTGAACCAGAAGTACGGTATTTTATGGTTCAAGTTGTTGGTGCAATAAAATATTTACATTCAAGAAATGTTATTCATAGAGATTTAAAATTAGGTAATATATTTTTTGATCCAGAAATGAATTTAAAAATTGGTGATTTTGGATTAGCTTCAGTTTTACCATCTAATGAACATAAGAAATATACAATCTGTGGTACTCCAAACTATATAGCACCTGAAGTTTTAGGTGGTAAAAATACTGGTCATAGTTTTGAAGTTGATATTTGGGCTATTGGTATTATGATGTATGCTTTATTAATTGGTAAACCACCTTTCCAAGCAAAAGATGTTAATGTCATATATGAGAGAATTAAAAAAACAGAATATTGTTTCCCAGAAGAAAAACCAATATCTGATTCAGCAAAACAATTAATTAAAGATTTATTAAGTTTAAATCCTTTAAATAGACCAACTATTGATGAAGTATTAGCATATGAATGGTTTAAAGGTCCATTCCCAGATAAAACCAGAGAAGTTAGCTTAAATGAAACTCCACAAGGTCTTGATCAAATATCAAGAATTCAATCAAAAGCAAATTTCAAAAATGCAAAAGATATGGCTGGTATCTATACTCCAAAAACTAAAAACCCAGTTGAAATATTGAGATCAGATTTACAATCAGAACAACCAAAAACCTTATTACCTCAATCTTTATCACCAAATGACACCAAGAATAAATATCAAGAAGTTGATCCAGATCAATTAGGTAGACCAAGAAGAGTTAATTTCAATTCACATTTCTCAACAACAATCAAAAATCTTAATAAAATTTGTTTTGAAACTTATCAAAATATAAGAAGATTAGAACATTCAAAACATGAAAACATAGATACTATGGAATTACCAGACTGTGAAAATCCAACGTTAATAAGTAAATGGGTCGATTATTCAAATAAATATGGTTTTTCATATCAATTAAATAATGATGATATTGGAGTTTTATTTAATGATGATAATACTATTTTGACATTACATAATTCAACAAAATTCTTAGAATTAATTTATCATGATGGTGAAGGTTGGACATGTATTGAAAATTCATTAAATCATCCACCAGCTCAAGCAAAAAGACAATTAGAAGTTGTTGATTTTTTTGCAAGATATATGAATAGTAATTTATCAAAAGTTAGTGAAAATGAAGAAAGAAAAGAAATTGTATTTTTAAGAAGATATAGTAGAACACCAGATTATATAATGTTTGAAATGACAAATGGAAATTTTCAATTTAATTTCAAAGATCATCATAAAATTTGCATTTCAAAATCTGGTTTAGCAATAACTCATATTTCACCAAATCGTTTAACTCAAACTCATCCATTAATCATGGTATTACAAGATGGTAATTTCCCAGCTGAACATGTACCAGATTGTTTAAAAAAAATTGCCACAATTAAAGAAGCTATTAAAAAGAGAGCTTTTAATGAAGATTAAACTTCAAATATTTTATTTTCTTTTCAATTTTAATGCTGTATTATTATTTACTTATTCCAATGTAAAACTATAGTCATTTTATCTAGACAACTATATACATTTATAACTTTTGCATTTGAAGATAAAAATAATAAAAAAAAAAAAATGTAAATCTATCTGACCTGTAGTTTTTAGAATGTATTATGTGAACAAACTTGGTGAAAGGAACTGAGTTAATAAGTAAACGAAATATGTATGATATCATTAATAATCATCTTCATTATTATTTAATAATACTTTTAACGCCCATTCGTCTTCAAATTTCAGTTTTATTGTCTCTAATTCATTAATCAATGAATTACATGCTTTTGTTAATGCTTCTTTTGGTGTATAATCATCTTCTGTTTGAATCCTCAATACAAAATTTGCAAATAATGGATGTTCAACTTTATAAGCTGCAAATATAACTTTTTCATCTTTTATTAATTGTGCTCTTAATAAATTTGCTAATGTATGATCTTCTCTTTCTATTTTCACTATAGCTGCATTGGGTACTTTTGTATCTGGCGTTATTTTAACTCTAAATGATTTTATAGGTTAGTATCAAAGTTTTATTTTAGTTCAATGATGAAATTCTTTGCATACTTATCTAATCCATCTGGTAGTATGAATAATTCAAATCTATCTGGTGCATTCATTATTGATTTATGTTTCTTTTATTATTTTATTATTTTAAAACATTAAAGTTAAATTGTAATATTTGGTGATAATTTTTTTATTTATTTACTTTAGAGAATTAATGTCATGTTTCTGTTAAAGTTGAAACAGTAAAAATTTATCTGACATTGATTGTCGTAAAAATATCTCAAGTGACATAAAATTAACTCTTCGACAACTGATAAACAATTAGAAAATAAGTACTGTATATAATTTATATTTAATGTTTACTTTTACTTTGAAAAAAAAATGTCTGATGTCTCTCTCTCTCTTTATTCTCAATTTCTCTCCTTCAATGGGAATTTAAAAAATTAAATTTACAACCAGAAATTCAAGCATCAATCAATTATCATCTAATCTTGAAAAATACATTTAGTTTAACTCAATAACGCAACGACTAACCAACCAAGGATACTATAGATTTATTATCACACTTAAAAGAAATAATCAATTAGAATATCAAAAACCAGATAGTTCTCAGAGAGGTTGAAATTTGAATTTTCCAATTGAAAAGATCAACGTTTTTCATATTTTCGAAAATACAAATACCACCATCAAAGAAATAACTGAATTAAGATGTCAAATCCACAAGATTCCTGGTCGAATCAACAACGTCAGATGGGACAACAATTTAAGTATGTTTTAAAAATTTTTACACGCCATATTCGTTTAAATGAATAAATTATATACTAACTATTTACTATTTTAGTCGTCAACATCCTCCAGTTTTACCACCACCAGCTACATTAGAACAAGGTATGTTAAATCATGAACCACTTAGTAACAAACGAATACTAACAACCAATAAAGGAGGACAACAATTCTATCCTTTACCAAGTTTACCAAGTTTAGGAAATGGAAGTGGCCATCCTCAACATGGTTTCACTATTCCTTCGATTAATCCAGTTAATGAATTAGGACAGGTATGTGCAATAGACAATTCTTTTTACTCAGTCTAATTCCAGAATACTAACTTTTATAATAGAACTCTGAACAACAACATCCTAGACAAACACCTGATATTAGAAGACCTTCAGCAGTTACATTTGGAACTCCATCAAATCAACCACTCCCACCTTCGTCAACTTTAACAGGATTAAATTCAGAACCACAAATTATGAACAATGATTACGCACAACAACATTTACAACAACAACAACAACAGCAACAACAACAACAACAGCAACAACAACAACAACAACAACAACAACAACAACAGCAGCAACAACAACCACCATCTCAACAAGCACAAGTACCACCTCATCAATCACCACTACAAACTCAACAACTCCCACCTCAAATTCCTCAAGGAACTATCGGAACTACTGCAGCATCAATTGGTGGTCTTCCAAATAGATCTGGTACTAGTAATATTTATAGACCATTAAATGTTAAAGATGCATTATCGTATTTAGACCAAGTCAAAATACAATTTTATAATCAATCAGATGTTTATAATAACTTTCTTGATATAATGAAGGATTTCAAATCTCAAAGCATTGATACACCGGGAGTTATTGATAGAGTATCAACATTATTTAAAGGCCATCCTAATTTAATTCAAGGATTTAATACTTTTTTACCACCTGGTTATAAGATTGAATGTTCGTTGGATCCATCAGATCCAAATCCTATCAGAGTTACGACACCTACTGGTACAACAACAAGACCAAATATAGCTGGTACTACATATAATCAAGGATGGGGTAATGAAGAAGCAATTACAGCAGAAAATGCCACTGCTCAACAACAACATCAGCAACAGCAGCAACAACAACATCAAATTGACGCAGCAGGAGCTCAAACAAATGGTGGTGCTGGTCAAATTGATTTTAATCATGCAATCTCATATGTTAACAAGATCAAAACAAGATTTGCAAATCAACCAGATATTTATAAACAGTTTCTTGAAATTTTGCAAACATATCAAAGAGAACAAAAGCCAATTGCCGAAGTATATGAACAAGTTACTCAGTTATTTGCAAACTGTCCGGATCTTTTAGATGATTTTAAACAATTTTTACCTGACACAAGTAATCAAAATTATCCTGAAGTTCAACAGCAACTTCCACCACAGCAGCCATCTTTACACCATCAACAACCGCACCAGCAAACTCAACCACCACAACAATTACAACAACCACCATATGCAAATAATGGAACCCAATTACCGCCAGTTGGAAATTTTCAACCAATTGGTCCAAGTCCAAATCAATCTCCTTATGCTCCACAAATACAACCACCAAGTCATATTTCAAGCTTTAGTCCAGAACGTAAATTTGAATCAGTTGAACCACCAAAGAAGAAATCTGTAGTTGATGATAATGATAATCAAGAAGCTCAATTTTCAAGTGTTCGTTCAGGTGCTGGAGCTACAAAACCAGCCAAGACTCAAGGTCGTCCTACAGCTAGTGCTGCCGCTGCTGCTGCTGCCACTGCTAACAATGCCATACCGACTCCCCCAGTTAATGCAACTTTAGTGCCAGGAATTCCTGAACCTGTACCACCACCAGGAACTGCAAAATCATCATCACTTATTGAAGAGATCAGTTTCTTTGATAAAATTAAGAAAGCTTTGGGTAATAAACAAACATATAGTGAGTTTTTGAAACTTTTGAATTTATTTACACAAGATATAATAGATAAAGACACTTTAGTTGAACGTGTTGATAGTTTCTTAGGTGACTCAAATGCTGATTTATTTGAATGGTTTAAATTATTTGTTGGGTATGAAGAAAAACCTCAAAATTTGGAAAATATAACCTTCAAAAAACATGCTTTAGAACTTTCATTATGTAAGGCATATGGCCCATCATATAGACAATTACCAAAAGCTGAAACATTTATGCCTTGTTCTGGTAGAGATGAAATGTGTTGGGAAGTATTAAATGATGAATGGGTTGGACATCCAACTTGGGCTTCAGAAGATTCAGGTTTTATTGCTCATCGTAAGAATCAATATGAAGAAATATTATTCAAAATTGAAGAAGAAAGATTGGAATTTGATTATTACATGGAATCGAATTTAAGAACCATTCAAATTTTAGAAACTATTGCTAATAGAATAGCGAATATGACACCAGAACAAAAAGCTAATTTCAAATTACCTCCAGGATTGGGCCACAATTCCACCACAATATATAAAAAAGTCATACGCAAAATTTATGATAAAGATCGTGGATTTGAAGTGATTGATGCTTTACATGAAAACCCTGCTATTGCTGTCCCAATTGTTTTAAAAAGATTGAAGCAAAAAGATGAAGAATGGAAACGTGCCCAAAGAGAATGGAATAAAGTATGGAGAGAAATGGAACAAAAAGTATTTTACAAATCATTGGATCATTTAGGTTTAACTTTCAAACAAGCTGATAAAAAATTGTTGACTGCTAAACAATTAGTTAGTGAAATAAGTACTGTGAAAGTTGAACAACAAAATAAGAGACTTCACCCTTTGACACCAAAACCACAAGAACAACTAAATTATGAATTTAAAGATGAAGATATATTATTTGATATATTAAAATTAGCTAGTGTTTTTATCAACAAATCATCAACTTATTCAACTTATGACAGAAAAAAATTGATTCAATTTTTCAAATTTTTTATTTCATTATTTTTTGGAATTCCAAATGATATAATTGATAAGGCTTTAGAATCAAGAGGAGAAGTTGAAGAGGAAAATGCAGAAGAGGAAGAAGCAAATGGTAAATCAACACCAACAAGTACAACAGATTCTACCAAAAAAAGACCTCGAGAAACTGATTTACTAAAAGATGTTTTGAAAAAAGTTTCCAAATCCAAAAAGGATGATCGTGCAGAATCTCCTGGTCCTCAATCATCTGAAAATGCAATTCAAGAAGCTAATGAAGAACTTGAAAGATCAAGTGAATTATGGGTTAAATCTTCAAATACGAATTCACAAAATGGAGAAGATGAAGCAGAAAAACGACGTGACAAATTTAATTTCTTCTGTAATACTACAATCTACGTATTTTTCCGTCATCTAAGAACATTATATGAAAGACTTCAAGAAATTAAAAATATGAATAATGCTGTTGGAAAAGACATTAAGAATAGAAAATTCCCACAATTTGCAAAAGATTTAAATTTACTTTCACATCAATTAGAAGATATGGGAATTGATATAGTAGGATCAGAAGATTGTTATAAACAAGTTCTTAAATTAGCAAGTAGATTAATAGAGGGAGATATAGAGCATCAATGGTTTGAAGAGAGTTTACGTCAAGGATATAAAAACAAAGCTTACAAAATCTATACTGTGGATAAAGTTGTTCAAGCATTAGTTAAACATATGCATTCTATGATAACGGACGCCAAAACTTCAGAAATGGTTGTATTATTTGAAAATGACAGAACCAAACCAGTTTCAAGCACTAAAGAACAAATATTATATCGTGTTGCTGTAAGATCTTTAATGTCATCTGATGAAAATATGTTTAAAATATCTTACAATGAAAAATCACATCAAGTTAACATTCAATATATAAGCTTAGATGATCTCACGTTAAGTGATCATCAAACAAATGAAGAACAATACAATTATTATGTAACTAGTTATGTAATGTCACATCCAACTGAAGGTGTACCAGCTTCAAAATTAAATATGCCATTTGCTAAAGCATTTTTAGAATTGGTTGATGAAGATTCAGTTGAAGGAAGAGTAAATTCAGAATTAAAAGTTTCAATTTGTGAAAATTCATATAGATTATTTTTCGAAAGTGGATCACATGATGAATTTATTTCAAATATTGTTTACAAGAAGCGTAATGAAGAAAATATAGATCATGAAGAGAAAGTAAAATCATTGGAAGCATTAATTAATGGTGAACATGGATGGAAATCAACAATAGCAGAAGAAGAGGAAGGAAAAGGTATTGAAGATGAATCAAAGATACAAGAAGATGAAAAAAAATCTGAAGAGGCTTTAGAAATATTATTCGAAGAAGGAGGTGAGGCATATAAAAAGTTTGTAGAAAAACAAAAGGAATCAAAACCAGTAGAAGAAAATAATGCTATGGAAGTGGACGATAAAATAGAAAATCAAGAAGATATCACAGCAGATGACACAACTATATAGTTAAAGTAAATTGAATTTTAATACAGAAAGTATAAAAAAATTAAAATTACATTCCTAAATAATTCTCCTACCTATAAAATTTTTTCTCAGCTGCAATTCTTGCCATTCTTTCAGTTGCCATACTATAAGCTAATTTTGTTCTTTGAGCTAATCTTACTCTTACAAAATCTTTACGACCACGAGCAAGTAAAATTCTTAATATTATATCTTCTTTTAAAACCATATTTGCATTTGGATCAGTTCTTGCTTGTTTTGTGTCTTTTACTGCTTGTGCTCTATTTTTTATAGTTGCATTTGCATAAATTGTTTTACTTCTTGATAAAGTATCTGATCTTTTTAAATTTTTAGATGATGAAAAATCATTTTTACTAGTTAATACATTGACAAATGCTGGTGATAATCTTTCAACTTCTTCTATTAATTCTTCTTCTGATTGATCATAAAACGCAGGAATTAATAATAATGATTGATATTTATCTGTTTTTAATTCTTCTAATGGTGGTCCATTACCTTCATTATGAAAAAAATCAGTTAATAAATCTAGCCATCTTAAAACAGTTTCAATTTCAATACCATTTAATTGAGAATCATATCCTAATTTTGACATTGCTGATGAAATTGAGGTATTTGCAAACCTTGAAGACATTGATTGCCAACTATTTGAATCAATTTTTGCTTTTGACAATTTTGGTAATAATAATTCATCTGCGGATTTGATAACAACATTCCATGTAGCTGCCATTACTGACATGAATAAATCATCTCTTAAATTAGCTTTTAAGGTACTTAAATTTAAATTCAAATAATCACATAGGGTTTCGATTGATGCTTCGAAGTCAGCTCTTGCAGGTTGACCTTTTGAACAAATTGATTTTAGATTTGCTTTAGAAAAACAACCTTCAATAAAACCCAGAAATTTTTCAACCATTAATTTAATTGATCTTTCTTGAGCTCTTTTTAATGCTCTATATGCTCTACCCATTACAAACATTGCATCTAAAGTTTCATTTTCAACTGCAACTTCAACGATAAGTTTACCCAGCAAATCAAGATCTAGTATGATTTCTTCAGGAGAACCATTATGCTTAAATTTTTTAGGGTTTAGTTCAAACATAGTTTTACCACATATTTGATGTTGTCCTATACTTTTACTCCAAACTATAGCTGATACTTCTAGGTTTGTATTTGCTGGTATAGTAATTTCGAATTCTTCATCCCATTCAGGATCTGAAGTTTGTCTTATTGTTCTTGTTTTTCCTATAGATCTTTTATTATTAAAATCTGCTAATGCAACATAAGGATTAATTCTACCAAATGTGGATTCTTTTGATAAGGTTAAATTTTCAGCTTTTATAATTCGAAGTGTAAAAACATGACCTAGGTAATTTTGTTGTTTATCTTGACTATTTAAAGAATTTGATATAGATTCCGGATCTAACCAATCTTCTAATTTTGCTAAACTTTCCATCATAGCAGCAATATTATTTAAGGACACACAAGTTTCAGGTTCAAAATTAAATACAATTTGTGGTTCTTCTTTACCTTGAATACTGTTCATTACATTTTTAACTTCATCTAACCAATTTTTTTGTGATTCTTCTACTTCGACTTTTAATACTGATAATTCTTTATTGATTTTAGTAGTAATTTGATCTGAATAAAATAAGAACCCATTTGAAATAGCTCTTAATAATTTGGTATATATTTTAGCAAGTTGATATTCATTTTGCCATCCTAATTTATTCAAAATTGATAAATATTGCCTTACAATTGTTAGTATATCCAACACTGCATTGCTATTTTTTTGTGAATCTTCAGTTATGTTAATTGGTAAATAATTATCCTGATTTAAAGCCTTATATATAATATCTTTTAATTTTTCTTCAGCTTCTTCGGCCCAGAAATCTAAATATTGATAAAAAAACGGTTCCAAATCGAATTGAAACTTAGGTGAAGAAGTGGAAGAAACTTGATAATAAATATCTCGTATTTCTGCAAGCAGCTTATATAATTCTAAAGCATCTGCAACTGGAAGTTCTTCATTTCTCAGATGATTATAATTTTGAATATGATTTAAAATCATTTTTGCATCATTTCCAAACATTCCAGTAGTAATTGAAGCAACAGTTTTAGAAACGTTTAAAAATCCTAGAAATGACTTTTTATATTTTTTTTGTAAAGATTTTATATCATCAATCAATTTATCACAAATATTAAATAAATGGATTACATTTAAGGTATCATCTCTAGGTAAATTTTCCAAATATGTTTCATATCTTTTACCTGAAATTTTTAACACTGATTTTATTAATCTTTTCTCCCATTTTTTAGGTATTTCAGACTCTTGAATGGACTGGTATAATTCATCCAGTTCTATATATTTTCCAAGAAATTCAAGATATGGTCCAAATTTTGGTTTTTCTTTTTCATCAAATAAATGAGTAAAACATTCTCGAATTGATGTAAATAATTGATTATATGTGATTGTTAGATTTTCAATCCATAAGTTTTGATCATCAATTGACCATAAATGTTTATTTTTCCATGATGACCCACATTCTTTTTCAAATAAAGTAAATGTATTGATTGATTTTGTCAAATCTAGACTTTTATCAGTGGATAACAAGTTTTCATTATAGGCTTGGTAATATGCAGAAACTCTAGTTGGGAAATCAATTACCCAAACTCGAGCAACTATTTGTAAAAAATCAGGAATATTTGGATTTAAAAAATCGGTACTAGATTTAGCTATTAGTGAAGTTAACAACAAAAATAAACTTCTCCTTCTTTCGTATCTCGGTATAATATAAAATTGTTCGTCTTCTGGTAAATTCACTTTAAGTTCAGATATATACTTGTATTTATTTTTCAGTTGGGCTATTATTTCTGATTCTCTGCTTTTCCATAACTCGTGAGCTTCATCATTTGTATACTCATTGCATTTCATAGTTGCTAATCTATCAACATCCAAATGTAGTAATCTAGGTTCTGAAATGTCTTTATATTTGAAAACATCAGTTTGTATTTTAATATTATCAACTTTGAAAAGTTCTCTAATTATTGATAATAGCTTTTCATTCATATCATCTACCCTGTATGACTTTTGAGGGTATTTAAATTCTTCCTTTTTTGGAGTTTCTTTTTCTTTAAATTCTCTTTTCCTATCTAATAATCTATTAATTATTACTTGTTCTGTTTCTTTTTTAGGATTCAAGAAAGAAATTATCATATCAATGAAAATTGAACTTTGTCTAAACATTTCAGAAGGATCTTCATTACCAAATTTTCGAAGTTCTTGATCTGCATATGATGCAAATTTTGAAATTAATAAATCAACATTTCTAAAATCCTTTTGTGGATCTAGTAAATCTCCGTATAATCTAAGTACAGATCTTCTTGTTTTTTCATCAATTTGAAATTTTTTAGTCATTATATTTTGTAGTCGCGAATTTAAAGATTTCATTACGTGAGACGGTAGTATTGAATCTATTATCATGCTGTTTCTATTAATTGGAGTGATTTTCTTTGGTGTTATTATTGGTGTTCTAAATCTGGTTTCATTGCTGTATTCCAATAGTATTATTTTTAATAAATATTTGTATAACTCTTTGATATCTTCTTCGTTGTGCTCACCATTTGGTATAACATTGGTTACTTTAGTAGATCGTCCATTACTATGATTTTGCATATCTTTATGTCTATGGATGAATAATGGTTGTCAAAATTACTCTTGTTTTAGTATTTATTATAATAATTACTCGAATCAATAAATAAGCGAAAAAAATAAAAATGTCAATAAAGATTATAAATTATTAAGAGGGAAATCTCTTAAGGGGTAAAAGTATAATTAAAAAATGAAGTTCAAAATATCGTATATTAATAACATAATAACATAGCTCATTAAGAATTGAAATTGAAAATTAAAGGCTGAATTGCAGAAAAAGGTGATAGCAAATTGTAATAAGATAAAATAAAAGAAAATTGTTCAATCTTCCTCTGAACTTAATTCAGCTTCCAATTGTGATGCGTCTTTTTCAATATTATCTTCAATTTCAGCCGCAAATTCATCGTTATAGTTATTGTTATCTTCATCGTTTTGATCTTGATTTAATTCTTTTTTCACAGATGGTTTAGTTCTTTCATCATCAACTTCCTCCGGTTTAAAAATATGACGACTTAAAATTTTATTCATTTCGAAAGCTCCAACTGATTCTATAAAGTAGTGGTTAGTATCAAACTTATTGAAAGGGGTGAGACTTTTTATTACATACTCTTTTTGAATAAATTCTGAAGTTTTTCATCACATATTATTTGTCTTTTATCAGAAGGATCTTGTAATTGATTATCTTTAATATAAGCCCAAATTTTTTTAACAACTTGAGGTCTTGAACATTTATCTACTCCCAATACATCCAGTAATTCATTACTTAAAAACATTTCTCTATTAAATACATGATTTGGCGAAGGACCTGATCTTTTTAATTTATCTTTGTCTTTTATTGTTGATTTTTTAACTGTAGCTCGACTTTTTCTAATTGGTTTTGAATCTTCTTTTGATAATTTTGCAGCTAATAATGCATCTTTTTTTTCCATTTCATCTCTTTCTTGTTTGGCTCTTTTATCTTGAAGTAAATAAAATCTATCCATAATTGTTTGATTTATTTCTTTCTAGGATAAAGAAATATATGTTAGTATATTAACTTTAAATTGTTGTAAATTGTAATGACATACTTTATAAGGAGTTAAGTCTATTCCAAATAACTCTTGAATAGCTTTTCTCATTTTTTTAACACTGACTTGTTCAAGATCTGCAACACTTAATATCGCCTATTTGGTATGAGTTAGTATCTTATTTATATAATATCAATTGTATTTTTATGTCAACATACATCTATAGTAGGTAGATATTTTTCAGGTTCATATGTACTCATCTATTTGTATAATTGTCTAAGTTTATTGTAAGTGTGTGTGTATTGATATATTGTTAATTCAATCTATTATACTTCTTACTGATTATAGTTAAAGATTAAATTGGTATTTTTTCATAATTTCGTAAAATTTAGCAAAATGTCACAAAAGAAATTATTGTAATTAGTTTTCACACACAATTTTTACGAAACAAATTAAAGTTTTACACGAGAATTTTATTATCTGGATGTTTCAAAAGGTTTGTGTTGTTAATTAATGTCAAACTACAAGTGTTTCAGATATTTCCCATTTATTGCTCATTTAGGAGTTTACAATGAAAGGGGTCAATTTTATAATCATGGTATTTATACTCATGATTAATCCCTATCTTTTTATATAGATTTTATAGTCTAACTAATAAACAATTATTATTATTTTAAAACAAGTATAAGCTTCAGCATATATCAATCAGCATGAATACCACCGAAGAATATGTATGTTACCACAATTATGAATTACTACCACCATTAGTCAATTTATTTAATACAAAACAGGAAGCAAAAGAATATTTAAATAAATTTAGTACTATCAAACAAGTATCAGAAACAAAAGATGTTTTGGATTTTAATTGTTGTTCACCCAAATGTGGACACACAATCAGATATCAAAAAAAAATGGTGGTAGAATTAGGCAAACAAACATATAAATTCCAATTAGATGAAGAAAAATTTAATGCATTGCATGTATTGAAACCGAGACATGAAAAGCTTAGAGCCAAGTTTCCGTTATGGAGGCCCCCACTTGAAGGAGAAAAACTAATGAAAAGTTCTGGTTCATACAACACTAATAAAAATCCAGAAAATCCTTATTATCCAGTTTCAAGTAATGATACTTCTGTTCAACCACTTCAAGAAATTACAAAACAGCCCAATTATAGAAGAAGTAAAAAAAGGAAATTGGGTAATATCTTGAAATTAATATTATGGTTCTTGGTTTTATATTTTGTTTTTGCGGTTCTATATAGGTTATATAGTAAAATTTAATTAATGTATCCAATTATATATATTTTAATGAATATCTAGTATTAATATTGAAGAATGAAAAATCTATCTATTATATCAAAAACTGCAATTACGATCAAAAATTGATATATTGAGTTGATCCTAATACTTACAACAATAACTTAATTTTAACTTCTAGTGGTAGTTTCAGACGTTTCAGGTTTAGTCACGTGACTATTACAAAGTTCACATACTTTTTTAACAACAGGTGGAGGTTGTCAAAGGCCTTCCCAGTACCAGAATCTTATTAAATTAGATTGTTGGTTTAATTATTTCAATAAGAAATTAGAGGTTAAACTGTCGAAAAGTTGTGGCCTGCACCACGTAAATTAATTTGGTTAATTTTGGTCGACTCTTGTGTTGACTTGTTGGCGGTTGGGAACACTTAGTAAACGTTTAATTCTGATGGATCATTTAATGAAGGTGGAACTTTAGAATAAGAAATGTTTACAGGCAAATCAAAATAACTTTGATAATGTTTCAGCGTTTTTTTTAAGAGTATAAAGTTTTATCTTTGTTCTTTATATTGATTAACTATATAGAACTAGCGAGCTGAGTCTTAAATTCAGTGACCTCTTCAGTCAATTCAATATAATGATTAGCAGGATCTTCAAAAAGATTCATCAAACTCTCTTCAAATGTAGCAATTCTCTTTAAAACCGTTTTATCTTGACCATTGTATAACATTAATTGACGAGCAATAACAACTAATCCATATAAATTATCTTCATTCATATCGAAATTTTCAAGACATTTAAAAGGTAATGATGATGACATTAATAATTGAGCATTGTAATTGTTAACACTTTCTACAGCTTTTTCATTAGATAATAATTCTTGTGGTATGGGGATAGTTAAAAATTGAGCATATTCTGAAATAAAATCATTTAAATTTGTTGATGTTTTGTAGTGTTTTGCTTGTGATTCTATTAATTGAGAAAGTAAACTAAAGTAATATTGATTAAAGTATTCACCTTCATTCTTATTGTAGATAACACCATTACTCAAATAATTGAACGCCATTCTCATTATTTGATGATCACCAATTAAATGATCTTTCAATAAAATTTCTTTTAATAATTGGAAAACTTTTTCATGATCGCCATTTTGAATTGAAAGTGAAAGTAAATTGTCCCTGCAAGCTACGTTGTCACTTTCTTTTATGATTGAAATTGTTGGAGTTGATTGATAATCTTTTCTTAAAGCTAATCTATTATAAAGTTCCCAAACGGTATTATAGTGATCTGATTTTGTTTGTAACTGATTTATGAAAAAATTATAAGTTGAGACTGGTAACTCGGGTAAATATGCAACTGATTGAAATAATTTTAATAATTCCAATCCATTTGAAGCTCCAACACTCATTGAATAAGCTTTCAAATAAGTTCCAATTAATTCACTGACTTCAGATTTGTTTGGACGTTTGGAAAATTGTAATGCTTCTTTATAGTCCATTAAAATGTTATCCAATAATTCAGTGGCACTGTTGATGTAGTTATTATTAATTAATGCGATAATGATGGATTGGTAAACTTTAAATTCATCTACATTGTTAAATTGTCTAATTCTATTGTAAATCTTTTCTATAATTTCATAAGCTTTTGATTCATCAAAAACGTCAAATTTTGTGAAAAATCTAGCAAGATTCAATATATCCAATGAACTTTGTAAATTTAAGTCTTCAATATTGTTTATTAAATCATTGAATTTCATAATAATATCTTTAGTCATCAATTCTGGACATTTGATACCGAGTATTGTAACTTTCGATAAAATTGTATTAATATCAACCTGTGTATTAATTGTTTGGATTAATTCAAAACCAATTTGTGCAAATTCTTTAGCTCTTACAACAATTTCATTATATTGGATATGATTAGAGCATGGGATTTGTGAGCAATTTATACTATTGTCCAATAATGCATTAACTACTAATTTATAGGTTTCAAGATTTGGTTTAATTCCAGATTGTAACAAATCTTGATAAATAGTAAGTAAATTTGTAAGTTTAGATTCAATTGATTTTAATTCAAGATCACCATCAAGGCTTCTTTCAATTATTGATTTTAAAACCATATTATAATTTTCAATTGATGGTAAAGTTAAGTCATTTCGTTTAATTGCTTGATATAAAGGATATATGATGTTAAGATCGTCGGGGGATTTGTGATTCTCGTAAGTGTTGATTATGTTTTGTATTTGAGTTTGAAGAAAAGTTGATTCTTGCTCATCAACTGATTCTATTGACTGTATTTCTTGTGATTTTATGTCCTTTTGTAATTTTAATTTTTGTTGTGTCAATTGTTTTTCTTGTAATGAATTTGTAATGATTGTAAAAGATCTTTTAGAAAGACCAATTGAAAATACATTATCTGATTGTGGAAGTGATGAATATGGTGATGAAAATTGATTAGTTGTAGCCAAATAAGTTGTAGATTTCAATAAACATGAAGAAATAAATTTTGATGAAAAAGTTTTAAAATTTTCTAAGTTGATTTGAGTATCTTTAATAACTTTTGAAATTAAGAATTTTGCTGTAAAACCAATTAAAATTAATTTTAAGTGTATAAACTTTTTTATATGACGATCTCTTCTATTATAATGATTACGTCCTTTATTTTTTCTATATCTATAATGATTATGATGATCATGATGATCATGACTATGAGATCTCATAAACATACATCGTCTAAATTTTGTTCTATCACCTTCTTCAAATTGTTTCACTATATATTTTTTAATGTATTGTTCATACGCTCTTTGTTTTTCTTTTCTTTCAGATTCTTTATTATAAATTGAATAATATAATCCATAATGACCATTTGAAATAGTTAAAAATGAATTAAAAGTATTTGTTGAACCAGTTTCTACTTTATGCCACCATTTAGTTCTATAAGCAAATTTACAGTGTTTTTGTAAACCATTAAAATAAGAATTTGATTTTAAATAAGGATATGATGATTTAAAAAATTGATTATTTAAATTTGATGCATTTGTACTTGTTGTATGAGGTATTTTTGTTGAAAATTTGGCAAACCTTATAAAAGATGAAAATACCATTATTATGAATTATAGAATATGTTGAAATAAATAAATAAAAAAAAATTGAATAGGTTGTAAATTATAAAAAGATTCTAATAATCTTATATTTAAACTTTCATGAATAAATGAGTATATATGTATGATAGTATAACTGTAGTTGTTTTTAACGATTGAATGAATGTAATAATAATAAATAAGAATATCCAATAAATGAATATTTTAATAAATTAACGACTGATTATTTGGAGTGATAATAATGAAATAAAGTGTTGTATAATTTGGTTGTAAAATAGAAACTAATGTAAATGATAAAAATAATTATTGTATAGAATATAGAATATAGAATATGATTCACTTAAATATAAATTGTACTAACAATATTATAAAATTTTTAATAGGGAAAAAAAAATTTTATTTAAAAGGGAACAAATCGGAGTACTGACAATATATTGAGGTACGGATGTTACCTCTTTAAATAAAATTTGTATTAATCACTATGTATTTACATTTATAGAAAAAAAATTGTTTAATTAATTATCAAAAATGAATTAAGAAGTATGAAAAAAACTATCAAAATAATAAGAATCATCATCCTTTAATTGATGAATCATTTTATAAAAAATATATTCGTTATCTATTAAATATTGAAATTATTATCTCCCTAACAATTTAAGGAGATTAAAATATTTTGTATTTTTTTTTTGCCATTTGATCTAAACAATTAAAGAACAATAAAACGGATATAAAAATTTAAACAATAAAACGATCTTTTTATAATTTTTATATATAATTAAGAGCGTAATACCTAAGCCTTTGAAAGGGTAAAAGATTATTAATTAGTTGACCGTTATGTAAGATATTGTAATTAAATCTTCAAAGGATAAGATCTTTTAATCGATGTACTATTTTTTAATTTAACCTATGTATTTATCGACTATTATTATTGATTAATTCTATTATTATTGTTATCAATTAATGATAATTCTAATGCTAATTTTAAATCTTCATCAAATTCATTTAATTTATTATTTGTATTGTTAAAATTTTCTAAATTTTCACTCATTGCTAATGCAATTCTCATTTCTTCTTCTTCATCATCATATTGTGTACCATTATATTTATTAAATAATCTGTTAGTTTGTTGTTGTTGATTTAATTTTTCATTATATTCATTTATTTCATCATTTATTTTATTTTTTAATTCATGTTTATTATTATTATATGTACCTAAATTTAATTGTTTTGAATTTTTTTTTATTGAATTTGGTTGGTCATTACTAGTTAATAATTTACCAAATTGAAAATATTGTATACAATCTCCACATATTATTAAACCATTTGAATTTAAATTATTTGGATTTAATTTTATACTTGATGTTTTTCTTAATATATCATTATTATCAAATTTTTTTGGAAATTTTATTGATGCTTCTCTTAAAAATTTACCTGTAAAAATATCATAAATATTTGTTAATCCATTATAACCTGATATTGCTAATATTGAACTATTAAATTCAAATGTTGTTATTTTCATTAATTCATTATTATTTATAATATTATTAACAGTATTAGAAACTTTTTTATAATTTAATTCTGGATATAATCTATATTGTGGTATTATTGAATTTGTTGATTCATCTCTTATATTCCAAATTATTATACTATTATCTGATAATAAGTTACCATAAAATAATCCATCTTTTCCTATTACATTATCATTCATATTTATTAATTTATTTGAATTACAAGTTTGAAATTTAGATTCAATTATAATAACTCCATCTTCTAAATCTAATTTTCTAATACCAATACCATGAAAACTAAATACTTTTATTGTTGATTTATATGATAATATGATATTTTTACCACCATAATCCACATCTAAAGTATTTTTTTGATTTATCAATTGTTCAAGATGTATATGTTCACCATCATTTATGGTTATACCCAAATCTACTTTATTTAATATATTTAATGTATCAAAATCCAATACATATAAATGATAGGCTGTGTTGACGATTATAAATTTATTAAAATCCGATTTAATGTTATATATTGGTTCGTCTAATTCAACTTTATTTTTACATTGACCATTTAATGACCAACATTGTAATAATCCATTATATGAGCCACTTATTATATCTATTGAGATCTTATTCTTATCAACATATTGATTAATAATTATATCCATTATCGGGCTTCTTTCTTCTTCTATAATAATAAATTTCGTTGAACTCACTCGTTGACTTAATGAAGTACTTGTAATTAAATTCTTTAATATAATATCACCATTAATTTTACCTAAAATCAAATAATTCCAATTCATTGCAAAACTTAAAGTATTTAAATTAAAATCACCAGGTATAAAATTTTGATTTTTACCACTATCTAAATTACCTGATGATATATTACCCAGTCTTTTATCAAATATTATAAGTTTATTCATTTTAAAATCACACATTGTAAAATCATTAAAATTATATTCATTATTCAAAATTTTATAAGATTGATGGATAGAATGTCCCTTTTTCCAATTTCTTAAAATATTCAATCTTGTAAAATATTCATTCATCCAATTATTACTATTTGTTACATTGGGGAAAGATGATGAATTTGGATTTATTCCAAATCTAATTTGAAATGATTTTGTCCATGTTTCTTTATCATTTATTATAAAATTCCATTTTTTACAAACTAATCTTAATTCATTTAATATTAGTGGATCTAATTGTGATAATATTTGTATTAATATTTCATTTGGTAAATCATTTATATATATTAATTGGGTTTTATTATTGCTCTTTATCTTTGACAAATTAATCGTGTTCCCAAATGAATCACTTTCTATATTTCTATCGTTCTCATTCATAGTTGTTATATCTTCATGTTGTATATTATGACTATTTTTTTGGTCTTTTTTGCTTTTTAAATCTTCCATAAAAGATTTTTTTAATTGATCTAATGAAGTAGATTTTAAGAAAATAGTAATATGTTTTATCTTTTGCATTCAAATTCTAAAATTAAATAAACACCGTGCGACTAAAAATGTTGCAACCAAATTCTGCAATCAGTCTCATTAGGTTATATAATTTAAGGATTAATAAACTTTTTTTCATTATCATTACTATTGAAAGGAGTCCGGATCAATTTGTTCCCAAAATCCATCCAAATAATGACTGAATTTATTTGATCAAATTCGCTACTATTATCACCATTGTTAAAGAAGTACCTGAACTTATTTGTTTAGAACTTCGATAACTCCTTGAATATATTCAGTGGCCTACGTTAATACAAAGTACGTGAAACAACTAGATTGCAATAGTTCAACAATTACTTTCAACGAGATATTTTGTTACAAAAAGATTCAATTTCCTGGTAAATTACAATTATTAATTATTGCAACTACAAAAGTGTTTTATATGTCGTGAAATATGAAATCTGTAGTTTCACACACTACTATTCTTTTGAGTTGGATAAGAAATCTTCTAATGAACGGGTTAATTTAATTGAAGATACTATAGATAATAAAGTTAATTCCAAAAGTTTAGGTTTATCATCTAGAGCTGATAATAAAGTAGCTTTTTTTTTCTTTTTGTTTAGACATTATTTAACAACAAAGACCTTTTGAAACATCCAGATAATAATTTCTAGTGTAAAACTTTAATTTGTTTTAATCAAACCTGCCCTTTATCTTCTTCAGCTAGAGTATGTGCATTATTATCGTTATAAGTAGATCATTTAAAGGTATTAATGATTCAATAATATTCAAGTGTTTCAGATCTTTCCCATTTATTACTCTTTTAAGGGTTTACGGGTTTACATTGAAAGTGGCTAATTTTATAATCATGCTATTTATACTCATGAATAATCCCTATCTTTTTATATAGACTTTATAGTCTGACTAATTAACAATTATCATTATTTTAAAACTAGTATAAGCTTCAGCATATATTAAATTCAAAATCACAGAGGTTATTTAAAATTCGATTTTGTACTTAAAATTAACGAGTTCGTACTATACATTTCATAAATACAAAGTATCCTACATATAAAAACTTCATGCTCGCACGGTTTCTTATAATAAATTAGCGACCTAAGATAGCGGAATAGTCCAAAATCTACGTCGAACTTGTCATTAACTTCATTAACTTATGAAGTGAAATTTACTACATGATTTGGTCCTACAAAAAAAATTTTTCAAACTTTAATATGTAATTTTATACAACCGATTTGCAACAATCGATTAAAGTCAATTATCTTGAGGTTTTAGAAAAATATAGGGTTTGAAAAATGAGTGAAGGTGGAAAGGAAGTAGAAAAGCAAGAACAAAAACAAGAACAAGATCAAGAACAACAACAACTTGTTGCAAAAGAACTTATTTTAAAATTAAATTTACCTTTAATTTTACAACTTGAAGAAAATGAAATTATTGTACCATCACATTATGAAGAAAATTTAACAGATTTAAGACAAACTTTAACTCTTATTCCAAAAACTAAAAATTTATCAAATTACTCAATTATAATAAAAGGAATCGATGTTGAACAATTTGAAGAATTATATACATTTGGTCAAATTATTGAAGAATTAAAATTAGGTAAAGATTTAAAAGAATTAAATATTGAAATTAAAGCAAAACCTTATAATTTAGCAGCAATTTATGAACAAATTATAAGATTTAGAGAAGTAATTGGTCTTTATTATATTGATAGAATTTCAAATGATTTAGGATCATCCGGTGGTGTTTCAAAATTTAATAAAATTAAATTAGATCAAATTAATGTAAAAAAAGATAAAACTGAAGAAAATGAAGAATCTAAAAGAATAGAGTCATTAACATCGGAGGAAAATTCAGAAATTTCAGAAATCATTGAATCATTGATCAAGGTACAATTAAATGAAAGTTTTACAGAAGCATCAAAATTTGATACTGTTAATCAAAATACAATAACTCCAATTAAATCTTTGACTGTTTCTCAATGGTCTCCGGTACCGCCATTCCAAAGAAATAAAGGTGATCTTTTATATTTGGTTTTACAAACATTGGAGAATGAGACCTTCAACATTACTTGTCATTTTTCAGGATTTTTTGTAAATAAATCATCAACTATTAATTTCAATCCGAATATTAAAGTTAATGAAAAGGGTAAATTTTTTAAAAATTATTTACTTCATGATTTAATTTCATCATTATCACCAGCTTTTGCTACCACAATTCAAGACAATGAAATCAAATTATCTAAATCATCTGAACATCCAGAATCATATTTATTGCCTCATAATTCGTTTTTAGCTTACCCATGGCTTGTTAATGAATCAGATTTGAAAAATGTACCAGATGCTTCTAGATCACAAATTCCTTTAATTAGTAATGGTGTTGATGGATCAGATATTATTAAAGAATGGAATAACGATATTCAAACTATGAAAGAATTACCAAGCTCTACTTTTCAAGAACGTATTATTCGTGATAAACTTGTACAAAAAAATTTATTTGAGTTTAACAAAGTTGCAACCGAAACTGCTAAAAATATTATAAAAGGTAATATTACACCAATGAATCCTGGAGAAGAAGAAGATAAATATATTTATTTAAAAAATGGTATATTTTATTCTGCTGGTACTGCAACCGTTGATGTATTTGAAACCACTGGTGGAGAAGAAGCTTCTAGGTATGTTTCATCAAAAGATCTTTCAGGTATTAAAATCATTAATAGACATGAAGTAAACGGTATTTCAACTTTAGTTACTTGTATTGTTGATTATATGGGGAAAAGAGTTGTTTGTCAAGCTCCAGTACCAGGTATTTTAGATCCTCCAGCAATTGAAGATAATACCGAAGAAGAAACACAAGAAAAAGTTGTATATGGATTATCATCAGATGGTTGCAAAATTTTAGAAGAAAAAACTTTTGAAGAACCTTTAAAACAAATTGGTGAAATTTTCCATTTAAAACCACATAAAGTTAAATTAACTGAAGAAGTCGAGTCAAAATCTGAATTAATGGTTTCAAAAGACACTAAAGGTTTAAGAGGAACTGATGGTAGAAAGTATGTTATTGATTTGTACCGTACCACTCCACGTGATATTGAATTCATTGAAAGTAATTTCAATGGTAAAGAAGATTCATATCCACATGGTGAAGCATTGATTAGACACGAAGCAGTTAATGAATGGTGGAAACGTAAAATTTCAGTATTATTTAAACAAGAAACTGATAAATTAGAAAAAGAAGGAAAATTGGAAAACAAGGAAAATAAAGAAAAACCTCAGATTGCTTTACCAACTGATCAAGTTGTTTTCAATCCAGATTCTTTCTCTTCTTCATTTGAATCTAAAGAAGATCAAGATGAAGTTAGAGAAATTTCTAAATTTATCAAAGAAAAATTAATCGTTGAATACTTGGAAGAAATTAAACTTCAATTGACACCGTTTGACGGAACACAATTAAGTGAACAATTACATAGACAAGGTATTAATTTAAGATACTTAGGTTACATTGCTCAAGCTTTATTAGACAAAAAGAAAGAAGTTCAAGAACAAATTAAAAACACCATATCCGAAAATGAAGAACAAGAACTCACCGCAAAAGCTAAACAAGATGAGGAGGAAAGGTCCAAAAAAGAACAAGAAAAATTAGATGAATCAAAGTCAGAAGAAGAAAACAGAAAAGACGATTTAGAACCAAAAGAAGAAGAAGAATCAGAACCATCAAAAGCTACTTATGATCTTGCAATTGCAAATTATACTACTTTATACAGACTTGTCATCCAAGAAATGGTTGCAAGAGCATCAAAACATATTTTAAGAAAATTATTAAAATCATTACCAACTTATCTTTCAACTTCAGCTGTTGTTCATTTCCATAATTGTTTATTTGGTGGTGATATAAATCAAACTCCAATAGCTGAAATTGATGAATTATATCAAACTTTTTACCCAGTCGATGACTTCAAATATACAGAACTTAATCATAAATCAGTTATTGAATTAATCAAAAATGAAGTTTATTCAAGATTTAGATATGAATTACCAGAAAATTGGTTAAATGAGATAATTAGATTACCACAATTATTGAGAGAAATCGCTTTACAATTTGGTATTCAATGGAAATCAAATGATTATTCATTTACCAAATCGGAATTCGACTCCAAAAGCAATGAAATTGAAAAAGATATTATTGAATCCAAATCATCCAAAAAAGGTAAGAAAAAAACTCAACAAATTGTTTCAAAATCATTCAAACGTGATTCAGTATTTGTAGTAGATGATTTAGTAGATTTCATACCAAAAATTAAAGATTCTTCATATAAATCAACAATGATTGATGAAATTTTTGCAAATGCAAGATCTCAATTAATTGCAGGTAATAAAGAAATTGGTATGACAATGTTTGCAGAATTAACAGCAATTCAAGAATCCATATATGGGAAAGTTAATCCAGAAACTGCTACATTTTATAATTTAATTGCTCAAGTTTATCAAGAATTAGGATTTGATTATGAAGCAGCTTTATTAGGTCGTAAAGCTATTATACTTTGTGAAAGATCTTGTGGGTTTGATAGTCATGAAACTATTACTGCTTATATGAATCTGGCTTATTATGAATCTAGTAATGACCAATTTTTAAATTCTTTAAAATTATACAATCAAGCAGTACAAACTTGGACTTTAACTTACGGTAAAGATCATCCAGCTATTATTAATACATTACTCAACTCATCAGATTCATTGTTGAAAATTAAAAACTTTGATGGTGCAGTTCAATTATTATCAAAAGCTTTAAATTATAGTGAAAAATTAAATGGTAAAGAAACTGAAATTTCTGGTTTGATTCAATACAGAATTGCAAATGCTTTTATTTCACAAAATAAAATTGAACAATCAAAACCATATTTTGAAGCAGCTCATGATATTTTCCAAAAATTAGTTGGACCAAACGACTCAATGACTAAACAAATAAGTAAATATGTAGCAAATGTTTCATTATATATTGAATATGCAAAAGCTAAAGATAAAGAAAAGAAAAAAGCTTTACAACAAAAAGCTGCCATTACAAATCAAAACAAAATTAAAGTATCAAATGGTAATGGACATAATCATCAACACCCACCACAAAATGGACAAACAAAAAATTCTAAAAAGGATAAATCAATTTTTCAATCCGTACCAGAAATTGCTAGTCAATCAGTTGATGAAATTTTAAATTTTATTGAAGGTAAAACTAGATCCACTAAAAATAAGAAAAAGTAATTAAGATATGTAAATAGGACAATTTATTAAATTTGTATATAGTTTATTTAAATAAATAAAAAATGTTAATGATGATGTGAATGCGAATTTTGTTCTTCTTGTTCTTCAGGTACTTCTTCTTCTACTTCAAATTTTATACCAACATTTCTAACAAATCTATCATCTTCATGAATTAAATCAGCTAATATTTTTTCATATTTATTTATAGTTAACAAATCAATTGATTTATTTCTAGTAAGTAACGTAAAATTTATATTTGTATTAGCACCAGAAGACAATACCGATAATTGTTTTAATTTAAATTGTTTTAATTGTTCATTACTTTCTAATTCATATTTTATTATATTTTCAACTTTATTATAAATTTCAGATCCTGGTTGTTCTCCTCTATCTATTAATTCATACCATGCTTCTTTCATTGAATCCCAACCGGCTTTAATAATTAAAATTGAAACTCCAATACCTCCAATTGAATCTAACCATGCAACATTAAATAAAACTCCTCCTGCTACTGTTAATAATGCAACAACAGCAGTTAATGAATCAACTCTATGATGCCATGCGTTAGCTACCAATACTTTTGAGTTTGTTTCATGTGCAATTTTTAAAGTTTTACGATATAATATTTCTTTAACTATAATTGAACCAGCTGCTAACCATGCTGCATTAATATTTGGAATTTCTCTATGAGTTGTGAGTTCAGTCCCAATTGGAGTTTGTGTATGAGAATGAGAATGAGAATGTTCGGAATTACTACCTAAATCTGTATGAGTATGATTATGACCAATTTGAATACTTGCAGCAATTTCATATAATTGAGTTGGTAAAACAAATTCAAAAACTTGTAATAATGAAGACCAACCAACTGATATACCTGCAAATAATAATATGGCACTTACAGCAAGTGATCCTATAGTTTCAATTTTACCATAACCAAAAGGAAATTTTGTAGGAGTACCAACTTTAGCTGCAACATTTACTGTAGCTAATGTTAAAAAATCAGCCAACATATCACTTACTGAATGAATGGCATCTGCAATTAAAGCTTGTGAATGAAATACAACCCCACCAACACCTTTCGATATAGCTAATCCAATATTTACTAATAATCCAATCCATGTAATTCTTACCGCTGGATTTGATTTTATTGAAGAAGCACTAGCTGATAAAAATTCGTTTGGTTCATGCATTGAATGATGATGATGCAATATACTACCTCCAGCATGAGAATGTGTGTGTTCGGAATGAGAATGAGAATGGGAATTTGATTGTTGATGTTTTACTTCTAATTCTTGTTTTTCTGACATTTTTTGATGAAAAATTGTAAATGTTGAGAATAGTTTTTTTGATATTATAAATGGTTTATGTTGAGATCGAAATGAAATTTTAAATATGTATTGCTGTCGATATAAAATTGAATTGGTATATGACTTAGGTAGTAGTATTTGGGGTAGTCTTGGTATAATAATTTGACTTGAAATGTTCATTTTCTATGAAAAAAAAAGTATTATAAAATCAAATATTTGGGTTTTTTTATTGTTTAAATTCTTCAATTGAAAAATTATTTAAATTTAAATTTTGAAACAACAAATTTTATTGAATGTCTTGGCAGGTATAGTGTTTTGATTATCAAATATCAATCATCTGAAACTTAAATAATTGTTTAATAAAATTGATCATGTACAATGTATTGAAGATTGAAATAAGAGTTCTTTTCGTATCTCCAGATTTTATTAATATTTGTTTTTGTTCAATGATATTAGAATTTAAGAAGATTTACGTGCGAATCGGAATCTCAAAATATTTAGAGATCAAGTTAATTACTTCAAAGTAATGAACATCTAGATTGGCAATATAATTGTAGTAACATCTATATACCAATGATGTATCAAAATAATGAATTTAGCAATTTATTTGTATCGCTTTTGGAATCTCCTGTGGGTATATCATCATTTTCTTTCTTTTTTAATTCTTCCAACTCCAACTTCAACCTATTTAGTTTATCCAAGTCATATTTCTTATCTTGACCATCATATAGTCTATCTTTTATACTCTTAGTTGGTTGTCTTATATGCATATAATTACACATTTCTCCTCTTTCACAAGAATTTGTATCATAAGCTCTACAATGAGCGTCATTAAAATCAAGTACTGGTGATAATTCTGAATGCACTGGTCTACCGTTGAACCATTCTTGATTTAATATATTGTTTATATTTAATGCATCATTTGTTGAAAAAAACCGTACATATACATTACCATTTAAATGATTATTTTCATTTTCACAAACTACTAATGAAGCAATTTCTCCTAATAAACTTAAATGTATAAATATATCTTGATAAAATAAATCAAAAATTTCTTGTATTTGTTTTTGAGTAAATTCTTCACTATCATTTTTATTTAATTTGGGGTTTTGATATAAGTTGGCTAATAATAAAGTTTTTGATGATGTTGGTTTTATATGCTTTTTGGAACATTTCTCTCCATGTCTACAAGCTCCTATTTTATTATAGAATAAACACGAAACTGATGAGTTACTGCCATGATTGTTATCATGTCTTTGTTGATATCTTCCTCCTCCACTCATAATAATCTATTTATATAATAATGATGGATTAAATGATTAATTTCAATGTATAATTTTAAATCATGTTAAGATTTTAGTTGTACATTTTTGTGTAATTATTTTAGTGATGTTTCAATTTTAGGTTCAAATTTAAAATACAATATTTTTTACAGTCACAATAGATCATTGTCCGCTCTCAGTAATTATAACACGCCAGAGTTAGTTATTGCTACAATTATTATAAGGTTTACATTAAAAGTCATATTTTTATAAAAGTTAAATTACAATATCTTAATAACTTTTTTTCTCATTTATTATTTCATCACCAGAATCACTCACAGTTTGTCCATCAACAACATGAGCATTTTTATAATCTGTTGGATCATTAGAATTATCAATAAGCTTGCTTTCGTAGGTAATATCTTTTTCATCAATGTTACTTCTTGGTCCTTTATACCATTTATGAGCATCAACAACAAACCATATTGTAGCCAATAATAAAGGGCCAAAGAATACCAAAACTGTCCAGTTCATTTCTTGAGCATTTAAATCAGCACCTCTTACGGTTGGGAAACATAAGATTGGTATCATTAATGTAACAAAAGCAACTGAACACCATCCAATAGGTTGGGAGAATTTTCCTAAATGCCAAGGACCTCTTTTAAACGTTTTTCTAGCATAAGTTATTTTTAGTAAAGTTGGAGTAGTGAAACTAACAAAACCAGCAATTCCACCGACTGAAAAGATAGCACCAATAGCAACATCACCTCCAAACATTAACAATAACAATAATTCACCAATTACAACATTAAAAACTACTGCCCAGATTGGAGTTTGAGTCCACGGTGAAACCTTTTTCCAAATGTTTGAGCCAGGAAATAAACCATCTCTAGAATAAGCATAGGTGACTCTTGAGGCGGCTAATAAACATGTATATGACATAAAAAATGAAGATATTATTGTTAATGCAACAGCAGCATTAAGTAGGTCATGCTTCAATATCTGACTTAAATAAGTGACAAATGGTTGACCTAAACCTTGAGGATCATCAGCAATTTCAGTAAGATCAACTAAAGTGTAAGAAATTGCAATACAGAAAAAAAATCCAACTAGACCTCCAACAACCGCTGTCATTGTAATTGCTCTTGGTACTGCTACTGAAGCGTTGCTACACTCCTCAGATAAATGGAATGGGGAGTCATATCCACTCATGGCCCAAATAACGCCAAGGAATGAGGCTAAAAATGATATCCCCTGTGGCCATTCTATTTGATTTGTCAAACTCCAAGCAACAGAATTTGAATTAAATTTTGAAATGTCTTTTCCCAGAATTTCTACTCTTGAATTTCCTCCTAATATCATTACAAAAACAATTACCAAGAACACTATGTTACAAATAGTACCACTTGAACTAAATCTTGCAGCCCATTTAGATGTTGATGAACACATAATTCCACATACAACCATTATACCAGTAGTTAATCCAAATACTTGACCTGTAGTTGGAGTATATGAAGGACTATTGTAGCTGTATAACGCAAGCATTAAACTAGCCCCCAGCCAACTCACCGATGGGGCGGCCGTTATTTGGCAAAGAAAATTTGACCATGCTGTGAAGAATGTAAAATATGCCTTGTATTTTGGTGGAGATAATTGCGAAACTGCATATGGTGTTCCTGCAGAACAAGGAAAAGCTGATGATACTTCTGCCATAGATAAAGCAACAAATGTGATAAAGATCATTGCAATAATCCATGGTAATGGGGACATTCCAATAACTAACTGTTGATAATCAAAAGTTGCTGCTATGGAAGGTAATAATCCTAAGACTGAAAAACTAACACCAAAAATAGTCCATAATGAAAACTCTCTTTTCAATTCTTGTTTATAACCCATAGCTAATATCAAAGCTTCATCATTATCAACTTCATGATCAACATTGATTATAGCACCTTGATTTGATAAAATTGAAGTTATATGCAAATTATCAACATGAACTTGTGATTTGATTGGATGTAATTCAGGATCTAGCACTTTTGAAGTAGTTGGAGTAGTTTTAGCTGACTTCATCTTGTGTCTTTAAAGAATGATTTAAAATATAAAAACTATTGTTGAAAATTGAATCAAATAAATTAATTCATAGTTATTTATTTGAATATATATATAAATTCAATCAAGAAATGGAATTTAGGCGGTTAAATAATTAATTATTACTTATCTAAAAATACTTCATCTTAAATAACCAAGATATAAAAATTTAATGTAATAACTCCAATTATAAAAAACGTTATCAGAACAATTAAACAAAAAGATAAGGAAAAATTTTTTTTGTACTTTATTGAATATTATTTTTGTGTATTCTTACCTGAACTTCTATTATAATTTATATAATATGTCAAATCTTTGATTGTTTCGTTTTTGTACTTAGGTTAATTTATTAGCATAATATATTTTGGACTATTTAATATATAATGGGGCAAAATGCCATTACATTTTTGTCAAATTTATGTTCTCCAAATTAATATACTTGACAATGTTTAGCCTTGAGATCCAATAAATAATTTGCTGCAAAAAGTGCATTAAATTTTTGCAACCAATTTATTTCTTTTTTACTTCTTTTAGTTCTTCAAAAGTGAGAAAAAAAATATTTTTTAACTTGAATTCAAGATCTTGCAAATTTCATTCATAAATGTTTTAACCAACTATTAGATAGTAGCTATAGTTGAATGTTAAGATAACATCCAGACTTGGCTCTTATTAATCAATGATCAACGAGATAAGGACTCTCTGGCGGTAACATTTGCAAAAAGCTTAAACTAATTTTTTTTCTATATCTGTATATTGATTTCACGAAGATGCGCGAATTGCCTAATGTGATTAAAGATGCGCTTGATTAAGAATAATTATTTCGTTTAGTTAAGACTTATAAGTGCTAAATGACAGTTCTTAAAATCTACAGTCTCATATACTTAATTTGAATTTTTGCGGGGCTCCATATTCAAAGTTCAATAGTTTGGAAATAAAAATTCACGTAAGAATTAAAATAGATGAGATAAAATATATCAAATCGACAATTTTGTTCCAAAACTAGATTTGTGCTACCCTCTCCAATCTTATATGAGTAATATTGGGGGAACTTTACTGCCCTTTTTCATGATCAAAACAAGCATATAAAGAAGTTTGTCATGATAAAACCAAAGGGAGACATTTGTGTTTCAAAAGAAGTCCAAGTGTCTCAAAATCGATTATTGTATGTTAAAACTGACCTGAAAATAAGTAACAATTCCTAAGTTTGAAGTAATTTATGATCATATAAAGTACACAAAATTATTTTGACATTTATTAGTGCCATGAATTGGTCTAAACTGACATTTTTAAAATCGGGTCTGTTTTGTAATTGATAGCGCAGTCTTTATCACAGTTAACGCGCGCTAGCTTAAAACTATTTACGAAATATCGTGCAGAACATTATGTGCTTGTATTAGATTTCAGAAAGGTAAATAAAGTTGGAGAAGATTAAATTTTAGTTTTTATAGCAGTGATCGCAGTTATAATTGAGGTAAATTAAATTCTCCAAATTCTTTTTTTAAATTACACATGGAAAAGAAGTGTTCACTTTTATATCTTGCTCGCAATTCTCAAACAAGAACTTTTCAAATTATTTGTAATCTGGGTGCTGAGTCTGAAGAGAAATATAGTTTCAAATGAACTTAAGGTGTTGTTATTCATTTAATTTTAATTTGCAATATCCTGTCAAAAAAATCCGAAGAAAACATTGCAGCTTGAAATGGACAAACTACAATTTTCAGCAATTTCTCATTACTAATCTATATGTGTACTTAATATAACATTGTCAATTACAATTCAGCAAGAAAAAGCACAACTTGGACCAATTTTTATTAACAAAAGAGTGACTTGCCTCTGTTCTTCTCCTTCGTCTCAATATCCAAGTTTAGAAGACAGTATAGCTATACTTTACAACCCCTAGGTACAGTAAGCTGCCAAGCCTTAATACGATCATGTTGTTATTTCTGAGAATGTGTACATGAAGTAGTATAGATTTTAATTGTAGCATAAAAAACTGCCAAACATTTAAAAAATATTAAATAGTACTGTAATACTTTCTTCCTAGACCTGCACATAAGTTGTCAAAAATGTATGGAAGAACTAATGTAATTGCATAATGCAAGCATCAACCTGGTCCCCAGTCAGTGCCAAAAAACTTCAATATTCATTGGAAATCGAAAGAACTCAAACGAAAGCTTAATTTGTGCTTAGTTTTGAATAACATCAAAGTGTTTCTGAAGGGTGTCTTTTGTAACTATATATTTTAGTGTTACAATTTGCGGCTAAAACTTACTTCTCGTATTCCAGTTCTCCATTAAATAATGGTACATTAAGAGAAATCAGTAAGAGCCTTTTTGGTTCATGCTGATTGTTTAAAGTTTACTCGCAACATTCTGTAAGTAAATAGCTGTTTTTTTAATACGTACGTTTATTTTAGCTTTCTTTACTTCGGTTGATTTAATTGTTTGAAGCTTTTCTTAAATTCAGTATTAACTAGCTGAATACTTATGAGAGGTTGCTATTAGAATGTAAAATATCAGCAACTTTCGGCCATGTTTAGGTATGTAATGTAGCTCTTTGAATTAGAACGAGGAAACTCAAGTTCAGGGAATATTAAACTAGCATTTTCTCAACTAAAATTTGGCTGCAAAATCATGTTCAATAAACTGCAAAAACATTATGACATAAATACTCCTGCCTTTCATCTATTCTTTTCTTTGATAAAATAATTTTAAAAACTAAAGCAATAGATGTCAAACACTAATTTGAATGATTTTATTTTTGAAAGAATTTCTTCGCAATTGAGTCAGCATGAAGTTTTGAAATTATGTTACATGGATAAAGATGACAATTGTCTTTGTAAAATTGAATTGTATAATTCGGAGAAGAGAAGCTCAAGAGCCTCTTCGAATTGCTCAACACCTGAAACAAATTCAGAATTAACTGTTGGAGAGATAGATGATGATTTGAAATCATTGTCAAACTTTTTTGGGAAGAACAATACAGCAAATTCTTTGAAAAATATACTAAAAAGTGACAGCAAAAAAGAGTTGCACGTACACGTTTCTGGTTTAAGCATTAAAATCGAAGATGACATTAACTTAGATGAAGAGAGTTCAATCAAAGGGAAGGCAGAAGACGGACAAGTAGAAAAATCGAAAGAGTCATCATCATCATCAGCACAAGAATCGGAAGCTCAGTCACAACCACAAGCTCAATCACAACCACAACCACAATTGCAATCACAACCACAATCACAATCACAACCACAATCGCAACAACAACCCCAAATTAAAACCCAACCTCCAACTCAAACTCAACAAGCTGCTCAAAATCGACCAAATAATACAACAAATATAACAGGTGTTGCACTTTATAATCATATAATGATCAAGCCAGGCGATTTACATTTCTTTGCAGGTGATAAAATTACCGACATTTTGCATTACGAGAGTGCCAGATGTTACGGAAAAAATCAAGTTACTGGTTGTGTTGGTTCTTTCCCACACCATTACGTTAAAATTAATAAATAGGTAACTTAATTTCACTTGATTTGAATTTCGTCCTTATAGCAGTTTATGTATTTATTAGATGTCATGTATTTATGTCAACAATCAAATATGTAGTCTACACTATTAATAAATAAACTACCCTAAAATGTTACAATAAGGTTATGTGTCAAAACATCTCATGATTTGAAACAAATAAAAGTTTGCAGTTAGGATTTTTATGTAATATTAAAATATTTTGCCGTTCTTTCCAATTTAGAATAAAACCCCGTAAATTTAAATTTAAACTTTGTGCTTATAAATTATTAAATAACAATAGAAAAATTAAGAAAAAGTTGGAGAATTTGTTGCATTAAAACTTATGAGTAAAAGTGATTAATTTTGGTCATTACTTATGTAGATCAAAATTATGATTAGTAACGGATGATTAAGTTAATAAAACTTCAACAGGTCAATCAACCAAATGGTCCGATCGAACGTTTTTAGCCTTTTCTATGTGTGAATAATTGAAAGGGCTTTAATTACTTTCGCAAATATTTAAAGTTTTAAGGAAATCATGGAAACTATACGAAAATTCGAGACATCATTCAAAAGTTTAAAATTTTGTAATTAGAGAAATATAATGAATTGATTTATGGATTATGATTGAGTCCAATAAAGCTGAAGCGTTTTTTTAAAAATTCTTTCTCTGTGTTGTAAATCTATATTTTAGATTTTGAATGATCATTATTCTTTGTTTTTATATTTTTTTTTTCTTTCGATTTCGGTGATTCAGTAATAAACCACTTATAGAAATTCTTAGAGAAGCAAGTACTGTAATTATTGTGTGGTACTTGGTTTCATAGTTCCTAACCAAATATCTCAAAATTACTTTGATGCTGCCGTATTCTCCATGTTTATATACATGAGTTCAATTCATGCAATCATATGTTAATGCAGTACCAATTTTAGACTAAAAAAATTTTTAGAAAAAAAAAATTAAAATTGTCTTACAGATTTATTTGATATAACTCAATAAAGCCATGTATTCTAGTCATCACACTTTTTATGGAGTCTTACGGCTATCCTTGAAAAGTTTAATTTTGCTCTTATTCTCAGAATTACTATAATTTTCATTTGAATAATATTACATGTTTTCAGATATCCCTTAAATTTACAAGATATATAAAGTATTTATATCTACCCCTATTTCTCCTTTTCTTTTCTAAAAATAACAATTGTTAATTACTTTCAAATTAATCACTAGGCAATTAAACATTCATTAAGTTTCAATTTTTTAGCTTGTTTCATATTTAAATTTTTGCAACAATTTATACTTTAATTACACAAAATCAACGTACTTAAAAATGACTTATTTTGAAGGAATTTCAAATATTGTTAAAAGAAATCGTGCAGTTAGTATTAATCCTCCACCACCTGAATCAGATATTAATTTAACTTCTCATGGTTCAGATTGGTTATGGGCTGTATTTTCAGTTTTTGCTTTACTTGCTGTTGTTCATGGTTTTATTTATTCTTTAACTAGTGTTAGAAGAAGTGGATTAAAAAAATCATTATTAATTATTCCATTATTTACAAATGCTATTATGGCTTTTGCTTATTATACATATGCTTCTAATTTAGGTTATACTTGGATTGAAACTGAATTTCATCATGTTACTACTAGTAGAGATTTAAATGTTCGTCAAATATTTTATACTAAATATGTTGGTTGGTTTTTATCATGGCCATGGGTTTTAACTATATTTGTTATTGTAACTCATACAAGTTTAACTGATGATAGAGAAGATCTTTTAAAAAGAGGTGTTCAAATTTTTTCAACCCTTTTCACTAGATTTTTAGCAATTGCAGTATTTGTATTAGGTTTATTAATTGGTGCTTTAATCAGATCTTCATATAAATGGGGTTACTTTACTTTTGCAGTTGTTGCTCAATTATTTGCAATTTATCTTGTTTGTGTTGATTTACATCATAGTTTTGGTTCAGTAAATAAAAGTTGGTTTGGAAGTTTATTAATTACTTTTTATATTGTTGTTTGGATTTTATACCCTGTTTGTTGGGGTTTATCAGAAGGTGGTAATGTTATTCAACCAGATTCAGAAGCTGTATTTTATGGTATTTTGGATTTAATTACTTTTGGATTTGTACCAGTCATTTTAACTTGGATTGCTGTTAATAGAGTTGATGAAGAATTTTTTACTAAAATTTGGCATTTCCATTTAAATAATGGTGGTAATGGTCATGCTATTAATCATGATGTTGAAAAAGATGTTGGTGCTGATACTCCAAGACATTCAGGTGATACTGCAGTACCACCAACAGGTGTTCCAGCTACTGAAGAAGAAGCAGTAGTTGAAGAAGAAGTTGTTTAAAAGAAGCTGCTTAAGAAGCTAGATGAATACCCACTTTTTTTAATTTATTTTAAGGTATCTCAAGCTGTGTGATATAAATCAAATTTAATACCTATTGAAATGTTCAGCCCATCAATATTATTTTAAAGTGTTTAATTTTTAATTCTAATGAATAAAGTTTACATATAAAATGTATTTCTCTCTTTGCTCTCTTAACTCTAATGGTTGCAAAATTTGAAAATTGTGAGGCTTCACTTCAAGATCTTTGCTAAAAATAAAAGTACAGCAAAAGAGAAAGAAAAAAAATAAAAAAGCAATTCATTAAACTGAAATTTTACAAATCCATAATTTTTTTTTAAATACATGTTATCTTCTTTATAGACTCAATTGAATCATTAAAAAATGCCACCAAAAGCAACCCCATCATCAAAATCAACCATTAAACAACAATCAAGTTTAACTCAATTGATTACTTTATTAAAAACTCAACAATTCTATTGGTTTTTAGGTCATGTATTTGCATTATTATTTTCAATATTAAGTACATTAACTGGATTAATTTTTAAAAATCAATTATCATTAAAATATTTTAGATTTGCATTAATTTCAAACATTATCACTTATGGTATAGTTATAAAACAAATACATTTTAAATCATCAACCACTAGTTCAAATGTAAGTAGAATTAAATTAATTAATGATGAAAATATTCAATATTTGGTGTTAGCTTTAGTGTTTTTATTGTCTAGTTATATATTAAAAACCCAAAATCAATCTGCTTTATATCCATATGTTATATTTGGAGTTTTCCATGTTGTTACATATTTCCAAAATCATTTGATTACAATTTTCATTCCATCTATTCCAGCTCAACAACATTTGAATTCTTTAATAAATAATTTCACAAGTCAATTGAATCAACCAGCATTATATGCTGCATCAAGTGTTGAATTAGTCTTGGCTTTAACTACAGGATTTGATGTAGTTATTAGTAGTTTCTGGTTAATTTTAAGATGGAATTTTTTTGACTATATTACTAAAGTTATTGTATTTTTAACAGTAATTATATTTAACAAATTTAAATTTGATCATAGTCAATATACAAAGGCATCAGTATTACAAATGGATCAAACTTGGAATGGATACGTTAACAGATTAAATAATCCAAAATTAACTCAATTATTTTTCAATTTTAGAGATTTGGTAATTCGTTATCTTGGTTTAATAAATATTCCAAAAGATGTCAAAACAACTCAATAGTTGCATTTCGTCTATTTTATAAATTTATGTATAAGTATAGTATCAAATAAATTCTATGAAAAAATTAAAATCTGAATTTAGCAGCCATGTAAAATTTGGTTAGTTATGATAATCGCTAATTGACCACAAAAATGCAAATTTGAAAATATCATAAAATATAAATTTCATCAAAACTCAGCAACAGTACAACCAACAGAAACATACAAAATGGCAGGAGCTAGTCAAAAGAAATTAGCAGTCAAAAATAAATCAATACTAGACCAATTACTATACATCTCAATAGGGGTAAACACCTTAACTTTATTCACATTATTCTATTTCAAAAGACCAACAAGTAAAATCCCATATATTATTTTTCAAATCCCAAGTATAGTATTACAATATTTATTAGAACAGAATGGTAGACCAAAATATTTAGGTGACAAAATGATCAAATCAGGTGATGATATTTTACAAAAAGGAAGTTTATTTCAATATTGTTTTGATATTATTTATTTAACTTGGTTTTTTGACATTTTAATGATTGTTTTTGGTTCAAATAAAGTTTGGATCTTATACTTGATTATTCCAGGTTATATAACTTACAAATTAAGTGGGTTTATAATACCTTTCTTCAAGAAATCGAAGCCTTCTGTTGTTGATAATGACATTGACAATAAAGAAAAAGATTCTAATACTGGTTTAAGTAAACGTCAACAAAAATTAAAAGCCAGACAAGAGAAAGGTCCAGCTGTTAAATATAGATAGATTGTATATAGATAGGGATTGTATAATTTATCTTGTTAATAGTTTAGATAATAATATATGTATTATAATAATTGATCTACCGTATACTTTAGTAACACACGACGATAAAATTGCAGCAAAAAATTTCTATCAACATCTTTTTGATAATTAACTTAAATTTTTACAACCAACACCAATAAATAGGAAAAACTTGTACATAGATTCACAAAGATGCCAAAAATTAAAAATCTAGATGATTTCATAGAATTATCAACTGATTTACTACAACATTTCCCATCCACAACAACATTATCAATAACATATTCAAATACATCCAAAAAACCGAAAAATCAAAAACCATCAAAAAAACCCACCACCCAAACCAATAAAGCTACAAATGAAGTCAATATAAAATTATATGAACCACATCAAGGTAAACTTTTGAAATTCAAAACCAAAAAACAAAAAGAATTAAGTAAAATTTTAAATATTTTAGGACCTCAAGGTTTAAGTAATCAATTAGGTTTAACTAGTTTAATGACAAATGTAAAATATATTGAACCTGAAGTTTCTGTTGTGGATGATTCAATAATTAGTGAAGATGTGAAAAATTCAAGTGTAATTACTAGTAAAGAAGGTACTCCATTAGTGGAAGAAAATAAAACTACCGCATCATCATCAAAGAAGAAGAATAAAAAGAAGAAAAAGAAAAACTAGAGTAATATATAGTTGATTAATTAATATACATGTACATTGCATTCATCATCAAAAATTCATCGTAAGTAAAATAATTATATCAATTAATTAAAAACTAACAAACTATAAAATAATAAAAACATTACATTATTCCCTATCTAAACAATCTTTTTAATTTTGAAATAAGACCACTTTCTTGTCTTTCAGTAGTTGGTCTTTCATTAGATTTAGATTGATCAAAAGATCCAGGAATTTTATGATTTGTTTGTTCAGTAGTTGATGTAGATTTATTATAACCTGTTGTTGCATTAGATGATGATGTATTATTATTTGATTGATTTGATGCGTTATTTAAACCTAAAGTTGAATCTGATGGTTGTGATTGTAATGTTGGTTTATCAGGTTTTGGAATTGGTTTTGGTTCATCTTTTTTAATTTTTGAAGTATCTTTTAAGTTTGTATTATTATTATTATTAGTCGTAGATTCTTCATTACTAATTTTTGAATCAATATGTTCATAATCTGATGAAGAAGGTGGTGAAGATACTGCAGCAAATGAAGAAACTGCTGAACTAGTTTGATTTGTTGTAGTTTGAATTGGTGGTGTTTGTTTTTGTTGATGTTTTAAATCAGGAGATTTAGTTGGTTCTTTTGATTCTTCACCATCATTGATAACAACTGGTGCTGAAAGTACATCTTCATTATCGGTTGTAGTAAAAGTTTGATTATCAACAAATTCATCATCATTGTTTTCTGTTGGTTCTTCTTCTTCTTCAACTAAAATTAAATCATCAGATTTTATAATATTATTTAAATTACCTTCATGATCAGTTATAGTATCATATAAATCTAAAGTAGTCCAATTACCATCAATTATAAATTTAAAAATAATATCTTCTTTGGATCCAATTGTAATTGTTTGTTCAAATGGTTCTGTTGTAATTTCAGGTAATGATTTTGACCAATTATCAAAAGTACCAGTAATTTGAACTGATTTAATATCTTTTGGAGCTTTTATAGTATATTGATACACCATTCTCTTATAGCTTCTTCTTTCTTTTAAAATGATAAAAATAAAAAGATTATTGATTATCAATAAATTAAAATTTATTTATAAAATGCTAATTAAAAAGTCTCTATTAAAACTAATTAAAAAATAACCACACAAACACCTCAGTATATCAAAACACAAAATAATAAAGAACAAAAACTAATAATAAAAAGCAATTGAAAAATATGAAAAGAAGTTATTATTCAAATCGAAATTTGATTTTTGAATTATTTGATTTACTTTAAAATCAAAAAAGAATAAATTTGATAATAAATGATTTGAAATTTTAAAAAATTAAAATATTAAATTTTATTGATTTATTGATTGATAGATAACAAACAAACAAAATTATTTAATTTTTTTTATCCCTTAAAATAATTATTATATTTTTATTACTATTATTCTATTAAAAATTATTTATAATAAAATATAGTAGATATAAAAAGAAAAGAAAAATTATAAATTCAATAACTTATTAATGAAGATACAAAGATACAAATAAAATAACAATATAAGAATATTGTTCATGTAAATTCAAGTAAATTTGAATCAATTGAATTGTTTAATATTATTTAATATCTTATCTATCTGCACCCTTATATTATATTATAGAAGAAAAAAAAAGAAGATTTTCCATTTGGTCCGCAAGTTTTCTTTAAAAATCGATCTATATTTAAAAAAGTTAATTGATTCAATATTTAACGTATCGAGATACTTAAATTCATTTGACTTGTAAGTATATAAAATTCGAATTTATCTGTTGAGATCTCCCAACAATTTATTGACTAATATATGTCTTTACACTTAAAATTCTACAACTATCGGACTTTTTCTTCCCTCATAAACGTTTCTACTAATTATAATATTTTTCTCATTAATAAGTAAAGAGACGATTATCAAATTGAAGCAAATTAATCAATTGGGACTACTCATTCAAAATATAATTTATTCAAACAATTATAAGCTTTTTTAGAACTCTAGAAATTAAAGCCTTTCATGATTTTCAATTTCGAGATCTTAAAATTAAAACACAAAGACCAACAGTAAATGGTCTAATGCTTCATTTATCAAAAATCTTATACTACGATCAGATTTTCTTTTCAATTTTTTAAATCAGATCACTGTAATCTCGGATAATTTCTTGATATTTGACAACAATCAAAAAAGTAATTGATATATTTTTTAATTGATTCTTTAATAATAATTTATTATAATCATCAAATTATTGATTAAGATTTACAAATCAATTTGAAACTAGATCTTTGTGTAATAACCAAACTTTACAAAAAATTAGAATAAAATTATATCTCATTAAATTAAAAAATCTCTATTAAAATAATTACCATTTTTAAAACCATTTAACTCTAATATAAATTGAGCTAATAGCAATTAATCTATAAACAATAAATACAGCAAATAATCCTCCAAACATAGCACCAACATTTTGTTTCAAATTATAATAATTTAATACATCTTCACCTGTTCTAAAAGTACATTCTATTCCTTCAACTCCACAAGTAAAAGTTTGATTTTTAAATCCTAAATTTGCACATATTGCAACTGCATATTTCATTGGACTTATATAATTTATAGCTTTGAAAAAATGAGGCATATGTAATGACATTGTACCACCCATAAAAATTGCAACTATAATTAAATTTGATAAAATATTTGTTGCAACTTCCATATGATTAAAAATACTATTTACAAATATTCCTAATGATTCACCACAATTTATAGATATGAAACCAGTACAAAACATTGCAAAATACATTGAAGCATTTCTTGGTAATCCACAAACAAAAACAATTAATGCACTGAAAAAAAATGATGGTAAAATTTCAGTTGGTAATTCATTTAAAAAATATGAAATTCCAAATTCTGAAACTCCATATATTCCATCTTTATATTCTTGATAAAATAAATTTCTTTCAAATGGGTATAAACTAACATTATTAACTAATCCAACAAAATATAAATTTAAAACTTCTTGAATTAATCCTAATCTATTACTAATCCCATCTTGTGTGTTTTTCAATGGTGCAAAAAATAATGTATGTATAATTGTTAAAAATATAGTTTGTCCAACTCTACTTATTATACTATCTTTTGATCTATATGATGTTAAAAATTGTCTTTGAGTTACAGTTGGGAAAGTATAATAAAATGGTAATCTTTTGAAATAAAATTGTGATAAATTAACAACTTGTGCATTGATTGGTTGTTTTTCATTTGTTTCTTCTTTATATTTCCAATTATTTATTAGTAAACTAATTCTATCTTCCAAAACTTTTTCCGGTTTTTCTGGTGTTTCTTCTTCTTCATTACTTATTAAATCTAAAATATAATCAGCCATATTTAAATCATTTTTGTTGGTAAATCCTAGTTTTGCCAAATATGGTATGATTTCAGTTGATGGTCCATTATATATAACATTTCCACCTTTACCTAAAAATAATAAACTACCAAAATTGAAAAAGATTTCTTCACTTGGTTGGTGAATAGTTAATATCACTGTAGTACCATTTTCAAGAGCTAACTCAGTTAATAAATTGAAAATAGATTCTGCTGTTGAAGAATCTAATCCTGATGTTGGTTCATCTAAGAATAAAATTTTAGGTTTTGATAATAATTGGATTGATATACTTAATCTTCTTTTTTCACCACCAGATATACCTTTGATGTACTCATTTCCAACTAATGTATCAGCACAATCAATTAATCCAGTTTGTCTTATTAATTTATTTATAATCTTTGGTATATATGGATGTTGATCTATTGGTAATCTTAACCTTGCTTGATAATATAAAGTCTCTCTAACTGTTAAATCTGCAATTAATGAATCATCATGTTGTGTAACATAAGCTGATATTCTACTAAGTTGTGCTCTTGTAATATCTTGTACTCCATTAATCTTAATTTCTCCAGATGATATAAATGATGATGATCTATCTAATCTATTTGATAAATAATTTAAACAAGTACTTTTACCACTACCTGATGGGCCCATGATACAATTTACTGAGTTAGCTTTAAAAGTTGCATTAATGTCATTAAGTAATGTTTTTTGACTTGTAGTTTTACCATAAAATGTCTTTTTGTTAACCACCAAGTTAACATTAAATAATCCAATTTCGAGTGGGAAAGTATCATTAACAATTGCTTCATCTGTAATACCTGAAGAAATTATGTTTTGTGCAGTTTTTTCATCTTCCTCCTCATCATCATCATCTTCTTCGTCTTCATGATCTTCTTCATCACCAATAGTATTTTTCTTAGTTTTTGCCATACCCGTATCATGATTTCTAAAATATAATCCGAACCCAGAAATTAATAAAAACCCAACGACCCAACAGATCAAAATTCCAATAGGTTCAGCAATCCAATTTTGGGGATAGCCCAACAACGCTAATTGAGCATTACCAGTATATTCAACACATCTTGTTTCATCATCATAAGGACAATCACCAACCCAATTTGTAAATTGATTTGCGCATAATGCACCAAATCCATACCAAAAATAAGCTAAATATTTCACCCATCTAACATAAACTGGCATTGTTCTTGCATTAACAAAATAACCACAAGCTGAGTTTTGTAATTGATAAAATAAATTAATATATAAGGTGGTAATTGGCATACTTGGAGCTAATGCAAAACAAACCATTGCACCAGTCATACAACATAATTGAATTAATAAAGTTATTGCAAAAAATATACCGAAATGTGACCCATCACCAACTCTCAAACCCCACATGAAAAACGTAATAACTGAAAAAATAATAGTCATTGGTAAATCTTCAAGTACAAATTTGGCTAATCTTCTAGATATTATAAAACCTGGTATACTGGAAACATGCTCGAGATACTCTCTAAAAAAATATGTACCATCCGTAATCCATAATCTCTCAGCTTCAATAAACATTGCACAGAAACCAACGACTTCCAATAATACATATTGTACAGATACCAATGATCTAATACCTGCTAAATCATATTTTGGACGATAGAACATCCATCCTAAAGTTACAGCTAGGACCAAAGCACCAAGATTTAAAACAAGTAAACTTCCCTTATCACGATATGAAAATATAAAACTTCTTTTAGTTGTTACTTTTAATTCTTGCATAAATGATATTTGATCTTCCTTCGGAGTAGCAAACAACTTCAAGTTTTTGTAAAATTGTTTTTGATCCTTTTTTGGTGTACTATCATATTCAAAGTTATGTAAATCTTTCCAATTTTCAACTAAATAATTAATCCTTGCTACTGATCTCAGTTCATTTTCCAAAGTACTTGCATCTTTTACCGAAATATCCATAACATAAGTACTTATATGTTTATCAGTATCAGAAGGAGCATAATCTAATTTATTAAAATACTCATATGCTTCATTTTTTAAATTTCCGTAATAAACTAATTTACCACCTTTGGTCAAAAGACATACTTTATCAAATAAATCACAAATTTCAGGTCTTGGTTGATGAATAGATAATACTACCGTTATACCTAATTCAGATGATGCTAATTTTTTCAATAACTGAACTAATTTTAAAGAACTTGAAGTATCAAGACCAGTTGTGGCTTCATCACAAAATAATATAGATGGTCTTGATAATAATTGTATAGCTAAACTTAATCTTCTTTGTTCACCACCACTTAAAGTAGAAACATGTGATGAAAATTTACAAACCATAGTATTTGTTAAATGATTTAATTCCAAAACATCCATAATATATTTTATTAAATTGATTTTTTCATCTTCTGCAACATATGGTGGTAATCTTAAATCAGCTTGAGTTTTTAATGTTTCCCATAATGATAAACCTGGTAGAAAGAAATCTGTTTGTAATAAATATGCATGTTTTATATGATTTGCTGAGTCATTGTTAGTTGTGGTATATTCAATACTTCCTGAAAAATCTAATTTTTTATTCTTAACATTTGTTCTTTGAGCCAAAGTATTTAATAAAGTAGTTTTACCAGCTCCTGAACCACCCATTAATGCAATTAATTCACCACTATTAACATCAAATGAAATATCATTTAGTATTTTTGAAGATTTATGATTGAATTCTTTAGTTTCATGATCTTTTTGTTTGTGATTGAACACCTTTTGCTTCAACAATTTGTAATTTGAAGTTTGAGGTTCAACAGCCACTGTTAAGTTTCTCACTTTTAAACCAACTCTTTGATCTAATGGAATTTGAAGTACACTCATTTTTTGATAGTCGTTGAATATATATATTTGAAATGGAATTCTCTAGTTTGTTGAAGTTATTAATATTTATATATCACCTATTGTAACAATAAATCATAATAAATAGTAAAACTGTCTGATGAGATTATGAAAATACAAAAATTATATTAAATACTAGGATTCTATATTTTATTTATATTATTATAAAAGATTATCTTTATTACTAATTTAAATTTGCGCTATCAAGAAAATTTTTAAATTTACAAATTTTATAATTTTGTGTATTGCGTTTTTGTTGAATAAAGAAAATATGACTTGCGCTTTCACATTTGTTAAGTTTAAATTTCAAAAACTTTTAAATTTATATTCGGAGATTAAATAGCTAAAGATGATGCTATAAATCAATTTATATTAAAACAGGGTTCTTAGCTGTGGCATAGATATTCAAAAGACAGAAATAAATGTACGGCGATAAGTTGAAGGTAGCCAAAAATAGAACCGATTGTGTTTCTTGACAAAATTCTTTTTCATTAGGTTGATTGAATTGGTTTTGCCATTTGGTTATGCCATACTCAATGTACTGCGAAGCATTTAAGCCAATATTCTTGTGTTATTAATATAAAATTCTTTTGCCGTTCGTAAACTTCAACTAATGAAAACAATTGTGAGTACAGTTTCATCACAAAATAGGTCAGTCACTTGAGAATACTTTAAGAAAAGAATAAATCTAGAATGATTAGTTATTATTGGATAAAGGTTCTCTCTAAAAATTTGGTTATTCTCTTCAAATCAATTGCCCCCTTCGTTTCTCTTATTATTCCGCTTCTCACCAAACGCATTAAATTTTTTGAAGAACGCATTAAATTAAGTTCTGGTTATTATAACCATAAAATTTAGTTTTTGCGTTTCCCGTTTTGGGTATTTGATGCGATGGTTTGTGATATTTTTTAATTCTTGGCTTAACAATCATGAAAGTTATTATATTATATTTATACGAGAATAGGCTAAAAGAATACAAATTGTCAAATAAATAGGACTTATATTCACCGGGAAGTACTTATTATCGATTGTTCGGTGATTACTTTATACATACGGTTACTAATTAAATTCTATAACATTTCGCCACTTGTAAACCATAGTTGTATGGAGTTAAGTAACATTTCAAGGACATCTTAGACTCAAGTTTTACTGCCGATTCACTTTCTCCGTTCCCTTACTCCGTTTGTAAAGATAATCTAGCTAATTTTAAAACTCCTTCTTCAGTATTAGCACCACCAATAAAACCTGCAGCATGAACAAATATACAACCTTCAATTCCAGTTTTTTCACTCAATTCTTCATCCCTTAACCCTCTATATTGTTCAGGTATACCTTTTCTAAATTCAAAAGAACTTGATGTAACACTAACTGTTGAAATTCTCCATTTCCCGCTTGAATCTTTGAAAAGTACAAATTTTATTGATCCTTCTGCATTGTTATTTTTTTCGATTGCATATAAATGCTCTTTCCATGGACAAAATTGTGATAAAACTATTATTTCACCAGATTTATCAATATTAAATCTATCATTAAATGCAGTTTCAACAATTGATTTTGCTGGTAACCAACCTTTACCATACCCTTCCAATAAATTTATAAATGTTTTACCCATTAAATCACTAGCAACCAAAAATTGACGATCAAAATCTTCATCTTTACAACTTTCATTCCATCTTGGATTTAATTTTGCAACCATTGATGGTAATGTTATATTTTTTTCATTAAATTTTTGATCAACATCTTTTGGATAATTATTTATACCATTATCATTTGCATCCAAACTTTCAATAAATTCTTTATAAATTTTATCATATAATAAATCAACATTTTTATCACCACTTGATAAGTTTAATACTTCTTGTATTATATCTTTACCGAAATGTTTATAAATTAATCCAGCTGAAGATAATTTGGTACTATATTTATCATTAAAAGTAGTATTAAATTCTCTTTGATGATGATCAAAATATTTTTTACCATCATACTTTCCACTTACATCAACTACAATATCTGATTTTTCCCAATCTTCTGTATTTCTTGATCTTATTAATTCTGCATTTGAAAATTGTGGTAATAATCTTAATAAATATACTGCTAATGATTCATCGGCATGGAATGATCCTGAATGTGTACAAATTTTAACCATATTATCCAATTTTAACTTTTTTGACATTGATTTTATAATCTTTAACATAAAAGTTTGTTAGTAGTAATTTTGAATTTTTCAATGTTTATTTTTTTTTCAAGTTTCATTTTGTGTTACATTTTTGGTAAAGAGATGTTTACAACGTTGTACAATATTTTGCAGCCAATTAAAAAAATTAAATTAATAAGGCAGACTTAATTATTATATATTTCTCTGCTATATCACTTTTAGTTCTAAAATTTCTCGTAAATCATAATAAAAAATCTAATAAACTCGTTTTATACAGAATTTGATTCAATATCTTTAACTCCTCTATCAGAATTTGTATCTTCTCCCATTAAACCTTCTTCCTTGTGTTCAATACTCAATTTTCTAGCTAATTCAGTTTCATCAACAATAGGTATACTTGGTTGCCATGAAGCTGATCTCCAAGCTGGTACTTTTTCATCCCACATTTGTCCAATTTCTTCTAATCTTTTACCTCTAGTTTCTGGGAAACCAAAGTAAACATGAATAGCCATACATAAGCACATTACTCCATATATGATGTATGTTCTCCAACTAATATTTTTGAAACCAGCTGGTGTGTACATTGCAATTGCAAAATTCAAAATCCAATTTGCTGATGTAGATAATGCATTACCTCTTTGAGAGATTCTATTATCTCCCCAAACTTCTGAACAATAAACCCAAATACCTACACCCCAAGTTGAAGCAAATGAGCAGACGAATAAATAACAACAAGCAATAGCACCATTTGATGCAGTCTTATCATTCTCTGGGATTCTTATATTTACAGATTCATTCCCTGAATCTGGCCAAGGAACTGAACGAGCACCTAAAGTACCTGCTAAACCAAATTGCCAACACATCATCATTAATGCACCACCTATCAACAATGGTCTTCTACCAACTTTGTCAAACAACAACAATGCTGGAATAGTGCATACAACATTTAAAACATACTGAATTGAAGAAGCAACTAAGTTAGCATTACCTGAGTAACCAGCCATTTGAAAAATATAAACAATATAATACATCATAACATTCATACCTGTCATTTGTTGCCAAACTTGTGAAGACATGGCTGTAAAAGTTCTAACAATATATTTCTTTCTAAATAAAGTAGCATAACCGACCGATTTTGCAGCTTCGTCTATCAACAATTGTTCTTTAATTTCAGCAATCTCCACTTTAACATCATCATCTTCATGATTTCCACTGGATTGAATATTTGCAACTATTTGTTCGGCTTGTTCCCATCTTCCTTGTTTAGCTAACCATCTTGGTGATTCAGGTATGAAAAAACAACCAATAAATAATAACAATCCAGGAACAATTTGAATAGCCCAACCTATTCTGAATGAAGCAACACCATTTATTTGTCCAACACCAAACCCAATATAAAACATAATCATTATCCCTAAAGTAACACTAAATTGAAAAAATCCGTTAATTGTACCTCTTCTTTTTCTTGGTGAAATTTCTGCACCATATATAGGAGCAACTGATGAACCAAATCCAACTCCAAAACCAGAAATAATTCTACCAATAATCAATTGTGCTCTATTTTGAGCTGAAGATTGCACGGCAGCCCCAATCATCCATAACCATGAACAGATAATTAACGATAATCTTCTGCCAAATGGTTCAGAAACAAAAGATGATGATAAAGCTCCAAAAAATGAGCCTAAACTCATTGAAGATGTAATGAAACCTTGCATATCAGCACCAGGATTATTAAAATATTGAATATACGGGTCTGAACCAATGAAAGCTGACATTGATGATATGTCAAAACCAAACATCAAACCAGCAATGGTAGATATACTAGCAATGAAATAAACATTATGAATTTTGGGAAGTTTATCTAAGTAGTTTGATAATCTTAAAGCTGGACCTGAAAAAGCTTTTTCAATTTTTGAAGACATAGTTGTAATTCAAATTGATTTTAATAACTATGAATCACTCAAATATTCGGACAATTGAACATCTATTTATACAGTTTCTTGGGCATGGTAAAATTAATTTTAAATGAGTTGGAGCTTAAATATAAACATTATAGTGATATAATAATAATTCTTAGCTCTTGATTTTCTTTTACTTGGAAAAACCCCAGCTGGGGAAATTGCCCATCGTACATCTTACCTTTAATACACCAGAACTTGTTCTTTATAAGTCAAAATCTTTTATTCATTCTCTAATTTTTCATTTAGCAAGTCACGACATACCAAGGAGTCGTTCACCAATAAGATCTATATTTGTTAATCTCATTATAGATTTGAAATTAACAACCACTTCTACTCTTTCAGATATAAAGACAGACCACTTAAATTAAAGAAATACTCAAAAACTGTTACATAAATTTTTCTTGAAAGTCAAGAATTTTAAATTCTCATATTCAAGATTTTTCTCTTAATTAATGATGATAGCAAATAAGTAAAAGTTCAACTACATAATAAATAATCCATTTCTTTTTTTATAAAATTTAATCCGAATATAATATTTCTAATAATGAAATATTTTTAATGAATTTTTCTTGACGAATTTTTTGGTCACAATTTTACAATTTTACAATTTTCTTATTTTTATGATTATAAATTTTTGCAACACAATATCAACAAAAGATTTTTCGGAGTCTCTTACTATTCTATCCTACCATAGAGTAAGAATTCAAGGTAAACATGTGTAACCAATCTCTTTCATTAAACGGTTGATCCTAGAGAAGTACTTGAGCAAATTTATATTTAAAACCGAATACCAATTTTGGACCTAAAAACGTAGATATCAGTTTTATTTAATCTGAATCTTCCATATCTTGGCCTTGAACAAACTTTCGTTTTAACTTGCTGATATTGAATATATCAAAACTTGACCACAGCCTGTTTATAATCTTAAAAGACTAAAGTATACCAACCATATAATGCATTCAAGACAAAAAGCAGAAACCAAGAAACTTTGAGTAAGCAACTTCGATCCATAAAAATCATTCCCAACGAGTATTAAACATTATATAATCTGTTTGAAGCTGACTTTGTGACAAAATTTAATAACTCTTCACAAATTAGGCTTAGAATTATCGGATAACTTTGATGGTACTACTAGTTGAAACACTTAATAGTAAATTTGAATCGAAAAGACTACAAGATTAATTTTTTTAAATTAAACGTTGAAACATAAGTTTCATAAATACATTAAAAACATAAGCGACATAAACTATATCATAAAATTAAAACCAAAAAAAAATCGTTTAAAAAAATTTATCAGAATTAAAATTTTCATTAAATTTTAAAAATTACCAACATTACTGTGGTACTTTTCTTAAACTGAGTTAGTTTCAACATCTTGAATTTTTTCATCTGAATACTCAGCATCTTCTTTATGTTCAAGACTTAATTTTCTTGCTAAGTCAGCATCTGAAGCAATTGGAATGGTTGGTTGCCATGAAGCTGATCTCCAAGCTGGTACTTTTTCATCCCACATTTGACCAATTTCTTCTAATCTTTTACCTCTAGTTTCTGGGAAACCAAAGTAAACATGAATAGCCATAGTTAAACACATGACCCCATAGATAATATATGTTTTCCAAGTAATATTCTTGAAACCTGATGGAGTATACATAGCAATTGCAAAATTTAAAATCCAATTAGCAGAAGTTGATAAAGCATTACCTCTTTGAGCAACTCTGTTGTCACCCCAAATTTCAGAACAGTAAACCCAAATACCAACACCCCAAGTTGAAGCGAATGAACAGACAAATAAATAACAACAAGCAATAGCACCATTTGAAGCAGCTTTGTTTGATTCTGGGATTCTAATGTTAACAGCATCATTACCAGAGTCAGCCCAAGGTTTTGAGTATGAACCTAAAATACCAGCTAAACCGAATTGCCAAATCATCATAGAAATAGCACCACCAATTAATAATGGTCTTCTACCAATTTTGTCAAATAATAATAATGCTGGAATAGTACATACAACATTTAAAACATATTGAATTGAAGAAGCAACTAAGTTAGCATTACCTGAATAACCAGCCATTTGGAAAATATATACAATATAGTACATCATGACGTTCATACCGGTCAATTGTTGCCAAATTTGTGAGAAGATAGCGGTGAAAGTTCTGACAATAAATTTCTTTTTGAATAAAGTAGCATAACCAATTGATCTAGCAGCTTCATCAATTAATAATTGTTCTTTAATTTCAGCAATTTCAATTAGAACATCAGTGTCTTCTGAGTTACCGTGAGCTTGAACTTGAGCAACAATTCTTTCGGCTTGTTCCCATCTACCTTGTCTAGCTAACCATCTTGGTGATTCTGGAATAAAGAAACAACCAAAGAATAAAATTAAACCTGGAACAATTTGAATAGCCCAACCAATTCTGAAAGATGCAACACCATTAATTTGGCCAACACCGAAACAAATGTAAAACATAATCATAATACCAACAGTGACTGCGAATTGGAACAAACCATTAACAGTACCTCTTCTATTTCTTGGTGAAATTTCTGCACCGTAAATTGGAGCAACAGCTGAACCAAAACCAATACCAAAACCAGAAATGATTCTACCACAAATTAATTGGGCAACATTTTGAGAAGAAGATTGAATAGCAGCACCAATCATCCATAACAAAGAACAGAACAATAATGATAATCTTCTTCCAAATGGTTCTGAAACAAATGATGATAATAATGAACCGAAGAATGAACCAATACCCATTGAACCAGTGATAAAACCTTGCATATCAGCACCTGGATGATTGAAATAGTTACCATAAGGATCTGAACCAATAAATGCAGACATTGATGAAATATCAAAACCGAACATCAAACCTGCAATGGTTGTTATACAAGCTATGAAATAAACATTATGAATTTTTGGGAATTTATCTAAAAAGTTAGATATTTTTAAAGCTGGACCTGAAAATGCTCTCTCAAGTTTAGAAGACATCTTAGTTTGCATAAATTTATCAACCATCTTTGTTTGTTGTTGTGATTGATGAATAAAAGCAAGAAAAGTAAAATTGATTATCTGAAAATTTAAAGGAATTTATCCTCTATTTATATCTTAAATTTTCCATGTTGTATTGGAACTAAAATTCGTATAAAACTTTAATAACCAAACATAATTTGTATAACGAGTAAAATAATAATGAAGCCTTACTATTGTCATTATTAAAAATATTATAATATTCAAATTAAAACCCCGCTGGGGTAATTACACCTCGTACATTCTTAATAAATACATAGAAATTGGTGATAAAATTCTAAATTTCGATTAAAAATAAAACAAAATAAACAAAAAATTTGTTAAGTGGTGATGGTTCATGTATGACCGCTTAAAATCAAACATTTTTGCTTTTGCCTTGTGGAATAATTTTTTAGATTTTTTGCAGTTAAAATAAATTTATATATGGAGAATTCAAAATTTTCTTGGAGATTTTTAAAATTTTTGAGTAATACAAGGGAAGTATTTAGATTCTAATTTCAAATATTTATCCGGTTTAAGAAATATTCATTAAAAACTCTTTATATTGGTTAAAAATAATTTGTGCATACATATTGTGTAATTTTACCCCATGATTTTCGGATTTTTATATTTAAATTAGACACATTATTTTTTTTAAATTTTCGATCAGGAAAAATTTTCAGATTTCATAAATTTCTAACTCAAAACCAACGATAATTTATTTTTGTTAACTTGGCGATGAATGAAGTAGTTCAACGGTATTATGATTCGTATGTACATTTTCGTTTAATACCCTACCAAGAGATGTTTTTGATTTAATTGTTTATTTACCCCTTGATGTTATTCAAACGAAACACAGAACAATAATGTTATATTCTCCTCATTAATATTATCTCGAACTTCGAAGTTTTATTGTTATGATACAATAAAGAGATCTCAAAAAGTAAAAATTCTCGTGACACATAACCAAATAATTATCATCAAAAAGTTTACCAATAGCCTTATGCGTGAGGCATTTTATCATCCAACATTACACTAAAGTCAGCAGATTTTTAGTGACTTCAAAAATATATTTGTAAATAGCCTTTTCTTGACTCTTCTCATGTTACTCTCATAACCTAGCTATAAAGCTAAAGCTCAAGCTCAAGCTTTATATGAGAGATCACAAAGGTTTATTTTTTTACTCCAACTAAATTTTGTAATTTATCGCTGGTTAATCACTTATAACAAAACGTTTGATTTTGTAGAATTATTTTATCACAATAAACGTATGATACAACATGGTTTCAATTAAGATTATCGTTCAGTATCCTTTACAAATAGTCTTAATTCCCTTTTAAAAGTTCTTTCATGAAAAGTTATTTAATTGAAGGAGGTAAAACTTTGTATTTCTAACTAATGAAACCTTCAATAAATTGAAGTCATAAATTGAAGTCCATACAATAAACTAAAAAAAAAACTCTTGTCAATAGATTTAAAAAGATTCGCATTAATTATTTTATTTTTGTACTCCTTGAATTACCTAATATTTTACGTAATTTATCCTTCCTCGGAATAAATAAAATTAGGAACATTGTTGTTTGCTTAAAGTTATTTTATGTTTTTCCAGGTATCAAAATTTACAGTAAAATTATAATTAGTTACGAGCAATGTATGTTACTGAGAAATTTACGAGATTGAATAACTAATACCCCAGGATTTTGCATATTTTAGTGATCAACAAAGAAGATGTGGCAGCCTTGTGTATCGGATCGTAAAATAATATACAATAACAAAGAATTTAAATATTAAAATTAGAAAACTAGAATTCAAAATGAATTTTCATCTTAGCTTTAGAAAATAGATATAAAGACTCTACTTTGAGCTTTTAAAATTGAATTATAAAAACCGTTCATTAAACATTCTAAATATTATATGTACTAAACACATGATTTGATAACTAAAAGAACTAAAAAAATTTTCCAATATTAATCCTTCATACTAGGGGAGTTACTAAAATTAAACCTTTTTTAGTTGAACCGGATTATACTTTTTCTTCTAATTGATTAATTTCATCAGAATTTGTATCTTCTTCCATTAAACCTTCTTCTTTATGTTCAACACTCATTTTTCTTGCCAATTCAGCATCTGAAGCCAATGGTATAGTTGGTTGCCATGAACCTGATCTCCAAGCTGGTACTTTTTCATCCCACATTTGTCCAATTTCTTCTAATCTTTTACCTCTTGTTTCAGGGAAACCAAAAAATACGTGAATGGCCATACATAAACACATTACTCCATAAATGATATATGTTCTCCAACTAATATTTTTAAAACCTGATGGAGTATACATTGCAATAGCGAAATTTAAAATCCAATTAGCAGAAGTTGAAATACAATTACCTCTTTGTGAGATTCTATTATCTCCCCAAATTTCAGAACAGTAAACCCAAATACCCACACCCCAAGTTGATGCAAATGAACAGACGAATAAATAACAACAAGCAATAGCACCATCTGAAGCAGATTTGTTAGATTTTGGAATTCTAATATTAACAGTTTCATTACCTGAATCTGGCCATGCAACAGCATAAGAGCCTAAAATACCAGCTAAACCGAATTGCCAAATCATCATAAATATAGCACCACCAATCAATAATGGTCTTCTACCAACTTTGTCTAAAAAGTATAACGCTGGGATTGTTAAAACTGTATTCAAGATATATTGAATAGATGAAGCTACTAAATTTGCATTACCTGAATAACCTGCCATTTCGAAAATGTAAACAATATAATACATCATAACATTCATACCGGTTAATTGTTGCCATATTTGAGCAAAAGTTGCAGTGAAAGTTCTCAAAATATATTTCTTTTGGAATAAGGTAGCATAACTAACTGATTTGGCACTTTCTTCAACTAACAATTGATCTTTAATTTCAGAAATTTCAATCATAACTTCTGGATCTTCTCTGTTACCTTTTGCTTGAATTTTAGAAACAATAAATTCTGCTTTATCCCATTGTCCTTGTTTTGCTAACCATCTTGGTGATTCTGGAATAATAAAACAACCAAGTAACAAAATTAAACCTGGAACAATTTGAATACCCCATGCAATTCTAAAAGATGCAACACCATTAATTTTACCTAAACCATATGAAATATAAAACATAATCAATATACCTAAGGTAACTGCAAATTGAAACATTCCACCAATTAAACCTCTAATTTTTCTTGGAGCTAATTCTGAACCATAAACTGGTGCGACCGATGAACCAAATCCAACACCGAGACCTGAAATTATTCTACCAATAATTAATTGAGCTCTGTTTTGAGAAGAAGATTGAATAGCTGCACCAACACACCAAAAGAATGCACAAATGATTAATGATAATCTTCTACCAAATGGTTCTGAAACAAAAGATGCGGCTAGTGAACCAAAAAATGAACCAAGGGCCATAGCTGATGTTATGAAACCTTGAATTGTTGAACTTGGTGAATGGAAATAATTCATATATGGTTCTGAACCAATAAATGCAGACATTGATGAAATATCAAAACCAAACATCATACCTGCTATTGTTGAAATACTAGCAATGAATATTGGATTATATATAGTTGGTAAGCCATCTAAAAAATTAGCTATTTTTAAAGCTGGACCTTGAAAGATCCTTTCTATTTTGGAAGACATAGTTAATTTTCCTATTGAATAATTTATTAATAGTAATTGAAAATATAAATGAAAATTAAAAAAGGATAGTGAATGAAGAATAATAAACTGAGAAAATCGAGGATATCAAAAGCTATTTATAATTTTTTAAACCTGAATTTTATTAAGCCATTCTTATATTCTATTGTTTCTACTTATTTACTCTTCCCCACCGGGGTAAATTTAATTCATTAACAATAAGGCAAAAAATTTTGTTAATAATGGTTTGGTAAAATAAAAACTAAAAAGAAATGACAAAAACTAAAATAATGTTCCATATTTAACTTTCACGGATTAATAAATAATTATGCAGACATTAAAATCTTTATTTATAAGTAAATTGTTACCGTGCGTTCATAACTTCGTATAAATTGACTGGTGGAGACAAATTTTATCAATTGCCTTGTACTAATTAAGCCCTTCATCTTGTTGGATAATTGATTTTTTGATTTTTGAAGGATTAAAAAAATATGTCAAAATCTGCGATCAAGCTTATCTTTTTTCTCTTGACATATTATCGGCTATTAATCATAATCTAACGGTTTTGAAATTATAAAATAATTTTTCTTGGAACTTGAGTAAAGAATAAAACTAAATAATTAATTATAAGAGCCAATTTATAAATCGGTATGATAATGTAGACCAAGGGTAAAATGAAGAAGTTTTAATGTCTGTGGAGGTATGGTTCGTAAACTCAAAATCTGGAGATTTTTAAGGCTGGAGAAATGACAATATATTGACTTTTGTCGGTCATTCCGGAAAAAACTATAAACGATTGATTTTCTGTATTACTTCACTTAGTACTACGAAAAATACTAAGACACAAGATCTTTAATTCGAGTATACAAGTTAGATCCTTTCTTTGCAGCATAAGTTCTCCATCAATGGAGCATCGATATCCTTAGATCTGACACATGAAACGTTTTAATATTGAAGTTTAGCCATAGACTTCAGAATTGAGAATTTGAAGAAGCCAGAATTATTCCTGTAGTCTAAATTTAGTAAAGTTAATGTTCAAGAGGCAAAAAATACATATACATTTGTTTGTTAAAATTAAATGGAAAATCCCTCAAAAATAATTTATTTGTTTTACTTGCGAATTTGGAATGGCTTTAAATTTTGAAACAATAAATTACTGGTTAAAATTGACGATAAAAATTACAATCAAGTTCAAATTGTAGTAATAGAACTAGACAAGGGGTCTTTTCTAAAAAAAGTTTTTGCTGAACTTCAAAACGATCATATTGCTGGTAAATTCACGTAGAGACGAGATGGAATTCGAATTTACCAAGCAAGGAATAATTATTTTGTGTCCATTTAATTGTTCCATATAAAGTTTACGAAAAATTTTGAGCCGGAAAAATTTTTCTTGAACAAAAGTACACAACTTATTAAGCATCATGAATACAGTAGCAAACAAAGAAGTATTAATGACTGATTTACATTCGAGTTTAAATTTTTTGTCTGTCATTTAATTTTATTAATTCGTAAATTAATAAAAACTGGGGATTAATTGTCAACAAGATGAACTGGCTTAAAATTCGAGTTCTTCCATACTTTAAACATCTGATAAATCTGATGATGTTTATACTTCTCACAACTTATTCATTTTACTGACTATGCAAACTAATCAAATTTTGAGCTTGTGCTCTCAATGATCCAAATTTTAACACTTTTGACATCATATGATGATCTCCTTGAAAAAATTTTAAATGATCAAATAATAAATTTAGTATCAAATTTTGTGGGGCAAAAAAATTTTTAAGTTACAAAGCAAATTGGTTATGATACGTTTTAACCATAGACGCGTAACAAAAAGCGTCAACTAATTTTACTCCATTTGAAATTAAGAGAAGAATTATACAAGAAATTTAAATGATCCGGTTTCTTCGTAAGTTTAAGATGTTCCGAAATGGAAAAATTATAGTAAAACAAATAGATCCTTTTTTTATAAAAGTGGGGGAAAACAGATTCAAAAGATTTACTAAATTTGTGAATTATTATTAATAGATTATTAATTTTATGGAAAAACTTGAAAATTTTGTGTGAAAATCTTTGAATTTAGTATATTATATACAAAATAATTATATATAGGCTGAAAAGCATGGCAAATAACACTTATTTGATATATTGTAGATTTGATCAACTATTAAAAAATTTCACTTATATCTCCAACTTATCCAAAACTTAGCTCGAGACTTTTCATTACATATTCTTGACGACTGGCTTTATTCTATAAGATAAATTGGAATAAAAAAGTATCATACTAAGGCTAAACTGGAATTTTCAATCGTTACTTAACCATGAAAGTGGAGATCATCAAGTCACATGGAGAATCCAAGATGCGCAATATACTATTTGACCAAATATTCTAACCATAACCTCGAATCTTATTTATCATCATGAGATTTGGAAAATTATTAGACTTTTTAATTCTGATTGTTCCGTTACTTCTAAAAAGCTTAAAAATCAAATTAATCCAAACGATCTTAATTAGACCATGCGGTTTGGTTCGGTTACTATCGCATTCAAACTCAATAGATTCAGTTCAAGAGTAAAAACTTTGTACCTCAAGTTTGTCTCTGGAGCTCTGAAAGGGAATTGAACTTTTGAAAATATATTTAGCATCGGCAATAAATTTCAAACACCGAAAACTTTACTAAAAAATCGTATCACCCAATTAATTTTTAGTTGATCAGTTTAATGCGTAAAGTAAAACATGAGATCTTTTACTCTAGTCTGGTGTACTAAAAATTAGATCTTCTAGAAACTACATAATCTCGGACTTTAGTTAGAATTCTCTTAAAGTAAGACAAAATCGCAATGTGTAGTTAGAAATACGTTTGTTGAAAGATCTACATAATTATTTGCAGAGTTTACAGATCCCCTCATTTTATCAAGTTGAGGAGTAAATTAAATTGATTTTGACAAAGTTATGAGACGTTTGTATGTCTTGACTATTCTTAGTCTGATTTTTTTACAATAACAACTTTGGAGAGTTCGGACTTTTTGATTCAAATTTGTTGCAAAATTTCGAACAATTGAAAAGTCTCAAAGGCGCTACAATTTAATATTGTAGTGAAAAACTTGAAACATTCTTCAATATTAAGTCATGATAAATCTATAACTATTCGTGCATTAAAATGATCATAAAAAGAAATCTATAACTATTCTTACATAATTATTACTATAAAATCTTATACTCCCTTCCCCAATTATTTTTCATTTTGCCAAAATTTTTTATTTTCATGTATAACTTCACAAGTAAATGCTAAATTTGGATAAACTTGACTAATATTATTAAATAAATTTTCAGCAAAAGTACCTATGAAAAACATTTGACCTTTTGATATTAACTCTTTGTTGTTACCCAAAATATCTTCTAATTTGTATGGTAATTTTGGATAAGATATTTCAGTTTCTTCTATTATACAACATTTCGAAGTTAAATTCATTTCATCATTCAAATAAGTATCTAGTTTATTTATTTCATCGAATTCTCTTTGTAATACAATTGCCCATTGCGATGATATTCTTAATGGTCTCGTTACATTTGAAATATCTGCACATTTTATTAGTAACGCCAATATCAATTTAATTTGATTATCTTTATTTGTAATTTCATTTAGTCCAAATGTGTTTACTGTGTTAAAATTTTTTAGTTTCGAGATATATTCAAAATGTTCTCCCATATCTGTCGCCAAAATTGATGATATTATCAAGTCATTGATATTTAATAAACTTTCTTTATCAATTGGTGTTGCTAATAATGATGGCCACAAAATCTTTAAAACTTTATTTACAAAAATAGATGCATGATATGACTCCAATACTGATCTATCATTATATATTAAAGAAGTTGGTGCTTTATTCTTGATCATGAAAGCATTTGTTGTTCCTGGATGTCCAACATCATGACCTAATGCTGCAACTAACAACGCCAATGTTTGTATTTGATTTAAGTGTGGTTTCTGTGGTTGTTTTAAGGTTACAGAAGATTCTGAAGAAGCTTCTGATGCTAAGGAAGTTGTTGATGATGAATTATATAATGAAGCTGTAGATGTTAATTCAATTGATTCATTTTCTTCTATTATTACCTCTACTTCTGATTGTAAGGGATCTATAATAAATTGTTTAAAATGTGGCAAACAACCTAACCTTATAACAAAATGGAAACAAGCTTGTAATACATCAACTGCATGTCGAAAATTATGGAAAGGATTCCCTGATCTATAAGTATCTCTTACTATAAAAACAAAAGCTAACAATTCATTTGTATTTGGTAAATGTAATTTATCAGCATATGACTGTTCTTTTTCTTTAGCATTTTTAACTTCCTGTATTGAGTAATTTAACATTAAGTACACACAATAAACTAAATCATCATTACTTAATTCATGAGCAGGAAATGACCAATTACCAACTGCATGACACAATTTTGATAAATGCTTTGACTCATGATTTGATAATAATTTCAAAAATTCAATTTCTGACAATACTAAATTTTTCAATTTTATTAAATTTCTTGTACATTGAGGAGATCTTGAGACATTTTTAGTTAATAATTTGTTCATTGTTGGAATTCTCTTATCAACATCACAATCATCATCAATTGTTGTTATACCAGTCCATATACCAATTCTTGAAATTCTATTATAAATTTGTATAATAATTGAATCTAATTGTTTTTCTAAACTTTTAAAATCTTTATGATTGTGAGGTATTATTATAATATTTAAATGACCAAAGAAGAAATCTAATAATACTAATTTATCTTTATATGAAAGTGATTCTAACGAATCAAATTTACTCGTAGTGGTGGTATCAAATTTTAATATAATTAATATTGGATAATTTATATCATTTTCACAATTTCCCTTTTTAAATAAATGTTCAATTAATAATTTGAAAGATGGGAGATAGTGTTGTTGTATTTGTTCCTCGTCTTTCGTAGTGTGATGCTCTTCATTTTTCTCCTGTTTATGTTTTCGATTATGACTTTCTTTTGAACATTTATGAGGATATCTTTTTGACTTTAATTTAATTTTGGGAATATCTTTAATTAATGATAATATCTCACACATCTTGTTTATTAAAATATGAAAAGCAAGTTATGGATTATCTCGAGAGAAAAATTCTTTGATTGATGTGAATGAAATCTATCTTATTGTATATATTTTATAATAATTGAAGTTTATAATTGAATTAAACTTAAACTTAAACTTAATTTGGACTTTAATTTGAGCCTAAATTTGAGCTTGGATTTGAACTGAAATTTGTACTTAAATTTGTACTTAAACTAGGACTTGAACTTAAACTTTGAACCTTATGATTTTAATTAGGTTCCAATTGATTGACACCAATAAAATCTTATTAGATAATATTTATTTGTTAATCTTTAAATCTTAAATTTAATATTATTGATAAAGACAATAGATTCGATTAAATTAAATTTTACAAAATTTTGTATTAAATAAATAATTAATTTAAAGCTTATATTAAACAATTAAATTTTCTTATTGTTTTATATGATTTCAATAATTTTGATGAATAACAAATGTTTGACTTTTAAATAGTTATTGTAATGATTAATAATGAATAATGAATTATAATAATGAAAAAACGTTACTTGTTTAAATTTACTTTTTTTTGGTTGTAAAAAAAAAATTAATTTTTTAAAATAGAAAAAAAAAAAAAATAAAAATTAAAAAATAAAAAAAAGAAATTTAAAAATTAAAATTAAGGTTTTGTTTATTTTATACGTTTTATCCAAAAGTACACTACTCAACTTAATACTATATTTATTTATTATTTAATTATATTCATTAGTGATAATTTATCATTTATTATCACTAGTTTGAACAAATGATCAATTGTTTTGTTGTGAATTGGTAATGTAATATCACAACTAATTGGATTATTGACTTATATAGGACTAGTTGGAATAGAGGTTTATGGACATCTTCAATTTAGTGTGTTTTCAAATAGATTTAGTTGACTTCAGTAGACATAAATCACTATACATTTACTTCACCTTATAAATAATTTTAGATATTAAATAAGCAAGCATTAATACATAAACAATAACATTATAATTGAAACCGTTCATATTCGGCTTAAATTTCTTCATATTTTTGTACATATAGAAAATAATCATAAAAGTATTCCCCTCTTTTTTTCTATTCTGATTGAATTCTGGCCCCACAAATTTTGTAAGAGAATAGAAGAGATGTCATCAATCAAAGGCAAATACTATAGCAATTGATATATGGTGTTTGATTGAGCCAAATACTCTCTCTATACTCAATAATTTTGATAAGATACTTAAATTAATTTATATTTTAAAGGTTAGATAAAGATTAAATCTAAGACAACTTTTTTCTTTTTTCACTTTAGTTTAAAATGACGTAAATAAATAATTCCGTTATGAAACACAAATTTATTTTTTATGCAAAAAGAGGGTCAGAGATCAAAATGTACTAGTTTAACATCACAAGGTACTATTAATCATGATTTTGAATCATCAAGAGAAATCATACGATGATAAAATATATAGCTTTGTGAAGAAAAAACTATAGAATTAATAAATATATTGTATTACACAGATTGTAAGTTTTTCAGACTTTAGTTTGTGTAATTAAGATCAATTAATAGATAATTAATTAACTTATAATTAAAATCAACTAATCTTAAATTCAATATACGAAACTAATAAAAAAATGAAGTAATAAAAGATTTGTAAAATTTACAAAATTCGAATTATTTCTTGTTCTAATCAGCTTTTTATTTGATAATAATTTATATTTTTTACAGAGAAATGAAACAATCTCGTGTGCTATTAACAGAACTCGAAAAAAAAGTTTAACGGTTTTTTTATTATTATTAGCTTTGACGTAAAATTACGTCATGAAATTAATGATCAAAGTTTAAAAATAAATTACAAATTTAAAGTTTTCAAACAAGATTTAAGTAAAATGAAATGTAACATTTGTTACTGAATTTACAGTCTATAATACCAAATTACAGAAAATAAAATTATACCAATACTTATTATAGCACTAAATTTGAAATAATTCTTTGACCTTTTTAATTGTTTTTGATTTTGAATTTTATTATTGATCGATTCAATTAAACTAATCTTTTTATTTAATTCATCATTCATATATTGTTTTGATTTTGATATTTTGTCTTTATAGAAATTCAATTTTAAATCAAATTTATTTATATTTTCATTTATTTCATCTAACTTTTTAAGATTTTTAGATATAATTTCTTTATTCTCAATTTCTATATTTGTTAAATTTTCTGTGAGGAATTTCTTTAAGTTAATAATATCAATATTCAAGTTGGTTAAATAATTCGATATAATATTTAATTGTAAGATTGATAATTTTATTGGGTTTGATTTTGAATAAATTAATAATTTTGATTTTAATATAATTTTGTCTGAAATTGAAGAAATTATTTTAGTTAATTGATCCATGGGGTCATTTTGTAATTTTTCATTCTTTTTATAATTCGCTTTATCTAATCTCAAGGATTCATCAATAATATTGTCAATATTTATGAGATAATTTACCAATTTATCATCTTCTATAACATGTTTGACATCATATTGGAAACTAAAACCTCCATTATTTAAAATATTAAAAATTAATTCCTCATTTGCTTTTAGATCAAATGATCTACTGGTGGTAGTACTTGTATTTGATATCCCCAGTTTTGGATCATCGTCTTGTAATTGTTCTATTATCTTTAATGTATCATCATTATTTGATTCATCTTGATCCCATTTAAATTTCTTTTCTCCGTTTTTAGGAGTATTTAAAGCTTGACTTAGTGAATTTAAATTTAAATTACTATTTTGTAATGATGATAAAAAATCCAGATCATTGCTATCATTTAGGTTGTTTTGTAATAATTTACTTATATCGCCATTATTTTGAGGAGAATTTGGTAATTTATTATAAAATTGATCTACTAATCTATTTTTTTGTTCTTTATGGAGTTGATCTTTTGGGTTGTTATGATTATTAATATTTGACGTTGATAGTACATTATTATTTGAAGTTGATCTTTTAAAATCTCTTAGGAATCTAGGACTGTTTAATAATTCATTTGGTGTGTTGTTACTACTACCCAAAGATGATTGTTTTTTTCGATCTTTTGCTGCAAAATTATTACTCCCAATTGACGGTCGTTTACTTTTATCTAGGTTGAAATATGACATGGTCCCATCTTCTTCAAATACTGGTGGAGTTATACGATCACGATCTAATAAATTTTTTAAGTTATCACTTGATTTTGATGAAAATGGAGGAGTTGTTGAAGGTGGAGTGGTTGTAGATGATGTTGATTTTCTCTTATTATGATTTAAATTAAGACTTGTTATATTTGTATCTGATCTATTTTTCAGTTTATATAGTTGAGCTTGGGCTATGGGTCTTTGCTGTTTTTGTTGACTTGACTGTGATGAAATTTTAGTTAATTGTGGATTTTGCTTGTTTTGTTGCCAAGAAGAATCGGATTTATTTAATATACCATTTTTGTTTGGTTTGAAATTATTTTTAGTTGGTGATTTATTGCCTATGTCACTAAGCCTTAGGGTGATTCGATTATTATCATTGATACTACTATTATTAGATTTTTGAGAATCTGATTTGGACATAGATGTTGAAGATGATAAAGAATTTGGAGTTGTTGGATTTAATGAAGATTTGTTTGAAGTATTCATATCTTCATCTAATACTTATGTTATATATGAAGTTTCATTTGCAATATAATGTTTGACTCTAATTTGGTTATAATATGTTTCAAGTGGGCTTAAGTATTCGTATTATTAATACTTGATTTTCCACTTTCAATATTTGATTTTTGACGTACAAGAGCGCGATTTTAAAACTTAAGCATTTCAAAATACTTTAGTATTGTTTTATTAACAAGTATCTATAAACTCATAAAATTAATTAGCTGCTGAACCTCTACCACCTGCACCTTTAGCAATTAATTCTAAAGTTTCGTCACTTAATTCAACTTCTGGCAAATCTTTAACTCCTTTACTTTGAGATTTTGGTAAAAATCCAATTTTAATTAAATAACTTATATAGTTACCCATCAAATCAACAGTTACACCATTACCATTACTTAAATCTTCACTAGTATATTTAGCATCTTTCTTCAATGAAGTTCTCGTATTTGTATCATCTAATTCTGGAGCTTTTGTATCTTGTGGTAAATTATCTAATACGAAATGCAATAATGGGAACAATGCACTTTCTTTCAGTTCTTCAGTAACAAATTTTTCTAATTTACTTGTCCAAATAGGATAATCTGACTCTTTGATTTCATAACCGTATGATTTTAAACTACCTAAAAATTCATTGAATTGAATTCTTGGATGTCCCGTAACATGAGCAACTACTAATTCATTATCTTTTGGAGGATTCAATGCAGTTGATGTTACGACTCTTGCAACGTGATCAACAGGGACCATATTTACATTATTTGTAATATTTGGATAATAACCTAATTCAGTTGTACCTTTTAACATTCTTAATAAGAAATCATCAGTATTTGATGCACCAGTTTTAGTGAAACCAGTAACATAACCTGGTCTGATGATAGTTCCTCGCAATCCTCGTTCACCAGCACGACGTATGATATATTCAGCTGACCATTTTGATTGTCCATATCCAGTACCTAAACCTTTTGCAGAACCTTGTAAATCATCTGATTCAGGTAATCCAGATTTGCCTTGTTTAATTAATTCATCGGATAAATTAACAAAATAATCAGTATCTAATGCAGATGTTGACGATACAAATGCAAAATATTTTGGTTTTCCTTCTCCTGCTAAGTTTAATACATTTATTGTACCAATTACATTAGCATCACGTAATTGAGAATAAGGATATACCCAATGAACAAAAGCACCATTGTGTATTATAACATCAATATTGTTAGTTAATTCATCCCATTTAGAATCATCTAAACCAAATTTCTCTTTTGATAAATCACCTAAAACAACTTCGATATTTTTAGCCCATGATTCATTCCATATACCATAAGTTTTACCAGTTTGACGAATTCTTTGTAATCCTGCTTTTTTTGATGAAGCTCTGACATGAGCGAAGATTTTGATATCAAGTTTACCTTTTCTAGCCTCTAACAAATCACGAATGATAAAAGACCCCAAAAATCCAGTTGCACCAGTGACAAATACATTGACTTTACCATCACTTGGTAATTGTGCTAATGATTCATAGTTTGTTCTTAAAGCAGTAGATGACAAGTTCATAGCATCTTGAGCATAATCTATAACAGCTTCTTTTTCGGAACCTTCCTCTGTGTTGGTTTTTGATCCATCAGCTAATTCGAAATCTTGACCACCTTTAATATGTTTTTCAACTTCTTTTGCAAATTGTTCGACAGTTGGATTCTTGAAAATAACACCCAAAGGTATTTCAACATTCAATTTTTTTCTTAATTCAAAAATCATTCTTGTACCCAATATTGAGTGACCACCTAAATCAAAGAATGAATCTGTTTTACTTATTGTGGCTGGTCTATTTGGTAATACTTCGAACCAAAGATCTTTAATTTGTTGTTCCAAAGACGTTAATTCTTCTTTTTCAGCTGCTTCAAGATCTTTGGCTGATGTACTTAATTTTGAAACTGCTGCTAATTGAGCAGTGTCGGGGAATGGTAATTTTGGTTTATCAACTTTACCATTTGGATTTAAAGGTAATTTAGTTAATGGTACTATAATTGTTGGAATAGCATATGATGCTAATTTCTTCTTTAAGTATGCTTTAATATCTTTGATCAATTCTCTGTAAGCAACCAATCCTTGAACAATTGGATCATTGGCTTCTTCAACATCTTCATCAATTTCAGATTTAAAAGATTGTAATTCTGGAGAATCTCTTGGTACAATGTATGAGATTAAAGTTGGTTCTTCATCTTTATCTCTTCTAACTAATGTAACATTTTCTCTAACTAATGGGTGTTGTGATAAATGAGTATCAATTTCACCTAATTCAATTCTAAATCCTCTAATTTTAACTTGATCATCTGCTCTACCACAACATTCAACATTACCATCAGGTAAATATCTACCTAAATCTCCTGATCTATACATTCTATCTCTTGGTCCTTTCCAACCTGCAGATCTCCATTCTTCATTTCCAGAATCTTTTTTAATCCAATTTTCAGGATCAACGTACCAATTTGTTATGAATTTTGCTGCATTTAAATCAGGTAAACCTCTATAACCTTCTGCTAAACCGGCTGCACGTACATATATCTCACCAACTTCTCCAACACCACAAGTTTGTGATGTATCATTTCTATTTACAACTAATAATTGAACATTGTACATACCAGTACCAGCAGGCATAACATCTTTCAAATTCTTTAGGTAAGTTGGATCTGATTTTCTACTTTCAATCTCAAAATATGATACTGATCTTTGAGTTTCCGTGGTACCATACATATTAACAATATATACATTTTCTGCTAAACTTTGTAATCTCAAACAATCTCTTTTCGTTAAAATGTCCCCAACAAAGAATGCGTGATGCAATGATGGAATAGCAGATGTAGCTTGTGCACTTAACAACTGTCCCATAGCTGGTGTCAAATGAGTTACTGTTGCTCCATAATTTGCCAGCCATTCAGCTAATTTACCAGGTGTACCAATGTCATCCGCTGTTGGAACTAATAATTGAGCACCTAAAAATAATGGAGTAAACATATCTCTTTGAATTGGATCATGTGCAATACCTGATAACATTGTAAATTTATCATTTTCAGATAATCCAAATCTTTTAGCCATCCATGGGAAGTAATATGCTAATGAATAATGACGACCTAATACACCTTTTGGAATACCTTCAGAACCTGATGTGAATGATAATGTTGGATTTGAATCTGGTCCAACAATCACACCAGTCGGTTCATCAGCAAATTTGGCATAATCAATTAAAACATCTTTACCATTTTCTTTTCCACCTATTAATGATCCATCATCTTCAAGCTTTAATTGTGGTATTGTTGTAATGACATCTAGTTCATCTTTAATATAATCAGTAACTAAATCATCTAAAGTTCCAGCTTTTTCCAAAACAATTAAACCTTTTGGTTTAGCAACAGAAAGATAAATATTTTGTCTTGCTGGAGGATAAGCAGGATCAATAACTGAAAAAGTAGCACCAGCTTTCAAAACACCCATAACTGCAACCATTAAATCAACTCCACGATATGCATAAATCATTACGATATCACCTTTTTTAATTCCTGTTTCTTTTAGATAATTTCCAACTATGTTTGATGCTTGATTTATTTGTTTATAAGTGAATGTTCTCGTTTTCGAATTTGGATCCATAAATGATTTGGTTTCAACAACACAAGTTCTTTCTGGGTGATCCAATGCATTTTTTTGGAAAATATCTTGTATAGCTCCTCTATAACCTGACCAATCTAAATCAAGAGTTGGGTCCGGTAATTGTGCTTTCTGAGTTGGTGTAACTAAATTGACTTTTGTAATTGTAACATTTGGATTTTCAATGATTGCTTCTGTGTATTGTATAAATTGTTCACCCAATAATCTGATTCTTTCATTTGAATATATTAATGCATTATAAAAAATTGTAAATTCGGTTCCATTAGTATATATAGCTAAATCACGAATTGATCCTTCAACCGTTGTATTCAATTGTTGATTAGGGCTTTCATGCTGATATGATAATTTAAATAATTCTGGATTATCTTCTAATTTCTTGAAATTTTTAATTCTTTGAGAAACTTCTGATAAAGTATTGTAATTAATTTGATTAAGATTATGATCGTATTCCTTTTTAACTTTATCAACTAATTCATTGAATTTTAATTCTGGAGTTATATTCAATCTTATTATGAATTCAGGATTTTCAACTGCTTTATCGGTAGATATAACGATATCTTCATCTCCAGTTAATCTATAAACTAATGCAGCAAAAATTGCCAAACCAGTTGTAAAATCTGAAACTTCTTTAGTGGTAAAAGTATAACTTCCTTCAACAGATTTATTATTAGCTGGTTTTAAAAAATCATGAGGTAGCACTGATAATGTAGGATTATCTAAATACTCAACCCAATAATCTGTCATTCTTATTTTTATGTAATTGAGTCTTTTGAATGAATAGTAGGTGGTTGTAAAAAAACTATCGCAGTACTAATTTAAGCGCTTTTCTATTTTATAAATCGGAAATTGAAATAAATAAAAAAAAAAAAAAAAAAAAAAAATTTCAAATCTGCATATAAAATAATTTTTTAATATGAGTCAAAAGAGAATTTTGAAACATTACAAAAGTATAGCATTGTTAAAATGCTTTTTATTTTAATTTTTAAAAATTTATATATATATATAAGTTTATGCGAAATAAATAACGAGGTATGCAACTTTTTTTTTAGTTCATAAATAAGAACTGTAAATCATCAGGAGTTAGTTTACTAACAGCAGCTTCATCATGATTAATTGTTGCATGAATCATATTTGCTTTTTTTTCTTGTAATTCAATGATTTTCAGTTCAATACTATCTTCAATACAAAATCTAGTAATTCTAATTGGTCTCTTTTGTCCGATTCTATGAACTCTATCCATTGATTGCCATTCAACACTTGGATTCCACCATGGATCCATTAAAAATACTTGAGAAGCTTCACATAAATTTAATGCAACACCACCAGCTTTTAGTGAAACCAAAAATACTTCAACTTCAATATTATCCATGAAATATTTAATAGTGTTATCTCTTTGTTGCGGTGACATTGAACCTGATAATTTTGCTGTTTGGAAACCAGCTCTTTTCAATCTCCATTCAATTAAATCTAACATTGATGTGAATTGTGAAAATACAATTGATTTTATAGTATGTTTATCTGATCTTAATTTATATAATTCTTCAACCAATGCTTCGATTTTTGTAGATGATCTCCATTCACCACCATGTGAACCTTGTTTAATACGATTAACAATTGATGCTTTTGTAAATAATTCTTCATCAACTTCAATTGATGGTTGTTCTAAGTCTATTGATAACCCAATATGACAAACTGGACAAGTTAATTTATTACTTGCTCCATCAAATGATTCAATATATTCTTGAATACATAATCTACAGAATCTATGATGACATTTAGATTCAATAGGTTCTTCAGCTTCATCATCACATAATTGACACATAATAACTCCATCAATTGAATTTGCAATTTGATTTGTACCATATCTTTTCAAAACTAAATCTGGATGATCAGCTAATTGTCTCATTCTTGTAATTAATGTAAAGATGTTAGCATAATTATTTAAAACCACACCTTCGGCAACATAATCATTGAATTTTCTTTTAGAATCACTATAAAGTGATGTATATAAATCTCTTTCTTCTTCATTAAATTTATCATGTCTAATTTCAACAATTCTTGGTGGTAATCCTAAATCATCAGCTCTTTCAACTTTAGTTCTTCTTAACATTATGTTGTTCAATAATAATCTTAAATTTCTAAAACTTTCCATACCATCACCTTCTAAACCAAATTTTAATATATTTTTAAGGGTGAAATGGTTGAAATAATTTGTATGTAGCATACCAGTATGTCCACAACCATCACAAGTTCTACCATTTGAAAATTTCCAATCATTGCTTGAACAATCACATTTTGTACAAAAATACATATGGAATGGCCAAATCTTCATATATCTAATTAATGAATAAATTTCTCCAATTCTATTTTGTAATGGAGTACCAGTTAAACACCATCTTTTTTTGGTTTTCAAATGATTAGCAGCTCTTGCAGTACCTGAAGTTCTATCTTTAATATTATGAGCTTCATCTAAAACAACTCTATAAAATTCAGTATTATGTAATGCTGATTTTTCTTTAACCATGTTACCTTTTCTTTTGAAACCATAGTTTTGTTTTCTAAAAGATGACTCTAAGACTGCATAAGACGTTAATATAACATCATAACCTTCTAGTTCTTTAACTTTATTGACTCTATTACCACCATGAAATAATAAAACTTTTAATTTACCATCAGTATGTTTTTCTATTTCATTTTTCCATTGCATAAGAGCAACAGTTGGACCAACAACTAAATTGGGTTTTTTTGTAGGATCATCCATAAATAATCCAATAGTTTGAATAGTTTTACCCATACCCATTTCATCTGCTAGTATACCACCTTGAAATCTACCTTCTTCTTGTTTCAATAACCAATTTAAACCTTCTAATTGGAACGGCAACATTCTTAAAGTCATACCTTCAGGATGAGGAGCTCTTTCGGGTTTTATTCCTTCATAGCTTGCTAAATCAGTGAAAACATTTACTAATTCTGGATGATGTGTATAAAGATTATTAGTTGAACGTTCATAATGAGATACTTTTGGTTTTGCAGGTTTTCTCTTTCTGGGGGCTGCTCGCTTTTTGGGTTTAGGTTGTTCTTCTGCTACCTGTTCTGCTGTTGCTGGTGGTGGTGTAGGTTGCTCTCTATTTGCCAACGGTATATCATCATCTGAAGTTAATTCAATAGCTAAATTTCTTGATGATCCATCAGGGTCTTGAAAACTTGAACTCACAATTTGAACATCATTATCATCGGATGTATCATCATCATTATTGATTTCCTCTAAACTTAAAGTGAATTCTTCATCATCATCATCATCTGAAGACTCAGGTTTAGGTGTAACTTTTTTAGAACGCGTAGTTTTGGAACGCGTTTGCTTAGGTGTTTCAACATTTGCAAAAGTATCTGAATCTACTTCTTCATCACTACTATCATCGTCGATCTCAACATATGATGTTTTTCTTGTTGTTTTTCTTTGAGGAGTTCGTCTTCCAGTTTTTCTTCTCTTATTGCTATTCTTATCATTAATCACAAAACCGCCACCATTATCACTTAAACTCGATTCTTGATCTGATTCACTTTGTGATTTAATCATTATATTTTGTTACAAAAAATGAGTGAGGACTGAAAGTGACAATGAAATGACGAGTTAATGGTAATAAATATCTTGAAAATGACTTGAAAGAAAAAAGTGTTGTAAAAAAAAAGTGGTTGTAATAAAATCTGAAACAATTTTATGTAAATTAATTGCAGCAATATACTGAAATATTCTAGTCCTGTATATAAAATATGATGAGATAATATTGTATTTTATTCTAATACATCTGAAAAATTCCATTATTTTGTGTAAATATAGATCAAGATATTATTAGAGAAAAATAACCAAAGAATGATTATAATGACCAAAATGTATTTTAATGATTTACAAACTCTATTTAAATAGTCCCAGCTGCTGTTGCTTTTTCATTTCTTTCTGCATCAAAAAGAAATTCGTTATAAGATTTGTCAAATGTATGAACTCTAATAAAACCATCTTCTCCTCCACTACTATAACCTGTACCATCTGGGTGTACTGCGATAGTATTTAAAGGACCAAAATGTCCTTTTACACGTCCAATTTCTTCTTCAAATATTTTATGATAAAATCTTGCTTCGAATTTACCTTGAGATTCTGCTGTTGTAGTAACATTTCTTGCTTCTTGACCACCTCCCAATATGACAAAATCTTTTACTGGTGTTATTGCTGCTGTATTCATTGGTGCATCTGCTTTAAATACTTTTAATATTTCAAATGTATCAACATCAATTATTACTGCACACTTATCTTTTGATGATGTTATAAAATATGATCTATCTTCTGGTGCAAATTGAATATCTGTCAAACTAATATTTTTCTCTTCATTATGTATACCATGAGCTTGTAAAGTTTGTAATAATTCTCCTGTAGTTGCATCAAATTTGGATACTGTACCATCGTCATTACCTGAAATTATATATTTACCATCTTGTGTCCATCCTGCAACATTTGCTTTTGATCCATCTTCTTGAGTTTCTATTATTAATGATGGTTCATTGTTTTGTTCTTTGGGATTTTCACGATTTATATCATATATTGAAATTGTACCTATATGACCCATAACTTGATCTGCAATAGCTAATAATTTTTTACCATCTGGTGAAAATGATACTCTTCTTACTGGTGATGGACTTTCCCATGTATATACACATTCTCCGTTACTAACTTTCCATAATTTTACTACTAAATCACCTCCACCTGTAACACATAAATTAGTTTCTGGATCAACATCAATAGACCAAATTACACCTTGATGTCCTTCTAAAGTTCCTAATCTTTCACCATTTGATGAATACCAAATTGATGCTGCATTATCTTTTGCTACAGAAAATAATAAATCTCCTTCTCTATTATATTTGACTTGAGTCAATGAACGCTCATGTCCCATTAACTTTATTGGTCTCATGTTTGGTGGTGGTTGGTTTGTAAATGATTAACTGATTTGGTTACCTTACTCTTTGTTTCAATCAATGTGAAAAAAAAAAAAATCTTTCATAAAAATTAAGTCGTGCATAAATACCAATATACAAACATATACAAATTAGACTGCAAAAAATTAACAAATAACATAAACAAGTACTTCTTTGTCATCATGATCACCGTATTCTAGTCTTGATCGGATTATAAACATCTACAAAATAATTGCAAAATTCGAAACTAACAAACATCTTCAATAATTACTTCTTTACCATCATGATCACCATAATCCAATTTTAATCTACGATTAAATAATTCCAACATCCATTCAAAACATAATTTGGTTAAGGCTGAATCATATCTACCTTTACTATTTTCATCCCTTATAAAAGCATGCTGGGCCTCATTGACTTCAATAAAAGTCATTTGAACTTTGTTCTTCCTCATTTCTTGTCTTATAAGATCTCTACCTTCTAATGGAACATGATTGTCTTTATCTCCAAAAATCATAATAATTTCCCCTTTAATCTCTCCACATCTTTTCAAAGAGTCATCATTCTTGCCCTTTCCGAGTCCATGTATGTGTATGTCCGTTGGGAAAAAACAACAAGCGGCTTTGATTCTTGAGTCAACAACAGCAGACCTATATGCAAGAGCTCCCCCAATGCAGAAACCAGTTGATCCAACACTGCCGTTGCAAGTTTTTAATCCGAGTAAGAAATCTATTGATAATTTTATATCTTCGTCATATGATTTTAATTCTTTTTCAATTTTGTACCTGTTACCTCTGTCAGTTCCTTCGTCATCATATTCCAAAGCTTCTGGGCCTTCAAAATCATGATAGATTGATGGACAGGCAACGATGTAACCATTTGAGGCGATATCTCTCGCAGCTCTTTTAATTGGACCAGAAACCTGATAAATTTCACTCCAACAGCTAATTGAAGGTCAGTATATTGTAAAGAAAGCTTAAAAATAGCAATTGATCTAATTGCGGGGTAAAAGTAAAGTAATTGATCTAATTGCAGAGTAACTTGAGACATACACAACACCTGGAAACTTTACATTTGGGTAACTTGGAATTTTTGGATGAAAATAAAATATTCTCATTGTGGTACCATTGCTGGTTTTAACATCAACAAATGAGTCTTCAACTAACATTTTGAATCAATTGAGGTAGTAACTAGAAAGATCGATCTGGAAGTTTCTTTGGAAAGTTGAAAATGAAAAAGATAGAATAAAGTTATTCTAAATTGAAAAATTATTTTATTGGTCTAATTTTTTAAATCGGCTTTTCTTTGAATTAGGGGAATAAGCCGCATGAAAATTACTACAACCATTTATTACTTTATCCGACGTAATTTAAACATACGATATTACATTTATTTACATTAATCTACATAAGAATAATCTCCAGCTTATTTCTTTTGAATATTAGCAATTCTTTCAGCTTCTCTTTTAGCATCAGCTATTAAGACATAGTTAGTAGTTGATTGGGCACAAAATATTCCGTATTATTCACATACCAGCTGCTTGTTTAGCTCTCATTTTTTCAGCATCATTCTCCATTCTTTTATTTTTATCACCTTGTTTTTGGCTCTTTTTAGCTTCTTCTTGTTTTTTTTGATTTTTAGCTCTTGCTAAATCTCTTTGATTACCTCTGGCCATAATCAACAAATTAATGCAACCACTTTCAGTAGTTTGAAATGACGTGTTTGGTTGGTATCAAATCAACTTGATCAAACTTTGATACGGATTTTTTTTTTTCAATTTTCCAATTCAATCGTAAATTTAAAAGATATTATCTGCAGGATTCTCACATTTCCATTTTTATGTGAAAGTTATTCAAATTATATCATTATTTATTAAAAAACTATCTACAACACTCTATACATTTTTAATTTCTGTAATCAAAGAATTATCCTTTTTAGGATCATAAGGAACTAACAAAAATTTAGAAAATTTTTTTAAATTTTCAACACCTCTTATTTCAGTTCCCAACAATGGCATTTTAACTAAATGATAATCTTCATATAAATCAGCCATTTGATCTAAATATTTTTTTTGCATTTTCCATCTACTTACACATCTTTGACATGGATTTTCATCATCATCTGCAAATAATAATTGATTTACCACAATTGAATTAACATCCATTTTATATGACATTAATTCTTGAATCATTCTTTCAGTTTCATATAATGATAAAAATTCAGATATACAAACACATACAAAAGTTGTTAAATCTGGATCAGTAAATTGTTCATTAACTTCTGCTACATTTTTTTGTACTTCATTTAATTTTTCAAATATATCTTGTTGACCGCTACCTCCACCACCTAACATACTCATCATTGGACCTAATTTACCAGATAATTGTTGAAATTTACCTAAAAGTTTTTGTAAAGTTGATGGTAATTGTAAGAAACGTAATGTGTGACCAGTTGGTGCAGTATCAAATATAATTGTCTTGTAAGATATTTTATCTTTACTATCATTTTCATTAACTTTTTGATTCTTGATATGTTTTAAAACTTCCATGAATGATAAAGCTTCATCTATACCAGGTATCGAACCAGTCATATCATTCATAATATTTTTTAAAGGATCATTTGGATCATTATTATATTGTTGTGCTTGTTGTTGTAAATCACTCATTGCTGCTTCAGGATCAATTTCCATACATGATAAATTTGATAATCCTTCTACTTTTCTTGCATCTTTACCAAATTTTTGACAAAATGCATCTGATAAATTATGTGCAGGGTCTGTTGAAATTAATAAAAATTCTGAGTTTGGATGTTGTAATGCTAATTGAACGGCAATTGATGATGAAGTTGTTGTTTTACCAACACCACCTTTACCACCAACAAAAATCCATTTCAAGGTGTCTTGTTGGATTAAAGACTCTAATGTTGGTTCTAAGTCAAATTCCATTGCGGCAGTTATATATATGATGGATGATTTTATAAATAAATTTTGAAACAATTTGGTTCTTATATTTTTCCAACGCACTCTAAGAATAGATTACGTATTATAAAAAAATGTAATGAGCTACCACTTGATTTTGAAACAAATTACAAAATTTCAACACTTAAAGTTCATTTACTTGTCGTTTTAGGTGATCCAAGCTCCCTCCGTTCAAGCTTTTACATTTTAAAGAAATTATTCATTCCAATCAGAAGACCGTTTACAAAAGTGAGCGAATTTCTCTACTACAATTTTAGATTTGCTTAAAATCTATAAAATGGAAACAAGCTTCACCGGTGCCTATCTAGAACTAAAGGCTTACAACCATCTAGTTTTGTTTGATAACATTCAGCATTTTCAAGTCTTATATAATACGATATGGTCTCAATATTCATGTATTCTTGTTGAAAACTCAGTGTCATCTTTTAATGTCACAGCAGCATGAGACAAAACTCAAAAACATGTAAAAAACCTGTATATAATTCCTAACCAATAAAATAAGATTCGAAAATAAGCGTAAGTAAAAAATTTAAATCATAAAACCCGGGGAACTTAAACAAACCTATTCATTCAACTCATCAACCAATCTATTCATATTCACAACTTTCACCTTAACCTTTCTCATATAAACATACATATATATTCAATTTAATAATGTTATCACGTCTTGGACTTCAACAAACTACAAAGTTATCATCAAAATTAATTAAACCAACATTAATAAGAGGTATAAAAACAATTCCTCAACCACCTGGATTTATTGTGGGAACAGTAAATGATGCTTATGTACCACCAAAACCTCATAAATTAGAAGGATCATATCATTGGACAGCAGAAAGATTAGTAAGCATTGGATTAGTTCCATTAACTTTAGCTCCATTATTTACAGGTGCTTCTACATTAGTTGATTCTACATTAAGTGCTTTATTATTGTATCATTGTTATGCTGGTTTTCAATCATGTATTATAGATTATATTCCAAAAAGAGTTTATGGTAGTTTGCATAATTATGCTATGTATCTTTTAACTTTGGGTACCGGAATTGCTGGTTATGGTGTTTATGTAATGGAAAAAAATGATGGTGGATTATATAACATAATTACTAAAGTATGGAAAGCCTAAGTAGATGTTAATTAATGGGAAATTAAGTTTATATTTATATGATGATGAAGATCTAAGGAAGAAGAATTGTGTTGAGAATTCACAAATGTAATCTACAATTTCTTTTAGTAATGACCACTTCTCTGTAATATTAATTAACTAATCTTTGTAAATAAAACCCTAGTAATAAAAAAGACATAGCAATTGCAAAAGTCAGGAATCTTTGTTTATCTTGATCAGATAACTTGATGAATGTAAATTTTTTATGATTATTTAATGTCAGTGATTTTAAGTTTTTATCAGTTAACAGCAGAATCGAACTTGTTGATGAAATACTTGGAGAATCTTCAACTTTTGGGAATGGTTCTACTTCATTAAGTATAAGATTTGTTGCTATAATTGAAGATGATAAAAGATTTTCTGTATATAATTCTTTCGATGATTTTCTTGTTGAACTTTCATCTTGTGAGCTTTTTTCATCTAATCCTGAGAGATTTTCCTCATCTTCTTCTTCTTCATTATCTGATGATGGAGGAGTTAATTCAATTGCATCTTTTAATGTTGAACTTTTACTTATTGAAGTATTCTCCAAACTTTTCATGTTATCGCGTACTGATGGAGTTCTTGATAAATCCATTATGAATGCATTAATTGCATCTGAAACTAAATCATGTGTTTCTTCATCATTTGAAAAATCATCAGCTGTAGATGTAGCAACATCTTTTGTTTTATGAGACTGTAGTTGTTCTAATTGTTCCATTGTGTTTTTATACTTTAGTTCGTTATCATCAACTTGAATTTGTAAAGCCCTTATTGATTCAAACATATTGGATTTATCATTTTCCACCAGCTGAATTTTGTTATTGAGTTTTTCAATTTCAACTTCTTTAGCCTTTGTAAACTTTTTAAGTTGATCTTCTAGTTGTTTATTTTTTGTTTTCTCCTTACTTAATTCATCACTTATACTTTTGCTTCTATTAGAAAATTCTTCTTCTATAAATTTGTTATTTATCTCATTTAAGTCTTTTTGATATCCAACCAAAAAGTTTTGTAATGAATTTAATGCTGATGATTGTTGTTTAACTTTTGATAAATTGGCAAGTAAACTATTAATTATATTTTCAAATGCAGTTGTGTTTTTGATCTGTGAGTTATTATATATTCCTGAATTATTTGAGAACAACCCTAATAACTCATCCTCTAAAATTGGATTAACATCACCAAACATTGCACTGTCAAAACTTGATGATTGATTTTGTGGCTGCTTTTCTTCGGCATTAATTTTTCGATATATATCTTCAACAAATGATAAATGTTTAAATTGTGGAGTATCATACTGATTTTTCATTGATGAAGTATCAAAGTTAGTATTTGCAATGATATCTATATTATCAATCTTTAGACTTATTTGTTTGTGTGTTGATTCTGCTTGTACATTAAACCCAAGACAAACGATATCTCCAATTTTAATTTCTGTTGGTTCATTAGTAAGTCTTGTATCATTTAGGTATGTACCATTTGATGAACCTAAATCTTGCAACATTAGTTTCCCATTATTTGAATCTATATAAACTTGTGCATGATTTCTAGATAGAACTCTTGAATCAAAATATCCATTTGTTACATCTGGTTTATGTTTTGCTCCTGTAGGTCTACCTAGTTTAGTGGTTTCTGGAAATATTGAAACTGGTAAATGTTTTCTTATAAATGTATCATTTAAGGGTAATAGTGTAACATAATATTGCATATGATTTCTCTTTTTGGGATAAGCATTGGTAAGATTACTATTGTAAGTATTCGAAAAATCTCTTGAAGTTTTTGGTTTTATAGGTAGATTAACAACTTGTGATTGCGAATTCGATCTTTTACGCGCAGCTGCTGTGTTTATATTTGTTCCATTTTTATGTACATTATTTCTTATATGTATTATACCTCCTTTTCGTTGATCCAAATTTGGAAATGGTTGTTGTTTATCTTTCTTTGAATCAACGATTTTATTTGATAGATGTAGGTTATCTAATTTTTCTGATATATCCGTCATTATATTTTAATGTATTTGTATTGAAAACAATAATACCAGCTTATTGTTTAATTGTGATAATTAATATTTCATCAAGTCGTTTAAAAAATGGAATTATGCAATAATATATGTACTTCTTTAATTTATACCTTTCTTCGTTAATTTTTACGCAAGCTCTGATTTTTGTTATGAATGGAAATTTTTTAAAAAATTGGGATTAGGTATTAAGATGATGGGCAAGGTAACACTTAGATTATGATGTTGTTATGCTGATGAATTTGATTAATTTGTATACTAAATATAATTTATTTATTTCTTGTTAAATTGTTTTAATCTTTTGATTCTTTTTGATAATCAAAACTAAATAATTTTTTTTTAATTAATTTTGCTTAATCTTTTAAAATTACTGTAGATTAAAGTAATAATAATAATAAATATTCTTTGCGGCTTACCATACGAAAATTTATTATTTATTTCATTATCAAACCATAAACAAACTATATAAAAGTCTTTTTATAAACTTAAAAAATGTCAACTTCAACCTACAGTAATTTGGAAAATTGTAATAATTCACTACGAGAATCAATTCAACTACTCAAAAATTCAACTGAAATATTGAAAGAAACAACAAGTGATAGTCTAAGATTAAAACAAGTCTTAACATCAACAAGAACTTATGGATTAGTACCAAAATTAGATGTTGATGATGCCAAAGAAAATTATAGAAATACTATGACTCCACAAATTATGAAACAATATGTCAAAACTCAAAATGAAGTTAATAAATTAGAACATAAAAGAAATGAACTATCAATAAAATTATTAAATTTGAGAGATAAATTAAAAAATTTACAACAATTTAAAGGTCAAGAATTGAATTTTGAAAACTTGCTAAGAGATCCAAGGTATGATCAAAATAAAGTTAGAAAATTGAGGGATTTGAGAGCTCAGAAGCTAAGACTAAGATATAATTTAAGTCTAAAACACTCTTAGGAGTTTAACTAATATAGAGATATGTAATTACTACATTAATGTTAGGAATGTTATGATTATACAATTTGCCACTATAGATCAAGTATTTAAGTATTCCGATTTTGAAGTGTTAGCCTAAAACTTTTTACCTAAAAAATGTTGAATTTAATGAATCTTACAAATTGTATGACTTCAAATTTATTCAAACACAATGATCTAAACATATCTTGTAATGTTTATAATCATCAAATCCGAAAAAATAAGAATCGATTAATAAACAAATCGAAGGTAAATTCAAAATTATCAAGTTTTGAATCTTCAAAATGAATCTTAACCTAAAAAATAATTTCAGTTTTGCTGTAGAAACAATATTTGAGATACAAAATGATATCTTTGTAAATAAATATTAAATCCAAACAAACTTTTCAAATTGATCTGTTGATTGAAATCACTTTCAAATCCAATAGTGTTTCGCTGAAACGATTGTAAATTTTAACACTCTACTAAATAAGTGTTTTCATTTTTAAACTTAAGTAAAAAACGCTTCAAACAGACAACGGAACTGAATTCATTAATGAAAACATTAAACATCTAATTAAACACATGGTATCAAACACAACTTAACAATTGCCAATCATCCACATCAGAATGGAACTGCGGAACGTGATCATCAAAATACGTTAATTTTCTTTACATGTAAAATTAATTAATTTCTTATAATAATTTTTTGATGTCGCAGATTAGAAATAAAAGTCATTAAAACAATTTATAATTTAAGCCATACATTTTATTTTACAAATCCACTATACTTTAGAATCTTATTATCATTAATTTTTAACCCTTTTACGAAATTTATAAAAACGGTATTTTACAACGTCAATATATTGCAATAAATAAAGTATAAACATTCGTTTTATTTTTGCTATTTCATATCAACTTAACAAATTTCAAAATGAAAGTTTCATTCTTAATTTCTTTAATATCTTTATCAACGATGATATCATCAAAAAATGTATATGATTTACGAGATCTAAAAGATATTTCAACAAATGATAAAAGAGAAGCTGATGCAGAACCCAAAAATATAGCTGATTTACAAGCGTTAAAAGGAAGTTTAGAAATTGTTGATGATAAAAGGGATGCTAAAAATGCAAAGTCTTATGAAGAAATTTTAGAAGCTTTGAAAGGTATTGAAAAAAGAGATGCTAAAAATACACCAAATTTAGGTAAACTTTTTAAAGAATTGCAAGATGTTAAAGGTAAAAGAGATGCTAAAAACACTCCTAATTTTGATGAAATCTTAAAAGCTTTGAATAGTGTAAATGATAAGAGAGATGCCAAAAATACTCCAAATTTATCAGATTTGTTAAAAGCTTTAGAAGATGAAGAAAATACAGTCACTAAAAGAAAAAATACTATAAACATTTCAAATTTTGTATTTGAGGAAGATTCAAAAGATAAAAGAGAAGCTAAAAATGTATTCAATGTTGAAAAATATGCCAATTTAATAAATAAACGTAGTGAGCAACAACAAGTTTTGGAAAATAATAATGGAGAAACAATTGAGACAGAAAACAATGATTTGGTATTTACATTTAAATCATCAGATTGTTTCAACAACTTATTACAATCAATCTTACCACAGTTAAAATCAATTTCTATTTTCGCTGGATATATAAGAGACAATTCCATATTAAATTCCAAAACAGAGTCATTAGAATCAAACATGTTGATTATAACTCCAACAGATGAAGCTATAGAAACTAATTTATCAAATTTAAAACCATGGGAATTTCCTAAAAATATAGATGATGTTACAAATGAAGAAGAACAAGATAAAATTTTACAAGATAATTTAAATCATTTTTTGGATGGTCATATCGTAACTGATTTCCAAAATAAGATAATTATTGAAGAAAATAATGATGATGATTCCAAAAATGAAAAAATTATATTAACTACTTTAGATAATGGTAAAAAATTAAAAATTAAACAAGATTTATTGACTCAGAATTTTTTTATTAAAGTTGATAAAAAGAAATGGATTCCTGTTGATACTGTTAAACAAGTTGAAAATGGGTTAATTTTTATTATTAATGATTCATTAGTTAAACCATGAAATGGTTGGGATATTTCAGTTTAGTTCATTCGGTCTTTAATTTATTTACTTATTTATGTGTTTTACATTTGACTTTCAATTCTTTTATATTACTATTTTTATTTAGTGTTTATTATACATATAAATTTATGTTTATTTCAATATTGGTTCACATTCTATAAAACGGTTACACCAGTATCTTCTTTTGTTTCATTACTAATTTTGTACTCGATCTTCCATTTAATTTTTAATTGTTTCAGTTGAGGATTTTCGATGTTAAATTCTTGAGATATTCCATGATTATTAAAACCATATAAGACATCATTTGATTGAGATTTCAAATCTAATTTGCATGTCTTTGGAACTGCAATCATAAATTTTATATTTGAAATTGTTGAATTAGTTAAATTTGAAAATAATATTTTTCCCTTAAAGTTATTTGGTTGTTGTTGTAATACACCAACTTCTATTTTTAAATTTGAAGTTTGAGTTATTTGTAACATCTTGATATAACTTTGAGATGGTTTTTGTAAACTTGAAGGTGTTGATGATGGGAAATCAAATCCGAATGGATCTAAGTTTTTGGAACTTGTTGTTGATGGTTTTGATATGTTGGATTGTAATTGTGGTGATGGTGAATTTAAATCACTTAATAAATCAAAATTTGATGATGAAGAAGAAGGTTGTTTTGATTGAGTTTGTGCGGTTGATGGTTTTGGTTGTTGAATAGTTGATGATGTAGTACTTCCAAGTGTGATTGATCCTCCGGCTCCATATAAATTTAGTGGATTTATTTGTGAATTACCATTTGATGATGAGTTGAAATTGTTGTTCTCTCCAAATGTTAAGTTAGATAAATCACTTAATAAATCATTGTAACCTTGTTCTTTACTTGCTGTTACATCTTCCGGTGCATCATCAAAATCAATTAAATTCAAGTCTGCACTACCTGAACCACCACCAGAGACTTTAATTTTACTTGCTTCTTCAATATTGCCACCTTTCAATAATTGAAATTTATTGACAACATTGTTAACATCATCATTTAATGATAATAAGTTATGAACTTCTTCCTCTTCATCATCACCTTGTTCAATGATTTTATTAATAATTGGTTGTGAACTTTTGATAGAGCTATATAATTCAACTAATGCTTCATCAGAATTGTCATCAATTTTAGCACCACTACTTTCAATTGAATTCAACATTTCACTTAAAATTTCAACTTTTCGAGTTAATCTAACAATATCATCTTTCAATTGTTTTTTATTTTCCTTTATATTATCATCTTTAAACCCAGCCATAATTTTCATTAATTTATTAGCTTCTTGTAAATCTTGAGGTTTACCTCTTCTAATTAATTCTTGTAATTTTGCAGAATGTACAACAGCTTCTTCTTGTTGAATATCATCTAAAGATTTTAAATTATCTCCAGGATTTAATACTGCTATATCTTCAACTTTAACTTCTGGGAATATATAACCTTTATTTGTTAATAATCTATGCATATCTTTAATATAACCAAAATCTTCCTTATATTTTGAAGTACGACATATAGTTTGATACCATTCTTCAATTTGTGCCAAGATCAAACGTTGAACTCTGGAATATCTTAAAGTTGGCCTTTCTGGAAATCTTTTAACTAATTCATTAAGAAATTCTTTTCTTGAAATTTGTAAATGGAATGGATACCCACAATTTTTAACTAAATTATCTAATAATGCGATTGCTAATTCTGAAGTTTGAGGATCTTTTTGACTTATCAATTTAACAACTGCAATTGCTGCATCTCTTGGTGCTGATCCCTTTTTAGCATTAACATAATCACAAATTTCTAAATTAAGTGCTAAATTTGGTTCATCATTAGTTGGTCTACAAGCTCTATAGATTCTTCTCAATAATTTGGGATTTATTTTATCCAATGAATATGATGAAGCCATATTACTATGATTTTTTTGATTGTAATCTTATAATGATCCAATTGATTTGAAATCGTGGTAACCACTTTTAATTGTTGAAATATTTTAATGCTTGCTTATCCCGATTTTATTTTTTCTTGATAAGTAAAACTAACGCAAAAGTACTACAAATATTTAACCGATATAGAAGAACAACCACGTTCAATAATTCCACTGATCTACTACCCAAAAACATATTAGCCCTTCATCATTTGTCATATTCTTTTATATGGAACAACATCAAAGTCAAAATCAAAACATACCTACAAATGATCAATCAAATTCTTCACATCTGCCAACTCAATCCACAGATCCAGATTCTGATCCATTAGAATTACATCAATTATCATTAAGTTACGATTATTTAATATATAAGATAAAAGATTATATCAAAACATTAACAGATCAAACATATACCTCGATTGTACAAAAACAAAATAGTATAAATAATGATTATTTCGAAAAACTAAAATTAAGTAAACAATATGATAATATTGATAACCTATTAAAAAAATGCAATGATTTAGAGTTAGAATTTATGAAAATCGATCAATTAGTAATATTTGTTGAGGAATTTAAACAAAGATTGGATATTATTGAACTGAGATTTAAAGAGCTTGATTGAAGGCAAAAACTTATTATGCTAATAATAGTGTTACTTTGGGACTATAAACTGATTAATATCTAAACTTTATTTCCAATTTGAGTAGTATCAAGTGGTGGATCAGGAACAGGTCGTCCTTTATAATTTGGTGGAATATTATTTTGTGGTCTTGGAAGTTCAGGATTATAAGGTTCTTCAGTTGATTCATATTTAGCAGCAGTAGCTTGTCTATTTTTATTAGTGACTGCAGCAGCTGTACCTGAATTATTTGGATTTTCAATACCACCATTTAGTCCTTCATATTTTCTAATCAAGTGTTTTTCCAACAAAATAAAATTTCTTGAATTACATTTATATAAAACATTAATAAAATCACCAACTATTGGAATTAAACCAATACCAAAATCAAAAGTAACATTAGCCATCATTTCAGTTTCTAAACCCTTTGGTAAACCACCTTCAATTTTTTTAGCAGTTCTAACTAATTGATAAGCAAAAAAAAATGCTATAAAATCACCAATCCATGGAATTAAACCAATTATACCAGACCAACCAATTCTTATCCCACAAAAACTTAATTGTAAATCTAAAGTATAAGCTCTATTTTTAACTTTATTTAAGATTTTTAAATCATGTTTTGGAATATATGATGGTAATTTTCTTTTTCTTTTAGCTCCTTTTCTTTGATAAAAATGTAAATCTTTTTCTGGAATTTCTTCAAAATATGGATCTTCTTGAGGAGCTCCCATAGTTACTAAATGATCAAGATTTGTCTAAATTTGTTAATATTTGATTAAGTTTATCATAGAAGAATTTGGAAATTTACATACTTTTTTCAAAAAGTATTTGTATAGTAATTGTGACATGATGAAGTAGTTGTTATCTTGTTATCAAATATAAAAAGTTGAGTTGTTATGAGTTTAAGTGATAATGAAATGAAACTATACAAATGAGATTGAATATAAATGGATGGAAATTTGTAAACATATTATTTATATTTTATTTATATAATTTACATTGCTCTATAAATAAAAACTTTAATTAATAAAATTTCAAATTTGTTTTACATTATTAAATTACTACCACTTAAAATTTAAATTATTAAAAAATATAGTAAAACATTATAATAAATTAACAAACAAGATTACTAGAATACTATTATAACATTAGTCAATATTAAAGAGCAAAAACAATAAAAATAATAATACGTTTTGAAACGAAATGTAGATCTAATTTTTTACATGACTATTTACATTTAAAAAATTTAATATTTCGTACAGCCTTTTCGTTTCAATTGGAATTGGTAGCCTTAGTTGTCAAAAATATAATATGGGGTTTCAAAAATATTATTATTTAAATTAACTATGTATAATATATGTAATCAAAATCATCATTTGAAATTGGGCAGTGTAGTTCAATGATTAAATCGTTATGTAAGCTCACTTTATATTGTTTCACTTTTCTTTAATTTCAATTCTTTTTCTTTTCTTTTTTCACTAAAATAATCTTTTCTCATTCCTCTTAAATCAGGTGGTGATTCAATTCCAATTTCTTTTCTAAATTCATTAATATCTTTTTCTAATATTTTTTCCCAATAAACATTTATCAAAGGTTTAGAATATAAACCATTTTTAAAAGCCCATGGATAATATATTTCTCTTAATCTTTTTCTTTGAGATTTTTTTAATCTTAATGGAGCAAATAATGAACCTAATCCACTCATTGGTATACCAATATTTAAAAATTCTAATATTTTAACTGATATTTCACCTTCTATTATTATTGGTAATCCAGTTATTGCATGATAAAAATCGTGACATTCTCTATATCTTTGGAAAATATATGCTAATTCTTCATTATCTATATATTTAACTTCAACTCTTGTATCTGGACTCACCCCTTCTTTATCTAACCATATCATATAGTTTTTTCCAATTGTATTATCAGGTAATGAACTAAGGTAATCTAAATCTAATGAAGTTGATGTTATTCTTGGTCTTTCTCTTAAAATTTGTCTACCTATTGGATCACTTAACATTGTTTTTTGTAGACTCTTGAGTACTGGTTCAATGGCACTTGATTCTCCTAATGCAACTATGAATTCATTTCTTTCTGGATGATAAAATGAACCAATTGATGAACCTACAAACATCATAGCTTTTTCCAAATTGTTTAATGGTATGTGACCCGGATAATCTGGTTTAGATCTTTCAAAGAGAGGTTTGTCTTTTGTTGTTAAATGCATGCTTTTATTTGGGTCATTATAATGTAATTCCCCATTCTCCATCTTGGATGCTAATACGTTATTTTTTGACCATAGTATTGAACCAAATAATGAGGTTGCTAAAGTTGTGAATATGAAATTTCTTTTAGCAGTAATATTGACATTTTGGTTAACAATTGAGTTGAATCGTTTCAGTAGTAGTATATTTCCTAACTTCCTCGATATCATTATCATTCAGTGGGTTGAAGTGAGCTGTATTTTAATTGTTGTATTGATCTGATACAAAATTTGGATGTATACTTTCAATATTGCGCAAAATCGAGACTCATACTAAAATTACTTACATATTAATTTGAAAGTTGATTTGATTTATATTTCATTATAAAAAGTATGAACTATAAAATCTAATAACTTAATAATCAAATACTTATTTATTTTATTATTTTGATTGATTTCTTCGTCCTCGGCAAATATAATTAAGACCAGCTTAATAGATTTTTGAACAATTTCTTTATCTTCGATACCTTGATTTATAATTGGTAGACTGTTCAAAATTTGAAGTATATTATTTGTGATTTGATCAATTTCAATTGCTTCTTCTTCTTCTTCTTTCACATCTAATTTTTCCTCATAAAACAACTGCACTCTTAAATTATCAATTAGTTGACTAAGTTTAGTGGGAACTTCAAGATTCTTAAAATGCTTTAAAATATAATTCAGTAATAAATTATTGAACCAATTGTGTAGAATTGAAAAATTTGAGATTATGGTTTGAATGGATAAAAATGATCCATATATCATTGGTTTATATAAATTTATGAAAAGTAAATTATTGAGTAACGTAAAAACTGAAGATTGTAAAAAATCAAATTTATTCAGTCTAGATCTAATGGAAAGACACACAGTGAAATAAAGTCCGTCTACTATCCCACTAAGTTTATTTAGCACTGTAGATACTTTCTTAGTTTTTTTATTGTCTTTCATCGACTGTAGTATACTTGTAACTATCTTATCGATGTTTCCAATTATGAATTCTTGAGATGATAATTTTTCAAATAATTTATTCAAAATCAAATCACTTAAAATTAGAATCACTAAATCACTTGAAATTTTTGAGTCATATATTGAGTTGCTTAAGTTTTTGAAAGCAACTTGTAAAATTTTCTTTACTAAAACTCTGAAATATAGTAATTGACTTTCTTCATTTGTAGTGTCGAATATGATATGTTTTTCAAACAAATATTGATCTAAAATCTCATGTGGTTTTAAGTTGGGATCATAATGTAGATTATTTTCATTATTAGCTTTGTCGTAATAATCGTTAATGACTTTATATGAATATTCACGGTCATCTTTCTCAACAAACTCCTTGAGGTGTTCATCTAAAATCTGTATTAACACATCTTCCAAATTTAAAATTTGATCTTCATCTTCAAACAATTTCGTGATTCTTATATTTAAATCTTGTGCAAATACAACTATGACCTCATTATATACTTTCTCAACAAATTCAAAATTATTAGTATTTAGTTTTGTAAGGTACCATGAATTTATAAATTTAACCATTATTGTAGATAAGAATATGTGAATTGACCAATTCAAATTCGGTATTAAATTAAGTATCGGTAGGAGTTTTTGTAATTGTTCTACTTCTATATTGGGGTCCAGTTTGGAATACATTAACTTTAAAAATTCAATTTCTTCAAATTCATGTTTTGAATCAACTTGTGGACTTTTCAATTGACGTTTGTATTCTTCTTCCTTTTTCGATGATAATTTGATGTCTTTTTTTTTAATTGTATGAAGTGATGATTGTTGTCTTTGATGTAATGGATGTTTTACTTTATTAGTCAGTTTGGTACTTTCATTTATACTTGATGTTGGTGGTAGTGATTGTAATGTTTGTGTTGGTTGTAAATTTGATCCTTGTTGTTGATGATCATGGCTCGTTACATTTGTATTTGTAGTAGCTATAGATACTGGTCTTGATTTAATTTGAATATCTTTATACCTCGACATACTCGCCAGTATTAAAGCACTAACATAATTTTGACAATTCCAAGTAATTTTTGGTTTTGTTTGTGGTTGCCAAATTATTATATTGTGAAATTATGTTACAAAAGAAAAAATATATATTCACGTATTACTGATCTTTCACAACTTAATTGAATGTATAAACCAATACTGAAAAATCTAAGGACTTTACAACATATACATTTTCCGGGAATAACAAGCTTTCAACATGGTTTAAATATACAAGATCTACTCATGGATCAAAATTTACAGTACAAGTCATTAACATCAAAAATACGACGAAACAATAATTATAATCTCGAAACAATTGATCCAATTCCACCAACGATATTAACTTTTGAATTTGAAAATGTTTACGTATCAGGTTTGAAACTGAAACAAAAGATTAAAGAATCAGATATCGAAAATTTCAAGAAAATAGAATGTGAATTTTATCAATTAAATAGAGGTGGAGAATTAACGTGGCATGGTAAAGGTCAATTAGTTACATATTTAGTGTTGAACCTAAAAGATTTTGCAAAACTATCACCAAAATGTTATGTCAACAACGTGCTTTTAAAACCATTACAGAATGTTTTAAAGAATGAGTTCAAACTAGAGACAAATTTGAATGATTTAAACCCTGGAATATTTTATAAAAATGATAAAATTGCAAGTATTGGAGTTAGAATTCGTCATGGTGTCACTGAATATGGTACTTCATTAAATTTAAACCCTGACTTGAAGTACCTAAATACCTTTGAAATGTGTGGTATAAAAGATGGCAAACAAACTTCTTTAGTGAATATATTACGCGATAAGAAAGATATCGCTGACGACTTGAATATAGAGAAAATGTCTGATTTATACGTGAAGCAAATTGCTGACGTTTTGAGCCTAGTTGTTGAAAAGACAATTTTATAGATAATTTATAGACAAGCCAGACTATAAGACTCCAAATATTTATATAAATATTTATCATTATTATATATTATTATTAAATTAGAAAAAACATTAACGTAGTTTTATAAAAGAAAAAATTGTATAGTAAACAAAAATTAAACTCTTTTTTTTTATATGAATTTGTATCAAAACACAATTGAATGAAAAGATTGATTAGTAGCTTTGTTTTAGATTTAAACAAAAGCAACACCAATAGCACCAAAAGCAGCCATAACTGAAGCTAATAAACCAACTCTTGCGGTGTTAGCATCTGATTTTCTGCTTGATGATGATGATGAACCTGATGATGAAGAACCTGAACCGCCTGATGATGAACCAGTTTCAGATGATGATGAATCTGATGATGAATCTGAACCTGATTTTTTAGATGATGATGATGAAGTAGTAACTTTATCTTGACATTGGAATTTATCACCTTTAACATCACCATTTGAATTTAATTTATTGAAAGCTGAACATGATAATTCACCATCAATTTTTAAAATAAAACCACCAGCAACTCTTGTTAATGAGCTGAAAGTACCATTATCAAATGAACCATTAATGTTGACAGCACCACCGACTGAATTTAATTCTGGGAAACCATCTAATGATTTTAAGTTATCATTATCGGAAATTTGTAAAGCACCACCAATAGTTTCTAATTTAGGGAAATCGACTTCATCTAAATCTTCATTTTTATTAATAGTTAATGATTTACCAATTGATTTTAATTGTTTTAATTCAATTTTTTCAATTGATGATGATGAAAAAGCAACTGAACCATTAGTTTGAGTTAAGTTTGGAGCTTGGAATGAATTAACTGATTGTAAAATAACATTATTAGCAGAAGTTAATTGATTTAAAATAACATCAACTTTTTCAGCATTATATGAAATATCAATAGTATCAGTAACTTCTTGTAAACCTGAATCAATAGTATCAATATCACCATTATTATTAACATTGAAAACTTTTAATCTATAGACATTAATACCAGTTAATTGATTTAAACCAGTATCTGAAATAATAATTGAGTCAGCTGAAGTTAAACCTGAAGCTAAACCAGTTGATTCTAAAGCTGGTAAAGCATTCAAATTTAAAGTACCAACAGTAGTTAATTGAGCTAAATTCAAGTTTGATAAAATGGTGTTAGCATTAACTTCAAAAGTTCCTGAAATTAATTGTAAAGTTGGTGCATTAACAGTAGAAGCTTGAGTAGCATTTATGATTGATAAATCACCATATAATTGTTTTAAACCAGTTAATTCAACTGTTCCGAATGCATCACCTTGAATAGTAACATCACCTACAGCAGTTTCACAGGCAGCAACTGAAGCAACTTGACCTGAAGCAGTGGCAGTAAAATCTGAAAATGAACATCCACTATTAACTGATGGAGTAGCAGTAGTTAAGGTAGAATCTAAATAAAACTTGTTAGTAATTTGTTAATGAATCTTCAAAAGTCAATATATTAAGCTTTTCAGATCCAAGACTTTTTTGAGTGCTAAATATTTATAATATTTTTATAAGATTCTTTTAAATTTTGATGTATTATTTAAACCAATATTGATCAGATATACGGGAAAATACGAGAAACTTAAATGCAGGATTATTTTAATACTTCACTTTTAAAACAATCTTCATTTCCAGTAGTATTATTTGTAATGATAATGTTATTGAACAATTGATGGTTGAATATGATTTTTCAAGTATTATAATAAATTATTCAAATTTGATCCAATTTGTCCTATTGTCTCAGATTATAATTGCTTTTCTTCAATTATTTTATTAATTTCCCCTTTCGTTTATTTTTTTTTTTTTTTTCGAGGAAATTTAAGAAAAAAANATTTCTCTTCATATTAATACTCATACTAAATTTGAAAGAATCGAACTAGATTATTACAGAATTTTGACTTGATCTACTCAATTGAGTAAAACCATTAAATTCTCTAAACACTTTGATCTTTTCAATTTATTTATTGTTTGACTTTTTGAGAAATTTATGTTGTATTATGCAAGGCACTATTTGACTTGTATATATTTCCCTTTTTTCATAAAGCCGTTGATGAAAAATTTTAATGTAACGCTGATGAGTGATCCCAATAACAATTCAATAAAGACCCAATTGAATATGATGTGATTGTCTTATTATAAATTACCCCCAATATAGATCAATTCAAATTTGTAAGGTTTGTCCCTGTCCCTTTAAAATCTTGGATCAAAGAAAAAAGCTTAAAATATTATTTTTCATTTCTTAAAAATTATTATTATACATACTATTAGCAGCTGATGTTAAACTAGCAATAGCTGAAACAGCTAAAATATTCTTCAATTGCATCCTTGATTAATATATTATTGATAATTGAACTCAAAAAAAAGTATTCAAGAAAGAAAGAAAGATATAAAAAAGAATTTTAAAATTAATTTTAATAGAAAAAGGTTTGTAAAATATAATTTTATTTATCAACAAATTATTAATTTTTATTTATTTTATTTATTTTATGAAAAATTTTTATTGATTTACTAAAATACATTTTTTAATACAAAAAAATTATCAATAATAATGCATAAATATTTATTTAACTAATAAATTTCACACTTATTATTGAAAAAAGGTAAATAATCCAAATTATTTAATTAATTATGCATTTTGAAAATAACAATTATTACATGACATATGTAATAAATTATGTACCCGACATACTCTATATTTTTTTCTTTACTTTTAGTTATACGTATAATTCAAGTGTATCTTAAACCTCGAGCAGCATTTACTTAAATTTTAATTATACTGAATTATCAACAAGTCCACTAATAGGAATTATTATAGTTTAATGTTATAGTATTTGATTAAGATAGGAGTTAATTAAAAGAATTTGGCACATTAAATTCCAATTGTTTTTAGTAAAAATTATTTATATTTTGGTTTGAGGTTTGAATTTGTGTTAAAAATTAATTTATTCCACAAAATCTATAAATAGTAAAAATAATCAAATATAGTAATAAAATGTCTCCTTGTTTTATATTATTAAAATTGGAGACATTCTCTTGTATTTTCAATTCCTATGTTTTATTATGAAGTGGTGTTTCTAAAAATAGATCATAGTTTTCGTTAAAAGAGAGATCAATTAGAATTCAATATCCCCCTATGGTTGATCAATACTTACATCAAATACAACTTTTTTAATAATAAACACAAATTGAAACCCACAGAATATTCCATGGTTATCTTTAATCTCTTTCAATTTCCCACATATTCCTTTTAGTTAATTCAAGTAATTAAAAAGTTTATTAAAATTATTGTGTAAATTAATTGCATAAATTAAGTTGATCAAAATCAATTTTATTTATTTGTTTACCTATTTTTACAAGAGAGATAAATTATTGTGATAAAATTTTGGTTAGATTATTTCACATTCCAATATTAAAAATTAGTCAATTTATTTAAATGGCATAGATTTACGGATAAACTTTTAAAAATTGAATACAAAAGCCATTATCAATTTTTCTAAAGTGAATTATAATATTTTGACATATTTTTTAATATTGAAGATGTCGTTACAGTTTGGTATCACAACTATTTGATCTTAATAAATAATCCATTCTACCAAAACTACTAATTACAAAGATGAAATTATCGACTTGGACTAGTCATGTAGTAAGAGCAATCAACAGTGACCCCACATACTCCTTAAACACATGTTCTTTCAGATTTAAGATTGTCCAACTTTTAAACATTTAAACCAGCCATTTTTTATCAAATTATAATCAATTGTCCCTTAATTTTGATAAGAAAAAAAAATTAAATAATAATAATGAAAATATTATAATAGTGGACTAAAAAATAAAATTAAAAGATTGTATTGTGAAATTTTTCAACTGCTTTTAATCAATTGTATTTACTATCTTTAGATTTATGTTTCAACATCGTCTCTCAAGATCAAACGTAGATTCGATACAATTGATTTTTTTACGTATAATTACACCTTTTAAATATAAACAATAAATAAGATTATATGAAACAAAACTACGCGTAAATTAATTGTCCTGAAATTTCAATTTCTTTTGGCAGTCAGACTTTTTTTGTCGAAATCCATTCGCGACATTGGAGATAAGAACGGACTTGGACGAGCACATGTAAAATTTAATTAAATTTGAACAGCTTCCGCCAGTTGTCGACCTGAAAATTTACACGTGTCTGACCCAAGAAATCGACTGTTTCATGGTATTTTACTTTTTGGAGTATAAGCTTTGTACATCAAAAGCAATTATCTGAGAAGCTGCATTTTGAGATCAAACACAAGAAATTAATATCATATGTTTAATTATTCTTAGCATAGCCACTTTATTTCCGCCTTGTGTTACATTAAAATAATCGAGACACTGTGATGTCGCATTGTCATACATATTTATTAAGTGGTGTAAAATACGATAAAATACCCCTTAATTTTCAGATTAATATCTTTTAACTAATCAAGTTCAAAAGTAAGTATTGGTATGATCTAGAAACTTCTATCAAGTTCTTTCTATTGTCAACGAGAAGTAGAAGTATCTCCTCTAATGCTCGTTCAATTACAAATTGCAATTTGCAAATAGCATTGTTTTCTTGTTGTTGTCTTTGTTTGTTTGGATTGCAAATTTAAAATTCAGGAACATTCGGTTATCTAAAATTTCTGTGTAAAGGATTACTCAATGGAGTAAGAAATTGTTTATTTTGAGAGTTGTAAGCTTGGACAATTTAGGCAAGTGAAAAGATCTCTACATGTTAGCAAGAAAAAGAAATTTACAATCAATTACAAAAACTACGAAATTAGTAAAATGATTTCATGAATTGGTTGCAAAAAAAGATACGAATATATTTTAAGCTAAAACCTAATAATGAAGACGAATGCTAGTCTAATTAAGGTATACCAAATCTCTTCTAACTCTAAAATTGATCATTAAGATTTAATTGTTGTTCAATCATTTCAGTCCAAGGAGCAACAAAATCTAACCCAATATTTTGATTATTAAAAAACCAGTCCATTACTTCTGAATCACCTGCAGTAGTGTTATTATTAGAATTGGTGTTATTATTTCCGTAGTACATATTGTTCATATTGTCTGAATTCATGTTATTTGAATAAGATCCGTATTGGGATGGTTGCAGTTGCTGTTGTTGCTGTATGATTGGTGGTTTGTTTTCTTGAGCTGCGATTGTCGCTGCTGTCGGTATACTTCCTGAATGTTTGAAATATGGACCATAAGGAAACGTATCCGGTAATGGCTTTTCAGTATTTGTGTTAGTTTGATAGGGTTGTTGTGTTTGTTGTTGTTGTTGCTGTTGTTGTTTTTGTTGAGATACCAAAGAATCTTGCTGCATGAATTGATCTTTATTATAATGTTGTTTAGGTTGTTGTTCTTGACTTTGTTCTTCAACTTCTTCGCTATCATTTTTTTTAGATTTCATTTCTGAATATAAAAACATCAAAATTGAGGAATATCTAGTACATAAATGTAATTCATCAGGAGAACAATCTCTTAAAGTTAAAGCAGCTCTATGAATTGAAGAAGAAATATCATCAATACTAATCATACTAAAACTTAATACAGTTGGATCATAAATTTCATTATTACTTAGACCTGAAAAAATTGAACCAATTTTAGGATTCAATGAGGTTTTGTGTTGTGCAGTAATAGTTAAATAACATTTCACAATAAAAGCAACTGCTCTAACAAGTCTTGTTAACCATCTAACTGGCATAAATCTTAACATTTTAAATTTATGAATTCTGTGAGCTGCGTTCAACATTTCATTAGCTGAATTGAAAGCTTGTTCTATAAATTTTGCACTTTTGGATAATTCATCTAATTTTAAATTCTTTTTCTCCAATTTTGGTGAAGGACTTAATGCTAATGAATATATGTATAACTTAACATAATTAAATTCAAATATGAAGGATTCTTGCTGTATACATTCGTTAATTTCATTGGATATTTTGGAATTCAATTTGGACCAATGATTAATATGTTTTGATAATTTACCAGTGGTTGGTACAAGAAAATTCTTATATTTTTTACTCCAATTATTAATCAATGGACTTATAATATTTAACACTGATAAATTTTGTTTCTTTGATAAATGACCTAATTGAGCTTTATAACCATAAAATGTTTCATGACCCAAAGACATGATTTGTAATAATTCAATTTGAGCTTTTTGAGCATTTGTAAATTTAAATTTATGTTCCATTGAAATTCTTTTTAATTCTTCTTCACTTATAAAATCAATTTCTTCCTCAAAATCTTCTTCAATTTCATCTGCATCTAAATCTATTTCTGACAATGAATGTGCTAACATTGATCTTCTTGATATATCCATAACGGAATTAATTTCGGCAATGTGGGTTGCAATTAATGTTTTAGAACTCATTTCCATAAATCCCATATCTTGAGCTAATCTAACTGCACTTCCAATTAGCATCCATGCCATTCTATGAGATCTTCTCATTGCTCCTAAACCAGCAAGACTACCATTTGTTGGCGCTTCTGCTCCTTCTTCTGCTTTGTTTGCATAATCTGACCATCTCCAATGTATAGCTCTTGGATTCCATTCTGTGAATAATAGAAAGGCAAAAATTGTACCTATGGATCTAGTACTTGCTTCAGCCCAAACTGTTTGTGAAATTAATCTTTGTACATATAACCATAATCGATCGTGAACTTCGATATTTCTAGGTACTGTACTATTGGTGTTATTATTTTCAAAGGGATGATATCTTGAAGATATAGTTAAAATTGCACATAACAAAATTGGATAACCTGCTAAAATTTTAGATGAATGTAAGAATTTAGGAATATGTGGGAAAAATGGATGCATTGTAGTGAAAAACAAATTGATTAAATTTTCAGCTTCAGATTCAGTTAAAATCCCATTATCTCCAATATAATCAATATTAGCTAATCTTGTAGATGCTTTTGGTCTAACAGATGATCCATTCTCAGCCGCTGGCATTGACATTCTTTTACCAGTAGGTTTTATATATGAAGGTACTGAATCATTTCTTTTTTCTATATTCATTGATTCAATTTCGTCATATTTGGCTCTGGCATCAATATGATCTCTTGCATCAGCTTTTGCAAAAGTACCCGCCGCACTAGCTAAAAACACTAATGCACCTTCCATAGTTGAGAAATTATTTTTTTCTTTTTGTGATGGTGGTTGTGGTGATTGGGATTGTCGAGGTGAATGTTGTTGTGGTGAATTATAACTAGCTTGAGATTGTTGACGATGGATTAAAGGTGGAGGAATTGGTGAAGGTTGAGTTTGATGTAAATGATGTGGAGAGTTTAAATTATCATGTAAAATTGAATTAACACCAGGTAATTCAACTGCTTCTTCAGTTTTTTGTTTCTTTTTTTTACCATTCAAAACATTATTTGACCCACCTCTTTTACTTTCAACAAATATACAATCTTTTCGTTCCCTTAAACATCTTGCACATTTACCATCATGAGGATTATCAACTGGTCCTAAATCACATTTAACTTTACGAACTCGACAATTCAAACATGCTCTGTAATTTCTCTTGTATTTTGGTTGATGATCGGGTGGTGTTGTATCACTATTTGACATGATTCTGAGGATGTATATGTCTTAATAATGGTTAGAATAGTTGGTATTGATTCGGTTATAGGTGGAAGGACTAAGAAAAAAAATATTTCAAATTTTTAATTGTCTTTGATTTTGATATAATTTTTTACGAGCATTTTCAGTAACAAAATTTAGTATTGTGTACATGTTCTACATTTATCAGACCCTTCAGTTACTGAAGAATTAGACATTGTAGGTTACTAGTTAATTAACATATCATTTTCATTCACATATACAATTTCAAGCTTTACCCAAAAACTATACAAACTATATCCTCTTAACGTTTAGAAATTTGTAATTTTTTAACTTGTTCTTCTAAACCTTTTAATTTAGATTGCATTTCTTCTAAATCTTGATTTAATCTATTTCTTTCATTAATAATATTAGTTTCCCATTGTCTAAATCTTTGTTCTTCAGCTTTAACTTGTTCAGTGAAAAATTTCTTTAAAGCATCTTCTTCTTCTTTAAATTTTGGATTATGAAATCTAATCTTTTTAGGTTTTTTAATAACTTCACCATTTTCATTTGTAATTTCTTCTTCTTCCTCTCCTCCTAATTTCATTGATCTAAAAGTTTCAAAGTGAATTTCATTTGTCGATAAAATTAGATCCAACATATTAGTTCTTAATAATAAACTTCTTAATTTTTTAAAATCACAATGATTATCATTTTCAACTTCAACAATACCCCAAGGATATTTTCTTGCTCTTACAAATTTACCATTAATTTCAATTTCTTCTTCTGAACCAATTATTGCAAATGGCATTGATTCAATCAATTGTTTAGCATGTTCTGCACTTGCTGGATCATCTAATTCTAATGGGGGAGTATAAATCGAAATATCTTGTGCTTCAATAATTTCTCTAATTCTTGTTTTAAAAATATCCATTTCATTTCTCGATAAAGTATCGGCTTTTGCAATAACTGGAATTAAGTTAACTCTTGTTGATAATTTTTTCATAATTTCAATATCTAAAGGTTTCAAAGAATGACCACTTGGACGTATAAAATATAAACAAGCATTTACTCGTAGATCTTTAACATCTTGTCTTATAGGTTGATTTATTTGATCTAAATAATTTGAATATCTTTCATCCAAAAATTCAATTATTGGCTGATAAGAATCAGTATTATCAACATTATTACCAAATCCTGGAGTATCTATAACATTTAAATTTAATTTAAAATTTTTTTCTTCCAATATAGCTTTTGTTACTTCGATTGTTGTAGTTTGATGAGGATTATTTTGATTTGAATTTTTATGAGTTTTTAAACTTGTATGAAATAATGTATTAATAAATGTTGTTTTACCTAATCCTGATTCACCACATACCATAATTGTAAAATTAGCACCATTTTTAGTGACTAAATTTAATCTAATAACAATGTTAGTATAACTTGCATTTGATTAATGTAAAAATGTATGATCAACATACCTTTGATTTGGTAGATTAGAAATCCCAACTGGTTCCGGCATTGTTTATATATAATATGATATTTTGATAGATGTATGGTTGGTAATTGATTTGATGATCTAAAATTTAAAATGTATTTATTTATATTGATCTGTTAAATCTATTTTTTTTTAATGTTATTAAGTTACGTCTCTCTTTCAATTTTTGTTGTCTTGAAGTTTTTTTTGTTATCCAAATTTTATTTTTTTTTTTTTAAGTAATAATTAAATATATTAGTCGTGTAAATTAATTTTTTAATTAATTAAACGCGTTTCAATTAAGAATTTATTATAAGAAGTCGAACTAATAACTCGATATTCTTATCAAATAATATACTGCGAGAGGGACTTGAATGAAATTTTATAATTTTTCATACATCACATATCAAATTGATAGAAATTTTTGTGTTTTCTCCCCTTTTTGGTTGCAAAAATTATATTTTGTTCCCCAGACCTGCTTCACTATTGAATCAAAGTATTGTAAAATTGAATCTATCTCTTATATGAATTGTCTAAATTAGTTGCACTAATACTACACGATTAAAGTTGAATATTGGGATAGGTCTACGAATTTGATAAAGTTTGTTGCAAAACATTAAGAAAAATTGGAAATTTTCTATACACTGTTTCCTGTCAAAGACACAAACATCCGTACACACATAGTTATTATTATCTACATTGAAACAACCCACTCAAGTAATTTACCCACAGCCAACCAACAACAGGATGTTTTAGCTACTGCCTGGTAATTCTATGTAATGTACAGCAGCAAAGGTCGTTTTATAAATTGTGATTAGCACAAGAACTTGATACCATACTTAGCATGTAACGCAGAATTCTAAACTTAAATTGCTCCACGAGACGATGAAAAAGTCTTCAAACAGTACAACATTTAGTTTTAGAGTTAAATATAGAATCAATTAGCTGTCTCTGGAGACATAACTTTTGCATTTAACTTATCTTATCGACTTAGTCTCCAAATTTGCAGGTAAAGGTAGCGCACCCGAAACCAAAATTATGAATACTGAAAAAATCAAAAAGCTGTACATTCTACTACTATAATTACATATACACAAGATTCGAAATGGGAAGCTCAGAAAGTTACACTTATCCACCAATACGTATGTTTTTTAAGACCGAGCTTTGTCAAATAAAATTTTGATTATCTATGTGAAGCAACACTCGGATGTTTCATTGCAAATAAATTTTATTAATTACTAACAAATCTCCCAAATTCAATTAGCCTCAGAAGAAGAATTAGATTTACATAAAGTACCATTATTTTATAGAGATAAATGTGCTGCTCATTTAATTGAATATTATAAATGTCTTGATAAAGGAACTTCATTTTGTTCAACCACAAAAGATGAATTTTATAAATGCCAATATCTTGCATTAAAAGAAAGATTAGACAATTATACTAAACAAAATCAACAACAAAAACATTGAATGGTTTAAAAAATGACTATTTCAGGTTTTGGGAGAAGAAGCATGAGTGAGGGAAGAGTCTGTGGTTCAAATTGTCAATATTCACAAAATTTGAGATCTTATAGTTTATACTGCATGAATGATACGAGGTAAAAGCATACTTATTTATTCGACAATGAGAACGTCATTGTCAAATCAAACTTGGTATAAAGAGACAATTTTAATATACATTTTTCAAAAGTTAGAATAATGCCTTTGACTTGTTTTCCTTATATTTCTATTAGTAACTACACATTGTAATCCACTGAACATCGAAAGGTTATCTAATACTATGGATTTGCGATAAATAGCCCACGAGACTACTTTATCTATCAATATACTCTGCATCTCTATGGTTTATGACAATAGTTTTGAATAATTTCATATTTCCTGTATATAATTTCTGACTATGCGACAAATATAATTGGTTCCAAATTTTCAATTCGCTTAATAAGTCAATAGTAATAACTTATTTAATAAAGATCATATACAATCATCAACCAAACCTATACCATCGTTACATATATATATTCCATAAATGTCGGTCACAGAATTTCCACCACTACGTATGTAACTTTGAAAATTAGAGGCTGACTTAACAATCAATTATACTAACAAAAATCTCACAATATAGTCACAGAAGATGAATGTCAAAAATATAAAGTTCCATTGAAATGGAGAGATAGATGTGCAGCATATTTTGCATTATTTCAAACTTGTTTAATAAGACAATCTGCAAATTCATCAGTAAGTTGTAAACATGATAAACATGCATGGGAAGAATGTGAAAACTTAGATTTAATAAGAAGAAAACAAATTTTGAAAGAGGCTAAAGCTGAATAAGTTTGATTCATGAAGAAGTAATAGAGTAGTTGAATTACGTCAAATGCCAATTTGGGGAAAAACATTACGGTCTGGAGAATCAACCACGGGGATAGATCAAAAAACTTAAATCATTCCTCAAAATCACAATCATAAGAAACATATATTTGTATCATAGAATTTATAGCCAATTAATAAAAGTTTCAATCTTGGTGATTCTCAAAATATAAAAAATGTGTGACCTCACAATTATCATTTAGAACAAATTTAAAGTCCAATTTTCAAATCATAAAAGTCTAAAAAAGATCAAAATCTTTTCTATAATTTTCGATATACCTCCGCTGTCCACACTCTATATAAATCTTTTGAAATTTTACAAATATAAAGCTCTAGCTATATTCGGAGTTATTTTTAAAAAATACTATCAAAGAAAAGAGAAAAAGAAGAGGGTAAAAATTAAAAATAAAAATTAAGATTGAAAAATATTTAGTATATATTGTAAATGAGAGAGATGTCAAAACTATTTGGAGTAGTGTATTTATTAACAAAAAAAAAGATTATCATATTGATTGTTGATAAAGATAATTAAATAATATATTTCATGGGGTTCTTTATTTATCAATTTTTTACTATTCAATTAAATTTATAATTTCTAATACTTAATAATTTATATTCAGTAGTTTTTAATTGAGAATGGTCAAGAAGGAAACATTAAAAGAAGTTGATAGTAAACCATTAGATTCAATTGATGATAATAAAGGGGAGACCAAAAAAGATATAGCAACCACTGAAGAATCTGAAACAAAAGATAAAATCCAGGAAGAATCTAAAGAAGATAAAAGTAAAACCACAACTGAAAATGATAAAATAAGTAATAAAAAGACTGAGGAATTAGCAATTGAAGATATACCACTTAATGACGATGCAGATGAAGTCGTAAAAAAAACTGAAGTTGAAACCACAACTCTCCCACCACCTCCTCCCTCAAGACCAAAAGATCCAGTTCAACAAACAACTCAAGATTTAAAAGATGCTTTCCCATCAATTGAAGAAAAAATTATAACTGCTGTATTAATTGCATCTCAAGGAAATCCAGAACCTGCTTTCAGTGCATTACTTTATATTTCTGATCCAAGTTTCAAACCAGACATCCCCGTATATCAAACTACTACCACCACTTCAAAAAATACATCAGCTTCCAACAAAAATGAATCAATTGGTTTCACAGATGATGAGATATTAGCAAGAAAATTACAAAAAGAATTTGAATTAGAAGATGAAAGAAGAAGAAGAAGACATCAAGATAGAAATAGAAGAGATAGAAATGAAAGAGATCAACAAGCAAGTAATCGTCAACATCGTCAAAATTTAAATGATTATGAAAGAAGTTATTACGAAGAAGAGGAAAGTCCTGATGAATTTGATCAAATTAAAGAAACTTTTACCCAAGGATTAGAAGAAGCTAAAACAACTTTAAATGGATGGGTTTCTGGATTAGCTAAAAAGTTCGATAGCGCAACTGCAAACAGACAACAACAACAACAAGAACAAAGAGATAATGCAACTACTTTTGGATCAAAATCTCATAGAGAAGGTGGTAATAATTTTGGAAATTTAGGAGGTACAAGATATTATGATGAACTATATAAAGGCAAAAAGACTAGATTTGATGAAGATCCTGAAATTATTTCATCTGATTTTCATGATAAAATTAGATTAAATAAAGAAAGCTCAACAAGCGCTAATGATGATGACGAGGAAGCTATGGCAAGTCCTCATTTGCCAACAAGACCAAGAAATTCAACAGAATTACAATCTGATACTCCTTCAGCTATACAAAGTGATACGAAAAAAGATACTCTCAAAAAGAAACAACCTTGGCAACCAGAAGATCCACCAGCAGATTCTGATGCGTTTTTAGTTACTGATTCAGAAGAAGAAGATATTGAAGTTACTTCAGAACCTGTTAAAAGTGAAAAAAAATAATGACTATGATGTATCTATATAGGTCTATATAGGACTATTAATGTAACTACTTTAAGCTTAATCAACAACAACTTGATGAGAAGTTCAGTCTAGACTGTAGCATACTACCAATATTATTATCTTTTGGTTTTTTCAACATTTCATAATGATTTTTGATATACTCTTCACTTATATTTTCTATGATGTTTTCAAATAACTCTACTATTCCGGTACCATTCTTCGAGCTAGTTTCATTATAAGCTTTTATAGTCTCTTTCTGATTATGTAAAAAACTGTCAATTTCATTATTAATTAAACTTTTGTTTCCTTCATCTTCTGAGCTGCTTATCAAATCCGATTTTGTACCAACTAGCCGTATTTCAATACCATCATCATTATTTATTGTAGAACTATTATTCAAATTTAATTGCTCAATCCAATATTTTGCAGTTATAAAAGTATTTTCAAAATTACTTAAATCAAAACAAACTAATGCAACTTTTGCATTTCTATAATACATTGGAGTTAATGATCTATATCTTTCTTGTCCCGCAGTATCCCATATTTCTAAGTTTATTTTCCGTTCAGGTTCTTTAGTTGATGAAAATTCTTTTGTTATAAATGCCGCTCCAATTGTGTTTGATGTATGATTATTAAATTTATTTGATGTAAATCTATGAACTAATGAAGTTTTACCTACTGATGATTCTCCTAGTACTACTACTTTATAAGAGGGTAATGGTTGTGAACTATTCAACATAATAATGATATGGGATTGAAGTAGTTGCGATGATTTTGATCTATTGTATATATATCTCTTATCGTAATTTATATAATCTTTGTAACGAAAGTCATTTAAAATTAAATTTGTTACTCTAATTTAATAATATCACAAAAATTAAAAAAAAATGGTTGCCAATTTATAAATATGATATTTTATTTCTATTTGTTTTTTTACAACCACATTTTCATTTCATTAACTGTTTGCTACAAGTTAATTTGTATTATTAAATAATTGTTATTATTATATTTGTATTATTACTCATCATAAAGTTGATTCAAAATAGCTAATAAAAGTAGACCAAAGAAGGTTAGAGCTCCATATAGGAGTTATAAATCAAGTTCATTTTTAAATAATTCAGATGATGAGGAAGATCAAAAGAATAAAGAAAATAAAGAAAATACACTACATGATACAAATAACCTGAAATTCAAAAATAGCATAAATGTTAGATCAATATATCATATTTCAAATGCACCAATAATATCAACAAAGGGAAAAATTTGGCCATTAAGTAAATTTGAGAAAATTGATGTTTTAAAATGTGCAATAAATGGTAAAAATATTGAATATTTACAAAACATTGAAAAAGAAATTAAACAATCAATGATGATTTTCCCAGTTGAAATATTTGTTAAGATTTTTGATATTTTAAATTCATGGGATAAATTAAAACCAAAATTTATGAGAGTTTGCAAATTGTTCTATTATATCATTATGCCAATGATTTATAAAGATCCATATTTGAGAGCAACAAACTTTTTAAATTTCGTTGAAACTTTGTCAAATAATAAGAAATTAGGAAATTATATATATTCATTAGATTTAGCATATGTTATTCAATCAGGTAAAAATGCATTTGTTGCAAGATTATTGAAACAATCAAGAAAAAATTTGGAAGTATTCGTTGCACCACAAACAAGTTTTGGATTTGGTCCATTAGTTGCTTTAAAAAATTGTTCAAATTTAAAAATACTAGATTTAAGATTGGTATCTGAAACTTTAAATTTAACTCAGTTGTTTCATTCTATTGAAAATTTAAAACATTTAACTCATTTATCATTTCCAAGATCACTGATTGATATAGAAGATCATAACAAAATATCTTGGCCACCAAAATTAAATTTTTTAAGATTATCTGGAGGTATAAATGATGATTTTTTATATCATTCCAATTTCCCACAACTGATTACAAATTTAGAATTTGCTCATTGTCCTGCAATAACAGATTTAGGATTAAAACAAGTTTTGTATAGAGTTGGAAATCAACTAACTACATTGAAAATCCAGTATCCAATGCCTGCATTGAAAAATAACTCACTTGATGATGTTTTCATCTATTGTGCAAATCTTAGGGTTTTGGAAGTTAGTGTTGATTATCTTTCTTCAATGTTTTTCGATGATCAATATTTAGGTTATACAGATGGAAGACCATTGAGAACTTTGTATATAAACAGTAGTGGTATGTTAGGTACAACGACTAGATTAGATCCAATGGATTTAGCTGTTGCAATAGACGATGGTAGATTACCATTTTTAAAAAATATTCAATGTACTGCAAAATTAGGTTGGGATCCAAAGTCTGAAGCTGTAACATTTATTGCTGATGAATTAGATGAAAGAGGTGGAGGATTATATATAGGTTATTAGTATATAGTGCTAGGTTAGATTAATAAAATTTTACGAAGTTATGATAAGTCCAAAAAGAAGTTAGGTATTGATTACCACACATGTACTGTCGACCTAGTTGTGAATATTTCCTAATTAATCGTACAGATTTTGAATAGTATGAAAAAAGATTCTCGAGATTTACTTTTAAAAAAACGATGAAAACAAGTCTCATGTTGATTTAGTATTTACCTGTTGTGTCTTTCAATAAAACCATTCATTTGCGGGATGTAAGGTGGTATAACTTCCTTTTTGATTCCATTATCGAATTCAGATTAAAGGCACTGATTCATTTTAGCATCAGCCTGCCTTTTCATGAAAATATACAATAAATCGAGTAGTGGTTTAGAATTAATGTTTGTTCACAAACAAATTCCGTGAATTCAAATAAATTTTACAAATCACAGCTTTTGATATGATTCATAGAGAAAGATTAAGATTCATTTTGAGTGGTTCAAATATATTATTTTGAACTATCCGTTTTGATTTGTTTATTAATCGTGCTTATTTTTGGATTTATTTGATTTTTAACATTTTGCAATGTTGAGGTCATTAGATTTAAAATGACTTAATATACCTAATCTTTTGAAACTATTTCATCTGATTACACGACTCAATCTAAGAAGAATGGGTTACTGATTTTAATTGTTGTATCAGTAAAGTTCTTAAGGCAATCAATTTTTAATAGTGTAAAGTGTTGACGGAGTTGAGACAGTGGCGACACTCGGTTGAATTTGTAACGATTGCACTTGAGGTAGAACAATGTATTGATATTAACATTTTAAGTTTATAACAAAAGTATTAGGTTGATAATAAAACACAACAAGTGAATACTAAAAGTAAAGAAATCAAAAGAGGACTTATTAGTAATGATATAGAATAATATTCTGGTAGTACATTAAAAACGAAAAATAAAACTTATAGACATAGAAATGTATAAGTATCTATAATAAAGCAAATAGTCTCTTCTTGATGAAGTAAACTCTTCAAATTAGAACGCTCGAACAACTATTCATTCAGTTTAACCTAGTGTGTTCAATAATGCAGCTACTGAGAACAATGATCGAATAGTGTTCGAAGTATCATTAGTCATTTATGACAACTTAAAGATTTTGATGAATTGGATCCCTCATATTAGAATAAAATTCTTAAAATCGATGAAGTTAATAACGATTTGTAAGATTTACAGTCATTTATCATTGATTGTTAAAATTAATAATATTATTATATCTTTATAGTTAAGCGGCAATGAAAACTATTATCCAGGGTAGGCAAATCAATTTTGTAGCTTAGCTCAGAATTTTTAACAAATTCAAATTGTATAATCTTAGTATTCAACTATATTCTCTTAAACTAATAATTTTGTACTATTATAAATAGTCTCACAATTTTTGCATAGAAAAAAATTTATTTCAATGTACTTATTGTTCTTGAAACAGTTTATTAAAAATTCTGGAGGATCTGTGAGTATCGCAAGACCATTATATGTTTTCAATATGTCGATGCCATAGAAGTGCAGCTTGCTTAAGCCCGTAAATGGATTTATAGAGTTTTAACTAGAGACTTTATCAATCAATTTGAAAAGTTAATTCAAAATAATTATTTATATACAATTAAAATTGTACATAAAATGATTTTTTGGATTATTTACTTTTTAAAATTGTATACTATATGTTAAGATTCTATTTGAAAGTTCCGAAATACTTGTCGAAGCTTTTTGAAATGTTTATTAACGTCACTTATTTTTCAAACTAATATGATCAATAACATTTCATAATGTTTAGGTCATCTTGTTTGGAAAGAAAGATTAGGTCAACGTCATCCACTAGAACTTGCTCAATTTAATGACAATGTTGGGTCAAGAAGCATGATATTGATGCAATTAGGATTTGTTATTGTGTAACGGAAAATTCATAAGTGACCTTAAAGAGAATGATAATCTACTAGGTATTATAAGATTTACGATAAAGAGCAGAAGAATAAACAGTCGTAAAGTAATGTATACTTGTATCACCAAATTGAATATCCACATATCATTTTTAAAAGTTGCTATAATCATAAAATGTACAATATTTTTAGTTATCTCAAAACAGAAACTATAAATGAAATGAATTTCTCTCACTTAAAATTTTTTTTGTTTATATTTGTTCATTAGAATCTTTTATTTTTTGTTTAACATGTTGGATTTAGATGAAATTATTTTGTTATAAGCATAATTCATTAAATACTCGGGTTCTTAGAACTTTAAAACCCAATTCTTAAAATATTACTTATTTGATGGTACCAGTTGTATCCCGCTTGTTTTAGTCCATATATACGCTTTTTTAACGTTCCAAAAAATAGTTTTCACATATCAATTTGAAAAGTTGATTCAAGATCATGTTTATTTACAATTTAATTTGTGAGTTTAAATTTGATTTGAGTAAATTACTTTTTAAAATTGATTTAATACCAGTTAAGATTCATTTTGAAAGCTTCAAAGTATTACTGAGGTCTTTCGATTTGTTTATTAACCCCACCCTTTTTTTTTGAATTAAACTGGTCAATAACATTTTTAGATGTTTAGATCATATTGTTTAAAAAAGAACAATTTATCAACGTCATCCAGATGAACTTGCCCAATTTAATGATACAGTTCGGTCCAAAAGCATGAAATTGATGCAATTAGGATTTGTTATTGTGTAGCGGAAAATTCATAAGTGACCTTAAGAAAATGATAAGTTAACCTACGAGGTATCATAAGATTTACAGTAAAGAGCAGAAGAATGAACAGTCGTAAAGTAAAGTATACTTTTATCACCAAATCGAATATCCACATTTCATTTTCAAAGTTGCTAAAGTCAAAACATAAAATATTTTTAAATTTCTCAAACATAGGATATTTAGATAGAAACTATAAATAAATTGAATTTCTCTTACTTGAAAATTTTCTTTTATTTTGTTCAGTAGAATTTTTTATTTAGTGTGCGTGGTTAGGACCGTGTACATCAATGATATGCTTAAATCATTGAATAATCAGAGTTCATAGAACTTTAAAACTCAATTCTTTGTATGTAATACGAAGAATTGCTTATTTGTTTAAACCAACTGTATCCAGATTGCTTTAGTCCGTAAATTGACTTTTTTAGTTTCCAATATAATATTTTCATATATCAATTTAAAAAGTTGATTCGAGATCATGTTTATTTACAATTTAATTTGTGAGTTTAAATCCGATTTGAGTTAATTACTTTTTAAAATTGAATTAATACTAGTTAAGATTCATTTTGAAAGTTTCAAAGTGTTATTGAGGTCTTTCGATTTGTTTATTAACCCCACCCTTTTTTTTTGAGTTTAACTGATCAATGAAATTTAAAATGTTTAGGTCAAAAGAATTCAGATAATCGATTTTCAAATAGCTCAATACAAAATGATAAAGCGTTTGTAATACAAAGGCTAGTCATTTTTGTATAATAAATATGAAAGTCTTGCAAAAAAAAACACTCTCATTCTCTCTATTACAATTTGACTCTTCGATTCAAAAAATTTTAATTAAGAACGTACTTATCATCGTTATAGTGAAGCTTCCTCACCTTAAATAATGTATCATCATTTATTTCATCCTTCGAATCTACAAAATTTTCGGTTATTCAAAATACTACCTATCATCAATGGATCGTCAACTATGTATAAACAAATCAATCCGTCTTAAAAAAAAATAATAAAAAAAAAAAAATGGAAAGTCGAATCAAAAACATCACTTCTTGCCAAGTTGTTGCGAACCCAAATATGAAAGATTTAATTATCGACATTTATTTTTTCATATATATCAAAATTATTTTTCTTTTTGAATAAGATTTTAAGCAGACCAAACGCAAGAGTTTTGTCTAAGCCATATGCTGGCCGCTTTGTTTTAACCCATAGAGGCTTTTTTTTACATTCCAATATACAGCCTGATTATATCATTTCGGAAAGTTAAGTCAAGTTTGATATTTACTTACAATATGACTTGTAAATATAATATATTTTGAATTATTCACTTTTTGAAAATTGATTATATACATGTTAAGATTCATTTTGAAAATTTCGAAAAAAAGAATTTTGGAAATTGTTTGATTTGTTTATTAACGATACTTATTTTTAAGGTTTATGTGATTATTTACATCTTGTATGTTTAAATTATATAATTTTAAAAAATAGAGAGTTCGATAATAGATAAAAAGTACAAATTGAATTACTCAAAATTATGTATATTTATATGAATGCAAATTATTTTTAATTATGATGATGCATTTTTTAAATTACGTTTATGTTGAAGTTCATTCTTTTTTATTAACTTTTTCCTTTCTGATCTTGCTAAAGTTCTTGGATCTATTAATTCAGTATCTTGATCGTCTCTTCTTCTTTTCTTTGTTGGTTCATCATTTACTTCAACTAACCATTGATCATCTAATTTTTTATTATTTCCTTTATAACCCCATTTATTTACCCATTCACCTTTATCTTCATCATATTCCATTTTACCATTTTTAGTTTTTGCTTTTATACCTTTTCTAGCTGCAAATTCTTCCCATTTAGTTTTTGGTTTATCTTTTGGTATACCTTTTTCTCTTGGTAATGGAGTTGTTGGTTCTGGTAATTGGATTAATGTCATTGATGATGTTTGACCAGTTGATGTTCCTTGATTGTCTGTGGTGGTTTTGACGGGTAATGATAATATTTGATTTATTAATAATTGAACATTATCTCTTGTTATTGATTGTATATATGATTCTTTTTCTGATTCGTTTTTTGATGTAAGTTTTTCATTTGATAATGGGTTTGGATCGAATGTAGCTAGATTTCCTAAATCGTATGTATTCTCTATTGGTTTATCCACCGTTACGGGTTTATATTCTTGTGATGACATTATGAAGTTGTTTTATTATGATTTAATGAATAAGTGCTACTGAAGATTTATAGAATTTAAAAGCACAAGATGAGATAAATCTATAAAAAAAACTAAAAGTACAAAAATAAATTTATAATGTATGTACAATTTTGTGTAACAAGTTTTTACTTTATCTTCTTCTCATACTATTTAACATCCATATACTAACTAATGCCATTACACCAATAGCTCCACCAGCCATGAATAAATGCTTTAAATTTTCTTCATCTACTGATTTTTCAATCTCTAACCCTGGTGTTGAAGTTGATGGGTTTTTAGCAGCATCAACTAATTGTATAAATAATTCATGTAATGAACTATTCCAAGATGATGATATATGTAAAGGAGAATTTAAAAATAAATCTCTTGTATAATTTTCAGGTTGTACATCTGATCTTTGTTGTTGTTTGTCTAGATCTGCTTTCAATGCAACAAACACTGAAGGTATTTCATCTAAATGTAAATTTTTTTTTCTTAAATCCACTAAGTATTGAAATGATTCAGGATCTGAGGAATCATAAGTATAACATATAACATCACATTCATCTAATCTTTTTTTGTTTTCCAAAATGGCTGGTTCCAATTCTCCCAATTCTTCTAAAATCAAATAACATTGTTTACCACCTCTTATTTCAATATCTTTAATGACTAATCTTGGTTGTATAGTAGGTGAATACATATCACTATAAGTTCCATGTAAAAACAGATCCAATAACGAAGATTTACCAGCTTTTGGAGCACCAATAATAAAACAATTGAAAATATTTCTATCATTTACTGAATTTCTATAAATTTTACCTTGTTTTTGTCTTGTCTTTCTTGGTTTTGTTACTTTTAAAGCTTTTATTGAATTACTTTCATCAAATCCTAAATATGCTAAATATTCTAATGTTGTTTTATAGCTTAAGAAAGTAGTTAAGTTCCATTGTGCTAGCCAACCTTGTAATGTTACATATCCTTCTTCATTACATAATATAGATGAGGGAAAATTAGTTTCTATCCATAATTTGGGTATTCCTGGCGTTGGTCTAAATAGATTTTTAAGTTCTTCTTCATTTAATCCACCATCATTATCTTTATCGAATTTTATAAATAAATCAACTAAAAATCTATAACCTGTAGGACTTAACTCAACACTTGCGTTTGGATTTAAATCTAGATGCGGGGATAAAAATTTATCATTTAGTGATAATGAATTTGTATAATGATTAGCTCTTAGTATACCCCAAATAGTTTCATGTCTACCAGATTCAGCATATAATTTATTCAATAAAATAAACCCATCTTCACTTATCCCACTACTATTTTGATCTAACAATTTTAAATTTATATATTTAATAATCTCATCAAAATCTTCTATTTCCAACATAAATCCAAAACATTTTTTATGTAATTCATTAAACTCTACAAAATTTAAATATCCATCAAGATCAGTATCAAATAAGAAAAAAACACGCCTTAGAGCAGCAATTGCGCCAGGTTTCAAATTACCTTCTTTTGCATCAAATATAGGTGATATAGGATGAGTAACTGCTCTTTGACAAAGATAAAAAGCTTCAACAACGTTATAATTATTTTTTGCACTACATCTAACCCCAGCTTCAATTTCTTTAAATTCATTGATTAATGGGATGAATTCATCATTATTTTGATATTTCCACAAATTCTTGGTTGATAAGTCTGATTTGTTTGCACATAATATTATAGGTAAATTAAGTCCTAATGATCTAAAAATTGGCATCCAATGTAATGAAATTCTTTCATAAGTGTAATGATCTGAATAAACTAACCATATTACATCAGCTCTTTTTAGTTCTTGTGTTAATAATGCATGATCTGATGGATCAGTATCTACTATTGTTGTGGTATTGGGTATATATTCAGATATATCTTTTGAATATTCCAGTTTAGTGGTTTTAGCAAATGATTGTTCTTTAAAGCTTTCATTATAATCATTTCTTGAAATTGTTATTGGTGGTAAAACATTATTTGATTGGGATTCGAAAATGGTTTCTTTTATTAATGATGTTATCAATGATGATTTCCCAACAAATTCATCTCCACATACTGCCACTCTTATCAGCTCTTGAAACATGTCATATTATTTTGTGGTGCTTAATAAAAAGAGAAAAATTCAAAATTTGGTTGCAACAAAAAAAAATAATAGAGGTACAAATTTTACAACCAATTTTGACCGCTATTTTAAAATTCTAAATTAAGTTATATTATACTTATAGAAAAGATGATATATATATATATTTATGTATTATTAGACTAGCTAATAAAATTGAGAATTGAAATTAAAGTCTTGATTTGGTAAATGAGGTAAATAAATATTTTGAGGTAAACTATTTGATCTTGTTACAGGTTGAGAAGATGACTGATCATCATCTTCATCATCTTCTTCTTCTAACGTATGAGTTTCTTCAATATCAACAAAAGATGCTAAATTATCATTTGTACAAATTTCTTCAAATATATTTTGTTCTTTTTTCTCAACAATTGATTTTATGTTATTTAATGTTGTTAAATTTATTTCATTTATTGATGAATTTAAACAATATTGAATTTGTTCTAACCATATTCTTCTTTTATCTTCTACACCTAGTTGTTCATATGATTGTAAACTTTGATTGAAAATATTTACTAAAACTTCTTGATCATTTATTTGACTTATAACTTCTTCATATAAAGAAGTTGTTGGATAACCAGTTGATAATAATGGCCAACTTTTTATAGGTACATAAAATGCAACAAAATAACAAAAAGTTGAAGGAGTTATTGGTTGTTGTTTTATATCTGGCATTACTTGTTTTGTAAATTTATCAATCATCCATTCATTACTTATTAATTTAGCTTTAATTCTCCTATCTCTTAACTTTCTTCTTAATTTACTTTTCTCCTTTTGTCCACTTGCTGAATCACTTGACATTTGAGATCTTGCCATACTTTTTTTAGATGCTCTTCTTTTTCTTGTTATTGGAATTTTATTAAAGTCTGTGATGGGAGTTATATCAACACTTCTTCTTCTAATAGAATTATTCCTTATTAAATCAATTTTATCAATTGGATGTAATGAATCACCTTTTCTTGTATCTAAATGTCTCAACAATGAACCCTTTTGACTAAATTGTTTATCACAAAATTGACAAGTTTTATCTACAATTCCATCATTACCACTTTTTGATTTTCTCATATCAAAAGATGATTTTAATATAGGTATATTAGGTGCTTGTGGTGGTAATTGAGGTGGTTGAGATAGAGGTTGAGGCTGAGGATGTGATGATGATAGTTGTGATATAGTTTGATTATGAGATAAAGGTGATGGTAACATATGATGAGGATTCTGTTGTAAATGTTCCATTTGTTGTAATTGTAATAAATTTAAAGGTAGTTGTTGACTTAACAGTGAATGTTGCATATGATTCAACTGTGAAGGTGGTGCTAGTGGTTGATGATTATGATTAATATGACTAGCAGAATTATGACTATGAGTACTATTATAAGATGATGAATGATTTAAAGTTAAAGGTGGTTGTGGAGGTAATTGTTGTTGTTGTTGTTGTTGTTGATCATTATGATATTTAAGTTCATTTTCTACTTGTGATTTATTTGAATTTAAATAATTATTAAACATTTGAACTGAAACAAACCCCATAAAGCTTTAATTTATTCATTTATGTATATTTTATTGGTATAAGTGTTATTTGCTTTATTTTGATATTGATAAATAATATAGTTAAAACTCTTCAATTTTAAGAGAAATTTATTTAATATTGTATATATAACAATTGAATGATGAATTTTAATTTCTTAATAACAATTATATATAAATTAAATTAATATTGATATTAAAGTTTTTCAATTAAATCTTATTGAAATATTAATTAAACAAATTAAAATGATTTATGAATAATTTATAAATGTAATTTCTTGAATTAAAAGTATTTTATTGGAATTTGTCAATGATTTGTTTTATATAATATAGTATTATAATAAATATGATAATAATTAATTGATTAATTTAATATAACTCATCAGACTTAATCTCCACCCTCTTTATTCACTATATTTATGTATGTATATATTACATATTTTATTATACATTATAGCATTATAAATATAATTTTTATAAATATAATTTAATTTATTGTGTATTAATTTAAAATTTTAAATTTAATTTGTTTATTACTGAATTTGGGAAATGGATCTTGGACAGATGGTAGCATTTGTTCATCCTAAATTTTTATTACTATTGTTTTAAAATTAATTAAATTCAAGATCTATTTTATTTATTTAAGGTAATAAATAAATTATGTTGAATGTATATTATAGTATATTTTTGATCTATTGAATATGAAGTTATGTAATATAAATTTAATTTGTCAAGTTTAAAAGCTTTTATTAAAGTTGAAACAAAAGAAGAAACTGCTCACAGAATCTGTCATTTTCAATTAATTACTTGATAATTTATTCTATTAATAATAGAAATATAATGGTTAGGATAATTTTATATTTGAAAATGAGATTGATTAAAAAAGTGAAAATTTCAAATTTTTAATGGAAATATGCAAGGTACAATTACACCCAAAATAATAATATTATTATTATAATATGAAAATAATAAATACAAATGAATAATAAAATAGAATATTATTTAAATTCTTGTATTTTCATTTAAAGTTAATTTTATAGCTTCATTATTTATTATAAGTGAAATCAAACAATCTTCATATGAAACTTATAAATTAGACTTCTACTTTATTTCAAACTACCTAATGAAATTTGAAAGATTTAATTATTATTTATTTCTTACTTAATCTTTTTTTTTTTATTGTTTAGTTTATTTAATTGTTTAAATTTTTTACCCCACATTTTATTGTTCATTTATTAATATTATAATATGGCAAGTGTTAAATAATCTCAATACATCTTTCTTATTTGATAAATATATACGAGATCATTACAACTGTATTTAATTTTATATGGGCTTTTCTTTTTTTCTATTTTGATATAAAGACATAAGATGATGAAAATATTATAATTAATTATATCTAAAAACACAAAATCTTGATAATTATGTTACAAAGAAGGGTTTTTTCATTTTTTCTTAATATATTTTTAATAAGAGATCCTTTTGTCTAAAAAAGATTTAAATTTTTTTTTTTTTTAAAATAATAAAATAAAATCTATTTCCCCTCAATGTAATATAAATGACGAAACTTTGCTATTCTTATTATTACTTATTATTATTGTTATTCAATATTATTATTTTATTGTCATTCACTTAATGATAGATTATTTATTGATATTGTTCTTTTAAATTCTACTTTTTATTATATAGCTAAAGAGTGATATCAAATGATATATAGATAAGTATATACCTTCTTGTTCTTCAGTTCAAAATTGCGATAGATCTATTTAGTAACTAACCATTCATTCATAAGATCTCTTATCTATATATAAACTAAATTTACTTTATAAACTCCGAGATATTGCATACTTTAAATACTACAGATCTTGATAATTCTATCATCACAAGAAATAATTGGTTTTGTAAAATATTAATTATATAACTCTTATATATATTACATAACATGATATTATTATTGTTATTTTTTATTATTATTATTACTATTATTATTATTATTACTATTATTATTGTTGTTATTATGGTTACTACTATATATCTAATTCATCAACAATTTGTTTTAAATTACTTACATATCTATTTTTTATTTTATCACCATTACCAGATACCACCGTCAAAATTAATTCATTTAATTCTGCACTACCTAAAATATCAACATGTTCAGCAGTTTTAGCACCACCTCTTAAATCAAATCTATCAGGTTCATGTTTAATTTCAACAACTGTAACTTTTAAATTTGATGGATTATATCTACTATTTTGTTTTTGCCATTCAATACACATTGTATGAGTTAATAAAGATACTGTACCATCACCATCACCTAAACTAACACCATCTGATGAATCTCTATCTATAACATAATCTAATTTAACTGATTTTTCTGCTGGAACATATCTATATGCTCTTTCGGTTGGATTACCAACTCCATAAAAACAATACATTTTTAAATCTGGTGCATTTGGTAATGCTGCTTCAAGAGGATTTACCCATTTTCTTGGTATATGATTATTTGCTAATAATTCTTTTGATGTTTTAGCAATACCATGACTATAACTTTCTTCAACTCTTTTTGAATACCATTTTGGTGAATCTTTTAAAAGTTTTTGTAAACTTTCATCTATTGTTACTTCATGTTCTGTACCATTTTTTTGTTTATATTTTATAAATGATCCAAAACTACCTGTTTTAGGACCATTAATAGTTTTTTCAGTATTATTTGTTTCTAAAGTATTTACTGGATCATCTGGTGCATGAGTTAAATTACCCCAAATTAAATCACCACCTTTTGGAAACATACTTGCAACACCTCCAAATGTTCTTAACATTTCAACTCTTTCTCTTCTACTAAAAAATTGTTCTAATCCATAAACAGCTAAAGCATTTAATTGTACCGTATCTTTCATTTCACCTGATATTAATGCAGGTATTGTTTTTGGAGTACCTAACATTGAACCACTAATATCAACTATTGCTTCAATATTATCATTTACCCAACTTGGACCACCATTTCCATAACCATTTGCTTCAACCCATTTTAAAAAATAAAATATAACTTGTGAACCCATTGAATGACCAACTAATACAGATTTTTGTCCAGTTGTTTTTTTACTCATTTCAATTTGAAATTTTAACTTACTGAAAAATCCATCTCTTTTTTCTAAATCTAAATATGTTAATCTCCAATCATATGCTGCAGAAATCATATTATCTGGACTATATCCGATAACTGCTAAATTTTGTAATATTTTATTCCAAATCCAATATCCAGCCATGAAAAAATCAGCAGCTTCAAATCCTTGAGCTGCTCTTATTTTAATATTTGGTGGATCCAATCCAGTTTCTTCATCTAATTTAATATTCTTTAACCAACATGCTTTATCTAAAATCATTGTTCTTAACATAAAGAATGATCCCCATAATCTTTTTCTAAAATATCCAATTGAAGGACAATCTCCCGTAGTGGTTGTTCCCCAAGATTCTAAACCAGTAGATATAACACCAGGTACCATAACAACATTATATTTTGCAGTATAATTTCTTGAAGCTTTTAATCTTTGTCCAACACTAAACAGATCAGCTGAACCATGTAATGAACCATCAGCATTATCAGCATCTTGTAAATATGATTGCATACCACTTGGTAAAATATCTTTCCAATTTTTCCAATCTTCAAATAATGAATTTAATTGATCAAAATTAACTAATCCATCTAAATCAGCTGGAAACAGTACTTTATTAGTCGAAAAAAATATTGTCAATGCTAAACCTAACAAAGCTCCTAATATAAACATTACTCTTCTTGATTCCCGAATTTTTTTCTTTTTCTTGTGTTTTTCATGATGATGATGTTTCTTATGGATTGAACTTCTACGATTAGAGTTGGGTGTTGTATCTTTTGTTCCATTACTTTGTTGATCATTGTGATCTATATCAAATTCCTTTGTATCATTTGATTTCTCGTTATTGTCTAAAGCAGTAGTAATTGAATTTGGTTGATCATCGTCTTTGGATGTGTTTGACTGTTTATTCTTAGTTGATGACATTAAGTTAAATCATAAACAAGATCAATTGTATAAGATGAGATGAATTAATTAAAGTAAGCAATTATTTAAAGTTATTGATATTATTTATATTTTTAGTTTGTGAAAAAAATAGAACTCAAAATCGAAAAAATAATCACAAAATAGGAAGTAAATTATTTTTAATCTATGTTTACATTTATCCGATGAATTAGGAAAAAAAAAATATGTCAAACTTGAAAAGAAATTATATACGAAGTGCAAGCATTGCAAGTGAACAACGTTGTAAATTTTGTAATAACGGTTGATTCTCAGCTCAAATTGTCTACATGTACAGGGAAATTTGTATCGACAAAACAACTAATTAAATTACTGTATTTCGATTCAATTTTTCAGCCATAATTTTTGCCAAATAATTCAAAAAACCTCGCTGCATATTAAACAAGACCTGGCAATTTTCAAATACCCACTAGATCCTAAACATTCGGTGATAACCTATATTCAACTGCTGAATTATTTAGGTGATGTTAAGTTTTCTTTTTTTTTGCAATCAATATGCATTTAAGTACAACTATAATAATTATAAACCTGACCTATATTAGGGACACCTAATGCAAATGGTGTCTTAAATGTTGATGAAAAACTTGTGCACGGTTAGTCAAAAAGTTAATTGGTATATAAAACCAGCAAAATTTTTTGACAGAAATTGGGCGTGTGGCGTAGTTGGTAGCGCGTTCCCTTAGCATGGGAAAGGTCATGAGTTCGATTCTTATCTCGTCCACTTCAGAGTCAAAGTTGTCTTTTTTTGTCTGTTTCACATCCATCGCGTAAAATCGATCTGACATTTTTTTTAATTTTTCAAATCTTGATTTATTTATAAAAAATTGGTCTCTTCGTCAATCATTTAACCAAAAACCCATCTTACCTACAACATGTCTGAATCAGCCACCGACAAATCCAAACTTAATCAATATGAACAACATTATTTTTCATCTTATGATCATTTTGGTATCCATGAAGAAATGTTAAAAGATACTGCACGTACATTAAGTTATAGAAATGCAATGTATAGAAATAAAGATGCTTTTAAAGATAAAATAGTTCTTGATGTTGGATGTGGTACTGGAATTCTTTCTATGTTTGCAGTAAAAGCTGGTGCAAAACACGTATATTCAGTTGATATGTCATCCATAATAGGTAAAGCAAAAGAAATTATTGAATTAAATGGATTTAGTGATAAAATTACTTTATTACAAGGAAAATTAGAAGACATTCAATTACCTGTTGATTCAGTTGATATTATAATTTCAGAATGGATGGGATATTTTTTACTTTATGAATCAATGCTAGATACCGTATTATATGCAAGAGATAAATATTTAGTTAAAGGTGGTTTAATATTACCAGATAAATGTCAAATGTTTATAGCTGGTATTGAAGATGGTCAATATAAAGAAGAAAAAATTCATTATTGGGAAGACGTTTATGGATTTGATTATTCACCATTTATTAAAACTGCAATGGAAGAACCTTTGGTAGATACTGTAAATAATCAAGCATTAATTACAGATAGTTATAAATTTTTTGAATTTGATATAAATACCGTTAAAAAGGAAGAATTAGCATTCAAAAGATCGTTTGAATTAAAAAGTATTGGTGATGATCAATGTCATGCTTATATAGTATATTGGGATGCAATTTTCCCAGGAAAAGAAAAAGTAGTATTACCAACTGGTCCAATGAACCATTATACACATTGGAAACAAACTGTATTTTATATGAATCAAGTATTAGAATTGAAAAAGGGAGATAAAATTATAGGAGAAATTGATGCTAGACCAAGCACTGTTAATCCAAGAGAATATGATATTGAACTTAAATGGGATTTAAAAACTGAAACTAAAGATAAATCAAGAGATCAAAATGGAGAATATAAATATTTCCTTCGTTAGTAATGAGGTTTTGCGTAGCTAGAAAAGATGTGTAGTAATGGATTTAATTCATAAAAGTTTTTCGGAAAAGTAAATACAATTTATCGTTATATCTCTTGATAAGTTTTTATACAACAGTATTCGCATCATCAAGTTGGCTCACATTAATGTTTTTAACGATTCATAAGACTGATAGTTTGCTATTTTTCAACACAAATGATCTCTAGATTTCAAACTTTAACATGTTTAGCCAATTGATACAAACATGAAAAATCAAATTTCTTTTGCAGCTAAGTTGATAAAAGTCTTGAATTTCTCAGCAACTATTCAAAAAGCAAAAGAATATCAAAGAGCGGGAGAGTATTACAGTTGATTAAAAAAGGCTGCAAATTGTCTAAATCATCGGTAGCCTTCAAAAAAATTACACCTGTTAGTAAAGTGAGTTGTTCGACCTTGATAAATAGAGGATATTAATTACGTTCTTGGTCTTAGACCCTTACAAGAGTACTGCCTTATTTATTCCTTTTATTTTTTTTAACGCGCAAGCTGGATAAATACTAAATAGATACTGATCTCGATTCAAAGCAAATAGTGTGAAAGTTCAGCTTTATCAAATTTGAACTGAAATTGAATTACCCCTAAACACCCCTTAGATGACCAAAAAATTTCAATTTTTTTATTTTTCGGATTTTAAAAAATACTTACTAATACTTTCATTGCTATCTTATCTTTTCACTATACACAACTATTTCTTCAAAAACAATTGCCACCGAATTCAAGTTGAAACCCATAAGCTAGATTTGCTCAAATCACAAAAGAAACAGGCTAACTTCACTTTCAATAATTCTAATAGATTAGGTTTTTTCACTGTATGATAAGATCAATCAAATTAATTCCTAAAATCTCAATCCGTCCACTCCCTGCTAGATACACTCAAATTATACGTAGAATGTCAGATAAAACAGAGCAAGAATGGAAATCATCCCTTACTCCTGAACAATATCACGTTTTAAGACAAAAAGGAACAGAAAGACCTTTCACCGGAGAATATACTGATTACTTTGCAGAAGGAACTTACAATTGTGCAGCATGTGGCAATCCGTTATACGATCTGTCTACAAAATTCAAGTCTCACTGTGGATGGGCATCTTTTTGGGCTGCTAGACCAGATTCTATCATTTTGCAAGAAGATAATCTGCATGGAATGCAAAGAACAGAGATCTTATGTGCCAAGTCAAAAAGTCACATTGGTCACTTATTCCATGAATATTACCCAAATAACCCTACTAATGATAGACATTGCGTTAATTCCGTGTCTTTAAAGTTTGTTCCGAAGGCTGAGAATTGAAGCGTTTTAGGTTTGTGAGAATATAGACGCATTACGTCGATGATGAGGTGGATTTTCTAGATGGGCTAATCAGAGGTATTTTTAACCTCATCCAAGTTGAACTTAGATGTTGCATTGTACAAACGGTGGGCTGATATTGTTACCAGCTATGCTAAATTTCTTCCTAAAATGCGCTGATTATTTTATATACAATAAGTACGAATAATCATGGCTTCAATACAAATAGTTAATTGATGAATGACTATAAGAATCTTATTTTTGAATTTATAAACCTTACATGAAGGACTAAACCAGTGTAAGTTTTGAATTACTCTAAATCTTGATCGAAGTATTTACAAGTGGCTCAATCGCTACCAGTGTTTCAGATCTTGTGACAGACAATTTTTGTGTCAAATTCTAAATTAGATCTCAAGATTCGAAGTTGGAATAAGGAACAATTACTACAAAAAATAAAACATACGAATGACAAGTATTTCTTTATACATTCTCTCAACTAAATATGAAAATAAACTTCTTCTCCGGCAAGCCGATTGAGTAAATTTATGAAACTACGCGAATAGCCAATGGATTATGATCACAAGATTTAGTGATGACGCATGATTGTAAGTATGATAGTTCTCCTTTTCCCTAGAGAATATATGGTATCATTACCTTTCTTTTTAATTTTTTATAATCATCACCAAAAGTTTTCAAATATCTTTTATGTTTCTTGACAGCCCAAAGCCACATTTGACCAGTACTTACAACAAAAAACACCCAAGCAGACCAATTACCTACTAATAAAGCATAAGCAAACCATGATAATGATTCAAAAAAGTAATTTGGACAAGAAACTAAATCAAATCCACAACCATGTGGTATAACATATTTTTTAGCATCTTGATTTCTTAAATCACTTAAGATTTTGTGAGTTGTGAAATTTGAGAATTCAGCAAATGCCCAAAGTAAAACTAATGAAATAGTAGCCCAATTTGGTAATTCATTGACGTGAAAAACATAACTCAAGATTCCAGTATAATGATTAGTTGGAGCATACACGAAGTAAGCTAAATTGAAGCCTGATAAAATCCAATAATGAGTTGAATTCTTGAAGATATTAAAAATTGGCATAGTCGCATTTGAGAATTTATGAACAAAAACAGTTTCATACTCACGTTTTAAGAAATGTAATAATACTAAATTAAATGCAATTGTTTGAGTAATAGTATGAGGAAATGGTTTTACACCATAGAATATACTAAAAAAATAAAATAATGGATGGAAAATAAATGGTCCGAAATATTCAACTAAAAACACAGTTCTCCATGAAATTTGGGGACCTAAATCCTTGGCATATAATTGAAAGTTTTCCGATCCTTTTGGAATACCATTTTGAGCGAAAGTTTCATGAGCTACTAATGGAACTTGTTTACCATTATGTAATTTTGTAATTCTTAACCTATGTTTTGAAATATGATTATCAATACTAAGCTCATCAATTAATTCTTGAACATATGAGTCAGTAGTCAATTCATTTGATGAATATGGTTTAATTGACTTAGAACGTGACTTGACCTCAATTGATGCCATTTTTTGTTGATTGGTTGTAAAGTTGATGGGTAAAACTCAAATTTGAAAACGAAATTATTCATGAATTTTCTTAAGGAGCAATCCATACTCAATTCATGTTCGCTACCAAGCCGGAAATGAAAGGGTCGTTGTTAGTCTAAGTAAACAATTATGTATAAAGCTCCACATCAACTAACATGAAGAGTGTGAAATACTCCACATAACATTGCTCATTGTGATAAGAGCTACATAAGCTATTTGGTCTTAGCACATTTATTGCATAGTGGATATTATCTAGAGAAGTCGTGTGATAAGAATTATTTGCAAGATCCCAGTACTGCATATAAAAAGGTGTGATCTAAAATTGTTGATTAAAGAAAAAAATTGAGTCAAATGTATCTTGCATTCGTTATTTAATAAACATCATAAATATTACAAATTAAACAATGTCAGATTGGGACTCAGTTACTATAATAGGTCAAAAAGCTAGAATTGGTGGTGGTGGACCAAGAGAAAATGTTGCAAAAACACAGTCACAGTTAAATGCTGCAAGAAGACAAGGTCTTGTGGTTGGAACTGAAAAAAAATATGGTACATCGAATACAAAGTCAAATCCAGAGGGTCAAAGATTAACAAAATTAGATGCTACTGATGATGTTGTCGCAGTTAAAAAAGTAGATACTAGTGTTGGAAAAGCTATTCAAAAAGCAAGACAAGAAAAGAAATTTACTCAAAAGGATTTAGCAACCAAAGTTAACGAAAAACCAAATGTTATTAATGATTATGAAGCTGGTAGAGCAGTACCAAATCAACAATTATTAGGTAAACTAGAAAGAGCATTAGGTGTTAAGTTAAGAGGTAAAAATATTGGTGAACCATTATTTGCTAAAAAATCATAAAGTATATAGAGTTACAGAATTATAATAAACGAAATGAAATGATCTATCTATTGTGCCTTCAATTTACATATGGCTTTTAACAAATTTTTCGTACTAGATGGTTCCTTTGGTGGTATTGTTAGATTATTAATATAATTTGAAACTTTCTTGTTCATTAGATCTCTCTCAGATTCGATTAATTTTGTGGCTTGTTCCATTTGATAACCTGTAAAATATAGTTTGTCAACACAAGGAATAGTATTTTTCAAGTTGTCATATGTAATATTATAAGTCTCTTCCACATAATTTGAGAATTCTTTGACTTGTACTTCGTCTGTGGGTATAATGTTCAATTTATTCATTGGTAATGATTGATTTTTAAAAGCTTCTTCCCATTCTAATTTTTCTCTTTTTAGCTCTTCAATTTTTTCTGAATAAATTCTTATATTTTCCAAATTAGTTTGATTTTGAGGATTTGGTAATAAAATGTCAGAATTATTAATATTAGTATCTTTCCAATCAATTGATATAGAATAATCTTTCAACAGCAGTATCAATTCTTCTTTTATTGTTCTTGCTATATTAAAAACCGTGTGATCTTCAATACGAAAATCAGCTTGTTCATTTTTCATTTCTTTTTCATATATGTCTAATTCTGCTTTCAAATTCCATATAAGTAATTGTCTCATTCTATCGGACTCTGGTACTGAATTATCAATATATTTATGATATGATGTTGATGGTACTTCTTGATGTGGTTCACCATCAAACCCACCTATTGAACTTACTCTTCTCCCACGATTGTAATATGACAGTCTTCTGCTTTGACTTCTACTTTGACTTTCATTTTTACTTTGACTTTGACTATGATGTATTTCTTTATTTAATTTCCTAAATGGTTCTAATTCTTGCTCATTTTCTCCAAGTGGTGATCTTAATTGGTTATCTTGTTTTCGAGATTTCTTCTTTGGTTGTTTTTTGGAAACTTGAGCTTTGAATATATCATCTGATGAATCACTAAAGTTATATTGTATATCATTATCACTAAATTGAGTTATTGGTGTGTTTAGTTTTCTCTTTTTGGGTAGTGGGGATACATCTCTCCGTATAAATAAATCATCATCAGAAGAAATAGATGCTTGTTTTGTACTTTGTGATCCCCCTTGAGATGAAAATAAACTTGATAATCTGTTGTCTCTTGTAAATATACTTTTCGAAGGTTGACTTTTTGATTGACTTTCATCCACAAGCTCACCCAATATATCCTTTGATTTACTCTTTGTTCTTTGAGTTTGTTTACGTGACTTACTAGTACCTCCCCTTTTTTTAGTCGCCATGTTTAGTTGTAATTTTATGTGAATTTCTATGATAGTTTTTAACTTTGAGATAGTTTATAAAATTTCTGTTTTGATTTCGTAAACTTTTTGTTACACAAAAGTATTACGCGTAATGTAATTTTTTATACCAAGAGACTTGATATTTGAATTATAAATTAAGTTGTTTTATTACATTGACGAGACTATTGAACGATAATTTTAGAATACAATGATAACTATAGAATCTCAATGCATCTTCTAACTTTTTTGGACCAATCTTTTGGAAAAGTCATTTTGCACAAGATTCGATATCTAAGATTTGGATCCTAATTGACGTACAGAGATGCCTAGAAAGTTTATTCTTTAATACTAGTTGGGTATTTGTTAATGAAGAGCCCATAAATAGCAACCTAATCGAGCACTCCTGGAATTGAACAAGTCTTGGGAAGGATTTGAAAAATCTTGAAATATCAAATATCTGACCTGAAAAGTGTATATTAACGATTACATTATACAATGATTTATTTACATGAACTGAAGTGAATATCGTGATACTGAAGTTATATTTCAAGCTTTTTTCTTCTTTGGTGCACCTTTATTTCTTCTTTTTCTATCTTCAACCATAAATGTTCTATGAGCTTCTCTTGGATCAACTAATTTTAATTCTGGAAACCATTTTTTGAAATCTTTGAAAGTGGGTACTGCATTGTTGTCTCCATAATATTTTATAACTTCTGGTCCTTTTAATGGAGCTTTTAAAATTTTTGCAGGATTTCTTCTTGCTGTAGGGTTCCAATATTCCTCAAATATTTCTGACGTAAGTTTTCTTGCTTGCGCTAATCGACTTTTAGATGGTAAACTTTTTAGTATTGATGACATAGTATTTATGGTTGTATGAATATTTTAAATTTGAATTTGATAATTTGTAGTAACTCCTTGATTTCTTTAGATTCAAAAAATTGAAAAAAAATTATTTTCAGATTGAGAATGAATTGGTAGCATAGATGTCTAAAATTTTTAGAACCGTTAAAACATGTGTTGAACCAAATTAAATCAAAGAGGTCAATTATACAAATGTACATACGACGATAAAGTCTGGAGTAAGAATGAACATACGTATATTTTCTGAGTGTATTGCTTTGGTGCTGTTTAATCAAATATTTTCGTTGTAACGCAGATTATTTTGTAATTCCTATTTGAAAGGCTCAGCCATTTTATTAAATTCTGAAAAGAATAACTATGATGGTAAAGCTTACCAAGTGAATCGTGGATTGATACCTGAGTATACTAAATGGTTTAAAATACAACTTTTTGATTCTACATTAATTATTGACTCGTAAGTATATTATATAATCTTGACTTTTTCGTTTTTTTAATTTCATTAAAATTCATATTTAAAGATCTTAAGGAAATCTGATTTTTAAATTGTAATAATATTAATATTATATTTTTTTTTTACAACCAAAACTTGTAATTAATTTCAAATAATTTTTATATATAATTACCATTTCATTACTTAACAGACTATATTGATTATAGCTATCCATTTACAATTTTTTATAAGACTAACTAGATTCAAAACTTTCATCTTCATTTCATTTCTTAATTTAAAAATATAATCATTGATTATTACTATATATTTTATACAAAATTCCTCACGTACATGATTTAAATTTTAAGCTTTCGACTTTGACAAAAACACAACAATTGAACTTGAAGTACCAACATACCTGTCAATTTTCAAATGGATAAAAATCACATTTTGAAGAGGGACTCTGATTTTTTTGTACTGCTGGAAACTTATGAATCTTCATCTTCATCACAAAATGTCACAGATAATAATTATAATTCAGATCAAAATGTGATAGACGAAGAGTACGATCCAAATAAATTATATAACCCTTTTAATGAGAATAGAAAATCAGTATTTAGTGATGATAATTTCTTAAAAGTCGGCAGTTCAAAAAACCATATTTCCTTTTTTGATAGATCATTACAATCATCACCAATTCTACAGGATAATTTAAGTGATAATGATTTTGAAGATCTAAAACAAGGATTAGAATTTGCATTAGGTAAAACAAACGAAGAAGCGAATTGGTTCCCAGTATCACAGTCGTATAAAAATACATCACAAAATATTTCAAGAGATAATATCAGCTCAGCACCTAGCGTTAAAGAACCTATACCGACTAAAATGAACGCTGATCATACATCTAATATACCACTTGAAGATTTAGATTTTTCCCGACCTAGTTACTCAAGAAGTCAGACCCAACAATCTCATCATTCCACTAATTCAAGATCACCTATAAAAGAAGAAGGAGATACTAGATCACTAAAACCACAAAATTCCAATAACAGTAATTATATCAAAAATGATTATTTTTATCAACCAAGTCCAATACATCTTGAAGAGGGTCTCCTCAATCCTGAAAAAATGAAAGAACCAACTTCTCCAGGTACTTCTCGTATTGCTGATGCCATTGCAAGAATTTCAAATCGTATTGCAGGTACAGGAGATGGAGATGTGAAGAAAGATGACCATCCTGATCAATCTAGTTTGATAAATGTACAATCAAGAGGAAGCTCACAACTAAAAACACCAGTCAAAGAGCATTTTTCATTTTTCGAAGAAGATAATGAACTATCACCATCAAAACAAAGTATAAAGAAAGAAGTTCCAAATGTATCAATCACTACTGATAAAGGTGGATCAATGTATAATGAAACAACAATATCTCAGGGGTTAGGTGTTTACCTAAGAAATTCAAATCAATCAAGTCAGGTAGATATTAATAATGATGTAGATGTAACAAGTCAAATGTCTTTAATGCATGATATTGAAAGTGTCAAAAAGCCTACTGGCAAAATAAAACTGAGACTATATGGAAATACATTATTCATTTTCTCACCAAACTCAAAAATCAGAAGAATTTGTCATAAATTTATTGAGAACCAATTTTCAAGTCTGTTCATATTGTTCATATTAATTTTACAAGTCTGCTTGCTAAGTTATAGACAATGGGATCCAGCAAATTTACAAGGTTACTTCGTTGCAGGTTATAATTGGGCAGATTATATCTTAATTTTAATCAATATTATTTATACCATAGAAATAGCATTACAAGTTATAAGTTATGGGCTTATAATTGATTCAGAATTGTTTAAAGAGTTGGTTCTTCCTTACCCTTCTGGTCACTTTGATCAGTTTTGGCAAAATTTAGGTAACATTTACAACTTCCTTCTAAATGTGCCATTTCTTGGAAAAAAGAAAGGTAAACATGTTTACAGTGATTCAAAGCACAAACTCCATGAAGGATCTTCAGAATCAAGTAGTGATGATCAAGGTGACGTCATAAATGACATAGATATTGATGAAAGTTTTAATAAACTTTTAGAAAGAAGGTCATCTGTAAATTCTTATGATTTATCCAAAAAATATGAATTCGATCTGTATCATGATGAAATAACGTCTCCCAAAATTAAAACCATCAAAGATGAACCACGATTTAAATTAAGATCAACCAATACATTTTTCAAAACAGATCAAGATAAAATAAACCCATCACAATTGAAAAGAGCGTATTTAAGAAGTAGTTGGCATAGATTAGATTTTGTATCTACCTTTTGTTTCTGGATTTCTTTGCTATTATCAATTGATCAATATGACGCAAAACACCACATAATGTTATTCAGAGCTTTAAGCTGTATGAGAATCTTAAGATTGTGTAATTTAACTGCAGGTACAACGACTATTCTCACAGCATGTAAAAGTGCTATACCTCAACTAATTGACGTTTCAATTTTTATAGCATGTTTTTGGTTATTTTTTGGTATAATTGGAGTTCAATCATTTAAATCATCGTTAACACGTCATTGTGTATGGACCAATCCAAATGATTCTTCTGATACATATGTAAATGATGATCTGTATTGTGGCTCATTCATAGGTCTTGATGGACTGATCAGATCATATATAACAAGAGATGGACATCCATCAGGTGTTTTAAAAGGTTATAGATGTCCAATGTATTCTCGATGTGTCTCAGGTGATAATCCTTATAATGGTACAGTTAGTTTTGATAATATCTTACAATCTTTACAAATGGTTTTTGTAGTTATGAGTGCAAATACATTTACTGATATCATGTATCAAACAATGGATTCTGATAATATGGCAGCTTGCTTATTTTTCATTGGATGTATTTTTGTTTTGACAGTGTGGTTACTTAACGTATTCATTGCTGTAATTGTTTCCTCATTCAATATGACAAGATTAAAAGCCGACGAAGCAAAACAAAGTATAGCAAATAAAAAAATTTTGAAATTCTTTGGATTCGATCAAGATCCATTGCTGCACACTGAAAGAATTAAACAATTGAAAACCCAAAACGTTTTTCTTAAATACTACTATAGATTTGAATTTATATTTGTTATTGTTATTGCAGTAAGCTTATTTGTTCAATGTTTTAGAAGTTATAGTATGTCGGATCATCGTCGTCATTTATTATATCGATTTGAAGTTGGTTTTACAATTGTTTTTTTGGTAGAGATTATTATTAGGTTTTTATTTTATTATCCAAAATGGAGAGTATTTTTTCAGATGAAAAGAAATTGCTTTGATTTAATTTTAGCAATTATATGTACAATAATGGTGATTAACCCGGTTAAAAATAGGTTGGGCCATGCTTATTATTGGATGACAGTGTTTCAGTTAATGAGATTTTATAGAGTTGTATTAGCAACTGCAATTACAAGAAATTTATGGTTGAAAATAATGAGTAATTTTAAAGCTATTTTTGATTTAGCTTTTCTTTACTTCATTTTATTATTTTTAATGAGTATCATTATGTCACGTTATTTTGAAGGAGCTATACCAGAAGATGCTTTGGATGATGTTGATTTTCCCATGAACACTTTACCCGCTTCATTTATTGCTTTGTATGTTATAACTTCGACTGAGAATTGGACAAATGTAATGTATTCACTTCAAGAATATGCCACTACTACATCATCAAGATCATTTGGATCTGTACTTTTAATTATGTGGTTTATGTTATCTAATATGATAATATTGAACATTTTCATTGCTGTTATCGCAAAAACTTTAGAAGTATCAGAAGAAGGTAAAAGAAAACAACAATTGTATCAATTCATTGAGGTAATGACAAGTAAATTAACAAATGTAGATGAAGGATCTGGATTATTAAAAAAAATTAAAACAAAACTTTTTAGGAGAAGAGAACGGAAAGATGAGTTGGAACAAGCCGTAGTTAATTTATTACTAAGTGGTACAGCTGTTCAAGAATTTTTAGATAAAGATTTGCAAGATCAAATTGTCGAGGAAGACGAAGCTCAAAGTAAAGTCAATCAATTACCATCAAATGTAGTGCACAGATGGTTTGTTGTTACTTACTCAAGAATTGCTAACGCCTTAAAAAATCCATTCCATTCAAGTTTCAACAGTCAAGCAAATTTCAAGTTGGATAATTTTGAGCCTTCATCATTTGCCAAAAATATAATTAAAGAAAGAAATGTTTTAATTCATAAGCAAACCGAATTTTTAAAGAAAAATCCAAGATATAATTATGTCTTTTATATTATGGGTCCAAGACATAAAATTAGACGTTTATGTCAAAGAATGGTGAAACCAAGTTTTGGTGAAAGAATTGACGGAGTTCCTCCATATAGACCTGTTTCTGAATCATTAGTCGTGTTAACGTTCATTGCTACCGTTGGATTAGTGGTACTTGCTTGTTATATGACACCTATTTTTAGAATGAAAGAAGCTCACCTGAACTGGATTTTTTGGTCCGAATATACTTTTGCAGTTGTTTTCACCGTTGAATTTATTATAAAAGTTTTAGCGGATGGCTTCATCTTTACACCAAATGCATATTGTCGATCATCTTGGAATTTGATTGATTTAGTGGTTTTAATATCTTTGTGGATTGAAGCACTTGCTTATCTTAAAAACGATGGTGATTTATCAAGAATTGTTCGAGGATTAAAAGCTTTGAGAGCTTTAAGATTGTTAACAATTAGTGAAACTGCTAAATCCAACTTTCATAATACAATGATTGCAGGTTTTGGGAAAATTATTAATGCTGCCATAATATCGCTTTGTTTATTATTTCCTTTTTCAATTTGGGGTTTGAATATTTTCAATGGTCGTCTAGGTTATTGTATTGATGGTAATTCAAATCTAGAAGATTGTTACGATGAATACGCTGGTGAAGTTTTCAACTGGGAGATAGTTAGTCCAAATGTTTATACAAATCCTCAATTAGAGTTCAATAGATTTGCAACTTCATTTGCTACTTTGTTTGAAATTGTTTCATTGGAAGGTTGGACCGATCTATTAAAAAATTTGATGGCAAGTACTGGAGTAGGAACAGTTCCTGAAACAAATGCTACGCCATTCAATGGTTTCTTTATTGTTTTATTCAATTTCATTAGTATTGTTTTCATTTTAACCCTTTTCATATCAGTTATTATTAGTAATTATTCAAGGACTACAGGAAGGGCTTATATGACAACAGATCAAATTGCTTGGTATCAAGTTAAAAAAATATTAATTCAAGTTCAACCATCTAAGAGAAAAGATCATAAGTCGTTGTCTAAATTTAGAAAATTCTGTTATAAAATGACGGTAGAGAAGAACGCTGTTTGGATAAGAATTTTGAATTGTACATTGTTTTTACACACAATAGCACTTTTGTTAGAATGCTTTCCATCATATGAGGGATTAAATAATTTTAGAATAGCCATTTATACAATTGCATCTGCTATTTTTTTCATCAATGCTTTAATGTTAGTAGTAGGTCAAGGGTTGAGAACTTTTGCTCATTACAAGTGGAATATATTTAATTTGGTGGTTTCGTTTAGTGCTTTCCTTACAACGTTGATTGCATTTGGTACACCTCCAGAATCACCATTTGCAAATTTTAATAAATTGTTTTTGGTGATAATGCTTTTATTTGTTATCCCAAGAAGTAATAGATTATCTCAATTGTTAAGATTTGCATCAGCATCATTACCTTCAATTTTATCATTATCATTCACATGGATTATAATATTTTTGGTCTTTGCAATTGCTTTAAACCAAATATTTGGTTTAACTAAAATTGGTCCAAATGGTTCAGGTAACATAAATTTAAGATCAGTACCTAAAACTTTAATTGTTTTATTCAGATGCAGTTTTGGAGAAGGTTGGAATTATATAATGCAAGATTATACTTTGAGTTCACCGTTTTGTACTGCTGAGGATAGTTTAGATCGTAATGATTGTGGAAGTAAACAGTATGCATACATTTTATTCATTGCTTGGAATATTATTTCAATGTATATTTTCCTTAATATGTTCATATCGTTGATTTTGGACAGTTTTGACTATATAAATCAAAGATCAAATTACAGTTTATTAATTCAAAGAGAAGAAATTAGAAAATTCAAAAAAACTTGGCAAAAATTTGATCCTGAAGGTTCTGGATTTATCAAACCAATTGAGTTACCAAGATTTTTACATTCACTAGAAGGTGCATTATCGTTTCATTTTTATACAGGCCAATTAGAAATTAAAGAACTTCGTCGTAGATGGGTTAAGCAAAATTCAGATGATCCTTATGATGTAACTGTTAATTATGATGCTATTGAAGAAACTATGGATCAAATGGATATTGGTAAGATTAGACAACGTAGAAAAGATTATGAAATGTTTGTTGAAGAAGCATTATTGAATATGGAATTGAATAATGATCCAGGTATTTCATTTACAAGAATTATTTTGCAACTTCCATTATACACTACTTTTGATACCGGTACATGTTTCAATTTAATTGATTATTTGGAGAGGAGATTATTGATTAGTAAAGTTATGAAAAAAGTCCACACTAAAAAAGTTTTTGAAACAATTGCTGCATATGCCTGTCGTTGGAAGTATCAACAAAATAAAAAACATGGTATAAGAGATGATAATATAGCATTTGATAAAGAACTAAAGCGAAACAGTTACTTGGCTAATGAAAACATAAAAATTAACACAAATTTACCACCTGCAATTTATGTCAATGATGAAGCAGAATCTAATGAAGAAGACTTTGAAAAACAAATACCAGCTAAAAGAAATTCAGTCATTTACGGAGATCATAGTATGACAAGTGGGATATATTATCCAAATTCTCCTATCGTTCATACATCCAATAATAGCAATAAATTGAGATCCCCAACAAGATCAAAAAGACCAAGTTTAACAATAAATGTTCCGTCAATGAACGAAGTAATCGATGATGATATAACAAGATCACCATTTGAAGATGAAAATCAAGATCCATTTGAAGATGATAAAATTCAGGAAATTTTAGAAACTTCATCATGGAGAGATGCCTTAGAGGAAGTTAGATCAACAAATCAAAAGAAAAAAAAATAGAAATATAAAATATTTAAGGTTTAATTTATAGAATTATTATAATTAATATATATTATTATTAATATAATTATGATAAAAATTATTTAATCAGTTTTCATATCATTTAATCCTAGATTTTCATTTTGTTCAAAACTTCTTTCAAATTCTTCAGTTTCCATATTTGGATCATTATCTGGAGCATAAACATTTTGAATATATGAAGAAGCTAATGGATCAACCATTATAATAGTAAAACCAATTTTACCATCTAATGCATCTTTTAATTTTGCAAAAAAATTAATCCAATTTGTTTTAGTTTCTTCATCCATTGAATCTGAAGTTTGTGTAAATACTCTACTATGTAATTCAGATGATACTTGTTGTAATAAACCTTCAATTGTTGTAAATCTACCACCTAATGTACCAGGAGTTAAATCTAAATTTAATTCAGGAATATTTAATCCACAAGTTTCAGATTTTAAAATATCTCTTGCTAAATCTTCAGGATCAGTTACTTTTAATGTAATTTTTTTACCTTTTGCTGGAATTTCTCCTCCAGTTTTAACTTCATTTGATTTATAACCACAATGATCACATACTGTTGACATTATTATAACTTCTTTGAAATGTGGTATATTAACTGATTTCATATGAGTTGAACATGGTTTATAACATGAACCACAAGTGGCATCAAAAGTTTGTACTTCATTTGATAAATTTTCAATATCTGTTTCATCAGATAATCCTATAACTGTATCTTTCGCGATATTATTTGCTAGCGTTATATTTGATGATTTTTCTTCTGGTTGTGATTCTTGATTTTGTTGTTTTTGTTGTGCTACTTCATCTGCTGAGATTAATCCTAAATATACATTTTGTTCAGCAGTTCTATTATATTCATACATTGCCCATTTATGTGATGGCTCTCCTGGTACGTATTCAATCCATGAATTCCCAGCTGGATCATCTATACTAACAGTTAATGGTAATGTTCCTTCATCTGCATTTATGTACAGTTTAATGTTATCAATAACTTCTTGAATTTTTGGATATAATTCTGGTTGAATTTTTTTTCTTTCTTCTTGATCAGATTCTAAATCTGTAATCATGTCTTGTAATATACCTTCAACATTAATTAATTGACCTCTTTGTGGTGGAATTTCAATATCCAATTCATTAAATTTTACAGTTGCAGTTTCTGATTTTACAACTTGTCTATTAAAATCTTTTTTATCTTCAATTTTTAAAACATATCTTGATCCCTTTTCAGCAATTTGAGCAGCTGGTTGAATTTCACTATTTTTAAACCCACAATGAGGACATTCAAATGACATTATTATAATTTCTCTGAAATATGGTATTCTGGTTAATAACATTCTTGTTATACCGTTTTTATGACAATTCATACATAATGATTCAACTTCTTGAACTGGATGTCCTTCTGCATCAGCTGCACCAGTTTGTCTTACTTCATTATTAGTGCTTGTATTATTATTATTGTTATCATCAACTGATTGTGCTTGATCTCCGACCGATGCAAAAACTTCTTTTTCTGGTTGTTTTTCAGATGACATGCTTAATCTTGGTTTTTTATCTATATGAGTATCTATATTTGAATCTTCCATTGAATGAAAATATCTCAGTTCAATTCAATTTTATTTATATATGGTTTAGTTTTACTAATGGATATTGAAATATTCGATTTTGTGTGACGAGAAAATTATTATTGAGATGATTTAGTTGCAAAAAATTGATGATATGGTAGCGAGAAAAATATCTAGATGTTTCTAGATCAATCTTAATAAGGAACCTAGTACATCATCAATGAATCATCAAGCCTTCTGATGTTCAAAATATGGGTTTAAGATTCATGAATATGAAGGATTGATTGTGTAATCTGATTTGTAAATTAATAAAAAAAATCCGAGTCTAACATTATATCTAAGCCCAAGGCATGAATTGAAAAAGACAAAACGCTTTCAAGGTTTCCAAATTTGAGACTGATTTGACACTGGAAGATCTAGGTTAGATTAATCATCAAACTCCTTTCGAGATTATCTTCAATTGAATTTCTTTTGGCACTTAAAACTTTGAAAATGTATAATTTTTTCATTCACATTAACAGAACAATTTCTAATTCAAAGTCCATATTATCAATATTAGTGATATTTAAAGAACAAAATTTGAAATCAAATAGTCTTATCATTTTGGTTAAGATTAAAGTTTGTAAAATTACAATCACAGCCTTATAATTATGTACTATGAAATAACCACTATCATTTTATATACTTTTCTCGTATTACAAATTTAACCGATTTTTTCTAACAAGAACCCGAGCCGATGCCATTAATCAAATTTTTACTCCAACAAATGTTACATGAGGTTTACATTACTAAGAACGAATAACGTCACATCTAATGTATTAAAGGTTGTGATATCATGCCCAGATTAAATACAAGTTTAAAACTCATGTCATATACTATTATATACTGAACCTTATTCGCTTCAAAAGTGGCTAATTTAATTTACAAAATCAACATCCAAACATCAATAAGTAAGTCACCTCATTCAAGAATTTCATATCACTTTACCATAATCTTAATTTTTAATTAAAAGATAAACAAAATTAATTTCGACAATTTTAATTTAGTAAATAGATAGATAGAATTCAAATTAAAGTTTGATTTGCTGTTAATTAATTTTCTTAATTTAATCTTCAAATTCATTCACATGTTTTGAATAAAGAGTCATCCTTTATTTGTTATTAATAAAATAAAAAATATGAAACATTTTATCTCTTTATATTATTTAGTATACAATACTATTTTAGTATACTAATAAGATAGACCCAAAATATATAAAACAATAAAATTTATATTCACAAACGAAGAAAAAAGTGATTAAAAGCGAGAGAGAAAGAAAGAAAGAAAGAAAGCCACAAATAAAGTTTTATAAAAATTTTTAGGCGTATGAAAAAAAAAAATATACTAAATAAAAAAATAAAAAAAAAATTTTGAAACAATAACCATCACTTTTTTTTTTTCCTAGTATTTTTTAAATTCGTTACTTTCAATTATCGTCAACTTATTATCTCGTCAAAAAGATTAAATCTTTTTATTACCATTGAAACAATAGTATCCAACTACTTATTGATTATTTCAAATAAATTTTTTTTTATTGTAAAAGAAATTTTTTTAAAGAATCCAACTTCTTTAAAAAGACACCACAACATTTAAATCCACCACATTTTATTTCAGTTTATATATATATTCAAAACAAGATTACTTGTTTATTATTCAAGGAAGGTTCAACTAATAGCTTTTAATTTCATTTCATTCATAGTAAATATTCACATATATCAATCTGACACTTATTATTTGAATGAATTTACAAACTAATTGTGCACCAGATCAGCAGGTCTCATCTTCTGCTACAACCAATAATTTTATTGATTTAATAAATTCATCAACTACTTCACCTGTTTTAAGACCACAACAATCTTTAAATCAAGGACAAACAAGATCAAGAACTCCTACATTATTATTACCACCTCATAGTTTATCTTCATCAACTACAAAATCAAATTTAATTAATGATAAATCAAATACAAATGAAACTTCAATAATATCAAGAGATTCAACTCCACAACTAATAGATACTGAAACGCCATCATCAATCAATCAACAACAACAACAAAATACACCAACTCAAGATATATCAGTAGTAACTCCCTTCTTAGTCAAACATATAAGTGATCAAAATTTAATACCTAAAGATAATTTTCATAAATATTGTTATCGTCATAATCCAGATGTTACATGTAATAAACAAACAGATGAAGTTAAAATGAAAAAAATTCAAGATAAATTAGAAAATTTACCAAATAGAGATCAAGAAGCTATAAGTCATGTATGGTCAATTTTTTCTGCTGCACCAGTTCATCATAGACAATTAATTTTACAAGGTTTATTAACTCAATGTTGTTTCCCACAATTATCATTTATATCACAAGAAGTTTCATCACTTATAAAAATAGATTTTATATCAATATTACCACAAGAAATATCATTAAAAATTTTATGTTATTTAGATTGTAATAGTTTATGTAATGCAGCACAAGTTTCAAGAAAATGGAAAAGTTTAGCTGATGATGATAGAGTTTGGCATCATATGTGTGAACAACATATTGATAGAAAATGTCCAAATTGTGGATGGGGTTTACCTTTAATGCATATGAAAAGAGCTAGAGAAATGACTGAAGATGATATAAAACCTATAAAGAGAAATGAAGAAGCTCAAGCTGAAGCAGCAGCTGAAGAACTTAGGCAACAACAACAGCAACAGCATCAAAATGAAGAGGAGCAACAACCTCAACAATCATCACAACCTCAGCAAGCATCCCAGCAACCATATCAACAATTATCACAATCACAACAACAACAACAACAACAACAACAACCAGCAGCACAGTCACAACCAGAAGTTTCAGAACCTAGTCGTAAAAAACAAAAAACAGACAAAACATCACCAATTCTTAAAAAAAGACCATGGAAATCAGTTTATTCTGAAAGATATAAATTAGAAAAAAATTGGAGAAAAGGAATTTATAAATTAAAATCATTTATTGGTCATACAGATGGTATAACATGTTTACAATTTAATCGAAAATATTTAATGACTGGATCATATGATACAACTATAAAAATATGGAAAATAGAAACTGGTGAATGTGTTAAAACATTAACTGGTCATACCAAGGGAGTTCGTTCATTAGTATTTGATAATCAAAAATTAATTACTGGTGGATTAGATTCAACAATAAAAGTTTGGAATTATCATACTGGTCAATGTATAGCAACTTATAGAGGTCATGATGATGCAGTTGTTAGTGTTGATTTTTCAAATAAATCTATAGTAAGTGGATCTGCTGATCATACAGTAAGAGTTTGGCATGTTGATTCAAGAACTTGTTATACTTTAAGAGGTCATACTGATTGGGTAAATTGTGTTAAAATTCATCCTGGTTCAAATACAATTTTTTCAGCTAGTGATGATACAACTATTAGAATGTGGGATTTAAATACAAATCAATGTCTTAAAATATTTGGAGGATTAGAAAATAATGGTCATATTGGTCAAGTACAATGTGTTATTCCATTAACTTATAAAGAAGAATTAATAGAAGATCAATTAAGTGCGGATGAAAATGAAAATGAACAAGGAAATGGAAATGGATCACAGCAAACTAATAATTTAGTTTCTGAAATATCAACAAGAAATTTATCACCATCAACAACAAATTCATTACCAACTCATATTTTAACATCATCATTAGATAACACTATTAAATTATGGGATGTATCAACTGGGAAATGTATTCGTACACAATTTGGTCATATTGAAGGAGTTTGGTCAATTGCATCAGATACTTTTAGAATTATTAGTGGAGCTCATGATAGATTAATAAAAGTTTGGGATTTACAAAATGGGAAATGTTTACATTCATTTGGTAATAGTTCAAGTGTTTCTTGTGTTGGTTTAAGTGATTCAAGATTTGTTTCTGGTTTGGAGAATGGTGAAGTTAAAATGTTTTGTTTTGATTAGATTGTTGAATTGTATAAGAGGTGAATTTTTTTATTATTATTTTTTAGTATTATTTTTTAGTTTTTTTTTGTTATAATTATGATATATTTATAATATGTATTTTATTTTGGGTATTTTTTTTAGTATTGGTTTAATTTATTTAGTGTTTTAATAAAAGAAGATTTTATATTACTAAAATTTAATTTCGTTAATTATTACTCTAACTATTTGTTTTAATTTGTAGATCATAATTTAAAGTTTGTGCTATGTTTTTCGAGGTTTAGTAATTCTACATATACGTACATCTATTTGAGATTTTCATACATAATTTTTCGAGAATAATTAAGTAATCAAGTAGAAAAATATTCGAATATGCAAATACTGATCGATTGATCATAACATACAAAATCCCAAAAGATGACAAACAGGCCAGATAGTTTTGGTAATAAAGAGAGTAGAAATTATTACAAGAATATTATACCAAAATTTTAATTACAAATCATACCTATGAACTAATTAAATTAATTAATATAACAAAATAAATTAAATTAGTGATAAAAATGAATGAATGAATAAAATGAATGAATGAATGATAATAAAGGGAATTGAAGTAATTTGAATTAATGAAAATAATTAAATTTCATTTTAAGAATGAAGAAATTGTAAAAGTTTGATTTTTGGAGTTGGTTTTATTATTTTCATTCTCAACGCCTTTATGATTTAATTTTTCTTCTTCTTTTGGTTTTTGTTCTTTATTATTCTCTTCTTTTGGATTTTGTTCTTTATTTCCATTTGAGTTTTGTACGTTAATTAGATTTGTAGATGATGGTGAACTAGATGACGAAGGAGTTGATTCTGTTGGTTGTTGTTGTTGTTGTTGTTGTTGTTGTTGTTGTTGTTGTTGTGGGATTTGTTGATGATTAAAATCAAAATTATGAGTATTACCATTATTAAAACAATATTTTGTTAATATATCTTGATAACTTTGTTTATGAATCATATCATTTGATGAAGATGAAGGAGTTTTAATTACATTATTTTGTTTTTTAGTGTTTAAATTAAGATTATTTTTTGAATTTAAATTTGTTGCTAATGAAGGATTGATTTCGTTTGTTGTAATTGGATTTGGATCTTTTTGAGAAGTTGCGTTTGTAATTGCTGAGGATGCTTTCTTTATACCAGCTATTTGAGCATCCTCTATTTCATCTCGATATTTTTCTGAACTTGACTTGTTATTGATTGATGATAATAGTGGAGATGATAAGTAAAAATTATTCTTTATATAATCAAAATCATTATTTTGTTCATTTTCATCATGATGGAAATTGAATTGAGAGTGTTGAGAATCATGAATATTAGAATCTGAATTTGTTTTCTTGAGATATGATGATGAATATCTTGGCTTTTTTGAATGATCTTGAATTTTACTATCTTTATGAATTGCAGAATTAAAATTAAAAATATTATCTTTATTGCTAGTATCAAGTTTAAATTTATTATTTGATTTATTTTTATTATGCTTTATTAATTTGATATGATAATTTTTAAAATTATTATTATCCCAGAACTCTTTACCTTGAACGTAATATTTTATACATAATTGATAAATTCTTTCATTTTTAACATGACCGGTAGAAGTAGTAGTATTATTATTTTGAGATTGATTATTTGAAATATCCTCCAATGATGAAGTACTAGAATTAAATTTTGAAAATTTAAAACTATTAAATAAATTATTTATTGGAATTTTGAAAATAAATCTATCATAATCATTATCTTTTAAAACTTCTAATGTATCATTTGTATAAGTAGTTGGAATCTCAATTATTGTCATCCAATCATCAACTGAATATCTAACAGTTAAATATTTTTCAAATGCTAAATTTTTAACTGCAATATGACCAATTACATATTTCTTATCTAATGATATAAATAGTTTCTCCAAAAATACAGGAGATTTTGATTCAATATTTTTTAAATATGATAATGGCGGGAAATTTAATAATTGTAATTCCCATTCTGATAATTGTTTGGGGAATGGTGTATTTGCTAAACTAAAATTATGAAAATCTTCAAAATTTTTAGAAAATTCTTTATCATAAGTATAATCTGAATCAAATTCATTGTCTTCATCTTCATCATCTTCATAATAATTATCATATTCTGAATCATCATTAGTTGGATTTAAATGAGGTGAATTCGATGCTGAAATTGCTGATGGAGTATCTTTCTTTTTAAAATATTTTATATCGTTTGATCCTCCAAAATGAACTTGTTTATAAGTTGGTGTAGTTGGTAATGATTTTGGCCTTTTTCTATCAAAATATGAATCTGATGGACTTTTTAATGATGATTTCACTAATTCTCCTGATTTTTTACGAACTAATTTATATCCAGGTAAATCATCATCTTCTTCTTCTTCATTTAATGTTATAGATTGTTCTAATTTTGGTGATCCTAATTTTGGACTTAAATCTGCAGTTGGTGAAATAGTTGGAGAAGATGATGAAGTTGATATAGGAATTTCAATTGACGCGTTATCATCTATATTTTTTGTATTTGAGTTTGTGGGGGTGGTGGTTGTTGCAATTAAATTATTTTTATGATTAAAATAATCAATATTTGTAATAATTTTATTTAATTTAGGTGGTTGTTCTGGTGGTGATAAAGAAGGTGATAAAGTTGGTGATATATCAGGAGGAGTTTTATTTATTGTTGATAAATTTTTATTATATAAACTGTTTTCTTTAGTACGATCACTTGATTGAGTAAAATATTCTTTTGATCTTGAAGGTTTATGTATAAATCTCATTGATAAAGGTAAATTTTCAATTTCTTCATCTGATAAACGACGTTGAAAATTTGGTTTATCTGACATATCTGAATCAATTTGAAATGAAGTTGGTAAAGTTAATTCATAAGTAAAAGATGATCTTCTTGATTCTTTAGTTAAATGTTGATGTTGTCTTGGTATTGAAGATGAATAAGAACTATTATTATTATAGTTATTATTATTATTATTATTAATTATTGGGGAGTTTGTAGATGATAATTTATTAGATTCTGAAGAATAATCAGTTGATGTTGTTGAAGTCATTAGAATATAATTAAATTCATGATATTAGTGGAAAATTTTAAAAATAATTGAAATGAAAATAATTGAAATTATGGATTTGTAATTTTGTTAAATGAAAGTTTAATTCAAAATATGATATTCATGAAATAAATTGAAAAAAAAAAAAAAATACCACCTAGAATTTGATTATTAAAAAGTTCGGATCTTATGATTTCAATTAAATCTTTATGGATAATTAATTAGTTCACGGTTGCCAAATAAATGATTCAACTCTTGAAACGTACTGATATGAAATATATATATATATGAATGAACTGATAAGAATGATAATGATATATGAATTAATAAAAATACTTGTTTAAATTTATATTAATTATTCTTGAAGAAATCTAATGTGTTATCTCTCTCTTTTAAATTTTCAATCTCCCTGTTTTTTTTTTGATTATATAAAATATAATCAATATATTGTAGATATGTTATACCCTATATAAGTGTTGTAATTTAAACAACCAACCAAGTTAAAAGCTAATAGACTTCTTTTTTATCGTTAATGATATAATCAAATATATATATAAATATATATATAAATGATCTTTTCTTGATCTTTTTAAAAGAAAAAGAAGTTGAAGTAAAATAAAAAAAATTCGGAAAAGTTGGTTGTAAAAAAGAAATAGATTTATTTTTAATTACTATTAACTATTAAAAATTAATTAGTTAATATTTAATTTAATTAATTAGTTAGACTATTTAATATTGAATATTATTACTAGTACTGTTATTATAATAATATTAAGATGATAATTTTATATTAGTATAATAATAATAAATAAAATAGCAAACGTACGTAAATATTATTATTATATAATAAATATAAAATTATTATTATTTAATAATGTACAAAGAGGAAGTAATTTTGAGAGAAAATAGTTTCTTATCAGTCTGAAAAAGATTATATTCTATCAATTAATACGTGAAATATTATTAATAATATATCATAAATTATCTTATTAACTTGTTAATTCATGATTAAGAAGTTATTCTATTAGTAATAATATCATATAAATCTAATGAAGTTTTGAATGTTCTATACATTATTATATATTATACATATCATTACTTTATAATTTTAATGAGTTGATATATTATTATTAAGATATATAAATTGGATTTAATATTCAATTTCTATCCAATTAAATAATTATTTTGTAACTATTATATTCATTTTATTTGTGTATTAAAATCTATAAAACAATTAATTATCATTTAAAAAAGCTTATTAAAAAACTAGATCAATACACAAACTTCATTTAGGAGAGATCTATTGAAAACTTTATTTCTTGATTAAAATTGAAATACGTACGTTTATTTTGAACTATTCTATTCATTTCTTTAATTTTATAAATTTCAACAAATTGTCAGAATATTATCTTTTTGGTATAAGTTGAAACAATTTATTATGACGGTACGTATTATTTTATTTTCCACCAATAATCATCATTTTCTTCCCCACCTTGAGAGAAAAAAATTCTTTTACACAACCTACGAAATATTCTAATCAAGTCCTTTAAACTCAGGGATTAATAAAATTTACATATGTCAATTTATTTTACAAGATGCTAAACTATTTATGCATTTGAATGTCGAAATTTCCTTATCAAAAAAAGTTGATTACATAAATTTTGATTAAATCACAAAAAAAGTATGGCCATTCCAATTTCTTTTTTTTTTTTTCTTTCTAACCTTTGTAAAGTTTGGACCAACTATTTTAGGTCCATCGATTTAGAATTTTATGTACTTATTAAAACCAAATAATTTTATTATAAATTATACTTGGATTTTCTAATTTGAAAAAAACGAAATTTATATCCGATCTTTCCAATTTTTCTTTAAAATTTATTATATTTATGTTATGTAAATTTCTCAAACACTCCTTTTAGATTGAAAATTTTACTCCCGAGTATATCAAAACATAATACATCACGATACATTGTTACCCTTATATCATAATTCTTTTTTAAATAATCAACATTGACGTGAATCATCAAAAAAAGAAATCATATTTAATCTAGACTTTTGACAATAAATGATTTATGAAAAAATAATAGTTCAAAAAAGAAATACCCAAGACAGTTATAATAAATAAGCAATTTCTTTTCACTTCATCGGACTTAATTCCTTATCTATCAAGTATCTTTCAATGCTTCTATTGCAAACTTTAACTATTTTACTAACCAAGTATAAAATTAAGAATGCTAGTTTTCATGTACTATATTCTGAATGGTAATTCAATTATTATTAACTCTCTATTCAATTTCTATCGGACTTTTTCATCAATTTTAGTTTTGTACTATAACTCTTAAATATTTTATTTACGATGCAATAATAGAATAAATTTTCAATTTTGTGTTATGTTGATTCTTGGTTTTTTCACTTTTTTTTATCCAAAGAAACAAAATTTAAATGCATTATTATAATGCTCGAGTAAAAGTAGAAAGTATATATTAAGATAAGCATCTGGATGTCATAAATTAATGATGGTACCTCAAAAAACATGACAAAATCAGTAACTGAAAATTTTTTTATTTTTTTATTGTTATTTAAATAAGGTGATTCTTTTAATCAGATCATTGAGAAATTTTGATAATAATTTATTTTTTTTTATTTTTATTATTTTTATTTTATTAATATTTTTGGTGTGATAAAATATTTAAGGGGTATTATTATATTTTAAATAGAAAAAGGGGGTAGAGGAAAGATGTTGTATTTTAGGGCCAATAAATGGCAATAGTGAAGACTTTTAACTTTTCAAACTTCATTGCAATTGAAATAGCATAGTTATGTATATTACTTGAAATAACATAAGTATGATGGCAAGATAGCGGATTATCCCTAATAAACTAGAATAGAAAATTACTTGAAGTTGGTGAAAATAGTCTAGCGAACACTTTCACATAATGATATAGCTTCTGAGATAGATCAGCCACGGATGAAGTAAAATTATTATTGATGGAAAATTCTTGAGATTGGCATATAGTGTTATACAAACAAATCCCAATGAGTTCAATTACTAATTTATGATGAATTATTATTTGATAAGTTGATCTTGGTCAAATCTTTTGTTTATAAATTAGGCAACTCAAATTAATTACTATTTTAACAAAAATTTAAAATTTTTCAAATTTTTCAAAATATATCAAATTTTCTTGATATTAAACCATCAACTATAATATTTTGATATTATAATTAGAACAATATCTTAAGCCGAGGAATCTGATTTTCTTTATATTCTGATAATGTTTTGCGATTCAATTTGATCCACAAGAAATTTAATCTTGTCTTACTCATCATTGAAACATTATTATTTGTAAGTCAAGGTATAGAGCTTTTACGTTAATTAATAGAAAAGTTTGAAATAATGGTAAATGCACGGTATCTATTGTACAATAACTTGAACGAAATGAATCTATAAACGACTTCTAAGAATTGTAGACCAAAATTCTATTGAATAAACAAAACAAATGAATTCACAAATTAATTGTATTTTAGTAATATTTTAAAACAATTAATTACTTTGTTTTTTAATTTTCTTCTTTTTATAAATTTATTAGTATTGGTGTTATTTTCATTTGAGTCAATAGTTGTTATATTTGATCTATTTGGGTTTAATGAATTTGTATTTATTGAAAATTGCGAATTGTTGGATATAGCAGAATTATTTGAATTAGTTGAATTATTCGAATTAGTTGAATTATTTGAATTAGTTGAATTAGCAGTATTATTTCTTTTTAGTTTTGATCTAATGTGTTCAATATAAGTAACTTGACCAGTTGATTTATCCTTAAAATTTATTGATCTTGTTATAAATTTTATAATTTCAACTTCAGTTAATTCTTGATGTATACTATTACTATTTGATTGATGAAAATTAAAATGGAACAAATTATTATTTATATTAAAATTCATATTATAATAATGGATTTGTCTTATATTCAATAATAATTTTGGAAATCTTTTGATTTTAAGATTAGTTATTAAATTTTCTTGAACTTGTGCTGATGCAGTTGATTTTAAAGATGTATTATTAAATTTAAATTCAAAAGATTTACCTAAATGAATTAAAGTGAATTGATTTATTAATATTGATAATGAATTAAATAAAATTTGTTGATTATAAAATAAATAAAGGAAAATATGATTAACATTTAAATCTTCATATGTTATTTGATTTGTTGAATGAGTATTAATTAATGATAATATTGAACTTAATTTTATATTTATATCATGATGATCATATATGATTATTATTTCAATATCTTCATTAGTTGTTTCTTCATTAATCGAGTCAGTGATGCTGTGATTAATATTTTCAGTACTTAATCTTGTTAATAAATAATTATTAAAAAATTGTTCATTAAATTGTTGATGTGGTCTAAAACTTTGTAATGTTACACATGATTCACATGGTGATAAAATTATAGGTGTGTTGATTGATTCGTCGATAAGTGACATTGTTTCTTGATATTATTTTAATTGATGATATAGTTAATTAATGTTGCCCAAATATAATTGAAAAGAAAATTTGTTGAATTGAAAGGTATGATAATGCAAAGCGATAAGAAAAAAATTATTATTTCTTCTATGAATAAAGTTTATAAATCATTAAAATTATCAAATAGGAAAATGATCTATTATTTATATTAAAAGATTATCAAAAGTTGTTGATGATAATAAAAAGATGAATGAATAAAATTAGAAAAATTTTGAAAATATAACGTTGTTTTTTTTTTATCAAAATTTAATTATTAGATATAAATTAAAATTATGCATAATTTATTAAATTTCTTTATTAATTTTTAATCTAAATTTTTCTCCAGATTAATTTTAATTTATAATTTTTTTATTGTTGCTTATTATATACAGTACAATCAAGTACAATCAATAGGGTGGGGTTAATCTTATTATTGTTTTAATATGGGGTTCAATAGATTTTATATACACTCTCTCCCTCACCCGCCCTAATTCAATTAATTTTAATACGAAACATAATTCATTTTATTACTTTACAACAGCTAACAAATTATTGGAACAGTCGATAATAAATTATTAAAGTGAGATTGAAAATTTCATTTGATAATAACATGAATCTCTTACAAAGATCAAACTTAATGATAAATCATTGACTAAATTATTATTTGATTATAATTTTCCTAAAATTGCCTTAAATTCCCCTTTTAACTCTGATAACTTTATCTTCTCTGCAAAATGGATTAAATAACTTTTGTTTAGATATTTGAAAAATCTAGTAATTATATGTTTTTCGTACTAAATTCCGTTCAATTTTCAGTTGTATTATAGTTCTTTCTGATTACAATTATAATCATAGGTGTGATTTGGGAATTTAGTGTAACAAATCTGTATTATATTTAAACAATTTCATAAACTGTAGATCTTTTTAATTTTAATTTAGGTAGATCTTTCTTCAAATTAATAGTCTTGAAAATGTAAGACAAAAAAAACCTTAAATTCCTTATTATTGAAGTTCAGATTTAATTAGTAGTTTAGTAGATTATTATCGATTATTAGTTATAGTTCCAGCCTTACTATTTTTAATTTCATTCGTATCTGTTCAGTTCCTTACATTTAAATTTATTTAAACTTTTTTAATTGTGATTATAGAACATTAACATGTGAAGTTTCAAGTCATTTTCACGATCCATTGACTTGATTCGTTAAAGAATAAAAGCAACAATATTGTTTTTGTAAGTTCGTAAACATATCAATAATTTGAAAGGCATTTTAAATATATTTATCATTTAAGATCTGCTTCAATTATAAGTTCAAAATCAATGGTAGCTTATTAAAGATCGTATTCAAATGTAACAATCAAACAATATGCTCACCGCGTAAACCTGTATTCTCTCGTATGAATATAAAATTTGACCTTACAATACGCATAGTCTTTTCGCTTAATTATTGAAAAACAAGAGCAAATGATATCGAGATAAGTTTACGCAAAAAAAAATGTTCACTTACATTTCGTATCTCACATTTTCTTTGTTTTCTTGTGAACACAAATCTCGTTGCAACATACTTTATTGGTTCTTTTTGATTTCGGAAAATTTTGTAATATTATGTTTTCAATTTATCGACTTCCAAAAAGAGCGATCTGTTTTACAATGTTTATCAAACCCATTGTGGTGCAAAGATCATAAACGATTATGATCATTACGCCTTAATTTGATAATTTCAAAAGTACATGAATACCAGTTTACGAACTTTCATCGTTGGTTGTGGTTTCTAGCTTACGGGTAATCATCAACAAAACGTTCTATTATTAGAAATTATCCGTCAAGCCCACAATCATTAGTGGATCTTCGGAATAATCAATATCATAACTATATAGAATTATTCGTAATTGATACTTTTTTTTGCATAGCAATATAGATTCATGAAAGAATAACGGAATTATTTTTCACACATGAAGTAAAGAATCTTATAAAGGACATTTTAAATACGACGATCTTACATAGAACATTTTTGAAAAAGGGAGAAAACAATATTGGAGTGCTACATTTCTTTTTTTTTCTTTAAAAGCAAAGCTTATGAAGATCAATAAGATAGTGAAGATGCAACAGGTTTAATTCTGCAAACAGATTATAATATTTTGGTTACATACATCAATTCATTGCCATTACTTCATTTGGTGAAGTTATCCAGGACTTTGAGTGGCATTTATCTTGAAAATCTTATTATTTTATCAGTGGTTATCTCAAATAGTGACAATTTTGATTTTTGGTATCTTCATTTGAGGCAATTATGAAGGGGATTCAATTCGTCAATACCTCATCACTCATTATTTCTATAAATTTAAGCTTCTTATTATCGACAATATAAACTTCAAGTTCTTTATCAATTGAGCCAGTGGATTGATTATTGAGTCTTTCGTTATCATCATTATCATTAATATTGGTAGTATGATTGTCATTTGTGGTATTTTCATCATCATTATCATTATCTTGACTCACCACATTTGTAGAACTTTCAGTGCCATCAATAGATAAATCTCTAAATTTTTTAAATATTTCAACAATTGCTTGATTCAATTTATTGTCACCAATTAAAATATTTGAGCTAATATTAAAAAATTTATTTAAATTCTCAATTATTAGTATACGTGATGTAATTTTATAATTTAGTATTTCATTTACGTTTATCATATATTCATAATTTATTTTAGATAAATCTGCATTTTGTAGGTGTAATAATAATTGATCTGGTCTATTGTTGCTTATTACTGTTATTATCTCATCTTCAATGTGTAATTGATTTATAAGATTTGATATTTGTTGTGTAGTGATATTAGTAATTAAGTACTTAATCATTGAAAGTTATTCAGGTGTTTTAAATTACGTGAAATTTATTTTACATAAAAGTTTGAAAGTCCGATTTGATTTTGTGCTATTTTTTGGTTACTGTTTTTTGTTTTTAAATGGCTGCAATTGTTTCTTAATTTTAGGTTCTTTAATCTTTGGATCCCTAATACTCTACAACTTTGAAGTTTTAGTACAATAGAGAACACTTTAAAAAGTCTTTATTCAAGCTTACTTTGCATTAATTAATTAAAGATACTAGAACTACTCTTGATGAATCATATAAATACCTGCAATTTGTTGTCTAAATATTTTTGGATCATCTAAATCAATTTTATCCCAAATACCAACTTTTGCCAAAATCTAACCTCGACACGTCGAAAAATTTTATTATTTATTTCATTTGATCTCTATAAGTTTTTTTCCACTATCAAAACATCAAATCAACCAGATCAGAATGGATGCAGCAAGAACCACCAAAAAGACAAGAAAGCGTAAAAGTACCAAATCTTCACTGAAAAATTCAGAGGCTATGTTTTTTCATAATCTTCCTGAATCCCTATCAAAGTTTGATGAGAGTAAATTGAAGGCTCTTCAGTACAAAGAGGAGAAGAAAGTTAAAGCGAAACGATTTTTTGACACTCGACATTTTATGAAAACACTAGGTGAAACTACAATCAGATTGTTTACCATAAAGGATAATATTTTCGGAATGAAGGAATTAATTGCAAGTATCGTTGAAAAATCGACAAAAGACTCAACATCAAGACCTGCAAATGAGCTGGCAAGGCAAACTATTAATTTTAAAAATCGATACCAGGAATTGAACGAATCACAAACCCTTACTGATATATTTGAGAAAAGTGACACTGATTCAAAATTGCAAAAAGCAGATGAAAGTGATTGTGATGATACTGACTTCACTTATGAAATTTTATGGGCGCAATACGCTTTAGCAAAAGCTGAAAAGGAACAAGAAGATATTATTGATCACATTAAAGCAATTTTTAAAGAAAGAAAGAAAATTTGGAACAAATTGACTCCCTATGAACTTGCATATGAACGCAAATATTATAATAAGCTTTGTGATGCACTTCCATAGCAGATTAAATTAAATTTTATATTATTATTATTTTTTAAATTCACTGAATTTAGTTCTTAAGCTATTGTTTAATCCACATTGTTAAATTTTATTCAAACTTTAGACCAGTAAATACACTATATGTGATAATGAAATGGTGAAACAACATGAATATGAGACAGAATAAATATTTCAATTTGTTAAATAAAAACTCTTAAATCTGTTGACTTACAATCATCAACACACCTTCCAAATTGCTCTGGCATATCCTGATCATCATCTTATTTGATCTCTTCAAATTGGCTATCTACTTCAGATTGTTCAAACACTTTAAAAGTCGCATAAACACTTTATGTGTGGAATAAGCTTTTTTTTGTATTTACGCGTCTAGTGTGACTTGTATTCGAAAATTTTGAAAAAGCTTATTATTGAACCAAAAGAATTTCACCGCTTCCATCCCTTTTGAATGATATCAAATAAGCTACGATCACTAACAACATGTGTTGAGCAACCATTTAAATCTGCAGATGGTAGAAGCAGCTACGGTAAAGCAATAGGGTATGATAACGTGATACAAAATCAATATTTTTAGAATCACTATAAATTTCAAGCAGCTTTTACACATGTATATATGTATGCAATGATCTCCTAGGATTTCGAAATCACTCAGTTGCAGTGTTCATGTATTTTATAATGTGTCACTTTTGGCTATTAATTGGATTAGTTTTTTCCTCAAGTAATGATCAGATTTCAACTTGTTTGATCACATTATTAAGGTTTAAACATTTTCAAATTGATCATATTGATACAACAAAAAGCTCAAGAACTTCTACGTATTATGTGATTTTGCATTTGATCATACCAATTTCTAGCAATGTTTTTACGAATACGTTTTGCCCTTGTTGCAAGATTTTGTTGTAAAGACTACTTATTTTTCAATGCTCAATTGTAAAGTTCAAATACAGTATTCTACGGGATTTTGAATATATTGTTGAGTAGTGGAATTAGTAGAATTCACTAAAATTTGTAAGTCAGTATACGAAATATAAAACTAATAATGCTCAAAAGCTTAATCATTAGGGTTAGTAGTTGATAGTAAGTATATGATATTTTTTTTCCTAAAATCAACATTTATTCAAAATATAAAATTATACATAGAGAAATGTAGGATACCTAACCTCATGGTATCGAAAATATATGATATTAATAGTCTTCTTGTATGTCGTGTAATTCCTATGCGTCGAATTTCATAATCTGACTCTGAAAGAGAAATATAAATGTTACGTATAAGAATTTTTTTTTTTCAAGCCACTAGTTGATTGTTTTCTAACATGGTATTGAACATTTCGATTATTTTTGTTCTTAAGTGCTGTTTAATGGTAAATCTTTTTGTCTCCATGGTGTGTGGTGCGTAAGTCTAATTCTAATGGGTGGTACAAATTCTGTTTTAACAAGTGTGAATGGATCGTTTTATTATTTCCAAAACAATTGTATTTACTTTGATTTCGGTAATCTATACAAATCTTTAAGGACCGTCACTTTTAGGAACGAAAAAGCATGGACAAGTCTAGTTTTGATAAGTATAGGTTCAATATAACCAGCTATGCTTTTAATTGGGATACTTAAATACTTCAAATAATAATCAAAAAACCAATATTTCTGATTCATTTATTGAGGTTTTAAAATTTTAAAATCCAATCAAAGTAGTATGAAGAAATTTTTGAATGATTCATATGACTTGTATTGTTTTTAATCATACCAATTATTTGCGTTCGTTTTTTTGCAATTTAATTTTTGCCAAACAAGCAAAGATTTTGTTGTAAAATTTTACTTATTTTTAGTGCTCAATTATAAAATTCAAGAGTTTGAATATATCATTGGGTATTAAAAACGAAATGTTCATTATTAAAGTTACGAGTCTTCAAAATCAAAGTGAGTGGAATGATAAGATTATAAAGACAAGTCATTTATTTTTGTATTTGATTATTCCTATTTTTAGCATTGTTCTTAGAAAGTTGTTTTGCCCTTAGAAAGATTTGCTGTAAATACTACTTATTTTTTAATGCTCTATGGTACTCTACGATATTTTGAATATATGGTTGAGTAGTAGATATACTAGCTTTTAGTAAAATTTGTGAGCTACTAATATTAAATCAATTAAGCTCAAAAACTAAATCGCTTAAACAGTCGATAGTATTATTTGTTACTAATGGTCCACCTTTTTTAGTCACAAATTTATCTAGAACCGGCTCAATTAATGTTGTTCAATTAAGTTCTACTAATTTTGTTGGGTCTATTGCTAATGCTGTTAACAAACTTTTACTTGTGCGTCGTGTAGTTCTCACCTATACGTCAAATTTTATAACCTAAAACAGATAGAGAATATATAAATGTTACTAAGTAAATTTAGGTGATCTGTTTGGACAGTTATTTTGGATGTAATATAATAGTTGAAAATACCCAAAGCCTTAAAACGACCATAGAGTTCTTTATCATTGATGGGCCAGGCCAGTTGAGTATAAGCGATTTTTTTTAAATCATAAGGGTATCATATTCAAAACAAGTGTTATTTATATTAATTTCCGGTAATCTATACAAAGTCTTTCTTACATCAGCTTTAGGAACTGATAAGCAGGGAGAAGTCTAGTTTTGATAAGGATAGGTTGAATATAACCAGCTATGCTTATATTTAGGATATTTAAATACTCCAAGCAATAATCAAAGAATTAAAATTTTTGTTTCATTGTTGAGGTTTAAAGTTTTCAAATACAATCAAAGTAGTATGAAGAGATTTTTGAATGGTTCATATGACTTGCATTGTGTTCGATCATACGAATTACTAGCATTCGTTTTTGCAATTTGATTTTTGCTAACAAGCAAAAATTTATTGTGAAATTTTACTTATTTTTAGTGCTCAATTATAAAATTCAAGAGGTTGAATATATCATTGGGTATTAAAAAATAAAATTTTCATTATAAAGGTTACGAAATTTTCAAATCAAATTGAGTGGTGCTATAAGATTTATAAGAGTATTTTTCGCGAATCGTTTAATTTTGTATTTGATCATACCTACTTCTAGCTTTGTTTTTACAAATTTGTTTTGCCTACTGGATTTTGAATATATTGTTGAGTAGTAGAATTAGCAGCTGTCAATTCTTTAAGCCACTAATGTTATCATAGTTGTGCTCAAATTCTTAATCAAAATGACTAAGTAGTTAATAGTATGTGATTTCAATAGTCTTCATTTATGTCGTGTAACTCTCACCAACTCGTCGTACCTCATAATGTAACACTGACAGAGAATTATAAACTTTATGTAAAAGTAATTTCTTATTTTTTTTTCATAGTGGTATGGATTCCAAAACAAGTGTTATTTGATTTAACTGTCTATAGTCAATACACATTCTCCAAGTCCCGTCTTTTTTTGGTACGAAGGAACGGGGTGACAATGAGGATATGTTCAATATAATTAGCTATGCTTATAATTAAAATATTTAATTACTCCAAGTAATAATCAAAAAACCAATATTTTTGATTCATTATTGAGGTCTTAAAGTTTTCAAATACAATCAAAGTAGTATGAAGAGATTTTTGAATAATTCATATGACTTGCATTGTGTTTGATCATACCAATTATTCGCATTCGTTTTTTGCAATTTAATTTTTGCCCAACAAGCAAAGACTTTATTGTGAGACTCACTTATTTTAGTGCTCCATTATAAAATTCAAAAGGTTGAATATATCATTGAGTATTAAAAACCAAAATGTTCATCAGTAAAGTTTCGAGTCTTCAAAATTAAATTGAGTGGTATGTTAAGATTTAAAAGAGTATCTTTCGCAAATCGGTTGACTTTTTATTTGATCAGTCCTATTTTTAGCATTGTATTTAGATTTGTCCTTAGCAAGATTTTGTTGTAAAAACTATTTACAATTAAAGGCTCAAATGTAATGTTCGGATACTGTACGAGATTTTGAATATATCGTTGAGTAGCGGAACTAGTAGCTGTCATTAAATTTTGTAAGTTAGGATACAAATACCAAATTATTAAGGCTCAAAAACTTAGTCATGTTAGTTAATTAGTCAACGGTAAATGATATGAGGAGTCTTTATTTTTTTCCTCAAATCAACATTTATTCTATATAAAATTGTAAATAGAGAAATGTAGAATTCCTAATTCTATGGTATCAAAAGGTAATATAATTGGTAAAATACTTGTTAATGATCATACCTTATCAAATTAACTAGTAAAACCTATGTATTGTAACCTTCACTTGGATCTTTTGTCAATATTTAAGTAATGTTTTATATGTATGTCGTGTAATTCTCGCCTATGCGTCGAATTTCATAACATGACTCTGAAAGAGAAATATAAATGTCACGTATTGTCACACGGTAATTTATTCGTCTTAAGTTAGTGACAAGTTCGACGTAAATCTGAGACTTTTCCTCAAATCTAGGTCGCATCGAACTACGTAAATTCAAATGTCGGAACGAGAATTTTCTAATACAATTTGTTCACTCGTCTTATAAACATTCTGTACTGTCATGATGATCGGTCTTGAGTGAAAGAATTTAGTAGATATTCAAATATCTTAAATATAGTAGATTCTCGATAAGATAAAATTATCAATTTTTACTTTCTAAAAATATAAAAACTATAGGGGAATATTTATATACTTCAAAAATTAATAAAAATTATATATAAAAACAATAAGATAAAAATTTTGTGGTAACGAATGTCACAAATTAGTTCAATAATGTAATACATTTGTGACAATGCAGCACGTGTTTAAATTTTGGACTTTGTTTGATTTTGCAGCACAATTATTTTCTTTTCCAACACCAGCATATAAAGATAAATTATTATGGATTAATTTAGGGTCAATAGTCATGTTATATTATGTTCTAGGGCATTTTTTTGCGAAAGTTCTGGTAAATTCCCCGATTTGGTCCGCTTTTCGTTTTTGTTGGAATGTTTCAGTCATTTTGAATTCAATGAATCACAAATAAGAGTAGGTTTCTTTATAACAATAAATTATCAGCAAAAGTCATCAAGAAAAAATCACCAATACTAATAACCTTCTATTTAATAGGATCACAATTATTTCAGTCTAGTGAGAATAATGAATACCAACTACTTTGATTATAGCTATGACATTGAAGATAAGGGTATTATTTTCAAAAGAGCTGTGGTTAGTTTAGTTTCATTCGTTAAGCTACATCTTTTTTGGGTGCGAAGAAACAGGGTGATGTTAGGTCCGATGAGGATGTTTCAATATAACCCGCTATGCTTATAATTAGGATATTTGAATACTCCAAGTAATCATCAAAAACCAGAATTTTGATTCATTATTGAGGTTTCAAAGTTTTTAAATACAATCAAAGTAGTATGAAGAAATCTTCGTATTGTTCATATAACTTGTGTTGTATTTGATCATACCAATTACTTGCATTCATTTTTTTGCAATTTAATTTTTGCCTAAAAGCAAAGATTTTATTGTGAAATATACATATTTTTAGTGCTCAATTATAAAATTCAAGAGTTTGAATATATCATTGGGTATTAAAAAACAAAATGTTCCTTATTGAGGTTACAAATTTCTTAAATCAAATTGAGGGTACGATAAGATTTAAAAGAGTATCTTCTTCAAATTGCTTAACGTTGTGCTTGATCATTCCAATTATTGCAAACTAAACTAGCTTTAATTAGATTCTTGACTAGGTAAAATCGCTTCTCAAATACTGGCTGAGCTGGTGGATTTTCTATGGTACTTGTTCTTAATTATTTTAATGCTAAGTTGTAACATTTGAATATATATAAATGAGTACTAAAAATAAACATTCAGCTACGAAAATTGTCTCTAAACAAAGCATTTTTCATTAATTATCTATTAACATTAAATCAAATCATTACTCTAGTTACAACTTTATTCTTTAACTTCCTCAATTTTTTCATCAACACTTACATCAGCAACAATTGGTTCTTTATCTTCTGGATTTTCTTTTAATAATTCAGTTAATTCATTAACTTTTTCAGGAGGATCTAAAGATAAATCAATATCTCTTTCTTTTCTTTCTTTTATAATTTTTGTAATTTTTGAAGTAGTTGTTAATAATCCATATCTTCTAAATTGTTTAATTAAATCCAGTAACTCTTTACCTTCTTTATTTTCAGATAATTGTGCAAAAACTAAACCTAATTCTGCAAACCATTCATAATTTAATTTTAATTTAAAAGTTTCTGGATTTTTTTCACTTTCTTCAATTAAATCATTCATTGTTGTTAACATTGTAGATTTAGTTAATTCTGTATTATAACCTTCACCTTGTTTTAATTCAATACCTAAATGTCTTATAGTTTTAAATAAACCAGCTTGATGTGCAGGTATCATTCCACCATGTTGTTGAATTTTATAATCTCTATAATAATCTTTATATTCATCAATAGTTGCTTTTTTAGTTCCAGTCCAACCTAATTTAATTAATTCATCTTTTGAAACATCTAATTTAACACTTGAACCAAATCTCCAAATTTTAATTGGATTAAAAACACCAGTATATAAAAATCCAAATATGAAAAAACATTTAATTAAATGAAATGCGAAAAATATACATTGTAATGGAATACTAACTTCATCATTTAAATCTTTTAATAAAATATCTGAAAGATTTGGGTATCCAAAACTAGTTGCAATAGAAGCCAATCCTTTAGTAAATTGATTAGTTAAACATATTCCAGGAGTAGGACTTATAAAATCAGGTAAATCAGTATATAACCAAACTAACAATAAAGAAATTACAGAATAATAACTAAAATAATTAAATTCCCAAACTGGTAAAATCAATTGACCTGGCCAAACATGATTATTTATAAGTTCTTCTTGTGGTATAATTGATGAAGTTATTTTGGTGGCTTCTTCATCGAATAAAAAATTTCCATCTTCAGTTAAATAACCAGGTGAAGTCGATTTTTTAAAACCAATTGGTTTAGATTCATAAAATATACTTGGTCTTAATGAAATTGGTAAGGTATTGAAAATTTTATATAAGTCTTTAAAAGTAGTTTTAGTATTTATTTGAAAACAATAATCTTTTTCATTATCTTCATTAAATCTAATATAAACATCTAAAAATGCAATATCTTCACTTTCTTGTGATAATTCTTGGTCCTTCTTAATTTGCTGCTCCATTGATCTATATTAATTAATGAATTTCTATGAAGAACAATTGAAATTGATTGTTGGAAAAAATTATCTCAATGAATAAAAAATTTGATATATTTTTTAGAAGTTTTATTTTTTTCGCTTTGTAAATAGTAATTAAGAAAATTAAGTTAAAAAGAGGGGATGTGGAGATGAATTTAGATATGTGTAAATCTCCGAGATTTAAACTTTAAGTATTAACAATAAAACTTGATTTATTGCATCGTTTCATCAATTTGAACTAAATGAAAGTCAACGAACTGACAGAGAGTTCAATACTTTTCGACCATTGAACTGTATTTCAAGTCAACAGGTAGGAGAAGCGTATAAGAAAATTGAACGTCCAGAAACTCGACCCGTGTACTTTAAACGACAATATTTACAATATGTTGAAATGAAAATGTAGGTCCCCCTCTTCTTTCCTAGTTGAAGGATTATTCCATAATGATATTGCTGTGCAAATTAAACCTTTTTGCAATAAATCGACTTTTAAATTGACTTGTAAATTATCGAAAAGTCTACTTAGCAGAAGTTTTGAACAAAAAAATCAAAATCAAGTATTTACTGTATGTAGTTAGGTACTAATTTTTGTTTAAAGTAAGTATTTAGCTTTCTTACTCTAGACTTAAACTAATCTAATACGAATAATTCGAATATATGAATATAAATTTTACCCCAGAAGATGTAGTAAGGCGATGCTAGATATTTTTAAGACAAACAATTATATAACTCACGCGAATCAAAATTTATTAAGGTGATACATTTAAATCCAGAATTAAATTAAAAATTATCACAGAAACGTCTTAATCAATTTAAAAAAAATAAAATAAAGAATAATATGTCAAAAATCGTTTTAAAATAATGATTATAATGTAATATGATGTAGTTTATAGAATGTACTCGCCTTACAATTTAAGATCTACTATCTTTGTACTGAATTTAACACGGTTTTCCATTTATTCAATAAAATTTTTGTTTCTCGTAACAATCAAATATATCCCTTTTATTAATCATTAGATTTCACGGTATTATTACTGTAATAAGTTCGCGTACCTGATACTATAATTTATTAATTAATCCAGATTGGTTAAATTAATTGCAGTTAGGTTAATCCATTAATTTCGGGGTTTAATCATTAATAATCTAGAAATTGAAATTGATTAGAGAAATATGTTTCATATGAATCAATATAAGAAAGCATATGAATTTATGAGTTAAATTTATGTTGATAAGTTGAATCAAATATAATATTATGAAAGTAATTCAATGTCATGAAATTAAGAAATATGAGACTTGACATTGTAATAAAAATTAGTTAAATTTAAAGCATAGCCTATATTGTCTGTATCCTGTATATAACCTTAGTCAATAAATAATAAATTATTATTTTCATTTAACTTAATTAAGATAAATTAGAAACATTGAAATACTAAAATTTATTATAGCAAATATAAAACATTAAATACGACTTTTAAATTTAGTTGGATTGATCTGTATTCTAATCAGTCTTCGTTTTATTCTAAGTCATGTTAATGAAACTAGATTCTGTAAATGTTCAAATACTGTTATCAAGTTTTTCATAAAATATTGTATTTTTGTCATTAGAAATAAAGTTTTATTTAATCTAATTATTATAATATCTCTTTTATTATTTTAATATTTATGTTTCAGATCAATATTCCCGAGACATCCTTTTCGTTTAGAATAGACATTTTATTTTACTCGAGGAAAATATTCAAGGCAGATTAAAACTCGTCGGGTCGAATTTAGAAATCAAATTATGAACCGACTAATTTTTATTTAGAATAAGCCACCAAGTTTCTATTTTTAAAATTCAATTCTTACTTTTTCAAACATATTAATTCATATTTTTTAAGTGTCTAAATCAAATTATAGCTCTTTCTTATATTAATGTAATACGAGTTAATACTTGGTGTATTGTGTAATAATAAATCATTTTGTTTATTATTTGTTTACTTTTTTTTTGTTTTAATGTTTCTTAAATTTGAGTTCTCCCTTTTTTATTAAATTGAAAAATTTTTTATTCTAAATCGACAAATTTATTTATTTGATTTTGTATCAATTTCAACAAATAGTTATATATAAATTTTTTTATAATTCCTTCTTTTGATTTATATTCTTCTTTTCTTCTTCTTCTTCTTCCTTTTCTTCTTTCAATTGAATTTAGAAATTAATTTTTCACTATCTTTTTTTCAATAATATTATAGATTTAACTTAAACTTTCGTTAATATATAGATCATTCAATTCTTGGCTATTAATTAAAACAGATCAAACCCTTTAGCCATTAGCCAATTTATACAATAATCAAGTTATTTTATTATATTTCCAAGAATTAAGAATTAATTACAAGAAAATAATTTTGTATTATAATACTTCAACTTTAACTTATTTGACACATTCATTTTATATATAATAATAATAATTAATTAATTATTTATTTAAAGAAAAAATGTTATTTAAATCAATAATTTCAACAACTATATTAGCTTTATCAAGTTATGTTTTAGCAGATGATTTACCAGAAATTGAAATTGTTGGTAATAAATTTTTTTATTCAAATAATGGTTCACAATTTTTTATGAAAGGTATTGCATATCAACAAAATAATTTAAATTCAAGTGATTCATTTGTTGATCCATTAGCTGATCCAAAAACTTGTAAAAGAGATATTCCATATTTATCTGCTGTTGATACTAATGTTATTAGAGTTTATGCTTTAGATGTTACTGAAGATCATACTGAATGTATGGAAGCTTTAATGGATGCTGGTATTTATGTTATTGCTGATTTATCACAACCTGATGAATCAATTAACAGAAAAAATCCTGAATGGACTTTAGATTTATTTCAAAGATATACTTCAGTTGTTGATTTATTTCATAATTATACTAATATTTTGGGATTTTTTGCAGGTAATGAAGTTACAAATGATGATACAAATACTGATGCTTCTGCTTATGTTAAAGCTGCTATTAGAGATACTAAAGCTTATATCAAGGCAAAAAATTATAGAAATATTCCAGTTGGTTATTCATCAAATGATGATTCTACTATTAGAGTTGCATTAGCTGATTATTTTGCATGTGGTGATGAAGATGAAAGAGCTGATTTCTTTGGTATTAATATGTATGAATGGTGTGGATCATCAACTTTTCAATCATCAGGTTATCAAACTGCTACAAATGATTATAAAAATTTAGGAATTCCAGTTTTTTTCTCTGAATATGGTTGTAATGAAGTATCACCAAGAAAATTCCAAGAAGTTGGTACATTATTTGGTAATCAAATGACTGATGTATGGTCAGGTGGTATTGTATATATGTATTTCCAAGAAGAAAATGATTATGGTTTAGTTTCAATTGATTCAAATGGTGATGTTTCAACTTTAGGTGATTATAATAATTATAAATCAGAAATTCAAAAAATTAGTCCATCATCAGCTCAAGCTTCTGCAGTAAGTGCTACTGAATCAGGTGTAACTTCATGTCCAACTGCTACTGATGTTTGGAATGCTTCAACTGATTTACCACCAACTCCTGATAAAGATATTTGTGATTGTATGCAATCTTCATTAAAATGTGTTGTTGCTGATTCTGTTGATTCTGAAGATTATGCTGATATGTATAGTTATGTTTGTTCTAAAATTGATTGTTCAGGTATTGGTTCAAATGGTACTACTGGTAAATATGGTGCTTATTCTCCATGTTCAGCAAAAGAAAAATTATCATTTGTTTTAGATCTTTATTATAAAGATCAAAATGAAAATAGTTCAGCATGTAAATTTAGTGGTTCAGCCTCATTAAAGAGTGCTTCTACTGCTTCTTCATGTTCTGCTTATTTATCATCAGCTGGTCCATCAGGTGCTGGTACTGTTCAAGGTTCAGTTAGAACTGATACTTCACAAGCTTCAGATACTAATGGTGGTGGTAAACAAAATGGTGGTTCATCAGGTTCATCAAGTTCTTCAAGTGGTTCTGGATCATCATCAGCTTCAGGAGGTTCTTCATCTTCATCAAGTGGTTCATCATCAGGTGGTAAAACTTCAAGTGGTTCATTATCAATTGATTTAACTACTTTAACTAAAATTGGAGCTATTGGATTTTCAATGGTTATTGGTTTTGGTTTTATTTTAATTTAAATTATTTAAATAGACATATACGTATAAATATTAAAGAGTGGAAAAATATTTTTTTTTAATAATAGTAATAATAACTTACAATATTCGTAAAATTCTAGAAAAAAAAAGGGTATCATTTATTTAAATCATAAATCATTATATTTACTATTTTTACTCTTCCATAACCATTTTCCTTATTTCCCAATAATAATCTGTTTTAATTTCATTAGAATCAATAAACCAATGATTAATCTTTCTATCAATTTTTTGTTCCTCTTTAACAAATTTTTCAATTAATTTTTGGTTCAATTTATGATTTGTAGTTCTTGTAGGTGAAAGTCTATTATTACCAAAAGCATTAGGTAAAGTAGCAGTTGAAGATGTTCTTTGAGTATATTGACTTAACCCTCGTATGGGAGATTGTAATTTTGGTTCAATTAAATCTGGAATATCTAATATTTCATCTTCTTCTTCTAAATTAATCCATTTTAAATTTTCTTCATCATAAAACATATTGCCTTGCTTTTTACGGGGAATATTATTTATTTCACGTTTCGTTATTAATGATGGTTTATTATCAAATCTTATTAGATCTTCATCGTTTCCTTCCCATTTATTTAAAGTTTTATTGAATTTCATTGAATTTGAATTTACAATTTGAGCTGTTCGGTAATTTTTGAACTTTTTATTATGATGAGTTGTGGTTTTAGGTTCTTTGAATTTTTGTAATACTTGATCTTTCTCTACTGGTGGATTATAAAATGATGGGATTCGATCTAATCTGTTCTTGATCTTATTGTTAAAATTGAACGAACTAAAATTCTTTAGGTTGTGATTCGAATTTCTCATCGTTGGCATTGATTGTTTTGATTGTAAATTGGTTATTTTTTGTATACTTTTTTCTTCAAATCCATCTTCAAATAATTCATTATCATCTCTTGATATTTCTATAGTTTGTTCATTTTCTAATTGATCTAGTAAAGTTAAGTTTTCATTGGTTAATTTTTGCACTTTTAATGTTTGGTTGGGACTTCTTTTGTTGTAAATTTGGTTTTGTTGTTTCAATTCATTCTCAGCTTGCTTTTGTTGAGCAACTTTTCTTGCAATTAATCTTTGATTCATTTGTTGATATATACTTTGATTCTTATTGAAACATTCATCCCAACCTTCAAATTCATCAGACACTTCCGAGGTTATATCAGTATCATTTTCACTATATTCACTTAATCCATCTCTTGTTATTCTTTTACCACTTGATTTTGGAGATTTCGGAGAATTTGTTGATAATTGAAACAGTGGAGAATTATTTATATTTAGATTTTGTAATTTTAAAGTATTATAATCTATACATTCTATATCACCAAATAGTTCATCTTCTGTAAATTTCTGTAGTAGATCTGCTTTTGTCATTTGTAATTAGTTATATCATAGATAATTGTTATGGTTGTTCTCTTGTATGTTTGTTATGTCTTTGTTATTATTGTGACCAAAAAAGAAAATGGAAAATCAAAATTTCTAAAATCAATTTACACAAAATCAATCAGTACTAAAATTATGCTACCATTTGATTATTTGTGAAATTTTTGAAATTATTTGATTTTTAAATAAAGGGGGAATTATAATTAATAATAAACAAATTATAAACATTAAAATGAATAATAAAAAATATTTTATAACTTGTCTATTTCTTTTTCTTCTTTGATTTTGATTTAAGATTCTAAATGAAAATCTTCTACTTGGTTTTAACCAAAATAACATACTTGTATGTAATGAATCAACATAAGGTATGAATAAAATGGGAAACATAAAAAATAATAATAAATGATTTAATATAAAATCAAATGTAAATTTATTCAACTCTAATATTTTAATGATTAACTCCCTAACATTTTGAGTAATGACTCGTACCCCCAATCCACTTTTATACCATTTTCCTGACCACCAAGCTTTATTAACTTCTTCTTGTCTTTCTCTTGAAACACAAGTAATCAAAATAAAATTTGAAAGTACTCTATGAAAACTAAAAATCACTAGTAAAGCTCCAACTAAATGAATAAAGCTATAATTCTCCAACAAAAAAATCACTTCAATTATTAAGATATTAAACAAAATTGACAAGAAATGAGCCATTCCTGCAAAAAATGCTGGTGTCTTTTTAATACATAACCCAAATATAGGTGCCATTGTTAATGATAATACCCAAATAATTGCCAAAACCACCAAATTCATTGCATAAGGAGCAAAAATACCAATTGCTAATTTAAGTAATGGATTTTCCAACAGTAATGCAAATAAATCATTTTGTGAATGTAAAAATAAAAATGGAACCAAGTACAAAAAAACACTAATAGCTGGAACTACAACTTCTCCTAGTAACAAATTTATTGCTGTAGTGTTTCTACCCAGTAAATAACCTTCGTATTTCTCCCCAGTTAATCTTGATCTACCTGATTTACAAAACTGAATCCATGAACATTCCTTATATTTTGTATTACCTCTTGATAACCACCTAATGAAATCCCTATGATCAACAAAAAAGTCAATAAAGTTGAACTGATGTGGATTAAAGAAAAATGGTGCTAGACTTAATGACAAGATCGTAATTACAAACCAAAGTAATGCTGATCTTTTCACCGTCAAGACTCCAAATAAAATCACCAAAAATATTTCTGCACCATAATAAATTGATAAATTTGCATATCTTGAATATAAAGTGGCAAATGATACTCTAGAAATAGCAAATCCTCTACCAGTTGCAATATATTGAGCTTCTCCAAATACAAAATTATCTCGCAAAGCTCTTGAATAAACTTGACATATAAATACTTCAAAAAATGGTGACAATGAAACAATATGTAAGATTATTCTAAAAATTGATCTAACAATTCCCTTTTCAATTAGTTCTTGAATAATTAATGGTAAGAATGAAATGAAAAAGCACACAAAAACAGATAAAACAAATCTATCTATCCAATTCAATACCGGTCTCAAGTTATGACATCCAGCAGCATCAGTATCATCACATTCAACTGTATTATAATTCAATGATCCTAAATTAATAACTAGAAACATAAAAATTTTAACAGACAACATTATAGATAAATTATTAATATGAAATCCAGGATGTGCATAATAAAATGAAAGAAATTTATCAATTGGTAATTTAGTACCTAAATAAAAATATTCTCTTGATATTAGTTGTTCACCCATACCTGATCCAATTTTCTTAGTGAAATTTACAATTGACTGGAACCCCAAATCTCGACCTTTGCCACATTGATAATAATCAAAATGTTTGATTCTACCACCTCTACATGTAGCCGTTATACCAGCATATATATCTTCATTTAAATGTAAACCTCTTTGAGCTTTTGATATCCCACCTCTTGTTGTCATAAAAATCCCATTTAAGAAATCAGGATGTCCATAATGTAATTTTGATCCAATCTCACCCATTGTTCTTGCAAATAATGTGCCAAAAGTTTGTTCTTTACCTGCTGCTATATCACCTAAAATTCCTATATTTTGTGAAAATATAAATTCTCTAGTTCCCACAATAGCAACAGTTGATGTATGTTCATCATCAACAATTTCAACTTCCTCAAATTCAGTAAGTAAAGATTTTATTTTAAGACATTCTTCAATATAATTATCTTGATTCGAATCAATTACTTGAATATATTCACCACGATAATATATAATTGCATTATTTTGGTTATCTGATTTCCCATCACCTAGTATTGGATTTCCAGATAGACGAATTTTAAACTTTTTGTCATAATTCCCCTTACCATCTGTTTGAGAAACATCCAATAAAGTTGAATAAAACATTCCATTTTCTTCTTCTAATATTGCAACATTCAAATTGGGGTAATTTCTGAACAAGGCTTCTGCATCTTCTTCATAATCAACTGAAAAGTTTTGAAAATTTTGCATGGCCACTAATAAGGTGAATTTTCTATTGACAAATTCTTGTAATTCTTCTTCAATGAATAAATCATTTTCAACTTCAAACCCAATATTTTCACTTCTATACAAGATTTTTAAAGCTGTTTCATAGTTCATAAATCCAGATACAGTACGATATAAAGTTTGACACCTCAAAGCTGCCCATATCCTTGTTCTTAAGATATTATCAGGTGTTGAATCTTTAAAACCTACACAATAATAAGGTAAATCTTCATTCAATTCTTCCTCAATCTTATCTAAATTATGAATCATTTTACTATCTTGAACAAATGATCTCCACTCATTTGGATGTAATTGTTTCAAGTAGTCTAATAAACTTAATTTTGAGAAATTCTGTTCTTTGATTAAATCTTTTAATCCAATTAATATTTGTTCTGAATAATGAGGGATTAATACCGTAAAAGTTGGAATTGAAACTACTGGGAATGGTTCTGGCAAGGGACTTGATAAAGACTGAGCAAAAAATGTAATTCTTCTTTCCCATTCTTCTTCAATTCTTATCATTGAGTGAAACTTGAAAGTATTATCATCTTCATTAACAAAAAACATGGGAGGTTTTACAACATCATCATCAATTTCTTTCTGATATATTAATTTACTTACTTGCTCAACTGATAATACATGTTCTCTAAACATTGATATTATAATACTATTCCATATCTGAGAAATCACCAAAATTAAGTTTTGAGTATCACCATAATAAATCTTGGTCAAAATTCTATCAGGTAATTTTGAAAATATATTCCTCCATGGGGTGAAAATTGAAACTCCTAGTGAAAAAGATAATCCAACTGAAAATAATACATTGCAAATGACGTACCACAAATAGGTATCTAAAAAGAACAAGATCAAATCATTGAAATAAAATAAAATTAATGTAAATTTTGGTTGAAATTGACACAAGAAATGACTTTCATCACAATTTAAAACAATAGTTGATAAAATTTGAATAGGATCTTTTAACGATAAAATCAAAAAGAAATAAGATTCTGAGAATTTTGCAATGAATACTCCAATCCAAAGTAAAAATGAAAATAATCTATTTCTTAATTTTAATTTTGGAAATGAATTTGAAAAAATCAGATTAAAGCTACCAGGAGGTATAATTGATAAATAGAAAAATGTTAAAATTGATACTGTAAGCATTATACCTGATATAACATTACCTCTATGAGAATAACTATCCCATGGTTCAAACCCCAAAACATAGATTATTGGTCCTGAATTAATAGCAATTAGTAGGAAAAACACTAATAAATTTTTAATATTATTTGTTCTAATAAATAAAAATTCAGAAATGGCTGCAAAAAATGAAATTAAAGCGGCTATAACTCCACCTGCTGAAACAATTGCTAATCTAATATGTAAAAACGATTCTTTTTCGGGTTCGTAATCTGGAGTGTATAATGAAGGTGAATTAAATGACATAAAGTACCAAAACACTGAAACATGAATAATCCATATTCTACTGAAATTATTAAAGACATGAATCCAAGTTCTTCTTTCTCTATATGTTTTTGACATTGATTTTTTCCAATCGATTGAGTGAATATGTTTATACCGTTCATGTTTATTTAACAGATATAACTTACTTCCATCAGCTAATTTCAATTTATATAAACCTTGAGGACTCCAAAAATGTTGATTTACATCATCATAACCAATTGTTTGAGAATGATCAATTTCTTTTCTACACCATTTATCTTCGATCAAGCAATATTGTTGATCTCTTAAAAATTTATAAATTGGAGTTATAATTTTGTCTAAATAATAATATTTATTGAAATCTGGTCCATTATAATCTAGTGCACATTGAAATATAAAACATAAACACTCGGGCATAAATCTAATATTATTTGCTTCTCCCCATATTAGCAAATAGAGAGCTATCTGTTGAACATAATCCTCATCTTTAAAGTCTTTAAATTTTGAATTCCAATCATCAAGACTGTATTTTAATTTTTTGACTTTCGTCTTAGATTTTGGTGTCCAATTTTCTTCCACATCATATACAAGTTGTGCTGCAAAATACCATTTTCTAAAATTTGAATTTAATCCACCTATATAATTTAAATGTAAACTTTTCAAAGCTTCTGAACATGACATTCTACTTGATCTTGAATCTAGTTGGGTCATAAATAGATCAAATATATTTCTTACGTTATCATCTTGAAATCCAAATTTTGTTGATAATTTTGTGAAGATAGTCAAGATATTCTCAACCGAGATTGTTGCACCATTTTCTTCACACCAAGCTGGATATTGAGTTGATTTAAAATTCATCAAAACATATACTGAGTAGATAGAGGGTTACATGCAAGAAGTCAAGAGAAATTTGAAAGATCTAATACCATCTTTATATTTTGCAAGAAATATCAATTATGGAAATAACAAAAAAAAACCATATAAAATCAAATCATAATGCTCTCAGCAGGATTCGAACCTACGATCTCCTCATTACAACAAGTGAGTTGAAAATTTTACTAGTGAGGTGCCTTACCAACTTGGCCATAAGAGCTAATTTTAGCAAAAAATTAAACTGGTTTTTTAAGTGTGTCAGGGTTTAAAAAATTTTACTAACAATTTGTTATGCTCTGCAAAATTGTTTTCTGGCTAAAAGTACTGGTAAGTTAGAGTTATATTCATGTCCACGGGTTGGTTGAAAGTTTTTGTCTGTTTAAGGCAGAATTTGAAGTTTTTGCACTTGAAACCTACTTATACATGATGTGTACTTTCAAACTTTTTGGTCTGAAATTGAACTCAATTTCACTATTTTATCACGTTTCCCAGTTCCAAAGGAATGAAAATTATATGTAAAGAAAACGTTAAAACTTTTTGGTGCCTTCTATGACACTTCACTGTCAATCCAAAACCCTTGAACTTAAGACTTTTTCATTTGAAAATCCATCAATATTTCTAATGGTTGCAAAATAAATTTGAATGTGAAAAATTAAAAAATATTTTTTTTTAAGTGACGTAATGAAAATTTCAAATAAAATTTAATTTAGCAAAAATAAAAAATCTAAGAACAATAAGAAAAATATCAATTATTACATAAATAAAAATATGAAATTTTTATAAGATGTAAATTATTTGAAACCCATAAGACGTACGTATTTGATGAACCTTTTATTGAATGCGCTTGATCAAAGCGTTACTTTTATTGTATCAGTGAGCACGAATATAATCTAATAACTGGTTCGTTCTGCTATTAGATGAACCAGCCGCATCGAAAGAAATTTTTCAATCAAATTTTAAAGTTTTGTGCTCGTAAACTTATTTTTAATCAAAGTGCTTTTTATTAAAAAGTGTTTCGAGGAAATAATAACAAATACATATAGAGATGATAATTCTTATTCGTATTATAACATCTTAATAAAAGAATAACTTATTACATATTTGCAATTTAGTAAGTCAGATTTAACCTGTCAAAAAATTATTATTATTTAATTTTCAAAATTTAGAAGTATTATAATAATAAATTAATTTGCTTTTATACTTTTGTATCATTACTCTAAAATTTCAGTTACAAAAATTTTTAATTTAAGTAAAAGCAAGGACCAAAAAAAAATTTAATATCATTACTAAACTAATCAATTGACTATATCTTTTCTATTCAGACTCTAGTAAAGTCCTTAGCTACTCAAATTCAATTCAATTAAGATGAGTTATAACAATAACAATTATCCACCTCCAAACTATCCACCTTCAGACCAACCAAATTATAATCAACAACAACAAGATAATACATATCATGTACAACCAGATATGGAAAGAATAAATAATGATTATAATCATAATAAAACAGATGAAAAATATCCTCAACAATCACAAGATTTTGATCAAAGTTTTAAAATTGAAAAACCAAGATTTAATGATTGGTATTTTACCATATTTTTTTTATTAGTGCTTGGTGGATTTATTGCAGTTGCTGGTATAGTTTTAAATGCTTTAAGAAGTACTTATGGTGATCAAGGTTCTGGGATTTATGGATCTTCCGATTCTTTTACAATGAATAGAAATACTGTGATATTATTTGCATTTGTTTTAGTTTTATCAATTGTTTTCGCAGCTTTAGGAATTTTATTTGTAAGAGCATTTGCTAAAACTTTCATCATTGTTGCTTGTATTTTGAATGTTATAATGTCAATTGGTACTGCTATATTTTATTTTGTTGAGCATTATTATAGTGCAGCTATTGTCTTTTTGATATTTGGTTTATTTGCAGCTTATTGTTATTGGAGAGCAAGGAGTAGAATTCCTTTAAGTGCAACAATTTTAAGAATAGTAATTGATGTTATGAGACATTATCCATCAACTTTAGTTACAGCTTTTATTGGGTTAGTTATAAGTGCTGGGTTTGGTGCTTTATTTAGTGCTGTGATTGTTGGTACTTATGTTAAATATCAGCCAAATGCTGATAATACCGGATGTCAAGTTGGTGGTGGATCATGTAGTAATTCAAAATTAATTGGTATATTGGTGTTTGTATTTTTTGCAGGTTACTATATTTCAGAAGTTATTAAAAACACTATTCATGTTGTTATTAGTGGTATTTATGGAACTTGGTATTATCTCAGTAATAGTGATCAAGGTGCACCAAAACATCCTGCTTTATCAGCTTTTAAAAGAGCAATTACTTATTGTTTTGGAAGTATTTGTATGGGTTCATTACTTGAAGCTATAATTCAATTAATTAGACAACTTATAAACATCGCTAGATCACAAGTTGATTCATTAGCTGGTCAATGTGGTTTAATAATCTTAAATTTTATTGTTGGAATTATTGATTGGTTAGTTCAATATTTCAATAAATATGCTTATTGTTACGTTGCACTTTATGGTAAACCGTATGTTAGATCAGCCAAAGATACATTTGATTTATTCAGATTCAAAGGTATGGACGTTTTAGTAAACGATATGTTTATAAATGTTGCATTAAATTTCTATTCATTATTTGTTGCTTATTTAAGTTCATTATTAGCTTACTTATATTTAAAATTCACAAAACCAGGTTATAATTCAGATGGTGGTTATTATGCACCAGTAGTTGCTTTTACATTTTTAATTTCAATGCAAATTTCTCGTATAACTTTAAGTGTTATAACTTCAGGAGTAGCTACATTTATGGTTTGTTTAGCTAAAGATCCTGAAGTTTTACAAATGTCTCAAAGAGATGAATTATTTAATGAAATTCAAAGAAATTATCCCCAAGTTTATGAAAAAATCACAAGTAATCATTAAACTATAAAAAAAAGGCTATTTGATAATCACTAATTTTTAATTTAATATACATTTGTTTTATTGTAATTGTTTCGACTTAGCTCATCCAGAATGAATCAATAACGTGAATAATTTACGACCCATGGATTGGTAGCAGAATTTATTTGCGGCTTGATTAGTTTCGTAATTTGACAACTAAAAATATCTAACTCTAGTATTCTCCGATTAATACCACTCCAAATTTGATCACTCAACTACAACATGTTGACATTGGCAATTGGTGACTTATTCATACCAGAAAGATCAATAGATCTACCACCAAAGTTTAAAAAACTATTAGCACCTCAACCAAATAATTATCCAACAAACAACAAAATAAATAAAGTAATATGTTTAGGCAATATAGTAAATTCAACCAGAACACTAAAATTTCTTTATGATATATCCCCTCAATTTGAAATCATAAAGGGAGAATTTGACAATCCAAACACTATATCTCAACAATTACAATTTATAGCTGCTGAAAGAAACAAAAAACCCCACACCATAAAAATACCAATGTACAACAAATTCAATCATGATAATTTGAAAATAGGATATACAAACGGGTATCAAATAGTACCAAGAGGTGATCCATTACAATTGAGTGCAGTAGCCAGAGAATTGGATGTTGATATTTTGATATGGGGTGGAACTCATAGAGTTGAAGCTTATACTTTGGATGGGAAATTTTTCATAAATCCTGGTAGTGCAACTGGTGCTTTTAGTTTGGATTGGCCAGAATTAGATGAAGAAGATGAGGAAGAAGAAGAAAAAGATACAAAAGATAAAGATGATAAGGAAGAAGATGCCAAAGAGGAGGTAGAAAAAAAAGGAGAGTCAAACGAAGAACAAAAAGAAGAATTAAAAAATGACAAAGAAGAATCTGGGAAAGAAGAAGAGTCAAAAGCTGCAGATGATAAAGATATCCTTTATGAAGTAACAGAATTAAATACAAATATTCCATCATTTTGTCTACTAGATACTAATGGATCAACATGTATATTGTACATTTATACATATTTCAATAACGAAGTAAAAGTAGATAAAGTTACATATACAAAAGAATAAAACTCAAAAAAAATTAATAAAAATGATATAATGATAAAGTAATTAATCAAGCTTGTACAGAACTATAATGTAATACAAATTCTTTTCTAATTTTTTCCCAATTATGAGGATCAAAAAATATATATACACCTTTTTCAACATCTTGACCAATCAATATAGGTTCAACATTACTATCTTTTGTTAACCATACTTGAATATCTTTATGATATCTCCAATTTCTTGCAACTAATTCTCTTGCTGCATATTCTTGTAATGTATCTCTTGGTTTCATATAAAAAATATAAAATAATGTTTCATCTGTAAATGATTGGATTTTTGATTCAGTATTTGTACTTGAAGTTATATCAAAATTTGAATTTTTTATTGATTTACTTTGTAAATATTTTGGAATATGAAAATAAGGTTCAACTTCACTTCGAGAAGTTTCAGACCATGGACTTGATAAATTTTTTAAAATTTCAACATCTGTAGATAAATCTAAACCACATTTACTTATATCTTGACCTATTGCAAAACTTGTAAAATCTGATTGTTCCATTCTTACTAATGATGATAGTCCTTGTAATCCATATTTACCTAATTCATCAGATTCATTCGGTAGACTTGATTGTGTTTGGGGTTGATGTGAGTGTTGTGTGCTATTTGTCGTCGTCGGTATCGAGCTCGTACTTGTTATAGTCATTTCCTTTTTTATTACTAATAATTGTTTGGTGTTGATTAAATTAATTTTGGTGTTTTGTATTTTAAATTTTTTTTTCTTTTTTTGTAACTTAATTGTTTCAAGATTATATCTTTTTACAACTTTTCATTAAATTAGTATAGTTATAGCAATAACCAAAAACATGTCAAGAAGATTCGAACCAAATATTATAATAACAGGAACACCAGGGTGTGGAAAATCCTCTCATTCACAATCATTAGTAGATCAATTAAATCAAGACCTCAAAGACTTAACTACACATTTTAAACATCTTAATATAAGTGAAATTGCAAAAGAGAAAGATTGTATTGAATCATATGATAAAAAATTAGATACTCATATAATTGATGAAGATAAATTATTGGATACTTTAGAAGAAGATTTGAGGAAAGGTGGTATAGTAATAGATTGGCATTGTTGTGAGATTTTTCCCGAAAGGTTAATTGATTTAGTTATTGTTTTGCGATGTGATAATAGTAAATTATATGATAGATTATCTAAAAGAAACTACAAGGATAATAAAATACAAGAGAATTTAGATTGTGAAATAATGGATGTTATTATAAATGAAGCTAAGTCAAGTTATATACAAGATATTGTAATTGAGTTAAGAAGTGATGAAGTTTCAGAAATGGAAGAGAATGTAGATAGGATTTTCTCGTGGGTTAAAAATTGGTTAATTGATCATCCTAAAGGTGTAAGTAATGAATTACCAGAAATAAATTCAAACGGAGATGTAATAAATGATAACGATGAAGATGATGAAGATGAGGAATTTGAAGATCAAGATGAAGAATTTATAAGTCACACAAAAAGTGATTATCAAGATGATCCAGAAGATATAGATGATGATGAAGTAGAAGATCCAGTGATAAATGTAAAAAATGATCCAGCAGAAGTTGAAGAAGGATTAACAGATGAACAGAAATATGAATTAGAACAAGGACAACAAGAAGAAAACGAAGAGTATTTGGATGATGAAGAAGAAACTAATAATGCAATGGAACATGATGAAGATGTAGCTGAATAAAACAGAAACATTCACAAATTTATTGTCTTTATATACACATATACATTAGAAATTCAATACACCATTATTTTTTATTATAAACACCACCATCTTCAAATAAATCAACAAATTTCTGAACTTTACCAACTTTAATAAATTTAAACTTCTTATTTTGCTTTATATAAGTAGGAACAACAGAAGAATCAGAATTATACGCATATTCCAACCCATATTTTTCATCAGTATTTATCATTGATACAGAATGACTTGATGACATTCTTGAAATAGATTTTCTTTCTTTTGTTGGTGAAAACAGTTGTAATGAATGTTGATTTGTTAATTTACTTTCTTTTGGATCTGTGAATTCAAATTTGTAAGATTGTGAGTCTTTTATTGGGGATGATGAAATTAATTTTTTAGGTGAGTTTCTTATCTCAACATCATCGAAATAGTTGTCATCATCATCATTTTCCTCAAATGATACTTCAATCAAATCATCTAAATGAATATGAAGATCTGTTGGGGTTATTGGTGATTGTCTTGAAGAATGAGTTATAGAAACTGCTTGTTGTTGTTCTTCTTCTCCCAGTGATATTTTAATTTCTTCAGTTATTAAATGTTCATCATCATCATCATTATGTCTTAGGTTACTTAAATTATTTATAAAAATATTTGATTTCAAATTAAATGATTTTTCTTCAATTGAAACATCACTAAATCTTCTTTTAAATTCATCAATTAATGTTTCATTTGAAATTAATGAATCAATTTTATAATTTTCATATTCATCACTACTAATTTCATCATATTCTAAAGTTGAGTCACTCATGTCTAATAATATATTGTGATTATCGTTTTGATCATTCTCCTTGTTTAAATCTTCTGATAGGGTTTTGTAAATGTATAAAATGTAATTTTTCAAATCTTGTATAATATTACTATTATGTAGATCAAAACTTTTCAAAATTTGATATTGTTCATCATCTTCAAATTCTAGTTCTTCTTCGTCAATTTGATCTATAACCAACTTGAATTTAATAATAAAAGTATCATTTGTAGTTAATGCATAAGGATAAATTTGTTTATTAACTTTAATCTTTTCAGTAATTATATCTTTTAAATAATTTGAACTTTGATAATTTTGTCGTATTATAAGTTGGTTACTTAAATAATTTGAATTATTTGTTGATGATTGTACAATTGAAATCATTTTTTTATTTAAACTTGTAATTAAATTAGTTGAACCTCTTGAAACTAATGAATTTAAATTTAGATTTAGCGAGATTTGACACTTCTTATTTGTATTTTTATATTTTGACTTTATTATTGAATATACTAAATTAGCTAATTTTTTGGGTATATCTGAAGAATGAATGAAATTTGGCTTAATTTTTTCATTTGATTCCATTATACGTGATTGTTGATTATCGAATTTAAAAGTCATTTTAGGTTTGGTTCGTAAGTGATAACAATAACAAAATGTTATAAATATTATGACCCTATAAATTTTCAATATATTATTATTATTAACTTTGATTTAATTTTCAACAAGATTGTTGTATATGAATAATTGTGATAATAATTAAATATTATAAAATGGGTTGTCTTGACAACAAGGGGGAAGAATCAATAAAAAAAAAATTTAGTTTCGTGGTTGTAGTAATGAAATGTTTCTTAAAGCATAAAAATTTTTATTCGCTTGAAGTAGCAGGAATATACTTGGACTTTCAAATTCAAAGCAGTTGATGATTGATATATAATTTGATCTTTTGATATTTAGATAATGATATAGATATTAGATAGTATTGTGTTAATACAAAATTTGATTGTACTACTTTCTTTTTTATTTTTTTTTTAACATGAAGAATTTGTTTATTTATTTTTTTTTATTTTGTATTTTTGTTTATTCTTATTAAGTGAATTTTCAAAACAAACTGGAGCTACCAAATACAATCAATTAAAAAAATCATTTAATATTTACACAGACGTATCTATTGATGGTAATTGATCTGATTATATTTTTTATATAATTGATTAATAATAATGTCATCTTATTATTTTGTTATAATAGGAACACAAGATAATCCAATATATGAAACAGAATTATCATCATCATCTTCAAAAAATTCTAATTTATCAAATTCATCATCATCAAATTCATCAATAATTAATACTACATCAACAACAAATTCATCAATTAATAATAGTAGTAATACATCATCGACTGCTAATAATTTAAATCAGTCGAATTTTCCAACATCAACAAGAGAAATATTACCATTTATTGCAAATGCAAGTTTAGATTTAATAGAAGATCAAATGTGGTCAACTCAATTATTAAACTTGGGGAAAATAGATCAATTTTATAGTATATTTATAAATGCTTATTTAACTCAAGGTAATATAAAATTTATATTATGTCATAATAATACTACAAAAGATGAAAATTCAATAAAACTGTTTTTCCAAGATATTAATGAATTGTATGTTAAAGTACTAATGAATCCCTTTTATAATTTAAATGATTCTATATTAGTACCTGATTTTGATAATAAGATTAAATTATTAGCTAAAAAATATTTATAGAAGAAAAGGATATGCATTAATTAAAGGAGACTATATACAATTAAAGAATTATCAAAGATTATTTAGATTCTTCTTCAGATGGAGGATTTTCCAAAACTTTACCAGTTTCAATTTTATAATTTCCATTACCTTCATCAACTATTATTCCTTGTGATTTTAAAGTATCAAACATATCTTGTGGAATCCAACCACCAGTTGCATTAAAAGGAGAAGAAATAGTTTCTAATTGATAATCACTTAATTGTGATTGATGATTATCTAAATAATTTTCATCATATTCAATTGGGAAATTTGAATCTTTAGTATTTACTAATTCATTAGCAACATATGATTCCCACATTGCTTGTAATTGAATTATTGAACCTTCAATATATAAATAATCTTTTGGATTTTTCAATTCTAAAGCTTGTAAATATGGAGATCTTAAAATTTTTATATGAGGAGATGCAACAGCAATTAAATTATGTTTATTTTTATTTAATTCCATTTCCCAAATTCTTTCATTTCTGGTTTTAAAATACATGAATTCATATTGTTGTTTTTCCATGGGATCCATCTTGTCAAAATCTGGTATATCTTCTTGTAAATTATAAATTTTGGCTCCATTATAAGCTATGAAATTTGGATAATTGTTTAATATGAATGGTTTTATTGTTGAATTTTCAAAATCAATGAAATAGTATTGATTAGTTGGTGTTTCAATTACATTTAATGGATCTAAATCTGGGATATATAATCTTGGTTTAAATAAATCTTCGACATTTTTTATAGATTTTGAATGTGAATTTATCAAGGATGGAGTTATTTTCTTGAGATGTTCAAAAGTTTTGATTTGATTTTGTAATATTTCTTTGGATTCTTTTATATCTCCACCTGATTTAGATTCTAATAATGATAATTTATTTCTGGCATTTTCTAATTCAATATCAGATACTGATTCCATTAAATTTATTGGATTTGAAGCATCCCAAGGTCCATTATATTGATCTATAACTTTGCTAGATAACAAATTTTTATCCTTTGTAAACACTTTTTCAACACTTGGTCCAATTCTCCATCTATCTTTGAATTCTTCATTTGATTCATTGTCATAACATAATTTAGATTGTAAACTTGGTTCAACATCATTATAGAAATACAAGGACCCAAATTGATTAAAAGTAATATTTAAAATATCATCTTGAAATTTCGCAATTGGTACAATTACTTTTTTCAAGTTTTCCTCAGATTCTGGAGAATCTGGATCTAATGGATGCCATTTTTTCATTAATAAATCACCATCAATAAATTCTTGTAATATAAAAGGTGATTCTAATTTATTAGTCTTGTTAGTTCCATAAGCCAATACTTTAGGAACTTTTAAATTCAATTTTAAGTTTAAGAAATCACTTGTTGCTACTTCACTTTTGATTTTGGAAGATATTGAATTATCAGAATCTAATTTATATGGAATTCTTAATACTAGATTTTTACCTGTATTTAAAGTAATTTTATAAATTCTATGATGTTTTCCTTCATGAATTGATGCAATTGATTTTACAACTAATTTATCACTCGTTTCTCCCAATGTCTCTTTGGTTAAATTATTTTCTAAAATGAATAACCCATCTTTTTCAATCGGTTGTGAAAGTTTTACATTTTCTTTTATATGTAAATCATGGAAAAATGAAGATAATCCTTCAATTGAAAATTTAGTTTGACGTTGTTGCTTTTTCAATTTATCATTTTGTAACCATGAACCCCAAGTATATTGAAAAAATTGATTTCTTTGAGGATCTTTTGAATCTGATAATTTTGTAAAAACTTCTTTTGGTTGTGATGCTGAAGGTCCTTCTGTTGCAAATTGTCTAGAAAACAATGAGGTGACTCTTGAAGTTCTGGCAATTGAACTTGATCTTGCTTTCAAACCGTTTCTAGCAATCCTTGATAACATCTTGAGCTAATTCAATTGGGTTGTAAAAAAAGTTGCAACCAAAACTTAGATTTTCTATTTGAATCTGAAGAATAGAGAAATAAAGAAAAAAAAAACTAGAAGGTACAAAATGTAGTGGCTATCACGTGAATAATCACATGACTCAAAACTTAATCATCTATTTGAATACTATTACTATTACTATTAATACTATTTGGATAAATTGAGGTTTGATGTAAACTTATTATACTTGCATTATTACTATCATAAGATTTATTTTCATCAGGTATTACTTCATTACTTTTCTCTTGATTATTATAATCTAGTATTGAATCATTATCTTCTAATTGTTGTTGACTTAATTGAGATTTTGATATAGGTTGATGTAAATATTGTTGTTGATTATTATTATTAATTAAATTTGTTGTATATTGATTTAAATGATTATTTCGATATAATCTTCTACCTTCTATACCATCTTTTGTTGCAGTAGTTGATAAACATGAAGTAGTAGAATTTTGAGATAATGGTCTTAAAAATGGATCATTCATAAATAAACTTGTATTTGTTTGCTGATCAATTGATGAATTATCATCTATTATTAGATTTGAATTTATTTGTTCTTGATCATCTTCATCATTATATTCATCATTTAATAGGTTGTTCTGATAACTTGAATTAGTAGATACTAATGATATATTTGTTGTTTCAACAAATTTTGAATCCTTTATTGGTTTTGTGAATTTTGATTGTTCCAAATTTTTTAAATTTTGTTCCGTTATTTCATTAGGATTAGATCTCAAAGATTGTTCAACTTGATTCATTTTATTAATGGTTTTGTTAATTTTAGATTTGTTATAATTAGACATCTAGTATTGAGTAATATATAAACTTTATATAAATTTGAGATGAAAATAAATACTTTATATGTTGAAGTTATGTAACATTTACATTGGATTTTTATAGCAAGTAACAATAATAATAAACTTATAATAAGATTAAAAAAATTTTTATTCTATTATAATAAGTCAAACGTTACTTAAATATAAATTAATATAATAAATTTTAATTACAGTAAGAAATCATTAACAAAACTTGGTAACAAAGTGAAATTACCGAAATTCTATAAAGATTTATGAATCTATATCATTAATTAATCAATTAATAAGTTACAAGATAAAAAATCAATTTGAAACAATAGAAAAAAAAAAAAAAAAATTCAGCAAATAAAAAATAAAAAATTTATGTTTCATCACCCCACATAATAATTTTATTGTTAACAGTACTGTATATAACCTGCTTTATTACTACTTTGGTACCTTAAAAAGTTTACTATATACACTACTAATTTGTCTTAAAAAATGTACAATTACAATCATTACAATTATTACTATTATTTAAAAATTTATCAATTAATCTTATCAATTCTCTTTCTGGTTTTTTCAACTTTCAAATCCATACATATATTGACTATCAATAAATAAATCAACAGAATGAACATTTAAAATTTCATGATAAGAACTTGAAGCACCTAATAATTCTTTTGATAAATTATCCATATCTGTTGTATGACCATCAGTTAATGTAATTTCTAATAATTTATTTTCAATTTTTTTAAATACTTCTGAACATTTTTTAGCAACTACCCAATCACTACCAAAAGCTTGAAAAATTTCTATACAATAACATATTTCAGTTTTAGATTCCATTAAATCTATTGCCCATTGACATAAACAATATAATATAGTTGTACAAACCATTAAGAATCTATATAATGTTGTCCAATTTAATGGTAATGATTTTGATTTAAATAATTTATATGTAGATGATAAAGTTTGTAAACATGCTTTACCTAAAGTATCTAATATATTTTGCAGTGGATGAGGATTTAAATATGATGGTCTATATAATAGGATTAATAAATGATTATATCTTGCAGTAAACCATGGAATTGAAGCTCTAAAAGCTAATGATTGTTTTGGTTTTTGTATTGTATGTTCCAATTCATTTGCTTTTTCATGCCAATTTTCAATTTCATCTCTTAATTCTTTTAATACATTTTCACAATATTCTTCCTTAGTAGTGTTTGAATTTTGGAATCTCTTACTCATATTTACCGAATGAACTTTTCTTAATATTTGACCTTCAATTTGTCTTAAATGTATAACTAATCTATAAGTGGTTATATCATCTAATTCCTCATCATCCAAAGTTTCTGGTAATGGTAAATTTATATCATCATCATGTAATGCAACTGGTCTACCTAATGTAACTGAAGTTAATCTATCTATAGTATAAACTGACCATAATAATCTTGTTCTCATTTCAACTTGTCTAACACTTAAAGTATCAGCTTCTTGTTTTGATAACGTTTGATTCAAACCTAAATGAATAGCCATTCTTGCTAATTTACCAGCAATTTCCCATGATATAAATTCAGCAGGATTGAAAAATGAATATAATGCTAAAAGCATTAAATTTTTCATACTTTTTAAATCATTTTTTGAAATATTATTATGTACACTCGTTAAAGCCATTGATACAAAATATTCTGATATTCTTTTATCTCTTGTTATAATACCTGATCTTTCTAAATGTATTGATCCAATAGCTAGTACCATATATAATACATATTGATCATCAAATTCCTCTAAAGAAGCAATACCAGTTCTTGAATCAAATAAATTATTAAATTTTATCATAAATTCATTTTTATTTATAACTGGACATATTCTATATGTGTGCATAAAAAATGCATTCATTATTCTGGTTAATAATACTTGATCAACTATTGGTGGAATTATACTAACATTTGAATTTGTTTTTATACCAACTGCTCCATACAATACTTTCGAAATTTGTTTGGGGTAAGCATCAAAATTTGGAGCTCTTGCATCTATTGAATTTAATGTTGGAGGGGGAGTCGGGAGAACACTGAATTGTGATTGTTGAGACTGGTGTGACTGCTGAGATTCGTGAGAAAGTTGTTGAGGCTGTTGTTCTTGCTGCTGCTGCTGCTGCTGCTGCTGCTGCTGCTGCTGCTGTTGTTGTTGTTGTCGCTGATGTTGTTCTAGCTGCTGATGTTGCTGTTGCTGTTGAGATTGTAAAGGTGGAGGTATTGACTGTTGAGTTAAAGTAGATCTTGTATCCGAATGTAGTGGTTCAATATTACCATAAGTTAAAGGGAAATTATTAAATTGTTGAGTAAATCTATTTGGTGGAGATTGATCAGTATTATTATTCATGATTGAATTTTCCAGCATACTAGGACTAGCAGTATCAAAACTTATGGTTGGAGAATTTGAACTTAATATAGGGTGTTGTTGCATATTTGAAACACCAATTGAATTATTATTGTGACTCGTATTATTATTTTGATGTTTTTCCTTTTTTGTCATCCTTGGTTTCCTAGGAATATATAGACATTCTTCACCTGCTTTATCACAGTTTGTACATTCTGGTTTTGTCTTGCTACATTTTTTCTTTAATTTCCTACACCTTAAACAACTTGTTAATTTCAATTCTTCTTTTACATCTTCTGAAAATGAATCTGATGTACCATTTGATAATGAATGTTTTTTAACTCTGAATTTGGTGATTGTTGGATCATTTGACATTGTCGGATTAATTGTTGACACTGTTATTCTCCAAAATAAAAACAAGAAATAAATGTATAAATATGATCTATAAATTATTTTTATTATAATCGGAATTATCATCGGAGTCTGATTGGTAGTTGCGGAATTATAATAAATTCATTTTATAATATCGCTATTCCATAATACTTTATTATATATTGAGAATCTAACTTACGATTATTTTTTGTCAAAATATTCTTGTTTCACCAACTCCTCAAAGTGACTGTTTCTAATGACCAAAGATCAGCCAAGATATGAAAGGATAGCTATAATAGGAGGTGGACCGGGTGGATTGGCAGCAGCAAAAGGTTTAGCATTAGAACCAATTGAATTTCAAACTATTGATTTATATGAAAGAAGAGATAAATTAGGTGGTCTTTGGTATCATAATGGAGATAAAAACCTAATCCATCCACCAATTCCCAATTCAGACCCAGATTGTCATGAAATTGTTGATAATGGTGCAACTGATGAAGATATTTATTTTTCTGCAATTTACAAGTATATGGAAACTAATATAATTCATAGATTAATGCAATATAGTGAACTACCTTATCCTCCGAAAACTGCAACTTTCCCAAAAAGACAGGTAGTGTATAAATACCTTCAAGATTATGTTGAAACCATACCTGATAAAGTAAACGTCAATTTAAACTCCGAAGTTTTAGAATTGAAGAAGAAAAATGATGAATGGGAGTTAAAAACTAAAGACAATACCAAATACTATGATGCTGTAATTATAGCGAATGGACATTTCAACGCACCATTTATACCAGAAGTAAAAGGGTTGGAAACTTGGAATTCCAAAAAACCCGATACCATATTGCACTCAAAGAATTTTCAAGATCCAAATTCATTCAGAGATAAAACTGTTTTAGTCATTGGTAATGCAGCAAGTGGTGTTGACATTTCTACACAAATTAGTACAGTTGCCAAAAAGACGATAGTTTCAGTACGTGACTTATCAAACAAAGGTTTTGAAAATGAGTTGGTGAAATATATTGGGATAATAGAAGAGTACGATTATAAAAATTCATCAGTTAAAACAAAAGATGAAGTTGTTGAAGACATTGATTACGTCATTTTCTGTACTGGATATCTTTATACTATTCCGTTTTTGAAACCAAACACTGATATAATAACAAATGGACGTCAAATTCATAACATCTATAAACAAATATTCAACATTTATGATCCATCACTATCATTTATGATAATAATGCAACAAATCTTACCATTAATATTAGCAGAATCTCAACTGGCTTTAATTGCAAGAGTATATAGTGGTAGATACGATTTACCTAGTACTGAAGAAATGTTAAAATCCTACCAAAAGGAATTAAAAGAGAGAGGAGAAGGATCAAATTTTCATACATTTGGGTATCCAAAAGATTGTGAGTATGGAGAAATGCTACAAGCACTCATTGATAATAAAAATTTAAGACATCCTGGATTAGTCGCACCAATTTGGGATAACCAACTTGTTGAAGATAGGCTGCAAAGTAAAGATATCAAAAATAAAAGATTAGAAGAATTAGTGGAACATGTTAAAAAACTAAGATCTGAAGGGAAGGATTTTGTATTATTGGATCATTAGTTAAAAACTCAAAATCACATGGTAGCCATAAATTTTGGTGATCTTTTTTTGTGGGGGTTTAAATACATATAATTTTTTTATTTTTGCAACACATTTTGAAACACTTTTATGACAGATAACAAACATTTAAATTTCAGATATAAAGCAACATTTCCTCTTTTTTTTTTTCCCAAAACTTTTTTATGAATGCAAGTTCAGATTGAAAAACAAGCAGTTACACAACAACAATCACAAGCTTTAATACATGAATTAATTAGTGTTTCCATCAATTGTATTACATTTTTAAGAAATATTTTCAATGATGATAATTATATAGATACAAAATATTATGGGGATAGAGAAATTAAATCAAATTATATAAGAACTAAAAAATTAATACCTGGAGTTACTGAGTTGGGTAATCAAATGATCAAATATATTGAAGAAGGTGTTAAAGATGCAATTGAAAAAAGTTATTTAAAAGCTATTCAATTTACAATCAAAACTCCTAAAAATGATGAATTCACCGTTGCAGAAAGTTATGTATTTGGGATAGATTATAAAACAAATCAAGTTACATTATCGAATGGATTTTCACAAGATAGTAACTTTTCAACAAAAATATTAGATCATGATGAAATTATATGTCAAATACAAAATATGATTAGAAAATTGATCTTATTAACCCAATCATTTGATTTACTTTCAAAGAAAAAAGAGATTTCAATAAAATTATTATTCAATAATACCTGTCCAAAAGATTATCAGCCACCTCATTTTCATGATGCATCGGATTTACCTCCAACTACTATTAAAATTAATGATGACGGTAACTCGAATGATTTAGGTTTAATCAGTACTGGAAGACATAATGTTCAACTTAATGTATTTGTTGAAAGCAGAGAAGAAGAAAATAATGAAAACTCAAGGCTTTTTGATCCATTTGATATTTTTGATACCGATGTTGATGGTGATATAGATTTTGATCAAGCAAAACCATTGGAAGATATACCAGCATCATCATTAAGATTGGACAGCTATCTTAACTCAAATATGGATCAAGATACTGGAATCACTCAATACTTATCCAAGAGTGCAAATGTTACAACTGCTAGCTCATTTGGTTGTAAAAAATGTTTCAAAGAACTAAATCATATTGAATATGGGTATATAATTCCAGCTAGAAAAAGTATTATTTGTTACGATTGTTTATTTCCAGATGGTAATAGAAATGTACAATTGTTAATCAAAATCAGAATATTATGGAATTACCTTTTGAATAATGAATTCCCAAATGATTTTTTGAAAGTTTTGAATTTGTCTTTAAATAATGATCAACAATTAATCAAGACAATTTTTAATTGGTTTTTCAAATACTCAATTCTAATGACTGTGAATAGAGCTCAAATTGAAGTAGATTCATCAAGTTATGTAAAAGGTTGTGGTACATTCACTCCAATGATTGATGGTATAATTGATCAAAATGGATCAATATTAAAAAAAGAATTAATGTATTTTATTGCTTTCATACCAGTTTTGAAAGAGAGAAAACCATTTTATAATTACGATTCAAATATTGATCAATTAGTATTTCCAAATTATAAATATCCTCAACTTAACTATATAAAATCTCAATTAAATAAGATTGAAAGTCAAACAAGAGAAATTAGACCAAGATCAAATACAATCATACCTGATTCTCAACCATCTTATGGAACTATATTCCCAATAGTTGAAAATAGAATGAAAACAATTGCAGAAATTACAGAATGTAGTGATGAAAGTGATGAAAATGAAATAACCAAAGTAGTTGATAATTCAATTAATTTACCAATGGAGAAATTATCTTTTGCTGATTCATTAGAATATTTATCTCAAGGAACTTTAAAAGAAGATGAAAATATTTTTAAAAAAAGAAAAATTGATGAACCTATTTGTGAAGAAAGCGGTGGTAAAAGAAGAAAAATTAGTGCTAATAATTAAATACTAAATATGATATAGAATATAATAAAGTTGAATTAGAATGAACCTTCTTTTCTCTACATCTCCTCTGAATAATATCTGCGCTAAAAAATTGGAGTTCCACAATTCGAAGTAATTTCTAATAAAGAAATCTTTATAATGAACAAACCGGCTTGTCAGGTGAAATACATCAACTAATTTAATTATCCTCAAACGATCTGAATTTGAAATTAGAAGAATCCTAAAAAGCATTTTGGGGGTATAAAAAAAAAATTCCAGAATTCTTTTATTCAATGCTTCCACCGAGGTTCGAACTCGGGTCGTAAGATAGCCCTCGAATAAACCCGTGAAGGTTTTATCGTATGAGACTTAAATTCTGCCACTAAACTATGGAAGCTACGGAAACATTAGAACGATATTTAGCTACTTGGACAAATAACTAAAATCTAGCAAATTTATGCTTAGAAAATATAAGTTGCAAGTTTTGATGTATGGTTTTAAGATAGTACTTATTAAAAACCGCCCCAGGATTTAGGTGGCTTATAGGGGTAATTGAGGGCTTTATGGGGCTGCACAAATTCAAGGATAAGAGTTCAAGAGCTTTTACAAGGTTATGTTGACCCGAATTAAAAGCTAGTATACATTATTTCTAATTATGTTACATAAATTTCTTTGACCTTTTTTGTAATCCACCTCTACCTCTCATTATAGGTAAACTATCATTATAATTAATATTATTAATGTTTGAATTATAATTACTATTCATTCCCATTTTTTCATTCTTTCTCATCATTTGTTGAATAGGAGCAGGAGTTTGATGATTTGTATTATATATGAAATCATCATTTATATTTAATCCACTACCGTTATTTCCACCGTAAGAAAATTCATCATTTCTTGAAGAGTTCATAGAGCTTATACTTTCATGACGTCCACTGTTTGATCTATGGATTGGGATTGGTTTTGATGATGATAATTGTAAGATTTTATTGTTTTTCTCTTCTAGTAGTTTTTCATATTTGATTAAAATTGTTTGGAACTCTTGAATCTTCTTGTCGTAGTTAATTGTGAATGATGATAAATTGTCATTTAATGATAATTTCGATTTTGATAATTTTAATTCATATTGTTTGATCATTTCATCGTATTTGTTCTCAATGTTTCTGTTTTCTTGAATTAAATTATTTAATTTCTCATTCACAATTTGTAGTTGGACTTTGTAATCAAATATTTGTTTCTCAAATTCTGAGGTATCAGTTTGTTCTTTTATTACTTTTGTTTCGATAATTGGTTCTTGATCTTGAGCAGTTGCTAAATTTGTTTTCAATGTTTCTATTATAAAATCTTTGTCGGGTATTATTTCTTCAACCATTATTTTGTAATTTTGAGCTTCTAGTTCAGTTTGTTTCTTAAAATTTGATAGTTCTTGGACCAGATCTGCATTTTGTTTTTGTAGACTTTCAATTTTTTCAATTAAAATATTCCTTTGTTTTATATATTCTTCATTAATCTTTAAATTTTCTTCTCTCAATTGTGTAATGATCAAGTTTAACTCTCTATTAAAATTCTCTGGAACTTCGTCAATATTTTTTTGACTATTCTTAAGGTAATAAAATTTATTTAAGTGTTTCATATAACTTGAAAATTCTAATTCATTTTTAAACAATAATAGCTCTCTCTGATAAAAATCAATTGCTCCATTCATGTCTGGTAAACTAGTTTGAGATTTATCGCCACTTGTAATTGTATCACTCGTGGAAAATTCCTTAGATAAACTTGAAGAATCCACGTTGGTTGTAGGTGAGGATAAAGGTCTAGCTAATGTAATTTCTGATTTTTTCTCATCAACTATTTCACCCGGATTATGTCTTGAAGTAAATAATTTTTCATGATCAAATAATAATTCATTTAATGGATCAAACTCTTTAACTTTATGTGATTCTGGACTTGACGGTATACTATCTAATTTATTATTGAATTTAAAATCTTTGAATTTGATATCATCTTCGATTACTAAGTTAGTGGGTATAATTGATAATTTTCTAGCTAAAATTTGTTTTGTTGGACCATTAGCTTGCATATACATTGGACCTGCCAATGATGATGATCTTGATAATTTATCAATCGTTGAAACTGAATTCTTCTTTTGTACTGGTTTAATCATAATGTTTGGATTTAAACTCAAGCAGCTAATAGCAACATCTTCCGGAGATGTGTTATTCTTGATCCAACTAGTTGGGGTTGCAAGTTCGTCATCCTCTTTCAAAAATACTTTTGGATGTAGTAGAAATGTTTCTAGTATATGGGATATGAATGTTCTTGTGTTATCTTCAATATACGGCAATAGTGGTTTAGGTTGTAGTATTTGAGGTTGATTTTTAGTCAAGTATTCAGCTGGTGATTGAGTAAATTTAGTAATATTGAAAAAGAATAATCCATAAAGTAATGTGATTAAATGTTGAGAATCAAAATGATTCACAACTCCATTTTTAATTAATTTTTCTCCAAAATGTTGTGAGTTTACTGCGGAAGAATTATCAATTGCTTTCAATTCGGCCCAGCTTATGATTCGTGTGCATAATAAAAATAAATCTGAGACGTATCTACCTAAGTCTTTAGCTACTTGTGGAATTATCATTAATAGGTTAGTTAAAGCTGAATTTACTGAAACTTCATCAGTATCTTCAGCTATTATTTTGACCAAATCTTGAAATATTTGATAATTAATAATCTCTGGCTTGTTTTGCTGAGCAATAAAATCACCGAATAAAATTAATGTTTCATTTTTGTATTCTGGAATATGTAAACAATCACTCAAAAGTTCACATAATTCTTTGGTATGTTTTTCACCAAATTGTTTTAGTAGTTTTGCACAATTTGATTTAATGAACCTAATTCTTTCGTGATACGCTTGATTATTTCTTTGATCCATCTCAATTTTTAGGTTCAACTTTTCATGCATTACTTTCTCATCTAAGTATATATCAAGGATAGTTTTAGCAATAGATTTTGCATAATTCAATCTAAGCTTATTTAATTTTTCATCATTTGAATTTATATATTCAGTAGTCAAATGCTTTAAAAATTCTCTTGATTTTTCAACAAATTTTAAATCAAATCCTGCACTATCAACAGATGGCTTTAAATAAGTATGAACCCAAACATCTAATTCAATCTTATTGAAAATCCCACAAACTTGAGTTAAAATATCTAAAAATTTGTACTCTCTTTCTATATCTTCAGATGGTTTATTATATTCATTATAAATTTTATATAATTCATCATTTATTATAGTTGATTGTTGTATAATTGTATATTCATTATGTTTTTCAATATATTGATTTATAATATTTGTTATATCTTTATCTTCTGTAAAAACTGTCTCTAATGCCCGCGAAAGGGATCGAGATGATCCCAGCATAAACTGGTTTTGATATTACTTTTTGGTTGCAAAGAAATTGAAATATTTTTTAACTAAAGACTAAAAAAAAAAAAAGAAATGAAATATTATAAAAACAGTTTTTGTTTAATAGAAAAACGAGAATTATATTAGACAACCAAATAAATTTAATAAATTTATCTACTATTATTAATGACTACTTACTTAGATATTATAAATCAAGTAGACTCATTCAAAGATCCTAGTCCATACTATATATTACTAGATCATGAAGGTAAAACAGAATTGGGTTATATAACTCCTGAAATTGCAAATTTATTCAAATTAGAATCATCATTTATAGTGAAAGATAAGCTAATTCAAATTGATCCACAATATGATACAATTGATAAACGAAATAAATTATTTGAAGAAATTGCCAATAAATGGAGAAAATTACCTGAACTAGATGAACTATTAAATAAAGGTTGGAGAAATGAATTATATATTGTTTATAATCCATCAACAAAACCATATGTTTTAATTGAAAGAGCATTTAGTGTATTATTAGGTGTTGTAACTTATGGAGTTCATATAAATGGTTATATACCTGCTGAATTATCATCAAATGGTAAAATAAAATTATGGATTCCTAAAAGATCAATGACAAAACCAACATATCCAGGAATGTTAGACAATACAGTAGCAGGAGGATTAGGATATCCTCATGGATTAGAAACAACAGTAATAAAAGAATGTTTTGAAGAAGCTGGATTAAATGAACAATTTGTTAAAAAAAATATAAAAAATGTTGGTGTTGTATCATATATGTATTTAACTAAAGATAAAAGAGTTCAACCAGAAGTTGAATATATTTATGATTTAGAATTTAAAGAAAAAGATTCAATTCTAATACAACCACAAGATGGTGAAGCTGAAGATTTTAAGTTAATGGATATTGATGAAGTACTCGCTGAATTAAAAAATAAAAAATTTAAACCAAATTGTGGATTAATTATTATAGATTTCTTAATAAGGCATGGTTTAATTAATGCAGAGAATGAATCGAATTATTTAGAAATTGTTAGTAGATGTCATGTTAAAATGCCATTTCCAACAAGATAAAATTGAACAATAAATAGATTTATAGAGTTTAATTTAGATTACAGTACGTAGAATGATAATTTAATATTAGATGACTACTAAATTTTGAAAGATCCTTCGGTTATATTAAACTAAATTTGTTATTAGATTTATTGTTTTAGACTAATATTTCGTAAAATTTAATACATTTTACATTTAGACATAATTTACAAAAGATGATCTGCTTAAAAAAAATAAACTAAAATTGCAAAAAAACAAAAACTCCGAAAGAGAAATGTAATTTAATTTACTTCGTTGAATAATTTCGAGACTATTAATACTTCAAAGATTTTTCAAAACATGAAAAGCAAAGTAAATATGATTGTGATTTATTAAAAATTATGATCAATACAAATATTTAATGTTTATAACAAAAAAATATTAAAAACGTAATAATTCTGTATATAATTCGGTTGTTAAAAAGAAAGTAAAAAATTATTTATTACCGTAATTTTAATTAAATGTGGGGAAAGATCTGAGAATGCATAATAAAAATAAAAAATAATTATGAAATAATAAAATGGAAAAATAATAAGATGGAAAATAAAAATTATGAATTATTTAATTCATTTGAAATAAGACAATTTTTTGATATTATTTTTTAGGAAAAACAAGAGATCTTAACACTAATATTCCTTATCATTTTAGAGTTGTCAAATAAAGTTTTCAATTGATCTTAAAATCTTTTATAAATAATTTAAATTTTCTTCGTTTTTGAAGTGTTTCAAATTCCTAAATTTTTAAAATTTTTTAATTTTCTTTTATCGTAACGAGATTCTTATTGTCAAATTCATTGTAACATCATCAATCATCACAAATAATTAACAATGGTGGCTACTTTATTTAATGAAACTCCTGAACATATCAGTAGTTTAATTCAAAATATTCCTCTGGTTGAATATTTTGCAAATTCAAAACCAATTCCAGATTCAGAATTACCTGGATATTCATCAATTTATAGAAATTCAACTAGTGATACATTATTAGAAAGTTTACATCCAAGTATTACAACTTTACATGATAGTTTTGAAATTGCCTCTTCACTTTATGCTAAAAATCAATGTTTAGGTAAAAGGATAAAATTAGATGATGGTTCATTTGGTAATTATCAATTTCAAACATTTCAAGAAATTAAACAAAGAAGAAATAATTTAGGTTCAGGAATTTATTTTATATTAGAAAATAATCCTTATAGAAATGAAAATCATAAAAATTTAAATTATAATGCGACTAATTCAGATTCATTTATTTTAACTATATTTTCTCATAATAGACCAGAATGGGCTTTAACTGATATAACTTGTGCATCTTATGGTATAACATCAACTGCTTTATATGATACATTGGGAAGTGACACAAGTAGCTATATCTTAAAATTAACTGAATCACCAATTGTTATATGTAGTAAAGAAAAAATCAAATCATTAATTGAATTGAAACAAAAACATGATTTATTGAATTTAATAACTATTGTATCTATGGATTCATTAGAAAATGATGAACAATTAAAAGAACTAGCTCATTCGGCTAAAATTTCATTGTTTGATTTGAATCATGTTGAAAAATTAGGTGAAGTTAATCCTTTAGCACCAATTGCTCCGAAACCTGAAAGTTTATTCACAATTTCTTTTACTAGTGGAACTACAGGTAGTGTACCAAAAGGAGTAGCATTAACTCATGCTAATTTAGTTGCAAGTATTGGTGGTCATTTATGTGTTTTGGGATACGCCCCAAATAGATGTCATTACAGTTTTTTACCTTTAGCTCATATTTATGAGAGAGTTTTATTACAAGTTGCTTTAATTCTGGGTATTAAAATAGGTTATCCTCAGGGCCCATCTCCATTAACTTTATTAGATGATATTAAAGTTTTACAACCGACTTTCTTATGTTTAGTTCCAAGAGTTTTAACAAAATTAGAAGCTGCTATAAAAGCTCAAACTATTAATGGTGATTCATATATAAGTGGATTATTTAAAAGAGCAATTGAGTATAAATTAAAACATCATACAAAAAATTTCCAAAATCCACCTCATATAATTTATGATAGATTATTAAATATCTTGAGAAGAAAAATAGGTATGGGAAATGTTGAATTTCTTGTATGTGGTTCAGCTCCAATAAGTTCAGAAACTGTTAAATTTTTAAGTGCTGCATTAAATTTACAAAAAGGTTTATTTAATGGGTATGGAATGACTGAAACAACTTCTGGTGTTAGTGCATGTGTTGGTAATTCTTTAATTGTATCAGTTGGTGCTATATCAAGTACTTGTGAAATAAAATTAATGGATTTACCAGAAATGAATTACACTTCAAAAGATGCTGAAGGCCCAAGAGGTGAATTATTAATTAGAGGCACACCAATTTTCAAATATTACTACAAAAACCCAGAAGAGACTGCTAAGTCATTTGATGAAGATGGTTGGTTTCACACAGGTGACGTTGGTTATATAAATCCAAATGATGGTTATAGATTGTCAATAATTGATAGAGCTAAAAATTTCTATAAATTATCTCAAGGAGAATATGTAAGTCCTGAAAAAATAGAAACGGTTTATTTATCACAATTTCCATATATTCAACAATTATTTGTTCATGGTGATTCAAATAATAATTTTTTGGTTGCAATTGTTGGATTAGATCCAAATATTCAAGAATATATATCACAAAAACTTGGAGAAAATATCAATCAAGATGAAGCAATTTTAAAATTTATAAATAGTAATAAGAAACAATTTTTAAAAGATATGAATGATTCAATAGCTAAAGTTGGATTACAAGGATTTGAAAAAATTCAAAACTTAAAAGTTTATTTTGAACCTTTAACAATTGATAGAAATGTTATTACTCCAACCTTAAAAATCAAAAGACCAATAGCTGCTACATTTTTCAAAGATGATATTGATGAAATGTATAGAGAAGGTAAACTTTTAAATAATGGTAACTTGTAAGTTGAAAAAAATCGGGGTTGTTTGGTAGCATCTTTTGTAACAAAATATTTATTCTTTTAATATAATATTATTTATGCATATAATAAATTGAGACTCGTATTTTTTAAAGCTCTTGTAGTTACATATTACTTCTTCATTTTACAACACTACAAAAATTTATCAATCAATCCAACAACAATGTCACTACCAAGAGAAACAATACTAGAAGCACTAGATGATAAACAAATAGAATCATCAAATATAAATGAAGAATTATTAATGATGATAAGAGATGAATTCAAAACACAAGTTGATTTGAAATTATTAACAAATTTTAGTAAATTCATATTCATAGTTAAAAAATCATATCTCATAGTACCTATTTTAAATTTATATACTGTTGATTATCCTATAATTAATTCAAATGAAGTTATCGAATTTGAAGATTTTTTACAGTATTATAAATATACTGCGTTCAACTTAACTCAATTAATATTAGATGATTCAACTTTCAAATCACAAGCTAGTTTATTCAACAAGATCTATTACAAATTAATAGGTGGAAACGAACCAACCAAAAACGATGATAGTCAACCAGGTACTTCAACTTCAAATGAACCTACTACAACTACAACCACAATTAATGAAGATTTAATTAACAACCAAACATATCAAGCATTAGCTAAATCAGTTAAAGATTTAAGTAATAGAAAGCCAAAACCACAACAAGTCTCACAAGATACAAAAATTAAAATTAAATATAAAAACCTTTACTTAAAATTAACTAAATTATTTGAAAATTCAGGACTAAATAATTTCCCATTAGAATTTTTACAATCATCTTTTAATTTATCTAAAGATGTACCACAACTAAAAGATGAAATTAATTTAATATTTGCTGGTCAAAATAAAATTAATTTTGAAATTACTGATGAAAATGTTTTAATTTTAAGTCATAATGTTGAATTAAGAAGTTTTGATGATTTATTGAAAACTCAATTGGAAATTGCTAAATTAAACCAAGCTTTGAAAGATATTTTAGTTTAGATGAATCCCTATATAAAATTTTATGGCTTTGTTTTAACTCAATACTTCTTGATGAAGTTGATCATCCATTAATACATATTCAGATAAGCGCATATGGTAAACGCGTGGTTCTATTCAAATCAATTGCATCATTTTATGATCTCTGTTACTAATTACTCCAAGTAACTATCCCAATGCACCTAATGGTTCTTGTTTCAATAGTATAAGTTGTTCGCTTATATATTCTATCAATTGAATTGATCGATTGCGCTTTCAATTTTTAAATTAATGCGCAAAAAATTATCTAAATAAATTTTAAGGATGAGGCTTTTTAATTTTATTTGATTTTTTAGATAAAATTAATTTGATGAAAAACGGACTAAGTTATATTCTGAATTTTACACCCATATTTGTTTTGAGTTTTTTTTTTTTTGAACTTGATTTTCAGTCGTATTAATAGTACCCTTGAATCTTAATAACTGTGAATAACACTTCGAGTTAATCATAAATTTGATTGTAATATCTAATATTAGATCTTTAATATGAATAGAAGTAAATGATTACATTTTCGGTAACATTTACTATTTTTTCTTAGAAAAAAAAGAAATTAAATAATTAAAATAAATCGTAATTGATTATTTTTTTGAACTTTTAATATTATAAATTTTTACTATTATACATCAATTTTTATTCGTATTTTTTTACAACCATTTATCAATTCAACATATTTTTAACCAAATATAAATAAGTTTCAACACTTTTGTACTACTAGATATATCGCTATATGCTCATTATTTAGTTTAACATCCTTGTCATAATCATAATGGCTAAAGAAGTAAATCAAATACAAAGAAGAAGACATACAAATTCAAAATTAGGATGTTTAAATTGTAAAAGAAAAAAAATAAGATGTGATGAAACATTACCAAGTTGTAAAAATTGTTTAAAAGGTAAAAAGGATTCATGTTCATATTTAGATTTATCAATTGAGGAAATTGAAAAAATTAAAATTACACATTCTTTAAGAAATAGTCAAAATAAATTATTGAATTCAAATTATAGATTACCAACAAATAAAAATTTAATTATTACAAAGAAATTAAAATCATTAAATGGTTCATCACAATCAGCATTATCAGATCCATCTGATGCATCATTCACGGGGAAAAGTGTATTAGAATTCAAGTTTGAATTATCTCATCTACCTATTCGTATACCATCAATTATCTATCCACCTTTACAGTATAATAATTTATCAATGCAAAATTTTTCAAATGAATTCAAAGTTATAAATGATTTTGATATGGATGATTATGATGACTCAAGTAGTCAAAAGAATATTTTACCAAATGGGTTTGAACATAAAGTATCATTTTATAAATTTGATAAAAAATCATTTAAAAAGAAAAAAAGATTTGCTTTGGAGTTCAAACGTCATGTTGTAATTGGAGAAAGTGATTTATTAGATTTTATTAGTGATATACTATTGTTTAACAATCATCCAAATATTTTAAACGAAAGTATTCACTTATTAGGTGAAACAATAATAAATAATCATTTCAAACATTCAAAATCGGAATACAATATTAATAGAGATGAAAATATTTCAAAACAATTCAATAGATGTTCGTCAATTTTAAATTCAAGACTAAATGTTAAAAACGATGATCCAATTACCAATTATACTGCATATATAATATTTTTTACGGTTGTGATGATGAAAGGTAGTTATGAACATTATGTAAATTCATTTATCTCAATTTTCAGATATTTTAAATTGAATTATCATAAAAACAATTGTATGACTGAATTTTTAAGGATTTGTTTACAATATAATGTAATGAGTATTCATGTACCATCTTATAATCCGCAATTTTTATTTGAAATTGAATCAAATTTAAGAAGTTTAGAATTTCTATTCAATACATCAATACCAAGCAAAAGATTTTCAAGTCCAACAAAATTAAAGTTTGAAAATTTAAAGTTACAATACTCGATCTTAATGCAATTTTTAAGAGAAAAAGTCTTAAATATTGTCTTCACGAAAAGAGATGAAAATTTAGTTACAACTTATCCACCACAATTAATATATGAAGTATTTAAAGAATGGCACACTATTTGCCCTTCTTTTGCAATGGCATTCAAACCAAAGATAGACACATCAAATTATGATGAATCAGTCTTTATAAATGACTTATCAACTACATTGTATACATATTATTTGGCCATCGCAGCTGCCTTAGACGCTGTCTTCCCAGCTTGTAAATATTTATACAGTTCAAATTTTATACTTCCGACAATAGGATGTTTTGAGGATAAAGATAATTTAACAGTATCAAAATATAATCCATATACTCAACAATTAATCAACTATGAAATTTTACAACGTCATATAATGTATTCATCGAGATTATATTCATTTTTTAAAAGAAGATTTATATTCTATCATAATAACATAAATTGGAGAAATTATTATCATGAAGTCAGATCTAATAAATTATTAACAAGAAAAATTACCAATGTAAAAGAAGTTCCAATTAATAGCTTTAATACAACAATAATAAGACCAGAGCATTATCCAACGAAATCAAATGATAAAAAAACAGATTTTAAATTCATTGAATTTAATAGATTAGATGATTCCATACTACAAAACCTCTACGCTAGAAATATCGAAACTTTAAATATTTTCAATGTTTCCAATTTATTACAATATGATTATGAAAGTATGTTATTATTAAAAGATTATAGAGCTTTTGATGATGAGATAAAAGTAACTGATAAAAAATTAGATTTAAAAACTTTGAATGATTATTATGAAGATAAATTATTCTTATTGAATAACTGAATTAATGATGAAAGTAAAATAAACGCGTTAATGTTTGCATAAAATGAATTATTTGTAGTGACTGTAGATGAAATAATGCATTTTGCCTGCATATATTAATTTGATGTCTCTGTTTGATTTTGATTTTGATATTTATCTTTTTTTTTTTTCTTTCTACAATATTCTTCTTAATCAATAATCATCAATATCAAAACCCAAATATGTCATTGAAATTACCACAAGCACCTAATTCAGGATTATTCAAAAGCGGGTATTCATCTTACTCAAATGCAGATGGTGCAATTATAAGAAATGTTGAAGCAGTTAGAGAAATTGCATCAATATTATTAACATCAATGGGACCAAGTGGTAGGAACAAAATCATAGTAAATAAATTAGGTAAAAAATTTATAACAAATGATGCAGCAACTATGTTGAATGAATTGGAGATTGTTCATCCAGTAGTTAAAATCTTAATCATGGCATCAAAACAGCAAGAATTTGAAATGGGTGATAATACAAATTTAGTTATAATATTAACTGGAGAATTTTTAAATATTGCTGAAAAATTACTTATATTAGGTTTAAATGTTTCAGAAATTATTCAAGGTTTTAATTTAGCTAATAAATTTGTAATGGAAACTTTAAAAAATTTAGTAGTTGATAAAGTTGAGAATTTCGAAAATGATTTATTAAAAGCTATAAAGCCAGTCATATCTGCAAAACAATTTGGAGTTGAAGATATTATTTCAAAGTTGGTGGTTGATGCTGTAAAATTGATAATAAATCCTAAGAATCCTTTAAGTTTTAATGTTGATGGTATAAGAGTTGTAAAAATTATGGGTTCTTCATTATCACAATCACAGGTTGTTAAAGGTATGGTTTTCCCAAGAGAACCTGAAGGTTCAACAAAACATGCTAACGATTCAAAAGTAGTTGTATTCACGTGTCCAATTGATATCTCAACCACAGAAACTAAGGGGACTGTATTATTACATAATGCTCAAGAAATGCTTGATTTCACAAAGGGAGAAGAACAACAATTGGATCAAATGTGCAAAGAAATAAATGATTCAGGTGTTAAAGTAGTTGTAGCAGGTTCAAACGTTGGAGAATTAGCATTACATTATTTAAATAAATATGGGATATTAGTATTAAAAGTTCCATCCAAATTTGATTTAAGAAGAATTTGTCAAGTATGTGGAGCAACTCCATTACCAAGATTAGGTGCACCAATGCCTGAAGAAATGGGTGAAATTGATGTTGTTGAAACTAAAGAAATAGGTGGTGATAGAGTAACAATTTTTAAACAAACTAATTCAAGTTCAAGAACTGCAACTATAGTAATAAGAGGTGCTACACAAAATAATTTAGATGATATTGAAAGGGCAATAGATGATGGAGTAAGTGCTATAAAGGGTTTATTGAAAGATCCAAGATTATTACCTGGAGCTGGAGCAGTTGAAATAGAATTAATGAAACGTATAACTCAATATGGAGAAACAACTCCTGGTTTATTACAACTAGCTATCAAGAATTTTGCAAAAGCATTTGAAGTTGTACCAAGAGTATTAGCAGAAACTTCCGGTTTTGATTCTTCAGAAATTATAAGTAAATTACATGCTGCACATTCAGAAGATGATGGTTTAAAAAAAGGTTTAGATATAGAAACTGGTGAAATAAAAGATACTGATATTTATGATATATATGAAACTAAAAAATCAGCAATAGATTTAGCTGTTGAAGCAACAAATACTATATTATCAATAGATCAAATTATAATGGCTAAAAGAGCAGGAGGTCCAGTGATGCCAAAGCAACCAAGACCTGGTAATTGGGATCAAGATGATTAAATTTAATTAGTGTATATACATGTATTAATTATCTATATCAATTCGTTTACCTACATTTATAAATTTAGTTATTTTATTCAAGTCTTTTGAACCATTAGTTTCAACACCTCCACTTACATCATAACCTAGAATATTTTTAATATTCTTTGTGTCCTTTAAATTCTCATCATTTAATCCACCAGCTAGTATTGCTTTAGTGAATGTCAAATTCTTGTCAATATAATCCCAGTCAATAGTTTTACCTTCTCCACCTTCTTCTGAATCTAATAAAGGCAAACTTAGTATTCTTTCGTTCATTATATACTCACTATCCTCTTTCAACGTTTCTAGATCTTTTGGTAGTACGTATCTTTTAATAACCCCAAATTTTGGATTTAAATAATCTTTAATATTTTCATTACCATGTAATTGTATAAAATCCAATTTTAGATCATCAGCAATTTTAAATACTTCTTCAGGTGACTGATTCTTGAAAACACCAACTAAAAAAGGCTCATTTTCAATTATAATCTCTTTAACAAATTCAAAATACTCAATAGGAGACTCAGATTTCTTACTTGCTTTAAGTTCTTGAATTATAGTTATTAATGACTTTGGTCTACCATGATTAACAAATTTTGAGATTTCTTTTGCAATCTTATGATCTGTTGTTCTTGCTTTGTTAGGTACTAGTATGCATCCTATTAAATCAGCTCCATGAATTGTGGCTATTTCTGCTGCTTCTATTGTTTTAACTCCACATATCTTAACTAACTTCATAGTATATTAACTTATTAAAAAGAATTTATTCTTTAAATATTTGATTCTGCATCAAAATCTAATATAAGATAATACTGCTGATTGTAAAATTTCACTCATGATCATTTGGTAGCCAGAGAAAAAGTATCAATAAATTCAAAAACTAAAAATAAAAATTTACTTTTCAATATATCTATAAGGTGCATTTTCTAGCGCGAACGGTAACGTTGTGTAATTGAAAGTTCCCTAATGTGTTGTTATACCATACATGTTTGCTTATACAAAATTCAAGGTAATGATTGTTTCAGCCTGATCTAATAATTCATCAGATTTCAATTCCCAAGGTTGCTACTTTTAATAAAAATGCTTTGAGTTATTGTATTCATCCTTTTTATGACAAGTCTGGTCTTGATGACGGATGACTTATATCACAGAAGATATGCTTGCACCATGAATTTCCATTTCGAAGTCTATGCAAGTGCAGTTTGCTATCCATTTTTATATAAGAATAGTTTTGCTACTATATATAAAGTTTCAATACAAATTGGTTCATTATCTTTGAAGTATTTGTATGTTCAAAATACAAAAGGTATTAGAGGGTATTCAATGTCTTTTTGAAATTAATTTTTCAAGAAGATGTATGCTTTTTATTCAACAATATCCAACTTTCACTGTTTTGCATAAACATTTCAGGAAAGAGAGAAGTTTACCTTTAAAAATGTTTTGTATATCAGACTCACTTAATACGATTATATTAGCATCGCCTATTGAGTAATCATGGAGGGTACCGTGAAATAAATAATTGAATAAGTCAATCCAGCTTTGGATGTGTGTATGTGGGCTTTCATTTTTATTATATTCATTTTGCGATAGAGTTAGGACCGGAAATTGTAATGTTTTTGTTCCTTAACTTGTTCAAAGATAATAACATTTTGATTGATTAATTCAGGACTCATACTTTTTGCATGAACTTGGAATTTGCATTAGCGAATAATCAATTTTTTTCACTAATTAATGTATATTTTGTATGATGTATTTTGTTAAAAAAGAACAAGGTTCTTATTGTAGTTTGGACTCTACATGAAAATTATTAATCAGGATTGCTTCTCTTTATTATTCTCTATACTTCGAAAAATCCACCTCTTTAAAATAACAATTACATGAGTGACGGTGAAACAAAAACAACAATAAGAAAAAGTAGAAATTGTGCTTATTCAAAATTTTGCAGCATTGATAAAATTAAGGTAATTGACAAAAATTGATTCTTATTCTTCGTTTAATTAAGACTTTGAATAAAAAAATGAGTGTTTGGCAGACTTGATATGTTTCCATTTAATTTTATTTTTTCAAATTTTAGTATTGAATAAGTGTCCTTTTGATTTCATCAATTCGATGTGCTTTCCAGTCAACATGTTGTTTGAAATTTTGCAAAGAAAGTCCAATAAACGAATGTGTCCGCTTACTTTTTGGCAACTATTCTACAGTTTGAGACAAGTCGTTTTAGTGAGAAAGTCAATTCAGAGTAGACTAGTGATATCTTGATCACAAAGTGACAGTGTGGAAACCCTTGAAAATAATGTATGTTTTAAATATTGTAACAACGTCTTTTGTATTTTGATCCAACTCTACATCGCACGAGCTAAAGTAAGTACAGGGTCCAAACCAACATCATTTATTGAACTTACTGACTAGTTATTAATAAATAATAAATAACCTTATTAGTATTTAATCATGTTTAAAACTTCGATACAAAATAAAATTCGGGGGTAAAAAAACACATGTGTAAAAATTAAAAACTATAAATTGCCTGCGATTCTCCTCTTTTCTGTTCAAGAATAATTTTGACTTTTTTTTTTATACATATTTAACATTCGATCGTGACTTAAAATAATGCCTAGTTCTACTTTATGTTTCCTAGTGTTCCGGTTGATTGATATCTTTTAGATACAAAAAATGGATCAAAATATAAATTAATTTGTTTAGTCAATTTAAGTTGAACATTTTTGAAATCTTGAATCAAAATGTGGAGCTTTTGGAATAAACCCAATAATGAAGGATGATGTACCATGGAATCCTTTTACTAAATATTGAGGCGTATATCCCGTACGAGAATTGCATTAAAGGAAAACTAATCAAAAAGGGGCATTGTTTCAGCCTAGTTCATTTACATAAAATGGATTGTTGATTCTGTAAAGGTTGAAACTATTGTCTCAAAATTGCTTTGATTTATTTTCTTTAGAAATGGTTTGAAACTCTGATATGTCCTTTCAGATTGTCCATTACTTTGTGGATGATATGTGCGTGTGAAATGTTCGAAATCTAGTATATAGACTTAATGTATGAATTTGTATGATGTATTTGTTTTTAATTCAGAGTAAGAATCAGATTGTAGACTGGTCTCTAAATAGTATTCCAGTACGAAGAATGTTTATTTTACCTCAATTTCTATAAATTAACCTATAAACATTCTATTTAATTTTTTCATCTTTCATCTTTTCTAAAAAATTTACCAAAATTTTTAAAATTTTCATTAAATTTATTAACATGAGTTTCACCAGTCATTGCTAAATCTCTTATATTTTTTTCAAATTGATTCATTTTAGGTAATAAATTGGGTGATTTAATTTCAGGTGATGAAATTCTTGTTGATGATGTATGTATAATTGGTTTTGGTGTTGGTGTAGATGTAATCATTGAAGATTCTAACATTTCTTCATCTTCTAAATTATTTAATAAATGATTAATATGATGATTGTTGGAGATTTGATCAGTGGTATTTTCTATTGATAATTGTAATTTGAAATTTTCAATATATTTGAATTGATCATTTTTGTTAATCTTCTTTAGGTTTAATAATTTTGTAAAATTATTTATTGATTTTCCTTCAATTAATTCAAAATATGATTCTATGTAGTTTTCAATTGGGGTTGTGTTTGGAATCATCAAGACTTTGATAATTGATTCGAGTTCATGAAAATGATTGTTTACATATTTGGTGTATGATTTTGTTATTTCCTTCTGACCTAAATTTGGTAAGTTCAAACACAAATCTTTTAACGATATAATGTCTAATAAGATTTGTTCAAGATTTATAACATTTGAAATCTTTATGAACTTCAAGTTGTTCAATATTGTAGTAACCAACAACTCCACTAGTTTATCATTGAAATTTCTTATATAACTATCCCTTATAATTAATGGTAAAATCATTTTCAAATTATCCGAGGTAATTCTCTTCAAATCAGTCATATATGAAGAAACATCCGATACATTATCCAAATTTTCCCAATCAATATTGAAAAATTCTCTCCAACAAGATTTATAATCATTTGTTAATTTCACCAATAAGCCAGAAACAGATTTTTGAATCAATTGTGCAAAAATTTCTGAATTCAATTGTGGTAAAAAATCTTTATAATTTGATGATATAATAATTTGAAATTTTTCATTCAATTCTTCGATATTACTAACCATATAATCTGAAGTATTCAATAGCATTGTTAGATATTTTATAGACTCAATACCCGAGATATCATCATTATTTCTTGGTAAAATTGGTAATAAAATTTTATTTACATACTCAAATAAATACTTATTGAATAATCTTGCAAGATTTATTAATATTTCTCCATTTGATAATTTTAAAATTTGAGATAAGATCTTATGAAAAGTCTTGAATAATTCAGTTGAAGTTACTGCAACATTTGGAATGTTTGCATTAATGTCCTTTGCCAATTCTGCAGGTAATTGTGAAACTGACGAAAATTCCAAAATTTTAGAATTTAACAATTTTTCTTGTTCCTGGACCCAGATTGATAAATATGGTTCAAAAATCGATGATATATTAAAATTGTTATTTGGATAATTTGAATTTAAATTTTTCTCAAATTCTATTGTCTTTGTAAGATTATCTAGTAATGTTGAAGATTCAATGTTTTTATTTCTCAAACTTGTTTGTAAATCAATTTTTGTAAGCTTTATAAATTCTTGAATGATTTGTGTGAAGATATTCCAATCATCAGGAAATATTGTTAATGATTTGATTTGATCCAAGATTTTATTGAAAAATATAAACCTTCTTCCTAAATTTTCAATGGATCCTGCTTCGTCTGACTGACTGAAGATATTTTTCAAGTCTTTCAAAGTTTGATTATTAAACCAATTTATTAATTTGACTTTATTCTTTTTATCAATAAGTTCCAAAATCTTTGCACCATAAAGTAAATTCTCACTTTTCTTTGAATTTTCCAGTTTGGTTTTGAAAAATTCTTCAAAATCCATAAATATATCATCAATCAATTTATTTTGAGTATATATGATCATTAAATTAATCTGGTTTATCAAATCAATTGATTTGTATGGTTGGAAAAATGCCAATAACTCTTTAATTGCACCCAATCTTTTGTATATTTCTTGATAATTTCTAGTCGATATAATGTCTTTTAGTTCATTATTTAATTTTATTAGTATTTGTAACTTTTTGAATATATTCATTGATAGTATTAAATTTCTTTTAGCAGAATCCAACTTTTGTATAGATGAAGTCATTGATGAGATTGAAGTTTTAGTTAGTTGAGAACTTTGTTTTACATCTTTTATATTACCAATTAATTGACTTATATCTTGATTTAAATTTGTTGTTGAATCATATTTTGACAGTAGATTATCAATTTCTTTTGTTAAATTTAATTTATATTGATGTATATGGGATAATACCTGTGGTATATGATTTAATGTATCCGGAGAATCAAAAATTTGATTCAAATGAGTGTTAGGGTCATAATCATATGAATTCATTATTAAATTGATGATAATGTATGGTCTTATGACAACAAAATTGTACTTGACATATTTCGAAACTATCTTTTTTTTCCTCTGTTATCAAATTTTGTGTTGCTCCAAATTAGTGAATGAAATTACCAAGGTTCGACTTGACTCAGTGACAGACTTTACGAGAACTTTCGTCGACACCGGTTTAGTATTTAATTCTTATATGAGAACCAAGTTTAAAATAACAAAAAGGTTTAATCAATATATTAAAACTTAAAACTTACATATCAAAAATTTGAACATCTTTCTTGTACTCAAGAATAAAACGAGGAAGTAATACAGAGAAGCTAAAACTTTTAATACCGATTTATATAGCTAATGTATTGAGAATAAACGTTTTTATTTTGATTGAAACCTAAGTTTAAAAATGTTGCAAAAGCTTCTTGTTCTTTTTTTCTTTTAGATATAAATAAAAAATTGTTTTGCAACCAAAAATTAATTACTTTTAATGATTCGTGATTGCACCAACATTTAAAAAAAGATTAATTTGAATAAACAATTGAACATGTTTTGTTCAGTGCCTGCTTGTAAAATAAGATGAGTAAGATGTTATTTTACTGAATCTTTTGGTATTCGTGTAAAGCCAATTGACTATAGATATTGCATTTAATCAATTCTTCAAGCAAAATAGAATAAAGTCTATCTTAATGCTCTTTTTCTCTAACTCGGTTGGGTCATTGATGAGGTATTACTAAACAGCTAGAAATAATCTAGTAAGCATTAAAATTAATAAAGCGTACTGCGATTGAAGAAAATTGACTCAAATTATGATACAAAGCTTAAAAACAAGGTAAATTAGAAAGATAAATCAGAAACTTTAATAATTTATTCTACATGACTAATTTTTTCAAAATCTAGAATGATAGTAATTACTCTTTTGTTGAAAATCGAATAATCTTGAAACAAATTGAATAATTTTAAAGATTAATAAAATTTATCAATGTATAAATAGAAAAAGCGAGAATCAAAAGAGAAACAAAAAATGTCAAATCTCCGAATGTGGGGTAAAAATTTGTATGTTTAAAATAAATCTCAATTTAATTAAAAATGTAAATAAAATCTTGTGAAAATTTAACTAATCGATGGAATAAATATTTGTTTAATTGTCAAAACTCTTTTTAATATAATTCAAATAAAATAGATCTCGTCTAAATCATCAAATATACTCCTTCCAATGATGATATTAATATTTGAGTTATAGTTTTGATTTTGTGCCATTTTTGACAGTTTTTTTCAGCTTTTTAAAGAATTGTCTAGATTTATATTGCAATTTAATGCAATTTTAAAGTCAACCCATAATCTTGTCAATAGTATCTTTTTTTAGCAGATTTGATCACTTTAATTTTTTGTAATACTTTTAGTCAGTTCGACTAGTTTATATGGCACAAATAATATTATTGTTACAAATTATTTAAAGTTTTAACATAATTTATCATTCTTACACAAAGCAGTCGAAGTAAAATTAATAGCTTCCTAATAAAGTAATTAAATGTTTTAGTTTGTACATTTTATAATTTTATTTTACAACTTAAATTAATTCAAAAATCGGTCATAGGCTTATTCTTTAGTGTCTGTTGCAAACATATAGGTCAAGAGCAGATATTGTTAGGCATAAGTAGAATGCATTCATTTTTATTACATTGATTATTCAAATGAACCCTTTAATTACCTTAATTAATTATACGAAATTTAAAAATAAAATAGGTAAATCGTAAATATTTTTAGGTGGTATTTCCTCCTTAAAATCAACAATATTCAAAATTTGTATTACTGGACCAATAAATTTTAAGTTGATGTAGATTTAATACATTTAATCAGTTTATCTATGAAAAACTACCTCAACAAATACATGAAACATAAAAAGATCTACCTTAATAAAAGAATGCTTTGTCAATCACTTGTTAATATATTAAAATTATACATATTAAATTTAATCACAATTTGAAATTTCTTTATTTGGTTAATACATTTCTTGAAACAATAAAGAATGTTTTATTAAAATTTATATTTAATTAACAAAAATTTTTATATCATAATCTAATTTAAAGTAGTAACTATTATTACCAATTGACATTGGACCCCTTGTATTACTTAATTAGGTTTGTTTGAATTATTCACTTCATTACAGAAAATAGTAAAAATTTGATGTTAAAACTCAAAATTTATCAAGTCCATTAAGTATTATTGGAAATTTACAGTGAAACTCTTTAGATTCATGGCGTAAATACGATAAAATTCAATCAACTATCAAAAGTATCAAACGTATCGGTTTGGTGACGTAGACTATGATACTTTTTGATTGATAAGAATATTAGATATTATTAAGTATAAAATTTAATTTAATGTAGGGAAACTACAAATAATAATATAAATTAGAAGTTATTAGTTAATTTTAATTTTATTTTACTTGTAACTTACAATACACAAATTAACTTTTTAATTTTTATTAATTTTTTTATTGTTTTATTTTAATTTTTTTAATTTTCATCCAATTTTTTTTATTTTCATCCAATTTTTTTTTTTTTTTTTTGACAACCAATTCACAAATTATATTAAACAAAGAGAATAATAAATAATAATTGATATAAAGTTAAATTACTTAAATTTACATCATTAATTTATAACTCAAAATTGGATTATCATCACATCTATATTATCAAATATATATTATATATATATATTTTCCAATTTAAGAAAGTTGTATTTAATTAATTTTTAGATTTTTATTAAATTTTTTTCTTCATTAAAATTTTCTTTTTGAATTTTTATATTAATGGCTAGATTTAAGTTTGGCAAAAAGAAGTTAGAAGAATCATCAACATCATCAACATCATCACCTAATTCAATTGAAAAAACTAAATCAAAAAGATTATCAATAAATAGTCAAGCTTCACCTTCAACAACAAATTCATCATCAAAAAGAAAATCTAATAGATTCTCAATATTAAATTCACCTCCACAATCTCCAAGAATTAAAAATAAACATTCAGGTATTAATCATTTAAATAATAGACATTCATTAACTGACGAAGAAGATTACGATACTGACGAATATCCTCAAAATAAAAAAATGCCATCAATTCAAGAACCAATACAACATAATCATCATTATGGTGGGGTAGAATCATTACCTTATAAATCCCGTGCTCCTCCTAATTTAAATGTAACAAATCCTTGGAATAGATTTAAAATATTTGATTCACCATTTCCAAGATATAGACATGCAGCATCTTCAATTTCTAGTGAAAAAAATGAAATTTTTATAATGGGTGGGTTAAAAGATGGTTCAGTATTTGGTGATACTTGGAAAATTACTCCTCAAGAAAGTAATGATGGAGAAGTTTTAAATTATATTGCTGAAAATATTGAAATTGTGAATAATAATAATCCACCAGCAAGAGTTGGTCATTCATCAGTATTATGTGGTAATGCATTTATAATATATGGTGGTGATACTGTTGAGACTGATTCTCATGGATTTCCTGATAATAATTTTTATTTATTTAATATAAATAATCATAAATATACTATACCATCACATATTTTGAATAAACCAAATGGTAGATATGGTCATACAATTGGAGTTATTTCATTAAATAATTCTTCATCAAGATTATATTTATTCGGTGGTCAATTAGAAAATGATGTATTCAATGATTTATATTATTTTGAATTAAATTCATTTAAATCTCAAAAGGCAACTTGGAATTTAGTTGATCCATTAAATAATTTTAAACCTCCTCCATTAACTAATCATTCAATGTCAGTATACAAGAATAAAATTTATATATTTGGTGGTGTATACAATAACGAAAAAGTTTCAAATGATTTATGGGTATTTGATGTTGAAGAAGAAAAATGGCAACAAGTCAATACAAGTGGTGAAATGCCATTACCAGTAAATGAACATTCATCATGTGTCGTAAATGATAAGTTATATATTTACGGTGGTAATGATTTTAGTGGTATCATTTATAGTTCATTATATGTTTTAAATCTAAATACTTTGGTCTGGTATAAATTAGATGAAAGGGCAGAAGAAAATGGCCCTGGTCCAAGATGTGGTCATTCAATGACTTATTTACCAAAATATAATAAATTAATTATTATGGGTGGTGATAAAAATGATTATATTGTTAGTGATCCTCATAACTTTGATACTTACGAAAATTTTAACGGTGAAGAAGTTGGTACAATGATTTATGAATTGGATGCAAATTTGATTGATCAATTCATTTTGGGTCCATCTGAACCACAACCAATCCATACACAATCACAAATTCAACAACATCAACAACCAATAGATCATCTTGATGTAGAAGAAGAAGAAGTAATACCTATTGTTGAACAAAGAAAACCTAAAAAAGTTGCTGCTTCAGCAGCTGGTGCTGATTTTGGCGGTAAAAATTACGATCGTCATGCAAGAAGTTTTTCGGCTGGTCCAGAAGATTATGCAACACCACAAGCATCACCATCACCAGAACGTAAAAATGGGGTCGAAAATGATTTTGTTGAAGTTGAAGTACCATCGGGAACAATATCTCAAGCTGACCAAGAGGAAGATGAAGAACGTATAAATCCTTATGATTCAATTGATCATTCAGAAGTTCCTAATCCTATTAATGGATTTGAAAGTGGTTTAAGAAGAAGATCATTGGATCCTAAGTTAGATGATCCAGCTCCATCAAATGGTATTTCGAACACTGGTGTGGCCGCTGCATTTGCTGCTGCTGGAGCTGCTGGAGCTGCTTTAGGTCATTCTGAAGGACTTTCTCATGCTCAATCACAAAATTTCAGTCACGACACTTTAGGCGAACCAGCACCAACCGCTGCCTTAGATGAAGAAAGACCAAAGTTTGTTGATAGACCAAGTTTTGTTGATCAAGAAGAAGATTATGAAGACGAAGAAGAAGAATCTCATTATCCAAATCATAGTAGTTTTAGAGGATCACATTATCCAGATACAAGTTTTGAAACAAGGCAACAATCACAACCAACAGATTCAAAAGTGAAAAAAATAATATCTGAATTGACTAATGAATTAAATGATTTGAAACATTCAACAAAGGAGCAAATGCAAAGAGCTTCAGAAACCATTGAAAATTTGAAACAAGAAAATACTCAACTCCGTAATACTCATGCTAATGATACTCAATCATATTCAAAACAAATTCATGATCAAAACTTAATGATAAACGAATTGAAATCAACACTTGATCCAAATGCTTTCAATCCAGATTTGCCAAATGAAACTAACTTGTCGGAATTAAACAGATACAAATTAGAAAGATTAGAATTAAATAATAAATTGTTATATTTGGAACAAGAGAATGCTAAATTGAATGAAAAATTTGTTGAATTTGAACCATTTATGAATAATCAAATTGGTGAATTAGAAACTTTCCAAAAAGTTATAAAAGTTCAAGAAGAACAAATTGATAAATTAAGTTATCAAGTTAAAGATCAAGAAGTCTTAAATAAAGAAATAAATGATTGGAGAATTAAATTTGATAATTTGAATTTAGAATTTGAAAATTATAAAGCTATACATAATGATGATGAAATTGAAGTAAATGAAGAAATACCACAACAAGGAGAGTTTTCAGATAATAGATCAATATTAAGTACTGCAAAATCAAGAAAAGATATTTCAATTCAATTAGAAAATTTAGTCAACTTATGGAATGTTAAACATCCATCAACAAGAGAAGTGTCACCATCAATTACACCAGAGAATAATCCAATTGTATCAAAATTACAACAACAAGTTAATGATTTATTAAGAATTGGTAAACAAAATGATGATGCATCAAAAGTTGAAATTGATAATTTAAGACAAGATTTACAAAATAAAATTTCTAATTTAAAACAATTGGAAGAAAATTATCAAGAAAGTTTACAATCAGTTAACAATACTTCAAAAGCCTTAAAATTAAATCAAGATGAATTTATAAATCAAAGAAACTTATTGGAAAAACTTATCAAAGAAAATAATGAATTGAAAATCTTTAAAAAGGCTGCTTCCTCAGCTACAAGAAGTCCAGCTGTTAATGAATTTACTGACGCATCTGAACATCCAGAAGAAGATGAAGGAAATGTTATCAATAATGCCCATTACAATATGAAAATTAAAGATTTGGAAGCTGATTTGTACATAATGAAACAAGAAAGAGATCAATTAAAAGACAATGTTACTTCTTTACAAAAACAATTGTATTTGTCTCAAAACAATAATTAAGAGCAAATCAATAGAGTCTGAATTTTTTATAAACAATTGTAAGTTTTTTCAAATTATATAGTTCTGAAATTATGTTTTAATACCACACAATTAACAATTAATCCTTATTTTAATTCGACTTAAAATGTAAGTGTAATGCGTTAAATAAGCCCTTCGTACTCTTTGTGCTAATTTTGATATTTTCATTCTATTCCACTCAATGCATTTTTAGATTGACAAATCCTTAATGAAAACTACAATTTAATTCAAATATTAAAATGTTTTTATGTATTTTAACTTTTTTTCTTCAATAATAATAATAAAACACTATAAAATTTATTATATCAAAATTTAATAACCAAAAGCAACTAATTTAGTAACAACTTCTGAATCAGCATTAGCTTGAGCAGCAGCAATTTTTTTATTAAGAGCTTTCTTTTTGGCGTAAAATTCAGCACTTTTAACTTTTCTTTTTTCTTCTAATTTATCAACAACTGATTCATATTTCCAACCAACAGCTGAAGCTAATTTTCCAGCAGTTGTATATTTTCTACCTGGTTTTAATCTTAAAACTCTTAAAGCTTGTGGAACAACAACTCTTTTTTGTTTATCATATGGTGGTGGAATACCTTCAAAAACTTTTAATCTTTCTAATGCAGCAGCACCTCTTGCAGTTTTATGTGGAATCATACCTCTAACAGCTTTATAAAAAATTCTTGATGGAGCTCTGAAATGGAATGGTCCTTTAGTTTTATTATATCTGGTAGATTTTCTTAAGTAATCTTTATAATTTAATAAATTTCTGAAATGGTTACCTGAGATGTTTAAAGCTTCAGCTCTAACAATAACAATTTTATTACCATTTAAAATTTGTTTGGCAACTATTGAAGCAAGACGACCAAGTAAATGGCCTTTAGCATCAATGATGACTGGGGTGGTGGTTGACATTTTTTATTAGTGATGAAGTGAAATGATAAAAATGAAAAAGATATAAAAAATTTATAAAAAATCTATTATAAAATCTTTAGAGTGAAAAATTTTTCTGTAAAAAGTAAAAAAATGAAAAATAAAAAAAAAATTAATTTTTCAATACACAATAATTAACTTAGTAGTGTAATATTTTCAAAGTTACAAGACTGCATAAAAGAGTTTTTCACGTGATATAAAGTTACCCGACTTGAATTCAATTCATCAATACGATAGATTAATTTTCAGATATACTTCACTAGTCAATTTAAGAATACCGCTTTAGTTAATAAATATCAAATTTATTCACTACTATACACTTATTTTTAATTCCCTTATACCGACAGCTTTAGCTAGTTTAAATTACTTTTAATCCTACTTAAATTTTAATTGAACCTTTTGCAAATAATGAATTGACAACACTTAAAATTGCATCAATTGAAGCTTGACTGACATCATGACTAATACCACAACCCCATTTTGAAACATTCTCCCCTTGTTCATTTAAATAACCAATTTGTACATAAGAAACAGCTTTTGAGGAAGTACCTGATCCCAAAATATGTTCAGAATAATTCAAGACTTCAAATAAAGTACCTGATTTATTTGAAATACCATCAATAAAAGCAGAAATTGGTCCATTACCTTGACCTCTGATTATAGTATTATTTGAAAGTTCTGCAAATATTTCCTTATTATTTGAATCTTTACCTTTTGTAATTTCAAAATCATTTAATTTTAATGGTGATTCAATAAGATATTCTTTTTTAAATAATTCAACAATTTCTTCAGTTTGCAATTCTCTACCTAATGAATCAGCTTTTTCCTGAACAACGCTTGAAAACAAAACTTGTAATTGTCTTGGTAAATCTAAACCTAATGATCTTAAAATAACCCATGCGGCACCACCTTTACCAGATTGTGAATTGACTCTAATAACTGCTTCATATGTTCTACCAATATCTTTTGGATCTAATGGTAAATATGGAATAGCCCATCTTTGATCATCTCTTTTATAACTGAAACCTTTTTTAATAGCATCTTGATGTGAACCACTGAAAGCGCAAACAACTAAAGAACCACCATATGGTGATCTTGGATGAACATCAATCTTATTACAACGTTCACTAACATCGATAACACTTTGTAAATCTGAAAAATCTAAATTTGGTGGAATACCTTGAGTATATAAATTTAATGCAACAGTTACTAAATCAACGTTACCAGTACGTTCACCATTACCAAATATACAACCTTCAACACGATCAGCACCAGCTAATAAGCCTAATTCAGTTGCTGCAACACCACAACCACGATCATTATGACAATGTACTGAAACTACAATTTTTTCTCTTTCTGATATATTTTTAATAAAATATTCAATTTGATCAGCATAAACATTTGGACCAGCAACTTCAACAGTAGCAGGTAAATTAAAAATCATTGGATTTTCAACAGTTGGTTCCCAAACATTTTTAACAGCTTCACAAATTTCAACAGCAAATTCAACTGGAGTATCGGAAAAACATTCTGGTGAAAATTCTAAATTCCATTTAGTTTCTGATTTTGTTGGATCATCTTTAGTTAATGATTTTACTAATTTTGTGATTTCGACTGCTTTAGAAATTGCTTCTTCCTTGGACATTCCGAATACTACTTCTCTAAATATGTCAGAAGTTGCAAGATAAATATGAATAATAGCACTTTTAGCACCTGTAACTGATTCAATAGTTCTTCTAACTAACGGTTCTCTTGATTGTGTTAAAACTTGAATTGCAACATCTTCTGGAGCATTTTCAACTGCGTATCTTGTAAAATCAAAATCAGTTTGTGAAGCAGAAGGAAAACTTACTTCAATTTCTTTAAAACCTAAATCAATTAATTTATGAAAATATTCTTTTTTTTCAGGTATTGACATTGGATCAGGTAATGATTGATTTCCATCTCTTAAATCTGTAGATAACCAACGCGGAGCTTTTTTTATAACTTTTGAAGGCCATTCTCTATTTGTTAAATTTATTTGTTTTGGTGGTGGATATTTTATTGATGGATTCTTAAGCATATTTTTATACTGTAGTTTTACAGGTGGTATACGAGACGCAGCTCGTTTAAACACTGTATTGAACTGTAACATTAATAATGATTTTTGATACAATACAATGATAGTGAGTTTTGAAGATAGGTAGTTAGTAGATGTGTTATGTAAATGATTTGAAAAATCTGAAAAATTATTTCAATTTAGTCATGTTATATTAATATGTACATGAAAAAATCTCCGCAAACAGGAACCGGAAAAGGGAGTGTCAAAGATCGAAGAAATCTTAGAAGTTTGACACACAATTGAATTTTGCTAATAATTGAGGGGTAATAAGAATTTCAAATTGATTTGAATGTACATATAATCAGATTCTTTTTCACCAATCCGAGAGTAATTCTGGTACAATCCTCTCCACGTTCAGAGATCAGAACAAATAATAAAAGTAACTCATATGCTCATTAACTCAGAAAAAGTACTAAATGCTATTGTGGCATGAGGACCTAGGCTGGTACGGGTCTTAAATAACTTCATTTCTGTGTCTCTAAGAAAATCAGCAATCAAGTTTACATATAACTTACATATAACGAATGTACTTCATACTGATGTACAAAACTATTCTCCAAATTTTTATTTAATTTTGCAACCAAAATTGTGAAAAAAAGAGCCTAAAACGTTAGGAACGTAAATTCTCGAAGAATGCTATAGAAAATTAATTTTTTTTGATATAAAATAAATTAAATCGTAGCTGGAGTAATTTAATACGTTTTCAAATCTATAAGCTACTTAGATCTGATTTATAGTAAGAACTTTCAGTCTACTTCGTAACATGTTATGGTTAGATAGTATAAAGTATCGTCAAAAACAGTGCGCGCTCCATCCCCAGAATTAAAAAACGCAAGCTCATCTTAAATAATTTTCTTTTTTTTCACTTTCTCTTTTTGTTTTACAGTCGTAAGAGATAGATTTAGAAATATATTTTTTATTTACAAAACTAAATATTTGTTTCATCTTTCTTATAAATTCTATACTAATTCGCATACCAATAAATAATGGCTAAATCATCATCAAAGGGAGACAAGAAATTGTCCAAAAAGGAAGTTAAAAAACAACAAAAAGAAGAATCATCATCTAGTGAATCAAGCTCATCAAGCGATGAATCAAGTTCAAGTTCAAGTTCAAGTTCTGAAAGTTCATCAGATGAAGAAGAAGAAGTAGTAGAAGATGTAAAAGTAGAAAGCAAAAAAGAAGATACTTCATCATCATCATCCTCAGATAGTGATTCAGATTCAAGTTCATCATCATCATCGTCATCATCATCAGACTCCGATTCAAGCTCATCTGACGAAGAAGAAGAAGAAGTAAAAGAAGAAGTCAAAGAAACCAAAAAAGCCAAAAAAGAAGAATCAAGTTCATCAGATAGTGATTCAGACTCAAGCTCATCCTCATCATCATCAAGTTCATCAGATTCAGATTCAGATTCAGACTCTTCATCAGATGAAGAAGAAGAAAACAAAGAAGAATCTAAAAAACGTAAAGCTGAAGAAGACGAAGAAGAAGAAGAAGAAGAAGTTGAATCAAAACCAGTCAAAAAATCCAAAACAGAAGATTACTCAACCACAGAATCATCATCATCATCAACAGAAGAAGAACAAGCTACATTATTCGTTGGTAGATTATCATGGAACATTGACGATGATTGGTTATTCAGAGAATTCGAACCAATTGGTGATGTTATTGGAGCAAGAGTTATAATGGAAAGAGATTCAGGAAAATCAAGAGGTTATGGTTATGTTGATTTTAAAAATAAACAAGCTGCAGAAAAAGCATTAAATGAAATGCAAGGTAAAGAAATTGATGGTAGACCAGTTAATTTAGATATGTCAACAAGTAAACCTCGTGCATCAAAACCAAATGATAGAGCAAAACAATTTGGTGATCAACAATCACCACCATCAGATACTTTATTTATTGGTAATTTATCATTTAATGCTGATAGAGATAATTTATTTGAAATATTTGGAGAATATGGTACTGTTATATCATGTAGATTACCAACTCATCCAGATACTCAACAACCAAAAGGTTTTGGTTATGTACAATTTTCAACTGTTGATGAAGCAAAAGCTGCTTTAGAAGCATTAAATGGTGAATTAATTGCAAATAGACCATGTAGATTAGATTATTCAGCTCCAAGAGATAATAATAATAGTCCAGGTGGTTTCAGAGGTGGTAGAGGTGGTTCAAGAGGAGGAAGAGGTGATTCAAGAGGTGGTAGAGGTGGAAGAGGAGGTTTTGGTGGTAGAGAAAGATCAGCAACTCCTACAGGTACACCAAGAAAATCAACTGAATTTAAAGGTACTAAAAAAACTTTTGATTAAATTTGGTTAAAGTGGTCATAAAATATATTTGTATACTAGTAAGTTAATAAACATTAAAAACATTTGAAAATTTATAACATGACTATGCACTATACACTTCTAGACTATAGTAAGTTTTTCAATGCCTTTCGTATATGTATACTCATATGTATATTTATTTGTACTTGAAAAAGGTTGCAAAAAAACAAAAAAAATACATTCATATGAGTATACTTACATACTTGAAAAATAATTTTGCATATAAATACATAATTTTCATTAAAATTATAAAACAATTCATGTAAATCTTGCATTATCTAACCATTATATTTTTTTAAATCGGAATTTGAATCTCAAATTCAAATATGTCAGAGTTACGAATTCAGCTTGTTAGTAGAATTCTTATGTTCGTAGAAATATGCTACCGTTAACAAACTGTTGGTATGTGAAATACTGTCTTTCTTGATCAATAACTGTTGTTTAATTACGTCATTAACAGTATTCCCTGCATTTCTTACATTACATTTCTTTTTTTCTTATATTTCTTATGTTCTACTATTTCTTTATTATTCTTGGAATTATAAGATTTTTTTAATTGTAATCGAGTCTGTCAAAATTATTTTTGATCTTGCTAAGAAAAAGATTTAAAAGGAATTAAAATGGAGAAGCTTTATTATTAAAAGTTTAAGAACATTTATCTTTGTTTCAGAATTGTAAGATTATTGAATAATAACAATCAATCTCTGTTTGATGCCAAAGACTTGGTGATAATTCTCTAATAATGTTAAAGAAGCAGATTTACTTAATATTTTTATTACTTAAGTAGAATAATAAATAAAATATCCGAGACATAAATAATTCTATCAAAATTAAATTAATAAAAAACAATCATATAATTTTAACATGTAGGGAGGGGGGAAATAATAAATTATTATATAATTTTGTTATTCATACCAATTTAAATTCAAATTATGAATAAGTAGGGAAAGTTTTAATTATACAATGATGTAATTTTTTTGTAGAAATACTTTATTACCAAATACTCTCTTAAAAATGTTTTCTACAATAAGTAATTAGATTACTAATTTAATTAAGTAATGTAGTTGGGAATTTATTAATTAATCAAATAACAATGCCTTGATTTTAGTTGTTTTTTAAATTTGAAAATACTGTATGTATCTAATGTATTAAATCACCTTGTAGTTTTAAAAGATTATTATTCAAAATAAGTAAAAAGATTTACAAATTTAGATTTATGGAAAAGTGAATGAATTTTTTTGAGCCACTTTACTTATTCTTTTATTATTCCTTTTAATATAACTTTGTCTATGTATCTCTCCCCTAATTTACATTAAAATAAATTTATAATTATTTTTTTACATATATCAATATGACATTCTCTTTACAAACTAGATATAACAGGGGGATAAAAGAAGTTTTAAATCTTCTCCTATCAATAAATATTCATATTTGTAGACCAAGTATAACTCTATATATAGTATATATGTATATGAATAAACTAACTAAGGATTACAAATTAAGCATTTTTATTGAAAATTTCACTTACTTTATTATACATTTATTATATTAACTATTTACATTTAATTTTGGTCCATCATCAAATTGAATATATGAATATCAATTCCAATCAATCTAATCAACTTACAACAACTTAGAAGAAGTCAGTGATAATTTGTTGCTTATAAAATTTTTAAATCATTTTAAGCCTTGAGTTATATATTATTATATAGAAAGTATTACTATTAATATTAATTAATAGTGTAGATTCTAATAATAAATTAAAAAAAAAGAAAGTAATAATAATTCAATTTTTTATTTATTTATTTCTATATTGATTAAAATAAATTAATATTTTGACAACCAAAAATTATAATATACAACAATAACTATTAATAATAACATTATAACATTTAACCAATAAAACTTATGATATCAATAATAAATATTATCATCAACTATTACAAACAATAGATTTATAAATATATAAATATATATATATATTTCAACATGAGACGAGCAGTATCAAAAATACTACCTACTCCGAAATTATTTAATGAACTTCCGACAACAATAAATCAAAAAAATTCAAATAATATTGTATCAAATTTTAAATTAGATTTCAATGCAGTTGATGAATTTTATATTCAATTAGATAATCCTCATAAAATTTGGTTACCAGGTGATGAAGTATCTGGACAAATTGTTTTAATTTCTAAAAAGAATTTAGCAAATATAATTATAACTTTATCATTAATTGGATTTATTAAAATAAATGCATCATCACATTCAAAATTAAGACCTTTGAAACATACATTATTTGATCATACTATAAGGATATATGGGGATGATAATAATGATAATTCAACATCAACAACAACTAATACAAATGATGATACAGAATTTAATAATGGATTATTTAAAGGTGAACATGTATTCCCATTTATAGTGAAATTACCAAATAAAAGAGTATTTACATCTATTGATTTTGGTAAAGGATCAATCAATTATATATTGAAGGCATCAGTTGGTAATTCATCTTCATATATTACAGTCCCATCAACTGATAAAAAATCATTACATAACCCTTCATATACAAGTGAAAAATTAATTAATTTAATAAATCCAATGGATGTATCTTCATTACCAAAACCAAAACCCAAGAGATTAATACTACGAGATCCAAGAAATAATCATCAAAATAATAGAAAATTAATACGAACTCAATCTTCAACATCAACTATAAATACAATTAATACATTTGGAACTTTTTCATCAAATAATTCAGATAATTCAATGGATGATAGAATATCACAAATAAATTCAGAAGAAAATAATAGTAATAATAATACTAATACTAATAATAATAGTAACAATTTTAATAACAGTATCACAATTACAAATAATAAACCACCTCCAACTATTAAAGTAATACTAAATGTTCCACAGAGAGGTTATCTAAGAGGTGAATCAATTCCAGTAAAATTATCAATAAATCATTTGAAAAAAATTCAAGATCTTAATGGTATAATAATAACTTTTGTAAGAGTTTGTCGACTAGATAATGGACCTGATGGAGTAGTTGAAAGTTTTAGAAAAGATTTACAACAAGTTGTATTACCATTATATGTTGATCCAGTAACCTTCCAATCAGAAATACAATCATCTTTAAGAGTTCCAGCAGATTCATTCCCAACAATAACTGGATGTCCATTAGTATCATTTCAATATTTTATCGAAGTACTTATAAATTTATCAGGTAAATCAGTAATAGTGGATCCAGAATTAATACCTGAACGTCATTCACCAGATATTCAACAACAAGATCAACAACATCAAATTACTTCAATAGAAAATTTTCAATTTAATTTCAATTCTTCAATTCAACATCAAAAAGATAGGTCAAATTTTATAAATACTGATCGATTTAAAAGATCTAAAAAATTCTTACAATTAACTAGTGAAATATTCATTGGAACTCATAGATCAAAATTAGAAATTGAAGATGATAAATTATCAAGAAGATCTTCTAGTTCATTATCAAATTCAAATTTATCACCAGCTGTTTTCACAAATTCTCCAATTAATCATAATTCTCCAATCAATCATACTTCAACATCACCAAGTAATATATCGACTCATTCTCCAAATAGAATAATTCCAACAATTCCAGAATCTACTCAACTTGAAATACCACCTTATCAAGATGTTCCTGTATATCATAATCACAATAATCTAGAACAAAACCCGTTATCTGAAAAGGAACAAATGGTTCAATATCATAATAGTTTATTACCGTCGGCACCTCCAGAAGATGATGAAGAAGTGAATGGAGAAAATAATCACCAATTACAACCAGAAATGGGCTCATCAACAAATCAACAACAACAACAACAACAACAACAACCACAACATCAAGTACCTACATCTCAACAATTTAATTTTTTCACTTACGATAGTAATAATAACCATAACAATCACAATAATAATTCCTTTTTCCAAACAAATAGTAATGGTAATACTGATATCAACCTACATCATAATCAACATCAAAACAATTCTTCAAATTTAGTAAATGAAATATTCAATGATGAAATAATAGATAATGTTCCCAATTATTTAACAGTTGAAAATGATCAATTATTAAGTAGTCATAATCATAATCATTCATCAAATTCACAAACACAACAATCTCAAACACCACAATCACAAATGAATTACTATCAGGAATATCATAATCATCATCATCCTTTACAAAATGTTACCAATGTTATTGATGAAGATCAACAAGATTGAGTATTAATTTAATGAAAAGACAATTTGTTTTTATACACACTATATTTTGACTTGATTTTTTCAATTTTAGTATATTTTTTTTTACTTATTCAATTCTTTTTAGTGTATTTAGAAACTCTATATAAATAAACGATAATTTAACGAGATATTACAAAAGTTAAACTACAATATTAAATTTGATACAGATATTTAAACCTCTATAATTCTATAAATTTGATAATTTTTAAAACAACCCTATATATACTATTTACAATATTAGTACTTCAATTTATAAACACCATTATAACAACTTCCAAAAGAATAACAAACAGCACCGCCACCTAATACTAAACTCTCATTTGAATTCAATTCCACAACGCTAAATCCAATGAAGATAGGTGGATGAATCTTATATAATTCTTCTGATATTTCAACACTATTGAATTTTAAATTAGTTAAATCTAATGTTAAAATATTAGTATACTTAATTAAAATTGTAGATGATGATATACCACCTATTATAATTAATTTATCCTCTAATTGTATAGCTTGACTACCTATTCTAGATAACATTATATCTTGCATTACCAGCCTAATGTAAATTGTATCATTTTCTAAATGAAATTTGTATAATTTGTCATTTACTTTAGGTAAATGAGTTTCATTAAAACCTCCATATATATAACCTACACCATTTGAATAATTCATTGATGCACTAAATAATGATACCATCTCACTTTCAACTTTTAAATTTGTAATCTTTTTTGTAGTGATATTGAATTTTATAAATGAGTTTTCATTGGTACTTGTTCCACCAAATATCAATAGCTCTTCATCATTTAAGATGACGACTGAATGTCTATACCTAGGTTGTTCCAATTTTGCTATTTGAGTCCAATTTAATCCATCAAATTCATAAATATCACTTAATATATCATTTGGTTTTGATCTACCACCTATTAAAATCAATTTACTGCCTATTGAAGTTAATGAATGACACATTCTTGGTGATGGTGAGTTTGTAGTTTGTATGGAAGTTAATTGACCTTGTTGATTCAATTGTAATGTTTCATTAGTTCTTATTTGTTTTAATCCACCATTTATAATAATTTTATCGTTAAATTTAGCAATTGCTGGAAATTTCAATTCAAATTTATCTGAACCAACTAATTCAAATTTCACTGATTCATCAATTTCAAATTTTATATCTTCAATAATTTCTTGCTTTGTTTGTTTTATGTCATTACTTGCATGTATAACAAAATAATGCTGACAAAATAAAATAAATTCTTCCCATTCATCAAATTCTTCAATTTTTGCTATTTGTAATTTAATTTCATCATTTACAATTTCCCAATTTTCAAATAAATTATTAATTTCAACATTTTTATAATATTTTAAAAATCTTTCAATTTGTTTTTGCTTTGTAGGATATGGTCCAACACATTGAATTGGTGATCTTAAATGATTAAAATGATAAAGCATTTTTGTTGCAAATGCGTTAAAGGGACCATCAGGCATTATTTGTTCAAGAATTATAAAATGTGAATTTTTTGGGTATGAAGAAATTTCTATTATTGGATTTGCATATTTCGGGTTCATGTAAGCTAAAGATACTTCTGCTATGAATATATGGATTTGATCTGTTGTTGTTGAAAATAATGTATTGATTAAATTTTGATATTGTGATGTTTGTTTTAAATCACATCCTATTAATTTATAATTTTTACAATTTAATTTGAATTCACTTGGGGTTGGTTCACCTATTAAATTTTGAATTTTAGAAGAGTTTTGAATGTGATTATATTTTTCATTAATTAAATCTGGATAGTCAATATCTATGAAATTTAAATTATTATCTTTTAGTGTACTTAATAATTGAAAAGCTAATGGATCAAACCCACAACCTAAATTTATAACATTTATTCTTTTTCCCTTATTTGAATTTATTATTTTAATGACTGTTGATCTAATACTTTCCATACGAATCCAATATCCTCTATTAATAGCAGGTGATCTTCTTTTCCCCTTTGGTACAAATTCTTTAAACCATTCACCTAAATGTGGTTGAATTTGTGAGAAATATAAATTTTCAACACTTCTTTTAGAAACTATTGATGAATTATTTGTACCTTGAACTTGTTGATCATCGTATTTTTGTTTTCGATTTTGTTTCTCTAATTTTTTTAGATTTTGTTGTTTCATCCTAAATAAAAGAGATGATCATTCCAAATATCTGAAACCGAGAAAATTATATATTTTGTATATTTTTTTTATAAACCTTTGAAACATAATTTTAATTCATTTTCAAATTTATCTGATGTTATACGTGAACATCTTTGTATATATTTCACAGCAGCTAAAGTATCTTTTAAATTTTTAAAATTTTTTTGTTTTAAATTTTCTTCTTCATCTTCTATTTCTTGTTCATTATTATCTAATTTAAATTGTTGTAATCCATCACTACATTTTAACCAAATTTTACCATTTATACCTATAGCAATTTCAAATTGTACTTTCTTAGCTAAATTTTCCAATACTGATGATTTGGAATTATATAATAATTCTCTTGCATAGTTTAAAGGTACATTGAAAATATATCCTGAATCATCCAATATACCAAACCCACCACTTTCTCTATTATTAGAAGCATCAAAACATTCAATTTCAGTTTCAAATGTCAGATCATTATCATCATTAACTATTCTTCCATAAACAACTTGTCCAGTTTTTAAATTTGGTCTATTTTTTTTATTTGTATTTGGGAATGCAAAAAAATTTAGTAAAACAGTTGATGAAAAATTTTGTAATGATACTTTGTAATATTCACCTATTGACCCAACTATCGTTCCTATTACAAAATCATTATTATGTGGTATATATCTTTTGGTATTTGATTCAATATATGCTGATTGTGAATTTTGATGTTTATTTACTTCTAAATATCCTGAAGTTGATGGTATTAAATCTTGAGTTTTGGGTATTTTATATATCCCTGGACCTATTGTAGTATTGATATGTGGGTTTTGAGCATCTATTGGAAGTTGATCACCAGGTATTATTATAGACATTATTTAATATCTTAAGATGAAGTAGATTGTGGTTAAGTAAAACCAAATAAAAGTGCGCAATGTTAAATCAGAAATATGAAAAATTTAGATATATCCAGTATCTAAAAGTATACAATTCAAAATTTAATGTTATTATATCCAATAATAAGGACTTCTACCATTAGATTTTCCATAAAACTCACAACAAAATGGTCAATTTCACCAATAACTACAACATCAATACTATCAATACGATATAATTCTACAAATCAACCTTCAAAATCAAAAAAACCTTCTCCACTTTCAACATTAGCCAAAAAGCCATTATTTGATCCTTCAATTTGGACCGTACCCAATATTTTAACATATACAAGAATAATAGCGACTCCATTTATAGGTTATTCTATAGCAGTAGGGAACTCAACTTTAGCATTATCTTTATTTACATATTCATGTATAACTGATTTTATTGATGGTTATATAGCAAGAAAATATAATATGAAATCAATAGTTGGATCTATAATTGATCCATTAGCAGATAAATTTTTAATGACTATATGTACATTATCATTAGCTTATGTACAATCAATACCGTTTGGAATAGCAACAATAATAATTGGGAGAGATGTATTATTAAGTTTTATGTCAATTTATTATAGATATAAAAGTTTACCAAAACCTAAAACTTTTGATAAATTTATAAGTATTGGACAAATTCCAACAATAAGTGTACATCCAAATTTCTTGGGAAAATTTAATACTGCATTACAAATGCTATATATTGGAAGTTTAGTATATAGACCATTATTAGAAGGTATTATTTCAGATCTTATGTTTGAAGGTTTGGGGTGGTTTGTTGGTATAACTACTTTAATTAGTGGTGCTAATTATGTATTTAATAAAAATTCATGGAAATATGTAAAATAAAAGGATCATTATTCATTATTAAAAGGGATTCAAACACTGGAGAATTATGATTTAATTTAAATAATAAAATAATGAAAAATTGAATCATTTTATGTTTATTTTTAACCTGATTTAAATTTGAATTAAATGGTAAAAATGGATAATTTTTTAAAATTTTATCTATAGTTTGATTTATAAATATAGATTTTTTGAAATCAATTAATTGATAAATATTTGATAAACAATAACATATAATTTGGTTCTCATAATTTGTTAAAAAATCCATTATTATAGTTAAATGTTTTGTATTACAAGATTCATCCAAAATGATGATCAAATATTTATTAATATGATTTTGAATATTATTTGTAAATTTATTATATTTTTGAATTCTTTCCAAAAGTTTTGATATAATTGTATCATGATAATTTGAGTTCTTGTTGGCTCTCAAGAAATACTCAATGATTTGAAATGATACTTCGATGTTTCTCTTTTGATTAAAGCTTAGTTTGTAAGTATAATATTCAACACCAAACACCTTCTTTAAATGTATTTCAATCTCTTTATCTATCTTATCAGATAATTTATCAAAAATTTCAAGAGGGTCTTGTTAGTCAATTTTTAACTAATACTTAATATCCCCTTTAGTCTTGCTTACTTTCGTATGACAAACCAGTTTGTCGCTTATATTTAACAATCAATAAAGCTAGAGCAAATGTAAAGCTCATATTTGATATTTGATTATTTGTGATTAGATTGAAACCTCTAAAATTTTGGTTGCAAAAATTTAAGCTTTTTTTTACAACCAAAACTCTTTTGGTAGTCCAATTTTCTACAACAAAATCTTTTTACACATAAATATCAAGAATTTTGAATTCAGTCAACGTAAAGCTTATTTACCCCAGATCTTCAAAATAGGTACTTTTTGAAATACGCTTTGAAATCACTCAATTACATCAAATTAAAAAAATTAATACAATATAAATCTAAAAACCGTTAGATTTTCACTAACCCAAAAAATAAAGAAATTACGAGTTATAATAATTATGACATCAACAAGTCCACTTATAAAATTAAGGCTAATAATTCATTTTTTATCATAATAATTTTTCAAATTGGTTTAATTCATTGCATGAAAAATTAAGGTTATGCAAATGAAGGAAATCTAAAACGTAAATAATAAACTTTTTTGGATGCAAAAATTATTTGAACTTTGTTGTTTCAAGTTGTTTCAAGTTGTTTCGATTTATTTCAATAGATTAACTCTACATTTAATGTTTAAAAATTGCATACATATTATTATTATTATCATTTCTGGAATCTGGAATTCGGAACCAATCTTTTAATTTTTTCGGATAGCAATCATATAAAAAAATCAAAAAAATGTACGGTAAATGCATAAAAATAAAATTATAAAATAGTAAATTATTATCCAAAATTTTCAATTATTTATATTGAAGATACTTTTAATTTACAAACTTTAATTTTGATACTAATTATTCAGTCTACTCCAAATTAGAATAATTGCTTTTTATTTAAATAGTTCTTTTTTGGTAAGAATTTTTACGGAGAGATATTTTAAAAACCGTTAAGGCGAAAACTTTAATTAGTAATATAGATGATGATTATAAAGTACTTACTATACGATAAGCTATGCAATAAAGGATTAATAAACTTATACAATCAAATGAAAATTTCAGCATTGTTTCTTAGTAAATTTCAATCGGATAGCTGACTCCGATTTAAAAATCATCAAAATTTTAGATATATCACTGTCTTAATAATACAATAAGAAACAAATTATCTTTTCAGAAATATAACAATACGAATTAACAAATGTATAATGTGTTAACTGCTTAATATATTTACCGTCATGCCACAAATATATTTTAAATTAAGATTAAATATAACATTTTTACCAGCCTTAAATTAAAAATTGGATTTACTTTAATTTTTAAAGTTTTGTTTCAAATTTACTTTTGTTAATATATCTTTAATAAAAAGCTTATTTAATATCCAACTAAATGGAAATTATGAAATTTCAATTTAAAAGTGAACTAAAATATCAACAAGGAAGCATGTGCTTGTAAATTAGTATCTAGAATAGAATTTCGGAGCTAAGCAACAAATAACTTACATATATCACCTATTCATGAATAAATATGGATTTAAAGCCCAAAACTGTTATATTTTTTAATTATACATGTAATATTGATATGTATATATTCAAAAATTGCAGATAATTAATTTCTTTTTTTTTTTTACAAGTAAAATCAATTAGGACATTAATGACTACAATTCTTAACATTTCTTTAGTATCGTATAGATCTTTATTATATCTTATTTAAATCTATTGATTAATTATATAAGTAATTACATCTATATATCTAATCTCGTAAAAATTATAATACTATAAAATTATTTTTAAGTAGACTAATAAATAAAAAAAAAAAAAAAAACTTTNAATAAAATTTAAAAAAAAAAAAGAATCAAAGAAAAAAAAAAATTAGAATTAAATTCTTTTTGATTATTAATAATAAATTAAAAAATTAGAACTTAAAATTAATAGACCTTTTTAAATTTGAATTATTTAGAATATATTTATAAACTTTTGAATAATTTCTTTTATCAAACTTTAATACTTTTTTATATATATATATATCTCATTATCATTATCATTATCATCATCTTACAACTTCGTTTATTGTTGACTTATTCATCCCTCGATTCTTTTACATTTCATTTTGATAAATTATAAAATTTCAAACTTAAATAATACAATCACATATTAAATTAAACAAATTTTGGTTAGTTGAAATTTAAAACTTTTTAGTACAAAGAAATTTGAAAGAAAACTTTATTTCAATTAAACTTTAAATTTTCTGAGTTAATCTCATTAATATATAATTAAGTTGAAATTCAATTTATTATTGTCAGATTTAAAGAATTTTATACAATCAATAAGACCATAATATTCAATTTTTTAATTTCCTATATAACACATTACCTTGTTTAATTAATTATATTTTACAAAATGCAATCTAATTATCCTATCGCGTTTGAACAACCACAATTAGGTTTAAATGATCAATTACCAATACAATCAAATAATATTCCAACTAGTACTACTACTACTACTACTCAACAAATTAATAATATTTTACAACAACAACAACAACAACTAAATTCAAAAATTCAACAACAACAACAACAAATACCTCAACAGCAATCAAATAAAACCACTCATCCTAACCAAATGTATTCACATTCACAACAACAACAAGCACCACCTCAACCACCATCAAATCAACAACATTCACAGCATCAACAAAGTATCAATACTCAAGATTTAAACAATATCATGGGTTTAAAAAAGGAATCAGGTCATAATTCTTCATCAGGTTCATCAATAAGAAATTTTATTCTACCATCACATAATCCATTTGATTTAAATTCTTATCCAATGACAAATCCTCCATTATTTGATTCAACTTTTATGTTACCTTATACAACAGCAGAAGGTATTCCAAGAAGAAGAAGAATATCTATATCAAATGGTCAAATTGGTCAAATTATGAATCATGAAGCATTTTTCGAAAATGATGAATTTAATAATTCTTTAGATGATGATGAATTAACTCAAAGATTTAATGATTATGAATTAAATAGACCTCAAACAAGTTTTATAATAGATAATAATAATACTAATAGTAGTAGTCATCAACCACCACCAAACCAACAACAACCTTTAGTACAAGCTCATCAACAACTACATGATGATCTTCAACAACCACAACCACATCCAATTCAACATCATCATCAACCACAACAAAATCAATCTATACCGCACCATCAATCACAAAATCAGCTTCAACATCAACAACAATTACCACCTTCAAATCAACAACATTTACAACAAGCACCACCTCAACCACCTCAACCGCCTAAACCTTCATCACCACCAGTAGCAGGGGTTCCACCACCAAATCATCAATTAATATATAATAATGAAGTTATATATAATCCGAATAATGGACCAATAACAGGAACAGCAGCATGGAAAAAGGAAAGATTATTAGAAAGAAATAGAATAGCAGCATCAAAATGTAGACAAAGGAAAAAAACTGCTCAATTACAATTACAAGATAATGTAAATAAAATGGAAAATGATTTAAAATTTAAAAATGATTATATTAAAAAATTAGAATTAACTTTAAATTTATATAAAAATGGTATTAATTCATTTTTAGAACTGAAAAATGAAGAAATATTAAAAAATTTATTATATAATAATTCTAATAGTAATATTAATAGTAATACTTAAAATTAAGGTTTTTTATAGAATATATGTATATATATATCTACTATTTTAATAATATATAATGATATCAACTTTTTTTTTAAACAATCAACAATATTTGTTTCTATCCTTAAAAAATCTATTTAGGCAATCCTTGATCATTGATTAAAGATTCTTCAACTTGTTTTGGACCTCCACCAATAGATGTTAATATAACTTTAGAAACTCCATTAATTTTTTGATTTTGTTCAAATTTATATTTTTTATCATTCCAACCATCAACATCACCAAAATATTTATATATTTCACTTAAAATTGTATCTTCATCTTTTTCATCGTAATAAATAACAGCATTTGGACCGGCATCAAATGTATAAGCAGCAATTGGTTCTTTTTGATCACTATTTATTTTTTCAATTAATTTAATAATTTTTTTACTTGTATCATTTAAATAAAAAATTGGTGGATAAGAATCTAAACAAACAGAATGAAATTGATTAGAATCTTTCATTGTTAATTCAGCAAATTTTGGGAAATCTTTATTTAATATTGATTTTTTCATTTCTTCAAATCTTTTAGGTACAACTTCTTTAATTCTATAATTAAATAAATCTGATGTTTTTACAGTTAATTGCATACCTGAAGTAGATGGAGTATCTTTTTTATCATCTGAAACAACTAAAATAATAGCTTTTAAACTTGGCCAATGATTTATGGAAGCAATTTCAATAGCTTTTGAGTCTTCACCATTTTCTAAATTTCCCATTTCCCAAGCAACAAATCCTCCAAATAATGATCTACAAGCTGATCCGGACCCTTTTCTTGCAATTTTACTTAATTCTGACATATCTTGTGGTAATTTATATAATTTTGCAATTGATGAAATTAAAGCAGCAAAACCAGCTGCAGATGAAGCTAATCCTGCAGCAGTTGGGAAATTATTTTCTGATACTATATGTAAATTTAAATTTGAAATTTTTGGTAAATTTGAATTTGATTCTTCTAATTCAAATCTCAATTTTCTTAAATCTTTTAAACATGCTTGAGTTCTTGGAGTTTGTAAATTTTCATTTTTACCATTCAACCATAATTTATCTTCTTTAAAATCAGAAGAACATGATGCAGTAGTTAATGTTCTTAAATCATTTTGTGATAATGTTACTGAAATTGATGAATTTGTTGGTAAATTTAAATCTTTATCTCTCTTACCCCAATATTTGAGAGTCTTGAAATTGAGTTAGTATCATTAATGTACAAAAATTTTATTAATTGGACTAGAAACTTACCGCTATATTTACAGGAGCAGTTACTGAAGCCTGATATATGGTCATTTTTAGATTTGGTTGTAAAAAATTGATACTCTCGTATATATTTTTCAGAATATTTTTTTCTATTTATTTATTTTTCACATTGATTTTTAACGAGACAGTTTCAGAGAAATGCAACACGTTCAATTTTAAAGTATTAATTAAACAAGAGTAAACTAAATGGAGATAGATAGTTTTTGAATTAACTTGATTAATTATATTATAATTACTTATTGATACTACTAATACAAAAATATAAAAATAAACAATATTTTTAAATGTTTCAGCTTTTTGGTTATTTTTCATTTTTTTTTTTTAATCCTCTTTTCTTTTTTACATCTTTTATACAATTTATTTTCTACTCCATTTCCAAATTCTTGCTTTACAATCACCTGAACCTGTTGCAAATATACCTTCTGTGCCTTGAGAATTAGATGATACAGCAACAGATATAACTGAATTACGATGACCTTGTAACATTAATAAAGGATTACCCGAAGCTTGATCCCAAAATATAACACCTCTATCTTTTGAACCTGATAAAATATATTCATTATTTGGAGTACAACAAACTGATAAAACAAAATCTTTATGACCAATATAAGTAGCTTCACAACTTGAATTTTTATCAGATTTTCCTTCTAAATTCCATAATTTTACAGTTCTATCTAATGAACCACTTGCAATTTGATGACCATTATTTGAAAAAGCAACTGAATAAACCGAATCTTCATGTCCATTACCACTTTCATTACCTGAATCCAATCTTTCAACTAAAAATCCAGTAGTTGAATCCCAAACTCTAACTGTTCTATCTAATGAACCAGCAGCAATTAATTTACCATCTGGTGATACAGCAACTGTTGTTACACCATCTTCTATACTTAAAGTTAAAGTACATTGAGAAGATCTTAAACTCCAAATTCTAACTGATCTATCACCTGAACCAGAAACTAATCTATCACCATCTGGGAAAAAATCTAATGAATAAATATCTTGTTCATGACCTCTTAAAACTTTTATAATTCTTTTAGTATTTAAATCCCAAATTCTAATTAATTTATCTTCTGCACCTGTAGCTAATAATTTACCATCTGGTGAAAAACAAACAGATCTTATATATAAATCACCATTCGATGAAGGAGCATCTTCTTCTTTTGTTTCATTTGATGAAGAATCATCAATTAATTTAGCAACTAGTTCACCAGTTTCTACATTGAAAACTTGAGTAGTTTTATTACAACCAGTAGCAATATATTTACCATCTTTTGAAAATCTAACACAACATACAACTGAAGAATGATCTAATGAATGAATTAAATCAACATCTAAATCTCTAGCAAAAGCTGGATTATATAATACATAATAATCAAGATTTTGTTTTTTAAAATCCGGATTTGCTTTTGCAACATCTAAATCTGATAAATATGGTGGAATTTCTTTAACATGACCTGCTTTTTGTGCTGGATTTACAATATATTGAGATTTATCAATTATAGTCAATGCACTTGATGGTGGAACAACTGGTGTAGATGATTGTTGATTTTGTTGAGGTTGTGGTGGGGCTGGTTGTTGTTGTGGTGGTTGAGGTTGTTGTTGTTGTGATTGAGGGACTTGATTCTGCTGTTGTTGTGGTTGTGGAGGTTGTTGTTGAGGAGTTTGTTGAGGCTGTGATTGAGGTGGTGGTGGTTGTTGTTGCTGTTGAGGTGGTGGTTGCTGTTGTTGTTGTTGAGGTGGTGGAGGAGCTTGTTGCTGCTGTTGTTGTTGTTGTTGCTGTTGTTGAACTTGTTGTTGTTGTTGTTGCTGTACTTGTTGTTGTTGTTGTTGTTGATAACCATTCTTCATTTGTCTATCTCTATTTTCTAATTCAGTTTTTAATCTTAAAATTTCTTCTTCATAAGCTTCTTTAATTTTTCTATGAGCCATTTCCAATTCATAAACAGTTTGTCTAATTTGTTGTAATTCTGTATTTTGTTGAGAATATTTTAAATGATATTCATCTTCAATTTTTTTAAAACTTGTTGCTTCATTTAATGCATAATCAAATTCAGATTTAATAGCATCTAATAATTCATTAAGACGAGTTTGATGATTTCTTTGATTATATACCGACATGATGATACATATATTAGATAGATGATGAATATAATTAACTAGTTTGATTGAATGATTTTAAATTTATCTATCAAGTATAAATGAAATTATAAATTAATAATTTAATGAACTAATTATAAATTTGTTCAATTTTTTTGCTTGTTACACGCAATATTTTTTTTTTTTTATTTTTTTATTTTTTTTTCTTAAAGTTTTAAAAATTTCTCTTTGTTTTAAAAATTTTATTTTTTTAATTTTAAAATTTTAAAATTGTTTTTATTTTTTATTTTTTTCTTCATCAAATTTTTACCAAAGGGTATATCATATTCCCGTTACATAATTAACTATGATACGATACAACCAAAAAAAAATTTTTCCAATTTTTAGTTCAAATACTATGAAAAGGCGCTACCAAAAGCTTTAGAATATGTTGAAAAGTTCTTTATCTACGAATGATCGCTTAAACAAAATCTTTTGCTTGATCCATTCTATCACAATTTTTATATTTAGTAATTTTAACCTGATTCAATTAGTAGGTGTAATCTATTAATTTAGAATTGTAATCAAATTTAGAATTGTCTTTTAATTTACGACGATTAAGATTAAAAAAATGAAATACAATTTATTATCCAATCAATTTTATATAAAAAATAAATTGATTATTAAATTTAATAAATTATCAACAATTTGTTTATTAAGTTTACTTTATTTAAAATTTTGGGATGAAATATTTTTCTAAATTAACACCCCCATAATTATACACCCCATGACCTTCGCATATTTAAGTGCCTTAAAAAATAATTTTGAAGTGGGATATTTTTTTGAAGTGAGAGACAAAATGCAAAAAATTAATTTCCGCTTGTCTCAATTTTCCGGAATTATAAAACTAAATTTGCCGACTTTGAAAAATCTAGACACTCAATTTAAAACAAAATATTATACTACAACCTGATGGTTGTTTTACTAATTTATTAGTCTATTCTCATCAATAGATACTACAATTATCAGGCAAACAGATCGCATAGATAAAACTAAACATATAAATACTGAATCTTTGAAAAAAAATCATACTTTAGTAATTGTTATTACGAACTTAAGGTTTTTTATCATTTTACTATATGATTATAATTTAAATATTTTTAACTAACCAAGTAGTAAATTTATCAATCATTTCATCACTTACATCATGTCCCATTCCCTTTTCAATAAAAATTTCAGTATCATCATTAGTATTCAAATAAGAATCACACCATACAGAACTTAATTTTGGAGGAACTAAAGTATCTTCATTACCAAAACTTGCAAACATCTTTATTTGATGCATGGGGAAATTTTCAAAAATATTTAAATCTTGTCTTTGTAACAAATTATGTAAAGTTTGTGGATATTTCTGTTGTTCTTCTTTTGTAAGATTTAATTCTTCATAATTATAATAAAACCATTTTTTATCATAATCTGATGAATTTATTGAATTTTTTTTCAATCTATTGATTAATAATGAAGATAAATCAATACATCCAACAACGGGGTTTATAATCTTGATTAAATTTGGATATTCATTAATGAATCTAAAAATTGTATGAGCACCTAACAGATAACCACTAATAATATTTTCAAATTTAATCTTGTAATGAGTATTTCTTTGTTTAAAATCTAAATTTAATAAAGAATCTAAATTTAAATAAGTTGGTAAAAAATCAATAATTAATTTTAAATCAATAACATTACCCATTATAGAACTTATCATATCAACTCCATGAGTTTTATTCTTGTCCCAACCATGATTCTTTAAAGAATCTATTTCTCTTGATCCATGATTTCTTAAATCAAAAGTAACACAAATTAATGGAATATCACCAGTTTCTAAATTTGATTTTTTAGAATAAAATTGTTCTAAAATATTATAAGCTATTGATTCAGTATATTTATAATCTCCTTGTCTTTGATGTAATAAATATAAAACATTAATTGGAATTTCATGAGTTGGATGTTGTAATTCATTATTGAATGATTCAATGTATGGTGTTAAAATGTCTGAGTTATATACATGAGTATCTATCCCTCCTATATTATATGTAACTTTCGAGAATGAATCTTTGTTGTAGTCGAATAACTTCATTTTTTTTTGCTTTGGGTTAATCAATTGAAAAACTCCGCAAAAAATGTAAATAAAACCGTTTTTTGATTTGTTGCAAAAAAAAGTTAGTCCAGAAAACAAAGGGGTTACAAAGATGAACAAATACAATCTGGGGTTTTAAGGATTATAAATTAGATTTATGGTTTAATTGTTTTAATGAGAAATTATCGGTTAAACAGTTGAAAGATTGAGGCCAGCACCACGAAAATTGATTTTGATTAATTTGGGTCGACTCTTGTGCTTGACTTGCTGGCGGTTGGGAACACTTAGTAAACGTTTAATTCTGATGGATCATTCAATGAAGGTGGAACTTTAGAATAGGAAATGTTTACAGGCAAATCACAATAACTTTGATAATGCTTCAGCGTTTTTTTTTTAAGAGTATAAAGTTGCATCTTTGTTGTATATATTTGACTATATACTATATACTATTTAAGCTTCATGGATTACACCAATACCAGAATTTAATATAGCATTTTGACTTGCCAATTTTTCATGCTCTGCTAATTCCTTTTTAGTTATTGTATTACCTCTTCTTCTTGTGCAGCAATTATCTTTATCTTGTTGTTGTTGTTTATTAGTGCTTGATAATGGATACGATTTTGTAGTTGATGATAATGATGATGTTGAATTGATTTGATCATTTAATTCATTATTAACGGTTGGTTCATTACTTATAATTGATGATATTTTTTCTCCTTCATTGTGAACTTCTAGCTTTTTAGGTTGTGATAATGATGGTGATTTTATACGTTTCGGTGATTTTTCAAGAACAGCACTAGTTTGATCTTTCGATGATTGTTTTATTTCTGGTTTAGTACTTGTTTCAACAACTTCCACTTCCTCCTCTTCTTCTTCATCTTCATCTTCCTCATCATCATCCTCATTATCTTCATTGTATTGTTCCTCTTCATCATCAGGTGGTGGTGGACCTAATTTTTTAGATACAAAATCAACAACTTCTCTCCATGATCTCATACCACCCATCGCAATATTACCATCCATATCAACGCATTTCTCAACTGGTTTCAAAATACTCATATTTGGATAAGTTTCTTGTAATAATCCCAATTGTTTTTTAGTGATTGGATGAGAATACATTGAATTTGTTAATGCTAATGCTGCAACTATTGGTTTTGGTGCAATTAAATTATTTGATATTATAGTAGTATCTTTCTTTTCAGTTCCAGAATTTGAAGCTGAATTAGTAACTGAGGCTGAAACTGAGCCGGCAATAGAGGCTGCTCCCAGTGAAATTTGTTGAGGTGGAGAATTTATTGAATCTGATATATGATGAATTAAAGGTATTGGCCAAACATGTAAAATATCAGTTAATAAATTATCTGCTAATCCATTAATTAATTTTGCCATTGTATTTGCAGATAATGGAGCTAATAATAAGACATCAGTCCATCTTTGTAAATCATAAGCTAAACTATATTGTTGCATAATTTGAGGAGTTATTAATTTTTTATTACCAGTTGCAACAGCTTTTGAATAAACTTTTTGAAAAGGTGAAGTTAAAAAGTATTTTTCACCATCATCACTAAACCATACTTTAACTCCCATTTCATTTAATCTATGTAATTTTTCCAGTAAAATATATTCAGCTGATTTTGTTAATACAACTTGAATTTCTAAATTATCATGAGTATATAATTCAAATAATTTTTCAATAATTAAAAAAATATTTTTATGTATTGACACACATCCACTTATTCCAATTAATAAATGTAATTTATTATCATCAGTTGGAGTTAGTGAATCATCCAAGCTTTGTAATTTTTCTTCAGAATTATTATTTGATAACTGTCTTGTAGTTTCAATAAATTTTTTATCATCAATTTTAGAATATCTTAAAGAATTCATTCTTGATACTGGAGGATGAGGTTGAGGTTGAGTTTGAGGTTGATTTTGGTTTTGTTGTGATTGTTGTTGTGAAATCGGTGGTGATTGATGATTTAAACCTATAAGCGGTGATGAGATTGGAGGAGATGTAGGGTTCCTAGCTGACTGTTGGGGTGAAGTAACTGAAGATGATATACTTCCTTGTGATGAAATTATTGGAGTAAAATTTGAATGACCAACACTTGCATAATCTTCTCCTGATATTAATCCATGTTTATTAGGAGCTATATTATCATTCGATATGAACTGAGGATGTTGATTTGAATTAAATTGATGATCTATTGATGGAATATTATTTGTATGTTCACCATTTGGTGATGATTGTGATAAGCATGATTTTAAATTATGATCTTGTTTAACTACAAGTGAAGGTAGCTTTTTATCTTTTGATAATTGACTAGTTGAAGAGGACTGTGATTGTGATTGTGATAGTGATTGTGATTGTGATTGTGATTTGGCTTTATCTTTACCATTTTGATTATCGATTAAATCATTTTTGCTCAGTGAATTTGGTTTGGTTGGCGTTGGTTGATGAAGAAAATTTAAAATCGGATCATTCAAGTTTGATAAATTGACTTTTACAGTTGATTCTTCTTGACGTTGACCACTAGGTCCCTGAGATGTGTTCGGAGTAGTTGATATCGAGGATGTTGACATTAGTTGATATTATTGATATGTAATATGATGATTAAAATAATAAATAAAATAAAAAAAAATTCAAACAAAAGGAATTAAACAATTGGAAATGAAAAGTTAGCTATGTAATATAATTGATTATAAATTGTTGTATTAATATAAATGAAGTGAAGGTTTATGAATAAGTGATGAAAATATAATGATTCTAATTATTTGGTTGTTAAATTAAAAATTTTAAATTAGTTTTATTTTAATGATAGAAATAAATTAGTAATAAAATTTCTATATAAAAAAAAAAAAGAGAATTTCTATTTTTTTACTTACTTACTTTTTTATTTTTAAACTTTCTTTTTTTTTTATTTTATTAAGAAATGTTTTATTATCTCATACATTTTATTTATTTATTTACTACGTATGTTTAATATTATTATATTATAAATTGATAAGAAATGAAAGAAAGAAAGAAAGAAAGAAAGAAATAAAAAGAATTAAATGTTTTTAATGACCTTAGATACTAGAATGAAGGGCCATGTTATTCTTTAAATGGAGTGACCATATCACTACTAATATTAATGGTGATGATCCCTTAAATTACTTTTTCTAAAAACTTATTCGCCACTAGTAATAAACTTCAGTACTATTTCTACTTCGAGAAAAAAAATCACACAATACTTTAAGTTAAACATCTTCATTTTTTGGTACAAAAATTAGAACAAAAAAATTTTATATTCTTAACATTAAGTTTCTAACTATTATACTGATATTCTAGCTTCTTTGAAAGTTAAAGGATTTTTTCAATAATTTATCCCGTTGTTTTTTTTTTAACAACCTATTTTATCGTGAAAATACTCACTAAATGGGAAAGATTGCAAATAAACTATCCGTATTTTTTGTCAGTATTATTTTCTAAAATTTTGTCTTAATATATACACGGCTCTGTATCTAAAAATTTTTGTTTTCATTAATAGCAATTATAAACTATTAGAAATATACAATAAGATTTATTTGTTATTTATTGAACGAGTAACATTGAAAGATTTTGCCAACCAGATCATTAAAAAATAAAAATTAAATGAGATCAAAATTGATTATATGATTATATATTTGACGGTGCATAAAAAGATCTTAATAATTTTTTCTTGTCCATCTTAAATGTATTATCGTATAAATTAATTAAACAACTGAAACAAATGTAATATTTCTTAAATTTTATGACATTTTTAAAAGACGGAAAATATACTGATAATTCAGACTTCGAGTATAAGAACCTGATATGATGTTGTAATTATTCAGTTACTTTCTAATAAATCTGATTTTAATCTTTGACTTCATATACTTAGAACATGAAACAAATTTTCACACAAAACAATCAAATTATTTTGCAGCAAAAATTTCCTAAAATTTTTAAATTTGGAGATTTGTGAAGTGAAGATTGATTTTATTGTTATCACCATTCACAAAATGATGTGTTTCAGTTCAGATCTCTTTATTGACATCTTTCCAGTTTTTTAAAAAGTTATCTCATTAAATTATCGTTATAGACATAAGTTACTTAAATCTACAGTCTACAAAAAGTCATCTAAGAAAGCAAAAAGCTTCAGAAATTAACTCAGAAATACAGACCAATGTTGTGCCCATTGATCCCCATCAATTTTTCTTGTAAAGTATCTGTCTGAACTATACAAGTCGTATACAACGTGATAGTCACATTAAACAAATTAGAAATAATTGAAGGGTAAATGGTTTAAATTGTAAGTAAAGGAAACTAGACTTTACAACGGATAAATAAAATTAATTGCAAAATTTCCTTGTACATCAATATAAATTATCCATAAGAATTGCGTTGAAATAATGGACAAAACAAATTAATATTAAACTTTATTATATTTCCATCAACATTTAAAGATATAACTTTGAATAGTTGATTGGCTTTTCAACAATCAAAAACGTTTTTTAAAATTGTTTAATGATTGGTAAGTCCTTTTGTATTCAAATTTAAATTTTAAATTTATCCTTTTTCATTATTAATTAATAGTTAATATTATGTAATTGATTACGTAATATGTGTTGTCAAAATTCTTTTATATCCGTTATCCTTTTTTTGCGGGGGAGGAAAGTTGTTAATTTAAAAAAAATAAAAAGACTGTGAAATTTTTTGAAACCAAAAATTATAATATAATACAAAATAATAAATAATATTTCAAAAAAAGGGGATTTAATCAATTAAATAATAATATATTTATTCATATATCTTAGATTTAATTGATAACTTATTATTTCTATATCTATATATCTATAAGATCTAAGTCTCATTAAAATGTCACCACCATCAAAGATTGATGAATCATATGCAGAAATTGAAAATCCAAATTCATGGTATACACCAATTGATTCAATATCAAAAGGAATTAATCATTTAACTGATTCATTTATTAATAAACAAAAGACTCATGATATTCAATTTAGATTAAATCAATTAAGAAATTTATATTTTGCAATTAATGATAATGTTGATGAAATTTGTGAAGCTTTAGAAGCTGATTTTGGTAGAGTTCCAAGTGAAACAAAAAATTTAGAATTATTAGGTGGAATTAATGAATTAGTTCATACAATGGCAAGTTTACATGAATGGTTAAAACCTGAAAAAGTTACTGATTTACCAATAACTTTAAAAACAAATCCAATTTATATTGAAAGAATTCCTTTGGGAGTTGTTTTAATTATATCACCATTTAATTATCCATTTTTTTTAAGTTTTTCTGCTGTTATTGGAGCAATTGCAGGTGGTAATTGTGTTGTTTTAAAACAATCAGAAGCAACACCAAATTTTTCAAAATTATTTACTGAAATTTTAACAAAAGCTTTAGATAAAGATATATTTTTTGCTGTTAATGGTGGTATTCCAGAAACCACTGAATTATTAAATCAAAAATTTGATAAAATTATGTATACTGGTAATGGTACAGTTGGTAGAATTGTTGCTAAAAAGGCAGCAGAAAATTTAACTCCTGTTATTTTAGAATTAGGTGGGAAATCACCAGCTTTTGTATTAGATGATTTAACTGATAAAGATTTAGAAATTGTTGCAAGAAGAATTGCATGGGGTAGATTTACAAATGCTGGTCAAACTTGTGTTGCAGTAGATTATGTATTAGTGCCAACTAAATTACATTCAAAATTTGTTTCTTTGTTAGTTAAAATTTTAAATGAAGAATTTTATCCAAATTTAAATGAAAAAGATCCAAATTTTACTCATATAATTCATGATCGTGCTTTTAGTAATTTAGTTAAAATGATTGATTCATCAAAAGGTGATGTTGTTGTTGGTGGAATAAATAAAGTTGATTCAAAATCAAGATTTATTCCACCAACTGTTATTGATAATGTTAAATTTTCAGATTCAACTATGCAACAAGAAATTTTTGGTCCAATATTACCAATTATTGAATATGATAATTTATCAACTGCTATTTCTGAAGTTGTTAGACAACATGATACTCCATTAGCTCAATATATTTTTACATCTGGTTCAACATCAAGACAATATAATAAACAATTGAATCAAATTTTAACAAGTGTTAGATCAGGTGGTACAATTATTAATGATGTATTAATGCATGTTGCTTTAATTAATGCACCATTTGGTGGTATTGGAGAATCCGGTTATGGATCATATCATGGAAAATTCTCATTTAGACATTTTACTCATGAAAGAACTACAATGGAACAAAAATTATGGAATGATTTTATGGTTAAAGCAAGGTATCCACCACATTCAAATGCAAAAGATCTGTTGATTAAAACTTCACAACAAAGTTATGCTGGTAATGTTTGGTTTACAAGAAATGGTAATGTACCAGTTAATGGACCAGGTATATTTTTCAGTTATTGGCATACATTTACTGGTGTTTTGGGTTTAATTGGAGAATTTGCATCTGGAAAAGCTTAGACAGACCATTAGTTATATATATAATTTAATACGGTTTATGATCACTTTTTATAGGAATTTGATATTTAGAGTTTCATGGTTTTATAGTTTTTTAATTCAATAAAATTTTTATATACTGAGAATCTATAACATGTAAGAGATAAATTATTGTTAAATAATATAAATAAAAAATAAGGACAAACGATAGTTGTTAAATCACTAAAACACTAACATAATTTAGGTTTTAAATTTTTCCAATTTATTTTAAAATTCAAATCTTCTTTCAGCTTCTTTCCAATTAATAACATTCCAAAGAGCTTTAAAATAATCAGCTTTAACATTTTGATATTGTAAATAATAAGCATGTTCCCAAGCATCAATAGCAATTAAAGGAATTAAATTTGGATCAGTTATAGTATCTTGATTAGCAGTAGTAATAATTTCTAAATCACCACCATTTTCTTTATTTTTAACTAAAAAAGCCCAACCAGAACCTTGAATTCCTGCTAATTTTGAATTAATTAAATCAATTAATTTTTCAAATGATCCATATTGTTTTATAATTTGTTTACCTAATGATGAATCTTCAGAAGGTAATTGACCACCACCATTTGATTGAGGTGCTAAATTTTTCCACCATAAACAATGATTTACATAACCTCCACCATTAAAATTAATAGCTTTTTGTAATGCAATTAATTTTTTAATTTCTCCCTTGGATTTAGCTTCTACAGCAGTTTCAATTGATTTATTTAAATTTTCAACATATGTTTTATGATGTTTATTATAATGTAATTCATTAATTTGTCCACTAATATATGGTTCTAATGCATCTAATTCAAAATCTAATTCTGGTAATGAATATTTTGTTCTAATTGAACCAATAGATGCAATTGTGGTTGGTTTTGCAATTGATGAAGTAGATGCTTTAAATAAATTTCTTGAAGCTAATTTAAGCATTTTTGTTTGATATCAATTTGATAGATGAATATATATTATAATTGACTTTTTAAAAAGAAATACTAGTTGGAAAATATTATATTTTTTTAATAATTGAATCTGTGGATCATTTAATTAGAAATTGAAATTGAAATGGAGGGGGTTGTGCGGAAATTCTGAAAAACTATTATAGTACATAGTGAATAATAAATTAATTGCTATTTTTAATTGGTTTAGAATACACTACAATTTTTTATATTTTGCAGCCATTTTTAACGGTACCGAAATAAAACAACGTTTTATATCTATTAATTTATAAAAATATACTTTATATATACATACAAATTTTTTACATTCTTTCAACTGGAGTTAAACCTAATAATTTCATACCATTATTTAATACTTGTTTTGCAGATGCATATAATGCTAATCTTGCAATAGCAATATCTTTTTCTTGACCTGCAACCCATAATATATCATAACATTGTGAAACAATATGAGTTAAATTAAATAAATAAGTTACAATAGTTGATGCTTCCATATTTTTTGTTGTCTTTTTAATAACATCTGGATATTGAGCAATAGTTCTGATTAAATTAGATGCACATGGTTCAACTAATAAATCGAAATTTGCACTTTCTAATTCTTCTTCACTTATATTTGATTTTCTTTGAACTGAACATAATCTTGAATGAGCATATTGTAAATATGGACCAGTATCACCTTCGAAAGATGTCATTCTATCCCATTTAAATTCATAATTTAAAATTCTTTTGGATTGGAAATCTTGTATCATTACTGCTGATATACCAATTAAATCAGCAATTTTATCAGGTTCTTCAATTTGTTTATATTTTTCTTCATTTTTTTTCATAACTTCATGCATTTTTTCTTTAGTTTCTTGTAAAATGTTATCAAGGAAAACAACATTACCTTTTCTAGTAGACATTCCTTGAACCATACCAAAATTTATATGTTCTAAATTATTAGCCCATTCTAATCCCATTTGTTTTAAAATCTCAAAGAATTGTGCACAATGTAAATCTTGTTGTGATGCTACTACATAAATCATTTTATCAAATTTATATGTTTCATAACGTTTCATTGCTTCTCCAACATCACGAGTTAAATAAAGTGATGTACCATCTGATTTTTCAACTAATGCTTTACCTAATTTTTTATTGAATTTAGTTAAATCAATTAATTTAGCTCCACGATCAACATGTATTAATCCTTTTTCTTCAAATTGTTTAGTTGCATTTTTCATGGTTTCATGTGGAACTTGTGATTCACCTGAATAAACATCATATTGAATATTTAATCTTGCATATGTATCAATATATCTTTCAATAGATAAATCTCTAAATCTTTTCCAAATTTTTAATGCTGACTCATCACCATCTTCCATTCTTCTAAAAAATTGTCTAGCTTCTTCGTTAGTAGATGATTGAATTTTTTTTTCATCTTGTTCTGATGCATCAAATTCTCCGGATTCTCCAATTGTTTCACTTGTTTCATTTCTAACATCATTATTAATTTTAACGTATACTTCAAATAAGTGATTAATTGGGTCTTTAGCTAATTGTTCTTCTGATCCATATTTTTCAAATCCAACAGCTAATAAACCAAATTGTTTCCCCCAATCTCCTAAATAATTAAATCTTTTAACTTCCCAGCCGATTTTTTCATATAAATTTGAGATAAATCCACCAATAATAGTAGATCTTAAATGACCAGCATGGAATGGTTTTGCAATATTTGGTGAAGAAAATTCAACTATAACTTTCTTACCTTCACCTAATGGTAAATATCCATAATCTTGTTTTCTTTTCAATACATCATTTATAGTTAAATCAAATAATACATGTTTATTGAAAAAAAATTGCAAAAATACACCTTGTGATTTTATTTCACTTATAAATTTCCCTTTATCAAATTTTTCAGCCCATTCTTTTGATTTTTCATTTGGATTAATTCCTTTTAATTTTAATTTTGGTATTGGTATAATTACATCACCTTGATCTAAAGTCTTTGTATTATCTAATGCTTGATATATAGTATCTTTATCTACTTCAGATATACGATTTAATTCATCTGCTATGTAATTTCTGAAAACGTCAATAATATTATAATTTGGAAATGACTCTTTAACTGATTTTGGTTGTTGCAAACCCAATTTTTCCAATTCTTGAGTTATTGTACTGACTGATGACATGATTGATCTATGTTGTATGAATCTTATCTTTGATGATGAAAGGGATTTATATGCAATATTTTTGGTTGTAATTGAAAACAATCTCAATATTTGCATTAACTTTGATCAGAGATGACTAAATTTTTCAAAATTTAAACTTTTTTTTTTTTGGTGCAGATAAATAAAAATCTACATATCTTTTGGAAGAGATTTAGATCTTCGTATATTAAATCAAGCCGTTAGATGATTTGTGTCGAGGTATGACTCAAATTGATGTAGCTATTAATCAAAGGTATAAAATGAGCTTGTTTTTTCAAAATGAGTAATTGAGTAGTCCTACTTGGTTTTAAGACCTATCTCTAATACTAAACGTTGAGTTGTGGTGACTTTAAAAAAGACAGAGCTCGAAAATATTGGACTTCCAATTCTACCTTTGAAACTACCAATTCATCTGAATGATGTTCTGGAATATGTGGGGGCCAGTAAATGGTCTATCATAGAAGTTGGCGATAAACGTTTAATAACACTTTTGTGCTACTTATCATTTTTGAAACAATACTCTTACTAAAATTATTTAGGCAACCACTTTTATTTTGCAAATAGATAGCATCCAATTATTCAATAATAATATACCAATTCAATAAGGCTTAAAAATGGATGATGGGAAAGTTCAACAACTACAAGAAATGGGATTCAGCAAATATGATTCCGAAAATGCATTGAAGCAAGCAAATTATAATCTTGAAAATGCAATAAATTATCTATTTGAGGGAACACTAGCAAATGAAAACCATAGACCAGAACCATTACTTAATGACAACTATAACAGCGATACCGTACAAATACTGAACCCTCAAGATATACCACATATTCATCAATTGACGACTTACGAATCAAATAATAATGATAACAACTGGGGTGAACCAATTCTTGAAGAAGTTACATTTTTCAATGATCCAAGAGAATTTGAAAGAAATAAATCTATACCTCCAGCGGTCGTTTCAGTCTCGCAAAATGGTGGATGTGTAAGTGCCTTGTTTGTAGTTCTAAGTCAAATTAGTTATTTGAAAAAATTAATCCTTAGCCAAAATTTACAACAAGATTTCACAGAAGATTGGTACAATAGTGGTCAACAAATTACTGAAGAAGGAGGTTTAACTCAAATTCAAAGAATTTTTGCATTTTTCACAAAGTTAAGTGAACGATCCTTCATAAGTGCAGAAGGTTTATGTAATGCATTACCCGAGGAATTGATAAATTTACAAGGTGATAGTTGGGAGGAATCATGGAATCTCGTAGCGGATTATTTGATGCAAGAAGTTAACAAGGAGTTAGATCAAGATATAAGAAGGTTTTTCCTTTCAAAATTCAGAATCGACGAGGATGATGTAAGATATATGAAAGCTATTGGGATTGAATTTGCAAGTAGAGATCATTCAATTACTGAAACATTAAATGATGTACTAAGTAAAGCAGAAGGGATGTATGAGATAATGTCACCTATGTTTGCAATAGAATTCCAAGGTACTGAATATCCTGAAAGTGCTCGATCGTTCACTATTGAAGAATATATATATCCAGAACTTTATTCTTCTAAATATCGTCAATTTATAGATGAAATGGATTTAACAAAAGTCAAAAGTGCAGAAGAAAGAAAATTAACAACATCAAGAATGATGTCGTTAACCTCATTTGAAGGTAAGAAAATAAGAAGCATCCTCGAAAATACAAAAAATCATTTACTGAAAATAGATAAAGAAAGTTCTGATGATATTTCAAGACTAACAGAAAACATAGAAACTGAATATGCGCAATTGGGTGAGACTTTACATAGAGCTAGTGATATTTATGCCAAATACGACTCATCTAATCCCCAAAACATTTTAAAGTTAATTGAAGAAGATGAAACTTTAGAATCACCATCAAAATATGTATTAATTGCAGTAATGCTATCTGAATCACAATATTTATACAGAACTTGTGAAAGTAATTCAAATGGACCAATATGGAGTGTATATGCTAAAATGGCAAATGAATTTAGAACTGAATATTTTACTTTTGAAGATGTGGTAAATTATGTTACAGAAGAATTAAATCAAACTTCAAAGAATGTTCTATTTGTTTATGCAGACGAAAAAGTTTTAGAAAATGAAGAAATTGAATATTCGTCTAACTTGGTCGAATTTTTCAAAAAAGATAATGAATTAATTAAAGATCAAATTGAGGGATATGAGGCTGAAGATATAAATATTGATGAAAATGATAATGATAAAGTAAATGTTTTTGGTGATTTCAATGATGATATAATTGAAACTGAAAAATTAATAGAAAATGACTCAAGTTCAGATTTAGAATTAATCGATCTCAAGTAGCTAGTAGCATAAGTTTATAGAATAATTTAGATGATGAAATATTGACTATAGAACACTTCAGTTAATTTCTATCAATGCTAATGTTTAAATTATTGATAACTCATACATTCAAATTCTCGGTTATACACCAAAAAAAAATAATTATTATTGAATTAATTTAATTTACTTGTTCTTTTAACATTTTCCAGATTTACCAAAGTATAACGACTAATAATGGATTATGATGATGAATTTGAGAATAATAACCCATTTGCAGAGCCACAGGATATAAATCAACAAATTGACACCAGTACTCAACAACCAAATTCAATAATTCCTGAACACGAAGCCCCTAATCAAAGTCAAAATCAACCAACTCAACAAAATAATCAACTGGAAAATTCTGAAGATAGGATTTCCAAAACAGACCTTAAAAAACTACTACCTGAAAGATTTACTCATAAATATAATCTACATATAAAACTAATAGGAATTGAGAAAAATAAAGCTGAGAATCCTATATTAAAACTAGAAGCAATAGTTTCTGGATTACCAAAGTTTAGACAAAAAGAATATAAGGAGTTACGTCGAACATATAATGAAGTTGTAAAATTTAATAAATATTTATCAATATCAAATTTAGAGGTATTTGTACCTGTAATACCCAATGTTAATACTTCATATCCATCTGGTGGAGAAGATGAAAAGAAACAACTAATGATTGTATGGCAAGAATGGTTTAATAGAATAACGGCAAATCCAATTTTGATAAGAGATGAGGAATTTGTATATTTCATTGAAAATGATTTTGGATATAGTGTAATTAATAGTAATAAGAAATCATCAGTTGCAAGTGGAATAATGAGAAAGACATTAAAACAATTTTCTGTACCTTATGATCCATTTGAAGAATTAGCAGAATTTAGACCAACTATTAAAAATGCATATTTAACTTGTCAAAAATTACATAAACTATTAGATAAAAATTCGAAATGTGAAAAACAATTATCAATTCATGTGTATGATATGTCAAATAAATTAAATGTATTATCACAATTTGAAAATACTCATCCTGGAATGAAGAACATGTGGGAAAAATTAGGGAAAGTTATACAAATTCAGTCAGACTTACTACTTATTGAATCTATTAATGAGATGGCAGTACTAGGTGACGGAATTCAATTATTAATTAATGATTTTTACGAAATTAAAGAAGCATTAACGAATAGATATTTAATAATGAGAGAACTAATTCAAGCAGAAGCACAAACTAATCAAAAACAAGTACAAGCTAGTAAAATAAAAAGCAAAATTTCATTAGATCCTATAAAAGTAGATGAGGCACTAAGATCATTAGAATATGCAGCAAAAGTTCAAGAATCTTTAAGTTTACAAGTTAAAAGAATATCAGGGGAAATGCTTTATGAAAAAGATGAAGTTGAAAAATTTGTTGAAGTTAAATTTAAAAATTTACTTAAGTCATATGTTTTACATAAAGTTGATCATCATAGAAAAATTTTAAAGAATTTTGAAACTATTAGATTAGATGTGAGATGTGTTGATGAAAAAGGTGGATTATCAAGATTAAATAGAGATAATTTATCAAATTTAAAACATAATTTATTTCAATCTCAATCTTCCCAAGGAGATACTTGGTCATCAAGAACTTTTAGATCATTAGAAAAGGAAGAGGAAACAAGACAACAAAAGAAAGAATTACATGGACCATTACAACAACCTATTGTTGATGCAAAAAATGCTGCTTCTTTATTAGGTGTAGCTACTTTTTAAAAAGAAATTGGAATATATAGAATTTCTAGTGTGGATGAGATATTTATATATGTATATGCTTAATGAATTGTCACAATGAAGATGTAAAATTGTTCAACTCTGTTTCTCAATTAAAACAAAATGGGAATATAAATGATGAAACAATAATAACACAAATTTGATAGAGAAACCAAAAAATGTAAATAAAAAAAAATTATAACAATAAAGAAAAATAAAAATACAAAATGAAAAAAACAAGATTTATTTACAACAACACTTTTTCAATATCTCATTAAGATTCATTTCTCAACGACTGAACGATCATATATCGTTGTCTAAGATATCTGATAAATGATCATATTTTTATAATAACAATTAACATTAATTTTTGCCATTTCTACAAATTATAAATACCACATAAAAAAATTAGATCACATATAATATATTATATATCTTACAACCAAATGTTTTAGAAATGAGTAATAAACTTGCACCTGTAACCGAAAGTGAATATCAGGATACAATTCGACAAATTTTAACTTTGAAAGTTCAATATTTAAAAGATGTTCTACGGTCTATTGGGTTGAGACAATATAAAACCAAGAAAGAATTAAGTGATAGTCTAATAACTTATTTGAACCAAGGTCGTAAACATGAAGATCATGTCAGAGCATTAGCTATGAGAACTTTAGTCTTAATGAAAATTAGTAATGAAGAATTACCAAAATATAGTGATTTATACAACGCAATATCACAAGGTAAATATAATGCACCACGATTTGTTGCAAGTGCAGCTCAAATTCCCACTGGTCTTCATGCTAATGATTCAATAGCCTTTCTAGGTCACAATTTATACTTTATTGAAGATCCATTTTATAAGTTGATCAGAAAAGTACATGGGAGCCCTCAAATATGTCTTCCAAGTAAAGGAAAAACAGTCAAAGAATTTAGATTTGTATTGACTAAAGAAGAAAATGCTGAACTAGAAAAAGAAGATCCGGAAATAAAACTTTATTTATTATGTGGGAAACAATCACGAGAAGAAGGCTCAAATTCCCAAAATTCGCATGATGTTGAAGTTGAATATCCTCACCAAGTAGATGTTTGGGTTAATGGTGAAAGAGTTACTAAAAATTATAAAGGACTTAAAAATAGACCTGGAACCGGATCCCCAATTGATTTAACAAAAATGGCATTAGGACCACCAAAATGTAATAAAATACTGTTTGCTTATGAAAAAACTGATGATAATTTTTACCTTTATTTATATATTGTTAGAACAGTTCCATTACAAACTGTTTTTGAAAAAATTATAAAAGCACCAAAAATTAGTAAAAATCATGCAATCGGACTCATCAAAAAAGAAGACGATGACGCTGACGGTATTGTTATGAACGATCTATCAATTTCAATGAAAGATCCATTTTCATATCTAAGAATTAAGTATCCAGTCAAAGCTATCAACTGTAACCACGTTGAATGTTTTGATGCGTATTTTTTCCTAAATTCTCAGTTACAACAACCAACTTGGGAGTGTCCCTTTTGTCAAAAGATGCTTGAAATTCAAGATTTAGGTATATGTGAATATTTTCAAGAAATTTTAGATAATACAAGTGATGACATTGAGTTTGTATCAATTAAAAAAGATGCTACTTGGAAACCGGTGATAGAAGCTGAAGAACCTAAAAAGAAAAAACCTACCCTGTCCAGTGTTGAACCAGAAGTAGTGTTACTCAGTGATTCAGAGGATGAACAAATAAATGAAAATGTTGGTTTGGCATCATTAGCTAATACACGAAATTCACCAAATACTTCTCGTGCTCCATCTACTGAAATTGGTTCTAGTAGAAGAGAAATTTCAGCTCCGGTAACGACAAGTCAGTCACCCCATTTAGCTACCATTCAACAACAGCAAACTAGCGATTTCATTAGATCAGCACTTTATCCACAATCTCGTCCATCTTCATCTCAACCTCAACCGCAACCGAAAGCTAAACTTCAACCTCAACCTCAGCCTCAACCTCAGCTTCAGCAACCTCACATTCAAGCTCAAGCTCAAGCTCATAGTCAAACTGAATCTCAGACTCAACATCATCAACCTCAACATCAACTACCTCAACACCAACTACCTCAACATCAAGATTCTCAAATTCAACCCCAGCCCCAGCAACACCAATCTCAACAACAACGACCTCAAGTACAAATACAAGTACAACTCCAAACTGAAGCTCAAGTTCAAGCTAAAGCTCAGACTCAACAACAATCACAAACTCAAACCCAGGCTCAAACTGCCGGAAAAGAAATTCAACGGCAACCACAACCACAACCACAACTGCAACTGCAACAACAACTGCAACAACAATTACAACGACAATTGCATCGAAATCCACAGCTGCCGCAACTACATCAACATTATCAATTATCACCAAATGTTGGGGGTAACAGAATTTTAGATATATTTTCCAAGCCACCTGCACCGTCTGATATTTCACACCAAAAGCAAAATCCGCAAGCTCTACATACAGATCTGCAAGCGCAAAAGACTACATGCCCACACATTTCAAAGCCCTCGCAGCAGCAACTTCAATATCCTCAACCTCATAATTCTCAACCTCAAAACTCCCAACCTCATAATTCTCAACCTCAAAGTCCTCAAAATTCTCAGCAAATTAACCTCCAGCAACAAGCCCAACTTCAACAACAAGCCCAACGTCAACAACAAGCCCAACGTCAGCAACATCAACAGCTTCAACAACGTCAACAACGTCAAATACTACTACTACAACAACAACAACAACAACAACAACAACAACAACAACAACAACAACAACAACAACAACAACAACAACAACCACAACAACCACAACAACACCAACATCAAGATCAACATCAAACGGAGTTACAGAGAAGACAACAAGAAATTTTTAGACAACGAGAAAAAGAGCGTAGAATTCAATCAGATGGATCAATCAATGGCACTACAAAAATTTTGACTCAAAAAGTTCCACTCTCAAGAAATGTTTCAGCGGATCAATTATCTCAATCAAAATTATACCAACAATCTCAATCCATGAATCAAAGATCTGTCCAACTGGCTAATGTACCTACATCATTGTTCCAACAATTTCTTTTAAATTCCAATGGATCATCACCTACCATTAGTCCCGTCACTAGTCATACCTCAGCTCAACCTGATGTACCTGTTAGACAAAACTCAGATCAATCATCCAGTCAAAATTCTAACTCCGAGACTTTACTACAATCATTACATGTACCTTCACGATACCAGCAACAGCAAATGAATCAAAGTAGACATATAGAAATGGGTAAACTCATCCAGCAACAGTATCAGCAACAACAACCACAACATCGAAATTCTTTCAATACTTTAACTCCTCAGCAGTTCAAACTATTTAATGAAATTGCCAAGCATCAACAACAGCAACGAGAAATTAATGGTACAGCTGTTTCACTTCCTGAAAATCGTCTTAATACGACTGATAATCCACAAACCATGGATGTTATAGATAAAATTTGGGAACAGGGGATTTCCGAAGCATCAGAACCAGAGTCTACTACATTTCACAATGGAAATAATTTAAATCATACTCCTCCTATTTCACAAAGCTCTTTGGTAATTCTGAATTCCACGAATGAAAATGGTCAAGGTCAAGTTTCACGTTCAACGGTTTCATCCCGTTCAACTGAAGTTAATGCACAATTAATTACACCACAAAATGCCGGTTTAGATCATAATAAATTAAATCAAAAATACTCCAACTTATATATAAAATCAAAACAACCTACAGCTTTGGAAAATGTGACAAAATTAAAGAGCTCTCTACTATCAAGTATACCGAATGAAAGTACGTTACCAGGTAATAAATCAACTAATCCAAATAAACCTACTGAATCACAACATCAAGTTTCAGAAAATTTAACTGCACTTCAAAAATCCATTTCTGTTGCAGGCAAGGATGAGTATAATAATTTACCGCAACACAATTCGAGCTTGAGGAAAAATCTGGATCCTACGGATGTTTCAGCTGATCTAAGAGCTACCTCAAATGTCAACGACAATAGATCATTGGTTCGTGTTAATAATGAGAACAACAACAAGCAAGCTCAATCAACTCACCAATCATCATCTTCAGGTCTTGAAAATCCTTACCAAAGGGAATTGGCTAAAACGTTACGTCAATTTGATATAGAGACTAATACTTTGAAATTTGGTTTAATGCAAATGTATAGAAACGAACCTAGATCCAAGATAGTATCTTACATAGCGAAGTTATCTCAAGATAGAGAGAAATTAAGATCCGAGTTTATCAATTCATATTTAAATACTTTTGAAACTGCAAATAGATTAAACTCCCTATTTCAACGTCAAAACTCAAGTTCGAGAAATTCTGGTACTTTTCAAACTACAACAGCTTCGACGGCGAACACTACAACTTCAGCTACGACAAAATCTTCACCCGCTACCCCAACTATAAATAGACCAGGTTCTCAATTTACACAATCTGACGGGGACATTTTGGGAATTTTCACTCATAAATCTCATATGACTCAAAATAACGGAGAAGATAACCATTTTACAACACAAGTTACCAATAATAATACTTTGCAACAACAAACTAATTCACCTTCATTTAGTCCCACAACCGAACCTTTACATACTAATGCATCTAAAGCACAAGGTTCAACCTCATCAATTCATTCAGCTCAAAGTTCTCCTCATTTGTCAGAGACTTCTGCTCCAAATGCCTCTTCACAAAAACGTTCCAACATTATAGCCCCGGCTGATTTTGGTTCTCCAATTGGTATATCGACACAACTGTCTCCACAATTATCGCCAAATGGTAATTCCAATTTGGTTCAATCGCCAAATCAACCACTTAAAATTAGTCTGGCAGTTGTTCAAGAAAAGAATAATGGTACTTCAACATCATATACACATGGCTCCAAAGCATCAGCTACAATCCAAGCTAAAGATTCTTATTTATTCAATGACTCAATAGATCTTCCACCTATTCCACCAGAGAACAGATCAGAAAATTCATCAGTTTTCGAGAAAAAGAAAGATTCGGAAGAAGTTAAAAATAATTCGAATATAGAAAGAAGAGCTCTTTTTGAAATAGAAAATACGCCGGCATTAAAGAAACAAAAAGTTTCAATTTTAGATTTAGATTTTGCGACTGGTAATTTAGACGAAATCTCATTTTCAAAAGAAATTTCACCTGTCAATGATAGAATTGAAAGTCTTCAACTAGAATCAGAATGGCTCAAGGAATTAAAAGGTAGTGAAAAAAGAATCGAAGAACGAATTAAGTTAGGAACAAGTAATGATGATCCAATTGTAATTGAAGAGGATTAGTAAAGTTTAAAGATTGTATAGAATCAACACAAAATATAAAATTGTATTATTATTATTATAAAATGTATTATTATTGATACTTTTAATTTACTGCTCTAGTCAAACTTTGAAAAAAAAAAAAAAATTCTATTCACATATAATACTGTAATATAATTGAATATATTTAACGTTTTGAAAGATTACATAGGACTTGGACCCAAATAATCTTCTTTAATACTTCCAATTGCGTATATCTCATTTACATCAGTTCTTGTACCTACTATCTTCAATCTTACTTTTGAACCTTTCTCTATATTTTCATCTGCACTTGAATAAGCAGGAGGATTCGCTGATGGATTAAATTTCATATCACTTGGTATTAGATGAGTACTTACAAATACTGATAATGGCCCAACATCTGCAAAAAAACCCATTTTATTTACTGTTGTAACTACTGCATCAACTACCTCACCTTTAAAAGGTTTCCAAACTACTGCTCTATATTTAACTTCAAATTCTGCCATACCAGAAGTTGGTATTATTCTACCTTTCCCAACATCTATATTCATTGAATCTAGGACACACACTATATATCCAAATTGACCTGTACATGTTCCTTCCACGTCACTTAGTAATTTGTCTCTAAGGTATTGATCCATTTGTGGTCCGAAAAATGATGGATGTAATGTTATATTTAATGATAGATCTTTTAAGAAAAACATAATATGTGTATTAATTTTGTTGTATGTATAAATAATAAAATGGTATAGATCTTACTTTAATAGATAATATGAAGTATGATTATGATTTTAAACTAATTTATTGAATGAATGACTTTTAAACTATGAACATATAATACAATTGACGATAAAAATTGAAAAAATAAAAATAAAAAATGAACTAAACTATAAGGACACTGAATCTGATGAACCCTATTGATAAGATAAAAAAAGTTGATAATAAGAATGCTAAATGATGATAAATGACCTCCCAAGAACTAATGGATGTATCACAAGTCCTTTGTTAAACAATAATACCCTTGTTGTGATCGTTTCAAAAATATTAGAAAAAAGTTTCGAGTTTTGAAATTTTATTTTTAGTTGAATATACACGACTCAATTTAACTATTGAGATATGAATTTTTTTTTCAATTCATTAGTAGATCAACCAACTAACCAGACCAATTCCAAAATAACTATATCAAAACTTCATTTTTAATGTCTCAAAGAATAGGGAATTCAGTGCTGGCACTTACGCGAGTATGGCATCATGTTGACGTAGCATCAGATCATAGAACATTAGGTAGACTAGCATCACAAATTGCAATCACATTACAAGGTAAACATAAGCCAACTTTTTCCCCCAATAGAGATCATGGAGATTATGTAGTAGTTACAAATTGTTCACACCTAAAGATAACGGGAAATAAATTAAAAGATAAAACATATTGGCATCATACTTCAAGACCAGGTACTTTGAATTTAATACCAATGGAAAGAATGATTTCAAATAAAGGATATGGAGAAATTTTAAAAAGAGCAGTAAAAGGAATGATACCTAAAAATAAACATAGATTAGTAAGAATGGATAGATTGAAGTTATATGATGGTGACGAACATCCATATAAAGATAATCTAATAGCTTTTGCTGATGAAATTAAAGAAATGAAAGAAAAATTGGCAAAATTAGAAATAAATGAAGCTAAAAGAGCAGAATTGAGAGCTAAATATTTATCCAATTAAATAAAATTTTAACGACTACTTGTATACTTGTAAATAAAAGTTTTAATGACATTTTTATTTTTTTCAAAAAAAAAAGGAATAGTCTATATGTATATTTTCGTTTTTATATTTTTAATTTTATACAAACTAAATTCTTTCTCTATGCACGAATACTAACTCCAGAACTTTCAGTATATAATCTTGGAGTAATATTCATTGCCATTAATTCTTGGAATAATAATTTAGCTGCATATGGAATATTAATTTGATAAATATTAGTTTTATTTTTACATGAACGACATTCAAATTGATTTTTTTTCAAATTTGCAATAACTGACATTAACCCACACATACCACAAACGTGAACTTTAAAAGCATCTGAAGCTTCCATTAATCTTTCTTTAAGGAATCCTGCTGCACCATGAGCAATCATACAATCTCTTTCCATTTCTCCAAAACGTAAACCACCATCTCTAGATCTACCTTCAACTGGTTGTCTTGTTAAAACTTGAACTGGACCTCTTGCTCTTGCATGAATCTTATCATCCACCATATGTCTTAATCTTTGATAATATGTTGGACCAAAGAATACTTGTGCCATTAATTTTTTACCAGTATGACCATTATACATGACTTCAAATCCTCTTGATTGATAACCATGATCTCTCAATAATTTAGATATAGCTTCTGCTGTAACATCTGTAAAAGGAGAAGCATCACCTTCAAACCCAGATAATGATGAAACTTTTGATAATAAACATTCAATTAAATGCGCAACCGTCATACGAGATGGGATAGCGTGGGGATTAATGATTAAATCAGGTACAATACCTTGAGATGTGAACGGCATATCTTCATGTCTATATGTAACACCAATAGTACCTTTTTGACCATGCCTAGATGCAAATTTATCACCGATTTGAGGGACTTTTGTAGTTCTCATTCTTACTTTAACAAATTTAGCTCCATCACCATTTGTTGTTAATAATACTTGATCAACTATACCAGATTCGGTACTTCTCAAAGGTGTAGATGCATCTCTTTTTGTATGATATTGAGTTCTTTGACCTAATTCTTCAGTATCTGGAGGTATTGGAGTAGTTTTACCAATAATTATATCTTCACCACTTACTCTTATACCTGGAGCAATTAATCCATCATCATCCAATTTTTCATAAGTACCATGTTTTAATCTTAATGTATCAGATCTTGAAGGTTTTTCAAAAGTTTCTAAAGCTTTCATACCTTGTCTTTTTTCTAAATCCATATAAGATCTGAAAAATAATGATCTGAAAAGACCACGATCAATTGATGATTGATTCATAATCATGGAATCTTCTTGATTATAACCAGAATAACATGCAATTGCTACAATAGCGTTTTGACCAGCTGGTAATTCTCTGAATTTTAAATGTTCCATAGATCTTGTTGTAGCTAGTGGTTTTTGTGGATAATATAATATGTTAGCCATGGTATCCATTCTTACGGAATAATTTGTTAAAAATACACCCATAGCTTGTTTACCCATCGCAGATTGATATGTATTACGTGGAGATTGATTATGATCTGGGAATGGAATAATTGATGCAGCTACACCCAATATCATAGATGGATGAATTTCACAATGTGTAAAAGTATGAGTATTACTACTACTAGTAGGTTTAATTCTTTTAGCTGGATCTAATTCTTGTTCTTCCATTTGTAAATCTTGTTGCTGTGTTTCTGTTAATGAACTTTTGGAAGCTTCTAAATCATCTGGTGTCATTGCAATCATAATAGTTTCTTCTTCTTCAGCATCAACATATTCAACAATACCTTCCCTTACTAATGAAGACCAAGTATATTTTGAATCATCTTCATCAGCACCATCAAATAAAGATTTTGCTAATTGAGTAACATGATCTTTCTGTAATTTCAAATCACCTTTAGTATCAGAATCTTCTTTGTCATCAACAATAAATAATGGACGATAAACTCTACCAGCATCAGTGAAGATTTTAAATTCTTTTTCTCTTATATCTCTAATAATAGAAACTTCAGGTGAAATATCACCATTTCTTCTTAATTCACGCATATTATCAACTAATAATGAAGGATCTCTATTTACACCAACCCAAACACCATTAACAAATACTCTTGTAGCATCTGGAGAATTAGATGGTACATAATCTTCTAAAGGTTCTAAACCCCAATCATTTAAAAAAGATATTATTGGTTCTGATGGCGTACCAACAGATATACATGACATTAATGATAAGTTTTTAACTAAACCACACGCTTGACCTTCTGGAGTTTCTGCTGGACATACCAAACCCCAATGAGTATTGTGTAATTGTCTAGGTTTTGCAATTTTACCATCTCTTCCAATTGGTGTATTTGTTCTTCTTAAATGTGATAATGTTGATGAGTAAGTATAACGATTTAAAACTTGTGAAACACCAGCTCTTGAACTCATGGCTTTCTTTTGTTCACCCCAATTACCAGTAGCTAATGAATATCTTAATCCATCAGTTATAGTTTGTGATTTAACAGCTAAAGTTAAATTGAATTCTTTATCATTTTCAACACATCTTTGCATATAATTGTAAATATCTTTTGTTAATTTTTTGAATAATATTCTGAATAAATTGGCTAATAAAGGTCCTGCTAAATCTAGCCTTTTTTTACCAAAATGATCTCTATCATCTGGTTCTTTTCTTTCTAATGCACACAATAATAATCTATTCACCATATAACCAAGGAAAAATGCTTTTCTTGTTTCAAATCCTTCTTCTTGTGTAATATTTGGTAATAATTCCTTTTGTAAAATATCTTTTGCATATTGTATACGTTTTTCTCTTCGTATACCAAGAACACCTCTTCTACCTATAAAATCAAGTGCAACTTCTCTTTCTTGTATTACAAACCCTTCTTCAACACAAGGTTTTAACATTTCCAACATTTGCCAATCATTTTGGTCATAACATATATGTTCTAAAATATCACCATCTGGTACAACACCCAAAGCTCTAAACACTATAACAATGGGTATATCTTCTTTTATATATGGTAATGTAGCTTTTATTGTTCTTCCAGAAACTCCTTTTTCATCACGTCCATATAATTTAATTTGCATTGATGATATTAATCTTGAACCTTTCTCCAAAGCTGACCTTATTTCTGCAACATGAGATATTGGTGATGGTGCTGCTTTTTTAAAAACTTGTACAATATTTGCTGCACTTCTTTCTTGTGCAATTAAAACTTTTTCAGACCCATTAATAACAAAATATCCACCCATATCATAAGGACATTCTTTTAATTCATAAAATTCATGTTCTCCTAAATCTCTCAACATACAAAATTTAGATCTTAACATTATTGGAACTTTACCTAAAAATACATGTTTTGGTCCATCTTCTCCTGCTATAAATTCTTCTTCCCAATCTAATTCATTATTTTCTTTTCTTTTATTATCATCTGATGTAAAAGTCTTTTTTGTCATATCAACATATAATGGTGATGAATAAGTTAAATTACGTAGTCTTGCTTCTTGAGGAAACATAGGATGAGTTGTACCATCACCTTCAGTTTGACTTGGTTTTGATATATAAATTTTTCCAAATGTTATTTCAAATCTTTTATTTTTGTGATCTTCTACTGAAGTATGTTGTGCTGGTTGATCTAAAATTAAATGAGAATCTTCCCAAACTAATTCTTGTATAGTAGATTCAATAAATTCATCAAATGAATCTAATTGTTGTGATACTAAACCTTTTTCCAGAAAAAATGAAGATATAACTGTCCAACAATCTTCTGGTTGAATGGATTTATCATCTTCATCATATCTATATGGATCATCCATAAGTTGATCTTGTGACATTATGAATTATATAAATAAGAAAGTGAAAGGTGGATTATGATTGAAGTGAAGTATGAAGGCGAGTTGTAAATGTCTTACAATTTTATCTGTTTATTTTTATTTCTGTTTATATTTTTTTTTTTCATCATACACAAAATATTGTGCGGGTTTACACTACTAATAATAAATATATTTGAAAAATTTTTGAAACAAAAGATATAAGGAATCAGAATCTATAAGATCTATTCAATTGTAAACACACCACCACCAAAAAAATGTCCTCTATAACGAGGATAAGTATAAGATCAGTACATCATAAACTAACACCATCAACATATCCAAAAGTACAATCATCAAAAGTAGAGTTAAACCCACCAAAATATGGTTTTAGAAAAATTAGACCACCAATATTAGCACAATCACCAACTAAAACATTATTTCCCAATTCAGAATTAGCAAAATTATATATAGAAAATGGTAAACCTATACCTAATAGATTTATGAGTCAAATAGATTCGCAAAGAGCACATGAAGAATTTGAAAAATTTCAAGAAAATTTATCATTAGATGAACCACATTTTACAAAAGGTAAAAATAAAGTATATTTACCTGGTGGTAGAATTTGTTTATTAAGACCAAATGCAAAACATACTCCATATCAAGCTAAATTTTTAGTACCTAAATCAATGAATAAAATGGATTTAAGAGATTATTTATGGAATATATATGGATTAAGAGCTTTAAATGTAACAGTACAATTACAACCAGCAACTTGGAAAAGGGGTCCACAAGATTTAGCTCGTTATAGAATTCCTCAATTAAAAAAAATGACAATAGATATGGCAGAACCATTTGTATGGCCAGAAGTATCACAAATTAAAATCAAAGAATTAAAACAACAAATGGATGAAAGTGAAAAAATTGTTAAACATAATATAGCTGATGGTTCAGATAAAAATAAGACTTTAGATGTTTATGATGGAATGTTTAAAGGTGACACTAAACCAAAAAGATATATACCAAAACAAATACTTAAATCAAATTATAATTCAGTAAAAGAAATAAATAAAGGACTTAATTCAAACGATAAGAGAAGTCAAGTTGCAAGTTATTTGGGATTGTAAATAAGATATCTGTAAATAGAAAATTTCAATACAAAAGTAATGATTTAATGTAATGAACAACTATTGCTGTATAAAATAACCAAGATTTATTTAAAAGATTAAGAAAACGGAATATAACAAAGAAAACTACTTAAAAAAACTATATGGAATCCACTATAACAAAATAAAACTGAAAAAAATAACCTGATCTTCCAACCATAACCTGAAATAAAAGTAAACCACCCTCCGACCTTGTATAATAGTATTTACCCTCTTAGAACTTGATAATGTTGACATTACCAGAAATACCCTTTACGTTTATTAACTTCACTTACATTTTCATTTGCAGTATTCTTACCATTAATTTCATTTTTTTCATCACTATCAATAATATCAAATTCTTCATTTATCTTTGTGGTGGTATCTTTTGAATCAAATCCAGTTTGTGATTCTCCATTCCCGGTAAATTTATTTTTCATATTCATTACCATTACAAATGAACTATCTAAATAACTTGCAAAATCATTTACATTTAAGTTGGAGTTACTAGTAGTAGCATTACTAGTATTTTTATTATTACTACCATTAAACCAACCACCACTTGATAAATTTTGTAATTTCAAAATTGAACTTAATTTCAATAAATTTTGAAAATCAAAAGGGTTTAAAACAATATTTCTAATTAAATCAATATTTTTTTCAATCCATGGTTTTAAAAAATTAAAAAATAAAAAACCTGAACCAGTTTTAGTAAAATTTTGCCATTCTATAGTTTGATCAAAATTAATATTTTCATTTAAATCATTAATTCTTGTAAATTTTGAAATCATTGGTAAAATTAACCATATATTAAAAATTAATTTTAATAAAGAATAACCTGGTAAGATTGTAATAAAAAATAAAAAATTTTCAAAAAATTGTAAAAAACCTTGAATAATCCAATAAATAAACCATTTTTGTAAATTAATTAATTGTAATTGTAAAATTTTTTCATCATTTTCATTAATTGAATTCAGTGAATTATAAATTAAATTTAATGGAACTGTAATACCTTTAATTTTAAAATTTTGTGATGAAATTGAATTTGTAATACTTGTATAATCTTCAAACGCTTTACATGAAGCAATGATTGGATAAACAATTGAAATTAAAACACTTATTATTATTTAGTTAGTATTTGAATTTTATAAGTTTGTTATCAAATCGTGGGGCAAAAAGAATAATATATTTTTGTGATAACTATTAAAAAACAGACATACTTTAAAATTGAAAAAATTCCAATCATGGTAGAATTAGTTAACTGATTGTAGTATTATTGATTTGTAATTGATTATATAATATTAGATAAACTGTCTTTGATATAATTTGTAATTGATTTTTCCTTGTATTATATTTGAAGTTTAATGATAGATATAATAAAATAACTTATCTCTCTTTATCTTTTTTTATCTATCTATTGTTAAATTTTGTTTCTCTCATAATAATAGATTTAGTATGATTAAGAGTTAAAAAGCAAATAAAATTATTAATGGATTAATTTAAGACCGAGTCTTAAGTTATCATTTTAGTATTATTACATTGATATTTAATACTTTTATATTAATTCAATTGGATTATGTATTATTAAAATTTTGTATATAGAAATTGATGATTTCTGCAAGAACAGTAGTAACCAACAACTTCTTATTTAATCTGATTTCTGTCAAAAATTGATACAATTTCTTACATTGCAAGTTAAGAGTTTAATTAATAGTTATTTTAAATCCGCTAATAAAATGACTATACATTTTCTAAACTATTGATTGAATGAATGATCTATAAAAGCAGATGTGAACTATTTATACACTATCTACTTCGAATAATTCTAGACATTGAATTTGAAGTATCTGTTTGTTCTAATTGTAATACTGAATAAGATCCGGAAAGAATAGACTTAAATCTTTTGAGGTGAAAAACTTTTAAATATAATTGACCCATTAGTTTTTCCAATTCAACACCAATGATGATAGGGCTATCATTTAAATGTCAACTAGAGGTAGACCATTGAAATTTGATACTAAGCTTTACCCTAATTATCACCAGGTACATTTCGTTCTATTTGAAAACTTTAAGGGGTATTGCTTAATTGTTTAGTCAATTCATCAATTTTCTTATTTAAATCACTAATGTCATGTCTCATAGCAGTTACTAGAATAAATAACCAAATGATAAAACCATAAAGAGATATTGTTGTAGACCCCAAAAGATTTAATTTATAATTTGCATTAACTCTAGTTGAATAAAAATTTGGTGGTAATCCTTCTTCTTCTCGATTTGATGACATTTCTATATTTTCGTTTTCTGGGAAATTTGAAGTTGTTGAATTTGAGATTCCCATAGTGTTGAATTTACTATTTTTAAGTCATTTAAGTCAATTGTTGGTTGTAACCATTGATAATTTAATCAACAATTTGCAAACAATAAAGTTGAAAGTAGTGCTATAATTTCAAATTTAATGTATACCATACTAAATGGAAAAGATAAGGAATTATGATTCTTTATAACTTCAATCTTTTGTATTATTGCACTGATCTGGTCATTACTTTCATAATTTACTTAGGTTGAAAATTAATAGAAATTTAGTAACTCATAAACACATTTTTTAAATTAAATTATATAAATAAAACAATAAATAATATTAAATACTTGAAAAATGTAAATGTCTATCATAAAAAAAAACAATGTACTCATTGAAATAATGTAATGTCAACCACCAGCAACAATCAAGTAAATTACTCAAATAATTAAACTTCAAATCCTCTTTTTTGTAATTCTTTTAAATTCCAATCCCAAGTTTCTTCACCATATTTTAAATTACTTGCATTTTTACTTGGTTTATCAACAATTCCACCAGTTACAAAATATTCACCAGAATCTTTCTTGATAGTTAATTCAGGATCCATACATGCTTTTAAAGTAGCTAATGAACCTTCTTCATTACTTACACCAATTAATTTATCACTAATTGCAAAAAATGCATTTGCTCCATATTTTATAATTGGAATTTCTCTCCAATGATTATATAATTCAGTACCTAATATAATACCTGGATGAATTGCAATTGATAAAATTTCAGGTTCTTTTATCTTGAGTTGTTTTATAATTTGAATTTCTGAAGTTTTTGCAATACCATATCTTACCCAAGTATAAATTGAATTTGGGAAACAATTTAATTTATTTTGTTCTGGTTTAAAATGTTTATAGGAAGCAAAATTATGACCAATTGATGATAATAATACTATTCTTGGAATTACTCCAGTTGTAGATTCTTTTCTTAAATATGGTAAAATATTTAAAATTAATAAAAAATGAGAAACAAAATTAACTTGATATTGAATTTCATAATCATCTTTTGTAATTTTATATGGTACACCCATAATACCTGCATTACCAATTAAAATATCTAATTTATTTTCTTTACTACCAAAATTTTTTACAGCTTTTGGAATAGTTGATAAATCTAATAAATCAATATAAATATGATGTAATTCTCCATATGGATGTTGTTTAAATTCCGGATCTTTTTCTAATTTTTTAGAATTTCTTAATTCAGCTTCTTTTTTAATATCTTCAAATGCTTTTAAAACTTTTGATTCAGTTCTACCAGCCATATAAATGATATAACCATGTAAATATAAATGTAATACTGTATACCAACCAATACCAGTATTACCACCAGTGATTAATACAACTCTTCTATCAATTTTTGGATCATAATATGGAGCAGTCTCTGGATTAAAGAATTTTGATCTATTTGGCATTATGATTGTAAGATTTTTGTAGGTGGGTTATTGATTAGTTTATTAAATGAATATAGTAAGTTAACAAGTAAATGAATAATTTAAAATAAATTAATGCATTTTTAAAATTTAATTGCTGCAAATTTGAGTTCTTTATATATATTTTTCCATGATAATAATAATTACCACAACAATCAAATAATTTAAGAAATTGTAAATCAAAAAATATGATACAAAATTTAAATTTTAAAAGTATAATAATATTTTGAGCATATGAGATTGAAAGAAGGAAGTTATGATTATTGATAGTAACTCAAGTCTTGACGGCAAAATATGAATCTTATCCTATGATAACATTATTTCAATGAATTAAGGTTCTATAGGAATAATTGAAATTTTCAAATATAATATTGGAGATAGGGTTTAAGGGATTGTTTTCATATAAATTAAATTTACACTTATTAAGGTACATATTCTAACATTTATATTTTATTATTAATAAAAAAAAAAGAAACTTTATTATAATTTGACAGAAAGATTAAAAATTATAGCCACCTCTTTCGATAAGAATCAAATTAATGGATTAATTTTAAAATTACCCTGTTTGAAAAGATGGAAATATTCTCTTTATATTTCAACAGTAAAACTGCTATACGGCTGAAATTATCCGTTTCCGTTTTTCAATTATTTGAGGAAAAATTATACTAACCGTTGACTTTCAATTAATCGCATGGCAACTACATTGGCTTGAAAGATTTAGGGGTCACGAACAGGTTGACAAAACCCATCAGCACAGAATGGATAATTGAGTTAATTTCACATTTCCGTTTAAATTTTGTTAATGAAACCTTTGTAATAAATTTTTTAAAATTACAGTCCAAATTTGAGACTAGATTTAAGGGATCTATTCAACATATATACTTTTATTATATTGTTATACAAGTAAATTTAAAAGAGAAGTTTTATGAATCAGAACTTTATTATCTACAATTATAATAAAAGTTTGCTGGTTCTATGTATTGAATTTTCTAATGTATAATAATATCTCAGGAGAATAACAGAGTACTATTATCTCACTTCTTGTCTCTTTAACTAAAATTTAGCTAGCGATCTTTTGATAATTACAAAATTCTTTGAAAGTTACAATTTATTAGTTGGTGTCATATATGTTAAAACTAATGGTTATTTTAGTTTGTAATTTATATTAAAACAATTTTAGATTAAAGTTATTACTATTAGTAGATAAGATATTATAAGGGTTTAAATTAAAATTTATGAAACAATTAACAATTCACTGAATTTTACAGCTTTAAATTTCCCTTCAACCTAATAAACTTTTCATTACTTATAGAATAGAGGTTGAGATTACAACAAATAAACTACAGAAAAAGCGTAATTTAATTTAACTTTTTTACTTATTAATGTTATTTTGCATCAAATTGTTACCAAAAAAAAACATTTTATTTTGTTACATTTGGTTGTGTTATTAAACTTTATCAAAATACAATAAAATGACTCAATTACTCAAATCAAATTTGATCTAGACCAAATATTAAATATTTGTTGAGCATTTACATTAATTTGGCTGACCTATTTTCTTTCAAATAATTCCAAGATAAATCTCAATTCTTTTATATATATTCATTTTAAATTTTTTTATACGTCGTAATTAAAATTTTAATACCCCGCGAATATTGATAGGAAATATAACACCGAAAATCACGATGTAAATTACTTTATTTGGATTTAAATCTAGGAATAAATTAAATTAATAATTTTCTTTTTATTTTTTTTTTTAAAGGAGTAAAAAAAAAAAAAAATCTATAAGTCCTAAACCGATTTTATTAATTTTCATACTCCGCTTTGATAAAAATAATAAATTATAAATCTGATAAAAATAGAAAGAAAGAATTAATGAAACAGATGATTTTTCAATTACTAATTCATACGCTTATTATTTCTGCCGTTTATTAATGGTCTGTATAGATAGTAGAAAAGGTTATTAAATATTATTTGGTGAACATACGATATATGTAATGATTTAAAAAAATATTTGTTGCAGTAATAAATGATATTAAAACAAATGAGTCTCGATCATCTGATACCAACAGTAAATGCAATTAAAAAAATTAAGCTTGGTAAGGAAAAAATCAAATATGCGAATGTAATTCTTTAAAGAAATAACCCACTTTTTCAATTGATTAATTGTCAAAAACACTCCTCTTTAATGTGCTGGAAATTTTATCAGTTCTTTTATTTAAACATATTGGAGATTTCAAGGAGAGAAAGAAGGTATCTAAAACCCTTTACAATTTTTTTTACAATTGCTTTCAACAATTAAATATTAAAATTGTACATTATTATATACATTTGTGTATAATGCACTTATAACAAACGTTGTAATATTGATATACTATTAATATTGTTTTTAATTTAATATGTATGCATAAACTTATTTATATATGTGTCTGTAAATATATAATTCTTTGTTGTAATTAGAAATTACAACATTTTATTAGTTAATAAAGGAACATTAATTTACTCCGCATTAAATAATAATTATTTAACTATATTCTCTTTCTACCTCTCCTATCTCTCTTCCTTACTCCACAATTCAAAATCATTCTTTTCATTCATTTGTAGAGTATAATAGCAAATAACTTTCAAACATCATATTCAAGTTATTAATCTATTACTAATATATAAAAAGAATGGAGATATAATAATAATTATATATGATGATGTTATTATATTTTAGTATACATTTTATTAATATAATACCAATAAGTTATAAAACACAAAATCAAACTCCGAATTAAACGTAAAATTCTATTCTATTGTTATCAATTAATATTAAATGTCTAAGATTATGCTACCAAATAATTTAAATAGAAACATTCATCAATCAATCAAATGTTTTATCATTCCCCACTTTCACCCCTCCCCTTTTTTCTACATTTTATTCGATCTATTTAATTCATTCCATCAATCTAATCTAACTAATCTTGAACCAATAAATCTTACATTATATCATCATTTTAATGAAACATTCTTATGTACATATTACTATTAATATCTTACATATTTTACATATAATTTAAAAATAAGATTATCTATTATATATTAATTAAACTTTATTATAAATCTATCTATCTATCTAATCTCTTTTTACTCCTATATTATTATAATATTACAATCATTAATATATATAATTAATATAATTTTCCATTTATTTTTTTTAATTTTAAATATTTAAATTTTTCAATTTTATTTATTTTATTCTTATCTTTTTATTTTATATAATTTTATAAATCATTCTAAATCATTCCAATTTTATTATTATCAAATATTAATTTTAAAATATCCTTAAAATAATTTGGTCTTCACATTTCATTAATCAATTAATAATCAATTTATACTTATTTAATTTAATCAAGTCCAATCGGTATTATAATTATATCAATATTATTAATAATAATATTAATTTTTTTCAAATAATTATAACAGAGAAAAAATCCTAATCTTTACAATTATTAGATTAATAATCAATTGAATAAACCAATCACTACTAAAGCTATTCACTACCATAATACATTATTATATGAAAATGATGTCAATTAAAACATTAGGACCAAATAATTTAATAAAATCAATTTTTTCAAAACAAAATGAATTAACAAAATCAGCAGCAACTATATTAGATTTTAAAAATTCACCACAAGAATCATTAGATAATATAATAACAAGATCAGATAAAGAAATTGGTGGATTTTCAACAGTTAATTTTCAATATGATGAAAATGAAAAATGTGGTCAATTTTCAGGAAATTTATCATTAGATTTACCAAAAAATAATCCTCAAATTACAAGATCTGGTTATGCAATGTTTAGAACAAAAGATCAATCTCAAAGTTGGTTAAATGGTGATAAATATTGGGATTGGTCAAATTTTAATAATTTAGTTATGAGAGTTAAAGGTGATAGAAGAAAATATTTAGTTAATATTCAAGCAAATACTCCTTTAGTTACTGATTTATTTCAACATAGATTATTTTTAAATAATCCTGGTCATTGGGAAACTGTTATTATACCATTAAATGATTTTGTTATGACAAATTGGGGAGTTATACAAGATGGATCAGAATTAAATAAATCAGAAATTAAAACTATTGGTATTGGATTATTAGATAAACAATATGGTCCATTTTCTTTAAAAATTGATACTATAAAAGTTATGACTGGTGGACAAATTTTACAAGATAATGAACATTCTCATCAAGATAAATTGAATATTTTAGAAGAGGAGAATAATAATTCTTTTAATGATGATGGTGGAGCTTTAGGTAGAAATACTTACTATAAAAAAGATTGATTATGGAAATACAATGAAAATATTAAAAAAGAATTATTAAAAAATGTTATTAAGTCATGATGCTGTTATCCAACAATGAAGTAAATTCAATTTCACATCTAAAATTTTTTGGCTGGACCAGGAAATGAGAATTGTTAAGAAAGGCAAATTCTACAAATAGATAAACTAGTGGATTAACTCTGTGTTAAGTATTAGTAATAAATTGAATTATTGGTTCGAGTTTATTTCATACTCGTTTTGCTTTTTTTGTGATAATTTAGTGCATTTATTTAGTTTATAATAAATGGGATATCAAAATTACTTCTTTATAAATCTGTAGACCATATCGAATACTATTTAAACAACAGGTTTTATATTTAAAATTAACATCGTATATGAGATCACGTTTAAAATCACATGACTAGTTTTAGCACGTGAATAAGCTTTTAAATCAGGGCTTCACTTATGTGACAAAATTATGCTACCATTTTAATGAGTTTGTATAAAAATAAATTACGCATTTTGAAATTTTTCAGTTTTTTCACTTTCTCTAGTCAATAACAACAACTCAATTATCATAACAATATAAATCAAAAATGGCAAGAGGCCCGTATGTTTCAAAATAGAAATATTTTGAAAGGAAGAAGAAAAGAAAAGAGTAAACAGAATGAGAAAATTCATTTATTGTTGAAATTTTTTATAAAGTAAGCCCATAGAATAGTAATATTTTATGGCAGTACCAGCTGATTTTCAAATTTGTACTTTATTGTATAATTTGTAATCAGTTTAGGATTTAAGGGAGCCTTGTCTTGATTTATTATTCAACTTTATAAGTGATGGATGGAATTTTTTCAATATGTGGATTAGGAAATTTCATTTTGTTCAGTGAATTGATTAAAGATTCTTCAGTGTTTTGTTAATTTGCATAGATCATGTGAGACTCTTAATTGATTCTTGTGAGTTGCACTTTTGCGATTAAGCAAGAATATATGACGTTACGCAAATAAACTTTTGAATTTTTTAGTCTATCTCACTAATTATCATTATAATATTCCTTTCTACACACGAAGCCATTCATCATCATCAATAAAATTTGAAGATAAATCTTGAACTGTAGTGCTCGCCTTCTCCCCGCAAATTCTTCCTTACTTTTAATTAAAGAATTACATAAACTAACTTTACTTTTATTATCGAAAGAAACATTTAAAAAGATTAGCAGCTCCACATCATTGGATGTTGGATAAATTATCTGGTGCTTATGCTCCAAGATCATCAGCAGGTCCACATAAATTAAGAGAATCATTACCATTAATTGTATTTTTAAGAAATAGATTAAAATATGCATTAAATGGTAGAGAAGTTAAAGCAATAATGATGCAACAACATGTTCAAGTTGATGGAAAAATTAGAACTGATTTAACTTTTCCAGCTGGATTTATGGATGTTATTACTTTAGAAGCTACAAATGAACAATTTAGATTGATTTATGATGTTAAAGGTAGATTTACAGTTCATAGAATTTCTCAAGAAGAATCTACTTATAAATTAGGTAAAGTGAAAAAAGTTCAATTAGGTAAAAAAGGAATACCTTATGTTGTTACTCATGATGGTAGAACTATAAGATATCCAGATCCATTAATTAAAGTTAATGATTCAGTTAAAATTGATTTATCTACTGGTAAAATTACAGATTTTTTAAAATTTGATACTAGTAAATTAGTAATGGTTACAGGTGGTAGAAATATGGGTAGAATTGGTGTAATAACACATAGAGAAAAACATGAAGGTGGATTTGATTTAGTTCATATAAAGGATTCTTTAGATAATGATTTCGTTACTAGATTAGGTAATGTTTTTGTTATTGGTGAAGAACAAGGTAAACCATGGGTTTCATTACCAAAAGGTAAAGGTATTAAATTATCAATTACTGAAGAAAGAGATAAAAGAAGACAACAACAAGGTTTGTAAATAAAATTGGATTCATTGGGGTAGCTAAAATTTTTTCATAGCATGTATAATAATAATGTATTAATTTTTTGATTTTTTAATCTCGAAAAACCCATGTGTATCATATTACCGCTTAAGCTATTTCTTAACCGATGGGTCGTTTCATGTTAACAATGCCTTGAAAATATTCTTATCTACTATTTAATTATAAAAGCTTTTCAAGTAATGCCCTGCAAATATAAGCACTTTTTTAAATTTTTAGCTTGAACCACTTCACATTGTTTGATAATAATTTTGAAACGTGTTTTAAAAATGATTGCAAAATAAAAAATAAAATATAAATTATTATTTATTTTATTTTTTCAGATCAAAGCTTGCTCATATAATTACACAAAAAGCAACCTTTTAAATCTTACATTACATATTTCAAATATTTGGAATCCAATTCAGATCAATTGGTTAATTGGACTTAAATTGAAATCATAAGTCATTCGGACTTAACTGACAATATCGTATCAATCATTACTCAATTGACTTAACAATCCTTATCATTAAATCAAAATGACTTCAAGATACAGAGTAGAATATGCATTAAAATCACATAGAAGAGATGAATTTATAGAATGGATAAAAGCATTATTAGCAGGTCCATTTGTATTACATGCAGATATTGAAAGTTTTGATTCGGAATTTCCTGAACTTTATGATATACCAGAAGATTCAGATATTTATTTAAAAGAACATGAAAAAGTTATTGCAAAAGATTGTCAAAGAAGGTATTTAGAAATATTTAAAGATGTTGAAAATTTAATTGAACATACTATATTAATTGATGAAATAAATGATAAAAATCCTGAAAGAAATTCAACTAGTAGATTAAGAAATTTAGTACCTTCATTAGGAAGATTTTTTACTCCATTACCATTAACAGAAGCATTTTTAATTGAAGATGAAAGAAGAGCTATAAGTAAAAGAAGATTAGTAAGTCCTTCATTTAATGATGTTAGAATGATTTTAAATACTGCACAAATAATGGCATTAACTAAAATATATAAAGATAAAGCAAAAGCTCATTTAAAATTAATTACATTTGATGGAGATGTTACTTTATATGAAGATGGTCAATCATTAAATGAAAATAGTGCAGTTGTTAAAAGATTAATAAATTTATTAAAATTAGATTTATTTGTTGGAGTTGTAACAGCTGCAGGATATCCTAATCAAAGTGGAGCTGAAAAATATCATGAAAGATTACAAGGATTAATTGATTATTTTAATAATCCAAATTGTTCTTTAAAGGATTCACAAAAAGAAAATTTATTAGTTATGGGAGCAGAATCAAATTATTTATTTAGATATAATAATGAAATGAAAGGTTTAAAATTTATAAATAGTGATGAATGGCTTTTACCACAAGTTAAAAGTTGGGATAATGATAAAATTACATATATAATGGATACAATTTATCAACATTTAGTACATTTAAGAATGAAATTTAATCTTGAACAATCAACAACAATAATTAAAAAGGAAAGATCAGTAGGTATTATTCCTAATGAAGGTTATAAAATTTTAAGAGAACAATTAGAAGAAATGGTATTAAGTTGCTCAAATAAATTAAATATTATATTAAGAGGTTCAAGAAAATCATATTCAGATTCTCATGAAGCTCTTATACAATTAAGAGATATAAAAGTTTGTGCATTTAATGGAGGTAGTGATGTATGGGTAGATATTGGTGATAAAGCTTTAGGAGTAGAATCATTACAAAAATATTTATGTCAAGATTCAAATTCTGAATTTTGTCCTATAACAAAAGCTGAAAGTTTACATATTGGTGATCAATTTGCAAGTTTAGGTGCTAATGATTTTAAAGCTAGATTAAGTGCTTGTACTGTTTGGATTGCAAACCCTGCTGAAACAGTAGCTATATTGGATGATTTAATAAATTACTTGGAGTAAGTATGTGTGGGGGTTTTTGATTTTTTTTACAATTAGAATAGTTTTATAGAAGTTTAATAGAATATAATAAGTTTTTCGTTTAATGCAAGTATCGTTTTTTATTATTCAATGACTTATTGATATTGGTAACCCATATATAACAGGAGCAGCACCATTTAAATATTTTAAAACACAAACGTCTCTACTTTTTCTTATAGATTCAGCAATATCAACAAATTTATTATTATCACTAGGAAATAATCCCCATTTTTCAAACATTGAAATTGTAAAAGTATCAATATCTTTATCAGTTACATCCCATAAATTTGCTAGAATTGCAGAAGATCCACAATTCAACCAATTTAAAATTAATCCCAGAGGTTCAAATTTCCCATTATCTTGAATTTCACCAGATGAACAACCAATTAAAAAACTTGGTGGTAGGTTCTTAATTTGAGTTGCTTTTATTAAATCTGATAATTTGACATATTGATCACAACCTCCATGTCCAATATATATGAATAAATTTGAACTTAAAATATTTGAAATAATTTTATTTTCTTGTGGTTTTGTTCCAATTATACCAGTCCATGTCTTTTGTTGTTCCATATATGTTCTAAATCTATTTTCACTAGATTGTAAATCACCACCTGGGTTGACTAAATAATAAGCATTTGATGATTGAATTTTCATTGGGTTTTTCAAAGTTTCCAAAAGCAGGGAAACACTTGGCATTCTGGAAATTGATTTATTTTTCAAAAATTCTAAAGATTCCCAAGGAAAAAATGCACAACGAGTACTTGGAATTAAAATGATATGTGAATTTTGATAGAGTTTTGATTTCGGATACCTCAAATATAATCTTTCCAATGAGTCATGTATGTTACTTAAATTGACCATCTTTTTGTTGTTGAGGTGGAATTGCAATAATTGAGTCATATAATTTAATAAATCGTCAATACATGAACGATCATATTTTTCTAATCCGAAAAAGCATTCATAAATAAATTCATTCCATTTTATTGATTTTTCAGTTTCATTTGAAATATTGGACTTCAAAATTTGAATTAATTCATCTTTGAAATTTTGGTAATGTTTATCATCACTTTTAGTAGAAAAAATTGATTTAAACCCACCAAACCAATAATTTTCAATATGTTCACATAAATCTTGTAATTCATAATCTAATGCAAATCTTGATTTCCACCAATTTTTTCTATCTTCAACGGTTTTAACTAAGGAAGTAGTTGAAAATTGAGTTGATTTTCTATTTTGTGCAAATATTTCTTTAAATTTTGTTTTTAATTCATCAAAACTTAATGTGTCTATTGATTCTCTTTCTTTAAATCTCGATAATGAAAGTCTTACAAATACTGGTACTTTGTTAAATTTTGATAATATTAAATCACCTGTTTGATCACATATATCTAAGGTTATGATCTCCCAATTTGAAGGAATTAAATTTAATTGATTTTTAAAATTTGTGAATTCTTGTACATAAGGTTTAGCTTGCTTATTTGTGAGTTCAGGAATATAATCAATTTTGCCAATTAATGCAAGGTCTTTGTTGTTTTTAAAAGATATTGATTTGATTAAATCTTGGATGAAGAATAACTGATTAATTAAATCTTTACCTTTATATGCACTTATGGATGAGATTAAATGAAGTGTTCTCGAAAGTAGATAATAATACTTTCTATGCTGTATAATTGACAAATTCAAATTTTGAGATAATTTGAGTAAATGATCTTTAATTTTTCCTAATTTCATGAAAATATTCATTGTTTTCTGATCTAAAATTATATCTCCACACGTAATTGATGGGAACAATTGTGAAGAATTTGGGAATACAATATTTAATTTGTAGTTGTTTAGTTCCTCGATGCACTCATTGTAAGAATCTTCAAGGCTGAATAATTCTTGATCGACTGAATTGTGAATAAAATGTATGAATCTATAGTTCTTAATTTCAAAATGACTCTCGAAGGTATCTTCGGGATTAAATTGAGGTAATACAAAAAAATTTTCAACTTCAAGTGATTCGGCTATGGACTTTAGATATTGAATGGTTTTGTTTGTACAAACTTGGTCATTTTCTACTAAGTTTAATGATGATGATAATATATTTGAGTTGATCAATTTTTCATAAATTTGAATTTTATAATTATTAACTTGGTTCACAGTAGGGATATTGTGATTCTCATTTAATTTGTTCCACTCTTTTAAAAATGCTATTATATTTCTTGACGATCCTAAATCAATTAATCTTTCAATTGCTAAACTAAATGCATCAAATAACAAATTACAACTTTCCCAAAGAATTTCATTAGCATCAGTTTCCTTCAAAATCTTGGAGCAGTTGTGAATGATAGATTGTAGGGACTGAATTGCACTTTTGATATTGGAAAATGATAGAACTAGATCGTTTGAATTTAACTTAGATACAATAATTTGTAATTGGGCCAAAATTATATAATTTTTCATTTTATCTACCAAAGGCAATGATTTTGAAGTTGTCATATCAAATTCTTCTCTCAGTTTGACCACAGATATAAGTTCTTTAAATTTTGACTTAGCCAAATTAAATTGACCATTTTCATACATTAAACATATTCTTTGAAGTTTATAATTGAGAACCATCTGAACGGTTAACGACTTAGCATTTTTCATCAACAAATGTATATTATCCAAAGATAGGTTCCATGCTTCATTTAAAGACAATTTAGCTGCAATATCACACATCTGAAACTCCAAAAATGTCTTAAACTCGTCGTCAAAATTGTTAGCTCTTAAGTTGGTGATTAAATGATATAGCTCCGACGTCATTCCGTTATATTTGAGAAATAATATGATTTGCTTTGCAATTGTAAGCTCTAATTCATTATGTTCATAATCCCAAGATTGTAGACTATAGTAGCAATTTTTTAAAACGTCTTTGTCCCAATGCGATGATGCCAACATCTTGAACATTTGAAAACCAAATATGACTAAGTTGTTATACTGAGGAATATCAATATCGGTACTATGCTCTATATTGTTGGCATTATAATATGCAAAAATAACTCGAATATCATTTTCATAGTTTACATTATATATTATTGAACTAAAAAGTGTCGACTTCTGAGGCATGTTTATATTACTGTCTTTCAAATTGAATAATCCTAGTATGTAGGAAATTCTCAAATTGCTTTCAATTGAATTAAAACTTGTTACGATTTCTGGCTGCCTTAGGCAGATTTTGAAAGTACAGTTGATCACCTTCTTTGTAGCAGGACATGCTTGTAGTATATTTGAAAAGATTTTGGAATCCAAATATTTAATTGAATTTAGTTTCAAGATTAACTTGTCCAAATTATCGTCAGTTGGCCATTGACTTATTATTTCACATTCTTTTTCTATTGAAAGATTTAATATACGATTGTCATTTAATTTCTTTCCCAATTGAAATAATAAAGTCACTGTATTTCTCATTTTTCTCTCTAATTTAAAGTAGCTGAAAATGTCATGCAATAATACTAAAGATGGTACTAAACTCTTACCTAAAGATTTTTGACAAAATTTTGTAATTGAGTCTAGTATGGTTAAATGAATTGTTGATAATTGTTTCAATAGGTGTGCAGAAGTGAGGAAAAAATTGAGAATTCCTGTTATTGATGTTTCGTTCAATTTGATTTCACTGAGTCTAATTAAAAACTCTTTATCATTAATTGATTGTCTATTAAATATCATTGCAAATTCATCAGATAGTCGTCTACCTTTACGTTTCATAGGGTATGAGTTAAGATCATGAAGTTTTTGTGACAATATATCTATATTTTCAACAGATTTAGAATCCATGATGAATTCTTCAATGCCAGGAACAACATTCAAATTTTCAATTCCTTCATTGTTTCCTGTAATTTCCAACAACTTTATTTTTAAACATATTACTTCTAGTTCACTATCTATGCTAATTTTATTTATCACCTTTATAAATCCATTTATTAATTTAATGCAATTGTTTGTATATTTTTGTTGATTTGTCTGACTCCTTGAAATCCATTGTCTTATATTGCTAGTTGTCAAGAATAATAATGGAACTCTCTTAATTATATTTGTGTCTGAGTCTGTATTTTGTTTTAATAAAGTTTGAACTAACCATTGCAAGGTGTAAAAATGAAATGCAATAATGATTTGACTTAGTTCTTCGTCACAAGATTTTATTGGTATTCCATTGATTAATACCAATTTGTCTACTGGTTTATGATGAATATCTAATTTTTGAGAAATTTGTTCGTATGAATTTATCAATTGATCTAATATCGCGTCAAATTGTTTTAACTCAAATAATCTAACAATAAATAATTGATGCTTTTTAAGGACTCCCAACCAAAAAGGATAATTTTTTGAGTATATCGTATATAAGAATTGTAGTTTTATATGAATTGATTGTATATATTGAATTTTTATATTTGATAATAATTCATTTAATGAATTTATACATAATGATTCTAATGATTTAATATCATATTTTGGTATATTTAAACTTTTTGATGGTGATAATGGTAAAGTATGTTGCAGCTTTATATAGGATAGTAAATTCAGATCCAAACTATCCATTTGATTTTAAGTAGCTGATTTAATTTTTGATATTTTTCTTTTGGTTGTAAAAAAAGTATAAAAATAAAGTTTTATATTTATTAAGCTTTTAAAACAAAAATATTAATAAATGTAAACAAAAAAAGAATACGAATAGATTAAAACTACCAAATGAATAAAAATGCTACCAAACTAAAGTCAAATTTATAGTAACAAAAATAGACTTTTGAAAATTTTCAGATTATCGTGAGCTCTAACGATTCAATAGATCAATAACCAACTAATAATAATGTTCAAAACACTAATAAAATCGTCATATATACAGCTCAATCTAATCTCAAATACTATAAGATCCACATATAAACCAATCACTTTCATCACATACAAATACTTTTCACAATCATCAATAAATTATAAAACAAATACATCAACTCGAACTAAAGAAAATGTACATGACTTGAAGACTTTTTTAGAATTAATAGGACGTAATTGTGTTGAACATCTTGATTCATTTGAAGGTGACTTGAATAAATTTTTAGAAACACCAAGTAAAAAAATGAAAGATATTGGAATTGATACAAGAACGAGAAGATATTTATTAAGATGGAAACATAAATTTATAAATAATTTAGAACCATTAAGAGAACATCCAAGAGGTAAAAAGAAAAATGGTGGTGAAAGAAAAGCTAAAACTGTTATTGCAAAAAGAAAAGCTTTACAAAGATTGGAGGATAAAGAAAAATTTAGTCAACAAGAAATGGATGCTGAAAATAGAGGTGAAAGATTATTTTAGAAATGAAGTTCAAGTGTGTTTGACTGTAAATAGAAGTAATATATTAATGCATTAACGTTTAAAGGTTCAATGAATTGGAGCAGTTGTTGAAGTTTTATGATTTAAATACAAGTTAAAAAGATTCTCTATAAAATCGGTTTGATTAATGTTCATTATTAATTATCTTACTTATCAATTAAACATTTTTATATGTTACATATACTCATTATCTCTTATTGATTAAAATTTAAATTAATTTATAATAAATTTTTAGCTTTAAATTCATTTAATAATGAGTTACCTAATCTAGCTGGTGATTTTTCAACAACAACACCTGCTGATTCTAAAGCTGCGATTTTAGAATTAGCATCACCTTTACCACCAGCAACAATTGCACCAGCATGACCCATTCTTCTACCTGGTGGAGCTGAAATACCAGCAATAAATGAAACAACTGGTTTAGCACCTTCTGGTCTTGTTAAATTATGTTGTTTTAAAAATTCGGCAGCTTCTTCTTCAGCACTACCACCAATTTCACCAATTAAAATAATACCTTCAGTTTCTGGATCATTTAAAAATAATGTTAAAGCATCAATAAAATTGGTACCTGGGAATGGATCACCACCCATACCAATAACTAATGATTGACCTAAACCAACAGCAGTAGTTTGAGCAACAGCTTCATAAGTTAAAGTACCTGATCTTGAAATAACACCAACTTTACCTCTTTTATGAATACTTGATGGCATAATACCAATTTTACATTGATCTGGTGCAATAACACCTGGACAATTTGGTCCAACTAATCTTGTTTTATCTTGAGTTTTTAAAATTTGAGCAATTCTAACCATATCTTTTTGCGGAATACCTTCAGTAATGGCAACAGCTAATGGAATTTCAGCAGCAATAGCTTCTTCAATTGCTGCAGCAGCAACAGGTGGTGGAACGAAAATACCAGTTGCAGTTGCACCAGCATCTTTCATTGCTTCAGCAACAGTTGCATAAACTGGTCTATCTAAATGTTTAGTACCAGCTTTTTTTGGATTAATACCACCAACAACTTGTGTTCCATATGCAATTGCTTGTTCAGCATGAAAAGTAGCTTGTCTACCGGTAAAACCTTGATAAATTACTTTTGTATCTTTATTAATTTTTAAATTTGGAATAGTTGATGCATAATTTTTAACTGATGAAGTAGATTTAAATCCACGAATAAATTGTTTACTTAACATTATGAATGTATACTATCAATTGATAATTGAATGAATAGATAAGTATTATTAAATTATAGATGAAAACTAATTGATTTATTCAATAAATTTGATTTTTTAATAATAATTTTTTTTTTTTCAAAACTCTCTCTTCCTTTTTTTGATTTGTTGACAAAATATAATATTGTATTTTCTAAAACTTAACTATTAAATACTAGTCTAGTATAGTAAAAGAGAAATCAAATTGAATAAATATAATTAACAAATTTATTGTCTAACAAAAAAAATAATATATTAGATAATATCAAAAAAAAAGAAATAGAGAATGTGCAGTTTTACTTTTAAAAATCGGTATAAATTTAAAGTCATTTTAAGTTTAAATTTATAACCGACTGTATATTAAAAATTGATAAATGAAACGATATTTATATGTTTTATGTCAACCAATTCATAAAATCGTTAGCTTTTTAGTTCCAGTATACCATAAAAAATTAGCTATTTTGTTTGTAATGCTCAATTATTACTTCCCACTATCTATTCTCACTTTCTACTTTCAATCAATCCAATGTTTGCATGAAAAATATTTTGTTTTTTTTTCTTGATTCCTAATCTCGGAGGGGATTAATTTCAATTATAATAAATTTTGCAACCTCCGAGCTCACTGTAAAATTATAAATTGAGACCACAATTCAGACAAACCATTACAGTATGATGAATATACATCAAGTGCAAAACCCAGCATTCATATGAGCGACTTAAGAGATGCTTTTAGGTTGAATTAGTCGTCATTTTTTCTTGCCAATTCTATTTAAGCTAGAGGTAATCAGTTATGCGTCTCTGGACTCAACTTTTTTTGATATGTTGTTCAGCTATATGACTTTTGCAATAGAAGCTTCAAAAAATAGAGATTCAAAAAGATTTACAAACAAGATCAAAATAGATATAATTGTGAAATTTATGAACTTATACTGTAATTTTACACTACACGTGCCTTGGTGTGTATTCTGAATTTTGAGATACCTATGAAAAAATCTCTGTATATTTGCTGCGAGACAATGAATCTCAATGAAGTATAGTGATATTTTAAGCAGATAAAAAGGATATTTAAGCCAAAGCAATTTCGACAGCATTACAAAAAGTAAGGTCAATTTCCTTTATTTATGCTTTGTATGTAAAAAAATAACAAATATTTTGGTAGCATGTTCTGAAACAAAAAACGGACATTTGTTTAACTCAAGTAATTTCACAATAGCCAAAAATCGAGAACTCGCAACATGAACAAGTGTTGTTCATGAAAGATTTGAGATTGCAATCACTCATACCAAGTAGTATTTGCTATTTCAAACTTAATTCTAAATTTTTGAAAAAATGTCCCTAAAAGTCTCATGAGAAAAGTAAAAAACACAATTTAATCAAAAATTAGCCTCAATTTTTGAGCTTTTGTTTCAATATTAAGTTCAGAAAGTCAAACGTGTTGTGTGCAAAGCTCTTTAATCCAAATGGAAGGGCCATTAAAACATGTAGAGAGATATTTCATTTAAAAGTCGGGAGTACAAAGTCTGATTCACTGAATCTCGACACCTAGCTTTACAACCAATCAAAAGATAATTTGAATCTTTTCTCAGTTTTAAAAGACATTTGCAAAGTAACTGATAGTTGTAAATAAAAAATTCTACCAACTTCATTCAATTTGTAAATTGAGTTCTCCAAATTTTGATTCTTGCAACACCAACGAGGGCTTGGTAGCATTCAAAAAAATCAAAATACTATACTTAGATGTTGACAAATTATGACACTATAAATTTAACTGACGATCAAAAGTTGCGAAGTTCTTCTATTTTGGACATAGCTGAGCTTACTCGCTTGTCATTCAGAACTAAAATAGCTTACGAAGTCTTAAAATAATTTACGACTATCAGTATGTTATAGTTTACTAATTTGGTTGTAACAAATTCAAAACAAAAGTGAAAAAAAATAAAATAGGTGCAAAACTAAATCAAAGAGAGTCTGTGTAATGAATAAAATATTAAAACAAACGAGTTGAAAAAAAATATAACACTCAAAAAGGTTATCTATACAAGATTCAACTAATCAATTCACAATCAATCAATTAATGCTGGACGCGATTCATCCTCCGACATCACCACCTTATTTAGGTACAGATCCACCAACTCCATTACCTTCTTCACAAGCTGATTATAATATGAATTCTGATCCTCCAGAAGAACCACTACAACAACAAAAACAACAAGAAAATGGAATAAAACAAGAAGATGAGGAACCATCAACCAAGAAGCATAAACCAAATTCAGCAAATACAACTGCAGAAAATACACCTGCTCCAATTTCAAGCACATCAACTACTTCAGCAAGTACAAATAATCCACCTAAAAAGACAAGTGCAGAACAATTAAAACGTCGAAGAGAAAATAGACAAAAAGCAGCTGCTGTATTAGCTCAAAATTTAAAAAACTCAGGAGTAAGTAGATATGAACAAGAAAATGGATTTGGATTATCAAGTATTAAACCGGTACCATTAATTAATCAAAAAAATTATTATACAGAATATTTAAAAAAAGATGAACAAGTAAGTTTTATAAGGAATTGGAGATTTGAAAGAGATTTAGCAGCAAAATTAAAGAAATTAAAACAGAATGGAGGTAATGAAGAAGATTTGAAAAAAAATTTAGAAGAAATTAAAAATTTTGATAATTTTGATTTAAATAATATTGAAAATGAAATGAAAAAGAAAACAGAAGTTGATGATGAAGATGATGATGATGAAGAAGCGGAAAATGAAACCGAAGAAGTGAGACAAGAAAAAGCTAAAATTGGAGAAGATGTTATTGTATTACAACCTGGTTCTTCATATATTAGAATTGGAAGAGCAACTGATGCAGTACCGAAAATTATACCAAATGTTATAGCAGTGAGAAATCAAAAACCTAAACAAACTGTAATAACCCCAGATAGACATGTTGATGAAGAACACGATAAGATAATTATAGATGAAGAATTTGATGAACAAAGAGCCAAAGTGTCAAAAGATTTTAGAGCAAGAATGAGATTTTATAAAAGAAGAATTATACCCAACTCAAGGGAAACAGTTGCCAATTACAACAAAAAACAAGAATCTGAAAAAATTCCAGATCACAATGATCCAAATAAAAAAGAATGGATAAAACCTGATTCATCAAAGAAATTTTATGCAGGTGAAGATGCTTTAAAATTAAATTTAGAAGATGGTTGGAATTTGAGGTATCCAATGATAAATTCTAATTTTAATGAATATTCAAAAGATTATAAATCAAGACAAGAAATTTTGGGAGATTTAACTAATATAATTAAAGATTCATTACAAAAATTAGAAATAGAAAATTTAGCAGATTTAAAAGTAATGTTAATTATACCTGATTTATATGATAAAACTTATGTTGAAACTTGGTGTGATTTATTGTTGAGATTTGTTGGATTTGGAAAAGTTGGTATATTACAAGAAGCAGTAGCTGCAACTTTTGGAGCAGGTGCTTCTACAGCTTGTATAGTTGATGTTGGAGCACAAACCACTAAAATAAGTTGTGTTGATGAAGGTATGATTATAAATGATTCAAGAATTTTATTAAGGTATGGAGGTGATAATATAACTGAAACTTTTGTAAAATTAATTTTAGAAAATTGGTTTCCTTACAAAGATATAAATTTATTAAATTCATATGATTGGGAATTGGCTAAAAATTTAAAAGAAAATTTTATAACTTTCCAAGATGCAGATATTGCAGTACAATTATATAATTTTTACAAGAGAAATCCATTTTCACAAACTGAAAAATTTGAATTTAAAATATTTGATGAAGTTATGTTAGCTCCAATGGGATTATTTTTTCCAGAATTATTTCAATTCCCCAAATCTCCCAAGAAGAATAAATCTTCAAATCCAGCAATTTTTAGTTCAACAAAACCTTCTAATTTAACATTAAATCATTTATTCCCCAAGGCATTAGATCAATATAATGGTAAATCAAGTAATCCAAAACTGAAAAGTCAAGAAAAATTAAAAACAAATTTAAATTATTGTGATTTAGATGAAAAAAATTTATTATTAAGATTAATTGATAATGATAATGATGAAGAAAATGAAGAAAATATAAAAAAATCAGAAAAATTTAATAATGATTTAAATTTAAATAAAACTCCATTAGAAAAAGCAATAGTTGAATCAATTACAAATGCAAGTTTATCAAATGATTTAAGTAAAATGAAAAAATTTTATGATAATATTTTAATAGTTGGTGGAGGTTTAGCTAAAATTAATGGTTATGATTTAATATTAGCTGATAGAATAAATATATGGAGACCTAAATTTTTATCATCAACTTCATTTGATACAATTATTGAACATTTAACAAGTGAAGTTAAAAAAAACACTTTACAAAAACAGCAATTATTAGATGAAGCAATAAAAGAAGCAAAAGAAGCTAAAGCTGCAGCAAAAGAAGAAGCAATAGCGAATGGTGAAGAACAACCACCCACAGAATCGACTACCAACAATAACAACACCAATGAAGAAGAAATTGAATTATCACAAGAAATAATAGATTCAATAGATTCACAAACAGAATTAAATTTAGATTTAATTTATTATGATAAATTATCAGATGAAGGTAATCATATACCAATAAATATTTTACCAACACCAAGAGAATTTGATCCTTCAATGCTTACATGGAAAGGTGGATCAGTATATTCAAGATTAAAAGTTGTTAATGAAATGTGGATAAATCAAAAAGATTGGGATCTTTTAGGTAGTAGAAGTTTATATTATAAAAGTATATTTAATTATTAATTTAATGTATCTATATATAATGTTGTACCAAATGAATGAAAGAAATAGATAATAAAATCGAAATCTCTTACAAATTGTTAATTGATCAAATTAAACCCAATATATTGTCAACTTACGACATAACAATGAATTAACCTTTGAAAGATACAAATCTTAATTTAAAAAAGTGGAGAAGTTAATAATTTGATTAAAGAGGAAGTTGCACAAATTAATTAAAAGAAAATAAGAAATGTCAGACATTTTCAGACAATAAAAGTTTAAAGTAGAGTCTTTACAAAACATTAATATTAGTTTGATGCAAAATCATTACTAGGATAGGACTAGACTAGCTGAACAAATGATAAGATCTACAATAACAAAAATGATTAGTATTCTATTTAATTAAAGTCATTTCTCGATATCATACAGAAAGAGAAAAAAAAAATAAGTTTATTATAATTTAATATTTTGTACTCTATTATATTTTTAATTAATTTTTTAATCTGATTTTCTATTATTTTTCTTGAAAAAGTGTTTGAAAATTTTTGCCTATTTTTCAACATTAGAAAAAGAAAAAGGCAAATTAATGATCAATATTAGTTTGATGTTTTGGTAAAAAAATAAGTTTTTGTGGATCTTTTCAAGAAGTTTTGTATTGAAGATCTCAAGATATTACATGTAAGTATTATTAATGATAAATAGTTGAGATTTAGTTTAAGGCTATTTTATGGAAAAATTTAAAATTTATTCTATATTACATAATATATTATGTAATAATTGATTTTTAATTTATCTACTCAATTTTGTGTAAAATTTGTTACTTTTCGTAATTTAAATATTTTTTAATTTATTTTGATTTAAATTATCAAATACCCTCCTCACAAATAGAAACATATATTAATCAAAAGCTTAGGTTATAGCCATATGAATATCATTAATAAAAATAATATTAATAAGAATCATAATACAATTTCGTCAAACATATTGATATAATATATTATATATCATTTTATAGATAAAAATAGAAGAAGATAAGTAGACTCTAATTTTAAATTTGACAGTAGTCAATTAATTAAATATATCATTTGTTTCTTTATAATTTCAAATACGGATTTTTAAATTCAAATTTAAATCTAAATCTAAATGTTATAACATAATATAATTACCAATAATTCTAAACACTTGTGTATTTACTCTACAATTATTAACATTTTGATCGTTGTTACTCTTTAATGAAAGGGTTAATATAATATAATATAATATAATATAATAAATAAATAAATAAATAAATTATATAAAAATTAATAATATACAGGTTTTTTTTCATAATAATATTATTATCATAATAATTAATTAGTTAGGTTGATAATTAAAAATTATTATTATTAAATAATTTTTTATTATTTTGATTGATATCTTTCAATGGTTTTAATAATTGTAATCCTATTAAGATATACTTCTCATAGATCTGAATTCATTACCTTGATAAATGGATTAAATTTGTTACTATTATTGAATAAATAAACTAAAATAATTTAATTTTAATTATTATACACAAAATCATACTTTTTTTAAATTTAATTTAAATTTATTCCTCTTTAAAAAATTTCAATTATTATTGTATTATAATACTATAGTAATAATAATAATATTTAATAGTAATATCACTAATCATTTATTTTTTTACAACCAAATTTATTAACAATTCACACACATTACAATTATATTTGTTTGATTTACAACCATTTTATATATATTCATTTAATAATAATACCATTTTTAACATATCTTTATTAATATCAATTAATATCAATAAACTAATCATTTTTAATTTTAATTTTTTAAGAATTTTCAAGTTCCGAAATTAATAATTATTATATTAAATCATATAAACAAAATTAGAATTACAAATTTATTATTCAACTTATAACATTCAACTGGATTCATATTATATATCAAATTCAAATTCAAAATCAAAAGCAATCTACTTTAATTACTTTATATGTCTAATATTAAAATATCTACTTTAAGTCCATCAATTAGTCTAAATAATAATAATAACAATAGTACTACTAAAATTTCCTCAATTGCAGTTCAATTAAAATTAAATAATGATATAATTCAACAAATTAAAGAATTTAATAAACAAACTGGTTTTACTACTGTCAGATTAATAGTTAAAGATGGTAAATATGTATGTAAATCTTTTTTATCTTTGAGACAGTTTACAATTCAATTATGATCTAATTATACTAACAATTAAAGTTCATAAAAGTTTCAGAAGAATTACAATTTCCATGTTTAAAAGTACCTGAAAATTTAAATGTTGATATTTATTCATTGAATACTACTAAATCAAATAAATCAAATTTTAATTATAATGGTAGAGTATTAACCAAATTAACGGTTATAACGGATTCAAAAAGAATAAATCAATTAAAAAATTCTAAATCTCAAATTTCATCGCCATATTTATCGTCGAGTCCCAAATCATTTTCAAGTCCTAAATTTAATTCAAATAATCCTTCAGTAAATCCAAGTCCAATAATAACTCCATTTTCTTCTCAAAATTCAACACCATCTTTTTCACCTGTAAATCCACCAAATAATCATAAAAAAGAAAAATCAATTACCCCAATACCATCATTAAGTGATACATTATCAATATATTCACTGAAATTTAAAACAAATCCATTTAAAATAGAAGAAAATGAATTAGAATCTCAAATATTGAAAAAATTATTATATTTAGTTGCATTAGGTCCAATATCCTTAAAAAATATAATTATTTTATTAGAATACAAACAAATTGAAGATTGGCTACTGAAATATTGTCAAATTTATAACAAAAATGATTCATTTATTCAAAATGATAAATTTCCGTATATTGAAACAAATGAAGATCAAGATAAATATATTTTAAAAGATAAATCATATAAAGATATAATTCCTTTAAATTGGGAAAAATATGATGATTATGAAAGAAATTCAATTATAAAAAATATCAACAATGCATTAACCAGACTAGGATATTCAAAGACTCATCCTTTAAGAAATAAGATCACTCAAGTTCAAAATTCATCAGATATTTCTCATAATGAAGGTAAAGTCTCAAAACTTGGTGGAGGATTCTTAATAAGTAAAAATAGTAAACTGAAAAAGAAAATTGTCAGTGATTCTGGAAGTGAACGAACTAGTCCTTCAGTATCTAATGTATCTACACCCATAAATACTCCATCGAGTACTCCTTTAATGAAGCATTCATCACAATTTATAAGTCCAACGAAGCAAGAGGAAAGTAAGCTACCTATTTCATCATCTGAATTATCGCAGAATTCTACAAAATTGAATAGATCAGCCACAATTTCTCCGTCCATTTCCGAAAAATCAGCTTCATCATCATCATCATCTAAAAAATCAGTCAGTAGATCTGACCATAATGATAATACCCAGGAAAAAATAAGAAAAGAACCATCGACGATAAATCAATCACCTACAAAGAGTCAAAAACTTTCTTTACCAGCAAGATCTAATTCACCATTAAAAATTACAAAACCAGAGTTACCAAAACGTCTTGCATCACCAATGAAAACCAGTGAGTCTAAGGATAAACTTACCATTGCAATAAATAAAGATGTCGCAGTAAAAATAAAATCACAAACATTGGAGACTTCAAAACATGAACCAAATACTTCATCATCAACAGTAATTCCATCATCTGCTTCCTCAGCACTTTCTGAGACTTTCAGTGAGATTCAAGAAAATTTAAAAAGAAGAAGATTATCAAACGTTTCAACTTCATCAACCAATTCAAATAACTCGTCAATATTGCTGAACATTTCCGATGAAGAATATTCTATTGGTCATAAAAGAAGTAAATCGATAACTTATACATCTCCGCCATCATCATGTGAAGACGAAATGATTATGCCTGTTACAATATCTTTACCTAGGAAATTTAAGTACAAAACTAGAAATGATAATATAATTAATGAGGAGTCAAATTCAAAAATAAATGACGAGATCATTGAATCTAATGAAATTAGTTCTCCGCCAACAACTAATACAAAACCTAGTAAACAGAAATTTTATGTGCATAATACTTCCAGTAATATAATTGAACCTACATCAAATACTAATTCTGAATCAATTATTGACAATAAAATTAAAAAAGGGAAAAAAGATGATGATTCAACTAAACTCAAAAACACTTCAAAAAATATCCAAAAATTACTGACTGATACTGATACCAAAAAAATTACCAAGAATGATTCAACAGTACAATCTCCAAAATTCATGTCATTTAAATCATATATTAGTGGTAACAATACTCCATCAAATTCAAGAAAAGGTTCAGTCTCACCTATTAAAGAACTGTCTAAAATAGTGTCTAACCCAGTTAAAACTATTCCGAGCCAATCATCATTACCATCATTATCAGTTCGACCAGCTCAAAATAATTCAAAAGAAGCTTCAAGTCTAGAATATCAACTGAAAGATCCAAAGAAAATTCCTACAACATCACCAAAACAAGAATCGATTTTTTCAAAATCTATATCGAGCTCCAAACCCTTGGAAGAATCCAACACAATCAAACTTTCTGAATTACCTAAAAACCCACAACAAGATCGTTCGAAACAAAATGAAACTCTTAAATCATCAAATTCACTACCAGCTCGTCCAAGCAGAACTATTTCATCACCAAAACCATCCACAACTACATCTACAATATCTACAACTACCTCACCAAAATCATCAACTAATACATCAACTAATACATCACCAAAATCATCAACTAATACATCAACAATTAAACGTCCAACTGGTCCAAAAGCCAGACCTACTGGTCCTTCAAGACCTTCAGAGGATATTAGAGATAGAGCAAGAGATAAAAGAGATCGTAGAACCGATCATTATATTCCTCCTCCACCTCCTCCACCATCAACATCCATTAAGCGTTCAAATCAACATTTCCATAATGATAGAGATCAAGACAAGTTTGAAGATAATTTTGATGATAAATATAATGAAAGTAAGTATAATAATGATAGATATGATAATAGAAGATTTAACAACAAAAGAAATAAATTAATGAATTACTAAAATTTTTTGCATTTTTTTTACACACCATATAAATTTATAAAACTAAATATATATAAATTGATTAATTCAGAATTTTTTTCAAAAAAATTAATTAGTAACATTATACTCTAGAAACATGTTCTTTATTAAATTGTGTTTGTTGTCCAAAACTGTTGATACTTAAAATATTTCATAAATTTTGCAACAAATCTAAAACATATCAAAAATAAATTAACACAAAATTAAAGTCTCGAAGTAAGCAAAAAAAAAAAAAAAAATAATAAATACGTAAGACCTTTTAAGACAATAAGTTTGCTATTTTTAATTACTCCTATATAATTCAAGTTTAATTATTCCTGTGACAATTTTAATGATGTACTTCTATGTTAATTATTCTCTAATTATATTAATTCAGCCTTTTTCAATACTATCGATAAAAGCATATTATCTTCTGAATATTTTAACTCAATTTTGCAAAAAATCGTTAGTTTATTAGTTTAAGTAGTTCATGAAATTCACTTCAATTTGATGAGACAATAAGTATTGTAAATGACATTTCAAGCAATTGGAGTGTCTTAGCTTAAATATTGACTATTAATCAAAATGACTATCAATGACCTTTAATTTATTTAATTGTAAATTTGACACGACTAACAATTTACAATTCATTATCTATATATATTTTTTTCCTCTTTCAATATTTAATATTTATTAAATTATATAAAAACATCACAATAATTTCTTATAAAGTTTTATATTTATTAAAATAATATATTTTGGATTTATTAGCCTACTTTAATTAACACATATTTGATAAATATAATACTTTAAATTTAAATTTCAACAGTTTTAACTACAAACAATTAATTAGTCTACTACTACAAATATCAAAAAATGTTTAAATGGATTCAAGGTGGTATATCAGCAGTTGCAGGAACTGCTGAACCAGAATATGGACCAGATGCAATTCATCCAATTACAACAAGAATTAATAACAAAGATACATCAAATTATCATAGAATTACTACTGCAAAAGATTTTGAATGGTTATCACCAAATTATACAAATGTTGAAACTCAAACTTTTTATTTCACTGATTTAGCAACAAAAAATGTTGGATTTGCACAAATTATACATTCAAATGTTATGGGAGTTCATACAACTGCTCAATTTACTTTTAGATTATATAATATATCTGATCCAACTATAAATATATGGACATCAACAAAATTAGAAAATTTTAAAATTGAAGGATCAAATTTTTATGCTGATAATTTAAAATTAGAATTAATTGACAACAAGAAATATATTTTAAAATCTTTTGTAAATAAAGAAAGTATAGTTGAATTTGAAATGGAAAGAAATACTGATGGTATAATATTTGGAGAAGATGGTATGACATTATATGGAGATGATATAAATCAACCTTGGGGTTCAATGAGACATGTATTTTGGCCTCGTTGTAATATAAATGGTAAAATTATTACAAAAAAATATGGAGAAATTAAAATTTTAAATGGTTTAACAATGTTTGTTATGGCTTTACAAGGTATGAAACCTCATCATGCTGCTAAATCATGGAATTTTTTAAATTTTCAAAGTAGTAATTATTCAGCTATACAAATGGAATTTACTACACCAAAATCTTATAATACAACAAAAATAAATATTGGAATTATAATTGAAAATGATAAAATTTTATATGCAACAATAAATAATGATGTTATACATATTGATTCAAAACATGATTCAGTTGGTTGGCCAGTTCCAAAATCAATTGAATTCAAATATATTGATCCAGTCACTAAAAATGATTTAGCTATAGTTTCTGGACCTTTACAAAATTTAATTGAAAGAGTTGATGTTATGGCTGAAATTCCACAATTTGTTAAAAATATTGTTAGTGGAGTTGCTGGTGCAAAACCTTATATTTATCAATACTCAAATGAATTTGAGATTAGCCTTTTAGAAAACCAAAAGAATTCAAAAGAAAAGGGAATTGGGTATACTGAAGTTACTTTTATTTCAGAATAAATGAAAGAGGTTTAGGAGCAACAAAGGTTTTTTTCTTTTTTAATACGTAGGATAGGATGGTGATAAATTAGCAGTACGTTAAATATAATCAATTATAATAATAAAGTAGTAATAAATAATAATAATAATAATAAATATTTTCATTTCGTTTTTTCCTGTATTGGTTGTTTTCATTTTAGATAATAGTATTTCGAGTATTTCTTACTATCATACCAAATTTTGTAACTTAGATATAGGCTTGATATGTGGAGTAAATTAGATTTTTAGATTCATAATTAAAGAAACTAAGAAGTCAATCGTAATACTATCGAGATACTTCCTTTTATTATATACATACCCAAATAACTCTAACTTGACATAACTTATATGAAGTTTAAACACAAATACGATTCTCGAATTTAAATAAAAACTTTTTGAATAAGACTTACAAAATAAAGTACTTAAATGTAAAAAGGATTAATTTCATAGTATCTGTATAATTTATTAAACAATTACTAACTCAACTCACATAAATCCCTCCACTTCTACTCGCAAAAAAAAAGTTTTTCATTCTGTTAATAAGAATTTAAGAAATTAAACATAATCAACCAACCAGCAAATATTTAATATTTAATACATCAATATCTTAAATAAAACGGTATTATATTTGAGATCACAGAAGGTTTAAAGTAAGTGAAGAGGATTAAAACTTATGGAGGATCTATTAATGATGTAATACAATTGATCTATATTTTGAGATTAGATCATTGATTGATTGTATGATGTCAAATCTTCATCTCTTATTGATGAAAAGTTTTTTAAAGTTAAGTTACGAGATCTCGAATTTTTTATTGCTATATAAAATTTAAGAATTGTTATTAAGAATAATAGATATTTTAATTTGTAACAATAAAAAGTTAATTTTGTTAAATGTACAAAGTAATATTATGAATATAAAAATCTTGAACGAATCTTATAAATAAATAAATTGAATTCATTTGAACCTTTTTTAAGCATGACCACCAATCGAACTTATTCCAGTGATAAGTCTTAACAAAATACGTAATTAAAGTCGATTGTAAGTTAAATAGTCCAAGACAAATACAGAATCTAGACAGACTATGCACCATAGTAATAATAAGTCAAAATTTTTTGCGTACTTTTCAATTGCTGAATTTAAAGTTATATATTGCAAATCATTATTAAAACGGTTTTTCTGCAATATAAAACTTTAAATGTAAGAGCATTGAAGCATTATTCAATTTTAACTTCCTTTTAATAAATTTAGTAAGCCTTTAAAGGCTTACTAATACTGTTTAAGGAAGTACCTTATCTTCTTCTTCTTCTTGTTTTTTTTTTCTTTTAGCTTCTTTGTTTTAAGTCGATAATAATTTTTAAGGAGTAGAAAAGCAAAACTAAATCTACCTTTTCAAGTATAATAAGGAAAATAAGTTTGTTTAATTTTTTTTATAGATTACTCCAAATTGAAACCCCTGTCTTAATTTAATCTAATTTTTAAAAATGGTCCTATTTAATCTAAAAATTTACTTTATAAAACATTTTAAAATTTAAGAGTAATATTACGGTTTAAATATTATCAATATTAAATAATAACTTAATTACTATAATTAATAACTACACCTAGATCTTAAGACATTAAAAAGTTTAAAATTTCTCTTTTGAAAAATACTAATTAAACTATAAGATTTAAATCTTGTGGGGATTGATTAATAGGTTTATAACTCATATCGTATTCATCTGGTCATCTCCCATTAGATACCTATTTATTTTATGCGTTTACGTTAACTTATTCTTTCAAAGTATATGCATTAATTATTAATATCAATATTTGATTGATTTGAAAGTTTTAACGAGTTTCAAAACTTTAAAATTCGGTTGAGGCAAAATTTCAACTTAAAATAACAGTTCTGAAATAGTAAAGTAGTAAGACCATTAACTACATCAAGTAAAAATTTAAGTAATAAAGTAACATGTAATATTATAAATTATATATTTATAAAAATCTAATAAAATTAAGAAGAATTAAAAATTGTAAATTGTAAAATTTAAATTTTACTTAACCATAAATTTAAAACCATATTGTCTAAAAATACCAAAAAATACCAGAAAATGAATACAAAACCAATAATACAAAAAATCAAAAAATATAAATTTCTTAAGCCGAGTTATTTAAAATAAATGAGAATCAGTTTGAGGAATTTCTGTATAATAAGAATGTAAAGCTCTTTTTAAAGCAGGAATTAATTTTTCCCATTTTAATATACGAACTTCTTTGTCAAAACCTCTTGGTTTCCTAATTTCATAAGCCATTATTCTTTTAGCTAATTCCATTCTATATTCTTGATTTTTTGAAATATTTGGTAATGATGAAGAATTTGAAGATATTGATGACAATGATGTAATTGGTGGTTGATTTGATGATGATGAAGCGGATGAGATTGATGATTGATTACTTGTTGGTGCTGAAAGTAATGAATTCGTTGATAATAATGATGAAGTAGATAGTTTTGAATTTGAATTTGAAGATATTGATCCAGATGTAGATCCACTTGTAGAAGCCGGAGGTGATGATAAAGTAATTGAAGGTTGATCATTTGGAGTTGAAAATTCATTCATTCTTGAACTTATAGATTTTTTACACCAAAATGGAACTAAATTAGATCTAATTCTACCTCTTTCTCTTCTTTTTTCAGAAGGTTGTTTAAATTCAGTACCAATTAATAATTCAACTATTTCAACTACTTCAACTGATGTTATATAATATTGATAGTTATTTCCATTGTTGTTATTTGGATTATTTATATTTAATTTTTCATATTCATTTTTAATCGTTGTTGGTGAATTTGTTATATTTTCTTCATCTGATGAAAAAGAATCATATTCATTATCTTCTGTAGAATTATCGTTTTTATTTTTGTTCTTGTTATATCTTGATGTATCAACTTCACATTCCAAACAACTAACTTCAATAACATCAATATTTGGAGAACTTGGTAATGTTATTGGATTTTCATTTGCATTACCAATAATTGAAAAATTAACAATTAATTTTGAACCTTGTTGTAACCTTTCAATTCTAACAATTCTTCTACGATCTAATTTTTCCAGTTTTGACCATTTGGGATAACATATGTCTTCTTTTGATGCTCCTATTAAATTTAATTCCACTGGTAAATATATTGAGTCGCTATTGTTCATGGCTTCTTTTGGTGGTCTTGTTGACGATCCACCCGCTGAAACTCCTCTTATTACTCTATACCTATTTTTGATGTTTGAAGATGATTGTACATGTTTTTTGGAATTTGAGGAAGATGTAGAGTTTTTTGTACTTGGTGGGTTAACATCTGATGACGAGGAAAACGTAGACGAGTTTGAATTTGGTTTAGAAGAATCTTTTAATGGATTTGGAGTTGGTCTTTTAGTTGTTGATTTCGATTTGGTCTTTGGTGAATTTGATTTTTTAATTTTTTGTATAGAATTTTGTCTCTTTTTGGGTATATTGTTATTATTATACAGTAACTGCTCTTCAATTTGATTGTCATCTATTGAACTTAATGGATCTATAGAACTTGGAGGTTGATTTATTATTTGATTGTTGTCATTATTAAAAATTAGGGGGTTGGGATTATCAAAAAATATAGATTGAGGCATTGTGTTTTGACTGTAAGTTGAGGGTGAAGAAATTGTAGTAGTCAAATTATTATTCAATTGTTGATAATAATTTGAATTATCATATAATGAATTATTAAAAGTTGAAGAAGATGATAATTGTTGCTGTGATAATTGGAAATGTTGTTGTTGTTGTTGTTGATATAAGGCAGTTGCTGGAGATTCAAGCTGATCATTTATATATAAATTGTTTGAATCCATTATATTTGAATTAGAATAATTGAATTCATTTGGTTGTTGATGAACTGAGTATAATGAAGATGAAGAAGTATACGACTGTTGTGGATTATTGTAATTTGAATTAGATTGATATTGTTGTAATTGATTCGGTATATTTATGTTATTTAATTTTGAAAATTCTGAATTAGTTAAGTTCATTTCATCAATCGGTGATGCACCTAAATTAACATTTATGGATTGATGATTGAAATTATTTAAATTATTATTCAAGGGTAAGTTATTTAATAATTCATTCGAATTTAATTCGTCCACATTTCTTGTGTTATCATTAAAATCATTTGATGTAGAAGTATAATTATAATTACTTGAACTATTTGTTTGATTTGAGTTTGAATTGTCAATTGAATATTGGTTATAATAAGCAATAGCTGCATTATCTTCATTTAAGTTGTTACTATTGTAATTCAAATTTGTTGTCGCATTGAAATTTTCATCAAATGATTGTATACCGCTATTTAAGTTATTATTTATATCATTGTTATTATTTTGACTATTACTATTACTACCACTGTATTGTTGATCATGATCATTTGAATCTGGCATATTGAAGCGATTGAAAAATGAATCCAGGTATAAATTTAAAGATGAATCAGTAATAGTTGTAGCAGTCGTTGTAAACATAAATGCTTTTCAAATTATATTCTCAAATATACCACTTTGGAAAAAAATATAAATATTGATTATTATTATTACCTTTTGATTTATATAATGATTCAAGTTAATGATTAAACATATAAATTGGTATTTGATATATGAATATTATAAAAATAAATAGATGAGTAAATTTAAAAAACTGAACTTTTGAATTTGTATTTATAAAAACAATTTGACGGATATCTCAATTCAAATAAATAAAGTACAAAATTGATATAAGTTTCAAAATTATTATAAAATAATAAAAAAATATACTTAATGTTTCTAAAAATAAACAACTCAATGAATATTCAATTAAATAAAGACGTTAAACGATAAACAACAAATGATAAATCAAATTGAATTAACTTCTAAATTACAAAATTGAAATAAAAAAAAGTTGTGATCAATTGAGGATATGCTAATTTATTTATTCTTTAACTCAAAATTGAATTTTTGAAAATTTATTATTTTTTTGGTTTTGTGTTTTTTAATTTATTTTTTTAAAGTTTAAAGTTTAAAGTTTTTTATTTTTTTTATTTTTTTATTTTTTTTATTTTTTTTAATTGTTCATTTTTTAATCAAATTCAAAATTTTAAAAATGTGAGTGAATAAAGAATTATTCAACTTGCGTTATGAGAATAATAACGAAGGAAAAATAAAAATATTAATTTGTATTACATATTACATATTACATATACATATATGTATATGTACAAATTGTTATAGAGTATTTATTTAAATTCCCTTTTGGAGTTAAATAAATTGTAATAAACTTATATCCTATCTGTATGCAGGTTTATCTAGATTTACTTTTTTATTCATTCAACTTTTCAATTTACTTAATTTGATATACCCTAAAGCAATATTCTTCATTTATCAAACTTATTGGATTTATAATAACTTTTAATCTTTCAAAAGTTTATTAATTTAAATTTGATCATCTCTTTTGTTTGCAATCTTCATATACTTTTAACTAATATTAAAAAATAAAAGAAATAATAATCTTGATTAATAAAATTATAGTATTTCTGTTCTATTATAATAAAATATAATCTACTTTACAAAATTATAAAAATTGCATTAGTATAATAAAAATGGAGTAAAAAATCTTTATTTGTTTATTCGTAAATGTTAATTTCAACCCGACCCTTTTTTTAATAATTATGTAACAATTAAAGTTTTTTAAATTATAGCCATTAAAATTTTTAACTTTGATGACTATTTTAGATATCATTGTCATTGAATTAGTTGATATATTATTATGGTACACGATATTTAATTACAACTGTATTTGAGTTAAACTTGTTTTAATATGGTTAGTATACTATTTGTATTTTTCAAGAATCATTTCTTTTTATTTACTTCAGCCAGGGGTTTGGACATTTTTAATTTTTCGTATTGTTTATAATGTAAATTCCTTCGAAAAGAAAAATTGCTGTACAGTACAGTACATGCATTTTGGAAACAAAGAGAGAAGAATGTAATTGTGCGTTTGAAAAATATTTCGTAGACTTGATATTCAAGTTATCACTTTGATAATACTACTAAGAGATCTCGTATCTCCTATCTCCAAAAAAAGCATTTGAAACTAATATTTAATTATTATAAAACCCTTTTAATTCTTTCAAATTTTTTTGACGTAATAAAATAAATTATTGTTAACAAGTATTATCAATTAATTTTAATAAGGTAACTAAAAAGAATCATCTTCGTAACTTATTACTGAGGTAAACTGGATAAAATTATTACTTCTTTTGCTTATTGATTTTTATTGTGTTTTCTATTTAAAGCACAAAATGATAACAATAAACAAATTTAATTGGTGGGGAGTTAGTCAAAAATAAAGAAAAAAAAATTGGAGGTACCTTTTGATAATAGGACAAAATCATTATTAAAAACGAATTTAAAATCTTTATATGCATTATTTAATCATTTTGTTATAATTTTGTAATTGTTATGTTCAATTTTTCTTTTTACGTATATTTTCTTTTAGTAACTAAATTAATTTTCGAGGAAAAGTAAATGATTCCGAATTAATTAATTATTCCGAATAACTGATTATCCATCATTTTATTTTTACAATTACCTTCTTAAAGTTGATAATTATGTTCAAAATAATTGACTTTCAGAAAATATATTGATTGATTTAATTTTATAATTACAAATAAAGTTTCATAAAATGAAAAAAAAGAAATTTTAATATAATTTGAGAGAAATTGAATCGTGAAGAAAACTTTAAAAAATTTGGTATTTTTCCGGTTATGATTTCTTTTTCTTATATATTTTTTTCTTTCAGAAGGTAGTTCAAATGATTTTGAATTTATGGCAGATAAATCCATATCGTTTGATCATACAAGGTTTTGTCGTCCCAATCATATATTATTGGAGTAATCTTTATTCCAATTCATCGAAAATTCTATGCTTCCAATTCAAACAATAGGATTTAGTTTCTTGTCCGTAACCATCTAATTTCTTCTTGAAACCTTCTATTTTTTAAAACTAAGTCTTACTAAAAAAAATTAAAAGACTAAAATTGTTAAAATGTTTGAAAATTAAAATTTACGATGAATATACTTTACGCCTATAGAATAATTTTTGATTATGATAAAGTTTAATTAGATGTTCAGTAGGCTATGTTTGCTTTGTTTAATGAATCAAAGTTAATGACTTGTATTGTTGTAGAATAAAAAAGATGAATAAATAAGTTTTTATGGTACATTTCCGACAGATTTTAAAAATGATACAGCATATTAAATCTGTCGGTTAATTATACATTTCGAAAAAAAACAAAAAAAAATTAAATTAAAAAAAAAAAGATTTCCTTCTTTCGCAGATCTACTTAAATTATTTATTTATTTTTTTATTTTTTTATTTGATTTAAAAAAGTATAATTTCTTTTTCAATTGTTTTTTTTTTTATTATTCTTGATTTTGGTCTCGAAGTTTGATTTGGTTTTTCATTATCAACTTATAATAAGACGGTTTTGACTATAATGGCTGTGCAAATAGCATAACAATAGGAATAGGAATAGACTTAATCTGTTCGTCTATTAACTTAACAACCATCGAATGTATTGAACTCTAAAAATCGGGGAAGGCTTTCCTTCAACAATATTGCAAGAATTTATAGCAAAAATTATGGAGTTTCTCCGTCAAAGGTTAGGTTACTACAGATACGCTTTAGCTCTATTAGGAAATTGTAAATTTAGAAACTCTCTTTTCTTATGAGTAGAGGATTGGAAGAAATAAAAAGAAGAAACGTTCATAAAGTCGCCTTGTAATAAATAAACTTTCTTCACTCACAGAATATTGTAAATTAATACGCAATCAAGAATTGGCTAAAGTTTCCAATGTTCGTACAAAATTTCTTGATTCGATAAGCTGCAGCTTTCGGGCGATTATGGGCAATAACTTTCTCTACAAATTTGTCTTTTTCATTTGTCTCTTGAGCCAAGTTATAATCAGTTGATAAATAATATTAAAGTACGAGAGTAGAGTCTTATAATGCTCGAGTTATAAGCTCGAGTCAGAAAAACATTACTGGTAAGAATAACTATTACAGTACTATTACGTTACAAAAGTCTTAATAAATGATAAATACCAATACATACTTGATTGTTACCTCATATGACGATATTTAGGTATAAATGGATGTATAAATAATTACGTAAAAATAGAAAATAAAATTTAATGATTTCCTTTAACAAAACCAACCTTACATGTGCATATGTAAAGCCAAAATAGGTTTGTATACATCAAGAATAACAATTTTTAGACTTTGCAGATTAGAGAAACTTAAATTATACCTTAAATATACGGCACAAAAAAAGCAAGTACAAAACTAAGGCACTTAGCATTCTAAAAATGTATCAAGATACGTCTTTGCTATCTTTTTATTCAATAAGAGTTTTAGATACTATACTGATTAAATTTGGAGGGAAAGTTATTGTTAAATAACACGTTTAATGCCACACATTTTAGACTTTACTTGATGCAAATGAAGGAAATTTAAAACATTATCAAGTAATTATTATATTTATGGATTTAAGAACTTGACTTTCGGATTGTTGGCACAAAAACTATTCATACAATAACAAGTAGGATTTAAGTTTCAGAGTAGTCAAATTTATAAGCATATATAAAATGTGTTCTTAATAGTATAAACACTCAAAAAAACATTAGTGTTGAATGCGGTCAACTTAATGCTTGAAAAGGACCCACGTTTTGCTAACCCAGTGGTTCTCGATTTAATTGAATTATGAATGATAAAACGGCACCAATCAATGCATCATCTTTCTTTTTTTTAATGCCGTAAGATGTAATGAAAGGATATATGTTTTGTAATTCGGTTTGATAAATCTAGAAAATTAAAAAAAAAAAATAAAAAAAGATTAACTGACAGATCAAAAATTTCTTTTTTTTTTTTTTTTTTATTACTGTATGTTAATAATTACTTCAAATTTGAGTTGCCGTTTGATTGTCATTTTTGCCTTCCCTTTTAAAGAATGATTTACCGTTAAGGAGAATGTAAAAAACAGATTTTGTATCAAAAAATAGTTTTTTGGTCTAATTTGAAAATTAGATCTTTATTGTTTTTGTTATTCGTAAGGAAAGTGAACTCCTATAAATTTGTTATTCATTAAAATGCCGTTATTTTGAATTTAGTGAAATGGTTTAAACCAAACTTGCAAATTATTTGGACATTACAAATAGTATATGGGGACTTAAAATGATTTTTGTTGGCTGAAACATGTCACTGTGCATTGTCAAACTGGATAAAATCTACGAATTTTCTGGTAATATTGATAAGTGATTTGCCTGAGGATTAACAATAATACAAATTGAATCTAACACTTATAAAAAATTCAAGTCACAAAACCTGAATAAAACTTATGCAGAAATAATTATTTCCTCGATCTTCGGTTTTTTAAAGTTTAAAAAATACAGCCCCTCTCTACTACCCCTCTAATTTCCTATTATTTCCTAATTACTCAAACTTAAATTTTAAAATCATAACCATGATTTAAACATAATTAAGATCAAAAAGAAACCAAATGCAAACTTTAACTTTTGATCGTAATTGGGAAATAATTTATCCACCTCAATATGTTTCAAATCAAATCCTAATTCGTATCTCAGGGAAGATGATTAAGTTTAATCGTACGGCAACAAAAAGTAGAAATTTGAAGATAAAACGCAGTACGAAAATCTCATTAGGAGAATAATAATTGATACATATACATGATTTAAGCAACACAAGCTCAACTTAGCCGTAATTTTAATTAAGGGTGCGATCTACTTTCAATAAAGTCATTTCTCCGCAGACTTGATCATATCTCAAAATTGTAGACTACTTTTCAATACTTTACCATATTTTACTTTTGTAATATTCTTAATAAGGTACCAAAATTTCGAAAAATGATCCAAGAAAAATATGATCATAGTAATTGAAGGTTTAAATTTAAAATTTTTTAGTTTGTCAATTAAAAAAAGTTGGTTACTCATGGGTGATCAATTTGCCGAATTTGTAATGAAAGGAATTTTAGTATTGGGAAGAATATTTCTCGAATCACTCATAAATTTAGGTCTGTCTAAAAAAGTATAAAGCTGATAAGATTTATTCAGTTATCATATGCTAATTACTTCAAATTGATTTTGTTTATATACAAAACTTGCATTACTAAATTTGCGTTCATACGTACGTATTACTATGGAGTTCATATTTTAGACTTTAAAACCTACGTTTCATAGTCTATACGGGTAAATCATATTGTTTTCCGTCTTAGAGTTTTCACAAGTTTAAAATGAGTAAAACCGGTAAAATATTTTCCCCTATAGCAGAACAGAGTTTAAAGTTTTTGTTTCTTTAATGCAATGCTTGATGTTTTAAAGTATATTTGTTTGTAATTTATTCTACCTATCATATGCAGAATTAAAAGGAAATTTAAATGACAAATTGTATATAAGCTTTTCATTTAAAATTATAAAATTTTGAGGATGGTTGAAAAAAAATGTCAAATCAACTCAATTTGTTATGAGACAAATTTGTTTTTCGTTTTGAATAATTTTAGATTGAGTTCTTTAGGTACTTTTAGAAAATAGAGATTTGTCTGTTCTCGCGCGATAGGATTTATATAGTTATTTAATACATGTTTTAGATGTGATTCTCCAAATACAGTTAGTGCTCAATTACTTAATTATTGACTCATCTTTTTTTTCTAACTATTCATTGCATTACGGTCTTACTACTAATTTTTTAGCTTTTTAAATTTTTCGCTAAAAAGTTAAATATAGAACAATAAGAACATGGACAAAAGAGAATGCGGATCAATTTGGGGGATTTGATGCATTTTTTGATACGTCAAATGACATTTATTTTCCTTTGCCAAGAAAGAAATCTTCTAATTGTTCTCATAACATTACGTCTAGCTCACCTAACTTTGAAAATTTGAGGACTTAGTTTACCTTGCTTGGTAAAAGTGCCGCATGAGTAATAGTTTATCTTTTCGATTATATACTTTGTTCAGCATGTTGTTGACATTTTTAACTACCTAATATAATTTAAAAGTCATACATACTTGATCAAGTCTAAGCCCTATTATAAAATTAAGTTTCAATTGACAAACAATAACGAAACTTTTGTATTGCCGTATTTGTGTACTCGAGCTAACGGTATTGATGTAAGAATTTGTGCAGAAATAGAAGGTTTTTTTGATCATTCAAAATTAACGTTTACCACGACTATTACAAAAGTAAACACACGCTTGGAATACACAAATTCTTAGTATATTTTCATCTCCCATAATCACCTTCAATTTATTACAAAGTTTATAAATAATTTTGGAAAGATCAATTGGAGCATACAAGAATGGAAAACTCAAATATCATTTACCCCCAATTGGCTAAAGGTAGTATGTGGAAAAAGAAAAATGAGCTTTTGTATAATTATCGATTTTAACGCAAATGAGATGAGTGTTAAGATCAATCATAGAGTAGCAAGACATATTGTTAGTCTCAGAGTAAAAGGGTCACAATATTAAAAATATATTCAATGCAAGAGAAGAAAAGTTTTACATATGTATAATAAGCCCATTTGAGTAGAATTTGTTTAGTTTAGCTTTCTCATAGTTTAGACACTGACCATGTAACCACATTTAATAGCTATATATTTTCATATATAATTTTGTTACGTAAGTATAATTAAATTTTTTAAGAACATTAGATTCAACGTCAATGTAAAAGGTTACAACCTACCAATTATAATAATAGTCAAAAAATGGTTAGTTTCGAGTTCACTATTTTCTCGGCTGATAAGTTGAAATTTGTTGCAAAATAAACTATAACTAAAAAGAAGCACTGATTTGCAACACTAATTTTTCAGATTTACCATATTTAAACAAAGTGAAATTTCCTTGTTAAAATATAATAAATTTACTCTGAACAAATAGAGCCCATTTTTCAATATAATCGTTGCTTAACCATGTCTTTTAAAAAAATTTATCTATATAAGCTCAAGGAATAATTCGGGTAAGTTTTATCAGTTGCAAAATATAAGTACGACAAATTTAGAAACACAAAACGAGGATTTTATACACGGAAATATAATATTGCAGTTCAGTTTCAATAATAAAAAACGTCCTTAACTTGTGAGAATGTCAATTGACAATTGTGAAGACAAACAAAGCTACGAATATCTTGTTGTGATGATTTATCTATTAAAGAAAAATAGATTACTTTAACTTATATAATGTATACAAAAGAACTCAATAAACAATTGAAATGGAAGTACTCCGAATTTGAGCCATAACTTTATATATCAATTGTAATTAGATAGTTCTCTTTTTATCGTATTGTGGGTAGTATTTACTAACAAAATAACCATCAAGTAAAACTAAACCAGTAATAATGGAAGCATGTAAACCAACAACAACATTATTATCTGATCTAATTCTATGTCTTTCTAAATATCCGTAATAACCAGCAGTTAAACCACCAGCTACAACAAAAATTTGAGAAAGAACAACTGGATTTTGTAATTCAATTGATAATCTTGAAAATAAATCTTGAGAAGTTTTTGAGATTGATTTACCAGTTTCTTGTAAGTATGAACCAAAATTTTGAGCACCTTGTTGAACTGAAGCACTTAATTGACTGAAAATGTTTTTACCTTCTTTTTCTAAGTGATTAAATTCCTTTTTAGCAGCATCATAAGCTTCTTGACTTTTTTCATTTATAGCTTCATAAATAACTTCACCTCTTTCATTTACAGCTTCTACAAATTCTTTACCTGATTTTCTTAATTCTTCACCATATTCTTCACCTGATTTTTTTAATTCATCAGCTTTTTTTGAACCTTCTTTTTGTAAATTTTTAGCAGTTTTTGAACCTTCTGCTTTTAATTCATTAACTTTTTTGGATCCTTCTTCAGCTGCATCAGCTGCATCTTCTTGAGCCTTTAATTTGATGTCTTCAGCGTCTTTTTTCAAGTTCTTCTTGATTTGTTCGTTTGATGGAGCGTTGTGATGGTTGGCCATTTTAAATTGATTTATTTAGTCGTTAGTTTGCTATTGAATTTTTTTGAAAGAAATTTAAATATAAGAATTATTATAAATTAATTTATCAATTGGATGTGTTAATTATATTGAACAAAGTCTTGAATTGATTGATTATAAATTGATTAAATTAAGTTCTTATCGTTGTTGTCAATTGATGGAAAAAGAAAAGTTGTTTTAAATAATTTAAATTTTTAACTTAAAATTGTAATTTTGATAAAAATTAAAATAATAAAAATGAAAGAAAATTCTATGATAATACTAATAAATAATAAATTAAGGGGATGAAATTTTCTTCTATAAAATAATTAACAAATAGATAGAGATTTTACTATTTATATTGTTAAAGATTACTACATAATTGAGTAAGACGACCAATTTCGTTGACTATATAACAGCAATCTATGTTGAGTATGTACTAAATTATTTCATACTATTGATGAGTTTGAATGTGAAATTTTATTTAAGAATTACAAAAGTCATTTAATTTATCACAAATTTGGTAATAGCAATTATTGAAAAAAAAAAAAAAAAATTTTAAAACTAATTAATTTAATTTTATTAACAAATTAAATATAAAGATAGAATTATTATTGTAGCGTTCTATGTACTAGAACTACATTGCTTAAGTTTTATCATTACTTGGTCGAAAGTAAATTGTATTTGGAATTGTATCGATAAATAAAAATTATTTATCAAGTAAGAACTGAATTTGCTCTTAACTAATTTTTATCAAGACTTTACTACTTACAAAAACTTTTGAGCAATTGATTTAACACAACTTTGAAAATAGAGCTCGCTTTTAAAGTATTGAAATAAATGCCTTAAACAAATTAGAGTTTCAGATGCTGATAATTAATCATTATAATAGTCGTCTGACTACTTCTAAAATATAATAAATTTAATCAAACTGCTTGTTTTGTGATATGTTATCTTAACAATTTTATTATAATTTCTTAGACCCCGGAAAATGACGTATTATTTAATAAATATTTACGATTCTTACAGTCTTTAATCAACTACGAGCACAATGTTGGCTAGAAGCAAACTAAAATAATAACAATCACGTGCAAAAATGTCTGCGAATAAAGAATATAAATATTAAGTATTCACTTTTTTATTTCAAAAACATGAAGGTAATGCATATCACACAACATGAAAGACAGAAAAACCTGTTTGAAATGGCTCTAAAGCAGTGGTCTATCATGCAGACGATAGTATTTCTATTTCGCTTTTTGCTTTCAGACCACAACAAGTGTTTGTTTAATTTTTTCTCGTAATTGCCGACTAAATACATTACCATCATACTAGATTTTAATTTGCTACCAACTGCTTTGAAACAATTTACAAAACAGTACGAGATGAATGACAGTTTCTTTAAGTACGGTTACATTGACTGGTTCTAAAGCCACTTAATGATCTCGGGGCCATGAGTTTACGTTGAAAGTACTAAAGTACCAAATTCCGTAAAAACATGATCCCAGTTTGATTGAATTTAATGTAAGCGAGTAAGAGTGAGCTATACTAAAAAGTGCAGAGTAGTAAAAATAGGATTATTATCCATTGAAGTGAAGAAATCAAACCAGAGAAAACCTAAGTTAGAAATCTTTTGCCACTAGGTTGAGGGCTAAATTTGGTTGCAAATAAAACACATTAAATAGGTGACACAAAAAATAGTAATACAATTCTTTTTTAGCCAACAGCAAAGTCATCGACAACGGTAGTGCTGTAGATTTGCCTTCCTTAAATGACAGTCAGCCTTATAATCATTCCCTCTTCTTGTGTCTAGCACCCCCGTTACCTAAGTGTATTACTGATAAATGACTTATAAGCTGTTCAAAAGCCTTTAGCATCACGTGCCAAGTTTAATAATAGGGCTGTAAACATTCATACACAAAACCAAACGAAAAAAGTATTGATTATTTTGAAAATTTACAATCAGAAAGAACTGAGACAATTTCTAATAAATTAAACAAATACTAGTCGATTGAAAACCAACACCCCGGCTTTCCAAGTAACATTCCGACAAGTTAATTATCAAATATAAATATGTCAGCAGAAGCTCCAAAAAGACAATTTGGTGGTAGAAGAAGAGGAGGACCAAGAAGAGGAAGAAGAGATGGTGAAGAAAAAGGATGGACTCCAGTTACTAAATTAGGTAGATTAGTTAAAGCTGGTAAAATCACCACTATTGAAGAAATTTATTTACATTCCTTACCAGTTAAAGAATTTCAAATCATTGATTTATTATTACCAGAATTAAAAGATGAAGTTATGAAAATTAGATCAGTTCAAAAACAAACTAGAGCTGGTCAAAGAACTAGAATGAAAGCTGTTGTTGTTATTGGTGATTCAAACGGTCATGTTGGTTTAGGTATTAAAACTGCTAAAGAAGTTGCCTCAGCCATTAAAGCCGCTATTGTTATTGCTAAATTATCAATTATTCCAATCAGAAGAGGTTATTGGGGTTCTAATTTAGGTCAACCACACTCATTACCATGTAAAGTTACTGGTAAATGTGGTTCAGTTACTGTTAGATTAATCCCAGCTCCAAGAGGTAAAGGTATTGTTGCTTCACCAGCTGTTAAAAAATTAATGCAATTAGCAGGTGTTGAAGATGTTTATACTTCATCAGCTGGTTCTACTAGAACTACTGAAAATACCTTAAAAGCTGCTTTCGTTGCTATTGGTAACACTTATGGTTTCTTAACTCCAAACTTATGGAAAGAAACTCCTTTAGTTGCTTCACCATTAGAAATTTACGCTGAAGAAGCTGCTTCTGGTAAAAAAAGATACTAATTTATTTTAGATGTCATTTAATGTATAAATACTATTCAAAAACTTAATTTTACAGATGTAGTCGCAAACTCTTTTAAACAATAATAGTAAAGCTGGAATTTATCACAGCTGATGATGTAATATTAAATAAGATTTAGGTACAAATTCTATATATTATATATGATTTTGTTGATTTAATCTTGAGCAACTTGTTCCATAACTTGATCTTCATTGACCGCAAATTGACGATTATTTGTTTCAATATTTCCATTATGAGCATCACTAATTCCATCTTTTGTCCAATGATGTGATGCGGTAATTCTACCTTCTGGATGTTGATACATACACATTGCACTTGAACAATTACTACCAAAACGACATGGTTCAGCTAATGGATGATTAAAAGTGCAATCTAATCTTCTACATTCAGCACCAGCACGACAAGGAACAGCAGATGTAGCATGTCTTCTTGGACATTTATAATTGGTACATTTCATACCAAATTTACATTGTTCTAAAGCTATTTGAGTCAGTGATGGTAAAGTTTTAATTTCAGCATTTGGAGGACGAGGATGTGATTTGTTACATTCTTTATTTTGACAATTAACACCATCTTTACACCATTCTAATGTTTCTATTTTAGCATCAGCATTTGAAGGAGTTGGATGAGCAAATGGACAATTTTCTTTTGCACATTTTAAACCAAATCTACAAGAACCTTGTTCAAGCATTATTAAATTCTTTTGTTTAGCTTCATATTCTTTTTCTGATTGTTCTAATTTAGCAATTAATTCTTGATCTTGATCTGGATGTATAAAATTACAAGTACCTGGTGGATTTGGACAATCTGGATATGCAAAACAATTTTTAGTTGGATGAGAAAAGGGACATTCTTTATTTGAACAATGCGGGAAATCTGGACATCTACCTTTTGGAGGACGTGGTACAAATTTAGTGGTATTATTTGAATCTTTACCTCCTGAGGCAACAAAAGCTTCTAATTGTTTTGTAACTTGTGGAGGTCTTTTTGAAATTGATGAACGATCTGTTGGTTTTTTTCCAATACCTCCATTAATGATCTTGTTTCTAGATGATAATGATGAAGAAGTTGAGTCAACACCAAATCTTTTGCTTCTCAACGCCAACCTTTCCTTTTCATTTAATTTCTTAGGACCAGTTGGAGGTATTGATGATGATGATCGATTCAACGCTCGAGGATCTCTTGATGAAGATGGGATATAATTATCTCTTGCTGATGATGGAGTGTAGTTATCCCTTGCTGATGATGTATTTTGTGTATCTCTGGTTGAGGAAGGTTTGTAAGAATCTCTTGATGCAGTATTTGAAAATCTATTGGTGACCCGTGAAGTTGAAGCTTCTGGTTTTTTATACTCTTGATTTGAAGGTTGATTGACTTGAGATTGGGTTCTTGATTGTGGTTGATATGAATCTTGAGATATATGAGTGACTGAGTTTACTTGTGGATGTTGATGATTTTGTGAATGTGTGGTTGAAGTAGGATTATAATTTGTACGATTTTGTTGAGCTAATCTATTTTCAATATTTTGAAGTTCTACATAAACTTGACTAACAAATTCAGAATCTATTGGAATATCTGCTATTTCTTTAACTTCTGTAACAATAACATCTTGGCTTTTATTTGACACGATACAATAAATTATATATTCAGCTATATCTTGTGCATCTTCTGGTCCTATTCCATAACGTCTTATAATTTCAGCCATTAAACTTTGTTTAAGTTGGTCAGAAACTTTGCTATCAGGAGTCAAAGCCATATTGTATTAATGAATTGATATTAATGAAAGTAGTGATAAAAAAGCTGATGTTTCAGGTTTATCAAGGGCGATTGAATATTTTTTTTTTACGTATTATTTATAATATTTATATTAATAAATTAATTAATTATTATGCTCTCTAATTAAATTAAGAAATTAACGAAATTTAACATAGTACCTGAAGATATGAGGTCTGACGCAAATTTAAGAGAAACTACGACAAGACAAGTAAACTCTATATTATTATAAATTTATGTGTATCATTAAAAGCTATCAACGCCTACAAAACTAAACTAATTGAAATTTATCCTCTGATATCTCACCCAATAAATCTTTAATATTTACCATTATATTATCTAATTGTTCAGAAATAGAAGAAGCAACCAAAATATATGAATATAACCAAATAAAATCAGTATTTCTTAATTTTAAACCAGTATCTTGTTGTTGACGTATTTCACTTAATTTATATAACAATCTATCTTTTGCATGATCAATTGATGCAAATTTTTTAGGTAATGAGAAACCTAATTTCATTGCACTTGCAAGCATATAAAATACTAAAAAGATTCTTTGTTCAACTTCGCTTCTTTCAGCCTCGATATATTTTAAAACGTATTCTTCGTTCACTGTTAACACTGGATCAACTTTGATTAAAAGATCTAAATTTTGAAAAGCATCTATAATCCCCGAGGTATCTTTTAGAATTTTCGAGTATGTTTGAGTGGGGAAAACACCTTTTAATCTAAATTCAACTGGTGCTTGCTTTAATAATGTCTCACATTCTGATAAGATCTTATTAGTACCTTCTTCAGCTTTAAATCCTACTAATTCCATAGTATTTGGATTATACTCTAAAGGATCACTATTCCATATTACACCTAATCTTAACCATAGAATAGATAAACCATTTTTCAACCTTGATCTTGCACTATTTGGTAAAAACCAAGTTGCCATAGTTAATGCCCATATAATACCAATGGAAATAGCAGCAAATCTATGAAAAGCAATTTCACCAATTATTGGGTGATCACCACCTTCTTTATCATCTTCAGAATCCTTTTGAATCATACTATACGAATACAACATTGTCAAGTTATAAGTCAATAAAATAAATCTTCCAAATGCATTGTTAGCACTCCAAAATAAGATTATATAAAATGAAGGTATCGATATTAAAATCCCAGCAATCGCTAAAAAATAAACATTAGCATCAAATATATTCCATATAGAATAAGCAGCAAATGCTCCAATAAATGTACCAAGAATTCTCCATTTAACAGTCATTGTGGTACCTCCTAATGATTTATTCATCATAATACAATAAACAGTTAATGCCCATTCTAATCTCCAAGTTAAAAATATATCTCTAGTCTCGGGGATATATGCAAACAATGATAAACAAGCAGCTCCTAATCCAACTCTAATTCCAAATTGTACATCAGCTCTTTTTAAAACTTTCAAATTCTCCCAAACTTTGAAACCCAATCTTTGTAAAAATGAATCAAAAACTGGAGCTTTATGCTTTTTTAACCCATATTGATCTCTTAAATCATCTAAAGCGGCATGTAAACTTGTATCATTAGTCGAATCATCAAAACTTTTTGATTTTTTAAAACTTAACCAAGGCCAACTTCGTGGACTATTTATAGCGGCACTATATTCATCAAATAATTTTAAAGTACAAAGTAATTCAGTTGCAAATTGAGATAGTAAAGTTGCGAAATTCCCACAACAAGCGGCAACTTCTTCTTGCTCTGCTTTAAAATTGAAATTTGTACTTTTAGTAAAAGATTCTTGATTGTAAATATGATCAAATGATAATTCTTGTCGTTTTTCATACATTTTTATAGCACTGATTAATGAGTGCTGGTAGATTTCGGAACTTTCAAATGATGTAGGAGGTATGGAGTTCAAAACATCTCTCATTGTGAAAACCAAGGATTTTATAGATGGTGATAAATGGAATACGAATAAATCAAATAATTGTAAAGATGAACCCATGTCATTATTTTCTTCTTGATCTTGTGCCCGCACTGAATCAATTGAAGGTATATTAAATTCACTAGATTTAAAACTTCTTAAAGTTGATGCTGTACTATTATTGTCATCAGAGGTATTATTTAGTAAACTCCATTGCATTCTTGTTGCTGAACTTAATGCTTGTAAATGTCTAGCTAATGATATTGTTGCATTTACTAATTCTTTATAATAATCCCATTCTGCTTCTTTTCCCAAAATCCTTAATTCATATTCTGATTCTTCTAAATATTGATGAAGAAGATTAACCAGTTTTTTTAATTTTTCAATCAATAATGAATCTTGGGCATTTAATTTTTCACCAGCAACAAATCTTCTAGTTAATGTTAGAAGCACCAATGAATAATTCTTGTATGATTCATGAATTGTTTTCCGAAGTAGATTAGTAGCACTGACAGGCCAAAGTAAATAAGAACAAGAAAATGAAATTATACTACCAGTAACCACAACTTGAAAAGTTGAGTATATTCTTGACAATGGAATTTCACCAGAATTTAAACTTCCTTCTTTAACAATACAAGAAACAATTGTTATACATGCTAAAGAACAAGCAGTATTAAAAGTTTGTTTATTAGTTTTTTGTTTCCAAAATGAAATAACCCCCAATGCAATTGAACTAATAAGTAAATCAATAAAATGACTAATTTCATCTTCTCCCTTTACGAAAAAAATTGCAGATATTAATCTACATCCAAATGATACTGTCATACTGAATATAATTGATATTATCACATACATCATGGTTTGATTCATTGAACCTTTTGTTCTTGTTGGATGGAAATATACCGCGACTGTTGCAATAATATGTTTTGAATCAGTATTTCCTAAAAAATCATCAAATCGAGGAACAAAAACTCCTAAACTTGCAATAAAATATGCCATTGAACATTTAAATACACTTCTGAAAATATCATTATTGTATGTAGTTTTTAGTAGTTGTAAAAAATTTTGAAATCTAGTAGTAGAATGTAATGGTTCACCTTCCAGAGGTGTTTCAAAATCTTGTGGTAAAGAAAATGTAATATTTCTATGAACTCTTTCTCCAGTATTTGCAATAATAACTGAATTTTTCCTATCTATAAATTTTCTAGGTATTGAATTATTAGATCTAAATTGATACCGCAAATTGGATAAATCATCAATTTTAATAGTTTGTTCTTCATCATTTAAATCGTGTGGTTGATTATGTATTTCTTCTGTTGCAAATGAATCAAAACTTGTATCTTCTACTAACCTTGTTGTGTCGGGACTTTCAATGCTTCCATTTGGTTTGCCGTACATGTACTAATTTATTTGTAATTGGTTGTCAAAAGCCTAAAATTGATTTTGATTGTGTATACAATTTTATAGTTTTTAATAAAAAATTAGATTTAAAAATTAGACTAATTTCAAATTAACTTTATTTTGTTTTATCTCCGTCTCGAACCAAGAAAATTTATTATCTTTGCTTAATTTATTTTTATTCAGGGCAGTGATGTCAAAAGATTAAGTCCATCAATAGGTCAGATTTTTACATATTTCTAATTATCATAAATTGTTTTTCAATTTCTTTTCAAAGTTGTTACATAAAGATACACAGGATAAAAACTATCAAAAACTGAAAAAACATTAAATCGTAATATCATATTTATTATTATTATTATATCATTCTATTATTTTATATTTTTACATAAAACCTCATTAATCTTCATAACCAACAATTTCTCTAAATAAATCTTCACATGGAACAGTTGCATTTAATCTTGCACATAACAAAAATACACCACTTAACTTTCTATGTAATGAATAAGTTTCTTCTGGTGGTGGTGCTAATCTTTCATTCAACATTAATCCAATATTACCTCTAACTCTATCAGTTATTGTTTGTTTTTTAAAATTGAAAGGTTGCCCATTATTATCAATTGGTGAAAAAGCTTCACCTAAACACATTACTGAATCAACATGAGCTTTTATCATTGCTGGTGATTCTAATCCTGTCAAATAACCTAAATCATGAGATATTTCTTCAACTTTTTTAGCATCTTTTTTAACTGCAGCTCTTAATACTTTAACATAATTTGTAATAAAATCTTCACTAAAATCACGAGCTGCACCAAAATCTAATAATTCAATTTTATGAGTTTGTTCATTATATAAGAAATTAGCCCAATTTGGATCAGTTTGCATAAATTTAAATTCTTTTAATTCTAACAAACATAATCTCATTATATTAGTTGCAATCCAGTCTCTTGTACTTTGATCCCAATTTCCTTTAACAATTTCAATACCTTTCATTTTTTCCATAGTTAAAACATGTTCACCACATATATTATGAAAAACTCTTGGAACTTCAAATACTTCATCATCTTTTAAAAATTCTCTCATTCTAATTAAATTTTGAGCTTCTCTTATATAATCACATTCCCATTTTAATTCAACTCTTGCATTTGCAATAGTTTTATCTAAAAATAATCCTGCAGGTAATAATGATGAAGCAGTTAAAATCATTAATAAATTATTTAAATCAGAATCTATTGAATTAGCAACACCTGGGTATTGAACTTTCACAACTACCGGAGTTAAATCTTCTGTTACTGCAGTATGAACTTGACCAATAGAGGCAGCAGCAATTGGAACATCATCAAATGAAGCAAATAATCTTTCTCTCCAATTCATACCTAAATCTCCAACCATAACTCTCTCCAATTGACCTGGTGGCATATAATGAGCAGAATTTTGAACTCTTAATAAAATTTGTTGAATTTCTTTTGGTAAAATTGAAGAATCTTGAAATGATAACATTTGACCTAATTTTAAAGCTGCACCTCTCATTTTGGAAAATTTCTTTGCCATTCTCTCTATATTTTGAGGTGATAAAAATAATGATTTCATAGTCATTGATTCTCCAGAAGCATAATTTTTCAAACCTTGAGTTGCAGCATTCAATCCCATTCCAGCAGCTAATGATCCATAATGAAATATTCTTGCTAATCTTGAACTTGGAATTTCACTTTGTAGTAGTTGATGTTCTCTTAATTTTGGTTTCGGGAAATTTGGAGACGAAGCTGGATCTATAGTTGTTATTTGTACAGGAGTTGTTGGATTGATAGTTGGAGCATCTAAATCTACTTCTTCACCAGGATAAAATGATTTAGTTGAATATGCACGCGTTTGACCAGTGTTATTGAATGGATTTTTGGAATTTTCTTTATTAAGTCTAGCTCTTATTGATATAGATTGAGTTTCATCCCACATTGGTTTATTTTCATCAACTTGATCTCGTATAGTTTTTAGTATATAATTATTTTGAATATAATTATAAACATCATTTTTTAGTATTTTTACTGAACCTTCTGTAACATTCAATAATGAATTTGACACAACAGCTAATTCATATAGTCTTTTACTTATAGACATTGAAAAATTTATGAATATATATAAATAGTTAAGAAGTATAACCTGGTATTAAAAGAAAGTAAATACTCAATTAAAAAAAATAAAAATGTGTAAAGTTTTAAAGAAATTATAAATTTTTAAACTTTTTTTTAATTTTTTTTTTTCTTTAACTTTGTTAATAATTTTTTGCACATGAAAACAATAAAGCAAACGAATAAACGAATTAAAAAATTGTTAGAAAAAATTACCGGATTTTAAATTTAGAAACAGGGAAATACTTACTGTCAATTTGAAATTTCCTTTCAGATAAATTTTAGAGGTTTCAAACTTAAAGTTTCTGAAGTAAGCATCGACTTTCATAACTCTCAAAGATCATATTGCAACATCAGTCAAATTAATATATCATGAAAGTTGTTATAGAAAATTCTATTTTATGTGTAATATCAAAAACGTTTTTGTGTCTATCATGCGGCTTTTCCTTTTGTCCTTTAAATAAAAAATTATAAATCTGGAATTCAGATTTAAATTTTAGCTTTAATAGAATTAAACAACCCAATTTAATATATCAAGATTTAATTTTAAGACATTAAGCATTATGAAACTTATTTATTTGATCATTCAACACATTATTGATTTTGATAAGATTTAGTACCTTAGATGTTCATTAATATAGTAGTTAATAATTCATTCTATTTTTTTGTTATGGAATATTATTCGGAAAAACTATTATTTAGTTATAATTGAATCTAAACATCTCGTTTGGAAAAAAAAGTGGGGAAAGAATTTGTGGAATAATTTTTTATTGGTTTAAAAACACAACTTTTATTAATTAATACTTTTAAAACTTGTTGATTATAAAATTGCTTTTTACAACTAAATATTGAAACGTTTGAACTGAAACGTTTGAATTAATAGATCGTGTGTAATTCTAAGACTTGAAAAAGGAATATGAATGAGCTTTCAACTCCGACAAGAAATATTTGGTGAGACTTTCAAAAAAAGAGTAGATTGCATAAGCCTCAACTCTATATAGTATCGTCGTAAGCATTAGCTTCTAAGCCGCAATGTATGTTTTACAGTAAATTCGCAGATTTTGATCAATAAGTTTGGTGAAAGGTTCGAAGCAAAATTTTGACAGATTTTGCAGCAAAATTAAAATAGAATCAAATGGATTAGACCCATGCACTTTTGATAAATTTTTTTCGCGCTCTCCACCAAACCGTTGAAATATTGTGAAAATGTAATATCACTCGCTTTTGTTAGATATTGACATTTGATAGTCTAAAGAGATAAATACTTACCAGTATTTCATATTGATCTCCGATTTTGTAACTTTAGAGTAACATAGATACATAAAATATAACTTACACTGAGGAACCCACTCAATTCAACTAATTAATACCTCAACAATGAGAAAATAACATATCATTATTATGTCAATATCGTTATTAAATAATCATATTCGAGTTTATTATTTCAACATTCATTTGATATTATTATATGTGTATGTATAATGTATATACTTTATATTTAAATATCATTTTATTTTTAGTAACAATAAATAAATAAATAAATAAATAAATAAATTAAATTAAGGTACAAAAAAACAAAACATTAATAAAAAAAATATCAAGACAGAGAGAGAATTAATAGATGTTATATATACTTAATAATCTATTTATTTTACGAGTTTCATATGATTAACCCTATATAATAATAATAACTATTCATTCGTTTCATTCTCAATACAAGCATTTACAAGATTAAATTCAATTCATAATGCCTTCAAATAGAAATTCTTTTATTTCTTCAAAATCTCCTTCTAATTTTTCACTGCCTCAATTTGAATCACAATCAAATTTTAATCCATATGAAGCAGTAAATAATCAATATAATCAAGATTTATATCAACAATCAACTTCAAAACCTAAACTAATATCTAATAATGATGCAAATTTAATACCCAATTATAAAAAAATTGAAAATCATCAAACAATAAAATCAAAAAATAATCATAGAATGAAAATTGTTGTTGTTGGTGATGGTGCAGTTGGTAAATCATGTTTATTAATAAGTTATTCACAAAATAAATTCCCTGAAATTTATGTTCCAACTGTTTTTGAAAATTATATTGTTCCATTAATGTCACCTCAAGGTAATAAAATATTTGAATTAGAATTATGGGATACTGCAGGTCAAGAAGAATATGATAGATTAAGACCTTTAAGTTATAGAGATGTTGATTTATTAATTGTTTGTTTTGCTTTAAATAGTATTACAAGTTTACAAAATATAAAATCATTATGGTTTCCAGAAATTAGTCATTATTGTCCTAATGTACCTATAATTTTAGTTGGTACAAAAGCAGATTTACAATCAGATATATCAGATGAATTAGCTTATAAAGTAGCAACAGAAATAAAAGCTATAGCATATATTAAAACTTCATCAAAAACAATGTTAAATGTAAGACAAACTTTTAATTTTGCATTAAATCATTATCAAAAAGAAATTGAAATAATGGAACAATATGAAACAAGTAAAAGAAAAAGAATAAGTAAAAGATTTAGTAATAATGGTTCAGGTAATTATGGTAATAACAGTGGGAATTATGATCATATAAGAAATAAAAGTACTGCATCATCAACAACAAGAAGAAATCATATGAAAAATTCAAGTTTAGGTTCAAGTGTATTAATGGATCAACCATTAACTGAAGATAATTATGAAAATAATCCTTATGGAAATTTTAATAGTTCAAATGGTGGTGGTGGTGTTGGTGGTAATTATAATTTAAGAAATAATAATGGTGAATTTGATTTTATTGATGAAAGAAGAAAAAAAGAAAAAAAGAAATGTATAATACTTTAGTCTGATATTATATATTACATTTATAGAGCATAGATAGAAAAATTAATATTAATTATTTATTAACATAAATTCATCCTCAGATCTTTTTGAGATTAGTTGCAAAAAGTTCAAAAAAAATGTACATATACAAAATTTGAATTTATATCCGAAACGCGTTTAAACAAGTGACAACCTAGATTAATCTTATTCTTACATATTTGTTCGACGGTAGCATTTAACATAGACTTTCCCTTCGTGGTTCAGAGAGGATATCCACATATATTAATAATCAATTTTCGGTGTAAAGTTTTGAGTTATATTTTTGTCTTGTACATTGTTTCAGAATAATAATGTTTTGAAAAATTTCAATAGATAAACAATAACAATTTTTTTTTCCCCTTTTTAATAACAGACATAATTTTTTTTTTAGGTCCATCAAACTTAATATAGAAAAAAGATATAATAAAGAAGTATACAAACCATTGAAATATCATTTTAAAAGCAGGCTTCAATTATCAAATCAATTAAGTTTAAACTAGAGACCTCAATTACTAAACAAATTTATTTGCCCACCGTCCAAACCCAATATCTTAACCATACAGTCTAAAAATGCATCAATTGCTGAATTTGGAGACAGAAGTTAAATATAGACAAGAGAAATCAACTAAACCCAATACTAAAGACAACGAGACAAATATAATATCAAAACAAGAAGATCATTCAGGAGATGCAGGAAATAAACAAGATGATCATTACAAAAAAAAATTATCACCAATACGATATAAATTAAGATCATTATTATTACCATTAATTAGATATGAAACAGATTTACTTTTTAATTTACAAACTTTATTAAGAAATCCAATTTTTGATTTTTATTTTGCATGGACTGCAAATTTAGCAAGTCATACATTTTATGTATTAATGTTACCACCAGCAAATTGGTTTGGTGGTAGTAAATTAGCAAGAGATTTAGTTCATGTATTGGGATTAGGAATATATTTTACTGGGTTTTTAAAAGATTATTTTTGTTTACCAAGACCAAGATCTCCTCCTTTACATAGAATTACAATGTCAAGTTATACAACTCAGGAATATGGATTTCCTTCATCTCATTCTGCTAATGCTACTGCTGTTACTTTAGTTGTATTAACAAGTATTATTAATATTAAAGATGCTTTTAATTCAACAACTTATTATTCATTGATTATTGGACTTTCAATATATTATATATCATTAATTTTTGGTAGACTATATTGTGGAATGCATGGATTTTTAGATATTTTAGTTGGTTCATCAGTTGGTGTATTGGTGTTTTTATTTAGACATTATTTAGGTGAATGGTGGGATGATTTAATACTAGGTCATGGAATGACTTTCGGGATTATTGCAATAACAAGTGTATTTTTATTTTTAATTCATATATATTCAGAACCAGTTGATGATTGTCCTTGTTTTGATGATTCAGTAGCGTTTGTTGGTGTACTAATGGGATTAGATTTCAGTCATTTAATTGCTCGTTCTACAAAATATTTTTATAATATAGATAATTATGGTGATTATTATCGTGTGCCATTCAATGTGGAATCTGGATTGATAATACTTGGGTTAAGATTCATTATAGGGGTTACCTTAGTTGTAATTTGGAAAACAATTTCAAAACCAATAATTTTCACAATACTACCACCAATTTATAAATTTGTTGGAGTTTATTTACCAAGAAAAAATTATATATCAACAGCTTTTACAAATCAAACTACTAGAAATATTAGATCAACATCAATATCAAATGATGTATCACAAATTGGTAATATAAATAATTTTATTAAAGGAGTATCAGATCGTCAAAAATTAGATAATATTGGACCAAGTAGTGATATAGATTATTATGAAATGATTGATTATAATAGAAAAAATGATTTAAGTAATAATGTTGATCCAGATAAATATAATTTTAAAAGTGGAGTTTTTAAATATCGTTATGATGTTGAAATTATTGGTAGATTAATTGTTTATGCTGGTGTTGCATTTACTGCAATTTGGGGATTTTATTTTGTTTCAAATTATTTACAAATATAATACAGTTTAATTTTTACTTTACTAAAGTTAAATCTCTTTGTAAGAATCTATTTTGACCTAATAACCGAAAGTCAAAAGACAATTATTGATTGAATTGAAAGAATAATGGAATAATTCGAATTTCATTTAAGACGTAACATGGCTTAATTTTTAATAAATTTCAGTACAATTTGAATTCATTGAGAACCCATTTTTTTCCTATTGTATACTCTAATCTAAAAAAGTAACCAATCTTCATAATTTTGACTAGGTATTAATACATACTATCTATGACTGTAAGTAAAGCACTTTGTTGTAAATCCTTGATATTTGGTCTCCTATCAATATGTTATCTAACACGTGATTTAATACTTGTACAGCTTAATATTATCTTAAGTACTATTTTAATTTTAATTGAAAAATCTTAAAAGAAGTTTAAAATTAAAAAAAAGTACAAAATTAAAAATATCTAATATAATTTCAATTCTATTTAATTTTAAATCAAATTGTAAAGATATATATTTTTAAAGTTGACTTTTAAATTACAATATTTCTCATTTAATAAATCTAATAGTTACAAATAATTCATAATCTTAATAAATTAGTTATTAAATTTTAATCTTCAATCGATTATTATTCAAACTTAATAATTTTTCAGAGATTATTTCAATAATAATAATATTATTATTTATATAATTTATCAAATATTATATTCATAAATTCCATCACAATCGTTATTGCTCATTTTAATTAATTATTCAATTTAAATTTAACAAAGTTGTACAAGTAATAAAGTAAATGATATATTAAAGAATATCATTTAGTCAATCAAGAAGTTCCGTGAAATTTTATTTATTTATTCACAAATTTTTGGCTTATTATTTACCACTACAATTTATTGATATATTTGATAATTTTCTTTTTTTAATTCAATCAAGTATCATGAACGATACATTCAATAATTCACAATCGGGTCAGACACTATATTATAATAATCATTCAAACTCAACATCTTCATCATCAAGTGGAGGTCAAAATAATAATCAATTAAATCATCTTAATGGTAATAATAATAATAATAATAATACTAATAACTCAAATAATAATAATGTATTAAATAATGTTGCAAATAATTCAAATCATGGAGATCAAACAAATGGACATATAAGTAATCAACATATTAGGGGAAGTAGTAGTCGACAGTCGAATAGTGGAAATAATCAAACAAATGATCCATCAAATAATCAACAACAAGGACAACAACATACTATAAATGATTTATATCAATTAATTAGTCAATTACAACAACAAAATACAATTAATAATCAAATAATAATGAAGATGAATTTTATGTCTGATTCAATTGAAGAAATTAAAAGAAATCTTCTAAATTTACATCAACAATTTATGTTTACTTTACAAAATAATTCTCTGAATAATTCAAGTTCATCAAATGTTAACAATATGTTTTCAAATTCAAATTTAAATAATCAATTTAAAACTTTTGAAATTTTTACAAAACATTTAAATAAATTAAATAAAGAAATTGAAGAAATTAATAGTAGTGGACAAAATTTGAATCCAAATTCACTTCAGCCGCAACAACAAGCTCAACAACTGGGCCAACAACCATCACAGCAAACACAACAATCTCAACAACAACGACCTCAAGTTTCGCAACCACAACAACAACTGCAAAATCCTCCAAGTCAACAAGCACAGCAACAGCAAGGACAAAGCTCACATTTACAAAATCAACATCAAATTTCCACTAACAGTGTAGAAGATGACAGCAGGAATCATCAGCAACTACAAAATAATCAATCACATACCCAGAATGGAACTTCTTTTGATGATGAAGTCGACTTGACAAGAAAAAATTTAGGTTTAAGATCACCAGCTCCAGGCTCAACTGCAACGTCTCCATATGTTTTTGAATTAGGATTTTCATCAAGAGGTTCAAATTTAAATGGTCATATAACATCTCCGATCAATCAACCACAAATACCCAACAATAATCAACAACAACAACAGAAAAGACTGAAAAATTTTAAATCATCTCAACAAAATAATAATAATGCTCAACACCAACATCAACAAAATCATCAACATCAACAACAACAACATCATTTACAAAATCAACATCAAACACAAAGATTACCAATAATATCTCAACAAAATAATCAAAATTCAAATTATTCAAATTCATATATGTTACCTATGCCTCCTTTATTAAGTGAGGATAAGTCAAATAATTTAGCGCCCCATGATCAATCATTACAATTTTTATTATCAAGAGAAAGTAGTGGAATGATGACTTCAGCTTTGAGACAACAACCATCTCATACAAGACCTATGCCTCCACAACCTTCAGCTTCAACTTTTTCATTTGATGATAATGATATTGAACAAAGTATTGATGATTTAGAACAGCAAACTCAAACAGGTACAAGTGCAACTACTCAACCAACTACAAATTCTTCTTCTAGTAATCAAAATAATTTATCTGATCAAGCACTTTCAAATGGTATAAACAAAAATTTTAAAAAGAGAAAATTATCACCGGATTTAAAATCTTCCATAAGTACAAATGATGTACCTCAATATAAATTAGAAAGAAGTTTAAAAGCTCTTAGTGATATATGGAAAGAATACGCTTATGGAGTTAATGATAAACCTCCTTTAAAGTCTTTAGAATCAAAATATGGAACTAAATGGAGAAATGAAACTGAATCAAGAACTTTTTTACGTAGGAAAAAAATTTATGAAGCAATTGAAATTGGTACTAAAAAAGGTTATAGTGAAGAAGATGTTATTAATGAATTAGAAAATTATAGAAGTTATGATAAAAATGGATCTTTGAAAAAAAGACCATTATCTTGGTTAAGTTCAAATATGCCTGATAAATTTAATAATCCTGCTACTGATGCATAAAGTTGAACTTAGAGATGTTGAAATTTTTGGTCTTGTCAATTTTGAATAGCTATTGAGAATCAAGATGTTGATTATTGTTGTTTGTATTTGTTTTTACTTTTCAATTCGTTTTTTATTCTTAGTCTTAGTTAGTTTATTTAGCTTCAATGTATTAATAATAAGTTTTTAACTGTATCTGTTATTTTAATTAGCTTTTAATTTGCAACCAATAAATTTATCAAAAGATTTCATTACTAAGGAATTGATTTTGTGTTTTGAAAAGTTTTGGTTTTGTGCTAGATATTTTTATTTTGTTTTGAAAATAATTTATTTACGAAAACTCAAAAGATGAGATGAATTATAAGACTGGAAATCTTTGAATTAAGTAATGACTACAGAATTTGAAGAAAAGAAAAGACCATCGAGTCCTCCAATAGAAGAAAATGGAACAAATAAAGAATTAAATAATAATTCAAATCAAGACAAGTTTAAGAAATCCAAAAAATCAAAATTAAAAAGATATAGACCAAAACCAACAGATCAAACAAGTCCATTAGGTGTATTGGATTTTGAAATTAAACATTTATGTCAAGAACACAATATCTCATTAGATGACATAAAAAATGATCTAACTGGAATTTTAAATGATAAATTAATTGAGGAAAAATATCATAGAATAGTTGAAAATGTTAAAATATTACAATTTTTATCAAATGGTGAAGGTATAGCACTTATACCTCATATTGAACTGGATAAAAAATATCAAGTTGTTCTTGTACCATTTGGAATCCCAGGAGATATAGTCACAATAAAGATTTTCAAAACTCATCCATTATACGCAGAATCAGATTTATTATCAATTGAAAGTAATTCAAATATTCGAAACGATTCATTAATTCAATGTAGATATTTTGGTAAATGTTCAGGATGTCAGTTTCAAGATATATCATACGAAGAACAACTTAATATAAAAAGAACAACGATTATAAATGCATATAAACATTTTGCTCCAAAATTAACTGAATTAGGCTTATTACCAGAAGTTTCAAAATGTCAAGGTTCACCATTACAATATAATTATAGAACTAAATTAACTCCACATTTTAACATACCGACCAAGAAAACTGGTGCTGATTTAGAAGAAAGACCTAATTTTGGATTTGGTTCAAAAGGTAGACCCACTTGGAGAAAAAATACTGATTTTGGACCAAGTGGAGCTATAATGGATATTGAAGAGTGTAAAATTGGAACAGAAATTGTAAATATAGGATTGAAAAACGAACGTATTAGACTAGATAAAACTTACAAAAATTACAAGAAAGGAGCAACAATATTACTAAGAGAGAACACGAAGATAAAGACGGAAAATTTTGAATTAGATGAAGCATCAAAAGATATAAATGATAAAATTTCAAATATTGAAATTGCAGAACAAGATGAAACTATTGTCAAAACTTGCGTAACGAATTCAAGACAAGTTGTTCAAGAAATAATAGGTGGATACAGATTTGAGTTTTCAGCAGGTGAATTTTTTCAAAATAATAATTCAATATTACCATTAGTAACATCATACGTTAAAGAAAATTTACTACAAGGGACCAACAATTATCTAGTTGATGCATATTGTGGATCAGGTTTATTTTCAATCACATGTTCAGAAAATGTTTCAAAAGTTATTGGAGTTGAAGTAAGTGCAGATTCAGTAAATTTTGCACGTCACAATGCAAACCTAAATAACATTAAAAATGCAAAATTTATAGTTGGTAAAGCAGAAGAAATTTTTAAAGATATAGATACACCATCACAACAAACATCAGTAATATTAGATCCACCAAGAAAAGGTTGTGATGATGTATTTTTAAACCAACTAAGTTCATATAATCCTGCTAAAATAGTTTATGTTTCTTGTAATGTACATTCTCAAGCAAGAGATGTTGAATGGTTTTTAAATCATACTACTAATGGTTATAAATATATGGTTGAAAGTATTAAAGGATTTGATTTTTTCCCTCAAACTCATCATATTGAGTCAGTAGCTGTATTAAGCTTGAAAGAGAACGAAGAAGCAAATTGAGAATATGTATAGATTTATTTAATACATAGCCTTAGAACTTCGAGATTGTAATTGTATTTATATTTTGCAACTTAATTAATTTCTGTTTCAATTCTGAAACACTGCTTAGGGTTAAAACCCTATCGCCAAAATACATTTTTGTGTAATAATTTGATGTATGTGCAAAGAAATTACTAACAATTTTTTTTAGTTAGACTGAAAAAATATTAATCAAAAAGAGTGAAAATTACAATATATACACCAACCAACATCATTAAATAAATATACCAAAATGGAAAACGATAAAGGTCAATTAGTATGTTTAGATTAATAAACCAAGAGGAGCAAGTTGTGGGGAAGTAAACGTCAATTTATTCAAGCCAGTAATGGATTCAAAGTAAAGTCATCATATGTCATGAATATTTAAATAGATATCATATCATATAAGAAATAGAACCTATCACCATATTCGAAAATAAGAGTAATTTAAGACTACAACAATGTTCTGAGGAAGGATCAGAAATTTTTCGAACAGTTTAGTCATATTCCACGTAAATATTGATTCCATATTTCAGCTTAGATCACCAATTTCATTGTAGAATTACATTCAATATACATGAGCGATAGTTGGAACCACAATACGGAAGGAACTAGTCAAGGAACGAAAAACTGCAAGAAATAGAAGTTGTCCATGAAATCCAACTACTGATGAATATTGACTTTACGGACTTGATCAAATTCAAGGCTCTCCAATTAAGTTCATCGAATAAAAGAATACTAACAATTATATCTTTTAGGTTGAATTATACGTCCCAAGAAAATGTTCTGCTACCAACAGAATCATTAAAGCTAAAGATCATGCTTCAGTACAAATCTCAATTGCTAAAGTTGATGAAGAAGGTAGAGCTATTGCTGGTGAAAACATCAGTTATTGTTTAAGTGGTTACGTTAGAGGTAGAGGTGAAGCTGATGATTCATTAAACAGATTAGCTCAACAAGATGGTTTATTAAAAAATGTTTGGTCTTATTCTAGATAAATATTTTTCTTCTTTTTTGGGGTTTTTAATGTTTATATAAATTAATGTACAAAATAATTATACGGTAAATCAATATGAATAATTGTAGTTCTAGTTGTACCTAAGAATGTTTAAGGCTAATGCATATATTACAATAATATATGGAGGATGATTGAGTAAAATATTCGTACCCCTGATCAAGGAGGCTAACTACAACAGACGAAATAAGCATGAGATTACTCATAATAAATTTCAACTTTCAGTATGTAAGTTAGACATAAGAAATGTTGATGACCTCCTCTATATTTTTGAAGATGGCAAAAGCTTAAATTGTCATTAACTAATGCTTTTAATGGTCATGTGTCTATGTAACTGCTGACCCTGAACCTTTCGTGACCAAAATTCTTGCACTAATAACGCAGCACTGGCTGCACTTCGAAACCAACTGTAGTCATCCATTTAATCAATCATTTATTGATGTGAGATCATTGTTGATAAATATGGTTGCAAAAATCAGGTTCATTTTTATAATATTAAAATGTTAGTAGTGTAAATCATACCAAATCATCATTAAAATATTTTTTTTTTTTTTTCGTCTGCTTAGTCGATAATACAATTTTTCACTTTGTAAAATTTTACCCTTTCCTCTTTCTTCATCCAATACATATTCAAAAATATGGCATCAGAAGGTATCACTGAAATTGATTCAGGTTTAATTGAATCAAACTACGATAATGTCGTTTATAAATTCGACGATTTAAATTTAAAACCAAATATCGTTAGAGGTATTTTTGGTTACGGTTACGAAACTCCATCAGCCATTCAACAAAGAGCTATCTTACCAATTACTGAAGGTAGAGATGTTTTAGCTCAAGCTCAATCAGGTACCGGTAAAACCGCTACTTTCACCATTTCAACTTTACAAAGAATTGATGAAAATGAAAAATCAACTCAAGCTTTAATTTTAGCACCAACAAGAGAATTAGCTTTACAAATTAAAAATGTTATTACTTCAATTGGTTTATACTTAAAAGTAACTGTCCATGCATCAATTGGTGGTACTTCAATGAGTGATGATATTGAAGCTTTTAAATCAGGTGTCCAAATTGTTGTTGGTACTCCAGGTAGAGTTTTCGATATGATTGAAAGAAGATATTTCAGAACCGATAAAGTTAAAATGTTCATTTTAGATGAAGCCGATGAAATGTTATCATCAGGATTTAAAGAACAAATTTACAATATTTTCAGATTATTACCAGAAACTACTCAAGTTGTATTATTATCAGCTACTATGCCACAAGATGTTTTGGAAGTCACCACCAAATTCATGAATAACCCAGTTAGAATCTTAGTTAAAAAAGATGAATTAACTTTAGAAGGTATTAAACAATTTTTCATTAACGTTGAATTAGAAGAATATAAATTTGATTGTTTATGTGATTTATATGATTCAATTTCAGTTACTCAAGCTGTTATTTTCTGTAACACTAGACAAAAAGTTGAATTTTTAACCAACAAATTAAGAGAACAAAATTTCACTGTTTCAGCTATCCATGCTGATTTACCACAATCAGAAAGAGACACTATTATGAAAGAATTCAGATCAGGATCATCAAGAATTTTAATTGCCACCGATTTATTAGCTAGAGGTATTGATGTTCAACAAGTTTCATTAGTTATTAACTACGATTTACCAGCCAACAAAGAAAACTATATTCATAGAATTGGTAGAGGTGGTCGTTTCGGTAGAAAAGGTGTCGCCATTAACTTTGTTACTGATAAAGATGTTAGCATGATGAGAGAAATTGAAAAATTCTACTCAACTCAAATCACAGAAATGCCTGCTGATATTGGTTCACTTTTCGCTTAGGTTCATTAAATAAAAATAATAATAAAAAGTAAGAAAAATATGGGATAAAAATTGTACTTTTTATTTATTCTATCTTTACTAGTATTACTTGCAAATTGAACTTTCTCCTACTCTCTACTTCAAACGTACTTTCGTTTTTACTAATCTTACACTGCGTCAAAAAGATTAGTTGGCAAGATGATAGTGATTGCCTTATCATAAATAAAGTGACCAAAAAAAAAAAAACTGTAACAAAAACGAATGCAAAAAGCACTTATTTAGAACTCAATTTAAATACTATAAAAAAAAGGCTAAACTTCTCATGCTATCATGGCATCTTATACTATGCCTGGATCATTCAACATAAACAACTCACGATTACCCAATGTACTATCTCGGAATAAATCAGTGACAACAGAAGTAGTGAATCAAAATCTACAACAAGAACTACAACAAAAATTCTATTCAAGTAATATAATTCACAAGAAAACTAAATATCAACATGAACTTCTAATAAACTTATCATCAATATGTTATTTTTTAATATTTTATCAATTCTCGAAATACTGTCATTTAGCTTGTTTAATTCCATTTATTTTACATCTTATACCATTAATTGGATTAAATCCACAATTAATAACTTCAAATACTCAATCATTTTTAGATACAATTTTTGAAAATGAAAATAATCATGAAGATAGGATTCAGTTGTTGAGGCAGAAATTACCTAAATTTTGTTATATGCTTTATTTGAAGACTATATTTGTTATATTATATCATATTTTATTTATTTGCACTTGGGTTGTATCATTAGTCAATGAAGAAAAATTAACAAGTTTACAATATGGAACATGGTGGTTTGTTTCTTTCTTTGGTGAAGAAACTCCGGTCCTAGACAAATCCGACCCTTTCTGGTATAAAGTTTTACAATTAGGTTTACTACAGATAGTGTTGGTAGATTTAATTATCTTATTCATTCAATTAATTTTATTTCAAAGTATATTTTATCAAAGTGCATTATTTAGTGGGAGAAGGATAGAAGAACAAGAAGCTTACCTTATAAGATATGCAACTAACTCACAGACTAGTGGTCAAGTGGATGATAGCTTGATAGAGAATGACGATGGAATTTTGTGTGCTTTAGTTGTACGGCTTTATAATGTATTTAATTCAAAAATAGAGTTTGATAGTAGTTAAATATCATAATCCATACGAAATGAAGTACTGGGTTGATGACCATTTGGAATAGATTCTTGATCTCTGTGAAGGGGCCTGCGTTTAAGTTTGGGCCAAACAATAATCTACCAGTCGTGACTCTAATGATACTGAATTTTTGACCTATGCTCCAAGTGATCGGCCGCAAACCTTGGTCTTTTTGAGTATCAAGTGGAAAATATGTATTAGACTATATGATGGTCGAATTAGAGTAAATTCCTGCATTAGAGAATTACAGAAGTTGCAATGCACCATAGCTACTCATACAAAAAATAATTGAGATTATTAGATACCCAAATATTACGACTCGCTGTTCTTTGATTTTATCTAAGCACTACATACTTCTGTATAGGTTATGACTGGTTTCAAGTCTGTTTCAAATATCTTACTGGAGTTGGTACGCGTCTACACAATTTTTACGCGTTGTTTTTATATAGTTTGATGGACTAAAAAAATATATATATATACTGAATCTATTTTTCAATTCTGACAACCATATAATAAACCATCCCAAACGATAGATATGACTACAGAAGCAAATAAAAAACAAAAATTAGAAGCAACAGATAATTTAAAAGTATATTTAAGATCAGAAAAAGGTAAAATACCAACAAAAGGTTCAATATTAGCAGCAGGTTATGATTTATATTCATCAGAAGAAGCAATAATACCAGCTCAAGGTCAAGGATTAGTAAGTACAGATATTTCAATTATAGTCCCAATAGGAACATATGGAAGAGTAGCACCAAGATCTGGATTAGCTGTTAAACATGGTATTTCAACTGGTGCAGGAGTTATTGATGCTGATTATAGAGGTGAAGTTAAAATTGTTTTATTTAATCATTCTAAAAAGGATTTTGAAATTAAACAAGGTGATAGAATTGCTCAATTAGTATTGGAAAGAATTGTTAATGCTGAAATTGAAGAAATTAGTTTGGCTGCTTTAACTAGTACTGATCGTGGTGATGGGGGATTTGGATCAACTGGGAAAAATTAAATTCAAGATTGATTTGTTTTAGTGTAAGAGACTTATATAAAAGTTACTGCAATGAAATTCTACTACTCAAAAAATAATATAAATACATATGGATTTATAACTATATAAATTCTATTGGATAGATTTTTTTAATTTAATTTTTTTTACAAGTCAATAATGTGAGTACTTAAGTTGCTTTATCTTTCTTTATTTTTTCATCTTGATGCTTTATATTTTCTTCATCTTTAGCTATTTCAGATCTGACTTTAGACATTGGATCTTCTACTTCTTTATTATGAACTTCCTTTTTACCATCATCTTCACTCGACTTATGTTCTTCTTTGATTTCTTCTTCTCCCTTTTCTAATCCCTTTTCCAATTCTTTTTCTTCTGGATCTTGTTCATATTTAACACCTCCACTAGCAGTGTCTTCATATTCGTCTAAGTTGATGTCATCCTTAACTTTGTTAACAGTATCTTTTTCTCTTTCATTTTCTTCTTCAATCATTTCATCTTGTTCTTTCAATATATCTAATTTCAATTTGGAATCATCTGACAATTCTAATTTAGCAACATTATAAACTTCATCAGGAATAGATGATAAGACAGCTAATAAAGCATCATAATAAGTCTCTGCACCATGGTCTTTATCACCATAAGTATAAGCACTACTTAAAATTAATAATGTAGATGGAATTTTTTGCCTTAATCTTAAATCTAACCAAGTTTCTAAATCTTCTCTTAATCTACCTGGTGAAACATCACTTGTTTTAATACCTCTTTGAGAACAAGCAATTTGTAATTCTGGAATAGTTAATGAATCAACTCCTTCATAATCTATAGCTTTATCATCTTTAATTATTGTTAAAAGTCTATGTCTAATTTGATATCTCAAAATAGAATCTGTTCCAAAAGGTCTTAATGACATATATTTACACATTGCGACTAATTGATGTCGACTTAAATTATCCAATACTTGATCATTTTTAAATAATCTTGCAACTTGAATTAATTGATCTCTAGTTGGATTTTTACCAATTGAAATTGCATGGAAAAATTGTACGAAATTTTCTCTTTCTGCATCAGTAATTTTTTTAGATAATTTTAATCCTGATTGTTCCATTGTTTGTTTTATATATTCACTTGCTGCATTTCTGGTTTTCTTTAATTTTGCTTTTTTCTTTTGACGATCAGTTTTTGATTCATAAGTTGATGGTAATAAATTTGGGAATAATTTTAATGCAACTGGTAATAATAATTCTGCAAATGGGATAATCAAAAACATTAAAAATGGAACTAATCTAACAACATCTACTATAGTTCTTTGTAATTGATTTGACTCTCTTCTACTTAATCCATATCCTGCCATTAATTTCACTAATAATTTTGTGGAAACTTTAACTTCATAACCTAATAATTTTGTACCTGCCCAATAATGTTGTACTTCATGTTTAAATCTATCCCAAAGAGGTGGTTTTGGTTTTGTTTCTTTTTCATCTTTATTTACAAGTTGGTTAGCTGGTGAATTCTCTAATTTTTCAAGAGCTTGAGTTTCTAATGGAGAATCTTTTCCACTAAAATTATCCTTTTTAAGTGTCTTTTTTAAATCTTCTGCACCTTGAGTTTGTTTTTTGTCTTGAGTAGGAGGAGGAGGAGTGACTGTTGATTGAAATCTTATTGAATTTATTAATTGATAATTTACCGTATTTTTATTTAAATTTCCATGTAATTCTGGTTGTAATGGAAACCTTACTTTACCTGATAATGCTAATTTTGTAAAATTTCTTGTTAATATTCGCTGATATACCGATTTATTATATCCTCTTAGTATTTCCCTTCTCATTGGATAAATTGTACTCATGGTTTATGCTTGATTTATAAAGTGGCAACACGGGGTCCACGGTGATAATATGGTTAGAAACTGTTTGATGAAGGTGAAATAAAATCTCTATAAAATTAAATGATTGACTTGAAAAAAATTGAATCTAATTATTAAATGAATCAATATAAAAGAAATTTAAAATACAATGCTAATAATTGAAATGGATATAATAATAATAGAATAAGTAAATCTAAATATGTTAAAACCAATGAATTGATAAAAAAAAATATTGCTTTATTGTACAAAATATTGTAGTATTGAAAAATTAGTTAATAATAATAAAATAATAATCCAAACTAATTAAGTGGAAAAAGAAAAAGAGAGAATTTATCAAAGGTTGTGTAAATTATTCAAAATGAAAGATCGATACAAACAATCGGACTTTAATATCTTCTTTTAAACACCGTATACCGTATTATTATTATTAATACAAATTATACAGAAATTTTTACTTATTTGCCTAAGTATAGTTTGAAAAATATAGCTTGAATAAATTACAAATTAGAGATATTTTTTCGTACGACTTGAATTGAATTACGTGTAATTAGTGCTACCGGTTCGACCGCTTGACGTTCTACTATTCGGCTCATATTTCTACATTTCAATATAATATTGACTTCAACAATAAATAGTACGTATAAGTTCTCTATTCTTCTTGTTCTAACGATGCTAAACTTTTTTGTTCTTTGGATTCACCATTTAATCCTATTATTATAATTTTTTCAACGATTGTATGATAATCTTCATCATCACCATCAATAAAAATTGTTAAATTTTGAACATTTTGAAATTTTACATATTTTAATTTTAATTCAATCCATTGTGAGTCTGGTTCTGTGGTTAATTTTTCAATATGAGGAGCTTTTAAATCAGATGAAGCATCTTCAAATGATAATATATTTTGAGTATTTGGCCATATTTTTATTAAATTAGGTTGTTGAATTTCTTCTAAATCTTCTTCATCTATTGTTATTTTATCTTTTGAGATATTTTTATTCAATTTAATTAAAATTGAATAGATTTTAGATATATTTAAAAATGTAATCAGTAATAATATTTGAGAATCTGAATCTGATATAATTGAACTTCCTGATTTTTTATCAAGTTTTAAAACATCTTTAATTTCGGAATTCTCATATAGACTTTTAGCATTAAGTGCTTCAAATGATCCATAATCTATATGTGAATTTAAAATATCAAATCCTTTTGGTATCAACTCTTTAATTTCTTTTAATTCTTCTGAATTAATTGTGACTGAAGATGCAGATTCAGCAGTTGATCCATTTCCTTTTCTTGTTTCTCCTTGAGCTTGCTGATTAAATGATGATAAAGTAGTCATTAATTCATCAACATTGGCACCTTTGACTCTTGATTTCTCCTTTCCTGATTCAAAAAATATAAATGTTGGTACAGCAGTAACTGTATATTTTCTTGCTAAATCCTTGTGTGAATCTAAGTCTACTCTAATAATCTCAACATTTGGAAATTTTGAATAAGCTTGATCTATTAATGGCTTTATTTGTCGACAAGGTCCACACCAACTTTCAGCTGTAAAATTCGCCATTAAATATTTATTTTGGTTCAAATAATCATCAAAATCTTTAGTCGATTTAACGAATTGAATAGACATTTTTGAAATGATTGAATTTTGTAAACTATTTTTGAGATAAGTTCACTTGATTTTTCTATCTTAATTTGTTAATACTATCAAAAACATGAAACAAATTTCAAACATTGAATAAAAGTGTCAAACTTTAAATCTTGAAAAAGCGCGCGAAATTTGAACCTTCATGGAAATACGAATACCGCCAAGTATGAAATATAAATGGAACGTTAAGTATCCAAATCAAAAATTAAATAACTTTCTTTTTTAGGTGGGTAAAGTGACAATTAACTACTCACTTATAATAAGTTCAAACTACAAATGCAAAGACACTATAAGTAACAACCGGTATTGTAATGTCAATACGAAAGGTTAGTAGTCATTTTTTGGGCTGTGTGCATTAAAAGTTAATGTTTAGTTTTATGAGTTGATCTCATGAAATTGATTTTTACATTACAACTAATCCAATCACAAGACTACTCATGAAAGAAATTGAAATACTCTTCTGTGGATATATGAAAGAATAAATAATTCTCAAATATGAAGTATTCCTTAATAATACAAAGCTAAAATCAAAAAATAATAATTAGTATAAAGCCGCATCTAATTTTCTTCAAATTTGTGTAATAATCTTTAATTTCTATTTTTAAATTTAAATTATTATAAATTTACAACGTTTTTTTATACACTTTATATAACTTCAATAATCCATAAATTCAATAATAACTTGAAGAGTCAGAATCAAGTCAATTAAACCTATCTTGAAGGTTAGACTCACATGTCACGAAGGTCAAAGGACTTATCAGATTTAGATAGAACAAAAAATTCACCATTAGCTCAATTACGACTATCAAATATTGAACCAAATTTGAAAAATGGTAATAAACTTAACAATAAACCTAAAAGTAGAGAAGTATCAGAAGTCAATAATTCAAATTCAACTTCATTGTCACCACCAACTATAATTAAAACTTCTCCCAGATCTATAAAAATAAATGACTCAAATTCAAACGCAACCAAAAATCACAAGAGAAATAAAAGTAGTAGCAAATTATCTGATATTGAATTAAAAGATCTTAATTCTGATTCATTGGATCATTCATTAAATCAACTTATATCAAATGGTGAAACTTTAATAAAATCCGACTCTTCATCATCCGATCAACTATCAAAGGATGACATCAAAAAAGCAGGTCAATTAGCTTCATTACTACTAGATACAAGAAATATTTTAAAAGCAGATTGTAATGTTATTGACCCTGAGTCAAATTTAAAAGCAAGTTCCAATAACAATGATACTACCAAAATCACAAGAAATACATTTGTTAGAGCAGAAAAAGTTAAAACAATGTTGGGTGTAAAATATCTTTACATTGAAAGACTACATGAATGGGATAAAATAAATGGCCACGATAATGAACATCCTGGTGTTGAAGGAGTATACAATCCATTACAAATTTTAAGAAATAGAAAAATCAGAGCGAAATATAATGAATACCCGAAACCATTATTAATGAAAACACTACCTTTAGCTTGTAATGTTTTCAGTCGACATAATCAACCAGGGCATCATCATCCACATGCTCATCATCAACACAAAAGAGAATGGAGAATGCAGTGGGCAATTGAATTAAATGAGTATATTGGAGATTCTAGATGGAGAGTAAATCATTGGGATGAATTAAAAGACCCTAATGGGGATTATTGGTTCAGAACAGATGAAGAAGATGGTCATTATCATGAAAATCTGCATCATTCTCGAAAAAGGAAAAAACATAACTTTAGAAGAAGAATACATGATAGATTATTCGAACTGTCTGATGAAGAGAAGAAAGAAAAATTGTCAACCGACAAGGATCAAAATTTATTAGAAGTAAGTACAAGTCCAGAAAGTGATGCACAACTTGGTAAAATCTCAAAGTCCAAATCTCCTAGGAAAAGAATAAAATCAAAAGTTAAAAAATTTTATCAAGGTAATTCTTCATCTTCCTCCAACGTTTTAAATCAATTCAATGAACCACTTGAGGAAAATAATACTTATGATCAAGACGACACATTAGCATCTCCAACCCCACAAAATAATTCAAGAAGTAATGGTTCAACCAATAATGGCTACAATGTTGAACAAACTGAAGCCGAACAACAATTAATACCACCTACGATTCGAATAGAACCAACATCTCCAGAACCTAATCTGAATATTTTCCCACCATTTCAACATCAACACAATCAAAGTATTCAAGATGTCGAATTCCAACCATCACATAAAGAAAGAAGTAACACAGACGATTCATTTCTTGAGTTAAGTGCAGGCACTGGAGGAAAATCAAGCTCAAGTGATAAAGCAAGTCCTAACGAAATAATAGATAGACATGAACAGGAATTAGCACAATTATTTAAGTACTTGGTGTATTTTATAGAATCTTGTTCAAGTCGTACACAATATTTATTATCTATATATCCAAACTACTTAAATTTAGTTCAGAATAAAATAAATAATATAACTTCAAATTCTATATATGAATTATTAAATTTAATGACAAGTATAAATGATGAAAATTTACCTGCTTATGAAGAATTATACCTGGGTTTTTTAGATGAAACTCAATCGATTTTACACATGGTTAATGAACAATATTCAATGAAAATAGATACTTTATTAAGTACAAGTGATCGATCAATTTCAGAAATAAATGCATCATTATCATTAGATTTAAGAAAATGTAACGAAAGATTAGATTATTTGGAAAATTCATTATTTAAAAATTCAAATAATTTGAAAAAGGATATTTTGAGTGATGCTTCAAATTATAAAATTTTGTATTTGGTATTGGAAAATATAATTGTTATTTTATTAAAATTAGTATGGGTTATTGTTAATATTTATAAATTTTTTGCATTTTTCATAAAATTGATTTGGAGAATAATTAGATTTTTTATATAACTACTTAATGGTTTAATAAACATGTAAATATTCATTGATTAATACTTAGTTGAATTTTATATTTTATATTTGTAGTGGAAGTGTATGTAAAACGCGCATTTTTCAAATCTTTACATTATATACGAGATTTAAAAATCATAAACATTCAAAAGCTACAATTACAATCATACCAAATATTAAATAATGCAGCCAAAATCAATAACACTACTACAAAAAATAGATCAAATAATAGAACAACTTCTAACGAAATTCCAAGATATTTTTGAAAATCTTAAAAACGACACCAAACCAAAAGAATTATTATCAATTGAATCCTTAGCTATTGAAAATAATGCAAATCAAATTATAAGATTATGTCAAGATTTACTAAGTATTTCGAGGAATATAAAAGAGACTTGGATTTTGAGTAGTTTAAAAGTTGAAAATGGGATAAGTGAAGACACTAATAAAAGTAAAAGTAAAAGTTTGTTTAATGATGAAGAAAATGTGGATAAAGTATTTAAGCTATTTAATGAATTGACAGAAAATATAGCTAAGTTTGAAACTCCAGAAATTTATGGATAACAATATCAACAAAAGTCAAGAAGAAATAGAGCTAAAGAGCTAAAGTTTTCAAGTAAGTTTGCCCGAAAAAATTACAGCCTTTATTATAATTGTTTCTATAAAAGTAAATGTTACAAATTGGAACCATCATTTAATGATTCAGCAATACCGTCAATTAAACTGTCAATATCCTCAACCCTAATTCCACAACTTAAACTCAATAGTTTTCTATATTTATACATCTTCTCATCAATTCCATATTTTTTAGTTCTTTTAGTAATGTCTTTAATTAATTTTTGTCTTTTAATTTGTAGATTTGTTAATTCTAAAGCGTAATCAAATTTTGTTTCATTAATCAATTCATCTTCATCTTCTTCTGATTGATTTTGTTGTTCATTTTCCATCATTTTCATTTCTTCTTCTTCAATTAAATTTGTTAGTTGAGATCTTTGACTCTTTTGATTTATATTAATCAACTGGGCTTCTTTCTCATTTATTTGTTGTTGACAAACCTCGACGTAATTGTTTACAATTTTTTGTGCTTGGTCAACTGACTTAATATCAATTTCCTCAATTCCTGAACTTTGAAATAAATTTACAATACGTTTAATTGAATTTTGAGTCTCAATTTGTTTTGCTGTTATTGACCTCTTCATTTTCTCAATGTCTTTATCTAATTTGGTTGACTCTTCGGAGTATGACTCTGAATAAGAATTTATCATGTTGGAAATAATTGATGACAAATCTTGAAATGGTAAAGTTGATTTGTTTGGGTTTTCTTCAATAATTTTACCGTCCTCATTCAAATTAGGTGGATTTATTTTTTTCAATATTTTTGAGTTGTTATGTTTGTTTGGTACCACCATTTGTTTTTGATGTGGTGATGATTTATCTTGCATGGCCTCAGAAAAGGTTTGCAAATTATTATTAATTCCAGGGGTTGTTGAGCCTTCAACTTCTGAAATAACTGCTAAAGGTTGATGACCATTGGATGTAAAATTTCTATGAATTGGTGTTGAAATATTATCATACAGTTTATCCATAAATATATTTTCTTTATCATCATTTAGTGCGTCAAGATGCTTGCTATCAACTCTTGCAATATCCTCTTCTTCTTCCATATCATCGTCCTGCACTGTGGTTCTTTGAGTATCTGGAGTTTCCATTCTACTAATATGAGGTGGTTGTATTGGAGTAGCAAGACCTTCTAAATTCATGGAACCATTGGACAAAATTTCTGAGATAGGTTGTTGTAACTGATGTTGTTGTGGTTGCTGTTGTGGCGGTTGAGGTTGTTGAGGTAGTTGTTGAAGCAATTGATGTTGTTGTAGTTGTTGTGTTTGTTGAGGAATATTTTGAAATCTCATACTTATTTGTTGTTGGAAAGCTGTTTGAGCAGCATCTATTTGTGCATAATTTGGTATTAAATTATATTGTACAATTAATCCTCTTGCTGATTCTCTATTGATATTTTCTACATCATCTCTAGCCCCATACTTTAATAAAGTCTTAACAAAACTAATACATCCTGATTTAATAGCTATATGCAAACAAGTATCACCTCGAACATCTTGATGGTTCAACACATTTTTCATTAAGTCTACCAGTTTTGTCGGATTTTTGTTAGACAAACTTGTTAATTTATTCAAAATAGTATTTAGGTAAACTTTGAGACTTTCAAATTTAGATTTAGCTTTTGCAAATTGACATAAATAGTGTAACGGCGTCCTTCCATTAATGTCTGTATTTATTAAACATAATTCCAAGTCATTCAAAACTTTATCAAAATTTCTTAATTCATAACAGTTATTGAAAGAAATCAATTTTGATAATGGATTTAATCCAAAATTATTCACTACTAATGGATTAGCACCTTTACTTATTAATACATGAATCATTTCATAATTACCAATTGAAGCTGCCCAATGTAATGGAGTGTGACCTTCATCATCAATTGGTTCATTTATATTGAAATCATTTGGTGGAAATTGAACAAAATATGGGATTTCCGCATTATCTTCACTAAAAAATCTCAAAAGTTGAGCTGCATAAGTATTTTCATCTGAAGGACTTGAATCTTGTTGTCCATATTGACTATTATCAAAGGCTTTTCTATCGTCTTGATTTGAATTAATGGAGGTATCACTGTCTTTTTGGTCCTGATTAATAGACCAATTGGTATCATTGGAGGATTGTGACGACAGTAGTTTTCCATGCTGAAAAATTTGTTGTTGTAATTGGTTTGGAATTGGGAATTGTTTTAATTGATTAGGGTGTGGAAAAGTATGTTGAAGTGGTACTTGTTGAGCTTGTTGTTGTTGCTGTTGTTGTAGTGGTAATTGTTGACTTTGTTGTTGTTGTTGCATCCTTTGTAGTAATTGTTGATTTTGAAAATTATTAGCATAGGGTAGATTATTTCCATTAATTGGTATATTATTTTGATTATATGATTGGTCTATGTCTTGAGATTGTGATACCATATTTTGACTCATATTGTACATTTGAGGAAATTGTTGTCCATTATATGAATTTTGTCTGCTATTGACCATTGTTGAATCTTGAGATGAAAATGAATCTTGTAGTTGACTTGAATGTGAATCTTTTGCAGCTGCTTCTTCCGCAGCTTGAAGTGCTGCTTTTTTACCCGTCTTGTATTTTCTTGGAGTATCACCAGGTAATTTTGGTTTCTTCACATATTTTCTTTTAATTGTTGATGAACTATCTTTTGGAGGTGGTTTTACTTTCATCGGTATAATTAAGTTTGGATCAGTAAAATCTAAAAATAATACTGGTGCTAATTCTTTTGTTACTCCATAAGTGGCAGCTAATCTACGAGCATCATCTAGAGGTATCCAGGTACCTTGAAATCTTCCGAATCCTCCTTGAACTTTTTCATGTTTACTTTGTTGAACTCCCTTTTCCAAGATTTTTGTTCTCTTTGCTTTAGGAAAATTACAACATTTCAAAATTTGTGTAGCATTAACCCAATCATCTTTACAACGTCTCATTATGGGAGACTCATTCATATCACATTCATACACATCAGTCTATTTGGTAAAGTTATTTGTTAGTATTTATTCGTTTTAAATATTCAATCAAACTTTGGTGCTGTCTAAATTATAACGACGCGTCAGGAACAATAAATTCAATTCGGAGCTAAATTACTTCCAAAATTTGATTCAAATTATTTTTAAACTAAAATTTAAGAACATACATTCGAATATGTAGCCCGAAATACTGGAGGGGGTCCAGACATGATTAACTTTTATTATATTGTTGTGGTAGAATTTATTCTTCTGAAATGAAAAGATAAACTCAATTGTTGGAAATATAAAAAGTTATAATTTATAAAAAAAAAATTATTCTTTAAATTTTAATAATATTAATTTTTTTTTAAATGAAAATGAGAAAAAAATAAAAATTTGTCTTTATGCGGAAAAAATACATTTTTATTGTACGAACTTCACGAGCTGGCCAGAAGAAAAGTTAGAGCTCTGTGGTGGAACTCCAGTAAAGTTAGGTCGAGCACGGACTTGATAAATAAATTCTTTCTAGATCTTATTCAGGTCTATTTTATATAATACAAACAGACAAATTCGAATCCAAGTCCTGAGGAAGTAAGAAATACACTTCTTTAAAAATAGTCCGAGCATCTAGTGCATAAATTAATTGAACTGAGTGTTTCAAATTTGCTAAGATCCGAGACTTCAAGATAAACTTCAGTACGCAGCAAGAAAATGATGTTACAATTTTCAAGAATGATCCTAAGTTTATTAATAGTTACAATCAATAATTGTTCTGACGTGAATAAAAAAATTAAATAAAATGTAGTGGATTTTATAATATTCTTTATGTAAGAACTCTATTAACAAAAACATTAATTTGCAACCATTATAATTCGCGTCCACATTTAAAATTTTAGTCTCAAAACATTACAATTAATAAAATATGAAAGAAAAAAAAAAAAAATTAAAATTTTAATAAAAAATCTATCAAATCAAAGTAAGGAGAAAGTACTAACAAATAAACGCTTGCATTAGTAGTAGCAATCCAATAAGTTTAGTGAATTACTACTGGCATAAACTGATTGAGTATTCGTATTTCTAAAGACCCCAAACTCCAGTTGTTTGAACGAACTCAAATATTCGAACCACTTAAGCTATGCTAATAATGATGATTTGAAAAAATTAAGAGCAGCTACCTTGCAGATCAATTTATGAAGATCTCTCATAATTCTGAATCTCCAGAATTGCCAAAAAATTGAATTTAAAAAGTAGATTTAGACTTTGAGCAAATTCTACAAAAGTGAAACTTAATATCTAAAAGTTAGCAAAGTTTTTTACTTTCATTTTGCAGCCAAAAATTTATTTAATACAAAACTAAGTATTTCACGAAAATTTACTTCAAATGAAACTAGTGATTGAATAACTAATTGTAAAAGTTATCATCCCATTACATGAACAAAATTTTGAAGATTATGACTTTTGTTTCTCAACTATCGTAATTAACCTTGATCACATAAATAATGACAATATTGCACTAAATTCAATAAAGAAGAAAAGATAGGAAATTAAGGTACAAAAGTTCAAATTATAATAATTTATTATAATTTGATTAACTTTTTTCCACAAATAGATAACAAGAAGTATTAATTAATATTATATAACTATACAAGTCAAATATAAATACAAGTTATTTCATTTCTTCAACTATTTCCCTTATTAAATTTAATTTAGATAAAATTTTAAAATTATCAAAAAGATCTTCGTAAATGTAGACTAGTATATTTAATTAATTTTAATTAACCACCGCCTTTTTTTTTTCATAAATTAAATCACAAAGTTTATTTATTATTCGTATATACCAAAATATTATAGCTTTAAATGAAGCTTAATCTTCATCGCGAAGAATAGTTAAATTAATTCAGGATATGGGATGTTCAACAGTCTCTCTCCATCTTTGTTTGATTTTATAAAACAATAAAAATGTATCTAAATTTGGATCCATAAAACATTTTTATATAAAATATGATAACAATGTTTCATTTTGTGTCTTTACAAAGTAAAGAGTAAGGCTGATTGTTAAGAAAAAAATAAAATATAAAAATAAAAATAAAATAAAAATAAATTAAGAAAATTTAAATCAAAATATTTATTCGTTACTATTCAACAATTATAATTAAAAACATATAATATAGATATATATATCTTGACATTCCTTTTCATTTAATTTCTCTTTATAAAAGAGTTTTTAAATCGTTATACCATTAAATCAAATATTCAATAAATCATGACAACATCAACTAATAATCATGATCATGATATACCCAAATATCGATTAGGTATAAAACAAATCAAGGCAAAATCAGTAACTGGAACAATTATAATGTTGGATGATCCAAATGATGAAAATGAAACAAATTCAATGAAAAAATCTTCAACTGGAGTTATATTAAATCCTCAACCTCAAGATTCTCCAAATGATCCATTAAATTGGTCTGTATGGAGAAGAGATATTTGTTTATTAGTTATTGGATTAGCAAGTTTTTTAGGTGGTGGTCAATCTCCAATTTTAGCAGCTGGTATGTCTACATTGGTTATTGAATTTAAAAAACCTTTAACTACTATTTCATATTTAGTTGGTGGATTTATGTTATCATTGGGATGTGGATCAGTTATTGCAAGTCCCACAGCTGTATTATATGGTAAAAGATTAGTTTATATTGCTGGAACATTTATATTTATGATGGGGGCTATATGGGGAGGAGTTGCAAAAAATTTTGGTAATTTAATGGGTGCAAGAGTTTTAACAGGTATTGGAGCTTCACCAACTGAATGTTTACCAAGTTCAACTATTGCAGAAATTTATTTTGCTCATGAAAGAGCTTATAGAATTGGATTATATACTATGTTAATGTTGGGTGGTAAAAATATTATACCACTTTTGTCAGGTTTAGTATTTCAATACTTGGATAGACATTGGTTATTTTGGATTTTAGCAATGTTTTTAGGTTTTACTTTGGTAATGATTGTATTATTTGTTCCTGATACATTTTGGGATAGATCACCAAAACCTTCTAAAAGATCAATTCAAGAAACTCAATTAGCAAGATCAGTTGCATCATATCATCCACCATCTCAAAGACCAAATGCTTTTGCTTATAGAACACAATCAAGAAATAGTTTAACATCATCAATAGCTACTAATGAACAAGATGATGAAAAACCAGTTGGTTTAACTGAGGTTACACAAGAAGAGAAAAAGCATAGTTATCTACATAGTATTAAGATTTATAAAGGTAGATATACTAAAGATAGTTGGTGGATGGTTGCATTAAGACCATTTGTATTATATACTTATCCACATGTATTATTTGGTTCACTAACTTATGCATTAGCTGTTGTTTGGCTTATTGTTATATCAGAAACTATATCAGAAATTTTCAGACATCCTCCATATAATTATGATCAACAAACAGTAGGGTTATTTTATATATCACCATTTGTTGGAGGTATATTAGGTTCATTATCATGTGGATTAATATCCGATAGATTAAGTAGATTCTTAGTTTCAAAAAATAGAGGAGTATATGAACCAGAATTTAGATTATTTATGATTATACCATCAACGTTTTTTATAGCTATTGGACTAATGGGATATGGATGGTCTTCAACAGTTGAAAACCCATGGATTGCTCCAATTATATTTTTTGGTGCTATGTCATTTGGTTCCTCGATGGCTTCAACTACTGCTATAACTTTTGCTGTTGATTCATACAAGATGTTTGCGGCAGAAACATTAGTTTCATTCAATTTTTTGAAAAATTTCTTGGGTTTTTGTTTTTCATTATTTAATAACAAATATGCAGATAGTCAAGGTTACAAAGACGCTTATGTAACTTATGGAGGTATACAATTATTTGTAAGTTTATTTGCCATACCTTTATATGTTTATGGTAAAAAGATCAGAAGATGGACAGATGAAAAAGAACTTATGAGAAGTTTGTATCATGAAGATAACGTACCACCAAGTATGAGTTCAAAATTTGAGGAAGAATCAGTAGAGTAGAATTAAATTAATTTCTATAATGTTTCTTTAGTTTTTAATGAGTAATGATTTTATTTTCTTTTATGTATTTTGTGAATCTATCTTTAAATGATAATCCATTAAATTTATCACCTTCTATAGTTGGCATACCTAATTTTTCTATTATACATCCACTCCCAATATTCCCAAAAATTCCAGCCATTAACCAATTTTGAGTTAGTATCCAGCCCATACTGAAACTTCCTAGAAAGGAGTTACCACCACCTGTAACATCAATTACTTTTGATTGATCTTGATGATAAGCAGGTAGAGTATATGTCACATTATTTGTTGTTCTGATATAACAGCCTTGTGCCCCACATCTAATGACTGTTCCTGAATTTGGTTTTGTTTGGTATTTGATGAATTTTTGTGCTAGATCTTCTAAAGGTAGGTTTTTGGAAGTCAATTCTTCTGCCTCGTCTAGATTGGGACTGAATATATGTATGTATGGTAATAGTTTAGTTAATTTCTCATAGTTCTCAGGTATACAATCAGTAGGTAATGGTTCATAAATAAAAATTGTCTCCTTATTGAAACTTATTATATCTTCTACAATTGATTTACATCTATCAATTGAACAAATTAAATGATAACTTTTACTATTCTTCAATTGATCATATTGAATAATATCTTTAACTTCAATTTGTAATTTTGGACTTAAGTATTCAAAATATCGTATTCCCTTATCATAAATATTACAACCTCGAGTAGTTAGTCTATCACTTTTTCTATATATAATCCCAGTTGACCAACTTTTTAATTCCTCTAGCACTGAAGTTGGAAAATCTGTTCCTTTATCTATTATTCCTGATATTAAATGTGCTTTATTTAATTCTGTTACTATTCTTGCTCCAATTATTGCATATGTACCTGCACCACCAATAATATCTGTTTGTGAAGGAGCTGGAGGATCTATATAACGATTTTCATCGATTATGAACATCCCCATTGTAGTAAATAATGACATTATGGGTGTTGTTTCAAATTGAAATACATAAGAATACTCTCATATGTTTTAATTTTAAAAGTATAAATATACAGGAAATAAATTTTGCAACACTTTTAATTTATTTAGTCTATAATCTATAAAATCTATATTTCATCATATTCATCCATGAAAAATGATTGAATTAAACATATTAACGCCATGATACCTAATACAAGCCAAGGTATACCTCCAACATCATTTTCATTACACCATGTCATAAAGTGACCAAATAAAATAGGACTTATACCACGAGCTAAAGAATTTAAACTTATACCTGCACCGTTAATAAAAGCTCTATGAGATGGAACAGCTGATGATCTATGAACCATTATCATTGAAACACAAAAACTTATTGAAACAACTGTTGATAAAAGTAATGCAACCAGATAAATGGAAAATGTTGATAACCACGATGGATTTGAAGGATCGTAGTCTTGTTTGAAAAACAAGAAATATGGAATTGAAGCATATGCAAATGGGATCAAAACGAATGACATTCTTAATATTGTAATTGTTCGGAGGTGGTGATCTAAAAATGGAAATAATAAAACAACAGATGATGTACCTACTATACCAGTAGTAGACAATAATTTACCAATATCTTCAGTGGACCAACCATAACCACCCGCGATTGTGAAGGGCCATTCTAATCTTACCAACTGACTTGCCAACAAAACTGGTAAAAATTCAGAATACAAAACTGAATGAAAGCATAATAAAAAATTAGATAATACTGATTGTATGACAGGTCCAGTCCAGACCTCTCTACTAAAATAAGATTGTTGTACATTTGTAGTTAATTGATTATTAGAAACAACTGGTCCTAATTGTTCTGATGAATATCTTCTTCTTGCTGCTTGTCCATACCTTCCAGAAACTAAAGTACTATCAATAACTTCTTCTTCGTCGTCTTCTAATGAATTGTAAACTTCCTCAGCTGGTAATAATACTTCTCTCTCTCCTTCTTCTTGGTATTCTTCTTCTGCTTCTTTAATTTTAGTTTTCTTAATTCCTAATTTCTCCAAGATCCAATTTCCAGTTTCCAATCCATAATCTTTTCTTCCTTTGAATTCCTTTGAAGGTTCTTCCAAAAACAAAAATCCCAAAATCATACTAAAAATTAAATATCCAGCTAAAACAATATTTGACATTGCATAAGGATATTTGTCAACAAATTCATTATAATTTTCAACTCTAACTTTAGGTCTTGTGAATAAATGAAAAGATCCAATTAAGGGTCCAATTACAGCACCAACATTCCAAGTAGTTGCCAATACTGAAAACGCAATATTTTGATGCTTTTTTTCAGTTGCAATTTCACCAACAGCTACTCTTAATACTGAAATATTACCATTTAATGCTCCCATTAATGATCTAGCAACCATTGCCATAGTAAAACTTTGACTAAACCCAAATATGATACTGGATATAGCAGTACCAAACACCCCAAACAACAATATAGGTTTTCTACCAAATCTATTAGAAGCTTGAGCATGTTGAACACAACATAAAAATTGGAAAATTGCAAAAGTTGATGATAAATAACCAGCATAAGTTGATATTTCTGCTGTGTTTTTAGCAACTCCAAAATCTTGAATCATAAAAAATATATATGAAAATATCGAAGTGAATACTAATGGTTCACCTAATCTTAATAAACATAATAAAGTTAATTGAAAAGTGGGAAACCCTTTCATTTGTTCCCAAAATGATTTTTGACTCATGATATGTGGATTATGATTTGATAAGTACTAAGACAACTGAACCTTTACATGTAAATATTGGGAAATTCCATACATTTATATATTACAAATCAATAATTCACCACAATTTGACGGAAATTTCACTATTACTCATATATTGTTGGTGTTTTTGTTTTGATTCTCGTGTCGGGGTTAACACTAAATCAATGATTCTTGATGTCGTTTATGTAACGACTACCAAGTAGAGCAATTAAACCAGGACCCTTTTTCGCTGATTTTTCACCGATTGTCCAACTGGGCAAATTGGGACCGAATTACAACGGCTCTGTTAGTATAGAGGCTATTACAACTCTCTCGTACTAAAAATTTCTTCCTAAGGTTTTGCTTCAAAGTTTAGAAAATTTTAGATATGCGAAGAGGAGGTCGTCGGTTCGAATCCGATACAGAGCAGTTTTCAAGGTGTTTTGGAATTTTTTTGAATTGAATAGTTTGATCTTTGAACTTTACATCGTATTTTTGACTGAATTAATTTTTTTACTTTCATGAATCGAAATCTAGAGTGAAACAGTTGCAACGTACCAATTTGAAATGCAAATTAAGGAGAACCAACTTTTGTATTAAATTTTTGAAGTAGATGCATTTTGATAATCACCTATATTTACTAACTAACTAGCTTTAGTCGGTGGGGGAGGTGGAGGTACAGCATCGTCTGCATTCGTTTTAGGTTTTGAAGCTTCCTCCAAATGTTTAGATTTTTCTAATTCTTCATTCATATAGTCACTTAAACCATCAGCTTTCGTTGGAGCTACATGTTTCTTCTTTCTTGTTCCAGAAGCTTTTGGAGGAGCTGAAGCAACTGGAGGTGGCGGTGGGTTATTTATTGATGAAGTAATTGGAGGTGGTACAGTATATATCGATTCTTCTTGAGTTTGATCTTGACTAAATAATACATCATCTATAATTGAATTTTGTTCAAATTTTCCAATAACTTCTGGTATTCTATGAAGTATTCCACAACCTACATCACACCCCAAAATTCCTCTATTATGACCAGTTCCCCAATTTCGTGATAAGTTAACAGTTACAGGACGTAAAATGTCATAATCATGATTATAAACAAAAAAAGTTATTGGAACATTATCACCATTTGCATTCTGATGATAATTATAATAATTTGCTACTGTATTTGAAAGTAATGATTCACCACCTTTACTTAATAAACCTTTTGAATTTGAATCAAGTGCTGAATCACAACCTATAATAAAATCTGAGTGTGGTACTAACTGTGATCTAAATGCTGGAGATCCAGGATGTGTGTTTAATATTCTCCATACGAAAGTTGATGTATTCAAATGTTGTGATTCAACTGTGAGACCAATTTGTTTAAAATTATTTTCAAATAATTTATATCCAGTTGCTTCTTCTTCTTCTGATGGGGTATATTCATCCAAGTCTATACTTATTTGTCTCAATACTCCACCTTTTGCACTCCAAACATCAAGTATTACTTCTTGTTTATTCTTGGCCAATGTTGATAATTCTTTTGCTAGTAATTCGTAATCTATAGCTGCTGCTTGTTCTGGAGTTGTATTTCCTCCGTAATTGATACTTCCATCTTCGTTAATCGAGTATGAGTAATTTGATAAAGACGGATAAAGCATTGGTAATTCATGGTTGTTAATTTTAATAATGTAATCAAACCAAGATTCAAAACCTTTTTGATGTGCAATTGAATGAGGAATTACATTTAAAACTCGTAAAGCATATCCTTTGTTATTTATTTGAGTAGCATTTTTGAAATATATATCATTAGATGGTTCTGTTGTATGTCCCTCAAACCTATCAACTAATTTTTTGGCAAATGAAAACATTGATAGTTGACTTTAGTAAAATATAGTTCACAATAGTTAAATAAGAATAATATTTATTTTTTTGATTATTTTAAGTTACAAAAAAAGGAACAATCTCAAACAAGTCAATTAATAAGAACCTTGTCAATTCTGTCAGTAAATCAAATTCGATTTCAGTGAATCTACATGTAATACCAATTAATTCAAAAATTTTGAAAATTTGATTCATATGAGTGGAATAGATCCAAAATGCCAATGTATTAATGAGTCTTGTTGGCACAATCAATTTAGAAGGTCCCCAGAGCAAATACGCAAAGATAAACGGTTTTTTCTCAAAACTTTAACCTTGGCTATTACACTTACAATCTTTGGAATGGTTACAACATACTTCATTGCAAGTCGTGTATTGTAAGCATACGAATGGTACTGGTTATTGGGGGAATCTTTTAAGAGAGGAAGTAATGATAAGTAAAGAATCAATATTTCAAAAATACTTTCAGAGACTATATAAGTTAAGCAACAATCAACTAACAAATACACATTTCAATGGACAAACAAATAGAATTTTCATGAGAATAGTTTTAATTAATTTTTCATAAATCTTGAATTGATTCAAGTATTAATAAAGTATTGTAGTCATAATGTTAATACACAAATTAAGCCTAATAAACTTTAATATACTTGATTCTTTTAATTTTATAATTTATTGATCACATTAATGTGTATTTGGATTTGTATCTTATCAACTTCATAATTTAAAATTATTGAATAACTTATGCTTAATAAAAACACAAAAAAGGAGAAATTAGAAATAGACTAAAAAAAAATGAATTTAGAAAAAAAAAAAGAAGTTATAAAGAAAATTTGACTAAACTTTCAACATATTTTGAAACTTGTGAAACCACGAATTTTATTTCGTATACTTCCAACACATAAGGCAACTTGTGAATTCACTTTCGGTATTATTTACTGTTTTAGACCATTTTGTGATCTACATACGTAGCACAATCATGGACCTGATACAATTGCTAGCTGCTGATTAATTTATATTTAAATTTGGAGAATTCGTTTATAAAGAGATTATTGAGTTTTGGCAATTGTTTTAGTTTATAAATCAAAGGTGGGGTTTACCATCTTAAGTATATATCAAGATTTGTTTGATTTATATTGATGAAATCTCAAATTGACTTTTGATTTATGTTTATTTTACATCCTTTCAAGATAACCAATTTGGTTATGAAAAGAATTTTAAGTCTGGGATTGAAAAAGATTTTTGCTTGTTTTTAAATGTCAGTAACGTGAATGTTTCTTTTTACGAAATAATGAATGGCTTGACTGAATATTCTGATTCCAAATTTGTATTGTGTCAACGGAGAAATCTATCTAGTTGAGAAAAATAATTTGAGATTTTGAAATTTTGGTATATTCAAAATTCTTGAGAGTTTTTCAAGAGGTTTTTGAGTTGAATCAACCTCGTTTTGACCGAAGATTGATTTGATTTAAAGGATCTACAAATGACGATTGTTCTTAAATTTACCTTTATCTGGATATGAGACGGTGTTCTCATCATTGCTTTATGATTTATATGAAATAATCTTTTGAATTCCATGTAATCGTTCCATGTGTATCGTCTATATTACAGATTCGTGTATATAGATGGTACCTCCTTGATGGAAATGTGAAACAGGGCCATAACTATTAATTGCATTTGATAATTGTTAGTCAAAGTTGTATTCATCGAGATATTGTCTAGTTGTTTATTTAACAAGTCTAGCTCCTGAATCTAAGGGAGGTCCACTAGGCACTTAATGTAAAATTTTGTATGATGTATAATTAACTCGAATGAATCATGTAGATTCTCCATTTTGATTTCTCCTCCAACTCTGAAAATCATTGGCTCTTTAACAATAAATGGAATATATGATTGCAGAAAAGAAAATACAATAGAGTATTATTAGAGGAAGTACTGTCAATTCATAAGACAGAAACCATAAACAACAAAAAATAAATTTGAAAAATTACAAATAAATTTTATTAAAATACAACATACAGAATTATAAAATGTTAATTTAAGTTGAATTAAATCAATTAAACTAATTGAATGCACCAGAAAAGGCTAAACTCCAAGTTCTACTCTGTCCATTATCCAAATAATTATTAGTCCAACTATCTGAACTAAAGAAGTCATAAGAATCTTTTGGATCTATTATAGCTTGATTAAGTCTTAATATACCTAACCAACCATCATTAACATTACCAATGAAAGTTGAAACTTGTTCATTCCATTCTTCTTGAACATATGATGGGATTCTAATTGATGATGATGCGGCAGTGATTGGTAACATATGAATACCATGAACATATTCTGGATGATCTGCTGGAGTACCAAAATAAGTAGTATAATCAACTTTATTCTCAAAGAAAATACCACTAACTTTATTAGGTAAAAATTCAGCTGGTTGAACTGTATTATCTGATTTATAATAGAAATACATATTAAAAGCTTTATTCATAATTGATAACATTAATCCACCCCTTGCTTCCATTGAATAATCTCCAACAACTTTACCCCATAATTTCATACCATAGGCAAAATGAATATCTTCAGAACTTGATTCTTGATTTTTACCATCATTACTTGCATATAATCCTGCTGCCCAACTATGTCCATCATACCATGAAAACAGTCTTGATACTGGGAAATAAGAATCTTGTCTTGATGGATTTGCAACATCTCTAACTAATGAATTTACCCATGCTTTATTATCTTCAGCCCATGTACCATTTAATTTTTTATCAATTAATCCAACAACTGCTGCTGCATGAACAAAATAACCATAATGGAAATGATGATCATTATAATAAGCACTTCCATAATCTGCTCCATCATCACCGTTTTGTGCTGCTGTTGAAGTAACACCACCGAATTTTGTATCATACATTAATGGATAATATTGTTCATTATTAATGAAAGTTTCAAATGCTTCTTTCAAATCATCTAAAGTACTTTCAGTGACATCATCATCTTGAATAATTTCACTAACAACTAATAAAATTTGTGCATATTTATCAATAACTTTACCTGAGAAATAATTTGAGTTCATATTTTTAACAGTCAAAGCAATGTTTGCTGCTAATTCATCATTTGCAGATCTTGCTAATAAAGTTAATTGTTCTGCTGAATAACTGATTGCTGAAGCTCCATCAATATATGGTAAAAATTGAATTTTCTTATCGATGGTTTCTGAGAATGATAAAGTATTAGTTAAGAACCCAGTCATATCACCTTTAGTTTGAGATGCGACTTTAATACCTGTTGCACCAGATGAAGTTAATGAACTAAGATGATGAGGTAAAGCAAAAATAATTGGATTTCCACTTGATGAAGTACCTTTAGTGTCATAGACAAATTCATATGAAGCAGATTCTGAACAAACAACTGAACCTTGGAAGTGAGCATCAGTAACGTACATACCAGCTGCAGCATCATAAAATGGATCACCAGTTACTTCTGGAGCAACAGCAATTTGAACAATTAAACCATCAATTGATTTAGTTGCTTTTATATGGTATGGATCTTCGACAGTTAAGTCGAAATCTGGATCAGCAGTTGGTAATGTAACATAAATTAACCATTCAACATCATTAAATAAAGTAGCACGATATTTTAATACGTTTGGTAATAAAGCACTTGATTCTTCGAGAAGTAAACTACCAACTCCATATAATGAATTCAATTCAGCTACTAAATTACCGTTATAAATAGCGGTAACAAAACCCATACCTTGAACAATTGGAATTTCAACATTATTAATATCATCATTACCTTTTGATAATGTTACTTTAACTCCCATTTCAGTCATATCGGTGACTCCCATATCAATTGAATTATCAAAAGTAGTTGCTGATAAAATAAGTTCACCATTATTAGTTGGATTGAAATAATATGATGGAACACCAACATTATTTGTATTGATTGAACCAAAAACTCTATTTGCAACATTTGTATGTTGAACACCAAAACCATAATAATTTACTTTACTCCAATATATACCATATGGATAAGTATAAACCATCAAATCTTGATTAGCAAGGAATAAATTAGCATAAAATTTATTTGTTTGAATTGGTAAACCATTATTATTAACACCAGCTGGAATTGATAATGGTAATTGTTGTCTTGAGAAAACACTTGGTGGTGCACTTGTATCAATAGCAGCGAATAAATCCCCTGAATAACAAATTTCATCTTCAGCTCCTATGGTTGGTAAAGCAGAAGAAGTGGTGCTTGATTCAGTTGAAGTAGTTGATAAACTAGAAGAACTTGAAGAACTTGAAGAGCTTAACAAACTAGATGATGATTCATAAATTGATTCAGATGCTGATTCAGATGCTGATTCAGATGCAGTTTCGGTTTCACTTTCCCATGCTGATTCTTCAGAACTTCTTGGAACTGGTATTGAACTTGTTTGTAAAATAGTTGAAACAGTTTCAAAAGTTGATAATGAAAAACTTGAGGTATTTGTGTAAGGGGCTAAAGTCGATGAAGTAATTAAAATAGTTGATAATGTGAAACCAGTGGAAACACTAAAGGAAGTTTCATTATCGTCATCATCACTACTTGCAGCTGAATTAGCGGTACTCAATACTGAGCTAGTTACACTTATTGCTCCTGGTGCGATAGCTGTTGGATTAGATAATGTTGAATTTTCATTTGCTGTAAAAGTTGAGATTGAACTTGTTGATAATGTAATACCATCAGTAATTGAAGAAGGATCAATAGTAACTGATCTACTTTCTGAAACGATTGATTGCGAAGTAACTGGAGCTGATCTTGTTGTTGGTACTGATTCAAATGAAGTTGATTCTATATAAGTGCTTTCTGGAGTTGAACTAGCAGTAAAAATCGTTGAAGTTGTGGTAACACCAGTAGCAACACTTGTTGTTGGTATTGAATTTGATAATGTTCTTGAAGGACTTGTGGCACTACCAGCATTAGCAGCTACACTGCTTGATCTACTTGTTACCCCATTAATGGTTGTTGCCCCTGCTTGATTACCTTCAGATAAACTTACAGTTGCTAAAGTTGCTTGACCGGTAATTGTGTATGTACGAGGAATAGTTACAACCCAAGATGAAGTTATACATTGATTATTTGAACAAGTTTTTGAAGTTTGTAATGAAGTTGATTGAGTGGTAATAGTATAGGTTGTCGCTACTGGTTGTTGTTGATTTTCAGTTTTAATTATTTTTGCAGTTGGTAAAACTGTTTTATAAACTATATGAGTATTTGTTTGAGTTATTATTGAAGTGACTGTATGTTTTGGTTTTTTTGCATTACCAGCAAGTGTATTTGGTTCATGAACAAATACAATGGGTATACCACTAGTTAGACCTTCAGGATTACCTGGTAATAAACTTTGTGCTAAATATTTTATACATGGACTATCAACATATTGTGTTTCTGTTACTGTTTTTTCTGCAATTACTAAAGTCAGAGCTAAAGTTGCAAAAAGAAACTTTAAATTCATTTTTTATAATTGTTTTGAGTATAATTGAGATTATTTTTTAACTTAACGAATGAATTGTAGTAAGGAATGATAAATATAATTGTACAGTAATTGAACTGTTTATAATGAATGGATAGTAGTTGGAATTATTAAAAATGAATGTATAATAGTTGGTAAATCAAAATAAATGAATGTTAAAGTTAAAGTTTTTGAATCAAAAAGAGGAAAAAGTTTAAAAAGAGTAGTAAAATACTAATTAGTGGAATATTGATTTAATTTTATACATGCTTACAAAAATAATGATAAGAATACCCAACCAGAAAAATTTCAAAAAATTTGCAAGTAAAATTATAATTAAGATTAATTATAAAAATAATTAAAAATATTAAGAAAATTACGAATCAAAATTAATTTTTTACGAGAACTGTTTATTTCTCGCATTAGATTTTTCTATTGTTTTGATTTTTTTATATTTAAAATTTTAAGTTAGATCGCTTAATTTTTATGTTTATTTCTTGCTCTATATTGTAGATCTATGCAAGATCTCACAAACGTCTATATTTTAACTTATACTTCTACAAGTCAACCAATATAGCCTTAATTTTGCTAATGCTCTATTCACAGAAAAATCTCGATATAAATCGAAACTCTGTAAACTAATCATAGTAAGGTTATTCTTTTAGAGGCTTATAGTTAAATAACACAATTATATTTCAAAAACTCCAAATTTGTAATTTCGATTTCCTTTTTAAATTACTTGCATTTTTTTGCATATTTAGAATTACTTTTTTTATTTTACACTAAATCGTAAATCTTTATTTTTTTTTATTATCATTTTTTTTTTTTTTTTTTTTTTTNATTCTATACTTAGGAAATATATCTTTTCCATACTGCTTGGTTTGAACTTTTGGTAGTAGCTTATTAAATAATATGGGTAATGAGGTAACACTAAATCAACGTTATAGCTCATGCTAGTTTTTTTTGACATTTCTCAATTATAGAAGTTGTGAATTTAATACTTTAATTATAACCTGTTTAAAGTTTCGGAAAAAAATTAACGCGAATTTAAAATTCTAATTTTAATTTTTAAATTTAAATTCAAATTTTATATCAAATTATAAATCATAATGTGATAGATGTTAAATACATATTCATTGGTTATATTAATTTATAGACACAATTACGTTCCTCTTCCTAACTTATACACAAATAAATTTGTTGAAAGGAGGTATTAATAGATCAGCATGTTGATCATAAAGTATCAATTGTGCGTTGAAAAACCGAAATTAAATTCTCATAACAAAACGCCTATTTGATGAATTACTTACAAACGTTGTGGTCTTTACTTTAACTAAGTGTAGCTATTCTTTGCATATTTCAATGCAACATTTGATTCATTATCGATTTTACGATGTATGTAATGATTCTGTATGATTTTGTACACCTTGCTTACAGTGACAAATGTTTGTCTTTTTTACAAATTTATTTCGCATCAAATTTGAAACAAAAAATAATAGTAAAAAAAATGGCTTGCAATTACACCATTGTTGAAAAGGATGTAAATTATAATCATTGATTTATGTTGTATTTAAAATTCGGCTTCGTTAAAAAACTGACTGCTACTTTGATCATCCAGAGATCTAGTAGACTTCGATAGAGTCAAGTCAGTTATTTTGTTCTGTATATTTAGTAGCTACGATAAGAGTAATATGATAAATATTGAATAGCAAATTCTGTACGAAAATTCCTACAAGGTCGACCTTTTTTGGTAGATATATAAATCACCTTACTTTACAAATTGTTCATAGTTCAATTTTTCAGAAACGTAATTACCGATTCAGCTAGTTTATTGACAAAATATGTAGTGATGATTCAAAATTTGCATCGGTTACAAAAAGGGTTCTTTTTACAAAATTATTCATAAATCATCTGATTGTAAATTTGACACGACCATGATAAATTATCATTACACCAAAAAATTGAAATTTCCCCAGAATTCAACTTAACTCACCAATTAAGAGTTCACAACCATATAGCCATCTCCATACAATGACTCAAATAGTAGTTCTTGGTGCTGGAGTTGTTGGATTAACAACAGCTATTGAATTAAAGAAATGGAATTCAAATTTGAATATAACTATAGTAGCACAACATTTTCCAGGAGATTTCGATAATCAATATTATACTTCACCATATGCTGGAGCTAATTGGCAATCGTTTGCGTCCAACAAAGATACATATTTACAAAATTTGGATAAACCAAGCTATAAGAAATTCTTACAATTAGCCAAAAATGACTCCGAGAGATCAGGTATATGGACGCAAGATAATATATCTTATTTTACAAATTATGAAATAAGTGAATCGAAGGGAAATATGTCAGATTTTATACCATGGTATAGAAATTTTGTTGATGATTTCAAAATTATAGATGATGATCAATTAAAGTTTAAAGATATAGGATTTGGGACAAGTTTTAAAGGAGTTGTAATATCTGTGCCTACTTATTTACAATATTTAGTTCAACAAAATAAGGAATTGGGTAACAAATTTCACAAACTAAAAATTACCAATATAGAAGAATTAAAAACCTTAAATGGAGTTAAAACAGATTTTGTAATAAATTGCAGTGGATTAAAAGCAACTAAAATAAAAGGAATCACTGATAAAAAATTAACATTCCCAATTAAAGGTCAAACTTTATTAGTTAAAAATTCAGCAAAATCAATAATTGGAGTTGAAGGATTTCCAGGTACACCGCAAGAAATGTTATACATAATGCCGAGAAAAGAAGGTGGATCAATACTCGGAGGATGTTTTAAACCTGGTGATGATTCAACAGAAGAAGATAAAGAATTAAGTTCAAGAATAATAAGAAGAGCCATACAATATGCACCTGAGTTAATTGATCCAAAATACAAGAATAATCCCTCAAAAATTGAAGTAATAAAAGTAAATATTGGGTTTAGACCTTTTAGAGAAGATGGAGTAAGGATAGAAAAAGATCCTAAATATAACTGGTTAATACATAATTATGGAGCTGGTGGTGGTGGTTATCAAGGAAGCTTTGGATTTGCTCAAAAAGTTGTAGATATTGTGAAGAAGGAAGTTGATAAGACCAAATCTAAATTATAATTTTAATATATAGTGCATCTTTTATATAGTTATTGTAAGAATATTTACATAATGTTTTACTCTATTTCAAGTACAGATATAATTGAGTCTTTCTAAGGGTGGTCTAAAAATTAAATTAACTATTATATATTAAAATCATTGGTTATGAACTAAATTCATTGTAAGTTTTAAATTCTTCTACTGAAAGAAATCTCCATTAAATAACGATTGATAAACTCCTTCAAACCTCTCGAGCTAAATTAGTGGCAAATAAGACCAATTAATTGACCTTTTAAAATATCAAATAATTTTTTACCACCTTTTTTACCATATTCTTTAGCGTGAGCTGAATCAGTATGTTCCGATATAAACCCAGAAGCTGAATTATTATGAGCTTTAATTGGTGTTGGTTTATCTGAATATTTTTGAGTTTTAATGTTTATATCTGCATAACCATGTTGTGGTTTGAAAAAACCTGTATCTTTTGGTTGTTCTGGGATATTAATTGACATCTTGTTGAAATTTTACTTGATCTTAGCTAATACAATTTGGAAAAGAGCTATGGATGATGATTGATTATTAAAAACAAAAATAATCTTGTTTACTTGTAAATCATTAATTTCATATCTATTTACTCTATAAATTAAATTGCTATTAATATTAAATATTTATAAAAAATAAAAATAGAATGTGATAAAACTAATAAATTCTGAAATAGAGCGGCTTTTGCATTTTTCCCAATTTTGTGGGACAAAACATTTTGCTGTCAAAATTGGCAACCAAAAAATCAGAAAAATAATTATAACGATCTTTTGAAAGGTAAACGGTATGGTTAAAAATCAGTGCTTGAAATGTGGAATTCTAGAAGTTTTTTTGAGCTGAGTTAACAAAAGGTGGCAATCTAGGAAGTATAGTTCAATTTTTAACACGTTGCCATAAAATCAAAGTCATTATACACTTTAAGGCAACAATAACAAACGTCAGAGGGGGAATTAGCTCTCGATTATTTCACAATACTGTTCCCAGCTTTCTCAACTATGCTACTGTTGAATGGACCTAAAGTTAGAGCTCGACCCAGATTTAAACGTTACATTTGACCACAGCTGGTAGCACTAATCTTGAGCTTTTTAGAAATTTACGCACTGAAACAGATTTTGAAAAAAATTTCAATATCAGAGCTTTAAAAGTATTATACTTTAATCAAATACCACAAACCTACAATTATTGACAAATGAGAGCTTCTCAAATACTCAGTTTTCAAGCAACTGCACAAACGGCATTAAGAAGACCATGGAAAACATTTAGAGATGGTACCTTTTACTATGGGCAATTAAAATCAGGATCAAAAAGACATCCATTAACAACTAAACAAGGTAACAAACATTATTATAAAGGTACAAGATCAACTGGTATTGGTCATTTAGATAGTAGAGGGAGATATCATATAGATTGGAATAAAGTAAGGACGTATGTTGTCCCAGTTGGGTTAAACACAACAGATTTAAAACCATTAGTATCACCAAATTCACCACAATTTATACAGAAAGTTGAAGGATATGATGATAAATTTAAAAGTCCAGAATTAGCTTTACATAATGCTATTAAATTTGTTGAAAATGGAAGTAATTATAGTGCAATAGATCTAGAAAATGAAGGTTATATAGAAAAAATTGTTCATCCTAAATTTAAGGAAGCCGAAAGGAAAGAGTTCATGGAACAAACTAACTAAATGGAATGAAGAAGTAGCACTTACTTGTATATAGAAGTAACTTTGTAACGAATAATTAATGTCAATTGAAATGAATTTTAATGGAGATGTAGTACTTAATTCACGTGACTTTTTATCTTAATATCGAGGGTATGCGTCTAAATATAAAATAAACATATTTATTTCATCAGATCCAATTGAATTAATAAATAATCCACTATTCACCATGTCACATATACTAAATCCTTCGGACACGATAGAAGTCGAACATGAGGTTGATAATATAGAAGAGTCAAATACAGGTTCTCCATTACCTAATAATACAAATCAATTGGAAATAGATCAAATCACCACAAACAATACAATACGAGAAGAAACACCAATAGAACAAGATGATGAAGAATTCGCAGCAATGTCATTACCACTTTCCAAAATCAAAAAAATATTTAAAATGGATTTGGATTATGCAGGTGCTAGTTCAAGTGCAGTATACACAACAGGATTAGCTACAGAATTATTTGTACAATATTTTGTCGAACAAGCTAGTCTTTTAGCTAAAATGGATAAACGTAAAAAGATTCAATATAAGGATTTTTCAAATGCTGTAAGTAGTCATGATTCTTTAAACTTTCTAAGTGATACAATACCAAGAACTCATCAAGTTGGTGATCTAATACAAAGAAAAAAAATTCATACTTTAGATCAAGTAAATTTAAATGCAAATCCAATTAATAGAAGAGAAGGTAATAATAGTGCTAATAAGAATCAAGATCAAAATGGAGATAATGCTCAACAGGCTCAAAAAGTTAGAAAACAACAAGAATTACCAAAAGGTCAACAAACGCTAAATTTTCAACCAGAAAAACCAATTAAAATAGCTAGCGTGAATGATTTAATGATTGCAGAAGATAGTAATAATGACACTGAAGAAGTTGATGTAGAAATGATTGAATAAATGAACAAAATATATTATAAATTAATGCACTAAATTGGTTTGTAAAACTTCTAATATACATAACGTATCTCTAGATTTTGGAAATTGTTGAGGTATTTTAAGTTTATAACAAAGTTGGATAATTGAATACCTAGTTAGATCAGGAATCGACTTCTCATATACTTGAGCTCCAGTCAATAAGAATTCAACCAACTTTTCTTTCAAATTGGGGTTCATACGCAAAGCATAGACTGCTTTCTCAGCTATTACTAAATCTTTTGATGCGGGTGTTGATATTTGAGTTTGAGTAGATGAATCAACTATGCTTGAATGGTTGGAAATAAAATCCCAGGTATCTTGAAATTTTCTACTGAAAAAGAATTCATTCTGAACATAATCTTGATTGATAATTTGAATCACAAAACTTAATGTTTCAATTGTTAAATTGACCTTTTCTCTTGAATACGAATTTGAAGTTAAAGTGGTAGATAATGAATCAACACCTGAGATCAATGCACTCAACATTGCCCAATTGCTTGTAATCATTGGTAATACTAATTTATAATTTGTACAAAGTAAAGGGAATAATAATCTAAAAGTTTTCATTATCTGAGATTTTAAAGTATATGATGGTTGTGATATTAGTACAAATCCGTAGTTGAAAATTCTTTTTAAAACAATATAAATACTTTTGGGTATGGGTGAAGTCCAAGGTTCTTCTTCTTCTTCTTGTGGCCGACTATCGTCTTCGAGGTCCTCTTCTTCATCATCTGAGTCGGTGTTCATTTCTGAAAATGGTTTATCATCTGGTCTTTTAAAGTATTCTTTATCTGCATCAAAGTCTTGTAAAGGATCGATTGTACTTTCATCATTCAAAAAATGAAAAAGCTGAAATTTGTTTGTCATTCCCCATGGCTTAAATTGAGACTTATTTTGGTTCTGATTTTCAATCTTGGGTGCATTCGATGAACTAAGATACAACTTTTCAATTTGGTCAGTTAAGGCTTCAAACACTATGAAAAAACTCTCCACTAATTTATTATACCCATGATAAGAGTCTAATATAACAAACATGTCAGATAAAATATCAGTTAATTGATTAGTTTCCAATAATTGAATTCCAGCTATTTTGATTATAACCATCAAAATTCCAGGTAACATTGGACTTAAATTACTTGCAACTGTCATTTGCAAACTTACTCCATCGACTAAATAATCCAGATTATCCATAATCAATTCTTTTATTGATCCATTATAGTAGGTATCTACTATATTTTGAATAGTGTTTTGAGCTTGAAACTGTACATTTGGCCTATCAGTAAATGTTAATGCTTGAAAAATATATAGCAAATTGTCCATTAGTACATTTGATCTAAAATTATCCAATGACATGGTACCAGTTATTGTACTTATACTTTCAAGTGCAGCTATAATAGCAGTTTGGTTAAAATTTTTCTCTACTTGTGAACTACCGATTTCAGCAGAATTTAAATTACTTATCAAATCCTGCGATTTCATCAACAATAAATATGAAGCTTCATTTTCATCATCATCAACTTCCATGTCATCAATATTTAAAAAATCATTTGAGCTAAAGCCTTTAGTTTTTGTTAATCCACTTTGAGCCAAAGTTGATGCAAACCACAACGAGACACCTTTGCTTAATGTATCATTATCAAAGTCATCCAATATTGCCTCTAGCTCTTCAACGCTTTGACCTGCTTGATTTAATTCTAGGTGAGATAAAAATAAGACTATTGATTTTAGTTTCGACTCAAAAAATTTAGATCCTAGCCCAACTGTCAACTCTCCTCTAGATTGTGGAACTCCATCATTCCATTGACGTGATAATTGCTGCAAATGGTTCGAATGATGATCCTTGGTGTCTTGTTGCAGCTTCTTGTCCGTCTTCACACTACTAGCATTAATATGACCTGGTAATTCTATTGAATCCAATGTATTTGATGTTCCCGGTGTTAAAGTGTTTAATACGTTGTCACTCTTTTTGATTGACTTGTTTGAACTGATGAATTTGACATGATCAATTGTTATTTCAATTAAAAGACTTAAGCATCTTTGCTTAAGTATAATCAACTCATTTAATTCAGGACCAAGTTTTCTTGAAATCTCCATTAACACTGCAAAATGGAATTTAATAGCAATGATATTCATTGAAATTTTATCTTCATCAGTTGAAAAAACAATAACTGATAATTTACTACTTATTAGACTTGATAATTTCATTTTTACTATATTAAAGTATGCTGTAAGTTTCGAAGTACTGTCATCAATTGCATCTTCAACAGTTGAAGCTAATTCCCATACTTTCAAATCCAATTTGTCGTCATAAGTTGATGAAAATAATAAAATAGAACATATATCTAAAGTTAGTGGAGTCAATTCGTTATATAAAGTAATGAAACAATTCTTCAATATTGAGGTAACAAACTTCACAACAACATCATATAACTCACTTTTAGATTGCCATCGCTGTCTATTCCTTGAGCTTAGTAATATTGATTTAAATAAAGTAACTAGGGTTATCTTTAATTGTTTAGATGTAGCCTTCAACCACGGCATTGTTCTGTGATCTTTCTCAGTTATTCTGATATCATCAATAGATGTTGGAGTTTCATCAAGGGTTTTCTCATCATCATCCCAAGCCACTTCTATATCTGATAAACTTTCTACTTCCGGTATGACCAATTCAGATTGTAAATCAGTATCGTTGAACGATGAAGTTACGATAAATGTCAATAATCTCAAAATTTGAATCAACAATTGATAATTAATATTTGAATTTGAAGATGTGAAATTTGTCAAGGCTGATACAATACCTGGTAGTATCATTGATATTTGTTCTTTGTTAAGTCTCAATAGCAGATTCTTTACCAACTGGAATGCATTACTTAAAACCTCGATTGATTCTTGATCATTTGATTTGTTTGAAGTGATCACTGACAATGCAAATGTAATTGTAGAACTCAAGAAATGCAATCTTTTCTCTTGTGCTTCAAAATATGTTTTATCTAATGCATCAATTAATTGAGATGAAACATATATAGCGGAATTCTGAAATTGTAACGACTTAGGGTGATTATTACCTTCGGTTTTAGAAGTATCAACTCCACTTAAAAATAAAACTAAAGGAAACAATTGATCAATTAAAGTAGTGTTTATTTGAAATCTCCAACAGTGTTGAATAAGAAAGCCAATTATTGATAATATATGTTGTATTATTTTATCATTTAGTCTTGGTTGTTTTAGTAAATTGGATATGGGGAAAAATATATAATCAGCAACATTGGGTAATAGTTTGAAGAAAATTCCATCATCTGTAAATCTTTTGTATTCAGAATGTAATAAATTGACAACTAAATTTAACAATGATATAGTCTTAGTTTCATTTAATTGTGGTTGTAAAACTTCTTGAGACAATTGAATACAATATGCTTTTAATTTTTCGAATACTTGTTGTGATACCAATCTTTCGTTACTATTGCCTATTATATCATTTGACATCTTTACCTCATCATCTAATCTTTGAATCTGCTTTATAGTAGAATAATCAATAATTTATCTTATTATGGATTTGGCAAACATTTAAAGATTTAAAAGAGTAAAATATTAAACCTGTATACAAAACATATATTTGTTTTTGTGTAACAAAATCAAGCTTCTCTTTTACTTTAAAAAAATTTTCAAACTTTTCACTTTTTCAATTTCAGCTTTTTGATTCCACTCAACTACAATTTACACAAGTATTATACACTACAACTACGAATCAATAGTATGTTTTCATTTATATAACAAGCATACGCCACATGGGGGAATATATTCCTATCATATTCATAAGTTAATAGAATGGGTTTTTTTCATTAGAAGAAGTGTTTTAAGAAATTGTTTTAACTTTGGTGAAATCGAAAAAGATTAAGTTAACAATTTGAACGAAGTTTAAGCTGTTAAATTCTATTTTAGTTTTATACCCAATCATGGAAATTTTCATGTTTGTTAAATTATGCTTTATTTCAACATTATAAAGTAAATTTAAAGAGTTTTAACAATACCTTTCTACACGTTATCATAGTATAACTTTTATCGCTCATGACTCCAAACTTCTTTAAGTTGGATACTCATGTGGCCATTTTTTGATCAAAGAAAAAAACTCCAACAATTTGGTACTAACATTAGTTTTTTTTTTCAAGAAATGACTAGAACTTCCGTATTAGCAGATGCTTTAAATGCCATTAACAACGCTGAAAAAACCGGTAAAAGACAAGTTTTAATTAGACCATCTTCAAAAGTCATCATTAGATTTTTAACTGTTATGCAAAAGCACGGTATGTGAATATTCAAAAATCAAAGGTATCAAATTTGCAAATTTATCAAAATCATTGAACATACACCGAATTGATAACTGGATGGATTGATCGGTGTCCAGTCCCTTTCTGTCTTTTAAGCATTCGGGATAGAAAAGATTAGGAAATGACTTCTTACACGATACTCAACTGTTTTTAGTGCTTATCGTTTACTTTTCCCCAACATTTATATTTTACAATTTTGCATTTTGATGTTAAAGAAGCTAAAGTATGGCTTACTAACATTTAAATTTAGGTTACATTGGTGAATTTGAATACATTGATGATCACAGATCAGGTAAAATTGTTGTTCAATTAAATGGTAGATTAAATAAATGTGGTGTTATTTCCCCAAGATTCAATGTTAAAATTAATGATATAGAAAGATGGACTGATAATTTATTACCAGCTAGACAATTTGGTTACGTTATTTTAACAACTTCTGCTGGTATAATGGATCATGAAGAAGCTAAAAGAAAACATGTTGCTGGTAAAATTTTAGGTTTTGTTTATTAAATTTTTCAAAAGTCGCTTCATTTATTTCTGTATATTAGTCCTTATTGTAATAAAAGTAATTTGGTTATTAATAGTTTCATTATTTTCTGAACGTAGATCACTTTAATTGCACACGATATGTAAAGTTTGAAATTTTAAGCCGAGAAATGGTGATAAAATTTAAACTCCAGATTTTACTTACATGGATCTAATCATTAATAATCTCATACACATTCCCCCAAAACTTAAATGATAGTACTACCGGAGTCATTAAGATTTATAATTTCTACATTATCATGGACTTTGAGAGCAGGTTGTTTAGCTCATATAATACACGAAAACGTATATGAATTTACAGAAACAAGAGGTGAATCAATGTTACCAACAGTTCAAAATCAAAATGATTATGTTCATGCTTTTAAAAAATATAAATATGGTAGAGATTTAGAAATTGGGGATTGTATAGTAGCAATGAAACCAAGTGATCCATCTCATAGAATATGTAAAAGAATTACAGGAATGCCTGGAGATATAGTATTAGTTGATCCATCTTCATCATCAGAATTAACTAATTCACCACATGATATTATACAAAATGATGGGTTTAATAAGTTTATACGAATACCTGAGGGTCATGTTTGGTGTACTGGAGATAATTTATGTCATTCTTTAGATTCAAGATCTTATGGAGTTTTACCAATGGGATTAATAACTGGTAAAATAGTTGCTGCTAATTCAATGGGTGATGGTTTACGTGGATTTTTTAATTTCAGATGGATTACAAATACTTTTAAAGATGAATAATTATAGAATTATATTATAGCTTATGAATGAATGAAATATTTTAGAAGAAATGACTTTTAGTTTCAAATAATGTATTTTTTTTTTTTACTCTATATACCTCATACCCAGATCTCTTTTATTCAATCTTTGGCTTTTAATTTGACAGCTTTTGTTTTTGTTGTGGATAAACGATTTTTGGCTAAATAGTTTAATACACTTAATCCAAAATAATAACATGGAAAACTCAAAATGAAACCATAAAATAAAGTCGTAAAAATTGATTGACCCAAATAATACTTGACAAAATTGAGTTCAAATCCAATCAATGATGTAAAAAATAAAATATTATGAGATATTTGACCAATTGAAGTTTTATTAAAAGTTTTGAAGAAAATATCATTTACTCCAATAAATCCAAACCATGAACCAATTAAAATTAAAAATAAAACTGATGCAATACCTATGAAAAAAATTGGAATAATTGGATTAATCGTTTTTTCATCTCCTCTGAAAATGTGATGAATTTCTGGTTGAATACCGAATTTTGATTTACGTTCATACTTACTTGAACTTTTAAATTCTTGACTTGGAATTAATTCAATTAATCTTTTAATTAAATTCAATGAGCCACTAGAGTCACCAATAATTAAATTTAAAACCAATGAATCTTTAGATTTTAATATTTCAGGTATTAAACTAGCTTTAATTTGTAATTTAATTTGATCATCCTTAACTGTTGGAACAAAATTTGTAACTAAATTTGGTTGTGAAACATCAGATAAACTTATCATTATTTGTTCAGGTTTATGACCTTCTAAATCTTTATTTTTTAAATCAATTTCTATTATATCTTTTGATGAATCAATTGGTAAACTTTTAATAACTTGTGTGTCAATTTCACCAAAATGTACACTTTCACCATTATTATTGTTTGTAATTTTACCAGTTATTACACCTTTAGCAATTGATGATGCTATAAGTCCACAAATTGGAATTACTGTTGAGAACTTCATTATTTGTTGGTGTGTTAAGAATAAACGAAATAAATTCTTTGTGATTTTTGAACTTTGACGTGGTAGAATTCATGAAAAATTATTTTAGTGAATTCAGTTGATTCCATAAAAAACGCACTATAAATATTTTTGACAACCTGACCTCCTTAATATTCTGAACAAAAGTATAAAGCTTTGACTATAAAGTGAACTTAGGTAGTATTGAGTAAAACCCCTTCTAACCCACTATAATCAGAATAGGTTTCTGGTAAAATTGTTGAAATCAAAAAAATTATACCACCAACGATTTCTACCACAAAAAATACCGGAATTAATATAAGACCTATCGAAAGTTAGTATTAGGCTTCAAGCTAGTTCATGCATCGTTCTGAACTATAAACTTACAACCAACTATAAACAAAATAACGAAGATTAAGCACATTGCTAGTAAAGTTATTGACGAGATTGCAAACATATTTGACTAAATTCTATTTTTGTTATAATATTATTAAGTATACTTGGAATACAGTGAGAATCAACAATCACCGCTCTCAGGCACTGACGTATTGAACCCAGAATTAGTAAAAGCAATTATTTATCTAAAAGTCTGGTTGTAGAATAATTTTGGTTGTAAATAATTTTGCAACAACTTTTAAAATTATAATTTATTAAGGGGTAAAAATACAACTACTTTAAAATGTATATAATTACGACGCCTCTTAACAAATTTAACATATGTTTGAATTATTATGTTCGTATTAATATACTCAATTTTAAATAATCATTCAACTCATCTTTTATATTAAAGAGTTTGAAAGCAGTTTATATGAAACAATAAACTTATAGAAATTTGACGCATTTGTCGTATTTGTATCGGTGTAATGAATTTTGAAAATTGTTCCGGATAATTTTGAGATCTGAAAATTAAGTGAAAAAAAAATATAAATGAATGTTTAATACCTGATTCACATCATCATATTAACAATTCATCAATGCAATTTCTTACAGGAAAATCATTATTGTATATAAGAATACTAGTATTGCTAATAATAGCCTATTATTTAGTCAAAGATCCAGATGCATTATCATCAGCAGGTTTTGTAATATTATTAGGTCAAGCAATGCAAGTCCCCATATTAAAATTAAATCCAAATAATCAATTAATTGGACTTTTATCAATATTTATAGTAACTACTTCATTAACTGATCTTATACCATTAATAGCTGAAAATTGGTCATTTTTTGAAACTTTAGTACCAACAAGATTAACATTTTATTTTATAATAACTGCATATATTTATTTCGTACCCTTTTCAATTATAAGTAATAGTTTAATTATAACTTATACAATGTTTGAAATTTGGATTAATTTTTTAATTTATAATAATTTAAGAGATGAAAAATTTTATAGAATGAAAAAATATGTTGAAGAAAATGTTGATGCTTTAAAACAAGCTCAAGATGAACAAATTAGAATAATTGAAAGGGATTGATTAAAAAATGCAAAGATAAAACAAATAGATGAGGTTTAAGATGTATATAAGTAGGTATGAAAAAATGCATGTGTGGTATTTATATTACATACTATTTAACTTTTAAAATCTTCAATTAACCATTGTAAATTTTCTTTTAATTCATCAAAATCATTAAATTCATTTTGTAAAATATTAATACAATTTATATTATTTGTTTCATTTTCTTGGGATTCATACTTGTAAACGAATAATTTCAAGATTAGGTTGACGAATAATTCATTTGTTGTTATTATTATTTTAATTTTGAGAATTTCTCCCTTTTTATTGACTAGTGTTAAGTTTATTTTGGATTTAGGTTTTTCTATTGATTTTTGAAATGGATTGTTTTTGGTATTAAGATCTAGATTCACAAATTTATCTATTGTTGAATCTGATTTGATATCGCTGTTTTCTTTAGTTATTTCATTGATTATTTTTTCAATAGTATTTATATATGATACATGTTTTATATTACCTAAAAATGGTCTTAGTATTAAAGGGTGTGAATTTTTTTGTTTCCACTTGATTAATGACGTGGGGACTTTTTGTTTTAATTTTAAATTATATTTATAAAAACAACAAAGCATTAACTTAAAATATGATAAAATCAATTGGCATTTGTTGTTATTTATTGATGATGATGAATTTACATTTTGATAATAATTATTCAATTCGTCTTCATTTGATTCATCATAAGTTATATTTTCAATTTCAATCATTTGGTTTTCAATTTCAATTGATACTTTATTTGAACTAACATTCACATTATAACTAATTAATAATTTAGCTTCATTACTTAATTGATAAAATAAATCTTCTTCAAATAAAAATAATCTTGCTTTTTCAATTTCATTTATAATATCATGTTTTGAATTATTAAATTCAAGTTTAAAATGTGATTGTCCAGTTATTATAAAATCATCATCTCCTTCAATTTTACTAAGAATTCTTATTCTAATATATTTATAAATTTTATCAACAACTCTATTACCAATTGATGATAATGCATGAAATTTAATTTCTCCAGTTTGAATATTCTTTCTTAATAAACCCAAACCTTTATCATAATAATCGGATCCAGAATCCCCATATCCGTATTTGACTCCTATTGCCCTTGCATTATTAGCTGGATCTCTCATTCTAAACAATGCTTCATTATTTGATAATACTAAATTAATCATATTCCAATAATTTTTTTCTTTAATAACTTGTTGTTGAATATTTTCACTTGATTGTTTGAACATTTCAGTTATCTTTTTGATAGACTCAGATTTCCAACCTTGACCTATTTTAGTCGATTTTGAAACTTCTGATGTAGTTTCTTTTAAATTATCATGAATACTACTTCCATTGGAATTTCCATTACTAGTCAGTTCTTCGCCCATTAATTTGTCAGAATTTAAAGACGATGGTTTTACAAATTTTGATAGATGAGGTGACATTGTATTTTTAGCAACATTTGGCTTAACTGATGCAACTAATAACGAAACGAAATCTAATGATAAAGAAGTTTCGTTCAAGGCATTATTTATAGCTTTCGTTAATTCGAATTTTTGTTTATTAAAATTTTGTTGAATATCATTGGATGTTATTGTTTTATTTTCCTCTACCTCTTCTGTTTCTGCTTCAGTCTCTTGTTCTTGTTCCATCTCTTCATCCTCTTCTTCATCAACATTTAATTCTTTTATTTCGGAGTTTATTTGTGGTGAAACTTTTTCATCTTGATTTTCGTCGGAGATTTGATTCAATTTATTAATTTCATCCCTTAATGATTCTTCGGTTAATCCTAAAAATGATTTACGTTCATGTAATATTCTTGGAATTAATTCTCTTAATGAAAGATCGTCTCTGAATCAGTAGGTTAGTATTTAACGCACTATCCTCAGTGTTTCGATTGAACATACTCATTCTGTACAAATGGATCTTTTTGACCTTCTTTATCAAAGTCTAGATCAATATAAAAGTTTTCACTTGTCATATTGTTGACATGTGAGATACAATCGTTTGATTTGTTGTATATTTTACTTGGAATAAAAATAGTCAGAGCGGCTTTCTATTATTTTTCGTATTTGAGTTCTAGATATATTATTTATATGTAGTTTTTATGTTGCAAACTTTACTTCTTTTAAACAATTCTTTGAAGCTCAAAGTTTATACAAAGTACATTATTACAGACTTGATTGTTAACAAAAGAGATAAATCTTACGCATTTCTATGATTCAAGTTGAAGAACTGATATATTTATTCAATTTTGACCTTTTTACGAGGTCTTTTAGTTTCTTCCTCTTCTTCTTCCTCTTCCTCTCCCTCTCCATCGTCATCATCTATATCTTCTTCTTCTTCTTCTTCCTTTTTCTTCTCTTCTTTCTCTTTATTCTTTTCTTCTTTAGCTTTTTCTTTTTCTTCTTTTTTCACTTTTTTATCATGTTCTTTTTCCTTTTTAATTTCCTTTGCTTTAGCTTCTTCACGATCTCTTTTTTTAACAGTATTTTTGTAATCATATTCATCATCAATATCATTAGATTTATCAGCTTGATCTTGATTCTTTACAGATTTAGGTTTGAAAAAATCATTAATATTATTTTGTTTAGTTTTACCACCTATTTTTTTCAATATATCTTCTGATTTATTTGATGGATTTCCTACATCTTTTGAAACTTGATACCCTTCTATTGAAGCGTAGGCTTTATTGGAATTACAATTAAGAACTATTTCAATTAAATCATCGTTCCATTCATTTTTCGGATTAAGCCAATCATCCCATTCTTTTGTATTTGGTTCAATCATTATTGGTTTTCTTGAATGAAGCCAACTTAAATCATTATATTCATCATTTTTCAAAGCTGGACCAGTTACTATTGTAAAAGAAGATAAAAATTCTTGTTCCCCTTTTTGATTATTAAAATTTTCTTTATAATTATAATTATGTGAATAAAATCCTGCTAAAAATACTAAAGGTTCTTTGGATGAATGAACAAAATATGGAGTCTTATCACCTGATTTTTTATCTTTTAACCATTCAAAATATCCTTGGATTGGTATAACACATCTATGTTTTTTACATGATGACCAAACTGATCTATGTTGATCTAAAGATTCTTTTCTGCAATTAAAATATTTACCTTCAGTTTTACCCAATTCTTTTGAATATGGTTCACCTTGATTTGATTTACCTTCATTTGTTGGTGTTGAATCTTGAGGTTTTGCCCATACTGGAATCAAACCAAATTTCAGTTTCTCAAATACATATTTTGTTGTAATATCTGAATCTTCTGGAATAGATTCATATATCATAATTGCTGTATTTGTTGGTGCAATATTGAAAGATGGATTCCAATCTTCTAAACTTGTTAAGTCAAGATCAATTTTTAAATTTTGCTTTTTGTTATGTATATCAATTTGATATGTTTGATCACCTGTTTCTTCTATTGTATCTTGTTCATTATGATAAACTGATTCATTAAATGCATTTGGCAACTCATTTAAATTCTAAAGTTATAAAATTGTTAGTCAAGCTGTTATCGTTAAAGTAGTACGTCAATTGAATTACATACAATACCTTGAGCAAATCTACCACACATGACTCGTCTTGGTATATTTGGTTGTAAATGTTTTGGTATGTATTATCAAAAGCAATTATTATTGTGGAATCTAGAAATCTAGAAACTTACGGGGGTTAAGGGGTAATATTAATTGTTAATTCGTTTTTTTTTATAACTGAGATTTTTTAATATTAAAATTTAAGTAAATGGGTATTATTATATATATTAGTTTTACAACTCAATTGTAAAAGTACCTATTGAAAATTGGAATAGCGCATCATAAATAGCATTTATATAGATAATTGATATAAAATTTTGATTATTGAAAAGTTTATATTTACTTAATATAAATTAGAGATAAGTAGTAATACTGGTTGACAGAGAGTGATTGTTGAAAATTTTTTAAAAAAAAATAAAGAAACACACAAATTATTTAAAAAATATTGTAAAAGATTAATTATAATAAAAACAAGGAATAAAATTTGATATAATATAAGATAATTTTTCTTTTTTGTTAATTGTTATTTAACTAAAATTTAATTCTTTGATTCAAATTAATTTATTCTTCATTTTCATTTTTTGGAGCAGTTGATTCTTGAGGAGCTTCACTTAAATCAGTCCATAAAGTTAAATTATCTCTTAATAATTGCATAATTAATGTTGAATCTTTATATGAATCTTCTGATAAAGTTTCTAAATCAGCAACAGCATCATCAAAAGCTTGTTTTGCTAAATGACAAGCTCTATCTGGTGAATTTAAAATTTCATAATAAAATACAGAAAAATTCAAAGCTAAACCTAATCTAATTGGATGAGTTGGTGGTAATTCAGTTACTGCAACATCTGATGCTTTTTTATATGCTTCTAATGATTCATCAGCTGCTTCTTTTCTTTTTTCTGCAGTAGCAAATTCAGCTAAATATCTATGATAATCTCCTTTCATTTTATAATAAAATACTTTTGATTCACCTGATTGAGCACTTCCAATTAAATGATTTGTTAAAACTTCTAAAATATCTTCACAAATTTTACTTAATTCAGCTTCAATTTTAGCTCTATAATCTCTAATTAATTTTACTTGTTGATCATTTCCTTTTGATTCTTCTTTTTGTTCAATTGATGAAACAATTCTCCATGAAGCTCTACGAGCACCAATTACATTTTTATAAGCAACACTAAGTAAATTTCTTTCTTCTACTGATAATTCTTTTTCTGCTGAAGCAACTTCTTTCATTGCACTAACCATTTCTTCATATCTTTCAGCTTGTTCAGCAAGCTTAGCAAGATAAACTGAGTTTTCTCTAGTTGATTCAGTTGTCATGTTTTATTCTTTAATGAAAATTCTAAAAAAGTTAGTATATATAAATGAAAAAAGAAATGTAAATAATGTAATTTAATAGTATGTATAAATTTGGATATCAATTGTTGTAAATTCAATCAATCAATCAATCAGTTGTAATTTAATCTATTCTTCAATTCTGTTTCAAATTAATAAGTTGATTACTGCAATTTATATGATCAATATATCAATTTTTTTTATGAAAAAGTGAGCGTTGTTGAGATTTTTGATTAATTTTTTTAAGTGAGTGATTTGTAAAAAAAAAACAAAAAAAAAAAAAAAAAATCTCTCTCTCTCTCTTGTAAATATTAAATATTCAAATATTATTATTATTAGTATGGTTGTTAAGTAAAGTCGTGTTAAAGTCAAGAATGCAACAATAAACATTTCCCAAACTATAAACATATAAATATTCTAACAAGAATTGAATATAATAAATCTTTGAATTGAGTTTTTATCATGATAATTGAAATATAAACTAAAGAATTGATAGAATTTGATTGATTATAGTATTGACATCAATTGATATATGTAATTTATAATTTCAAGTGGTTGCCAAAACTTATCTACTTGAAAAGGGGGATTATAATTTGAATTCGACAACTGATATGTTTAGATTTAATTGATTGATTGACTAAATGATATTGATCCTATTAATTTATACATATTATTGATTGATTACAATTTGATAATTGTACAATATTAAATAACATACAATGTAGTAGTAGTAGTAGTAGTAGATGATAAGTAAATAATATAAAATGAATTTAATATAAAAAAAAAGTAATGAATTTAAAAATTGATAAGTTTTTGTAATTTTTTGTTAGAATAAATTTATTAATAATTAAATATTAAGTCGTTGAATTTTTTTTTTTTTTTTTTTTTCTTCTATTAATATTTGATAGTCTAATAATAATTTAATTTCTATTCAATCTAATAGTATTATAAATTATTAATTTTTAAGAGATATTAAGATCATAAATTATAGTAATGTTTAAATCTACTTTAAATGATCTCTAAACTTAGCATAACAATCTATATATAGATTTACTTTTCACTCGTTCAGTAGTTTAATTTTCAAAACTGAGGTGGAGGGGGGAGGTAAACAGCGGTCAATCTCGGATTATTTTAATTTATTACATTTGCTTTTACATAAATAGAGAAATGGTTTCATATCTTAAACGTATTTTAAAACTTTTTTATGAATTTTATTTTTGAGATTTAATATTTACTATTGCTAGTATCAAATTAATATATTCTTTTTACATATGATAATTTAGTATTACTGGATCAAATTACAATTTTTTCTACTTTTTAAATTTATGGATATTTGTTTACGTAATTAGATCTTTATTACATCACATAATTTACATACATATTATACTATATCAGTCTTATAAGTGTATACGAAATCCATTATATGTATATACATATCTCTCCCCGTCTCTGAATATTTAGTTTTGATTTATCGTAAGACCTTTTATGATGTATTTTAAGCGTCAATTATGATATATCTCAAGTGTCAACTATGATGTATCTCAGGCGTCAATCTGATGTATTAATGTCGTCACCAAAAATGATGATCATGCACTTCACATTGATATACCAAATTTACTCTTTGTTAAAGCTCAAGAATATAAATTTGATTATCGTAAAGACCCGCTTTACTATTCCAAATCTTATATCATATCATATTGATTAATTATATAACATTCTTCTCTATTTTGATGATTCTCTTTTTCATCATTTAAACCATTATTTTCATTATTAATTATACTATTTTTTCTAATTTTTTGTTTTGGTAATTGATATTGATAAAATTTACCAGTTTGATAAGAAGCTATAAATATTAAATCATTATAAAATCCAATTTCAACTTTATTTTTGGAATCTTGAATATATTCTGGTAATTTTATATAAGCAAATGATCTTGTTGGTGGTTCCCATATTAAATTTTCAAATAAATCTTTATAAGGTAATTTTTTAAGAATTGATGATGTATATTGATTATTTATAAATTTTTTTTTGGTTTTTTTAAACCATGATTTTTGTTTTATTAATTGTGGTTTATCTTCTTCTATTTGAGTTGTTGGTTGAGATTGTTGATTTTTAGATAATAATAAATTGGCTAAACTTTCATTTAAATCTTCTGATGATGATCTATTAGCTTCCCCATCACTTTGATCATCACTATGATCATAAATTTCTCTATCATCTTGATTTTCTTTTAATTCCAAATCATTATTGTTTTTATTATTTAATTTAAACAAATGTACAGTATTTGATTCTGATCCACAACCTAATATTAAATCTTGATTATGGAAACTTAATGAATTAATTTTAGTTAAATTATGACCCCTCCTTAAATTCTTAACATTACCTAAATTAATTGTCTCATCATCAATTTGAACCAAGTCAAACACTCTTAGTATTGTACCTTTAATTGATGCAGTTGCAATTTTGAAACCTTGGTGAGATATTGATATTTTACCAATTAAAGAATCGTGAGCTTTGAATATTATTATTGGTTTTAAATTTATAGTATCATATACTAATAACCATCCATCCCCATCTTTTTTCAAATCTTCAATTGTTATCACGGGATTTTCCAATAAGTTAGTCTCCTTTATCTTGGGGGTTATACCAATGTATTTATTTAAAGGCTCATTCATGAGTGTTGATTCGCTTAATAAATTTAAAGGTAGACATAACCAAGATTTATCATTAACACTTAAATCACCAACAAATTCGGAATTTTCTTCTGGAATATGTAATTTCAAGATTTTTATTAATTTGATACAACTCAAATCATAAATATGAATTTCTCCATTTTGTAAAAAAACCACTAACCTTTTCCTATTCAATTTGACGTCAATTATATTTGATTCAAATTTTAAATCAACAATTTTTAAATTTTGTTTTAAATTATATATCTTCAACACTTTGGTATTTTCATCCTGTGGCACTATTATTGTCAAACTAGTGGAAAATAACATCTTCAATAATTTAGTAGGGTAATTATGTTTATCATCATTTGTAAGTTCTTGTTGTTCTTCTTCTTCTTCAATTGAATTTGATAACGTCTTTTTAAGTTGATTTTCAGATGATGAATATAATTCTCCAAATGGTTCACAATTAAAAATCTTATGATTTTTTGTAGTAGATATTGATATTGATGAATAATCTGGATTAAATGCTAAATCATTTATATACATTGGACTTTGATTTATTAATGGTTGTAAAGTATTTATTTAAATCAAGTAAAAACTGATTTAAAAAGAAACGCGCTTATAAGTCAGTTTTGTACTTTACTACTATAATGTTTTACAAATTATGAAAAGATACATATACCATTTTATATACATTAAATCTTCTTGAAGTATATAATCTATAAATTGAATAATTGATCTATTCAGCAACTTCTTCTAATGTAACTTTTCTATTTTTTGATTCTCCATTACTTTTATGAGTTTCAGAACCAGTTGCACTTTTTTCTTTACTTGTTAAAATTGGTTCAATTTCATTACTACTACCATTAGAAGGTTTAGTACTTGACATTTTTGATTTTTTTGATTTTTTCTTTTTAGGTTCTTCCCATCCATAAAAAGGTATAAAACTTTCAATAACTCCACAATCAGCAAATAAATTTGGAAATAACCAAAATGGTTTTGGAAATGCAACTAATGATATAATATATATGATTAATCGTATTATTGCAATTATGAAAAACAAACCAATTAATCCTAATGCAGCCATTGATAAATACCATACACCTCTTCTCATGAAATTTGGCCATAATGGGAATAATATAACTGTAAATATACCAGCTATAGCCAAGATTGAATATAACAAGATATAAGGATTTGGTTTTGTATATAACCAACCAAAATATGATTTTGGATCTATAACTGCTTTATCGGCTCTTTTAAAAGTTGGTTTATCACGTATTGGTTTCCAACCTTTTATAGCTTTAACTTCAGAATAATGTAATTTATTTATTGGTAAAATTAATTGATTTTGAATTAATAATACAAATATTTTTTGAACTTCTTGAGCATTTGCAATTGGAATTAATCCATTTTTGGGATTTTGTTGTTTTGATCTATAATCATCACTTAATAATGCTCTTTCAAATCTTTTATATTTGAAAAACTCAATATCTGTTTTATTATCTAATAATCCTGATCTTTGTTTCAATATTGAATTTTGAAACAAGTAATTGGCAATGTTTAAAGCCGCTGGTGATCTTTGACCACCGGTTTGAATTTGAACTTGTCCTTGACCGGGTGGAGCTGACATTGTTGTTTTAGTTTAATGGATGGTGTCTCAAGTTACACTTTTTTTTCTTAATTACGTATCAAGTTTTGTTTTCTTGATTTTTTTTTTTCAATAATTTTTCAATCATGAATTCCGACTAAATTTTAGCACGAGTAGACCTAAATTTTATACGCGAAAATAAAGATTATCAAATTAGTCTATCAATATTATGAAATTATCTATATACAAACTGGTATTCAAAGGTCAGCAAATTTTTGGAAAAACTCTTCAGCAGCCTTGACACACCAGAACTCTCCATTGAAATCAATGTACCCTAAATGACCACCAAGATCAGTTTCAACTAAACATAAATATGGATTTGTTTTACAATCAAGAATTGGTAATCTGCATCCAACCGCTGGATCATCAGTTGAGTTTATAATCAATAATGGAGTCTTGATACTCAAGATTTTATTCTGTGGTGATGCTTCTCTATAATATTCGAATGCATTTTGGAAATTGGAAGTTTTACATGTAATCAAATCATCAAATTGCCATGTTGACTTGATGGTTTTTAATTTTTTCATAACTTCTTCATTCACTAAATCTGGTCTATGAGTTGAAATTTCTCTGTAATTGTTCTTGACTATTTTGGTTAAAAAACTAGTTAATCCTGGGCCAAGTAAATATTTACCAGTATATGAACTTTCTATATGGTAAGCACTATCTATAAAATCCCAAGGACAAGAAACAGCACAAGCAGCAGTAACTAATTGTTCACCACCTTTTTCACCTTCTTCACCTAAGAAATTTGCCAATATAGCTGCACCTAAACTAAATCCAGTAATGAAGATTTTACGATTTGGCCATTTTGATTTAAAATCAGTCAATACTTCTCTAACATCATCAGTTGCAAGTGCTGTAAATAATTTTTCAGTCGTGACTTTTGTTCTACAACATCCTCTATTATTAATAACAACTATATCCCAACCGTCAGTATTTTTTTGAATAACTTGTGCAAAATCTCGAATTAATGCTTCATGAGAACCACCTCCCATACCATGTAATATAACAAGTATTGGTTTATCATTTTCAATAGATGGTTTATTTAAATTTTCAAGTTCTTCTTTTGTAAAATATCTAGTTCTTGGATGTAATTTCGGGAACCCTTCAGGTAATGTTTCTTCACCAATTTTTTTAAATTCTTCTTTCGATTCTGGTTTTTCAATTACCCAATCTAATGAACAAACACCACCATCTTTATAATTGAAAATTTCTCTACCATACCAAATCACAAATTTATCTGGACTATTTGCTGAGGTATAGTATAAAGTTTGTAATGAACCATTAAATAATAAAGGATTTAACCATAACTTTTTTGATGGATCTATTGTATTTAAAGTTGAAATTAATTGATTAAAAGTAATTGTTTCACCGGATTTTTTACTTGGTAATTCAATTGATTTTGATTCTGGTACTTGATGAATCTTTATATTGGATCTAAACCCCCAATTCAAAATCCCCATCGCTTTATGTAGTTATTATTCTCAATTTGTTCAGTGGTTGAAGATTTCACTCAAGATTTTTATAATCATTTCGGTGTTTGAGAATTAAACGCAAAAAAAAAAATGAGTTGCTAAATCCGAAATATAATGGCTTTTTCTGGGCCATTAAAAAAAATTTTGCAACCAGACAACCAGATTATTTTAAGAGTTGTATATTCAAAGATCTATCTATTTATCTATTTATCTTTCTTTTTAAAAAATCTACTACTTAATTTTGGGGATTCTGGAGTCATTTTATCTAATTTAACAAATGAATTTGATCTTGAATTTGGATTGGATCCATGTTTTAAAGAAAGTTTAAAATGACCTGTACTATTATTTAATTTTTGATTGCTCATTATTCTTATAGGTGTAGTTGAACCTGATTTAAGACTTGTACTTTCACTACCACTACCATCAGTATAGGTTGGTGCAAATCCATCTTGTATATAACTATCATCATCGTCATCATCATCCATTGCTTCATTATAAGAAGGTATATGGGAAAAATCAACACTTTTATTCCTCTTTTTCAATTTTTTATTATTCATTTCTATTGCTTTTGCGATTGGTATATCAAAATATTCACTTAAATTAGTAACTGAAGTGTTTGCTGATGCTAATGGTGTACCTGATTGTGATCTTAATTGTTCCATTGGAGTTTGTGGTAAATTCATATCAAAAATTTTATCAAATTTAGATTGTTCATATAATGGTGGTGCACTATCTTCTCTGTCTGCATTTTCTTCCTCCTCCTCTTCTTCCTCTTCTTCTTCATCTTCTTCATGTTCATCATCTGATACTGCTGGAGTTGTTGGAGCAGATTCCTTTTTGTGAAATAATAAATCTTCCTTTTTATAATCTAATTGGAAAGTACCATGATGATTATCAACATCATAATGTCTACCTATTACGTGACCAATATTAGCACTTATATAAACATAAATTGGTAAATTTGCTCTCAATTCACTAGTATGACCTTCTTTATTCTTTAATTGTATGGCAACTCTTAATCTATGTTTTACAACAATCATACTATTTTTAGTTTCACAACTTTGAGTTATTTGTTTTAATTGATCAGGTACTTTAAAATGAGTCTTAATAACCCATCTATCATATTCTATATCTGAATTTGCTGGAATATTTAATTGTTGTTTACCACATAATCTTTCAAATTCTGGTGATCTTTGATTTTCAACTTGTATATGATAATGTTCTACTATACATGCATTTATAGCTCTTAGGCTTAAACCTTTCGCTATAGGTACTATTGTTATATGAATTGGTACATTTGATCCAATTGCAACTCCCTTTTTTGGCATACTTACACAATATTGTAATTTACCAACCCAGGTATTGTTCACATCTATTGAATCACATAAATTCATATTTTGTGGATGTAAAGTTCTAACAATTCTAATATGTTTACTTAATTGATGTGATCTTTCAAATCTTCCTCTTTCTATTGAACATTGTAATCTATATAATAAAGTACCGATTGGTAAACCTTCAACAGTTTCTGAAACGCTAGCTGGTAAATATACTTTGAATGGTAAACTATAATTTCCTTTTGGTAATAAAAATGAATGCATATGAGAATCTTGTAAATCTTTGAAAGGAGTCCCATCAATACCTGATTTTGGAATTTGAATAATTTTTGAAGGAGTCTTCGTAGTACCATTTATATTAAATTGAGGAGTTGAACTGGTTCTGTGGTATTTTGGTCTCGGAGTTGAGGTCCCAGAAGTATTTGCAGAAGAATCAGTAACTCCCGAACTTGACCCTTTTTTCAATTTACACATAGGTATAGTACCATCTCCGTAATTCCCAAATATTACTTTACCTTCATTATCACATAATAAATTATCCCAATCAATTTTCAAAACACATAATCTATCCAAGAATTGTTCATGAGTTTCCTTCAGCATATATTCATAATAAAATTCTCCAACTAAACTTAATTTTATTTTCTTAACGTGAATATCTTCTTTTGTTGATATTTTTACACTTCCTTCTAGTAATACATGTTCTACTTCAAATTCATTACCTTTTATTAATAATAAGTTTTTATGATGTGATTTTAATTTTATATCAAATAATGCAAGATTTAGGTGCTGATTGAACATAATATTCTTATTGAAGATCTATTATTTATTCTGCTTTCAATCTTGATGTTTCTTCTTCAGCTTAATGGTGTAAAACTATATCATGAAATGGTTGATAGATGTTTAAATATAAAACTATATCGTTTTAAAGTTTTAAGAATCTTTCTTTAAAAGGCTTTAACTAAAAGTTTGGATGCATCGAATGTTAAATTTTTAATGTAATTTAAAACACAATAATAAGGTAAAATTAAAATTGCTGTAGTAAAATTTTTGATTTGATGATTAACTAAAACAAAAAAACAGACCAAACCCGGATAACACAGACGTGATTGAAAGGCAGTTTTATAAAAGCTTGAAATTTCACTATTGTTTCTTATCAATTTATTTTTTGACAATATTATTTTCTTAATTAAATTTTAAGATCTTAAAAATATGTCAAATTTAGTTTTGTGTTTCAAATTACATTTTTAGTTCTTGAAAAGACCAAAAAAACTTTAGAGAAAATTTTACAAGTAGTTACAAACAGAATTAATAAACCAATCTATATATAAACTATTTATTAATTAACCTATAAATAAATTAAAATGCCTAAATGAAATGAAAAGTCAAAAAAGAAAAAAAAATAGTAATAATGCAATATTAAAAATTGTAAGAATTCCTTATAATTCAGTATTTTCCAAGAAGAAATAATTACCTGATAATTTTTGTTCTTTATCCATTTGTGAATCTAATTTATTAATTCTTGGTCTATAAGAATTTGGATCTCTTCTGAACGTAACATTTAAATTCTTTAAAAATCTATTACAACCAGTTAATAAAGATTCTGGAGATTTTGCAACTGCATGTCTTGATGGTTTACCTTCGAAAACAATAACTCTATCAGCTAAATAAGTTGCCATGATAAAATCATGCTCAACTATAAAGGCAGTCTTTTTAGCATGTAAAATGAACCTTCTTATGACTTTAGAACAAATAATACGTTGTTCTGAATCTAAGTATGCTGATGGTTCATCAATTAAATATAAATCTGCTTGAATACCTAATGCTAATACAATAGCAACTCTTTGTAATTCACCACCTGATAATGTTTGAACTTCTTGATCAACTATATCTTCGATTTTTAATGGTTTAACAACATCAGATTGAAATTGTGGATGTAAAAATGATGCTCTTATTTTTTTGAAAAATAATTGTCTTACAGTACCTGTGAATTTTGGAGCTATTTTTTGTGGTTTCATCGAAACATTTAATTTTGGAATTTCTTTATTGTTATCAGCTGAAATTGCACCTGCTAATAATTTACAAAATGTTGTTTTACCAGTACCATTCTCACCCATCATAACTAAAATTTCAGAATTTGTAAAATCACCAGCTTCAACATCTAATTTGAAATCACCTTGAGTTTTTGACATAGTTGGATAAGCTAATGCATTTGATTTATCTAATATTAAATCATCTGCTGCATCTGCTAATCTAAATTGTAAAGATTCTGTTCTAAATCTCATATTTTCTGTTGGTATGTGACCATCCAAGAAAATATTAATACCTTCTCTTACTGATGATGGTAATGTAACAACACCATAAACTGATGGTGCACCATATAATATACAAACAAAATCTGATAAATAATCCAATACTGATAAATCATGTTCAACACAAATAATATATGTAGTAGCTGATAATAAAGATCTTATAATTTCAGCAGCTCTTAATCTTTGTTTAACATCTAAATATGAAGATGGTTCATCAAACATATAAACATTTGCATCTTGAACACAGGTCATACCTAAAGCAAATCTTTGTAATTCACCACCTGATAAATTTTCAACTTCTCTTTTTAAAACATGTTGTAACTCCAAAACTCTTAATACATAATCAAAAGAATCATCTCTTTCATTTTTACTTTTTAAAATCGCTCCAACTTCTTTAACTTTTGATTTTGCTAAAGCTCTTGGAATATTATCAACATATTGTGGTTTAATAATACATTTAATATCATCTTCCAATACTTTTGTAAAATAATTTTGTAATTCTGAACCTCTAAAATGTCTTAAAATTTCCTCCCAATCTGGTGGATCATCATATCTACCTAAATTTGGTTTTTGTTTACCAGCTAAAATTTTTAATGCAGTTGATTTTCCAATACCATTTGTACCAACTAAACCTAAAACTTGACCAGGTCTTGGAGTAGGTAATCTATGTAATTTAAATGAATTTGCTGAATATCTATGAGTTGTTTCACCTTCTAAATTTGTTGGTAAATTAATAATTGTAATTGCATCAAATGGACATTTTTTAACACATATACCACAACCAATACATAAATTTTCAGATATAAATGCAATTTTTGAAGCAGGAGTAACTTCTATACATAATTTACCAGTTTTAACAACAGGACAACTTTTTCTACATTCTTGTTTACATTTTTTTGGTTTACATCTATCAGTTGAAACAATAGCAATTCTTTCATTTTTTGAACTAGTTTCTCCTTTTTGATTTTGAGGTCCTTTTCGCTTTGAACTCATTAAGTTTGATATATTCTGTTTAATTGATTGATGGGGAAGGTGTTATGTAAAAATAAATTGAATTTTAATTGAATTGATTATTGAAAAAAAAAAAAAATTTGGTTGTAAATTTCGTTGCAATTAAAACTTATTGTAATGTAAGTATAAGTATAATAATAATAGTAATTTATATTTTATTATTGTATCTGAGATGCTAAAATTTTTTTTTATTAATTTTTCAATTTTTAATTTTTTTTCTCGAGTGGTCGTGTTAATTTTACCAAATAATTAATGCCTTACTACCAATTGATAATTAATTTTTTTATTGTAAGCTTAGTAAATCAATTATTGTAATTGGTCAATAAGGAATAATATATTTGAAGTTTAAGTTCATTAATAATTTGAATGTTTCAAATTGTTTTCAAAAGTAAGCTAAATAATTTTTTGATACTTAAGTTTAGAACTTTTGAGTGACCAGTAAGTAACAATTATTGTAAAATTTAAAAATTATTTAAATTTTGCATGAAATCAACAGATAATGTTAAACCAAATCTGTGAAAAAAATAGACGAGAGAAGTAATCTAAAATTTACATTTTCTTAGTCAATCAGTTTCAAATTACATCTAATTAGTTTGACAAGAGAAACGTGAACACACTAATTTGCTTCACAAATATTAGTTTATTATCGTAGTTCTTGTGAACAAATTCTTTGTACAATAAGGTATTGTCATTATCGATAGTTTTCATTAATAATAAATACAATAAATAAAATGATATGGTGGTAGTGTAATTATATTCAAAATTATTAATTTATTTATTACCCTTAAACTAATTTTTTAAAATTAATTTCTTATAAATAAAAATAAATTTCTCGACAAAACTTTTTTTTTTTTTTATAAAAATTTGTTTCACTTTCTTGTTTACATATATTAATAATTAATTGTTATTATTATCAGTGATAACCTTATAAGATGGATCAATCAATCATTTATAAATGATCCTAATACTAGTAATTAAGTTAAATATCATGCCGGTAATATAATTGATGGTAATAGCCTAAAGAGTTTGGTGATACTTCATTGGTGTTTGTTTTGGTTTCTCACTACATACAAATTGGATAAATGTTGTTGATGTTTCATGTAAAATTGTTGATTTTGTTAAGGTTGAAATTTATTAATTTTAAACTTTGATTCAGTTTACATTTTTATATTGATTAACATTGTATCTAATTTGGTGAGTATAAAGATAGGTTTTATTATTCAAATCATTTTTGTTTTATGACTTCAAATTTGATCGGTGATTTAAAAAAAAATGGCTGCAAAAAATTATTTAAATTCAGAAATTGAAGGATTGGTTTGACGATGGTTTGCATAATCTTTACAAAGATTAGAATTCAATTATCGATTTTATTCTTTCGTTTTGTTTGTCTTAGAGAAGATGTAACTTAAGGTTTAGGTGCTGTTGGTGTCGTTCTATTGAATGAAATGTTGCAAAATCTAGTCATCTTTTACGATAAGGAAGTGCAATGTTTTTATAAGGATAAGTGATTGTTTAAAACTTTTGTTGCAAATAATAGTTAAATATTGAATAATGAATATTGATGAGATGACAATTTTTAAATCTTGTAGACGAACTATTGGAGTACTTCCTTGAAAATTTTCACACTTTAAACAATTCATGATATTCTCTATATAATCAATAACATGTTTTTTCTGTAAATTTAGGGAATTTGTTGTCGTTGTCCACACATTAAATTTTTTTGTTTTTTTTTAATAAAAATCATACTATACAACAAAAGACAACCTAATACAGCCAACAACTACAAATCAATAAGTCTAGTATTTGAAAGTAGGATTGTCATATTAATTACAAACGTATCTTCATTCAAATCACACATTCATTATATATAGCAAGGTCAATAAATCCGTTGTTTTTCAGAAATTATTTACGTATCATACCAGTTTACAAAAAACAAGCCATACTCGGAGATCAAAGTCTAAATTATCAGAAAGTAATAGGGCATCCGAATCCTTACTTATTTATTAGCTGTCACTGAATATAGAACCTTACATAATGAAGCCATTGGTGCCTGAAGCTTCCTTAAATCCAGAATTATATGGGTTAAGAAGATCACATAGAGAAAGAAGAGGTCCTACGGTGATAGAATCAGACTCAGATTCTGATGATATACAGCCAACACGAAGAAAGAAGAAAACAAACACTGATTATGAAGACGACATGGATATAGATATAGATGACGACGAGGAAGAAGAAGAATTTGACGAGGATGATGATGAATTTGTTGACAGTAATAGAACTACGAGCAAGAAATCAATAAAACCAAAAAAGAAACTTTCCAAGAAGAAAAACCACAAATCTGTTAGTCCTGAAATACCCATCCAAGAATTAAGATTTTCAACTAGAAACAATAAACAAATTAATTATACTGTTGATGATGGAAATGATGATGATTTATTAGAATCAGAAATCGAAGAAGAAGATGAAGACGAGAATGGAAATTATTATTATTATCAACAAGCTATAGAACCTGAAAATGAACGAGGGATTGATTTGGTAATGGATCATAAACTAAACCCGGAGAACGCAGAGATAACGAATGAACCAAAATTGGATTATCTTTTCAAAATCAAATGGACTGACGCTTCTCATTTACATAACACATGGGAAAATTTCGCAGACTTGAAGGACTATAAAGGTTTTAGAAAAGTTGACAACTACATCAAGCAATTCATAATATTTGATAATGAGGTTAGAAATGACCCCTTAACAACCAAAGAAGATATAGAAGCAATGGATATTGAAAGAGAAAGAAAAAGAGACGAACAAGAAGAATATATACAAGTAGAAAGAATTGTTGACAGTCAAAGAGTTGAAAAAGATGACGGGGAAACTCAATTGGAATATTTTGTAAAATGGAGAAGACTTTACTACGATGAATGTTCATGGGAAGATGCTGAAGAAATTGCAAGAATAGCACCAGAACAAGTAACCAAATTTCAACAAAGATTAAACTCCAAGATCCTACCTCATTTATCGGCAAATTATCCAAATTCACAAAGACCACGATTTGAAAAATTAGTTAAACAACCAATATTTATCAAAAATGGTGAATTAAGAGATTTCCAATTAACTGGTTTAAATTGGATGGCTTTCCTTTGGTCAAGAAATGAAAATGGTATATTAGCAGATGAAATGGGTTTAGGTAAAACAGTTCAAACCATTGCATTTTTGTCGTGGTTAATATATGCTAGAAGACAAAATGGTCCCCATATTGTTGTTGTTCCATTATCTACTATACCCGCTTGGCAAGAAACTTTTGAAAAATGGTCACCAGATATTAATTGTGTCTACTACTTAGGAAATAGTGAAGCAAGAAAAACTATTAGAGATTATGAATTTTATAGTGCTAATGGAAAACCAAAATTTAATGTACTTTTAACTACTTATGAATATATTTTAAAAGACAGAAATGAATTGGGTTCTTTCAAATGGCAGTTCTTAGCAGTTGATGAAGCACATAGATTAAAAAATGCAGAATCCTCACTTTATGAATCATTGAAAAGTTTCAAGGTTGGTAACAGATTATTAATTACCGGTACTCCATTGCAAAACAACATCAAAGAGTTAGCTGCGTTATGTAATTTTTTGATGCCAGGTAAATTCAATATTGAACAAGAAATTGATTTTGAAACACCAGATGAAGAACAAGAATTATATATCAAAGATTTACAAAAAAATATTAAACCATTTATTTTGCGACGTTTGAAAAAAGATGTTGAAACTTCATTACCATCTAAAACTGAAAGAATATTACGTGTTGAATTATCAGATATTCAAACTGATTATTATAAAAACATTATAACTAAAAATTACGCAGCTTTAAATGCTGGTAATAAAGGGTCTCAAATCTCATTATTAAATGTCATGAGTGAATTGAAGAAGGCATCTAATCATCCTTACCTATTTGATGGTGCAGAAGATAGAGTTTTAACAAGAGCTGGTTCTTCAAATAGAGAAAATATTTTGAAAGGCATGGTTATGTCCTCAGGTAAAATGGTATTACTTGAACAATTATTGACTAGATTAAAGAAAGAAGGTCATAGAGTATTAATTTTTTCTCAAATGGTCAGAATGTTGGATATTCTAGGAGATTATATGTCTATAAAGGGATATCAATTCCAAAGATTAGATGGTGGTATTCCATCATCTCAAAGAAGAATTTCAATTGATCATTTTAATGCGCCAGATTCTAAAGATTTTGCATTTTTATTATCCACAAGAGCTGGTGGGTTAGGAATAAATTTAATGACAGCTGATACAGTAATTATATTTGATTCTGATTGGAATCCTCAAGCCGATTTACAAGCAATGGCTCGTGCTCATCGAATTGGACAAAAGAATCATGTTCTGGTTTATAGATTTGTTAGTAAAGATACTGTCGAGGAACAAATATTGGAAAGAGCTAGAAAGAAAATGATTTTAGAATATGCTATTATTTCACTTGGTATAACTGATCCAAATGCTAAAAAGAATAGTAAAACAGAACCATCAAATAATGAGTTATCCCAAATTTTAAAATTCGGTGCTGGTACAATGTTCAAAGATAATGACAATCAACTGAAATTAGAAAATTTGAACTTAGATGAAGTTTTAAATCATGCTGAAGATCATGTTACAACACCAGAATTAGGAGAATCAAATTTAGGTTCAGAAGAATTTTTAAAACAATTCGAAGTTACTGATTATAAAGCAGATATTGAATGGGATGATATTATACCACAAGAAGAATTAACCAAGTTGAAAGATGAGGAAAAGAAGAGAGCAGATGAACAATATTTACAAGAACAAATTGCAATGTATTCAAAAAGAAGAGCTGCCGTCAAAAAATATGAAAATGGTTCAGTTGTTCCGAGCGACGTTGAAGATAGTAGTGAAGAACAATCATCATCAAAACCACCAAAAAGAAGAGGTGCAATTGATCAACAATTATCTGAAAAAGAAATTAGAGGAATTTATAGATCTATATTAAGATGGGGTGATTTAGCTGGTAAATGGGAACAATTAGTTGAAGAAGGTACAATCTCAAATAAAAACCCCGTTTATATAAAACATGCTTATAATGAAATAGTTAGTACTTCAAGAAAATTGGTTAAAGAAGAAGAAATTAGAAGAGCAGAAGTATTAGCAGAATTAGAAAGAAAAGCAAAAGAACCAAAAGAAGAAGATTCAAAACAAACAGCTTTATGGATTGCTAAAAAGAAAGAGAAAAAAGCAGTTTTATTTGAATATCAAGGTGTTAAAAATATTAATGCTGAACTAGTACTTAATAGACCAGTTGATATGAAAGCATTAGAAGAGATTTTACCAGAAAATGATCCATTAAATATAAAATTACCAAAACAACCAAAAGCAGTACAAGCATGGAGTTGCGATTGGTCACCAAAAGATGATGCAATGTTGTTAGTTGGTGTTTATAAATTTGGATATGGTTCATGGGTTCAAATTAGAGATGATCCTTTATTAGGTTTACAAAATAAATTATACTTGGAAAGTGCACCTAATTCAAAAGATTCAAAAAATAAAGAACAAAACGATGATAAAAAAGAGGGTAAAGAAAATACTAAAAAAGTCCCAGGTTCTGTACACTTAGGTAGAAGAGTTGATTACTTATTTACTTTGTTAAGAGATGATGAAGAAGGAACTACTAATGATACTTCAAATACTACAACAAAGAAAAGAGTTAAAAAACCAGTTGATCCAGCTAACAAAAAACGATCATTGACTAAATCAGAAACTCCAGAATCAACCACTAGAAATGTAAAAGCTAAAAAGACTTCATCTCATGATAATAAAAAAGCAACACCTTCACACAACAAAAAAGCATCATCATCATCATCACATTTGAAACATGAAGTTAGTGCAACTCCACCTATCAAAACAAGTAAAGAACCAGAAAAACATACCAAAAAGGAATCCAGCTCCGATAATTACCATCATCATCATAATAATAACATTACTACGAATAATAATAATTTACACAACAACAAAGATGATAATGATTATGAATATGATAGTATGGATGAATCAAAATGTAAATCAGCATTAGATCCAGTATATAAATCATTAAAAAATTTACAAAAGGGATCTAAAGGATTAGATAAACATGAATGGGCTAAAATTTTAAAAAAGGAATTAATTACAATCGGTGATGAAATTGAAAAATCAACAAATAAAATTCAAGATGAAGTTAAATCTCAAAAATTTCAAAAACATCTTTGGTCATTTGCAAGATCTTATTGGCCAAGTAAAGTACCAAGTAATAAAATTAGTGAGATGTATAAAAGAGTTAAAAAATCTTGATTTTGGTATGTTTTTGATGATTTTTTATGTACAAATTTTTTAATAGAAAAAGATCTTTAATAAGTTATGAAGTATATATGTATATTAATATAATAATGTTTTTAATATCGACTTACAATTACTGATATAATTAAAATATATTTATTTGAGGTCCTTACAATTTGATTCAAGATTCTTAGTAGTTTTAAGAATTTTTCAAACAGCAATTGGTAGTTTCTTCTGTCTGAAAAATATAAGTAGTGCATAATATCACAAAATCATTTTTTTTAAACGATTTCAATTTGTGCCACTTTGTTTTTATTTATAGACAGATTTTTATATACAGGAACTACTATAAGTTATTTCTTGATCTAAGTGGCAAAGACTTTAATTTTTCATTTACCAAATCTACAAATCCTTGTATACTATTATATCCTTTTTCTATATGTAATCAATAGTCATGAAGTACATAATTGTACTCTTATTTGAAGTTTTATATAAGATCTTATGTATATTGACACAATAAAAGAAAAAATTTGAAAAAAAAAAATTTCATTTCTGTGAAAAAAAAAAAACATCTCTCTCCTTTGTTTAAAGAAAAAAAAAATTACAACTTGAATATATTATTTGTTTTCCAAGTGCCTAAATCATTCAAACACTCCCACAAACTACAAATTAGGACTATACCTTTTAGAATACATTTATAAGTTTTATAAAACTTTTTGTTATTTTAATTTTTTATATCCTTTTTCATACTTCATTTTTTAAAAAAAACCTAGTATTATAAAATATAATTTTTTCAATTGTAGATTAATTTGATATTTTTTCAAAATTATTACAACCATTTGAATAAATAATTTATTTTATAAAACATAAAAAAATCCAAAAAAATTAGAAAATATTATAAAAAAACTTAAAAATTATAAATTATGTCAGCTGCTGAAACTAATCAACTTCAAGAATCTTTGGAAAAGTTGAATATTGATTCACAAAATGCTCCAGTTGAAACATCTACTGAATCTCAAGTTGAACCATCAACTGAAGAACAAGGGGAATCAACTGGTGTTGCTGAAAACTCTGCTTCATTATATGTTGGTGAATTAAATCCATCTGTTAATGAAGCTACTCTTTTTGAAATTTTTTCACCAATTGGTCAAGTTTCTTCAATTAGAGTTTGTCGTGATGCTGTTACAAAAAAATCATTAGGTTATGCTTATGTTAATTATCATAAATTAGAAGATGGAGAAAAAGCTATTGATGAATTAAATTATTCATTAATTGAAGGTAGACCATGTAGAATTATGTGGTCTCAAAGAGATCCATCAACTAGAAGATCAGGTGATGGTAATATTTATATTAAAAATTTACATCCAGCTATTGATAATAAAGATTTACATGATACTTTTTCAGCTTTTGGTAGAATTTTATCATGTAAAGTTGCAACTGATGATATGGGACAATCAAAATGTTTTGGTTTCGTTCAATTTGAAACTGGTGAAGCTGCTGAAGATGCCATTAAAAATGTTAATGGTATGTTATTAAATGATCGTGAAGTTTATGTTGGTAAACATGTTTCTAAAAAGGATCGTGAATCAAAATTTGAAGAAATGAAAGCAAATTTTACAAATATTTATGCTAAAAATATTGATTTAGATTTTTCAGAAAAGGAATTTGAAGATTTATTTACTCCATTTGGTAAAATTACTTCAATTTATTTAGAAAAAGATCAAGAAGGTAAATCAAAAGGTTTTGGTTTTGTTAATTATGAAAATCATGAATCAGCTTTACAAGCAGTTGAAGAATTAAACGATAAAGAAATTAATGGTCAAAAAATTTATGTTGGTAGAGCTCAAAAAAAGAGAGAAAGAACTGAAGAATTGAAAAAACAATATGAAGCAACTAGATTAGAAAAATTATCAAAATATCAAGGTGTTAATTTATTTGTTAAAAATTTAGATGATCAAATTGATTCAGAAAAATTAGAAGAAGAATTTAAACCATTTGGTCAAATTACTTCTGCTAAAGTTATGATTGATGAATCAGGTAAATCAAAAGGTTTTGGTTTTGTTTGTTTTAATACTCCAGAAGAAGCCACTAAAGCTATTACTGAAATGAATCAAAGAATGGTTAATGGTAAACCATTATATGTTGCTTTAGCTCAACGTAAAGATGTTAGACGTTCACAATTAGAACAACAAATTCAAGCAAGAAACCAAATGAGAATGCAAAATGCTGCTGCTGCTGGTGGATTACCAGGTCAATTTATGCCACCAATGTTTTATGGTCAACAAGGATTTTTCCCACCAAATCAAAGAGGTAATGCTCCATTCCCAGGTCCAAACCCTCAAATGATGATGAGAGGAAGAGGACAACCATTCCCAGATCAATGGCCAAGACCAGGACCAAATGGTCAACCAGTTCCTGTTTATGGAATTCCACCACAATTCCAACAAGATTTTAACGGTCAAAATTTGAGACCTCAACAACAACAACAACAACCTCAACAACCTCAACAACAACAACAACAAAGAAACTATTTCCCAAACCGTCAACAAGGAGGTAAAGTTCCATCAAAAGATTTAGCTGCTATTATTTCAAGTGTTCCACCAGAACAACAAAAAAGAATTTTAGGTGAAGAATTATATCCAAGAATTGTTTCAACTGGTAAAGCTCAAGAACCAGAAGCTGCTGGAAAAATTACTGGTATGATGTTAGGTTTAGAAAATCAAGAAATTTTAGATTTATTAGATAATGATGAATTATTTAATAATCATTTCGAAGATGCTTTAACTGCTTTTGAAGAATATAAAGCTGGTCAAGGTAATAATGAAGAATCAGCTTAATTAATACTACTTAATTAGTTGATTCTTTTTTTTTTTAATTTGTATAATATAACTTATAGGTTTTAATTAAAATGAAAGTGATTTAAAAGAAATGTAAAGATTTGTAAAATTTTGAAATTGGACTTTAACGTGGAAATAGCGATAAATACTTGATTTTGTATGAATAATACAGAGATACAAAAGAAATATTAATCTAAATGATAATATAATAATAGTAATTCAATGAGTATTATTACTGATATTTAATTCTTATGATTGACTCATTGAAGTTATCAACTTGTCGTAATAATTAATTATGATATATGTTCTTATTCTTATTTTCTTCTATTATTATTATTTCAATTTAGACATCTTCATTCTTATATCAAATTAATCGAGGATCACATTTTATTTTTTCCTAGATTTTTTACTTTAATCTAAGATTCATATTTCTATATAATTACTTTTTCTTCCAATTTTTACTTTATAAAATATTTTATGACATTCAACTCTATATATTTCGTTACTTCCACTACTAATTGTATGTTGATAATCTTTGAATACAATTAATCTTTTTTGAATATTGATTTTAAGTGATTTATTAATTTTTATGTTGGATTTTGTTTGAAAAATAATCTAGATTGGTAGCTATTAAATCACACCATATTAAAAAAAAATATTCAAAGTTTGATCAACGCCAACATGAGAGATGACACTTTTAGAGCTTCAACTTTTTAAATTATTTAATTTAGCGTAATCAACCAGTTTATTGAACTTATCATTGGGTATCATATTACATGATTAATTACGATGTTTAATTGATCATAGATGGTATTTGAAATTTAGAAAATAGTCTTAATGAAATTATGATAAAAAGATGTTTAAAAGGACAAAAGAATCTACTTTTTTATCAGCCTTAGAATCATTTGTTTTATTAAGAGTTTTTTCATTGATGAGTTCAAGACGTAACGCATTATTTTGAGAAGAGGTGATCGACAATGGTAGGACTATAAATCATTGTTCTTCTTCTAAATTCATTTTTGAAATTATTTTCCTATGACTTCCCATAATGTCAAATTCGCATTAGCATTACCAACTTCGTACAAGGGGCTACTTACAGTGCTAGAGATTTGAGTATGTGCTTTCATTTTTTTTTTTGGCATATACTTTGGGTACATCCATATCTGATTGACTATTTTGGGGGATATCAATTATATGTAATTAACAAATCATGTTTTGTTGGTTATAGATGGTATTTTCGTTTTATTTAAAATTTAGTCAGTACAGAAAATTTAAAGAACTCATTTTACAAGCAACTCCTAATGCAAATCATCAGGGTTAGCTTTATCCTTGAGTTGCGTTTCATATATATTGTTTCATTTAAGATTCCATTAAGGAAAGCTGTAGTGACGTCCATTTGGTATATAATTTAGTAATGTATTATTGTATTATTTATGTAACTCGATCAATACACTGTAGTGTTTATCTCTAATGTTTAGCTACAATTCAAGCTCATATCAATTGAATTGTATTTACTACTGTTAAAATGGTAAGATTTGATATGATAATTACTTGTTTCACACTGTAATTTTGTGTAACGTTTTAATGCTTTATATCCTCGACAACCGCAATCTTAAAAATTAAATTTGATTTTTTTAAACAAATTAAAATTTAAATAGATTATTTATTTGAAAATTTCAATATTTTATAACTATTGAATGATTTTATATTAATTATTTATTTATATATTTGGATTCATAAACTTCGTCAATTATTCATTTCTTAATAATTACAATAATTATTTAATCACTCAATTACATTATTTGATATTCAATCTTATCACTTAATTTACATATTGCTAGGTCAAATAAGGTCAATTACAAAATAATTTTCCTACAACAATTATGCCGGAGTTGGAGCAATTAAAAGTTACACCGGCCAATGGTCATACGGTCTCACCAAAAGATTTTGAAAATAACGATAAAGTTAAATTATCAGGTAGAATATTAAATGTTATGACAACTTTACCAACTCAAATTGTTAGTAATTATGATTCAAAAAATAAACATTATTATTGGGAAGTTGATCCATTTCGTGGGAATTCTGCATTATTTTCATCACAAAGTTTTTTACAACAACATTCAGATTGGGAAACTCATTTAATTGCATGGACTGGTGAATTAAGAAATAAATCTAAAAATACTGTGAATTTAACTTCAGAAACATTAGAAGATGATCCACTTTATTTAGATGAAGATGATAAATCAGAAATAGAGAAAAAATTACAAAAGGCAATTGGTACAAAAAACATTCACCCGGTTTGGTTATTAAGACGTGATCAAGAAAGATGGAGAAAATACGCTGAAAAAATTTTATGGCCTGTTTTCCATTATTTTCAAGGTACTCCATCTGATGGTAAAGAGGAAATTGATGCATGGCATGATTATGTTAAATTCAATGAAGCTTATTTAAATAAAATTAAACAAATTTATAAACCAGGTGATGTTATTTGGATTCATGATTATTATTTATTATTATTACCTCAATTATTAAGAATGGAATTACCAGATGCTTATATTGGACATTTTTTACATATACCATTTCCATCTTCTGAATATTTCAAATGTCTTTCTAAAAGAAGTCAATTATTAGATGGTTTATTAGGTGCTGATAAAATTGGCTTCCAATCAGACTCATTTCAACGTCATTTTATTTCATGTTGTGCAAGAATAATGGGATGTGAAGTTACTAAAAATAAGGTTTTCGCTTATGGTACAACAATATCTGCTGAAACTTTGCCAATTGGTATAGATGCTTTAAAAATTGAACAAGATGCCTTCTCAAAGACTAATGGAATTGATGAAAAAGTCGCAGCTATAAAGAATTTATATAAAGGTAAAAAAATCATAGTCGGAAGAGATAGATTGGATAAAGTCAGAGGAGTTGTTCAAAAATTACAAGCTTATCAAACGTTTTTAGAAATGTACCCAGAATGGAGAGAAAAAGTGGTATTGATACAAGTTTCAACCCCAGGATATAGTCATTCATCAAATATCGAACAAAGAGCCACTGAATTGATAAACCTGATTAATTCAAAATTTGGTACTTTAAATCATACACCAGTTGTACATTATCAGATGATGATTCCGAAAGAAGAATATTTAGCGTTATTAAGAGTTGCTGATTTATGTTTAATTACATCAGTTAGAGATGGTATGAATACTACAGCTTTTGAATTTGTAATTTGTCAAAAAGATAATAATTCTCCATTAATTTTATCTGAATTCACAGGTACTGCAACAGTTTTAAATCAAGCTATATTGGTTAATCCTTGGGATTCAGTGGGTATTGCCAAAACAATCAATGATGCATTAAGTTTCTCAAACGATGAAAAGAAATTCTTGGAACAAAATTTATATGAAAAAGTAAGATCTAATACAATACAGAATTGGACATCGACTTTTGTCCGTGATATAATTGAACATACAGCAATAACTCATTCTAATCATTATACCCCAGCATTGAACAGACCTTTGTTATACAAAAATTATCAAGCGTCAAGCAGAAGATTGTTTTTGTTTGATTATGATGGTACATTAACCCCAATTGTTAAAGATCCGGCAGCAGCTATACCGTCTAGTAAATTAAATAAAACATTGGATCTTTTAGCAAAAGATCCTAAAAATCAAATATGGATTATATCTGGTAGAGATCAAGCATTTTTGGAAAAATGGATGGGACCAAAACATGTAGGATTATCAGCTGAACATGGATGTTTCATGAGAGATTTAGGATCTACTGAGTGGTTTAATTTAGCAGAGGCTTATGATATGTCATGGCAATCTAAAGTTGAAGATGTTTTTAAAAAATATACTGAAAAAACACCAGGTTCTAATATAGAGAAAAAGAAAGTTGCATTGACATGGCATTATCGTGGTGCTGATCCAGAATTAGGAACATATCAAGCTGAAGAATGTTTTAAAGAATTGGAAAGTACTATTGCAACTGAATATGATGTTGAAGTTATGACTGGTAAAGCTAATATAGAGGTCAGACCAAAATTTGTAAATAAAGGTGAAATAGTTAAAAGATTAGTATTACATCCACATGGTCAAAAACAAGCAATTGAAGAAATAATACATCATGATTTTAAATGTGATACATTACCTGATTTTGTAATGTGCGTTGGAGATGATTTAACTGATGAAGATATGTTTAAATCACTTTTAAAAATTGAAAATCAATGGAAATTAGATAATAAACCTAAAAATGAATTTGGATCATATGGAATATATCCAGTTGCTGTTGGACCAGCTTCTAAAAAAACTGTTGCAAGTTCTCATTTAACAGAACCATCACAAGTTGTTGAAACTTTAGGATTATTAGCCGGTACAGTATCACTTTTTGAAAGTGCAGGATCTGTCGAATTGGATGATCGTGGTCATGTTGCAAATAGTGAAAGCTCAACAAGATCAAAAGATGCGATTTTACAAGCTTCATTGAGAAGAAAGAAAAGCTCAGAGTTGGCTGCAAAAACTTGATAAAAAAGAAACAAATTATTATATATTACAGTTATAGACGTTTATAAAAATTCCATAGTTGGTGATGATTCTTTTATTTTTTATACATTTAATAGATATAAGTGTTTTTTTTTTCTCAAAAATTAAATCTAGTAGATGGTACTTAATTGTTCTGATTTGAAGATCCACCTCTTAACTATATTTGTAGCACAAAATTGAGTATTGTTTGGATCAAATATTTACAAACAATTTAAATCAAATTAAGCTTTATCAATAACGAAAACAACAACAACAAATGCCCAAAAAGGATGCTTTTGAAATATATCAAGACCGCAAGGTTTCTAATATAGAACGAATGAAAAAATCAAATAAGTTGGTAACTAACAATAAAAATAGACAACCATTGAAATCAATAAATGTAAACAAACAAGTATCACAACAAATAAAATCAAAACAACAAATACCAACTACACAATTAAATACAAAACAGCTACTACATAACATTCAAAAGGATGAGCTGAAGAAGACAGATAAAGAATCTAAATTAATTGAAATAAATCCAAAGGAGTTAACGTTTAAAAGTTTGGAAAATAATAGAGGATTTCTACCTAGATTCAATTCAATTGATGAAAAATTAAACTGTACAATAATAAAAACTCCAGAAGTAAGCCATTTCCAAGATTTGCTAAAACAAGTAGTCTCGTGGTTTAAACTAAACCGATATCAGTATAACATTAAAGAGGAGATGATAAATACTAGCGAAGAAAAATTATCCAGACCATCAGGAGTCAACGCAGGCAATGAAGTAGATATTGATTCAGCTGATCTTATCCATTCCTTATTGAGTAGCTCAAACAACAATTTTACGGATAAAATTAATTTCAGTAATATTTACAAAATCATAAATATTCAAGATTTAAGTGATATGTTAACAATAGCCACTGTGACAATGGACAATGATGAAGTTCTTGAAAAACGAATTGGTTTGATCAAAATATACGACATCAAATTAATAGTCGGTCAAAGGATATGCTTAGATCAAATTAATGAAAAAGATGCTATTACTGGAAACTTTACTACAATGCAACTACTGAATGGTGAAAAGATCAATGTATATATAAAATGGAAGGTTTTAGATAAATAATGTTGTCTATAGTTTAAAGATCTCGGTGTATAGCTAGTTAATGATTAATGAATAATGATCTAAAAAATATTTGTATAAATTTGGTTGCAAAATTATATTAAAAATACTTTATCGTTTTTATTTAACATTTTCTTTCTTTCTTTAAAGAAGCAGATGTTAGCCATAAGTGCTAAAAAAGTTATCAAAAATAGTGAAACCATATTTTTAAAGAATTGAATTATCAAAAACTTTCTTGTCATTTACTTTGAATTTCATCAATTATATACTTTATCATACTTTTTAATTTGTATTACTAATATCATGAAGCATATTTAATATTCAATGTATGTAAATAATTTTGAAAATTTTACACTACTCATATTATAAAATTAAAGATTTAAAATGAAAAGTAAAAATTGATAATTAATAATCATTCTAATATCATCGTCTTTCGAACAAACCATTTACCATATATACTTACTACCATCAATCAATCAAGTATAGACTGATATATAATCATATTCATATATATTAATAAAAATTTATATTATACTATTTATTGTACCGTTAATTCGAGTTCACGATAAATAACTTTTTTGTTAAATTAAATATATATATATATATATAATTTATCGTCACAAGCAAATTATATATGTCAAATATAGCAACTGCTTCAACCAAAGACGTTCAAGAATATATTGGTCCAAATTTAAATGTCACTCTAACATGTCCTGAATGTAAAATTTTTCCACCTGATTTAATTGAAAGATTTAGTGAAGGAGATATTGTATGTGGTAGTTGTGGATTAGTATTAAGTGATAGAGTAGTTGATACAAGATCTGAATGGAGAACTTTTAGTAATGATGATCAAAATGGAGATGATCCTTCTCGTGTAGGAGATGCCGGTAATCCTTTATTAGATACTGAAGATTTATCAACAATGATTTCTTATGTTCCAAGTGATACAAAATTGGGTAGAGAATTAAATAGAGCCCAATCAAAATCATTAGTTGATAAAAAAGATAATGCATTAGCAGCTGCATATGCTAAAATATCTCAAATGTGTGATGGTTATCAATTACCGAAGATTGTTCAAGATGGTGCAAAAGAAGTTTATAAAATGGTGTATGATGAGAAACCATTAAGAGGTAAATCACAAGAATCAATTATGGCAGCATCAATTTTTATTGGATGTCGTAAAGCAAAAGTTGCACGTTCATTTAAAGAAATTTGGGCTTTAACTAATGTTCCAAGAAAAGAAATTGGTAAAGTCTTCCGTATAATGGATAAAATTATTCGTGAAAAGAATGCAGCAAATCCTCAACAAGCTGCTTATTATAGTCAAGATAATATTCAAACAACTCAAACTTCAGCTGAAGATTTGATTAGAAGATTTTGTTCACATCTCGGTTTAAACACTCAAGTTACTAATGGAGCTGAATATATTGCAAGACGTTGTAAAGAAGTTGGAGTTTTAGCGGGTAGATCACCAACAACAATTGCAGCAACTGTAATTTATATGGCATCAATGGTATTTGGAATTGATTTAGCACCTTCAAAAATATCCGATAAAACTGGTGTTAGTGATGGTACAATAAAAACATCTTATAAATATATGTATGAAGGAAAAGATAAATTAATTGATCCATATTGGGTTGAAAGTGGTAAAGTCAAATTAGAAAATATTCCAAAGAATTGAGTTAATCATTAGTAAGGAGTCAAAACATATTTTTAATTAAATAAATGTTTTTTGTCTTTTGTTTGTATGTTATTAAGTATATTTGGAATAATTTATATAAATATCAATAAAAAATATATATCAAAAATATGTGTTTAGACTTAATTTATTGTAGATATTTCTTGATTGATTTCTTCTTGTTTTTCTGTAATATGTTTCAAAATTCAATACGTCTTTGTGTCTGATATATTTTATCATACTAACTGAAAAGTTCAATTTATTAATCAGACGATTTATCGTATAACACACCTTCTACAAGTTCAATTCACCTACAAATATCCCTCTTATGAACATCATACGGAGCTTTGCAACAAAAGCAGTCAAAACAAGCTTCCAAGATGTCGTAATAATAGGTGGTGGTCCGGCAGGTTTAACCATATTATCAGCAATTAAAACTTCACCAAAATTGAAACATTTAAAATGTACATTAGTTGAAGGTCAATCCCTTGAACCAGTTCAAAAATTTTATGATAATCCACCTGAAAATTATACAAATAAAATAGTTTCATTGACTCCAAAATCAATTGATATAATGACTAATAAAATTGGAAACTGGGAATTTATAAATCAAGATAGAATTAAAAATTATGATGGAATTATAGCATATGATTCACAAGATGCCTCTTCAAGAATTGAATTTGATATAAATTTGATTGGGAAAGAACTGTTAGCTACAATGTGTGAAGTAATAAACATTCAAAGTTCATTATATAAAAAATTACAAACTTTAAAAGAAGAAGGAGTTGAGGATATAACGATATTAGATAATACAAAAGTGAATGAAATTGAGAACCCGATAATCACGGAACAAGATTTGGAAAACCATGATTTAAATCAAATTGATCCAACTTTAGAAAAACCAAATTTAGATTGGCCAATAGTTAAATTAAATAACGGAGAACAATTACAAACAAGATTATTAATTGGAGCAGATGGTTATAATTCACCAGTACGAAAATACGCACAAATTGAATCAAGAGGTTGGGCATATAACAGATTTGGAGTAGTTGCATGTATAAAATTACAATATGAAGATTTTAGATCAGTTGGTTGGCAAAGATTTCTAACTACTGGTCCATTAGCCATTTTACCATTAACTGAAGATAATGCAACTATAGTTTGGTCATCTACTCCAGAGTTGAGTGAACTTTTACTAAAAGTTAATGATCAAATTTTCCCACATTTAGTTACTGCAGCAATGGTATTGGAAGAAGTTGATTTAAATTATATATATCTGGTTTTACAAGAAAATCCAAATGATTTTTCAGTTTTACAAGATATTGAATGGAGATTATCAAAATTTGATGCAAGAACATTAGATGAAAATTATCCATTACCTGTTGTTGAATTGATACCAAATACAAGAGCAAGATTTCCATTAAAAATGTCTCACGCTGATACTTATGTAGCACCAAGAGTTGCATTAGTTGGTGATGCTGCTCATACTATACATCCATTAGCTGGTCAAGGTTTGAATATGGGTCAATCTGACGCTTTTGCATTAATTGAAGCATTAGAAAAAGGTATGGATAGAGGTATGGATTTAGGTTCAACTTTAGTATTAGAAGATTACGTTTCAAATGCATGGCCAGCAAATCATGCTTTGTTGGGAGTCTGTGATAAATTACATAAGATTTTCTCAACAGATTTTTATCCATTGGTATTTGTAAGAGGTCTTGGTATGAAAGGTTTGAATATGTTTGATGAAGTTAAAAGTTTAATGATGAAAACTATAAGTGGTAGATAAAAGATAAGAGTTGATTGAAAGTTATGTTAAATGGTTGTATATAGTTTTTTTTTATTGAATTCTAATTAATTAATGATACTTAATAAAAGTTGATATATTTTGATACCTGTTTCATTTTTGTACAATAATTTATAAATTCTAAAACCTTCAAAACTTTAGCAACCAAATTATGATTTAAAAATGATTTATGCATGATTTTAATACTATCACTCGTTAATTGATAAAAATGATATAAGATTGCAAGTTACGAAAAGCACAAATGATCAAGACAATTCTACGGACTTATTCAACCTCAATTAAAACTTCTGTCCCCAAACAACAAGAAAAATTTATTACAGCAAATTACAGAAAACTTCAAGAACATTATGATACACCAAAATATCCCATAGTATTATGTCATGGATTTTCAGGTTTCGATAAATTAACATTATTTGCAAAACCAAATCTAGCTATAAATCAAGCAATTGATACTGCAAAAGATGTTGCAAAAGATGCAAAAAATTCTATTCAAAATAATAAAGAATCTCAAAAAAAACTGTTACTTGAATTTGATTATTGGGTTGGTATAAAAGAAGCATTAACTAAACTAGGCTCCACTGTATTTATAGCAAAAGTTCCAGCATTTGGGAATATTAAAGATAGAGCAATAAGTTTAGATAAATTTATAACAAAACAATGTAAAATTTTAAGAGAATCAGAGACAAAATCATCAATTTATAATAAAGATCATCATTCACAACATGATACATTTAAGAATGAAAATGAACCTATAAAAATTAATTTAATAAGTCATTCAATGGGTGGATTAGATTCAAGGTATCTTATTTCAAAAATTCATAAAAATTCAAAATCTAAAATTTATAAAATTGTATCATTAACTACTATATCAACACCACATCATGGATCAGAAGTTGCAGATTTTATTGAAAAAAATTTAAGTGATTTACCATTTATAAAATCAATATGTCCTAATTCAATACACGAATTAACTACTAAACAAATGGAGAAATTTAATAAAGAAGTTCCCGATGATCCATCAGTAAAATATTTTTCATTTGGTGCAAAATTTAATCCTCATTGGTATAATTTATTTAATTTAACTTGGCAAATAATGAATCATGAAATTTTAAAAAACAATAAGGGTAAATTACTGGACTTAACAAAATTAGATAATGATGGATTAGTAAGTGTTGATAGTTCAAAATGGGGGAAATATATTGGTACATTAGATCAAGTTGATCATTTAGATTTAATTAATTGGACAAATAAAGCAAAATTAAATTATGATAAAATTATGTGGGCTGAAAATCCTCCATTTAATGCTATCGCTTTATATTTAGATATAGCTGATAAATTAGCTAAAAATGGATTATAGACAAACTAGAAAAGCAACAGAGTTAGAGATTTTTGTATAATTATTATTATTATCATTAATAGACATTATTGGCATAAAATTAGTGTTTCATTAATTATTTATTTACTTTTATTAGAAAATTGATTATTAAATCTATTCATTAATTGTAATAGTTTTAGTAATCATAAATTCATCCATACCCCAATGACTGTTGAATCTACCTAAACCACTTGATTTAACACCACCATGAGGCACAGTTGGTTCATCATGAATAGTTGGAGCATTAATATGAACACCACCAATTTCTAATTTTCTTGCAACTTTTAAAGCTTTCATGATATTTGTTGACCAAACTGAACCTTTTAATCCATAATCATGATCATTTATTTCACTAACTACTTCTTGAACATCTTTAAATTTATGTAATGTAAATACTGGACCAAAAGTTTCGATTTGATTAATATCCATTTTTGAAGTAACATTTTCTAAAATGATTGGTTGAATTATATTTGAACTTAAAATATCTTCTTTATTAAATTGACCAAATACTAAATTGGCACCTTTAGCTAAAGCATCTTCAACTAATGAAATAACTTTATCTCTTCCAATAATATCTCTTTGACAAATTTGATGATCTTTATCTTGACTGAATCCACCAGCAGTTTCAATCAATTGTTTCTTAAATTCATCATAAATTGATTCATCAATGAAAACTTTATCAGTACTCATACAAATTTGACCTTTATGAGCCCAAGCACCAAATAAAATCTTACCAGCAGCAGCTTGTAAATTAGCATCATTTAAAACAATTGATACATTTTTACCACCTAATTCTAATAAATATGGAATTAAATTTTTACCACAAGCTTCAGCTATTTTTTTACCAACTAATGTTGAACCAGTGAAATTAACTTTTTTAATAGCACCAGTTTTTAAAATTTGATCAATAAAAGTTGGATTTTCTTCTGGTTTAACATGAACTAATTGTAAAGCTTTTGGAGGAATACCACCATCTAAGAAACATTTAACTAATAAATAAGCAGTTTTTGGAGATTTTTCACTTGATTTAACAATAACTGAACAACCAGCAGCTAATGGAGCAATAATTGATCTACCTGCTAAAATGACTGGAGCATTCCAAGGACTTATAGATAAAACAGGACCAATAGGTTCTTTAAAAGTCATTGCTAAATCTGAATGACCACTTTGAACGATTTGACCTGGAGATCTCGATAATTGTGAAACATATTCTTGAAGTTGACCTAAGCAACCATCAACATTAAAATTTGCAAACCAATCTGGTCCACCAATTTCTGAATGACCTTGAAATAATTCAGATCTTTTAGCTAAAATATTTTCTTTAACTTTTTCAAAAATTTTGATTTTTTCATTAGTTGATTTTGATGACCATTCATGGAAACCTTCTTTTGCATTTTTAGTTAATTCATCAATTGAATTATCTTTTAATGATATACTTGCAAAATGATGAAGTAATTCATCTTTATGACTTGTAACTGGATATGGATCAGTAGTAATATCTTTACCATTTACAATACATGGATAAAGTTCTTGTGGAGTTTCTGAATGTGGTGACATGGTATTAGTTGAAATTTTTGGAGTTGTGATAGTAGTGGTATTAGTGGTATTATTACTTGGATTAGTTAAAGTAGGAGTTGAACTTGAAATTGAAAGTGATTTCTGTTGATCTGTTATACGCAGCAGTGGAGGAGTTGGAGAATCAAACAAGAAATGTTTAAGTGCAGATATAAATCTTTGTCTTCTAGATAAAGTCGAAATTTTGAATAAAATTTGTTAATTAAGTTGACTGATGATGAATTGAAAGCAAATGAAAAAAAAAGCAAAAACTTTAAACAAAATACTTGATGGCGGGGTCTCTGAGTTTATATATATGTAAATATATTTGTTCGGACTATTTGGTTTTGCAGGTTTTGGGTTTGAATTAAGGATAAATAAATAATGGAAATATAATAAAAAATTTATGTAATAACTGTAATCAATTGAAATAAAAATATGAAAAATATGAATTAAAAAAATAATTTATTATAATTAATTACCCCAAGTTTCATAATAATTGAAATGAATGAAAAGTATCTTGGAGTGATAAATAATTTAATATTATAAAGCTCTCCACTTTTTATATATTCTTCAAATTATCATTAATGTAATTGATTTGGTTTATTATTAATTTAACAATAAGATCTTTTTTTTCATTTGTACTAAAATTAAAAACTTCAACGGTTTTTTAGTTCTGAATTTTTGTGTAGTTTACCGGAAATATCAATTAATATAATTTATATACCCTTTGATGAAATTTAATAGGTTTATACCAAAGAGTTGAATATGTTAAAATTACTTTAATCAATAAAACTTTTTAAAGGAACAAAACGAATTTTAATACTTACTTGACGGTAAAATCGGTTGTTAATTTAAAATATAGATTACTTTTTTTTTTTAAATAAATGATAAAGTAATATGTATAAATGAAAACGATTTATTAATTAGAGATCCAATGGACCAAAAACTTCGACAACAAAATTCAGGCATTCCAATTTTTATTGCCGAACCTCGTAAATGCGTCAGATTAAGGAACATAAAACAAAAAGGAGAAGGATAAAGATTTAACCTTTAATTTATAGATCCAAATAAAAGACTAAGAAAATTTCGAGATTGTTATTTTTTTTGCGTTTAGTGTAATTATTATTATCAACTCCGAATGATTAGTTTGATTAAGTCATACTTACTTAGAACGAGTCGAAAATTTTACCTATTTACTAGAATTAAGAATTTCAGTTCAATGGCTAAGCGTAAACAATCTTTATCGTTCTGGTATTAAAATAATCAATGATCATAAAAGAGTTTGAAAATTCAAATTAACTAAAATTTTTACAATCTTTCATATTATTTTACCCCATAAATTTTTATTTACTTAAAATTTGAAATTATAAAACACTAAAATAAATATTAAATAAATCCTTATTTGCGTTTTATTTTGGTAAAACTTTTATCCTAAATATGAAACACTGGTTTATGATTACGATTTGTCTTAAATCTTTCACTTAGTCCAAATATTTTCTTGAATATTTCCATATGCCAAAATTTAGGAATAAAATCTTGAAACTGTTATTGTTATTTGTACTATTATTTTAATATTCTATTTTGTACTATACATTTTATTAATTTTCCGAGACATGAAAAGAAAAGATACTAGACTAAAAAAGAAAATAATATTTTAAAAATTCGGTTAAAAAGTTTAGTTAGTAATCAAATTAATAATTACAAACTGTATAAAGATAATTCAATTAATTTGAAATATCGGATACTAATCCGAATATTTATATTAAGATTTACTTTCTAGTCATTTATGTTTAAAGCTATACAAATTCACGTAAAATTTGTTTACAATCATTACAATATTTAACAATATTATCAATTCCATCAATAAAATTATTATCATTTCCGTTAATTAAATTTTTTTCATTTAATTCAAATTTTTTAGATTTTTTAGATTTATATTTTGAATCTTTAACATTCTTTATAATACAGTTTTCCATATAATCACATTTTGATATTTCATCATTTAACCAATTATAAAAATCTTTTTTCAATAAGTTTTCTTCTTTATATTTTAAAATTTGTAATTCAATTAAATAATTATATCTTTTTTCACCAATTTCTTTAAATTCATTTTTTAAGGATTGAACCTTCTCATAATTTTTGGGTATATATGATGAATCTGATAAAAGTATTGATAAATTTTGATAATTATTTATAAAACTTTGATCTTTGAATAATTGAAATGGTTTACTTTCAATGAGTGATGGAATAGTTGTTTTTGTATTATTAACATCAACGTAGTTGCTATTTGATAAAACATTTTCAAAAGTTCCTGGTTTTAAAAATTCTTCTTGAATATCTTTTAAATAAACTGATCTTTGTAATAATAACGGATTTTTTGCAATAAATTCTTCTGCTAAGGTATTTCCTCTATAGACTGTCCAATAATTTATGGTTGATCTACCCATGAAAAATATATTTGATAAAATTAATGCAATAATCACTAAAATGAAGAATTGATTTCTTTGAATAAATTCTAATATGAATTTCAAGACGTTTAAAATTCCATCAAATAACAAATTAATAAAATCATAAATTGTCTTGACCATCCTATTGATAAACATAGTCAACGATACCATGAATCCTATTTTAACTATTGGTTCAGATTGTATATGATCGGGGTCATCAGTATGACTTAATTTACCATAAACATATATAGCTTTTACAATAGGTCCATGATGTCCAACATCATGCATAACCTTTGTATTGATTCTATAATCGTATTTGGAAACTTGATCAATATCAATCCTATTGACTATCGTTCTTATCAATGGATTCCAAATTGAATAATTTGAAAAATCAGTTTTTGAATAATAATATATTTGTGATCTTTTACCACTTATACCAGTAATAATAAATTTAAAAGTATTTGTAAAAGGTGATCCTAAACAAAATTCTATTTTTGATACAGAATAAGTAAAACAATAATATTCATTATCATCCATTTCTTCAATTGTTTGTTGTAAAAGTACTGGTTCTTTTATACCATTTACCAGAATTGGTACGATATCATGACGAGTTAAAATCTTACCACCATCTACACTTCTCCATGGTTTTTTCATTACAATGGAATACTTAACAATTGATGATTCATCTCTAAACATTGCTGAATCATCACCTAAAAATGCATGAAATAAAGCCTTTGGTGGTAATTGATAAGTTTTACGTAAAAGTAATTTAAATTCTGGTGTGAAATCAGTTTGATGAAATTTTCCTAAACCTGAAGTATTTGGTGCAATTGAAGTAGAATTAGTCATTGCTAATCCACCACCACCTAATGTAAATCTATAATTTTGTAATGCATTAGTTGATAATTTTTTACTCAATTGATCCATTTCTTTTAGTATTCTATCATCTTCTTTATCTTTAGCTACTTGAGCCTCGATTTGTTTAAATATACTCAACAGCTCTCTTAAATTATTTGGTTTATCACTTGCTAAATTATTTATCAAATATACAAATTTTTGCTGAATTAAAATTCCATCTTCCAAAAATAATTTTAGTTTAAAAGTACCTTCAACATTATAAATTTTTAATATACCAAAATTTCTTTGAGATACATATTCAACAGAAACACATTCTGAAATCAATCCTTTAAATAATGCAACAAAACCCAAAGCTTGCATATAAAAATATATATGATAATTTGTTAAAAAGCATCGACCACTTAATTCTTGTTTTGAATTAGGTGACCAAATACATCCAAATGACATTATACAATATTCACCAGGTTCAACTATATTTTCGAATAATGCCCTCATTTGAATATCTAAACTTATAAGTTCAACAGGATAAAAACTTGGATAAGGTATACCATTGGTCATATTTTCTTGTTGAAATTTTATCATTTCATAATCTTTGACTTGATAATGATTAGCTTGACGTAAACTTTCATTTCTTGAAAAATAATCTTTCAAGTAATAAAGACCCCAATTAACTGATCCCCAAATATTTGCAGTTAATGCAGTTGGTAATTCCGTAGCTCTTATTGTGCTATATGCAACAATTGCTTGTTTTGTAGTATCAGTCATTATTGGTGGATAAACTTGAGGTAATTTATAAAACCATTTACTATCGTAAGTTCTATCAAAACCTTCAAGAAATCTAGATAATGAAGTAGATACAATACTTTCACCATTTGGATTAATGATTTTTAAATTTGAAATTTCTTGATCTTTTAATGTATTTATAGTAGAAGCAAATTCTGAAAAAATTGGTGGGAATCTACTAGATGCAATTTTAAATAATGGATCATTTAATGGTAACATAGTTATACGATTTCTTTCATTTGTGAAGACTTTTAACCAAGATTTTAATTCAATTAATGATTCAGCTTGTAATATTATACTATTTTCACTAGTTTTCAATTCAAAACAAAATCTTCTATCTTCATTAGGAGAATATCTTAAATTACATAATATTATTCCAAATTTATCAGTTTCTTGAACTGATGTTTGAGTTGGGCTTAATACTAACATTCCAAATACTCCATTTTTAATAAAACACCACCTTCTTTCCCATTTAGGTTTATTTGATTTTTCGACAAAAGTTTTCATAAATAAATATCCATGTTTTTCAATACCAGTTTCATTTATATCCTGTAACGATTTATAACTAATTGTATTTACATGATAATCATTGGAGTTCGTAGATGGGCTAAATTGAATATATGATGATTCTTCAACTTGAGCTTTTGCAGCCATCATATCATCGTACAATTTATCACTAGCTGATGAATATGAATCACTCCATGCTTGAACTCTTTGTACCACTTCCCAAGATTCTCTAATACTATCAGATGCAATATTATCAGAAGCAAATTGACCCCATTTCGTTTGCCATAAATTACTGTTTAATGAAACTAGTAGTTTATCTAATTTAATACTTATATTTTGTAATTCAACAACTAAATCTAATGAAATTTGTATATATTCTTTCCTAACTTGATATAATTGTTTAGCATCTTCTAATACCATTATTGCATCTTTTGTTTTGGAAGTACTCACAAATATACTTAAATACTTATCATATTTTCTTTGACTTACTTCAAATTTTCTTCTAAGTTCTCTATAAGTTTGAACTTGAGTTTTTCTAAATCCATTTAAATCATTTAAGATATGAGGTGCAGGAGCTAAAGAATTAAGACTCATACCCCAAATAGATTTCAACCCATTTAATGAAGCATATAAACATTTAACAGTATATTCTTGATCAACTATACCATTTTGTAAAAAATTAGGTACTAAATGTTCTAAAAATGAATTACAAAAAATTTCAACTTCTTTTACATATTTTGGAATTTTTTTAAGTGATGAATTTATTGCTAATAACCATTGCTCTATATTATTGATTTGTATATCTAAATGATTTGCGGATGCTCTAAAACTTGGACTATCTAATGCTGCTTCTTTAAAATTTACTGATATTAACTTGAATTGTCTTAACAAATGCTTTTGATCATTATTGGCGGATAAATGAGTTGAGGATTGAGCCGTTCTTTGAGATGGTGGTGGCGGCAGACTTAAAGGAACTCTTTGTGCTGTTGATTGTTGTTGTCTTGCTTGATTTTGTTGATGTTGTTGTAAAACTGGTTGTTGATTTTGATTAGGCGCCGGCGCTGATCGTTGTGAAGAGGCCCTTTTAATTGATTGAGTATTTGGAGTACTACTACTATTACTATTTGAACCTTCCGTTCTAATACTATCATCTTTTATGAATACTTGATTACTTTTATTAACAGTATTACTACCATTATTACTCCGAACTGAACCACTTTTCGTTATTGAATTGAGTTGTTGTGGTGTTTGACCACTTGATTGACTCATATTGTTGATTAATTATTATATATTCAAACCTGAAATCTTTAAATGTATATTGTTTATTTCATTTGTTGTTTGGTATGTTAAATTAAAATTAATAAAATCCGGATATTTGTTTAGAGAAAAATAAAAATATTTTGCTGCAAAATTAATTTAATTTTACATTCCATTGCTTCCTACAATATTGAATTTTAAATGCTAATTTTTTGAAGAAATAAAGAAGCAACAGATCCAGAGAGTTGTAACGAGAGACACATACTTGAAACTATCTCTCGACTACAAGAAGGAGTTTTCGTTGAAGTTTCGTAGATATTGGCTTCATAGAGTTATTTGGTTATCTTCCTCTATCGGGTTTAACAAATATTAAATCCGATGAACAAAATGGTACAAAAACCTACAACAGAAGGTTATTCAGAATTTGAATTAATGCAATTATTTTTTTATTTCAATGTCTCTATTTAATCTAAGGAATTATTACATGAATGCAGTTTCAGCTCTATCTAAGTCATATCCTCTTAAAACCTCTATTTTTTGGGTTTATACATAACAGGAGTATTTAAAGGAAATCTATGAATACCCATCATAACATTCTGATTATTAGATTTAGTGGTGGATGAAGAATGATTATTTGAATTTTGAGATTGTTGTGCTTGTTGTTGTTGCTGTTGTTGTTGATGTTGTTTCAAATCTTTTGATGGATCATAACCTATAATTGGACCAAATGTTATTTCTTTTGGTTTTAGAGAGTCTTTTGATTGTGATTGATTTTTGGAAGTTGATGATGTATTTGAATTTTTTCTACTTGAAATTACTTGTGATTGATGAAATTTCTTTGATTGATCTTGTTTGATTGGTTTTGGAAATTGAGTAATTTGTTGTTGTGCATGTTGTGATTGTTGTTGAGCTTGTGATTGATAGAATAATTGTCTTTGTCTAATGAATTGTTCATTTACAACATCTGCATTGTACATTGGTTGATTAATCAAATTCTGTTGTTGTTGCTGTTGTTGCTGCATTTGAAGTTGCATTTGTAACAGCATCTGTAATTCCATTTCCATTTGTAATTGTACTTGTTGTTTCAGTTGCTGATTAATTGGTGAGACGAATGAAGATTGAGCATTCAGTAATGTTGCGTTTGTAGTTAAGTTTGTTGGTGATTGATTAAATGACAATTGTTGTTGTTGTGGTTGTTGCTGTTGTGATTGTTGTGTATTGAACACATTTTGCTCAGTACTAACCATTTGTGGAATATTATTCGTTGATAGAGCATGTATATTCATTCCTGGATGTTGAGGAGTTTGATTGAGATTAAAATTTTGAAATTGTTGTTGATGCTGCTGTTGTTGTCTTAAATTATTTATTGAAAATTGATTAAAATTTGCGAAATTGTTTTGATTTAAACCATTTGAATTATAAATAGGAGCAGTCATTGGACCAGCAGGAATGTTCATATTTAAATTATTAGTTTTACTTAAATCAATTTTTAAATTCTTATTATTTATTGTATTGAATTTATTTTTACTTGGAGTTTCAAAATTTTTTAATGAATGATTTGGAGAATTTGAAGATTTATAAGGTGATGAATCTGCTAATACTGTTTCATTATCATCTGTCGTTGGTTCATATTTATTTATATGATCTCTTAATGAATTTACAACCACTACTTTGGTTTGACCTTTCGTACCCATCATATTAAATTCATGAACTAAATACGCAAATATTTTGGAATTTTTTAAATCAAAATTTGAATTATTATCTGATTCTTCGTTGTTATAAATATATTGAATTATTTTAATATTTTCTTCTGATGATATTAATGATCCATTAATTAAATAATTGAAGAACCCGGCAAAGAAAGTTTTGATGAAAGGTACTTGTAAAATATAACACTTTGAATCTTCATTAAAATATCCATTGATTATGTCAGTCACATTTAGGATTTTTTTACCATTCTTATAAACTTCAATTAAACTACACCAATTTAGCATGGATTCTGAAGATGAACCTTTACAATAAACATTAATTGACATTGTTGATTGAAAATTTGCATGATTCAAATTGGCATTGTGATTTGTAAAAGTTGGTGAAATAGCTGACATTGGAGTAGAAGTTTCTATATGATTGATATTTAAATTTATATCGTGATTAATAAACCAAATTGGTATGTTTCTTTCTTTTAATATTTTGATCATATAATCATCTAACTTATTTATTATGTTATTGTGACAGGTATTCCAAGTTGCTAATTTTGTAAAGATTGTAGTATTATCTCTTGCTTTAGAGCAAATTTTAAAATCAGTCAAATTCAATAAATAATTAGTTTGTTCATCAAATACTTCATCTAATGGTGACGAAGATAATAAAATATCCAATTCTCTATCAATCAATGCATTATTCCTATTTGAATCAATAGAACCTGGATGTAATAAAAAACTCTCGTTACTATTGAATACATCATCAAGTTCACTTGTAGATCCATTAGTCAATGGAGTTTTTATATCTTTTATCAATTTTCCACTTTTACTTAATCTAAATATTCTTGATGATATTTGTTTTGTTGATCTTAATATACCAGTCTTATTAAATAACATTCTCGATATGACCTTATTTTGAGATGTGTTTTTTAAAATGGAATTATTATTTAAATTTGGATCTTCTTTAAATTTTCTATATTTATATAATGATTTGATTAATATATCATCTAAATCTGGATTCCATACTTTATCTTCAGTAAGATTAACATTGGATGATGAATTTGAATTTGATGTAATTGAGTTTGTAACACTTGGTTTACGAAATGTTAAAGGTGATACCATTGATTTATCAATCTTTGAAGCTATTGCATTATTTGGAGTATCTGTAATACTATGATTTATTTTTCTTTTTTTAATAACTGATGATAAATGATCATTTTCATGATCTTGTTCATCAATTGATATTTCCGAATTTTTTGGTGAAATCTCAGGAGCAACTTCTAAAGAAGGTGTTGCTGTTGCTATTGTAGTGGTTGTGATTGTGGTTGTTGCCGATGGCTTCTTATTTGACAATAATAATTTATTTGGAGTTAAAAATTCATCAAACTTATCATTAACTATTTTTGAATTTTGAGTGTTGTACGGTATATTATTTTCTTTATTATCATCTTCATAAATTGAACTTAAATTTGTATTATTTTGTTGCGTTGAATTATTTAAAGATGACCAAATATCATGATCAGTATCTTCATTATCTTCTTCAATATCTTGACTCTCTTTCTCTAGTCCATCTTTTGGAGTATTTTCTAAACTATCTTCTTTATCTAGTGATTTGTTTAATGATTCAAGAAATCTGTTATAATCTTTACCACTTGAATTTGAAATTGATCTTTTATGATTTATAACTTTATTTAAATTATTATCTGTAGTTGAAGTTAAAAATTTTCTAGGTGATAAAATATTTGGTGAATTAAAATTAAAAGTTGGTGAAAAACTTAAACCAAATGAAAATGAAGGAGTTGTTGTTCTGTTAATACTTTGTTGTAAAATTTGATTATTTGTATTTGAATTAATATTGTTATTGTGCTTGCATCTTGGAGTCTCTGGTGGTTGTAATGATATAGATGGAATATTATCTGGCATTGAAAAAGTTGTGTTGCTAAAAATTCCTGTACTTTAGTATTATGGTTGCCAATTACCAACCAGTGGAAATTTTAAATGTATAGTATTAGTGAGTTGAATTGTAAAACCAGCTCGACAACAAGACTAGACAAAATTATAAATATGTTGATAAATTAATTGGATTAAAAGCAAACAAAAAAAAAAAGTTAATGATATGAATTGAATAGAAAATTGAAGTTGATTAAGTAAAATACCTATTGATTGTATAAATATACAAAGGATAGATTATAATTTAAACACGCTTAAAAATTAATCTTTATTTTTTTAATTGTTTTAAATTTAAAGTAAAATATTTACGCGTAAAATTTGACAGTTTTAATTTATATAAGGAGGTAGAAGATTTTTATGTATATTAAATTAATTACAGTTAACATTTAACTTTTATAGCAATTTAAGATCTAAATCCGCCTTCAAAAGGAATATAATCCTCAACTTATCAATCTTTTAACTCTACTTAGGAATATTTACATTGATTGTTATTTTATTTACATTATTTGTATATTAATTATTAAGAAAGAATAGAAAAAAGCTATCATAAAAAAAAACAAAAATCAATTATATAGTCATTAGCCACTTTCACTATTCAAAAATTCATAATAATTTTTCAATTTCTTCAACTAATGCATGACATAATCCAGGATTATTTAATTCATAACGATTCATAACTTGAATTAATTGTAATACACATTTTTGAGTTGTTTCATCTTTACCTCTTTCTAATACTTGATTTAAACTTTGGAAAAAAATTGATTTTTTTGAAGTTTGATCATTTATATCATCATTATCATTATCAGGAAATACTTGATATTGATATTTTGGTTGATTTGGATATGCTTGTTGATGAAGTTTTATTAATCTTGAATATGGAGTTTTAGATTCATTAAATGAATTTTCAATTTCAAAATTTTTATTTTCTTCATCTTCTTCAATATCATTTTTTGTTAATTTAACATCAATATTATTTAATTCATTATCAAATATTAAATTTTTAAGTTTTGATTCGGTTTTAATTTTATTATTATTGTTATTAACTTTTGTATATGGAGTATTATTTTCTTTATCCATTTGTGCTTGAAATGTTCGAGTAAATTCCCATTCAATTTTATTTTTATTATTATCATCATTATCTTCTTCATCAATCATTTTTAATGGTTTATTACCTAAATTTTCAGCTAAATTTAAATTTAAATTTAATTTATGTCTTGGTTTTGATCTATTTCTTGTATTTAAATGTGCATTTTTCGAAACTATTAATTTAATTAATTCATTTTTTATAATTTCATTTGTTTTTAAAGGTTTTTTAACAAAAGGTTGTACTATTAATTTTTTACAATTTGGTCTTTTTTCAGGATCATGACAACAACATTGTTTTACAAAATCTTTTATATCATTTGAATAATTATTACCTTTTAATTCTGGTGATTTTCTTTTTGGAATTTCAAATATTATTTTTAATGGATCATATTCTGATAATGGTGGTGCTCCAGTAATCATTTCAATAACAGTTATACCTAATGACCAAACATCTGCTTTATAATCATAACCTTCATATCTTTTATATTTATAATGATTATTTGAACCTCTTGTTATAACTTCTGGTGCCATCCAAAATGGTGTACCAACAAATGTTTGTTTTTTTAATTTTGTTAATGTTATATCTGAACTAACTCCAAAATCTCCAATTTTAACCTTGGCATCATCAGTTAATAATATATTTGCTGATTTAATATCTCTATGAACTTTATGTTCATCATGTAAATATGATAATCCTAATAAAACTTGTCTAATTATATAACTAACAATTGATTCTGATAATTTTTTATGATATTTAATTAAATCAGAACATGAACCACCTCCACAATATTCCATTACTATAACTAAATTAGATTCTTGTGCAAAACTTTTAATATATTTAACAACATTATCATGTCTTAATTTGAATAAAAATTGAATTTCCTTAAAAATCTGTCTCATATCATCAGTTGAATCATCCATATTAATTACTTTTAATGCAACATATTTTGGTTTTCCATTAATTGGTTTAGAAGAATAATCAGTTGCCCTATAAACATCTCCAAAATTACCTCTACCAATATTCTTGAAATCTCCATATTTCATTGGCGAATTTGGTGAAGGAAGCTGATTTTGTTTTTGGATCTGCTGATGTATCATTAAATGGTTGTTAATTTTCTCAAGGGATTTCAATCCTTCGTTCATGTAATTTGTGAATATTTTGATGTGGTGCTGATTGGAATTGAAAAAATTGTTATGTTTAATTATAATTTATTTGTTTATATTTGTAGCATTTAAAACTTGTATAATGTACCTTAAATACTGCATATAGCGAATATATAATTTGCAGCCAAATAGATAAAATCTAAAAAACTTTATTGAAACTATTTTTTGTTACCAGTATTTGTACAACCATTTAATAATAACAATTCCGAAACAACGAAATATTTTTTATGACTTGGATCGGATTCCATTTGAATATATTTTCTCAAGCTATATTCATAAAGACTAATAATTTGAGTCTCATCTTTATTTGGTACATTAACTTGTAAATCTAAATTTATATCAGCACCACATAGTATTGCTTTCAATTCATCATGAATTAAAATTCTTTGAATAGAATTTATTAAAAAATTGTTTATATTTGGGATGCTTTCAACAAATTTTTTATCTGTATATTTTGATTTTATAAATGTTAATCTTGTTTCAAAATCAGAATTTGCATTAATTTTATGAGTTGGATTCAAGTTTGCTTCCATATATGAATTGACTTCTCGATTGTTTATGTAATTTAGAAGAACTTGTGATTCATTTTCAAATTTATCTAATTTCAACGATCTTATTTTTGTAATATGAGATCCCATATTTCTATGACATGATGCACAATTTACACACATGCAAATCAAAAAGTTGATTGAAACCCATTCAACCAGTTCCAACAGTCCACAATCTATACATTGATTATTATTACTGTTTGGTATCAGTTTAACAATATTTAAATTATCATCATCATCATCAAAAAATGGGTCTTTTGAAGTTATTGATATTGGTGAAACAGATCTATCTGTAGAGCCAGGAATAATCGGTTTTGATCCAAAATCTGTTATAATTTTTGTTATATGTTTTTTACTCGGCTTTAATTCATTACCACCAAATCTTTGTTGTAATCTATCAGTATTAACTAATTGTCCAGCATTATACAATGCTTTAACCCATTTATTTCTATCCTCATTATTGAATGCTTGGAATACATGTTTTGAACCAGTTGATGTTATGATTTCAAAACAAAATTGTCTTTTGTCATGAGTAACTGCTTTGACACTTGATAATGCAATCTCAATTGGTTTATTTATGGGTGTTTTACCTTTTCTCCAATCTGCATATTCTATTAATTGACCTTTTCTCAAAACTACCCATTCTTTATGCCAACCTGTTTTTTTTTGTCCACCTAATGAAAATAATATACCAGACTTTTCAGAATCATTGTCTTTTAAAATTACTTGATGATCATTTGGCGGGTTACTATCTGAAAATATTAAATCAAAGTTTTCTTTGGTGACTAAAAAGTCATCAATTGTGTCTATATTGGTGACTCCATTAGTGGATGGTTGCTGTTGTTGTTGAGTAGGTTGTTGTTGTAAGTGATTTAATCTATTATACCGTATCAAATTGGTTAATTCTTCACTTGATTGACTAGCTTCAATCATTTGTCTGAATTGATATTTTTCACTGTTAAATCTAGTTAATGCGTATAAATAAATTTGATAATTTTCACCAATTAAAAACAGATTTGATTTTTTATCTAAAAATAATTTAAAATTTAGTAATTTGGGGTGAAATGGATCATTTTTTAAATTTATAAATTTGAACAATTTTTCGCATAAATCATTAACATATTGATTGTTTGTTATTTTACTTAATTGATTTAAATAATCAAATTTTGATAATTCAAAATTTTTCTTTTTCAATAGTAATTTCGATTCTGGTCTTTCTTTATCATTTGATAAATATTTATTTAACCAACCATAATACTCTTTTGAATCACTCTCAAATTGTTTTTTCATTTGTGTTAATTCAGATTGTTGATTTGGATTCTCAATTTGTTGCACCAATATACTATTGAAGATTTTAGTAAATAATTTATGATCACATACATTGTCAAAAAAGAAATTTATATTTTTTTCAAATGAATCAAACAAATTTTTGAATGAGTGTTGAAATTCTTTTTTAAAACCAAATTCCTGTAATAATGACTCGGATTCTAAATCAGTCAATTGATTAATTTCTTCCATAATTCTAAATTTATAAGTTGTCAATCTTCTTACTGTTGATTCTAACATTTTGAAATCATCAATCAACGATGAATAAACTTTCTTAGCCGTGGGTATAGTGTCTTCATATTTTGATAAAGTTTTTCTAAATTCTGGTCCATCTTCTATATTAAAACTAAATTCTTTTCTAAAATCTCCTAAACTGTAAGATAGTGATTCTGGAATATTTTGTTGTTGTTGTTGTTGTTGTTGTTGTTGTTGTTGCTGAGTAGGTGTAATTGGTGAGGACAATGACAGGTCAGTACTTTGTTTTTGTATGATAGGAGGAAATGAAGAAGTTTGTTGTGGTACTGGTGATGACTTTACTTGTAATTTATCTACCCATAGACTAAATTTTAAAAAATATGTAAATTCTTTACTTTGTGAATCTTGTTCCCATACTGAGATTGTTAATTTAGTATTATTTATTATATTTTTATTATAAAAATCATTTATAATTAATTTTTGAAATTCTAATAAATTCTCATCAATTGGAAGTTGTTTATATTCAATTTTGGAAATTTCAACTAATGGATCATTTGATTCAGTTTGTATTATTTTACTTAATTTTTCGAAATTATCTATATCATAAGATTTAACAATTAATAATACTCTATCTTGAATATTATTTTGAGGTTTAATTGATACATGAAGTTTAAATTTATTAAAATTTGGATCAATTTTTATTAATAAAGGATATTTTGAAATTTCCTCGGGGTCATTTATATTCTGTATATAATTAAATTGTTCTTCTATAATTTTTTGAGTTTGAGTTTCTTGTTTTGTAATTGATAATACATTTTTATTTTCATCTAATGGTATTATAATTCTTTCTAAATCTTCATTATCTGTTAAAATTAATTTATTTAATGAAACATTTGTATTATTAATCTGATTATATGGAAATGAAAATTTTGATAATAATTCCATTTAAATTATTTATGATGATATTGACTAATTGTTGATTGAAGACTAATTGATATAAGTTGGTAAATCAAAACACTTTTCATAAAATTTAAATTTAAAATTGGTTGTCAAAAATTGGTTGTTTTAAAATTGAATTATTAATAAAAAATTATAAAAACAAAAACAATAGTTTAATATATTATGTACTGTATATAAATAAATAGCGAGTAAATCTTTGTATTGTGTTATAAAATTTGCCTCCTCCGCCAAGCTCTGTATTAAATTTAAGTCGATGATTTAGATTTAGATCATACGGTTCATCAATTATTTATAAATTATAATACGGTTGAATTCTAATATACGAGAAAATTGAATATTAATAAAATATTCTATGAAAACTACATTATTAATTAAAATTTTGAAGTTGACAGTTTATAATACTTGAAGATGATATTTGTTCAAAAATGGTCTATATCTTTATTCAACTAGAAGAAGTACTTAAGTTCTAAGTATCAAAAGTTAAACTCAACAATTTTATTTGTAAACAATTTAATGAATTATTTATTTTCCACAAATCTGAAAAATAATTTAATTTTTTATTTTTATCTCCAATTTATTTTATTTATTTTATTTACTAAGAATAAATCTAACAACAATTTATTATTTATTAAGGTATCCACCAAAAAAGACATTGGATTTATATAAATAGTTTGATTTTATCCAATTAGCTAAATAACAACTACATAATAACTATTTCAGAAAGTCCATTGCTCATAATAATATTTTTACTTGTTAAAGTTTACTACCAGAACGATATATTAAATAATTATTTACTTAAACCCTGTTAAACCGAAATCAAATAAAAATTGAAATATCAACAACAAACAATAAAAGATAATGACTACATATTTACCAACTATAATATTGGATCCATTTGAAAAATATAGACCATTTCCTGAAAATCCTAAAAATTTATTTGAAGCTCATTGGCATGAAATAATTGGATCAGTTATATTTTATTTTACAATTCAACAATTATCAAAACCAATTTCAAAATATTTTTTTGGTAAACATTATATAAATTTAAAACCTAATACTAAAATAAATTTTGATGTTCATATAACTTCAATGGTACAATGTTTTATATCAATTGGTTTATTAATACCTCATTTTAATAATCCTCATTTTCAAAATAGATTAAATGATCCAATAAATTCATTATTAGGTTCAACTCCATTTGGTACTTTACTTGCTTCATTAACTGCTGGATATTTTATTTGGGATTTATTCATTTGTTTAAAATATTATAAATTATTTGGTATTGGATTTTTATTACATGCAATTGCTGCATTATATGCAATGGGTTGTGCTTTCATTCCTTATTGTCAACCTTGGGGTGCTGCATTTTTATCATTTGAGTTAAGTACACCATTTGTAAATTTAAATTGGTTTGCTTCTCATTTACCTGTAGGGACATTTAGTGATAAATTTATAATTATAAATGGTTTATTATTAATGATTGTATTTTTTTTTGTTAGAATTATATGGGGAATATATGCTGTTATTCAAATGGGTAATGATATGTTATATTCATTAGATCAAATTAATTTATTTATACCTTTTTCAATATTATTAATGAATTTTGGTTTAAATTTATTAAATATTTATTGGTTTTATAAAATGGTTAAAATTGCAATGAAAAAAGCAAATGGTAATAAAACAAAAACAGTTTCATCATCAAAACAAACTTCAAAAGTAGATTAAAGAAAAATATTAATATAATAGAAGTTTAAAACAGTTATATATAAATTAAAAATTAGACAAAGTTTTTTTGCATCATCAATTAGAGTAGTCGTAATTATTGGTTCAGCTTTGAATTCAAACTCTTGTTTCTTATCTGAAACTTATCATATTAATATTTTATAGTACTGTGTTACTGTAGTATAAGTATGATACTGGTAGTGTAAATCAAACTAAAAAACAATCACTATTATTTAATAATCGCCATTTTCAAATATTTCTTTTTTACAACACAAATTAAAATTAAAATCTAAAATAATAATAATTTTAAGCAAACAACAACTAATTACTTACTTATCTTTTTGATACAATTATTGATTAATACTTACACACAATCATCAATTTAATTCTATTAATATATACTATTAATTGATACATTCACATTCTCAGTACACATTTGTTCATTATATATAAGATATAATATTACTATACTATATATACTTATACAGTTTTTACACGAAATCAAGTTTTTTTTTATTTTTAAATACGAGGTCATTTGAATTTATACATATTCAATAAAGAATAAGTCAAACTTTGCCACTTCAATATTTTAATTATACACTTACTATCCTTTAATTAGATCATAAATCTTAACAAAATCAATACTTATATACACACAATAAGAAAATGAATAACGAATACGATTATTTATTTAAATTATTATTAATTGGAGATTCAGGAGTTGGTAAATCATGTTTATTATTAAGATTTGCTGATGATACATATACACCAGATTATATTTCAACAATTGGTGTAGATTTTAAAATTAGAACAATTGAATTAGATGGTAAAACTATAAAATTACAAATTTGGGATACTGCAGGACAAGAAAGATTTAGAACTATAACATCATCATATTATAGAGGAGCTCATGGTATTATTATAGTTTATGATGTTACTGATCAAGAAAGTTTTAATAATGTTAAACAATGGTTACAAGAAATTGATCGCTATGCTACTGGTGGAGTAATGAAATTATTAGTTGGTAATAAAGCTGATTTATCAGATAAAAAAATTGTTGAATATACTACAGCAAAAGAATTTTCAGATGCTTTAGATATACCATTTTTAGAAACTTCAGCATTAAGTTCTACTAATGTTGAACAAGCTTTTATTACAATGGCTAGACAAATTAAAGCTCAAATGACAAATAATTCAAATTCAAGTGGTAATCAAGTTGGTGGATCAAAAGGTAAAAGTAATGTTAATTTAAGAGGTGAATCTTTAACTTCAAATCAATCAAATGGATGTTGTTAAGTGTGTTATATAAAATTTTTTTTTTGGATATAAATAATAATAATAATAGTATAATAATAGTATAATGATAGTTTACTTTCTTTTATCTTTTCTCTACTTATTCTGAACCTCTCTTTATTAATACAAAACTTAGGGTTAAGATTTACTAATGTATTAAAATTTACCCTAATTGTTTTACATATATATTTTCTTTACCTATCTAATTACATAAATATAATATTGAACATAAAGATTATCATCATCATCTCTAGCAAATCTACCTTTCCCAATTAAATTTTCTTTTAAAACCCATTTAAATTCTTCTTCAACAGAATCATCAAATATAAATGAAGGATTACAAGTAACAAAACTTTCATCAATTGTAGCTTCTTTTGATTTATTGGTGATAACATCAACCGATGGTTTAGTTAATTGTACTCTACCTCCATAATTCACTTTAACACCTGATCCATTGGGGGTTTTCCCATATAATTTACAATCTAAATAAGCAGTATTTATTGATATATTAATATTTAAATCATCAGTACCAAAAATTTCATTAACTAGTAATTGGAAACCAAATTCATTATCAATTGATTTAATTTCTCCATTTTCTATAGTTGCTAAATTTAATGTTTTATCTATTTTGGTATTTGTATAAATATGTTGTGGATCTGATTTTAATTTCAAATTAAATGTTAAAACGGGGATTAATTTTGGTTGTGTTGGGAAATTTGGTAATTGTTTTAAAATTGTTGACATTTTTATTAGTTAATTCGATTCAATTGAGTAGTAGTGAGTTAGAAGAACTGATGATCGAAGAGCTTAAGTTTAAATTATGTAAGTGTTGGAATTTAGTTTTCCGGGGAAATTGATTATTTAGTTCAAACCTTGTGGTTTACGCATTAATTTAGATTTAGTATCTAATTAAGCAAATGCAATTTAGATACCAACATCTAACTATTGCATTGTTGTTATATACTTTATAGATCTTTATTAAACAAATAAGGTCAAATTTGCAGTTTAAAACCACTTGGTCTTCAATAGGTTTTATTCATTCTATTGATTGTATTGTAAGTTTAAAACGAAATCTTAAGTGTGTCAAAATATTTGTGTAGTGTTAAAATCAAAATTAAGAAAATTGAAACTTCAACTTTCCAATTTAATTTTTCTCTATTGCCACCAATTTAGAATAAATTCAAATTCATTTATTTTAGTAATCTTCTACCTACTGCTTCATATCATTAATCATGTCAGAATCAAAGGATATTGAAATGAAAGATGCAGATGCATCAATTGAAGAAACTAAACAAATAATTGAAGAAATTGAATCATCTTTTAATTTATTAGAAAAAGCTTCAAATACATTTGATAATAGATATATTTCAAAAGTATTTCGTGATTTTGGACCATTAAGAAAAAAAATCTTACAAAATGATCAAGTATTACCAACAATAATAAATAATGTATTCCCAACTAATAATCAATATAAAGAACATTTATTAAAACTTTTCAATTCATCACCGTTAGATAAATCGGACAAGTCTTATTCATTCATTCCAGAAATTGAATTATATATTTATTTATTGATACAAGTCTATTTATTAGACACTGAAAAAATCACAGAATTAAACGAATTGAGTCCTCATTTAATTAAATTAATGAATTCATATAATAGACGTTCATTAGATTTCATACAGGCGAAAATATGGTTTTATATAAGTAGAGGTAAAGAATTAACTGGAGATTTATTATCGGTAAGAAATGAATTATTATTTAGTTTAAGAACTGCAAGTTTAAGACATGATACAGAAACTACAGCATCAATTATAACATTATTATTAAGAAATTATTTATTATCTCATGATATTCAACAAGCTTCAAATTTAGTTGAAAAAGTTACTTTCCCAGATAATGCAGCAAATGCATTAGTTGCAAGATATTATTATTATTTGGCAAGAATTAATGCAGTCCAATTGGATTATTCAAGTGCTCATGAATGTGTTATTGCAGCTATAAGAAAAGCTCCACAAACAAAATTAGCAAATGGATTTTTACAATCAGCAACAAAATTAAATATTGTTATTGAATTATTAATGGGAGAAATTCCAGAATTGAAAACTTTTAAATCCAACAAGGGGAATTTAGATCCTTATTTTAATGTAACGAAAGCTGTAAAATTAGGTGACTTAAAATTTTTTAAAGAAGTATTGAAGAAATATGAATCAGCTTTTAAAAAAGATGATAATTATACATTAATTTTAAGATTACGTCAAAATGTTATAAAAACAGGTATTAGAATTATTTCATTATCATATTCAAAAATATCATTAAAAGATATTTGTATTAAATTACATTTGGATTCAGAAGAATCAACAGAATATATAGTATCAAAAGCTATAAGAGATGGAGTTATAGAAGCAACAATAAATCATGAAAAAGGGTTTATGCAATCAAATGAAATATTAGATATTTATTCAACAAAATTACCACAACAAGAATTTGATCAAAGAATTAAATTTTGTTTATCATTACATAATGATAGTGTTAAGTCAATGAGATTTCCTAATGATAATGAACAAAAAATTACTAATAAAGAAATTGAAAATGATGAGGTTGAATTATTAAAAGCTATTGAAGAAGGTGATTTGGATGATTTCTTATAGATTATTTATACTAATAGCTATAGCATTTTAATAAAAAACGAAAGTTGTATCAAATGTTTAATCTCTCCAAATTTTTCAATCTCAATTGGTAGTTGAGTTTGTTAGTGAAAAAATGTTTTGTATTGAAATATGGAAAGTTTTTTTTTTCATATAAAATCAATCAATCAATCAATCAATTTGGTTTAATCAGACAATATGAAATCATTAAGATTGATAAGGCAATATTCAAAAAAGCCTGAATTATTCTTAAACCCTCATGCATGGGAAGGTTTACCAGCCGATCAAATTTTCCAATTACATCAAATCAGAAAAAATTACTTAGGTGAAGCATATAATCCAACCAATGAAGAAAGAACTGCAATTTTATCAACAATAACATCATTATCTAAAAATAAACCTACATTAGATTATTCATTTGAAATTGAAAATTTTAAAGAAAGAGTAATGAATAATACCCCTATGAAAGATAGAGGAAAACCACAAAAATTAAGTAATCAATTTGTTGTAAATTCAGGATCTATTCCACATAATGAAACAAGATATGAACAATTAAATAGAATATCAGCTTTTGAAATGCCGTTATTAGCAAAATATCGCGAAATTTACACTCCACCAAACACCACAGAATCACCAATAAAATTAATTTATAATTCAGATTTTTCAAATGAAACTTCAAATCAATTTAATAGAAAAGTTACATTATTTGTAAAATTAAAAGATTTAAAATTATCACCAAAACAAGAACATAAATTTAAAATACTATCAGGTAAAAGATTTCATCATAGTTTACAAACTTTTCAATTAAAATCTGAAAAATTTCCAGAAGCTTCACAAAATGTAACTTGGTTAATATCAACTTTCAATAAATTATTAAAAGAATCAAAAGATTTATCAAAGGAGACTTTTGAAGATATTCCATTGGATAAACGTCATATGAAAACTTGGACTACAAAAAAGAAACCAGTTGAATTTCCTGAAAATTGGAAAAAACCTGAAGATGCTCCAATAAAGAGACATGAGATTGTTTCTGAATTGGTTGAAATAAGTAAAAATAAATTAGATAATGATCAATTACAGAAAATAAGTCCATAAAGTTGTATATATATTTAAAATTAATGTAAATAGAACATTTATTGTAAATTGAGAAATTAGTTCTCTTTACGTGTAGCTCAAATATTATTAAATTAAAATTTTGGTTTGTGTTTCAAATTTTCAAAACAAATTTTGAAACTTGAAATAAATTAATAAAATTAATTTTAGTAGATCAAATTAATCAACTAGTTAGAACAATCCATCACTTCAACCTATAATGTCTGATCATGGAGCATCTACTACTTTAAATGACATTATAGATGAGTTAAAACTAACATATGACTCATCTATTGGGGTTTTAGATGGAGATTCAATCAGAAATATACCAAATGTAAATACATTATTAAATTTAAATAAATTATTTAATAATTTATGGAAACAACTAAATGAAATTGAAAATACTGATGATGAAATATTGAACAAAATAGCGGCATTGACTAACAAGAATGATGGAAAACGGCGTTTGGAAGAAGAAGATGAAAATGAAAATGAAGAAGAATCAAAAGATGTCAAAGATGAAGACAATGAACCACATAAAAAAAGGAAGTTGGGAGAAGAAATAAATTCAAAAGATGATCCAGTACCCCCAGTTCAAACTGGCTCCTACACACAAGAAAACGATACAAGATTAAAGAATCCAAAATCGGAATATGTTGAACCACAAACATTATCAGCAGAAGCAATATCAGCATTAGGATTATTTTCAGAATCAAATAATGGGTTAGAAACTCATGGGAAAGAATATCTCAAAAAGAAATATGGAGTTGCATCATATCCAGAAAATGATTTATTAAATTTATTACCTGGTAAGATTCCAAATATTGATTTTTCAAAAAATAAACCACCAACAAATCAAGTACAATTTACAACTTTCCAATCGTATATAGAATCATATTTTAGATTATTTGGTAATGATGATATTAAAGCTTTAAATGAAAGAAATATCATACCTCCAGGTTTTGAAAAATTAGGTTATGATCCCGATGTCTCACCTTTTATAATACCTAAATTGGGTAGATTTTATTCAGATGTTTGGACGGAAGAAGATCCTTCACTAGCTGCAAAATTAAATACTCCAGCAGCCAATTCAGCTTCATCAATTGATAATTATGTGGCTAGAGGATCAATAAATTCATTGACTGATGAGAACTTATATACTGAAGATATATCTTGTGGTCCATTATCAAGTAGATTATTATCTGCAATACTAAGTAATCATGAAGGTGGTGGAGAATTAGAAGAAAAAGAATCTTTAGACGATGAAGTAGCAACACAATTAAATAGTGGAGAAGATTATAAAATCACTACGGAAGTAAATGATTATCAATCTATAGAAGATAGATTGAAAAGAGAATTAAAATATATTGGTATATTTATGAATTTACCCATTAATGATGATAAAAAGAAAAGAAACCCCAAAATAAGTATAATTGATAATGATGAATGGATAAAAAATAAAGAAGATGATGAAGTATGTGCAGAAATAAGAGCATTACAAAAGGAATTAAGAGAAGTAGTAAGTAGGAATAGAGCAAATAAAAAACAAATACTACCAATGATTGAAGATCATATAGCATATCAAGAATATAGTACAATATTAGAAGATTTAGATAGACAAGTTGATCAAGCATATATTAAACGTTCAAAAGGTAAAGGTAAAAAGAAAAAAATTGAAAATAATACTCCTCAACAACAAGCTGTAAATAGTGGGTTAAGAGCATTATTAGAAAAAAGAAAAAGATGGATTGATAATATTGGTAATTTATTCCCTCCAGCTGAAAAAATGAAAAGAGTACCTGATGATTCAATAATTATAAAACAAGGTGAAGTTGAAAATGAGGAAGAAGAAGTAGTTGATGAAGCTAATGATTTGTTTAAACAGTAGTGCTATAACATGTAATATATATTGATACGATTGATGACTATCTATTTACAAATTCTTATAATATACTCTATTTATCTATTTATTTAAAATTCATACCTTTTGTTATTTCTGAAAGTGATGGAATAGTTTTAACATTTCCAACAGCAGCTAATGCAATTGGTCTATTTTTCAATCTATAATTAGCCCAATTCACAACGTCATCTTTCGTTATTGATTCGACTCTTGCAAAGACATCTTCTGGTGATAATCTATAACCTGTATTTACAACTTGTCTACCTATATCTTCAGCAATAGCTGTTGAATCATCTAATGCTAGTAATAAAGAAGCTTTTAATTGAGCTTTTGCTCTTTCCACTTCATCGTCAGTTATATTACCAAGACTTAATCTACCCCATTCTTTTTGAATTGCATCTATCAATATTTTTAAATTTGCATTACTTTCAGCTGTAAAATAAACTCCTAATAATCCAGTATCTGCATATGATGTTGTATAAGCCATATAAGAGTTGGCTATGGGGGTATTATTTGGTCCACCTGTTGCTGCTGTTACAGCTAAAGGTGATGGAGAATTTGAACCAATTCCTATTGATCTATCCCATGAACCAATTATACCATTTGCAACCGAAGCAACAAAAAAATCTGGAGCTGACCAACTTACACCTTCAACTGCTAATGCAACATGAGTTGTTGGTAATGCATCATCTTGTACTCTAATTTCTTCTCCATAAAATATTGGTAAATCATCGCCACTTTGTTTGAAAGGTTTATCTGATTTTTTTATATCACCGAAATATTTTTCACCCATTTTCACTAATTCTTCATGATTTATACTACCAACTCCGATTAAAGCCATTCGATCTCCCTTATAATTTGTTGTAATATAACTTCTCAAATCTTCTCTATTTATAGTTTTGATTAAATCTCTTGGTCCCAATATAGTTCTACCTAAATCTTGATTTTTAAATGCAACAGAATGTAAATGATCAAATACAACTTCATCATACATTTTATCAACTTCATCACTTTCTTGTAAAATAACATGTCTTTCATTTTCAATAGCTCTTGTCTCCAATTTTGACTTAGTTAGCAAGTCACTTAATATATCTACATTTTGATTCAAATCTTCTGATAAACATTTAGTGTAATAAACTGTGTTTTCCCTACTTGTATATGCATTAATTTGTGATCCTAAATTTTCAATTTCTAACTCTAAATTTAATTGTGTTCTTTTATTCGTTCCTTTGAAAGCTAAATGTTCTAAAAAATGTGCAGTTCCACTGGATTTAGGATTATCAGCTCTTGAACCTGCATTAATCCATACTCCGACAGTTGCAGTTTTAGTTCCTGGCATTGATTCACTAGCTACTGTTAATCCATTAGGTAGTACTGATGTTTGATATGTTGGTGCTGGAGCTGTGGTGAATAATCTTGTTGATCTTACTATTCGTTTTATGGGTATCCTGTTCAACATTATATGAGTTGTGGTTGCAATAATGAAACTGAAGAAAGTTGGTTATGAATTGATTAATAATATATTATTTAAATCTATGCTATAAATCTATAAAAATTATGTCACTCAATTGGTAGCATGTAATTTTTAAATTTAGTAAGAAAAAAAAAATTCAAAACATCAACAAAAAGTTTACAACTAAAAATCAAATAACCAACCCATAATCCAGGATACACACCAATTTGAAAAATATGGCTTATACTGCACCAGCTGTAGTCATAGACAATGGTTCATACACAACAAAAGCAGGTTTTGCCCTGGAAGATCTACCTTCATTAGTCTTCAACTCAAACTATATACTAAATCCAGAAACCAAACAAGTAATTATAGGAGATGAAGAAATGAATTCTAACGCACAATATCCAGTATCCACATTATTAGAAGATGGAGTAATATATAATTTTGAAAATATAGTACACAATTGGAGATATGTATATGATAACATAGATAATCATAATCTGATAAATTCAAAAGATTATCCTTTAATGATGACAGAACAATCTTGGAATCCAATGAAAAATAAAGTAAAGACTTGTCAATTAGTATTTGAAGAATTTGAAGTACCGATTTTCAGTTTAGTTAAAAACCCAATAAGTCAACTATATAGAAGTGGAAGGTCTACTGGATTAGTAGTTGATATTGGCTCTAGTGTTACAAGTGTTACACCAATATTAGATGGTGTTATTCAAAATAAATCAACTTTTCATACAAGATTTGCAGGAGATTTTTTAAACCTACATGTCTTGAATTATTTACAATCAAAAGTACAATCAGTAGATGATTTATTACCAAATTCATATAGATCAAATTCATCATCAGATTCTTTTAAAGCTTATTATATGTCCACAAACATTTTACAAGAATTCAAGAACTTATCAAGTAATTATCAAATCTCAAATTTCGAAATATATGATCATAAATTTTTAAACGTCAATGATCAACATAATTCTTATCTTGACAACTTATTCAACCCATTAGCTCATCCAATACCAAATTTCAATTTACCAGAACCACCATCATTAGAAAAACCACATACTCAAGGATTAAACACATTATTCTATATAGTTTTAAAAAGTCTTGAAGCTTCATTATTGCCAAATTCAAATGAGGGTCCATCACAAAATAGATTTGCAAAATTTATGGAAGTTTTTAAAAATATAATATCGAATGTTTTAATAACCGGTGGTACATCATTAGCTGGTGAATTACCAGATTTAATTATAAATAATTTAAAAATCATAACTCAACAAAATTTTCCAAATTATGCTTTCCATTATAATGTATCACAAATAAGATCAAGTTTAGATAATTCAGAAACTTGGGATAAACAATTTGGTAGTTGGTTAGGTGCATGTAACTTAGCTTGTATGTTAAATGATAATAAAGATAATTCAAATAGTGCAAAGATTGCATTAGATAATTGGTTTATAACAAAAGCTGATTATGAAGAATTAGGAGAAGATTTAATTGTTGAAAAATTTAAGTAAATAAACAAAGTATAAAAAAAGTAAATGTATTATTAATAACTTAAATCTATAAAAAACATATCAATTTTTCCATGTGACGTATTTATTGTCATATTTTGCAGTCTCTCCATGTAAATCTAAAATTTGTTTAATCTTAATATCAATACCTAATTTATCATTTGATTTTGATTTAAAATGTTTAAAAACTTCAGATGGAGTTGGTAAATAAGTTCTATTTGATCCATCACTACCTTCAATATAATTTGCAACTTCTTTATTTCTTGGTAATCCAAAATTTAATGGGTAATCGTTATAATCTAATCCAAACCATTTTTTGATTAATGGAGATGATAATAATTTTAATGTATCATCATTTGCTGTTAAAATATTCTTAACGTATTCTGGAGTTACAATACTTGGATCATTCCATTTTGGAAAAAATGGATCTTTTATTTTATCAACTAATTTATGTATAACACCTTTAGCAAAATCATTTTCTTTTGGTGGTAATCTTTGAATATTAGTTGCTGCAATCATTTCTAATTCAAATTGTTCTTTAATTGAGTTTTTCAAACCACGATTCATTAATTCAAATCCAATAGCTAATGAAGTTCTAGGTTTTTGTAATAATGTTTTCAATGTCTTTTGAGCGAATGGTGAATTATCTTTTTTCAAGTAGTCCAAAACTTCGTTGATATTATTTTGAGAAAATGCTTTGTTAACTAAGTCAATTTCATCATCACTTAAGAAATATTTATAATCATTTGGTAAATGTTTTTCACTAAATTCATTCAAAATGTTATTAACTTGTTGAAAATAATGTGTGTTACCTTTAACTAATGAAATTTCTCCAGCAATTTCTGGTGGTTGTAAATTTGCTAATCTATTAATTAATTGAGGAATTTTTTCAGACTTTATATAATGAGTTGCAAAACCTGTAAAGTAAGCATCTAATCCATTTAATATACTACCAGTTAAAGCAGTGTAATAACCTAATTTATTATCTAATCTTGGTAAAAAAAATGTAGTACCAACATCTGGGAAAAATCCAATATCCATCTCTGGCATTGCTAATTTTGTCTTTTCGGTTGCAACTCTAAAAGGTGCATGAACTGATAAACCAACCCCACCACCAAATGTTATACCATCCATTAATGAAATATAAGGTTTTGGTAAAGTTGAAATAATATAATTTAAATTATATTCCTTATCAAAAAAATCAGCACCATAACCTGGATTACCTTTAACAATTTGATTAGCACATTCAGCAACATCACCACCAGCACAAAGAGCTTTTGGAGAATTTGAAGTTAATATTATAACATTATTTGCTGATTCTTTTGCATAATTTAATAAATCTGGAGTAATTAATTCAATCATTTCAGTATTCAACGAGTTTAACTTTCTGACTCTATTCAATGTTATAATTCTTGCATGATTTTTAGTTGAATGTAAAACGACTGCTTCATCAGTTCCATTTCCAGCAGTCGAATTTGATGAAATTTGTTGAGACATTGATCTATAATTAATTAATTGATTATAACTAGTTGATTTAAGTCTACTAATAATAATTTTAACTTCTCTATTAATAATTGATGAAGCAGTTTTTATCATAAAAGTTGAAAGTTGACAAAAATTGAACAATTTCAATAATTTGAGAGGTATTGTAATATAATTTATTCTCAGTTGATAAATAAATTAAAATTAATGTGGAGAAAATTAAAATTATGATTCCGTGGAAATTTAAAAATTCAAGTCTAATTGGTAGCTTGTTTTATATTTGTTTAAAAAAACGGTTACTACAAGCTTAAGGGGTCGTAGATATTAATTCAGATTTAGGCGCTAAGATGAAGTTTGAAACAGATAAATAGAGCTGACAACTACAGATAATCTAGTTTAATTCCCATTTTATTTATCTATTTAATCTATTTGCATTGATTCAACAGCTAAATTATGTTGTTTAATTTTATAAGGATTAATTTCTTTTAATTTGATACCAAATCTTTTATCTTTTACAACTTGATTTAAATGATTTATAATATCCATTAATTCATTTGATAATTTATATTTTGAATGAATCCAATTAACTTTTGAAGTTTCACCACCATTTAATCTAACAACTTCTTGTAAATCTTGATTTATTAATATAGTTGTTGATTCTTTAACATTTGATATATTAGAACCTAATTTTAATAATGATTTTAATTTTATTGATGATATACCTAGTTGTGGTAATGGAATTTCCATACCTGGTAATACAGGCTTTGAAGCATCGATACCATGTTTACCAGTTGGATTTGAAGTTAATAAAATTTCTTTTAATGGAATGAATTTTGTAATTTGAATTGGTTTTTGTTGAATTAAATGACGATTAGTTAATTCGGCTGCTCCTAATCTAAATGATTTTAATTCATTTTTAACAAGATCAATTTGTTGTTTAATTTCTTCTTCTGTAGTTTCAAATTTTATCGGAAATGAATTACTTGCATAATCTAATTTAAATGGATAAACTGAAAATGATTTATCAATTTCTCCTAATAATTTTCTTGAAGTTTTTAATTTTAATTGATGAATTACTGCAAAATCACGTATAAAAATAGAAGCTTTTGAATTAAAATCTTGTTTATAATTTTTACCTGAGAAATTATCGATTTCTTCTGTAGTTATAATTCCTAATTCATTATTTAATCCACTCATACTGATTTCAATTTGATATACTTCACCTGGAGTTATTGTAAATTCATCAGTTGGTATAGCTGATGAACTGTTTGTTAATTTTGGTTTTTTAACTTCTGTACTTATTTCCATTGATCCTTGTTTCAAAAAATTTGCCTCTTGATGTGATTCATCCCATACAACACCTTTAAAATCACGTTCTGCTACTATTCCTTCAGCTTGTCCTGCCAAGAATCTTCTTACTCTTCTAATTTTTGAACATGGTACAACCACACAATTAAATGCATCTGCTATAGCATCAACTAATTGACGTATCTGACTACCTGTTATTGTATTGCTGGTGTTTTTCAATTGTTGTGGTAATTTCTCTGGTGATAATGAACAACTCAACAAAGCAACAACTGCTTCTGTTGCAATGTAAGAAGCACAAATGGCATCTGCATTATTTCCTAATAATGGACCATTTGGTTTTGAGTCGGTTGTTGGATATATTACTATTGTATGACTTACTTGTGAAGTGTAACCATCTATTTGTACCCCTAAACTTATTGTTACTACATCTCCTTCACTTAAATATAAATCTCTCTCATCATCAATTTCTGGTGCAAAGCCATTTAATAATTCATTTACATTTAAAGTAGTTGGTGTTGCAATTCCCTTTTCATTAACTTTGTTGACGTATTGCTTTGATAATAAATCCATTAAAAATGAATCTGTTAATAAACATAGTTGTTGAATAGTTAATTTGTCGGTGGTTTTTAAATGATATGAATTGTTGATTAATGATATTACATATTGTAAACCAGTTTGAGTTATTTGACCTGCAACTCGATATTTCTCTATAATTGCTTCGTCTAAAACGTTTTTTTGCTTTAATAAAATATCAGCATCATCTTGATGGACTGCTACTTGCATCTTTATGTTTATTTTATTAAAATGGTTTTAATATCAATTTTGAAACTTTCTTGAAAAATCTCATCTCTATATTTTTTTTGATGCACCAAATCAATTACACAAAATCAGGAAGTTGCAAAAAGAATTAAGTAGATTCAATAGAGAGTTTGAATGTATTTTATAAATTTATACATTATCTATTTCATACTTTCACTAAATTCGTTGTAATAATCCGGTTGAGAATCTCTATCTAGAAACTCATCATATGATTTACCAAAATTATTCGTACAATCTGGGTCATCTGAATATTCACTAATTTCATCTACAGCTGTATCATCGTTATTGTCGACTTTATTGCCCTCAGTGATTTTCATTTCATCCACTACTTTTTCCTCTGGCTCTTCTGCTTTTGATTCTCTCCTCTTTTTTCGTTCTTTCACCCATTGTATGTAATCGTTATATTCATCAACCACAGCTTTTTCCTTCTCATAAACATCATTTGAAACCCCCGGATCTCTCATACTTCCCAAATTAGTATCTTGGAAAAACTTCACTGGTTCCATATCATTCGGAAAGTACTTTTGTTTTACTACTCCATTTTCATAATTTGGATTATACTTATAATCTTCGCCAAAACCCATTGACTTCATTAATCTTGTTGGTGCATTCTTCAAATGAATTGGTACTGGTAATCTCAAAACATCGGGGTTTTCCTTAATATAAGTTTGAGCTGACCTCAAAGCTCTATAAGATCTTGTTGATTTTGGAGCTCTTGCTAGTTTTGTAGTACAATGAGCTAAAATTATTTCACCTTCTGGCATACCAACAAACTCAAATGCTTGTTTTGCAGCTACCATGAAAGGTAAACACGAACCATCTCTTAATCCAATATCTTCACTTGCAATTACTGTCATCCTTCGTAGTATAAAAAGTGGATCCTCACCTCCTGAAAGCATTTTCACTAAATAAAACATTGCCGCATCAACATCTGAACCGCGTATTGACTTGTGAAAAGCACTTATAATATCGTAATGAGCATCACCATTCTTATCATACATTTGATGGAAATTTCTAGCCTTCAAAATTGATTTAAGATCATCAACAGTTACTTTTGTAGGTTCGTCATTTTTCTCTTCTTTATTGGCTGAGGAATATGCATTTACTGTCTCTAGTATATTCAAAGCTACTCTAGAATCACCCATACATAACTCTGATATATATCTAAATCCGTCTTTATCAATAGACAAATAAGGCAAATGATATAAAAGTTTCCTCATTTTGTTAACTTCAAATAATGCTCTATTTAAAATCTTCATAATGGATTCGTTATTGAATGGTTCCAATACAAATACATGCATTCTTGAAAGTAAGGCATTGTTCAATGAAAAAGAAGGATTTTCAGTAGTTGCGCCAATAACAGTACATGTTCCTTTTTCAACATGAGGTAGTAAAATATCTTGAACCAATTTATTAAACCTATGAATTTCATCAACAAATAAAATAGTCCTTTGACCCGTTAATTTTCTGTGATTTTCGGCTTGAGTAAAAACTTCTTTCAAATTTTTGGCTCCACTATCAGCTGCTGATAATTCAACAAATTTGTGAGAGCTCTCTTTTGCAATAACTCTACATAATGTAGTTTTACCTGAACCTGGTGGACCCCATAATATAAACGAAGGAATTTGGTCAGATTTTATAATATTACTTAAAGTAGCTCCTTCTCCTAGCACATGTTCTTGTCCAATAAATTCATCTAGAGTTTTAGGTCGTAATCTATGAGCTAAAGGTATACCCAGTTTTCTTTTCAATTCTGCTAACTCTTTTGCTGGATCTCTTGGTGGTGGTGATGATGATGGTGGTGGTTGTATTTCAAGTGGTTGATCTTCCTGAGTCTTTGGTTGTAGTGATCCTTCAAAGCTCTTATCTTGAAAACTATTACTCCGTTTAGCTTCAGTCTTGCTCTTCTTCTTCTGTGAGTCAGCTTTTAAACCTAACGCGCTAAATGCATCGCGTTTCTTTGTTTCAGTAGCTATAACCTCGGGTTTTTCTTGTCCGTCTAAACATGAATTGACATGTCTTTCTAGTAAGCTCTCTGAAATTGGTTTTGAGCAGATTGGACAAACCGTATTCATCTTGCTGATGGTGGCAATTAATTAAAATGTAAATGGTAATAGTTGCAAAAATATGGATTTCTAAGTGATCCTCATAACTCCACAAACAGTTTGGTAGCATTGAAAAAACGCATTCTGATTTAAATTTCTAACGCGATCTATTTAATATGTTAGTAAAATCTAGTACTAATATCACATTAGATAAATTTACAACCAGTCAATATAAATGACAGAGATAGAGTTAAGTCTACCCGAATCATCAACAAAGCATAGAAAACCAAGGAAGAAAAGATCAACAGTCAACTCAGAATTAAACAATGTTCATGAATCAAATGAAGATATATTAAAACAATATAAGAATTTTGTAAATGCACCAAAATTTAATCTAAATAGTGAAGAAGTTTATTGTATATGTCGAGAACCAGATGAAGGAGATATAATGGTAGCATGTGATGGATGTGAAGAATGGTTTCATATGAAATGTATGAATGTGAATCCTGATGTTTCAAATTTAATTGCAAAATTTTATTGTAAATTTTGTAAATGGAAAAATATTGGTTCAACTTTATGGAAAAGAAAATGTAGATTAGAAGAATGTTTGAAACCTATTGCTGATAATTCAAAATATTGTAGTAAGGAGCATGGTGAAGAATATATGAGACGATTGTTTCATGAAAAAAATGTTGATATTGAAACAATAAAAAAGGTACTAGGTTTTGTTGGTGATAGTGAAAAATTACATCAATTAGGTTCAAGATTTCCCGAACTTGAACAAATTAACAAATTTAAAACCGATGAATCAATAGATCAATTTCCTATGAATACTCAAGAAGAATTGACGAATTTAAAAAACCAAAGTGACTCAACAAATGATCAGATTCATGCATTAGAAAAGAAATTGGAAAATCTACAATCAATGAAAGAAAATATTAAATTCATTAATGAAAAAGTATCAGAATCTATATATCCGGGAGAAAATCAAAAAAAGAAAAAACAGAAAAAATTGGAATTGTGTATGTGTGATAAATCTGACAACAACATGATTATTCAAATTGGTTCATCGAATGAGTTATTGGAAAAATTGATTAAAAAGATTCTGAAAAGAATGGAAACAATTGAAGAAGATGAGGTAGAAGAAGAACAAAATGAAGATGAAGATGGTGACACAAATATGGAGACCGTACAAGATTATGATGATCCGGATTGGTTTTACGAAGTATGTGTTAAAGAAAAAAAGAAATGTCATCGACATGCGGGTTGGTTCAGTCTTTATTATGATGAAATTATCAAAGTACTAGACCAACTAGTTCTGAAGAAAGAACAATTAAAAACTGAAGAAGATAATGTTTTACGAAATTATTCTATAACTGTTTATGAAAGCCAGTGATTTATAGACTCGCATTAATAATTAATGATTAATATTTTTTCGTTTTTTCTACTAAACCTGCTCTTCTGTTAAGCTATTACCGAGTTGAAGGCTCCAAACTGTAGTCACTTGATCATTCAAAATCTAACTAGATAGTTCAGATAATATAATCTTAATAGTTCAAAAATGTCTGTACCAAATAACTACACACGAGCAGACACTTTTTTTAAAATGCAATAAATCAAGAAAATATCGAGTTAATCAATTTAAGTCATCATACATCAATTTTAAATCTCTAGCCTAAAAAGCATCTTAAAGAAAAAAAAAAAGAAAAAAGAAGATCTACATCAAAGATCCTTTTTACAAATTCTGTTTGTCTTGCTTATTTTGCAAAAGCAAGGTTTGTGTTAGTTGAGATATTAATTGACGACAATCTATACTTCCACATGAAATTTATTAAGCCTGATTTTTCGGAATGGAGAAGAATCGCTAAGATTAGATTTGGTTCAAAGGCGGAGATAGTTTGAAAAAATTGTATTTTGATAGTGATTTATGACGTTGATGTTGTAAGGCTCTTCCTCAGGTCCAAAATATTTCATAGATTCATCTTAATAAAAACGTGGGTAAGGATAATTGAAATTGCAATTAAGGTACTTAATAAAATATAATTCTTATAATCTTTTATTGTATTTTTTTTTCAACATTGATTGACGACCGGTTATTTATTTATCCCATAATCGACACAATTCAAATTAATATTATAAATTGTTTATACAATAGAAGTCTAGATTGAAACTGAATTCAAGATAATTATAAGTCGATCAAAACTTTAAATTTCATTCAGAATGAATGATTAATAGCAATTGCTTCGCTGATCCTAGAGTAGATTTATTAAATCCTTATGGTTTTATTTATGTTTGATATAGAGAATCAAGCTTTCTCTATCGTTACGGTATATTTTGGAATATAATTCTTGACTAAGTAAGTTTTTACCTTACCTAAAAAGAAATCCTAGCTAGAGCAAGGACTATAATAAATCTCCATACCAAATCAAAATTAGAATTGGCACATTCTATTGAATCAACCCCAAATTTTTGTAAAATTAATGTTTCAAGATTCTTTTTAAATAAAAACTGATTTGAAAAAGAAATTTTAAACTTTTTAAGTTACCGGAAATCTGTTTTTAATTTAAATTGTAGAAAATTTTGAGAATTAGCAAGAAACTTTAAATTATTTTCTACTCAATCAAATCTCTTTGATATGAAATATGAAAGTAGAAATGCTTAATCGGTATATCGGAGGGTAGTTGATTCCAATGGCAAATGGAAAATCAATTATTAATAACTTGAGATTCAATTGTCCTTTCATGTTTGTGATTTGCATTGTAAAAAGCTTTCAGAAGGTTCAGTCTTGAAAGTTTGAAACAATAGATGCAAAACTTGAGCCCTGTTGTACTAAAGCTATCAATGGATCTTGAGCCAGATCCAATCTAGATCTTAATTCCGTTAGATGATTTTTAATTTACAAGTATCGAAAATGTAAAAAAATAAGCATTAAAAACTAAAACAATAGAACTTAAGAAGTTGAAATTTTAACATGTGTCTTTTTAGTTGTCAAATTTAAAGTTTTATTGTTTCTCCAAGTTTCAAATAGATATTTCTTGTAAAATTCATTTAAAAATTTTAATTAGCTTATCAATTCATTAGAATTAGTTGAATTTCATATTTCTTTCAAAGTATCATGTTAAATTTTTATTATTTAAACTTTCTGATTATAATATTTTCTTCTTTTGTAGTGGCACATTTCCTTGCTAGACAAGAAAAAAGTATAACAAACGTTTGTAAAATTTGTGTACTATCTCATTAAACTCGTTTGAGAATTTTAAATTTGCCAAAACTTTAATTTCCAATTGAGTTCATATATCCGATTGACTGCTACTTTTCTTATTTTTAAATTTAAACTTATTTTGCAGTTCAACTAACCTGCAAGGATTTAAACCTGTGGAGGTGCTAATAATAATTTGGGAAGATTTACTACTAAGGAGGGCACTTTAATAAGTATGGGTGATAAATGTACAATTCAAAAAAAAAGTGGGATGATTTTTGAAACAAAGATCTTTGTTATTGTTTGGAAAATTTTCGGGCGTAAATTTATAATAAGATGGTTAATTTCAGATTCATTTTGTTTACGAGACTTGATAGATCTAAGTTTAATTTAAATAGATTATGGCTCTACATTTTATATTGCCCTAGGTGTCAGGGCCCTAATAATAAAATTTTATAGTCTAATAATCGCTCAAATATTCTTATAAAGAAGATTAACTGAAACTACTCCTTTTTACGAAAATTGTTATTTTCTTCAATGAAATCACAGTACGAATTTTGGGAGATCATCAACTTAATTAACTAATAGGGAAAATAATGGAAATGTACATCTAAAATAAAAATCTAATCTTAATTTAGGTTTTTTGGTTGTAATTTACAAAAAACACGAAATCATAGTAATACACAATCTCAAAATAATGTAATACTTCTTAACTTTAACGTAGAGATCAAAAAATTAAAATATGTTCTTTCCTTTGGTGCATTAATTTTAGTCAATGTTACATATTAAAATCTTATTATGGAAAACTTTTACTTTTTTCTTAATTTCCTCAGAGATTTTTGAGAAAACCCTTTGCCAATGATCGACTAATTTTTTTAATGAACCCTGCTTGTTGAGGTTGTACTTTATGTTGTAAACTGAATACGAGTGAAAAATTAAAATTTACTTAAGGCTGTGAATTTTTTTCGGTGAGTTAAAGAACTTAACATTTTGACTGCAAATTCATAAATTAAAGTTATTTTAATTCTATTTCATATTTCAAATAAACATTTCAAAAGAACACATCTAATTAAATTCAATGAATTTTATCACCGCCTTTCTATTACAACATTTGTTTAATATTTATTATGATCTTTTAATTTTTTCTTTAAAGCACAAAACTAAATAATATAAATAATATAAGTAAGTAATAATATTTTTTATATGAATTAATTTGATGTAGGATGTAAATTATCATATCAAAAACTAATATTATAATTTATTTCATTAATTAGATTAGATTAAATTCAAAGTCTAAAAATGGTTCATCTACCAAATAATAGGATAGATAATAAAAGTTCAATCATCGTTCCGAATTTTTTAAATTCATGTTTTTTAGTTTAATCTTTTCTTCATTATTTATTATTATTAATTAATAATTAAACTAAAATTAATTTATTTATTAATTAAAAAAATTTCTAAAAATTTATTTCTAAAAATAAAAGCGCAAATGATGAATGATTTTATTTATGGAATGGATTAATTATAGTGTCTGCCAAATTTGATTATTGGACTCAAATCCACTTAAAGTAATCGTTAGTTGAGACCATCTCATTCTCAATATCCTTTCGAGTCAATAATTGATACTTCGTTTTCTCAATCTATGATGTGGCTACTTATTTTATGTCAATTAATTGTAGAGAATTCCTGATTAAAAAAACAATAACACAAAATCTCAAATTGATTACATCTATTAATATGCATTAACATCTATTCCAATTCTAACCATGTATAACCATAAATTCATCTCCTATCTGAATTAAGTATGATTCAATTGCATAATTAATCATAAATCTTTTATAAATAAAGCCGTGACTGAAATACTATAATTTTAGTCAAAATGTGACATCGAAGAATAATAAATTATTAATTCTTATTAATATTGAGCCTAACCCAGGCGAGAATAGTTTGCAATAAAATTTAACAAGTTTTTAAATTTGAGGGTTTTTTTATTCAAAATATTTAATTAGATTAAGTTGATAAGTCAAGAAATCTTGGAAACAAGTTATTGAGTGGGTTAACTAAAAGATTTGAATTATGGAACGGCATTGTTCTTGTCTCATCCCCTATAATTTAAATAGATTTTAGTAATTAATTTTAAAACATTATTTTAAAAAATTCTAAACCATAGTTCGTTAGAATTAGTTTTTAAATCTTACTATTTACCGTTCTTTAGTTTGGTGTTATGCGCATAGTTTTTAGTATAAGATCTAAATTTCTATTAATTTATGCTTTTACTCCTCCTCTTTGATTTAATCTTATCATTACAGTTACAAATTCTTCGAAAATCTTAAGGAGTATGGAAAAAGAATTTAAAATTATTAATTCGTAAGTAGTTTATAAATATTTATTATCATCTAACAATAAAAATCTATATAGAATTAAATTAAATTTAAAGTATATATATTTTTTGCAAATTTTTTTAATGACGAACTAAAGGAAATGATGGAATATAATGCAAATTTGAATTATGATTAATATTATTATTATTATTATTATGACGGTAATTTATAACAGGTGGAGGTAATGAAAATTTACGTTCATTATGATTATGAATTATAATTGGTTGTGATTGTGAATGTTGTGGTGGAGGTGGAGCTGGTATAGTTGAAACTGAATGAGCATGTATTATATTATAAGGGTTTGATGGAATATATTGATGTTGTTGTGGTTGTTGATGTAATGGTGGAGATTGATGATAAGATTGTTGATTTTGAGGATGTAATCCATAACTATTAATAGTATGATTGAGATGAGCGTTGTTGTTGTTGTTATGTTTTTTAACACTAATTCTTCTACCATTCTTACCTTTGGTAACTCTATTATTTAATACTTCCTCAGCAGCTAATAATGCACCTTTTCTTTTAACTAATTTTGCATGATATAATCCACAAGCATTACATAAAGTTCTTACACCTTTTGGACCTCTTCTCCATTCTGGAGTTTCAGTTGTTCCACATCTATGACATTTATTTACTGGTCTGTAATTTATATCTGGATATGATGGGGCTACTAATTGTTGTTGTGGAATAGGTTGTTGTTGTTGTAATTGTTGTTGAGGTAAATATTGTGGTAATGAAGTTGAACTTCTATGTAATAAGGGTTGTTGTTGAGGGGTGTAACTTATTGGGGATTGTTGTAAAGTGTTGATGTTAGTATGTTTTTGAAAATGAATATGCGGACTAGTTGATGAAGATGAAGATGAAGATGAATAAGAACCTCTATGTTGATTAGCTAATTGACTTGGACTTGGAATTTGTTGGCTACCAATACTGTTTTTAGAAATCAATGGTAATTGAGGTGGGACCGTATTGGTATTGTTATTATTACTTGAATTTTGATGATAAGGTAAAGCTGGTGATGGTAATTTATTAAATCCATTATTATTTTGATTATTATTTGAATTTGAAAATACGTAATTTGAAGTTGGGGTATTTGGTTTTATGGGTGGAATTTTGAATCCGACATCATTAGAATCATTTGAGTCTGATATAGAATTATTCAAGTTATTATTATTATTATGAACATTATTATAATTATTATTTAAAATTTCTTTTTGTTGTAAAATACTTGGTAAAGAAGTATTATTTTTATTATATCCATTTGCTGGGAATCTTGGCGATTTTGATGAATTATTTAAGTGGTTATTTCCGTTATTTAAAGGGTTTGAAGTTGGCGATGTTGTAGTAATTGAGTTTATTAATGGAATGTTTGAATTCTTATTATGACTTTTCGTTAATTCTGTAATTGATGGTAATTTTATTGGAATGGTATTTGAAGTTGGAGTTGTAATTGTATTGGTAGTGATTACTGACATTGTTAATTTATTTTAATAACTCCTTAATTATAAGTATACTCTTAGTAAATAATAATATTATTATTACTATTAACTTATTATAAATAATTGATCTATAATTATAATTATTGAATCTCTATTAAAACAGAGATGAATAAATTTAATTAAAAATGAATAAAAAGTTGTTTCAGATAAGTAGATAAATAAAAAAACTAAAGAATGGTTAAAAGATTTGAAATTTGAAGAGATTATATTGATTTATATTTATATTAAAAGATTAAAAGATTAAAAAAAAAGAGTATTAAATATTTATGTCAAAATATAAAATTTATTTAAAATTAGAATTTATTATTATAAATTTTTATTATAATTTTACATTTGTGTAATTTATGTATAATGTATTAAAATATTATTATATATATAATAATTTAATAAATACTACATTAAAACCTTAACTTTAAATTTCTATTTTTTTTGTGGCTACCAATCTTTTTCAATTTGACAGACATTTTTTTTTCTTCAGATTTCTACAATCTCCCCGGTTAATTATAAAAATGTTACATAGTACAAAATATGTCTTTTAGTATTAAGATCTTATAGAAGAAGAATAAAAGAAGAAAGTAAATAATTACTAAATATTTTGTAACAAATATTTAAAGAGGATGATGAATTAATAAGAATTAATGATTGTCGAAAGAAAGAATAAAAAAAGTTGTGTGAAAATATCATTTTATCAATTCTAGATTTTAATTCTAATTTTAAATCATTATATCTTTCATATTAATCTTAATTTTGAATTCAATTAAACTATTGTACATATATGGCTTGTGCTCTTACAAAAATTAAGATTTTTCTTTTGCTTTAATTTGTAGTTTAAAGTATTACGTAAAAAATTAATTAATGGATCAATATAATGTAAGGTCCACTTTTGAAAAGAAAAAAATATAAGAAAAAGCTTTTCCCTTAATTAACAATTAATTCAAATTATCTTTATATTTCCATATATATAATCTTACATGTGTTGAATGCAAATCATTAATTATGGATAAGAGTTTTACCTTATACTTAATGAATTAAGAAGACTATTGATAGCGCAATATTTAGAAGGGAAAAATGATTGCAAAATCAAATTTGATTTCTTTTTCTGTCTTGTTTTTGTTTTAAAAAAAACAATATAACAGCTTTTTTAAGATTTTCCTTAAATTATAATTATTGAAATTGTCGATTAAAACAATAGAGTTTTTACGTTTCTTTTTTACCCTAAATTCTCTCATTTAGATTGACGATAAAATGATTAGTGATCTTGTATATTTGATAAATTATAATAATCAAATTTGCACATTCTAGTAAAGTTTTTCTTCGATATCTTTAGTGATACAAGGGATGGACATAGGAATTGATATTCTCTATTTGGAAATGATTTAATTACAAATTTCTTTTTTAAACTTTCTTATATCAAGAAAGGGTTGGTCTTATATGTTAGTGATAATATAGTTGCAAAAAAATATAATATTATTTTTGCAATATTATAATTTAATCGAAATAATTCTCAAAAATTTCTACATATTTCTTTTTTAAGAATAAGATAGAAAGTAACATCTTCATCTTGCCGCCTTTATAAAATTTATTAAGCTAAAGTTTAAAATCATCCACAAGTTTAAAATCATCCACGGGTTGGTGTTTACGCTGAACTTAATTGGCAACAATCTTCCATTTTTTGATACTTAAACAAATTTAAGTTACGAAAAACATATCAATAAAATATTATATTACCACTATGGCCCACTTTATCAATACAGCAAAACTTGTTTAGTCAGCTTGTAGCAAAGAGAGCAAATATCCGTTACTTCCTTTGTGTAAGAATATACTGCTCAATAACATGTTGAAATACTGATAGCGAATAAAAGTAAATGATAACGAATGTTTTTAAATGCATTGATTTTTGGGTTGATTGAAGGTAATTAAAAAAAAATTAAAAAGATGCTTAAAAAGTAAAACGCAATGAAAGTAGTGTTTGTGAAACTGAATTAACGTAAATGCCTCTATTGTTCTTTCAGTTATATATGATGTGATTATACTCGCAGACTCCACAGACTTATTATGTAGAACGTTTTAAAACTAATTTTTCGACCTAACTTAGAAAATAATTTTTAGGATAAATAAAATGTTTCAAATGTCAAATTTTACTACTTTAGTCTTAATCAAAAATTTCCATGCATATTGGTACTTGTTATAATGTATATCTCTATCTATCGATTAATATCACAAATACCTTCAAATACCGAAGCAACCAAAATACAATTGATTACGATAATGCAATATGTACATTAATTGATGAGATTAAAAGTATAGAAAAAATTTAAAAAAATCCTCCGTATTCCGCATATTACCATATCTTAACTAGTTTTTATCATCTTTTGAATTTACTATTGAGATGAAACTCTAGTAGCCAATTAATAAATAATCTCATGCTTTTTATCTATAGATTAAATTAAGCTCAATCTTAATTTAACTGTAAATTTACATGTGAATATCTGGCTAGATTGTAGCTAAATTGACTCAGATGTAGATAAGATTTGTTATATTTTTGACTTTTATTTTAAAAATCCTATGTAATAAATTTTGAAGTTGACAGTTTTATAATATTATATTATATTGAATCTTTTCAGGAAATTAAAAAATAATTTTTGAAGAAACAGATGAATAGAGTTAAGGTATTATAATTATAATTATTGATTAAGAATTTAACGTAAATAATAATTTTGTTTCTTTTTTGGTTGCGAAATGTATTTAATTAAAACATAATAAAAAATTGACCTCACTAACATTAGAACTAAATCAAAGTAATTACTTATACGTCCAAAGTTAAAATCATAATCATAATTTAAAATTTCTGTAATTTAACTTGTCAGTTTTTAGCTTAATCTTTTTGATATTTTAGTTCCATTTTAAATCGAAAAAAAAAACTTAGATATCTTAGATATATCAAGAAATTTTAGATTCAACTAAATAGGAAGTGGGGAGTTATGGATTATTTTAGTTTATTTGGTTACGAGTCTCATCATTACATATCCCCTATCAGATATATATTTGGAATGAAGTATTTTCTAAAATTACAAAATAAATTTTATGAAATTTCTTAATTTTAATAGAAATTATAATCGATAATATAAAGTTAATTGACCTTTTTAAAGCTTAAAACAATAAATCTTCTTTCTCATAATAATCTCGGCCCCACTTTAAATACCCCTTCTTTATAATATACCATAAATGCTATTGAAGATTAGAGCCTCAAAGGTGTCAACATTAGAGGATAAGTGGCTTATTTCAATCAAACAAGGTGCTGGTTGAATTATACGTCAAAAAACATATGATCATTATATTTTTAGTTTTTAAAATGCGCATTTCAAGTGTTTTGATAATTTTGTTATTCGATAACTTTTTTAACGTTAATTTTTTTTCGATTTCGCACCGAGTTTTAAACGATTTACAGTAGATTAAATCGTAACGAACTATAAATTTTATTATTACAATAATATTAAAAAAAATAAAGCCTCACTATTTGTTTTATATGTCTAAATATCTAATTTGGTATTGTTAAATTTTTAAAAAATAAAACAATGTGAGAAAATTGTTAACGGGTAGAGTTCCAATTATTGATCTTTAAAACTGTAAACTCAAAACATGGGCTGAAAGGGATCACGCTGATTAACAGTAGTTTCCTAAAATTGCTAAATCTTAACATCAACAACACAGCAAACTGATCATGTAGCACACTTTAACCTTGCAATCATGCATTAGCTTTCTTATACATATGAGCTTGCCACGGCTAATTCTATTTTTATTATTTTTGGACTAATTGAGAAATGTGAGTTTAAAAAAATTTGATTTTGTGCATAATATTAAATCCCAAAACTAATATGGGTTGAGAACAGATTCAATTTGATCAACAAATAGAATTATAATAGTTTACTGTCCACAAATGTTAATTGAATCTCGTGTCTATGGATTAAATCTTTCAGTTAACTGAAATTTAGATAGAATTGAATGTTGAAACCTGATAGGGTAAATTGCTCATCTTCAAAAAATCGTGAATCATATCAACGGATAAATAGAAGAAAATTGGAAAGTCCTATCACAAATCCTTTTTATTTATGTGACCTATTGATTCTCTTATCTGCTATAGCCATAAAAAAATGATTCGATTTTTTGACGTAGTTAGTGTATGAAACGCAAATTTGACACAAAAGTCAATATTTGATTATCATTCAACAAACCCTTTACTTTTTGATCAATCTGAAATTCTGTATTAGATTACAAATATCATTACACTAAGATTTAAATTCAAAATCTAAACTAACTACTAAAAGTTAGTTAAATTTCTGATCTTCACTTATTTATAAATAATTTAATAATTTAGATTTTACTGATTATGCAGACATTTTGTTATTTTACTTATTTTGATTGGAAATCTGAAATCTGTAAGATTTATTAAACACTCATAATTACTTATTGCGCTTACACTGCTCAACACAAATTTAAGAGATTATACATTAAAATACATTACAATCGAAGGATCTATAATTTTATTTATTTTTAATTTGAGTTTTAATTAACAACAATCTGAAACTTTATCTTTTGATTTTAATAAGCAGACACTCAAAATTTCACCTTCTTTTATGGTAATGGAAAAAGTTTTTACCGGTGACACAAAAATAAAAAAACATCTCAACGGTTATTACAATATATCTATTTTATTCTTTTTGACATAATTTTTGACTCAAAAAATAAGTTTATCAATCAGGGTTCATATTATTAAATCTTACGATTATATTGTCTCAAATTTGTTGATGTGGAGAAAAATCTCTTCAGTGAATGATCAAAAAACTTATTTTGAGACTAGGTCTTCACAAGGATGAATTGACGATATATCATGAAAAAACAAAATTTAATTTGTTGTCCAAATAATTCTATTGTTCCCCATGATATATTTTAAATATTCTCATTATCCGTGTATAAGCATAATTCAACTGAAAGGGGAGGTAAAAAAAATATCTCAAATAAACATTTTCGATCAATTTAGCAAATCATTACGATTATCATTTCTATTGTTTCAAAGAAATATTTATTTGCCGGCAAATCTTTTGCGCAAAGTTAATGATTAATCAAATACAAAAAAAAGACGTTAAGATACAAAATTATGCATTTAAATAAATTTTATTGTTTTTTTTTTCAAGGACCTTATTGTTAAAAAAAGTCAAATTAAAATTGTTAAAATTTAAGAATTGAGAACCACAACCATTTTAGTTTAGATGTATTTTGCGTTTTAGTTTTAATTTTGAATAATCCCCACTTTTTTTTCTTTACTAGTTCGAAATTAGATAATGGTTTGTGAACAAAAGCTGTGTTGTCCTCTCCTACCTTTAAACTTAATACCCCAAGTTCGAAGTAACCAAATAAGAAGAGGACAAATAAGATTAACAAATTTAATTACAGTCAACTTTTGATTTTAAACAAAAAAATGGGCTTAAATTTTAATTAAAACAAATATCATGGAGTAAAATCTATTTATAGAATCAAAACTATTTTGAAATTTTAACATCTCTATCTCTTTGAATTTTAACACTGTAAATGAGAGATAATTTAGTATTCAGTATCAATCTGCCTAACTTGGAAATTCTCCACCCAAAAAAGTTGTACAAATTACTATTTAAAATGTTGAAAAATGATTTTAACCAATGAATTGGGTTAAATGGGTTGAAAGGTTCGATTAATAGTCATAACCGTTATACTTACACGTGTAAGAAGATGATTCATAAAATTTAAAGAGTGATTGATCAAGTGAATTTGCGCTTTCTTGATGATACGTTTAAAAAATGAAATTATTTTTAAAATCTTATCTATACGTACCGAAGATTTCGATAAACACAAAATGAATTAAATTTTAGTCTAAGTGTATTACTTTAATTTATTGTTACAGAATCAAACTAAACTAAAAAACTAAATCTAAAAACGAAGGTCACTTCAATAACTAGCTTTTTTAAACAGTTTATTTTAAATAACTTTATTTACAAACAATTACTTGGTATGGCTTTTATTCTTCTTTCTCTTGTTTCATAAGGAACAATATGTTAATTTTTAGATTTATCTATAGCCAATTAAATAATTTCATTTGTTTAGTTGAAGTGGATAAGGATCTGATAAATTTTTAAACAATTCAATCTTCAACTGTCAATTACGTCATATATCAACTGATATTTTAATGGTCTATTATTGTAAATTTGTTTTGTCTTTTCTATTTTGAACTTTCTAAAGTAGTCTCTAGCCAAATTTTAATAAACTTCTGCAATTCCATCTATTTTTGGCTATTTTGTAGTCCTATTGACGAAGATAAAGACGAATCTAAACTCCAAGTGCTCGCTATTTTCTTTTTCAAATACTTGATTAGCCATTTTCGTACAAAATTTTTACAAAGTAGATTTTAAAAGTTTTTGCAGCAATTCGAATTCAAATTCAAAATGTATATCAACTTTGAATACTTAACTCTGGAGTTCAACCAACAAAGGTACACTTTAAACAATTACGTAATAATAGAGCTTAGCCTAATGACCTACATAGATTTGAGTATTCAAATGTTTAGATTATATCTGTTAGAGCCAGATCTCAAAATATTAAATAGAAATTTGAATTCTATTACACAAAATCTTATTTTTTATTCGAAATTTCTGGATATTTAATATTGATAACAAGATCATTACTTTAAGACTATGAATTTACTCATACCAAACTGAGTTAAATAAGAATATGCTTGAAACTTTAAACCGTAAAAATTTTTATTACAAATGTGACCCGCTGAAGGTAGAAAATTTTCGGGCAAAGTATTGGGGTTAGAGCTATAAAGTATCATAAGATCTCCATATTCAATTGCAACAACACCTACAATATTATTGTATCATGATCTTCATATATTATTCCAAGTATATAGCCACTGAAGAATGATGAGTAAATAAATAAATAAACTTATGCAAATAAATTTATAGCATTATCTTTCATTTCTTTTGACCATTTATAGTAGCTATAATTTTTCTATTATGTTTTTCAATTCTACCTTCAACCAACCATACACCTTGCCAAGTCCCCAAAGCCAATTTCCCATTAGTAATAGGAATATTTAAACTAACACCCATTAAAGAACTCAAAGCATGAGATGGCATATCATAATTACCTTCAGATGAATGTAAATAATCTTTACGCTGTGGAACTATTCTATCCATTATTGCTTCCATATCTGTTTGTACATCATCATCAAAATTTTCATTTAAAGTTATACCCGCTGATGTATGTTTTAAAAATAAATTCAAATTTCCAATTTCATAATTTTTAATTTGAGGTAATTTACTAATGATTTCTTCTGTTATTAAATAACATCCTTTACTTCTATTACTTAAACTGATTGTTGCTTGATCCCAACTCATTATGTTTGTCGATGATTCTGATAAGGAGATATAGTTGAAAAGTAATTGGAAATTGGGTAATGATTTAAATATTTCAATCAATTGCATGTTATAGTATTATAATTGCTTCTAAAATTTAATGAAGCAAATATTTGAAACATGCGCTACCGCGGACCGACCAAAACACCGCTCTGGATAGATTGGGAAATTTTACACCAACATCGATTTCAGTTTTAATTAAAATGAATCAGGCGATCTAATCGTCTTTATATACTCTATTAATCTATAAGTGACTTTTATTATTACAACTAATAAGCTTCTCAAACCTTAATTCCATTATCAATCAATACAGTTTTAACAGCATCTTCAACATTATCAAAAACACCAACAGTAGGTTTAGCAATTATCAGATCATAATCTTCATCTTGATAGACACCAGTTCTTAATAATATAGATTCCCAACCATGATCATTTGCTCCTTTTATATCTGATTCTGGATTATCACCAACCATATATATCTTTTTAAATGGAGTTGTTTCTGGAATTTCACCTAATTTTGGTAAGTTTTGAATAGATTCATGAGATTTATTCGCTTCTAGTCTAGCATTCCAATCTATTAATATGTGATGAGCAAAATCGTATTGTAATTTAAATGGTTTTCCTAAAATTAATGAATCTAAGTTTTGATCTGGTTTTAATTTGTTTGTGGTATTGTATAATGTTTCCGTCAACATCCTAAAAGCTCCTTGTCCAAATCTCGGTAATGGATAATCATTTGCATATATATAATCATTATTACTAAAAATTATTGGTATGGAAGGTGATGTATGATCTTTCCACGATTTAAAATCTCTTTTTGTCCCAATTAATCCATTATTAGAATTCAACAAGTCTTGTACTATTTGCATATCTGATGATAAATCTCTTGGATCATTAAATACTAATATAGCATCTATGGGAATGGAAGTGTCTATATCTTTTGAATATTTTTCAAAATATTCAGGTTTATACATTGAATGTGGAGCTGCTGATTTATTATTCCTCACTATATCAATTGGCATAGTAACATCTTTAAATCCATAATCCTCAGCTACTTTCCTTGCGTTATCTTTATCACCTCCAACAACCAATACTCTTTTATAATTTGGATCATTAATTAATGACTTCATAGGTGTATGACTTTGAACAACTTGTAATGGTGATATATTTGGAAACCCAGTTATATGACTTACTTCCTGTGCTTTAGCAGCTTCCAGTACTCCACCACCGTTTGTCATTAATATATATGGGATTTTATTCTTATTTAATAATTCTAATGCTGGTTTTGCTTGTGGTATGGGTTTTTTACCACGTATTAAAACTCCATCTATATCGAAAACAAATGCGAAATCTGATTTTAAAGGTAGATTTATATGAAATGATCTGTATAATGCATATGATGAATTTCTGAGTAAAGGCAGCCTCCGACTTACTGCCAACATAATTGAATTTCGAATTGGGTTGTAAATCGTACAATAACTTTATTTCGAGTTGGTGAAAAAATAAAGGTACGGTCCCTTATCTCAAAATCAGACACAAAAAAGACATCGAATGGACCATGTACAAAGAGACAAATCTACAAAATTGTTTTACATTTATCGACATTTATAATTATACAGATCCACCATTTAAACACCAATCTCTACCTCTATCAACTTGTAACCCGCATAATTTAGTTTCTAACCACCAATTAATACAACCAGCTAAAACAATACCCAATCCATCACTAATACTAACAGCTCCCATGCTAAATTCTCTTTTTGATTTAGGAACTTCTTCACTTACTGACATAAAAGTATTAACGTAAGAAAATCCACCCAATAAACCTTCATATAAAATTAGAATTAATAAAAACCAAATTTTCGTGAATGGTTTGTCATACACAGATTGAATTATAGTGATTACAACGTTTATGAATTGAAGTATTGATAATAAATATAGTTTCTTAATTCTTAATCCAAATGTTATTGATGATCTTGATATAAATACTCCCAATTGATAAAGGAATCCGTAAACAACATATATGTCTCTATAACTTGAGAATAACCAATGTGGTAAATCATCCAATGGATATAATAAAGTTGGCGATATACCTTGATTTATGACATATTCTGAAATGTATACTGTAGTCAATGGTATCATAAATGGAATAATTAATGGTTGAATTTTTTTAAATGTATTACTCAAGTGTTGATTGATTTTTTCAATACTTACTTTATTTTCCAAACTATTGTCAATTTCATCATTTATTTCCTCTTCTTGATCTCCTTCAATTATAAAATTATTATCGTCAATTTCATGATATTCTTGATTTTGTTTCGGCAATAAATAATAATAAACAATCAAAAATCCCAGTGGCATTATAGCAAATATTAATAAAACAATCCAAACAGGTATACCAATTAAATTAGTCATTAACATAAATAAAAAACTTCCTAATAAACCAGCAGCTCCAGTACCACTACTCCAACCATTGATTGAATTCCCATTTATACTATAATAATGAGTCAATTGTAAAAAACTAACTTCTCCCATACCTGATGATAATGAAGCTAACATTATACCTAAAATTTTTAACCATATCATATTAATTGAACTTAATGAAATTATAAGCATACCAATTGTTGATAAACCAACTAATGAATATAATCTATTTTTATAACTAATCAAATGTATTATAAAAGGTGATATAAATTTAAATAAAAATGAAGGTAAAACATCAGCTAATAATACAATAGCTTTTGGAGTTGATGAACCAACTAAATCAATTGCAGCTGATAATATAATAACATATAAAATATTATTTAATATTCCAAATATAAAGAATGATATAAATGTTTTATGAGCATCTGTTATATACATTTGATTCTTATTATTGTAATTGACATAACTTTTGCACTATCTTTTGGACAGTTGGAAATTTTAGTGTAATAATTTTAGTTGGTTTTAAAAAATCAAAATTAAAAATAGAGATAAGATTACAAAGAATTGACTATTTGTACTACCATTTGCTACATATTACTTAATTGGGAAGTCTAGAAATTTGCAATTGGAACTACCACATGGGTAAATGAGATTGATCAAAATTTATGAGGGAAGCTGTCAAAAAATTTAGTCATTTTACTCATAATATATGACTATCCCAATTAAACTGTATCATTGAAACACCTCGTGTCTTGAAATTACTAATTTTTTACAACTAAAATAATCTTAAAAATATAGAATAAGAACAAAGCTAACATTCGCTTCACGTATACTGAACCCTTTCACTCCTCTTCATGCCGAATATTTCTATTCTTAATGATTAGTTTCTTTTTTTTTCAACATGCAAAATTAGTCATTATCGTATCTAAGATCCTTTTTTATGTAAACAATTTTAAATGATTTGTCTATATGAAGAGTGAAAAATTTTTATTAATTATAATCTGTGCTACCAAATATTTACGGCAAATTAATATTGTATTAGAGAACAATAGTGAAAAAAAATAATTTTTCCGGAGTGGTATTAATTAAATAAGACTAGCATAATTAAAAATGACTAACTAAATTTTTCAATATTTTCTTTTCTTTTTCTTTTAATTTTCTTATTTTATTATAAATTTACAATTATATTTATTTCTTTCTTTCATCTTTTACTCCATTTTTTATATTTTTAAAGAGTCAACTGTTCTTCTAGTATTTATTTACTATATTTATTCAATTTATTTGTAAAAAAAATTTTCAAATTCAAACATTCATAACTTCATAGATCATATATAATATATAAAAAAATGAGTAAGACACCAGTACCAACTGAATATGATGATACAAGAATATGTGGTTATGATCCATTAGTACCACCAAATTTATTACAACATGAAATTAAAGCTACTTCACAATCATTAGATGTTGTTATAAGAGGTAGATTTGAAGCTTCACAAATTTTAAAAGGTAATGATGATAGATGTTTAGTTATTGTTGGACCATGTTCAATTCATGATACAAAAGCTGCATTAGATTATGCTCATAGATTAAAAAAATTAAATGATGAATTAAAAGATGATTTATGTATTATAATGAGAGCTTATTTGGAAAAACCAAGAACAACTGTTGGATGGAAAGGTTTAATTAATGATCCAGATGTTGATAATTCATTTGATATAAATAGAGGGTTAAGAATTTCAAGACAATTATATTCTGATTTAACAAAAGAAGCTGGATTACCAATTGGTTCAGAAATGTTGGATACTATTTCACCACAATATTTTTCAGATTTTTTAAGTTTTGGTGCTATTGGTGCAAGAACTACTGAATCTCAATTACATAGAGAATTAGCTTCTGGTTTAAGCTTTCCTATTGGATTTAAAAATGGTACTGATGGTGGATTAACTGTTGCATTAGATGCTGTACAAGCTTCTTCAAAAGGTCATCATTTTATGGGAGTTACTAAAAATGGTATGGCTGCTATAACTACAACTTTAGGTAATGATACATGTTTTATAATATTAAGAGGTGGTAAAAAAATTACAAATTATGATCCTGAATCTGTAAAAGCTGCAAAAGAAGCAATAAGTAAATCAACTGATCCAAATATTAAATTAATGGTTGATTGTTCTCATGATAATGCACAAAAAGATTTTAGAAATCAACCAAAAGTATTAGAATCAGTTGCTGATCAAATAAGTAAAGGTGAAGATAAATTAATTGGAGTTATGATTGAAAGTCATATAAATGAAGGTAAACAAAAAATGCCCCCAACTGGTGCAAATAAAGAAGTTTTACAATATGGTGTTTCAATAACTGATGGTTGTGTTGGTTGGGATACAACTGTTGATATGTTAACTAAATTAAGTAAAGCTGTTCAAGCAAGAAGAAGTTTGAAAAATAAAAATTAATATTAAAATTAAAGTAAAAAAATGTAAATAAATTATTTATTCAAAAAAATAAAATAAAAGGGTTCATAAAAATTTTTAATGTATATTATTAAATAATAAAAGGTCGTAAAATTAATTCATAAAAATTCGTTATTCAATCTATTTAACTTATCTATTTATTCAATCTATTTATTTAGTTCTAGCTTTTTTTATTTTTGGTTCATCTTTTGAATTTGATTTTGATTTTGGTGCAGATTTGGTAGTAGGTTTTTTTGTTTCTTTAGGAGCCTTTTTTGGCTTAGTTTCTTTAGTTTTAGCTCCATTTGTTTCAGTTACCTTTGATTTAGGTGCAGCTTTTGGTTTTGGAGTAGCTCTTGGTTTTGGAGCAGCTTTTGGTTTTGGAGTAGCTTTTGGTTTTGGAGCAGCTTTTGGTTTTGGAGTAGCTCTTGGTTTTGGAGCAGCTTTTGGTTTTGGAGTAGCTTTTGGTTTTGGAGCAGCTTTTGGTTTCGGAGTAGTTTTAGGTTTCGGAGCAGCTTTTGGTTTTGGAGTAGCTTTTGGTTTTGGAGTAGCTTTAGGTTTTGGAGTAGCTTTTGGTTTTGGAGCAGCTTTTGGTTTTGAAATAATTCTTGTTTCTAATTCTTCTATATCACTACCACTTAAGTCTGACTCAATTCCATTCATATCTGAATCATCAAAACTCATTTCTATATCACCTTCCTTCATCAGTTCTATATCACGCAATATCATTGCATATTCACCACGATCTCCAGGTTTAACTTCAATTATTTGATCACCTTCTTCTTCATCTGATGATGGGGGTAATCCAAACATTAAACCATAACCTCTTTGATGCCAAGGTGGCATTGTTTTTCTAGTTGATTTATTTTTTTCTTTAACATCCCACATTGTTGCTATATTTCCCATTGCTATGAAATACCTTTCTAAATGATGATTAGTATTTCTATATCCATGATGACGCTTGAACGGATTACGAGTAGCTTTTTTCAAAAATAAATCCATTTCATTTCCATACCAATCTCTTTCATATGGTTTATATGCTTTTTCATATTCATTGTTTTTCAAATCTTCAAAATATTTTGATTTTTCTTCATCAGTTAAGTTTGTTGGCTCTGGATCATTTCCAATATAATTTACAAATTTTAAATGATAACCTAAAGCTTGTTTCAAATGTAAATCTAAAAATCTATCCTTTTTAAAGTTAAATCCAACAATTGTAACTCTTTTTGGATATCTACTATGAACTTCCCAAAAACGACAAAACAGGAGAATTAAATTTTCAAATGAATCAGTTGCATAATTTTCAGTTGTACATCTTGAGTAATCAACTTCATCACCAAATAATTCTTTGTATAAATTCATATATGATATAGCTTCAGAAATTGGACCTGCTTCAACTTTAGTTTCTCCACCACTGAAAATTATATAAGCTTTTGGATCTTTTAACATTTCAGCATGAGCGGTTTTAACATGATCAATAAAACATAAATGATCATTACCTTGAATTTGAAAATCAGCTAAATACCATGATTCTCTTTTTGTTGGATCACCTCCTTTATAAATCCCATGACAAGGTACAAGAATTAATTTCTTTTGTTTATCTTTTTGATCTAATCTATTTCGTTGAAAATCTTCGGGACCTAGCATTTTGAATTGATTAATAAGGTGCTAGATATAATAATTGCAACACTTTTTAAAAAAAAAGTGTTGTTTACTTTTCAAAGATTTAGTTGCAAAAAAATATTATGTATACGCGTTTGTTTTATATATTATTATACATAATAAATTATAAGATCCTTAAACAATCGCGTGTATAAATCACGATGCACGAATGGAAAAGGTCAATGAAGAGGTATTATACGAAAATCAGTATGATCTATGAAGTCTCTATGTTTATTTATCTATTGTTTATGATAAAATATTTTGATGTAAATAATGATAACATTGAACTAAAGCTTTCCAATGACAAAAAGCTGCTATAACAACAAATACATGAAATATTTGATGAGAATGACCAAAAATATCAAATTTACCAGATAATGGATTATCTAAAAGCAGTTGTTCATCCTCTTCTATATGTGTCATACTTTCTGGAAATCTCATTGCGTATAATACTGCACCCAATATATAAAAAAATCCTTCTCCTATCAACCAATATATACCTGATCTTTCCTTTGTAGTATCAAATCCAAACTCAAAAACAGCATTAGCAATTGGTAAAACTCCTGAAAGTCCAAATAATATAAACATTGTTGATCTATATGGTCTATAAGTATTTTTAGAAAATTCAGGATGTAAAGTGAAAACTGTACAAACAATTCCAAAAAATAAAGTTAATCCAACAAAGAACCATTTTTGAATTGGTAAATCATAATAAGAAAATAATATAATTGAAATTAATGAACATGTAATTAATATAACAATTCCAAAATAATCTAATTGATTACCAAATTTACTAACTTTATGAGAATGAGATTTTAAACAATGGAAAACTGAAGACATAAACATACAAAAAGTACATGCTAATCCAAATTGTAAAAAATTCAATTTTTCCCATATACCTAAATAATTATCATATTGAGTTAATTGAAAATTTATATAATATAAGATTATCCAAAATGATATACTCGATGGTATAAGATGTGAATATATGTTGACTGTTTCATTATGTAGGTATCCTAAAGATTTAAAACTATCTAAATATGATGATGTACCTCTTACATAACCAGATCTTATATAATGATTGTCTTGTTGCCATTCATCTAATTCATGATAATATGCTAATTTCTTAGCTGATGAGTTTGATGGTTTTGTTGATTGAATTTTTGAAGTTGGGTTTTGTTGTTGTTCTGTTTCCTTCCTCTGTCTGATGGTTGATTCAGACATACTTTAGATGGAAAAGAAAACAGCAACTAAACTAAAAAGTTGTGATGTTTCTATTTCTAATATTTGAAAAACGTATATTTTAAAAATGTTGGGGTCATAAGATCTTTAAATTGTTTGTGTAACAAATCATGCGTCAAAATATTCTTAAATCCTAAAGATAATTGAGAAGTTTAATATAAAAATTTACAAGTTGTCAAATTAATGCAAGTAAGATTATTCCTTTACATGATACTACTTAAAAGAGGGTACTATACCTTCACAAATTGCAGAATATTCTTTTAATTTTTCACCAATATTTACAACACCATTTTTCGAAGGTTCAGCTCTTTTAAGTCTATCAATTCTTTTATCAAATATATCACCAGTATAAAAGATTTTCCATTGTGATTCAGGAGAACTCATACAACCACAACATCTTTCAAAATACCATTTGTTTACCGGATTGACTTTTCTTGACCTCCATATTAATTCCGTTGGGTGTGATTGTAAAATAATTTTAAATATTATATCTGCTAATCCTGGTAAACCTTGATTTTTTTTAGCAATTGCAAATTTATCTAAATAAGCTATCTTGTCACCATTGTTTTGCTCCCACGTTATTATCGCTGCCCCATCATAGTCACCAACTAGTATAAATGTTGCTAGATTTTTATTTATCCTTTTAAAATATTCATCAACTTGTAGTTTCTTACCAAAGGAGTCATTCAAAACATTTACTAATTTTTCTTTATCTACTAGCTTATGCTTGAATAAATAGTCCATAGAAAAATTACCATCATAATCATCATGATTAAATATTTGAACATCTACACCTTTTTTTATTATTGTGGTTGAAACTTGAGGTGTTCTTTTATTAGTGCTTGGTAAAGACGATGATATAATTGATCTATCAGTCAAAACGTTATATATGATAGGATTTAATTGATCATTATTGATAGACATGATCTCTGGTGTCGTTATAATTCCAGTTGTTTCATCATTACCGGATTTATCATTAATAAAAGTTAAAATTGAATTCATACTATTCAAATTTTCAACATGTAGATCTCTTACCTTTGGTCCAATGTGACCAATATATAATTCTGATAATATTTCTGAGTATTCTTGCGATAAATTTATAAAGACATGACTAGTTTGTTTTCTTTCAATTGATGGAATACCACCCAATGGATCAATCATTACTATTTTCTCCACCGACAACAAGTCAGTGGTTCTTTTTTCAATTAATCCTTCACACAATGAATAAAGCAACTTATCACACTTTAGTATTTCTTGTTTTGTATTGTCTGCATTATATACAATCGGCTGGATTATCGGTATTGTACCTTGATATAGTGGAATTAAAATCAGCTCTAGACTATCAATTGTAGGTTTTCCATTGTTGGTAGTAAATAACGTTCTTAGTATTGTAGCTTTTAGATCAGCCTGATCTTCTGGCTTACCCAATATGTTCAACATTTTATTGGCTTGATCAATCATGTATAACTCATTCAGTCTAAAAGAGTCATTCGGTAAATGATCGTAGTCTAATAGTATAATTGGTGATATTCCCAAAGTTATTAGCCTTTTGAAAGTCTCCACAATCCCTCTCCATTGTTTCAACGTTATATTCGTGAACTTAATTTTAAAGATGGCTATTCTCGAAGGTATTTTCTTTAATTTTGTCTCTTCATCATCATAAATATTGGTAAATGGATTCTTTTGATTTAAAAATCTATTAATAAATAATTCCCTCTGGTTATCTCTTTGATTTAATGGATCGTCTTCTTTAACATTTGCAAACTTTAAATTAGTGAAATCAAATTGATTCTGATATTTCGTTAAGTAATTTTTAGCTTCTCTCTTTGTTGTTGTTGATTTTAAAATTGAAAGAATTAAATTTCTTTTAGCATCAGTTATTGCTTTATGAGTATCTATATTTGATATAAATTGTCTATTTAAGGGTTTTATTTTACTCATTTACTGAAAAAGAAAGGGAAACCCCCACAAATTAATCTGATTCGATTGATCAATTTGTGTGATAATTTATAATTTTTCAGATTAAGTTTAGCGCGATAAGATGGAAAATTATGTGGTTACATAGTTACATACTACATTGATTTAGTACGGTTTCAGTGAATGCGAGTATATTCTATAAATCCTTTAAACAAGTTAAAGGGTCAAATATTGATCTTGCTCTATTAGTCCTCTTCATCTGAATTTTCATCCATATCATCATTGTTCTCTCTATGTTTCAAAGTAGTATCATGCAATTGTCGTAATTTATTCATAACAGGTAAAACAAAAGGTCTAATTTCATTAATTTCCATTAGAGATAATCCATTTAATTGTATATTAGATTCATTTAATTCTTTTAAACCTTTTCGTGATTTAATTAACCTAACTTCTCTTAAATCTTGAATTATTGATCTTATTTCATCAGTTGAATCTTGTAAATCATCTGATGCTTTAGTTAATATTATTTTGGACATCTCGAGCCAATTCCACGGTAAGTCACTAAATTGAGTTGGTTTTCTTACTTCATCATCGTATTTTTCTTTTAAATATGCTATATTTAACCATTTTGGTGGGACTATGTTACATTTATCTTGATTTTTTAGTATTAATGCCACCCATAATGGGACTTTCTCTCTTCTCATTGCTCGTAAATTGGGTATCCTCGTCTGTTTAAGGGTGTTAGTATTAGTTTTTGGGTCATAAATACTGATTATTTTGTTTTACATACACCTATTAGATCTATTTTTTTCATGGAATATCTTGGTAAAATAGTTATTAGTTCATTTTCTGCTAAAAAGCTTATTTCTGTAGGCGTTAGATTACCTTGTAAGTTTGATGGTAATACCATTTTTGGATTTGTAGTAAGTCTTTATTGATTCATGTATTTGATAGTGTAATCAAATCTGCATGTAGAAAAAAAAAACGCGTCTTAGATATTTTCACGCATACTTCTTTATAAATTTATTTTGCAGCCATTATCTTTACATTTTATTAAAAAGAGTGTAGAGTCAGAGATTGGTTTTAGTACAGAGGTATGCAATTATTTTATTAATTCTATTTTTTATTTCCTTTCCCATATTTCATTTTAAAAGTAGATGTTCTACCAGCAGTCATATTTTTCTTCTTTTTTGCTGCTCTTGGACCAGCATCTGGGTTAGCATTTGGATCAAATGATCTTTTCTTCTTTCTATCTTGTTTTTTAGTTGAGTCTATCAAAATCTTATCAGCGTTTGCATAATCAATACTTGGTTCATCTTCTTGTGACAATTGCTTTCTATTTTTATTTTTATTTTTGTTATTTTTCCGAAGCGTTATTAATTCATCTGGGTTTATATCTTTATCTTTACTGAATAATACTTGTTGACCAGTTTTAGGCTTTGGCTCTTCTACTTCCAACTCAGCAGATTCAGTTAATTCGTCATTTTCTGGTTCTACCTCCTCTTCTATTTCAATCTCTAAAAGTTCGCCCGGTATAGTTACTGATTGACTTAAGGAACATAATTTGTTCCACGTATTAACAAGTCTTTTTTGACTTATATCACTAAAGTTGTGTCTTTTGACATCTTTTTCATTATATTCATAGGTACTTGTTTGTGAGTTTGAGCTTTTTGGTGTGAAAACTGAAGAATCATCAGTCATGAATGAAATCTTATCAACCATATAACTTGCTTCATTTATTAAATTATCAAATGCATCATTAACAAATTCAATGTCAATTGGTTGAGTCATTGATTGATCTAATGTTTGATTATTGTATTTATCAACTATGGCCCAATCATTTTGTTCACTTTCTTTCAAAGTTTTATCAATCAATACTGCAATTTCTCTAGCATTCAATCTGACTGCTTCTGAAACATATGATGGGGCATTTAAAATTTTGTTTACATCCACAGGTGCTTCTATTGATGCTAATGTCACCAATAATTGATTTGGCATTATGTACCTCACTGACTCATCTTCTTGTCTTGCAACTAAATCTCTCCAATTATATAAAACTTCAATTACTGGTTTTTTAAATGATGGTACGTTGTACTGGTACATTATTGAACTCCATGGTTCCTTTGGATTTGAAGCCATTATTGGACATGAAACTTTATTTGTTAAATTATTTGACACTGGTCTGAATTTTGTGTATTCAAATCTTCTCTTTGCTACCTGTCTTGAATCAAATAATACTTGAGATAATTTATCTGCATCGATCAATTTGTTACGAAGTTGATCAAATATATACAATAAAAAATGAGTATCAGATCTAGCATATGCCATCATAGCTTTTGGTAATGGTCTTATTCTCCAATCTGCTAACTGATATTTTTTTGATGTTCTGAAATGGGCAAACGTATCTAACAAATATTGTAATGAGAACTTTGCAAATCCCAATTGTCTTGATGCATGATAAGTATCAAATAATGAAACAATATATAAACCCAAATCTCTTTGCAACCAGATTATGTCCATAAATGCACCATGAAAAACTTTTACAATATTTGGATTCGTGAAAACTTCATTCAACCTCATCAAATCATCTCTTAATGCAATAGTGTCTATTATCCAATCTTGTTCACGATTTGAAATCTGCATTAAACTTACTATACCATAATATGATCTATAATCATGATGTTCCAAATCTACTGCTATTTCGGTCAGTTTCAGCAAGATGTCAATCATCTTGTTTAAATCTTCTGTAGTTTCTACCCATGTAGCTTCAGTTGTTGACCAATCTTTTGGTGGTATTGGTTCTGTTTTTTCCAATATGGAATCAGGATATGGTTGATTATCAATTTCGTACTCGTAAGGATGTGCATAATATGGTGGATCTATTAGTTCAATTGAATCTTCAAACACAGGTTCTGGATTAACTAATTTATTTATTGAATTCCATGGTTGTAATGAATTTGGTTTTGTTGATATTCTTGGTTTAAATGGTTCTTCTTCTGAGTTGTCAACGGGTATTTTGAAATTTCGTTGAGGTTTCAGGATCTTTTGATTTGAGTCATGTGGTACCAGATCGTTTCCCCCATCTTCAAGATATTGTTTCTCATTTGTACTGGAGGAACCATTATTTTTATTTAATTGATCAAATGTAAAATCTATTTTTTCAAATATTGAATCTATTATATTTCCAACTGGTCTCCAAGATGCTTCACTTGTAATATGATCTTTGCCAAATTGTAATTGTTCAACATCGTTGGAACTTGATGAAGTGGTTCTTAATAAATCATTCGTTATTGTTAGAAGTCTTTCACCTCTTTTATCTATTTCATCACTAATATTTGCATCAACTGATTTATAAAAATTAACATCTTGAGCTGCCAATGATGAAGCAGCTCTTATAGTAGGCATTAGTTTTGATAAAATATCCTTAAACACATCTTGATCCCCCGATGACATTTTATACAAATGAAGGAAACAAATTTATGTGATTAATCAAGAAGTTTAGATTTGTGATGGTTGTAAAAATAAATTTTGATACAAGTATATAAGTTTGTATGTCTTAAACTTTGTTTTTGTGACATAAATTTAATATGTCTTCTCTCATCTCATTATAGGATTATATTATGGGATTAATATATTTAATATTTGATCTTTCTAGATTATAAATCAAATACTAATTCATTGCAACAATTACAACAACATAACTAGAAATAAATTCATATAATTTTGAAGATGTTTACTTGTAACACATGTAATTTACAGTTCCCAGAGTCAGAGGACCAAAGAGTACACATGAAATCAGAGTGGCACCGTTATAACTTGAAAAGAAAAGTAGCACAATTACCACCAATAACAGAGGAATTATTTAATAATAAGGTTGCAACATTACAATCACCAAATGATTCTACTAAAGAAAAACAAATAACGAAAAAGGAACAAAGAAGGAAAGAAAAAGAAGCTATATTGGAGAAAAAGAAGGCAATATTAGAACAAGCTAAAAGGGCAATGATGGCTGAAAGGTTGGCAAATCAACAAAATGGTCAATCTATAGAAAGTACGACACCAATAGAACAAGATGAATTAACACAACCTAAAGAAGTTTCGGAAACTATCGAAGAACCAACAACAGAAGAAACTCCAACTCCAGAATTAACACAAGAACAAGAAGAAGAAAAACAATTACAACAAAAATTATTAAATAAACTTGAAATACCGCCAACAACTTGTTTATTCTCACATCCAAAATACAAACACGAATTTAATACGGTCGACGAAAACATAGACCATATGTTCAAACAACATGGATTATATATACCAGAAACAAATTATCTTATAGATAAAACAGGTCTTATTGAATATTTAGCAGAAAAAATTGGATTTGGATTTTGTTTATCATGTAATTATCAAGGTAGGAATGCAGAAGCTGCAAGAGAACATATGCAAACTAAAAGACATATGAGAATTCCATATGAGACAGAAGATGAAAAATTGGAGATTTCTAAATTTTATGATTTCTCATCTACCTATGATGATAATGATGATGTAATTGTTGATGGAGAAGTTGAAGAGGGTGAAGAAGATTGGGAAGATGTAAGTGATGAAGATGGAGAAGAGTTTGACTCTGATGAAGAATTACCTACCTCCAACAAGGATGACATATATCAAAACGGTAATGAATTAATACTTCCTTCAGGAGCTGTAGTAGGTCATAGATCAAATGCAAGATATTATAGACAAAACTTAGCACCTGAAAGAATTTTATCTGAAGGTCAAGGTACTGTTATAGCTGCGGAAACAAGACATATGTTAACATTACAAGATAGAAAACATTTAGCCGAAAAGAAAAGAAAATGGAGAAGTGAAAAGAAAAGAGAAGATATTAATGATAGAAGAGCTGCTAAATTTATTAATAATCAACCACATTATAGAGATCAATTATTACAATAGAATTTCTTTGATCGTATAGTTAATGTATTAATTAAATGCTAAATTATCTTTTATTATTGTAAAATCTTTAAATAGTTAGTAGACCGGAAGATATTATTAGATCGACTAGAATATTAACAAATAATATCCAACTACCAAAGAATAATAATTTTGGTGAAAAGACTGTCCAAATAAACAAATGAAATCTAAGATTTATACATGATCCAACTAAATTAATAGCAGAAACTGCATAAAAGAATAAAACAATAAATAATCTAAGCAATTGTATAGAGTATTTCAATGGTGGAAAATTAATTAAATCGTTTTTAGAAGGACCTTTGAAGCATGCAAAACTTGGTTCAAATATTAATTGTAATGAAGATAATGACCAAAATATAGGACCTGAAAAATTAGATATGAATGTTAATATACCAACAATGAATACATCATAAGTTTCGATACCATTATAAGCATTTGTTAAATCAACTGTTGCTAAAGAATTTGTATTGCCCATACAAAAGAAAGTCAAATTTTGTAAACATAACGTTATGAATGTTATTGATATGACATAATTATCAATTGATGCAGTTTTGGTATAACTTAAATATGAAATTGAGAACTTTGCAACCAAAAGTACTAGGAAAATTGGAATATTTTCATGTCTTGTTTGATGTATTAAAAAAATTGTAATGATATTTGAAAAATCGGTAATGTTACCATACTTTATACCTTTTATCTTACCAACAAATAATCTTGCACCTAGTAAAGTCAACAACATGAATGAGCCTAGTTTTGATAACTGTATACTTACATTTTGTAATTCAAATTTAATATCAGACTTATTAATATTTACATCATAACTATCCAATATCCAAATTAGTAACCATTTAAAATATGTTGGTGGTTTGTTGGAATCTATGTAGTATTGTACTACTTTGAACAGGAATGATATGGAGCTGGCAACGAATATAGACATGAACGAAACTAACGAACCCACGTCTTTGAAATCAAATGAATTTTGAAACGTCGTGAAACTAAAAGTTCGAATAATGCTACCCTGTACAAATACAGCTATTGTGATTGTCGTATAAGTTAATGCAATTAAGGCCCAAAGCAATTCGTTATTGTCATTTGATAAGTATGATGCAATATTGAATTGTGTAAACCATTTTTGACCACTGTTATTCCAAGATCTTAAAAGTCTTATACAAGTAAATAATAAAATGAAATTGACAACATTTAACTTGGTACTGAAAGCTTTAAAGAAAGTGGATCCAAAGTATAGTAACACTAAACAAGTAGCAAAATACCAAATTTGATGTTCTTCTTCAATTAAAGAAGATCCATGAAAGTGAATTGAATATAAAACAACAAAAACTTGAAAAAATATAATGAATTGAATATTAACATTTTTTAAAGTGAAAAAATATAAATTGAAAATTAAAATTGTGAAAATAGTAGATAATAAAATTAATCCTGATCCTAAAAAGATATCTTCATAGTTATAATTAGTTGCGGAATTAGCCATTTCAGACTGCACTTCGTATAAAAAATTGTAGTATTCATCTAATGAACTAATACCGGATTTTAATTGTTCCCAATTTCTCCAAATTTGTCCATTAGTTCCATATTTTGTTTCATATAAATTCATCATTTGTATGCAATTTTCCAATATTATTTTGGTTTGTAAATCTTTTGGCCAAATTTCAATCACTTCCCTTGATATTATACCCAATGAGTTTTTAGGTATAGGAAAATTCAAAAGACTCGCTAACGTTGGTACCAAATCTATTTGAAATATTGAATTATAATATGAATAATCTGAATTTTCAGGTAATGGCGCTATTTGATTTATTTTATTAAATTTTGGAGATATAAATGATAATGCTGCTGATGTTTCTCCAGATGATGATCCTCCATGATTTCCAACTTCATTCATTCCATGATCTCCCATTAAAATTAGTAATGTATTTTGATTTGTTTCTATGTAGTTATAAAGTCTTTTTAGTATGTTGTCCATTTCTATTTGTTTTGGTATCATGTAAGTTGATTGAGGACCACCTTTATGACCAATATGATCTAATCCTAAATAATGTAGTATTAACCCATCCCATTCTTTAGTGTTTAATTGTTCATCTAAATGACGTGTTACATTATTGTCAACCTCGGTGAAGTCACTCACAAAAAATGAATTGGTTCCTTCATATTCATTGAATTCATTTGGAAACAATTTTAACCAAGTATCATCACCAAAGAAATTTATAGTCTTGTTTAAATTTTTATACTGATTTACCCAAGAATCTTGTGCATGCAAACCTTGTGAATCATCATAATCATCTGCAACATTCAAAATTGCATCTAAAAAACTTGGTGTACCTCCAGTTGTAATTCCTTTTAATCTTGGTAATGTAACAGTCGGTGGATTTGAAAATGCAGTAAATGGTATTGCATGACCTTTATTTATCAATTGATGTAAAAATTTAAATTTTGAATTTTCTCCAAAACAAAAATCTGATCTCATTGCATCGACTACCATTAGTATGATTTTATCAAATTGTGGTTGATTTTTTTGATTTAAAAATGGTGATTTATTATCATCTTGTGAAAAGGTATTTAAACCTGGTAAAACGACTTTTGATGGGAAAAATCCTCTTAAAAATATTATAAATCCAGTAAGATTAGTAATTAAAAGTATCAAATACACTGTCCATTTTAGTGTTAATGACTTTAGCATGGAATATAATTGTTGATAAATGAATCAAAAAAATCTGGGGTTCAAAGACTGAAAAATTTAAAACAAACAAAATATTATAACACGTTTAACGCGTACGTTTATTGGATCAGACATTAAAATTAAATAATGAAATCTACTGCATTAACCTTCCCTTTTATGGTCTTTAAACTAAAGCTTGTTGAAATATTAGTTTGTATTGTATTAAAAGCCGAAGTTGATTTAGGTGAATTTCAATCTATTTGGTTGTCAATTTTTACTGCTCAATTTTCTTGCAACCAATTTTCTATAGAAATTAAAATTCATGAAAGAGCATGTACGATTCGTGAACATTAAAAGTACAAATTTTGTATGATTATATTATTAAAATTTTACAAACCACTCAACTAAAGCTAGCAACTAATCTATTTCATTTTCCTTTAACTCCTCCACTCACCCACTAACAAAAAAAAACCAAAAATTAAAACAAACTTTTAAAGTAAGAACCTCTACTTCGCTTTGATGAATCAAACGTACTATCCAATAGCAACGGGTTCACCTTTTTTCAATCTATCAATAGCTTGAGAATCTAAATCACCAGATGTACCACAAATATCACATTTTAATCTTTTTGAATAATAAAATGGAATTAAAGGTATGAAAAAAATTGTAATAGCATTTATAGTTCTAATTGCATGAGCACTTTGATTATGACAATGACCACAATAACATGCTACATTACCAACATCTTTCAATGGTTTATTAAATTCTTGAACTACAAAAACTTATAGTTAGTATTCCATATTTTGAAGAGGGCAAATTGACCAACTAAGTCATAATTTTCTGACATAATGCAATTACTGGAGGCCACGGTAACTCTTTGGTAAATTATGTTACCTAGCTTTAAATAACTACGTTCTGACTTAGTCATGTCAAACCATTTATTGAATGAATATCTCAAAGTTTCAAGGGCAGTGCGGCTTGCTTCTTAACTCCATGTCTAGTAAACAAATTTGCAAATATGATCAATTGACCCAAAATTTTCAAGAAATCTCAAGTGTAACATACATCCTATAAGGAAGAAACAAAAATCCATTATTCAATTAATTTGTTTGGTGTCTTTTGTAGTAAAGGATGAAATATGTCAATCAAATTATCTATTAATATCCAGAATATCTAATAAATTGACTTGCTTGAAGATTTATTAATAAGTAGTCTTAAATATCAATTGGTATGTATTCTTATAGCTATTGAAAAAGACAAATGTTGAATGAAATTTATAAAGTTAATAATAATTTCAAGAAATATGAAATTGTTTTACTTGTGAAATTTTAATTTTGTTGTTCCTAATTTTATCTTTTTAATATTTTTTTGTATATAGACTTACTTAATAAATTTATTTTATTTTATTATGTCATACATTAAATCTTTTTTTTTGCTGCTGCTAGAGTTATTAAATATTATTTACGATAAGCAAACAATTTTTTATTTATTTTTTTATTGATATGGTTGCTTATAATTTTAAAAATCTAAGCACTGCCATTCGTTTTATGAAATCTATTTGCGTAGAAGAGTAGCATGAATGCCTCTATCCCTTATTATTTGGATTGGTCGGTGATCTAGGCAGTGTCCAGTGACAATAAGTGCTTAAGATCAATGTACACTTTAATAGACCAGATATGTATTTATTCAAAATTTTAGTGTGATAATTCTAATAGCCGTTTCTTTCTTACAATATTTGTCTCAATATGCCTCGAATAATCTCAAAATTACAAATAACTATGGTATTGTCGAGAAAATCAAACACATAATAATTAAAAACAAATATCACTGAAACAAAACACAAAATTACAAATTAGTCTTAATAATTATATGTTGAACTTTTTGACCTCTTTTAAACAAATAATTTATTTTGATTAGCGATTGAATAATGAAGAGACTATGATCAAACATTTTAGTAATTCTGGGTTCATAAGTTCTTACTTGCAATAATAATTTTTATAATTTATGAACAAAAAAATTTATATATTATTATATCAAAAATTGATATATTATTTAACAACGAGTTAATTCTTTAACTTGATGATTATGATTTTGTCTTTTCCGATTTAATCAAGTAGTTAAGAGATTAAAAAACGTTTAAATTTATATTTCTATAAGATGACCTACCATTACGTGACAACTGAGCAGATTATTCGCGTATTCATTTGTCATTTAAAATGTATTTAATGTGACATTTTTAACACTCTTGTGCTTTATAATTATAAACTAAAATGATTAAATGAATTGTGTGTTATACTAATGCATTCATATTAGTTAATATTGAAGATTATTATATTTAATCAGACAGTCAAAAAACTACCTTTTTTTTTTTTTGTCTCTCTTTCTTCTTATTATTTTTTGCAATAGAATAATTAATTCATAAATTTAATTTTAATTTTACAACAACTTTCTCAAAATTTCTATCTAGATTAATTAACTCAACTATATCAACAACTATTTATTTTAAAAATATTTCTTACAAACATTTGATACGTTTACCAAAAAAGAAGAAATCCCTAGGTCAAAACATTTTAATTTTGTAAATTAGTTAGTCTTCTTAAAGTTCATTTTATCACGGCAATCATTTAAAATTTCTTAAATTATTTATACATTTCTAATTATAAATAATGAAATTCTCACATTCACTACAATTTAATGCTGTTCCAGAATGGTCTTCAAAATATATTGCATATACAACTTTGAAAAAGCTAATATATTCATTACAAAGGGATAATTTAAGAAGGATACATTTATCAGGTGAAGGTGATGAAAATTTCGATTTAGAAGAAAATTCTCATTTAATTGATAATAATTATTCAAGTATTGGACAATTAGATGATATAGATTCCAAAAATCCACAAATTGTATTTGAAGCTGCTTTGAATGCAGAATTGAAAAAAATTGATAATTTTTTTAAAAATCAAGAACAATTTATATTTAAAAGTATTGATGAATTAGTTTATGATATTGAAATATTTGAGAAAGAAATTGATAGTTCATTACTTGCAATGAAAGGGAATACAAGATATAAACCAAGAAGAGTTAAAAGTAGTAGAAGATTTTCTGAAACTTCTGGTGAACAATATATAACAAATACAACGGATCCTGATACTGAATTTACTCAAGCAGAAGGTGATTTTGACGACGACGATGATGATGATGATGATGATAATGCACAAGAAGAACACTATATTGAAGAATTAGAAAGAGCTTATACTCCAACAGTAGAATCACGTGGTAGACAAGTGAAAAGAATGGGATCAGCTCCAAATATACATCATGATGATCCAAATGAAAATGGTTTAACTCAAACAAGATCAATTGATGAATATCTTAAATCTCCCAAATCACCTCGTTTATGGAATGAATTATCAAATGTAACAACTTCTGATAATAGATTACCCCCACAATTAATTTTATTAAGTGAAAGTAGAATAATACTTAGAAAAAGAACAATTGGATTGTTTACAACATTATCGGAATTAAAATCATATATTGAATTAAATTATACAGGTTTCAAAAAGGCTTTAAAAAAATTTGATAAATCTTTAAATACGAATATAAAAGATCAATATTTAGATTCATTACCATCAAAATCTTATATTTTCAAAAAATCAACCTTACAAAAAGTAAACGATAGATTAGATGCTTTGATTAAAATATATGCATTAATTTGTAATCATGGTGATGATTTAGAAACTGCTAAATCAGAATTATCAATTCATTTAAGAGAACATGTTGTCTGGGAAAGGAATACTGTTTGGAGAGATATGATTGGATTAGAAAGGAAATCTCATGCTGCAAATTCAAAACTAATAGATCAAAGAGAAAGAATGAATAATGATGATAAAGAAGCTGATTTAAAATCAAGTGGTAATAAAATTATGAGTTTTAATATATCAGTTAAAAATCCTGTATTGGTGAAATTGTTATGTATTATTACAATTACTGTGTTATTATTATTCTTTTCCCCATTTGATGATAAACCACAAAGAAATTGTTTTGCAATGTTAATATGTGCTTCATTATTATGGGCTACTGAAGCTATTCCCTTATTTGTAACATCATTAATGTTACCTTTATTAATTGTCATATTCAATATAATCAAAAATGATGATGGGTCAGTAATGGATTCAATAAATGCATCTAAATATATATTAAGTCAAATGTGGAATTCAGTTATTTTGTTATTATTAGGTGGTTTTACATTAGCAGCTGCATTATCAAAATATCATATTGCAAAATTAATATCGACTTGGATTTTATCAAAAGCTGGTACAAACCCTTCAATTGTTTTATTAACTATTATGGGAGTTGCATTATTTTCTTCAGCATTTTTATCAAATGTTGCTGCTCCAGTCATGTGTTTAAGTTTAATTACACCATTAATTCGTACATTACCAAAAGGTTCACAATTCATTAAAGCATTGATCTTAGGTATTGCATTGGCTTCAAATATTGGAGGTATGGCAAGTCCAATTGCATCACCACAAAATATGATTGCAATTGGTGCTATGGAACCACAACCATCATGGGGTCAATGGTTTGTGATTGCAGTACCAATTTGTGTATTATCATTATTATTAATCTGGATTTTCTTATTAATAACTTTTAATTGTAATGCTAAAAACACTCATTTAGTTCCAATTAGAACAATTGATGATAAATTTACAAGTATTCAATGGTTTATTGTTACTGTATCATTGGGCACAATATTTTTATGGTGTATTGCATCAAAATTAACTTTTATATTTGGAGAAATGGGGATTATATCATTAATACCATTAATTTTATTTTTTGGTTCAGGATTATTAACAACTGAAGATTTTAATAATTATCCATGGAATATTGTAGTATTAGCAATGGGAGGGACAGCATTAGGTAAAGCTGTAGCATCATGTGGTTTATTAAATACTATCGCTATAGAAATTCAAAAACAAGTTGAAGATTTTTCATTATTTGGAGTTACATTAACTTTTGGTTTATTAATTTTAATAATGGCAACATTTGTAAGTCATACAGTAGCTGCTTTAATTGTTGTACCATTGGTTCAAGAAATTGGTAATAATATGCCAGAACCTCATCCAAGGTTATTAATTATGGCAAGTGCTTTATTATGTTCAGCTGCTATGGGTTTACCAACTTCAGGATTTCCAAATGTTACTGCTATTTGTATGACTGATGAATTTGGTAAACCATATTTAACAGTTGGAACATTTATAACAAGAGGTGTACCAAGTTCATTTATTGCTTATGGTATGATTGTAACACTTGGTTATGCCACAATGAAGATAATTAATTTTTAATCAAGTATAGAGTGCTGTGAAAATGAACAATGTAGTAATTTTGAGTATTTATTATAAAATATCAATTTTTTAGATGGTTGATAAGAGAATAATAATAATAATAATATACGTATTTTAATTTTGCATTAAAATAGATCAAAGAGGCTTTTTACGAAGCACCGTATCGTGTCTGAGATTAATATAGATGAGCCTATTCTAATATCTTATTATTCCTTCGATTAATAATAGAGAGATCTTGTGTATGAATCGTATTAAATAGCTCGATTTAATACGTCATAGGTTTAAAATGCGAGTAAATAAAAAATTCGGAATTAAATTTAAAAATTATGTCAAAATTCTAAATTTATTGATTAACCGATAAAATTGAAAAATGTGTAAAAAATTGTTGAGTTGCTTCTACATTTAAATTTCAATTCTTATCTATTTTAAAAATTCATTAGATTAATAATAATAAATCTTAACCATTGGGGAAAACGGTGTATTGTGTTAAATTTATTTCGAGGTCACAAATTTAATTATAGTACATTCCATTTATTTTTGATAAAAGCTTTATTATTGATCAATCTCTTTTGCTTTTTGCTTACACTAAATTTATATGGACCTTGTTTTAAATCAAATTAAAAATTTAATAAATAATCAAGATTTAAATTCATTGCCATTGAAATCATCACCAACATTAATTCAACATATTCCTTCAATACCTTATATACCTGAATCATTAATCAAATTTTGGTACAACAAAACAGATAAACAAAAGCATTATTTTTTATTACAACTATTTATAGCATCAGTTTCATTATATATTTTATTACCATCTATTCCCATTTTTCAACTGAATAATAAAATGTTCTCAAAACGTCCTGATAAACATACTACTGGTTTAATTAATTTAAGGAATGACTGTTTTGCAAATTCTTCATTACAAGCATATTCTTCATTACCTTCATTAACTGAATATTTAAATAGACTTATTGTAAGTTATCATCAATTATCAGATTTTATAAACTCACATCATTTAGATGTCGATGAACTAACCAAATTGAGAATGGAACATAATAAATCATTACAAAATTCAAAATTTAAATCATCAAATGCAAAATTCACGATACCATTACATATAGCAATGGCACAGATGGTCAAAAAATTACAAGAAACTCAAATGACTACCAAAACTATATCTGTATGGACTTTTTTACATGAACTAGAAAATATCTTTCAAGCTAAAATATCAAGAAGTCAACATGATGCACATGAATTAACTCAATTGATTAATGAAACTTTAGAAAATGAAAATTTAAAATTAAAAAGCTTCCATAAATTTATAACAATGAATTTACATAATATAATGCGTAAGGAAGATCAACCAAATCCACAAGATTATACGCAATTAGAAAGAATATCCATACCTGAATTTCCATTTGATGGATTAATTTTAGGTCAAATGACATGTTTAAAATGTCATGGAGTATCAAAACCAAATTTCACACCATTTGTAATGTTAACTTTACCAACTCCAATGAAACCACAAGCCAATTTAGAAACGTTGTTGGAAGATAATGAAAGTGAAACTATAGAGGGTTATCAATGTCTTAAATGTAGATTGGAAAAAATAGTTGCAAATGAAACCTTGATAAAGCCACAAAGGAGATTTGAAACACCTGAAGAAGAACAATTTACTCATCAAATTTTTGACTTGTATAATAATCCACATTTATGTATAAATGAAGACATTCCAGAACCATTAGAGAACTACATCAAACACTATAATGTAAATGGAATTGATATTTCAAAAGTCACATCAACTGTTGCAAAAAAATCACATATTTTAAAACCACCAAAAATTTTTGGAATTCATTTATCAAGATCAGCTTTTGATGGTCAAACAGTCTCAAGAAATTCATGTCGTGTTACTTTTAAAGATAGTATGACATTATCAATTGGAAATGAATATCATGATAAATTAAGAAATTTTCAATCAATTATTCAAAATGATGAAGAAAAATTAATAAAACAATTAAGTTCAAAAGTTTTAACTACTGATGAAAATGATATGGAAGATGAAGATGTTCAAAGAGATGACTATTTGGAAAAGGGATTATCGGATGAAGAATTGGAAGATGAAGGTGATTTAACTGATGATGGTGGAATCACTGAGAATGGTACTGTAACAGAAGATGATGACGAAGAAGAAGAAGAAGACGACGATGATGATGTATCATCAAGAACAACAATCGAATCAACCCCACAAACAATTACAACATCAACAACAATAAGACCACCAAATAGTGCATCATCAGATATGGAAAAAACTCCTAGTATAATAAAAGCTCCAATAACAGATCAACAAACTGAAAATTTAAAAGAACATTTCAAAAAATTTAAATTCAATGAAAATGATTTATATAAATATAGATTAAAAGCTATTATAAGACATATGGGATCTCATACTCAGGGACATTATGAATGTTATAAACATAAACCACTTTATGTGAAAAATAAAGATGGAAACATCTTCAAATTATCACCTGAAATTATGGATTTATCTGGTGATGTCCATTATGATGTTGCACCAGTTGAAAGTGAAGGAGCAGAAGATTCAGCTCATGATTCAACCACAAAGAAAAATTCAAGATTTTCATTACGTTCAGGTAGTAATGCATCAGATCCAGAAGATGGTATACGTCATAAATTTTCTTCATTAATGGGTAGAAGACCATCAGTTATTCAAGCCAATCCAAAAAATGTCGAAGAAATTATACAATCAGGATTACAAACACCAGCAGAAATTTTAGTTGATGATCCATTGAAGAATAATTTTGATAATGCATTTGCTCAAGCAAATTTCAAATCATCATTTCAAGATTCATCACAACAAAATGGACACAACCACAATCAAACGAACAACAGCAACTACAATAACACCGCACCAGAGAAGAAAGTTAAAATGAAAAAAATTCAATCAATAATTACAAATCCATATTGGAGAATAAATGATGCGAATATAAATGAAGTTTCAACAAATACAGTATTAGCTGAAGAAACTACTGTTTATATGTTATATTATGAAAGAGTTGATAGAAAACAAATTAAAAGATCTCAAAGAAATTAGGTTATGTCGGAATTAAATTTTATAGATAATTCTTTTAGAGTTTTATTGTTTTTAATTTTCAATGCATATAGACCTAATTCTGATAAAACATCGCTCACTTAGGATATCTTAGTCTCTGAATTCGTATTTCTAAAAGATAAAGTCTCAGACCAAAATAGCGTACTCTGTCATTGACTTAAGAGAAATTTAGGTGCATTAATTTTAATCGAAAATCCAAAGACGATATCGTCTAATTATTTTGTATACCATTTCATCACAAATTCTTCCATCAATATTATCTACAGTCATTTTCATTTTCCAAATTATCAACATATTTTATAACCTTCAGCACTTGACCTTTTAGATCAGGTAATTTTAAATAATATATACCTTTTCTCTTAAGTTTCTCAAGTGCATGAATAAGTCTCTTTCATTATTATAAAAACTCATCCTTCTGATCCCGCGGCACATTTAAAACTTGGCTGGATATTGTTATTTTATTGTTTTTTAATCTACTTGTTTATCTATCTTTTGTTTTTCTTGCACGTGATCGTTTCACATTTGTTGTATTTGGTCTTGTTGATTATATAGATGTAATATTCCTACAATATAATTTACAACTGAAATTAGTCCATTATCTACAATGTTATTACAGTCTCCCCCCCCATTTGATAATGTGATTTAAAGCTAAAATTTAGCTATTTGATAACTAATTCGTCATTACATTGGATATTTACGAGGTTGAACATTCTTTCGAAAGTACAATCCATTTTTGAAATAGTGGACTTATCGGTTCTGATCGATAAAATAATTTACGTATATGAATGAAGCTTTTTTCAAGCCAATCTTCATATACCTTCCCAAGTTCAAACAGTTAGGTGTGAAGGAATTTCTGAAGTTTAGAATTTTGAATATCATTGTGTTATTCAAGAGATAAGTTTCAAAGTTGCAAAATTTTGAAATTTACAAAGATTTGATAGGGATCCAATTCGAATAATCGATTAAGTTTCGAGATATTATTTGATTTGTTTATCGATCTTTCTTTACCTTTATTTTTGGGGTATGTGGTTTAAAACATTATAAAAAGATGTTTAAATTACAAATTTTGAAAAATAGATATTGATTCGTCATTTTAGTGAAATTCATTGTGATATAAGGTTTTGAAATCACAGTTTTATCACCTTATTTTCAAGAAGGTTAATGGATCGAGGACTTTCAATTCTTTTCAAAGTCAACTGATATGGAAGAAATTTTGGATTTTCCTAATATATGAGTACTTTTCGTTATAATTAATATATATAATCTCTGTTCATATGAAAGATCATTTAATTTTGAAGGATCCGCTACGTATAGACTTGTAAACAATACAATGTATTTAGCAAAATCGTAGTCACCTGTAATGAACAGTTAGCTCATGATTATAATTTTGAACTTTAATTTAAAATTCATGCTAATTTATATGAATTCAATATCTTTGAAGTATCAAATATAAATCTTAAGTAACTTCACCTCTTCTTTAGCTCTCAGTTTGATATTCCGTATCCAGTCCTGCGGAGTTTTGTAAAGTTGTTCGAATTTGATACTTCAATCAATTGTTGTACAACTGCTTAGCATTTAAACAGCTTAATATTGGATTCAGAAATTGCTAGGTAGTCTTAATAAATAATAATGATTTCCAATCTTGAGATCAAGAAATGGGGTTCAAAGTGAAGGAGCATTGAAATTTACAAAGGTTTGAAGAGGATCAAATCGAGCAATCAGTAAAGTTTAGAAATATAATTTGAATTGTGTATCAACTTGTTACTTTTGAAATAAGTGGTTGCAAACTTGGAATATCGTGTTTGAATCACTAATTTCGAAAACAACATAATATGTACGATCAATTAGTGACTCAATTAAGTTATCATGCTTTTTGACCTATATATCTAATATATATCATAGCTATGGATGAACTTTTCTTGTGGACAAGTTTGTAAGATTGTTCTCTTGGTTGCAAAACCAATTCGCGTAATATTTTGAAAAATTGATTTCTGAGAAATCTCTATTTTAATAAACATGAATTAACATGTTATGTCATTAAAGATTATACTACCTACGCATAAGAATGAGCTCAACAATGATCTAGATACATTGGAAAATCTACAAACAAGAAAGATAGCATATTATGACGAAACAATCAAGGGCTATATAATAAATAATAATGAAAATAACCTAGGGCCTAAAAAAGTATCACTTTACCTGAGTATATTACCTCAAGGTTCAACTTTAAGTAATACTTCAATTGATGATTCAACCAGCTCAAGCATGTTTAAATTTACTTTGGATGAAAATCAAGTTATTTTGGACAATGATAAAACTACAGTATGGCAATTTGAGCTTCCAATAATGTATCAACGTAAAAAATATGCACAACCAAATTTATTCATATCATGTAAACTTGAAGACTCAATTGATAACCAACAACACGATCATAATACACTAGAGGATTCAATAGAGTTACCGAATTTTATGCCTGTTTTTAATGATTTTATGGCATATTCTGACATTTCAATAAATGAAAAACATCAAAATATTGAAGAAACTATTGTGAGTAAAAACTTGCACGTGGAAAAAGAAGAAACAACTGAAAACATAGCTGAAATAAGTATCCCAATAATATCATCATTAGTAATTAAATTGAAAACAACAAAACCCGCAGGTCGGAACGGTCTTTTACTAGCTGCGTTAAATATTGAATGTTCAGAAGAAATGTTACATCTTATGACAAAAGACAAAAACGATCAAGGATCCGAAGATGAAAAAACAAATTCAGTAAACGATATAAGCTTTGATATATCTGAACTAAATGTAATATTTGAAAACTCAATTTGTGAACCATCACATTACATTTTTCCAACTCATATGGGAATTTTAGATTCATTAAATGTCATTTATAAATTAATCAGTAATGATCCCACCAGCAAAAATACGTCAAAACCAATTTCAATAAAACTAACATTCAAAATTCAAAAAAAAGTCGACGACGAATTAATAGACATCAGTAATGTGATCCAAACTGAGTGGAGTCCATTTATAGACTTTGGGTTAATTGCACCTCCTATAAATAATGCATTAAAAACAAATAATAATGTATCTCAAGTACAATCTCAAGTGGGAAACTTACCGAATGGAACTAATATACGACAAAAGGCGTTATTAAATAATATTTACAAATTGAAAAGCCCAAGTACTTCCAATCAAAGCACGAATAGTTTATCAGTGTCATCTTCAGCTTCTTCTTCAACAACTGCAAAAAGAATTCATTCAGGTACGACAAGAGTTGCATCATCAGTCACTGTTAACTTATCTACTAATGTCAATTCTTCATTGGCAGGTTTAAGATTAACATTCATTGGAAAACTAGATATGAAACTAGGCCAGGTTACAAATTGGAAGATTCAAGCTGTTAATAATTCAATTAATAGACTAAATCTATCGTTACTAGTTCAGAATCCAATCAACTTTAATCCTATATACAACACAAGTACAACATCCGGAAATAATAATTTTTCTTCATCAAATTTATTACCAATGCTAAATCATGGAGATAAAAATAATAGAGACAATGACATAATAATTCAAGGAAAAACTCAACTATTTTCACTATATAATTCCTTAAAAACAAATTATGAAGAAGAAGGTGTAATTATTTTGAATAACGATGTTAGAATTGGTCCATTAGATCCTCAGACTGTATTTGAAACTAATTTACAATTAATTGGGAACAAAACAGGTATATTTAATTTAGACGGTATTAAAATTTTTGATATAAATACTGGTGATGGATTAGATTTCGGAAAATTAATAGAAGTATTTGTAGTATAAATACAAAAGTCATTAAAATAAAACATCTTGCTATTTCTATTGTTATATCAAACAAATTACTCTCTAATTGCTTTAAAATTAAATCTAAATTAAACAGCATAATCCACTATTATTATCTTTGAATCTTAAGCGGTTTTTAGTCAATTTTTAGATCAAGGAAATTAGAGAAAATTATACTTTTGTCTCAGTTTTAAAATTAAAGCCGTTCGATTAAGAGGAATTTAAATGAATTTTTCATTAAATGGAGTCAAATCTTCTTCTATTTTCTTATTCCAGAAACTATATTTAGACCCTTTTCATACTGTGGTAATAAACGGAATTTTGTAATATCTTGGCCTTACGTTGAAGTTAGTATGATGTGTTCAAAGTTAATTAATATAAATCACAAATTTAAAATATTATTATTTATTATTTATGTATGATTTAATGCCCAACCTATTACAGTTCTTAGTTGAACTTTTCACAAGTTTATGATCAATAACTTAAAATTATTTATTATAGCATTAATCATTAGTTTCATTTATAAATTTTTCGTCAATAATAATAATAATAATAATAATAATAATAATAATAACATGTCATCAATTGATTTTGTAACATTAGCTAAAGAACAAATTTATCCAAATTGGGTACATACTCCACAAGAAGTTAAAGATATAGCTAAAGAAATTGCAAGTGAAGAAACTCAATTATTCGATCAAATTGCAAAACAAATTAATAATCCAACTATCGAAAATGTTATAAAACCATTTGCTAAACAATCAAATGAAAATAGTTTTACTGAAAATCAAATTACATTTTATCAACATGTTTCTAATAATAAAGATTTAAGAGACGCTTCTACCGAAGCTGAAGAATTGATCGAAAAAAACTCAATTGAACAATGGTCAAGATTGGATGTTTTCAAAGTTTTTGAAAAATTAAACGAATCAGTTGAGAATGACTCAAATATTGATTTTGAAACAAAACGTTATTTGAAAAAAATCTTAATTGCATTTAAAAGAAATGGGTTAGCATTACCTGAAGAACAAAGAGAAAAAGTTAAAAAGCTTCAAGTTGAACTAAGTAATTTAAAAGTACAATTTGCTAAAAATTTAGGAGAAGATAAAGGATCAATTAATTTTACAGAAAAAGAATTAGAAGGTATTCCAAAAGATATCATTAGTCAGTATGAAAAAATTGAAGATAATGGTGTATCAAAATTAAAAGTCACTTTCAAATATCCAGATATTATTCCACTTTTCAAACATGCATCTAATTCGGAAACTAGAAAAGCAGCCAATATTGCTTATGGTAATAGAGTTTCAGAAAATGATGAAATTTTAACCAAAATTATTAAAATCAGATATGAAATTGCCAAAGAATTAGGATATGAGACTTTTTCCGATTATGTTTTAGAGGAAAGAATGGCCAAAAAGAAAGAAGTTGTACTAGATTTTTTAAGTGATTTAAGAACAAAATTAGAACCAGTGGGTGAAAATGATTTAAAAGAATTGAAAGAATTGAAAAGACAAGACCTTAAAAAAAGAAATTTTAAAGAAGACGACGGTTTCTGCGCTTGGGATTCCAACTACTATAATGAAAAATTATTAGAAGAAAAATATCAAGTTGATAATACTAAAATTGCAGAATACTTTCCATTACAATCAACTATAAATAAAATGTTGGGATTTTATGAAAAGATATTTGACATTAAATTTGTTAAATTAGAACCAGAATCTAATAAAATTTGGCACGAGGATGTTCAACAGTATTCAATTTTTCAAGGTGTTAGTTCTGGTAAGTTAGAACATATGGGAGCTATTTATTTTGATTTACACCCTAGAGAAGGTAAATATGGCCATGCAGCTAATTTTGGTTTAGGTCCAGGATATGAGGAAACTAATGGTGATCGTCATACTCCAGTAACTGCTTTGGTTTGTAATTTTACAAAGCCAACTAAAGAAAAACCATCATTATTAAAACATGATGAAGTTGTTACATTTTTCCACGAATTAGGTCATGGTATTCATAATATTTTATCACAAACTAAATACGCAAGATTTCATGGAACTGCAGTTGAACGTGATTTTGTTGAAACTCCTTCTCAAATGTTAGAATATTGGTGTTGGTCTAAAAATGAACTTAGAGAATTATCATCACATTACAAGACTGGTGAACCAATAAATGATGAATTAATTGATCAATTAATTAAAACTAAACATGTCAATACTGGTATATTCTATTTACGTCAATTATTTTTCGGTATATTTGATATGAGTTTACATACAATTAAAAGTAAAGAAGAATTAGACGAATTGGATTTGTTTAAATCATGGAATAAGTTAAGAGAGGAAATTACTTTATTACCAAGTGATAATAATCCTACAAAAGGTTATGCATCATTTGGTCATATTGCTGGTGGTTACGAAAGTGGTTATTATGGTTATTTATACTCATTGGTTTATGCTGCTGATATTTATCATACTTTATTTAAGGAGGATCCAATGAATACTGATAATGGTATAAGATATAGAGACATCATTTTAAAAAGAGGTGGATCAAAAGAAATTATGGATAATTTAGAAGAATTATTAGGTAGAAAACCAAATTCTGATGCTTTCTTGAATGAAATATTTGGTTAGATATTTGATGTTGGGTGTATAGGTTTAAAAGTTTATAGTTTGAAATTAAATTTCTGGAAATTTAATAATTAAATGTAGCCTATTCGCTCGACTTGTACTACACATGAAATCAAATCAACTTCAGAGTAATTTGGAATTTTTAACATCAGTGACTTAGTTATTATTTAGACAAAATTCTATAGATTTATACATTGTTCTTCTATCATCTTCATTAAAAACCCATAATCCAAAAATTTCACCCGATAAATTTCGTACAATAATCAAATTATCATTTAATTCAACATCCATTTCCAGTATTTCTGACCCATCAACTCCATTAGGTAAAAATTGTTTACTTACTTTTGTAGGTATTAAACCTATTGAAAAACAATCTGGATTATTTCTATTCAATAATATTAATCCATAACTGAATAAATCTTGATATGTGGATGTTGATAATGATGGTGATGATATTTCTAAATTTCTGACGTATAATGCTAATGTACCTTGATAATCTGATTTTACCCATTCTTCAGTCTCTTCGTTAAATCTATACACTACACAATGTGATGTATAGCATATAAGTTGTTTTATAGCTGGATCATATCGACTTATTACATTAAAATTTAATGTGTTGGAATATAGCTTTAATGCTTCATCTCTTGAAAGCTGTTCTTCATTTACCTGTGTGTTGTTCTTGACCTTCGTGGACATTGTTTGTTGAGCGAGCTATCCAGTTGTAAGGTGATCCTAGGTTTTATTAAAAGCTGGAAATCTTGACTTTAATACTAGGCTGAAAATGTTTTGTGCGTAAAATTGGATCAAGTTTATAAAGAATACTCTTTTGATACTATTAGCTTTGCAAACATCTAGTACGAAGTCAATTGTAAAGTCGATTTAAGAGGTTCAAAATGCTAGCTCTTTCTACGTCTACTCTAGTCTAGCATACTTCCTATTTCTGATTAAGTTGTTTGAATATTCCCTTAGATTCCATGGTTTGTATCCACAATAAAAAATTAAGGGGATTTTATTTTTCAGAAAGCAATATTATTTCAAATATAATTACTTTATTCTTCTTCAATTGAGTATCACAAATTACCAAACAAGATGCAATTGATCACTAAATCAGCTTTAAAATTACCAGTAACTTATTCGTTTAGAGCTTTAGCTAGATCCTACGCTACTGTTGGTGATAAAATCCCATCAACAAGTGTACATGAAAATTCACCAGGTAATGAAGTTGACTTATCAAAAGAAACTGCTAAAGGCAAATCGATTTTAGTAGGAGTACCAGGAGCTTTCAGTCCAGGGTGTTCTCAAAAACATATACCTGGCTATATAAAAAATTCAGATGCTTTTAAAAACAAAGGATATGATCAAATATTTGTTTTAGCTGTAAATGATCCATTTGTCACAAAAGCTTGGGGTGAAGAATTAACTGATAAAAATGGTAAAAGTTCAATTAGATTTTTAGCTGACTCTACTGGAGCTTTCGCGAAAGATTTAGATTTATTATTTGATGCTACTAAAGTATTTGGTAACGAAAGATCAAAGAGATATGCATTAGTTGTTGAAGATGGTAAAATTACTGAAACTTTTATTGAACCAGATAATACATCAGTTGATAAATCAGACGCTACTAAAGTTTTAGAAAAAATCTAGAATTGAATTAAAATGTCCATCCGTTACCTATATATAGGGTTTAAAAATCAAATTTTTTAGAACGTTTACGTTTCTTGTCAGATTGTTTCTTTTTATTAAACTTTTTACGTTCCTTGAAATCTTCTTCCAATAATTCCCATTTAAGCTTATCTTCCTCTGTTGCTTCAGTCTCGAAATACGTATTCGATTTGATTTCCTCAAGTAGTCTACTGAAGCATTCCTCAGTGTTTAAGTCTCTACTTCTGCTTGTATCACACTGAATTAATATTCCTTTCAGTTTTGTTTCATACCTAATTGGTTTATTTTGCAACTGAGATAGTATTGGTGAAGGAATCCAATAACAAGTTGATGAGTCTAGCCAAGTTCCAGGCTCTAGTGAGATTGTTGCTTTTGAGGAAGTCTTATTTACTTTTTGCCCACCAGGACCTGACGATCGACTATAAGTAATACTGAATAGATGTTTGGGTATTATTGAAGGTGTTGCATTTTCAAGCCAATCTTTTGATTTTTGAATTTCTTCGATAGTGAAGCTATTGTCATTAGCATTGGAAAGCCTCCGTAGTGTGTGATTTAATATATGAACATTCTGTTTATTCCATGTAAATTGGTTGTATCGTAGAATTTCTAATAACATTGATTTTCTGGAGTATTTTCGTTGCAAAAAAATAAAATAATTTTACATTTACGAAACTTCTTACATTTTGTTTCAGCTCTAAATCAACTTATACCTTTCATCTAATCACCGACATGACTGATCTATTACAAAAGAAATCTAATGAATTCTACAAACTTATGAATAAGGTTATTGATGATGTGAAATTATCAGATTATGATCAAGAAGTTGATAATTTTGATAAATTTAACAATTTTGAAAGACAACTACGAAAAATATTAGATTTTAATAAATCACAATTACATTACACCAAAGGTGATGATATAGAAGAATTAGAAGAATCAGATGAAAACGAAATCCAAAAGTTTAATACCCAAGTTGATTCAACAATAGATGAATTTATAATTTCTACTGGATCTCAAAAACTTTTACAATCAATGATTCAACAATATGTGGAAGATAATGGTGAAAATAAATCAACATTTCATCAAAAGATTAGCACAGTACTAGATTTTATCATATGGCTAAACTTGAACCTTGAGTTACCTTACAGAACATCATTTTATCAAAGTTTAATTTTTATACTGACCCAAATATTATTAATATCAACTGAAGAAATTGAATCATTCTGGACATACATAGAATCAAGACTAAAAATAATAAAATATAAATTATTTTCAGGTTCAATTAATGAAAGAATGTACATTTTACAACTTGGCAATTCACTAACAGATTATTTTGAGACTTCAAGATTCGGAGATAAAACAAAGCCAATAAAAAAAGATACAATTAATGATAGAATTCAATCAAGAATAAGAACTTTTATGACCAATTTATTAGAATTTGAAGATCTGACTGGTAGAAATAAATTCTTTCATATGGGTAATAGTATAGCTCCTAGAATTCCAACAAAAGATAAATTTTTAAGTGATATAATGGATATTCAAAAAGTATTTAATGATCCAGTATTTTATATGAGAAGAGAAAATTATAAAGAATTTCTTGCAATGACTGATAAAATTACTGCAGTTTTAGGTGAATTATTAAAAGAATATAAAGAATATAGAATGAAGAAAATAGAGCCTGATCAATTTAATAGAAAACCTACTATATCTATAACAGAAGCAAATTATTTAAAGAAAAAATTTAGTAAAAAACTATTTGTTCCATCATCATATATAGGAGCTAATGAAGATAAGAAAAAAGAAGATATTGATTTCTTATTTGATCAATTGGAATCACCAATTGTTAAATTACAATATATAGCACAAATTTTTATGGTTGGAGGGTTATATAGTGAAGCATCTAATGCATCTAAAACAGATTTATTAAAAAGTATAGGGGCTCCACCAAATGCAAGACATTTAACTGAAGAAAATATTAATGCAACATTAGCTAAAAAATACTTTGAATTAAAAAAGGAAATTCAAAATGGTCTTAGAAAATGTGATCCTCAAACTATGTTTTTATTTCAAACTTTACATTTTGGTGAAAGATCTTGGTGGGCATTATTATTGAAAGGAAAAGATCTGGATATTCAAAATGTATTTGCTAATAAATTAATTACACCAGAGGAGTTAATTTCAACTGAGGATAAATTTTTAAAATTATATCCTTATAAGAACAAAAAGAGTTTTAATACTTATATCACACCACAAGTTTCTAAAAAGATGAGAAAATCAAGAGGATTAGAAAATTTAAAAGAATCAGTTGTTTTTAATGTTGAAAATGCAGAGGAAGATAATAAGTTAATAAATGAAAAATTAATAGATGAAGATACAATGGAAGATAAATCAGAATTAAAAGAAAAAAAATCATCTAATTTATGGAAAATGTTAAGGAAAAGAAGATATGAATTAGTTGAATGAAAAGATGATGAATAGAATCTAATTGAATATCATATGATTTATATTGAGACATATGATTGAATTGATGTAACAATTTGTACGTAGTATGTAATATATATATACAATTTACAGTTTAAAGTTCATCATTTATTGTAATAATAAAATTTATTAAAAGTTAATTCTATTCTTCTAGATTTAAATTAAGAATATCTTTAATCTGATGATGATGATGTCTCAGATTAAATCGTATAGTTAATTATTTACGCGTCTCATACTAAATATATAATATCATTTTTATAGTACATTTTTTTTTCAATAATTATTATAAGGAATTTATAAAACTACAATTTTGACAATAAATTATTATCAATTCTACTATTCAATCATTTTCTAACTCCATTTAATCAAGGATCAATACCTTCAATTGCATTACTTTCGATCTCATATTTTACTTAAATCTACATGGCAGTTTTTTCACCAATCTAATTTAATCTCACGTATCAAAAAAGGTTGCAAAACAAAGTTTATTGAAATTTTCTTATGGCACCAGTTAGAAGATCATCTAGAAATAAAAATAAAACTCCTAAAGCAAGCTCACCTAAGAAGAATACTACTGTCAACAAAAGAAGATCAAATAAAAAAAATAATAAGAATGTTGCACCAAAAATTGAAGTATCAAGTGCTGATACTACTATAGAACTGGATTTAAATTCGTCACCAATTAAAAGAGTCGAGTCGCCCGCAATAAATCAAGAAACAAATAATCAAGTCAGTAGCTCACCGATTAGAAAAGTCGATCTGCCCAAAAGCCATAATAACAGTGTAACTGCAACACCAACAAAACAAAAGAAGAATAATCTTCACAATCATAATATAAGAAGGAAGAAAAGTGTTTTATTTTCAGATGATTTAGTGTCAGATTTACCAAGTACACCAGATAGGACAACTCCAAAACGATCAATTTTAAAAACCTGTGATATTAACTCCAAAACAAATTTAACTGATCCAAATAATTCTATACTATGGGAAAAATCACCTTCAAAACAACCACATGGACCTAAAAGTACAAATTTTTGGTCACCAGGGACTATAATCCAATTACCACCAAACTCTGATGAATTGCCTTTGCTACTAGAAGGATGTTTAGCAGTTTTAAAAATAAGATCTTTTGATAGAAAATTTGAAGTTTACGCAACATTAAATGCAGTTTATAAATCAAATCCAAGTCAAACTTTATTAAAATTGTTTACAACTACAGAATCTTTTACAGAAAATGAACCAAAACAGTCAACTTATCTTCAGATATTAATTTCATACCTAATAAGAGATATAGAAGAAATTGAAGAACAAATATTTACTTCAGAAGCAGATGATAAAGAAAATACCTCCCCCACTAAAAATGACCCATTTAGAGTAAGAATAGTCAATCAAGCATTAAAATTGTTGAATTTTTTTATGTCAGACACAAATTTAAATGATTTAATACGGCTTGAAGATGCAGAATGGGTATATAGACATGCAAGTTTAATGTTGACACATCCACGTATTTCAAAAAATTTAGTTTCACCGTATTTATGTTTAATCAAAGATTGTCACTTGAGTCCCAAGAGAAAACGTAGCTTATTTTCAAATTGTGAATTAATTGAGAAAATGTTGTATGCATTAATGAATATGAATAGTTTTCCAAGTGCTTCCTTGATATCAGAAAAGTTATTATGTATTAAGAATTATATAATAAATTTCCCAAGTTTTATGTCAAAAAACATTGGGCATTGGTTCGAAGTTGTTTTGCTAAATTTATGTAATATAACACTGTCGTTGTATTTAAAATGTTTAGGCTTAGGTGTTCATTGTCTTTTGGAAGCCGCAAAGACCTTTTTGGATAATAGTAATGTTCATGTATATGTTATGGAGCTTTTATCATCAACGATATCCAACAGAGTCAAATTTTTTTCATCTGATGAAGAGTTTTCTCAAGACTTAAATCTGTTGAATTCACAAAATGTTAGACTAGTTGATTTTATAATATCTAAATTGCAAACGTTATGTGATGCTGAACAATACAAATTGTCTTTAGATTTATGGATGGCTTTGACTGTTTTAATTGGTAATGGTAAATGTGCATTTGAAAAATGGCCTCATTTAAATTCATGGCTACAAGTTCCAAGAAGATGTCTTGAATCAGAGAACTCCGATGTTATGGAATTAGCTTTGAACTGTTGGAAAGCTGTCAACTTCAATTTATGCAAAAATGGTTTAGCAAGTATGAGAAAAGAATTGGATCCAATACTAAGACTACCAGCTAATAAAGATAAAGTCAATATGATCAATCTGATCATGAAGCCAAAAATCAAGTTATTGACTCATGTATTTACCACTATGAATATCTCAAATTTACTGGATAATGTTATTGCTTCACTACATAATTTATTTTTAGGATTATTGTACATGATGTTGGGTCCAAACATTTTGAGACTGTGGTCAAAACATATTTACTTGTTCTGGGATAAAATTATACAACCAGTATTTGTCAGTTTTTATTTCAAAAGGGACATTTCGAACCCAAGTCTTAATTATCTTGGGTTAGAAATTTTGAAGAAATTATTAGAATCGAATTCAACATCATCAAAGTCATTTAGTGATATGAGGATATTGTCAAATGAGATATTAAAGTTGAATGACATCAATTCGCTTCCTTCCAAATGGGTTCATTCTCATTTTGATAAGATTATGCAGAATTTATACTTGGTGTTTCTGTTGAATTCTTTAAAATTTGAACATAAATTATCCTTTTTAACGTCATTCTTTAATATTATCAAGCCCATAACAAAGAAGGAAAATACTCCTTCTACTACAACTTATGATCTAATTGACAATCTTCCATTAATTTTGACACAATTATTAAAATCAGAAGATACAAATACCAGTGTTGGAACAATAACTAATATTATACTAGAACTTCATGATACTTTTAATCCGAATTATTTGATATATAGAGGTGATGGTGATAGCATTAATATCTATATGAGTTTGCTTGATAAGAACAAAACTATTTCTGGTGATGACTTGAACTATCTAATCTTATTAGTTTTTAGATTGTTAGAAACAACAAAAGTACTCATTTTCATTGTTGATATACTCAAGTCTGACATATTCAATTATCTGAACGGTTCATTGTCATTCATATCGGATGTTTTAATCAAAACAGATGTGGAGTTAAGTAACACGAATTTAAAATATTTTGGTGAAATATGTCAATTTGTTCAAAATGATTTTGATGTATATGTTAAAAAATTAATTCAATCAATAGTATCAATACCGAATATTGAAGAGACATGCAGGTGCTTGACTATGTTGAATATAGAAAATTGGACAATTGAATGTGCACATTATGTATTTCTATTACTAAGAGGAGCTCCAAATCAAGCAATTCATCAATATGTTTTAACCACATTATCAAAACGTCTTGAAACTTCATACCATCCTACATTAGCATTTTTGATTCACAATGATTTTGCATATGAAATCTATATGTTAAAAGACCAAATATTTGAAGGTAGTTCAAAGTTAGACTCTGCGGTTTATACCAATACTTGTGCAATATTGGGAGACTATATCAAATTTAAAATTGATGAACCAGAAAAGAACTATGATGTAATTGATCAATTAGCTTTAGGTTGTATAAAAGTGTTCAAACTAAACTTACCATTTTTAAAGAAGAATCACTTGGAATATTTGCCATTGGTAGACCAAGAACTAAAATCACAATTAGCTCAAATAGTACAAGAATCAAGTTCGCCTATTGTAAAAAGATCATTATCAGACTTATCACTTTCAATTCCATCAGTTGTTTTTAAAGATATTACAGCAGGATCTTTACCTCAAGAGCTTAGTCCTATCTTTGAAGAGGAAACAATTATTCAAGATTTGGTGAATAATAACTCATGTGAGTCCTCAGGTCTTTCGGAAGATAGAGTTGAGCCATGTAATACAATGGAGGTCGACGCTGAAGTGGAAATGAGAATGGAAAAAGCTGTGCCATCTATTGATCAATATAATGATTTGATCATGGAAGAACCAATTGAATCGACTTTAGAAAGTTTCAATTCCAATTCTGTAACAATCACAGTAGAAAAGTCTAATAAAGCTGAAACATCAGAGTCAGAGCTGCTTGAATCTGTGAAAAGTATGGAAGAGTTACTAATAGTGAAGCCAATAAATAATGAAGCTGCTAATCTCAATAATTCTAAAGAGGAAACAATCAGTGAATCTGAAAGTACATTAATCACTCAGACTACTGAAAACCCAATTGGAAATGGCTCTAAAGAGGATACAATCGCAAATACATCATCATCATCATCATCAACTGAAATCACTAACATTGTTACTAAAGAAAAAGACATATCTTCATCGATAGCAAAAATTTTGCCAGACTCAGTTGAATCTATCAACTCATTAATTGGACAATATGACACTAAAGAATTAGTAAGATTATTAACTTCAAAATCTCAAAATGAACTAATTAATTTGAACAAGGAGGAGAAATACGAGATTGAAACAAATTTACTAAATTTTATGATAAGATTACGACAATCATAAATACACTTGCATAGTTTAAAGAATGAAGACCTGCTTAATTATTCTACATCAATCAAAATCCTCTACAATTTTCGTCTATTGTTCAACTATGAAATAGCTCTTTTTCAAAATTTATAACCACCACCAATAGCATAACCTAGCATAATAGCAGTAGAAATGAAAATAAAAACAAACAAACCAGTTCTTACAGCTTTATATTCAACCAAAAATAAATCTAATCCAATGGTGAAATATATTATAATTTTTAAAATCAATTGTGAGAAATGAGGTGAATAAATTGATAAATATTCCAATAATAATAATTCAATACTGTAAAAAGGTAAAGCTTGAAATTGATCTAAATTAAAAGTTGAAATTTTAATTTTTTTTGTTTTTGTTGTTGTTTTAATCTTCTCCTTACTATTTCTAGGGCTCGATAAAAGTGGTGGTATACGAATTGTTTCTGTTTCGTATTCTTCTTCTGTCAAATTTAAGTGATCTATTTCATTCAATTTTGAAAATTCTATATCTTCTTCATCATCCTCTTCTTCTTCTTCTTCTTCTTTATTTTCAGGTTCTTTTGATTTTGGGCTTTTGGCTTTATTGTAATTTGGCATATAAAGTGCTAAATCATTTCGATTTAATTGTAAATTGTTGACCAGTTGTTTGTCTAATGATACATTTAAAGGTTGCACGCCATCACTTTTTACAAACCTTTTCCATTTCATATCATTTAAATATAATAATATCTCTTTTGAACTACATCTTTCAAAATTCTTGGATTTATCATCTATATCAGGATCTCCTTTCAACATTTTCCAAATCAAATGTTTAAAATCAGATAAATATTCATCAACTTCTCTACCTTTAGATTTAACAATTTCATCAAACCATTCACTAAACGAATCAAAAGTTGTTTTCTCATACCACTTCAAAATATTTTCTCTAGCTACCTCAGGATCAATTTCATCTTTAATCATTTCAGAAAATGGTAATTTACCAACACATAAATAACAAAGAATTAAACCTAAGGAGTATATATCACTTTCATAAGTAAAATCATTTATAAAATTTTTCCCACCTAATTTTGGATCATCATTACATAGCCATAATTCCGGGGCAGTAAATTCTAAAGTTCCCGTGTTACCTTCTCTGTTCCCAATTTTACCTAAATTGGAACTTTGATGCTTATCTATAAATTTTCCTTCACCAAAATCTGATACTAAAACTTTTGGTAAGTCAAATACTTTGGATTCAAATTCTTCAACACTTGAGAAAAATTGTGGAATCGAATCAATCTCTGTATACTTAAGGTCCAAGAGACAGTTTGATGGTTTCAAGTCTCGATGTAATATACCATGTTTGTGTAAATAATTTACTCCATTTGCAATATCATGAAAAAATTTCCAAATTTCAAAATTACTTAACCATTTATGAGACATAATATCTTGATTCAAATTTCTATTCTTTCTTTTCAGTTTTTCAAATTTAACTTTTTCACTATATGACATATTTTCTTCAATTAAGTAATTTTTATTTATTAAATCTTCTAAATGTCCACCGGCACAATATTGTTGCAATATAAACATGTAAGGTACCTTTTCTGATTTTTTGAAAGTTTTGGTATTTAAATCAGACAAAAAAAAAGCATTTGAATCTTCTAATTCTCCTAATTCTAACCAAACATGATTATACCGTATTAAATTATTTTCATTTGCACTTTTTGCTGATAATTCATATAAAATCAAAACTTCATTCAAAACTTGTTCTAATAACTCATATTTATCTCCAACACTTATCCTTTTAACAGCATATGTACCTAATACTATTTCATTTAGTATATGTTCAACTTTATAAACTTGTGCATGAGCTCCTGAACCTAATGGATTTGGATCAACTTTTCTAAAAAATCTTTTGAAATAGCCTTGATTGAAAACCCCACTTGGAATACTACTACTTGAACTTGATTTGTTATTACTGCTTTTATCATTAAATGGTATTTGAGCTAATAACTTAAAATAATCATTATGCATAAAAGTATTTGAATCAATTCCAATTGGCTGTCTCATATTAAAACCTCCAGTAGTACTTCCCCTTCTTGATCTTGGTGCCCTTTCAAACTCTTTCCAAACAAACCCACAACTTGGACATTTCTTAGTACCTCCGTTATCAGAAAAATTAGGAAATCTAGAATCTTGTTCATATTTACTATTTGGTGCCGGAGCTGTTGTGCTTGAAAATTCTGTATGATGATTAGTCGAAGAACCTAATGTTGAAAGTAATTGAATTGAGTTTTCTTGAGTATCATGAAGAATTAATATACCTTCATTTGGATCATGATATAAAATATCATTATTATTTGGATTGTACGGTATTATAGACATTTTTAGTAATATTGCAAACTCCTAAATTTTGGCAATTCCAAATTGGACTACTTGAATAATCTTAATGAACTGTTAATGAATAATCAATCTATTAGCCTAATCATATATATATATAATCTGATCTTAATTGAATAGTTTTAGTAATTTTGTTACCCCTGAAAACTAAAGATTAACAATGGTATTTCTTTCTTTCGTATTAATTTATAAATTAATTTTATACAATTCTATATTTCCTGATTCATTTTGATTGCGGCTTTTGAATTGCTACCAAATACTCATCATATTTTTTTGTTAGTATTCAATTATTAGATATGTTTTACAACCAAAAAATAATACACTTATATATTATAAAGTTAATAAATAATACTAATTTGTAACAACAAAGGATGGGTTCAAAAAGGAAGAGAGATAATAAAGAAGATAGGCGTCTACCCAAACAGAAAAAATCAAAAACAAATGGAAACATTGCAATTAAAAGAAAATCAAATTTTAATTCATTTGAAAATTTAAGTCCTGAAGAAAATTCAGATTCAGAATATTTATATGATTATAATAATAAAGAAAACTCGGATGATGGAGGTGGATTAGATTTAATTGATAGTGATGATGAAGAATTACAAGAAAATATTGGGTTCGATAGGCTAAATGAAAGTGATAATGTTGAAGACCAATATAATTCTGATGACGAGTATGATCCAAATGACTTTCAGATACCAACTAATGATAACAATAATAATAATGGTAATAGTAATAAAAACAATAATAATAATAAAAATAATAAAGTTGAGAATGAAGTAACGAGGAATCAAGACTTTATAGGATTTGGAATTTCATCATCCGACGAAGACGAACAAGAAGAGGAAAAAGAAGACGATAAAGATTACGATGACGTATACCCAGAAGATGAACATGGAAATTCTAAGATTCAAACGACCAATTCACAATTTCCTTGGATTAAAAATCATGATCATTCAAGACAAAAAGAAATAGCAGATTGGCTTACTTTAGAAATTAAAGATTTTATTAATTATATATCACCACATAAAACAGAAATAATAACGAGAAATAAAATTATAAATAATTTAAAATTACAAATTTCAAAATTTTGGCCAGGTACAGAAACTCATGTATTTGGATCATGTGCAACTGATTTATATTTACCTGGATCAGATATTGATTTAGTTATTATTCTGGGAACTGGAGATTATGAAAATAGATCAAGATTATATCAATTATCATCTTTTTTAAAAGCTAAAAATTTAGCTAAAAATGTTGAAGTTATTGCTAGTGCAAAAGTTCCTATTATAAAATTTATTGATCCTTTATCTAATTTAAATATTGATGTTTCTTTTGAAAGAACAAATGGTTTAGATGCAGCAAGAAGAATAAGAAAATGGCTTAATTCAACACCTGGATTAAGAGAATTAGTACTTGTAGTTAAACAATTCTTAAGGTCAAGAAAATTGAATAATGTACATGTTGGAGGATTAGGTGGATATGCAACTATAATAATGTGTTATCATTTTATGAGACTACATCCCAAAATATCAACAAATGCAATGAATGCTTTAGATAATTTAGGAGTTTTATTAATTGAATTTTTTGAATTATATGGTAGGAATTTTTCATATGATAATCTTATAATAGCATTAAATAATCAAACAGATGAACCAAAATATATAAAAAAGGGTAAAAATGCCATATTAAATACTTCAAGAAATCAATTTGCCATAGTTATACAAGATCCAGCTGATCCAACAAATAATATAACTAGATCATCATATAATTTACGAGACCTTAAAAAAGCATTTGGAGGAGCTTTTCAATTATTAGTTACAAAATGTTATGAATTGAATGCTGCTTCTTATAGAAATAGATTAAATCAACTGATATTGGGTGATATTATAAAATTCAAAGGAAAACAAAGAGATTTTAATGATGATCGTGATCTAATAGTAAATGATGCATTAATAAACGAAATAGAATATAATGAAGAACAAGAACAAGAAGATAATGATGATTATGATCCACTGGATTATATGGATGAATTTAATACAGATAAAAAAATTAGTAAAAATGGTAAATATTATTTTTCAGATATGACAGTAGAAAGTGATGATGATGATGATGATGAAGATTCTCAAGAAGAAGAAGATTATAATCCTAAAACTATAATTAAAACAAAACTTGCGAAAAAATCAAGATCAATTACTCCAACTCCAATTACAAACAAATCAAAAGATACTAAAAAATTAGTTGAATCATTTTTAAGTTTGGAAAAAGAAGAAGAAGAAGATCAAGAAGATCAAGATAATGAGGATGAAAGTCAAGATGAAATTAAAAATTTTTTACCTAAAAAGCCAATGTCAAATTCACCTAATTTACCAAGAAAACCAAATTTAGATAAAGATATTAAAAGAGATTATTGGAGACAAAAGGGTTTAGATATGTGACTTGAATAGGTATTTTGTCAAAGGAATAGAATTTAATTCATAGCTTGTATTAGTAATAAATTTTAATTTCAGTAATTCTTAACACCTTAAATTGGCATAGCTCAGAGTAATGAGTATCTACAGTATTTAATTGGTTTTTAAAAAAAAATGAGTGTAAATATATTATTTTATATTCGCTATGTACTAATTTTATAAATCACCAATATTTATTTATTTATTTAATATAATCAAAAATTCTTAATTTAATTTCATCATCATTTAAATATTTTAAATCTTCACCAGTAGATTCATCTCTTAATTTATTTTTATTTGATACTAATTCTTGAAAATTAATATTAATTAAAGATGAATGATATTTTGACCAATTAATAAAAGGAGATTTTATTATTGATTCAGGTTTTGGTAAATCTAAATTTCCCGTATATAAATCTAATATAAATTTTTTTAAATTTTGATGATTTTCTTCATTAATTTTATTTTTTAAATTTGATAATTTTATTATATCATTTTTTAATTTTGAATTTTGATAATTACTTAAATTTAATGATGAATTTAATACTATAAAATCTGAATTATTTTGTAAAATTGAATTTTGTTTTGATGATTGTAATTCTTCTTCTTCTTCATTTTCTAATTCATGTTTTGATTTAGTTTGTAAAGTAATTATATTTTGAAAATTTGGATCCATATAATCTTGTGATTGATGATCACTTAATGATTCTGGTGGTGTTGATGGATATACAGTAGCATTTTGTTGTTGTTGAGTTTGATTTTGCTTTTGTTGATGTTTGAGGTAATTATCAATTTCTTCTTCATCTTCTTCATCTTTTGGAGTTAATAATGGTGAATGTTGAAAAGATTTTGAGTCTTCATTTGGTAATACAAATGATACCGATTTACAACGTCTATGTTGTGGTCTAATTGGATGATGATCTTTTGAATCAATGTGACCATTTTGATATTCTAAATTATCAAAAAGTACTTGTTCTTGTTCTTGGCTTTGTTCTTGTTGTTGTAATTGCTGACTACTATTTTCATTCATTAATTCATCATTGGACAATCCATCACTTGGAGTTGGAGATGGAGGAGTAATTTGTTTATAATTTGAGGAATTTGAAGATTTATGAGTATAATTTGATTGTTTAGTATTGCTAATATTATTCTTATTATGTTTATAATCTAGTTCATAATAATCAGTCGATGTATTAATACTATTATGACTACTATTTCGTCTTTTATGAGTTCTAGACGATATAGATGAAGTTAACGATGATGATGATTTATGTAATGATTGTTGCTTCTGTAATTCTTGTTGTTGTAATAATAATTTTGAATTCAGTCTAGTTATTGGTTTTTCTATAATTGATGATGATGATAAGGGTGTAATTGCATTGGAAGTTGTAGTTGTTGTAGTTGTAGTTGTAGTTGTATTATTCAATTTACTTCTTTTGTTAAGTTGTTGTTGTAAATTAGATGATGAATTCAAATTCTTTAAATTATTATAATGATATGGTGAATGTTGTTTATTATTAGAAGTTGTATTTGATATATCTTCTAATTCATTAATTTTTCTTTTATTATGTAAAGAAGTTGTCAGATCTCGTAACGTTGCCATTATATAAAATCAATATGAAAATGTAAGTAGTAAATTCCAATTTATGTAAGTTGTAAAAAAATTGTATTAAAACTAAAAACTAAAAAATAATGAAAAAATAAAAAAAAAGTAATTTTAAGGAGTTAATTTAATGACCCCCTATATATATATATATATATACAAATGAATGATAATATAATTGATATAATTAATAATCAAATATGAACTAATGATTGAAAATCTAAAATAAAACCTCTATCAAATTAAGATGAAGTCTTTGAAAATCAATTGTTGTATAATTTAATTGGAGATTGAATAAAAAAAGAATGGTTGTAAAAAAAAAAGAAAGTTGAAAAATTATCACCAAATTTTTAATTTTTTTATTTTTTTTCAACAACAAATTTTTAAAATAATTTTTAGTTAATTAAAGCACAACGTCAATATTATTTTAATCACAAATTGGATTAAGAAAAATATAAATAATTATTATTTATTATTAAAATACAAAGAAATAAAGATATATAACCAAATATGATACAAAGATATAATAATAATTATAATATTAATACAATCATTACACAATCTAACAATACTGTAATAATTATCTATATTGATAAACACACAATATTATAATAATTTTGTTAAGAAATAGCAAAAATAAAAATAGTAGTAAAGTAATTTTTGTGAACAAATAATTTAATATATAATTATTATCATGAATCTATATCTAGATAAGTTCATTTATTTTATTGTATTCTAGTTCAATTCACTCTTATTTTAATATATTATTAAAGAATATGTACTTAATAAATTAATCAATATTAGATCTAGTTGTTATTACTTGTAATTTAATTATTATTGAATATTAACTAATTATTTATCCCCCCCCCCCTTTATTTTTATATTTTATTTTTTGCCACTGAAAATAGTTTTTTGGTAAATTGTACACTACTTTTTAATATAGACGAATTTTACGGAGTTTTTTTTTTCGCTTTTAATATATTATATGTAGAATATTATTATATATTACAAATACTATTTTAATATTGAAACATTATATTAATTATTTATAATAGTATGAATTACTATAAGTTGATGATTTAACTGAGACTTTAAGTCTTTAAAAATTGTTAAAAATTAAATCTTAAATCATCAACCATTTATTCTAATAATTCCAGAATTTTGAAAATTAATTGATGTAATGTAATGGTTGTTAATTAATGATAAATTAACATGAAAAATTATATATTATAAATTTTTTAAATCAAGGGTGGAATTTCAGTTGTTTTTTTTTTTTTTTATTCTTCTCCAATTTTTATTATATAAATTTGACCTAATGTTTCATATATTTTATGGAGAAAAGTATATGCCTTATAAATTTAATCCACCATATTCATCTTATGATATTGCCAAATAGTACCTTTCTACTCTATATGCTTTGCTTTACTTATACATTATACATAAGACTTACTTTTGAATATATTTGTTCTATAGATATGGATGGGTGCAAATTCGTTTACCCGATAAGAGCAATTGTACATTTCTTTTTTAGTAATAATTTTTGTGCCCCAACATCTCTTATTATTTGTTTCATATATTTTGTTTATAGATTTAATTTACTACAAAGATCTAGAAGTTGTAAAGTCGTTTAAATTAGACATAACAGATCTCAATAGCTTATCATCAAGTTGTTAACCTCTACATTAATGAATTAAATTTTGTTTAGTATTGTTGTTATCAAATAAATTACTTGTGCAATTTATAAAATTTTGATCTGATTTACGCACCAAAATTGAAGATTAACTTGGAGGATTCAAAAAAAAGTTCTAAAGAACAGCCAAATTTGGCTACAATTGTACCAAAGTAAATTCAAAATCATCTATAAATCTTTGAAAAGTTACAGAAATAGTAACGGCTACACATAATTCTAGTGTTGATTAAACAGTCAAAAAAACATATCCGGTGTCACTACAACTTTTTGACCGTCAAAAAATAATGCGACATAACGAAATTTTTAGTAAGTCACATTAAGATAAAAAAAATCATTTGCTATTCATAACTGAAAATAACATACTTCAATTTGATATTTTTATTTTCGTCAAACTGATCAATTGACTTTAACATCTTTATCAATTGAGTCAACCAGCAGTTATAGATACAAGATCATTAAGTCATGGGAGTTTTTAACATATTTGGAAGTAAATCAGGATTTGATCCAAATAAATTTGAGAAAGAATTAAATACAATAGCTGAAAACATCAATAAAACAAAACAACAATTGGTCAAACTAAAAATTAATAAAAAATCAATTAATAAAAAATTATCATTATTCACATTCATAATTTATATTTTAATATTTTTTTATTCATATATTTCTATACCAAATTCAACAATTGCAACAAATAAAATTCAAAGATTTTTAAAAGGTCAATCAAAATTTAATTTTTATTTATTAATTGGATTTCCATTAATTTCAATTTTAATTACAAAACTAATTAATTTTATATTTAAATATTTAATTAAATCTCAAGATAGTCATTTATCTATTTTAAAACAAAAACATAAATTAAAAATTGAAGAATTAAAGAAAATTACTAAATATAATGAAACCAATGAATTAATAAATAAATATGACGATAAACCAAAACCAATACCCCAACAACAATTTATACCTAACTTACAACAACAACAACCAAAACAACCACAAAACAATAATAAATCAAATAAATTAAGAAATCAAGCATTGAAAGAATTACATTTAAGTGAAGATCAATTGTCATCAAATCAACAATCATCAATATCTCAACAACAAATACCACAACCACAAAGCACAAATCCCCAACAACAATCACCAAATTCACCGATTCACAAACGTAATTTACAAGATAAATTATTGGATTTATTTATAGGATCAGATAATTCAGAAAGTATTGAACAAAGATATGCATTAATTTGTTCTCATTGTTTTTCACATAATGGTTTAGCACCACCAAATTGTGATGATCCAAATAATGTTAAATATCAATGTTGGAAATGTGGTGCAATGAATGGTAAAGGAATGTTATTTGACAATCAAGAAAATGTTTATGATAATAATAATAATGTTAATAATAATAATGATAATAATAAACAATCAATTAATAATGATGAAAAAGAATTAAAAGATATTAAAAATGAAAAATCTGACAATGCATTACCTGAAATGATTGAAATTACTAAACATTTAGAGGAAAAACCAAAAGATAATGGAACAAATGAAGAATTATCAGAAAAGGAAGCAGTACCTCAAATCCCACCAATTGAATCTGAAACAAAAAAAGATTAGCCAATATGTACAAATAGATCCAATTATTCAATATAAATCTTATATCTAAATTCTTCATAATTAAGTTGTAATTTCTACCCCTCATTCACATGAAATAAATCTATTTAGTGAATTATCTAAAAATCAGCTTGTTGCTTTTCGACTTCTTTAAGATTAGCAGTTCACTCATATAGTTAAGTGTCTATAATTGTCGTTTTTCTTGGGTAAAATGTAGTTTATGATTTTTAATATAGAAATGATTGACTTCAAGTTCGTTACCACTTAAAAAATTGCTGAAAAACTGGGCCAATAGTTTTATTAAATTAGAATACATCATATTTTATGAAATAACTATGGAATGTGAATATAAGTCAGAATGAACCAAATTGCAGAAAAGAAAAACTTAATCTACTTCAGAATCCAAGTTATTTGTCTAATGAAGCTCAGCAAAAATCCATTAGGAATTAGTCAAGGTAAAATAGTTAAATAATTTAATATATCATTATAATATTTACAAAATTTATATAAAATACAATAAAAACATATCTATGATAATTCCATAAGAGCATTAACCATATCACCACCATGATTTTTCAAAGCTTTAACAGCTTTAGCTCTTGAAACATGAGTTTGTTCAACAATTAAAGAAATATCTTTTGGATCAAATTCACTTTCATCAATTTCTTCTTCATCTTCATCATCATCATTAACTTCCTCAACTTTATTTTCACCTAATGATGCTTTTTCTAAATCTGCAGTAATTGATTCTGGTGATTTATCTTGAATTTCATCATTTGATGATTTTGAAGCAGAAGTTAAAGCATCTTGTTGAGCTTGTTGAGCTTGAGCTTCAGCAATTCTTTGATTCATATCATCAACTTTAGCTTCACCGAAAACAACATAAGTACCTGCTGATGATCTATAAACATCTGGTGAATCAATTGCATAAATTAAATTACCTCTTTGTTTAAAAGTAACTCTTGATATACCTTTAATTTGTTTTAAATTTAATTTTTTAATTAATTCTCTTGCTTTTTTTTCATTTTTGTTTGAAATGATATTAACATCTGAACCTTGTGGGATTTCTTCGACTGACATTTTTGTAGTTTTGTTCAATATTGATTATTTATATAAAGTTTTTGAAAAGTCAATTGAAATATTGAAAAATTTGAAAATTTGAAAAATTGAAAAATTACGTCGATAAAATTGTTAGTAGTGCGAAATTGTCATTATTTGGTAGCATATGCTTACCCGGATGGAAGAAAAAAAATAATATATAAATCATCTGAAACAAAATAAATCTCAAGTTTTGATATCTTTTTTTTTTCTTCTTTTTGATTCTTTGTCGACTTTACTTCTAGGATCTATTCTATAGTAAACGTCCTTCTTTGATTTTTCAAAAAAGTCACTGAATCCAACTTGGTTGATGAGTTATGATACCTATATACCCTCAAAGTGAGAAAATAATATTGTTTTGCTTAACTATAATCCTTTGTGATTTAGTTATCTATTTATTTTTGCCTTATAAATCAAATTTTTTTTTAAAATTTGTGAAGGAGCAATGATCTTTACCTTTTTACTTTATGCTTCTTCGGAGGAAATTGAAATTAGGTGGGTATATGTGGCTGTCTGACAAGTTTCAATTGAATTTTAATTCAATTGAAAACTATAGTCAAAATAATCTAAGGTTGGTCGACCACAAATTGTATAACTGATTGAGTTGACTCAGTTGTCTGGATCTTATTTCGTCAATTCGATGAAATGGTTTAGAGAGCTTATCAAATTTAGTTGGATTGTTCATCATATCAAAACACATCTAGAATATTAGATGAGATGAGTTTAATTTGTATGTAAAATCATTTTGTTTTCACGAAGCTTGAATGAACGTTTTTTCTTTTTATTGCAATCATTGCAGTCGTCGAGTGGCGTTTTCTTGAATAGAACCAAATAGTACAATCTAAGTGGCAAAAGATAAATTTTGAAGTTTTTAAATCTTATGATATTTTGAATTTAAACTTCTATAGAATTGTCTCTAATTTTGTGTAAGTAATCGTATATTTGGAACACAAAAACAAGCCTCATATTTAAAAAATCTAAAAAATTTGAAGCGGCTCCAACTGATTGGACCTCTAACACGAAACTTTGAAAACTTTGAAAACTTTAAATAGCATGAATCATACTGTAGAATCATGAAGTTGGAGCTCAATAAGAAAGAATAAAAAAAGCAGAGAGGAATATTTCAAGTTTCAATTCGAACGTATAAATTGATTCTGGAAGTTAAAAATTAAAAGAAAAATAAAAATAAAGTATTTAATCCCGCATTAACCATTTTTTTTCTATTAAATTCAATACAAAAGGCTCTAAATCTAATAATAATCATTTGAAATAAATCTTAATATGTGATGATTATTTTGAATTATAGCAATAATATGAAGACCAATCCTCTTTTTTATAAAATATATTATTAATACAATATATATTTGAAGTTTATAAATTATTAAGATACAACTTTTATAATATAATAAAATTTTATATCCGTACCTTCAAATTATTTTTTCAACTTTAAAAAACTCTTATTGTTTTTGTAATTATTTCTAACCGAACTTTTTACTAATAAATGGAAATATGAATAATTTCTCTTTAAATGTGTCAAAAGGTTGCAAAAAATTTATTAAAATTTAAATACATAATCAACATATTGATTGATATATGATAGTATCTTCATTAGTTATTCAAGACATAAATTAGATGTACAATCCTTTTCAGTATAAAAATTATTATTATTATATTATTAAATATTTCTTAATTCAAACTATTTTAATAAACCATGTGGGACTTAAAGTTAAAAAATTTTAGGAAAGTAATCAAAATTTTAAAATGAATTTGAATTTCAATTCAATTAAATTTCTAATATACGGATCTGTGAATTTGTTGAAAACTTTAGATTTCAGATTTTGATGAATAATGATTAATTTAGTCATTTCTCTTTTTAAATTTGACCGAAATTAATTTTTCAATCTACAAAATTATCTTTTGAAAATATATTAAACATACTACATAATGATATAAAAGATAGATTTAACATTTAATATTCTTATAGATATGAAAACTATCCTATCAATTCATTTCTCTTTGACGTTTAGTTAATGTTAAAAAGTACAAATAAGTATAATTTAGAATTACATAAATTAATATTTATTATCCTTTTTCAAAATTGAATTTTGTATTCTAAATTGAATTCTATAAAATTTTGTACCATATTAAAATTAATTTTGTATACTGTAGAAATAAAAACAAAATAAATGAATACAAAATAAGCAAAATACGAAATATATTATTTTTTATTTTTTACTTACATTATTATTATTATTAATATTTATTTCAAATCTAATTTACAACCAAAATTGATCAAAGATTTATTATTCAAGTTTAAAGTACTAGTTATTAATTATTCCATCTATCATTCATTCTTACCACTTATTCCCACCATTATATTTACTATATCTTAATACCTATAGGTAATAATACCTTGTTTTCATTTAATTTTTTAAATAAATCATCATGTCAGAAAATCAAGATACAATATCTAAAACAGATCTAGGGAATGATTCAAAAGAATTATCATCATCATCAGGATCTAATAATTTATCAAATAATAATAATTCAAATAAATTTAAAAGAGCAACAGCTCAAGATTTAATAAATACACCACCTCCGAATTTAAAAGAAAGAATAAAAAGATGGTTCTTCTTAAAAGGTTTAAGTGATAGACCTGAATATATGCAAGAAATTTATAATAATATACCTAGAACAATTTTTTTTAATTATGATTTACCAAATGATATGAAAGATTCTAATGGTCATCCAATTATTGAATATCCAAGAAATAAAATTAGAACAACAAAATATACTCCATTATCATTTTTACCAAAAAATTTAATATTACAATTTACAAATGTTGCAAATACTTATTTTTTATTATTAGTCATATTGGGGGCATTTCAAATTTTTGGAGTTCCAAGTCCTGGATTAGCAGCTGTACCATTAATTGTTATTGTTTGTATTACTGCTATAAAAGATGCATTTGAAGATTATAGAAGAGTTATAAGTGATTCAGAATTAAATAATAGTCCAATTCATTTATTATCAGGAGTTAAAAATCCAAATGTTGAAAAAGATTTTGTTGGACCGTGGAGAAGATTTAAAAAATCTTGTACTAAAAGTTCAATAAAATTTTTCAAAGTTTTAAAGAAAAGTTGTATATTTATTTGTGGATCAAAGAAACAAAAACAAGATTTTATTAGGGAAAAAGCATATGAAGATGAATTAGCTTTACATAGAGTAAGTACAGTTATATCTGATTATTCATATCATTCTGAACATCCAAGATATAGTATGCAATCACCAAGAAGAAGTATGCAATCACCAAGGATGAATTCTAATCATGTTAGAAAATCAATGCAATCAAATAGACCACCAACTGTAGCATTACCAAATTCATTATTAAATCCAATTTTAAAAGATGAAAATGCTAAACATCCAGATATGAATAGAGCTAATTTTAAAAATCGTTCATGGAAAGATGTTAATGTTGGAGATATGATTAGAATTAGAGCAAATGAAGAAGTTCCTGCAGATGTTATTATAATTTCAACTTCAGATCCAGAAGGTAATTGTTTTATTGAAACTAAAAATCTTGATGGTGAAACAAATTTAAAAATGAGAAAAGCTTTGAATTGTGGTGGAAATAATAATTTAAAACATTCAGATGATATTAGTGATACTAAATTTTGGCTTGAATGTGATGCTCCAAATCCTAATTTATATTCTTTTAAGGGGACTATTCATTATGAAAATTATGATTCAAATGGTCACTTAGTAAATGAAGATGAAAAAGAAGCAATTACTCCAGAAAATGTTTTATTGAGAGGTTGTACTTTAAGAAATACTAAATGGGTTATTGGTTTATGTGTTTATACAGGTCCAGAATCAAAAATTATGTTGAATGCTGGTATAACTCCAACAAAAGTTTCAAGAATTTCAAGAGAATTGAATTTATCAGTTATCATTAATTTTCTTTTACTTTTTATATTATGTTTCATATCAGGTTTAATCAATGGGTTATTTTATAGAGAAACTGAAAATTCGAGAATGTTTTTCGATTGGCATCCTTATGGATCTACTAATGCTGCAAGAGGTGTAATTGCATTTTTTGTTGCATTAATTATTTATCAATCATTAGTTCCAATTTCATTATATATTTCTATTGAAATTATCAAGACATTACAAGCATATTTCATTCACTCAGATATTAAAATGTATTATCCACCATTAGATTTCCCATGTATACCAAAAGCTTGGAATATTTCCGATGATTTAGGTCAAATTGAATATGTATTTAGTGATAAAACTGGTACATTAACTCAAAATGTAATGGAATTTAGAAAATGTACAATTAATGGAAAATCTTATGGTTTAGCATATACAGAAGCTCAAAGTGGGTTAGATAAAAGAAAAGGTTTAGACACTATTGAAGAAGCAAGAAAATGGAAATTGAAAATAGATCATGATAAAGAAATTATGATGGATGATTTAATGAAATATTCACATAATGATCAATTAAGAGAAGAAAATATTTCATTTGTTTCAAGTGCATATGTCAAAGATACATTATTAGCAAGCCCACAAAATCCACAAAGAATTGCAAATGAAAGATTTATGTTTGCATTAGCCTTATGTAACACAGTTGTTACGGAAGAAAACAGAGTAGACCCAAACTTACGAGATTTTAAAGCAGAATCACCAGATGAAGCTGCATTAGTTGCAGTTGCTAGAGATTTGGGTATTGTCTTCAAAGAAAGATTGAGGAAATCTTTAATCTTACTGGTTTATGGTAAAGAAGAAGAATTTGAATTACTTGATATAATCCCATTTACATCAGCAAGAAAAAGAATGTCATGTGTTATAAAATCACCAGATGGTAAAATAACATTGTATACTAAAGGTGCTGATAGTGTAATTTTCCAAAGATTAAATCCAAATTTAAATTCTCATGAAATAGTGAGTAAGACTGCGTTATATTTAGAGGATTATGCTAATGAAGGATTACGTACATTATGTATAGCTTCAAAAGAACTTGATCCATCATGGTATGAACAATGGTCAAACAAATATCATGAAGCAAATGCATCTATTGAAGATGATAGAGATGAATTAATTGAACAATTAGATGATGAAATAGAACAAAATTTGGAATTATTAGGAGGTACCGCAATTGAAGATAGATTACAAGATGGTGTACCGCAATCAATCTCAATTTTAGGTAATGCAGGTATTAAATTATGGGTTTTAACTGGTGATAGAATTGAAACAGCTATTAATATTGGATTCTCATGTAATTTATTAGAAAATGAAATGAAATTGCTAGTTGTTAGACCAGATGAACAAAATCCACATAGTGTTGAATATTTGGATGATTTAATTAATAAATATTTAAGTGAACATTTCAATATTAATTGTTCAAATCCAGAAGAAGTTAAAGATTTAATAAAAGCAGCAAGAAAAGATCATTCAATTCCAGATGCAAAATTTGCTTTAATTATTGATGGTGCTGCATTAACATTAATGTTTCAAAATCTTGAAGATCATCCTAATGAAAATGTGAAATTAATTCGTGATAAATTTTTATTATTAGGTAAACAATGTAAATCAGTATTATGTTGTCGAGTATCACCAGCTCAAAAAGCACAAGTTGTTAAATTAGTGAAATCAAGATTAGGTGTTATGACTTTAGCTATTGGTGATGGAGCAAATGACGTTGCTATGATTCAAGCTGCAAACGTTGGTGTGGGAATTGCTGGAGAAGAAGGTAGACAAGCAGTTATGTCATCTGATTATGCAATTGCACAATTTAGATTTTTGACTAGATTATTATTAGTCCATGGACGTTGGTCATACAAGAGATTAGCAGAAATGGTGCCATGTTTCTTTTACAAAAATGTTGTTTTTACATTCACATGTTTTTGGTATGGTATTTTCAATAACTTTGATGGATCATACTTATATGAATATACTTATCTTATGTTTTATAATTTAGCATTTACTTCATTACCAGTTATTGTATTAGCTGTTTTTGATCAAGATGTTTCAGATACTGTTTCTTTATTGGTTCCTCCATTATATATCAATGGAATATTGAGTAAAGATTGGTCCCAATATAAATTTATCATATATATGATTGATGGTTTATATCAATCAGTTATTTCATTCTTTTTCCCATTTTTATTATTTTATAAAAGTTTCCAAAATCCACAAGGTATGACTATTGATCATAGGTTCTTTATGGGTATTGTCGCTGCTTGTATTGCTGTCACTGCTTGTGATTTATTTGTTTTATTAAAGCAACATAGGTGGGATTGGCTTTCTTTATTAATTTATGCTATATCTATATTATTGGTTTATTTCTGGACTGGTGTATGGAGTGTGAACAAAAACTATTCAGGTGAGTTTTATAGAGCAGGTGCTCAAACTTTAGGAACTTTAGGAGTTTGGTGTTGTATATTTATTGGGATTATTGCATGTTTATTACCAACATTTACTATTGATTTCCTTAGAGTTAATTTTAAACCTACTGATGTTGATATAATTAGAGAACAAGTAAGACAAGGAAAATTCGATGATTATCCTGAAGGTTATGATCCTACAGATAGTGAAGATGTTGAAAGACATCGTTTATTAAATGAAATAATTGATAAAGATCCACAATTATTTGAAAAAATGGAAGAAGAATATAAACAAGAACATGATGAACATGAAAATAAATTAGAAAAATCATTAAAAACCATAAAAAGAGCAACTACTCTTACAACAAGATCAAGACAAAATTCAAACGCTGCAAGACTTCGGAAAAACACTATAAACGATCAATTCCATAAAAATATTCCCATCAACATATTAAGACAACAAATGATTCAACAAGGAGATTTACCAAGAACTTCATTAGAAAGAATAAATACTACTCATAATGTACCAGGATTAACAAAAGCTGAAACTCTCATGTCTTATCATACAAGAAATAGTATTAATTTTACTAATAGATGATATGTTTATATATTTGATTTGAATTCATTTCTTTTCGTTGTATATTATATAAATTTTTATATAGTTATTTAATTATGCATTTTTTAATTAGAGATTTTTATTTGATTCTAATTGTGTTGAACTTTGTTATTTATAGTTTTCGGTAGTGTAGTCTATCAAGTATGAAACATACATCGAATTGAAATATATATTCAGCTTGACTTCTTGATAATGTTTTTGAACAAAATTTAATCCACAGTTTGTTTTCAAAGAGCTGGACAGTTTAAATTAAACTGATTAACAAAGTAAGTGACAAGAAACAAGAGCTTATTATTCAATGTACAATCTATTTAATGATTTGGTTGTATCAAAATTTAACCCTCGACTGCGCGACTTATACTCCTAAAAAAGTGCGTTTTTTACACGAGATTTTGAAAAAATAAAATCATTTGAAATTAATATTTACAACCATTAGCATTTACCACCAAATACTTTAAATGTTTACGTTTTCCCTACTAACACCAGGGAAAAATGACCATTCATTTAAAGCAGGATTACTTGCATTTGATCATGAATATAAAATACTAGTGGATCCATCATGGAATGGAGAAGATCCGTCAATTATAAGTTTTTTAGAAAAAGAATTGACAACAGTTAATGCAATATTAATATCACATTCTGGAGTTTCATATATTAGTGGATTGATTTTATTAGTTACTAAATATCCACATTTGATGGCAAATATACCCGTGTACTCAACATTACCAGTAAATCAATTAGGTAGAATTTCAACAGTTGAATATTATAGATCTCAAGGTATATTAGGACCAATACTATCGAATTTAATAGAATTAGATGAAATAGATTATTGGTTTGATAAATTTAAAATTGTGAAATATCAACAAAATATAACAATATGTGATGGGAAAATATCAATAACTCCTTATAATTCAGGTCATTCATTGGGAGGTACTTTTTGGTTATTAGTTAAAAAATTGGATCGTATTATATATGCACCAAGTTGGAATCATTCAAAGGATTCATTTTTAAATAATGCAAATTTCATTAATTCATCACTGGGTAATATTCAAGTATCATTATTAAGACCAACTGCATTTATTACATCTGCAAATTTTGGATCTTCAATGTCTCATAGAAAAAGATGTGAGAAATTTCTACAATTAGTTGATGCAACTTTAGCAAATGGAGGTGCAGCAATAATACCGACCTCAATTACAAGTAGATTTTTGGAAGTGTTTCATTTAGTTGATGAACACTTGAAAGGTGCTCCAATACCTGTCTATTTCTTATCATATACAGGTACAAAAGTTTTAAGTTATGCATCAAATTTATTAGATTGGATGTCACTGAATTTTCATGAAAATTGGAATAATGATAATTCAACAACTTCAAATAATATGAATTTCCTACCTTTTAATCCTGGGAAAGTTGATTTAGTAATGGATCCAAATGAGTTAATTCAAATGCCTGGTTCAAAGATTATTTTTTGTTCCGGAGCTGATATGAAAAATGGAGATTTATCAAGTAAAGTATTTTCATATTTGTGTAATAATGAAAGAAACACAGTTTTATTAACAGAAAAACCGTCAGGAGATGACAAATCAGGTTTGACTAATGATTTATATACCGAATGGGTTAAATTATCAAAAGAAAGAACTAATAAGGTGGTTGATGGAACGGCAGTTCCATTGGAAAAAGTTATAAATTTAAATGATTGGACTATAGAGGAAGAAGCAACAGGTGAGGAACTAACAGAATTTCAAAACAAAATAACTCAAAAGAGAAAAGAAAAATTAATGGCTAAAGTTAGAGATCAAAAAATACAAAATTTATTAAATACTGATACAAGATTAGACGCTGAGGATTCATCAGATGATGATGATGTAGAAGAGACTGAAGAAAATGCCGCTAAAAAGGCAGGTGAAATTTATGATTCAAAACTGAAGAAAGAAAAAACTCAAATGTCTACTACAAAAGAAGTTGATGAATTAATACAACATGAAGCATTTATGATGGAAAATATTAAAACCAGTTTTGAAAAACATTTACCTATAGATATAAAAATTACTCATAAATTAAAGCCAAGACAAGCAATGTTTCCTTATTTCCCAGTAAGAATTCAAATTGATGATTATGGTCAAGTTATAAATGCAAAAGATTTTGAAAAAAATGATGAGATTTCAAATGCAAAAATCATAATGGAAGCAAAGAGGAAATTTGATGAAAAAAGAAGAAAAAATAAAGATAAGGAACATAATAAAAATAAAAAAGAAATGGTTAATAAATTAACACCACAAGAACAAGTTAATCAAAATTTATTAACTAAATATTTGGATACTTTAACAAATCCTTTAAAAAGAGTTAAAGTTTCCAATAGATCGGGAACTCAAACTCAAATAAAAATAAGGTGTGGGTTAGCCTTTGTTGATTTAGCAGGAATAGTAGATTTAAGATCTTTGGGGATTATTATCCAATCCATTAAACCATACAATTTAATACTTTTACCAGATCAAATTGAATCATCAGAAAATTTAAAACGAGTTGAAAAATTCTTCGAACATCAACAAACCGAAATAAAGATAGAAGATACCAAAAAGCAAATTATAAATGCATCAAGGTATTTATCATTATCTGCTATAAGGGATGGATTATCAAGTGCTATATCCCCATATTCAAGTGGTAAAATGAATGTATTAGTTGCTGAAGATAATCATCCAATCAAAATAGGTCATGATACTGAAAATGGTGATCTCAATGGTAATGATATTATAGGTGTAAATAATTTTGAAATGAGTTTAGATGATGCATTAGTTTCTACCTTGAGGTGGAAATCAATTGGTGACAATTATAGAGTTGCAAAATTATATGGTGAATTAGAACTTATGAATCCAGAGGAAAAAGAAGAACAACAAAAAGATGAAGAAGAACAGTCTCCACCTCCTAAGAAGAGAAAAACAGCCATAAAAGATTATCTCAATTCAAATACACAATTCACTTTAAAAATTGCATCTCCTTCATTAACACCAATTTTAAAAGAAAATTCAATAGAATCCAAACTATTACAAAATTTACAAAATTCAAAATTAGCACAAATAATTTCTAAAAACGCTCCAAAATTAGCAATAGGTAATATCAAATTACCAGATTTGAAAAAAAACTTACAACAACTAAATTTAAATGTTGAATTTAAAAGTGAAGGTACTTTAGTAGTAAATGATTGTTTAGCTATTAGAAAAATTGCATATAGTGGATCAACAAATGGTTCATCCATGGGTAATGATGATGAAAATGGTGATATTGTAATTGACGGTAATGTTGGTCCTTTATATTATAAAGTTAAAGATTGTATAAAAGAAATGTTAGCATATGTATAGAAATTTGTACAATGAATAATTTAATGAATTAATGAAACTTGTCATAAAAATTTCATGGAATAGTTGTTAAGAAATTGGATCGACCAAATTATCATATTTCGAGAAATTATATCCATTTTTAGCTCCAAACAAATTGATACTTGTTAAACATAAGCACTTTTTTGGCAATCTTTCAGCGTCGTGGCGCAGTGGTTAGCGCGCAGGGCTCATAACCCTGAGGTCCCCGGATCGATACCGGGCGACGCTATTTTAAATAAGTTGTATCCTTCTTTTTTAATATTATTTTTTTTGCGTTTACTAATTTTGAAGATATAACTATCAGCTTATTGAATGTCTTACTTGTTCAAGAACCTGATTTATATCAATGATGTTTCTAATCTTCTCAAATTTATTATTTATTTTTTGCCTGGTACTTGATTGACACTGTATAATTCAATAGTGATCGAAAAGATACGTGTATAGTAGTGAAAGGCAAAACTGAACTTCCTGATAATTTTAAAAAAAATCACATGCAATAGAGACTACGCTCTCGTTATATTATTTAAGGTTTAGTACAAAATTGGATGATTCAAGTCAAGAAATATTTGTTTGTTTTTGATTGTTTTTAGTTTCTTTTAAAAAATAAAATTTAGTTACGGAAAAATTGAAAAGAAATTTTTCCAGCCGTTTTAGCTAAAGATTTTGCAACATATTTCGTAAATATTCAACCCGTGTTTCTCCAAATGAGCAAAGAATTGTTTTGAAGCATTGTATGAGAAGTAATCAGGTAGCTCATGCTTGTACATTCCATGTGCTCAGTAGCTGCAATACTTTTCATTCGTCCAAATTATCCAAAGTTTTTGAGCAAAAGCTGTCAAAATCTTCAAATCCCGAGGAAAAACTTTGTTGCAGAAAACTTTACACAAAGTTTATGTTAAGAAAAAAAGTCCGAATAAATTTAAAACAAATATCTTAAATGCTGCAAATTTTGTGTAACAATACATTCAAATTATCATAAAACCGAATATGATTTTTATCTCTTTACTTGATGTAGTATAATTTCAACCAAATAAGGTTTATTCAAAATTTTTCCGTTTTGCAACCAAGAAAAAAAACTTGAATCTTCAAAGATTAAACTTTTGTTAAAATCATTGCATGGTTACAGATTAACACTAAAGCAATGATCATTTAATTTTATGAGATGGTATATATATATAGAGCTGAAATTCGTTTTAATACATCTGTAGATTTAATCCCTTGAGAACTTATTATGACTATTCAATTACATACTAGAGAAAATGCGGACATCAAATAATAATTTAGAACATAACAATATTGCATTTCAAAATAATATCACTTTAGAGGAAACCAACAATACGACTAGTATAGACTTAGAACAACATTCATATACAGGTCCAATAAATGCACAGTCTCCTGATATATATAGACAAGATACCAATTTAACAAGATTAGACTCACATACTGCTAGTTATGTTGATGCATTAATTAAACAAGCAACAAATTCATCACAACCTTTACCACAAATGGGAGATAATAAACCATTACCACCACACTTACCTGATAGAACCCCTTATGAAGTTGCTTTTAATGGATCTAATGATCCTGAACACCCTTTCAATTGGAAATTATCCCTAAAATTATACATATCATTTGCTTGTTGTATAACTTCAGTTGCTGTAACATTAGGATCAGCAATGTTTGCAGCTTCACAACCAGTTTTAATGCAAAAGTTTCATATTGGATGGACTCCAAGTGCTTTAGCTACTTCATTATTCGTCTTTGGGTTTGCATCAGGGCCAATAATTTGGGGACCAGTTTCAGAAATTTATGGTAGAAAAATACCTTTAATAATATCAAGTTTGGGATTTGTTTGTTTTTCATTTGGTGTAGCTACTGCTAAAGATATTCAAACCATTATGATATGTAGATTTTGGGCTGGTTGTGTGGGAAGTGCACCATTAGTAATTGTTCCTGCTATATTTGCTGATATATTTGATGCTGAAACGAGATCAAGAGCTTTGGGAATATTTCTGATGTGTTTATTTGGTGGACCTTTAATTGCTCCTGTGTTGGGAGGTTTTACAGTCAAGAATAGTGACTTAGGATGGAGATGGAATGGATATTTCATTGCTATTGTTGGTTCACTTGGCTTATGTCTTTGTGCATTCATTCCTGAAACATTAGCTGATATTATATTAATTGATAAAGCTGAAAAATTAAGAAGAAGGACTGGTATTTGGGGAATATATGCACCACATGAACAAATAAAATTATCAATAAAAGAAATATGTCAAAATCAAATAACTAGACCACTTATGATGTTATTCACAGAACCAATATTGTTTTTAATTTCACTATACAATGCTTTTGTTTATGGAATATTATATTTATTTTTAACCGCTATACCAATGATTTTCACAGGATTATATGGATGGTCTCATGGCGTCGGAGAATTGCCATATATTGCAATGTTTATTGGAACAATTTTAGGAGGTATAATTGTATTCATTTTTGAGTTGAGAATTAAAAAGATAATGCAAAGAAACAATGGATATGTAGCACCAGAAGAAAAACTTTTACCAATGATGATTGGATCCGTATGTTTTACTATTGGTATTTTTTGGTTAGGTTGGGCAGGTGGTTTTGGAAATAAAGTACATTGGATAGTACCAACTATAGGGTGTGTACCAATTGGAGCAGGTTTGATTGCCATCTTTTTACCATGTTTGACTTATTTAGTTGATTGTTATATTTTTTATGCAGCTAGTGCTATATCAGCTAATACAATTTTAAGATCTTCATTTGGTGGTGTTTTCCCATTGATTTCTAAACAAATGTTTGATAAATTGGAAATTAAATGGGGATGTACACTTATAGGATGTATTGCTGCATTGTTGATTCCTGTTCCTTTTTTGTTTTATTGGTATGGTAAAAGTTTAAGAATTAAATCAAAATATTGTGCAAGTTTTGAAGAAGTAAATATTGAGACTAAGCAGCAGCAATTGATATCGGAGCAAACAACTATGGATATTTCAATTAAATAAATGTAGACAGTGATAATTATAGATTTTATAGGCTAATAATAGAGATTTATTTTTAGGAAACTGAATCGTAAACTGATTGCGAAATGTTGTAAATTATTCATTCTGAATATATAAACTTATTTAGATGGAGGTGGAGGTGGTTGCGGTTTTGTTGTTGGCGGTGGAGGTGGTTGCTTCGTATTATGACTAGGTGGTGGAGGTGGTTTGGCTTTTTGAACAGGTGGAGGTGGTGGTGAAGGATGTTTCATATTTGGAATAAAAGGTGGTGGAGCTTGTTGTAAATGGTTATTCTGAAATCCTTGTGGAGGTGGTGGGGGTTGATTATTAAAATTATTCGTCATGGAAGGTAGAGGTGGTCTTGTATTTGTGTTAGCCATTTGCCATGGCGGAATTGGTAAGTCATGTCTTGGTTTTTTCCATGGTTGAGAATCATTTGAGCTGGAAGGAGTATATGAATCGGTATTTGCTTGGTCCTTGTCGTTACGGTTATTAACGTAGTTATTATTATTGTATGATCCATTGTTTTGTTTACAATCTCTTGCATAATGACCAACTTTCCCACAAATTTTACAAACAATTTTGGTTATGTCTAATGATCTTTGTTGTCTCTTTTGATATGCTTCAGGATCAAAAGGTTTAGTTTCTCTCAATGTACCATTTAGTACAGCTAGTTCTTTTAATTGCTCTCTTTTCAACTCATTTTGACCAACTGGTGAAAATACTAATTTTTCAATAATTTCATTACATGCTTTAACCGCTTTAGCAATTTTTTGTTGAGAATCTGATGTAATCAAAACGTGTAAATCATCTTCTACTGATTCAGTAGCTCCACCTGATTTACCCTCAATGGCATTGGTTGATTTTCCTTCTTTTACAGATCCTTTACCACGAATTTGTAATCTAGCTCCACTTTCATCTTGTAACCTTTTTAATGTTCTACCTCTAGGTCCAATTAAAAATCCCACAAAATTAATTTCAGGATAATCTTTGACAGGTATATACAATTTTTCCATTGTTTTAGCTGGTTTTCTATATTCAGGAGGTGCAATATAATCTTTGATACTTCCAGCAGCAGTTTCCACTAAACCATGTCTTTCTTTTTCTAATGCTTCAATAATTCTTTGTTCTCTTGTATTTATTCTATTTCCATGATTATCATATTTTGGTGGTGGTGAAGGATCTCTTTTATATCGTATTGAACTATCAATATTTGAAGATGGCAATAAGTCCACGATCAGTCTATGTTCTTGTTGGGCAGTCCTTAAATAATTTGATATTTCTTCTATTCTGAAAAAGTGTTGATATGCATCTAATTGTTCTTGAGTCAAATGACCTGTGATTACTGTGTCTAATTTAAGACTACCAAATTGTTTAAATCTTGTAGGTGTTCCCGACCAGCGGGTTTCTCTGATAGTTTCAGATCTACCTCTAGACATATTTTGGCTAAGGTGGTTCTATATTATATTAAAGATGATGATGTTTATTGCAAAAAGTAAATAAAAATTAAATATTTTTTTTACAACCAATTTTTATACATTTTACAACTACAATCAGAATTAAAGAGTTTGGTAAATTAATGTCTATTAAATCGTAATATACTTAATACTTCCCATCCAGCCTTTTCATTTATTATAACATCAACCTTCCAACCTTTATTTCTCATTATATCAGCAACTTGATCTGGTTTATTTCTTGCACAAAATAATATATAAGCAACACCATCGTTACTCAAGATATTTTCTAAATTATTTAAAACTTTCCAAGTTATAATCATTCCATCTTCACCCCCTAATAACGCTAGGTCTAACCAGGTTTTATCTGCGTCCATTTGTGGAATTTTTGGAATATCTGAAGCTGGGACATATGGTGGATTAAATATTAATAAATCAATTATATTATTTCTTATACTTGAAGTTAGATCCATCTGAGTTGAGTCTACTAAGTAGGCTTTTTCTTTACAATTGTACTTTATGGTACTTTTGACTGTTAAACATGCATTTGGATTAATATCTGTTGTTATATAAATGGCATTGGGTAGTATATTTTGTAATATAAATGTAGTAACTATTCCTGATCCAGTTCCAATCTCGGTTATTATAGGTAATTTGTCATTTTTTGTAAATTTATTTTCGAGGTATTGTTGTTGATCTTCAAAACAATCTAATAAATAAAACGAATCTTCTGATGGTTCATATACTTTATCATAGTCTATATCTTTAATTATTGGTGTTGGTAACATAAATATGTATGTTACTTTTTCATTGATAATCTGAAACTTTCACTAAAAAAATAAAATTAATATATGAATCAATTTTATCCCAAAAAGACCATTTACACTTTAGTTTATCGTCCATCCTGTTACTCAACGAATCGACCTACTACAAACACAACTAGAATCAAATAATACAATATCATAAACAATGCAAATCAAAGTCAAAACATTAACGGGAAGAGATATCTTAGTTGATATTGAACCACAAGATAGAATTATTAGAATTAAAGAAATGATGGAAGAAAAAGAAGGTATATCTCCAGCTCAACAAAGATTAATTTTTAATGGTTCACAATTGGATGATGATAAAACTGTACAAGAATCTGGAATTCAAGCAGGTTCTTCATTACATTTAGTTTTAACATTAAGAGGAGGAAATTAATGAACAAGAATTAAAGTGATAGGTGATTTGATATATTACATGAACAACTCCACTATGCGATGAATTAGATTTTTGTATCAAGATATAACAAACTGTATAAAGAGTATATCAAGCAAATACAAAATTTATTATGTACTTATGTACCCATCTACTTTTGAATTTTGACCTAATTTTTGAAGACTGCAAAGAAGTGACGCTGTGGTGGTTTTGTAAATCTTTGACCTGTCTTCCAATTATACAAAATTGTCAATTTTTGGCATCATCATTAGATTCTTCGTAACTTGTCCAAATTTTTACTATTACTCAAGGTGTGGATTAATATTTTGTCATTCAATTCGCGGAAAGAATTTCAAATCAATGTCATAAAACCGTGTGTATTAAGTAATTAATGCATATAAATGAACTATATAAAAGATTTCAAAATTTTGACTTTTTCCCTATATCTAATCTAAATTTAATCCAACAATCCATTGTTAATGTAAATTTTATATCTTAGTTTTGCAACAACCACCTTCTTCTTTACTTTCAACTAATATTGATTTATTAAAATTATTATTAGCTTGTGGGATATCTAATGCAGGATTTTTGTCAAAGAAATTAAATGGTGTCAACATGATATTATGAATTTCAACAGGCATAACTGGGAAATCTTCAACTCTTGGGATATGAGTAAAACCTAAAGTGGCCCAAACAACACAATCATCATTTCTAACATTTTCATCTCTTACACTCCATTCAGCTAAACCAGTATCTTTTTGTGATTGATTTGTAAATTCACCAGCAGCAAATAATTCATTATCATGATATTTAGTAACCCATACTTGTTGAGTTGCAAATTTTGCTCTTCTTGTATTAAATGAAGTGTCATCGGCTAATAACATTTGTCTTGCTGGCATTGAAATTTTGTAACCAACTGGAGTTTTTGAAATTGGATTAATAACATTTTCATTAATAATTTTATATGATCTATTTGTAAATGGTGATTGTTCAACATAACCTGGTTTTTCAACAAATTTACGATCTGATACAAATCCAATTCCATATGGGTTTAATTCTTTATCTTTTGGTAATTTCTTGGTATCATCAAAAACAACAGTGTTTTTATGACCATCAACAGCTGGATCAATTCTGAATGATAAAATATGTTGATGATATGCTGCCATACAATTTGGTGCAACAATAGTACCCCATGGAACTTTAACATTTTCATCAATTGGCATAGTTGATAAAATACCAGTAGCTCTTGCTTCAATATCAATTGAACCATCCGATACGAATTTAAGATTAATAATATATTCATAATTAGCAACAGTTGCAATAGTTTGTACAATAAAGATTCTTCTTCTTGCAACAGTAGCATTACCAGTTCTATAATTAACATGTTTATATAATAAACCATCATCTTGTTCATGCATACAAATAGTATTTGGAATTACAAATGGTTCACCATTTGCATGTATACCATGACCATCCATGTATTTAATAACACCTAAACAATCACAACCTAATGCTAATCTATTACCATTAACACCAAACCCACAATCACCTAAATCAAATGCTTGTTTTCTGTGATATGGAGCTCTTGGATCACCATATGGGACAGTCATTTCTGATAATGAAACTCTATAAAATACTTGTCTACCTTTGAAATAACCATCATAAACAGCAAAACCTTCTCTTGAAGTACTTGAAACTCTAAATTCCCAACCTTGCCATTTAACTAAATTACCTTGAACTGTGAATGAAGGACCTTCAGGTTGTGAAATTAATAATGGTTTAACATCTCTTGGAACAACTTCACCATTTAAATCTGGGTGATATTCACAACATTGAACCTCTTGCCAAGGACCAGTTGGAACAGTTGTTGCATCAAATCCACCTGGTAAATAATCCATTCTAACGAATTTTTTGGTAAAAGCTTCAAAAACTGGTGAAAATTTTAATGGTAAAGAATAATGATTTGATTCAGTATGACCATTACCTGCTAAAACATACATAAAAAATTGGACTAATGGTCTTTTTTCATTTGGATCATCAGTTGCATAAATCCATGGATCATTTCTAACAGTATAATTTGATGGTAATTTTAATTTTTTGATTTCTTCAATAACAATTGGATGATTATTACAATGTTCTTCCCATTCCATCATATCATCTGGTAAAAATGGACCAACAGTACCTTGAGGTTGTTGTTGCTTAGTAATAATATGACCAGCAGTAACATTGACTAATGCTTTATTGAATTCTAAATCATTTGTGTAATAATAAGCATAAAATACTCTTGGAATTGGTGGAGTTTTTAATCCTTCTCTTTCAGCTGCTAAATATTTGATCATATCCTTTTTTGGAGGATCTAATCTATCAATTTGAACAAAATGAACATTTGCTGAAGCAGGATAAGAATCCTTAATTAATTTTGAAGTTAATCTAATTTCATAATCTTTTGCAGATTCAAATGGATGTGGTGAAGCCATTTTTAAAGTAGTTGAATAGGTAAATATAAGATGGATTAATTATTGAATTAAAAGAATGAAATAAAAGAATGAAAATGAAAGGAGAAAATTAAAGATCTATTTATATAAAAATTGAAAACATGTTTATTAATATAATTTTTCAGATCTCATGATAAGATAATCATTAAATTTTTCAGTAAGTAACCAAACTTAACTAACCTTGTGTGCATATTATTATTTATCGGGAATCTTTATTTTTTAATTTTCAAGTATTGTTAAACTGCTAGACTTACTTAATTAGGATTCATGCGCTTATATTTGAAAATTAAAAGAATTGTAATGAAATACTATTGGATTGTAAAATTTATTGATAGTACAATTTAATTTTAAACCAGCTTACATATTATATAACGTACTTTATGGCATTACAGTATAATATGATACTATTCTGTTTGGACCTTCATCACAGAACCAAAAATACAAATCTGTTAGCATATTTTTAAATTACTTATCTCTACATGTAGAAAAGTCAAATTGAACAGGGAAATATTTAAGCCAGGAGTTTGTGTTCCCTACAGCTACAATCGTTGCAATTTTTAAAACAACATACCCCATTAATTAAAAGATTTATGAGTTCATTAGTTCAAAATTAAATGATGAAGTCAAAAATATCAAGCGAAAATCTGTGAAATTGTTTCAAAATTTATAATGTGCGGAAAGTTGTTCCAAATAGGGAAGAGTCAAACGCATCTAAATTTACTTAATTTAGTAATTATTCGAATTTAATAAATTCCATTTGCCTTACATTTTTTAACAAAGGTCGTTTTAATCAGAGAATCTGAAACAATTTCTAATGTGACTCCCAATATGGGTAGTTGTAGCAGATTGATATCTTTTAAATAGTAAATCGAACTTCTATGGAAAAAGCCTTAGTTTTAAATCAAATACTTTTACAATTTTTCGATTGTATTAGTCACAGAATTGAGTGTACTAAGTTATAAACCGTTGCACATATATGATTATATATGTATTTTTGATCAACACTTAATAAATTTCAACTTTAGTAATACTATAATATATCGAATATGTAATTTAATAAGAGACATCAGTCAAAACATCAGAAAATTATTAAAGTGTCAAATTCTTTTATTTTTCCCCCACATTTGGTGGAAATATTATTTTACAACTCTATCCCTATTTTGTAACTTGAACTCGCTTGATTTTTTCCTACTTCTCGAGAACTTAGATCTTTTCTGATTCACTATAGCTTGTCAACAGTTACTGTTCTAATAACAAGATCAATTTGGCGGCTGAACTATATTTCATGACATTTGAATAACTTATTGATCAAAAATTGATGACCGTAAATTTTAAATTTCAAGAAGAATGATGAGCAAAACCCAACAATGTTGTCGTTTAGTTCAATGCTCAATTAATTTCTCCAAATTTTGCACTTGAAGAAAGTCTGACATTCTAAATTCAATCCAAACTGTTGTTAATTAGTGTTGCCCTATCTGCTCAATTCTACGAAACTAAGACATATGTGGTCAAGTAATTAAACAAATCAATCTATCGGAGTACGAATTTTTTTTAGTAGTAAATTGTAGTTTAGTAATGTATGCTCAAATAAGTAGCAGAATTAAGTTTCATATTTAAGGGTTAAAAAAGCTAAGATCTTAATTAATTCAATACTAATTCATTTAGAAATAGAATCTGGAGGGGAAAAAAATGTTGGGTGAACGTGACACGGTATTATATTTCCGAAGGGTGTTTTTCTTTTGCTACCAAATTTTCATATACTATCAGGTGGTTAATTAGTGGTGTGACCCCAATAAATTTAAGCAAGTAATGACTCAACACTTAGACTGATTCTTTAGATTGAGCAGGACTAGCTCATTTGGTATCATGATGAAAATAGCTGTTGAAGCTACTCTTCATAAAAAAAAATAGAAATAACTTTTGACAGTATACTATTTTAGAAAAGAAATTTAAAAGTAAATAAATAAAACGTACAAAATTAACCAACAAAATTCAATATTAAGATAATATTTAATATTTAAAAAAGTAACTTCATTTTTAAGAAATTACACCTAGACAAACGTATTCCTTGTATCAAATAACTATAAAAGATTAACTCATTCATTATATTTTTGAAGACACCATTTCATTTAACTTATACAATAAGCATTATATCATCCACAACTCATTTTAGAGATCTATAACCCTATTTATTACAACAAACTATCTCATCATATTTTTACAGCAATTTTTAAACTCGATAGACAAACTTATATTTCGATTAAATTTTTACATTATGATGGCAAGAAAAGCTCAAAGAAATCCAAAATTATATATAGCAGCAGTTATAGCAACATCAGCGTTAGCAATAAGTTATAAAATATATGATACATTCATAAAATCAACCACTACCGAAGAAAATGAAATCGAAAAAGATACAACAAAACCAAATTCACTAACAAAATTACCAAGTTTCAACTTATCCAAAAAATATATAAATAAACAAATTGCGATTACTTTATCATCATCATTTTTATCATCAAAATTACCATTACAAGATATAATAACAACTCAAGAAAATATGATATTTATAATACCACCAAATTTAAATGAAGAAGATTTAGATTTAAATAATCAACAAGAAGAATCAGCAATAGAATTGAATAATAATTTTAAAATTTTAAAATGTTCAAATTTTCAAGGTTATTTACAAATTTTGAAAAATTTAAAACCTGATTTATTATTAATATGTAGTGATGATTTGGGTATAAACTTTAACAATTTAAGTTATGATTTAAATAATTTCATTTCAAAAATTATTAATGTTGATCAAGATAAAGATTTATTGTTACAAATCAAGCCAATATTTAGTTGAATAGAATTTAAATTGAATGTTATTCTAATACTCATTTTTGATTGTAAACTATTAATTCGATTAAATTAAAATCACCTAATTTGTAATTTGCAGCCTCTTTCAATAAATGTTTCGATAAAATAGAGCAAGTTTTAATTTTGATTTCTTTAACTTGTAACTTCCAAAACCTTTTCAACAGATCTTTCAGATTATAAATTTTTTGTTGAAAGACTCAAAGATAAGATATGAGATAGAGCTCAGTTTAAGAAAAATTTCATATAATTTTATTAAATGATAGAAATCATAATTTGGTAAAAACAATTTAACAGGTCTCAATAATTAATTTAGTTTGGAGTTCCATAGTTAAAGCTTTACTTATTGCAACTTTCGAGTCTTCAATAAAATGCTGCAGATCTCGGAGTTGAACTGGATGATCTCGGAGTGAAACCCCGAGCTTGATTTTGTATTTGACAAGCGAGGAATTACCGCTCTTTTTAATTAATGTTGTTAATCTACAACACTTCATATTTGTATACTGATTTTGTTATTTTAGCTCTCATTTTCCTGTTGAATGAAGTTTTACAAATTGATTTTCATAGGAAATCTCGAAACTGGAATGGCTGCAAAAACTCTTTTTTGTTAAAAAATATTGTCTTAAAAAGTCGTTTTCATAGTATACAGAACCTCATAAAATATGGAAAAACATTCAATTGAAAATAGATACTACAAACAGTCGAAAAAAAAACGTATAAAGCATTGCTGACTTTAAATTAAATTAAATAGATACATAAATAGCATAATAGAAAAATATATAATGAATAATTGAAACCAAAAACAAGTTGAAAATGATAACGTCTAAAATTATGATTTTGACCTTTGAGAATTGAATTTTTAAAACTTGACATCGCTATTATTTTGTATAGGTGACTTGAAAATAACTTTGGGGGGTGGGGTCATTTTCAACTTAGCAAACTCAAGACTTTAAAATTAAGGGACCAATATAATAGTATCGGAATTGGATAAATAAATAAGTAAATTAAAAAATATAAAATGTCTTTGGTGTCACGTGAAAATTTTGAGTGTCGTTCAAGAACAAATTTTGCGATAATTATAAAACACATGTAAAATCATCAATATTCCTAGTTTTTCTTCCATTTTTCTTCAAGATCAGGTAATGGGATAGCTTTGACTGTGATATAACTATTTTGAGCATTGGCTATACCGCTGTAGGCACAATAAAAAGCAAAGAAAGCGGTGATCAATCCGAATACACCTCCGGCAGTTTGTACACTTGATTTTCCTGAAAATTCACCGATAGCTAGTAACAAAAATGTAATTGTCAAAAAGAAAAATACTCCGAAAAATGCAACAGTAGATTTAACAGTCATAAGCATCAAGAAAAATGTGAAAATGAACCAACCAATCAAGTAAATACCCAAAGCATTAGCCAACTCATCTGATTTACCTTCATAAGCAGCTAAAATACCAAAAGATTCAACATGAATAGCAGCCCAAGATAACCAAAATCCACCATATGATGATAAAGCAACACCACCAAAAGTATTTCCAACAGCAATCTCAAATAATCCAGCAATTAATTGAGCTGCACCTCCATAGAAGAAAGCTAAACCAACAACAATATTTGGAATTGTTACACCTCTAGCTTTACAATTAATTAAACTTAATACAAAAGTAGTTAAAGCGAAAGCACTATGAGTGAATGTTAGTAATTTAAGTCACATAAAGAAAAAGTCCTAAAGCATAAGTGTATACCAGTTTATGATCAATCATTTGGCTTGTTGAAACATGAAGCCAATAACTTATTGAAAAACTTGAATTGTATACCACTTGCTTCTTTCAAAACTGTTATCATTTCTTAATCTAAACATACCTTAAACCTAATGGGGCAGGATTTGCAAAATCATTCTTTGGTGGTGGTGATAAACCTGGATTTAAAGTACCACCAAAAGCAGCCATTAAATCTGCTTTTTTATACCTTTCATTACCAAAAGTGATATAATCACCTTCGGTTACAATTTTTGAAACTGGATGATCTTCATCATTTGGCCCTGAATTACCATAACTTTCTGGGTTTGCATTATCCAGTACCATGAGACGTTCATCTCTTGGTTCTTGATTTTCTATATCTGGCTTGGTCATTTTTGGATTTTTTTATATGTAGTTTGCAATTAAATGAATGAGCGATGAATTGATTAAATATTTATTTATCTAAGAAATTTCTTGTTGACTATTGATGAATTAGGATTATAGTTGAAATATATGCAAAATAATTCAAGGAAACAATAGTACATATATATGTATAAATTTAAAATAAATAAAAAAAATGGTTTAAAATGAAATCATTTTTTAACCCTCTTTCATGCAATATTTAACAATCTCTTTTTGTTTATTTTTTTTTAATAAGTTCAATGCAATAGATTTTTCTATAATTTAATTTGTGTTTCTAATAGTTTTTTATGCACAAATTCCATCAAAATTAATTATTTTTTTGCAACCTCTGCATGAAAGAAAAAATAAATTTTAAAATAAAAATTAAACAATATAAAATAAAACTCCGAAATAAAAATAATCTTGAAAACCCATAGTTTTTAAATTTCAAGACCATTGAGAAACTAAGTGTTCCTCTAAAAACTAAGAAAAAAAGTGACATAATTGGGTGAGTTTTTTCAACTAATCAGGTTTTAGTTTCAGATTTAAAGTCAAAATTGAAGTAACAGGTAAACTTTAAACTTTAAACTTTAAAATTTTAAGGTTAAATTATTAAACGCAAAAATAAAATGTCGGATGTTAAAAATATTACAACAAATATGAAAATTGTTTGATTTAATCCGGTTTTTTTATTATAAAAATTATTAATTATGAAATCATTCAATATATCTTTATTCAGATATACATCAACAACCCAAAAAAGAAATTAAACCATTTTATTTGAGTCAATAGTTGAATTAATGAAAGTAAAAAACTAGTTAACGTGCAAAGAATAACTCGAGTGGGGACATTTTTCCACACTGCATTGTATTTAATATATTTTGGGGGTTAGTATGCAAAATTTAATTTAATACAATCTACATAAAGGACAAACTTCCAGAAGAATATTCGATTATGCATCAAATAAATCTATAAATATTCACCGTTGATTATAGTCTCCACAAAATATTTAATTCACTTCTCCAGTATGACAATTTAAAAGTGAAACCAGACATGACTTCAATTCAATTTATTTTTACAAAATGACAAGAAAATATATGACCAAGACTATAAGATTTAAATTACCTGAACAAACAGATTTTGATAGGGAGGAAACCCTCCATGCTAAACAAGAATATTATTACTTTAACCCACAAATGATTACTTTTAGTATTCTCTTTTTTACAAAACAGTAAACATAGTGTATATTAAACTCTTCTCAATAAATTATTTTTTATTGACATGCTATCGAAAAAGATTATAATAATGTACAATTTTTGAACCATCTACGTTCTGTCTAACCAAGTTTTACTGAATATTATATTTTAAAAAATATTAATTTTCTTGATTTTTAGTCTCTAATTTTGACAATTATTTTCTAATTTTTCTTTTATTTGCGATCATCGAAGATCGGTATCAAAAGGACCTAAATTTTTCATCTCAATTAAAGAAAAAAACAAATACCTTCTAATTATATTAAAATAAAAATTTTTTGGTCTTTTTTCTTATTTATTTTTGAAATATGGGGTAAGACTCCTATTGAAAGCCTATTTTATATGGTTATATCACTATTTTATCTTCTTTTTTGAATTTACGAACTTTTTTTTTTTTATTTCTAATTTATTCTTTTTATAAAATTTTTATTTTTTTTATTTTTAATTTAAAAAATTAAACTTTTGACATATTTTTATTTTAATTTATAATATTTAATATAATTTTAAACGATATATATAATATAATATGAATGGTTAATTAATTAAATGTAACATATAAAGTAAAAAAATTATACAATTCAATATAATACACAAATATAGATATTATATTTAATAATATATTATATAAAATTATGAACCCACAAATTAGATTGTTAATTTTAGATCTTGTCATACTTTATTTTATTTCAATTATTATTTCAATTCCTTATATCGGTAATAATTACAAAATATATTTATTATTTATTCTCTTTCATATGAAAATCAATTTATATTATACAATAAAAATATTATAAGAGACATCGGTTTTATAAAAGAGTAAAAATAAGTTATAATATAATACTTTTTGAATGACAGATTTAATTTGATATAGAATAAAAATTTCATAATTTTATAAATACTAACCACAAATGGTAGTGTACTTGCAAAGTACAAAAAAAAGTCCGAGATTGAAAAATTAAATAATACAAAAATAAATCAACTCATATTAATATTTTATAGTTAATAAATAAAACCTAATGAGTATTATAATACAATAAGCTGGAAATTGCATACACTGATTTACGTCATACTTTTATTCATCATTATCAAAAAGTTTTATATCTAATCAAATTAACATATATTTTTTATTGGTAGACATATTAAATAATTGATTTTTATCAATTTTATGACGTATATAGAACAAACCTACACTAAGAAAAATAGAAAATTTTTGGGTTGATTTCCCCACAAAAAATTTAATTGATAAGTTGAAGATAAATTAGTTTTATTAATTGATTGTAAAAATCTGAAACGTTTTAAAGTTTTGTTGCCTGAAGCTAGTTCACTTATATCTATCATTTCTTTTAAATCAACTCAAGAGAATGTTGAATCACTCCACAATTCGTAAAAATGTAGGTACGTTTAAACTTTTTGTCTCCTCTGAGTTGCAGTTCATTAAGTATTGAAATCTATCAGTCATTTGATCACAAGAGGCTGTTTTTGAATAAAGAAAAAGTCCATTTTCAAAACACTGGTTCTATATTTAAGAATTAACGGTAGTATGAGAAGTTAGATATATATTAAGAAATTTTTCCTCTCAACAATTATTGGATTCACTAATTTTTCGAGAATGAAGCAAAATCCAACAAACATGCAGCGCATGGAAAAAATAGAAGTGAAGAATGCAAAAAAAAAAGTTTCTTGAACGTTAAATTCGATCCATTCATATCAAAAAAAAATTATTTGAGTGGTAGCTTGCAGAAAATGTTTTTGGACTGGTTTTAAATTTTTTCAATGAAATCATCAGCATTAAATTTAATATTCAATCCTAGGCAATGTCAATGAAGTTTTATTTGACTCAAGATTCTGGCATTACCAAGAGTAAGAGAAGAGAGCAATGGCTCATTGATTTTGTATTAAATATCTTTTGACTATTATCTGCATGAAATTCACTTGAAAAAAAAAAGGGAACAAGAAATAAATCGTCAAGCACGTTACAGCTCAAACTTTTGAAATTCAATAATAGTTTATACGTAAGTTTTGTTATATACTAAGTGAGCTCTCAATTGATTTTTGTTCTACTAAATTTCCATTGATAATGATTTCAAATTATGAAATTTCGTATCTCTCAAAACATTCTATGCGCTACCACCCTATTTACAATTCAGCCCAATTTGGATATTTAATATCAAAAATCTTTTATTCTTTTTATTATGGAATCAAGCAATTTATTTCAAATTTTTGTTTTCTGTACTTTTGAATCATTAATCATCAAACTTCAACACATCAAGCCTCAATTTCATTCTTATAACAGATAAATACATTGCTATAATTATCTCACGCAAACATTGTTATAAATTGGAACCTTCCACAACATAACTAATTCAAGAGATCATTAAAGATTGGACCTCGCTAACCACTTAAACATGTCTAGTTTTTTCTCAAGGTCTCCGAAACATCAACATGTTCGTGATGTAGGTGATATATCTCAATCAATGGAAAATGTGTCAATTTCAAGTAATATGATGGATATTGATTCAAGTTATAGATCACCAAATAATAAATCATTCAGTAATGCTTTTAATCCAAATCAAACTCACATAAATAAGGAAAATATCACACCATTAAATTCACCAACCAAAACCATTTTACATACATCACCAACTGGAACTCCATATAGTAGAAAATTTAATCCACAACATCAAACACAACCATTAACTCCGACACCTTTAAATCAAAATCAAAATTATCAAAAAAGAGCATTACAAGATCATATATATCAATTACAGCCACCACCAAATCAGAGAATCAAACTTTCCGAGGAAGAATTCCACAAAAGGGCCAACAATCCAAAAACTAAAAGATTAACATCAGTTGCTCAATTATATTTTCTCGATTACTACTGCGACATGTTTGATTATGTTATTAGCAGAAGACAGAGAAAGTCATTTGTTGAACAACAATTATTCAGTGATCCTACTTTAGCTAATGATCCTCAAAAACAACAATTAGAATGGAAAAGTTATATTGGTAGAGAAAGGGCATTATTAAGGAAAAGAAGATTAAAACCAAAACACAAAGACTTTGAAATGATTACTCAAGTAGGTCAAGGTGGTTACGGTCAAGTGTTTTTAGCTAGAAAAAAAGATACAAGGGAAGTTTGTGCTTTGAAAGTATTAAACAAGAGTTTATTAGTCAAATTGGATGAAACAAGACATGTATTAACTGAAAGAGATATTTTAACAAACACTAGAAGTGAATGGTTAGTGAAATTATTATACGCATTTCAAGATCCTGAAAAAGTATTTTTGGCTATGGAATTTGTACCAGGTGGAGATTTTAGAACTTTATTAAATAATACTGGTTTTTTAATACCACCACATGCAAGATTTTATATAAGTGAAATGTTTGCAGCAGTAAATTCATTACATGAATTAGGTTTTACACATCGTGATTTAAAACCTGAAAACTTTTTGATTGATTCAAAAGGACATATCAAATTGACAGATTTTGGATTAGCAGTTGGATCAGTTTCAAATGAAAGAATTGAATCAATGAGATTAAAATTACAAAAGTTAGAGGATTTAGAAGAATACCAAGTACCTTCAAAATTAATGATGGAAAGACAAAAAATTTTCAAACAAAGTCAAGGACATCATAATTTGGCAAATTCGATTGTTGGATCTCCTGATTATATGGCATTAGAAGTTTTAGAAGGTAAAAACTATGATTATACAATTGATTATTGGTCATTAGGCTGTATGTTATTTGAAGCATTATGTGGATATCCGCCATTTTCAGGTTCAAAACAAGATGAAACTTATCATAATTTAAAACACTGGAAAACAGCTTTACGCAGACCACAAACAAAAGATGGTAGATATGTATTTAGTGATCGTACATGGCAATTAATTATAAAATTAATTGCATCACCATCTCAAAGATTAAAGAATTTTAAACAAGTTCAATCTGCTCCTTATTTTATTGATGTTAGAAATTGGGAAAATCTAAGAGATAAAACTCCACCGTTTACTCCACAATTAGATAATGAAGAGGATGCTGGATATTTTGATGATTTTGAAGATGCAGAAATGATGATGAAATATAAAGATGTCTTTGCTAGACAAGAGCAAAATGAACAATTATTAAATAATAGAGGTAATAAAGGATTTAAACAGAATAATTTTATTGGTTTTACATTTAAACATAAAGCAAATCCAAATAATAAATTTGAAATCAATTTGTTGGATTTGGATAATTCATCTAGATTAGATCCATTAGCTACTTTATATTAGATTTAGAAGTGTATAATACTTAGGGAATGAATGTGTAATAATTTTTTTGAATCTATTCTATTTCCATATATAATCATTTTCAATCTTATTACTTATATATTTCCTCTGGTCTTGATGTATTCCTTCAACATATTTTACACTTTTAGATATTAAATCAAACAACTCCAGTTCTGTGAAAGATCCGGCACTTTCCAATAGCATTAAATTTTCAACATTATCACCTTTGAAATTAAAACATATGACATGGTGAGAATCACTAGTTTCTAAAACATCTCCTGGTGGATCAAAAATAATATTTCCTTGATTATAACAAGCCACTATAGATGCAAAACTCAGATATATTGCTAAATCAGCATCAACAAGAGCGAAAAAGCAACAATTTATGGCTGCATTTAATTCATTACATGTGAAAAATGGTGATTCATCAATAATTAAAAATTGTATAACAATTTGTATTAATTGTCTTGGGTATTTAAAACGTATTATAATAGATTGTAATAATGATCTCAATTTATCTTCTAATAATTTTTCTCTTGTTGTTGATAATCCTTGTGATGGTCTAATGATAATTTCTAAACTCGCTTGTTGTGGTAATTCTTGTCTTGGTTTTGGATCTATTGGACCCGATATAGACACCAATGTCTTTGTGTTATTTAGTATTAGTTCAGCTGATCCATCTGCGTTATCTAGTAGTGATGTTTTAACTTGAAATGACATTTTGGTGTTTGTTACTAACTCATCAAGTTGCAATTCCTATCTGGAATATTTTTCAAAGAGAAATATATAGCAAGCCGCACCACCATCTTTATTTTTTTACAACCAAAAAGTCAAAGATGATTGATTATGAAAAAGAGTTATTAGCGGACTTAACAAGTTCAGACGAAGAAGAAGAAGAAGTAGTGGAGCTGTTACCTACTGAAGATCAACTACAAACTAATCAAACAAATGATGAATCATTGTCCCTACCCGAAAAACTCTCCATTCTAATTACATCATTAAATAACCCATTTCAAACCATATTACAACACCCAAATATAGAGTCGATAACTGACTACTCAAGTTTATCCAAAATATATCCATTGATTTCAGAGCTAAATACCAAATTTGAACAACAAGCAGACGACGAAGAAGTGGATTATCTAGAATTAATCGCACAAATTAATAATGATGATACATTTGAATCAGAGGAGTATAAATTCATACTATTAATCAATGAATTGTCAACATTAATAAACAACGAAATATTAGCGTTCACAATTCTTCTAAAAATGCAATATAAATTGGTATTTCCCGAATTGGAGCACATTGTATTAAATAATATAGATTATGTGAAAACTATAATGTTAATTAAACAGAATTTGACAAATATTAAATCATACGATGAGGATTTACAAACAATTATGACTAAAGATAAAGTGTTATTATTAATAATGGCTGCATTGCAGCAATCAAAAGACCAGTTTGAATTGTCAGATTCAGATTTCAACAAAATATTATCGTTATGTCTACTTATACTTGATTTAAATGATGTGTTAATCAAATTATCAAATTTTATTTCTTCAAGGTTATCTAAATTTGCACCAAACGTTTCATCGATTATAGGTCCAATTACTACTTCACAATTACTTATTGCAACGGGATCATTGAAAAACTTAGCACTAACTCCATCTTGTAATTTACCATCATTAGGTGTGAGAGATTTATCAACTTCAAATAAATCAATATCAAGAAATATTCGTCAAACTGGATATTTGTATCATAATGATCTTGTAAGATACTTACCACCTGAGATTCAAAAATCAGTAATGAGAATAATAAGTGGAAAAATAATATTAGCTTCAAGAATTGATTTGTCAAATTCAAGCCCCAATGGTGAAGCAGGATACAAATTTAAAGAAGAGATTGAAAACAAGATAGATAAATTATTAGCTCCACCTGAACATGTACCTGATAAAGCATTAGCTAAACCAATTGAAATAAAATCTAAAAAAAGAGGTGGTAGAAAAGTTCGTAAATTCAAACAAAAATTTGCAATGACTGATTTAGCAAAAGCTCAAAATAAAATTGAGTTTGGAATGCAAGATGACAAATTTTATGATGGTAGGGAATTTTTATAGTTAACACTTGTAAAATGGATTCACTAATGATAAGATAAAGGATAAATTAATTTAGTCATATTTTATTGTTTGTGCTTCCAGTCGTTCGTATTAAATATCTGTCTCTCGCGTAAATATAAAAAAGTTAAAATTTTTCAATGAGTAATAAATTCATATAATCAGTTAAAATCGATTAGACTCATTTTTAATACTTGTGTATGCTTCTAAGCCGATCACTTCTATTTAAATCATTTATAAGAAGTAGATCTATCAATTCCAACACATACATCAGAAAATTTTATAATAAAATGAGTGAAACTGATTCAAAACCAATTGTTACCCCAGAAAATGGAAGTAATGAACAACCACCTAAACAAAAGACTGCAAAAGAATTAGAAAAAGAAAGAAAGAAAGCTGAAAAATTGGCTAAATTTAATGCTAAAAAGGCAAAACAAACATCCACACCACCACCAGCTAAATCAGATGAACAGAAGAAACAAAAACCTAAAAAGGAAGTTGAACCAATACCTGAATTTAAAGATGAAACAAAACCTGGTGAAAAAAAAATCTTAGTATCATTAGAAGATCCATCTTTTAAAGCTTATAATCCAAAAAATGTTGAAAGTTTATGGTATTCATGGTGGGAAAATCAAAAATATTTTGAACCTGAATTAACTGAATCTGGAGAAATTAAACCTGAAGGATGTTTTTCTATCCCTTGTCCACCACCAAATGTTACTGGAGCATTACATATTGGACATGCATTAACTGTTTCAATTCAAGATACTTTAATTAGATGGAATAGAATGCAAGGTAAAACCACTTTATTTATTCCTGGTTTTGATCATGCAGGTATTGCAACTCAATCAGTTGTTGAAAAACAAATATGGGCAAAAGAGAAAAAAACAAGACATGATTATGGACGTGAGAAATTCGTTGAAAAAGTTTGGGAATGGAAAGAAGAATATCATAGTAGAATTAAAGATCAATTTAAGAAATTAGGTGCTTCATATGATTGGAGTAGAGAAAGATTTACCTTAAATCCAGATTTATCCGAAGCAGTTACTGAAGCATTTGTAAGAATGCATGAAGACGGTACTATTTATAGAGCTTCAAGATTAGTTAATTGGTCAGTGAAATTAAATACTGCAATTTCAAATTTAGAAGTTGATAATAAAAATATTGCAGGTAAAACTTTATTAGCTGTCCCAGGTTATGACAATAAAATTGAATTTGGTACTTTAACCTCATTCTCTTATCAAGTTGAAAATTCAGATGAAAAAATTACCGTCGCTACAACTAGACCTGAAACTATATTTGGTGATACTGGTGTAGCAGTCCATCCAAATGATCCAAGATATAAACATTTACATGGTAAATATGTATTACATCATTTTATTGATAGAAAATTACCGATTATAACCGATTCAGAAGCTGTCGATATGGAATTTGGTACCGGTGCAGTTAAAATCACTCCAGCTCATGATCAAAACGATTACAATACAGGTAAAAGAAACAATTTAGAATTTATAAATATATATACTGATGATGGTTATCTTAATGAAAATTGTGGACCAGAATGGAAAGGAATGAAAAGATTTGATGCTAGAGCAAAAGTTATTGAAGAATTACAAAAGAAAGGATTATATGTTGAACAAAAAGATAATGAAATGACCATTCCAACTTGTTCAAGATCAGGTGATATCATTGAACCACTTCTCAAACCACAATGGTATGTCAATCAACAAGAAATGGCTAAAGATGCTATAGCAGCTGTCAAAAATGGAGATATTGTAATTACCCCAAAGACTTCGGAGTCTGAATATTTCCAATGGTTAGAAAATATACAAGATTGGTGTATATCACGTCAATTATGGTGGGGCCATAGATGTCCAGTATACTTTATAAACATTGAAGGTGAAGAACATGATAAATTAGATAATGAATATTGGGTTTCTGGTAGAACTGAAGAAGAAGCATTAGAAAAAGCCAATAAAAAATTTGCTGATAAAAAATTTACATTGGAACAAGATGAAGATGTTTTAGATACTTGGTTTTCCTCTGGTTTATGGCCAATTTCAACTTTGGGTTGGCCACATGCCACCAAAGACATGGAATTGTTTAGTCCAATGTCAATGTTAGAAACTGGTTGGGATATCTTGTTCTTCTGGGTTTCAAGAATGATTTTAATGTCATTAAAATTGACTGGTAAAGTTCCATTTAAAGAAGTCTTTTGTCATTCATTAGTTAGAGATGCTCAAGGACGTAAAATGTCCAAATCTTTGGGAAATGTTATTGATCCATTAGATGTCATCACAGGTATTCCATTGAAAGGTTTACATGACAAATTAACTACTGGTAATTTGGATCCAAGAGAATTGAAAAAAGCAATGGAAGGTCAAAAATTATCATATCCAAATGGTATTCCAGAATGTGGTACTGATGCTTTAAGATTTGCATTATGTGCTTATTCAACTGGTGGTAGAGATATTAATTTAGATATTTTGAGAGTTGAAGGTTATAGAAAATTCTGTAACAAGATTTATCAAGCTACAAAATTCGTTTTAGGTAGATTAGGTGATGATTACGTTCCGCAAAAGACTGCAGAATTAACTGGTAAAGAATCATTAGTTGAAAAATGGATATTGACCAAATTAACAACAGCTGCTAAAAATACCAATGAAGCTTTGGAATCACGTAATTTCGGTGATGCTACTAACTATATATATAATTTCTGGTATGATTTATGTGATGTCTACATTGAAAATTCAAAATCATTAATTCAAGATGGTACACCAGAACAAAAAAAATCAGCTCAAGATACATTATATACAAGTATTGATGGTGCATTAAGATTAATTCATCCATTTATGCCATTTGTAACTGAAGAAATGTGGCAAAGATTACCTAGAAGAGAAGGTGATAAAACTGAAACAATTACCAAAGCAAAATATCCACAATATTCAAAAGAATTTGATAATCAAGAAGCATTAAATGCTTATGATTTAGTTCTTGATATTACAAAAGGTGCTAGATCATTATTAGCTCAATATAATATCATAAAGAATGGTCAAGTATTTGTTGAATCATCAAATGATAAAATCTTTGATATTGCAAAAGATCAACAAGATTCTATTGTTTCTTTGATTAAAGGTGTTGAAAAAATATCAGTTGTAAAATCATCACAAGATGTACCATCAGGTTGTGCATTACAAGCAATTGGTCCAGATTGTACTGTTCATGTATTAGTAAAAGGTCAAATTGATTTAGATTCGGAAATTTCCAAAGTTGAGAAAAAATTAAATAATGCTCAAGAATTGAAAAAGAAACAAGATGAAAGTATTAGTAAATTTACTGATAAGACTAAACCTGAAGCTATTGAAAGTGCAAAACAAAGATTAGAGAAAGTTGTTGCAGAAATTGAAGGATATGAACAAACTATAGCCATATTAGAAAAATTAAAATTATAATCAGGTTAGAATGTAAATAGAAATTGGTAATGAATTTTTAGATATGACGTAATATATAATTTCAAAGTGTCCTCGATTTTAATTTTTTGATTTCAATCTTTACAATAATTTTGAATTAGTACGAGATTAAAATTAGTGTAGTATATATTCGATTTAAATCAGCATTAAATTTGAATTAGTATATACGGCGCTATAAAAATGATACGCCTATTCATAAACTTGTAGTGCAGATCCTTTAATGATATAAATTTCAGAATAGAAACTTCTTCATAATATACTTTTTGTGCAATTTCATTTTGTTAGCAATTTAATCTAATTTCAAGTTCGTATTAAACTGATTTAATTAGTCCTTATCTATTCATGTGACTCTAAAACTTGTTATCTGTATTACATACTCAATTGATCAGCTTGTTTATTAATATATTACTTGAATATTGGGAATAACTTATTGTTAAAAATTTAATGGGGTGACATTTTTCAAAACTCATTTTCAATTAAACTTGAGAACAATTTTAAGTTTAAATAAAAAGAGATAGACCAACTAAACAAAAACCTATGTATTTCTACAGTTTGAACTAAAGCACTACTCTCGATTAACCTTTATTACGCGTATTGTAAAAATTTAATGAAATTTTCATTTGACGGTTTTTCTGTGATTTCATGTTTCATTTAAATTAGTTTTATCATAATTAGTATGTAAGCCCTTTAATAATAATAATTTACTCTATTACGCATAACTTTCACATATAAACGTATTGTTTTTTTTTTTAATTTAAATTTTCAATTCCAAATTGGACAGCTAATGTGAAATTTTGAAAATTTTTGATGGAAAGTATAAATACTGCTGAAAATCCATTTCAGACTAATAATCAATCGTCTTGTTAAATTTAATTAAAAACTAATTTAAGTATAATATCAATTAAATATGGACGGACTTCTTAAAAAAGTTAAAGCTTTAACAAAAAATGTCGATCAAAAAGACTTAAAAGACGCTTATGACACTTATAACAAAACTGGTGGTTCGTTAGATAAAAAGGGAAAAGCCGTTTATCAAAATTATAATAAATCACATTCAGCTTCAGATGCAACAAAAACTGATGCCAAAACTGATGCCAGAACTGATGCTAAAACTGATTCAAAAACTGAATCAAATACTGAAACCAAAACTGAATCAAAATAATCTTGAGTTAAACAATCATGTGCTCAATTGTCGATAAAGGTTAATAGTTTTAATAAATATTTTTAATAATAGATATCATTAATGTAGGTGTCTACTCTTTTGATTGAATTTGATTGTATGATTTTAGACGCGTAATTGTCCTTCTAAAACAGTTACACATTTTGTCTAACATACACGGAATGTCGTGACATTAAATTTATAAACAAGACAGTAAGATTTATTTTTTTTAATTTGTCTGATAAAGTACAGACGTTTCTAGTGACCAATCAAAAAGTTTCACATGAATTCAAATTTTAGCTTTCCTATATCTACTAAAGATCCTCAAATCCATTTTTTTGATATAGAGGATGAAATTTCGTCCTTCTCGACTACGAGGGGACCGTAGTAAAGTAAATCATAAATAAAATTCAAAATTGTCATAATTAATTATATAAATTAGTTTATAGTCTTGTGTAATGATTGCGCAGTGTTTCATAAAAGTTGCAAATAGATGAAACTGATTTGGGTCCACTTCAATGTCAATATGAACATAATAAACTTTAGGACACACATTCAACCGAATCTTTCAATGACCATCAAGGTAAATCATAATTACAAAAAAAGCGACAAATGAACTGACAGGAATTATCGTAAAAGCAGCTGGATATTTTACAATGGTATTATAGATCCATTCAAATATTTGCACAGTTTGATGTCGATATGTCTCAAAATCGATTCGAGAAAATTTAACTCAGATTCATTAACTTGATAGTGTGGGTGCCTAGGTATATAATCATTGATCTTCCGTGATTTGCTTGGGTTTTTGGATATCGTAATTACAGAACCGTTGATAACAAATTTACCATCTTTTGCAGCTTTTCCAACTAGACCACCATTTAAACTGATATTTATTGCTGGTATATTTGTGTTCAAATAATACGTTTGCAGTTCTTCCTTCTCCCATGGTAACATCTGCTTATTCTTTGTAGATTCCTTAGAATTTTTTGATTCCTTGAACGGTGAATTTTGTTGAATTTTACCATTTGAATCCTTCGTCTCTTGTTTGCTTTTGACGGAGAAATGCTGTTCAGTAACCAGTTGCATCGTCTTTTTTGAAGTTAAGTAATGACGTATTCACCAAATCTTTTGCTTCGTATGACGATCATAATACTTTATGAAAGATTTGAAAACTTAATAGTAGTGATGAGAAATTAGGAAAGAGAAATATTTTTTTTTTTTCCTAATTCAACATGTATTAGAAATCTATACATAAACTAATAATTTAAAATTTATATACCAATTTTACTCATGCAGGCTTCCTAGATTTGGAAGCGTTCACTGCTAGAAATATCAGGGGAAAAATAGCTTTTATAGCCCATTAATAACCTAAAACAATCATCAATGCATTGAGATTCCTTTGATTAATGAATAACCAATCCTACTCAACCAAAACCCATGATATTCCAATAATAAAAATTAATTCTTTTGTATATTTCAACTTATATGATTATGATTTCTTACCGATTATGCCTTTCCAAATTTATCTTTTGAGCCCTCGCTCTTCAATCAAAATTCATAATCTTGATTCAAACCGCACCACTTCCACCAACATCTTCAAGCAGTCATAAAGAAAAAGTATTACTTGATTAGAATGATACGACAGTAATTTAAGTGTGCACTAGAGATATAGTGCTATGTTTAGATTTCACAAATGCAAAAATATTTAGGTCTGAAACATAGTACAAAACCAAGTTTTGCAGTCATATCAAAAAAAAAATAGATTCTTGCGAGACAAATTCGAGTATTGAGTAGATTCGCAAACAAAGACTCATTCTTTCATCTATAAAGTCAAAACCATGGAATGGTTTTACCTTTACTTTTATGCCCTTGGCGGTTTATGGTTTTTGAGTAAATTCAATTGGGAGATCATTAATCATTTCGAGAACAATTACAAACATGCCGTTGTATATCTTGAGAAACATGAAAAAAGATACAACCACAATACGAGCTCAAATGAAGATGAAGAAAATTCACACATCTTAAAAAACCTAACAAGGGCCAAAGAACACAAAAAGTTTGCTTATTTATCTAAAAATTTTTTTTATATTCTTCAGGTTGTTATATATGGAACAAGCGGTATTGTTGCTTCATTATTGATCAACGAAGCAATGCCAACAGCTAAGGAGTTGCTCAGCAACATCATATCAATCAACATTTCCAAATGATTATTACAAAATTGTTGGATTTTGCAAATTTGTATCCAAACTGGTTTGAATTCAAATTAAGTGGAAGGAATTCATAGAACTACGAACAATGTGTTGTAAATTGAGCGTTCTATAAATGAACAATTTGCACTACGAAGAAGGGAATGCGCTTTCACGCATGGCTTCTCAATTTTAATTATAAATTTATGTTGAAGAAAAATATTTATACCAAAAAGAGAATCAAATAAGACATGAGGACATTTTTAATGTTTTTGGAGGAGGAAAAACTAATTTCGGGGGACTTCTTATGATTTAGACGAACGACAATTCGAAAAGTTTTTTCAAATCAAAAAAAAAAATATGTCGGAGGTTAAAAATTAGCGAAATGTCTGTATTTCTTCTCTTACCTTCGAGCTTCCACTAACTTTCTCTCTGACAAAAAACAACTTGACCGTATTTTTTTCAGAAATAATTCTGATCGAGAAAGTGGTTATCACTTCAAAAGGGATGTAAACTCATCTTCCCTGTTTTTCTTAATGACTTTCATTTATAGCTTAGATGTTTACATTTTCACAAACTCACTACTAAGGTCAGTTTTATGACAATAAACCGAAAGTTGAGAAATATGTACGTTTCAAATTGGATGATTTTAAAGAAAAATCTCAAGAACGATTTGTGTTTATCTTAATCTGGAAAAGTACTTTAACGGATAAATAAAATTTCTACAAATATTGATCCATAATTGTTTTAGAATTTTTGTGCAAATCTTCGACCTAAAATCCATTCGAGTTTTGTCCCTAATTTCTCGGAGTTTGGAAGAAATACAATATATAAAATTGCCGAGGAACAAAATCTCCCCACATTTGAAACAAAAAAAGAAAATTAAAGCTTTTAAAAGATTTACCGTTACAATCTAAAAAGTAGTGTAAGATCTAACAGATATGTTTATACTTAAAAAGATCTTTTTGTTAAATCAACTTGAAACGTTTTTATAAATGTATATTGATAAAGCTTGTTTTATATTTTTTCATAATTTTTCAATAAATAGTTGATCAACGTTCACTAGTCAAAATAGATTGGATTTGTATAAAAATATCATTTTTAATTAGATATTAGTATTAAAATAAGTCATACAAAAATGGCAGCTTTATTTCAAGAAACCCCACAACATATTTGGGAAACTATTCAAGCAAATGTACCAATTGATACAAAAAAAGTTTGTAATGCAGTTCCATTACCAAATACTGAAGAACCTGGATTTTCACCAATTTATAGAAATCATTATTCACCAAAAGAATTAATTAATGTTCCGTATCCTGGTATTGATACATTATTTAAAACATTTGAACTTGCAGTTGAAAATAATGGTACTAATAGGGCACTTGGTCATCGTGTTAAAAAAGAAGATGGAACTTTCGGTCATTATGTTTGGGAAGATTATAAAACAGTTCAAATCAGAAGAAATAAATTAGGTTCTGGTTTATATTTTATTTTACAAAATAATCCTTATAAAACTGAAAGTGAAGCTCATAAAAAATTGAGATATGATCCATTAAATGAGGATGGATTTGTTTTAACTATATTTTCACATAATAGACCAGAATGGGCTTTAGCTGATTTAACTGCTATTGCTTATAACATTGTTTCAACTGCACTTTATGATACTTTAGGTCCAGCTACAAGTAAATATATTTTGGAATTAACAGAATCACCAATAATTTTATGTTCAAAAGATAAAATTAAAGGTTTAGTTGCATTAAAAGAAAAATATCCTGAAGAGTTAAGTAATTTAATTTGTTTAGTTTCAATGGATGAATTAACTACTGAAGATTCTGTATTAAAAAATTTATGTCATGAACATAATATGACATTATTTGATTATAAACAAGTTGAAAAACTAGGAGAAATTAATCCATTAGATCCTATTCCACCAAAACCTTCAACATCTTTCACTATAACTTTTACTTCAGGAACAACTGGGGCAAATCCAAAGGGGGTATTATTAACTCATGAAAATGGTGTATCAGGTATTACCTTCTTATATTCAAATTTTCAAGAAGGTAGAAAAGCGGGTAAAGCAACCATTTATTCATTTTTACCATTAGCTCATATTTATGAAAGAGCAAGTATTCAATTTGCATTTGCTGCTGGTGGTGCTGTTGGATTCCCACAAGGACCATCTCCATTAACATTATTAGAAGATGTTAAAGAATTACAACCAGATTTTATGGCGTTAGTTCCAAGAGTTTTAACTAAATTGGAAGCTGGTATTAAAGCACAAACTATTAATAATGATGAAAAACCAATTTTAAAAAATATTTTTACTAAAGCTATTAATAAGAAAATGGAATTACAAGGTAAGCCAGAAAATGAACATACAAATCCTTCTCATATAATTTATGATAGAGTTTTAGGGTTATTACGTAGAAAATTAGGACTTCAAAATCTTAGTTCCATAACAACTGGATCAGCTCCAATTAGTCCTGAAACTATTAAATTTATAAAAGCAGCAATGAATACAGGATTAGCTCAAGGTTATGGTATGAGTGAAACATTTGCAGGTATTATGGGAAGTTCAAAATTTGAAACTCAATCAAGTTCATGTGGTCCAATTTCAGTAACAACAGAATGTAGATTAAGAGATTTACCATCAATGGGTTATACATCAAAAGATGAAGGAGGACCAAGAGGTGAATTATTAGTTAGAGGTCCACAAGTATTTAAAGAATATTTTAAAGATCCTGAAAATACTGCCAAATCATTTGATAAAGATGGTTGGTTTTATACAGGTGATGTTGCAAGAATTGATTCATCATTAGGTAATAGAGTATTTATTATAGATAGAGTTAAAAATTTCTTCAAATTAGCTCAAGGTGAATATGTTACACCAGAAAGAATTGAGAATACTTATTTATCAGCGTTTCCATATATTGCTCAATTATTTGCTCACGGGGATTCATTACAAACTTTTTTAGTTGGTGTTGTTGGATTAGATCCAATGTCTATTTCATCATATATTAAATCAAGATATAATGAAACAATAACAAATCATGAAGATATTAAAAGATTTTTCCAAGATCGAAAACGTAAAAGAGAATTATTATTAGATATGAATAAATCAATTGCTGGACAATTACAAGGTTTTGAAAAATTACATAATATTATAATTGATATTGAACCATTAAGTGTTGAAAAAAATTTAATTACTCCAACTATGAAAATTAAAAGACCAATTTGTACAAAATATTTTGAAAATGAATTAAAAAATTTATATGATGAAGGTTCAATTATAAAAGCTGAAAAATTATAGATTTATTTTTATTTCACACAATATAATATACAACTAGACTACATCAAAAGGAAAGTTTTAAAATTAATTCTTTGCTACCTCTTCATTCAATTTTGTTCAAGTGATGTTATTGATGTTATTTTATATCTCTTCATCTTATTTAATGATCTTTTGGAATTGATCGGTTATAAATTACGGAGTTATCATCTACTCAGATTTTGTGTAAATCTCTATTATATTTAAATTTACGATACAAAGGTTTCAAACGTTTTTAATATTTGATCAAATCTTTAATAAGGAAATTATAACCATTCATAAAATCCATTATTGACAATACTTTTCTTTATATATCATCAAGAATTCCAAAGAGTATTGATATATATGAAATTTCTGAAAATAATACATGTGGTATTAAAACAAAAACATCAAAAGATCAATTTATTGTAATAGACTATGATTTAATGCTAATTAATTTATAAACAAAACTATCATTAAAATAAATTCCCCACTTTTTATATGAAAATAAAGCCTACAAAGTTTAAATAAAAAACAATGAAAAAGAATAGATCAACAATTTTAGATTTATGTCAATTTTAATAAAAAGTGGAGAATAATAAAAGGATTTGAGCCAGTTTATATATACATATATATCTACATACTCATACTTTATTATCATATAAACTGTCTGTGAATTGAATGTATTAGTCTGAATCAAAATATAGATCAATTACAGAATGGCATCAATAGTCGAAGAGTCACCAGAAGAAATATATTTGTCATTACAAAAGCATTTACCAATTAAAAATAAACTTACATCATCAGCTATTGCATTACCAAATTCATCTAAGAAAGGTTATAGTTCAATTTATAGAAATTCTTATAATCCATCAAAATTATATTCAAAAATTCATCCTTCTTTAAGTACTTTATATGAATTATTTGAATTTGGTTATTATTTCAATTCAAATAGACCTGCTTTAGGAGTTAGAGAAAAATTAAAAGATGGTAAATTTGGGAAATATATATGGCAAGATTATAAAACTATCAGACAAAGAAGAAATAATTTTGGATCTGGTATATTTTATGTTTTAGAAAATAATCCTTTTAAAAATGATAATGAATCTCACAAGTATTTAAAGTATGATCCACTTCAAAATGATAAATCATTTGTATTAACTATATTTTCTCATAACAGACCTGAATGGGCATTAACTGATTTAACTACAATTGCTTATTCAATCACAAATTCTGCCTTATATGATACCCTTGGTAAAGATACGAGTAGATATATTTTAGCATTAACTGTATCACCAATTATTATTTGTTCTAAAGAGAAGATAAAGGTATTGATTGAGTTAAAGAAAATTAATCAAGCTGAATTGTCTAGTTTGATTGTCATTGTTTCCATGGATGATTTAGAAGATTCACCTGAAAACAAAGAACTAAGTTTATTAGCTGAACAATATAAAATCATGTTGTTTGATTTAAGAACTGTTGAAAAATTTGGTGAATCTCATCCATTAGCACCGATTGCACCAAGTCCAAATACGAATTTCACAATTTCATTCACAAGTGGTACAACTGCAACTCCAAAGGGGGTAGTTTTAACTCATGAAAATGCAGTTGCCGGTGTATCTTGGAGATATACTAAATCATTTAAACATGCAGATCCTGATAGAGTAATATCCTTTTTACCTATGGCTCATATTTATGAAAGAGCAAACGCTCAATATTATTTAAGTAGCGGCGCAGCTATTGGATATCCACTGGGGAGAACTCCGGCAACGTTATTTGACGATGTTAGAGAATTACAACCAAATGTTTTAGCTACTGTACCTAGAATGTTAAATAAATTAGAAGCAACAATTAAAGCATTAACAATTCAAAATAATTCGAATCCTAAAATCAGAGACCTTTTCACTAAGGCTATTAATGAAAAATTAAAATTGCATTCAGCACCTACTGAAGAAGACACTAATACAGCTCATAAAGATCATGATCATCTATTGGATTCATTAAGAGCAAAAATGGGAATGTCAAGTGTTCAAACAATGTCAACTGGAAGTTCACCTATTGATCCAAGAACTATCAGATTTGTTAAAGCTGCGTTAAATGTTGGTATAAGTAATGGATATGGTTCGACTGAAAGCTTCGCAGGTTTTGTTAGTAGTTTCAAATTTGATCACAACCCGGGTTCAATTGGTCCAATTGGTGTTTCAACTGAATGTAGATTAAAAGATATACCTGCAATGAATTACACTTCAAAAGATGAAGAAGGTCCAAGAGGTGAATTTTTATTGAGGGGTCCGCAAATTTTCAAAGAATATTATAAAGACCCCAAATCAACTTTAGAATCATTTGATGAAGATGGTTGGTTTCATACAGGAGACGTTGCTCGTATAGATCCCAAAAATGGTAATAAAATTTATATAATTGATAGAGTTAAAAATTTTTTTAAATTATCACAAGGTGAATTCATTTCACCTGAAAAAATTGAAAATTTATATTTATCATCAAATCCAATAATTCAACAAGTTTTCATTCATGGAAATTCATTAAATTCTTATCTTGTTGGAATTGTAGGATTAGATCCTTTAACAATTGAAAATTATTTACAATCAAAATTTAATTCAAAATTAACTAACCAATCCGAAATTATAGCGTTTTTAAATGAACCACAACAGAAAAAATTTATATTATCTGATTTTAATTCAGCAATAGGTGACAATTTACAAGGTTTTGAAAAATTACATAATATTGAAATTTTTTTTAATCCATTAACTGTTGAAACTGGAGTTATTACTCCTACTGCTAAAATTAAAAGACCAAATTGTACTAAATTCTTTGATAAAAATTTAAAGGCATTGTATGATGAAGGTTCAATTTTAAGAAATGAAAAATTATAACTCAACTGGTTGATTAGATAGTTTTTAGCATTTGTATTTACTGTAATATACGGTTGACTTGAATGATTCACGATTCGTAAGAGTTCAATGGCTGATTAGATAGTTCTTAGCATTTATATTTAATAGAATATATATAATTGATATAGGTGTTTCACAATTTGTACAACTTCGAGTTTTGTGTAATTGGAGAACTTTGAAATCAAACAGTGAGAATAACTAAAGGAAAAAGTTTAATCTCACAACTACGAGCTTTAACAATAGATTTAACAATAAACGATCAACGTATATTCTAATTTTTTCTAACTCTAAAAATTTTTTATTTGAAACCAATCAAAAACAATCTGAAAAAAAATACTTTGACTATTTGTAGCATAAATAGTTGGAAGTATGAATTCTGTCAAATTTAAACAGCAGCAATACTTGAAGCAGTAGTATACTTAACTTGAGCAATTGAAACAGTGTTAGCATCTAAGTTATATAATAAGTAAGCATGTCTTAAGAAATTGTCACCCAAGATATTAGTATTTGATGGCTGAACTCCGAAAACACATTGACTACCGGATTGGAAAATAAATTCTGATAATGGAACAGTAATCTTAGCACCATTATCGAAATTGAAAACAGCACTACCACTGGTACTGGCACTACAACTGATTAAGTAAACACCTGAACCATCACTGAAAGTTTGCCAATAAGCACCAGCTTGATTAGCTATATTGGCTGCAACATCTTGACTTAAATAAGTTAAAGTAGTACCTGAATCCAATAAGACATCACCTGAAATTTGTTTGGTTTGACCGTTATAAACAAGAGTGTTTAAGTTAACAAATAAAGCGGTACCTGGTTGAGTAACTTGTTCAGTAATCAATGAACCTGAATATTTAGCATTATCAACACCTCCAAAAATAATTTGACCTGATGAAGCTGATGGTGAATTCAAATATAATGAATAAGCATTAGTTCTAATTTTACCTTGATTTTTTAAAGTAATTGGAACATTATTATAATTTGAAATATCTTGATAACCGTTTGCATCAGTAATAGCTTCATTTCCTTTATAACCAATACCTAAGATACCTTGATTGACTGAAGTTTGAGTAACATCACCTAATTGTTGACCAGTAATTGAAACACCACCGAAAGCAACAGTATCTTTACCCCATTTACCAGTTGATGATGAACCATCACCATAACCAATAGCAAATTGAGCATTTATGTTTTGCCAAGTTGATGAAGTTGATGGATTGAAAGTACCACTAGATTTACAATTAACATTTGCAGCACATTTAGCACTTGAATCAACAACCCATAAATCACTTGAACCAGTATCAATAATAACAGTTTGTGGTTGACTGTTTGAACCAACAGTAATTTTAGCAGCGTATGAACTACCTTCATTAATTAAACTTAATGGAATTGGTGAAGATCTTTTGTCTTGTCTATTTAATTGAGCAATAAATTTAGCAGTTTCTGAAATATTTAATGGTCTTTGAATAACATCAAAATCTAATGAAACAAATCCTGGAGAATCATCTCTTGTTTCCAATTCATTTGGAATGACTGCACCTTGGGCAAATAAAGCTAAAGCAATGGTAGCTAAAACACCTTTGAATGAAACCATTTTATAAAATTTTCAATGTTTGATATTTGTTAGTTGTAATTATAGCACTAATTGAAAGTTAAACTATATTGATGAACTATATAAAACTTACTCTGAATGATTTGTGGAAATTCATGGGTATTTATAATTTTCATGTTGGTTTACTTTTGCTTCATATGAACATGTGAAAGGGTTGAATTATATAATTGAAGCCGTTTGAATAAGAGTAAAATTATACTCTATGAAAAAACCACAATCATTGGAAATTTAAACCTCCACTAACTTTATAATTGTGATGACAATAGGATTGGATCATTCCATTAATAGCCAGAACAATAAGAACCAAAACCATTTGTTTATGATTTTCATGTTGGAATTTTAAATAATTTAGATAATAATTTTCTGCAATACAGCTTAAATAATGTCTATTGTTTCATTTCTGAATTATAATTTTTCAAGTGTTATTGAACATTTCAAAATATTATTAAATTTTTTATGCATGTTTGACAATTACATTGAGAACATTCTGTCAAATCAAATTACACGTAGTTATGTACTGTAACCTCTCTAACTCCTCAATTTTTAACAAAACTTCATTTTGGAATCAATAGGAGTCTAAACTCCTATCACTAACTATGCAGCTCGGTTGATTGAACTATAGATCAAAACAAATTTTGATTGGTTCTTTGTCAAAACTCATAAATATGATTTTGTTTACTATATTCATTTTGTTTAGTTTTCTTCATGTTGATCCGATATATTAATTAAAATTTAAAAAATCATTTTAAAGCCCTAAACTTAAATTAACTTAATTTATTGTAAATAAAGACGTTAAGAAACGTAGAAATTTTATCAAGTTTGTCCATACTAAATCCTGAATTCAAATTCTATTTATCAAATCTTACAGTCTCAAAATAGATTGTGATTCGAGCTTATCAGGCCGAGTTGATAGAGATAATTTTATTTTGCGCTGATTAAACACAAAATATGTCAAGTTTATTTTGTGTAAACAAATTTAGTTTAAATAAATTGATGTAATTTGAATTAAAACAAAATCGATTTAAAAATATTGGAAACTACATATAACTGCTATTTAATTAAAAAAACGTTTTTAGATTTCCTTTCACTATATCATGAAAGGTTATAAATATAGTTAAAGTATAATGTGTTATAAGATTCAGAGAGATTATGAGGAGGAACACTTTAATATTGAAAACCTCACCACTATCAATTATACATTTGTCTATTGTTTTTTTATGAGATTTGCACACTTTGTTTCTGAGCTTATGTGGGCTTTGTTGAGATAGTATTGTTTTCGAACAGATTAAATACCAGAGCCGTATCTGCAAAAGGACTGTTGATTTTATGATCTAGAAAGAGACTTCCAAATATTCATAGATAATGGGTAAAAAAAAGGAATATAGGTATGACTTGAATTATGTTTCTACAATATCAAAATCATTAGCATAAATTGCATGGTTCTTTCAAGTTTTAAATTTGACGTAACAAAATGAAAAACTATATCCCAATCAATTTTACGGATAATCATTTTTGCATGGTTATTTAAAGAAGTATATTCAGTGGTTCATAGCGCAAATTTGTCAAAAAAGCTTAAATCATATTTATGACTTAGTTCATGAAATTTTAAAAAGTGGTTAGTGAAATTTTCAATTTCAGTTGAGGTATTTCATTTGTATTGTTCTCTATTTATAATTGTTTTAGCTTGGTTTTTACTCTAGTTTTAAGTGGCTTTACATTAAAAATATATTTTTAGAAGTTACAAAAGGTTAATGTATCTTATCTTATCAATTCAATAAAGATTTAAGTTAAAGAACAACTAAAATTAATTTCATTGATTGCTGATCATTGCTTGATTAACACTTAAAATCTTTATGAATTAAAGAACTAAATTTCAAGTGTAAAAAAGAAATTGATAAAGTCAAGAAAAGTTTAAAAAAAACCGTTAAGTTTCAAAATTCAGGTACATAGACCAAGAAAAATTTATTAATAATAATAAATTATTATATTGACTCAAAGAAGACATAATATAATTAATAAAATTAAAACTCAACGTAGATTTTGTTCCAATAAGTATATGCTATTTTTGTTTGAAATTCCAATATAATTACATGAACTTGGTTTTGCACAACTTTGGTTAATATTACACTAGCGTATAATTAAACCACATTAAACCACATATTTATTTTCACTTTTGTGATCAAACTATCAACTAAAATTGAGAGTGAAGATTTAAATGTTTGTGATTTTTGAAGCCAATCCTATTCTATTTTACGAGAATGGAATCGTGGAAAGAAAGCTTAACTTTTATATTTGATTTTTGTGTTTATTTGTGGACTATGTATTTGGTTTTAGTAGCTTAATTATCAAGGATCAAACCCCAATTCTTTAAATTGATGCCGTTTGGTTGTTTCGAATCTTTAAAGTTTAAACAGTGATTTCTAAAATATTCGGGTAACAAGTTATTCCCAATTGCTTCCTTGATTATGCGTAATTTTGAACAGTACAGTAAACATTTTAATACAAAACATGATCCAATACGAATAGACTATAAGCATGCATGATGGAATTGTATCGATTGGTATGTAAAGGTTATGGAACAAAAATTCAAATCGAGGAATTTTTGCAATTTGTCAACAATTTTGCTGTGAAGTAAATTTACGGACTTACGATATTTACGTATTGTACTTTTGTGGAGGATTTATTTTAAAAATCGAACCAGTTTTAATAATGCTAGAACGAGTAAATATGTATACAGATAGGATCAGTTTATTTAACATTCCCATATATGGAGAAAAGATTTGAAATTTCCTGCGACTTTGCTGCCAAGGGATGACAAGAACATGTGTTGCTCGACCCAACAATTCTCCATCTGATCTTACAGATATGATCTTAGAGTTATGATATTAGTTTAACACAGTTCACTTAAATAGAAAATAAGCACAATCACTACAAATTTTCAAACGTTTTTTCCTATATTTAAATTTTTATTGTTTCAAATTTTTAGTTTGACTATATTTTACTTTGTTGTTCGTCATAGTCAATTGCTGGCATTATTATTTCAATTAAAAGTATGTCCTTGACCATACTTCCTCAATTCTTTACCTATTTTCATGATCTACGCGGGTATGTTTTTTACCGTGTTCTCGTAATTGATTGTCTATTGTTATATTCAATTTTGGATTTACGTTCCTACTTTTCAATTACACATTTCCAATTATTCAATTGGCATCAAAATTCACAGATCAACGCAACGATTGTTATTTGAAATTATCAATTTCATCTTTTGCTAGTTCATATTCGTGCCTTACAACATGTCGCAAATATTAAATACTTTTTTAAGGGTGAGAGGAATGTTGGGGGAATTTTTCAATTACAAAATATTATTGTTTCTTACATGCATGCATTAATTATACATGTTTGTTATTGTTGTAATCAGGCCAATCAAAATTAAATTATCCAAAACACATGTTAAACATGCGTTACTTCTAACTCCTAATTACACTTTTATCATGCTGAAGGGGAATATACAAACAAAATTGTGGTTATGAATTAAACATTCCCAAGTTATTGCTGCCAACAGAAAAATTAGGGGGTGGGAAATATAAATTCATTAAATTAACATTCTCTATACAATTCTATTATTTAATCTTCTAACCAATAGTAAAATGTTAATGCCAAATCATTAGGATGATGACTGCATTCCAATTAATGCCAGATTAGATTTTTTATCATGTTTAGATTTCCTATTGTGATTAGCTTTATTTGCTTTATTTTTTTCATTTCTAGCCTGTTTATGTTTAACTTGTTCTTTTGATTGAGAATTTTGTTGTTGTTTGTCTTTAGATTCTGGTGTCGGTGATTGGGTTTTGGTTTTTGACACCTTTGAAGATTCCTCAATTCCTAGTTGTAATTCATCATCTTCTTTTGAAATTTTCTTACTATGATTTCTTCTATTTGGATTTCCACCTCCATAAAAGTAATCCTCTTCCAAAATTTTAAACCTTCTTGGAGATTTTAATAACATTCTTAACCATCCTTCAATTTGTTCATCAGACCACTCTGTGTCTTTTCTTAGCTTTGATCTATCACTTGATTTTCTTTTAAACTTACTAAAAGCGTCAGCACCATCTTTTTTGAAAATACTAAACAAAAACCTCTCCTTTGGATCAACTTCGCTGAATGCCGATTTCTTCTCATCATTTAATACAGCTAATTTAGTTCCATTTCTGTTTTTAGAATTTTCATCTAATGCCAGACCAGATGTCTTTTCTTGATCTTCATATGTATCATCTGGTTCATCTTCATCACTTTCATACATTAATCTTAATGCAGCATTTAAAGTTTTCTTCTTCAAATCTTCATTTGTTGAGCCTAATTTTTCTCTTTGTTTTTTACCAAACGTAATTTTTGAGTTCGAAAAATCACCTTTTGATATATCATCATCGTCGTAGATTGATCTTTTGGGTATTTGTTTGTTTTGTTGAGCAACTTTAACTTTTGGCTGTTGCTTCACTTGCTTTGGTTTTTCAGCTATTGAATTAATGAGGTCTGGATTTTCAAGTAATAAATTTGTAACATGTTCAACATCTCCATTATGTTGTCGTAATATGATCTTTGCCTTTCTTTCAGTCAAATCAGGAAATAAATCAACGAGAAGGGATATACCTTCGATATTTTGTTCAAAACCATCTTCGTCTTCTTCTTGTTCATCGTCATATTCTTCATTTGCTTCACCATCAATGTTTACTTGTCTCAAAAATTGCAACTTCTCTTCTAATTTAGGTATGAGCTCCTTAAATGACTCTGATATAATAATGGCACTAAATAACGGTGATAAAGATAAAGTATCGACAGATGAAACTCCCAAACCAAGAGCCAATTTTGCTAATTTTGTAGTGGATAATGATAACAATGATAAAACCATAATATTTTTAATGGTTTCTGCATTTACACTTTTACCACCAGCGTATAAATTTTCCAAGTTCTCAATCCATTCAACTGAGACAAAACTTTCTGCAAATGTTAAACTATTATTTGAAACTTTACTTACACTCTTATTTGAGCCCATTGAGAAAGTAGTTGTCTTTGCCGTATGTTGACCTAATAAAGTAGTCAAACAACTTAAGTCATTATTGTTAAATTTCTCACTTGATATCAATTGCTCCAAGTATTTTTGTAAAACTGAAATTGAAGAAATTTGACCAGATTTTTTATTATCATTGAATTTAGATTTGAAATTACCATCAATTAAACTTCTTACAGTCTGAACATTTTTAAGAACATATATCTTAACAAAATTCCATATCATTTCACCAGTTATATTTAATTTAACAAAACTATAATTTTTAATAACTTGAAATACTAATGATCTTAATATCTCTGTGTTTTTGGTAATATCAGGATTAATAGCACCCAATGAAAAAATTCTTTCACTTTCTTCACTTGTCTCTTGTAAATATATCTTCAAAAACAATTGAAATTGTTGTTGTGATTTAACATTTAATTTTGGTGAATTTGGATCAAGTAAAAAATGCATCAATTGAATATAAGCTTGTAATAAATGAGCCCAAATTACTGGATCTTTATCGATCATTGATGATCTCAATTTAAATGGGGGGAAATGAGGTATTGGTATATATATTGAATCATTATCCGACATGTCGTTGATGTGTTATCGAGTTTAATTAAATGGATTGACCTTTGATCTGGTTAATGAAATAATTTGAGTCACATCAGTGAATAATTTTACAATCACAGTAATGATGTCTAGGTCAACTTCGAACCTTTACATTAGTGTTATATATTTTGCAAGCACTTTTAATTTTATAAAAAAGCGTCGTGGCGCAGTGGTTAGCGCGCAGGGCTCATAACCCTGAGGTCCCCGGATCGATACCGGGCGACGCTATTAAATTGGGCTATTTTTTCTTTTTTTTAACCAAGTATTTTGTAAGCTGTCAATTTGGGAGGCTCGAGATTGAGCTAGGTTAAGCCTCGATCAATAAACTTTGCAAAAACAACGAGTCTGGCCTTATTCAAACGTTCTCTTTATATTTTCGTTTGCTAAGTAACAAAAATTTCAAATTCTTACAATCTGGCTGCAAAACAATCTCACTTTTTTAGGATCTTCATATGAACAGTTAGCTTGAAATTTTCGTAACATGTGTGTAAGTTCTTTTTGAAATCTCAAGCAATAGCAACTAATTTGTTTTAATCAAGCGTGATAACACCGTTTAAACTTATGAAATTTAACTTTGACAACTTAAAGACTGTAAGTGTTGAAACGTAAATTAGATCTAATCAAACTTGTCAAAAATTGGTAGCTCTATTGCATTAAGTGTCGCGCGTTAAAATTTAAATTTTTAAAATCTGACGTGGTCTCAAAAGTTATTTTAATTTTGAAAAATAATCAAGTTTTGAATCAAAACCTTAAAAAAACCCTTTAATTATTGATTTTAGCAGATCAACTAAACAAAACTTAGACTTACATTCATTGAAAAAAGAGCAAATACAAAACAATTTATGAAAATGGTATGTAAGATTATTAAAAATTTCTCACAGATGCTAAATTCAGAATACTAACTTTCCTAATAGGCTTTACAAACACCAAAACAAAAAGCTGCAAATGCAAAATTTGAAAAAAAAAATACAAAACAATGGGGTCATAAAAGGGAAGGTAAAAATGAAAAAACTGAAATTCCAGTAAGTAGAACTTGGTTATTTGTATTATTATTTTTAGTTTGTGGTGGTGCTATATTAGAATTAATTAGATTGATGTTTTAAAAAACAGAATTGAGTATTATCAACAAGTTTGTTGAGAACTTAATTTATATGAGAGAGCTTTTATGTGACGGGATCTTGGATTAGGGGCCACTCGTGAAGAAGTTGTTCAAATAAGAAATAGAGGTTTTTCTTAAAGGTTGGAGGGATTTATGAATTTAATGATTTAATTTTTTTTTGTTTTTTTAGAATCCTATTTATTTTGATCAGTCAATTAATGATCCCCATGAGATTATTTGTATTGTTTAAGAGTTAATTAATAATATATATTAAAAAAGTTTTGTAATTCTACAAAATTGATCCAAGTGATGAAATTTTATTAAAAAAATTAACTAAATAGTAAATGTCTAATGAACGAATGGAAAAAATGTAAAAAATAATTTAGCATATAAATATGAAATAAATAATCTATAATATAAAACTCATTGAAGTCATTAATATTGTGAAGATAATAGCCATTGGGATTTGTAATGAAGTTCCACTATTTTGTCTACCACCTGATGATGATGATGAACCACTCGATGAAGAAGAACTTCCACTTCCTATTCTTGTTGAATTTTGACCACCATCTAAAGTAACATCACCTGTAATAACTTCAATATCTTCATCACTTGTATAGTAAACTTGAGCTAAATGAACTTCATAATTTTCTAAATCATAAACGATATATGCACTTCTTAAAATATTATCACCAAATAAAAGATATGATGATGATGATGATTGTTCAAATAATCCTAAGAAACATTGATTTCTTGAAGCTTGAACTATTAAATCTGAAACTGGAACTCTTATAGTTTTATTTGAAAAAGAAATATCCATTGTTGATTGAGAATTTAAATATTGACAATCAACTAAATATGCACCAGCAGAACTATAATATCTACCATTTAATGCTTCAGCAACCGCTTGAATTTGACTAGATCTCATATATGATAATGTTGAACCTGAATCTAAAACAACTCCAATACTTGAACTCATAACATTTGCAGTTTTACCTTGATTATTGTTTAATTCAATTGAATCAACTTCAACTTCAAATCTTACTGGAACACTAATTTGTTGATAAGTTTTTAACATTGGTACAGTTGCTAATGAACCTTCATATTTTGCATGATCAACAGCTCCAAATAATACATTACCAGTTTTAGCATCTGCACTATCTAAATATAATGAAAACACAACTTTATTTATAAGACCATCAGATTTCATTTTAATTGGTAAATTTTCATACATATAACCATATTGAGTTGTAACTTCTAAACCTGGTAATCCAATACCTAAAACTCCAATATTACTTGATGTTTCATTAGCTACTGCAAAACTTAAATTTGAAACAGTTGTATTTCCCATTTTTATATTATCATGACCCCAAATTCCAATGGCATGAGTTCCATCAGCATAATTTATTACAAATGAATCCGTATTATTTCTAACAAATGTGTCTGAATTACCAGTGTTAAATGAACCATATGATGTACATGTATTTGAACCACCACTTGATCCTCTTGAACTTGATCCAATTTGTTGTCCACCACCATCTGGTAAATCTGAAGAATCTGGACCAGAAGTGAAATAAAGTGTTGAGTAGATAGTACTATCATCTCTTTTAATTTTTTTGGATTTGGTTGCTTTTGTTTCAACTTCTTCTTCTTCTTTTGTTGGAAATTTTACTCCAGTATCAAAATTGAAAACATTTTTTGCATCAGCTTCAGCATCTCTTTTCCTATTTGAATTTTCAACTTCTTCTTTTGTTGGGAATTTTACTCCAGTACCAAAATTGAAAACACTTTTTGCATCAGCTTCAGCATCTCTTTTTCTATTTGAATTTTCAACACAATTTAAATCATGAGACATTACCCATAAATCTGATGAACCAGTATCAACTAATACTTGATTTTTATCACCTTTTGATCCAATTTCTAAATCAGCCATATAAAAAGTTTGTTGATTGGTCAATTCTAATTCAATTGAACCTTCTGGAGTATCTCTTTTAACCAATTTTGGTGAATCATCATCGATTGGTGATAATTCATCTCTTTTTGAACCTCTTCTGACATTAAACTTTATTTTAATTGCTTGATCTAATTGTTGTTCAGCAAATATTGACGGAAGTATTGAAAGCAATCCAATTGTTATTGTTGATGTATTTATAAATTTCATATTAATTTATTGCTTTTTATTTCTATAAATTATTCACTAATGCTTTGATTTTTATATATGATCTATAAATATTATTTGATGTATTAACTTTTTGAATAGTAATGCTATTGATTAAATAAAGGAATGATTAACAAAAGACGGTTACTTCTAAAACTATTAATTGAAATGGTTGTGAAAATTATTATTCAAATTTCTAAAAATAAATATAAAAATCTTTGTTAGTCTCTTTTGAAATATATTTAAATATTAAAATTTTATTTTTTCTTTTTTTTTTTAATTTCTATTTCTATTTCTCTATTTTGTTACTTGTGTTTCTATTTTTAAATTATTATTTAAAACTAAGAATAACTTTGTATAGATTTGATTTAAACGAATAAAGATAATTTGAATGGTAGTTGAATTATAATGAAACTTATGATCTTAATGATTTGTAAAATCTAATAAATTATTATTCAAAATCTCGATATTAAATATATTTGTTTATAATAAATCTGGATATAAAATTATGTTTAACACTATTGAGCAATTGAGATCTAAATTTATAAATTTTTTAAGAATCTAATTTGATCGGAGATCTTGGAAAATTAAATAATAACTATAAATTCTAAATAAAAAGATCACCAATATCAAAGACATCGATTTGATAGAATTTTAAGGGACAATTGAGCCTCTATTTATAGACAAAGTTATTGAATAAAATGGGGATTAAATCAAAACGTCATACTTCAAACTTAAAACATTAATTGATTTTTTTAATATATAATTACAACTACGAGGAGAAGAATATTATATTATGAAACACAAAAATATTTAATTGAAAAAGCTTTTTATAAATTAATCATATTAATTAACAATCGGAACTGATGCAAAGATCCTTTTTAATTGTTATAGCATTATTGTTTTCTTATTTAATTTAACATTTGAAATTATTTCAAATTTAAAGGTTTCATAATCAAGTATATTAAGAAAATATAATTTTAAAACAAAAACAAAAACTAGGCGAAGTTATAATCGTCATTCAAAAAGCAAAAAAAGGTTAATATACATAGTAATGGTAAGGGTTTGTTTTATAATTTAATGTAATTTTCTTGACTAAATTAAAGAAAATTATTCATTGGTTCAAGTATTAATAATTATAGCTCAATAAAAAATATGTTAAATGATCTTTTCTTGTGTATTTTAATCGTGGGCTTTGAAACAAAACTAATTTAATATATGTTGACAAATCAATTAGTAATACCAAGAATTTTAATTTAGTAATTGGTTTTAATTTGAAGAAACATAATTTCAATCTAGTCTTTAAACTGTGCCTGATGGCTGTAACATTTACCACAAAAGAAACTTTATGATATGAAAATCATAAGAATTATTCTTTGAAGACTTAATTAATAAAATGCATGTAATAATCCAAATAAATAGCTTGCATTAGAAATTATAAATAAAATTCCACTTGAAAGATTAAAGTAGGAATCTCGTGTTACAGTTTTATGACAACTTGAATTAGATCAAAGATTCAGATTGATTTTTCTTATATGAATCAATAGTTTGAAGTCATATTTCTATATCTAATAAGATTCTAATCTGAAACTTTAATTGTCTTTTCTTAGTTTGCTATAAATATATTTTACTAGGTACTTCTGAAACAAATTATAGATATATTCTCTTGAAAAGTACTACAGTATTTTAAGTTTTTTAAATCTAGATGGAGATGATTCCATATTAAAGTTTTTGATGTGAAAGAACAAAAAATACTTGAGATTAAGATTATCAATTTAAATGTAATATCTGTACTGGTTTTTGTCATGTTAGTATCAAATAACATGTAATTAAGAGTGAAAATTATTAATTTCATTACTTTCCAATTTATATTTACCCCATATTTCAAAATTTTATATGAATCTTGATAAAATTAACAAAAAAAAAAGTTCGTAAATTAAATTCTAAAAAAGAAAGATTTTGATTTTGTAACTAAAAAGATAAAAAAAGGGCTTTGATTTATACAACGATTTTTTTTTCAATAGTTTACATATTAAAATATCAGTATTAATTAATGCATATAGTAGATCTATTTATAAATTAAATTCAAATTAAGTGATTGATTTGATTAAATTTTTAAATAAGATCTTGACTGATTATTGCTTATATTTCGATAGTAAATTATATTCTTATTGTTAAATCTGAAAACTCTGCTCAATTTAATGCATTTTTTATGTTTGAAGGTAAAAAAAGAAAGATAATGTACCAAAAATGCGAGAACAAAATAAAAAACTGTTGCAAAAAAAGATTTAGATTTTTTTTACAACCGATTTTGAAGTAACGAACCAAAAGACTAAAATAATTAAATGACATTGCCACTAGCAATTTATAATTTCAAATTAACAAAATATTCAAAATTTGAATCAAAAAATTGGATTCATTATCCTCAAAGATCAAATTTATCAATTTCTTTTAATAATAGTAATACTATTAATATTAATTTCTTAAATAAAGAATTAGAAAATGATGAAATTAAAGTAGTTATACAGTTTAAAGGTTCAAATTTAGATGAATTTATAATATTAAAATCAAATAAAGATAAAATCTTAACTACTGTTTTAGCTAAATCTCCAAGTATTGGTATAAAACAAATTAATAAATTAAATGGTGATTTAATTTTAAGGTTTCAAATTAGTTTAATTGATGATGACGAATATAAAAAATGTTTAGAATTTTTGAAACATTGTGAAATTGGTGAATTTGATAAAACAAGGAATGATAATACAATTTCAACTATATCATCTAGTACGATTGAAAGTAATACTACTTTATTCAGTCAACTGCAACTGAAAATGGATCAAAATAGTTTATCTTCTCAATTTGGTTCAGTAAATAGTTCAATCAATTTTCAAAATCTTAGAGATGAAGATTTATTAAGTATTACTCAACAATTGTTAAAATTACAAAATAATCAAAATTATACTCAACCAACACTGTTTAAACCTATGCAACCTTTACCCCAACAACAACAACAATATCAAGCTCCACAAAACTTAAATCATCAAAATAGTATGCAACAACCAGTACAACAATTACAATCACAACAACAACCACGAATCGACTGGGATCAATCACAAACTTCTATTAATTCAAATTTCAACACTTTTCCACAAACTTCAAGATATACTCAACAACATATACAACCAAACACAATGCCAGCTTATGCTAACATTCCAAGTAACTCAATCAATATTCCATTTTCAGTAAATGCTATTAACAATACCAATCCTGAGTCCACAATTTACCACCCAAATAATTATGATCAAAATTACCAAGAGCCAAGACAACCATCAACCAATACACATAGCTCAAATCCCCAATCTACAAATACTAACTCAAATTTAAGTAACTTAGATGAACAACTTCAATACAAAATCTTAACGGAAATGAAACAATTATCAAATATATCAGATTCAAATTTACGTCATATAATTAGTAAAACTTGTCAAATTAAAGAATTTAAAGATTTTGTTGAAAGATTAGATAAAGTTATTGAAAATAATTGAAATACTTACATTATTTAGCTCAATTTTTTTTTATGGTTGCAAATTTATTTACTAGATCAAATTTAAGAAAAAACTATATAATAATACTAAAAATTCTCTATTTTAGTACAATTATTCATTTTTTCAAAGTATATCCAGTCAATTCATCGAATAAAGTACTGCTATATAATGCCTTATTTTCTGGAATAGAACTATAAAGTAAAGTTTAGACATAATTCAAAGTTTTATACAATTACCTCTTAAATAAAAAAATTACACTAAAAAATATCCTTTAACGGACATTTCCTTTTAGAATTACACGTGATAATATTAATGCACGTTGATTTAATTTTAAGACATAAAATTAAAATACGTAATTAATTTAAATTGTAATGACGATTATTATGACTTATGACTAACAACTTATCAATTTTGTCTTCTCTTTTGAGAAATTAAATATTCTTACTTGTTTGGGATTATAGAATGAAAGAGTCTTAATCAACATGATCTATTATAACGTTTTCGAGAAACTTTATTATTAGTAACAAAAAATCTACTATTTTTATTCTAAAATTTGTTCTTTCAAAAATTGCACCCTAAATGAAAAAAATCATAAAATCTTATTAAGGTCTTTATACTACATAGATTAATTGTATAGTAATGAACATTAAAATTAGTAGTTTCACAGTTACATCTTGCTCGTAACAACTCATAGTTCATATAACATTCATATACTATTATCACATTCAATACTTAAGATTGTACTCTTGAATCAAAATTAGATAATAAAAAAAAATTAAAAAAAAATAAAAAAATAAAAAAAAGATTTAAAAAATCAAATTTCAAATTTCTTGTTTTAAATTTTCATAACCTGAAAAATTCCCCAACAATTAAAATCAAACATATCAAATTATATTATCATTTTTTTAAAGCAAGATATCATAAAAAATACATTAAAAAATAGTTCATATACAATAGTAAAGGAACAATAATATCAAGATGAAGATATCTGAAAAATTACATCAAGCACATAATACTACGCATCCACCGCCGGCAACATTTTCATTTGAATTTTTTGTACCAAAAACTTCACAAGGTGTTCAAAATCTTTATGATAGAATGGATAGAATGTATGATTTGAATCCTATTTTTATAGACATTACTTGGAATGCTGGTGGTAGATCATCATCTTTAACCAATGAAATGGTTTATACTGCACAATCAACTCTAGGTTTAGAAACTTGTATGCATTTAACTTGTACAAATATGAAAATAGAATTAATAGATGAAGCTTTGGAAAAAGCTTTTAAATCTGGTTGTCAAAATATTTTAGCATTAAGAGGGGATCCACCATTAGATGGAAGTGAATCAACTGGAGATTTTAAATATGCAAAAGATTTAATTAAATATATTAGAACAAAATATGGAAATCATTTTAATATTGGTGTTGCAGCTTATCCTGAGGGCCACCCGGAAGAAGAAGATGAAATTAAAACATTACAATATTTAAAAGAAAAATGTGATATTGGAGCTGATTTTATAATTACTCAAATGTTTTATGATGTTGATAATTTCATTTCATGGTGTGAAAAATTAAGAAAAATTGGTGTTAATATTCCAATAATTCCTGGTATTATGCCAATTTCAACTTATGCTGCATTTATAAGAAGAGCTACTTGGTCAGAAATTAAAATTCCTCAACATTTTTTGGACGCATTAGATCCCATTAAAGATGATGATTTCTTAGTTAGAGAAAAGGGAACCGAATTAGTTAGTGAAATGTGTTCAAAATTAATAAAATCAGGTCATGTCAATCATTTGCATTTCTATACAATGAATTTAGAAAAAGCAACAGTTATGATTTTAGAAAATTTAAATCTTATTGAAGCTATTAAATCTCATGAAGTTGTTGGAGGTACTGAATTACCATGGAGAAAATCCTTACATCCAGAAAGGTCAAAGGAAAGTATTAGACCAATCTTTTGGCAAAATAGAAAATATTCATATGTATCAAGAACTGCAACATGGGATGAGTTTCCAAATGGTAGATGGGGTGATTCAAGATCTCCAGCTTTTGGTGATATTGATCTTTGTGCTTCTGAATTATTAAGACAATCACCAAAAAGGGCATTTGAATTATGGGGTATTCCACAAGATTTAAAAGAATTAAGTAATTTAGTTGTTTCATATCTTCAAGGTGATTTAAAATCTTTACCATGGTCAGATGGAGCTGTTGGTGATGATACAAAAATCATTGTTAATGATTTAGTTAAATTAAATAAACAAGGTTTACTAACAATGAATTCTCAACCAGCTTTAAATTCAGTCAAATCATCAGAAAAAGTATTTGGTTGGGGTCCTAAAAATGGTTATGTTTATCAAAAACAATACTTGGAATTTTTCTGTCATAAAAATATAATATCTAAATTATTATACAAAATTGATGAGTTTAATTCAAATCAAGGAGAAAGTTCATCATCAATCATTACATATTATGCAGTAGATGTTGAAGGTAATTTAAGTTCAAATTGTAAAGATGATGATATTAATGCAGTTACATGGGGAGTTTTTCCAGGTGAAGAAATTTTACAACCAACAATTGTTGAAAAAACATCATTTTTAGCATGGAAAGATGAAGTTTATAGATTATTTTCAGAATGGGATAAAGTTATATCATCAAATAAACTGGATATAAAAGATCAAACACAACTTCAAAATTTCAAAAATTTAATGTCACAGTTTAAAAAAGAATTTGTTTTATGTAATTTAGTAAATAATGATTTTGTTGATTCCAATTCAACTTTATTCAACTTAATTAATGATTTAAATTTACAAGAATTATAATAGAATTATAATAGAAATTAATTTACATAAAGCTAAAATTTTAATTGTTTAAAAATTTTAACGATCAAAAAAAAAGAGAAAAAAAGTTTATTTTTTCATTTCAATTCATTTCAACAGGTTTTATACATTTTATATATTAATTTTTTATTGTTTTAATTTTGCATCCTCAACGGTATGGGTTTATTTAGTTTATTCTAATGGATATTATAAAAGTTTTATTAATGAGATTTTTTATGTAGAATTTCTGATATTGTAATTTTGAATCAAATTCGTATCTGTATGTTGCGCCGCAGGACAGATTTCATATAGTAAAGTCTCAACTTTGAATGTTGTGAAATAAAAATCAATTTTGGTGAGAATGAAAAAATACGAACCAATTAAAAAAATGAAAATATTAAGCATAATAACATTATACAATTAACAAAAGATTCAAAACATTCAATTTCCTACAACCACCCTTTAAAATTTTGTACACAACCCACAATAAATAATGCAACCATATTCAAGATTTGGAGGAACAAGAAGATGTTTTTATGAATTTCAAAAATTAGTAGATTGTAGTACATCATCAGATACAACATCAAAAGCACAATGTTTACCTAAATTTGAAGATTATAATGAATGTTTACATGGTTTAAAAGAAAGAGAACAAATAAGAACTTTAAATAAACAATTGTCGGAAAATGCAGCTAATGATAAAGGTATAAATCCTAGAGAGTTATATAATGGGGTTCAAATTTATGAAAACTTGGATTTGATTAAAAATAAATGATTGACAGATGGAAAGTTGATTAAAATTTAGAAAATGAAGAGGAGTTAATTGTATTTATTGATAATATATAATATACGAAAGATTTTTTTTTTTTTCAACTATGGATTATCCTGAAGAAATTGTAATTAAAAGCACTTGGTACCAAAATTATTGACTACATGGAGTGGAATTGACCAAACTTAGAGTGATCAAAAGGCAATAGCTAAAACAAATCGCACTTAGACGTATCAAATGCACAATCACTGGGGAGGTATAGAAAATGCCTTTTTCAAAATTTTTAACTCTATTGAGATCTAAAACCCTTGGAATCCTAGAAGATAAACTTTTACTCTGCAAGCTCTTTAATTGATCGCGTGCCCATTCACACGTCGAATGTGTTTTCTATGTAAAAGTTGTATATAATTTTGGTTGCAAAATTAAGATGATTTATTTCAGATTTGCGCGTTAAAAATACAGAATAGATATATCAATTTTTATATCACCTTTGCATCAAGTAGGAAGTACATCGTACTATAATTTAAGTAATTCAAATTGATCTTAATCAAATGATTATATAGCATTAAAGCAATATCACAATTCACTTCATCATGGAAGTCAAAAATCAATTAATAGTACAGGACACCAGCACAAAACTAACTAGACCAAAACAAACAATCCAAGATCTAGATGAATTATACTCAAATCAACAAACCAGAAGAAAAGAATATGAACAACAACTCAACAAGAATAGATTAAACTATGGACAATGGCTACGATATGCCAGATGGGAGTTAGAACATAATCATGATTTTGCAAGAGCTAGATCAATCATGGAAAGAGCGTTAGAAGTAGATATTCAACATGTTCCATTTTGGATTCAATATATACAATTTGAATTAATAAATAAAAATATAAATCATGCAAGAAATTTATTGGAAAGAGCTATAACAAAATTACCGAAAGTTAATAAACTATGGTTTACCTATATTCAAACTGAAGAAATGTTGAAAAATTATACAAAAGTGAGAGAAATTTTTGAAAGGTGGATTGAATGGAACCCTGATGAAAGTTGTTGGGATGCTTACATTTATTTTGAATCAAGATATGAAGAAATCGATAATGTACGAAATATATTTCAAAAATATATTAATTCATTTAATCGAGGGAAAATTTGGCTTAGATGGATTGATTATGAGTTAGCAAATAATGAAAATGACAAACTCTTTATTAGAGCAGTCTTTGAGTCCGCAGTTGACTCTTTGTTGGAGAAATTGAATGACTATGAGAGTGAAGAGTTGTTTCCTCAAATAATAGCAAAGTGGTTGAATTGGGAAGTAAAATGTATGGAATTTGATAGAGTCAAACAAATTCGTTCGATCTTACTAAGTGATGATAAATTCCAGTTCTCGGCAAAGATTAAAAGACTAATATATGACTCAATAAGTGAAATTGAAGCAATAGTTGGGGACAAAGATTCCATAGAATCTAGTATTATATTCAAAAGAAAAGCAAAGTATGAACAAGATGTTGAGGAAGATCCAACTAATTATGATTCATGGTGGTCATTATTATCAATAATTGTAGAGAGCAACGATCTAAATTTAATACGGCAAACTTTTGAAAAATCCGTACTGAAAGCTCCTTCAATTGATTCGAGTAATATTGAAAAATGGAAAAAATATGTACTACTAGTTCAAAGATTTGCATTCTGGGAAGAATTTGATGATAGAAATATTGAGTCAGCAAGACAAGTATGGAATAATTCTTTAAAAATTATACCTCATCAAGTCCCAACACTGGAGAAAATTTGGATTGGATTATTTGAATTTGAATTAAGAAATGATCCGACAAATGGATTGACTAAAGCTCGTAAAATTCTAGGAAGAGCGTTAGGTCAAATGAATAAATATGGACCAGATCAAAATATCATAAAATATTATATTAAATTTGAAGAAAAATTGAAAGAATGGGATAGGATGCGTTCAATTTATCAAAAATGGTTAGAACTTTCTTTGATATTTGGATTAAATTGTAATGGTATTATCAAAAGGTATTTGAAATTCGAATCATATCTTGAAGAAACTGATAGGTGTGAATCATTGATCAAAATGGTTTTAGATCTTTGTAAAGATGAAAGTTTAGCTCAATCATTCGATCAAGATGAGATTTTCCAATTAGCTATTGATTTCTTTACTGATGAAATGAAATATGAAGAGATTAGAAAGCTTTATAGAAATTCAGTTAAAACAAAACCTACAGTTGACAATTGGATTAACTTTGCATTATTTGAATCTTCAATCCCTTCATCAGAACAATTGGAAGAGTTTTTAAATGCAGAAAATGAAGAGTTTGAAGTTGAAGTTGGTGAAGAACAAATTATGAATACTAGGGAGATTTTTAAAGAAGCTGAAAAGTATTACAAGAAATCAAATGATAATGAAAGTAGGAAATTTATTGTTGAAGCTTGGAGAGATTACGAAGAAGTAAATGGTAATTCAATAAGCTTGGAAAAAATAACTTCAAAATTACTAAAAAAAGTTAAAAAGAGAAGAAATGTTGATGGTATAGAAGAAGAATATTATGATTATGAGTTCAATAATGATGACGAAGAAGAAGAAGAAGAAGACGAAGAGGATGATGAAGAGGAAGATCAACGTCCTGAGGTTGAAGTTGCAAAACCACCAGCATCACTAAACAAATTTTTAGCGAATGCCAAAAAATGGGCTGAAAGTCAAAAGTAAGAACATATAAAATAAAAGATCTAAGTTTGTTTTAGATGTTGTATCACTTTGTCTAGTTATCTATATTTTTCATATATAAAAGCTCCAAAGACTTTTAGTCCGAAAAACGATTGTGATTCTAATTTCCATTCTAAGTCTCTATTTTCAATCTACCATAAGCAATAATAATTAAAGTTAAACCTAAACCAGCAACTCCGCAAATTCCAACACTAATACATAAACATTGTAGCGTCATTTTATTTCCTAAAGATCTTTCATGCTTTATTAGTGATAAACCTGCTAAATAGGCAGCAGCTATTAAAAAACCACCAGCGCCAGCTAATAAGAACCATACAAACCACATAAAAAGATTTGTTATTACCCGAGTCGCGATTTAGTAAGTTTATTAATAAATTAACTGGAATATACTGGTATATTTAATGGGGTACAAACGGAGTTACAAAATTGAGAGTAAAGTTCTTTAATACATGTTTAAGTTTTTACTAAAATTATTTATAAATAGGAGACTAAGAATTTGAAATCATAACCAAATTTCCAAATATTAACTATTGAGAACAAGTTAGTTAGCAAGGAATTTTTTTTTACTATCCCTATTTAAGAAAAAGCATCAATGTATATGAACGTTGTTCTGTTATTTGATATCTGAAACAGCATTCAGCACAATTTTGTGTGATTTCGAAACATATATTTTTAACCTTACAACTACAACTTAATACTAACTGATAAAAAATCTATTCATTAAATATTAACATCTTAATCAAAAACGTAAGAACTAAATAAATATATAGAACAAAAACTCTTGGGATTAAAGATCCTTTAAATGATCAATACAAAAATTCATCTCTTCTTCATCTAATGATTTGATATAGAGACATTTTGACAATAAATCAGGTTGAATATTTAAATTATAATTAATTGACCATTCAATACATTGAGATAATGATTTGACAATATGAACTGAAGTTCTAAATTTCGAGAAGTTGATAAATTTATCTTCTTCATTTGTGGTTGTTTGTGATTTTATAAAACTTGGTCTTTCTGCATTAAATGTTAAATCTGATAAGTATAATCCAACAAATGGTATACAACCTTTAGAAGGTTTGATTTGATTTATTGATAATCTTATATTTAAGAAATTCTTGATTGGTGATGTTAAAGATTCTAAATTTTTTAACATTAGTATATCACCAGGTAATAAATTTCTCCATGTTGATTTTAAATTTTGTATTTTTGTTGAAGTTAAAGCTAATATGATTTGCATTAATGTTGAGAAATTTTGTAAAATTAAACAATTCTGAGCAATATGGATAAATCTTGATATTATGTTGATTCTTTCAATTTGATTTTGAGATAATAAAATTTCTGAAATTATCCAGTTGACCATAAGGTTAAATCTTGCAATTACTAAATTAACTCCCTTGTTTTTAATATAGTAATCATCATTCACTATGATTTCCAACCAACTGTTGACTGGAGTTAATTCTTTATTCCATTTCAATTCAATTAAATCTTTCCAATCTATTTCTTGTAACATATCTTTTTCAATTATTGTAAAATGATCAGCTAATGATTTTGAATCAAATGATAGAATGAACGAGATGTGGGAATTTTCTTTTATAATGTTTTGCACGGAAAGTAAATCACTTGATGGAGAATAATTATCTAATATTATTTTAGGTGATTGATATTCTATATTTGATGAGTTGAATTTTGGTTGATGTGGCTGAAATTCAATTAAATCAGATATTTTGTTCATTGATTCTGGAGTTGTTGTTGATCTTTCTATAAAACTATCATTTTGGAAAGTTCTTGAGTTTTTTTTCGGAGTTAATGGAGCTTCTTCATCACTTATATCTTCTAAAGTTGTCATATTTATTGCATCTTCAGTATGTGCATTATTGATTTGATTTAAAATATCTTCTGTATCGTCGACCCTTAACAGGTGAGGTTTATTTTCATCCAATTCTTCATCGCTATCATCAGTATCTTTTTCCCTTAATGTAGCCTTTGATGAATATTTACCTTCTAACTTATGCAAAGCAAATTCAATTGGATCTTCTGCTGATTGCATTGATTCATCTGGAATTGCAGCTAATTCCTTCAATGCATAATTGCTTATTCCTGGTATTGCAACTGAATTATTTGATGATCCTGTCATTGCTGTTGATGGTTGTTCTTTACGATTTGAATTTCTTCTACTTTTAGCAGCGATTGAAAAAATTGAGCTATTGTTACCAATATCAGCAGATGTCATTACTGAAGTATGTCTTTCTTCTGCAAATATATAAGCTTCATTAAAAGGTAATTCAACTAATGCATATAACGTACTATATCTAACGCTTTTTCTAGAACTTTTTCTAGACAGATGTGATGATGATCTCATTTTTATTGCACTCTCCAATTCTTGCTCATTTGAACTCAGTCTATTTCTATTGCCAATATTTTTCAAATTATTAAAACCGTGCTTCTTTTTAAGTCCAGTGTCAAAGTCATGATTTATATTGAAATGATTTTTGAAAGAATTTGAATCATTTGTAATTGAAAAAGCAGAATCATAACTCAAATATGACTTCATTGAATCTCTTTTTATGATTGAACCATTTGAATTTTTTGATAAAAGTGAAAGTCTTTTGTTACTATACATAACACTGTTACTAGTCTTATCACAAAAACTTATTCTTTTGGGTTTTTCCAGTTGTGGACTCAATGCAATTCCTAAATCTGCAATTTCGGCATCATATTGAGTAAAATTACTTGGTGTTGATATAGTTGATGTTTCTAATGATTGACTTGATTGTTGAAAATTAAAATTTGGTTCACTATATATAACATTTTGAGGACCCAGCTCGTTTGAAAAATTAAAATCATCATATTCATCTTCTAATGGAGCAATTTGTTCTATTTTCTCATTTGATTTTTCCAAATCAACAGCATCTTCATCATTCCAATTCATACTAGCTGGTTTTTGGAAAGAATCCTCCGAAGAATTTATTTCATCAAGTATATTTTGAGATAAATTTCTTTGAACTTTGATAGTTTGAACAACATCTTCTTTTTCATTTATTAAATTATCAATTTTGATAATATTTAATTCTGATAAATCATTTATATCCACATCACTGTCATTGTTAGGTGAAACTTCAATGGGTTTTAAATCTAATTCTTTATCAGCTACTTGAGCTTCTGGCACATCCACAAATTCATCTCCATTATCATCGATGTAGTGTCCATCAACTTCATGAATTATGCTATTTGAATTTGAATCATTTATATAATAACGAATAAGGTATTCCAATTCATCAACGATTCTAGCACTTAATACATCAACTCTATTACCAATGTCTCCAACTACATTAATTGCATCTATGATAAAATGATTTAAATTTTCTGAAGATGGTTTCGCACTTAAACTTTTATGTGAATACGGTATGTCAAATAATGACTCTCTGGAATGTGCCACTAATGATTTTTTCCAACCATCCATTAATTTCTTTATTGATTTTTTTCTTCCAAATTCATAATCATTAATACTTTCCGACATTGGAGGTTGGAAGCTATCTTTTCGACCAGGTGATGAATTATTGTCATTATAAATTTTATATTCCATCTTTTTTACAGGCGTTGGCGGTATTATTGAAGTTACTTTTGATGTAGGAAGTTTTATATTACCATTTGTTGAGAATCCAATTGTTTTATAAGTATCAGATTTTTTGGGTGTCCGTATCTCATCAATGTTTTCTTTATCTTGATCTTCCTCATCATCATCCATCAAAATAGTTTTGGTTTTCTTTAATTCCAAAGCAGAATCCTTGATCTCCATTCTATTATGTCTAGTTGATTGAGCTAATGCACGCTTGTTCTTTTTAGAAGGTTTCCTTATTGGAGTACTTGGTGAATTTGCAATAGCACCGTATGTGACTGCTGGTGAAGATTTTGATACAAACGACGTGGAGAATGTCGGTGATTTTATTAATCTTTTCTGTTGTTGAATTTCGTGAATTTTATTGTTGATTGATAGTCTAGATGATTGATGTTGTAAAAGTAAATTATTGACTGAAAACTGTGGATTTTCTTCTTCGTTGGAATTATCATCAAAAATTAAAGTTTTGTAATGAATTTTTTGATCATATAATGAAAGCATTGCTGATCGACGATATGATGGATTAGTATGAATTGACATTTCTGTATTTGATTTTGAAAGTTTTCTACTATTATTTAAATCTCTTGCTATGGGTATTGAATATGCATATTTGCTACTAATTGAGTCTAAATCAATTCCAAGTGACCAAAATTCATTTATCAAATTTAACCAGTGAGTCTTTAAATCTCCAAATATTTTAGTTATAAATATGTAATTATCATTATTCTTCTCCCGTATTAAATTTGACTCCGTTACTATGCTGTTTATAGTATTTGAGAATAAGTCACATAATTGATAATTATTATTGAAATCATCAACAAAATAATTTATGATCCAATGTCTTAGTACAACAAAAGTTCTTAATAAAACCAATTTACCTATTTTCACGTTAAAATCAGTCTCAGAACTTATATATTGTAACGACCAAATTAATCTTGTCATTAATAGTTTCATTATATCATATGCTTTTGAGAACATTCTATATGTTAAAAAAAAATCACAAATTAAATTGTAGTCAATTATTTCTGGTGAAGTCATTTGGACTATTAATGCTTTTATAGTGGCACTATTAATTAATTCTGGACTTTTTTCATCATATTTTACTAATTCATCTTCTTTATTAGTTGTTGGTAAACATGGAAATAATTTTTCATCATCAAAGATTGATTCATCATGTTTATTATACTGATAATTTGGAGGTATATGTTGTTGATAAATTCCCATATCTGATATTGATTTGGTTAGATTATTTTTCAAAGTCCCCGTTGTTGAAACATCTTGTTCAGATTGTAATTTATTTATAGTTTTCGGTATTGTATCTTCTCTCTCCAAAATTGATATTTCTTTATCTTCAAAATCATTAACATATGAATTTACTGGAAGTGACGGAGTTATTGAATTATTGACATCTTCATTTAATGAAGGTTCTAGTATTGATATTCGTTCAGTTTGTTGTTCTTGTAGTTTGGGTGTGATGTTGATTTCCTCGATTGATGAATTATTGACCATCACTTGATGGTAATTGCTATGAATTGAATTGTTTTATTTAAGGAATTGAAAATAGTAATTGACTTTAGTAGTATTGAGTGAATAGAATTTAAATTGATTGAATAATGATTAATGAATAGTAGTGACTTTGTCCAATTGATTAAAGAAGACCGTAAATGAAAATTAAAAGTGTTGCCAAATTTCAAAATCGTTCGAACTATTTGAGACTTTTTTGTAATAGTAACTAAATGATTAATTTGTTGATTATTTATCAATAATTTAAATCTAATAAATCTTATGAAACAAACAATTTTTTAGTTTTAATGATATTTTTCTTGATTCTTATTTAATTTGTCTATTTAATTAATTAAATGATGATGGATTTATTTATTTTATTTATTTTATTTGTTTTGATTTTTTTGATTTTTATTTATTTATATTTATTATGTAATCAGTACATACTAATATTATGTAATTTATTATGTAAAAAGGAATTCGCGCTTTCTTAAAATTTTAATTTAGAAAAAATAAAGCTACCAATTTACAATGACTTAATACGCTTAAGAATAATTGACGATTAATTTAAATACATATTTAAACTACTTACTTTTTAAATTAATTACATATACATATACTTACATTTACTAAACAAATAATATTTTCATTTTATAATTTCAGGTATAAACTAAAACTATATTTAATGTACAAGAATTGACAATATTACTTTTATAATAAACTTTAATGAGATTACTTACATTTTTATATTATTATAGAATTCTTTCTGTATTTTATTAGGAGGAATATTCATAGAATTATATTACTGACTATTTCTCAGCTTTGATTATATCCATGATATGCTCTCGTAATTGAAGATTTAATGTTTGTTGACGATACGTTTGACGAAAACGGTAAAATCTAACCGTTTTTTAATAACTGTCATGCAATTTAAAGTAAGTTTTGTAAACACAATATTATTAATATTTTCTTGATATTCTCGTTTTTAATATTTCGCAGCCAAAATTTTTAATAATTGATTGTCAAACGAAAAATTTAGAACGTGTCTCAAGAGTAGCTTTAACGAAAATAATAATCCGAATATTACAGTATTGATATCTCAATGCTTATTTAGAGATTAGTAGAATTAGAGATCAAATAATAAATTTTGAAATTTCCAGTTATTTTGCAGCCAAATGACCACAAATTCTTTTTTTGAAACATCACAGCAATAGAATTTTGAAAAAATAAATTGGTAAAATATGTACCTCAAATTCTTTTCTACATAGTATTATTTATTAATTTCACCCATTGTCTTTCCATTTCAGCCTTTAAATTTAATCTATGATTGAAAAGAGGTTTAGGTAAAAGATTCCGATCATGTAATCTTTCAAAATCCCAAACTAAACTCAGTTCAGTTTTCCAACACCAAAAAATCCATCCAATACAGTTTTTTTCAAAACTATAAAGTTGTTCTTTCAAAAAATATCTTAATCTTTTAACTTGATTTTTAGTTAGTTTTATATTTGGATTATCTTTATTTATACATGAATTTGACAGTTTTTCTGAATTGGAGTTTATAGTTCCATCATATCTACTTCCCTTTCCTACACCATTAAGGTATTTCGTACAATCATCTAGAGCTCCCGTAAATTCTCCAACTATACTTGGATGACCAGTGTTTTTCAATCTTTTACTCACTGATCTGACATTTTGTATATGTTCTTTAAAAGTATATTTAATTTGCCAATCTGTGAAAATTTCATATAAATGATGATCTAATATAAAATCTCCTGGAAAATTATACCAATGTTCTAAACTGAAAAATGCATCTGATAAAACTAATTTTGCACTTAGATTCTTATTTTTAAAAAGCTTTATGCAAAATGTATAGAATTCTTTCAAAGTTTTTTCATCTAAGCTCCAACCCATTGGTTCATTTACGACTTCAATACTATGGATATTAGTTAAATTCCCATATTTATCAGTAATATGATTCAAAATATGATAAGTCGCATCTAAATTTTCTTTGGTTGCAAACCAGTTGGGCTTATCACATCTTTGTCCAGAATTATCAAAACAATTTTGACTACCTGGTAATCCATGTAATGAAATTTGAACATTTAAATTATTCTTCAATGCCCAACTTATAGCTAAATCCAAGTAACGTTCTTGTCCTTGAATATATGGATCATTTTCCAAAAGTAAAAAAGCCCAGTACCCGATCGGTATTCTTACGAGATTTAAACCCAAACTTGCAATTTTTTTAATATCCACTTCATTACAAAATGTTTCATAATGTTCAATTAAATATTGTTTTGCTTTGACTTTACCCATGATTTTACATAAACTAAATTCATCAATTGGTAAGGTTCCATATTTCTCCTCAACTTTGTCATAAAGTGATGGAGTTATCCATGGTTCTGTAACTAACCAACCACCTAATTTTACTCCGTAAACTTTTGGAATTGAATCAAAATTACTATCGACATTACTGTTAGAAATTTGATTGTTTTTTGTTATTGAATAATTTATCAAATTATTTTGTGTTATATTAGGTGGTAAATGTTTTGTTTGAATTATTGTTATAAATTGAAAAATTACTAACAAATTTATAATCTCAAACATGTTTAATTCAATTTGATCTTCTGAAACTTCAAAACTTAAATGATATTTAATCCATTTTATCAATCTATTCGCCAGACAATTTTTCCACAATGATTTTACAAGTTAGATCTAATCTCAAAACATTATTTTAATATTTTGTGATTTCTTCAAATGATTTAAAATTTAACACAGAGAGAAAAAAAAATTAAACTAGTGCGGTGAATTGAAAATAAAAACAAAAACTGATATATCATTAAATCCAAGAACTCATCTCCTATATATTTATCAAAGTATTTATAAAGAACACTATCTAATTAAATTATTTCAAGAATACTCATAACTTATACTATTAATGATATAATACAGACTACCAAAACGGGGAATTTAAAGGAATTATTTATTCAAATTATCAACTAAACAATGAGTAATGCCAATGATTCAAATAATATAACATTGGTTAATAACCCCGAGAACAATCATAAAACCACTTCATTTACGCAATTAACTGATCCAATAGTACCGAGTCTGACTAATAATGAAACTAATAAACTAGTAAAAGTTGAAGATCCAGTCGAAAGTTTAATGTTGGATGATGATTTCAATATTCTTTTTGCTAATTCAAATGATGAAATTGTTAATGATCAGCAACAATCACTATCACAACCATCACAAACTGAGACAGAAACTAAAAACGACGCAACTACAACACTACAAAATTTTGATCTTAATTTAAAAGAATCATTAGATAAAAACTCGACAACTATCAGTCAATCACAAACTCCGAATCTTCAACCTCAACCAAATTCTCAAATATCAGATATGACAGCAGATATTAATAAATCCTCATTCGACTTTATATCAACTTTGCCACAACAAGCAAAACAGGATGCACCATTAATACAACAACAACAACAACAACAACATCCAAAAGAAAAACAAGTTAAAATTGAAGAACCAAAACGTATATCAAATTCATCGTCGTCATCATCAATTTACGATAAAGGAGATTTAGATCATGATGTTAATCAAGAGGAAGAAGAAGAGGAAGATCATACACAATCAAGAGTTTCAGCATATGCAAGGCTTGATTTTGAAAATAATGTATTTTATGTCCAAACTTTACAAGTCATATTGGGGAGAAAATCTTACGACGAATTACAACAATCACAAGTTGACGTTCATTTATCAGAAAAGAAAGCCATATCAAGAAAACATGCCAAAATATTTTATAATTTTGGATCTCAACAATTTGAAATAACAGTATTAGGTAAAAATGGAGCTTTCGTTGATGAAGCATTTGTTGAAAAAGGTGTAACATTACCATTAATAAATGGAGTTAAAATTCAAATTGGTGATATACCGTTTCTGTTCATTTTACCTGATCAAATGAATCAAGATATTGAATCACAAGATGGTCCAAAACAATTTAATCCAAGTGACGCAATAAATTTAAAATCAAATTTGTTTTCAAAACAACCAACTCCAAAAAATTCGCCAAAGAAAACAGATCAACAACTCACTCAACAACCAGGCTCAGCTTCACCTACTGATCCATCGACTACATTGCGTAAAAAATCAATGAGTAGGCGAGATTCATTACTAAAAATACGAACGCTATCGAATGCCAGGAGAACGTCTACCGCAGCCAATGACGAATTAAATCAACTATTACAAGATTTGGGAGTAACGGAGAGTATAGAGGAGGATTCTGAATTATTAGATGCACAAATCAAGAAGTTACTAGATGAGGATAATGATCTAGAAGGTGATGTATTGAAACTTTCGCATTTTAATGAATCAGCTATAGCAGATGATGAAGAAGATTTCGATTTAGTAAAAGGTATCGAAAATGAAGCAAAAATTGAAAAAGAAATTCTAGATATTGATTCAAATATATCACAATTAAATCGTGAGATTGCTAATTTGATAGTACCTCAACAAGGTACAACTCAACAAAATCAAAGTTTAATAGCCGAAAAAGAGCAACAAAGAAGAGGGTTGGAAGAAGTTAAACAACAAAAGAAAGACCACATATCACAAAGTAGATCATCATTTGTTAAAAATGCAGGTCCAGTAAGAACAACTCCATTGATGGGTAAACCAGCATCAATTCAACCACCAGCATCATCATCAATATATAGTAGAATTAATGGACTAGATAAAACTGGCTTACATTTTTTCCCAAATGCGATTCCACCGCCAAAACCCAAATTGACAGTACCTGTTCCTTTAATTACATCAGAACCTGGTGCAATAAGATCTCGACCACCACTAAGAGCAATAACAATGAGAGATTCCACACTACATTCAACTTTTTATTATCCAAAAACTCTTGATCAACCAACAGAATTCCCCAAACCAAAAGGTAGAAAAATCATACCCCGAAAACCATCAAAAAGAGTTTATACAATTGACGAAATTCCAGAACAGTGTAGACATAAACCAAATATCACATTAGCAGGTATGGTAACAAATGTTTTACAAACAGCAGCTGCGAGAAATGGATTAACTATAAATGAAATTACAGATGCTGTAAAAGAAGTTTACCCGTATTACAAATATTGTCAAGAAGGTTGGCAGGCATCAATAAGTCATTGTATAAAATTCACCAAGATCTTTAAAAAAATTGCTAAAAAGGGACCTGAATGGTTATATACAATGGATGAATTATATAAGAATGAAAGAGAAACAATGAAGATAAAACAAAGAGAAATCTTAGCAAAAGCTGAAGCTATAAGACAAGAAGAATTCCGTCAAAGACAAAGATTGGAAGTTAATCAACAATTTATGATGAATAGGAACTTCCCACAACAACCATACCCAATGAAACCTTATAATAATCAAGTTCCTACCTTACCTCAACATCAACAATATCAACAATCTTCACCATCACATCAAACTCAATTACCACAAAATATGAATTATCAACCTCAACAACCAAGAACAAATATACCTAATGGTCAACAACAATACATACCCAACAATACCCAACAACAACAACCACTTAAGCAAAACCAATCACAACCTCTCAAATCCACCCCTAATTCAACTCAACCTTCAACAACACAACCGAAATCACAACCATCAATGAGCGACCCAGACACACAAAAATCATTAGAATACTTAAGAAAAGAATTATTTACTTTATACAAATCAAGAAATCTAACATACGATAAAACAATAGCAACAACGTTAATAACGAAATCATTAGCAACAACAATAGCTCAAGTAAATAGTATTGGTGCAAAAGTAGGAGCAGGTGATAACGCTCTTAGTTTTTTAGTGGAAAAAGCACCTCAACAAGTTAGTAAAATCTTGGACATTGCTTTGAGTAAATCTATAAAAGATTTTGAAGGTGGAAATAAATCTGGAGCTGGTACTCCAAGTAAAGCTTCAACTCCTATTCAAGCAAAGGCTATCCCTGTTACTACTGGCCCATCTACTACTTTAAATCAAACACCACCACTACAACAATTACCTATTCAAACACAACCTAAACTTTCAACAAATAATACAGTTGATGTTCCACAATCAACACCATATCAACCAATTCCAAAACCTCAACAACCACAACAAGTTTATAATCAAGCACCACCGTTATCAACTTCGCAGCCAATACCACAAACACAGCCAATTACTCATCAATCAAAACCACAATTACAGAATTCACTGCCACCACCACAACAACCACTACCACAAAACAATCAATCAACAATCACATCGACTCAATCAAGTCCAACAACATCAGCATCAACACCAAAACAATTCTCTCCATCACCACAACCATCTACTACAAACCAAACAAAGATTCCATTATCAAGACCTCCACTGTTTGGCAAACCACCAAATCTCAAGGGTAATTCGTTAGGAAGACCAGGATCATACGCAAGACCTCAACTGTTTGGTAAACCACCAGGATTACAATCTGGAGGTGGGTTATCACCATCATCATCAACAACAAATCTATCAAGACCTGCTCCTACTTTTTTATCAAATAAGCCAACTTTTGGAAGTAGTGGTATAAAGAGGGGACTGGAAAGTGCTGAAAATAATGATCATATTAATAAGAAAATAAATTTATAGAGTTTAGTAAATGATTGTAATGGACGAGAATTTTAGTGAATTTTTAATTATTTTTTTTAACTTCTTACACATATTTAGTCTTTCATCATTCATCCCTGTGTTGGTGCATCCTTAATGATCAGAACTTGATAATAAACCGAACTAAGTTTGTCTAAAGTTTATACGAGGCAGCATATATTGTTTGTTTAATTTTTTTTTTTTCCGAGATAAGGTTTTCGTATAAAATAATATTAATAGCGTAAATTTACGTCAAATTAATTTTTCTTGGCTCATATAATAAGGGACCCTTAAAAACATAAACATATATATTCATTAATTTTACAAACTATAATATCACTGTAATTTTCTCTCATCCGTCTGACAAAACTTTATTGTTTTCAATGACATATAATTCAGTAGCAATCACACCCGAAACCAAACAAATTGTGAACACCATGAGTAAAAAAGGCATAATTTCAAATCTTTTATTAAAATAAAAATAACCAATCATTGAAAATGCCAAAGCCGCTTGTAAATTTGCGATATTCTCACAAACAATCAATAGAATATTTGCTGCTCTCAACTGATTTTCATTTTTTAAATGGTAAGATAACAAAAATAATAAAATTTGAAATACAACTGAAATATTAGTTCCAACGTATAATTTAATTTGTGAGCTTAAATTTTTGAAATCTAACGTTATCCAACTGTTGATTTTTTTCAATTGCTCAGTACTTATAATTTTATTAGAAGCAAGCAAAGTTGGTACGACTGAATGAATAAGAACTATGATTGGTATGTAATTATTTGATATTATTGATGCATATATAAGATAAGCAAATAGTGAAAATATGAATGCAATATAAAGTATTCTAAATGCTATTGATGATTGCAATTGACTTTGTTGCTGAAGTTGTTGATCTCCTTGTACTTGATTTTCTAAGTCATCATTTGTTTCATTTTCAGAATCTTTTTCATTCACTGTGTCTACTATAATTTTATCATCTTCCTTCAATAAATTGTAGTCGGATTTGAAGAAGTTCATACTTTCTGTATAGGTAATTCAAGTTGTAAAGTAATTATTGAATATTATATTGATAATGGAGTACAAAATGTTATGTAGTATAGCTTATCTATATGAAAGATGATCAATTAAATTTGTGTGATAATTTATTTAATAAAAATAATAATAATGTCAAAAATTTATAAATTTTCTTGTTCAAGCGCAAAAAAGTGGGAATTTATAAAACAAACTTTTGCTTTAAATATAAAGTATTTGATGCAATAATGAATTAGCTAAAAAACTTTTTGACCAGTTAAAAATAAGTAAACAGTATAAAAAACTAAAAACAAGGCTCAAAATTATAGTAAACATTTTTGAAATAAATATAGCGTAATATTCTGTCAATTATTAAGTTTAAAGTTTAAAACAATAGGGAAGCTAAGTTGTAGGTAAGTATCCTAATGTTTTTAAAGAGTTAATAGTTCACGCTATGTTAAAATTTAAAATAAATTAAATTAAAAATTCAATCCACTTTTTAATCTGAATATAAGTAGGTAAAACCACTAAAGTGCTAAGAAAATTCCGTTCAAGTACTCGTGGCAAGTATTGGAACTTTGAACAAGTAATTTTCAGTCGCTTAAGTAGTCAAACGTGGAAGTATCAGTGGAAACGGGTAACTACAATGTGTTAGGAGAGTCTTTCCCAACTCATAGCTGCATAATAATAAGTGGCCAAACCTATGATAATTTATAAGCCTACGTTGCCTTAATTTTATTATTTAATATAATAGTGGGATTTAATATAATACTTATTCTTTATCCGAACCGACAATTGATACAACAAATTTAAAGTTTTTATAATAATCTGAGATGATGATGCCACTTTACGATTTGGATTAGCAATACATCATACGGCGAAGCGGAGTAAGTGTTCCTAGTAAAATGAAATACTGTATTTGCCTTGAAACATTTTGCTTATATAAAAAACTTAATATTTGTAAACTAAATTTTTGGTGCCTTACGAAAAGAAAAAAAAGACGGAATTTAAACTTAAAATGGAATAAATTACGAAGGTATTAATTAAAATGTTATATAAATATTAATATTCAATAAATAGACATAATTTATAACATGGCAAATACGTATAAATAAAAGAGAAAAATAATTTGAGCCTTTTCTTAATAAATTTCAAGTGCCTTTCACTTAAATCTAAACCCGATAAAATCTTATATACATACAATTGTTATTATAATAATTTTTCATATTATTATTTCATTTCGTTAGGAAAAATTATACTACTAAATTTTAAATATTCTTCATTTATTCCTAAATCTTTGCATTTAATACTCGTCAACTTCATATATCATTCCAGTATAATCATAAGAATCATTACTATTGAAACTGTTTATCATCATATTAGTTGTTATTGGATAAGATAAGAAGTTAAAGATATATTATACATATAAAATTTTATATACACAACCCATCAAGTATTATTACTAAAAAAAGAAACAACATTTTTAATACATTTAATCTTTTATATATATAATTTTATCCATATCAACCAGCTTATCAACAGTACTTTCATTTATAGAGCAAATCAATTACTTATTGCGATTCAAGTCAAAGAACAATTAAAATTTAATCCCATACATTTCTTCACTATAATATACATATAGGTAAGTAATTGAAATACAATATAGTAGAAATATTCAATCATTATCACACGACCAGACAAGAAATTAAATAATTATAATCTTGACTAGGAAATACAAGCTTTAATTAAACTTCAATTAACATTCAATCAATTTCAAGTTCCACTTCATTTCATTCATTTTTGGATATTGAAATTCATTGATATTTACTCCTAATTATACTTATCAATTTTATTCTATTTCCACACTTATCATTCAAGAAATCACGTCTATTATCATTTCATTCATTTTACTCATTTACATTTACTGCATTCATTCCTTATTCATTTAATAAACCAAATTTTATAAACATACTCCCCAATCAATAAACTGGACAAAAAAGCAAATCATGGTTACAATCAACTCAGAATTAGAACATTTACCTCATATAGATGAAAATATAAGTCCTGAAGAAAGAGCTCAAATTGAGTACTTAATAAGACTAGAATTAGCTAATCAATTTAATAATAACATGAATAATTTTGCTCATCATTTATCTCCACAACAACAACAATCACAATCCTTACAACAAAACCTACATCACAATATAAATAATCCACAAACAAATATACTACATCAACAACAACTTCCACATGCTCATCCACAACATGAGTTTATCAACACAACCGGTAGACTAACTCCACAATTACAACAACAACAGCAATATCTAGATGTAAATTTAGAAAATCTACCATTACATCCAATGGTTGATAGATTAATGACACCAACTAACACGATACCATCAAGTAGTTTATTAGATAGAAGTATACAACATTATGAAGAAGAAGAATTAGAAGATGATGACGATATTGATGAAGATGACACTAATTTTTTACAGAACCGCAACGGGGTTGATTTAAGTAAATATACAAATTTTAACATGAAATCACCATTAGAAGGAACTACTTCACAGGGAGATAATCAACTTGCTCAAAACAATGATGGTATAAACTACAATAACTTGTATACAACATTAGGTCATGCAACAATACAACAAAGAAACTTAAATTTATTAATGAACAACAGACAAGATATAACCCACTTACAAAATAATCATTTAGTTCAATTACGTGAAATAAATGAAAACTTGAATCTGAGTTTAAGTAAAAAGAGAATAATGATTGATGAAACTAATGAACAAAATTTAAAAAAACAAAAATATTTAAATGATCAAACTTCATTATTGAACCAACAATGGAAACAAGGTATAAATACTGCTTTAGAATTAAAAATTGAAGCTGCTACAACAAGCTCTTCTTCTTCTAATGCCGGTGTCACTAATGTTACTTCTACTTCAGCTTCTATTATTGAATTTGATGAATAATGATAAAAAGAACTTAAAAGAAAAAGAATAGTTACTAACGAAATAACTAAATTAGGTAAACTAGTTGAAACATCTTCGATATGTATGTTATGTACAAATTTTAATTTAATTTGAAATTCACTATTTTACAACAACTCTCGATACTCTTTTTAAAATAATTTCACTCATATAGCACTAACGTGGTTTGGGAATCTCGTACTTTACTCGTCCAGACATTGTTTTCTAAATCACAATAATCCAGTCTTGCTATTTGAATGTAAGAATAGTTTACTCTAGCTTCAGCTCTTATTACATCAATGTTGGCAACCAACTTAAGCAATAAAAAGTCTTACGACCATTTTTTTACAACCACACTGGTATTATCAATCTATTTAGATTCATACTTTCATTTTCATATATTCTCCAAGGATTTACTAGATGATTGATTTTGCTTTTTCAGATAAATATAATCAATTTTATTCCCCCCAACATTAATAATTCTTGGACAACCTTCTCTATTCTTATCTAATTTACAACATTCAAAACAATAATAAGCATCAATATTTTCTCCATTACCACCATCATTTTGGCTATTGTTGGTATTATTACCACATATTAAACACTTATTATTTAAATTGGTTTGTTGATAACATTGTGAACATATATGAACTTTTTCATATGGTTTTACCATTGAATCACATATTGGACAATGACCATCGCAATTTGAACATAATTTACCTATTTCTTTACCTGGTTGTTTCATACATTGAATTAAATCATATTGATGTCTTGACATTTATTTCTTCAATTTATGTTGCAAATTAATAAGATGGTAATAAATCTCTATTGATCAAATGTAGATGTTAAAAAATGAACAGTCACGTGTAGTATCATGTGATCTACACACTATCTCCCTTTTACATAAAATTAATTTTTATCTTTCCCTTTTAAATTTTTTATTTTTTTATTTTTGTTTTTTTTTGCAACCTTTTCTTTTTTTTAACTACTATTACTATACATTTAATAAATATTATATATACTAAGTGATAATAACAAGAATTTAACAACAACTTTGAAGAATTCAACAGAAAATGGAGACAACCACAGATCAGAATCTAATACATGATGAATGTATGATTTGTTTAGAAAATATGGAAGAAAATGATTTAATTGGTAAAATACCATGTTGCCCCACAAAATTTTATCATAAAAAATGTATTGAAATTTGGTCATCAAAATCAAATAGTTGTCCAACATGTAGAAATAGATTTTATAAAATATTAATAAGTTTACAATCAAAACCTCAATCAATTATAAATACATTAAATATAAAAGATAAATTATTACCAAATCCTGCTATTAATCAAATCCCATCACAATATATTATAAATAATCAATCAATACAACAACAATTACAACAAATTATTGATAATTCTTTATTATCTTCAAATAATTTATCAAATGAATACTTAAACACTTCAGGTTCAGGATTTTGTTGTATATGTACTATAACAAATAGAAGAAATAATACAACTTTATTATGTCAACAATGTGGATCAAATTTTCATCTAAATTGTTTAGGTGTAAGTGATTTATCAGAAGAATATTTTAATTGGTATTGTCCAATGTGTGATTATAATGAAGAATCAATTATACCCAATAATAATTTAAGATCTTTTAGAAGAACTTTATTCAGTAGCGGTAATAATAACAGTAGTAGTAGTAGCAGAAGACAACGTATAATGCAGGATCAACAACCAGGTAGAAGTGTACTACCCAATCAACGAAGTAGATTAATAATACACAATGAGAATAATGAATTAAATGATGACTTTTTATATAATGAAGACTTTAATGATGATTATGATATTGATACAAGTGATGAACCAATACTCGAGTTTAGTGATTTACAACAAGAACAAGGACAAATGAGACTAGCTGAATTTCCAAGACCAACTACATCATCAAATAATAGTAATATAATAAATGGAGGTATACTACTAAGAAGAGAACAAAAACAAATTGAAAACTTATCAGCCGAAGAAGTTAATTCATGGGATATGTTTGATAAGGCGCGAAAAGAATCAATTGTTGAAGAAACTAAAGATCATCAAGCTTCTCAAACAGTAGAATCAGAAATACCGACAGCTTCAAGTACGAAACAAAGAAGACGAAGACGTAAAAGATCAGCAGAAGATCGTATTGAACCAATGGTAGTAGAAGATAGTAATCAAGTCAATGCTGTTAGTCCAGTACTCTTACAACCATCAACAATCCAGTCCTCAAGTAGAATTTCAAATTTAATAGATCAATTAAAACATACAAAAAAGGCACATACTTCTTCATCATCATCTTATCAACATTATCAATATCAACATCAATTCCCACAAGCTTACATTTCAAATGTAGGTTCTCAGTCAGACTCTTCAACATCAATGGGTAATAGTCCAATGGAGTCGACTGCTTACTCAAGTGACGATAATGATTATACAAGAAATGTTGGTAAACTCCCTATGGAAAAAAGCTATGATAAAAACGAGTCAATCAATTATATTGAACCAAACAAACAAGTTGAATTAACATATGAACAAAAACTAAAGATTCAGAGACACGTTAAGAACAAATTAAGATTGAAATATAAACCAGGACATAAGATTATTAAAGAGAGTAGTAGCATCGATAATAATGAAGGTTTTATAACGAATGAGGAAGAGTTCATCAAGATCAACAAGAAGATATCGAGAAAAATATATAGTCATGTTTTGAATAATCAAAATAAGAACCATTCAACTATTGATGAAATTATTGAGGATGAATCATTGGTACAAGAGTTAATTAACAAGTATGTATAAATTATTTTAGGTCAATTAAGGTGCTAGAAGTTGTTTATATCTTTTGTATTTATCATGTATAGACAATTATCTACGACGTGGACCTTTAGGTTTACTAAACCTTAATCCATTATTTGAATTATTATTAGTAGTTGAACTTGAAGTAGAACTGACTGATTCATCATCTTTTACATCTTCTTGATCTTCTAATTCAGTCAATTCCAATTCATCTAAATCTCCAACTTCTAAATTTTTAAAAATTTTAGCGTCAGTAAAGTATTTCTTTTTCAATTCGTGTATCAAACTGTTCTTGGAAGCTGCGTATATCATTCTGTCTTTAACTGATGATCCCAGAGGACAAGTATATATGAATGAGTATTTTTGTGGTGAGTAATTATATATTGAGTATTTTGGACCGTTTGATAAACTTGAAAATTCTGAAATGATGGTGGTTGATTTGACATTTGAAGATTTTTTCAATAATTGAATTAATTCTTTTTGAGAATCAATATTGAATATAATTAATTCATCTACTTTTAACGAATTTTCAAATTCGTCAGTTAAATTTGAATCAAATTTAAATAAAATATTATCGCTTGTGGTATCTTTATTAGACATACTTGCTAATTCTCTTTTATATCCATAATTCAGTTGATTTTGTAATTTAGATAATATAGCTTCATCATTAGTTTGAGCATCTTTATAATTCCCTGAATTTATCGAGTTGTCATCTTTTATACATTTCTTGATATAAGTTTCAGTAACTTCATCTAACTCCGTAAATGAATACTTATACTGAAAATTATTTGAACCTAGTTCTGTAATTAATGTATTTTTTGTTGATGCATATAACATTTTTTGTTTAATTGGTGCTGAATCTGGTATAAACGATACAAAAATTTTGATATTTTCGTATGGTATTATGATGTAGCTTGGTTGTGGGAATTCTTTTGATAAGTATGAATGTAATGAATCTATTGAATTGGTACTGTTGAAATTTTCATCAGGTATTAATTGTGTTAAATCTTTTGAAATTTTAATTATAATTATTTTATCATTTTTGTCAATATTGAAATCATTGAGCAATTCTTTGGATGCAGTAATACCTGATTGAGTAGACATTGTATAGAAATTAGTCTTGTAATGAAATCAATTAATGAAACAGATTAGTTGGCAACCAAAATTGAAGTGATTATTCGGTAATTAAATTAAGACAATACAGAATTACCAAATGATTTAATTTTTGTGTAATGTTCTATAATTTAATCTAAAATGGTAAAAATGTAAACAATAAGAATTTAAATAGTTAGATCTAAAAACTATTCATCTTGATTTATCAACCGCTGGGGTCTTATACTGGAGTCTTATAATCACTACTAGAGGGTCAATGGAGTAGCTCAAAAACTAAATAATACACACAAACAACTTTAACAACTTAAAACTAAAGGATGGGAATATTTGATGTTTTAACATCGTCTTCAACTACCGACTCGACTTCAATCCCCACATTTGATCAATCCACAGACTCAATAAATTTACAAATCAAATCACTACTATATTTATTCAAAAGATTAAAGATAAATAAAATTTCACCGATTGTAAAAAATGGAAATTTAAGTTATATTGATTCCAAACTTATAAATTCAACTGATCCAATCTTTGCAAAATTAGATAAAACTTATAATTTGCAGTATTTTCAAGACGAAGTTTTGTTAAATGATGAATATAGAATCATAGTGGATTATATAAAAAATAAATTTAGATCAACATGTTTTATTTCAGGTAAACCAACAAATTTATCAAGACCAGGAAGTCCTGTGAAAAATCAATCTACAAATGTACAAGATAATGAGGATTTATATAATGATTACCCACCATTTGTGGATTATAAAGAAAGAAGAATCAAAAATTACAAGTTTATTTATTTTCCTTTAAAAAATCAAAGTATGGAATCAATTGCTAATATACTATCAAGTTCAGATTTGTATGTAGAGCATTCAATTTCATTTTTAAAAAGATACAACATAGCATTGGAATCTATAACAAAAATTCTTAAACACACCAAAAAGGATGTAAAGTTTGACTTAACAATCGAAGAAAAGCAAAAAATTATTTTGACTTATTTAAAATCATTATCTTTTTATGTACAATTGATGAGAATTTATGAAGAATATACAAAACTACATCCTTTGGTATTCAGTCTCGAGCACTCAGTATCAAAATTATCAGTCAAATCAGATTCTCCATCATCACCAAATCAATCACCAAGCTCATCACCAACGAAATCTAAACCCTCAACTTCATCCTTATACCCATATTCAGCATCTTCGACCTCATTATCCTCATCTATGATGGCTTCTCCAACAAAATCACCACCAAAATTAGCACATAGGAAATCCACAAATTTACTAAAATCAAAACCATCAATCCTGAAATTAAAATTAGAAGAGTTATATAATCCAGTAGTAGCTCCACCTACACTGAACAACTCCTTGGCCAAATACAAGAATGATGATGATAATAAATCTGGATCTGGCACATTATCTGAAGAAGTTGAAGGTAAAGAAATCTTGAGGTTGGATGTTTACGAAAAATGTAAGAATGCAATAAATGAAAAAATTAATAATGAAAGGCGAAAAATTAAAATGCAAAGTTTGACTATAATATAGACAATGATATATATATTCTGTATTTATTTAAATACACACACTAATTCTTTTATGATTCAAATTTACTTTTTTCTAATTTCTGATTGAATTTGCAACCAAAATTAAATTTTGAAACTTGGAGAAAAAAATAAAATCAAATCTAGATCGATTTAAATCTCCTACTTAAAAAAATTGATATAAAATCTACCACCTTAATAATTCATTTAATTTTCCAAATTATCTTCAAATAGATAAAATAAGTACTACGGTCCTCCATAGCCAACAATAAACTCAAACCTCAGAAATTATGTTCAGATCATCACAAATAAGATCAATAATACTACGCTCAAAGAATTTACAATTCAAAACCGATCTACATACAACACCAACAACTTTAAATTTATTCTCAAAAGCAAAATCACTTCAAGGTTCACTTCCTCAAGATCCAGAAACTCTTTTAAGACCAAGATCAGCAAAACAAACAGCACCAACAAATCCAGCAGATATATTAACTCAAAATGATATATTAATGTATCTGCAAAAACCATCAAATTATATTGAAAGTATTAAATCAAATGGATTTCATTTATCTAATCAATTGTTTGTTGCTTCGCCTGATCAAAAGGGAAATATTGTTGGATTACTTTTAATTGGGTCTGAAACTTTTGAAATTAAACTTACTAATAAAGAAGAACTGAAAAATTGGTTTGAAGTGAATAGTCATATAGTTACTTTCAATCAACAATTACTTAATATTTTTAATAAGATACATCCCAAACCAGAAATCCTCGTGATGGGATTAGGAAAAGAATCACGTTTATTAAGTGTTGAAAATAAGAGATTTTTCAATGAATTGGGGATAAATCTAGAAGTGAGTGATTCTTTTAATGGTGGACAAATTTTTGATTTATTGAGTACTGAAAGACCTGGAGTTATTGGTGCTTTATTATTACCTCCAAATATATAAAATTGTTGTTGTACATAGAGATTCAATTCATTATTGAGAAGTAAATTAACGATTGTAGATGTAGAAACTCCACATTTCAAATTAATGTAAAAAATTATTTATTAAAACGACGTAGTTTATAAAATCAAATGAAAAAAGTCTTTGATCTCTAATATGAAATGTGATGTATGCTTAATATCTAAGTGTTGTCTATTGTAAAGTACTATTGCCACTATTCTCCTTCGATGCGACAGCCATAACAGCAGCAGTTAAATTCGAAGAAGAAGAAGTAGAATTATTATTATTTGTGTTGTTCATGAAACTCGCTGATTGATTAGTAAATTGTGAATTATTAAAAATGGAAAATCCTTGCGGTGTACCGAATGCATAACTCCATGGTGATGGGACTTGAAATGCATTTGCACTTGGTATATTTATTTGTTGTTGTTGATTGTTCATATTTTGATGTTGTTGAACATTTATGTCATTTGGGTTGTATATGTGTGAATGTTGTGGTGTCGACATCATTGACATTACGGGAAAATTTTGTTGTTGCTGTGGTTGCTGGTTTATAAAGTTTTTGTTTGGTTGCGTCAGTTGTGGGGGTAGCATTACACCTTGTTGTTGTTGCTGATGTTGCGGAGGTTGTAAAAATTGTACTTGCTGTTGTGGTTGTGGTGGTTGATGTGGTTGTTGTTGATGCATGTTGGACTGAAAATAAATTAATTGTTGAGGAGACTGCTTGTCAAATATTCTATCTAATAGTAATTTAGAATTGGGAGTTGATGATATACCGCCTAATTCAAATGATGTATGATCGGTTGTTAAATTTAAATGACTTGAGTTGATGCTGTTGTTGCTATGCGATATTATACTGCTATGTTCTTTTGATGAATTCATGGTCATATTATGATCCATAATAGATGACAGTTGATGGTTCAATGAAGGTGGTGGATGTGGAATTTGTTGTTGTTGTTGAAGTTGCGGTATGGGATTTTGTTGAGGTAGTCCTGGTGGTTGTAGAGGAATTATAGTTGGTTGTATTATTTGAGGTGATGGTTTACTCTTTTCTTCCTTTTTGGTTTTCTTTTTATTGACAATTGTATTTACATCAGTTAAAACAATTTGAAATTTATTCATACCTGCTTGCATTTTAGCTCTATTTTCGGCTCTTAATTTAGTTGGATTGAAAAGAGTTGATGAAGATGATGAAGTGTCGGTTTTTGTAGCTGAAGAATTTGCTGGAATGGTTGTTTTTGGTGCAGGTACATTTGAGACATGTTTTTTTGGTGGTTTACTTTTTGGTTTTGATTTAGGTTTTGCTAAACCTTTCTCCGAAAATACTCCCATTTTAGGTTGTAATGAAACTTTTGCGGGTGTTGGACTTGGTGGGGGATTATTCTCTTTATCATTTGACTCTTTCTTCCTTGAACTTTTCTTTGTTGATGTTAAAATAATAGTAGATGGTGAACTCATGGTAATTTGTTTATTTGCTGGAGTATTGAATTCTAATTTTGGTTTGTTTGAGATATCTTTTAATGGTTTCTTGCATGGAGTTTGTAGTAGTATATTTTTATTATCATTCTTTTCGATCTTGACTTTAATATTGGTCTTTTCTTCTTCTTTTCCTTCTTCTTCTTCTTCATCTAATTCATCTTCTGTTTCTTTTTCTTTATCATTTTCATTGTCGTTATGAACTTCAAATGGACTTTTGCTTTTCGCATCTTTTTCCTTCTTTATGATTATATTGGTATTTTGTGCTTCTTCTGGTTCCTCATCCTTCACCTTTTTTTGATTATCTTCTTCATCACTATTTGCTTTAGTAATGATACTTAATTTATGAGGCTGTCTTGGTGGTGTATCCACCAAATTTATACTTCTTTTCGTTGCACTAGTTAAAGGATCTTGTAAAATTTTCTTAGAACTTGCTATACTATTTAGTGTAAATTTGGAGGGAGTTATTGTAAAATTCTGTTCAATATTCTTATTTGATCTTATTGGAGAATCTATAAAAAATTCACAATTTTGCTGAAATAATTTTTCATTGTATGGTGTTATATTATTAATTTGACTTATTGATGTGTTTCCCATAAAATTAAAATTGTGATTTATAAATGGTGTTAAACCAAATCCTTGATATTCAAAGTCGTTTGATTGGTGTTGTTGAGTTGTTTGTTGCTGACCTAGTATATTATTATGATATGCAGATGAGGGTTGTTGTAAATTTGAATGTAATTGATTTGGTTGTAATGATGATGATAAAAACAATTTATTTGGAGTTGAGTTAAATGATAGTATTTGCTCATTTGAATAAGTTTTCGATATTAACGGAGTCCAGCCTGCTAGATTTGTATTATGATTTATGAATTTGGAAGTTGACGGTGGTACAGATGGTAATTGTAGACTATTGTTATTTTGTTGTGATTGAAGTTGTTCTTGTTTTATGAACTTGCTTATTTTTATTGAGGCTGGTGTTTGAGTTATTGAAGAGATTTTATTATATTTAATTTCTTCTGTATCATCTCTTGCTGGTGAAGAGCGAAGAAATTCACTTGCCATTCCTTCTCAAGCTAATTTGAATATGACTTATTGGATAATTTAATTTTATAATATTTCCTTGATCTATTTGACTTTTTTCTCTTAATTTATATCCGATATTTTTGATTAAAAATTAGATCAAACAAGTATTAGGTTTTTATTGATTAATGACAGTATTAAAGCGAATGTGGTGGATTAATTGTGTTCGTGATTAGTTGATCATATAAATGAAACAACAAAGATGATTAAGTTATTAAAGTATTTAGTTTGAATTAAATTGGTTGTAAAAAAAAAAAATAGTTTATTATTTTATATTTTTTGTTTTGTTTATTATTGTTTAAACAATTTTTTGCTGAAATCATTTTTAATAAATTTTATTATTTTTGTTTGTTTTTTTTGTTTTGTTTTGAATTGTTTATTTTCCTTTTACCGCCTCACTTCGACCCAAGCATTTTGAATTTAGTACGAGAATTACGAGCCTAGTACAAGTTTAATTCAAGTGTTAAAAAAGCAATACTAATGAATAGAAAAGTATAAGTTTTACTTATCGCGTATTTTGTTAAATGAAATGAAATTCTATATAATAATTCAGATTCTACAAGATAGCAATCTTTTATCTATATTGGTTTATCAAATAGATATCTTGTTTGTTGTTCAAAAATCAATCACCAGTTCATTTTTATCATCGAAAATAATATTTAATGTCTAAAATTATTATATAAGGAGTTTAATTGAATGACACACCCAATTCTCCCGTTTATAATAAATGGAGCATATTATTATAAGAGTAGTTATAAACTTAAGCAACTGCTAATGATCGAACTTTTAATTTCAATGTAACCTAATCTTACTTTTATTAAATAATTATTTGTAAATTTAAGAAAAATTCTATAAGTTTACTTTCGAACTTAGAAATTTATATTTTTCCTATTCATAAATTCTTTTTTAGACCCAATCCAACGTTTAACTGGTTTCTCGGGAATCAAGGAAAATCCATTGATGATGTTATGATTCAATTGATCAATTCAATTTCATATTTATCATCAACTGATCATTATCTTTAAACAAACTAATCCAAATAATGCGTGTCTTTTGTGTAATATAGAAGGTTTTCTTTGAATTTTAGATACATAGATTAAATAATAGTTTCAAACGTCATATTTAAATATCGGAGTATATGGAAACGTTTTAAAGATTCATTAGTTCTTTTATAGCTAAACTGATGGGTTCAGCTCAGACTTAATGGTATTAGTTGGTAATTAATTTAAATTTATTTCGTTGATTGTACGCAAGGCTCATTTATCTCTCAGATCTATCTCTGGGACTTACTGACCAAAATATCTAGGAAATGTTTAAAGATCAAAAACTTGTCTGTGCCTAATTGAGATCACTACAATTTTGTTTAATTGAATTAATATGGCTTGGGCCAGGTTATAGATATCAAACCATATACATAAATTCAATGCTGCTTAAAGTTAATTTTATTAAATATTTATCCGAATATTTGACATGATTTTTAAAAATAATTAATCTCGTAAATCTCATAAAAGAAAAGAAAAAAAAAATAGCAATCATACTTCTTTATTGCTACCAAAAGAGCAACCAAATTTTGATAAAAATAGTTTAATTTTCAGCCGTATCATCATCTCGTTATAAACTTGAATTGAGCTCTCGAGGAATTAATGTCACATGGGTTTAATTGTTAATTGAGTTTTGTTAGTGGTGGGGCTTTTAATATTACTCTGTTTTGTAAATGCTGCTTGTTGCGCACTTCGAGAAATTCTGGGGCTATCAAATTCAAGGGGGCAAGAAATTAGATCCACAAGATTAAACTACAATTGACATTGTAAGATTTAAAATTAAAATTATTATACTTTTATTTTTAAAATTCTTTGAAAATGTGATAAAATTATTATTTCGAAGAATTGAAATATTGCAAAATAATATAAACCATTAAGAAAATATGTTTAGTAATGTGATAGACTCGATTTTAAACTCTTTTAAATTAAGCATGATCAACAATATCAGCTTCAGCATTATCAAAATCTTTTTCAGCAATTCTTAAATTTTCAGCTTCATTAGCTAATTCATCATCATCATAAGCTTCTTCATCATGAGCAGCTAATGATAAAGTTGGTCTAACAACTGCTGAATCAAAAGTCCAAGAACCTAAAGCATTTTCAGCATCAATAATAATTTGTTTTGAAGCTTCATAACCATCATAAGCTGGTCTTGTTTCACCTGGAGTAACTGGACTTTCATCTAATAATTCTAATAAAGCTTTACCGTAACCAGCAATTAAAGCAATTTTTTCAGCATGTTCTCTAATTGAATCAAATTGATAATTAAAAGCAGTTTTTAATTTTTCTCTTGTAATATTTGATAATTGAGCTTCAGCAACTAATGATTCAGCTTCTGCTCTAACTAATTCTTGTTCTAAAACATTAATTTTTGGTGATTGAGGATCTTTATATTTTAAATAAGCAATTGAATCAGTAATTTTTTGTTTTCTTTGTCTTGATGGTTCAACACTACCTTCAATATCTCTAATAGATTTTAAAGTAATTCTATATTGATCATATCTATCAATAAATTGATCTTCTAATTCACCAACTTCAAAAATTAAAACACCCAATTTATCAGTAATATCACTAATATCATCATCATTACCTTCACCCCATAAAGATAATTGTTTTGCTACATCTTTTCTTTCTCTCGAAGTAATTTCAACTGATCTCATTAAATTTTTTTCCATTTTAATTAATATAGCTAATTTTCTTGCTAATTCTGGTCCTAAAGCACCAGCAGCACTTTTTCTAAATGAATGACTAATTGAACCTTTACCAAAAAATTTAGATTTAGTTGATGATGGTGGCGGAGGAGGTGCTTGTAATTGAGAAGCAGTTGGAGCTCTTGAAGATCTTAAAGAATAAGTTCTATGCATTTTTGTTGAATTAATTTATTATTTAATATTGATGTGACTGTTGTTATTTCAAAATTATAAGTCAATTGATTGAATAATCTTCGATAAATTAAATAAGATATATTGTAATTGAAACAAATTTATAAATTTAATTAATTAAAGAAAAAAAGTTGTTGAAAATATGAATGATTGATAGAAAAAAGTTAAAAATTATAAATTAAGTTCAAATATTTTAATACACAATTTTTTTAAAATTTCAGTTTAAAATAATAAATTTAATTAATTATTTACTTAATAGAAATAGAATTTACTATTATGTAACAAATACTAAATATATTGTACTTTTATGACAATATTCAAACCAATTTTAGTCTTTTATTATTACTATCTTAATTTCAATATAAATATATTTGGTTTGTTTATTAATATTCTTAATTAAGTTAAATTAAATTTTTCAAACTATTATCTTGCAATTTAATTTTAATATATATTAAAAAGGGGTTAATTAAATAAAATAGAATAAAGTTAATTATATAATAGATTAAAATTAAAATTATTAAATTAAATTAATTGATTATACATTTAACGTATGGCTCAATTGAATAGAATAGTTTCAAATTCAATTGAATTCTTGTACCAAATTTAAATTATATATAAGATATTATATAATGATATTGATTTAGATCAAATTTATTATAATTTTACTTGATCATTGTTAATTGCTTAATGATATGTTTAAGGAAAGAATAAGAAAATTACTATAATTCTTATTAAATTGATTTTGTTCTATTTATTTCTTTCAAAATTATTAAATTTTCATGTTACAAAAATTCAGGCGGTAATCTTTTTTTATTCGTTTTCTTACAATTAAAGTATTGTTTAAAGTTTGAAACTCTTAAATTTGATAAAGCTGGTTATAAATTTAATGTGGTTGTTCTTTACATATCGAAGTTCTCAAAATGTAGATACTTTGTTGGTTGGAGTTCTATTATACAATTTTAATCAAAATTCTTCGATATCAGATGATTGCTATGATTTATCCTTGAAATGAATACATAAAAAAATAACGGAAAAATAAAATGATTGATGTATTTTATTTTAATTTCGTATTATTTTCGAAAGAAGAAATTCTATTAGACAAAGCCTCGAGAAAATGCTTAAATAATTGTTTCAATTTATTTTATAAGTTTATTTTGTTTTATATTGCTACTGCCTTGCTTTGCTTCATTTTTGAATAACTCTTTATTCAATTGGGTTTCTGAAAAATAAATTTGTTTTTCAAAAAAATGGGCTATTATTCAGTGGAATCTGGCCTACAGCATGTGTCTCATCTACCGGTTAAATAATTCTTATTGTCAAAGATCTATCTTGCTTGGTAAATAACTGATTTTTGTTTAATCTCGTTTGGTAGCTCAAAGTAATCGATTTCGAAACTATTTAATCCAAATTTGGACCAGCCATCTATATGTAATGGTTGACACGACTTTTTAATTTTTCGTCTAGTGTCAGGAAAAAGCTAGTGTCGTGTAAATTTTCTTCTGACAACAATATTCTGAACATTCATCATATTATTGAGATTCAGCTTCATCATATCAAAATTGAGCTATGTATATTAATGCTACACAGACTAACCCTAAGGTAGATCTAATTTCCGTGATAGATTTACCTAGCAGTTTGCTTTAAGAATGTACAACTCTATACTCAAAAATATCTATCAAATACTCGAATAATTTATAATCTCGGAGTTTGACAACCAAAAAAGTTTGGTTGCAAAACTTTTATTCTTAACTATCATGTCACTTAAATTTTTGGAAATCAATTCATACTTTATAGGTTATGTTCTCTAAAAGTCTAAGAAGTCGCTTCAGAAAAGGGATCAAAAATTGCCATTTTAATTACAGTTTATTATTTATCGCGGTTACTATTATCTTCAGAAGGTGATTCCTTATCGTATAAATGCATGGATCAAAGATGATAAAATTATCTTAGTTTTCAACGGTACCAAGTATCAGCTAAAGACAGTTTCGAAAATAAGGGTTTCAAGGCGAGCCAGTTTATAATTAATAAAAATATCAGAACTAGTTTCCAAAGATTTTATCAGACCAAGAATTTTTTGCAACCATATCTTACGCGATCGATTTCTGATAAATCGGATAAAGTGTGCTCAAAAACCCTTACAAAAAATCTGAATGCTGTACAAACATTGGGAAGCATATTTTGACTACAAAAGTTTCGCTATCTTATTAGCTTTATATCAAACAGAATCAAAAGCTGGTCAGTTTAGTAAAATGCTTTGATACATAAAAATTGTCTTATCTATTCCAAAAGAATATAAATCGTGTTAAATTCAAAAAACATTGGAAAATGGCAAAAAGAATTTTTTTATTGATTTAAAACAAAAGTTTAATAATTTTTCAGATACAAAATTTAATCAAATTCTAACTCATTCAACTTTAAATTTCACTGATAGATCATCAAAACTGATTCAGTTAAGACAATTTGTTTCACTTGATACCCTTTTGATAAAACATTAAAAATGTCTGACATAGTTTTAAGTCTGAGTATTAAAGAAGCTGAATTATTGGTTTCCAAACCATTCTTTCTAAGACCATATGTATGGCCATTTACTATAATATATCCAATTTTTTTACAATTATACTTCAATCATTATGATACATATTTTGTTGGTAAAGAATGGACATTTGTATATACTATAGCTATTGTTTCATTAAATCTATTATTTTGGTTGATGCCTCATTGGAATCAAGATATTAATGCAAGTTTTAATTATCAAAAAGTTGATAAGATTTCAGATGCTCAATATATAAAAATAACTCCTGCACCAAATTCAGGAATTGGAGAAATCTCACCAGTTTTAAGAGAAACTTTCCACGATGGTGAAAAACAAATTAGTTTCTTGTATCAAAAAAGAAAATATTTATTTCACTCTGAATTTCAAAAATTTGCACCACCTGAATTTTTATTTGATAAATTACCAGAATTAAAAGTTTATCAACAAACTAAAGGATTAAGTGGAGATTTAGAAAAAAAAATTAGAAATTATGGTAAAAATAAATTTGATATTCCAATTCCAACTTTTTTAGAATTATTTAAAGAACATGCAGTTGCTCCATTTTTTGTTTTTCAAATCTTTTGTGTTGCATTATGGTGTATGGATGAGCAATGGTATTATTCATTATTTTCCTTGTTTATGTTAGTTTCATTTGAAATGACAACTGTTTTCCAAAGAAGAACAACAATGTCTGAATTTCAAAGTATGGGTATTAAACCTTATGAAATTTATGTTTACAGAGACAGTGAATGGGAAAAAATTTCAACTATTGATTTATTACCTGGAGATTTAGTATCAATCACAAGAACAAGTGATGATAGTGCTTTACCATGTGATTTATTATTAACTGATGGATCTGCAATTGTAAATGAAGCTATGTTATCTGGTGAATCTACTCCATTATTAAAAGAATCTATTAAATTAAGACCAGCTGATGATAATTTACAACCTGAAGGATTTGATAAAAACTCAATTTTACATGGTGGTACACTGGCATTGCAAGTTACTAAACCAGAAAATCCAATAGTTCCTGTTGCTCCAGATGGTGGTGCATTTGCTGTAGTTATAAAAACCGGATTTGAAACTTCTCAAGGTTCTTTAGTTCGTATGATGATTTTTTCAAGTGAAAGAGTTTCAGTTGGTAATAAGGAGGCATTTATGTTTATTTTATTTTTATTAATTTTTGCTATTGCTGCATCATGGTATGTTTGGGTTGAAGGTACAAGAATGGGTAGAATTCAATCAAAATTGATTTTGGATTGTATTATCGTTATAACTTCAGTTGTTCCACCAGAATTACCAATGGAATTAACAATGGCTGTAAATTCATCATTATCCAAATTACAAAAATTTTATGTTTATTGTACTGAACCTTTCAGAATTCCATTAGCTGGTAGAATTGATGTTTGTTGTTTCGATAAAACTGGTACTTTAACTGCTGAAGATTTAGTATTTGAAGGTTTAGCTGGTTTTAAGAATGATGACATTCATCACTTATATAAAGCTGAGGAAGCTCCAGATACCACATCGTATGTCTTGGGATCCGCTCATGCATTAGTTAAATTAGATGATGGTGATGTAGTTGGTGATCCAATGGAACAAGCTACTTTAAGTGCTGCTCTTTGGAATGTTGGTGCAAATGATATTGTTACAAGAGAAAATGATAAAAAATCAGGTAAAACTGAAAAAATAAAAATTTTACGTCGTTTCCAATTTTCAAGTGCTTTAAAAAGATCAGCTACAATTTCATCAATTAATACAATTCCAAATAAAAATTTTGTTGCTGCTAAAGGTGCGCCAGAAACTATTCGTCAATTAATTGTTGATGCTCCGGAAAACTATGAAGACATTTACAAATCTTTTACAAGAGCAGGCTCACGTGTTTTAGCATTAGCTTATAAATATTTAGATCAAAATGTTAATGTCAACAAAATTACAAGAGAACAAGTTGAATCAGGTTTACATTTTGCTGGATTTATTGTTTTCCATTGTCCATTAAAAGATGATGCTATTGAAACTATAAAAATGTTGAATGAATCATCACATCGTTCAATTATGATTACTGGTGATAATGCATTAACTGCTTGTCATGTTGCTAAAGAAGTTGCTATCACCACCAAGGATGTATTAATATTAGATGCTCCGGAAGAACATCATAATACAGAAGCCACCGCTGATTTAGTATGGAGAAATGTTCAAGAAACCGTTGTTTTACCATGTAATTCAACCGACAAAATTGATTTTATTGAATTAGCTAAATATGATATTTGTTTAACCGGTTATGCACTTAATTTATTAAGTGAAAATCCTCAATTAATTGACTTATTGAAAAAGACTTGGATTTATGCAAGAGTATCACCAAATCAAAAAGAATTTATTTTAACCTCATTAAAAGATGCTGGATACAACACTTTAATGTGTGGTGATGGTACAAATGATGTTGGAGCTTTGAAACAAGCAAATATTGGAGTAGCATTATTAAATGGTACAGAAGAAGGTATGAAGAAAATGCTCGAAAATAGAAAAATTGAAGCAACTAAAAAAGTTTATGATAAACAAGTTCAATTATTTGCAAATTGGGGTAAACCAGCACCACCAGTTCCACAAATTATTGCACATTTATATCCACCAGGACAAAATAATCCAAAATATTTAGAAGCAATGGAGAAGAAAGGTGTAACTATTACTGAAGATATGAAATTAGCAGTTGCAGCAGCAATGAGAGAACCGATTAAAGTCATAAAACCAGGTAATCCAGTTCCAGCTGATGGTGGTAAATTTGCTGATACAATATTAGGAGCATTAAATGATGCAGAAGCAGAAGATGAAGTTCCAACTTTGAAATTAGGTGATGCATCAGTTGCCGCACCTTTCACTTCAAAATTAGCAAATGTTAGTACTGTTACTCATATTATTCGTCAAGGTCGTTGTGCATTAGTTTCAACTATTCAAATGTATAAAATATTAGCATTAAATTGTTTAATTTCCTCGTACTCATTATCAGTATTATATTTAGCAGGTATGAAATTTGGTGATGGGCAAGCTACAATTTCAGGTATTTTATTATCTGTATGCTTCTTATCTATATCCAGAGGTAAACCATTGGAAAAATTATCCAAGGAAAGACCCCAAGAAGGTATATTTAATATTTATATTATGGGATCAATTTTAGGTCAATTTTTCATTCACATTATTACTTTAATTTATATAACTCGAGAAGTTTATTTATTAGAACCAAAAGAACCATCAATTGATTTAGAAAAAACATTTACCCCATCATTATTAAATACTGGTATGTTTTTATTACAATTAGCACAACAAGTTTCAACATTTGCAGTAAATTATATTGGATTACCATTTAGAGAAAAAATAAGTGATAATAAAGGAATGTATTATGGATTATTAGGAGTTGCTGCTTTAACTTTTGCAGGATCAACTGAATTTATTCCAGAAATTAATGAAGCTATGCAATTTGTACCTATGTCAAATGATTTTAAAATTAAATTAACTGGATCTATAATTGTTGATTTAGGAGCTACTTGGATTATTGAAAATGTTTTGAAATATTATTTTATGAATTCTCATGCTGCTGATATTGCATTAAGAGAAGAAGAATTAGAATAATTATTATTTATTTTAATGTTATTAATGATGATATAGGTTCATTATTTTTTATATATAATAGAGATGATTTTTATAGAATTTGTAAAAAATAATTATATTTATAGTTAACGATTAATAAATAAATTATATGTATTGATTGTTATTGAGTACTTTTTAAATTTGAATTTTCTTGAGATGCTAATTTCTCAAAAACATTCAAATCATTTTCACGATTTAGATTTTGAATTTTTATTATCTTGACCTCATTTCTTTCCAACATGTTAAACTTTCCAAGTAAATTTTTTTCAAGTAAATTCAAAATATCTGAAATCTCATGATCGCTCATTGGCAAATGTAAGGAATTCTTTATAGTCGAGATTAATTGAGTAGTTGATATCGATAATAAATTGATTTCTTTATCTAAAGTATGTATCTTATAGACTTGATATATTATATCGTATATGATCTTGATCTTACCAATAAGATAATTTTCGTATTTTTTCTGTTTTGTTAATTGCTCGTTTTCCTCGTTTTTCAATTTCTCTTTTTGTTTGATTCTTTCTAGTAATGAAAGTCCCTTGTTGCTTTCAAATTTTTCAGTTTTCTCCTTATATATAAATTTTGATTTATCGTTTTTTAAATCTTTGAATTTATTTTTTGTAGGTGATGATGAATTCGATCTTGGTTTTGTTATTTTATTTGGTGAGTGTTGAGTACTATTGTTCCGTATTATTACTTCATTTAATTCAGTACTTGGTAAGTCTAATACATTTTGATTAGCTAGTATCCATTTATTCATTTCTTGAGTGAACATCTCAATTCTGACTTTGGTGTCATTATTTGGAGCTATATTTGCAAAATTTATAGAAATCTCTCCATTAGTATTTTTATAAAACTTGTAAATAGGTAGTATCCCAATTATTTGTTCTATGTCGGCTACTGTCATTTTTTTTGTATTAGAGGCTGATGATGCTTTTTCTAGTATTGTACTTAGTAATGGATTTTTATTATGATTCATAAAATGTAAGTTTAATAAACTATCAATTAGCTTAATATTTGATATTAGCTGATTAAATGCGAGCTTCGAGATTCTCTTATGATGTTCAAAGACCATTCAATTAAAGTGTATCTTTAGTTAATTGATAGCAATTGAATTATTGATTGATCAAGTTGATGCTAATGTTTAATGATAAGAAGTTTATAATGATAAGATTAAATAAAAATAATTTTTCAGGACGCGTTTTTTCTTTTTATTTTTAAGCTTTGTGTAGATTTTGTAACTTGGGTAATCAATACCTTCCAATATGTAGTAGCATGACAGCGTTTCTGTTCTTTGATTTATCTCACTTCTAGATTAAATACTCCCAGTATTTCTGCAGATTGGGATTCATTTTGTATCTGTAATTCATCATCAGACTATAATAAGACTCATACTACCGCTTGAAATAGGCATCAGTAGATCATTTTTGTTTTCAAAAATTTGTAAATAATGTAATCAAACGTATAGAACACCCTTCTATTGATTAATTGCAATGATTGCAATGCTTGTATTCAATGTAGAAATTATACATAATCTTGTTTGTGGCTAATTTTTAAATGTCAATAATTACTTCTTATTTTTTTTTGATCTTCCCCTCAATTATTTTAATTGAGAAAAAAAAAAAAAAATTTAAATCTCCGAAATTTTTTTACGAATAATTCATACATCATAGCTATTTAAATTACTTTGAATGAATGGATAAATCAAAACCCCAAAGAGAAGATCATTTAAAAAGGGGTTCAGATGTCACACCATATGAAGCTTTAATAGCTGGCTCAATTGCGGGAGGAACTTCAAGAGCAATTACTGCACCATTAGATACGATAAAGATTAGATTGCAATTACAACAACACACTTTTAAACATAGAGAAACTGTACCTACTATAATCAAAAATCTATTAAAAGAGGAGGGTATAATTGCATTATGGAAGGGAAATGTACCTGCTGAAATTTTATATATCTTATATGGAGGGGTTCAATTTACCTCGTATTCAATTTTCAGTAAGTCATTATCAAAGTTTGAAAAAGATTATAATTTGAAATTATCATCAGCTTCACATTCTTTAATAGTTGGTTTAGGTGCCGGTTTTGCAAGTACTATAATAACATATCCTTTTGATTTGTTAAGAACTAGATTGGTTGCTAATAAAAAAAAGAACCTATTATCTATGACAAAAGTGTTTAGAGGTATTTTAAGGTCTGAGGGTTTAAAAGGTATGTTTGTAGGAATACGGCCAGCTATGTTTTCAGTGGCTTTGAATACCGGTTTAATGTTTTGGTCTTACGAATTGGCAAGAGAATTTTCTTCAGATTATAAACATGTACCGTTTATTGAAGGTATTTGTGGATTTATCGCTGGTGCTACTTCAAAAGGTATAACGTTTCCACTAGATACTTTGCGAAAAAGATGTCAAATGTATTCAGTGGTCCATGGAACTAAATGTCCAAGCTCTTTACATTTGTTCTTTAACATATTAAAGAGAGAAGGTATATTTGGTTTGTATAAAGGTTATGGTGTTAGTATTTTGAAAACAGCTCCAACAAGTGCAATCTCATTACTAATGTATGAATATACCATTTCATTTATAAAGAAAAAAGAGAATAGAAACGAATAGAGGCTTTTGTTTTTACTGCTAGCATAGATTTTTTATTTGGTGTATCAATTCCAATTCATTTATTGTTATTATTTATTATATTTTAAATAGATAATCATTTTCATCATTTCCGTTAATTAATTGATTACTATTTTCTTCTAAATTCACAAACTCGTTTTCTTCCTCGTCATCTTCATCCTCATCTTCGTCATCTTCCTCCTCGTAATCCCCTCCATCACCTTCATATTGTAAACCATAAAATTTGGCTAACAGATCCGGTGAAATGTATTCTTTATCGTCATCATCTGTATCATATCTTAGTCGATTTTCTAAATCAGATGTGTTTGTTGTAGATTCTACATCATTTGAGTTTGAATGAGCATATAATGATTGTGAGTTACTTAGTAAATTCTGTAGTCTTGTTTGTTGTTTTCTAGTTATGGTTGAATTTGAAGGCAGATAGTGATTTTGTTGTATATTATTTGCATTGGTATTGTTGTTCATGTTGAGTTGATCATTTTGTAAATTCATACGTCTTACTGATGATTTCGGAGTTATCTTTTGGATTTGACGATTTCCTATAAGTTGTTTGCGAATATAATTTGGTAATTGAGCTCCTACTAATGAAGTACGTCTCTGTTTCATGTTCGGTACTGCAGCTTGCCGTATTGATTGAACATCTTTTGAGTCAATAAACTTTTTCGAGGGTATTTTAAGTATCGCTTTTGAACTTGCTGTGACGTTTACGTTGGTTGTACTAATAGCTGGAGCTGTTGTTAATTGAGTATCTTTACGAATACCCAATGATGGTCTTGAATGCATTAAATCCAATGATTGTCTTCTTTGCTTTTTAGTAAGTTTTGGCATCTCTGCTCTAGGCAATTGCTCTATAATTGTTGATTCAAATACTTCATCGGATGAATTTTGAGGTTGTTGCTGTTGTAATGGACTATTTTCTTTAAATGGTTGTAAATCAATTGATTGAATAATTCTCAAGATTTCGCTATTATTGAATTCTTCTTTTGATTTTAGTAGTTTTGAATAATTTAGATCATCTTGAATCAAGTAATGATCATCAAAAATTTCGTCAATTCTCAACTTTATGATTTCTATGTCATTGTAATTAATGATTGAAGCTAATTTATTATAATCTAGATTTAAATAAAAAGACGATAGTTCAGATAAATTCTTTATATATTCCTCCATAAACTTCTCTAGAATAGTTTGATTAGTTTCTGTCCACTCCATATTATGTTATGAGTTTGTACGCGTATATATGTCACCTTCTTATCATTGATCTATATCTAGTACTAAAAGTATTGAATTTTGTGGAGAAATAAAAGATAGAATAATTAACTTTTTAACCGAAATATGGAGGTACAAAGGTAAAATTTTATACAAAAGAAATGAAAGAGAAGTCTTTGATGATTTCAAATGATGTTGTGGAAAAATAAATCGACTGATATTATAACATTGTATAATCAATCCAGGAGATGTAGGATAATTAAAGAAAAATTAAAAAATATCAAGTCACAATAAATGGTCCCTAGCAGGATCGAACTGCTGATCTTGGCGTTATTAGCACCACGCCTTAACCAACTGGGCCAAGGGACCAACATATAAGTATAGTATTGCGTAGGCTTAATTTGTAATGTCTTTTTCTGCCTCAATTTCAAAAATTTTGGGGTTTCAAATTTTTCACAATCAGTCTTGACTGCGAGAAATACTAATCCTAATTAAGTGTTTCCATGAATTGGCTGGTGATATTGTTTTTACCATCTTCAAGAAGAATTTCACTTGTCCATTTTAGCTTTTGGCTTGTCTTGTTTTGCCCAGTTTCGGGTGTTTTATTAATTGCATATTTCTGCAACAATCTCAGTCAAAATAATTTGATTTTTGAACTGCAAAGTATTGGATCTAATAAATACCAGCATGCCTGTTAACCGCCCAAAGCGGCCATGTCATGACATTTTAGCAAATCCTCGAGAATGATGTTTTGACCGCCAGACTCAATATTTACAGACTTAATTGAGTTGTTACATAAAAAGTTGCAAAAATTTCAGGTAGCGATATTTGTGCGCTATGATTTTTTTGAAACATCACATCTCTAACAATCGTATATCATCTTGAAATATACCAAGTTTACTATGAAATTCTTAGTATCATCGGATGATTCTGCCTCAGCTAAAATTGTAATATGTGATAGAGGTACAGATACTTCAAAACAAGATTCTCAACAACCAAAATCAATTCAAAATTGTTTAATTGAACCAAAATTAAAATATAGTTCAAGAATAATACACTTGTTGAATTATAATTATGAGTACCTAATAGCTTCAAGACTAGGAGGGATAATTTCAATATATGATTTTGAAGAAATAGAGCCAAGTGAGAATAAAGATGAACCTGTTGAAGATCCATACAAGCATTTACATGATTTTAAGATACCAGTTGAAAAAAATGACAAACCCGTTGATCTAATCAAAATTGAAAAATTAGATAGTATACTAGTGCCTTATTCATCAGGAAGATTGTTTTTAATTCATGCTACTGATTTTAACTTTGAACCACTAGAAATCATTTTGCCAGATACAAAACCTATTGATGCTTTCACCATAAATCCTGAATTTGAAAATATATTTGCATTTGGAGGTAAGGAAAATGATTTAAAGGTAGTGGAATTATATGATTATAAAACTAATAGTAAAATATTTCAACAAGATTACAAGGAAGCGTTTAAACCTAAAATATTATATCAAGCCAAAAATGTCAAAAATGATCATTTAGATTTAAGAGTACCGATATGGATAACTAATATACTATTTTTCAACAATGGGTCTAATGAGAAATTCAAATTAATCACATCTACTAGATATGGCCAAGTAAGGATATATGACTCGACACATGGAAGAAAACCATTGAAGGATTACCCAATATGTCAGACTCCAATCTTGACATTGACCTTCGCAAACGAAGAACAATCAGAGATAATCATAACCGATACTCATAATTTAATATCAAAATATACGTTGGACATAATAGATGAGAAAGCTTTTAAAACAAATTCCGCAACGGCTGGAGATATCATTAAACCTGTTCCAAAATCATTGGGTAGATATACTGGCGGTAATACTGGTGCAACAAATGCCGTTCAAATATTGGAAGATATAATTGCATTTGCAGGTTTAGATCGTTATCTTCGAGTGTTTGATGTTGAATCTCGTGAATTAATAGCTAAAGTATACGTTGGAGTTGAAGTAAGTTCCTTAATCATATTAGATGATGAAGACGAAGCTGAAGTTGAACAAAAAAGGAAAAGAGATGAACAGGAACAAGAAGATGATGAAATGTGGAATCAATTGGATAAAAAACAAAAAGTTACCTAGATTTTGGTTCATTTTCTATACCACGATTATCAGATCTATTACTAGTATTTATTACACTCATGCATTTCCACTCACTTAAATAATTACATTTCCAAAGTCTTAACTTACCATCATCACCAGCTGAAGATAAAATAGTACCTGTCATATTCCAATTCACTCTCCATACTTCAGATTTATGATCGTTCATTTTAGCTAAAACCTCAATTTTAAAATCACCACCAGGGCTTTCTGTTGCTTTGAAAATCCTAACATATCCATCTTTACATCCAGTTGCTATTAAATGATAACTTCTACCCATTGAAGGTGCCCAACTTACTGACCTTATTAATCCATTATGTTCAGGTAGATTACATATTTTAATATATTTTTCACAACCATTTTCTTCTGATGAATCTATTTGTTTAGGTACATTTCTATAAATAAATCCTTGATCTAATGCAACAACTATAAATTTTTCTGTCTTGGTGAATTTTGAAGGACACCATTCGACTGCAAAACTACTTTGTAAACTCTTGGCCGGTAATTGCAGGCTTAAGATTGGAATCTCCGTAGTTAAACCCCAACTTGTTAAATCATTTGGTTCTAAAGATTCATAAATTCTGAAAATTCCATCACTTCCAACACATCCTAGCTTTAAACCTAAATGTTTTGGTGCAAACTGTACATCATATATTGGACCATGAGATTCAATAGCTAGAGTAGCTAACCGTATCCATCTTCTACCAGAACCGTGTAATTCGTCCAATTGTTCTTGCCATATTTTCACCGTTCTATCAAATGAACAAGACGCCAATAGTTTCGAACTTGAAAATTCAGGATGAGCCCAAGATAATCTCATTATCAGTGAATCATGAGCTTTCCACAGATCATTTAAAACCCATGATGATGTTGTAGGATCCAAATCAAAAACTTTAATATGTTGATCTGATGATGCAGTTGCAATATGTTTACCATAAAAGTCATATTTGATATCATGAATTAATTCTTCGTGACCTGTCACAAACGGTTTCATTTAATGTAAATGTGTGTTTACAAATTTAGATTATTGTAATTTGAAAATTAAAACGTAATCGATTATTATTTTTTTGTTTGTTTTACTTTTTGAAACATTATTATAAAATTATATTTCAAAATTTTAATAAACTTTTACACATCTACATCCTTCAGGGCCTTCAAAGTCAGTATAAATTCTACAATGATTGGCAAGTTGGTCAGGGTGTCGCTACTAGTGGGTGCAATTGTCGCCATAACTCCAAATAATCCACTACGAACACTGATAGCATTTGCAATTATTGGATATTTGATTACGTACCTGATTATACCAAAAGTAGGACCAAGTTTTATCAAGATAGGATTAAAAGGAAAAGACATGTCAAAACCTCCACCAGTCACAGAAATTCCAGAGACAATGGGTTTGGTGGCCGCAGCTACTTATTTATTTTTAATGTTTGGGTTAATTCCATTTATATTTTTTAAATATCTTGTATCGTTTGGATCATGGGCAAATGATGAATCAATGACAGAAAATTATACACATCAATATCAAGCTTTAAAAGACAACAAGTTATTTCCTCACAATAAATTGGCTGAATACTTGAGTGCTATATTGTGTTTACAAAGTACAACATTATTAGGTTTATTAGATGATTTATTTGATATTAGATGGAGACATAAATTCTTTTTACCAGCAGTTGCATCATTACCATTGTTAATTGTCTACTATGTCGATTTCAGTGTAACTTCAATTGTTGTGCCTAAGTTTGTCACTGACTTTCCTGGTGGGTTATATTTCTTAGATGCTTTAAACTTTTTTGTAAAATATGGAAACCATGCTGTCACATGTATTACGGGTTTATCATTTAGGACTTTAGCATCTGATTATGTTGTACCGGAAGATGCTCCAAAGTTGATTGATTTAGGAATATTTTATTATGTTTACATGTCTGCAATTTCGATTTTTTCACCAAATTCAATCAATATCTTAGCAGGAGTGAATGGCTTAGAGGTAGGACAGTCTGTCATATTGGCAATAATTTTTTTGGTCAATGATTTTTGTTACCTATTTACCGAGAATATCCCACAAGCAGCTTATGATTCTCATTTATTCTCAGTTATATTTATAATACCATTTTTAGGAGTTTCACTAGCTTTATTACAATACAACTGGTTTCCTGCTAAAGTATTTGTTGGAGATACATATTGCTACTTCAGTGGGATGGTGTTTGCAATTGTGGGTATATTAGGACATTTTTCCAAAACGTTAATTATATTTTTAGTACCACAAATTATCAATTTTATCTATTCAGTTCCACAATTGTTTCATATAATACCATGTCCAAGACACAGATTGCCTAAATTCAATGTGGAAAATGGATTAATGTACCCAAGTTTTGGGGAATTGAAAAATCCTAATGCTTTGAATACTTTCATCTTGAGTTTTCTTGGCAAGTTTAATCTTATCAAATTGATAAGAGATCCTAAACTGGGTCAAATTATAAAATTCTCAAATATGACAATCATAAATCTTTCTTTAGTTTGGTTTGGTCCAATGAGAGAAGATACATTATGTATGGTCTTATTAGGTATACAATTTTTAGTTGGTATTTTAATGATTTTTGTTAGACATACGGTTGGTCCTTGGTTGTTTGGTTATGATAATCTATCATGGGGAGTAAAATAAAAATTTAGAAAAGTTAAAAGGTTATGAATTTTATAGAAAATAGAGTAGTATAGTACAATTTAATAGAAGGTTTAAGTTACAAGTAATTTGACTGCAAAATTTATGTCGTGTGCACTTTGATAAAAATACCTCTTAAGTTAAACAATTACGTTTTAAATTTTAACTTTCCCTTAATAGAAATTAAAAATAGAAAATCAGCAAGTCTCAATTGATTTTATTTCATTTAACAATTTAACAAATATGGCTGCACCTCCGCCTCCGCCACCACCTCCTCCACCAGGAGGTATGGGTAATATGGCAGCGAACTTACCACCTGGACCACCACCAGTAATTTCACAAGATAGAAATGCATTACTTGGAGACATTAGAAAAGGAGCAAAATTAAAAAAAGCGGTAACAGTTGATAAATCAAAACCAATGATCGAGGGTAAAACCTCTGTATCAACTAGCGGACCTACAACCTCAAATCACTCAGCACCATCAGTACCTAGTATACCACCATCTGGAGCTCCTCAATTGGGAGATATTTTTGCAGGTGGGGTACCCAAATTAAAACATGTTGATAATAGAAACGGTAAAATTCCATCATCTGCTCCAAAAATCCCAACATCAACTCCAACAATTCCTTCATCATCAAGACCTACAGTTCCATCCTCTTCACGACCAACAAAACCAGCAATTCCTTCATCAGTTCCTCCACCACCAATTCCACAAACTTCAACTCCGAAATTACCACCAACTCGTCCTAAAAAATCAAGTCATTTACAAAATAATTCAATAAGTTCAATGGAATCAATTAATAAACCACCACCTTTACCAAGTGATCCACCTCCATTACCAACTTCTGCACCACCACCTCCAATGGGATTACCACCAACCTCAAAGTCAAATAATGCTCCACCAGCTCCACCAGCCCCACCAACAGCTCCAATCCCAAATTCATCATCAACTCCAGCCGCACCACCACTTCCAACTGGAGGATTGCCATTTTTGGCTGAAATCAATGCCAAAAGAGATGATAAAAATGTATTTGATCAAACAAAATCATCCACAACCTCATCAAAACCTCCAATTCCATCATCAGCTCCTCCAATTCCATCATCAGCTCCTCCATTACCCCAATCAATTCCAAAACCACCACCTCAACCATCACATACTCCTTCGTTACCTCAAAATTCAGCACCAAAAGCACCACCTTTACCTCAAACATCAATTCCAAAACCACCACAGGCACCAAAGCTATCTACAACTTCTGCTCCACCACCACCACCTCCTCCTCCTTCAATGTTACCACCTCAACAAAAGTCATCACCAACCAAGAACTCATCAGCTCCTCCCCCAGTAGCACCAGGAGGAGCATTACCGTTTTTAGCACAAATTAATGCAAAAAGAGATGAAAGTTTTGTTGTAGATGGATCACTGAAATCTTATTCAACCAAAAATGAAAATAATGATAATCAATCTACTTCAACAAGTAGTTCAAAACCAAGTCAACCCCGAACACCACCAGCAACATCAGCTCCAAGTAAATTCAATCCTTTTGGTGGCGCAATGGATAAGAAACCATCTGCAGCTTCAACTCCAAGTATTCCAGCACCTCCAATTCCAAATATGCTACCACCGAAAAGAAACGTAGCACCATCTAATCCACCATCAACACCACAAATTCCTCAAATTCCCATTCCTCAATCAAAACCAAGTCCACCAAAAGCTCCAGCACCACCTTCATTACCTCCAAGTATACCTCAACAAAGCACAGAGCCTGCAAAACCGCCAATGGTAAGCGTTGCCAGTACTCCAAAATTGCCAGAAGCAATTCCTCCACCATTACCATTAAATTCCACTCCATTTATATCAAAACTGAAAAAAGCAGCACCTCCACCACCCCCACAAAATTCAACTCCATCAAGAACACCAACCACAAATTCATCAACCTACAATGATTTAGATGCAAGACAAAATGCAGGATCTTCATTACGTAAAATCTCAGCACTGACTTACACAATCAATGGATCTGCAAAATCATCATCAACGAAAATTGTAATTGACGATAAAAGATTTAAGTTTGTTAATGCTAATGCATTACCTAATCCAAGAAGATTTGAAGGTTCACAAAAATTATATCCAAGTGGAAGAGGCTCATCTATTCCATTAGATTTAAGTTTGTACTCTTAATAATTTATATTTATTTATTATTTAATGTACAACTATTTACTTTCTAATCTATTTCATTAGGTGACCAAATTTGAACAACATTATCGTAAAATGAACAAGTAGCTATATATTTCCCATCACTTGACCAATCTCCACCATAACACATACTTGCATGATCTCCCTTGAAGTATCTATCGACCTTAAACTCTGTTTCATTTGTGTTTATAACTCTTGCACCATCGTACATACAACAAGTTAACATTCGATTATCAACAGGACTAGGTATTAATCTCCATACTCCACCGCCCAAATTTTCTTCATATATCTTTTTCGGTATGTACCCCTCAATTAAAGCTGGATTTTTCAGATCAATACATCTTAAATCCCAAATTCTCAAATGATCGTCATATGAACCAGTATATAGATAATTTCCTTTCAAGTTATTCCAATTTGGTGAAGGTGATAATATACTTACAATACCTGCATCATGACCTCTTTTTAATGTCCAAATTGAATTTGATGTCCTCAAATCATGAGCTATTAATAGAGAATCATCACCACCAGTATACACAACATTTGTTAATTCACCTAATTCACCAAATGATCCAGTCCAACATTCTAATTCATGTTGTGTTTCTAACCAAGTTGTGGATTGAGTGATTAAATCATAAATCGACAGGCATCCACTTGTGAATGTTATCAATAGTTGATTTCTAGTGTTGGGATTGAAAAAAATTGAAGTAATACATGAGTCTGGATCTATGGTTATTTCATGTTCTACACTTATCTGATCTTGTTCCACTTTCCATATTAGTATACTACCATTTGAATGACCCGACACTATTTGATTTAAATTTGAAGGATTGAATTTTATATCTAGTATTGCGGATTTGGTAGGAACTGACTGTATTAATTTCAATGACTTAGTCACATCATCATATTTAAAATAATCTAGTGATCCATGCTTTAACCCAGTCTCTGTTTCTAGCTTGTATGTACCAATATATATTCTTGACGTGTCATCAGGATGAATTCTCAAACAACATGGAGGTAAAGTTGTAGTAGTTTTTAAAACTCTTTTACTTATTGCAGTAGTAGACATTGGTTAAAAAAACCGCTGAAAAATAAATTGCAAAATATTAAAGTAGGTTTTTTTGCGTTGTTTACTTTTGCGAAATTGCGTCTACCAAGTTTTGCAACCCTTCAAAATGAAAGCGATAATCTAAATTAAGACAATAGCTTTGAATTCATTCTTTTTGTAGTAGTATCATTATAGTCTGTAACATCTATTTCGTTTGCCCTTTTAAGTTGAAATAGAAGAATTTAAGTAAAGATCAGTAAATCAAATTAATTAAAGTTTATTAGTTTCCCTCTCTTTTCCGACTGTATTAGTTTCAGTAATATTAGTGCAATTTTAAGTGCCAAATGGCTCTAAATATAACAATTTAAAGCCTCTTAAAAGCCTTTCTAATAACAACCTACTAAATTATACTTTCATTAACACCAAATTTTATTCTTCTACTTCCGTAAGCCAATACTTTTACGAGTGTTTGACCATTGAGGTATTCAAGCAAGTTTATTCTACAGTACAATATGCCCTCTACATTACTTTTTAGAATTCAATTTAGAATATAGATAGAAAATTTAATAACTTTTGAGTAGTTTAAATTTAGATCAAGGACTAAAAACTGATTTTTGACAGCTCTCACAAAAGCTCATAACCAAAAATAAATTGAAAATTAACTTTTGTATATCGAGAACTTTATAAGTTTAATATAAAAACTTTTTAGACTAAAAACCTTTTATTTTTTTAGACTAGAAACCTTTTATTCTCTCTGAGAATAGCCTTTTTAACCCCTTTGTAGAATTATCGATTGGCTCAATTTTATAAATTTCATTGAGAGTTTTTTTGATATTTAGCTAATCCATTTGGCTTTACTTTTTTCAAATTTTGTTTATTTAATTTTGTTTATTAACAAAATTAATAATTGAAATTTTGATATAAAGAAAATGGAACTTTTACATATACATTTTCATCCAAAATCTAAAAGACTGCCACATGTTGAAATTTGGGGTAAGTTTTTAATTATTTATTTTCTTGAATCTTTTTTGTGTTTCAAACGTCAAACATCAAATATCAATTAAATAGTTTACTAACTTTTCTTTTTAGGTTATAATTCATCAAAAGAACAAATTAAAAAAGGTAATATCATAAAAGCATCAAACCCAGAAACTGGTTCCAAATATTGGAAACATAAAGATTGCTCAGTTTGTAATGGTGAGAAATGGTTTTGTTATTTAAAACAATAATCGATCGGTGAATACTGGAAACATAAAGGTTGCTCAGTTGAAAAGATGAGAAAGTTATATAAAACAATAAACGATTGATTAAGGAGTTTTTCAATTAGTTAGTAATATCATAAATTATATATCTTTTTATATTATAATGATATAATTAGATTATTCAATTATGTTTTCTATATTTAATGGTATATTCTAAAATTTCCAATGACCTAAAATTTGAGACATTGTAGAACCTGACACACTAAAAAATTTAATTCTAGACGCGCAACAAATATGATATTATAGATCAAATACTTGTACAACATTTTCAAATATACTATTTAACAATTTTATAAAATGAGTTTATATCAAAGATGGATGTCAATCCCAGTAAAAGCTCGTTATTACATAGGTATATCAACAATAGTAGTTGCTGTATTGGGAGATTATATAACAACTAAAATTAATGATGAAGTTAAAGCTAGAGATTCAATTGTTGCTAAAATGAGTGAAGAAACTAAAATACTGGAAAAATAAAGTGCATTAAATAGACCAAAGCTAGCAGTTTTGACTAGCTCTAGCTGAAAGTTTCATTTGTGATGGTTATATAAATTCAAATCATTTTGGTTTGGACATTGAAATCTGGATCTCAATCAATTAGTGTAAGTCTAGCATTGAAGAAGTCACTAATGATAGAGTCAACTTCAAGCTCATAGAGATGATTGTCCCAAAATTAGTTGGAATTAATAAAGTTATAGTGATAAAAAGTTGAATAAACAAAAAAGATCAAACTTGTGTTAATTATAATTAAAAAACTCTATAACCTAAAGTAAATATATATCAAATTTTGAAAACTTTTAAATTTAATATTTTAATAATCCCTTTTTAACAAAATTTTTTCTTAAATTAGAAATAAATTCCAAAAATTTAGCAGGATTTGAATCAATACCTCTAGTATAAACGAAATTTGAAGCTAAATAAGTTGCAAATATTGCTCTTAAATAAGCTTGTGGAACTCTTGCTAATACATTTTCGATACCAATTTTTTGTAATAATAATGGTGGTAATGAATCTAATAATACCGCGTTTCTAAAATCAACGTCATCGTCCCAAAGTTCCTTGGAGTTTGCTAATTCATCACCCAATTTATTTATAGCGAGAGATAATTTATCTGATAAAATTGTAAATGGAATTTGAGTGTCTTGTTTTAATTTCCAAAGGGCTTCAAATTCGGCATTAGCATTTGATACAATTTTAGTTTGTACATCTTTAACATAATGTTGATAGAATTCAGGTTTGGTTCCAGCTTCTGAATTAACACACATATTTTCTAAAAATCCTTTATCATCAAATGCTAATGCTGCTAATACTTCTAATGATGATGATGTTACACCACCTTTATTTGTTGAAGCATCTTTAAAAATTATACAACCAGCTTTTTCCAAAATTAATTTTGCTGATTGAGTTATAAATAAATTAGCACCTTCAACAAAATATGGTATTATTGATTTACCTGTTTTTTCATCAATTAATTCATGTACGTTATTTGTATCTATAGCTGCTGGTCTACCACCACATGGAACAAATAAATCAACTCCATCAATTCCAAATTGTTCTTTTAATTTCAAATGGAATACATTTCTGAAAGCAACACCACTAGTTACAACTGTACCATTTGGTAATTTAATATCCATATCATCAACCAATACAATATAACCTTCGTTAGATAATTTTGATCTATCATAATGTTCAATCATTTTTCTTTCTTTAGCTAAACGTAATAATTCATCTTTATTTAATCCTTTTGGATCAGCAATAACTCCTGATCCATCAACTATACCAACATAATTTTCTTTTCTTGACAACAAAATTTCATTCGATCCTAAATCACCATCTGGCCCACCAGTTTGAAATTTACGTATAGTTGCATCATCAATATTTAATTTTTCATAGATTTTATTTATATAAGCACGTACTGATAATGTAGTCATACCATATTCATCATGTGGAATACCACCAATTTGTGGTGATTTACCAGTTAAAAATGATTTCCACCATGGTGCACCTCTACTTCTTGCATGTAAAGTTGCCCAATCAACATATCCAGCAGTACCTTCATCAGGTCCCAAAAATAAAATTTCTGGTTTATTATATAAATCAACATAATTATCTTTAACACCTGGGATATGTTGTTTTAAAAGTAAATCAATTAATGCATCAATATATTTTTCAAAACTTGCTTGTGGACGTTCTTGTGCTGAACCAGAATCTAATAAAATAACTCCCTTTGAACCACCTTCCGGAATATCTTTATTTTTACGTTGTTGAGTATTAGCTAAATTATAATTTTCATCGAAAAGATTTCTAGCATTAACATTATAAGCATCTAATGATCTCGATCTAACAATTCTAATACCACCACGGGCAATATCTCTAAATCTAATATGGAAACCTCTAAAATCTGATCCAACAACGAAAAACATACCATATGGACGATCTGGATATTCTGATTCTGGTAAAAAAGATGGATCTAACCTAAATGATAAAGCAACTTTTGTTGGTGTATAAAAATTTGTTTTTAAAATTGATTTATTAAAAGCATATAAAGCTCTTAAAACAATTGCATGATGTTCATTCTGTGAACATTCTCTGTTAAGTAAATTTTCAAATTCTTCTTCTGATCCAACTGATTGAATTTGTGATAATCTTTGATAAGAAAGTGTTTTTTCCATTGATGATCTGATATAATGAACATCAGCAAATTGACGATATAATCTACGTACAATATCACTTCTGATATTAAAAACTTCTTTAATAAAATCTTGAGTATAAGTCTCTGCTCTTAATCTTCTTTTTAAACTATTTAATACTTCAGCATGTTCAGTTGATTTTGAAGGATCTAATAATGCTGTTAATTTATTATATTCTGGTCCTAAACGATTTAAGAAATGAGTTACAAATATAACACCAGATTGTGCATAAATTGATTCTTGTAATGATAAATCACCTTTAATAAATCTTTCATGGAAAAAATTATGTGGAATACAATATAACAATGAAGCTTCTTTTATAACTTGATAAATTGATAAATCAGTTGTTGCAGATCTTGATTTTGATTTAACATACATTGAAATTATAGTAATTCCATTAGCAAATTGTTCAACATATTTTCTTGTAGTTTGTAACTTATAATAATTAGCTAAATCACTTAATGCTGAATTATATCTTGCAGCAGTATTTTGTTTATAACCAATAATAACTCTATATTCATCACTATTTTCAATTGGGAAATGTTTTATAATTGGACCAGTTGATTTAATAACATCTTTAATAATATTTTCATATAAACTTTTTGTATTTTGTGAGGCAATTTTTAAAAAAGTTTTATCACCAATTTTATTTAAATCGGTTTCATTAGCAGAAATTGGTCCATTTGAATTATATTGATTTTTATAAACAAAAAATAATCGAACTAATTGCTCACCTAATTTTGAATTTGTTGAATAAATACCATTTAAAATTGGATCAGTTTTATAATTTAATGGAGAACAAAAATATTCAGTTCTATAACTATTTGTTGAAGTATTACTTGGATCAATATATAAATCATCAATTCTACCTTCAAATGGATTTCTTTCATGATCTAATATATCAACAGTATCAAAAAATACTGCATGATCTTCAGCTTCTCTTTTATAAGAAATTAAAGGTTGTTCACCAGAACTTGCAAAAGCTTGAACTTTACAAGAATATAAAGCATGAATATGACTTGCAATTTCTTCAGGTGTCAGTCTTGCAAAAAATACATCATCAATTCCTAAATTTTCATAAAACCATTTTGTTTCTGATTCTAATAATGATTCAGGTATAAAACCAGTTGAATCTAAAACATCCAATACTTGATCAAATTGATCTTTTTTACCACTAAATGGACTATCTATATAATCATGTTTTAAACTTATTGTTGATGAATCATTTGATAAATTATTATTATTAATTTCATTATTATCTTTATTTAAATTAAGGTGTGATACCCCATTTTCTAAACTTGAAGTCATAATTTATGATTAAACTGTATTGAATTAATTGAAAGAAATATGTAATTATTAGAATTGAATAGTATAATTTGTATATGTAAGTTGAAAATTTTTAAATAATCTGGGGTTGTAAATATATTTATATAGTTATATTTATTTTTAATTTATATTTATAGAAATACTAATCACAAATATAAAATAAGAGAGGGGTGGACAAAAAGAATGTATAATTAAAATAAAATAAAGATTGTCATATTAATATTATTAGTTAATATGCTTGAGAATATTATAATTATTATAATTGTTACAAAAGCCTTGAATACTTTAAATAATATTTCATCCGTATTACCAATTGGATTAATACTACTCATCTTATAATATAAAATTCTAATTAAATTGTAACCACATTTTCATTAGATATAAGACCAACTTTAAAGAATATTTTATGGCAGTTAATTGAATAGAAATTTAAGCGAGATTTGTATGAATAATAAAAAAAAAGTGAGTTAATTTTTAATTTATTGAAAATTCTCTCACTTCTATTTTTCCAATTTTTGAAATGTGGAGTAACTATAAAATGAATGGCATTAAAACTCAACATTTAAATTTTTCTTAAGTAAAGTATTAAGGGCCACTACTACCATTATAAATCATTATAAATTTAGATGGTCGAAATAGAATTAGAACAAATGCCTATAAATTATTAAAAAATAGTTTGCCGTATAAATTTATGGGACATTTTAAAACTTAATTTGATAACCACAGCGAATATTTTGTATATGTTAGTATAGCTACCATGTGGCGTAAATTTATAATTTTATGTCACATTTTTTTTTACTCTTGAGCTAAAATTGAATATAAACTTTGAATGACATATTCTACTATTTTTACATTCTAATGTTTTGTTTTATTTTGAATTAGGTAATTTTGTTTAAACACATAGTCATTCAAAATCAAGTTCTCTCATTATTAATTTATTAAAATTAAATAATTTACAAATTTTACATCAAGGCATAATTGAACACCAACTCCGAAAATTTCAATTTGTGTTTCAAATCTTAATTTCAAAATATTTTGACTTAAATACCTGTATATAAAACCAGTGCATATATTTAAATTTTAAATTAGGAAACAAAAGTCCGAAAAAAATATCTCACCCGCTAATTACCTTTTTCTAGATTTATTCAGAAACAGCTTATTTTGAAATAAACTGTTTGTAAGCAAGTTGTTTTTGTTGGAGTCAACAAAACTTGTGATAATTCAAGAGTAGAACGTATGGTAAATTACAAGATAATGTTATAAAAGAAAAGTACTCAAAAAAAAAATATAATTGAAGTTTTTGCATTTATCAACAAATTCAGATACGTAGGAATTATCTTATTTGTAATAATAAACTAATTTGTGAAAAAATCCTATGAAATCTATTCAATGCAAAGCTAAGGAGTGAAAAATATGACAAGATGTATAGTCAGCAGATCAATTGTGAGGCAGTGTGAAGACATGGGATTATACGAGCATATAGCTGCATAAATTAGGAACACTTCGTTATATTGTGTTCCTGAAATGACATTTCAATTAACAAAGTCTCATTTTTTGCTAGTCATTTATCAAACATGATGAAAAACTTTAACCACTACTAACTGAAACTACTAACTTTTCAGAAATGCATTTAAAAGTAAGCTTTAAATTACCCCTTAATTTAAAATCAATCTGAAGCTTACTCCTTAAATCTTAAACACAAAACTCTAATTGGGTGAATCTAAACGGCAACTTAAAAAACCACCAATTTTTTTTGCTTGAAATCTGGCCGGTTGTCCAACTGGCTGATATACACTAAGTTTCCATAGCTTCCATAGTTTAGTGGCAGAATTTAAGTCTCATACGATAGAATCTTTCATGGTTTTAATCGAGGGCTATCTTACGACCCGAGTTCGAACCTCGGTGGAAGCAGTAATGAAATGATTTCACATCTTTTTTTTTATTATACCTGAAGAAAGAGTTAGGTTCTTTTAACACTGATCCATCTCTAGCTGAAATTTTTGTTCATCTCACTTTGTTGAAATTAGGTTACTTTCTCAGTTGTAGTAAGAAGCAACAACCTCGTGGTAACGTTCTATTTTCTTTTACTTTCTTGGTTTCAGTTGCACAAAACGTGCTACCATTCCCCATATATAAGTTTCAATTTCAGTTAGATAATTATTATAAAATAAATATGCACTCTCCCCTCTTTTTCTTTATCTTATCTAATCACATAAGTTTAGCTACCATAAATTATTTGGACTGAGTCCGACTTGCTATCACAATTATCACAAAATATGCATATTTCAAATCTTTTTAATTTTCAATCACTTCTTACGAACACAATAACTACAACACCAACTACAGCAGATTATAGACCAGTTATACTATGGCATGGATTGGGAGATAATTATAATGCATCAGGAATACATAATGTTAATAGTTTGTTAAAAGATATTTATCCTGGAATTTTCTTTCATTCTATATATATTGAAGAAGATCCTTCTTCAGATCAACAAAAATCATTATTTGGAGATGCAAATAAAGAAATTGAAATTGTATGTAAACAATTACAAAATATTCCACAATTAACAACCACCACAACACAAGGAATAGATGCTATAGGATTTTCACAAGGTGGTGTTTTACTTAGAGGATTAATTGAACGATGTTCAGGAATTAAAATTAATAATTTAATAACTTTTGGAAGTCCTCATATGGGAGTAATGGAAATTAAATTATGTAATGATAATGATTGGTTTTGTAAACGAAGAAATGAAATTTTAAAAAAACAAATTTGGTTTGATAATGTACAAAAAAATATTATACCTGCTCAATATTTTAGAGATCCTTATGAATTAGATAATTATTTGAAATATTCTTATTTTTTAGCTGATATAAATAATGAAAGAGATGATAAAAATAAAACATATACTAAGAACTTTTCAAGTATAAATAAATTGGTACTTGTTGGTTTTACAGAAGATACTACAGTTATTCCAAAATTAAGTTCACAATTTTACGATATAGATTCAAAAACAGGTAACATAATTCCATTCAATCAGACTGAACTATACAACAAGGACTATATAGGTTTGAAAACATTACATGAACAAAACAAAATCGACTTTTTGTCAATTAATGAAGATCATATGTCAATAAGTGATACTTTTTTGAAACAAATTGCATTAAAATATTTAGGTAATTAAAAATCAATTATTATATCATCACCAAAGAATTTTTGTAATTCACATAAGGATTCATCAGTTTCAACTTCATCAAGTTTATCATTTTGTGGAATTTCTTCTATTGGTCCTTTAATAGCTTTGAAATTGGCAAATATAGAATTGTTTGAAGAATCATCTGGAATGATTTCATTTTCATGCTGATCAATGTCAGTATCATGACTAATAGTAAGATTATTTTTGTCATAATTATCTTCATTTAAAGGTAAAATATTCTTAATGACTTGAGTAGTTGGTGATGAGTTTATTTGAATAGGACTTTGAATATTAATAGATTCATGATTAGAACTTGCCAAATATCCTTCTTTTTGAGGTTGAATATTTTCAAAATCTGATAAACCTTCTCGAATATCATTATCAAATGAGATTGGATCTAAATCTTCATTTGCAGTTGGAACAACTAAATCCATGGATTTTTCAGCATTAAGATGGTTAACAATATTAACTTTATCTTTTAATACTTTTTTAGAAACTTTGAAAAGATCTTCAGAACTAGACGAATTTGGTTCAAATGTGGTAAGCTTATTTTGATCTTTATTTTTTACTCTATCTTCTTCGATTGAATAATGACGACTTGTTTCTTTTGATTCGATTTTTTCAGTACGTAGTTTTTTGCTAGAACGAAATAAATCTTCCGAATCTGATGATGATGTAAATATTGTTTTTCTTTTGATCTTTTGAGACTTAGTTGAAATTGATTTTGAGTTGCATTCATGCTCTTTGGATTTTACTTCTCCTGTATTTATTTCATTCTTGTTTCCAATTAATTGAACTTTGTCTGTATTTTTCCCAGATATCTCTTTGGATTTCGATTTTTTGGATTCAGCTTTATTATTATTACTAGCTGCTTTTGGTCGTTTTCGTTCTGCTTCTCCAATGTTACTAACTGGTTTTGACATAATTTTTGTTTTAATATCATCATCAACTGGTGTTTTTATTTCTTTATCTTTATCTTTTGTTGATACTTTATCAATTCTAACCATTCCAAACTCTTCTGGTGTGGAATCGAATTCAAAATTATCATCAATAGTTTCGACTACATCTAAATTGCCAATTTTTTTAGTATCTACAGCACCAGCAATATCAACAGATGCCTCAACTTGTAAAGATTTAGCTTTAACTTCAAATTCAATGGTACCATTAACATTTCTTAGTGACATTCTTCTAAAATCTACCAATTTACTACCATTTGAACTTATAAATTGTAAAAATAAAGCTCGATTCTTCCAAATTGTAGTTTTTGGACTGATATCTACTTTCACTCTAATCAAAGAGTCACCCACTTCTTCTAATTTCAATTCAATGGTTGGAATTTGTGTTAAAATTTTCTTATATTTGGCACCAGCACCTACTTTAATGCCCATATAATGTTCAATTTGAGATTGAGTTAAAGACTTAGCTTCCATTATAGATAAAACATTATGATTAACCAATTTCTTCATTGCTGCTATACCAACTCCATCTAATTGACGTAATTCATTTGGTGATCCTTCCCACCCTTTACCAGATATTGATCTCATGATAAAACTCAGATTTATTAAAGAAATAGCATCTTTTTTTTCAACAAATACATCCATTATTGCAGTTAAGATTCTTGAAATGTGTTTGAAAATATAAAATCTATCACCTATGAAACTTGAATGTAATTTCATTGCACCATTATAATCTGGAAATTCTAAACCGCCTAATTCAAATTGAATAATTGTTTTCACTTTCGATTCTGATGTATAACGCATCAATGGTGATTTATTTATTTCTTTAAACAACTTCTTTTCTTGATGCTTAATTCTTAATTCTGAAAACTCTGAAGCATTACCTAATAAATCTAACAAATCTGAAATTGATAATTTTTCACCTGCATTCATAATAGCTTTCATGGTGTCGAATGCTATATAGTGCATAATCATTGAGAACCCAAATGGAGTACATCTAAAACCTTGTATCAAATTTTCTTCCAGTAAAGCATCTGCATGAGTTTTACAAAGTTGCATCAAACTTTCATCAGTATTATTAAAACCAATATCGTAATATGAAGGATTCAAAAGTAATCTCACATAAAAATACGTAGTTTTTAACCAGGACGTCGCATCTTCTATTGAATTTATATTTCCAACTGCAATTTCAGCTAATAAATTTTCGGGGAAATTCAAATGAAGACTACTTTCAACTTTTTCAGTGCCTTTAATTAATCTTTCATATTTTTGTTCCATTTTTTTATTTGTCATGATTATAGCTACTCCATCTTTTTCAAATTGAGGTCTACCAGCTCTTCCAATCATCTGTAAAATATCAGTTTCTGTGTATTCTTGAAAACTGTTTTCCAACCAACATTTTGTTCCTTTTATAACTGCTAAATATGCTGGTAAATTAATCCCCACTGCTAAAGTTGAAGTACAACACAAATATTTAATATTACCACCCAAAAATGCAGATTCAATTTGTTTTCTATCTGCAAGAACCAAACCAGCATGATGAAATGCAATACCCAATTTAGCATAGCTTGAAAGGTCTTTATCTTTAAGTTTCAAATTAACCCCTCTGTTCAAATAATTTTCTGATAGATATTTTGCAGTTTGTTGACAACTATTCCTAGTGGCACAAAATATCAAAACAGGTTTACCATTTGAATGCTTATTTATTACCTCGATTAATTTTGTATTCAAAAAATTATCAAACGAAAATTCATTTTCACTGTTGGGTTTAAATCCACAAACTAATTTTTTTAATTTGACTGCACGATATTCATCTCCAAAATTTAAGGCATCAGCATCCAACCAAGTTGCAATATCATGAGCATTTGCTACTGTTGCGGAAATTGCTAAAATTCTTAATCCAGTACAGATTCTTTTCATTCTAGTCATAACAACTTCTAATGTTGCTCCTCTCGACTCTTTTAAGACATGAATTTCATCAACTAAAAGCAATTTGATTAATCCAAACAATTTTTTGTAATCTTTCCATTTTCTAGTAATCATGTCCCATTTTTCTGGTGTCGATATGATAATTTTTGAAGTTCTTACATTCTCTGCTTCCTTGAATGATGAATCTCCTGTTAACATCCCAACTGTAATACCCAACGATGAGAACTTCTGAGTCCAATCATCTTTTCTTTCACTACATAAAGCTTTAGTTGGTGCAAGATAAAGTACTTTGAAATCATCAGAGTATTCATTTGCTCTTAATATAGCCAATTCAAATAATGCAGTCTTTCCAGATCCAGTTGGTGCACTTATAACACAATTTTTATTTGATCCATAAATTGTGTTAAAACTCTTCGATTGCATTTCATTAAATTCCTCAAATGGGAAAACAAGTCTCAGATCTTGCGGTAAAACATCTACTTTTAATCTTGGAATCATTGATGCAAATGATGAATTGACAAATAGATTATTAGTTGAGACACTTTCATCTTCACTAGAATTGGTGTTATTTATTACTCTTCTAGCAGGACCAAGAGTTCTTCTTCTTATTGGATTATTTATTGAACTTTGTTGGTAAACAGTAATGCTATCATTTGATTCATTGGAGATGTGTTCTGGCTGATCATTGCTAAAGTCATAAACTTGAATATTTGTAGGTAAATTTGATGAACTAACCCCATGGTTCTGTTCAACCGATACAGGATTCTCTTTTAATCTGAATTGATTTAAGTCGATTCTGGATGCTATTGGTTCTGTATCATATTCGTGTTGAATTGAGTCAGTTTTTTTAAATAATGATGCACTTTTGTAATTATTTTGATTTAAATTGGTTTTTGCAACTAGTGGTTGTCTCTTTGATTCTTGTTGTACTGTAGAACAATTAGTATCAAACACTCGACAAGTGTGTCATTTCAAGTCTTATATACCATAGTCAGTATCTTCATCCAAGAATGCCTCTAAATTGTTTAAAAATGACATGTATATTGATAAGTGAAAAGTTGTTGCAAAAAAAAGGCAGCCTTATCTCAGATTTAATTTTTTGGTTGTAAAAAAAAAATTAAGGCAAGGTACACTTTAAAATTCTACAATATGAACTAATGTCAGATAGAGTATCAAGGCTTGCTGAATTGAGAAGAAATAGAAACAAGTTTGATAAAGAAGAAGTCAAGGATGATAAACTGAAACATGATGGCATACTTGAAAAAGAGGTCATTGGCACAGATCAAAGTCAAATTGAAAAAGAATCATCATCATTTAAAGATACAAATTTAAGGGAACAATATCACGAAAAATTAACTTCAATAGATGAAATGAAATCTGATTTACAAGGTTACTATAACAAAGCTGAAATAAGGACGAATAGAGCCATTAACAAAATAATTCAAGATAGGCTTGAAAATGCTATATAATTAGGTATTTGCTGTAGTATTTGTATTTGTATGTTTTATATTGTAATATAGTATGTCATGTAATAGATTGTAACTGTCTGTCTCCATTATACATATGATTACCCAATTGGGAAGTCTAGAATTCTTCCAATCAAATTTAAATTTAAGCTACATTCTTTTACACTAACAAATTCGGATTCGCGCATAGTTAATGAAAAAACTCATAATACTTAATGAAAAAAAGTTGAAAAGTTTTTAATACGGAACGACTCAAATTAATAATATCATATCTATTCAACAAACAAGATGTCAATGATCAATAGAGTAGTAATGAGAAATATGCGCCCTTCAATGGGTATGGCATTTCGTCCAGCACCGTATGTTCATTATATATATACCACCAACTTAAGTCAATTGAATAATAATAACATTATACTAACAACTAAAAATAGAATTGGTTTAAGATATCTTTCAACTCCAGTTGAACCAAAACAAAAAGCTCAATCAATTGTTGATGCTTTACCAGGTACAAGCTTTTTATCAAAAACTGGTATATTAGCAACATCAGCAGCAGCAGCAATTTACGGATTATCAAATGGTTTAATTATTATTCATGATGAAACAATTTTAGTTACAACTTTCGCAATTTTCACAGCATTATGTGTTAAATTTGTAGCTCCATTATATACTGAATGGGCTGATGGAGAAGTTAAAAAAGTTAATGATATATTAAATGGTGCAAGAAATAAACATATTAAAGCAGTTGAAGATAGAATTTCATCAGTTAGTGAATTAAAAGATGTTGTATCTCAAACAAAAGATTTATTCTCATTATCAAAAGAAACTGCAAAATTAGAAGCTGATTCATTTGTATTAAAACAAAAAATTGAAGTTGCTTCAGAAGCTAAAAATGTATTAGATTCATGGGTTAGATTCGAACAACAACAAAGACAAATTGAACAAGAACAATTGGCAAAAGAAGTTATTGAAAAAGTTAATAAAGAAATTGAAAATCCTAAATTTCAAGAAAAATATTTAGCTGAAGCTTTAAATGAAATTGAAAAAATCTTTGCTAAAAATTAGGAGTTGAGGTAACATACAATTAAAAGAAGAGCAAAACAAACAAGTCATACAGTTGGTTTTTTTTTTCACATTTTGTAATAGGATGGAATTAATTTTATATAATATATAAAGTTTTATAAATTAGTATAAAAGAAGGAAAGAACTATTATTAGATATTTACTTTTGATGGTTTCCAGACATGTAGAGAATTATCAGCTGCAACACTAGCTACCATCCAATCGTCAGCATAAGACCAATCGAAATCATTCACTTCAAGCATATGACCCAAATGTTGGAAAAATGTAGGATCTTCGTTTGCTGCAGTTGAAATATTATGTAGTTTGACCAGATGATCAGTTGATGATGATGCAATAATTTGTGGGAATTTTGGATGAAATTTTAATTGAGTTATTGATGATGAATGTGGTTTGAAATTTCTAATGGAGGAATCTAAATTTCTTAGATCCCATATATGTATTATTCCATTTGAATCTCCTGTTGCAATACCAGTTGCAAAATTAGGATTTATTGATATGGAATTTATGGATGTGTTTGATGAATCTATTGATGATGTTGGAATTTGTTTTATTATTCTTTCTTTTTCTTTCCCCATTCTTATATCTTGTACTATCATATTTCCATTTTCTAAAACTGCTCCAAATAGGGAATCATGAGTGGGGAACCATTCTATGTCATTTATATTACTATTTTCATTCCAGTTTTTATGAGATGCCAATTGTTTCAGTTTATTATACTTTGTTAAATCATATAATTTTATATTACCTTCTATATCCCCGGATATTAATAATCCTTCTTCGTTTTGGTTCCAATCTAATGCAAAAATTTCGGAATCCCCATTTATAGTTATCTCCGCTTTGTTTACATCAACATCATCTATAAGCAGTTTTTGGAAACTCTTGTGTTTAGTTCTTTCGAAAATGTATAGGTTACCAGTAGAATTTGCACTTGCAATAACATTTGGTTTCTGAGGCATATATTTTAATTTGTTGACATCACCTAATTGATTTATCTTTTGTAAAACTTTTGGTTTCGGTAAACTTGAATTAATTTCAAATTCTTCTTTATCTTGATTAAAATTTAATTTTGAAATTTCTAAATTTTTATTTATTGAATTGAAACTAGGTATTTGTAAAATAGAAATTGAATCTACAATTGATTGACCTAATGTATAAGTTCCATGCAATAAACGCTGTAGTATGATATCTGTTGATGATTTTGAATCTGGTGGTTGGGTTGTTATATCGGGGAAGAATTGAACTGATAATGATGGCCATAGTAGTGAATTTGTTGATAGATATTCATATAAAAATGGTGAGTTTTTCTTCCAAATTCTATATTTTTGTTCAGTTTCTTCATCTATTAAGGGTATTTCTGATGGCTGATCCTCTATGTCAATCACTTCTTCAGTCATCTTTGATGAGTGAATAAAGAGTGGTGATTTATATATTGAGAATTCAAAAAAAATGTGTATAACAACTTATATGTTTCAGATTTTTTGTCTGTCTAAATTTGAAAAATAAAAATAAAGAGACGCGATTATACAGTTCTTTAATACTAAGAGATATCCCCATCGTCTCTTGAAACAAATTCAAAATTTATAGAATATACCCAACAATTCAATATCATATATTCACATGACGGAAGAAATACAGCTAAATTCATCAAAATTAGGTACAAAAGAATAGTATGACTAAAAGTTATTGAAAGAATATGTGATGATGATACTAACTTTTGACATTAGTTGGGATAATTTTTACAAAAAGGAACAACAAAATTTTAAAAATAATGATGAAGATACCGGTGAATGTTGGTTTGATGATTCAGATGCAGAAAATAAAATGATTCAATTTATTATAGATACTTTGTTGCCGGATTTGCACCAAGATAAAATACTGTTTTTGGATTTAGGTACTGGAAATGGTCATTTATTGTTTCAACTAATGGAGGACTTGCAAGAAGAATTGGAAGAGGAAGAACAAAAGCAGTTTGTATTTCATGGAATTGATTATTCACCGGATTCAATAGCTTTTGCAAAAGACATATCCAAAACTAAATATCCTGAAAATGAATTTAAATTTGATCAAGTTGATTTACTTGCGAGTGATTCGGAATTTTTACAAAATAATAAATTTGATATAATACTAGATAAAGGAACTTTAGACGCAATAGCATTAAATCAAGATCCAATAACGAACGATGGTAAAAGAGGTATGGACATATATGCAAATCAGATTAGTAAAATGATGATTCAGAATTCAATTTTGCTAATAACTTCATGTAACTTTACAGAAGATGAACTTATAAAAGTGATTACTACTAATACTGATTTAAAAGTTTTTGAAAAGATCAATTATCCGAGTTTTCAATTTGGTGGTATACAAGGTTCAACTGTTGTTAGTATTGCATTTAATAGAGAAAAATAATATTTAAATTTAATATCAATTATATTAATAGGGACAATATATAATACTAATGACTAAGATCTATTAAATTACCTTTGTGGCGATTAATTACAAATTATTCTAATATTTTTTATATATGATTTTCATTTATAAATTTTTATATTTCATTTTGCAACTGTTCAATATTATCAATCAATTCATCTCTTATTCGTTCATTGCTAAATTTTAATAAATATTGAATTGGTTTACCATCTGATATAGAATTAAGTCTTAAATATTTCCCTGGATTTAAACTTGCTTCTAAACCTTTTAGGATTTCAGTATCTTTTTGAATTTTATAATTTAGTATAACTTTTAATAGTCCTTGAGATCTCATAACTAATCTAATTTGATTTTGAGTTATGGTAGATTGATTTAAATGCAATGGTCCAATACCTCTTTCTTTCCAACCTTCTTCTATTGATGTTAATTTTAATTCAAATAATTTTGCAGTACAATTAAATATAGATTTTTCATCTTCTTCTCCTGTGGTTTGTTCAACTGGATTTAAATCTACTTGTTTAAATTGTTGAGTTGCTGTTGATGTTGGTAATGCATCTTTATTTTGTGATTTACCTGATTCTTCTTCTTCGTCTTCTTCTTCTCCTTCTTCGTCTAATCCTCCTTCCTTTTTGGATTTATCTTTCTTAGTACTTGATGTTGATGATGATGATGATGGGGCTGAATCTAAGAATGATTTTTGTTTTATTGATTCTTGAAATGCATTTCCAAATCTTGATTTTGAACCAAATGTACTAAACCCTCCAATTGATGCAGTTGGTGTTGATGATTTTGAGTTGTTGTTATCTTCAGTACTATCTTTGCTATTGTTTTTGTTCATGTTTCCAAAAGATGTTGTTGCTCCAAATACAGGTTTTGAACTTATAGGTACTTGTTTTGATTCAAGTTTAGAAGTGGTTGTATCTGATATTGATGGGGTTTTGTTCATATTCCCAAATGTTGTAGTGGCACCAAATACTGGCTTATTGCTTGATGGAATTTTTTTTGTTTCGTTACTTTGAATGGTTGATGAATTTGCTTTAAATTGAAATGTGTTACCTCCACCAAATTGAGCTCTTGGAGGTAGAGCAGGAGGATTCGTGATTTGATTGCTATTGTTTAGACTGCCCTTATTTTCATTATCATCATCTCTCAGTATATCCACGTCTATGTCATTCTCTCCTTCTACTTCCTTATCATTAAATTTATCATTACTAACATGATTCTCATTATCATCATCATTAATTAAATCCGAATCTTTGGGTTCATTTTCTTCTTTTAAATCTAATTCATCTTCTAAATATTTAACTCTTGATTCTAATCTTGAAATTCTATCTTCAAATAATTTTTTAATTTCATGAATAACAATTGATTTTAAATCTTCATGATTAACTGATTTTGTTCTTTTTAAATTTTCATTTAATTCTTCTAATTCTATTTTCCTTTTCACTGGACTTTCATCTGGCATTGTGAAAGTATACTAAAGTAGATCAATTGTTAGTTTTGAATAAAATTTGGTTATGGGGTAAATTTATTTTGTTGCTTAAACTGTCTAAGTCGTATTGTTATTTATTTTTTGTTAGGATGAACAGAAATAGAGTAATAAAATACATTTCTGAATTTGGCGCGCGTAAAATTTCAGATATGATTTAGTATATTTATTAGTTTACTACCTAAATCTATACATCAATCACGTTGCCTAATACTACGTATTGATCTTGATCCGGAAGTTGGTTGATATGCAGGTTTATATGATGGTTGTTGATGTTCAGGTGTTGAGGAATATCTAGCATATTTATCTTTAATTGATACCTTATTATCTTCATTTATTGGAAACGCTGATTTATGAGGATTATGTTGATGAGAAAACCCATTAGTTGAAGTATTATGTGATGCAGGTTGACGAGGTATATGAACTGGTGGTTGTTGTTGTTGTTGATAAAGATCTCTTTGATGACTTGAGTTATTTGCGATATGTAATCTTCTACCACTAGCAGCAACTGAAGCTACTTTACCTTCTTTTATATAATTTCTACCACCTTCACCACCACCTAACCTTCTCGGTTTCCAGTTTCTCCAAATTCTACTTCTTTCAATATCCACTAATATAGTTTTATTTTTTAATTTAACACCTGTTCTTGATAATGTCGAAACACAAGTTTGAGCATCTGAATCTCTTTCGTAAACTATGAACCCATAACCTCTTGATTTTCCATCTTTATCTTTAATTAAACTTATTGATTCAATTACTCCAAATTTTTGAAAATATTGTGAAATTTCAATTTCTGTTAAATCATAATCTAATCTTGCAATAAATACAGTTTTATAAGGATCTTTCATTACATCTTTTTCATTTTTGGCAAATAATTCAGGGTCATTCCAATCTTTTAGTTGTCTTTCAAATGATTCCTTTTGCTTTAATTTTTTTAGTGATGCATTCTGTAAATTTTGTTGATGTTTAGTCAATGGTTGTTTCTTGATTTTGGATTCTTTTTTCGGTAGGTTCTTGGTTATATAATTTGATATTAATGATTTGTAATTTGAAATAGGCGTTATTGAAGTTGTTGATCTTTTTTCTGGTGGATAATCTATTGATTCAACATATTTAAATGGTGGTTTTGGTTGAAATAGTTTTTGAATATTTGGTGGGTATTTATCTGATTCATCAGTCTAAAAAAATTTATTGTTAGTACTTATATATCATGAATTTTTAAAGTGGCTAGTACGAACCATATCATATTTTTGATTAGATTCTTAAAGTCTATCTATTCGGTTTTTGGTATCTATTCGGTTGTTTTATAACAAACTTGCAACATAATAATTTTTTACGTATTAGATAGATGATTTTAATTTCGAGACAGTGGTAGCGTTGAATAAAGTTACCACAGGGATCGACATAAAATGCATAATTTTTGCTCACTAAACCTGTCAGTTTAAGTCGAACCATTGACTTATTTATTTTTTTTTATATATATTCACCCAGAAATGAATTAGCGCTCCACATTTTAAAAATTTAATTAAGATCGATAACACCGAATTGAATCAACTACAACTTAAAATACTATCTATCTCAGAGTCTAATACCCAAGATGGCATTTGGTGATAAAAAGAAAGAACCTACAGAAATATATTTACAAAATGAAAAAATAAATATAACTACTCTTCCAAAAATTACAACAAAAGAACTACTGAAATATAATGGAGTTGACATACCAAAATATTACGTAGGTATCAAAAAAATCATATATGATGTTACATCAAATTCAAATAGCTATAAACCAGGTAAAGGATATAATGTTTTTGTTGGTAAAGATGCAAGTAGATTACTTGGAACAAGCTCATTAAAATTAAAACCAAATGATCAAGGTCAAACATTTGAAAGTTGGGATTATAGTGATTTTAACGATAAAGAAATGAAAGTTTTAAATGATTGGGTTGAATTTTTTAAAATGAGATATCCAATTGTTGGAATTGTTGATGATGGTGAAATAAAAGAAGAAGTAGAAGAGAGTATATGATATAACAGTGATATTCCCTGAATATACACTTTAGTACTTGATATGAAAATTGAGTTTCTCTTTGATAATGAAATGATTTAGTTGAACTTTTCCTTAATTTGATATGCGCAAGAGTAAAAACTTTAAATCGTCCACTTTTTGTTCTATTCAAATAAGTAAACAAGCAATTTGTTATCAATTTTTAATATCTAGTTGTGATGCTCTCAATTCTTACTAATGAACCTATTAACCGAGTGGTCAATAGTAAATAACCTTTAAAATTAGATTTTAGAGGTAGAATTTATTGTTTCTTTGGACTAGAAATGATATATTACCTCGAAGTGGTATTTAGGTATAACATAATTCGAATTTGACAAAACATGTCTCAAAATTCAATTAAGAGTTTCATTTTTAAACCAAATATACAAATTTAATTTAACCGCTTAACTTAAATACATATTATTACTGTATAGCCAGCATAGAAGTTCCTTATCATTTAAACATGGTTCATACGATCTAGTTTATAGATAGAAATTTGCATCTAGAAACTTGAGTTATTCGACTAATAAATCATTAGAAATTCATTTCATAAATTGTATAATCTTTATTATTAGAATTCAAAATATAATATATAATTGAATAATATTATGTAGAAGGAAAAAAATTAATTCCATGATTTCATTTAATTTTTTAAGGTACCAACCGATAATTTTTAATTAAAACAATAACTTGAAATAAAAGAATAATAAAATAAACTTGAATGAACAATTTCATACTTTAATTAAGTAAACTCGATGAATACACGCAAGTAATAAGGAGAATGTTGTCACAACTCTTTTATTATTACATTATGATTATTCTCGAGCTCAAATAAAATTATTTGTATAAAGTACTAATTATGTATGATATCTCTATAGCAAAAAATGATAAAAAAAATTCAAACGGGAGTAGTGTAAATTAATACAACAATTATTTTGATATAGTCTAGATATAATAACCGATATCTTGAAATCTAAATTTAGAAATTTTAGAATTGAGAGTAAGTAATATGAGATCTTGAAGTTGAATCTAAGGTTAATTTTATTTGGATATCAGATCCGTATAAAGTGGACTAAATATTAATCTTCTTTTAAAAAATTATTGAAATGTTAAACCTCAAACAATAATTTACAAATGTAAGAAAAGTAATAAAAATTTGTAATAAAAATAGATGCAAAAAAAGTTAAACATTTTAAAATAATTAAAACTTATAAATAAACCCTTAAAAATATGAATTAAGTCATCATGTTTAATAAAGACTCTATCAATAATCGAAGTTGACATTTCAGTTTCAAAATCGATTAAATAATATAAGAAATTATTTCAATAAAGCATATAACTACGAGAGTGTAATATATATCAATATAAACATCAAAAATTTAACATCTTAACAACAATATATTATTCTGTATTAAATTTTTTTTACTTCTCACTTCTTTCTCTTAATATTATCAAGACTGTGCTATTATTTTAATATTTTTAATATATTAATTAAACCACCAAAAATATTTCATATTTATTATTTTATAAGTTTATTAATTGATCAAATTATTTTTTTTTTACAACCATATACATTACTTAAATCAAATATATAAAATTATTATAATAATTATTTATTATTTGATTATTCAATAGATCAATTTGATGTATTTAATTCAATATATAGCATAATTTTAAAATTACATAAAATCATAAATCAAATTAATATTTATTATTCATTATATCAATAATTCATTTCATTCGTTTAAAGTCAATATCACACTTGTCACTAGTAATTTAGCCATTTCTTACTATATTCAACAATATAAATTTATAGATAATTGATTATCAATATGGAAGCATTTCGTCGTATTCAAAATATAAATAATAATAATAAAGGTATACCTGAATTTAATGAAGATGCAGGTGCTGATATATCTGAATTAACAAGTGGTACAAATGTATCATTTGATGATATTACTCATATAAGAAATAAAGGTATTTATAATTCAAGTTCAAATTTAGATACTGCACCAATAATACCAACTTTAGGATCTATTGGAAGTGCATCTTCATTTAATAATATAAATCCATCAAAATTAAATAATGTTCAATATAGAAAACAAATGAATCAACAAAAGAAAATGGCAATGCTTAATGGAGCAAGAGCAAATTCATTAGCAACAAATAATATGAATGGTAATAATAATCCAATGTTTCAAGGTGGAAATAATAATATGAGAGCAAATTCTTTAGCTACAGGAGCTGGAAATCCAATGCTTTATAGTAATAATAATAGTTTGAATAGTATGAATAATTTAAGATCTAATTCATTAGCAACAGATATTGGTAATCCAATGATGCAACAACAACAACAACAACAACAACATTATCAATTTTCACAACAAGATTTGGGTATGGAACCAAGATCAATGTCAATGGCAGGAAATAATCCAAGAGGTATGCAAATGCAAGGAGGATATCCTAGAACTATGTCATTAAATCCTCAAGGTCAAAACGGTATGAACCCTTATCAACAACAACAACAGCAACAGAACTTTCAACAACAAAGACAACCACAGCCTCAACCAAATCAAAATTATTATAATCAAAATCAAAATCAAATGCTGAATGGAGCTCCAAGAACAATGTCATTAATGGGACTTGGACCAGGTGGAATACCTGGAAATCAAAATTATCCAAGAACTAAATCATTAGGCGGAGGGGCTACTTTGAATCAATTTCAACAACAAGCACCACCAAGTCAACAACAACCACAGCAATATCAACAAGGTCCTCCACTACAAAATCAAATGTATTCTCAAAATTCACAACTCCCTCAAAGACAAAACCAACAATTTAATAGAGGCAATCAGCTACCGAGTCAACAAATGCTGCATCAACAACAACCATATCAACCAAACCAGCAATATCCTCCATATCAGTCAAATCAACAACAATTCCAGCAACAACCACCACCACCACAACAGAATTATCAACAGTTTCAACAACAACCTACTGGTTCACATCAACAAATACCCAATAATCAGTACATGCAAAATAATATGAATCAATTTGTACCACCAGCGCAACCTCAATATACAACTCAACAAAAGAATTCATCAGATTCATTAAACGATGTAATTGAAGAAGACGAATCACCACATCATGAACCAGATGAGCAAGATGTCATATATAAATTTGATGAAGAAGATAATAAGGGAATACAAATATCTAGAAAATCAACATTAAAGAAGAATAATTCAACTAGAGTTAGGAAACTAAATTTATTCAATGATAATTCAAATGATAATGATTCTGATGCTAAAAGTACTACCACATTAAGAAGAAAGAAACCTCCAATTAGTCCATATGAAGAGCACTTTAACAATTCATCACAGGAACACTTTAAAGTGAAATCAAATGATCCAAAGTTATCATCATTTGAAGAAGAAGAAAAAGAGCTTCCAAACACTCCACCAGATGAAGATGATGAAACAATACGAGAAAATGACAGCGTTACAACTTACGAAAAGGCTCAACAAAGACAACACCAACAACCTCATCCAATTTATAAACAACCAGGAAGAAATACACTGGAAAGTCATTCAATCAAAAACTTAGTTGCAAACACTGCATTCAATAATTTTAGATCTCCATCAATTACAAATAATTCAAATTTTGCAGGTCCTGGATTAATGAAAACTGATTCCCCAACATCATATTATGAAGCAAGTCAATCACCTTTACCGTTACCAGTAGATAATAATTCAGATACCGATGAAAGTGAATTTAGAAAGCAAGATCATCCGTTCTATCCAAATGAAAATAATGAAAATAATGGGAATACGACTCCACCAACTGCTTCAACTTCAAATATTTCTCAACATAAAGATATTTTTGGGGGCTATAACAATAATAACACAATACCAAATCTTAATTTCAACGATAATGAAGATGCAAATGACACAACATATAACATCCCAGCAGATATAACAGAACCAATTCAAGATATTCCTGAAGAACAAAGGCAAGCTGAACAAAATAGAGGTGAATTTATTCCAATAGCAAGTACACACGAAAACCCAACAATTCCTTCAAGAACTCCTACTTCATCATCATTAACGAGTGGCGATATATCAAGACCAAATGCCCCTGATCATAGATCCACTAGTGAATCAACTTCATCCATGCCCGTATTACCAAAAGTCTTATCTTCAGCATCTTTGTCAAGTCAACAACCCAGTAAAAAGGAGAAAAGATCATCATTTTCTGGTAAAAACTTCTTAAAAAGATTATCTAAATCTAAAAGATCGAGTGTTAGTAATGAAGATGAAATACCAATATCATCAGCAGCATCAAGTAGAAGAGCTTCATTGAATCAAAGAATTCCATCATCAAGTACCATTGCATCAATATCAAATGAAAACAATAAACAATACAAATCAACTCAACAAACACCTCCACAACAACCTTTAACTTTCACAAAGGAAGAAATGCATATAATGAATTGTAATAGTGAACTATTAAATGAACTAGAATTAATAACAAAAGAATTAGCATCATCAATCAAGAGAGAATTATCATTAGAAAATAAATTGAGTCAACAAAATGGTTACAATCTAGATGGTAAATTATCTCCAATAAATACAAATAATTTACAAATTGAAAATTTGGAGAAATCTCAAAAAATTGTTGAATTACAAGAAAAATTAAATAAAGAAAAAAGATTAAGATTTATAAGTGAACAACATGCATTATTACAGGAAAATGGTTTAACTCCAAGTCCATTAAAATTAAATTATGAAAAAACTGAAATATATAATCAATTACTTTTGAAAAATGATGAAGTAAATCAATTAAATTTAAAAATTAAAGATATGGAATTAACTCAGAAAGAAAATCAATCACAACAACTTCAACCACAACAACAACAAAATCAAGATTTCGATAATAATTTAATTGAAAAATTCCAAATTTTAAAATTTGATAATGAAGAATTAAAAAATCAATCTTCTCAATTAAATGAGGAAATTGTAATAATAAAGCAACAAAGAGATGAATTGAGAGATGTTATCAACAAGTTATCAAATCAAAATTATCAAGATACAAAAATTTTAAACGACAAAATTAAAAATTTGGAGTTGAAGATTACTAATTTGAAAAATCTCAACTCCAAATTATCAAATAGATAGGTTTAATATATAAATTAATTATACAAATTAAAAATAAAACTTTATACTCTTAGAAAACAATTCATTTAATCAAAAGTATAGTATTTCGTAATATTTATTAATAGATACATATTTAATATTTTAATATACTCTACTAATCTCTTAATATATTATTAATTACTTATTAAAAATTAAAAAACCAAATCTATAAATACACCACTTAAATTTATACAGTTTTATCATCTTGTTGGAACAAAAATTTACAAATGACTTTCCCAATCAAATCACCTTGATTATTTAAACTCATAGTATGATATTTAGCCTTTTCGTATTGATTCTCTTCTAAAAGACCCAATTCAAACTTATATTTCAATAATTCTAATGCAAAGGGAGTTGAAAATTCAGGATGTCCTTGAAATGTCAAGATTTTATAATTTGTAGTTTTTAATTTGATTTCTTCTATTGGTTGTGATTGTTGTGGTTGTTGTGGTAGACTGATCATTCCTTGAATTGAACATTTTGAAGTCGAGCCGAAATTTACAAAACCTTGTGGAATACCACCATATATAATATCTTGATGAAATTCAATTAAATTTAAGTGTTCAAAAAGTACCAATGCTTGATCATCTAAGGAATCTATATTTTGTCTTTGATTTAATTCCAAAAATGGAGAATTTGGTATTTTGTAAATTTCATCATTTAAGTTGATTGTAGTTATACCTAATTCCCAACCTTCATTATTTCTATCTATTTTACAACCCAATACTAACGCCAATATTTGATGACCAAAACATATCCCCACTATAGGTTTTTGTAAATTTATAATAACATTTTTTAAAAAAGATTTGAATCGAATTAACCACTTGTATTCACCAAATGCGTCACATCCTGATCCCGTAAGTACAAATCCATGAATTAAATTCAGTTGAATATTTTTCTTTAATTTTTCATAAACTTTTTCTAATTCTTCTAAATTATCGTTTTTCAATTGATATTTTTTTAATTGATATGGTGGAGTAGAAGGTTTTGTTAATAATTCTATCGTTTGATCTCCAAAATCTCCATATACTTCACTTATTTTAGGTATAGGTGTATCTAATACTAATATAGCTATATGTGGTTCTTCTTCAATTACTTGATCAGACATGAAAATTTGTTTGACTTTAAGTTGATTGATGTGGTGAGATTGGGGTATGATATGATGACTAATGAATCAATTGGTTTTATCTGAGATCAGTCGTAATATAAAATGAGTTGTTAAATGTAAATAATAATAATCTTGATTTGATCTAATATATTCTGAAAAAAATAAATAAAAAATTTAAAATTTCGCGGAAATTATTACTTTATTTATTATTTATTATGATAGTGAAGAATTTATCATAACTGATAAGAGTATAATTACTTCTAATATGACATTTAGCTAAAACAAAGTAGCTAGATTGATTGACTATTGCTTCAGGGATATGACTGGTTCAATAGTTACTATCGTCGTCATACAAGTTGATAAATTTTAGCTAAGTTCTTTCCTAGACATATACTGAAATTAAAATTAAGTTATCCATATTCAGCTTAAGCGGTAAATTTATTAATAGGATTTTTTGATTGAGTCAACTTCATTAATTTGAAACAATCTCTCCAATTAATTCATTACAGTAGAGAGCAATTCAATACATTATTGATTTGCTAAGTCTATAATATATTCTTTGTTTACATGGAGCATTTGCGTAATTTCGACTATATTGACATGTCTTTCACTTCGTTATTTGACAACATTTACAATCTTGACGCTTAATTTACCAGTAAACGAATAGTAATTCTGAAATCAGAGTATAAGAAGCTACTACTTGCAATCAAATCCCTGATTGTAACCACTTTTCATGTCAGCTTATTTTTATCCTTTGAAGGTAGTTAGATAAATCGTTTTAAATGATTAGAAAAGTGACTCAGCAACTGGTAGCAAACTCAGAATAAAAATTTCCCGGAATTCATTGTCCGATCACAGATAAATTAATAAACACAACGTTTTATGTATGTACTAAGGCTTACTCCGAATAATTTACAGATCCATTTTCGTTTATCATTCCAGTTATTATAGTTGTTGTAGTAAATTTATCATCATATTATCCACATCGATCTTCTTCACTCATTTTACTTTATCAACACAAATTATAATATTATTCTTTACTCAAAGTTTAAAATAAAGAAAAGACAAAAATTAAAAAAAATAAACAAAAAAAATTTATCAAAAAAATTTTGATAAAAAAAATTGATTACCACTCAAGTTTTTAAATATTTTATCAAGGATATACAACACATAATTAACCGTTAATACATACATATATGAAAACATATTCATAATCAACTCAATTAACAAGTACTAGACCTACTACTCACAAATAATTTTTGTCACATACTTTAAATTAGATTAGATATTTTCACTACAATTAAATATTAATTTACTCCAGATTTGCTATTTACGAGTTCACTTTTCAAAGCACATTAATTGAAATACAACTAAATTTAATATCCACAATTGATTCTCACACATTTTATTATTCCAATCAACCCTATATATCCTCAATCATGAATAACAACAATCATCACAACCAAAATCACAATAATAATAATAATTCACAGGGCAATCCTCACACAATATCTAATTTATCAGCAGGATTAAAATCAGTATCACTTACGGATCAACAACAAAATGAAGTAAATCTAAACTTATTACAACAACAATTGCAAAATGAAGCAGGAAATTCATCAAATTCAAATAATATAGAACAACAACAACAATTACAATCAAGAATTACACAATTTTTTCAAAATCAACCTACTGAAGGTTATACATTATTTTCTCATAGATCTGCTCCCAATGGGTTCAAAGTTGCAATAATATTATCAGAATTAAATTTACCTTTTAATACAATTTTTTTGGATTTTAATAATGGAGAACAAAGAGCACCAGAATTTGTTACTATAAATCCTAACGCGAGAGTACCAGCATTGATTGATCATTATAATGAAAATACCTCCATATGGGAACTGGGAGCAATAATTTTATACTTGGTACAAAAATATATAAAGGAAAACAATGGAGAATGTTCTTTATGGAGTGATAATTTAATTGAACAAAGTCAAATTAATAGTTGGCTATTTTTCCAAACAAGTGGTCATGCGCCAATGATTGGTCAAGCTTTACATTTCAGATATTTCCACTCATGTCCTGTCCCAAGTGCTGTTGAGAGATACACTGATGAAGTAAGAAGAGTTTATGGAGTTGTCGAAATGGCTTTAGCTGAAAGAAGAGAAGCTTTAATTATGGATCTAGATGTTGAAAATGCTGCTGCTTATAGTGCTGGTACTACCCCATTATCACAATCAAGATATTTCGATTATCCCGTATGGCTAGTTGGTGATAGAGCTACAGTTGCAGATTTATCATTTGTACCTTGGAATAATGTTGTTGATAGAATTGGAATAAATTTGAAAGTTGAATTTCCTGAAGTTTATAAATGGACTAAGTATATGATGCGAAGACCTGCAGTAATAAGAGCATTAAGAGGAGATTAGATAATAATAATTCTCAATGTATCTCCTACTTGATCAGGAATCTAATGATAGCAACAATAGTAATGATGATGACAACAATTATAAGTATTGTATTAGTATAAATAATAAATTCTCTAATAAAAGAATCGCAAATTCTACGGTACTTAACAAACTCTGTTGTAAAATATATGAAAGTTGACTAAAGCGGTAAATGAGGGTTGATAATTTATCTCGAGAAAAATAAAATAAGAAGATCATCTCCAAAATTACAAACTCATTATCAACTCCACTACATTCTCAGAACACATGTCTGCTGATTTCATACTAGGTAAAGATGCTTTAAAACAAACTCAAAAATCACTAAAAGCATTGAAACTGCATCAAAAAGTAGAAGGACAATCTCAAGCATCACCAATCTATTTAACAATCAATATCAAAATTAAATTAATCAAAATAAAAGATTATAAATCAAGAATTATACCAGTAACTCATAAATTAAACAAAGTCGAGAATAAGTCTATATTGCTCATCACTAAAGATCCTTCGAATATATACAGAGAAGAATTGCTTAAAAAAGATTCACCAACAGAAGATTCATTTAATGAAATAATATCATTGAAAAAATTAAAAAGTTTATCTAAAAACTCCAAGAATTTAATAAAATTATATAAAGAAAACGATATAGTTGTTTGTGATTTTAGAATTTTCAAATTCTTACCAGATATATTAGGTACAATTTTTTATCTCAAAAATAAGAAAATTCCATATATGATTCAAATGAATAAATCAAGTCCAACTCAACAACTAACTAAAACCAAACAAAATAAATTGAAAGATAACAATTGTGATTCAAAATATGTACAGAATCAACTAAAGTCAATAGTAGGTAATCCATCATTTATTCCAACTTCAAATTTAGGTGATGTTATAAATTTAAAAATTGGATATACGAATTGGGATTTAGAAAAATTAATTACAAATATAAATGATGTTTTAATTTATCTAGTTGATGATAAGCATAGACCTTTGGGTGGGATAATAAATATAGATCAATTGGGGAATATTCATGTCAGGTGTGATAATAGTATTAGTTTACCTGTGCTTGTAAAACATGAAGAGATTATAGGAGTTGATGAAGATAATGAAAATGATAGTGATTTTGATTTTTGAATATATATTAATATGAACTAATTATTTAATATTTCATGTTCTATATTTAAAATGAACAGAAGCCAGACCACCTGGTGAAACATATTTTAAAAGTTTTGTTTTGATTGAATCTCTATCGAAATCTTCAATCATATTTACTCTTTGATTTATAGATGAATTGTGATTTAATATTATAGTCAAACGAAAATTTGTTAATTGATTTGGTTTTAAATACAAAATGAATTTTTCCAAATTGAAACTTCTGTGAACTGTTAAATTTAATACTTGTAAATTTTTCAAATCTAAGCCTAACAATTGTTCTGCATTATTTTCTGAAAATAAATCAACTAAACTCAAATCTATATTTAAATTAATAATCGATTCGAAGTTGACCATGTTCATAAGTTTTTTAACGGGGAAAAAGATGTAATTATCAACACCATCCGTTCTCTTTTGCAAACCCACTGGGTTATATAATTGAAATTTGAATACATAAGGATTCCATTTTTTATTATTGTTTAATTTTATTAATTGATCCATTTCTATTGCGCATTCCAACTTATTGAAACTTAATTCTACCCAACACGGAGATTCAACGTAATAATGGTTATGTATTGGAGTAAGAGATTTTTCATCACATAGTTTCAAAAATTTCAATATTCTTTTATGTTCAAAATGTTTATAACTAGTAATTAAATACTTTCGAAGTGGGATTGTTATATGACTTAAATTTAGCTTGAGAAGTTCAGCTTGATCAGCAACATTTATTTGACAACTGAAAGGATATAAATGTAGGCTCTTTCCTGAACCCATTGATAATGGCCCAATTAGCTCAAATGGAAATTTATTTTCTTTCAATAATTTGTATAGGATGTAAAAACTCAATGTAATAAAACTCCATGAAGTATCGGTTCTATTTGGTCTTTGAAACAAGACTAACAACTTGTCCATATACCCCAGAACCGACGCAATATTTTGATGACCACATGAGATTAATAACTCAACCTTTTCTCTTGTTGATAATGCATTAATATATGTGAAGCCAAAAAGGTCTGCACCATGTTCAGGATTGGTAACTGAGGGTATTATTTTATTTAACACTTCAATTAATAGGTCTCTAATTGTTATTTTACTCCTTCTAGCATCAGTTGATACATAGTTTTTAGTAATTTTATGATTTTGACTACTTGGAATTAGTTTAATTTCTTGATCTGACAGTAATAGACTTGATTTATCTTCAGCCTCTTCAATTCCTTTTTGTTGTGGTTGTTTATCCATATGATTCTTAATGCATGAGTTGAGGAAAAAAAAAACGAAAATTCGATGATTAATTTATAATCATTTCACAATCTGAAACACTTTAATTAATACCACTATTATTACCATAATATATAATTTTTGAAATATAATAATTTATTATAATTAGATCCCAAACGCTACACAAAAATAATTGTACATATTTCCATGTACATAATTTAACTTAACAAATTGTCAACAGAGAAATTAACAGTGCAAGATCTCCCTTTAACACATTTTGTATAATAAACGGGGTGAGTTTAAATCTTGAAAAGCTTTTTTTGAAGAAAAGTTTACATGAATTAAAGTGATGTTCTTTCTCTATAATTAAAGATTAAAAAGATAATAAGAAAGAAAAAAAATTAAAGCTTGACATCAAAAAGCCGCACCAAAGTGTCTAAATTTAGTAATTAAATTAATTCAATTATTTTAATGAAAATACTTGAATACTCCAGAGATCATTAAAACTTTATAATTATTTTACCATACAGCCCTTGATCAAATAGATTCTTAATTTCATTAAATTGATTCATCACATCAGATTAACCTAATTATTATCAACCTCCCCATAATATCATCACACAATTAAAAACATTAGTTGATGGTAGAAACATCTTCTCAGGTTGAATCACCTTCAAATAATATCTCGACGTCATCAAATTCTTCAACCTCAGAAACTACATCATCATCTACAAACACCTCAAATGAAAACCATGTTGAAGTCGCACCTCCATCATATGCCTCTCATTTTTTCACAGAATTACAAGAATCAGCGCCTATACGATATGTAGGATCATTAATTACAGAAGAACGAGTAGCTGGAATTACTGGAATAGCTGGAATGTTTACAGAAAGAAATGAAGATGATGATATTGAAGAAATCGAACATTTTAAATATAAACAAGATTTAGAAAGAAAATTAACAGTTAGTTCAGTAATTGGATTAGGATTTTCAGTAATGGGGGTACCGTTTGGATTAAGTTCTACATTATGGATTTCATTAATGGATGGAGCTAACGTTACTATATTATATGGATGGATTATAGTCTGTTTAATGTCATTATTTGTTGTACTAAGTTTAAGTGAAATTATTTCAAAATATCCAACAGCAGGAGGAGTATATCATTTTAGTGCTTTATTAAGTCCTGAGAAATATTCATTAATTAGTTCATGGATTACTGGTTGGTTATTATTGATTGGGAATTGGACTTATGCTGTTAGTATAATGTTTTCTGGATCACAGTTCATATTAAGTATATTTGGATTAAAAGATTTTGAATATAAAGAAGATCGATTTTTTGTATTAGGAGTTTATTTTTTAATATTAATATTTGTTGGATTGATTAATTTTAAATTTTCAAAACATTTGGAAAAGATTAATAAAATGTGTATATTATGGACCATTTATACAGTTCTAGCTATAGATGTTTTGTTAATTTTTTTTGCTAAAAAGACAAACTCAATAAAAACTATATTAACAACATTTGATAATTCAAGATCAGGTTGGCCGGATCCATTAGTTTTTATTGTTGGTTTACAAAGTTCATCATTCACATTAACTGGGTATGGGATGTTATTTTCGATTACTGATGAGGTTAAAAATCCCGAAAGAAATATGCCAAAGGGAGTAATAAGTTCAATTTTAATGGCATCAATAGTGGGGATAATATTTATAATACCAATTTTAACCATATTACCAGAATTAGAATTATTATTAGATCAAGATTCGAATATAATGCCAATAGATTTAGTATTTAAATTATCAACTGAATCTTATTTAGTTAGTTTTTTAATGGCAATTTTAATGATAGGAACTGTCATATTTCAAAGTATTGGTTCATTAACAACAGCATCAAGATCAACTTATGCATTAGCTAGAGATGGTGGATTACCAATGTCTTATTTATGGACAGAAGTTAATTCAATTGAAGAATATAAAATTCCAAGAAATGCTTTATTTTTATCAATGTTTATTTGTTCAATATTATCATTTTTATCATTAATTTCAAAATCTGCTTTTAATGCATTTATGGGAGCTGCTGTTGTTTCTTTAGCTGTTGCTAATGGCATACCTATCTTTTTATTGATGTTGAATAAGAGACAAAAGATTAAAGGTTCTGCTTTTAGATTAAGATCATTAGGCTGGTTTATAAATGGTGTATCGGTAATTTGGATTGTATTATCTGTTTTCATATTATGTATGCCACCAGTTATAAAAAATTTGACTTGGTATAAGATGAATTATGCAAGTGTTGTATTAATAATTTTTTTATTGATTGCAGGTTTGAGTTATATAAGTTGGGGTAATAAAATATTCACAGGTCCTCAAATTGATACTGACTATTTTGAATTGAACAATTTAGAATCAGCAGCTAGAAAAAATTTGGATAATTTTGTTATTGATGATGATGATGAAGAGAATGGTGAAGAAGAAGAAGAAGACAATAATGTCACCAAGGAGGTGGATGATAGTATACTATTATCACCACCAAAGGCTATCAAGAAAAAAGGATATGAACCAATTGTTGAAGGTAGCTCAAATCTAAATGGTAGAGTAATAAGTGATAATTTAAACAAAGACATACCAAAAAGTCCAACTGGTAAAGTTAGTGATGAGGATGAAGATGATATCTCGACTGAAAGTGAAACTGAGGTATTATTTAATGCTGATGAGAATAATGATAGTGATGAAAATAGATAAAATACGTACAACGAGAGAAGAAAATTGATATCTTTTCTTAATTGTAACGTAATTGATGAATTAATGACCAAATCTTGTATATAATATAGATATACCAAGTAATTTTATAGAGTTTAATGGCATAAATAAATAATTTTCTAATAAAAGAATCGTCAAATTTTCAAGTATCTATATTAATTGCATAGAGTTAATTATGAAACATTCGTTGTAATTTATTAGTGTAATAAGAATAAGAAACACACGACCAAAATTTTTCATTACACAACCAAAAAAAAAAAAAATTTATTACTGTAGTCATAAATTAGCCATCAAAAAGGTAATTAATCAACCATTTTCAACCCAACCTAATAATCTTAATTATAGATAAAGATCATTATCATAAAATTTAATTACATCATCAATTATTTTACAATTTCTACGATCACCAATAAAAAAACTTAAGACAACATCATCAGTTTAGTTTTTTTAATTTTTCAAATCACATCAATAAACAATTAATAAATAATTCATATCACATCACATATATTTATATAATTAAACAATGTCAGCAGATCATACAAGAGATCCATGTCCAATAGTTATATTAAATGATTTCGGAGGAGCATTTGCAATGGGAGTTATTGGAGGTTGTGTATGGCATGGTATAAAAGGTTTTAGAAATTCACCACATGGAGAAAGAGGTTATGGAGCATTATCAGCAATAAAAGCAAGAGCTCCAGTTGTAGGAGGTAATTTTGGAGTATGGGGTGGATTATTCTCAACTTTTGATTGTACTGTAAAAGCAATTAGAAAAAGAGAAGATGCTTGGAATGCAGTTATAGCAGGATTTTTCACAGGTGGTGCATTAGCGATAAGAGGTGGTTGGAAACATACAAGAAATTCTGCAATTACTTGTGCTTGTTTATTAGGAGTATTTGAAGGTGTTGGTATGATGATGCAAAGATTACAAGCTCAACCTACTATGGCTCCTGTATATCCTGAAGAACCTGCTAAATTAGCTGCTTAAGAATGAAATAAATATAAGAATAGAATGGGGAGAATTAATTGGGTAATAATGACTTGTAAATAATTATAAATTTCTTTGTATAGTATTTTCAAATAATTTCTGTATTAAATATTAATAGACTATGGATTTACTGATTATTTTAAGGAATATTGTAGTAAAGAGATTAAGAGTTTAGTGTATCATAATAACGGAATTGAAATCCTGATAAAGTATATGGAAGCAAAGCAAAGAGTGTAAAAAGAGGAAATATATATTAAAAGTAGGTTTGTAAATTCAATATTCAATATCTTCTTCCTCGAGAAATTTTGAGTAATTAATTAATATATTATTTTTATATATACCATAATAACCGACAACCGGGTTAAAAAATAACTTAATTTGAAGTATTAATCATCTATATATATATAATATCGTTAACTGAATCTTTAATGATAAGATCAAGTAACTTTTAAAAGATTCTCCTCAATTTGAATTAAAATTTAAATATTAAAAATGTGATAAAAGTAAATTCATTAATTACTAATTATATGTATAAATTAATTTGCCATACATGAAGTAACTAAATTAATATTAATTTTTACCCCTCTGATAAACTCAACTAATAATCCTTTTAATTATAAATTATTTATAAGATAATCTATTCTATTAAATATATATATGATATTTGATACAAACTATTACAAGTATCAATTATACTCAAAAGCTTTAACAAAGAATTCTAACCATTTTATTTAAATCAATTAAGATATTAATTTTTATACTATTATTTAATTTTATGTCTATAAGAATTTGAATTTGTAATAATTAAATAATTTTACGCATTAATTTTAATTTATTATTATTAATTATTTATATTATCAATAATTCTTTCAATTTATATATATCAGCTTTGAAATTTCATTAATAAATCAATAAGTTACATTATTTTAATTGAATATTTTACTTAATGGATCAATTCAATAATCTATATTTCTAACTTCAACTAAAATATTAAATTTATTATCTCATATAAATTTTTTGAATAATCTTACACTATAATTTTATTATCTCCTTAGAATATTTATTTAAAATTACTAAATACATATCACAGATTCTTATCAATTAATAAAAATTAAATATTATTGATAATTATTATCAACCAAGCTATATTATCAATCAAATTCATAAATGGCATATAATAATTACAACTATCGACATAATTCAATTGGAGGTAATTGGCATCTACCTCCACCACCTCAACAACAACAACAAGGACAAAATCAACAAGGACAACCAATAAATAATAATAATAATAATAATAATGATATGCTAACACCAGAACAAATATATTTACAACATCAACAACAAATTTATAAACAATTACCAAATCAACAACAACAACAACAACAAGCACCTGGTTTTAGAAATCCTTGGTTTTCAATAAATCCTCCAACAAATTCAAAGACAACTTCACCTTCATCTGGTATATCTCAATCACCTACAAAATCTCAAACTTTACCAATTTTACAACAACATCAACCACCATCTTTAAATAAAAGATTATCATTTACAAATTATTTACCAGTAACTTATGAAAATGAAAATACAAATAATTTTAATGATCCTAATGGTCAAAATAATAATAATAATTCAAGTCTGTCATCTTTAACTAATAATCATTCCAATAATAATAATAATAATAATAATAATCCTCAATTATCACCATATGTTCATCCACCTACTCGAGCAGATAATCCATTTAATCAATATTTTGCAAATCAAGAAGTATCATTAGGTGGTGGATCAGATAGAAGAATGTCTGCAGCAATTGATGGAACATACTATAGTAATAATAATCAAACTAATAATAATTTGTATGGATATAATCATCAACAACAACAACAAGCTTTAATAAATAAAGGACTTCCTATTCAAGGAGATTTATCATCAACTGGAGTTGCAATGGCCAATAAACATGGCATAGCACCTGCAATTTCACAATTTTTCAATCCAAATATGGCACCTATGACACCAAGTATGGCTAATAGAAGATCATCATTAGCAGTATTACCCAGTCATGCATTACAACAACAACAACAATTGCAACAACCAGGAGCTTATTATGCCCAACCCAAAACAGGTAGATCACCTTCAATAATACAGTATCAACAATATCAACAAGCTTTACAAAATCAAAAAATCACCAAAACAAGAAAACCAGCACCAAAAGCAAGAAAAATATACAATAAATTAGATTTATCCCCCAAAATACATCAACAACCAAAATATAGAAGATGTTCAGTAAATTCTATACATATATCACCAGTAAATGCATTATCAGTATATTTAACAGAATCTTATAGTATATGTCAACCAAGAAAATTTCAATATTCAAAATCAACTAATCCAAAAAGAGTATTAACAAAACCACTGGATCCAAAATTCAATAATGGATTTGACAATGAAGAAAGTGATTATATATTATATGTTAATGATATTTTGGGTAGTGAAGAAGGTAGGAAATATATGGTATTGGATTTACTAGGTTCAGGAACTTTTGGTCAAGTTGTTAAATGTCAAAATTTAACAAATCAAACTGTCTGTGCAGTTAAAGTTATAAAATCAAAACCTGCTTATATGAATCAATCATTAACTGAAGTGAGGTTACTCGAGTATTTAAATAAAAACAGTGATGGTAAAAATTTTATAAGGTTACTTGATACTTTTATGCATAAAGAACATTTATGTTTAGTGTTTGAATTATTAGCATCCAATTTATATGAATTAATAAAACAAAATCAATTCCAAGGTTTAAATATGAAATTAGTTAAATTATTAACAAAACAATTATTAGAGGCATTAGTTGAATTAAAAAATTTCCAAATGATACATTGTGATCTAAAACCTGAAAATATTTTACTATGTCAACCAGATAAACCAAATATAAAAGTTATTGATTTTGGTTCTGCATGTTTTACAAGACAAACAATTTATACTTATATTCAATCACGATTTTATAGATCACCAGAAGTTATATTGGGTTTACCATATACTGAATCAATTGATATGTGGTCTTTAGGATGTATAGTTGGAGAGTTCTTTTTAGGTTTACCTATGTTTCCAGGTACATCAGAATATAATCAAATTTGGAAAATTGTTGATATGTTAGGTCAACCACCAAGACATATGATTGAAGTTGGTAGAAATTCATCAAACTTCTTTAAAAAATCAATAAGTACAAATCCCGAAGATAAACCAAAATATCATATAAAATCATATGATGAATATTGTGAATTTATAGATTCCAAAAAGGATTCATCTGGTAATAATTCAACTTCAAATTCTAATTCATCCCATCATCATCATACTAAAAAAGAACAACCAAATAAAAATTATTTTAAACATAAATTATTAAAAGATATTATATTAAATTATAAATTACCAAGTAAAAAAATGACAAATTTAATGATTGAAAAAGAATGTCAAGAAAGATTATTATTAATTGATTTTTTAACTAAAGTTTTGAATTTAAATCCATTGGAGAGATTAACTCCACAAGAAGCTTTGAAACATCCTTTTATTCATGATGTTAAAAGTATTGATATTCCAACTTAAAACTATTTGATTTTATTGTAACTTTTTTTTTTGTCAAATTTAGATAATATTGTACTTTGATTTTTTTTTGATTTTTTTTTGATATTTATAGCATTAATAATAATAACATTGTCATATTAATTAGATAAATGTAGTACATTCGCTATTCCAAAACTTGTTGGTATACTTTTTCAAAATTCAAATGGTCGTGTGAGAAACATTTCGAAAAAAAAATTAAAATTTAAAATAGAAAAAAAAAATTATGAAAATTAATCAAAACTCCATTTTATAAATACAACTTATAGATTTTACAAGATAGTTGTCATTTACATATTGACAATAATCATACACATACATACATTCATTTTCATTTATTATCAACTTTCAATTTAATAGATTATATGTGCACGATAACATTATTTATTTAAAAATAGAAAGATTACTATAAAAATTTTGACTTATTAATTTAAAGTTCAAGAGAAACATTATTATAAAGCAGACATATTCTAGCTTATACTTAACCAATCAATCAACCATTCTATCAAAAAACTAATCAAGAAGTACCGGTTAATCATTTCACAACTATAGATACCCATTATCTTATCATTTCATAAACATATATTTGTAACATTATAATTTATCAATAAAACTATACACTTTCATTTTTTTGAATATACACATAATTATTATATTATTCTAAATGAATGTCAGTACAAGTGCATTAGGAGTAAGAAGAAGGAAAGTAGCAACACAAAATATAGATGATGAAGAAAATTCAGCCCAATTAAAATTAGGACCAGAATTTCAATTAAATCAAATAACAAATACGGGAGAAGAACAACAATTAATTGCATTAAATTTATCAGAAGCTAGATTATTAATTAGAGCAGCATTAAAAGAGCGTAAAAAAAATAAAAATCCAAATAAAAAATCAAATAAACAAAATCAATCAAATACAAACAATAATAATAATAATAATATAAGTGATTCAGATGAAGAAGATGAAGATGATGATACATTAAATAATACAAGAGAAGATGAATTATCAAATATAGAATTAGCAGGACCCAATTCAAATGAAATTATGCATAAAACTTTAAATTTCTTAACAAATTTTAGTAGGTTTAAAAATAGATCAAGTTGTGAAACAGTTGAAAAATTAATTAATGATTTTAATGAACATTGTAATGAATATTTACATCCTTTTGAAATGGCTCAATTAGGTACTTTAGAATGTGAAGATGCTGAAGAAGCTAAATCTTTAATACCTACATTAACTAATAAAGTAAGTGATGTTCAATTACAAAGTTTATTAACTGAATTACGTAAGTATCAAACTTTATAAATTGTTTGGAAATGTATTAAAATGTATTTAATAAAATAAAAATAAAAGTAATGAAAATAAAAGTAGTTGAACATCTGTTATTGATCTAGTGAAAAATAATTCTTCATCTCTTTTTATTGATATGATATTTCAAATTATTATTTGTTTGAAAAAAATATCAATACCACTTAAAAAAATTAAATGCGATAAAATCTATTTTCTAATTTTTTTACAACCAAAATAAAAAGTTTAAACAAACTCTTCAATTAGTAATGAATGATAATGATGATGACTTATTTGATGAGTTTGGGAATTATATAGGAGAAGGATCAGAGCCAGAAGATGAAGCTTCAAAAGATGGCACAAATAATGGAGTTAACAATGGAGAATATTCATCAGACGATGTAGATGAAGATGCAATAGATATAGATTCAAAAGATGATACAGAAGCAAACCAAGGAGCATTAGTAAAATCAACCATACCCACAAATGACTCAGAAATAATTTACGTCCAACAACAACAACCGGAACTTGTAGATGAACCAATAATTAAACCAGATTCAACAAAACAAATGAAAATTACAATAGATACTCAAAATGATAAAAATATACCAACAACAATTTACTCCAAGGACTCAATAATTGAAATAATAAATGATAAACCAGAAAGAATACGAAACTTTGCCATAGTAGGAGGAATACATACTGGAAAAACATGTTTAATTGATCAATTTATAATAAAGACACATCCAAATATAAATAAACAAACTAAATCAAATCCAAAATTTCAAAAACCTTTAAAATTCTTAGATTCTTATAAATTAGAAATTGAAAGGGAAAGTACAATTAAAACTAAAAATATGACTTTATTACTAGATAATTCAATTAAACAATCTTATATTTTTAATATTCTAGATACTCCTGGTCATATTGATTTTAATGATGAAACTATTGCAGGTTTGGAGTTGAGTGATGGAGCTGTTTTGGTGGTTGATGTTGTTGAAGGATTAACTTTAAGGGATCAAATTATAATTGATGAAATACTAAAAAGAAATTTTCCATTGGTGGTTGTCCTCAATAAGATTGATAGATTGATATTGGAATTAAAATTATCACCAAAAGATTCTTATTTCAAAATGTTCAATATAATTGATGATATCAACGAGTATATTAAAAGCAATGAATATAGAGACAAGTACAATTATACAACAGAATTATCACCATTAAATGAAAATGTCATATTTGCATCATCAAATTTTGGTTTTACATTCACTTTAAAAAGTTTTTTAAAACTATATAAACATAAAATACCAACTGATCAAGAATCGGAATTTTTATCAAAATTATGGGGTGATTATTATTTTAATTATGAAACAAATTGTATAACAACAGAATCAGAAAATGGAAAATATCAAAGAACTTTTATTTCATTTATATTAGATGCTATATATCAAACTGCAATCTACGTATTAACTTCAGAACCATCTAATCACAAAAAACTAGCAACTATGTTATGGGAGAATTTTAGAATAGGTTTACCTAAAGCAGAATATAAGAAAGATATAAAAATACTATTGAAGACTGTATTTAGTACAATTTTTAAAAATGATACTGGATTTGTTGATTCTATTATAAAGTCATTTCCATCACAGCCTACTCAAATACCCGATGAAAATACACCTGTGCTTGGTAAAGTTTCTAAATTGGTTGAATCACCAGATGGTGAAAGCTTTTTAAGTTTAAGTAGATTATACTCAGGTATATTAAGAGTTGGTGATAAAATTAAAGTATGTGTTGAAAATACCAATGATACAGACTCAGGACAAACTTTATACAAAGAAGAAATTGTCAAGAACATTTTTATACTGTATGGAAGATATAAATTACCAGTCAACGAAGTTAAATCCAACACAATTGTGTTAATAGAGGGTATAGATTCATCCATTAAAAAAGGAGCAACAATAATTTCACCAAACAATGTCAAAGATACAGTATTTAAGTTACCAAATTATGATATAACTTCAGTATTCAAAGTTGCAATTGAACCAATGAATCCAGTCAACAGACCTCAATTACTTGAAGGTTTAAAAAAGATATCAAAAGCTTATTTATCATCGGTTATCAATATCGAAGAAAATGGAGAAAATAATATATATGCACCAGGAGAATTCTATATGGATTGTGTACTAAATGATTTAAGAAATTTTTTCAATACAAACCTTAAAATTAAAGTTAGTGATCCAATGACGAAATTTTCAGAAACTTGTGAAACTTCATCTTTTACATATATCCCCGTATCATCAAACAACAAAAATTTTGAAATTGCTATAGTTGCTGAACCAATGGAAGATACATTATTAAGTTATAAAATTGAAAAAGGTAAAATAAATGAACAACAAACTAAAAAAGAAATATCAATGTATTTAAATCATCATTTTAATTGGGATTTAAAAAGTTCGAGATCTGTTTGGTGTTTTGGTCCAAAAGATTTAATAGGTCCTGACTTGTTACTAGAAGATCTTGATGAAAATTCAATTGATAATGAAACAGTTAACAAATTAACTAAGATCAAAAATATAATTATTAATGGTTTTAAATGGGCAGTTAATGAAGGTCCATTAATAAATGAACCAATAAGAAACACAATGTTTAAAATAGTTCATATGAATTTCAATGATTCAATTGAAGAATCAGATATAAATCCAGCACAAGTTATTCCCTTGATCAGAAGATCATGTTTTATTGCTTTATTAACAGCAAAACCAAAATTAATGGAACCAAATTATAAATTTGAAATTATTTGTTTTCACAAACATGTTCACGTTATTAAAAAAATTTTGGAACAAAGAAGAGGTTTTGTAGTGAATCACATTAGAATAGAAGGTACTCCATTATATAAATTACATGGTTATATTCCAGTGATTGATAGTTTTGGATTTCAATCAGATTTAAAATTATATTCAACTTCTAAAATTAAAATTAGTTTAATTTTTAATAATTGGGATCTAGTACCTGGTGATATATATGATTTTAATTGTGATTTACCTACATTAAAACCAGTTCCTAAAAATTCATTATCTAGAGATTTTTTACTCAAGACAAGAAGAAGAAAAGATTTAACTGGTGAACCAACTTTACAGAAATATATTGATATAGAAATTTACGAAAAGTTGAAATCAAAAGGTTTAGTGGTATAATTTCGATAACTTACATTTGAAAACTAAGTAGAAAAATCAAGAAATTTTTTTATTGTATTTTTCTTTATGTAACATAAATCAAACAACTATATATAGAGAAGTAATAATAAACACAGTAATATTGATAACGGTTTCTTATAAAAAAATAATTAAGCAAACATACTAATTCCTGATCATTTTGCGCCAAAAAGCCCCCCCTGTAAGTAACTATTGTTGAACCAGCTCACATTCAATTGTAATTAGCTTTCAGTCTCTTTAAATTTATAATCTCCTTCCATCCCCATCCCAAATTTATAATTCTTGAAAATCTCAAAAGTTACTAATGATTCATCTCAAATTTATTCAACTCTTCTTTTTTTAGTAGGTGGTTCCAATTGTTCAAATCCATCATTTTGTTCAACCAAATTATTATAATTTGTAATAAATCGCTGTTGATCACTTAGTTTAAATTCCAAAAAAGTAGGTATTGAATCCTTATATTTAGAATTTGTACAATCACATAATTTTAAATATAAATCAAAAAAATCTGCAATAGTTAAATCTTTACAATATACATTATCTTCAGTTATTGTTAAATTACTAAATTGTGGAATATTTAAAATTATTTCTTGATCTATATCAAATTTAAATGATTTGTTATTATTTGATGATGATCTTAATATTCCAAATAAATCTTCTATTGAAATTGATTGTATTGATTCGTCATATTTTGGTATTAATGTTTTTACATCTTTTGTAGTTGATGATTCTATTGGAAATAATAAATACTTTGAATCTGAATATGTTACATATATTGGTAATTTATTAATTGAACGTGGTATATTTTTTGGAATTTGTGTTGACTTGCCATTTGATTTCGAGTCTGCTTGATGTTCTTGTTGTTTTTCATCTTCATTTTCCGGTTCTCCTACTAAAGTATTAATATCATCCACGTCTTCATCAAATTGTTCATTAGGATTAGATTTTAGATTCTTATATTGATTATCTTCTTCTGGATTTTCTTCTTTTTCATCTAATTCGATCTTTTCTTCATCTCCATTAGGCATATCAATTTCTATAATATTGTCGACTTCATCTTGATCTTGATCTTTTTGATTTTCAGTTTCATTTTCATCATGTTGGTCTTCTGTATTTGAGTTTCCAACCTCATTTGTTGACTTGTTGTTGTCTTCACCGTCAACAGCTTGTGGTTCAGACTGTTCCTGTCCGTTAGAATTTAACTCAACTTCATTATTATTATTAACTTTTTTACCATCTGCATGATCCTGATCAAGATTATCTTTTATTTGTTGATTAGAATTCTTCTTTTCTGTTGAATTACGTTTATGAGCAGGTCCATCTGGTTCTTCACCATCAATTAATGCACCAACAGCTTTCATTGGTCCTACTTCATCTGGTCTATCCTCATCACCTTCATCTTCTTTTAAATTTCCTTTATCAATTTCTTCTTGTCTATCTAAAAAATCTTCATAATAATCCTGTTCAACATCTTTAGTGTTTAATGCACCTTCACTTGAATAATTAACATCGTCTTCTCCTTTTGCTACTTGTGCACTTGCCTTTTCTAGTTTTGTTAATGAATCTTTATTCAATGGAACTGAATTGTTTTTTAGTTCCTCCTCATTATCACCTGATCGATCTTGGCTTAACGATTTATTATTCTTAGCATTTTCCGCTTCTTTGAGTTCATTCTGTTGGTCATCGTATATCTGATTCATTTGAGATGTTCTATTTGCTTGTGGAATAGTACCACCTTGAGCTACACCAACTAATCTATCATTATGATGATCATCATCAATATTATCATCTGACTTACCAGCGTGGTGACCTTTGTTTTCTCTATCTTGAATATCTTCACCACCATTTTCATCAAGTGGTCCAAAATAATCGTCTTTTTGTTCCGCAGCTTTATTTTCGTTTTCATCTTCTTCTTCCTCATCATATTCCAAATTTTCATCTTCATTATTTGGTTTACCAGTATTTCCAGCTTTATTATTCTCATTCATTTCATTGCCTGCTTGTGGTTCTGCATTTTGGGTTCTTTGAACATCATCAGTGTTTACCGATTTATTATCTGTTTGATTCAACTGTTGTTGATTATTTGATTGTGATGAATTATTATTCTCCTTCTCTTCTTGTTTTTCCAACTTTTGATTTTCTTCAATTGTTTTTTCCAATGATGAATTAAATTTGTCAATTTCAGGTACATCCATAACATCAGTGTCTTGAGATATAGTATATATTTTATCTGGAGTACTTGGTCTTGGTGTTGGAAATGATTCAGGAATTTTTATGTTTGGATCATCGTTTATATCTGATATACCTTGTTTGATATCTGCCAAATCTGCATCGTCAATTTCTCCTGATTTGGTATTTGGGGATAAGCTTGAATTTGATTGAGAATTGGTTGTATTAAAATTTGGTTGCTTTTCTGGCTCACTCATATTTACTATAATTCAATTGAAAGAATTGGGCTCCAGTTAAATTATCTTGGTTTATTGTAAAATAGGAAAGGGTTAACAGTTCGAAAACAGCAAAATATATTAAATGTTTTAAGGATGTTTCACTGTTGCCTCAATTCTATACTTATTGAAAATTGAAAATCTTAATGAATAAATTATGCTGTTAGTAATAAAGAGTAAATCAATTATGAGAACGTACCATCAATTTAACTGTTGATAATAAGATTGAATTGTTTTCTAATAAACTTGAAATTGATTGTTGGTTGTAAAAATAAAATAACTTCTAATATGATGATAAAATGAGATTATATTTTTTACTTCTCATTAAATAATTATAATTGCAAGTAAAATAAACGCTACCAAACTGGATTTTTTCAAATAATTCTACAAACCATAAAATACTATCAAGAGATTGTTCAAAATTAAATGAAACAATTTAACAAATCGATTACAATTTTATTTTATTTTATTTTATTTATATAGTTTTTTATGTATATATAAAAAAAGCTTTAATTAAAATACAAAGTTTGAATGGAAAAGTTTTATAAATATCATCATCATTATTTGAAAATTATTTTGATTTGATTATTAAGGAGCCCAAATTTTAAAAGTTTGTGGAGAAATTAAAGATAATGGTTTATAATCATCAATTTTAGCAAAATCATCAACCAGTTTACCTTCACTGATATTTGAACCATCATTACTTACATCATCTCCAAGTTGATTTGATGACTTTTCACGATTATTCAATTGTTCTTGTTGATTATTTTCTTTATTTCCTACTGCTTCTAATGATTGTTTGACGGGTTTATATAATAAGGATCTTGCATCAGATATGAGTTTTGAGAGTTCTTTTTGTTTTGTTGATTGATCGTTATTTTCTAATAATGAACAAGCTTCTTCTAACTTTTTAATTACATCAATTGTTGATCTTGTTAAGGATAATCTATCAGTGAAAGTTTCTTCCTGTTGTTTTGACAAATTTTGTCTTTCTCTTTCATAAATTTTCTCCAATTCTTCAATTTTTGCTAGTTTAGTTTCACATTTCTGTAATTCATGATTAATTATACTCATACTAATTTTATGTAACTCCCTTTCTTCATAACTTGAGAACAAGTGACTTCTTGCCCCAACTATACCAAATGTTGTTGCAATTGCTTCTTTTGTTTCTTTGTTTGTGGATTCTTCTTTTTCAATTGATCCGTTTTGTTGTTCAGTTTCTTCTTCTTTATCTTTGGTTGTATCTGGTTTTATTTCACCTTTCTGCTTTGTAGATTCTTCATTTTCTTCAACTTTACTTTCACCATATACCTCAACAAGTTTTTTTTTCATTGATTCATCCATTGCTTTTTTTGCGGCTTCACTTGCTGCTTTAGCAACCCCACTATCAACTATTCTTGTCATAAATACTAGATTCGCGAGTACTGGATTATCTATTGTATTGATTGGATAATTAGATGCATATTTTAACAATTTAATATCTTCTTTATCGGAATCCCTAATTGGGTTGAATTGATCTTCAATTGGTAATTTTAAAAACTTCAAGACACATTGTTGTGGAGTTTTATTTCCTCCTACTGCTGATGCTATTTGATACCAGTCATTCTTATATTTGTGAACCGCATTTATTAAATTATCAGATTCTTCTTTGGTCCATCCATCATTATCATCTTTATGTTTCCTTTTATGTGGTGGTTCCTCTTTTAAATTTGAATGCTCTATTGAGAGTTGTCTTTTCTTATTACCTCTTTCGTTTATTCCATTTTCAAGACCTGCTGAACCTGGTAAATCTGATGAAGCAATTAATTTTTTCAATTTTCCAACATCAATTTTTTCTGGTGGAATTCTGGAAGTATCAAATGGAAATAGACCTCTTGGTGAATCATACTTGACATGATAATCTCCAGTATATGGTAAATCAACCAGCAGACCATTCGGCATTTTTTCAAATGCATAACCTGGTTTGAAATGAGGTTTTACTTGATAATTTATTAAACCCCATTTATTTAAAAAACGATGAACTCTCATTAACGTACCTACATCACCAACTAAATTTCGACGACATGAAGTTAAAGTTAAAAATTCATTTGGGTTTAATCTGTAAGCATTTATCATAAAATTTCTATAATTTGCATATAATTTTGGTGATTTCGAAGGATGAGTTGAATTAAAAAATTCTGGTAATGATTCTTTTTCAATTTTATGAATTTTTTTCATATTAAACCAACTTGCATATGAAGGAATAATTACAAGGTGTGTTTGTTTATATTTTGTTGTAGCTTTTATAGGTTCATCTTCTTCATCTTCTATTATATCTTCCAAATCTACATCTTCCTCTTGTTCGGTATTAGAAGGGGCGGTTGTTGCTTCTTCTGATGCTGCAGTCGAATTGGTTGCTGGCTCTACTTTTGGAATCTCAGGTTTTGCAGGTCCAATTTTAGATTTATTTGAAATTTTTGATTCGGTCTTAGGTTCTTCAGGTTTACTTATATCATCTACTTCAACATCTTGCATTTCAAAATCTTCGTCTTTTGATTTGTCATTTTCAGTTTCTAGTAAAGACGCGTCAAAATCATCAGCTGATTTATCATATTCTTCAACATTAAAATCAGCGTCAAATGCAGGATCATCTACTTGGGCATATGATAACATTTCTTCCTCTCCTTGTTCTTGATTCTTTTCTTCAACGTCGTATTCTTTATTTCCTTCACCTGTAGCAAATGCAATATCGTTAGTCTCTGTCGGTATATCTACATCCATATCATCTTGAGAATTATCTTGATCTGGAGCTGTTGGGTCGATATCATTATTATCTGATAAATCATTTTTGGAACCATTTTCTAGGGAGTCATGTTCTTCATCTTTCTTTTCAGATGTGTCAGCATTTTCACTATTGTCAAAATCATCCAACTTTTCAGAAGAAGATCCGTTATTGTTGGTATCAAATTCTTGTTCCTTATCTCCCTCCCTTTCGTCATCGTTTGATTTCTCTTGATCTGAAAATATAGAAGCCTTGGAGGTTCTTTCAATAAAATTTCCTTTATCTTTAAATGGCACATCTATAGGTACTTGATCCGAAGGAATAGAAGGTAACTGTTCTTCAACAACAGCATCTGCATGTTGCCTTTGATTTCTTGAATAATTTGAATTGTCCTTGTCATCTTGCTCTTTAATACTCATTCCTTCATCTTCTTCTTTATTATTTGCATCTACTTTATCATCTTCTTCTACTTCATTATCCTGTTCAATTATATTATCTTCTTTTGATTTTTTATCTTTAAAGGAATCATTACCTGGTAGTTCTGACAATTGTTTTTCAAATCTATCTTTATTATTCATTTTCTCCGCATTTAAATGAGTCAATGATTCAGATTCTTGATCATTCGGTACTTCTCTTTCTTGATGAGCTCCTAATTTTTTCATTTCTTCAATCTGTTTTTCATCCAAGTTTTCTGCTGTCAATTCTTTTTCTTGGTAATCAACCTCTGGATTATTAGATAGTTCGTTATCGTTTTCATTATCTTCATTCCCTAGTGATTCATCATTATCAACATCTTCTTCATTATTAGAATTGTTGTTATTTAAATATTCATCCTCCTTGGCTGTAGTTCTTTTATTCGAGTCATCTGTTTCTTTTGTTTCATTTATTGTTTGTGCAGGTACTTCTTCTGCTTCCAATGATTTATCATTGTTATTGATTGACTCAACCTCCTTTATTTTTTCGTTTGGTGGTACTGAACTCATAATTAAACTTTTAAAGCGAGATTGTACAATAGTTTATCCTTTATTCAATTTGTTCTATTTTGATATTTGAAAACAAAAAATTTTATTGAAATTAAGATAAGGTGGAATGAATTTGGAATGATAAGGAAGATTTTAGTGATATGATAATGGTTGATGTTTGCTAATGATACAAGTGAAATAAGTATTATCCTATTTGTATGTTGTATTTAATATTGGTTGTTAAATATAAAATGATATTTTATGCTGGATGAATTTTATATTTATAGTTGATATTTTTCTTTTTGTTGATCAATAAAAAGATAAAAAAATATAATGAATCAACAAATACTTAATCAATCTAATCTTAATCAAATAATATTATATAATTGAAATTCAAATAATGATATCTTTTAATAATATAATAGATTGATTAATATAATTTTAAAATTTAAATATATATCAATAAATTTATTTTGAGTTGTAAAAATAAATTATATTATAATTTTTATTTTTTTTTTTTTGTATTGATAAATTCTAAATTTCCAAATGTTGTTTTTTAATTTATATTTGAGGGAGTATTAGGCGTTTTTTAACCACTTTACACGTCCAATATATCTTTGAATAGAATACAACTATAGCGATAATGAAATTAATGGTTTCAGACCTTATTAAAGATACTTCAAAACTATAGCAAAATCTTTGTAAAGACTTAAGTTAAACAAACTAAATGGTTGTGTCATTGACTTGAAAATTAGCTGGTGAATAAGAAAATTTAATTTTGCTGTAGCGGTGCTACCAATATGACCATGATTTTTCCCTTGAATAAAGTAATTAAATGGTCATAACAAAAAAAATATACTATAAATCAAATTACCGGGACATCTATAACTATCAATTATCTTTAATTAATCATATTGTAATAATGTAGTAGTTAAGCAATATTAATTAAATGAATATGTTTTTGCTTATATATTTATAGTATTATTCAATTGTTTGAATATATCCGGTTATTTCTATTATACAGGAATTATCGTAATAATAAAATATAATAATACGAAATCTATTTTTCTTATTGTGATTATAATAATTTAATTCAATAAATTAACTTATTCATCCTTCTTTTGATATCTTATAATAGATGCGTTCTTTTCTTTTGAAAATGGGTGTTGGTGGTGAAGGTATATGATAGATCAATGAATTATTACAAATAATTGAACTAACATTCTTATGTATTATTGATTATTGATTTTTTTTTTGGTAATATGGAAATGTGCGCTTTATCAAATATTGATAGGAAAAGACTTGAGTTAAATCATTACTATTTGATTATGTGGTCCTTGTTGTAGTTTATATTATTTTAAATCACTCTATTGATATCGCTCCAGTGTAATGATGAATTTGTTAATCTATTTAAGCCAACATTGGGTAAATCAAAGTATAATTTTTGATCTTTGACAAAGTAACATTTAACTGACACATGAACACAAATACTAAAAAATGAATAAATTGTATCAAATATTGATTAACGAAAAGATGATTTGAAAAGAAAAAAAGATATATGAATATATATATATTTATATATTTACAAGTAAAGAAGATATTAATTCACTTAAATTTATATAATTAATAATTTCATCATTATATAATTTAATAATTAAAAATTTAAAATTAATTTAATGAAATCTATCTATATTATAAATAAATAAATAAATAAATAAAAAATTTATGAAATAAGTAACCCCAAATCTTTCATTTTATTTTTTTATTTACACAATAATTTTCAATATCAAATCCAGAATTTTTAGAAATGGATTTTAATCAAACTAACATTAAAGTTTTAATTAAAGAAATGATACAATATAAAAAAGGGAGGGCAAAATTGAATAAATCTGAAATGTAATTAAATAAAGAATATAATTTATAACCTTACTTTACCTTTTATTTAAATTAAATAAAAAATGATTTAATAATTTTTGTTCTTTTTCAAGTATTATGTATCATAGTTAAAACGTAAATAATAAAAAGTATAATAAATTGATTAAGAGATAATTAATAATAATAATAAAATAATAATAAAAATATTGTAAACTATAAAATAATAGTATCCAATTTGAATAATGAGTAAGAAAAGTTTTTTGAATAATCATGTACTTCACTTTCATTAAAGACTAAAGTTGTTTATTCAATTCAATGCTTAAAAATTATTTTTAAAATTAAAAATATCAAAATTTTTAATTTTAATTTTGAACAATCATCGATTATGCAAAGTTTATATAAAATATATAATTTAATTTAACGTCAATTTACTAATCAAATAAAGAGTGTAGTAATAGTTAGAGAAATGATTATTCTTTTAATTTCATAAAAAAATGACTTTCTTGTAATCAGGTTGTCAATTACTTTTTAACCTTCAATTCAATTTAAATTACCAATTTACATACGTTACAATCAAATTAAAAGAAAACTAATATCAAATGATAATGATAAAACAACATCACCACAAAATCCGTAAAATAAAAAATACAATTAAAATTAAAATTTTATGAAAGGAAACAAAAGAAAGAAAAAATAAATAAAAAATATTATTTTAAATAATCTTGCATTTATTTCTTATTATTATAATATTAGTCTAATGTATTATTAATATTTGAAACTTCAAATATAAAATGTTGTCAAATTAACTAAATTCTATAATTTAATTGAATTTTACAATACAAAAATCAATGTAATTGAGCTAGGTAAAATTAAATTAGTCCAGATCTAATTTAAACTTGTCTGAATAAATTCGAAACAACTTCAAAATAAAAAATAAGATTTAAAAAAAATAAAAAAAAGAAAATGCAAGGTTTTTTAATTAATTATGTTTTTGTGTTTTGTAAATTTTGTGTTTAATTATTATTATATTTTTTTTATTTTTTTTAATTTTTATTTTATCAACTTTTATATTTGCCCTAAATTTATTATCCGAATTTTATTAATAAGAATTTATATATATATATATATAATTGAATCATTATTGCTTTATATAATTTATAAAATGTTCAACTTGTACAGATCTTAATGTTTAATAATTTAAGAACTTTGAATTGTATTACAAATACTAGTAATTTAATGTGAGATCTTTTTATACTGAATTTACTACCAATTGTGTCATAGATTTTTTTTAAAAATTATCAGGGGAAAAAATTAATTTATTAATGAAAATATTAATTAACGAGATATTTTCGATTAACAATAAAAGATTAGACACTTTTTCGTTTAAAAATAAGAACGGAAAATTGGATCAAGAAGTAAAAGAACTCTTTGGAATTGTAATTTTGTTTTACACTTGCTCAACATTTTGGTTGTACTTATCATTTTGTTTTAGCTAGCAATACAAATTACTTGTGCCTATTGAATAGTAATTGGCAAAAACTTTCGTACTTGCTAATGTACATAACACGCCGTTTCAAATGTAAGTAGAGAAATTTATCCAAGATTGGGGATCAACGGTAACTATTCCTCGATCAATTTCTCTTGTTATTACAAGAAATCGAAAGGTGGATTTACCAAAATGATCACGACAGAAAAGTATGGGAATTAAGTTACTTCTCATGCTCTCATATAGATCAATAATTATGATTAAAGAATTGGCTATTCATTAGTTAATTGAAAATAAATTTAACTGAAACAGCCTTTTAAACGAAATATCGTTTAGGGTTATAGCCCCATCTCAATTACACAAAACATAAACTGATGTGCTACCATATTTTACAATTGTATAGACAATGTATTGTTATTAAAATAAGACCTTAACTATGTAAAAGATTTTGTACTATAATAATTTTTCTAACAAAAATTAATAGTAAGTGAGAGAGGAAAAAAAGTTAATATCAAATTTTTCATAATTTTTAAATTTTCATAGTTTTAATACCTATCCAACTACATTTAATCAATATATCAATTTACAATGGTTCGTTACGCTGCCACTCCATCAAACCCAGCCAAATCAGCTTCAGCTCGTGGTTCATACTTAAGAGTTTCATTTAAAAACACTAGAGAAACAGCACAAGCCATTAATGGTTGGAAATTAACTAAAGCTCAACAATATTTAGATCAAGTTTTAGATCATCAAAGAGCTATTCCATTCAGAAGATTCAACCATTCTATTGGTAGAACCGGTCAAGGTAAAGAATTTGGTGTTACCAAAGCTAGATGGCCAGCAAAATCAGTCAACTTTATCAAAGATTTATTAAGAAATGCTCAATCAAATGCTGAAGCTAAAGGATTAGATGTTGAAAAATTAGCTATTTCTCACATTCAAGTAAACCAAGCTCCAAAACAAAGAAGAAGAACATACAGAGCTCATGGTAGAATAAATGCTTATCAATCAAGTCCATCACATATTGAATTAACTTTAACTGAAGAAGATGAAATTGTTGAAAAAGCTACTGATAAAAAAGTTACAAGATTAAATAATAGACAAAGAGGTAGATTAGTTGGTCAAAAAAAATTAACCGCTTCAGCTTAAATTAATGTTTAAATATAAAAATTTTGTAAATTAGGGAGAGATAATAAATAAAGATACATATTATTTTTTTTTATTAATTACTTTTGAACGATGAATTTTAAATGGAAAGATGAACAATTTTTAAAAAATGGGGTTCCTACTAGTGAACTCTGTTTTTTTTAAGAAATTTGTATTGAAACGAAAGTCATATACATTAAAACTTTTAATATAAAAAAGCAAATTATTAAAAACTTTTTGAAGAAAGTGATAATTTTGAAACTGAGATTATTACAACGTGTAGATCTTTACTCTTGATAACAATGACACTTTTGGACCCCAAGTTTGATAGAAACTTGATGCAGCCATTTGACAATACGATCAGGTACTTTAAATTTTTTAATGTCATGTAGTTGGTAGCTCGGTGTTTTACTACAAAATCTCTCATCTCATTTGATTTACTTTTCAGTACAATATTAATCTTAGAAACTCATATTATCAAGAAACCCATTTAGTGTCTACATTTAACAATTTTAACAATGGCTAGGGGTACTTTAAAACAACAATTAAAAAGTCATATATCAAAAGTGAAGAATGATGAATCAACAAACCCAAACAAGAAATCTAATAAATCCTCTACATCAAAATCAAATACAAAATCAAAAGAAAATGAAGTAGAAGAAACTCCAATAATACCCAAACCAGTTTTAAAAAATCCTGAATCACCAGTTACAAAAGACAAAAAAGATGATTATAAAAGTGATACATTATCCAAAAAAGATCAACGTAAATTGAAGAAATTACAAGAAAAATTAGCTGAACAAGAAGCTAGCGAATTGAATCCAGAAGATGCTAAAGAAGATGGAGAAGACGAAGAAGAAGATGAAGATGAAGAAATAGAAGATTTGGATTTGGAAAGATTAGCACAAAGTGAAAGTGAAAGTGATTTAGATTCCGATGAAGATGAAGACGACGAAGATGAAGATGATGAAGATGTTGAGGATGTCAATGAACAAATTGAAGCTGAAGAAGTAGAAGAAGAAGATGTACCGTTATCAGATGTTGAGTACGACTCAGATGCAGATATAATCCCACATACAAAACTTACAGTAAATAATACAGCAGCATTAAGAGAATCATTAGCTCGTATACAATTACCATGGTCAAAACATTCATTCATTGAACATCAATCAATAACAAGTCCAGAAAAAGCAGAATCAACTATAAAAGACATATATGATGATACAGAAAGGGAATTAACATTTTATAAACAAGGTTTAGATGCAGTCAAACAAGCAAGATCAATATTATTAAAATTAAAAGTTCCATTTTCACGTCCAGTTGATTATTTTGCAGAAATGGTTAAAAGTGATGAACATATGGATAGATTAAAAACAAAATTATTAGGTGAAGCAGCAAATAAAAAGGCATCAGAAGATGCTAAAAAGCAAAGACAATTGAAAAAATTCGGTAAACAAGTCCAACATGAAACTTTACAACAAAGAGCTAAACAAAAGAAAGAAACTTTAGAAAAAATTAAAAGTTTGAAAAAGAAAAGAGGAGCAAATGAAATAAGTAATGATGATGATTTTCAAATTGCTTTGGAAGAAGCTACTAAAGATGATTACAAGAGTGGTAATGGAGGAGATAGTAAAAGAAGGAAAATTAATGGGAAAAGAATGGCTAAGAACGCTAAATATGGTTCTGGTGGTATGAAAAGAGGTTCAAGAAAAAACGATGCTGCTTCATCTGCTGATATTTCTGGATTTTCAACCAAAAAAATGAAAGGTAAAACATCAAGACCCGGTAAAAGTAAACGTTCAAGAAGATAAACGAGTAGGTGGGTTTCGTAGCATTATAGTAATAGATGATACAGCTTAAATTGTCAGTACATTCTTTAAAGATATCGTCTCCGTTCGTAGTAGTTAAACTTGAAACATTTGCAAACTCAAATTGTTGCAAAATTTTGATATCGCGTTCGTCGTTTAAATTTATAAAAAAAGATTTTCGAATATTTTATTTTTCAAATCTTGCAGAACATTATCTCAAACCACTAAACCAACCAATTGAACTTCCAAAAATGTCAACCAAAGAAGCCGCTAGACAAAGATTCCTCAATGTCTTTGAAGAGATTGTTGAAGAGTTAACTCAAATTCTTATAAACTATAAAATGCCACAAGAAGCAATAGAATGGTTTCAAAATAATTTAAATTATAATACACCAGGTGGAAAATTAAATAGAGGATTATCAGTTATAGATACTTATGCAATTTTGAATAATACAACATCAGATAAATTAAATGATGAAGATTATAAAAAAGTAGCCATATTAGGTTGGGCAATTGAATTATTACAAGCTTATTTTTTAGTAGCTGATGATATGATGGATCAATCAAAAACAAGAAGAGGTCAACCATGTTGGTATTTAAAAGAAGGAGTTGGAAATATAGCTATAAATGATTCATTTATGTTAGATGGAGCCATATATGAAATATTAAGAAAATATTTTAGAAAAGATAGTTATTATGTTGATTTATTAGATTTGTTTCATGAAGTTACTTTTCAAACTGAACTAGGTCAATTATTAGATTTAGTTACAGCAGATGAAGAACATGTTGATTTAAGTAAATTTTCATTACAAAAACATTCATTTATAGTTATTTTTAAAACTGCTTATTATTCGTTTTATTTACCTGTTGCATTAGCAATGTATATGAGTGGAATAACATCACAAGAAGATTTAAAACAAGTTAAAGATATTTTAATTCCATTAGGTGAATATTTCCAAATCCAAGATGATTATTTAGATTGTTTTGGAACTCCAGAACAAATTGGTAAAATAGGTACTGATATAAAAGATAATAAATGTTCATGGGTTATAAATCAAGCATTATTAATCGCAACTCCAGAACAAAGAAAAATTTTAGATGAAAATTATGGACAAAAATCAGATGAAAAAGAAGCTATATGTAAAAAATTATTTAATGAAATGGGAATTGAAAAAATTTATAACGATTATGAAGAATCAATTGTATCAAAATTAAAAAAACAAATTGATCAAATTGATGAAAGTAGAGGTTTGAAAAAAGATGTTTTAACTACTTTCTTAGGTAAAGTTTATAAAAGATCAAAATAATTTATGATTAAATAGACATTAATAAAAATTCCAAATGCATTCATTGATTAATTAAGTGAAATGATAAAATGTATATGTATTTTGTTTGTGAAAAAAATAACCTAATTATTTAAACATTAACTCTTTCCAATTCTTCTCTACCAGCTTTAGTATATAAATATTCATTATAAGTTTCAGCTCTTTCAAAAATTGAATAAACTAATACACCAGGAATAACAATATATAAAATTTGATTTTTAACTCTTCTAAAAGTATTGAATACAGCATTATAAGCTACACCTTTCATTGGATTAGCAACCCATGGTGATATAGTATATTGAGTAACATATTTTTGTGGTCTTGAGCCGATAGCTCCCCACCAGCCCATGTAGGTGTGTGGATGTGGTGGACCTGCCATTTTGATTTATTTGATATTGATTTGGTAAGTTGGTTGAAAAGTTAAGATAGTTGAGTTTATTAATAGATGTTTTTTTTTTCTACTCACACTACAAAATATTATTAAAGTATTGTAAGTACATAATAAAATATTTAAATTATTCTATTGGATATAAATTTAGTATGAGCGGTGCTACCAAATAATTGACTATTACCAACTGTATTAGATCCGGATCAAGAGTAGACGTTAAATAGAATGTGTCATTTACTTTAATTCGTTCTATTAATCAGTTTTATGTATATCTTCTATGTACATTTTATATTTAAATTTGCCATTTCAGGGATTCACCACCTTTTGTAATCAATTTCATTCAAAAAAGTTTTACCACCACCATATTTCCACCATCTAGATAAACAACTATGAGCATTAACATCAATTGTTCTGTTTATGTTTTCTTGCAGATCCCTTGGTTTACATATACATCTTTTAGAGGCAATGATATCTTCTGAATGTGGACAAGCTAAAAATGGTGCATGATAATAACCAATATCTTCAAAATGATGTATAGCTTTCTTGTCTGCTAATAAACTTAAACCTATAGAATGAACTGGAGCATCTCCCCATCTTTCATAATGAAAACCACCAGCTTCACTCAAAAACTTGAAAAATGTTTCATATTCTATACTTCTGAAAAAATTTAAATTACCAATTTCAAAATTTGACCAAAAATGACATAAATTATAATCACCAGTTGCATTTGAAAAATTCATATGATGAGTTAATGAAGTTTCATGAGTTGTTAAAAATTTTAAAGCATTGTTTTTATGTAAATAGTTTGGATATTTTTCCATGAAATTTTCAACAGTTTCCCATAATGTTGGAATAGTATTTTCATATTCAGTTATAGCTATTATGAATCCATACACTTTATTATTTTCCCGCAATAATCGGAAAGGATCATATTGGAAATCACACATATATTCAACATCTGGTTCAACTCTAAAATACCAATCATAATTTAATAATCTCTTTTGTTTATAAAAAAATCCAGAATTGAAATGACACATATTTCTATATGATCTAACACCTCCATATAGCACACTTTGTCTTGAATTGTATAAGTTTTCATCTAATTTGGTTTTATTGATATATGAAGGAGGTTGCCAATCATCTTCAGGAATTAATTCATAAAATGTATTACCACTTGACATTAGACTTGTCTTTTCAATAAATTCTTCATCGAATGGTTCATCATTTAAAAACACCCAAGGATATCTGAATTCTCGATTGAATCTATCTTCTAATGATCTCATTGATGACAATGCACCTTCTAATTCACTATTTCTAACAAGCATGACCATTGTTGCATTTTCTTTACCAATTTGAGATAAATCTCTAGGTGGAAACTTCTTAGTGAGGTATTGATTAGTTGCAAGTTTGGGTTGACCTTTAGCTAATGGATTATACTCAATTGAATTTGTATTGTCATGATTGATGGGAGAACTTTGACCAGTTTGTTGGTGATACTTAATGGCCAAGTAGTAATTGATAGCTAGCACTACTCCAAATAGGATAGTGGATAATTTCAACATTCAGGGCATATTCCTTGAAATTTCGGAAGAATGTAGATCTAAAAGTTAAACTAAATGAAAAGAAATGTGCATATAGATTTGGGTTCTAGATCAAAAATGATACAAAATCAATTTGTTGAGTTACGGATGTAGTTACACTTGTAGTGAGTATAAATTGATTTTACTTATATTGATGATTTAATTGATTTCTTATATAGACAATTACCTAATTTCACATAAGAATTAGCAGTAGCTTTTTGGTTGCATTAATTTGATTGTATTTGTAGAGAGCTCTTTAATAAATAAAAAAAAAGTTAATAAAGTTTTTCGAATTTTTTGCAACACTTTTACAACCAAAAAAACCAATTTACATTCATCAAATATTAGATGTCATTTTTGTTAGAGTTCGAGTGCTGTCTTCAACCGCGGGTTCAATCATTGTTCAACCATGTCAAAGACAAGCAAATGGAAAATTATTATCTTGATTATATCAGTTTGACATTGACGGAGAAATTAGTGGAGTATTTACAAAAATTGAATCAACCATTACAAATCGACACCAAAATCAATTTCGAACCTCAAGAAAAGCAGGAAATACAAAATTTGTTCGAAAGTAACATAAAATCTGATCCAGATAATGAAGACAATGGAGGTAATTGTGACAAAAGCTTTGTTCCTGATTTGTCAGTAAATGAGTGTTTTAAAATGATAACTTTAAGCAAAATTGTTAAACCAAAAAATTTGAAGCAGGTACCTTCCACATCATTAACTTCGGAGGTTGAGAATATTTTACAACAAAACGAGGGAATACAAATATCAAATTTATTAAGTCAACCAATTTACTCCACAAATGCAAGTTCTGTTGCAAATAAATTTATTGATAAATTGCAAAAAAGTAAAAAAGATACAGAAGTTATAAGGATAAATAAATTGACTGAATTTAAATTCTATTTTTACACAACGATTGGTTCTTCATTACTGGACACGGACTCACTCAAAGTTAATAATTTATCAGAAAAATTAAGAACTACGACAGTTGACGGTTCACCCAAAGATTCAACATCATCAAGGAAGAGATTAATCGACGTGCCAGAATTAACATGTTACAAACAATCTAATTATTTAAGTCAAATTATTCTAGATTTGAATCTTTTAGGTTATGTAAAACTTACTTTATTGCCCTCAGAAGAATTAATTAATGATTGGGAAAATATAATTTTGGGTGCGAAATTTAAAACATCAATATTAAAATGTTGCAAAAATTCATTAGTGTTACATAATTATAATCTAAACACCAATAATTTTATAATTTTTGAAGGCAAACCTGGTACTGGTAAAACATCATTAGCAAAGGCTATTTTTCAAAAACTTTCGGTTTTGGATCAATCAATACATGAAATAAATCCAGGCATATTTTTGGAATTATCAACTGGTGAAATTTTCTCAAAATATTTTGGAGAATCACCTAGAAAATTACTGTCAATTTTGTCTTTAATTGAGCAGATTTTAAAAAAGAATCCCAATACAAAAATATATTTGCTTGTTGATGAGTTAGAAACCATTGCAGCAAATAGATCAAATATAATCAAAAATAATGAGGTTACTGATGGAATTAGAATTGTTAACATTTTAATTACCTATCTAGATAGACTAAGAAAATATTCTAATTTACTTATTGTTGCAACAACAAATTTAATTGATAACTTAGATCCGGCTATCGTTGACAGAGCCACCAGAAGTTTCAGATTTGAGTCACCAAATGCCTTAGAAATCAAAAGAATTCTTCAATTGAACTTAAGTAAAATTAATGTTGTTGAAGATCAAAGCAATGAAGTGGATGTGGACTCAGCTTTACTAAAAATCGCAGATTTTTGCTTTGTATGTATAATGTGTTTCAAATTTTAATATCTTTTTACTAACGAACGAACAAAAGGCACATCAGCTCAGCTCAAGATATATATCTAGATTACCAATTATTGCTTTTGGTAACCTTTGTGATGACATTGATTCCTACGATCAGATTTATACAAGAAATATCATTACGGAGATAGCAAAATTATGTCAAGAGTTAGCTAAAACAATATAGCTATTCCATATTATTTGGCTCAATACATGCTACCACAATTTTTCCACCCAATAAAATGATTGTAAATATTATTACTAAAAAGAAATCGCTGTCATATGGTAGCCAATACAAATTCTATTAAATATTATTATTCCTTTAGTATGAAATATTATTAACAATATCATTAAGAAAAATTTAACAATACAAAATCCAAATAGTTCATTTGAAAGGCTTTAATGGCTAATTAAAAAATTATTGCATTCAATATACATTTCACTCAAGATACACATATTCTAGTCATCAAATTCACAAATTTATAGAACATTAATTTCATTTCATTACTTATTCACATAATAGATTCCACTCATCATCACAATACCTAAATATAATGCTTCGTAATTTCAGAATAAGGCCAACAACAATCAGATCATCAATACGTTGTTTAGCAACTACAGCAGATCCAGCTGCAAATCCAAATAGAGTACATGGAGGATTGAAAGATCAAGATCGTATTTTTCAAAATGTTTATGGTAATTATGGTCATGATTTAAAATCAGCTCAAAAAATGGGTGATTGGTACAAGACAAAAGAAATAATATTAAAAGGTGATAAATGGATCATAGATGAAATGAAAAAATCAGGTTTAAGAGGCAGAGGTGGTGCAGGTTTTCCATCAGGTTTAAAATGGTCATTCATGAATCCACCTGGATGGGAAAAAAACCCAGGACCAAGATATTTAGTTGTCAATGCAGATGAAGGAGAACCAGGAACTTGTAAAGATAGAGAAATTATCAGAAAAGATCCACATAAATTAGTTGAAGGATGTTTATTAGCAGGTAGAGCAATGAATGCAACTGCTGCATATATTTATATTAGAGGAGAATTTTATAATGAAACTGTTATATTACAAAATGCAATTAATGAAGCTTATAAAGCTGGATTAATTGGTAAAAATGCTTGTGGATCAGGTTATGATTTTGATATATATATTCATAGAGGTATGGGAGCTTATGTGTGTGGTGAAGAAACTGCTTTAATTGAATCAATTGAAGGTAAAGCTGGTAAACCAAGATTAAAACCACCATTCCCAGCAGGTGTTGGTTTATTTGGTAGACCAACTACAGTTGCAAATGTTGAAAGTGTATCTGTAGCACCAACAATTTTAAGAAGAGGTGGAGAATGGTTTGATTCATTTGGTAGAGAAAGAAATTCAGGTACTAAATTATTTTGTATATCGGGACATGTTAATGAACCATGTACAGTTGAAGAAGAAATGTCGATACCATTAAAAGAATTATTAGAAAAACATTGTGGAGGTGTCAAAGGTGGTTGGGATAATTTGTTAGGTGTCATTCCAGGTGGATCATCAGTTCCAATTATGCCAAAAGATACTTGTGATAATATATTAATGGATTATGATGCATTAAGAGATGTTGGATCTGGTTTAGGTACTGCAGCAGTTATTGTAATGAATAAACAAACAGATATAATAAGAGCTATTCAAAGATTTGCACATTTTTATAAACATGAATCATGTGGTCAATGTACACCATGTAGAGAAGGTACAACTTGGATGCAAAGGATGATGGATAGATTCCAAACAGGTCAAGCAACTCCAAGAGAAATTGATATGATATTTGAATTAAGTAAAGAAATTGAAGGTCATACAATTTGTGCTTTAGGTGATGCAGCAGCATGGCCAATTCAAGGTTTAATTAAATCTTTTAAGCCAGTAATGTTAGATAGAATGAAAGAATATCAAGAAAAACATCAAGATTTAGGTTCAGTAGGTTATGGTGGATGGGTAGATAATGGTAAAGTGAAAGATGGTGTAGTTATTGATAATCCAATACCTCATGGCCATTAATTTTAAAAATCATGTTTATTAGTATATATATATATATCTTTTATATAAAGCTCATTATTTATAATTCCTTCATAAAATTAATAAAATAATTTAAAAAACGGTAAAAAGTTTACTGAATCAAGTCTTGTTTTAGAATGGTCAAGAAATGTTACATTTTTGATGCCGTTTCTATTTATTTTAAATAAGATCTTCTCTTATTAAAATTAAAATTACAAAACCAAAGAGATGAAAAAAAAAAGATCTTTAGATTTGAAACTTAAAGTCCGAAATCTAATTTATTCATCAATTTGACATCTTTTACTATTGATTTTTCTTTTTTAATCAGTTATCACCTATTGATCACTTTTAGGTTCAATTAACGAATTTATACCTACCCAAGAGCTCAATAGTACTATCCCAGTCATAAATTATGAGATGTTCTAGATTTATTATTCCGCTAGCATTCTTATCAGTATCAACCTTATCAGCATACGCAAATAATGACAAAGACGATTATTCAGTTGGAGCTGCAGTTATAGCCGAATCACAACCTATCAAAGATCAACAACACGACAAATCAACAAATAAATTAGGAGTTAGTTCGTTAGAGGATGAAGACAATCATCCAACACCAGATCATTTGAAAAAGCCTTTGGATCCATATAATAATGGTGGCAGAACTAGTGATCATCAACCGGAAAATGATTTACCAGCAGAATCTGGTAATTATAATGCATTTTTAATGTCAATTTCCATGATCGTTGTTTCAGAGATTGGTGATAAAACTTTTTTAATAGCGGCTTTAATGGCTATGAGGAATTCAAGAATAATAGTATTTTCATCAGCATTTAGTTCGTTAGTTGTTATGACTATATTATCAGGTATTGTAGGTCATGCATTACCAAGTTTAATATCACAAAGAATCACTCAATTTTTAGCATCAATTTTATTTGTTGTCTTTGGATTTAAATTATTAAAAGAAGGGTTAAGTATGTCAAAAGATTTAGGAGTTGAAGAAGAGTTAGCAGAAGTTGAAGAAGAAATTGCATCAAGTAAAATCAATTCACAATTGAATGATATAGAAGGAGGTAGAAGTTCACAACCACAAGTACAATCTCAATTGAATACAAAACAATGGATTAATGAAATCGGTCAACAAATTCAAAATTTAGCATCATTTGTATTTACACCAGTATGGATTCAAGTATTTGTTATGACATTTTTAGGAGAATGGGGAGATAGATCACAAATCGCAACAATTGCAATGGCAGCAGGTTCAGAATATTGGTTTGTTATATTAGGTGCAATAATTGGTCATGGTTTATGTACTGCTGCTGCATGTATTGGTGGTAAATTCTTAGCTAAAAAGATATCAATGAGAAATGTCACTTTAGGTGGTGCAATTGCTTTCTTCGTTTTTGCTATATTGTACTTTTATGATGCTTATTATAATGTTGAAGGTTGATAAAGAAATTTTCGACCAGGTATGTCTGCATATATTGAAATTAGATAGAAAATCATTGATCAGATGCCATCAATTCATTTATTTATTATAAACACCTAATATTATAGTTGTCCTTGACATAAAAATCTCATGACTTGATTTGGATGTAAACTTTTCTTTCCACCTAAAGTAATATTATATTCAATTTCTTCTTTTTCGTTTTCTTGATCTTTCTTTAATTTAGCCTCAGCTTTTCCTTCTGGGGTTTCCATATAGTTCAATTCTTCAATTGTATGAAAACCATAGAATTGAAAATCTTCTCTAAGGTTTTGAATTTCCATTAAACACCGTGCATTAAATTCATCATTTTTTTCAAAATCAATTTGCTTTTTCTCAGTTTTTTCAATTTCTTCTATTGCTGATAACGATAAATTTATCCATTCATCTACCTCTGGTAATGCTTTTTTTCTGAGTAATGTAGTTAATAAACCTTCTTGTTGACTTGTTGGAAAATTGACTGTTGGATAAACATTGGTCTTTAGTAATAAATCTTCGTTTTGGTATAGGATATTGGCTATTGATGTTAGTTGAGTTATTAGGACTTGAAATTGATTTTGAAAATGTATATAAGTTGGTAATTTTATTTTTGATGGATGTCTATTGTGACCATTGATTTGTTCTACTAATTTTCGTAGTGATAAATGAATTTGATTTAATCTGTTTCTTATTTGTTCTAATGCATCTATTGGTATTTGTGAAAAGTCTAAGGGTATAGGAACTGAAGCTGGAGTAGTTGGTATTGGAGTATGATTCATTCTTCAGTTGATGTGTGATACTAAACAAGTTCTAAATATTGATTCTCTCGTAAATAAATCAAATGTTTCAGTTTTTTACAACCGAAATTTTCAGAGACCAACTAAAAGCTTCGTCCCAATGATAAGAGGTAATTGGAGTCTAGCACAAGAGTTCAAACAAAATGAGAGAAAACAACAACTGAAAATACAGCAAAGACAGAAAAATCAATTCAAACTAGAGAAATTAAAGAATACAGATCCTATAAAGTTATTCCATAAAATTGAAAATTTAAAAAACAACCCATCAAAAACAGAAAAAGATGAGGAGTACTTAACAAAACTTCAAGAAGATTGGTCATTCATTGAGAAAAATGGATTACATCAAAGTAAAGTAAAACAATTACTACTGGATCATGAAAAGAAATTAAAGTTGAAACAAAAGCAGGAAACAAAATTGTGGGGACAAGAATCAATATACTTTAATCCCGAACTAAATCCATTGGGTAAAGTACCAGATCTTGATAATTTGAAGGTCAAGTTAAAGGAACCATTGAAGAATTTGATTATAAAAAATTTAAAAAATGTCCAAAAATATGAACCCGATTCATTAATTAAAGAATTGAATATTAAATTACCAAAAGGTGAACCTCCAAAATTTTATAAATACGTTCAAAATACTAAGAAGGCAGTTAAAAAGAAACAAGTAGAAGAAATACATGAAGAAATACGGAACAAAGAAAATGATGCCTCAGATGTAGAAGATGAAGAAGAAGAAGAAGAACAACTTTACAAAAAGCAAAAACTTGGCTAATTTAAGATCCAATGATTAGTATGTTTATTTACAAGAAATCTAATTATAAATGTATACATAAGCTTTAAACAAACGAACACCCCAAATATTAAAACTACATCCAGAACTGAAAAATTGACATGATATTAAAAATTTGAAAATCTAGGATAATAATTTAACTACTGCTTCCCATGTCCCAAACATTATTATGGAATTAGGTACTGTTCTTAATAAATGTGGAGTTAAACCACCATACATACTTGCAAAACCTTCTTCTTTTAAAATTAATTTGAAACATTGAATTAATCCAGTATATTTTGGTTTACCAGTTGATGCTAATGGAGCTTGTCTTAATCTTGTTCTGACTACTTCATGAGGATAAGTAATTAAACTTGCCATAAATTTTGCCAATCCAGCTGCACCAGATCTCGCTGACCATTCTAATATATGATCTTTTGTTTTCTTGTTTGTTGGATTTGTACCATGAACTTGTAGTGATCTTTTGTTAATAAATAATCTCATTTGTTCATATAAGACCCATTGTATTGTACTTTCTATTCCTCCTAAATATGATGCACTTAAACCTTTATATAAACTTCCAAATCCTTCATTCTTTATTATATGTTTAAAACAATCCCATGAATTTTTATAAATTTTATTTGATGATTTATCTAATTGTAACCTAGTCTTAATTAACCAAATGGGATTAGTTGCTGTTGATGTAACAAAACCTGCATTTATACCAGAAACAAGATGCATCCAAGTTTCTTCTTTACCTTGGTGACTAAAATTTCGTATTATAAAATCTTTTGTTGCTCCATATGTGAAAAAATTTATTGATCTTGCTGGTATTACACCTACTAAATTGGGACCTAAACCTTTGAAAAGTGATGATACGCCCTCCGTTTTATACATTCCTCTTAATGCATTACCAGTTTCTGATAAATGTTGAAATGCTTGCTTTATTGGATTCCCAGATTTTATAGTTTGGTTATACATATTGTGATAGACGTCACTTTGCAATCTTGTTTTAACAACATCTAATGGACATGTAACTACTGCTCCAACAGTACCTCCAACACCACCAGCTACAAAATGTACCCATGGTTTGGTTTCTTTAATTGTTGCTATATTTTGTTTTACTGTTGGGTCATTATTTTTCGGCATTGAACTTTCTAATTCATTTATTAGCTCTCTATCTCTAAAAGTTGAAGATTGTTCATCTGATGTTAAATATGGGTATGCTATTTCTGCATCTTTTTCTAGTACTTTTATTCTATCTTCTTCTGATCGTGAAATCCCCATCTTAATTTTCTAAATCTATAGTAGTTTCCAGTATGATGAATGATAAAGTAAAATGGAGACCGGATTTGCTATTTACAAGTGGTGGTAGTATGAAACGAATGAATTTATTGTAGTTTATTACTTGATAGATGATGTGTTATACATGAATTGAATAATTAAAAAATATTTTGCACACAAAATTTAATTAGAAGTTTCAAATTTATTCTTTTCTTTTTTTGCTGTAATTTTTCAACAATTTGACATTCAAGTTTGAGTCTGAAAAAGCTTCTTGGATCAGAATAAAAACTTCAATCTCAGCAACAAGCTATTAAGTTCATATGACGTTAGAGATATCAATTTATACTTTTCTTGATCTTTTATAGAGGGACCAAATATTTTTGCCTAGTCATCTCTAATTTGGTAGCTAACTCCGTCTAAAACACAAAGAAAGTATACCGAGCAAAATTTGTATTGCTAGTCTTACATAAGTCTTTATTCTATAAATTCATTATTCATTAATTTCGTTTGAGCTATTTGAGTGTCTTTATAAAATTGTCAAGATTATATTCTTCTTCATATTGTTGTTCATCCCATAGTTCACCCAATTCTCCAACAGCACCTGCTGCTTTACCTGTTAAACCACCAGCCAAATCTTCTGGCATATTAGTTGAACCATTACCATTAGTACCATTAACATTACTTGATCTTTCATCATTACCATTTCTTGGCTCCTCAACTTTGACAGTTTCGTCAACATCAAATAAATCCAATAATTGATTTGTATCCATAGATTGTAAACCTTGATTTTGTTGATTGACTATAGTTGATGCAATGTTCATTTTGAATTTTTGTAATCCCATGATCTTCTCTTCTAATGTGTCTTTTGTAATTAATCTGTAAACATTAACAACTTTCTTTTGACCTAATCTATGAGCTCTATCCATGGCTTGTAAATCGTTCATAGGGTTCCAGTCATGTTCAACAAATATAACAGTATCTGCACCAGTTAAATTTAATCCTAAACCTCCAACTTTTGTAGTTAATAACAATACATCAATTGATGGATCTTCATTAAATTTTCTAACAATTGCTTGACGATTTCTTGGATCAGTTGAACCATCTAATCTCATATATGTTACTGAAGGTAAATATTTTTTCAATAAATCATTTTCAACAATATCTAACATATCTTTTAACTGACAGAAAATCAAAGCTCTATGTTCTGAAATAACACCTTCAAACGGCATAAGTTGGTTTTTGGAAGACTGTTTCTTGGACTTATTGTAATCAGAATCTTGTGCACCAATACCACATTCTAATAACAAAGTCTTTAAGGATAATAATTTTGGTGAATGTTCTATATCTCTAATATTCGAATTTTTTAATGCTAATTTTTGATTGATTTCATTGAATTTTGGATGATTTGGTGAAATAATTAATGCTGGATGATTACATAATTTTCTCATATATTGTAAAGCTTGGAACACATGAGTTTTACCTTCTTTTTCAGTTGATGAAACTTCATCTTTAATACTTGCTTTTTGAGATTTTGCGAAATCCTTATATAATTGTTTTTGTATATCACTCAATTCACAATAATAATCTTGGATAATTTTTGGTGGTAAATCTGATAAAACATCCTCCTTTAATCTTCTCAACATGAATGGTAAAACTTGCTTATGTAATGATTCTAATGCTAATGCTCCTGCTTCTTGTTCTTTTGATGATGTTTTACTATTTCTACTTGCCGCAATTGGTTTTGCAAATTTTTCATGAAATACTTTTTCAGTGCCCAAAAATCCTGGCATAAGGAAATCAAATAATGACCATAATTCTAAAACATTATTTTGAATAGGAGTTCCTGATAAAATTAATCTGTGTTCTGCTCTTATCTTTTTAACAGATTTTGATAATTTAGAATTTGCATTCTTTATAATATGACCTTCATCTAAAACACAATAATTATAATCTTGAGATGATAAAAAGTCAACATCATTACGTGATACATCATATGATGTAACGACAACATCAACAGTAGACAATTGACTTCTCAATGGAATTCTTATACTTGGATTACCAGCATAAACCAAAACTTTCATAAATGGAGCATACTGATTAATTTCTTGTTCCCAATGACCAGTCAATGAAGGAGGACATATAACTAATGATGGCAATCTTCTAAATTCGACTGCATTTGTTTTCTTAAAATTTTCGGATCTCATATAATGATCAGATGATATAATACAAATTGTTTGTAAAGTTTTACCTAATCCCATATCATCACACAATATTCCATGTAAATGATATTTATTTAAAAAATGTAACCAATTAACACCTTCTTGTTGATATTTACGTAAGGTTGCTTTTATACTAACTGGTAAATCAAACGGTTTAATCTTAGATGGATCCATCATTTGCAGAATAAAATCTCTTTCTCTTTCTCTTCCTTCTAATAATTCTTTTGGCATATCTTCAGGATCAGGTATACCTGCTTCCAATGGAACTAATTTAATAATTGACGCAAATGTTGTTGTTGCTAAAACTCTAACATCATGATCTGAATCACTCATTCTACCTAATACTGGAACAATTAAAAACATAACATATGGTAAAATACTTGCACCCATTGTTGCAGAAATATGATAAATTGTTTCAATAGCACCTTGTCTTTCAATTACACTACCTGCATTTTTTAACATTGGTAAAATTGAGTTTACTAAAAATGTGAAGGCTTTAGTTGGAACAACAGAACATATAGTTGCGAAACATTTTGCTGTAGAATAACGGAATACAGAATATTCTGATTTTAAACCTGGTAATAGCAAATCTAAATGATCTGAAATTTCTGGATATAATGATGGATCTAATTTTGGTAATAAAGCTTTCAATATACCTAACGCATCAATAATACTTTGACCTTTAAATTCATCCTTAATAATATCGTCATTTGATAAAGTTGCCAACTCTTTTAATGGACCAATCATTAACTCTTTCAATTTTGGAACTTCTTTAAGTACATCCGCACCGTAAATATTAATGATTGCTTCAAGTGACATTAAAGCACCTTGTCTTTTAATTTTAGCTTCATAAACTGCTTTTTCATGAGCAGCAATATCAGCAGGATCACTTTTAGCTTCTTCTTTTCTCAATGATAAAATATTAGTTTTAAACCCAACATTATGATGAAATTCAGGTACTTCAGCCGTATCAACACATAAAAATGCACATAAATTTTTAATAATCTTGTCGGCAACATTTCTTTTACCATTCGAATTTAATTGTTTAATCAAATTTGCAACTGAGGAAACTGTTTTTTTCTGTAAAACTAAAGAATCCTCCAGTTTGACACTTTCCATCAAAGATTTAATTATTGGGTTTAATTTTTTTGGAACTCCAGATAAAGCAAGTACAGCACCTGCATAAGCCGCTAAGATACCAGTGATCTTAGACTCAGATACGCTTTTTGATTCACTTATTGCAACAGTAATTCTATGTTTAGCATCTTTCAAAGCTTGATTAGCTGATAATCTATTTGCAGTAGATAAACTTTTTTTCATTTTTTCAAAGTTTTCATTACATATCGATTCAGCTGCTTCAATACTAAAAGCGTTTGGACCAGCATCTGATTCACCTTGAACAACTACAGGTATTTGTGGTATTTTAGAAGGTGATAATCTTGCGGTTGATACAAAGCAATCAAACAATTGTAAACATGAAGTTCGTACAGCTTTTAGTAATGGAATCAATTCTCTAAAACTTGGTAATTTTGAAGGATCTTGTAATACATCCATTAAAGGTGTTGATAATAATGATACAACATTTTCATTTGGTGATTCTCCTTCATCCCTAACAGTATTTGCGTAATCCTCAACTATAAATGCACCTAATAATCTTGCGGTGGCATGTGGAGAATTCAAATATTTCATGATATTTTCAAATATTGAAGTTAAATTTGATTGTGTTTTTATTAAAGCTAATGATTTACCAAAAGCACTTGAAGCTGCACATCTAGTAGCAATCATTCTTTCAAATCCAACAAGCATAACATCACCTTTATAAACAGGTGCATCTATATTTATTTTCAAATCTTCAATTGGGATATCTAAAGTTTCTTCAGCTTGTTGTTGTTTGTTTCTCTTTTTGCCACGTTTGTCTTCATCTTCCAAGGGTCCATACATTTGTCCTGATGGACGCATAATCAATGAAGTGTTCATTTGATAATTATGCCTCGAAACACCAATTGGTGTCATTGTTAATGTTAATAAGTCAGATGCTTGATTGACAAATAAAGTATTGATATCTAAGTCATTTTTTTTTATTTCTTGTAAAAGTTTCTCATATACTGTTTGTGATAATTTTAGTACATCAGGATTTTGTTCCACTAGTAGATTCTGGAATAATAACCTTACAGCTTTTGCATCAATCCAAGTTTTCGTTATGAAATCATCAATAGATAAAAATTCCAAAATAGTCCTTAGAACAGCTTTTCTAACGTTTGTAATGGAATGTCTTAAAAATGGATATAATCTTGGAACTAGATTCTTGAATGAGTTTAATTCATCTTGATTAGCGTCTTGTTGAATAATTTCAATCACTTCTTTGTGACTGCATAATTTGGCTAACAAGTCCATTACTGAACCAATAGATGCAGATAAGTCATCCCTTAGATTAACCAAACAATCCCATATGACTGCAAGAAGGGATTTGACAATTGATTGCCTCGTAGTAACTACTTGAGAAGCAATTGGTGTTAAAGTTAATGCTGCTACTGATTGAACATCATCATCACTTTCTTGTAATCCATATAATACCATATTTATTACCTTATCAAACATTTCTGGATTTTTTAATAGTATGTCAGTTCTCACACTGACTAAATATCTTACTCCTAACATTCCACCATGTTTAGCTTCCCAACATTTTGGTAAGCAGTCTTGCTGTATGGTCATTGTATTTAAACAGTCGAAAGTGTTGATTACAGTTTCATCATCTAAATGTATCAATAAAGCAGCTAAAGTTTGTGCACTTGATTCTCTTACTGGAGCAACAACAGTATCTGAAACATAATCTCCAAATCTATCAAGGACAAACAAAATACATAATCTGACTGCTAAATCCTCCAAAGTAGCTGAGTTGTTATAATCATTTTCTTCTTTTGATCTATTCATAATTCTACCAGCTCCTTTACCATGTTTACGAACTAATTCTCTTAATCCTAAAGCTGCTCCATGTCTTATTTCCCAATTATCATCAAATAAATCTGCTAGTAATAATTCAAATACTCCTTGAAATTGCCATACTAGTCCTGCTACTTTATTATGTAACGAAAGTAAAGGTGATATTTCAGGTACTTTTGATTCAACAACTAATTTCTCACCTCCTTGTTGAGACGTTATATCAAATTTTGAAGCATCTCCTCCACTTGGTGCTCCATTTGTTTCAGAATCAATATCCATTGCTTCTCCATTTTCCATCATTTGTCTTGATATAGAACTTTGTGATATATCAATTGTTTTTAATTTCCCACCTCCAGATTTCGCATTTACTTTAGCTCTTCTTTTTTGCATTGCTTTTAGTCTTGCACTTGAAACTGGTTTATCTAAGGTAGGTCTTTCTGTTGGTGTCATTGGTGATCCAGGTGAACTGGGTGAATCTAGTAGTGATTGTTCTTTTTTCATATTTAGTTCAGATTTAATTGGTGGTGTTGGTGTATTTGATTCTATTTCCGGGTCTATTTCTGGTTCTTCTTCCTTCGGTAGTATATTTGCTCTATGCCTTTTAATTCTTCCAATTAAAGTTGAATCACATATGTCATCGTTGTTTAATGTGTTATCTGATTTTGATGATAATAATTTTGTACCGGATTTTATTAATTCATTTAAATCAAATTCATTGAAATTTAGTAGACTCGTGAACTTATCACTTAATTCTTTTAATTCCTCATCTTGCTCCAATTTTAGTTTAAATTCTTCCTCCTTTTCCTGTTTTATAAATGTTGAATCTTCGTATTTGATATTTTGATCTATCTCCCTTTTGACTAAATTCTCTTCTTCTTTCTCTAGTTTAATAATATCCTCTGTATTTGGGTCCCATTCACTTGAATTATTTACAATACCTCCAAATGCTCTTGCTGCAGATATTCTTGTTTCCCATTTATTTGATTTCAAAAATGGATATACTCTTGCTAATAAATTTAATATATCTTCCGGATGTGATTTCGCTAGATCAGATAATTGATCTGCTGCAGTATTTCTTATAAATGAAGTTGACCCCGTTTCTAATAGTATTACTAATCTATCTAATCTAGACATTTTGTTTTCTTATGTTAGACTATGATTACTTTATTTAATAAAACATTTATTTTGGTACGTGAAAAAAATTTATAATTTGAAATGATATGATTGAACTTTGATATTGTCTAACTATTTTTAGTGTAGTATTTATATATATATAATTTAATGGTTGTTGTAATTTATAATTGTCTTATGTGGTGGGTTGAGTTGTTTAATATTTTTGCAACCAAATTTGAGATTATTTTATTTTATTATGATACTTAATTAAATTAAAAAATAAATTCTATAAAAATCAATGCGAAATTTAATTCAATATTTATATTAAATTTTATTTTTTATAATTTTTTTTTGTTTTTCTTTCTCTCACTTTCAATTTTATTTTTTTTGGTTGTTTTCAGTTGTTTTGTTGTTGATGATCTAATAAAACAAAGATATATTTGATCTCAATGTTCTTTATATATGTTTGTTCTACTAATTCTTATTAATTTCGTCTTTCTAGATGACACCGCACTCAAAATAAAATTAGTCTGAACTCACTTTGTCAAAAAAAAAAGTTGAATTTGTAGACCGTTCGGTTTGATTGTTTTGGTTCCTTTCGACACCGTAATTATTTTTTGAACAATAACTACAATACTTGGTCTCTTTGATTAAATGTTTGATCCAATTTTCAAGCTAAAGCTCGAAATACATAATCCCTTATGATGATCTTAGTCTTAGGTGCTAAGTTTTTGAAGATATATACTACAATTTTGTTGTTGCTTTTTTGTTATACAATAGGAGAGATGAATTGTTTGAAAAATTAGTTCTGTCAAATTAATTAAACTTTTCTTCTTAGTGCTTTAAAAAGTTTCTACAAGAATAAATGATTTCAAGACACGAGTTTGTTGCTTTAGTACCTCTATCAACGGGTAGAAGATACAAACTTTTCAATCGTCTTAATTTTTAAATCACTAACCAACTTATTCAAGTCCTTCTCATCGTAAATGGTTCCTAATTCTAGAGATTGCTACCAAATGGAATTTTCTGCGTGAAATGCCAATAATGCGCAAACTTTGGGACTACACTTATCAAATTTGATTATATACATTTCAATTCATTATATTACTCTGCCAAAAATTAATTAAATTTATTCTCTCTGGATTCTCTAACTTCTTTCTTTTTAACTTCTAATTCATCTCTATTAGCATTATATTTAACATTAGTATCTTGATTCATTGGATTTTCTTTTGATTTTTGAAATTCTTTAAATACTAAATTCTTAACTTGTTGTAATCTTAATCCTGGATTTTCTTTTCTAATTTCTGGTAGTCTTTTATCTTCATAAGCTTTAAAAGCTGCTTTTACACGTCTTTCTGCATGACGATCTATATCTTTATTTGAAACTCCTGAATCTTTCCCAGTTAATGCTAAAGCTTCTAATGCATTATCTAAACCTGATGCACTTAATTCTGGTGTATCTTTATTAAAATCAAGAAAATCATCAATTTTACCTGTTCTTTTAGCAGCTACTTTTTCTGCTCCTCTTTGTTTTGATTTTGTTGGTTTTGAAGGCAAACTTGCTTCTTCTGCTTGTAATAATAAATCTCTTTCTTGTTTTTTTCTAGCAGCTTCTTCTTTTTTAAATTGTTCATCTTCCTTTTTTTTATTACCCTTTTTTGAACCATCTTCCCATTTTGAACTTTCTTCTGCTTCGAGTTTATCTAATTGTTCTTGTTTCTTTTTATTTGCTTGTTCTTGTTTTTTGGCATTACCTGCTGCTTTTTTTGAATTTTCACCAGCTTGTTTTTTGGCCATTTTGAATTGAATTGTTTTTATTATATATTATAGAATGAGAATTTATCTGGTGATTTTGTCCTTCGATATATTTATACGTGGCCCTGATTTTTTCTCGAAGGACTTCTTGAATATGTTGTTGTTGATCTTACTGAGTTGAAAATGATGTAATTAATTTTGAAACTTTTTTTTCAAAATTTTTCAAAACCATATTGCGAACTATGGAAAAGTGAAGTACAATTTTGGGTGCAAAAAAAAAATCAAAACCTCATAAACTTCGTCATTATATATTCTACACACTAACTATAATTTATTTGGTCTAAAAACAACTCTACCTCTAACTTTGTCATTAACCAAATCTTCTAAAGCTTGTGGTAATTTTTTAAAATCAACAATAGTAACATCTGGTTTAATTAAACCCTTAGAAATCCATTTCATACATTCAATTTGTTCAATTGAGTTACCACCAAAATTATAAAATACTTCAATTTCTCTCAATGCAAATAAATAATTTGGCATAACTAGTTTAAATTTACCTAAACCTATCATCGATAACGTACCTCTTTTTTTTAAGTATTTGTTTGATATATCAACTGTTGGTTGAATACCTACAAAGTCAAATATTATATCAAATGATTGTGGTTCATGATTTGATTTACTTAAATCGTTGTAAAATTCATTAGCTCCATATTTTAATGCAGTTGATTTAATATCAGGTTTTAAATCAGTTGCAACTAAATGACAATTATAATTTTTTAAAATTTGTATAGCATTTAATCCTAATCCACCACAACCTTGGACCAATATTTTAGAAGTTGGTTGAATTTTATGCTTAACTTTTTGAATAGCATGAAATGGAGTTAAAACAGAATCAGTACAAACAGCAGCATCTTCAAATGAAACATTATCAGGAATAGGCAATAAAGTTCTTAAATTCTTGACCAAAAGATATTGTTGAAACCCACCATCTTCATTTAATCCGTAGCATTGAGAAGTAGTAGTACATGCCCCATCTAATCCTTTTCTACACATTTCACAATCTCCACAACAAAAATTAATTTGTAAAGCAAATCTTGATCCAATTTTAAATTTTGAATCTTGTTGTTTTGATAATTCTGAACCTAGCTTACATACTGAACCAGCAATTTCATGTCCCATTATAAATTTATCCAGGGTTTTCAAAGGTGGTTTAAGTTCTATTGGTCCACCAATTAAAGTATGAGGATCAGATAAACATAAACCAGCTGCTTCAACTTTTAATAATAATTCGTTTGCTCCTACTGATGGTATTGGTATATCATCAAATTTTTGAATAGTTTTGTATCTTTTATCATAACCATATCCAAATTGAGTTTTAGGAATTGACATTTGGAGATTATTTAGTTTATTTGAATATGATGTAAGTTGATAGTGGAAAAATTAAGAACTAAGTGAAGTTGAGTATTTCTTGTAGGTAATTGTTAAGAGATCTGAAGAAGTTGAGGAAGTTGTTGAATATGAATTTGAATTTATAGAAAATAAGTAATCGTAAAATAAAAAGTCGATCGAGTATTAGCGGATATATTTATTTATTATTTAAATATTAAATTTCGGAGTATAATAGTTTTTCAGATATATAATTAGCCCCACTTTTCAGAAAGCCGCACAATATATTCCAAATCAGGAGATTTTGGTTTTTTTAAGTTATTAACTGCAAATACTCAATTGATTCTATAAATATTTATTTGAAACGTACATACTTCAAACTTATCTAATACTTGAAAAGTCTCTCAGCACTTTTGCACCATTTTGGGCCAGATAATATTTATCCGGTCCTCACAAAGTTGTGACTCGTCAAAAAATACCGTAATTTTAGATAATTTGATTTAGCCTAACCCGATCAACCTAGTGAGTTATTTGCTAATTTACAGAACCAAAACCATATATTAAAATTGAAAATCAACGTAAATGTCTAGGTATCAATCAAGTATAAAAGTCTGGACGCGTCAAAAAATTTTATTATGAAACATTGAAACGTACTAACGAACATTTCAAAGCTAAAAATTTAAAAACTTCATCATCACTTCACAAACAAAGAAACTCTACTGTCTACGGTTGAATACGTATAAGATTCTTTAATTCTACTTAATTTTAAAAGTCGGTTAATCACTCTTTTTTCTTTTATCAGAAATTAAAAAAAAAATTTGTTACCTCTTACTTTAAAGGCAGTGCAAATTTCGAAAAAATTTACGAATACGCAAAATAACGTATTTATTTTACACTAAAGTATAATGAAGTGAATAAATTCATATTATAATGACCATTTCAAACTTATAAGGCTATACTTTGTAAAAATTGAAGTTGATTGGTTGTTTATTCTAATTATAACTAATTCTATTTAAAATTATTAATCAATAAAATCAATCTATTCTATATTTAGATATTTACAACTAAAATAAATAAATTAAGGTACGATAGAGAATAAATAAATACAAAATAACATAACAAAAAAAGGTAGTGTAATATATTACAAATATATTTCTTTCATTTTAATAGATCAATATAATAATGTAAATAATAATTCTTAAGTAAATATTTATATAACGTCACCATTACAATTTTTTTTTTTTATTTTATTTTATTTTACTTACAACCAAAAATTTATGATTATATCAACAAATTGAATCTAACAAATTGTAAAAAAAGTTTCAAAATATTGTAAAATTAATATAATAAAAATTCAAGTATGGATGATAAAAAAGATGATTTAAGTAAATCAAATAATACATCAAATTCAATTAATGTACCACCAGTACCGAAACAAATACCATCAAGTTCATCAGTAACAACTTCATCATCCACAACTGTTTATAGTCCAAATAATAAAAATACAAATTCTTCAACTGATTCTTCAAATTTATTAGAAAATGATCCAAAAATAAAATTAATTTTAAATTCTGATTCAGCATTAGAAGTACTACTGAATAGATTAAAACAAAGTTTATCAACTGCTGAAGAATTTAGTAAATTTATTAAAAAGAAAGCTCAAATTGAAGATGATCATTATAATCAATTGAAAAAATTTGCAAATAATATAAGAGCAAATATGAAAAGTAATAGTAAAAATCTAAAGACTGATTCATTACAAATTCAAATGGATAGAATTATTGGATTTGATGAAAATTTATATGGAGTTGGATCAAGTTATGTAACTGCACTTAATACTATGTATGATGAAATAACTTCATTGATTAATACTATTACAAGATCAAGAAAAATTGTTAAAGATGAATATAGAAGAAAAGATAAAGAATGTATGGATGCTATACAGGCTGCAGAAAAGGCAAAAACAAGATATATGCATCTTTGTGATGATTTAGAGAGATTGAAAACATCAGATCCATCTAAAAAGGGGTTTAGTTTGAAAAACAAATCAGTTGAACAACAAGAGGATGAATTACAGAAAAAAGTTGATATGGCAGATCAAGAATATAAATCTAAAGTTTCTACGTGCAAAAAATTAAAAGATGAGATCTTAGTAATACATCGTCCAAATAATTCAAAAAAATTAAAAAATCTTGTTTTAGAAATGGATATTGCTTTAAATGTTCAATTACAAAAATATGCAACTTGGAATGAAAATTTAATTATGAATTCAGGTGTTTTGATTAGTCCCTTACAATCCAATAAGCCCTCAATGAAATCAATGGCGTCTTCTATTGATAATGAAAAAGATTTATATAAATATTTGTTAGAATATGGTTCACAACAAACAAATAAACAATTGACACCTATTGAATATCATATACATCCATCATTAATAAAAGCTAAAGATATCGGAAAACCATTCTTGAATAATAACAATAAAACTAATAGTGCAAGTAATATTAAAGCAGCAATTTCTTCAAATCAATGGAGTAACAATCATCCAAATAATAATAACAATATTAATGCAAATAGTGCTAAAAATTTGTCTACTCCATATTCAGGTAATTTACTACCTAGCAAATCCAATCAAGTTTCAGAAAAGAAAGATTCACCTCCAAATGCAACTCCGTTATATCCAATAGCTTCACCAACTTTCACTAATAATCCACCAAAGGGATATTCATCATTGGATCCAGGTAGTTCACCATCGACACCAAATTTGAATGGTCCAAAACCTTTTAATAACATTACAACATATAAACAACCAACTTTTGGAGTTTCAATAGAAGAAGTTATCAAATTTGCAGGAATTGATAATGTACCATTGATTGTACGTAGATGTATCGAAATCATTGAAACTTATGGAATTGATTTAGTTGGAATTTATAGAACAAGTTCAAATGTAAACCAAGTTACAAAATTAAAAGAATTAATTGATTCTGATTTTACAAATTATTTACAAATTGGTAAAGATATTGATTCAAAAAATGTTTTAGATAGTGATATTTTCGCAATTGCTTCATTATTAAAATTATATTTTTCAAATTTACCTGAACCTTTAGTAACTACAATGGAATCACAATCATTTATTGAAACAGTTAAACTAAATGATGAACATTTAATTGCAAAAAAATTACATCATTTAGTATTCAATTTACCGGATGGTGCTTATTTTACATTAAGATCATTAATTTTCCACTTAAATAAAATTGCAGCAAATGAATCAGTAAATAGAATGAACAATAAATCATTAGCTATAATATGGGGTCCAGTAATTTTTAATGATAATTCTTCAAGTGCTCAAGACTTAAGTTACAAGAGTAAAGTAGTTGAAGAGTTAATGGTTATTGCAAATGATATTTTTGAAGTCGATGAGGAATAATAAGTTGATAATACATTTTAATAATATATACACCAAGAAAACAGTACCAGACCATTTTTTTGAAATTAATACATTAATTTTTTCTTCTTTCCCGTAGATTCCTTTTTATCATCTTTCTTATTAACTCTGCTCTTAGCACTATTGATATTATTCAAATTTTTAACAAAATTAGTCCTATATTCCAAATCTTTTCGTTCTTGTTCCAACTTCAATCTCTTCATTTTCTTCTCTTTTTCATCTTGTTCTTTCTTCAACCTAATATCTAATTTAATTTTATTAAACTCTTCATCATTTATCCCCATTATTTTACGTTGTATATCCATTAATTCATCCTTTAAAATTTCATGAAATGAGGAAGAATCAATAATTTTATCTTGAATATCTTTATCTACAATATTTAAAATATTTGAATCTTTACCTGTATTTTGTATAATCTCTCCCTGTATTAATGCTGCCATTTTACCTTTATTTTTCATTAAAATCAGTGGATCATTTTTAATTTTGGATTCAATCATTATTTGTAATTTTAGTAGTAAATTATTGTAAGTTTCTGATGATTTAAAATTTTCCAATAATTCTTTTCTTTGATTATCAAATGTTCCATTCTTTTTGTATATTGTTGTTAGTTGTTTTGAATCTGTTACTTTCACTAGTGGAGTTTTCTGAGATGATTGATCTTTATCGGTGTTGTTTGACATTGTTCTGTTTTGGTTGTAAAAGTATAGAATTTGATATTTGATAAGAATTCTATCTGCGGCTTTATTTTTTTCTACTCATACATCAACTTTTCTACAATCGAGTTGTCTCAAATGGAAACTACATCAAGATCCGTGTCACATTTAAGTTCAGCTTCATCATTATCATTACCTAGTGACAGAAAACTAAAAAGGAAAAGAGCTCCGATAATTGACGATGAAGAACCCAAATTTACACAATTAGAGGAATGTAAAGTAATACTACATGAGGTTATAGATCGAGTATTGAAAGATCAGCCAGTTGGTTATTCATTAGCACAAATAACTTCCCTTGTCGAGAGGCTATGTAAATTCAAACATGCAGAATTGAAAGAATTGTTGTGTGTGATATATGAAAAAATAGACGAAGCGTTTAATTTATATGAACTAAATTTAAGTGTTAGAGATGCAAATATTAAACACCAATGTCCTGAAAAAGAAGCTCGAACAATTATGTTTTGTGAATCACTACTAAATGATTGGATCAATTGGCAAAATAAGCTTTCCAAGTTAAGTCAAATATTTGGTTATATCGATAGAAATTACTTGAAACTACATAGTTGGAAAACTCCAATTAAAGATTATGGGATTTCGAAGTTTACAATTACTTATTTAATTGATGATATTGATGATGGTGTAACAAATGAAAATTATGAATTAATCAAAACATATCATGAACGGTTGACAAAATTATACTATACTGATAAATATGTGCTGCAGAATCAAGAATCAACCAAAATCCAAGAAATCTTCAAATCACTCACAACACTACTTGATACATACGCCGAAGAAGATACATATTCCAACCAAATTTACATTGCCATTGAAAACTCATTTGAACAATCACAATTAAAAGGATGGTTCAGCTCATCTACAGAATTCAAATCGTCTTTTAAATTTCAACAAATACTACTAATATTAAATGAAGAAATGAAACTTAACGCAGCTTTAACACATATGAAAGATTTACAAAATTATCTTATATGGAGTTTTATATTAAGTGAAAATTTAGAAGATATAATTCAAGATGATTTTGATAAAATATTAAATAATCCCCATGAAATGAAAATCTTGAAAGAAATTTGTTCAACATCTATAAACCACTTCAGTATTGATGGTATACTAAAATTAATCAGTGTATATCTGAATTACGCGGAAAAACTATTCACAAAGACAATAGCTGATCATTCAAATATTATACCCACATTATATCAAGTTGTTACTGATTTAAATAATAAAACCAAAATGTATTTCAAAGATGATGATAGATTTGAATATGAAGCTCGAAAAAAATTACAAATTGTCATTAATAACAGATCTACCAATCCTATAATACTTCAACATTTAGTTAAATATTGTGACTCATTTCTAAGATCAAAATTAAAAGCAGTTGATAATTTTTTCGACATAGTGTTGGTGGTATTTAATTCATTATCAAACAAAGATCAATTTTTAAACATATACAAAAAGGAACTATCAAGAAGATTATTAATTAGTAAATCACTAAATTTAGTTAACGAGAAAAAATTGATTGAATTATTTGAAAAACAAGTTGGGTCAGATACAACTTTAAATAAATTAATTGAAGATATTGAATCTGCAACTACTACCAATCTTGCATTGGGTTCAAGTAATATGGAGTTCACTAAATTGCTATTGAAGTATGAAAATTGGACTGATATACCAGAAGAAGATTTCAAATCAATAACATTACCGAAAGAATTTGCAACCTTGCTAGCCGATAGCACACAAGGTACTAAGAAACTAGACTGGACCAATTATAAATTGCATAAATTAGCGATTAACGGTACATTTGGTGGTAAAGACGTAATCATCAATTGTAACTTGTTACAAGCTTTGATAATTTTGTTATTCAATGAAAAAGATGAAATTACAATTGAAGAAATTTTGAAAATTACAAACATGAATGTAAGATTATTGAATTCCATCCTACAAACATTCAGTGGTAGTTCAAGCATATTAGTCAAGAAAGATGCATCAGTAATTTACAACAAAAAATTTAAGAGTAAATCAGGAATAGTAAATTTACCAATAATAAAAGACTATCAACTACAACAAGTACAAAACCAACCACAATCTACAACACCAACACTAGATCAACCACAAACATCCAACAAAAAATTTGAATCAATAATCATCAAAACTATGAAACAAGCTAAAGAAATGTCTTACATTGATTTATTAAATAAATGTATGGATCAACTTGGTGCTCCGATTAATGTTGGTGATTTGAAACTGTCAATTGAGAAGTTGATTAATAACGAATATTTAAATAGAAAAGATTTCGATATAATTGTGTATATTCCGTAATAAATGGAGTTGATTTAGTCAACAAAGTAAGCTAATGAAATCTGATACTGCAACTATTCTAGGAATCAATAGATCATATTTATCTGAACTAATATAAAATACCTCTTAACACAAATGTTTCACGTGACACGTCATGTGGCTCAATTCTGGTAGCTTCTTGTAACCAATGAAAAACTGAAATTAATTGCTTATAATTTTTAGAAAGAGGTTTCAGAATATACATTTAATAAATCTTTACAACCAAACATAACAACAAAAATGGTATCAGTATGTAACTACGTTGAATACTCAGATATACGATAGACATGATAATGTAGATGTCAATTCAAAAAAAGTAACAGCTCAATCGAAGTAATACTAACATAATTTTTAGTACATTAAAGGACCAGTTTTAAAAGCATTAGCACATTTTGGCAAAGTAAACCCACCATTAGTAAGAGCATATGTACCAGATTTAATGATTTGGGGTGGTTCTGCATTAGCTATTGTTGCTACTTTTACTGAAGGTTGGCCATTATTTCAACAAACTTTTTATCAAAAAATTCCTTATTTTGGTCAACATTGGATTCACAATCCTGATCCTGAAGAAGTACCTGTTTAAGATGGTAGAGAATTAATAGGATGGTTTTGATAAAATTATTAAAGAGATGTTTTGCTTTTTTTTGAGAGTGTTAAAATTTCATACATTTGTGTAGTTATAAATTAATAAAATGTCAGTTTTCAATTCGATATTGAAGTGTGTGCTTCAAGTTTCAATGAATAACGTTGTAAGTTCTCTGTCTACATGTTCATCGTAATTGATATGACTAGCTTTATTGAATAAATAATTGTATGAATATATTGTTTATTAACTAATTTATTTAACAAGAATCAGGTTGTGACATTATATAATCAATAGCTTGACCAACAGTCTTAATACCATCAGCTTCATTATCAGGTATTTGAATATTAAATTCATGTTCTAATTCCATAACAACTTCAACAACATCTAATGAATCTAAACCTAAATCTTGAGTAAAATTTGATGATTCTTTAATTTCCCCAGTTTTGGCAGTATCTACTTTATCAAATCCTTCTAATAATTCTATAATTCTTTCCTTTGTGTCGTCTCTTGTTAATGATGGAAAGCCTGCGTATGAACGAGTGAAAGTTAATGATGGGGTTTTGGTAGATAATTTTATTATTGATGGTTGAGTTTTGAAAGTTGAGAATTTGGATGTATTTATAATTAATCTTGAATTGAATTTGAGTGATTTGGCAATTGTGTTTCTGAACATTTTAGCTATTGGTATATTTAGTAGTTGTAAGGTTTGGTGATAATTTGAAATTTTCCAATTCAATTTCTGTACATTCTTTTTTTTTTTGTTTATTTTTTTAGTGGTTGAAAAATTTTCAGATATCTAGACAAACCAACTTACTACAACCACCACCAAAAGACTAATGTTTCGTTCAATAATAGGCAATGCCGGTTTTTGCTCACTACTAAAACCCATGCAACAGCAACCAATCACTTCATATATAAAATCAATCAATAATAAGCACTTTTTACAACCATCAAATATTCTTAATCAATTACAACCAAAAAGATATTCATCATTAAATCAAATCCAACATTACAAACATTATCAACCACCAAAACAAAATATAACAAAATCACCCGATTTACAAGGCAACCCTTTCAAAAAAGGAGTAATATTACGTATAACAATTTTAAAACCAAAAAAACCAAATTCAGCCCTTAGAAAATGTTGTAGAGTAAGATTAACAAATGGTAAAGTAATAAGTGCTTTGATTCCAGGTGAGGGTCATAATTTACAAGAACATCATGTTGTTTTGGTAAGAGGTGGTAGAGTACAAGATGTACCTGGTGTTAAATACCATTTAGTTCGTGGAGCTTTTGATTTAGTTGGAGTAGCTAATAGAACTACTTCAAGAAGTAAATATGGAGTCAAGAAGCCCAAAACTTAAAAAAATTATAGAGTTATTATAAATAATACTGATTACCTGTAAATATATATATATTCAGTTTATTTTAGTTACTTTTTATATCGAATCTTCTACCACTTGCAGTTTTTCTATTTTCAATAATTTTACCTTCATCATCTAAATTTTCAGGTTTTGCTCTATTTAAAATTTTTAAAAATTCTTTAACTCTAAATCTCATTCTTGAATGCATATAAGCTTTTGAACATTTAATATGATAATGGAAATAAGACCTAAACATTTCAATATGAGAAATACAATTTTCTCTTTTATCTCCTTTAACTAAATGTCTTGGAAATAAAACAAATGTAATAAAACTTTGATTTTCCTTTGTGGAAACGTAATTGGAAATATCTAATGGTGGTTCATTATGTGAATATAATACTTGAGGAGCAGTTTGTACTGATCTTTTTCTTGCATCAACAAATTCTTGTAAAAATACTTTACCAAATATTTTATCAGTTTCATCTTTAAAAGCAGTTGAAAAAATAACAGTAACTCTATCAAAAGATGGTTTTATAAAAATACATTCATCAGCTCCTCTATATTTTATAACATAAACATCTTCATTAAATAATTCTTGTTGAACTTCTTCTGCATAAGTATTTGAATTAGAATATTTTTTAACTAATTCATCATACCTATTAAAAGCTTTATGGAATGGTGCAGCTAATGCGTTTCTTTTCAAAAGACTTAATTCATTAATTAAATCTAATTTAGTATCTTCATCATCTTCATTTGATGAATTTTCAGAATTTAATATAATTGAATAATCATAACCAGGTTCAATTTCAGATTTTGATAATATTTTTAAATTATTAAATTTAGAATATTTTGAATTTAAATATTCCAGAACTCCATATTTTAATAAATCATTCCAACATTTTAAATTAATTGATATTAATAATTCAGTCTTACCAGATATATGAAAAGTTGTAAAATCAAAATCTGTTATTATTCTATCTAATGATTTTAATGAATCTCCATTGGGGAATAATCTTTCTGTTAATGTTTTTTGAATGAGTAAATTGTTTTGTTCTATTTGGAGCATCATTTTGAGAAAGTGAGTATATTAATTGAGTTAAAGCTGAATTGAATTGAGTTTAATTGATGTTTGAGTATGATTCGGAAAAGCAAGTTGATTCTTTTAATTGTGTTCAAGGTTATTAATTTCAGTATGACCACGCTACCAAACAAATTGTAAGTACCGATTTGTTTACAGGCTATAAATTACAAAGCTACAGCTTACTAACAATTTTCCATTAATAAATTACGTTTATTATCCATTATGAATAAATTAAATTAAAAAAAACCTAATTAAGTAAAATTGTATTGCTTATTTAGATTAATTGACGAATTTTTTCTAGTCAGTTTCGTTAAAGTCAATTCTTTTGACCAACCAGGTATATCTTCACCAGAACCTCCAACAGGTCTTTCTAATACAACATTTTCTAAACCTAAAGCATCTCTTAACCATGGATGATTTATCATTCCACCAGCGTCAGCTCTTTCTTCTGGTTGTAAATTTAACATTGGTGATAAAAATTCTGAAATTTCAATACTATCACTTATTGAAAATTTATATTTTTCAATTAGCACTTCTTTTAAACTCCATGGTTTTAATTTCGAAATTCTTCTCATATCATATCTTGAGTTGAAAAAATCTCTAGAGTAGTAAGATTCCTTCAACATCATTCTTGGAAAATCACCTAATAGTTCAATAATTTGTGCGATATGATCATCATCTTTAGAATAAGTCTTACCATCTCTTGGATCAAATAAATAATCACCAGTTAATAATTCAAATATCAAAGAAGCAAATGACCATAAATCACTTGCACAACCCCAATGATAACCCAACAAGATTTCTGGAGCTCTATATTGACGAGTTTGAATCTCATCTGTAAAATGATGATTTGTCCAACATGCATTACCTAAATCTGCAATTTTAACTGAAATTAATTCATCTTCATTTATAATATCATTTAATTTTGTTGATGATTCATCTAATCTATAATTTGAATCATTTGGAATTTGCATTGGATCAACATTAACAGCTTGGTAACTATTTGAATTTGAAATTGACATTGATGATAATGAATTGTTTAGTGTTGTCTCGTCTATGTTATCTTCATCATGATGTTCTGTTGTTGTTTCTAAACCTTGATTGTTGTCTTTTGTGATGGACATACTTTTAACTGGTGTATTTGCGGTCGTGGTAGAAAATCCATATATGCTAGTAAATGATTTATTAAAAGTTCGAAGTGGTGATGGTAATGGTTGTGATCCAGTAATTAAAGTTTGTCTTCTTGATCTTCTACCTGATCTACCTAATGATGGTGATGCTATTGAAGTTGACGAGTTTCCTCCGTTGGTACTGGCTGAATCTTTAACATTGCTGTAAGAAGTACTTGGTGTAGATCCCTTTGATGATTTCAGTAATTTTTTTTGTAATTTTTTTTGAACATTTTCTTGTTCAACCATTTTAACAATTTGTTCAACATCTCCAATTTCAATTAATATATTTTCAGGTTTTAAGTCCGTATGTATAACTCCACATTTTCTATGTAAAAAATCTAATGCTGATAATAATTGTTTTGCAATTTGTTTAACAAATACAATGGGTATACCTCTATGTTTATACCTACGTATTAAACCTAAAAGGTTTTCCCCTAAAACTTCAAATACCATAACCACATGAACTCCATTCGGTCCCTTATGAGTAAAAGTATCTAATAATTGTATAACATGTTGATGACCTGGATGATGAATATCTGATGTTGTAACTTTATCTAATAATTTAATCTCATCAATTGCAGTTTCTGTATAGTGTTTTGCTGATCTCACAACTTTTATAGCAACATGACTTTGTTTATCATTATCTCTTGCTAACCATACAGTTGAAAAATGACCCCAACCTAATTTTCTAACTAAAACATATTTCCCATTTTTATATTCTTCTCCTATATAACAAGGATGATAACCACCAGGTACGTAATCTTTTAAATCTTCTTCATCCGCGGGGTTTACTGGTGCGTCTTCGTCTTCATCTTCTTCGTCTTCGTCGTCTCCTTCTTCTTCTTCATCTTTTGCATCTAGTATTTCTATTGGATTATCTTCATCTAATCCCTCAGATTCTTTTTCTTTTTCTTTTTTTCTTCGTTTTTTATCTTCTTCTATATGATAATGATGATGTAAATGATAATGACTACTCTTTGATGATTTAACTTCTAATTCATATTCATCTTCTGATTTCCCACGTTCATCTCCTGATTCTATAAAACTATGCCGTTTTTCTTCATCAAATGTAGTTTTTAATGGTGATAATTCAGGTTTAAAATGTTTTGCAGATGATGGAGTTGTTGAAACATAAGGTGAACTATGTTGAATTAAATTTGGTAATAATGATGGCAGTGGAATTGGTTTAAAATTATAACCATTTTGTTGTGATTCAGGAAATGGTTCAATATTATTTGATTTTTTTATAATATCTATATTATTTGAACTATTATTATGGTTGTTATAATTATTTGTAAAACCATTAGGTTTAAATAATCCACCACTTTTTGATCTAAAATGATGTTTTTGTTTTGGTTGTTCATTTATTGGTAAACTATTACGATGTTGTTGCTGATTATGGTGTTGGTGGTGATGATGGTGATGATGATGCTGATGAGGATGACTATTATTATTATCTTGTTGTTGTAGAAATTGTGACTGCTGCTGCCGTTGTTGTAATTGTTGTAATTGTTGTTGTTGTTGTTGTTGTTGTGATGATTCTAAATTATCTGCCTGTTCTTGTTGTATAGCTAATGAAAGCTTTGATTTAGTATTTGGCATATAATTTTAATATAATGAATTGAAACAATTGAATTCTTAATACAGATGATAATTGAAAAATTAAAAATTGATTTGTTATATAATAATAATAAGTAAAATTACAAATAATAAATATTAAAAAAATTTGGTTGTAAAGGAATGACTGTGATAAAAACTTATGAAAATATTTAAAAAACTTTTTTGATGATGATATTAAAGATAACAATTAAATGATTAATTAGTGTGATTTAATGGATGTTTATTTAGTTGATTAAATTGTTGATAAGTTAATTAAATTGATGATAATAAATTAATGAAGTATATGATACAAGATAACTGAGTATTAAAAAATAATAATAATAAAGATTGAATAAAAATAAATATTTTTTTTTGTTTTAAAATTAATATAAATTTATTTTTTGTCTTCTATTTCTTTAAATTTCTCTCTCTCTGTTTAGTTTAAAATTTCTAGTATGAATAATAGAAATTGATTTATTAGCTGAAAACAATAAGATCAATTGATTAATAAATAGATTAACAACAATATGGCTTATGAAAAGAAGGGACATTTAGCAGAGATTAACCACTCTTAGTATTTAATTAGAAATCATATATTAACAAAAGTATCTCATTATATATTAAAAACCGTAATTAATTTTTTTCTTTTAGGATGTCTCAAAATAACTCGGACAGTTTAGGATTATTAAATTAAATATGTCACTGTCCTAAATTGATTAATAAATTATGCATTACAAAGTGAAGTCAATTTTACGGACTTATCCTACGAGTAACAAAGTCAAAAGTTATTATCTGTTATTCTCTCATCGACATCTCTCTTTCTTCTAATTAATTATTCCACGTTTGGTCTCCAAGTTTCTTTTAACACGACAGATCGTTCTATTATTAATAGTTATAACGTCTTTTTTTTAAGGTACACAAAATATTATATATTTAGGTATGTAGATTCTATTTTATAAAGATTATTACCACGTTTCATTTTGATTGATTTCACAAAATTATTAAATATAATTATAATTATAATGTAAAAGTAAAGTTTTATTTATTAATAAAAGTAACTGCAAAAAAGCTATACACAAAAAGTATTAATAGTAAAAAATTGTTTATTTTTAAATTTCATCTCAATTTCTTCTAATCCATTTTAATATCACCTTCTTCATCTTTTTTATCATCTTTTTTATTATTATTATTCTTTTTTGATGATGAATCATTTTTACCACCATCTTTTCTAGCTTGTGCCATTTTTTCAGCCATTGCTTGAGCTTGAGCAGCTTCTTGTTTTTGTCTATATTGTTCTTTTTTTTCTTGTTCTTTTGCTAAATATCTACCTCTAATAACATTACCAATTGATGCTAATTCTTCATATTTTGCAATATATTTTGCTTTTGTTGATTCATAACCTTCATCATATAACCAATCTTCTGCTTTTTGTAATAAACCAGTTAATTTTTCAACTTCTTGTGATGAAGCAAATTCTTTATATTGATCTTCTAATTTACCTCTTAATTCATAAATATATTCTTCTAATTGATTTTTTCTTTCTTCTGTATCAGCAACTAATTTATCTTCCATAATCATTTGAGATTCTTGTTCAATATATTTTTGTAAATCAGATTCATTTAATGCTGCACACTCAACTTCAATTGTACAATCATTCTTTTTAACTAATTTTTTAACTTCTTTATATTTTGGTTCTGAATCTTCTTCATTTTCTTCACCTTCACCTTCTTTTGGTTCAATTAATTCTTTTACAATTTGTTCTTCAACTGTATAAGCTGATTCAATTGTATAAAATCCAGAAGGATCATTTCTTAATTTTAATTTAACTGCAATTGATGATTCTCCATTATTTGGTACAACATTACCAATAGTCCATTTTGCAATGAAATGTTCTGTACCTTTTGGTAATTCTTTTGGTTTTGTATATTTAGCAGTAACTTCAAATTTTGGACCTTTTCTATATAATGTAATGATTTTAGTACTTGGAAATAAACCACCTTTTGGAAATACTTCTAAATGATCTTCATCTTCATCTTCTTTATCCCAAAAATATGATACAGTATATTGATTATAATCTTCAAATTTAAAAGGTCTAACTCTAACAGTTGGTGAATGACATGCACAAATATAAGCATTACCTTTTGCAATAGCTTCATCTTGATTTAAAGTAAAACTTAATGGTTTACCAAAAATTTCAGTAATTCTATCTTTAACAGCTGGAATTCTTGATGATCCACCAATAACTTCAATTGAATCTAATTCTTCAGCTTTTAATCCAGCTTCTTTTAATGCAGTTTCAATTGGTACATTAAATCTTTGTAATAAAGGAGCAACTAATTCTTCTAATTCTTCTCTTGATAATGATGATGAAACATCAACATCATTCATAACACTTTCAATATTGAAAGGAGCTTGAGTATTTGCACTTAAAACTTTTTTCAATTTTTCAGCTGCAGTTAAAACTCTATAATAAGCTTTTGGATTTTCAGTAACATCAATTTTATATTTTGATTTAAATTCATTTGCAAAATGATCAGCAATTGCATAATCAAAATTTCTACCACCAAAATGTTTATCAAAAGCAGCACCAATAATTTTTAATTCACCTCTTTTAACAGCGGCAATTGAAACTTGATAAGAACTATGACCAACATCAACAAATGCAACTTTTTTATATTCATCTTCTGGTAAATCAGCAGCTTTGAAAACACCATAACCAACAGCGGCTGCAGTCAATTCATTAACAATTCTAACTGGATTTAAACCTGCAATTTTACAAGCATCTGCTGCTGCACGTCTTTGTTTTTCAGTATACCAACCTGGTACAGATAAACAAATATCAGTAATATTACCTTTAGTTTCTTTATGAGCAGTATCTTTAATTTTATCTAAATACATTGCTAATAATTGAGTTGCATTAAATTCTTGATTTTTACCTAAATATTTAACTTTTGTTGAAATACCATGATCAGATTTATTTGAAACTAATGGAACAGTAAAAAATTTTTCTTCAATTTTAAAATCTGGATGATTATGTGGTAATCCAACAATTCTTTTTAAATTTTCAACAGTATTTTTAATATTTGAAGTTTGTTGATTCTTAGCAGTTTCTCCTAAATATCTTGCTTTTGGACCAAATCCAACAATTGATGGAGTTGAACGATTTGAAACTTCATTAACTATTATATCAATACCTCTATTTCTTGCACATGCAATAACAGTGTTATTATTACCTAAATCAACACCAAATGGAGTAGACATCTTCTCTTGTTATTTATGAATTATTCTATAATACGGATGCTAAAACAATAAGACAAAAAAATAAAATTCTATAATCAATTGATATAAAAATAATAAGCAGAATTGAAAAATTTAACAAATGATTCTTCTTTTTTTTTTTCAGTTATTCTTCTTCTCTGTTAATATTTTTTTTTTTTGCTGTTATAATTTATATGATGTAAATTATGTAATATTACTTTTAAATTTGGTAGCATACGTTCCATACATTACTATAATATTCTTTAATATTCTATATAATTCTAATAATATGTGATTAAATAATTGATAATATCTAACGAATCCACTTAATGTTCAAGTCATCATATACAAAATAAAGAATTGTTTTGTTTGTAAAATAAATGTAAAACTTTCTTGAAGTCTTGTTACAGACTTCTCTTGCCTGATAGGTTAAAAGCAGCTGCTTTGTTATTCTTCAAGAATCCCAAAAGTAAATTCCTTATGATTTTGTAGCAAAACTATTGCAAAAAAAACTAGAGTTAAGAATTGAACTGATCAATATTAACGAATTGCAGTGTCTTCGAAGAGAATAAAATACAAAGTAAAAAAATCTACAAATATATCAATCATTTAAGATACAAGAATACATTATACATTTATTAAAAACTTGATACTTGCAAGCAAAAAGATTGCATAATAACAAATAATATAGAAGGATATCATTTCGAGGTAGTTGAAACCATTAACTTTTCTAAATTACAAACTTTAAATCATTAAAATATAACAACTTGTATATCAGTTATTTAATTATTTATGACCAAAAATTTGTTATTTAGTTTTGTAAAAAAACCGATAAAATTCATTCATCAACTTCCATAATGATGAAAAATCTCATGGGAATCCTCAATTAATGATTTTTGAACTACCGACTAATTGTCAAAACGTCACGATCATAAAATGAGAAAATGCCCATAATTAAGTAATAACCCACAAAGTTTCTTCACCCGGCTGAATGAAATTTCCTCATAACACTTGCTTAGATTTTCAATCCTTGAAAACATAGGAACACATAGGTGTTTGACAATATTAATACAAGTTGAAAATCAGAATCTCTATTCGTAATAGATTGCCACAATTTAATACTACTGTATTAACGTCTGAATATGAAACAGTTGCTTTTTTTGCGTAAAGGAGTTGAACATATGGAAAAAAAATTATTTTATATAAATTTAAAATTCTCTCACTCTCTATTTATACTAATTTTCAAATTAATAAAATTTAAAATTATAAATAATTTCACCCCTTGTCGTGTTTCAGATCATATTATAATTTCTATTATATGCAGGATGTGGAAAATATTTACTGTAATTGTTCATAAGATCAGTTAAAACCAATCTAAATATAGATCAACTTGAGTAGGTTTTAATATATAACTTGCTTTATTTGAGAAAAAAGTGGTGAAACCAATCGTTTACTTTGAACATGAAAGATCAGCATTTTTCAAAAAAGACAATCTTACTTTGCTACAAATGATAAAGTATTTCCAGTAACTTTTTATACCATCAAAATATATTTAAAAACTACCTATTAACAAACTTAAGAACTTTGTTCCAAAATAGTCATCAAACTCATCCATCCACCACTACCAACTAATTGAGCATAAGTAGATTCATCTTTAGTCTTGATATATTCAAATAATAAATTAGCTTCATCATCATTTAAAATTCTTAATTTTAGAACATACACAAGAAAATGAAAATCAAAAATTTGTGAACCTTGTTTTTTCAAATAATTATAAAGTGTTGATAAATTTTGAAAATCTTGATTTAAATCACCTAAAAATTCTCTATTTTCTATTACGTAAGGTTGGGAATTAAACATTGGATTTGGTTCAATTGGAAATGAATCAGTTAATGATACTAATAAAAATTCACCAGGGAATGTAGGTTTTGCATTTGTTTTAATTTCTAAACCATATTCATTTATTTTACTGAATGATATATCAGGTACGTATCTTTTATCATTTGATTCATTAACATAAATTTGTGAAGGTTGAGTTGACCCCGTAATTAAATCAGCTTTGATTAATGATTCAGCATTGCTACTAACTTGATAAGATCTTGGTTCGATTTCTCCCTGTATACCTCCAGATATAACACATGTAATAAATTTTGATGAAAATTCTCCTGAATTACTATATTTTGTTTTATTTGGATTTGCAATTTGAAATTTACCACTCATTAAAATTTCTAAATTTGTTAAAAAATAAGAATCTTTATGTCTTTTACATAATACTGTACCATTTTTCATACCTGAATCAGTTAAATCAGTGAAAACAATACCAACTTTATATATTCCCAATTTAGCAGCAATTGAATCTACAAGTGATTCATCATCCCATTTTAATAATGTTAATCCATCAATTTCATCGTTTTGTGGTGGTTCTATTATTGCTTCAACTATTGCCTTGATTCCCATGGGAACTTTATCAAATTTTTCATAACGTCCATATAAGTAACCGAATCTTTGATACCCTGAAGTTCTCCATACATTTATAAAATCATTTAGAATAGAATGCAGTGAATACTCCAAATGATCTACCATTCTGAATTTTTGTAATTGTAAAGTTATTGGTGATGGTTGACATTTTGAACATATTCCCTTTGGATAAGATTTATGACCTTCATTACATTTTAAATCAATTGCAAAATTAGGATTTTCTAAAGGTGCAATATATGAACTACTCAATTCTTTTTTATTAAATTTTGCCATTTGTTGATTTAAATAAGCATGATAAGATAAATGTTTTATTGCATTTTCTTTTCTATAATTTTCATCCCATGGTGATAATGGTGAACAATATTCACACATCCCCTTTGATCCATGTCTACACATTGGTGATGTTGGTCTTTGAATCATTCCATCTAGTTTATCTAATTCATCATCTACTGGTAATTGTTTTATATTAGTTAATGGACCATGATTTGAAATGGTGGTGGTTGCTTTTATTGGTACTGAATCTAATTGTTTTGCATGAGTTGGTTCATTTGTAGTGTACGTTAAATATAATAAATCACCATTTTTAAGATTTAAATCTGATATAGTTTTAGTTAATATTGAAGATAATGGAGCTGTTTGAGTTGAGTTTGGATCTTGAGATATTATTATATCATCTATTTTATCAGTTGATAATTTTGGTAATAAATCTTGTGCAATTGATTGGAAAGTTGATGTTTGAGTTGTATTTATTCTATGCATCCCATCTTTCGATCTGAATCGAAGTATTAATGATGACATTTTTGTTTGTGGTTGGTAAATTATTTGGTTGTAAATTGTCAATGATCTACAATGTAAATTGATTGTAAAACAAATTTTGCCACAAATAAATAAATATATATTTATAAGAAACTCTAATACAGTATTATACAAATTTTAATACACATAAACTTTTATACAATTTGTAAAATCTCCAACAATCAGTTTACCCTTTAGCAGATAATTACTATAATTTTTCTTATCATCTACTACTTCTTCTTCCTCCTGATTCTCGTTAATTTTCTCATCTGTAATTTCAACAATATCATCAGGATTTAGCAACGGTTCATCAGTCTCTTCAACATTGAACACAATTTCCGTCTCCTCTTCCTTTTTACTGCTAAATGTTTGATCTTTAATCATTGTATTGAAAAATGAGTCACTTAATGATTTTTTAGCTTCTTCATAATCAATTAATCTTAGTCTAAATCTAATTTGTATAATTACATCAACTGGGACAACACATTTTAAATTATCAATCTTAAGGTCGTATGTCCGTACTTGTTTTCCAACATCATATACTATTGGTTTAATTAGTGGTGTTATTTTGTCAACAATTGAAGAAATTTGATTTGATGATAATTTTAAAGTTGTTATATTATGAATTGTTATTGGTGATACTTCATTTATTGATAATGATTGAATATTTGATGTGTTTGATTGAGCAGTTTTGGAATTTTCATATTTTTTGATAAATAACTTTATGGGTATTGTTAATTCATTTGTTAATTGTATGAATGTTAATTGAGGTGGCATTTGAGCTGAAGTATAAGAATAGTAGTCAGTAGTTTTGTACGCGATTTTTTCTTTGAGTTTCAGATTCATTCAGCTATCAGCAAAAGATACTACAAGTACAAACTACGAATAAATGTGATGAATTAATAATCTAGTGTAAATTATAATATTAAATTTAAATATATAAATATAAAATAAAGTAACTGAAAATTTATCTATTCAAGTTATTGATCACTAGTTTTAAGTATTGAATACCAAAATATTGGATCAATCCAACGGATAGCAAAATGATGAACTCTTTAACATTATCAATTATTTACTCAAAATTTAAATGAATCGTCGCAGCAAAAGCGCGCCATTAGACATCTTATTCTCTTTCGAAAATTATCAAACCTCAAAAAATCCAATCTATAAATTGCCAAAACATTGTACTGACTAACAATAAGTAGTATCAACAAATAAATTAAAACCAATAAAACTAATTTTTTTAAAAATCCATCATATTAAACATTGCTTGTTTTTTTTTTCGGGATTTTTATTATTTTATATTTTTTTTAAAATTTTTATAATTTTTATAACCAAACTTCTGAATATCAAACATTAACAAACACAAACCACCAAAAATAGACACCTAAAAATTAAATTAATTGAACTGAATATAAAAATGTAACCTTAAATAAAAAGTATCTTCAAAACCTAAAAACAGATATATTCTTCCAACATATCAAAACCTTGTGGTTGTTGTTGTTGTGATTGATTATTCTTTGTATTTTCAAACTCATTCAAATCAAAAGTTGTTGAAGTTGATGATTCTTGTAAATTTTCTAATTCTTGATCAAATAAGTCAAATGAATCTAATAAATCTTGAAATGGTGCTGCAGACCAAAAATGATAAACCAATAAATTTATTAAAATGTGAAATATAGTATATAAAGAATCCCTTAACAGTTACTTCAATGCTATAAATCAAACTCAAAGTTGTTCGGTTTCACAAACTTGTATGAAAGAAAATACTCTAAAGGCACATTAATTTAAGTAAATAGACCACATGGCTTGAAATTTTACCCAAATTAACATACCAGTATTCTCAATCAAGTTACAAGTGATCCACCAAAAACTTTTGAATTGACAAGCAGAGAACTATTAGTTTCAACTTTAATTTTGTAAATTTCAACATTAAAATGTAACTTTTTTAGTGAATCAAATGACAAAATTACTGCTGAATTTTGCCCCGTTTCAAACAATGATAAATTAGAATCCATATGACTAATTGATGTTTTAGTAGATATAGGTGATGATATATTGGTAATGATATTTAAATCTTCTTCAAAATTTGGTGAATTGATTGATGAGTTTGATGCTTGTGATAAAGGTGATTTGATAATTTGATCGGTAGGTATAATTTGTTGTTGTTGTTGTTGTTGTTGTTGTTGTTGTTGTTGTTGTTGTTGTTGTTGTTGTTGTTGTTGTTGTTGTTGTTGTTGTTGTTGTTGTTGTTGTTGTTGTTGTTGTTGTTGTTGTTGTTGTTGTGATTTGGATAATTTGAAATCATTTGGTTCAGGTGAATGAATACTGATTGGTGATAAATAATTGAAAAAAGTTGAATCATCTTCTTGTTTAACTTTAATATCTTCAGATTCTTCAATTTTAAAATCAATGGAGGATTTTTTAGGTGAATCTTTTTTACTAAATCTTCTTTTTTTAGTTGGTGGTTCATTAGCAACAACTTCTTTTTGTTCATGAACTTCGTCTTCTTCTTCTTCATCATCATCATCTCCATTACTAGAATTTTTTCTTCTTCTTGAACTAATTAAATTACTATGAATTTTTTCTTTCAATTCAGATACATCTTCCAATTCTAATAATTTAATTTGTGATAATTTATCTTCTTCTGAACCGATTAATTTTGATGAATAACCATCATATAATTTTTTTAAATTTTCTTCCAATTTAACAACATAAACTTCTAAAAATTCAACATGTCTTCTCTTCTTTTCTCTTGATGCATGAGCAGCTCTTCTATTTCTTAATATTCTTTCAATTTTACGTTGTTCTTTTTCTTCTTGAGTTTTAGCTCTTTTTCTTGGTGGTAAAGTTGATATAAAAGTTGTTGGATCAATATCTAATGAATTATTGGTAGCTATATTAGATTGAATATTACTAAGCTTAATATTATTAATAATTGATGAATCAACTTCCATCATGAAATTACTGTAGTTAATTACTTAAATTAATAATGTAATTGTAAATGGAAATGGATGTAATATATATAATAAGCGATTGGTTGTAAAAAAAAAAAGTGATTCGTTGTCTTTTTTATATTTTTTTTTTCTTTCCCTCTTTCTTTTAATTAAAGAATTTTAATGCATGTGGTATTAATTAATTAATTTATTAATTATATTTTGAATATTACGTAATATATTATATAATAATAATAATAATAATAATAAATTTTGCCACTATAAATTTAAGGCTATGAAAAAATTGTAATTTAAATTTAATTAATTTAATTTACGAAATATAAAAAAAAGAGGGGCACGAGAAATAAAACTATTAATATTGATTAAACAGTAATGCGTAATTTGTTCAATACTTATCTCTATTAAAGACTTTTTCAGTAATTATAATTTATAGATTTTATAAATCTATATAATAATTTTTGTTTATTCACAAATGTTACCTTTTTTTTGAAATTGAAGATTAGTTCTAGACTGAATAATAATAAATAATTCTAGGTCGTAATTAATATTATTAATTGTTTAATTGTGTTACATTTATTGCTAAAATTAATTAGAAAAGATAAAAATAGATTTTGAATTATAATAAATAACAAATTATATTTAATTTGTAAATTAACAATCATTACGATAAGAAAAGGAGTGAGATTTTATTTTAATTAATTGAATTTTACTTAAGGGAAAGAAGTGATAAGTTTGATTTAAGAGTAAATTTTCTCAAACAAATTAATTATTAAAGATTTTGGTATATTATTTTGTAATTAACATTTGATACACGAGGCGAATTTTAAAATATTGGAATAAATAATTTGTTATAATTTGAAGGTGTAAAAAAATTAATTCAATTAATTTGAAATTTAATTCTCTATAGAATAATTCACAAAAGATATACACCCTTTGTAAAGTAGATTCGTAACTAATTTATCCTTTCCATTATTGAATAGCCATAAATAAATTTTAATACTACCAAAAAATTTGACGAAATCACACTTTTAAGCCTTTTCTTGGTTTTTAATCAATATCTTAATTTATGATTACAATTGTTTGTGGTTTTTACTAAAAAAGTCAGAATTGAAATAAAAAAATAAATTATTTGAATTCATTATTTGTATAAATAATTATTATTTATTGTCAAATACTAGATATGGTCTTGAATATAATTAATCATTACTTCTATTGTTATATGATAGAAGACTATGGATTAATTTAGTGCAATTTTATATAATCTAGTCGAAATTTCCTTTTTCATTTTTACAGTCTCTGAAAGGTACTGGTTAAACCATTTTTAATTTGTTGAAAATTGATATGTAAATAATATATCGAGTTTGATTGATTGAAATTTCCCATTAAAAATTTTTAAGAAAAATACTAAAAATTACAAATTTAACTAAAAAGTTAGTATAATAGAATGAATTGATTCTTCTTGATTTGATAAAACACATAATAAGCAAATAATATGGTTGTTCTTTCTAGTTGTAGAAATAATATTCATTTGTTTTGTACAATAGAAATGAGAAATGAATTGTAAACAAACAAATTTTATAATGAAAGTGAACATTTTGAAGAATCTAATAAATGAAAAGAAGCAATAAAATTAATTAAACAATAAAATGTTCTCCATAACTGAAAAGTTTGACAATTTGGAGTGAAACAAGCGAGTGGCTCTAATTTGATAATGAAATGCAGTAAAAACAAAATTGTTGTCGTTTTGTGTATACCTGAGTTGTCGTTTTGTATAAATTTTTACTTCGTCTTATTAAATTTGAATCAAGATTAATCTAAAAATTATTATGCTTTATTATTTGCGCTTTTCTTTTTGGGTTTCTTTTTATTTTACGTAATTTATTTTGACAGATTTTTTTTACAAATTTTTACTAAATAGGAAATAGGATATTTAGAAATATTTATTTTTTAAAACATTTAATTGATTTCTATTACAGGTTTTTTTGGGGTTTTTCTTTCTCCAAATTTAGTGCAATCTTATATTATCTACTCGAAATTTCTTTTTTTGTTTTTACAGTCTCTGAAAGGTACTGGTTTAACCATTCTTAATTTGTTGAAAATTGATAATGTAAATAATATATCGAGTTTGATTGATTAAAATTTCCTATTAAAAATTTTTAGGAAAAATACTAAAAATTACAAATTTAACTAAAAAGTTAGTATAATAGTATGAATTGATTCTTCTTGTTTTGATAAAACACATAATAAGCAAATAATATGGTTGTTCTTTCTAGTTGTAGAAATAATATTCATTTGTTTTGTACAATAGAAATGAGAAATGAAATGTAAACAAACAAATTTTATAATGAAAGTGAACATTTTGAAGAATCTAATAAATGAAAAGAAGCAATAAAATTAATTAAACAATAAAATGTTCTCCATAACTGATAAGTTTGACAATTTGAAGTGAAACAAGCGAGTGGCCCTAATTTGATAATGAAATGCAGTAAAAACAAAATTGTTGTCGTTTTGTGTATACCTGAGTTGTCGTTTTGTATAAATTTTTATTTCGTCTTATTAATCTAATCTATCGCTCTAGTGAAAATATTCTGTCATTTTGTTGTAAGTTAATCTTTGGTCGTATAGTCAAAATCTTTGGCGTTGTTTAACTATAAAAAAACGAAAATAGTTAATGGTAAAAGTGTGACTAAGATTTTCCCCTCAAGCGACAAATTATATTGATGTAGGGCGACAAAACAAATTTATTAAAACGAAAGATAAAATTTACTAAAAAGATAACAATTTTTTTGTTCTACACAAAACGATATCAATTTTGTTTTTACTGTACACCAGGGTAATTGGTCAAAATTTAGTTGTTAAAAAGTAAAACAAGTAAATGGCACCAAATCAATTTAATTTAGATAAGGTCTTCACATTTCTTTTGTTAAAACTTCATGTGCAGCTTTACCAAAACTTATCAAAATTATCAAACAAAAATATTAATGAAATGTAGGAAAAAAACAAGTAAATGGCATCAGATTGATAATTAAAATGATAAGAACTCTTAATTGTTATATAGATGATACTTGACTTATGATGTTGATGTAGTTAATTCGGAGATAATCCCGTTCAAAATATGGAGATTCAAAAATTATAAATTCGAAAGAAGTTTCCAATAAAACTGGCTTTTCTTTTTTATTTCAATAAAGTAAAATTTATTAACTTAATCAAATCTACTATTATATCTTATCATAAAATGAAATTTTCAATCTTAGCTTTATTATTTGTTGGAGGTGGTGCTTTAGCTACTGCTGTTCCTAATGCTGAAGAAAGATCAGATGTTGGTGAATTAATTGCTTGGAAATTAGAAGGTCTTGACGTACTTCGTGAAAATGTTGTTATTGATGGTTTCAGCTGGTCAGATGGTGAATCTCATGGTAAAATCGTTAAAGCTAATGTTGATGAAGAAACTAATGGTTCGTTTATTCTTGCTTCGAATTCAGGTCCAGTTTCAGGTTCTTATCCTGGTGTTTCAAACGCTAACCTCAAAAAACGTGGTTTTACTGCATTTTTAGATAATGAATTAGAAAAAAGAGGTCTTTGTTGTACTGTTAGTGTTTGTAGTTATGAAATCATTAAAATTTGTCTTGAGTAGATGGATAAGATTGTTGTTTTTCAAGTTGAGGTTATAACTGTTTGTTTTTTAACCTTTAATTTTGGTTGTTTTCATTTTTTATAGAATAATGTTTTATGTTTACAGTTTTTATTGCTGTATAGAAAATGTTTACAGTTTTTTATTATTCTATAAATTAAGGAAGTTTTTAACTCTTTATTATCTGAAAATGTAATATTAAATCTTTCTAGGTTACTTTAAAATATTTAAGTATAAATTTGATAAATTTAATGCAAACAAAATCAGTTTTGTGTCATATTTGATTTAACAATCAGATCAAGCTGAAACAAGCTACACGATCAATTTTTTTTCTTTCATGAGGATGATTTTAATTAATTGTGTTGAGGTTCAGTTCCGCACAAAGTAGGTGTATTAGTTGAAGTTCTAGGTCTTGGTGGCATCCTATATTTTTATCAACTATATAATCCATAGTATAACTAAAAAGGTTTTCTCAAACCATAAATGTACAAATATCATAATTTATATATCAATTAAATATTCAATAGCAAATTTACAAAACAATCATTAGCATCAATTTCAAATTCAGAATTGCTTCTTTTTCAAAATTTTAGATCAGATGAAGTGATTCTTGAATTCACATATAAAATGAATTCAAATGATTATGTAATAGTCTAATCTCAAAACTTAGATTATCAAAACATACAATATACACATAGCAATCAATAAACATATAGTTAGTGATTAATAATTAATTACCTATATATACATTAATGCTTTAGCTCGATCTATAATTTGTTGTCTCTTATCATACTTACAGTAGTATCAATAATATACATATATATTGTGTAGTTTCATACACTATTTTTACAAATTAAAGATTTGCACGAGAAATTATTATCTGAATACTTAATTGTGTTGTAAATTAATGTCAACTACAGGTGTTTCAGATATTTCCCATTTATTACTCATTTAGGAGTTTACAATGAAGGAAGTTAATTTTATAATCATGGTATTTATACTCATGAATCATCCTATTTTTATATACAGATTTTATAGTCTTTCTAACCAACAATTAACAATTATTATTATTTTAAAACTAGTATAAGCTTCAGCATATATTATATTCAAAATCACTTAAAGGATTATTTAAGATTCGATCTTGTAACTTAAAATTAACGAGTTCGTACTACAACTGACGACAGTCAGAAATAGAATCATCTTGCTCTACTGCTGTTTAGTACCACAGATAAGAACATGATCAATTAATAATTAAGCTAATGAGCAAAATATTTAAAATGGTAACTTAAGGAGTAGAACTAAAATTATATGAGAACTGAATTACTTGGCAGAGAATAATACATAAAATTTAAAAAATTGTTGGCTTTGGTTTTTGTTGAGTATGATCTATTTTAGTTGAATAAGATAGAGTCTCATCTTATTGTCATTATTCAATGGCTATAAAAGTTTTGTCCAAAGTCAGTCGGAGGTGATCGTCTTCTACCTAGAGGACCTGCATATTATATATTATATAATAGTTTATATAATTTTAAATGTATATGATGTTGATTTAAGAAAAAAAAAAAAAAAACTTCTGAGATTATACAGGGTCCATTTTTTTTATAATTATAGAAATTATAAATTATTGATCATTGATATCATCTACACTGATGAAGAATAGATCAAATTAACTATGGATTGTATTGAAAGTCATTAGCTTATTTGTGTAAGAACAAATACACACTTAGTTTTTTTATTTACATATATAAACTTAGAGACAATTACGTTTAGAAGATTTTACTACAAAATGATGCAAAATTATATGAAAATTAACTTGATATAGTTTGAAAAATTTGTTTCATAAATATTGTACTAACTGATCATTTACCGCATACTTCAATTGACAAGGTCTATGATTTGTTGTATTACTTGAAGACAATGAATGATTTTCATAAAGATTGTCGCAATGTTATAAATGAGCGATCACATGCTTATCAAGTTTAACTTGGAAGTAATTTTTAGCGTAGGACCTATTAGTTTCTCCGCGTAGTCAGGCCGTAATCGTACAAATATTTTATAATTAATTCGCAACATTAGAACGATTATCTCTGAGAAAATTAAAGATTTGTCTAGACTAAGAACACTTTTAATTATTAGTTATATCAATTTATGTGGTTTCAAAATCGACTTATTAACTTTTTAAAATTTAAGATAGAAGAACCAACTATTTTACCGTAAAATGTATTGAATTTTTTTCTCTAATTTTTATCAATGGCGTTTAATCGATCAATCTTACTAGGATGACTATTATAAAAACTAGAATATAACCAATCATCAGAAGTAGTTGATAAATTTTGATCAGTAAGTCGAATTAATGCGTTTTTTATTGATTCTTTATAACCACAATTCGTTGCAAATGAATCAGCTTGATATTCAAAATTTTGTTGTAAATAATTTTTTAAAATTTTGAAGATTAAATCTATGGGAATTGAAATCTTTTTGACTATTAAATGCCCAATAAATATTGGCTTGTTGTTGAAATCAAATGATCTATAAATTGAATCATCATTATAAAAGAGTTTTAATACTGAAAGTGATATAATGATTTCAACATAGACTAAAATCATTCCTTTTACTCTATGACCAAATTTGACGTGACCTAATTCATGAGCAACAACTGCTAAAATTTCCTTATCAGTAAAAGAATCCACCAAAGTATCTGTCAAATGAACCAGACCACTTAATGGATTCCCTTCAACACTTGCATTAGAATGTGAAGTTGTAGATGATACTTCAGCAACATAGATTTTTTTCAATTCAAAATTTTGATCCTTAGTAAAATCCTCAATTTTTTTCCTTAATTCACCTTCTGGAAGTTCATTTTGTTTAGTTATAAAACTTGATAAAGTTGGATAAATGAATAATACAAAACAACCAAATAAAATAGTAATAATCAGTAATTTAAAAATCTCAATTTCAAAATTGAATAACTGAAATGATTTTAAACAAACTATGATTCCTAAAATGTCAATGAATAATTGCAATAAAGTCATTGAACATTCAAACATGATCCATTTCAAAATCCCTGATTTAAAAAATTCAAATTTTTTCTCAATTTTAAAATAATCTATATAATTCATTGGTAATTTTTCAAATATTAATATTAAAAAACTAGATAATGTTATGAATAAAATAGTTTGACTTAAATATATTGTTTGATTTTCAACTACAACATTATTTTGTTTCAACAACCATCCACTAACTGACCAAATTTTATAATATAAATTAAATTTAACAATTATTAATTCAATAATAGATTCATATATAATTTTAAAACCATTGAATTTTAACTTGAGTAAAGAATATTGAATCCCTTTTGCAATTTTCAGTTGATCAAATCCTTGAAGATTTGTAGTAATTTCATGATTTTTAGAAATTTTTTGAAATTGTCTTTTTTGTAAATATAACTCAAATATCCCTTTGAAAACCACAAATGATGAAATTAAAGATTTCCAGGAAAATAACTTGTTGTTGATGTTAGTAACCGAAAAAGTTAAGAAAGCTTGTATATGTAATCGTTTTTTTTTTCAAAACTTACTTTGAACATGGTATACTTATAATATTTATCGATTTTGAAAGGAAGACTAACTTCTTGGATCAAAATTAAAAAAAAAATGTAGTGAAAAAAAAAAAAAAAAAA